AGGTTAACTAGCTATTTCTAGCTAAGTTTATATTAAATTCCTATTATTCTGAGATTATTAGAGTATTACCTTTTTTTACTAATTATAGGTTCTATCTATATATAAGATTTAAGCCTATTTAGCCTATAAACTAGCCTGCTATTAGAGATACTAAAACCTTTATTAAAAAGATATAAAATATTATAGATTATATCTATATTTAAATTTATACCGCTTAAGCCTATTATAAAGAGTAGATTAACTGCTATTAAACCTTAGCCTACTACTATTATATAAGATAGTCTATTTAATTAAATACTTAAAATATCTGTACCTAGCGCCCTTAGAAGAAATTTAATTAAAAGAATCTTAGCCTATTCTATATTACTAAGATTATTAGCCTATATACTTATTAGCTTAACTTGCCTATCTTAATATATATCTATTCTATATTTAATATTAGCTTACTTTATTTTATTACTAAAGATTCTATACCTAAATAAAAATAATCTTTATTACTACTTATTAAAGTTAATAGCCTTAAAGAATAGGTTATTAAAAATATCCTAAACTTTTAATAAGAATACTATAGGTATAAAGGCCCTTAACTATAATATACTATTAAATAGATAGATTATAATAACTTAATTAAAGAGCCTATATATTATCTATAATATGCTTAAAAAATTATTATTAATTTTTATTACTGCTATTTAAATAAGCTAAAGCTAGAAAATAGTCTTAATAAAATTTAACCCTAAGAAGGGGAGTATTATTATAATACTAGTATAGGAGATAAAGATCTATTAGCTAATGCTTATATAAGGTATTATATAATTTTACAAAGATATCTTTAGCGCATAGCTTAATTTAAATTTAAGCTTTTTAAGCTATATTTTATTTACTAAGCTTACCTGTAATAGCCTATTCTAATCTAAATTAGCTAGATAAAGATCTTATAGCTAGTTTTAGTATTAACTTCCTTATTCTATTTATTCTAACCCGCTTCCTGAGCCCGCACCTTAATATATATCTGTTTTTTTTATAATTAAAATATTACCCTTTTTTTATTAATTGTTCTTACTCTTCTAAAGTTTTAAACTTTTTTAGTTTATATTCTGAATAAGTCTTTATAAAGGTTAACTAAGATAATTTATTTTTTTGCTTATCTCTTATATATAGATAGAATTAGTCCTTCTCCCTTATATAAGGGTAGAATTATTTTTTTTTTTATAGTCTTTTAATTAGGTTTTAATAGAGTCTTAAGGGCTTTATTTAATAATTATAGCTTCTAAAGCTAGTTGTAATAAATTAGTTAAAATATATATATACTTAAATAACTAGTTCTGTATATCTTCCTATAATATAGAGAAGAAAGTTTAGCTCTAGATATTATTTTTTAAAGCTAATTTAGCTTTATAAAGCTTAAATTTATTAAGAAATTCTTAAGCAATTTATCCTAGCTATTGCTTTAGCCTTTAGAATTATATAATAACTGTCTAGGGTCTAAATTTTAAGTCTTTAAAATAATCTAATAGCTACTGCTAAAATCTCTGTTATAAAATTATAGCTAAAGCAGGGGGTCTATAACTTTAAGCTATTCTATAGTTATCTGAAAGTAATATAGTAGTATAGTTTACCTTATTTACTTTAATTACAAATATTAATATATTATAGGTAAAGTATTAGTCTATATAATAGCATTAACAGTAGTAAGCATTTAAATCCTTAGCTTAATATTAATAAGGTTTAGGCAGTTTAGTAATAGATCTAGATTTAGGAGTTATATTAATTTATTTTATTAACTCTATAACTATAGCTATATTTATCTTTTCTAATAGTCCTTAAATTATATCTTATAGAGCTTTTATTACTGTGTTATTAACTTAATATAATATATCTAGCGAGGTAGTAGGTCCGGTATTAATAATATTTAATTCTAATTAAATATTAGGGGCTATAATATTTTCTAGATTAGTTAGATCTTTTAGATCTATAGTAATTACTAGTCCGAGCTAAATGCTAGGTTTTAAACTATATTTAGGTTTAGATTTAAACCGCACAGGTCTTAGGTTATTTACAGATTCTCTATATTAATCTCTAATACTACTTCTTAATATCTTTTCTCTTCTTAATATATTATTAGTTAAGCAATTTAAACTATAAAAAATTAAGGTAAGGAAGCTTTTTATTAGAGGTAATTAATTAGATTAGTCAAATAGAATATAAGATAAGAGATAGAGATATAGGCAAATAGCTGTCTATATATAATAGAGTTAAAAGTGAGATTTAGTAGTAATCAGAATAAATTGCTAATTTGTCTAATTTCTATTTTTTTAGGGGTTATTTATCTATCTGTTTATTCTATTAGGTTATTTAAATAACTTAGTCTTAACGGCTCTATCTATAACTAGCTAATCTAATTATTATATATAGATCTAGTTATCTTATTATCTTTTATTATTTATCTTAGGTTATTTATCCTAGGTCTTAGTAGGTCTAGATTAGGTATTATAGCCCTAGTTCGTAATAAGCCAGCGCTTACTATCTTAGCTATTATATTAAATTTAACTAACTATAAGAATTCTACAGTATATAATAAAGAAATTAACTCTATTAATAATCTTAATATTATCTAGCGCCGATTTACTAATTTAATAAAAATATATATAATCTTATTTTAAGAGGAATTAAATACTCCTAAGTCCTATAAAGCTACTATAATATATATTAAAGCTCCCTAATAATAGGAAGCTATAAGGAAAAAAATTAACTTATTAGTAAAATAAAAATGCTAGTATTTAATTTATTAAAATAAGCTTTTTTTTAGGACCTATTCTATACCTAGTAGATAAGTATATAAAAAGAAAAAGAGTCCTAATAGCTTAATTATTTATAAAGCTTACTAGATTATCTATAATAATATACTAGATAAGATTATATTTAATATAATAACTTATACTCTAATAGTCTCTATTATAATTACTAATATATTAATAGCTTCTGCTACTTACTATAGCTAGGCTATTCTTTAAGCTAATATTATATAGGCCTTCTTAAATAGTAAATTAAAATATAATATCTATATATTTTAGCCTATTAGCTTTTATAAAGGTAAAGATAATATTCTAGTTTATAAACTGGACTAAGCTCTTTATAGATTAACCCCTTTTATAAAGATATAGTATAATACCTTAGTAAAGTATTTATTTAATATTGGGTTTAGGCTATTTCTATATAATCTCTGCCTTTAAATCTCTATTATTATAGAAAATATCTATATTACTATCTATATTAATAACTTCTCTATATATGCCTTTAAATAATTAATTATTTAGGGAGTTTATAATAGCATCTCTAAGCAATTTAAAATAAAGAACTTAGGGCCTATTAAGCACTATCTAAGGATAGAAGTCTCTTATAGTAAAAAGAGTATATAGCTTACTTAAATAGGGTATATATATAAATTTATCTAATCTTTTAAATAGAAAGATTTTAGCCATATAAAATCTCTTATAGATTTTAAGTTTTAAATTAATAATAAGCCTAGTTCTATAATTAATACTAAAGAATATTAATAGGGTATTAGCTGTTACTAATAGCTAGCTATTAAGACTTGCCCTAATCTATTTAGAATTATAAGCTTATTAGCTAAGAGGAACTTTTATTTAACTCTAAAGAGTTATATAGCTTTAAAGTATATTATATATTATTTAGCTAAATATTCTAACTATAGCATTATATACTATAAAAGTAATAGGGATATTAGACTTTTATAAGCCTATTATAACTCTAACTATATTAGGGATTATAATAAATATTACTCTACCTTAAGATATATTTTTATACTTATTAGTAAACTTATTTTATAAAAGATCTATAAGCAAACTTATATCTTAATTAGCTCTAATAAAGCAGAATATATAGCTGCTTCTAAAGCTGCTAGAGAAGCCTAGTAGATATATTATTTAATAATTAATATAGGTATTATAAAGGATATTAGTCTAATTATTTTAAATATTAATAATAATAGAGCCTAGAATCTAATCTGCGCTTCTGCTGGCATTAAATACTCTAAGTATATTAATATATAATTCTATTATATCTGTAATATACTTGCCTAAGGCATAATTAATTTAAAATATATTAATTCAGCAGATAATATCGCTAATAATTTTATAAAGGGACTAATAGTTTTAAAGTTCTGAATCTAGCTTAAGCAGCTTAGCTTAACTATAATTGCTTAACTATATAATTAGACTATTTATTTTTTTACTTTTATACCCTGTCTGCTTTTTAGTTAGTCCTATTTATTTATATTTAGTTATTTAAATAATTGCTATATATTCCCTAGTGCTCAGTGCAAGGGTAGGTATTAAAGGCCCCCTCCGGCTGCCCCCTTTCGGCGCCCTGCTCCCTAGTGATCACGTAACCTAGGCGAGCCCATATAGGCTTCGCCTAGCTCCTAGATCCAATCAAGCAAGCTTTCTCCCGCTTCCTTCATAAAACAGCTAAAGCAGGCTGGCGGCGAACTCCACGGGGATGCCAAAATCGAGCTAAATAGCCGGTCACTAGTAGATACAAGTTCAACTGCTGATCGGATCGGATTCCAACGCATGCTCCGCTAGAGATCCTCTGCTCGTGAGGATGCTGGGAAGAGGAGAGGCCGACGTGGGGGAACAACCAGAGAAACATCTCCCCGCATGCGTCCGGAAGGGGTGCATTCCACACATAATGGATACCAGCAGCTGTTTCTCGCAAGTATTAGGATTGGGAGAATAGAGAAACTACCAGTGAAAGTGCAACTTCCTATCACTATCACCGCTACAACTGTGAACTAACTAATTAATTATCCAGCATGATATCGTCGATGTTGGCGTGGTGGCTTTTCTGCTTTTCTGCTTTCTGGGGTCATCGGGCATCGGCCGTCTCCGATAAGCGTCTGTTCGGTGGGGCTGGCTTGCCGTCTCCCTTGAGAATCAACAATTGCTAGTTACAACTACTGATATTCTGTCATGCTGTGCCAAGGGTTCTATCATTATTATTTCTAGACAAGAGAGGGTCACTACAGAAGACGATTCTTTCCTCAGGTATACGTGCTCAGAGAGGGAAATGACGCTGGAGAATACTAACACATTGATATATTCTGGAACCCATCGAAAATATATCTATACTATTTATTATATTACACAGAAAATGAAGTCCAACTAAACTGGAGAAAACCTCGCGAGACGTTGCGAAGTCTATGGCAATGTTGAATCATAGTCAATGCGTAACGTTCGTCAGGATCCGCTGAAACGCAGCGAACAAGAGATGTTGAAATATTCAGATATGCAGTCATAAAGCTTGAACAATGTCCGCCCTAGACAAGGGAGAAAACAACAGAAAGAGGGGGTATCATAATTATTCGCTATCTTCGACAGGGCCGCAGGTGCAGAAGAGATTCTGGTCGCCAAATGCTGTACCGCAGTCAGCTTCATGCTAAACGTTTTGAAAAGGAATAAAAGAACTCACCATCATCCACACGGGTCACCGTGGGCCAGAACTTCTTCTCCAACAGCCATCGCTGAGGATAGGCGGCTTCCTCCCGCGAGTATGGACGGTTCCATTCGCTAGACAGCAGGTCTCGTTGCGTGTGAGGCGCATTCTTCAGAACGTTGCCCTCCCGTGGCTGTTCTCCGCGCTCCACAGCTGCGATCTCTTGGCGGATCGAGATGAGGGCATCGCAGAATCGATCCAATTCTGCCTTGTTCTCCGATTCCGTCGGTTCAATCATGAGGGTGTTGGCCACCGGCCACGACATGGTTGGCGCGTGGAAGCCATAGTCCTGCAGTCTCTTCGCGATGTCAATCGCTTCGATGCCAGAGGTCTCCTTGAATTTCCGGACGTCGAGGATAAACTCGTGTGCGCAACGGCCGTTCTCGTTGGTATAGAGGATAGGATAGTGCTCCTTGAGACGCGACAGGATATAGTTGGCGTTCAGAAGGGTGATCTTGGTGGCATGCGTCAAGCCCTTGGCGCCCATCATGTTGATATAGTTGAACGTGATCGGGAGAAGACTGGCACTACCCCATGGAGCGGCACTGACGGGTGGTGATGCGGTATCGCCTCGCTTTCCCTGAAGATACTCGCTGACCGGGTGGGAAGGGAGGTATGGGCGCAGATGCTCAGCAACACCAATGGGTCCCACGCCAGGGCCACCACCGCCGTGAGGAATACAGAAGGTCTTGTGTAGGTTCAAGTGGCAGACATCTGCTCCAATCTCTCCAGGAGAGCAAAGTCCAATCTGTGCATTCATGTTGGCACCATCCATATAGACCTGACCGCCATATTCGTGCACGATCTTGCAGACCTCTTTGATGCCGGGCTCGAAGACACCGAAAGTGCTGGGATATGTGACCATAATCGCAGCCAGCTCATCCTTGTGCTTCTCACACTTGGCCTTCAGGTCCTCAATGTCAAGATTGCCCGTCTTGGTGTCACACTTGATGGTCACCACACGCATACCAGCCATGGCAGCACTGGCAGGGTTGGTTCCATGAGCCGACACGGGGATCAGGCACACGTTCCTAGTGCCACCTTGCGCGTCCTGGTACTTCTTGATCACTCGGAGACCGGTGAACTCTCCCTGAGCACCGGAGTTCGGCTGGACAGTGACTTCAGCCATGCCGGTGATGTCGGCCAGCTGCTGCTCCACTTCGTCGATGAATTGAGTGTAACCGGCGACTGCATCGGTGGGGGTGAAAGGGTGCATCTGGGAGAATTCGGGCCACGAGATGGGAATCATCTCACTAGTAGCGTTGAGCTTCATCGTACAGGAACCAAGAGGAATCATGGAGTGGGCCAGTGAAAGGTCCTTTGACTCGAGGTGATGAATGTAACGAAGCATTTCCGTCTCCGAGTGATGCGTGTTGAACACCGGATGGGTCAAGTAAGATGATGTGCGCTCCAACGCAGCAGGAACAGCGACCGGACCAAGCTCACCAGACAATTCGACGGCTGCCTTGGAGGAATGAGAAGCGAAGACATCCAAGATGGCCTTCAGCTCATTCTTGCCGACTGTCTCATCAAGAGAGATGCCAATCCTGGTAATATCCAGACGACGGAAGTAAAGGTTGGCTGATCTAGCTGCATTCATGATAGCATCGGCATCATCAACGTTAGGCAGCTCAACGGTCAGCGTGTCGAAAAACGCTTTACCATCGGATACATTACTCTTGGTGGGGACATTGTATCCCAACCCCGTGAGCTTCTCCTGCAGCAGAGCTGTCAGGGCCATGATACGCTGGGCAATCGCCTTCAGTCCCTTCGGGCCATGGTAGACTGCATACATGGCACTCATGTTGGCGAGCAAGGCTTGCGCTGTGCAAATGTTGCTGGTTGCCTTTTCACGACGAATGTGCTGCTCTCTAGTCTGGAGCGCCAGTCTAAGAGCACGGTTTCCCAGTCTATCCTTTGAGACACCAACAAGGCGTCCAGGGATCTTACGCTTGTACTTATCCGCACAAGAGAAGAAAGCAGCATGAGGGCCTCCGAAGCCCATGGGAACACCCAGTCTCTGAGCGCTTCCAAATGCAATGTCAGCGCCAAACTCCCCAGGGGATTTCAACACTGTCAATGCCAGGAGGTCGGTGGCAACGCTGAAAGTACCTCCGAGCTCATGGATCGTCTTTCCCAGGCTCTCGAAGTCATAGATGCCTCCTTCAGTATCAGGATACTGGGCCAAGACACCGATAAGGCTGTCACCCTGGTCCTTGACCAGCTTAGCATCATCCGCCAGGATATCACCAATCTTGAGCTCGATCCCAAAGCCTTCGGCGCGAGACCGCATGACTGCAATGGTCTGTGGGTGGCAGAGATGGGACACCACAAAGACCTTACCCGGCTTCTTCTGTCTGGCTAGCGGAAGAACTGCGAGAGACATCGTCATCGCCTCCGCTGCTGCAGTCGCCTCGTCCAGAACGGATGCGTTGGCGACAGGCAGTCCTGTCAGGTCCGCGGTCAATGTCTGAAAGTTGAGCAGCGATTCCAGTCGACCCTGGCTGATTTCCGGCTGGTATGGAGTATAACTGGTGTACCAAGCAGGGTTTTCAAGTACATTCCTAAGAATGACGGGGGGCACAATCGTGTTATAGTAGCCACAGCCAATGTAGGGTTTTCCTGTCGTCGTGATCTGATCTCTGTATTTCTCCAGCAATTTCAGCATATCAGTTTCGCCCAGGCCACCATGGACATCATCTCTCTGTAACTCTGTGCCCACCCTGGGAGGCGTCACGACCATGTCCTTCTTGGACAAAATATCTGCCGGCAGCACCTGCTGGACAAACTCGTCTAGTGATGCTACCGGGGGATCCAGAGTGGCGAGCATCTGCTTCGCAGCATCTGGACTGGGTCCAATATGACGACGAGGGAAAGTATCAATGGGCTGGAAGAGATCACGAGCTTCTGGCTCACCGTAGTCAGCCAGAGAGCTGGTGTAAACTGTGCGGGCAGAGGCATGGTGACGTCTCAATTGCAGGTAATTCCGGCCAGAGGCCACAGAAGATGCTGGTGACCTATATAGAGCTCTTGTCGAAGCCACGCGTAGCTTCGACAACCGCGTTAACTGGTTGCTTGCTCCGCGAAGAGCATACAAGGACGGAGCCATCTTGGAGAACTGTCAACTAGAGTGGGAGCTTCAATTGCTGCCAGACCGGACGGTTCAGCAACGCAAGAGCCACACCCTTGGAAAGATGGAAAGGTTTTATGATGCTGGGAAGCGAACAGTTACACGAGAAGAGAAGGGGAAAAAAAAAGAGACGCCCACGAAGAGCGGTGGGAATCATTCATTCCTTTGCATCCCGCCCTCGTTCCTGCTGCTCTCCGATCGCCCGCCCTTTGATGTATGGTTATGTAACGGAAGCGCGCCAGAAGTGGTATTCACGTGATAATGCCGCCGGGACCTGATGAGTAGACCAATAAAGGTCTCGTTTCTCCGTATCTTAGCCCCGTGGCGACCCCGGAATACGGTACGGATACAGTACGAATCATTGATATCAGTTTCGCATGCCCGTTGATAACGATAAGCTTGCGGGCAATCGTCCACTTTCCCGCGGAAAACCTTTTCCCCTCCGTAACTCCCCATTGGGAAATGAGGGCTCAAGCCCAGATGACACGCGATTTATTTCTACCTTCTATAACTATGAAAGGCGCTTCGATAAGTGCGACCCTCTCCATTCGTAGCTTGAGATCTCAGGGCCGATTGTATGTAGTTCCTCCACCGCGAATTGATATCGATAAGTTGACCCCCGGGGCCCACAAGAGCTACGTCGATATTAATAGGTTGGTTTAGATTATCAGGCTAGTGCTGGCTATAGATTTGAGTGTTGAAATATGGAATACTTCAGCCAAACCATCAATAACTATACGATCATTGATGACAATTTATTGTGTTTCCAGGTTTGATTAATCCTATGCACGAAAATCATCATAAATGCTTCAATACCAGTTCGCGGTAACTGGGGAATACGTATGTCCCTATCCAGTGTCAAGAGAGGTCTACATGGGAAATGGAACAGCTACCGCCACAGAAATGCTACGGGCAGGATAAAAGATGAGATTATCCTTCCTTATGCCACAGCTATGGAAGGCCCACGAGCGGAAATCCATCCCGCAATCTGAACTCTGGAACCATACTATGGATCTTATTTGCGAGACTCGTATATGAAGGAAGGAGCCATGGATGGAGATAAATTATTTCCGGTTCCAAAGTAGACAGAGGCAACGAGATATACCAGTGAGATCTCTTAACCGCAGTATCGTCAAATACACTGAGGTCAATGTTCTATGGGCCTTCCGGGACTTTTCGCCTTTGTCCGTTTTCTGGCTTCTCTCTCTCAACCAAGTTGAAAAGGGTCATGGTTCATACCCGCGAATACAACGCCTTTAGCGGCTCCTGATACCTTCAATAATGAGAGTGACGTATACTTGAGAAACTTCGCTAAGCCGTCGTTGGCAAAACCATTTGCCTCAAGGATACACTTCCTACGTGAGTTTCTCGAGGTCCTCAACATGAATAGTAGTTGATCTGATTGTCTTCACTTGGTCCTCCTATCTGCAATAGGAATATCGTCGGATGATAGATAGAGCTCGACGTCTGTCCCTTACAGGGAAAGAGGGTCACAGTGTCGCAGTTCCTATGGTCGGATTTAGTATCTCTTGACGCAAGGTATGTTATATGCACGAAATTTATTATATACATTTTGCTTGATCCTAACCCAATCAGTGCATCTTTTCACTGTCAGCTGAATATTTCTGTGGCCTCAGCTCGCCCACGCCCGGTATAGACTGTACGACAATCAAGCATAAGGGAACAAAGTGATTCATCTCTTTCTAAGTATGTCTCAAGAGAGCTACAGCAGCTCGGAGTATTCCGACGATACGAAAACACCAGACCGTGAACTGGAAGAGAGATGGCATGGTACACATACAGACGACATAGGATCCCCGAGGAGACAAAGGGTCAGGTTCAAATCTCTCGATGATAGGCCCCAGGACGAAGATACGCAGACTTTTATATCTCGTCTCAGAAATGAAGGCCAGCAGCAACAGAGACCGTCTACGCCAGATCCAAGTACGTCTAGAGATGTGACGGATATATCGCTCAATGATCGAGCAGCACCAGAAGACGATGGCAACAGACCCGATGGAACAGAGAAGCCAGATACAGAGAAACAAGACACAGAGAAGCCAGATGTGGGAAATCTAGGCGAGAAGCTAAAGCAGACTACAACAAATCCATTTAAGACTATACGCGAGAAAGGTCAGCGCCTTGCAGAACGGATGGGACACGGACCCGGACACGAAACGGGAGACTCTCTCACTCCGGCTCATCCGGAGCAAAACTGGGCAGGCGGCGGCAATGTGCCTGTGTCGGATATGACAGACGATAAGCACAAGGGCGATGAAGACAGACGCCGGGACCAAGCAACATCTACTGCGGAGGCTCATCGTCTTGTACGAGACTTATGTCAGAACCAGACGGGCGATAGGCGCAAGACTAGACCTACTGTTCGTGGTCAGGGCACACCAGCTGGCCTTCAGACCGATGCCGATTCTCAATATAGGTATCGTAAAGGTGGTGGTGGAGTCTTGTCGCAGCTTCTAAAGCTACAGAATGTGCAACAGGGACAAAGAGGTCGTTATGACAGTGACACAGATATCGAGGATCTCCAAACATCCAAACCGTCTTCGGGTACATCAACTCCAAAAAAAGAAAAGCTTAAGTGGTACAAGAAGCCTCCCAACCAGTCAACGTCCTCTCTGGCTGGATCGACGAATCTCAGTGGAGCTAGTACCCCGGTCCACTCTGGAGAAATAATGTCTCTTGCTTCCAAACGGCGCAGTAAGGGCGGAAGTATGAATGAAAACAAACTGCGTCTCGAGGATGAGATCCGGGTGACGATTCACATCGCTGAGATCATCGCCCGTCAGAGGTTCATAATGCAGCTATGCAAGGCGCTAATGATGTACGGCGCCCCTACACATCGACTGGAGGAATACATGTCGATGACTGCGAAAGTACTAGAAGTCGATGCCCAATTCCTATACTTCCCGGGTTGTATGGTCATATCCTTTGACGACCCGTCGACCCGTACAACAGAGGTCAAACTTCTCAGGGTAGCGCAGGGTGTGAACCTGGCACGTCTGGCCGATACTCATAGAGTATACAAAAACGTGATGCACGATATCATTGGCGTCGAGGAAGCAACTTCGGAACTAGAAGAAATCTTGAACCGAAAGCCTAGGTTTGGCAAGTGGGTTATGGTTTTGGTCTACGGGTTAGCCAGTATGACGATCGGGCCCTTCGCCTTCGAAGCAAGACCCATTGACCTTCCGATGATATTTGTCCTTGGTTGTCTTCTTGGTATCTTACAGCATGTAGTAGCGCCCAACTCCGCACTTTATTCCAATGTCTTCGAGGTCTTTGCGACAGTCTTGAACTCTTTCCTCGCCCGCGCGTTAGGAAGCATCCGCTGGGGCGTGGTGAACGGGAAGCAACAATATCTCTTTTGTTTCTCTACTCTGGTCCAATCTTCTATCGCTCTTATCCTTCCAGGTTTTATGGTTTTATGCAGCAGTCTCGAATTGCAGTCCCACCAAATGATTGCCGGATCCATCCGTATGGTCTATGCTATCATCTATTCACTCTTCCTTGGATATGGGATCACCACCGGTACAACAATCTACGGCCTCATTGATGGTGGAGCCAGTTCCGACATTTCATGCCCGCCGTCTAGTATTAATAACCAATATCTTCAACGATTTCCCTTTGTTGCGATAACAATCTTCTGGATCGTCATCATCAACAAGGGAAAATGGAAACAGCTCCCGGTCATGTTCTTCATCGCAATGGCTGGCTATACGGTCAACTTTTGGAGCACCAAGCGTATCGGATCGAATGTGCAAGTCGCCCAGAGTTTAGGCGCATTTGCCATTGGCACTATGGGTAATCTATACAGCCGTCTCTGGCATGGACACGCTGCTACCGCCATTCTTCCAGCTATCTTCATCATGGTCCCCTCCGGCCTAGCTTCTACTGGTTCCCTGATCACGGGAGTCCAGTCTGCAGATCAGATTCGAGGGAACGTCACCTCTCATGGAGGACAAAGTGGTCCCGAAAACGCGAATGGCAACATACAACAGGCCCAAGGTAATAATGCAGCTTCGAATATCGGATCCGGTATGATTCAAGTCGCCATCGGTATCACAGTTGGTTTGTTCTTGGCAGCACTGGTCGTGTATCCTTATGGAAAGAGACGAAGTGGACTGTTCAGTTTCTAAAAGCTCCATATATCCTGAGATGCAGTCAACAACCAAATTCATGTCCGTGGTGGATATTGCGATTATCATATGAGCGGGTATAAGGTTTGTGGGGATGAATCGAGATATCTATCTGGACAGCCTAGACTGGATTTAGTATGTATAGCTAGCGAAGTGTGTTAAGTCTTCTAGGGAGTTTATGACTATTCTCAATTCACTTAATATGATCGTTCAACCTTTGTCTGACATAGGGAACAGGAAAGAAATCATCATACATACTAAGACTGCTAATAATTAGTGGAGATGATAACTGCTATATTGAAAATAACAGTCTACTGTTCTTCTCTAAAGACAAGCGGTACACATTGCATCCAGTCTTTTACTCTTCAAGCCTTGGCACCTATCACATCAGTAACCGTCTGCCCGTTCCGGTATTCCATTCACATGGTATTTTCCAGAATTTGATCTTCAGGCCGCATCCCTCCCATCCTTCAAACTCTTCTCAATAACGTTTTCCACAAATCCCGATATTCGACCTGGGTTCCGGTAACGGTCTTCCAACCGCTCCGTGACCAGCGTCGATCCCGTTGTGTTGCACCATTCACGACGCACTCCGAAGTCCGTAGCGACTACAGGGCTTCTGAACCATTCGTCTGACCAGGCTCGGAATCGCAGTTCAGCAACGTTGCTTATATGCAGGTGAAGTTCGCCTGTAGGACCCTTGCCATCGAGGGGAAGTGTTGCAGTAAATTCCCCTAAAGAGTTAAACTTTGTTACGAAATGCCCCATTACTCTGTAGGGGGTCTAAGTTTACTGATTTTATTCGGTACTTTGTCGGAATCTGGAAAAAAATTGGGTGATTAGATTGGCTTTGGTACATTATTCATATCATTCCTAAGATACACAGTCCTGCAAGACTAGTCGTAAAATCCAAACCAATATACATGATAACTGTATATAGTATAGTATGTAGAATTTATATTGTAACTGGTTCATCTTACCTTCCCATCGTCGGTGGCCATTCATGCCGTCTTCACGTCTTCGACATTATTGACTGTCCCACCAACGGCAGCCTTCTCTTCCTCCTCAAGGCCATGCTCACCATCCTCTCCCAGGAGAGCCAGGAGCCCAATCTCGCGCTCAATCCGAGCCTTGAGTGCGGCGTCTTCGACCGCCATACCAGTCGAGCCGAAAAGCTCATCCATCTCTTCCAGTGTACGGCCATTGGTCTCGGGGACGAAGAACCAAACATACAGGACCGCAATGAGGGTAACGCAGCCGAAGAATATGAAAGCGCCGAAGTTCGAGGTGTGGATGAAGGGAGAAGTGGAGATTCCGACTGAAAAGTTGTTCAGCTAGTGTGTAATGTTAGTCTGTACTTATTCGTGCAGGACACAAGGCGGACAAAGGAACATACCCAGTTGGCACTGCCACCAAGACTGACGCCCTTGGCTCGCATACTCAAGGGGAAGATTTCAGAAATCACGATCCATGCACAAGGACTGCAGTCATGAGTCAGTAAAGAGCACTCTACGATGCTAGATTGCAGTACTCACCCCCAGGAATACGCGAAGTTGGCGATGAAAATCCACACAAAAGCAACAGCAACCCATCCTGCGGCGCGGTGGTTCTGCCAGTCGCTGGAGTATGCACCAATAATACCAGCAACGATGAAATGACACGAGGCCATGCCGATAGCACCCGCAAGGAGAATCTTCTTTCGACCGAAGCGGTCGACCCAGAGCACGGCCGGGATGGTGAAGACAAATTCGATGATACCAACTACTCCAGTAGCCAGGAGTGAGGTAGTGTTACCGCTGAGTTCGAATCCTTTGAAGATGAACGGACTGAAACTGTTAGACGGCTCAGCTGCTACGGGTTTATTTTGTTGGGAACTCACGCATAATAGTTGATGGCATTGATACCATTCCACTGTTGGAAGGTCATGATCAAACACTACATGGAAATGTCAGTGTCAGCCATATCGGGAGAGTGGTTTGACAAGAACGTACAGCAACAATCGTGCGCTTGAAGAGCGACTTGTTCGTCACGAGAGATAGGTAGTCGTTGAAGGCGATCATGAAGCGGCTCTTGAACGATCCGTCCTGCCATTGAGGATACTTTTTGGTAGATGTTTCGATTTCGAAGAGGCGCATGGCCTTCACCTCAAGGAACTCGATGCGCACAAGCAGGTCATCGGGCGATGTCCGTCGGAGCTTGGCTAGGGTCTCTAGACACTCCTTTTCGCGACCCTGGTTCATCAGATGTCTTGGTGACTGCGGCATGAAGAGGATCATACCCGCAGCCAAGAGGAGGGCGGGAGCCAGTTGAATGCAGACCGGCACCAACCAGGCTGCGTCGGATTGTCCTTGTCCAGTTCCACCGATATAGTTTGTACCATATCCGATCTAGAAGAAGTCAGTCAGTATTCCAGTTACAGTATCTCAGTCCAGTGGTTGACTAACCCAGAAGCTGACCATAATTCCAAAAGTGATGGCGAGCTGCTGCACGGCGACAAGCGATCCTCGAATTTCAGGGGGAGCCTAGGAAATGGTTATTATGCGGCGACGGATTCTCCATGGCTCCGTGATACTTACCAACTCTGCGTTGTAAAGAGGCACAATCATACTCAAACTTCCTACACCCAGACCAGTGACGAAACGACCAGCAAAAACGTAGTCCTTATTCTCAGTACAGGCCTGGACGATGACTCCCACCATGAAGACGACACAGGCAATCAGGGCGCACACTCGACGTCCAACCGCATCGGCCAAGTATCCGTTAAACAAAGTACCCAGCCAGGCACCCAATTCGAGAATAGAGGTCATCAGACCCTGGGCTGTTCCGGTTTGAGCTGCATATCCATTTGTCTAGGGACGAGTTGTGTAGTCAGTACACAAACTGGTTCAATTTTGTGTCACGGAGACAAACATACGCGGTTGATAAAAGAGGTCATGGTCAAGACCTGACTGAACATTCCCTGGTTGTCTGTAGATTCAGGATCAGCTCTGCATACCCTCGTCTCTAAGGATAACGTTGTCTCTTACACCCATAGACCAAACCTCCCAGGGATGCAAAAAATGCAATTGCCGTCGTCTGTCCATTTGCCAGCAGGCCACGGAATCCCGAAGGACCAGCGAGCTGAGCTCGTCTTCCGGACACCTGCGCATCAGCCACGGGAGCCATCTTTGTGTCGTCCGCAGTTCACCTTTTACTTGGGAAAAAAAGGGGGGGAAAGGGAAAACAACAGTGGCAAGAGGAGTGGAATCTATTTTCTCACCGTTCCCACTGCCTGCCTCGCGATGGAAGACACTGACCCCATGGGCAGTGCTCCATACGAGCTGTATTTAAATCGAAGCCAGTGCTCATCTGGGGCTCCCCACGGGGACTGCAACCGTGCCCATTTTGGGGTCGCGATGAATTCAGGCTAAAGAGACAGTCTGGGGATATCACTATCCGGACGGGGCTAAGCTTTTCTCGTGGCTTCTGAAGTTCTGCCCGACGCCTTCAGACTCGACAAGAGGCCATCACGGCGTCGTCTGAGTGCTCTTGGCATGCTGGGATGCCGCGAAAGCCGGTGGCATAGCGAACCGAGAGCCCTGTTGGAAGATGCGATGCCGTGCAGTGTTCAGCCCTTCTGCACTCTTCCATGTCGCCGTGCAAGGCTCATCCCGAACGCAGGTGGCCTCAAGTATCACAGACGGACGGATGATCAACATACTACGATATCCTCGTCGCATGTTTGCCTACGCCAACTATCTAACTAATTACCTGCAGCTCCTGTTACGGGTTGAGGTAGAAAAATCACAACATCCTCAGTACTTAATGGTCGCCCATTCACGAGGAGAACGTCATTTTGACCACGAGTGATTATTTCTTCCATCGGTTCAAGACATAGAACTTCCCCAATCGGTACCGTTAACAGCTTCTTCTTTTACCCGGCCACTCAGCAGCAAGTCTGTGGGGACGGTGGATTATCTTCGATTTAACCAGAGAATGGAGGTTGGCCGAGGTCTTCCTCCACGTTTTCCCCCTTCAATGTCGGGGTTTTCCGCCACCTCCACGCGCTCCGCATCCCGGGGTCCATTAGCTACTACTACAGTTAGTGTTGCCGGGAAAAAGTCGGGCCTGGGAAAATGTGAGATCAAACGGCTGAGACCACGCGAGAAGAAAACAGGGATGTCCGCTTTCGTCTGTTATCCCACAGTCACAATCCGTGTGCTGCCTCGCTGCTCGATTCTACGAGTTTCCGAGGCGGACTGGAGGCCTGCTTCTTTCACTGTCCATGTTGGAGTTGCGGTCCATGGCTTTCCATCCCGTCTCCGGGTTTGAGCCGGAGAATAGACAGCTTCCCATCAGCCGAGACATCTACTCTGATCCTTCGGCTGACTGGGATAGACCGACTATCTAACTAGCCGGAGGGATGTCCTCAACGCGTGGCATCCCACGTCCTGATTGGATTCAGAGATTCAAGCCCCATTCTGGTTGCACATGGCTGCAGTCAGCGAAGCGATTGTTTTTCTGTCTACTACTTCATAATCTTAGTGGTCACGGATTTAGCCAGCGAAACACCAAGAGACCAAGAGACGCCAAAAGACAGGTGCAGTTTTTATAGACATACGCAATAAACCAGCTGATTCGTCCACATGGAATGCTGGCACTAAGCGTTGCAGGACTACCCGAAGGTCGATTACTCTCTAGCTCTGGCAGATACCGTACACTCGCGATGACCGCGATGTGCTCGCTGTTTTGCCGTTGACCCCGATCCCGAGTCAGCTGAGCATTATAGTACTCTCGGCTTTGGCTTCAATATCGGCTTGCAGTCCAGACCGCCTGGGCCGCTTAGCTTTGGTTTCAGGACACGGAAGATGATGGACGATTCATGTTCCATTTGCTTCTGGGATTCTACAGACCATGACAATCCGGTCATCGACTGCAGTAGTGGCTCCTTACTATTACCTCATTGGCAGATTCATGCCTTCCTCAATACCACAAATCACCATACAGAGAATGGAAATACCATAGAGGTCAGTTCGCGAATCTCAAAGCTAGACTGATGTCCCAACTAACAAATCTTGATTTCTACCGTCGGGCGCCATCGCAGTCAGTGGCGTTTGGGTGCTTTGGTGTTTGGCCGTTTTGGCGTCTTGTGTGGCTAATGTCTGGATGTCCACTAACTAACTAGTAAAACCTGCCTACTCGTGGGCTTCCACGGTACAGCAGCGGCCGAGGACATAAGCTGCCACGTTCTCTAGACTTGGTTGCGCTGGAGAGCTTAACCCTAAGTAGGGTACCCTTGCGCGCTTCAGTGTTTTAGAAAGGTGAGGAAGAGGCCCGGGAGTCTATATAGCCGGTAGCTGCTAGTTAGTTAACTATAAAATATAGATCATTGTACTCCAGATAATGATGGTAAGCTGCTCCAGGTATCACTCATTCTCTGTGGCCTATTTGCCGTCTACATTTCGTTTCTAAGACAGTGATGGGGCTTTGTCACGAAGTTATTCTGCTCAATAGAGATTTAAGAAAGACACCCAGAGAACAAGCAGACTTTCGTGACCGGGTCGAAGCACACGAGATTCGCAATTATCACTTCTAGTTTTTATAGAGGTCTTTGAGCAGGATGTATAATTGCTCCGTCTATAGTGTACCAATGTGGTCGGATTGAGCGCGCAGTGATTCATAAGCAGAAAATTCACTACGAGTCAGTACATTTGGGGAGAATTGCCATTGTTGTTGCTTTATCTGGAGCCAGCCAGAGTAACATTAAACTATAATAATATGATTGCAGGCGAAAATCTTCAGCACTTGGCATCGGACATCTCATCGTCGTTATCTCCTTGCTTTTCTTTCTCTTCCTCCTCCTCCTTCTCCTCCTCCTTCTCCTCCTCCTTCTGCTTCCCCCCAACCCCCGCAAGGCGGCGCAATTCAGCGGCCCTTGCCCGCTTGCGCGCGGCTTCCTGCTCCTCTCTGCCAGCGGCTTCCTCGAGACGCTTGGCCTCAGCCAGCTAATATAACACGGAATGGATTAATCCCTTTCCAACGTAATAAAGTCACGCATGTTAGATAGAGACTTACCAGGCCCTGCTCCGTCTTCAGGGAGCTCTTTATCTTTTTCTTGGCTTCCTTTTTCTTCTTCCCGATTCTCATGGCTCTTGGCTGGCGCCTATCGAGACGGGGAGCCTCGATTGTCAGGTGAGCGCCCGCGCTCACCTGGATGATGTTCTATCTCTCAAATCAGTATAGCCCCTTTATATTTTCCATAATATGTTCGATGTCAATTACCTGGGGTGGTGCCATTGGGGTCGTAAAATCGTCGATTGTGGTTGTTCCGTTTATCGAGAGTGAGGGAGCTAGACACTCGTTAGATCAAAGATACATATACATGATGGTGATTATTATACACTCACAGTGGTCTCAAGGAGGTGCTCGGAGGTAGAAAAAGAGAGGACGAGGGAGAAGAATCGGAGGATTATATATGCACAGAGCACCAAAAAAACCTATCAATAAGGAGGAAGATAATAGTCATTATAACAATAATAATACAACCTATTCAATGGATAGATGAGCAATTCAATCCTATTTCGAGTAATTCTGTTTGTTTCGGCCTCATTGTCATTTCTGGCTTCAATAGGCGTATTCAAATATCATGCAACATAGAAAATGAACACCACTCGTTTGTCTGCATATCGGCGCTCAATAGTATTGAGAATCCCTCCTATTATGAATCTAGCGTCTAGAGCATTATGAGCACGTACAATACAGATGACTATTTTGCTTTGCACTTCTCATTTTTTAACTTAAAGTTCTGTTGAAAGTCATGCAACATAGGAAGTGAATACTACATGTTTGTCTGCATACCGGCGCTCGATGGTATTCAGAATCCCTCCTGTTATGAAGTTGGTGTCTAGAGCGTTATGAGACGTACTGTGCAAATGGCTATTTGCTTTGTATTTCCCTTTTTCTAACTTAAAGTTCTGTTGAAAGTCAATTCTGCTTCTATGATCGGCCTGCCATGGTTCAGATCAGGCTGCTTACATGCATCTAGGTAGGAATTACCAGTGCATCCCTATTCCTTGACGTGGCAATATAAATATGTCAAAGGCCCCAGGAAAAGACTCTTTCTGGACTCGCCGCACTTGCGATATTATACCGAATTACTCATGGTAGCGCCATCAGATACAGACTGCATCATCTGCAGTCTGCACTTTGGCTATTGGGTAGGCTACCAGCCGTGGCATACGAAGTTCAGAGCATGTAAGCACAAAACCAAGGCTTTATTTATCTCTTACGTCTATTTGCTGATACAAATTTCATTGAGTGTACCGTGGACAATACGGTGTGGGATTAACTGGAATCGGCTACACTTGGAATGACAGGGAATACCGAGTTCCCTATGATGAAAGGGAGCGATGGGACACCACGGACGACTTAATTCTCCTCATTTATCCCCCGTTCCGAATTTGGGACGTCTACTTATTCCATGAAAAATGCTGGGACAATCTTATGGAGCATATTGACGGGGCGGAATTTGATCTGGATAGTTTATATGAGGCTCTTGAGTCTTTCCCACGCACGAAATGTTGTTAAGTCCCTTTCATTGAGTTTAAAATTTCTATATACTCACATCTCTTGTGTTTACTTAGGTCCATGGGGATTCCAATGGCACGATGGGGACGAGAGCTATGATATCTTCATTATTCCGACGCTGGAACAACTCATGCAGTCACCACGAGTGTGCCCTCTCCCAACAAGACACATCCCACGGGAGCTCCCACGAAGTCCAACCGATCACTTTAGTTTGCTTCCAGTTGAGCTTCTTGAAGCTATTGCCGTCGATCTCCCCACTTCAGACGTCCTGAGACTGCGTCTTACTGCAAGAGCAATGGCACCGATCTTCACAAGCAAAATATTCTGGAAATCGAGATTCTCCATCAATGGTGAACGCGGATTCCTCCGCCCTGTCATCCAGCAAGAAATTGAAGGGAACGGCGGTAAACAAGTTGACTGGCGACTTCTTTACCACTGCACTTGTAAGTTAAAGTGCAGTCTGGAATTCGACTATCAGATCAGGATTTGGGAATCATTAAGGTGGCTCAGAGACGCAACACTTGCCAGGTGTTCAAATAAACGCAAACAACAAGGCAGCGTTCCTGTTCTTCAATGTGATCTGCCACTAGACTTCCGCGGCCGGGCGCTACAAGGCTATCATAATACCTTCTATCCCAACACACACAGAGAATCCGTTCATCTAGTTCGGCCGCTTAAGAGAATGATCGCTATGGTTCTCCAAATCGATGGAAAGATTTACATCACCGGACTTGAGTTTATCTTTGACGGTATGCCCAATGTTCTTATCGGCTATAAGACGCCTGGGGCTGTAATAATAGACAGTAACACGCCGGAATTGGTCAACAGAAGAATGTATAAGTATCCAGGGATAGGGTTTACGACAGAAATTTCGTGCTTGAGAGGGTTTGGCATACACATCACACCTGGTGGCCTTCATTTTATGACGGTTATCCAGGAAGACGTCACATACTATCTCGGTGGAAATCCACCTCCCAGGGAGTCCCAAGAATGTGATCTCCGTTTGGATGAGGTTATGGAAGTGGTAGGTACATTTGACGTGAGTTCCCGGACCTTCGTTCTATGAACAATTCGGATTTCATTCTCATGATTTGCAAACAGCATTGTAAGATGTTAGACCTTGGAGTCCGGGGTAGAGGAGAGAGGAAAGATAGAGATGGCAAAGATCGATGGGACAAAATGGTTTGGCGTCGTCGCCGAATGCGCCGTGGGATTTACTGAGATACTTTTTTTCGACTTCCTCTTACCGGAATTCCTTACGGGGGGGTTCTTCGACACCTTTGTCACGAGCTCTACCTTGAGGTTTTCTAGCACTGGATAGCTTCATGCGTCCGACACAACATTCATATACAACGAGATATGTGTTACCTATCTCGCAGGCTCCATACACCAAATGCGTCTCAGACGATCACCTGTCGGCGCTGTGTACTTGGCCTTCTTATCCGAGTGGCTGAGAGAATTGTTGAACTTCTTAGAGAAACACACTAGCTGGTTATTTCAATATGATTTATATGCTCTTTTAACCCATGCATCATACATAACACGAAATCCGAAGTTCTTCTTCGGTGAGAATAGCATATGACCCGACCTAACATGCTTTCGGGGGTAACGCCGATGCAGTAAATGCACCAGAGCTCAAGACAAATACATGGCTTCAAGTCATCGCGTGTCAAATCTTGTAACTATTCTTTTTGTGTGGCACTTTCTCTCCGCCGTATATTGAGATAGGGGACTCTCCAAATGTAGACTGTTTAGGCAAGTATTCTATCTGCGGATTGATATGAACATTTACCAATGCTACCAACACCAATACACAAATGGCTAAGTAGTATTCACTTTCCCCATTCCATGATATTAGTCGAATACGACAGACATGTCTGAAGCCCTTGAGGGGTAAGGATACTAGGGAATGAAGCCATACAATGGTCATACTTCTATTTCTCACAATATATTGTCCACCCTAAACCCTTCTGAAGATGGATTTCGTAGCTGTAGGCATGGAGTTCAGAGAGAAAAATGAAAGGTCAGAGAAGAAGTGAAGTTAAGAAGGAGAAGTGAATTATTTCGCCCAGCTTGCTGGTGTGTTACTGGCCTACAGGCTTTGTTTTCTTCCCTCTCCCCATTCGCCTCACCTAGAGACACGCACTCTACTCACTCAGCAACTCGGGTCAGACTGAATATTTCTGGAAGAAAGATAACTCTTTTTTTCTTCGTCTCATTATTCAAAATGGCGCAGCCCACGGTACCAAAGTACATGGCAGATGCCCCTATGAGGGCATATCTCGCTGAAGTGACAGGCGATGTGTACGAGGAGAGGATTGACCAGACCTGGCTCAATATCCTCAGATACTACTTCCCTCGAAAAGACTTCGGCTTAGAGAGAGAATCATATCCCGATGACCCCAAGGTCTCCAAGAAGAAGCTGAATGTCTGTGTGACAAACGTCAGACAGGGGAGGTTGCAGAAAGTCTTCTTCATTGAGTCTAAGCGCTTCCCTCACAAGGCTGAAAACAACGCTGACTGGGCTCAAAGCTATCGCTGGAGTGTTCACACAGGACAACTCGAGGACTATATACTTAGGGCTCGGAGATCTTCTGGCTACAGGCAGACTGTTTATGGGCTGCTAGCTATTGGAGACCATGCGAGGTTTTACCAGATGCGTATGACGGGCGGCTCGGAGAAGTTGACACCATACACTGATGGTGGACTAGGCGGGCAACCGCTCACAACACCTCTGAATATTAATACTGATGGCCCGGAGATCGAGAGGATCTTGGACGCCATCAGTGCCACGATCAGAGATGGAGACAACGACTTTTAAGCGATGGCGAATGGAGTTGACACTTGGACATCAGCAAGATTAAGGCATTGTCATTTTGGTACCTAGCCTAGGGTCTTGTATTAATAGCAAGACTAAGGAACCGGTTTAGGAAACCCCTAAACCCAACCTAAGGGCTTGAAGTCATCGCGTCCAGAATGTGTCAACTCCCCTTCGGGCATTCTTTCTTCGGCTTGTCCGGGGGCAGAGAGTTCGTCGAATACATACAAACAGGCTGTTTGTTCATATAGCGATCGTGCGTTGATTCTATTGACCCTGCTATCAGGAGAACTGTTATACTAGCTGTGGCAACTGCAAAAGATGGTTTATTTATAAACTAGGTTTGCACCCCATTGCTACTATATATACACAACGCTAACGAAACTACGTACAATGAACAGATGCAATATATATACACAAAGGAAACGGAAAAAAACAAAAAAAACAAAACGCGTCTTCACTGCCCTTTCTGGAAACATGGCAACCATTCCTTCAAAGCGTTGATGAAATACCCTCTCGAGGTGGCCCCAGCGGGGAAAGTAGTGCGGAAGTCGAAACAGTGCTCTGCGTTGGGCATGATGTATCCGAACACCTCGTCCTCGCTGGTGCGAACCCCACAGCCGGGGACCTCTGTCGTGAAATTGACATTGGCTGGGGCGAATGATTCGGTTGACAGCGTCGAGAGAGGCCTCCATGGATCATATTGCCCACCGCTGAAGTAAACATTGGATGGCCGTATTGTCCAACCTCCGGTTTGCGCATTTACCAGAGCAGTTTGCGGCTGGGGTGGCAGCAGACCGCTACTCAAGCCGTCTGGGAATTGTCGATAACAGACCTGCTGGGCATAGTCGTTCGTCTGATATTTGGATAAAAGCGCATGTGGGCCAATATTATCGCTCTGGAAATACCCCCACTGCGTACAGTACTGCCAGGTCCAGCTGATAGTGTCTGGGTTGGTGGATGGCCGACCGAGTTCACAAGATGATGAGCGCGAGGTGTCTGAACCTTTGCAGTTGGTGCCAAAAAAGCTATTCATCAAAGGAGTCATCATCGGCCACGAAGAAAGCCTCTTTGTCACAGCCTGGCCAGTGTTGATTATAGCGAAGGTACTGTTAGTGTTGTTTCCGCTGCTTGATTCCAAATAGCCGCATAAAGCGCTGAGGGATGCAGAGCCACCGCCCATTCCATAGCTTTGGAATAAACCGTAGATTGAGGTAAGAGCAGCTGTGAAGTCGGCATTGGCGTTGTTTTCCGCTCCTGGTCCCAGAAAGAGTCGTTTGATACTCGCGGCAGTCTGGCTACCATCCAACTGGTCGTCGATATATGCGAGCGCGGCATGGAGATCTTTGGCGCAAGTTTCATATCCGTACCCCACCATTCCACGATACACTTGATCCCAATAGGCACTCAAATCGATACGAGCCTCTACCGGGGCGGATGAAGAGAAGGCAGCGAAGAAGGTCTCTGGATATTGATTTCGGGAGAATGCTGCGCGCATTCCGGAATAAGACCCTCCAACCATAACCCACGGTGTCGACTTCGGTGTAAGATCTTGGTCGGGAAAAGCTGCTCGGCTGAAGTTGCTAGCGAAATATGGCAAATCAGCCAGGGCTTGCTCGTTGGTCAGATATTTGAAATTTTCAACTGGTGTATCGGGGCCAACATCGAAGGGTAGCGAATCCCCGTAGTAGCTGTTTGGTGGGCATCAGCAATGAAGCTCATGTCATTTGCAGAGGCGAACAATGATCTCTTACCGATGCTCCCATACGATACCAATGGCATTGAATTCTTTCAGGAACTGTTGGAAGAATTGAGTCGAGTTGCTCAGGTACGCCTGGGCTGACGATTCAGCGTTTGCTTCGCCGCCATCATATACAATGACTGGGCCCCCTGGTTCATAGTATGCATCCGTGACCCAGTATCGGTTCTTGTAAGTACCAACTGAATGATCTCCGTGGTCGATGGGAAGCTTCCAAATGTCTCAGAAAATGAACATCAACTAACGGGTTTTAAGGAACTTACTGTAGCATATTCCGCTGGAACATTTTCTGCAGCCGAGTTGGCAACCATCGTACGAAAGTTCTCATGGCGAAAGAGCACGGTATCTGCATCCAAGCCTAGATTCGCTGCGAGCTGTAGATCTCTAAGTGTGGGCGACATCAACACGCCCATGCTCGAGGAATATCCAATCAGCGAGACCAGGGCTATCGCCGCGAGGGCTGACCGGCAAGAACCCATTGTGCCGGTAAGATTTTATCTTTCTTTTCTCTTTCAGTTTCGTTCCAAAGAGATACAGGAGAAAGAGCACATAGCGACCCAGGCATAGGCCGCCCTTAAATGCCTTGTCCCAAATCATTTTCTATCAACCAGGCACGGTTGCATCCATCAAGGTTCCCTAAAATCCCGCTTTGATCTGGGCTCGACTAGATAAACATGCGGTAACATCGCGTGCGTCTGGAGGCATTGTTTGCGCTTGTTGCCAACTGCATCTGGAAAAGTCGGAAGCATTAACGTGCAATGTGGAGTCCTAGAAGCTACCCAAGAAGGCCAGGTACCCATGTGGGCAGTATATCAAAGACAACGTCCCTGGAGAAGATGTCGTGTCGATCTTCGACGCATCGGGTTCGCTCTGGACTCTTTTCGGAAAGAATGCAGATAACTAAACCAAGGCGGAGAACCCGAGGAAATACTCCGAATACAAACATGATAAGCTTCCATTTCAACTTATGTGTTTTATTTTATGGAGCTGCTCGCACAATGGACAAGTAGATAGCCCCAAACTGCTTGAAGCTTCCACCGTTGAATTATACGCATCTTTTTTCATACAGCGGTGGTGATCCGGAACAATTACAATATGGCAACGTCTCCGCATGAAACCATTGATAGAGATGTCGCTCTATTGTCGATCCGTCCAAGCTTCCGATCGCAGTGCCATGGATCAAGTTATGCGGCTGATCAGCATACACCAAGTATATGCCCACCTTTGTCGCCGTATCCAGATAAAGCCACGCAATCGAGAAGACTATAATGAATTGTTCGCGCTGCACAGAATGTTTCTGGAACTTATGTACCCGATGTCAATTATTAGTGCGTTTGCATCCATCATATGTGGCGTTTTCGGAAATCCAGTCACCACTGTTGTGGTCTTCCGAAATCCACGAAGGAGATATGGTACTCCGCAGACGAGATCGGCGGACACCCTGTCCAGCTAAATTTGCTTGTTTCCCAGTGCAAGGAACCGTCGTTCTTCGCAATTTCTCTATACTGCAAAAGTAAAAGGATCTCTGAATCGAGAACTCATTGTTGAATTATGGCAGAAGCAGCAATTCGTTGACCTGGACAATGTTTACTAAGGAACATAATAATTAGTTAACTACAGTGTCCGGAAACGGAAGATTGTCAACATTCCACGTGACGTCACCGTCTGAAGTCCGACCGGATTTCTTATGGCAACTGGTAAAAATCAACGCGAGGAGGAGGTTATCAAAGCCATTATCTTGGTATAGAGTCCTTATTGGGGATATTTTATTGTTATCATAACATGTGGTTTGTGGCTTTGGGAGATGTGCGCTGATTGCCTAGTTCGGAGATATATTAGCTTGGTTGCAACATTATTTGGATCGCTTTCCATCTTCACCTACGTTATGCCCGTACATCCCCCATTATGTGTTTACGCCACTTCCTCCAACTGTCGAAGACGAGCTAATTCATCGTCTCAATTTGATCAAGACTGGATCGAGCTGTCGAAGTGCTTGACTAATCGATGGATCTCTCCAACTGTTTTCATATGACCCCGCTACAGGGCTGGGAGAAAGCCTTACGAACTTTTTATACGGTCAAGCAAATTCAACTTCAACAGATCGAGGCCTTTTAGGTGGAAGGAGGCTTTCGGAAATGATTTCTTCGTCCACCTCGTCGTCTCCCCATCTATCGCCGAACCTGCTAGTATTCAGCCCTTCAAGAGATTAAACAACGAGAGAATGTGCCATAAAAAAGTCTTAGACACATGTCTAATCGGGTAATTGGTTCAGTTGGTCAAAGCCCAGAACATCGAATGAGACACCGGCTCGAAGCCGGGGCGCTGAAACGTTACATCGGCACCCTGCTCAATATCACCCCCAAGAGAACAGATTCCTGAAATGGCAACTCCTTCGAGCTACAGTGTTGGCATTTACTACTGGCGCAAATATTATGCTGCGATGTTAGCACCTTGGCAAACTCAGCGACTGCGCATGATGCGAAAATAAGCTTATGAAAAAAAAAAAAAAAGGTACCGTAGCATCCTCGGCGCTGTGAGCTTGCGATCAGGAACTCTCTATCGCTTATGAAATTAATACGGCCCAAAATCGTATGCTCAGAAGGCGCGTATAAAACCAAGAGACTTATCCACCAGATGGAAGGATCTCTCATTTGATCGCTCTACAGCAGTTCAGCGCATTCTCATTCATCTCTATATCTTCGTACTCCTACTTATAAGGGGAATCACTATTGCACCATGTCTTCCACCGCAATACTTACTCTCCTCTTCTCGACAGCTGTCGTTGCTCTTAACCCCAGCTGTGCCCCCGGGGGAAACTTCGACTTGAGCAAATGGAATCTCCAACTTCCCATAGGCAGTGTTGGTAGTCCCACCACCATATCTAGTTCCGCTCTAGAGGGCTGCAATGGCTACCAAGACCCGGGCCACCAGTACTTCTTCACGGAGAGCGGTGACGGTGCATTGGTGATGAAGGTGCCTGGCTCGCCCTCCTCATCAGGCTGCGTTACAACACCCAACAGTCAACACTGTCGGACCGAACTGCGCGAAATTAGCCCATCTAGCTGGGATCCCAACGCAGCGACCAACCGACTTAGCGCGACTCTCAAAGTCACCCAGGCCGACGATAGCAGTCATGGCACAGTGATCGGACAAATCCACATTGACGACAGCATCTCGAGCAAGCCTGTCTGCGAGCTGTTTTACAACAGCAACGGCGATATCTCCATCGGCGTTGAGCAGACACGTAGTGGTGGAAACGAAGTTGTCACATATGTCGATAATGTGCCGGTAGACACGACTTTTTCATATGAGATCCAGTATGAGTCGAACGTGCTCAGCGTCAGCATCAATGGCGGCGCGGCCAAGACGTTCAGTACTTACAGTCTGGATGCGCCAAAGAGCTATTTTAAGGTGGGGAACTACAATCAGGGAGACAGTCCGTCGGATGTTCACTTCTTTGCGATCTCAACGCAGCATTAAACTTCAGCGGGAAGTCGAGATTACTGCTCTACTTAAACATCTTGGAGAAGGCGAATCCTTTCCATTCTATCACGGACATACCCTATCACGATCTACATCGTCCTCATACATGATTAGGAATTGTAAAATAACGCATATGGAGCATACTTTAAATATCCATTAAGTATCAGCCATTTCTTTTCTGGATGGTTCTGCCAGCCACTTTAAGCTGGGGCGGGTTCTATTTATGGATCGTGCACTCCGCGTTCTAGACCACTGATATCCAACCAAAACACATTTAAAACATGATATTATTATGGTACACCGTCCGTTGCATTGACTGGCCCCACCGCTGATATTAATAGAGAAAAAGGCAAGAGAGAAAAAAAGACAAGTATTCTTCAAGGTGGTTCTGAAGTCTCGCGAACGCCCCGTCAACAGGAGCGGTGTGATTCTCTGCCATGATCGAGTCTAATTCTAGCTGGGTCCGGATCGTATGTAAACCCCTGACAACGCACCTTGCTGCCAATAATAGAGTATGATGACTAGATGGAATGATGCTTTATGCTTTCTGGGGCCTTGCCAGTGGGACCACGCCTCTTTGTTTCACCGTACCATAAAGTACTGGATCCTTCGGTCGCCAGATGCCCGGGATCGTGGCTGGGAGTGGAACAAGTCGCATGGGCGTAGGTAGGTAGAGAAAGGAACATAAAAAGGCAAGCATCGACAGCATTCACGCATTCACTTCGTTTACCAGAGCACTCCAGAGCCTCATTGGACATACAGTCAACCGCATTAAGAGTCGGCCACATCGTCCAGGAGCCATATCCTACAGCTATCAATCCAGTGACCAAGTACCACTCGGATTATTCGTTTCCGTCAGCAATCCGAAAAAAAAAAAGTTAAACATACCAAATATCAGAATGTCTACTACAGCCGCAACAACCGCCGCCGCTACCACTGCTGCTTCTTCCTCCGCTGCATGTGGTGCTAAACTCTACGAGATCCCCATCAAGGATGCTGCATGCGCCGTTCCGTCCAAGGGCAACTACACTGATGTGATGAAGGAATGCTGCAAAGTGGCTTCTGTACACTCCTACGACAATAACTGTGGCCTGTATTGTCTCGCACAGGAACAGTCTGTTGGAGATCTCTCTTCATGCTTGACCAGCCACGGAGTCAAATACGGCGATGCGTTCTGCAACACAAACTCCTCCGCGACGGCTACAGCGAAGGTGTCTTCGAGCGAAGCTACTTCATCGGCCACGAAAACGGGAAGTTCCGCGTCATCGACGTCGTCTCACAATGCTGCTGCGGCAGTAGTACCACCGCAGGCTATTTCGAAGTCAGGACTAGGTCTTCTGGCGCTCCTGTTCTGTTCAACCGTGATGGGGGCTTTGGTCTAGGAGGGAATACTTATTGGGTGACAAAATGGAATGCTTTTTATGATTGACTTTTGAAGGAGTTTGGTTCCTGGAGTGCATGGCTCGTGATTCTGGGCGGTGTTTTTTTCTAGGACTGCTGCTTGGTAACTCGGCCCAGGGGATTTTTTTCATGGCTCATACCGGCTGATACCTCCTGCTCTAGCATATAATTATATGCAATAATCCAGACAAATGGATTCCTTAGAATAAAGGTGTGTTAAAGACGCGTATTTGCAGTAGCCGCTGTTAGAGATGTTCTAATCGTGGACAACGTGGATTTAGTCGTATCATCTGCCAGATATTAGTATTAAGGACCGTGCCCCATCTTTGGTCTCGATAGAAGGGGCAGGATTTGCATTGTGGAGAAGGATCTAAGTAATCGGACGCCATCGCCAGGCGTAGCTAAAGAATCACCCTTTTGGCGTACATCATGATGCGGACCGAAAACCAAGACGCAGGCCTTTTCGGAGAACAAACTACTTCAGATCACTTGTGAGTCGCCACAGAGAAACACGTTATACGGAATTCAAAGTCGTCAATAACAATATGGGGCGCCGGAAGCGGCGGAGAGGCGGAGCGCTAAAATCAGTCCGAGTCCGCACATTGTTGGAAATGTTCACATGGTGTGTCGCGCATCGTGAGTTTACCTAGGCTAATAGAAGAAGTTACTTCGACTCCGCTAATAATACTTTCTCCGGCCTCTTCCTCGGCGCTTTCTAATTGAATATATGTCACTGGTGCTCCCCGCAATTCAAAGTCACTCACTGGCACTGCTAACTCCCCCAGAAATGACCTGAGAGCATTGATATATATATACGAGAATCCTCAAATAGCTAATAATCATGGGGGTGCTCGCGGTAGTCATCATTGCACTCGCGTTCTATGCAATCTTTACTATCCTCCGGTCTATCCAGCAATTCAATAGACACCGCAAGAATGCAAAGGCTCTGCGCTGCCAGCCTGCACCCCAAGGACGACCCGGTTTCTACGGCATTCCGGCCTTCTTGAAACTGGCCCGAGCTGTCCGGGAGAAGAGATCGGTTGAATTCATGGCCGAACAGTATGAACTATATGGAAATACTTTTGCACAGAAAATCCTTGGACGACATCTTGTCACAACCATCGAACCGGAGAATTTAAAAGCGCTCTTAGCTACTCAGTTCAATGATTTCCGCCTGGGGAATCGACATCGAGAGTTCTATCCGCTTCTGGGAGATGGTATCTTCACTTTGGATGGTGCAGGCTGGTCGCACGCGCGAGCATTACTGAGGCCCCAATTTACGAGGGACCAGGTACGTTAGTTGACTGAATGGCGGTTGAACAGTTTTCCTCAGAAACGGCTGGTGCTAATTGACCTTGTCAGGTTGCTGATCTGGCGATGATGGATGAACATGTCATGAGGATGATCGATATCATTCCCAAAGACGGCTCCGTGTTCGATATCCAAAAGCTTTTCTTTCTTTTAACGATGGACTCTGCGACCCACTTCTTATTTGGTGAATCCGTCGGATCCATGCTTCCAGCTTCTTCCAGTCCCGGAGTACTCGAAAAATCCACCGGCGGCGCGCAGGGCTTTGCTGATGCATTTAATCTGGCACAAGAATATCTCGCCGCTCGATCGCGAGCCCAGGACTTTTACTGGATGGTCAACCCCGCGGAATTCCGTGAAGCGACAAGGAAAGTGCATGATCTAGTAGACCACTATGTCCAGTTGGCTCTCCAATCCCGAAACAAGCCGCAGAAGCCAGATGACCGGTATATCTTCTTGCAGGCTCTGGCGGCGGATTCGCCAAATCCAAAGGTGCTCAGAGATAACTTGCTCAATATCCTTCTCGCAGGCCGAGACACGACGGCTAGTCTGCTCAGCTCTGCATTTTTCCTCTTTGCCCGTCATCGACACGTCTGGGACCGTCTTCGACGAGACGTTATTCGCCAGTTCGGCGACTGCAACCACAAAGTTTCTGATATCACACATGCGAAGCTGAAGGATATGCCTTATCTTCGTTATGTTCTTAATGAAGGTGAGCTTGACATCCAGAAGGCCCATACTCCATTATAGCCTATGATACACCATGACCCCTGATGTTCACATTATACGGCATTTGCGATTTCGCTATGCTTGCTAACACACTATACAAGTCCTCCGCTTGTACCCTCCAGTGCCAATCAACTTCCGCGTTGCTGCCACAGATACATCTTTACCCGTCGGTGGCGGTCCGGACGGAATGTCTCCGATATATATCCGGAAGGACTCAGTGATCACATACGTAGTCTACGCCATGCACCGACGAAAGGATCTATGGGGTCCTGACGCAGAATCATTCCGACCTGAGCGATGGGAAGAAAATGGCAAGCACAGCTGGGAATATCTTCCCTTCAATGGCGGGCCGAGAATCTGTCTGGGTCGTAAGTGCCGTCCTCTTATTTATTTCCCCTATCCCTCCTTTACTCCTGCTCGCAAGCCTAGCCAGATTGGATAACTAACAGGTCATCAGAACAATACGCCCTTACTGAAGCGAGCTACACAATAGTTAAGCTCATGCAGCACTTCGACACTGTCGAGAACGCTGACCTGGACCTCGAACAACCTGTCTTGGTCTCTAATCTCACCATGTCTCATGACAGAGGCGTTAACATCAGACTATATAACTCTGGAAAAAGCTGTTACTAAACCTAAGCAGCCTATGTGTTATAGTTCACTGGTGTGGTAGCAATGTTTTCTTTGCATTCGATCGCTGGCTCTGTATGAGATATTCATGACCTATGTTTTGATTTGGGATGGTGAAACTCTCCGCTAGAGCAAAATTGACTATAGCAGTGTACGTGCTCCATCCATCCTTCTGAGGAGATATGGCAACATAGGTTATCTTATGACTATCACTGATGTCGAGAAAGGGAAAGTCTTATGACATGTCCATGTATAGCTATTCCTTCCATACGCATTAGCATGTGTATGCCTATACTTCAAAATTACAATCTAGTAGTTGAAATAAGCAAAACAATGCATTATCCTTGCTTTGTTTACGAATATACAGCTCCATTTACACCACTGTGCGGTTATTTCCTAGTAATTGTGACAGAGATATCTGTCACCTCCTTGAGAGAACTCGACGTGAACAGGGCCAAGGTGCGCTTGTCTCTCTTGTATTGCCCCAAGCTGCCGACAGGAGAAATCTGAACGCTGTATCCATTTGGAAACGTAGAAGGCGGCAAGATGATCTCTGTAGGCGCGTCGATATTCGGGTCGCTTGTGAATTGCAACTTGAAAGTGCCCGATTTCTCGTCGAAGCCAAACGAAGTGGGCGTGCCAGCGATCGCGGCCGGATACGCACGGCTGTAGTGCTTCTGCAGCTCTGGATACGTCTTTCCAGAAGTGCCCTTATACAGATTCTCATATGCCCAGCCGATCCAAGACACTATGTGTGCATCAGTCGCCGTCATGGCATCTGCCATGTCTCTCATCTGCTTATCGTCGCCAACCCAGAATGTCAACTCTGTAAGGACTCCGGCAGTTTTGAGTCGCACGTTGTCCTGGTGACGGTTTCGGAGTGTATCGGAGATGGCGCCCACCTGTGGTGGATGGTAGTAATGGAATGAGTGCACCGTCTTGGATCCGTCGGCGAGAGGCACGTTGTTAAAGCCAGATAAAATATCGAAGGTAGTCCCTTCGAACCAGATGAGCGTGTCATTATCGACGCTGCGGATCTGTTTCGCTGCGAGGTTCCAGAGGTCCTCCAGAACCTTGCGGTCAGCGAATCCAGGTATAAGGAGCGTCGGATCAGCCTGTATGTCCCCAGCCCAGGGCTCATTTAGCAGATTGTACCCTACGACATTGATGGTTTCGACATATTCCGACGCCAACTTCTTCCAGTATTCCGCGAATGCATCTCCAAGACCGTACTGGTTCTTGTACAGTCTTCCGAAAGCGTTACAAACAGCCACAGATAGATAACCATATTCCCAATTAAAGGTATTGCATTGCGATTGGGGCGAAGGGAAGCCATCACTGTCAGTAGTAAATGGCCATAACTGGACAGGAAATGGGAACCTTTTCCAGGCCGGTACCCAGTCTTTCTTGACAAACCACTGCGCTCTTGGTCAGTCAAGTAGTTGATAAAAAGAACTAACTTGCTTTCCAAAACTCACATCAGGCACACCATGGCCACAAAATTGTCTGGCCAATAAATCTTGATGTACGTCCACCAATACATAGATTCCTTGCTCCTCTGCCAGCTTTGTTTGTTTTTTCATGATATCCAAAAATGTCTGATTGTACTCGCCACGAACTGGCTCAGCACCCGCCCAGCTGTGTCCCAACCGCACAATATTCAGCCCCAAATCATGCAAGTTTTGTACATCTTGCTCGCCAAACGACGAGACTCCGGGGGTCCACTCTTGGTCCGACTCCTAGGGTGCATTCTAAGAGTTAAACTGTTATACTACTAGCAAAAGACTAGGAGGATATCAGATCGGAAGACCTAACGCTGCACTTACTCATATAGAAACTTGTTGCCACGCTGTTACACTTTATGTGATATTCAATTATAATAGCAGAATCTGGGTAGCGCACTGGGGTAGTAGGGGGGGGGAGGGGGCAGTTAGGCGTCTGCATTATAGTATGTGACGGAACTTACATTCGGGCGAAGTTGGTTATACGCATTACAATGTTATGTATGGAAGACAAGGCCATTTTACCATCTGCGCCATTTCTAGTGCTTGGAGGATATAAGGAAAACTGGAAACAAAGTTGGACTTCCTCCTTGAGTAAGTAGCGTCAAGGACAAAGCAACTGATTCGCTATGTCTACCAGTCTTCCGAGGGATCGTGTACGGATCTAGGTCAATGATATAATGTAACCGTGCTGTTTCACTCATTGAAACAGTGACTAAAATATGAGAAAGTTGTTCTAATTGGACAGAGATGAAGTAGGACCTATAGTTTAGTGCTTAATGATCCTGTTCTTTAGACCGTAAGTCAAATCATTGATCATAAGCACTTAGTATTTTCGCAACTATGCAGGCCGATCTGCTACGTGTTCTGAGTGAGTGCACATGACCACGGCGATTGGATGGGTAAAAATGCAAGCAGATCGGACTAAGTAAAGATATCTGTCTCAGCCAGCCACTGAACCTTTTGACGACCTCTTATATGGTAGAATTTGACGAAGCTAGTGTCCTGCACAGCTCGGCTCCGGAGCTCCGGACGGTGCTGTAAGTACATGTACATACATACTTTAACGGGCCGTGCCGTAACGCATGCAATATTGCAACATTAAATCGAAACCAAAGATTAAGCCCTAATTCAGACGAATAGTGTATTGTGTCTGTTAAATCTGCCCAACTTTTAGGCTTCGGACTTTCTATGAACTGGCGTTAAAGTTCATCACTTCGGATTCCCAATGGATGGCCGAGGTGGAGTATGCAGTCGCGTTGTCCCAACTCTGCAAAGAAGAACAGATGGGGAGCTGACCCTGTGGAACCATTTGTATGAGCTCATTAGATAGCCATGGATACATAACACATATGCCGGTTCATGTGTGCTGAAATAACTCTCAATGTGTGAGACTTGATTTGAACCACGACTTAGAAAAAACAGGGAAATGACCAGAGATTCAGCTCGCCACCTACTCACGAGTCAATGACCACCTCCCTCCCAAGCAATGATAGGCCAAGAGGGGTATACAGTACTTCTGTTCGCAGACGGAGCTGTACAGCTTGGCTACTTTGGCCCTATGCCCTATATGAAGGATATCGAGAATATAAAGGGAACCATGTTCTTGAGCTGTAGAGGATAAATCAGTGCCATCACTATTCTTTACCTCTTACACGAAGTTTCCTAGCTGCTACGCATCTTCACTTTTATCACCCAAGTGCCCAGACAAATCTGGAAAAAAAAAAAACGACTTCACGTACGAGCCTTTCCCACACGATAACTTCCATCAAAATCATCATGAGCAACACGGTCTGGACCGAGAATAAGGATCACTCCGTCGAAGGTCACACCCTGACTGGCGCCCTCTACTACAACGACACCCTTATTTGGGGACCCAGAGGTTGCCACGGAAACACGAGACGTCTCGGAGATGCCCTCCACGACCTTGACCGTGGCTTTTACATGAAATTTGACGACAAGGAGAAATCAATCGAAGGACACACGCGCTACATCAGCGTCAAGGCCAAAGGCAATGTTATTCTCGACAAACTCAGTACTCATCCCAGCATGGATGAATTGGCTACCGTTGTCAAGGGTGTTCTAGCTGGTAAAGGAGAACTTGCTGAGTGAAGGCTTCAACCGGTCTTCTGGGGTTTCATAACCAAGGTTATATATCGGGGAAGAGAGGCATGGACTTGGTCAGAGGCGAAACCGAAAGAGGTCATTCAACATCACTCATACAGACTTCAAGAGATGCTTTCAACAACTCATCATCAATTGGAACACCTTTTTTTGCGCCAGCATTGATGTCGGAGCAATAGCTGTAGTTAGTGAAATCGATTGGGATCAAGTCCATACGCATTGTATGATTCATTCTTCAATCGATCCATCTGATCATGGGTCATCTTCTTTTCTTCTCCATCGAAACCTTGGGAGCACCCTGCTCTAGGCATAAGAGACGATGTTGGGCTGATAGTTACTAACTTTACCGACTCAGTAAACAATATATTCCGCGCCCCTCACGGGGTTCAAAGGTTGCTCCTGGAATATCCCCCTCCACATGTAGCAGTCTCGCACTTCGCAGCATCTATGTGCCAGTATCTATGCAATAAACTTTATGGGAATATCAAAGGTTTTCATGGTTGATATTGGGAATCTTGAAGATGCACAGAGAGCAGATTACAGAGTACATAAGCTTGAAAAGGGAAAGAGTAACCACGGAATAGGATTGATTCACTTACAATGAAACAAAAAGAGCCCAATCTGACAATATTTCGATAATTGCAGCCTATATGTTGTACATACTATACTTACACTTTTGGATCTGTGAAACCGGATGGAATTCAATATTTTCTGTCAGCATAGAATCCTAAGCGTGAAGAGGAAAAGCATGAGGGAGATAGCCCACTTCCCTAGCTGTCTCCGGTAAGCAGAACCCACCCACTTTCTGGGGGCGTTGGTCTGCTTCATCTCAAACCATGCGAACATATAAGTTGGTCATGTGATAACGGTCAGATCAATCAACCTGACGAGGCCGTCACACTATGAAGCAGTGAAGCTTGTTGCAGATAAACAAGTAACATGATTGGCGTTAAGGCCAGGAGAACAATAGTAGCCTCAGAACAGGAAAGAGAGATTTTGGCTTCCTATACCCCGGAATCTTGTCATTGGCGCTATCCCTGCCTTCATCATATTGTTTTTCCCATGGTAGCCTTGATGCTAACCCCGCCCGCTGCAGCCAAGCTTAATATCTTCTCACGGCTGCTAGAGAGGAAAGGACTGGTCAAGGGCTTATATTCTCTAGGAGGGAGCGAGCTCCAGCTCCAGCAGCTATCTAGCTACCTAGGTATATAAGCTGTGCGCTGGGCTGGGCTCGAAGAGGAAGGGGGCAATATCCTCCTGGCTTAGGGCCAAGATCTTCGCAGATGAAGTCCGTATATATATTTGTCAACACGGTGTAGCTCAATCTGATGGTAGTCCATTTCAAATTCCAATAAGAGACTAAAGTTACCGTTTGGGAACGCATACAATTGGAGGTGAGGATGATCCCAAGTGTATAAAGTCGAGGTGCATGAAGTTGTTTTTTAATTGTGAAGGTAATTAACAGACTGAAACAACTAGAACCCCATCCGAAAAAAATAAATACATCGTCAATCTAGACAATAGCCGCCAACTTCCCATTCTGCGCAAATTTGGCTGCGAGCAGGATGGCGCCTCCCAGGATTAGGCTAGCTCCTGAGTACACGGATAGGGCGAGGAATCCGTATTTCTGACCTAGTTCGCCGCTGATTACAGTGCCGGCCATAGAGCTACAGTGACGATTAGTATTAACGTCAAATCCCGAAGGCTACGGAAAGGAGGTTCTGGAGATGGACAACGTACGAAAGAGAGCACGAGCCCATGACAATTCCGATAACTGTACCCACCGTAGTTGGTGTGGCGATCTGAGCGGCACAGGCTTGTTGAAGTGATAGGATTGCCTTTGGTTCAGCCTATTAGTATAGTTACAGTACATTCAGGTGGATGCCTGCCACTTACCCCAGAGCAGAAGCCATATGCTGCGGAGAATATCACCAGACCAGCCACGGATGTCACCTTCGTCCAGCAGAAGGCGATAATACCGGATAACATGGTCGCCAAGATGCAGAGGTTGAACTTGCCATACTTATCGGCGACAATTCCGGGGATGATGCGTCCGAAGAGCGAGGCACCGTTGATAATCGAGATGGTGTAGAAGGATAGGTTCGATGAGAAGCCTTTATCGACCGCATAAGCGGTAGTGTAGAAGAAAGGTGAGAACATGCCAAAGTAAACGATGAAGAAACCGGCGCAGGATAGCTGTAGTTCTGGTTTCTTCACGACAGAGAAATCCAACTTCGGTTTAGCGGGCGGTTGATCTTCTTTGGCAACTGGCTCTGGATCACTTGCTGCTGAAGATGCAGACGACGGCGCAGGTGGTGTCTTTGGTGCCGGTTGGCGCCCTGATAGGGAAGAGATTCCCAAGATGGGCAGCATTATGAACCCAACAATGCGCATCGTCCACCCGAATCCAACGTTCGATTTCTCAAGCAGTTCGTGTACGACGACAGGCCAGATGACACCTCCCAGGGATGATCCCGCGATAACCATACCAACTGCCGCTGCCCGTTTCTTCTGGAAGTGCTTGCTGATGATAGCTATCATGGGGGTCACGATAAATGCCATCGAAATCCCAAGAAGGATACCCTGCGCAAGGATGAACTGGTAGAGCTCCTTGCAGAGAGATGCCATCATGATGGAGAAGACAACCCCAAGAGATCCCAACCAGAGCATCAGCTGTTTTCAAGAATCAGGTTCTGTCCATAAAATATATTGGGCTATCCTTCGTACCTCCGGACCAGATACATCAAGCAAAGGACCTGTGAAGACTGAACCCGCGAATATGCAGAATACGTTGATCGCCCCGATCCATGCAATGTCTGTTTCCTTTTGATGTGCTAACTGATTCTCCGCGTAATAAGTCTCGAAGACACCGAAAGCGTTAACGAAGCCGACGGTGCAGAACATCGACCCAAATGCTCCAGCTAAAGCGATCTTTGCCTGAGCTCTGAAATGCGAAAGACTGTCAGGAAAAATGAAATTCCATGGGAAAGAAGGATAGATACATACGTGAGTTCATTGGCTTCCTCAGTTTCTGGGACCTTGGGGGGTTCCTCCTTGGGGGCAATCTCCCCTGAGACTCTCTCTTCCTGACCCATTTTTCGACCAACTCTGTGAATCTGTTTCCACGCAGAAGCAAAGGCTGCTTTGGGAAGGAGAGAGATGGGAGCGGATCAGGAGTTTCAGTTATAAAATAACTGATAGAGACCGTTCTCGATACTTGCTAGTGGAAGACACTGACGAGTAACTTAACTTACACCCCGAACGGCCAGGCTCTGGGCTTCTTATATTAAGGATCGGCATGTTTACAAAAATTCAAGACTAAGTGGAAAGGCCAGCTCCGGAGGGGAAATCGGAGAATCCATGGGACCATTCTATGACTGGTGACCGACCGCATGGAGAATATACCGAAGTCGATCAGTTGTTGTTCCCATACATTGCGGCCCCTGATGCACCCCGGAGCGTCCGCGGACTGCCCGAGAGCGATTGTCGGAGGGTGGAGGGAGGGCTCTTGCGTGCGCAATGATATTCTCGTGCAATCTTCACAATGAAAGTTAACATTGAGCAAAATAATGAAGAGCTGAGTCTTCTTACCTCTCTGTCCAATATCCACATGCAATAACATCCATCGTGTCTCATGGATGGAGTTGAAGCAAATCGAAGCATCAAGCCGGACCCGAGCGGGGCACGTGATTCAGTTACACCGGGAAGTTCACGTCCAAGATCGCAAATATTCTCACGCAGTCACGAACTATCGAGCAGAATGAAACGGAAAGCTGAAGCAGGAAGCCCCGAGGCAGTCGAAGCAGATGCATCGCGCAAGCGGCCACCCCGCCAGGATCCTGTGTCGTGCCAAACATGCCGTGCAAAGAAGCTAAAGTGTGATCGGAACCAACCATGTGCGAACTGCACGGCGCGCAAGATCACCTGTATCTATGGCACTGGTCGCATAGAAAACGCCTCTGACAGGAATACTCAATACACTCAGGAGAAACCGGACGCGACTATCGTGCCTCATCAGGAGCATGGAGCGAGGCGCCAGCCACTGAGTTCCAACGAGGCACGACCGTCGCGCGAGAGTAGTGAACAGTGTATGACTGCAGACTGGTTGGAGAACATTGTTATGGGTCCGAGGATCCCGGATGCCCTGCCAACGACCCTTAAGGACAAATTGATCCCATTTCAGCAGAATGGCAACGAGGAAGCCGTCCAGCGGGCGATGGCCATACCGCTTGGAGCGACTGGGGGGCGTCAGTTCAATGTGCGCAACTCCTATCTGAGAGGGCAAGAGAGGAACCTTGGCAGCATTTCGTTAGCTAGCCTACTACCAACGAAATCAGAGACTCTATCCCTCTTCAGGTACTACGTGGACTGCATCGATTACCTATACCACGTCATAGTACCAGTTCGCGTTGAACGCATGATCGATGATATCTACAGGTGCATCGAGAATAATTCTCCCGTCAATCTGAACCATGTCGCTCTCTTGGCAAGCATCCTTGCTGTTACTGTCTATTTCCGGCCGCAGAGCGCTACAGAATATACGGAGTCAAGCGATGCAGATGCGAGATGTAAAGAGTTTACTTCCCTGGTAGGCGCTGCCTTGCTACAAAGCAACTTCATTGCATATCCTACGATCGAGGGACTCCAAGCGACTATAATTATAGCTCACTACTTATCAAGCCTAAATACTGACCCATCTCTGCGCTCGCTTTTCCTACACGGTACGATTGTCAGTCAAGCAAAGAATCTCATGTTGCACTACACAGACACACCACAACACCAGGAAGAGAGACGAGTAAATGGGTTCGATAGTGTAGAGGTAGAGACAAGGCGACGACTGTGGTGGCATCTTGTTGCGTATGACTGGTAAAGATTGCTGTGCCTCCTTGATAGCGGACTTTGCTAATGATGGAGTACACAGGTTACTAGGGTTCTTGAGCGGACCGCAAGAAAGAACATACCTGATACACCCTAATCACATGAACGTCAGACGCCCACTAAATATTGATGATGGTCCTTCCCAATCCTACGGGAGCGAGCGTGGGCTTAAACGCTCTATTCCTACTAGCATGTCATATTCTATCGAACGGTTGAAGCTGGCCTTCGTATGCCGCGAGATTGTGGATGAAACTGCAGTTGAACACTTTCAAGGTCTGGAAGTCAATTATGAAAGAATATTGGATCTTGACCGCAGAATCCAGCAAGTCTACAAGGAACTTCCAGAGTTCTTTCGTCTTGACCCCGTTAGCAGACGTCGCTATGCTCAACTCTATCGGGAGCGACCTACAATTGCTTGGCAGAGGTGCTTGGTACAACAAGGCTACCATTCTCGTCTGTGTCGTCTTCACCGCCAATACTTCATCCGGGGTGCTGGAGACCCGGCTTTTTCGTATTCACATGTTATTTGTCTTCAGTCAGCACGGAAGGTCCTGGAGATCAAACGCATCATGGACGAAGAAGAGCCGATTTTCACCCCTAACAGCTCTGTGGTGTGGTCGGTAATGCATCACGTCTTCATGGCGGCCGTCATACTATTAATGGATGTATGTTTCAATTGGGATGATATTCTAGCCAACAAGCGCAGGGAAGAGGTACTGGACGCCTGTCGGATGCTGAGCAAAGCGCAGCAGGCTTCAACGCTCGTTAGAGAGGGTATAAATGCCATGATGAGCATATTGCAAAAATACTGGCGACCTGCAAGATCCAATCCTGGACCAGTTGATCCGACTACATGCACTGCAACGACAGCATTCACCAGCAACTCTATGGTTGTTGAGAGCCCTGCATCGAATGCTCTTCCGACGCCGCAATCGAATTTCCCGACTTCTGAAGTCGATGGCAAATTTCTGGCTAACCCTTCTCCTGTCAACGATGCATTTTCTATTGACAATGGTAGCAGAGAACTGGAAGATATCTGGACCGCAATGCTGGACAACGGTGGTAATCTCGCTACTGAGCAGACAGACTGGATGGATCTTCTGACTGAACTTACCAATGCGACGATACCTTGTGAATAAGGAAAGCTGGTATTGGGTCTCGATATGCATAAAAATCAAATTTTCGTGGTGTTCGGGTCTAACGGAACATCGTTAGGTTCTGTCAATAGAGTTGCTATCTCCGACGGGCCTGACCAATATCACCCCCTGGAACCTTATGCCGATGAGAACCTATTCATTCCCAGGCGCAACCAATCGGCCTCTGTTGAAGACGTCACAACACATTCCATGATCACGGCCACATATACCGGATCTATTCCAAAGATACAATATCCCGCTCTCCATACTTAGCAGCAGATCAACCAAATCCATATTGCATCCTCCTGAGAAAAGTAATAGCTTGGTCAGCCTGCGCCATGTCGACGGAGAGTAATCTCCCTCTGATACACCGCTACATCACCACGCATAGCAAAGAGGGCGAATCCGTCTTCGTCTCCACGAGCCAGTTTCCCGAGTGCATACCTGCCCGTCCTGCAGGAGAGGATGGCGACCTGGCCCTTCTCTACGCAACCGCTTCATGCCCCGTCCAGCCTCACGACGAATATGACGTCGCGCTATACGACGAATACCTGCACACGCCTCAGGGGCTCGTACCGCCCACAGGATCCGTGATCCGAACGATCGATCTACGACCGGGGAAAGTCACCCCCATGCATCGTACCGTCAGTCTAGATTACGGCATCCTCCTGGAAGGCGAAGTGGATCTTATCCTGGACTCAGGCCAGAAGCGGATCATGAGGCGCGGAGATGTCATCATCCAGAGGGGAACGGCGCATTCATACAGGAACCGAAGCCAGACGGAGTGGTGTCGGATGGTGTTTGTATTTCTGCCCATGGAGCAAATTACAGTCGCTGGGAAGACCTTAGATGCAGAGGTGTATGATGAGCCCTATGAACTGGGAAAGCAGCAATGAGCAATGCTATATGAATATGTTTGTAATATCAACACACGATCCGCGTAGCATACTCTCGCTTGATTTATTATTTGAACACATGGGATAAGTTTGAATTGCTTCCGATAGATGACTGGATAGATCCTTCCATCGGAGACAATTAATCAAGACAGGGCCCTTACTCGGCGTTAACATCGACCTTATTATTCTTGTCTACATAGTTTAGAGAGTATGATAACCATCCCGATCCCGTGCGGGAGCTAGTACAGCTTCGGTATAGAACTTACCTTGGAGGGCTTAGCATATAAATAGCAATCCACATAACAGACTTTCATAGGTCCACCGTCCGAGTCTATCTAAACTTCTGTTCTTAACAATGATGTTGTAATGGACAGCAGCGTCATCAACTTTCGTTTATATGAGGCGCGGAAGCTAGGAAAGTCGGGACTTAAGCGAGAGACAGCATTGTCAACCAAGTTGGCAGCCAAGGCGCCGCTCAGAATCTTCAGCACAGGAACGTCGAGATTGAGATGCTTGGAAAACCACGAGGCTAAGTACCGTCACCGCGCTGAGAGAGTCCACGCCCTGGTCGATCAGAGGGGCTGCCAGACTCAGCTCGTCGCCCTCAGCGAACAGCAATGCTCCCCGGATTCTGCTAGACACGTCTTGGAGGATGACGGTGCAGCGCCTGTGGTAAGAATAAACATATCATTTTGGGCCTAGCTTAGAGCTTCAGAGCTTGATTCTAGAGGAATCAAGCATCTTCATCTCTTCAGCCTACAGCCTCTGAAATATCACCATCACACCCGCACGCTTTCAGAGCGGACGTATGGCTCTGCGCAAGGATGCATGGTGCGAGTGATAAGCCTTGTCAACTTTGAGGACTCAAGCAGACGGCGATTCGTCAAAAAGAACATCGTACGCCTCTAGAAATAATGGCATCTTTATCTCCGAAAGGTGTGACGGTGTCTGGGCCATTGCTCACTGCGACTAGCATTCTACCATTGAAAGACTCAAGAGCGCACATGTCGCTTGCGTCGTCGAAAGAGGTGTCCGCAGCCATCATGACACTCTCCACACCATCTGGTGATGATATACGCCGTCCGTCTCTAATTCTTTTTATTTGACTGACGCTTAAAACCAATGAGCCTTGTACGCCTGTCTCAGAAGACGCCGACTCCTGCAGCGCCTATCGACTACGGATACTATACAACAGAAAATACCGAATCGGTGATACTAACGAAGAATTATGAGTTATTCTCCTTCACGAAGACGTCATATAATCCGGGCAGGATTCGCCCGGCTCCTAGTTAATGCATGTTGAGTATTCTAACTACATACAAGCAACCAGCCAATGGGTTCGACCGTCGACCTATCTTATGGAGAAGGATAATCGAATTTCCCGTATTGAATACGAAAAAACAATGGCTAATTCTTCTTAGGTACATAAGTGGGGGGTACATGTTTTTTTTAATTTCCCAATCTCCCATAGTCGTGTCGATTAGGTTGCATTGCCACAGAGGCTCAATGCAGAAGAATCCCATTTCAATATGAAGGGAACCGAAACGTTCGAAAGTGGCTTTGCTTGCTGAAACATGTCCGGCTCATTACCCCAAGACTATGCAAGATAATCGAGGTATTATTCAGATATCGCAGGACATGCACGCCGAAGGTGTTGATAAGGCCGTGGCTGCCGAGGATCGCAGCATAAGTCCCGGTAGGAAGAGCGTATGCTTTTTCGGAGTCAACATCGCAGCCCAAAAGTAGGGACCACCGGTCTGGGTTAATGACATCCTAGTGTACGGATGGTGGTGGTCGAACAGTGAGGTATCGCCAAAGCTCCATAGCATATCTGATATCTTCACGGCATCTGGAGGTTTCTGATTCGGATGTTGGCAATGGGCTCGATTGATTTGTCCTCGGGTGCGTGAAGGCATGGACGGTTGCTTTATTCTCAGAGTTGGAACAAACGCCGATGATTCCTCGAACAGCTTTGCAAGGGCTGACACTGACGGCCACTCATCTCGGTTGAATCGGCAGTTCAGAAGGGAAATTCGAATGGCGGCTCAATAGAGATCGTATGCTTCGGGGAGTTGAAGCTCGCATTCTCTATTTTGATGATTGATCAGCATCGAAAAGATCGGGACCTTGGGTTAAGCAATTCATGTGTGCGTTGTATGTGGCGACTCCCATGATTGCTCTGTCCATGAAGTTGGTTCGATGCCTGTTGTTTGTGAGTTCATCTTGGTTTCCTTGTTCCCCAGCGAACAAGTACTCGTCACCAGCACTGCGCAGAAGTGTGAACTCGACGCTGGTGTGAGCCCCCCAGTCGAGGCACCGGTGCCCCCCCCAGGCACCGGTGGACTGGTCCGGCTCCCCCCCCCCCCTTCTTCCTCCCCTAACCCCATCTACCCCTGGCGCCCTGGCTGCGCAGCATTCACTCCCCCCGCCTCCGCCCTCCCACCCCCTTCGCCCACCTCCCGGGCCTCCTCGAGCAGGGCGGCCGCTACTATGAAGGCCACCGCTGCCTTCCACAGTTTAACTGGGATAGTATCCCGCGGCTGCTCCCCCCACGCCCTCCTCGCCGCCCTCCCCGCCCTCACCAAAATATTTATGAGGAATAATCCCCCACAAACTACCGCCATAATCTCGAGAGTGTTTTCCGCCCACACGTATCCCATCTTGAATGTGTTCAGATGTGTTCAGATGTGTTCAGATGTGTTCAGATGTGTTCAGATGTGTTCAGATGTGTTGTTGTGTTGTTGTGTTGTGTTGGTGACCTCCAGAGGCGGATATTATGGACCTCTGGGGGGCACTGGTTATGGAAAGAGCAGTTTGGGGAAGGCACAAATGTCACCACCTACACCTGCCTCTCTACAAACCGAGTATTCTATGTACAACTGGAGGATCCAGCACGAAGACCACATTGAACATTTTCGTGGAATACTTGTCGGTATCAGGAGACTCGGCTGCTGCTTGGTTGGCCCTGGCTCCAGGATCTGCATTTGCTTTCTTCTATCCAAGCGCTCCAGGCCTGCCGTTTTCATTATTACTATCATCGCGTCATCATCACTGTCCAGAAAGGCCTCAAGGTTATCGCCTTGGCCGTCTCCTAATCGTTCTTCGTGACCAAGCTATCCACCTTCCCATTCCCTCTGTTGCGCTTTTTTAGTCATTCAGATCGATCTCTGCGTCCTCTGTTGTATCCATTATCGATAACCTTTGACGGAATGGATTCTGTACCTTCCTTTTGGAGTGGGCGCGAATGTCTCAAATTGGCCACCGTTATATACAGCACCGGTTTCTGGATTATACATGCTATCCAACCAGTCTGAAAATTCCCGGCAATTATCGAGGAAGGCAGAATCGACCCATCCATATGATGCATAACGCCATATGGAAGAAAACCCTGTTTCAAGCATGCCAAAATAGCGAGAGATATGGAGTTCAATCAATCCATCTGGTGTAATTGTCATATAGTATTTTGCCTTACAGAAAATGCAGTATCGGATATCACCCGGACTTAGATCTCGGAAAAGACGCTTGGCAAGTATATAAGTTGTCTTATGTGGACATATTGGAATGTCTGCACTCACGCATAAACGATCAAAGCCAACCAGTCCGAGATCTGAGAGTCTCCCAAGGTAGAACCGGGATAAGAGACGCATTGTGTCTAAATTGAACTCCACATGCTCTGAAAAGCAGCCGCCAGCAGGGATCGTAATAGATGAGCCAACTTTCTCTCTGCAAGACCTCATTCCTAGTACTAGGGTTCGGAGCTCAGCAAATGTCATTTCATAGCAAATGCCAACCCAGATCTTCCTCCTTTTATATTTGCAGCTGCGGGTAATGGCATCAGAGCAGTTTATCCTCTGCTCTTCAATTGACAATTTTAAATTGACGGATTTTTGCGGGGAGTAAAAGGAACTAGTCCTTGATTTTCTGTGAGTCCTCATACACGCCCAGCAACAGAAAGACTCGGTGCCTTTCCCACAGATTTTATCAAATTCCATCAGGCGGAGGATATGAAAACGTGCTTCTGTAAGGCTCCAGCTATTATGTGCCGTTGTAGCCAATTTGTGTCGTATATAAATAAAAGCTCGAATATTAGCTCTCGCATACCAGAGTCGAGCACAGCTAATCATCAAACAGAAGGTCTCGGCGATAGGGAGATATTGACAGATATGGTCGATTAACTCAACGGGGAGACAGTATAGTGGCCTTTTCGCATTGAGGGTTCGTACTGTGTTCAGTCGTACCGAATTGGCGATGTTCATCAATATTTTGGAGTGTTGTCTTGTCCTGTAACCGATCAGAGGCATTTTGTAGGGTAAGGTAAGCGTAGAGAAATGCTCAACATAATAAAGAATATGCGATGCGCTGACCTTAAATAAACCCATTTCTAATCATCATCAGGTATATTACGAACTGTGAGCGTAATACATTGTGATCTACGTGGTGTTCAATTACGTTATATACTTGTAGTCCGCCAAGCCTTGTCATAGGTAAGTACCCTAAGTCTGTATTGGGAGGGTTTGAAGTAGAAAATAGGTATACAAGAAACATTTTCAATGTTATTTGAAACCCTAGCACGTTTGGTTTGGTCTGAGATCATTGCTTTAATTGCAAGCAATGCTCTGCCTTGTTATTCAATAGATGAATTGGTTGATTTCATGGAGAAATCATGGTGTTGGGCATGTTGTGCGCAGTCGATTACATATGTTTAACTAGTCCCTTGCACCTATCGTGCTGCATTTGGCGAGTACAACATCCCTACAGGCCCTTTCTGTTTGGAGCCGTTCTCTTTAGAGTGCAGTTACTTGAAACGACAAGTATAAACATGAGGGGAGCAATAATAAGAACATTTGCAATGATCATATACTTGGAAGGCATAGATAGTTACGCCTTGTGCTGCGGAATATTGCCGAGTACAGTGCGGAATTATCGGCACCAGACTAGGCTGGATCTGGCGAAACTACCGCCATACGAAGAGCCAATGGATAAATATAAATTAATTTCTATTAATTGACCAAAGAACACTCTGCGCCCTGGGACTCTCGTTCGTTTTCTCAATTCACACTTTCTCTAGGGGCTGCCGGTGCTTGCTTGTCGGTTGTCAGAGAAAAGAAAAGAAGAAGAAAAAAATCTAAGTATCCGCAACCCATTCTTTACCCCGCGCCAGCGACAGTCAGCGAGATGGACCGCGAACAGTTCAAGGCCGCTGCACATGCGGCCATCGATGACAGTAAGTTTGGCCTTTGATCGTCCGTCCGAGATTGATTAAGACGCGATTTCTGTGATAGGGTCGTGCAAATGCTTTGAAGGAGTGGACAACCGCTAAGCAGCATGGAATCGCATAGTCATCGACCATTTCGATACCGTCCCCTCGAAGCCTGTTCTGTCCACTGTCCAGCCGGGATATTTGCGTCCTTTGATCCCCGATGCCCCTCCAACCGAGCCGGAAGAATGGTCTCAGATTCAAGCAGACGTCGACTCCAAGATCAAGCCCGGTCTGACACACTGGCAATCTCCCAACTTCATGGCGTTCTTCCCGGCCGGTGTCACTTACCCCAGTATTCTGGGCGAGATGTACTCTGCTGCGTTCAACGCGCCAGCCTTCAATTGGCTCTGCTCGCCAGCGTGTACAGAGCTGGAGACCATCGTGATGGATTGGGTCGCCAAGGCATTGGGTCTCCCGGAATGTTTCCTCAGCACCTCGCCAAACGGCGGTGGCGGAATCATCCAGGGAAGTGCGAGTGAAGCCGTAGCCACGATGATGGTGGCTGCGCGAGAAAGACGTGTCCGGGAACGAGCCTTGGCTGAGGGTCTCAAGGAGGGAACGCAGGAGTACGAAGATCGCACGATGGAGCTCCGGCCCCGACTGGTCGCCCTGGGCAGTGACCAGGTTCACAGCAGCACGGCCAAGGGGGCTCTGATTGCAGGCACCCGATATCGCAGTGTTCCCACCCGTCTTGAAGACAACATGGAGATGACGGCCGATGCGCTGCGGGCAGTTCTTGAGCAGTGTGAAAAGGATGGGCTGGAGCCGTATTATATGACCCTGACCATGGGAACGACGAGCAGCTGCGCAGTGGACCGTTTCGCCGAGCTCAAGGCGGTCCTGAAGGAAAAGGAATCATGGCAGAGAATATGGGTGCATATCGACGCTGCCTATGCGGGAGCGGCTTTGGTGGCCGACGAGTATCAGCAGATCGCGCAGGAGTGGGCCGAAGGAATCGACAGTTTCGAAATGAACATGCACAAATGGCTCCTGGTCAATTTTGACGCTGGGTGAGTTCAAAATATCGATTCCATGTGAAACGGGACTAACTGAGTCTCTTCAGGTGCTGCTTCGTCCGCAACCGCTTGGATCTGACAACCTCCTTGGATATCACGCCGGCCTACCTGCGCAACCCTTATTCAGAAAGAGGATCGGTGATCGACTACCGGAACTGGCAAATTCCCCTGGGTCGGCGGTTTCGTGCATTGAAGATCTGGTTCGTCATGCGCAGCTACGGATTGGTTGGCCTGAAGAACCACATCAGGAAATGCGTGTCCATTGGAGACGTCTTCACAGACTTGGTTCGCAGCCGGCCAGACCTCTTCGAGATCATCACCAAGCCTGCCTTTGCGCTCACGGTGTTGCGCGTCCGCAACCCCAAGGCAGTGACAGCCAACGGCACGGCCCACACCGTTGCTCAGCCCGACGAACTCTCTCACGATCTGACGAAAGAAGTCTACGAGCGGATTAATGCAGCGGGTGAAATCTTCATCACTTCTAGCGTTATTGCCGGTATATACGTGATCCGCGTTGTTGGTGCCAGCCCGACTGTCGAGGAGAAGCACCTTCGACGGGCTTTCGACATTCTGGTCACGACCACGGAGTCGGTCCTCAAACAGAAAATGGAGAAAGCATGATCAGCTCCCTCTGGGGCTGAATTCTCGATGGGTATTCTATAGATATGCGATTTCTTTTTGCTTTTTTATTTCATGTAAATCGACGCCAGCGATGTACAGTTACGATCTCCTCTCCGATGTCAGAAGAGACATGGATACGATATAGACAGACCAGTTATGGGCACATATCTCTTGATTCTCCATTCTTCTTAGAAGATCTTCACTCTTTTTTTTTTTTTTTTTTTTTTTTTTTTTTTTTTTTCATTGAAACATGTTGTAGCATCCTACTCTGGAGCAATATCAGAGATCCACCATGATTTCCACTCTAGGCAAGACAATGTCTATCTCCCAGAACTACTTAACTGGCGGGGAACTTCATCCGGCCGGTGATTTGTGATGTCATACTGTAGAAAGGGTGTACAGAACAAGCCTGTTGACAATCTTGTCTGTGCACATCTTACATTTATGAACTGGATCTGGACTCTTGAAGCCTCATGTGGTGGTCTTTCTCTCTCCCTCGAGACATCTGTCTTATAGCACGTGATCCTGTCACACTGTGGCCAGAGATTTCTTTGTTGGAAAATCTCTCAGTCGGGCGCAGTGATCAATCCATCTCAGAGCAGTGCTGTCTATCGACCTGGCCGCGATAGAGCCTGCAAAATGACAGACACATTTGTCCATCTTGTCTCGCCGGATCGATCGTGATTCTTAAGATACAAGCCACCATCCCCCCGCCAAGTGCCTGAACCATCGTCTCGAACTCCGCAAACATGTCCCTGTGGCGGGATCCGCCGTGGGGCATTGGAAACTCCAGACAACACGCTCTATTTGGCGGATTAGCAAGTCCGGCCAACGCGAACCCTCTAGGGCCAGCAATGCCATGCGAAACGTCATCTGGGGGAGTCTCGTACGGGAGCCTGTCGGATCCCCTGACCCTCTTGGATTCAACCACTACCTCGAGCACCACGACTCCCGCTCTGCACCTGCATATCAGCCACGAGACTATGCCCGGACATCTTGGTCAGAAGATCTTGAAGACCTTTGGTCTGGACGAACCGAAGCCGCGCGAGGCGACGCCTACTGGAGATGTGCCCGGCAGGGCAGACGTCCACCACCAGGACGAGCGCATCCTCTCCGAGTTCGCTAATAACGGGACCTATCCGCGCCTCGCTCGCCTGTCGGATGGCTCCATCTTGTCCGCGACGACACGCCGCGAAGGGCCCCAGCGTGTGCTCCAAGTCTCCAAGAGCACCGACGGTGGCCATCGTTTCTTTACCTGGGGTGAGGTGACACGCGGACATGGCGACGTCGACAATCTATACCTGCTCGAGGTCGCGCCCAACAAGGTGCTGGCCGCCTTTCGCAACCACGACTTGGGTCCCCATGGCCCTACGCACTTCCGCATTACCGTCTGCCAGTCCACCGATGGTGGCAAGAGCTGGTCCTATCTCAGCCAGGCTGCTGAGAAGGCAGCTCCGTTTGGGCTCTGGGAACCGTTTATGCGCCTTGGACGCGGGGGCGAGGTGCAGATGACGTTTTCTCAAGAATTTGCTCCCGAAGACCAGGACACCATGCTCGTGGTCTCCCACGACCAAGGCAAGACTTGGTCCAAGCCCGTCGTCGTAGCCGGCGCCGACGAGAGGCTCCGGGACGGAATGACAGGCATCGCCGATACCAGAGACAACGGGCAGGATGCTCTCGTCATGGTCTTCGAGACAACCAGATACGGAACGTTCTGTATTGAAGCTGTTATCTCGTATGATGATGGTGTCAGCTGGCAGCGTCGTCAACCAGTCTATATCCCTCCTCGTGGGCGCAACGCAGGCTCCCCACAGATTGCTTCTTTTGCAGATGGCTCTCTGGCCGTCGTGTTCATGACCGACGAGGAGGTCCAACACTGCCACTGGCCGGGCCGAGCAGCTGTCAAGGCAGTCTTCTCAGGGCCACCGCAGCATGGAAAGCTGCACTGGACTCCACCGACCCTCGTCGGCCCAGAGGCCAGCGTGTGGCCGGGCATCATGGCCATTGACGAAAAATCCGTCCTGGCTACTTACGACCATGGCGGACCGCGAGGTAAACTGATCACTTGGCACGCAAAATAATTGACTCTCGGAGCGTTTTTACCTATTTTGACGTCGTCTCGACCCGTTTTCTTTTCACTCTAGTGAATGTCCTTGATGGACTTACTATGAGTGTTCTTTCGGTTCGTATGAAGCTCTCATGCACCTAGGTATGCCGTTACCTAGTCTTAGCTCGGCCTGTCCTAAGTTTTTTTTTTTACCCTACTGTCCGGGTGAACTACGAAAAAAAATCCTCCTCAAAGGTCATAAAAATAGTAGCCTTGATGCCTGAGTAGATGTTGCTCTGTAGCCTACGTGAAATTTCTAATTAGTCACGACTATCGGATGACATATCTAAGCTTTCCTTTCCAGTATACAAAATCGGGCACTGTACAGGAATGTTCTAACAATTGCATACGCTTGAGATTCTGACTACCCGAGTAAGAATTCCGCGCGCAAGGGGGCTGCTTACTTGATTCATATTTTTCATTAATAATAATTTAATCTCCACTGTAAGCAGCAGTGCTGCAGCTAGTTACTTACCTCGTATTTGTGCCGTCTTTCGCTCACCGCACTAGGATAAGATGCAACTGGAGTAGTGGGTCCTTGTGTTTAACTTGATCCCTTCGATATATGCAAGATTCTAGCCAGCTTTAATTATTAATAGACCATTGAGTTCCTATTATCATATCTGATCAGATCTACGATTGAGTTCCCTTCTAGTTTCCCCGGATACTTAGATCAGCGCTATACGGATACTTCAACGACCATGACTGCCGAGATCGGTAATGTCACTGACTCCGCCAACGCGCCAAAAAGTACCGTCACGTCTTCATCTACCCTTCGCGTGGAACATGCCACAGTCTCTGACGTCGAAGAACTGACCGATATCTGGTATGCTTCCTTCGGGTCCAGTCTCGGAAATATGTTCCCTGACACGCCCGCGGTGCGCCAATGGTGGAACGACGCCCACCGGGACGATATCCTGAACAAGCCTTTCCAGCACTACCTGAAGGTCATCGATACAGCTAGTGACGGGAAGATTATCGCGTACGCAAAGTGGGATTTATCCGTGCCTGCGGAGAGAGGTAGTCGGTTCCCACCATGGCATGAGGAATGCGACAAGGAGCTGTGTAGTCGGCTCTTCGACACTCTGGAAACTGAGCGGGAGAGACTGTTGGGTGGGAAGAAGAATTATTGTATGTTTTTTTTTTTTCTTTGCCCTTTTTCGTTTTCATTGGTATTTCCTTTAGTTGATTATATTATAGTTATTGGTGATGGACAAAACCCAGTTAGTTAGTTGGATAACCCAGTCTGAAGGAAGAAGGTGGGAAGAGATCGATCGATCGATTATTATTACTAACGCAGTAAACAGATCTCGATATGCTAGCCACGCGCCCAGAACATGAACGAAGAGGCGCAGGCTCAATGCTAGTTCAGTGGGGATGTGATATCGCCGATGAAAATGGAGTACCTGCGTATATCGACGCGAGCAAAGCTGGTGCCCCACTCTACAAGAAGTTTGGTTTTGAAGATAGAACCGAGCCAGGGCTTGGCTTTCCAGGTATAGCATCGATGGTTCGGGAACCTAGGGCTCGAAATCAGGAGAAATGAGAGCCGTGGCTATTGTTTTATACCCTAGGGAAATCAGTCCTATCTAGTGTCATCATGGATGTCCGCCATGATCGGCAGACTTGAGAAAAAGTAATGGGGGGTTTACTGTATCTGAGAGATAATATCAGATATTGTTAAACAGCGTTGATATTGCATACGGTAGCTTCGACTAGGAATTGGATAGTTGCTAACGAACCATGGTGACGGAGAAATTTCGGGGCCAATGAAGAAGTGGATAGTCCAATCCAACAATACAAACCGTCATTAACAATTGATGTGCATTCCAATTGCTAGTTTCCTCATGGAATAGTCATTTGTGTCTTTATTTACATGAAATAATAGTATTTGGAAAGGGATATTTAATTTATGCGATAGGGGCAAGTGTTTCCAGCCGGACAAGGATGCCATGACTGAACCCGTGCTCCGCCAAGCTTCCTTCTTCTCACATATTTGACTATACTACTACTGTATGATCATCAGACCAGTGTAGCTTTTGCTGAACATAATCATCGTCGTCATCATCATCATCATAATAGCGCAGCCTCATCTAGAATATCAGAGACACAGTGCCGGGATAAGGAATTGCTCCGTCCAGTCACAACCTGCAGGCTGGGTCATGTGCGACGCGAGATATTCACACAGCAATATTTTTCGCCTTGGTAATACGTTGATCTTTACTGGAGAACAAGATGAATGCTGACCGTCATGTCTCTAGAAATCCCTCATGGGGCTCTGAGGGAAGAGACGAGCCCCCTCAATTGATGGGCAAACGGCGAAAAGGGCACTGCATGATAGCCAACAACGCCATGATCTCATTGAGGCACGTTCATCTGCAGCGTCGCTCGATTAAATGCATCCTTGAGCTAGACTATCGGCCGAGATGCTTGGCTCTAATAATAATGAGATGGGCTGCATGTTGTTCCACGCGCTTCTGTGCTTTTGCTAACCGGCTACAGAAACGACGTATAGAACCGACTACAGAACCAACATACGGAGTACTGCATACAGTGCATCTCAGACGGACCACTAACAAGCCGGAAATAGCTTTCATTACCAAGCCCTATTACTTGGCATCCATTCGATACCAGATTCCGCCTAATACAGTAGTACCCCACGGCTGGAAATACGTACCAGGCTCATAAGCGTTTATTTTTGCTGCTCAGGAATAAAGTCGAAAGTGAGTGATGTACGCCGAGACCAGTGGTAGTCTTTAGCGGCGGTTAGAGTAGACTAACTATCCCGCTTCCCTGAAGAAGCGGAGAAATTCAACAGTCCACTGTACCGGAAGCAAGTGGTTTCACTCTCTTCGTTGCTAGCAACGCTCTCGTTGGATTAATTAATTCGCGGATTCCATCACGCGCATCCTTTCCTCCGGAATCTAGATAATCTGGTCGCCTTTTCTGCGCCTCTTGTGGTATGATCCGCGGATGCCCGGTGTTGAATTGACCGCCAGCCGCTCCTTTGCAGGGATATCTCCAGGAACCGTGTTTATCGAAGAGCCTGGCTATATGCAGTGGTCCACCAATAGCAGCATTTGCATATTATACCACAGAAACCAAGCGTCTCAGGATTCAGCGGCAGAAGCTTGAGGTATAGCGGTCGACGTGCAATATCCACAAGAAGCAGCTCCCAGATGGTATGTGGCCGCTATGTCTTCATTATTGCGAGTTTTGCCATCGAACCAGCGAAGATTAAAACAGAGCCAAGACCAGTGGTGGAATACATACGTGTTGATAATTGCCACTAACGTCTTGGTATCGGCAACGAAGCATGGTGTCGTCAATTGTCTGTCTCTGGGTCTCGGTAGCGACGAGTCTTGGCCCGGTTGAGCTCCTGGGCTATCGCACCACCAAGTTCAACAGGGACCTGCATCAACTTGTACGCTTTCCGTATGGTTCGACTGCACTGAGGCTAGTCTATCGGAAAAACAGTTCGGAAACAGGAACAGTAAACAAAGTGGTGCAGATCTGTCGCTGCTCCAGACTCCAGCTATTACCAAGCAGCACGGCCTCGACCGCCCCGGATCACAGATCGTTTAACTAAGCGCGATGATCATGATACGCATTGCGGCGGTAAGGCTTTTCAATTCACCTCCCGAGAGATCACTTCCACCGGTGTCATGGAAGTTTCTTGTTAACGGTTTCGGCCCTAGTTGACCTTGTGCAATATCGCCCACTCTCCATTCAAGTTGTTCAACAGACGACTATACCGCGGATCGCCGTGTGATAGTAAATTCATTGCACATTATTGGCTGCTTACCTCTCCAGTTTAGGAGTAATTTTTCTGTCTTCGATATATTCCATGCGTCCAAACACGCTGGAACTCTTTCTTCATGATTCTTGCTTTTTCCTTAGGGCCGGACACGGCTCGGAATGGCATGTACATACGGCTACATGCATTCCAAGCTTCTGCTGACGCTATTTCAGAACCCATTGGGTCACACAAGAGACGGAAGAGATGTCTAGCTGGATCTATGTGGGGACAGTGGTGTCGATTCCGTATTACTATAGGAGGCAATATTGACCAGGCCAAAAAAGAGTACTGGCCGTGATGCTTGGCTACCATGTGGTGTATCCATTTGCACCATGTTAGCTAAGGGTGTGATCATGCAGTTCCTGTTCCTACCAAGAGAAATTATTGGCGACTTAGAGTGGCCCTATCTCCATCGCGGTCACCCGTGTGGTCCCCTGCGGATCAGTTGAGTTCTTCAGGCCCATCTACAGATGGCTGTTCGGCCTGTATCTCTATACCGTCTCTCCGGGGCGCGGCTACCAGTCTTTATAAACGAGTACCTTCCCCATCCTCATGAAGACCTTGTGCTCAAGCTCTGCTTCCTATCCTTCTGACGGCCTTATATGCTATGAAGCCTGACAAGATGCGTTCAATTGGACTCTTGCTGGCTCTCGTCGGCACTGCGCGTGCAGCATGTCCTGTCATGACAGGCGAGCTTCCAGCTTCCTTTGCTAACAACCCTCATGGCCTTCAACGTCGTGATGAAGAGAGTGCATCTGTAGAGACTGAGCAGTTCCTGTCCCAGTTCTACCTCAATGACAGCAACACCTACATGACCTCGGACGTTGGAGGTCCCATCTCCGACCAGACCAGTCTGAAGGCTGGCCAAAGAGGTTCCACCCTGCTTGAGGACTTTATCTTCCGCCAGAAGATCCAACACTTCGACCATGAGCGTGTAAGAACAGCCCATTGGACTTTTCTTTTTACCCGTCAAGTATAACTAAATGAGCGATCTAGGTACCTGAGCGTGCAGTCCATGCTAGAGGAGCTGGAGCTCATGGTGTTTTCACCTCGTACGGTAACTTCTCCAACATCACGGCGGCCTCCTTCCTATCTGCGGAAGGGAAAGAGACACCTGTATTCGTGCGAATCTCTACTGTGGCTGGAAGCCGAGGAAGCGTTGACACAGCCCGTGATGTACATGGCTTTGCCACCAGATTCTACACGGATGAGGGAAACTTTGGTGGGTTCGACGCCATTGCTAACTGCACGACATATGATCTGACTGTCTTGCAGACATCGTAGGAAACAATATCCCCATCTTCTTCATCCAGGACGCGATTCTCTTTCCCGACCTCATCCATGCGATCAAGCCCAACCCGAGCAATGAGATCCCGCAGGCAGCTACTGCTCATGATACCGCTTGGGATTTCTTCAGCCAGCAGCCCAGCTCTCTGCACTGTTTGTTCTGGGCTATGGCTGGACATGGAATTCCCCGTTCACTCAGAACTGTCGACGGCTTTGGTATTCACACCTTCCGTTTCGTCACCGACTCCGGTGCTACCAAGCTCGTCAAGTTCCACTGGACTTCGCTCCAGGGCAGAGCCAGTTTGGTGTGGGAGGAAGCGCAAGCCACAGCAGGCAAGAACGCCGACTACCTCCGTCAGGATCTTTATGAAGCAATCGAGGCTGGGAGATACCCCGAGTGGGAGGTAAGCTTTTCACATCCTTCTAGGTATCTTCGATTGTACAAACTAACTATACGCAGTTGGGCGTCCAAATCATGGACGAAGATGACGCGTTGCGTTTCGGATTCGATCTCCTTGATCCTACGAAGCTTGTTCCTGAGGAATATGTGCCCATCACGAAACTTGGCAAGATGCAGCTCAACCGCAACCCACTCAACTACTTTGCTGAGACTGAACAGATCATGGTAAGTTAAGAACCGAGGACGTCATGGCTGGCTCCGGTCAACTAATGGTCTGTAGTTCCAACCTGGTCACATCGTCCGGGGTATTGATTTCACCGAAGACCCTCTGCTGCAGGGACGTATATTCTCATACCTCGACACGCAGCTGAACCGCCATGGAGGTCCCAACTTTGAACAGCTCCCGATCAACCGACCTCGCGTGCCAATTCACAATAACAACCGCGACGGTGCTGGTAAGATTCCTAACTCCTGTTCCTCGATAACTTCAGGCGTCCTCTAATTACATACAGCTCAAAACTTTATCCCTCTGAACCCCGCTCCTTACAGCCCTAATACTGTCAACAACGGCTACCCGCTGCAAGCCAACCAGACCGCTGGAAGAGGTTTCTTCACTGCTCCCGACCGCACTGCTAGTGGAAGACTTGTTCGAACTGTCAGTGATACTTTCGCGGATGTCTGGTCCCAGCCCCGTCTGTTCTTCAACTCCCTGGTGCCAGCGGAGCAGCAGTTCCTGATCAATGCAATCCGCTTCGAGACGTCCAATGTCAAGAGCGACGTCGTGAAGAAGAATGTCATCATCCAGCTCAACCGTGTCAGCCACGATCTGGCCAAGAGAGTCGCCGAAGCCATTGGCGTCGAAGTTCCACAGCCTGACCCAACATACTATCACAACAACAAGACCGCCAACGTGGGCAGCTTCGGTACTCCCCTCAAGAGAATCGACAACTTCAAGGTCGGTCTCCTGGCTACGGTCAACAAGCCAGAGTCTATCTCTCAGACCTCCAGCCTGAAGGACGGCTTGGCCTCCGACGGCGTCGACCTCATAGTCGTTGCTGAGCGATTCACCGACGGCGTCGACCAGACTTACTCCGCTAGCGACGCTACCAACTTCGACGCCATCATTGTCGCCAACGGCGCTGAGGGTCTGTTCTCTCCCAAGAGTTTCACTGGTGCGACGACCAACTACTCCACCTCCACCCTCTACCCTGCGGGAAGACCGCTCGAGATCCTGGTCGACGGCTTCCGCTTCGGCAAACCAATCGGCGCTCTGGGTAGTGGCTCTGCTGCTCTCAAGTCAGCCGCTATTGATACTTCCCGGGCTGGCGTTTACGTCGCCAACTCGAGCAGTACTGACTTCGTTAACAACGTCAAGGATGGTCTTCGCACGTTCAAGTTTCTTGACCGGTTTGCGCTCGATAAAGAAGCGTGAGTGAGTGGACGAAAATAAGAAATAAAATAAACTTTCCCCTATCCCATATTACTCTCTACAACAATAATGGTTGAATAATGTCTAGATAGGTAGTAAAGAGATAGAAGTACACATTTTGAAGGCCTCTTGGCCACTCATTATGATTTTGTTTATCTTTACATCGAACGCTTCGTCCAAGCGAGTGGTAATTTGTTTTCTTGAAGGGACAGACAGGGTTAGGTAACCCCCGCTTGCAGTAAAACGACGCCGTCGATTTCTGTCACACACAAACTACAGCCCTACCAGGGTGGTGAGGCTACCGAATCGAGATCGACAGATACTGACCAAATCTTTTCATCCTATGAGTGAACGTAGGCAATCACATGGGCCATGCATAGACCTTACTAATATCCCCTGTCAACGTCTCCGCATTATCTGTCTGCTCCCCTCACTGACTATAAGTATAGGATGGCTCAGAACCGTATGGGAAGTGTTGCAGTGCAGAAGCAGGCTAATGGGAATGCTTGGGCATCTCTTTCTCTATAGAGAAGTCGGAGTCTGCCCATCCATGGAACTTGCACACACACACACACATACACACACACTGGTTAGAACCTGGTAGTCTCGTTTGCTATCGCCAGGATGATACTCCGTATATTCCGACGAACCAAGTTGTCAGCCTCGAGAATTGGGACACTTTGTGTAACTGTGGTAGAAGCAATAGACTCCGTTGCCTGAGGATAGTATATGAAGGGGCAAAGACCCCAGATTCCTTCTAGCAAAATGTCCATCTGCATGTATAACATTCAGACCGAATGTGTCTCTAGCGCATTATAGCAGTGATGTTTTTATCAAACTGGTTATCCGGGTCTCTCCCGATCTTCGTCCTCGTTCTACTGATAGCAGTAGCGATCGACGTTGCTTTTCGGATACTCTACAATCTTTACTGGCACCCTGCCGCAAAATTCCCTGGTCCTTGGTACTGTGCCTTGTCGTCGTTGCCGCTCTCGATAATATCTGTCTTGCGAATCGAGCCTCAATGGCTTCTGTCTCTTGCGAAGAAATATCATAGTATGTCCCTCCTTTCCCAAAAAAATTACCTACATAGAGTACCTACGTACAAGAAGGTCGAAGCTAATAAAGACGTACCCGGGATTTTCAAGGTCAACCAATCCGCATCGCACCTTCTATGCTATTCTTTCCGAAATCGTCTGCTCTTAAATCCATCTACTGTGAGTCTGAATTGAATCAGAAGATGAGCCTATATGGAACTGGAATCTTGGGACCTCCTCACCTATTCACTACATTGGATGGCGATACGCACCGAGCTCTGAGAAAGGCCCTTGGCGGTTCGCATTGGAATATCGGTTATCTGAAGAACCACTGGGAGTCGAGTATCGATGAATTAATACAGCTGTTCATTGATCGGCTTGGCGAAAATGCTAAAAGAAAGGAGAAGGTTGTATTAGGCGATAGATCAGCGTAAGATCCTCTTCCACTGACGAAGCCCTGCTGGACGTCAGCTAAAACAAAACGTTTCTAGATGGTTTTCGGCTGATGTCATGACCATGCTCTCTTTCGGTGAGCCATGGGGCTTCGTGAAAAATAATCGCGATGAGCGAGGTATTCTCAAGAGTTGGCGACAGGGACTTGACTTGTTTGGGTTTGCCGGACGGTTCAAGTTTTTCCAGAACTATATTACACCCCTTCCTGGTGTTGGCGCATTATTTCTGCCGAAGACGACAGATGTTGGGGGAATGGGATGGTTGATGAACCAGGCCATCATTCAGGTCCAGACTCGGAAGCAGCAGACGGAGATGAATGCCTATGGAGGAAAGCGGGATTATATGCAATAGTACGTTCCATGACTGATATTATGCTATTAAGAAACATACTGATGATGAAGCCACAGCTGCCTAGAGGCTCGAATAAACGGGAAACCTCTCACTGATGTGCAGAGAGTGGCCCACGTCACGTTATTGATCCAAGCCGGTGCCGACACAACTGGGACAGGCATTGGATCCACGTTGCGTTTTCTTGTATCGAATAAAGAAAAGATGAAGAAGGCAACCGCGCAAATAGAAGCAGCAGAACAGGCTGGGAAACTCTCTACTCCAGTGAAATACGAGGAAGTCCGTGAACACCTCCCATACGTCGTTGCTTGCGTCAAAGAGGGACTGCGACTCAACCCTCCAGCAACGAATCTCTTTGGGCGCGTCACCCCTAAGAATGGGGCTATGATCGATGATCATTATATCCCAGCTGGCCTGGATGTCACTAGCAATGCTTATGTTGTCCACAGAGACACGGAATTTTATGGCCCTGACGCTGAAGAGTTTCGTCCTGAGAGATGGTTGGAGAGCGAATCACCCGCTAAGCTGGATGCCAATAGCTTCGTGTTTGGCATGGGTGCCCGAATTTGTTTGGGAAAGGATATTGCTATCATGGAGAGCTACAAATTGGTCACTGAGGTACGTGGATTATTGTTGCTATTATTAATCATCGAGACCTGGAGAGATGGTCCAGTGTTAATAGTCTTGCTAGGTTATCCGCCGTTTCGATATGGAACTCATCAATGAGGGTAAATTTGTTGTCGCTGGCGGCGTTGCCTATAACAGAGACTTCTCTGTGGCTGTGACTCGCAAATAGTCGAATACGGACCACTTCCAACTTCGAATGAGCACCTAGGCATGTGTACATTTCTATACCATACCATGGCTTCCATGCTTTCAGACGGTTCTTTTTGTTCCGTGACTTTGCGCGCATGCTAGGATGTAACTCGAGAGATCAGGCAGCACACTATATTACACATCATTCCATATCTCATGTGTAGTTAGGACTTTTCTTTGGACTCAAGGTATATTGTCGAATATTGAATCGCACAGAAGTAAGGTCTGACCTGAACAACCGAATTGCTTCTAGGTCTAGGGGCGATTTGAACCCGTATTTATCTCTAGCATACAAAGAACCTGCTGCAAACGGATGATTGACAGATCACCTGGCATTCGTTTTGTGCGCCAACACACCCCCTTAAGCTGGCAATCATCCGGCTAGCTCAGTGGCCTTTTTTCCAACATCATTTGCAGAACTTTGGTGTTCCTCCTCGAGACCTGTTCCCACGAGAGTTTTGCTTTCCCTTCTGGGCCTTGATCAGGTTTGACGACATTTCGGAATTGAATTTGACACGCCGTTCCTCCTGAATCAGCCGAGTAGCAACGGAGTCAAAGGTGGCTGTTGCGGCTTTGTACTCACTGTTCAGGAACACTATCATGAACGTATCCCACTTCTCGTCGAGGTTGCATAGAAGGAACTGGGCACCTAAAGCTTCTGGCCAGGGTTCTCCAGAAAGGCTTCGCTTGATCTTCCGGATAGCAGCTTGCATCTTGTGGATATACTCCTGCACATCCTTGCATGTAGAGTAGTGGGTTCTCATGGCAGTCTTCAGTCCTTCCAGAGATTGAGCGCCGGATATAACGTCATATTCCTTTAGGTATGTCCAGATCTCCGCTGCGTGTTCAAAGTTTCTCTTCCTGACTTCGTCAAAGATTGCTTTAGACAGGGTACGACAGATTGCATCCATTGCTTTATGGTTCTTTTGATCCCATTCGTCCTTTTCCTTTCGCAGGGCGTTTTCCTCCTCCGTCTGACATCGAGTGCTGATGCCGGCTTGTTGTTTGTTGAAAATGTCGGGATACAGTTCAGCTGGGTCCTTCTTGGTCCCATCGACAATACGCCAAACCTCCTCGATGGTCAAATAGAACCTCAATCTGTTCCTCCAACTCCGGTAGTTATCAGCGCCTGATAATACCGGAACGTCGTAGTTCGACATGGTGTTTTTCAAAACGCGATGTTGAAATCGCAAAGGGAGATCCGAAGCTCTAACGAGGCTCAGAGCATTTGATACGGGAATCAAATCTTGATTGAGAGGGTGCAGAAAATTTATGCCCCCAGACTCTATCCTGGACTCACGGCTTCCGTGGAGGCGAGCTGCAAACCCGCTGCTACTACCCTATACAAACGGGGTAGAGCAAAACAGCGGGAAGCCACATATATCAATCACAGATACCCTGGAACAAACCATGGATGCTCAGAGACAGTGTTCCAGCGCAGCAGTAAATATGTCGGTGTATGTACAAAGCGAACGCCAGGTGACCTGTCAATCATCCGTTTGCGGCAGATTCTTTGAATCCTGATTATAGGATTGATTACTGGATTACTAGATTACTAGGATCTAGATTCTTTGTATGCTAAAGATAAATATGGGATCAAATCCCCCCCTTAGACCTAGAAGCAAGCAAGCAATTCTGTCGAATACTAGGATCACGGAAGCAAATATGCTGATTCATAAGATATTCAGGTATGCGAATATATTGACTAGATTGCTTGAAGACTCGAAGAACACCATAAACTGACAGCTATTTATGCTCATAGAATCCCGCTGCTTTTACCTTACCCCTCCTATCCTTTAATTGAGCAATTGCCTAAATAGGCAATTGACGTGGCATAGTATAGGAGTTGCATATAGGATGCATTAGGGTATGAGTTGGATATTTGCAGATCGGCTGATTAATCGGGGAACCGACGATTTGGATGCCGACATTCCCACATATGTGAGCTCATTTTTAATTACTGTACATCGGGTGTTTCTATATATTTCCAGGCTTTGACTTAAACAGGAATGATATTATTTTCTCAATTTCCTTTTATATACATAGCAGGCAGGCAAACATGCATCGAGAAATGTCTGGGGTGATACCTTATAAGATCATCCGCAATTTCTCATCGAGTTTTGGTTAGTTACGCCGAGGATCCCGCGCGTAGCGTCCAAGAAGTTGAGAGCTTCTCTTCAGTCTCCTCTTCTCTGCATCAGGGTCAGAAGCAACAATAGTACTGTTTCCTGCGAGAATAGACCACTCAGCAACGGTAGCTCCAGTTCCATTCTTCGCCTGAACCTCAGCTTCGGATAAGGCCTGGTTTCCGACAATCAAGAGCGTCGCAAACCGCGGAACTGGCACGGGGTTTGTAAGCGTGACATTTGTGCTGTTCCCGCGAGGGATATTGATCGCGTTGAGGTCGGTCGTTTTTGGGTTATATGGGTCCGAAAAGCTAATGTTGTGCAGGCTGAGGACCACGGAGTAGTCGGATTTCGAGCTCGAGTCCGATGTAGAAGAGAATGCAGACACAGGATTCTCCACGGAGTTATTGTGGAATATGACGGTCGCGTTGACAGGTGGAGCTTGTGCCCAATCGAAGTAGAATCCCGAAATAGGCGCTCCAGACTCGGTTTGGCTCAGAGAAACGGTCACTGCGCTGACATTGGCCGCATACGATGGCTGCCACTTCGTAGACGTAGCGCCGTCGACAGCTGCAATGGGGAACTGGCCAGGCTCAAATTCTGAGGTTGACGTTACTGGCTTGCATTGAGCAATGTTTCCGGCAACTGTATACCGGGATGCAATCTGCCTGTTCGTAACAGTGAGAGTTCCGTTGACTGGTAGTCGATACACCGTTGCGTTACTCTCAGATCCAACGTGCACGGGGATCGTGACGTTAGCAAATTTAGGGTCTGCTGTGTCAAGCGGAGAAACGTCCGTCGCTCTCTGGATCGTAGTGTGGGTGTAGTTGGACTTCGCAGAGATAGGCCATCCTCGCCAGTAGAAGGTGCGGTACTTGACATGAGGCACCTGTGGTGGCAGGTTCGGGTCAATATGGATAACGTTGTCTGGAAGGAGACGCAGGCCAAGGTAGCCGAATAGGACGACCTGATTAGCGCCACCACTACCGGTCAAGAAGGGATACGCTGGGTGAGTTCCGCCATTAAGAGAGGCGTCATCAATCATCTGCTCTGAGAGTTGATAGAAGGGTGCTCGCGCATACGGAACATAGGCGTTTTGGCCGTAAGTATATGCCGAGCAGCCTGATGGCGACACCTCGCTAGCTACAATAGAGAAGATAGCCCATGTCATGGCTGGACCATCAGGAGATTGACTTCCGGCGTACTTGAGATTTCATTAGCGTCGTAGAACTTGCGCATTGGGGCTTTCCATATTCAAGGCGCACTCACATAATCCAGATCATTCAGGGCATCCTGGGCACTGTAGCCCGAGTCATAGTTCAACGGGTAAGTATCCAGCACCACATCTGCCTGCTTAACTGCAGCTGTTCCGTTCATCGTTGTATATTCCAAGGTGACGCCGTTTTCGCGTAGAAGCAATACATTCTCGGACATGTCCATCCATGTGCTGTTCTGTTCGATGCCGAACTGCTTACGGAATGCATTCGCGTAGAGCAATGTCTGCGCAATCAGGGGCATCGTGTATCCACCCGCATCGACATGGTTTGCATATTCGTCCTGTTCTGAGTGTTAGGTAGTTGCTTTTTCTGTAAGAGAATGGTCGACACCTACCGGATCAGTCATATTTGTCAACGTCCATGATGTACCGTTCCGCTCAAGCAAGTTGGAAAACATCGTCGCGATGGAGTCGTAGATCGGGAAAAGCTTTTCTTTGAAGAAAGAATCATCTCCGGTAGCGACCCATTGGTTGATAAACGACAAACCGATATCCCCGTTCAGATGGTACTCATAGTCGAAGCAAGGTCCCGTACCCGTGCAGTTCCCAAAACGGCCGCTTGTCCAGGAATAAATCGCAGCGGAGTCAGAAAAATGAGTCTTATTCTTCGAACTCGTAAATGCTGTGTGGATATTTTCACGGGCCTGGCCGTACTTGGCAATGCGGTAGTTTGTGATGCATTGTGCGGCTTCTGGGTGCGAAGCTGCAATACCAGGTTGCATCCAGGTATCCGCATCCCAGAAGATCTGGCCTGCGTATGAGTCCGAAGTCAGGCCACCGACGGAGATACTCTCTGAGTTCAGTGATGTAGAGGAGGATTCCCGGATCGCATTCTTGCCGACCGTGTTCTGTAGGAGATAGTAAGGATTTGTGACAGCACTGACGGCCGAGTCAATGATATACTCATCCTGGGGGAGAGTGCCGTTTTCTGGGAAGGTAAAATCATCGACAGATCCATCAGGCATAACGTTTGCCCATTCTGAAACATGTGAGTGGAGAGACTTTTCGTAACCAGTGGCTCGGGCTTTCAATGCTGCCTTCTTGGCTGTCTGCTGAGGATTGGAGAATGCATCTGAGGATGCAGCCCCGACGAACTTGGTAATACTGACAGTCTTCCCGGCAGGGAACTTGACGTTGACGAGTTGCGCAATGGACGAATCGTTTGTGTGGAGATAAGGCTTGTCTTTAGTGACAATTGGGGTTGACGTGTTAACTCCTTGAGAGCCACTCATGATGGCATAGACATACGCCGTCACGTTGTTGATTCCCCATGGTCTAACGGCTGAGTAGATCGCAGGTCCATCCTGGCCAGATTCCACGAAGTCTGTGCGGACAGCTGAATAACCATCTATCACGTTCGCAACGGTAGCTTCTGCGTCGGCTGAAGCGGTCACCTCCAGGTGCACGACAGCTTGGTTGACATACAACTTGTGGGCGAAGAGCCTATATGTGACATTAAAGGAGGCGTGAACGTCTTTTGGTTTCCATGTATATGACCATGAAAGGAGCCCAGCTTTATAGTCGAAGGTCGTAGTATAATCGGAGATAGTTTCGTTATCGACAGTGGCATCGAGATACGTATCATTTCCCAGGTCGAGAATCAGACCACTCCAGTGTGGAACACCACTAATGACGCTTTCGCCGCCGTACTGATTCAACCAAGGAAAGTTCGACCCGTTTGTCTCAGCCTGAAGGTCGAAGAATCCACTGATGGTAGCGAAAGTCTGCCGTCTGGAGAAGAGTGGCCAACCGCTGATTACATCGCCATCTACTGGGACATCGAGCTCGAAGAAAGGACCCGCGCTAGCGACATTGATACCGATATAGCCGTTGGCAACAGAGCCACGCGACTGGAAATGACCCTGATCGAGAGTCGTGCTTTCAAGGCGCCAGTTCTCTTGGTCCCAGCTAACGCCAGGAAATCTCGTGCTGTATACATGGCTTGAATTCCCAGCAACATCACTGCGTCGTCCAATGCCGGAACGTCCAGAATACCTTTGGAGTACCCTATCAACTCTAGCATCATGGGGGAACGCGGATACAGATGCAGACTGAAGAAGGGATGCCAGTAGGCCCCATTCTAAGAACTTCCCAGAACATTAGCCCGGCCATTCTCTCTCCAGATATATAGGAAGCAGACTCACTGTTAGCCGCATTTCGCGACGAAGTCACCCAATTTCTGGCTCTAGGCTACCGTCTTTGTTTCTTTGCACATCTAGGATCCCAACGGTTTGTATGACGCTCCGTAGTAACTGACCCCGGACCTGATCGTACGTTTTGACGAGTGCAGACACGGAGGTACAAATACGAGCAACATTATTTAATAATCATAGAGCCCGCATTTGATCTCATTGGAGCTTGAGGCCCTCGTACCGCAAATAATAATGCCGGCACATGGTACTAAGTTTAAGACCGTCATCGAATTTTCCGGAACTAAGGTACCATGCCGTCCGGATTCAGAGGTACGGCGTGCGGACCTGCCTCTCAGAGTTAGGCTGACCCCACGCCATCCCCGAGCACAGTACAAGTGAGGGAAAGCTGTGGAGGATACTCTAACCCGGATCTGAATGGTAAAAATCAGCCTCTTACGTCTCCGGCGCGGAGACAGAGGCCATTGGTTTCGTAGTCGCCCAAGCCATTGCAGGGGAAATAGCATCCTCGACACCCCGTGACGTTCAGACGGGAAAGCAGAGAACGGTTAGCCATAGCTAGACCGTTACAGCCTGAGTAGGAAACATTATTATTATTGTTCAGCCAGAGAAGCCGTTGAACTGTTGAAATCCCTGAGAGTTTGCGCTGCGCCGCTCCCGGGTTGTTTTAGCGGGGATCTTGCGGAGGGAAGTTGTGGGGTCTGGAGAAATGCCGGGATTTGTCCGAGTCGGACATCCGAATCGGCCAAGATGGCTCACACGGCTTCTTTTCAGCGTTCCATGCCGAAGGATTGGTGTCTCAGAGCTGGAGGAATAGCTTTCGCTTGATTGTTCCGTTGGGGATTTAGCAAGTCCCTATTCTTCACCGGTAAGAGTTTATACACACTAGTGCAATGCTCCAGTGGGCGGGAATTACTCTCTCGTCCCTGAAAGGATCGAAAAACGCGCATCTCATTACATCGGAAGTACAGAAGAGCATCGTGAGATGGTGAAACTCATAGATGAAGGAGATTCTATTGTGTCGAGGGGGAAAAGAAGAACAGAAGACGAAGACTGAAAAACAGGAGAAACTGGTGTTGGGTCGAAAGACGTCGGTGTTTTAAAAGATCAGGGATGCCGATCAGCTTGGGGAAGCACGCGGTCCCTCGATCTGATCTGGGTTCCACTGCTGCAGTCACGCCTGACTCCGACCTCAGGCACCACGAATTGTACTTCCAGCAGTGGAATGATCTAGAAGCTTTTATAAACAGTGATACTGTCTCCCTAGTGTCATGTTGTCATCCTCGAATAATAATTAATACTTTTTGCAGGCGGATAATATTCTCTATTTCTGGCTCTATTCTCTGGCATCAATTCTGCCTCGAATATAGGAAGATGCTCAGACGCTCAGTGGAAGGATCAATGGTCCTCCGTCTCACGTAGAGATCATCTGCATCTGCCCCTGTCTCGGCGGATCGGTGCCACTGTTTCTCTGGCCATATAGTCTTCGCTGGATCCGTCGACATCTGAGACATGCAGGCATCACAAGGAAGGTTCATAGAGACCCTGATAGGTATGCAAGATAAGCCTGGCAGTATCTCTAATCCATCCAGTCAGTTGTATCTCCTTCTTAAGGAGAGCAGGTATCTTCTGTTTTGCAAGACCTGCATCCCGGCTGTTCCGGTGTAATTGGCCGCTAGCAAGGCTCTGCTGACTGAGGAGCTATCATCCGATGTCGGGCATCCAGGGAACTGTCCGACCTAGAAACTATCCTATATCAGGAGGGATGTCCATCTCGCTGTGGTTTTTACACTTCTGGGTATCGTATCAAGCCGGGTCGAGCGAGTCGCAAGAAAATAGTATCTGTAGATACTAAGTTCAACTTCAATCCGCTTCACCTTCCGCGTCTTCCTCTTGCTCGTCTCCTTCAATAGCGGATGCACTGGCGGTAGCATTGCTCACGCGTTGGGTGTTCCCACTGCGTCTCTTTCCTTGCTGGTACTGCTCCGTAGTCGTAATGGCCCTCTCTCCGACGAATTTATTGTGTGGCCAGTCGGCCTTGCATACAGGGCACTTCTCAGCCTGCTGCATACGGAAAAAGTTTCGCATACAGATATCGTGAAGTCGTCCCAGGCAGTCACGGTTAGCACAACGCTGGCCCTGTCCGCAAGTCAAGATTAGCACCATATCTCTCTCGACAAGTGCCATAACCCAGATACTCACGGCAGTGATTATATCCTTGCAAGCTGCGCAGAACTTTATCTTGTTGACCCGTCGTCCCTCGTCGTCTTCCTCATTATACGTTGCAACCAGCCAGCCTCTTAGTTCCATGAGAGCACGAGGACTTAACGAGTAGAACCCCTTTCTACTCTTCTCGAGCCATCCTTCATCCAAGAGTCGCTTCATGACTGACTCGGCCTGCTGCATCGTCAACGACTGTGCTGCTCCGCCTTGAGGCTGCTGCGTCGCCGCCGACTCCCGCCTGTCTGCGGAAGATACTTTTGCCAGCTGCACGGCTTGCATCCCAGTCACAACCATAGCTTCTGATCGCCGCGTGTTGTACGTGTCAAATATTGCATCCAAAATACGCTTCACAAAGGCAATCTCATCTGCTGTATATGTTGTCGCAAGTTGGGTAAGGGGGTCGCTGGTAGTGTTTACGAGAGCGTAGACGCGGTGACTGCCGCCGTTGGTCCCATTATCATCAGGCAACTGATGCAACGTGCTCCGGATCTCCAGGTCAAAGGGAGATATGGCTGTATTCGCCGCGGCGATGTATGAAGACAGATCCGCTTGTGTGACATCCTCTGGAAGAACCGGGCGGCGTTCTGTAGGACATCATAGGTCAGCGATTATTTTTTCGACATAATCCCCCAGAAAAATAGTCGACTGCGCACCATGAGTTGAAAAGATCGCTGCTAGCACAGGCTTGGCTTCTTCGAAAGTCATAGTCGAACGCGCCAGAAATGCCTGAAGAAATGCGCGGTTGCTATCATTGTAGCCATCTTCGTCCACGTCGTTGGACATCACTGTTGAATGTAAACGAACCAGAGCTGGATGTTTCTGATACGTGTCTGTAAGCTACAAATGATGAAATTGAGCTGCAGTTGGCTGTAGTTTGCAGCCAGTCCAGGTGTATTTGCCCCGACGCGATAAAGTCCTCGCAACGCGAACCGCGCGCGCCAAGCCCATTTCTTACTTAGGGATTAGTCTACGGACGTTGTGCCGCCCTGGCCACTATGAGCCACGTGATCTGGGTCAGCCATAAGTTATAGGCCTGGCCTGCCGTGCTCTGGCCCATGCTGAAGAAATGTGGACGAAATGTTGGGAGAATGATTACAAGAAGAGAGAATGGTACAGTACTTCCGGAAATCGCTGCCATCACCCTCAACTTGGAGATCTCTCAAACACGGTCTAATAATACATCACAACTCTAACTTGGAAAATGGCAATCTCTACTAGGTATACAGTAGGTTAGGTAGGTATGCTGATATACTAAGATATGAACGAATAATAGGAGAAGAATCAATGCTTCAAAGTCTTGGATAACGTCGTTCCAGTAGAATCAATTCCCTAAATGAAACGACTACCGACGATGAGAGCGGACACCAAAATGTCCGTTGAGCCTTGGAGGTGTTCTATTTTCCCCTCGCAGAAATCGAGTTTTGTTGGAGGCTCCGTACTTCTCTTTTGAGGTTCCTGAAGTCTCCTCCTTTAAATCTTCGATAGCGATGTCCTTGTTGGCATTCTCCCTTCGGGGCTCTTTCATGCGGGCGTGCTTCTTACTATTTCTAGTTCGGAGCTCTTCGATAAAGGCGTCTTTAGTGGCATTTTTGGTTTGGAGCTCTTTGATACGGGCGTCCCTTTTCTTGAGATTTTTAGTTCGCAGCTCTTTAATGCGGGTGTCCTTCTTGTTATTTTTAGTTCGGAGCTCCTCGATGTGGGCGTCTTTGGTAGCATTTTCGATTTGGAGCTCTTCGATGCGGGCGTCTTTGGCGGCATTATCGGCTTTGATATTTTCGATTATACCCGCCATATTCCTAGGAACAACATCTAAATCCCTTTGAATGACCAGGATCTCGTCGTCTTTGGCGGCATTATCGGCTTTCAGATTCTCGATTATACCTGCCATGTTTCTAGGAACAACATCTAAATCTCTTTTAATGATCATGATCTCATCGTCTTTGGCGCGTACATCTTCCTCAAGACCTTTGATCTGATCGACATTAGTTGTGCTGTTGGAGTGCTGGATGTTATCCAGGTTATCATTAGACATCTTGAGTATGCTGACCTGTTCTTGAAGCTTCTCCTTTAACTTCGCGAAGTCTTTTTCACATCGCTGAGCTCGTTTCCGGAGTGCGTCGGCTTCTTTGGTGTGCTCTTGGATTTTATTCCTCGTGTTATTATCGGTCGTCTTGAGTCTTCTGGCCTCTTCTTGATGCATTGAAAACTCCTCCCCTAACCTCGCGAAGTCTCTCTCATATTGTTCCCGAACCGTGTTGGTTTCTTTGTCGACAGCGATTCTAATCGTCTGGTTTTGGCTATCAATAAGTTTTTCCATAGTCTCTAGAAGTCGGTTGTTTGCCCATCTCTGGAGAGAAGGTTCCGTTGGGAAGAGAGTAACGATAGCTCGAGACAAAACAATCGCGCACTACCTTACAATTAGTGATTATACCAGTAAAGACAGTGAAACAGGCTTACTATCGCAACTAAGAAAACCTTGATGTAGTAGGTAAGAGATGTCGCCGCAGGTATGGTTAAGCCGACCGTGACATATGCAAGAAGCGCAAATGTACTGATCTGAATCAGAAGCAGCAGCAGATCCGGGGTAAGCTGCACCAGATGGAGTGCTAGAGAATGAAAACGGATAAAGAACTTTTGTTTGATGCGCACTAGCCGATCGCTGGAATCTATGGATTCGTACATGGCCATCAAAGTATGATACAGAAGATCAAGGAATAGAGCCCAAGGTTTTTGGAGAACAACTTTGAAATTCAGGATGTAAGCAGTGCGGGGTAAAAGATGTTGTTAGAAAACAACTGCTGGTTGGACTCATGCTTCCATTGGTTAATGTTGGCATGGTATTATCTTGGATGCAGCATTTAGCAAGGACCGGTCGACATATAAAACATCTTCAATATCCAGGTGAATTTATATCAGGAAACAAATGCATTCTGAACCAGCTCAAGTATGGTCAAGTTCAATAGTCAAGGTTCAGGCCCATCCCGGTTGTCATATCTACTAGCCCATTTACTCGTTTACTTGGGTGGCCTACCTACCCATGAAATATGTTGGTTACCTTAACTAACCGACTATTTTACATAAGACACGAACACGCAATGAACAAGGGAGAGTTGAAACAAATTCCTACTGACCCATGTTATATATAAATCAGTGGATCTTAGTATATAAGTTGGAGAAAGAGCTATTGACAACCGGTTTCTGAAATACTGCACAGACCGATAGTACTTAGAGATCACTTCGGTCTTATTATTCAACCTGCTTACCGCAGTCCTTCATATAAGGCTTCTACTGGTATAACTAGAACGGGTCTTGAAATTGAGTAAGTAAATAACACAATAGCTAAGTCAGAAGTACGGTCTAGTTAAATCGTAACCCCCCCCAAATTAACTGTCTTACTGGCCGTGGTAGATAGTGTAGATAACTGAATGACATTGAGCGCGAAGAACTAAATATCTTTTGGACTTCAATTTTGCAGTCCTCTTTGGTTCATCCCCTTATAGTCCCATATAGGGAGGACTTGGTAAATTCGGGCCTAAAGTGTTCCTATTGTCAATATTATCAAACTTCTAATAAAATCACTTCAGTTCCAAGATCAAAGGACCAATCCGCTAATATCCGCTGAAGTCTTTACTCCGTCCACCATCTCTGCAACAACTTTCCCAGTTCCCAGCGAAAGCGAGATTCCCCACGGTCCATGGCCCGCGGCAATGAAGACACCGCCTTTCTTCCTACCTTCGCTTGAACCCTCCAGGGACCCTGTTTTGATACCTGTACCCAGTAATTCGTCGCCGACTCGAGAAATAATGGGTGATCCTCTATTTGTCACTGGTCGGAAACACAGCCCTTCACGGAGGACTTCGAGGTCATCCGTGTTAGGAGCATCGTCGGATGACACTAGACTTCCTTCCGCCAACTTTCCCAATAGTCGAACAGAAACATCTTTCAGTTCTTGTATTTTATCTTTCTGGATGAGTGATTTTGATTCTTCCGCCTTGCTTGGCAATGGGATCTGCGTGCTATTCAACCCGGCAATATATATCTCGGCACCGCGCCTCGAGAATATTTCGGGAGAAAACCCGCATGACGCAGGGTGGGTTGTGAAAACAGCATGACTTCTACCTTTGTATGCCTCGCGCTCAAGCTTCTCTGTATGCCGTGGAGATCGCAAGACCAGCGAATATCCCGCTAGCTGCGAGATGCGGACTCGGGCTTTTGATGATGGGAAGAGGCCTTTAAAGACCGCTGGAGTCCAAGGCCCGGCGGAAATTACGAGATTTGTGCACGGAACAACAGACTCGATCTGAGTCTTCAGGTCTCTGACCTTGACGCCGGTGATCATTCCCGTGGCGCTGTCTGTGATGACAGATGTTGCCTCCGCGGGATGATGAAGCTGAACACCGCGAGAGATGCAAGTATCCATAAGATACTTGCAGAGTCTTAAAGGGTCCCTATAAGAGCATTAACTTCTGCTCCAGTCCATCAGAGAAAGCACAGGATCGGAAAGGGGTTTACTAACACCTGGGCAGCCGTCTCGCCATGGCTAATATTGTCGATAGTTCCACCTTTTTGTCTAGTCAACCAGAGCGGAATCTCATCCGAGATATTCGAGACTGCTTCTCCTAGAGAAGCGGCCTCCGCTCTCGAGGTACCCTCCCTCAACCAGTCACCTCCCCGCGCACCGGTACGTGCTGCAGACACATCGCTCACATCCAGACTAAGAGCTGTGCTCTTCATATAACCCCATTTCTCCTCGCCACCATTCTCAGATGCTACTTTGCCATGCAGATCAAATGAAAGAGCACCCAGAGGTGCTACGGATGACGAAAACCAATCCTTAGCAATAAAGCCAGCGGCATACCCCGATGCAGCGCTAAAGAGTTGCGAAGATGATTCGATCACATGAATTTCTTGATCTCGATGAGGTGATGACTCGCTGGATAAGTAATAGGCGATCGACGATCCGATAATGCCGCCACCGATAATCACAGTTGACATCTTGATAGGATTCTGCAATCGCACTTTTCTGGTGACAACCGGGTATGGGGGTAGTAGATCTCAATAAGAAATGTGTACAGATTATCGACAAGTAAATTCTAGAGTCGGTCAGAAAATTGTCTTGTGAATCGTGTAACTCAAATGGTGGATATATACCAAACGTGGTCCCTAACTGATATGGAAAGCTTAACCTGCTTATCAAGTAGCAGACAGGTTTATTATATCTATACAGCTTATCAGATCACTCGGTTCATAGAGTACAGCATCGCTGAGAACAAGTCTCCAAAGGCGCAAGTATTCGCGATAACGAGACTAGGTCTGACGCAGATGTAGGGATAGATTCCGGAATAACTAAATACTGCAGTTCGGGGGATGGGCCCTCAAGTATAAATAAGCACCTAGTCAGTGGAAACCAATAGATAAGCCATTCAATATGTCGGGCTGGCCAGGTAAAGGATTTGCGATCTGGAGGTAATTCATATGTGACGATGATATGGACAGTCCATTACAGGTAGGGTCCAACAAGTGGGTAATACGCAATCCCTAGTACGAATTACATATCCATTATCATTTGCATTTGTTTAAACATTGAAAGGGAGTAGATATCTTGGTTCTTATTCTTGAAAATGGCATATTTATCAGCCGAAGAGGGGTTCCATGAAGAAGCGCGCCGCTCCGCCCGCCACACAATGACGTTGAACCACCGAGATCCGATCCCGTCCAAGTACCCCTCCAATGTCTGCTCCGTTCACTGAATGCTTTTCTTTAGAGTTCTGACTGCTGCTTGAGCCTCATCGAGACACTATCCTAAAATTGTTGGTCTTAGGTAAGTCGGTCCAAGGACATATTTATTTCTACTGCTTGTATGTTATTTCTTCGTTGTTTCAATTCGCACCAGCGTCGAAAAGAAGAAGGGAAAAATAGGATGTATGATTATCCGGGCCTTGCCTGTCGGTTCATGGGATGAAGTTTTTGATATCTGGGCATTGATCATCACGCAAGGATCCAATGTCTGAGATCAGTGTTTCCCTGTCTGCAGGGAGTATGGTGCAACCTCCAATGCTGCGGTTCTTTCACATTTGAAGCCTCTGAAACCAGCATTTTATATGTCTTGTTCCGATTGTATGAGAAGCTAATGTTACAAAGCAGATAACAATTAATCAACATGGGAAAGACAATCATTGTCACCGGTGCCTCTAGAGGTAAGTTTCATGAAGAAAAAACGTCCATATCGCTGGTAAAAAGCACAATGCTAAGCGAAACAAATCAGGAATCGGTTGGGTCATCGCTCAGTACTTGCTCAAAGCACCCGGATCCAACAATGTGCTTGTTATCGCTCGTAGCCAAGAGCCCCTGCAGAAGCTTAAAGAGCAATATGGTAGCCAGGTCGAGTACATGACCGGCGACCTTGCTGATCTCTCCATCGCAAAGAAGGCCGTCGACAAGGCCCTAGCATCTTTTGGCAGATTGGATGGTTTGGTCCTCAATCACGGAATTCTTGGACAGGTGGGCAAGATTGCCGAAGCGGATCCTCAGCAGTGGAAGCATGGATTCGATGTCAATTTTACGAGTCTTGTGGCATTTGTAAGTGGCCTTCCGCTCGAGGGAAGTCGGCACGCAGAGATATCTAACCAGGGTTCACCAGGTGCGAGCCGCTATCCCTTCGCTTCGCCAGTCGAAGGGAAGAATTGTATTCACGTCCTCAGGAGCTGCCATTTCAGCATACAAGGGATGGGGTCTATACGGTGCTACGAAAGCTGCTATGAACCATCTTGCTTTGACACTGGGTGCGGAAGAACCTGACATTACTACTGTATCTATTAGACCAGGAATGGTCGACACGGAGATGCAACGACAACTACGCGAAGACCACGCAACCAATCTCGAGGCTGATGTACATGCCAAGTTCACCGGCGTGCACAAGGAGGGCAAGCTCCTCAAGCCCGAGCAACCAGGCCACGTTATGGCAAAACTCGTGCTTGATGCACCCGCTTCCCTCAGTGGACGATTCCTCACGTGAGTTCTAGAAACCAACACCTCGTCGCGAATCTTGCTAACTATCCCAGATGGAACGACAAGGACTTGGCGGCTTTCCAAGAATAATTGGGACACTCCACTAAATAGCTTGTTGATGTCAGTATGAGACATGTATATAAAATTCAGAATAGTATAGTGAATAGAATTAGACATCAGCCGAAAGATGAAAAGCGAATACATGTAATAAGCATTAGGTACCAGGGCACCTTCATGTTTAGCATGGAATGTATGGTGTTCATCACTTGTCTGTGGAGGTGTAGAAGAAGGGAAACGTACTCTTATAGTAAACCTATCATAGATATCTAGTGACCTAGTGCTTTCTCCTAGTTAGTTCCTGCTGTAGGCAATTTTCTGGTGGCCTGACGAGTGTTGTTGACAGTATCAGGAAGAGAGTTATGGTCGGTCATCGATATGTCCGAATTTGATAGTACATTTCTTCAAACATCATGCTGTCGATAGGAAGGTCTCCTAATTATGCATACCGTGAAATGTAAGTTATCTAAGACTCTGCCGGACACGAGCCAGAGTCCGCGTCTACATATGATTAGGATATCAATGTCTGCCCTATTATACTTCAGCAGTGTTAGCTGGTTATCTCGAACGACTGTGTGCGATCAAAAAAGAGATAAGGGGTTATTTTCTTTTTTTCAGATAGTCCGTTTGGCTTGGACAGGTAAGTCACCATAGAATGGTCTGATAGGGGCGACAACAAGGTTCATCATTGAATAAGAGCATGGGAGAAAAGATGGATATTTCTTACCTTGAAAAGAACTACAACTAACACGCAGCTAGTGCAGAGAACTCATTATGAAACTGATTCCATCATCAAGGAATCCTTCTTCCGCTCGTGAGAAAAGCTGGAAAGAAATGGAGTTGTGCGTTGAAGAGAAGAGAAAAAGAAGATTTCCCAGGGTCGCGAGCAGAATATAAAGAGAAAAAAAAAAGGCGGCTAGTTGATTTTAAAGAGTGGAGCGCCGGAAGATACATTCTGCCATTCCGACCGAGCGCGCGCCGCGCCTCTATTAAAGAAGCTGGGTCAGCCCCACGTGAAGGGAATCGCTACTAGAAGCTGCCGCAATAATTCACGTCACTATTGAGACCGTTTGAACAATTTAATTTATTTATACACCCAGCTTCCCTTTGTACGGTCAATAGACAGCCATGTCAGACAGAGAATTTAGCTGTAAGTCTTTCCCTCATGATTTTTTTTAAAATTATTTTTCTGCTATCCATGTGATAAATGCTAATCCATGACTCGTACAGCAAATGACGATCTCTCGCTCCCAAAAGGTACGCTACATCCTACCTTTCTCTTCCGCTGCGCGTGTCTATGAAGCATAGGTTCATGCATTAAGCGATTAGACCACCACATCCCTCTAATACTCCTTGCCCTCGATTTGCGTCTGTATATGACGCGCCAACGTGTACCCCTCATCGTCATGATTGATCTTAGGATGTAACTCACATATTTCTACAGCCACGGTGCAGAAGATAATTTCGGAGATCCTTCCGCCTTCCTCCGGGCAGACTTTTGCAAAAGACGCGCGTGATCTATTGATGGAATGCTGTGTCGAGTTCATCACTCTCATTTCCTCGGAAGCAAACGACATCAGTGAGAAGGAAGCGAAGAAGACGATCGCATGCGAACATGTTGAGAAGGCTCTACGTGATCTTGGATTCGGTGACTATGTGCCGGAAGTCCTCAACGTTGCCGAAGAGCATAAAGAACAGCTAAAGGTACGCGACTTACTACTCCTTGGCTATTCTACCTGAACCATCATTCGCTGATAAATTACGCCATAGACACGCGAGAAGAAAACGAGCAAGATGGAGCAGAGTGGCTTGTCAGAAGAGGAGCTTCTTCGACAGCAGCAGGAACTCTTCCGTTCAGCAACCGAGAAATACAACGCCGGTCCGGAGTAACGTTTCTACTCTTCTATCATGGATGCAACAATCACGGGCGTAGGTGGGCATAGCAAAAGGGGTTTTCAATGGACTTTCGCTGGTTCACGGCGTTTTGGGGCTTTGGGATACGCAAATAAGGTATTGAATTATGACTACATGAGGTCGCAGGTATTTCGGCTGGTCCCCCGGGCCTCGAAGCGTCAATTTTGATATGAAAAATATGGATACAAGCATAGAGACAAACGGGTTCGCAAGTTATTATTGTTCGAGAGTCTATCCTTGGTTTGCTGCGACCGGGACGATATTGGTATTGTAGTGAATCCAGCGCCGGGCACTGGAGCATAGCGATCAACTACAGTTTGAAGCGGTCCAATAGCTTTTCCGCTATCTTGTATAATGATAAATGTGACATGACGATCTTATTTTTGGATCTCTCTTTTCCGTTCCATTAATTCTAGCGGTTTGATAGTACCATATTCGGGATTTACATTACGCTACCAATAGGGTGTGATCCGTTTTCTTCGGCGCGGCAGTGTTCCCCATTATCATCAGCCCATACGCTTCAGCATGAGGAGGAAGTGTGTTGTCTTTGAGTAGAACGCATTTTTAGAAGCACAGTCGATATATCATAGAAATTTATCTATAGAACCGCGATGTACGCGGGGTTGAATCGAAGGGGCCGGCCTATCAGTGCCTGACTGGCCCTAGACTAAATTGGGCGGAGGAGTGGATCGGCGAGCCGATGCAAACCTCCAAAAGGCTGAGCTCGAACACGGCCGAGCTCCCATCGCGACAACTGCCCGCATCGCGTCGCCCAAGATGCCGCCTTTCAAGGATGAGCATATACTGGTAAGTGCAACCGTATTTATATGGGATTTCACGTATCCAGATGATATCCGCGACAGCGCTAACGGTCTCTCCAGATAATTGCGCCAGGTTCGCAAACGACCCTGGCGCAGTTGGGTCTGCCTGAGTCGTTCACCCCTGCTCGCTTTCGCTTTCCTACGCGCATGTTTCCTGCTGAGAAAAAGGGACAATTTGAACCGTATAAAGTACGCGAAAAGCGGGTGGAGGCGAAGTCCGCCAATGGCGCTGTCCCCAAGGAGGATGTCGAAATGAAAGATGCCGAGCCTGCGCAACAGGATAACGCAGAGGGTACGACGAACACCGGAGACGGAAAGACAACAGAGGCAGCGGACGGTTCTAATGAGGCTGAAGGCACTGAAGGTGGACAAGGCACGGAAGAACCAAAGGAGGAAATCATCTACGAGGAGGACATCACATCAGACGAGGGTGCAGTGTATCCGCTGCAGAATGGTCGCATCGTCGACTGGCCTTGCTTTTTCTCTCTCTTAACCCACATCTACAACTCTCTCAGTCCTCCATTTCACACACCCATTATGTTTATATCCGAGCCCGCCTGGTCGGCCCGGGATCGCGAGATCATAACGCAGTTCGTCTTCGAAAAGTTCAAGACTCCTGCCTTCTGCATGATGGACTCTGCGCTGGCCGTGTGCTACGCATACGGAACAGCAACAGCTACTGTGGTAGATGTCGGTCATGGAAAAGCGGATATCACTGCCGTCACTGATTTCTTGGTCAACGAACATGGCCGAGGGATTGCGGTTGAAGGCTGTGGTGGAGAGGCCATGACAGATCGCCTCGTGGAGCTTCTAGGCCCGAAGGGCTTCACCAGGGAGATGTGTGAGCAGTTAAAGAGAAGCAATATTACAGAAATTCTACCCCCTGGGACACCATTACCGGGCACCGCGACCACCGCCATGCAAGGTGGCAATCCCGCTGCCGCGGCCTCCACTGGCGCTGGCGACGGCGGTGCACCGAATATTACTGTTCCTCGAGGACCTGGAAGTGGCACGCAGACAGGGGCCGAAGGCGGAGAGGGCGGAGAGGTTGAGGATGACGAAGGTGTGCTGAATGTGGCTGCGATCGTCAGCGGCAACACGAGCGAGTACCTCGCAAAGAGAGAAAGAGAAAAGCAAGAAAAGGCCGCTGCGAAGAAAGCAGCTGCAGGAGAAGCCAATAAGCCACTTCGACTCCCCAACTCAAAGAAAGAGAAGGCATCGTTCCAGTTCCAAGAGTATGTGAGAATCGAGCCAGAGGAACCTACCGGTCCTACTCGTTACATTCGCCAAAAGCGTGATATTGAAGTTGGCGTTGAGCGTTTCCTGCTAGCAACTCCTCCTGAGAAGACATCTGATCGTTTGAGCAACGGTATCCTCGAAGACATTGCCGCTCAAATTCATCATACCATCCTATCTGTACCGGATGCAACGAAACGCAGTGAGTTATGGGACTCGCTGATCGTGCTTGGAAACGGTAGCAAGATCAAAGGTGAGATATAAACGTTCAGAGCATATCGATGTGATCAGCACGCTAAACTACAGACAAGGTTTTACCCAAGCTCTAGTGGCCACGATAAATCAGAAGTACATACTTTCTCCGTCCGCCACCATATTCACATCCGAAATCCCCTCCAGTTTCTCTACTCCTCTTCCCACTGGTGGCACAAACACTCCCGCTCAGGCTGGTCAGCCGGGTCCTCTTCATCATCCAGGAGGCCATGGTGTCAATCCCCTCCTTGTTGCTGCAACTCACGGCAACGCTCCCGGAAACCCCAACATGGGCAGTGCAACACCTGGAGCTGGAGATCCCAACGCTCCCCTCCACCATCGTTCCACAGGCCACTCCCAGACGCCGACATCTGTCAGGACGCTCAAAGCCCCAGAATACTTCCCCGAATGGAAGGACCAAGGTGGGAACAGCAATGCGCCCGGCGCTACAGGTGCCGGAGGCAGCAACACCGCAGGCCCCAGTGCCCCTGGTGGTCCAGGAGCACCAGGAACAACCTACACTGGCCATGGATTCGAAGAGGCAACCTTCCTCGGTGCCCAAGTGGCCGCTAAGGTCATCTTCGTGGTTGACCAGGGTCTCAGCAAGGGCTTTTTGAGCAGAGTCGAGTACAACGAAAACGGCCCCACAGCCATACACGAATGTGCGCTATAGAGCCCAACCCGGCGCTATCTATAGGCTAATTATTAACCCAGCAATGCTGGGGAGTACGCGAGATATTTCTTCTCGGGTCCTGCCTGTGTTTCAAGTCTATTCCATGACGCACAACCTCAGTTGACGGTGCTTGTACTCGTTGATGCTTTTTTTGGACTGTTTTATCTTATTTCGTCTTTTGTACTCTAGGAAGACTCAACACAAAAAAGAGGCTTGAGGGATTGGTGGAGTCGGGCGATTTTATTGCTCTCGTCGGGTATTTCCAATCAAGCTACATCGGACAGCTGAGTTCTTGACGAATGAATTATTTTAACTTTTTATTAGTCTAGGCCTTTCTGTGTAGAAGTGCGTATCATTAACCTTAGTTGCTGAGTGGGCGATATCAAAGTAATTCCTCATTTCCAGTTTCTTAGTTATTCCCTCGCCCCTTAACCAGGTTCCATCTTTGTAGGATATCGTGTATCGTCAAGTAGTTGGTTGATTCATGGATATATTGTGCTTTACTAAGCAAAGTAATACTCTACCTAGATATTTTGACTATCCGGACAGAGTCGAAATATGTATTTGGTCAGGATGCTTTCTGCTAAGAAAGCATCAAAGAAAGCCCACGCCTCGAGTCGAACAAGAGATCTTCTCATAGATCTCTGACGAGTGAGACACTCTAATAGTTTTAGTATAGTAAGCTTCCCGTTTGATTTTGATCTATATAACAATGCCACGCGATATGTAGTTTGTATGAAGTCACGTGATCCGCCACATACGAGTCAGCATACAAATCACATGACAAATTCCGATTATCTAACATCGCCGCATCTATTGCGGCTTCAGTCTCCGTCATAACGAGTATTCGCGAATAATCAAGGCCGCCTACACTTGCTACGGTTATCGCACGTATCCTGCCTTGTATACTGGGAAAAGCTGATATTACGAGCTTGGTTTATCACTTCCGCCAGCCACAATGCCGCGGGCAGAAGCTGGATCGACCAAAGCGATCAGCAACAAGATCAAATCGGTATGCGCAGCTGCCTCTTTCCCTGGATTCTGAGCGCTGGGGGGCTAACTCTTGTCTCTAGAAAGGTCTAACACGTTTACGATGGTACTGCCAAGTCTGCGAAAGGGCTATGAGAGATGAGAATGGATTCAAATGGTGAGTCGGGTCCCGAGAGGAGACAGCCATCGATGCAGTGCTAATCCTTCCTCGATGCAACAGCCATGTGCAGAGCGAGAGTCATGTGCGACAGATGCTTCTGATCGGTGAAGATCCCAAGAAGTACATCGACGACTATAGTCAGCAATTTGTGCGCGATTTCATCAATCTTCTGAAGACAACCCATGGCGAGAAGAAGATTCATATCAATCAGTTTTACCAGCAGGTTATTGCTGATAAGGTACGTTCGACAGGATCTCTATGCGGCAGTGGTATCAGTTTCTTTACTGACAGTATTCCAGAACCATATCCACATGAACGCCACGAAATGGTCCAGTCTGACACAATTCGCCGCATACCTTGGACGAGAAGGCATTTGCCGCGTGGAGGAAACGGAGAAGGGTCTTTTTATTTCTTGGATTGACAACAGTCCGGAGACGCTCAAACGCAGAGAGGCTTTGCTTCGAAAAGAGCGACAAGACAAGGGCGACGAGGAAAGAGAGCAGAAACAGATCCTGGAGCAAGTGGCACGGGCGCAGCGTAAGCTGGACAGTAACCGTTCACCTTCGCCTGAGGCCAAGCTGTTGCAACGAAATGAGGGAGAGAAGGTGAAACTATCGCTTGGCTTTGGTCAGAAGGAGCCAGCAGGAAAGAAGTCTGAATCTCCTCGGGACGAGCTTCCTCCTGCGGAAGGAAGTGAGAAATCGACTACCCCTCCGCAGACGACCAGTCCTCAGGCTGCATCGACAGAGGCTCAGGATGCTCCTAAACCTGCGGTGAAGTTGTCTATGTCGATGGGAGATAAGAAGCCAAAGAACGTCTTCGCTGCAGCCGCCAAGAAGAACCCCCTTTCGGGCAAGAAAGGACCTCTGATTGAACAGCCCAAGAAGATGACCGAGCAGGAACGGATCATGAAGGAAGAAATGGAAGCCATGGAAAGGAAACGGGCCCGTGGTCCACCTGGGTTTCCTCATGCCAAGCGCCAGAGAGTTACCTGAGCTGGTGCACATGGAAATGTCAGCCTAGGCCGGCTCGTGAGGGACATATGCCGTCCATAACGTACACGAGCTAACTGGGTATGTCGAGTAAAGAAACCTCCATGTCTAGCCACCGTCGGATAGCCTCACAAAGCCTCAGAATGAACCGTGGTCATCGATTGACCAGAGTTCTGTCCTGGTAGGAGACCAGTGGCCCTCGCGAAAGGGAAATGTTATTACTGGTCGAAACGGTTCCCTTGAGCTTTGTTACTCGCCCAGGGCCTCGAGTTATGAGTCTGGGGAAACTGGGGCCCAGAGAGAATCGAACAACCGTCATTGGAACGGACAGGATAGAGACACTGGATTTATAGCAGAAGGATAGAAGTTGTTTTCAAACAGCCAAGCTGCGATATTCTTAGTGCAGGGTTGAACCAACCTTTTGGTTGTGTATCCAAGGCGATCAGGAGCTCCGCGCTTCTTTAGATAGGCTCACGAGAAGATAAAGAGATATTTTGGATCCCACCCTGAACCTGTGCATAATGAGTAGATGGTAAATAGACTCGAATTCGCCTTTCTGATATTAACATATATTGCCATGATTCGGATCGAAGCCACCATAAGAAGTACCCGTTCGCAGATAAGTACAGCGGGCCGGATCCACTGCTAAGAAAGCTTGTTTCGGGCGAGTCTGAGCGGCCCGGCCGTGTCTTACTTATTGGTTATTATGATCCCACGAAAGAAACGTCCTTCAATACTCAACTAGCGACGTCCTCTCAATTAAAAGGTTTTCTCCTCCTGAAATGGTCCTGCTGTGATCTCAACCGAGGAGACTTTCACTCCAGAAAAAGCCTTCTGCGATTTCCAGCTTTACTGTTTAAATCGGCGAATTAGTGCAGCATCTAGGCATCAACATGACCGGTGACCAAGAGACTCGCCCGGCTTGGTCCCGGGCTCTTCTCAAGGTGACGGATGAGCTGGGTCTTGCTTCTGTGTGGCAGTCATCGCGGGATGTGAAGCTGCTCTGTCTACAGCGCTTCGTCCGCCTCTTCGCCTACGGTGGATCGACCTTGATTCTAGTATCGTACCTATCCGCTCTGAATATCTCGGAAGACCGCGTCGGTCTCTTTATGACTCTTACCCTAGCAGGAGATGTGGTCATCAGCTTCTTTCTCACCCTCTATGCGGATAAAATGGGAAGGAAGACTGTTTTGGCTCTTGGTTCGGCGTTGATGGCGTCCAGCGGTGTTATCTTCGCCTTGTTCTCGGATTACTGGATTCTGCTGGCCGCTGCCGTTTTTGGCGTCATTAGTCCGAGGTCTGTTTCCCTTCATGCCTATTAATCGTCGTTGGGATTTTGATACTGACATGCCTTTTCAGCGGAAATGAAATTGGTCCGTTCCGCGCTGTGGAGGAGTCTACGCTCGCTCATTTGACACCGCATGAGATCCTCAGTGACATCTTCGCGTGGTACTCTTTGATCGGAACCGCAGGAACCGCTTTAGGGATGATTACCAGTGGATGGATCATCAACTGGCTCCAGGCATCTAAAGAGTGGGATTTCATCTCGGCTGCTCGAGCCATTTTCTATATCTATGCCATCATCGGAGGCATCAAGTTCATCCTCTCGCTTGCATTGACTTCCAAAGTTGAGGCTGAGAAGAAGAACAAGAAGCCTCAGAGACCGCAAACCCAGCAGCAGACACCTAATGAGACCGAGCCATTACTGGGTGAAGCTGCCGACGAGGCACCCGCCCAGCCACAGAGAAAGATGCCGTTCCTGGCATCTCTCGATAAGCAACTTGCCTCTCTTTTCGTTCAGCTCGCTGTTCTATTTGCCTTGGATGCGTTTGCGTCCGGTCTGGCACCACTGTAAGTCTGCCCTGGCAGGGTGTGGGAGATTTAAATAGATTACATTATACTAACCTAAAGCCAGGTCATGGGTCACCTACTTCTTCAAGAAGAAGTTCGACATTCCCGAAGGAAAGCTGGGTTCGATCTTCTTCACTACAAGCATCATTTCTGCGGCATCTATGTTGGTCGCTTCCTCCATCGCAAAGCGGATTGGCAATGTCAAGGTAGGCTCTCTTCTAATTTGTACGTACAACACGAACTGACCGCGATACAGACCATGGCTTTCACACATCTTCCATCCGCAGTGTGTCTGGCTATGATCCCGATTCCATCCTCACTGCCGCTTGCCTTGATGTTTCTCATCCTGCGTTCGTGTACCCAAAGCATGGACGTCGCACCACGGTCCGCCTTCCTGGCCAGCGTTCTCCCGTCGGACAAGCGTACGGCCATTATGGGTGCGATCAACGTTGTCAAGACCTGCGCCCAAAGTCTTGGTCCGTTCCTTACCGGTATCCTCGCTAGCGTGAACCTCTTTTGGGTCTCTTTTGTCCTGGCGGGATCGTTGAAAGCCATCTATGATGTTGGCATCTTGATCAGCTTTGCGGAGCACGAGATGAAGCGGAGGAAGTCTCTGCAGCAACGGACGGAGACTGAACGCGATGGAGAGGGAGATGCAGCATAAATGCCGTCACAGTCGACTTGTACAGTTTATGTATATATAGCAGCGACCTGGCCCATTCCCATTCGACATTTACTCCAATTAGGGCCAGGGTACTATCCTACATCTGTATCAACTCGCACAATTGTATTGCATGTGGTATTAGAATTAGACGGGGCATTTGACCTGTAATAATATAGGACAGTATAATTGCAGCGACCTGCTTCGACGATAGATCAGCATCTCAGCCCTGTACCTATTAACTAAACCCCGCCAACGGACCTTGGGGAGAACCGTTCGATCCCCTCGTGAATTATGAGAACACTCTAGGCAGATCCATACTGAGGTCCCCGAGTCCCGTTCTGAATGTCACTCCTCGATTGTGACTGGTCGACTCGACACGAAAAAAAAACCGACTAGAATCTCCGCGGGTTACGCAGCGTTGAACTTAAACTATGGGAGATTTATTTATAGTGACGGAATAGATAACAGAAGGGGAGAAAGGAAGAAAAAAGGGAATGCTGACGCGTGATGCATGTCTTTGTTTCCCTGTAGCAACTAGCAATTAACTACATATGTATGTACGATGTATACTACTGATTAGTGTTGCGGGAAATCACGGCAGATGCAGTCAGAACTAGTAGACCACGAATTGCCTACCTAGGTAGGTAGAGTTAATTGACTATCAAGCCATCTTTCCATCTTTTCAGCAGTCTTTTATTTCGTACTCCGTACAGTATCCGCATTCCCCAGGCTTGGAATGGCCGTAACGAAACGACACCAGAAGCGTCGTCCGCTCCGAAAGTAGAAGACGATCTCCGTTTCTCCACCTTGCGCCATATGGTGCAAAGCTTCGCCTGTTGCTTGTCTTGAACAAGCCTTCGTTAGTTACATGGCCGTAGCGTGGTTGATCTCTCGATCCCGTCCGTGCCGCTATTGGTGTTCTCCGGAAAAAAAGGACTCGATTGAGGCATTTAACCTGCAGGCTCTGGATTATTGGATTTGGATGTGGCTTGACCCTTCTCGTTTTCCATTTCTTTCTTGACTTTTTTTTTGGTTTCCTTTCTGCCTGGAGCTTTGGTTGGCGTTAATCATTACTACCTACTTGCTAAATAATATTGCAGACTCCAGTTCCCTGAAGATGGAATTAATATAGGATCTCACTGAGAGGAATAACTTTTCTCAATTTTTAATCCCCAAGGACGAAACAAAGTCGCAACCTCGTCCAGCAGTATTAACAACAGTGACAATGAGTCCTTCGTCCAGTCTGAGACCCTACGGGGCTTCAAACGAATCTTCACCCAGCGCCTTCCACGCCATCCCTTTACATACAATCCGGGAGGAAGCGGCTTCAGACGCTGATATCGACTCAGATGAGTCTGCTGAGTCTGCTGGATTCCTAACAGCGCCGAGAGATGTCTATCGCCAAAAACGCCCTCGCAGGGTATTTACCACGTATCGCTCCCTACCATTCTGGCAGTGTGGGCACGCATCATGCCATGCTCGACCGTCCTCTGGAAGAGCTCTACTCTGCAAGTTGCTACGACGGCCTTTTTTGCTTCTGATCCTGTTTCTGTAAGTTCACACTCTCTCTCTTTCGCGGATACCCGTTGCGTTTTTCTTTCTTTCTCCAATAATCAAATATCCTGACTGTCCCATATAGAGGAGTATTGAAATTCTGCTCCCTCGCATGGGACGCCCTAGTCTATCTCTTCCCCGACAATCTCGACAGTCAACTAGGCGCCTGGCACATCCCCGGGGGACGCTACTCGATATTCTCACACTGGAGCACCCATGGCGTGATCCCTGTTGGATGCCATTCACACAACGACTACTGGCGAGAGATCCCGCTGCGATCCGCCGTAGACGCGGGCTGTATCGGTGTCGAAGCGGATATCTGGCTATCGGATAACGACCTGTTAGTCGGCCATACTCGATTCACCCTCCACCACGACCACACTCTTCGCAGTCTCTATCTCGATCCCCTGCTGGATATCCTCGACAAACACAACACGCCCTCTAGCCGTCTGCAGCCGCGGCGGGGAAATGGCTCCGACTTAGCTGGCGTCTTTGCCAACGATCCTTCTCAGACTTTGGTTCTGTTGCTCGATTTTAAAACTGACGGCGACGTCCTCTGGCAACATGTCGTTGATCAACTCGATAGTCTCCGTCAGGCAGGGTACTTGACGCACTTTAATGGTACGGCTGTCGTGCAACGACCCATCACCGTCGTGGCAACGGGGTACGCACCATTCCATCTCATCGTAGCAAATACCACCTATCGAGATATCTTCCTCGATGCGCCCCTGGATAAACTACGATTCAGGGACCCATCCCCTTTCGACCAGCCAGCAGAACAACAAGAAACCGACCGAGAAGAAGAAGAAGGAGAATACATTTCCGAAGACTACAGCCTCTCCAACAGCTACTACGCCTCCGTTGATTTCCGCAAAGCAATCGGTCCTCTCTTCCACAATCGCTTCTCGCAAGCCCAGCTCGAGCTCCTACGAGATCAAGTCCGCGCAGCTCACACGCGCGGTCTCAAGGTTCGGTATTGGGGCACACCGACTTGGCCGCGCGGTCTACGGAATCATATCTGGCATATCCTGGTGCGCGAGGGTGTGGATTTGATTAATGTGGATGATCTTCGAGAGGCGACGATGCAGGATTGGAGGAAGCATCGGAGTTGGTTTTCTTAGTTGTAGCGAGTATATGTGTGCGGGTGGAGTTTCTTTCTTTCTTTTTTTTTGTTTTTTTATGTTTTTAAAGATGGATTATTATTGTAGAGTAATGAAGGTCACATGTGCGAAATCTGAACTGAACCTGTGTGTATAAATAAATAATGAATATGACTGTTTCACAGAATAATACCGTTTCTCAGAGAATCGTATCATTCCCAGCATGAATCGATCATCATCCTCCTACTCTAATCCCATGTATTCGTCCTAATTTATGGCTGCGGATTCATTAACTCGATTGTAGACAATATTCCCACTAACTCCCTCATTTAGTTAACTATCTTGGTTAATTATCATCCTTGACTTTGTTTATCTATCTATCAATCAATTTACTTCAGCTCGCTCTCTCGCCATGATCAGGAATCGCAATGTTACTGATTTCGAAACTTGGAAATATATCTTATTCTGTAGTTAACTATCATGTACGCTGATATAAAAACAGATAGAACTAATTATAAACACGAAGCGCCGTATCGCCATCCAATCCTGAAAAAGAAAACACAAATCGATGTATCCGCTGAGTCAGTCAGTCATTCATTCTAGGCCTGAGAGCGAGGCCAGTAGGCTTTTTCTTTTCTTTTCTTTTCTTGTAGTCGTGATCATCTGCGGTTCTCTCCCGGATGTTCGTCTCTGAAACGATGTGTCCCATTATGGGACTCGAGGGAAGTGTCGCGGTGAAATATCTGAATATCTCCTGAGGATGAACTGTAGAGCAATATGCAATATCGTCCCACTGTCTCAACCTGATACCGACGTGAACAAATCCCAGAATCGAATCGAATCGAACCTCAGCAATATGCAGAGAGAGTCACACTCGCATATCCTCAAAATAACGAATATAAACCTTTCCCCCAGGCTAAGAACCAGCCCTCAACGCCCTCAACCTCGCACCCAACGCATCCTCCACATCCGCATCCGCATGCACCGGCTCCGCCGCCGCCCTCTCCCTCACCTCCTCCTTAGGCGCCGAATCCTGCTCGAGCGTCATCCTCAAATCCACACCAGCCTTATCAGCCAACTTCTGCATCAACCGATCCACCTCCTCCTGGCCCTCGGGACCGTTCTCCTGCATCGACACCCCCTGCGCCACCTCCTCGATGGCATTACTCGCAATCTTGAAATCCTCCGACCGCGCCAAGAAGTTATTCGCATGGGACAGGAGGTTCTCCAAATTCACACTCCTCGACGCTGCTTCTAGGCCCTTACTCGCGACCGCGAGGGTGTAGGCCGTGTCGCGGGTGGATTGGACGGCTTTGAGCTCGTTGATGATCACTTCGGCGTGCGCGGCTTCGTATTTCAGTTTGATTTGGCGTTTCTTTTCGCGGACGGCGGAGCCGGCGTGGATGCGCGCGATGTCGAATTCGCGGTTCTCGATCGCTCGGTCGGCTTTCTTTTCTTCGGCTTCGGAGGTCTTGCCGGCGCGGATGGCTTCTTTTTTGAGCCGGTTCATGTGCCACTGTATAGATTTGTTAGTGTTTCAGTAGTAATGGGTGATGTATTGTTTTTGGAAGATCGTGGAGAGGGTGATGATGTGACTTGACACACCCCTCATTCCCGGACCTGGGGTATAATGAGGGGAAAGAGGAAGAGCACGCGGAAAGACCAGAAACTCACTTGCACTTTGGCACGGGCTTCGAAGATGGGATCTTGCCGAGGCATGTTGATAGATACCTACGGCGATGATCCAGGGAGAGACAGATGGATGTGTTGGGAGAGAAGAAGAGCAGTCGAGATGTGGCGAAGACGTGATACATGGTCGATCCTCGTCCGTCGGAGACGTCCGCCGGGTAAAGAAAGACGACTAGACCAGCACGGGACTTGGCAACGCAATTATTCTTTCTGCCTGAAGATGAATCAAATAGATATCGAGAAATTCAATTCAAGCATCATATTAACATGAAAAAATGACAGGTTATCACGTCGAATGTATGGAATTAGTTCAGTGAATCAAGCATATCATATCGTACATACAACACCATACATGACTACGAACTACAGTTGGAACACAAGTAACAGTAATAATTAATAGCAAGTAGATTTATGTAGTGTACAACCTAACAACTAACAAGGCTTTCCCATCAGCAGCGACGTTAATGTCTGGCCGCCGTTCAGACCCCACGAACTCCGAGTACTCCCATGATAATCTTCGTAGCCAGAGTGCCCACTCCGCTTTGCCCGTTCTATATCCCTGGACCGTCGCTTGAATTTGCTGGACTTCCCAATACAATCAATGGCAAACGCCATGGTCAACAACAACTCCCAATCCGGCCGGCCGGACCGGTCACCGACGGGCGACCAGGCCTGTCCGGCGAAGCGCTCCCTAACCGCTAGCTGCAAGGTCTTGCCCGTCGCATCACGAAGCGGACGCGCCAAGGCAGGGCTGCAAGCCAGAAGTCTGGTGAGAAGCTTCTTCCGAAAGACCGATCGCCGGGTCTGTGCCGGAGAGGCCGACAGGCTCGGGGTCGAAATCAACCAGAGAATCAAAGGGAAATGCCGAGAGATCTCCTCCGGCGAGAAGGTCAAGGGCGAGCCCGTCTTCAGGGAGCGGAGAATCCGGCTCAGCGGGTGAATCACTGTAGAATAGGCGGCGGAAGTCATCGTCAGAAAGAGGAGCTGCATGATCACGTACAGCGTCCGCTGGAACGCTGGATCGGCCGTCAAAGAGAGAGAGCGCGCCTGCGGAGCCTTCGAGGCCGCCGACTGACACTGCAGGTCACACAACATCGCTGCAGGATGTTGTGTCAGGTCGGCGGCCTCAGCCAGATCCGAGGGCTTCAGGCTGGGGGGGTAATCGGTGATGGAGGGGGTCGGGAAGGGGATGCGGTCGAGGGAAACGTCGTCGCCCTCCTGCTTGAACAGGGTCGGGGTCAGCGTGGGCGAGGCCGCACTGCTGGGGACGGCCTTGGGGGAGTTGCTGCGGGATCCACGAATCTCGGCGGAGAGCTGAGCAACCTGCCGGTTAAGGCGACTGTTCTCTGCTTCGATCTGCGCGAGTCGCTGGAGCAGGAACTGGTTCTGCTGCTCCATCCGTTGCTTCTCCCCCTCGAGTTTCTCGACCTCGAGCCTCTTGCGCTCCCGGGAGGTCTGCGCTGCCGCTCGATTCCGCAGGACGCGTTCGATGCGGCGCTGTTCTTTTTCATCTTCTGTTTTGGCTCGTTTTCTGGGGCACAGTTAGCGGCGCTGGGTTCGAGGCGAGGTAATATTTATATAGTCGCCGTGACGGGATGCTCACCTTGGAGGTAGGTTGGTCTTGGGAACGGGGAGCTCCTGGCCCCATGATTTCCGCTTCTTGACCGGCTTCTTTTCCTCTGTCTTGCTGTCTTCGGCCTTGGGCTCTGGGGAGGCGGAGAGAGAGGTATCGGCGGGGGAGATGGTCAGCTGGGGCACGTCCGATCCTGGCGTGGAGGGCGACGGGTCCAGCGAGAAGAGGTTGTCGTGTTCCATGGTGTCCATGTTGGTTCTATCCATTCTTTTTTGTCTATCGTGAATTCCTTAGAGATTCTCGATCATACAAAGAAAGAAGAGAGAGACGTCTGGTAGAGATGATGGAGACGATCTAATGGGCCATCTGCCACGGTGTCATCACGACTAACCCCAGGAGGGGGAGAAGACAGAGAAGATAGACAAGTTCCGCTAGCTGGTCGAGAAGAGGACACCTGGCCAGAAGGAGTGATGGATAAATGGCCGCCTGGAAACAGCAACTTGATCTGGGGACACGACGGCCTTTAAGAAAGGCCAGCGTGGTCTCATCCAGGGGTGAGCCTGGTAATCATCATGTACTGTACTGTCACGTAACAATGAGACTCCGCCACCGCCTGCTCTTCCGGTGGATCCGGAACATCTGGTCCGTCGCCGTAGAAGGACGCCAATTGGTTCTAGCGGCCCCTGCTATTTTTACGTTACGCACGCCGATTACGTGCTGGACCGGTTATATGATGACTGCTATTATTATCAATTATCATCATCATCATTATTCTCCTTTTTATTATGATAATAATATCATTGTATTGGGGTCAATAGATCCCTCTTAAGTTACTCTTCACAACTACTATACACTCCTACATACCTCGTTCCCCAGTGGAATGTTGGGCAAGAGCAGATACATCCATCCATTCATTCATCCCATTCTCATTCCCACTCTTATTCTCCCTTCTCCACTCTTTGTCCCCCCTCCTTGCGGCATCTGAAACAGTCGGATTTCAGCTCTGGTCTGGTCACCCCTGGTCTAGTCTAGTCTAGTCTACCGTATTCTAGTCCCGCCCCCGTTCAGCGGCAGCCTGATCGCTGATCGACCAGATCAACTACTGTATCTACTATCTATTCTACTTTAGACAACGCTCGAGAACACACTAAGAACAATACCATTCTACACCGATTATTCTCTAGTAATCACTCTACGGGAGGATACTGAGTTATTATTATTATCATTATTATTACTTTCGAGTAACTCCGTAGTACGGAGTATTTGTAACTAGTAATGGATAAGAACAGTTAATAAGGGGTCTATCTTACGTACCTCTGTCACGTAACTTGATTGTAGACCATCCCCCTCAAGGGCGGGAAAGGAGGGGGGCAGTGTCGATCGCGCCATGGAAGTACTACCATAACATGAATTCAAATATTACCTGAACCAACACTCGCATATTGGCACACACACACAGCCTCTTAGAAGTCAATAATGTAATTAATTGATTACTGTGTTGAACACTGCAGCAGAGTAGTTAACTATGGTAGAATGCCTTATGGTATTCAGCCCCCATTCTTCCGATCAGTGTCCAATTTCTCACGTCATTCATCTATTTTGGATTGTCATTGTCCCTTTTTATTCATCCGATGAGGAATAACTGATTCAGTGGTGTGCTATTCTAAGCACTTACTCGAGAGTGCAGCACCCGGTTTCTAGTAGTCGAAGTGCATGCATGCACTTGTAGTTAGTTTATGATATGGATTAGTTACGAGATACAAAGAAAAGAGAAAAGAAAAGAAATAGTGGCTCAGTACTTCTTCAGTTCAGCATATGCATGGTCATTTCTCAAGTCAGTCGGTATGTCACACTGCCAAGTTAAGTGATGTAATATATATAATAATGTAATGTTTCGAGGCCAATTCAATAGGAATGCTTTTGTGTCTAGGATGATCGTTCCATTGTAAAATAAAACCAAGGGCCATTGAACACCGCTGCGAGGTATATCAGGAAAACGTAGTAAAGAAAGTCAAACATGTCCCAATCAGATCGCACAAACGCCCAGTCAAGCCATGAGAATGTGCCGCATTTCTATTCCGTTGCATTCAACAAATTCCCTGCCTTCTCAATTCGAGTTTCTTCCTCGTCTAGAGAGCCATGTCCATCGTGTCATCGCCTGCATCGCCCGCTCCCTGTCCGGCTTCCGGAGCTACAACTCCCCGGCCTCTGCCTGCCAGCAGCTCGCGACGCACCTCGGGTCCTATATCCTTGTGGCCCCGCACGAGCAACAGGTCCAGCAGCGCCTCACGCTGGTCCTCCGTGATGTCGTTGCGGTACCGCTGCGCAAACACCAGCAGCGACTGATGCCACAGCACCGGCAGCTTAAAGTTCTTCGCGGCCGCCGCAGACGGTGTCTGTCCCTGCATCAGCGTATCCTCGCTGTTGTCCATCGCCCGGAATCGAAGGAAGTGGAAGACCAGAGCGTCAATGACCTTGTACGGCAGCGCGTACTTCTTCTCCAGGAAGACCCGGATGAACGTGTTGACCGCGCCGGTGCCCTCGGACGACAGCGACGCCGACGTCTGCTCGGCGGAAATGTCGCACATGCGCAGCAGTGCAGCAGCCGAGTGCAGAACTGGAATCGACACACGGGCGATCACAGAGGAAATAATGTGGGCTTCGCGAAGGGTGCAGGTGCCGGTGCCGACGAGGGGGAAGAGAAGGCCCTTGAAGAAGCAGGCCGGCTTGTAGAGCGCTTTCTTCAGAGCGTTGTAAATGTGCACATTCAGCTTCTTGGTCTCGTGGATGTCGTGACGAACACGGTCCAGCAGGACGATATTGATAAATTCCTGGGCCACAACGGGCTTGTGCGAGATGAAGATTTTCGTGCCGGCGTAGACGGCGTTGGGAGACCAATTCTCCGGTCGGGTAATATCAAGCAGCGTCTGCCATTGAGGAAGGGTAGGAAGGATCTTGAAGGGCTTCGGTAGCGGGCCGGACTTGTATCGCGAGAGAAGCATACCGACTCTGGATGAACGTTAGCATCCATGGCTCCGGATGACAGTATATCTATCTATACTTACTTCTCATACACCTCCACTGCCTTGGCCGGGATCTGGACAGCATCCTCGGGCAATCCACCGCCCTGGATATGCGGTCCGGTGTTTCCAGCCTGCTTGGCCTCGTACGCGGCAATCTTCTCCAGGATAAGATCTGTCAGATTCGTGCCGGGACCTTCGTCCTCGTCTGCTGAACGAGGGTTGAAGATGGGGTCCTGATCACCACCGGGAATAAACTTATGGAACAAATCGAGGTCGTTAGGGTCGAGTTCCTATGCTCAATTAGCATCTTCTTCCAGTAGTGAACGGCCTCTATACGCAGGTGCCCGCGATATATGATAGCATTCAACAACATACCACTTCCTCGACCTCCTCCTCCCAATCCTCCTCACCAAACTGCGCACCATCATCTGACATATTATCATCATCTTCAAACCGCGACTCGAAGTGGAATGCAGAGTTTATCTTCGGCTCCGTCTCTCCCAGCGCGGCCCTGGTTTCCGCCGCATCCTCATCGGCGAGATCCTGACCGATCTGCAGGATCTTTCGTGATGCCTTCGCATCGATGTAGTGCTCGCCCTCATCATCGCTGGTCTGCTGCGACTTGCGTTTACCGGAAGATTTCGTACGCAAATGTCCTGTCGCAACCAAATCGTCGGCGAGCGGATTGTGCCTGCGGGCAGCGGCCGCGGAGCGGGAAGAAGTAGCCTTGGGCATGGTGATACCCTTTTTTCGCGTTCTCCGAAGGGGGTCCGGAGATATTCGAGATTCAGTATAGATGTGACCCCGTTCAGAAACACAGACTCTTCTTTTCGTCTTGCTGGGAAGAGCAATTCTGCTGTCTTCGTCGCCGCTTGCTCCAATCTCATGCCCCTCAAAATTGTGTGTAAATTTTTGGTCATGTGACTTTAAGCGTTGCCGTAGTGCGGGCGGTGAGAGCCCGATAAGCCAACCACGTGACAGTATACAGGCTAGACCCGTTCGGGTTAGAGGGTAGGTAGGGCACCCCTCTGTCAAGATCAGCGATTGTAACCCTCGGAATAAGTACTCCGTACTACGAATGGTATATTCGCGACAAGTATCTCGCGATCATCTAAATATATCTAAGTGGTAACGGATGAACTGGCCCGCAACAAAAGTCTATGTAGCTATTCGCCGGATCATACTGCCAGTTCTTCGACAAGGATTCTTTGGATTTCGTCCAAATATGTCTGAATATCACTGGGAGATTCGTACCCGTCATTGAAACTGTAGACCAGGCGGAGGCTGTCCCGAAACGTGTAAACGAAAAACATGCTCATGCCCAAAACAACATCGACTCCGATTTTCACATCTTTAACAGTGAAAGCGTCACCGTACGTGCGCTGCAGGTGACGCTCAACTATACCTAAGCTACTTACCAGTGCGTCTCTGGAGATTGGCTTTTCAGCGAACTCTGGTGTCTGGACAGCGTCGAGCATGCTGCGTGTGAAAGGCTCCTTGAGTCCTAGGTTGTCCGGGTTTCCCTTGAAGGTATTCTTATAGTAGTTGTCCAAGAGATATGCTGTGTCCCAGAAGGAAGAAGGAAGGTCCATCCGAAAAGCAAAAGGTGTATAGTAGACCGAGACAGCATAGGTGCTGGTACAGTACGGCCCTGGGAGATATGGTCGCAGGTTGAACTGGTTTGCGGTCACATATTGCGAACTTTTGAAGTTGAAATCCCCATGCTTGACGACCATTTGGATGTATGCTGCATGTATAGCAGCAGTGACAGTCACACCTTTATCTTTACATGCCTTGACAATGGCCGCAGTCATGTTCGAGGGAAAGACAAGCTCCGTGTGCTGACATTGACCGGACGGTGCATTTCCGACCTTCGAGACAGGGCCAATTCCGGGAAAACTATCAAACCAGTCTGCAACGAGAGTGCGCACTTTCTCGTCCTTCTCAGCTTGTTCTGGGTAGCCCAGAATTTCTTCCGTAGTGGGCGCCAGTCTGGTATGCTCGTCACCGAACTTGATATCCTGCGCAGGAGCTGTCAGGGCGCTCAGGTATCTGTGCCAAAAGAGCAGCACGCCAGTACCATCAATCAAGTAGTGGTGAGCACGAAACACAAGCTCGGAAGACTTTGGGATATAGTACAGCGTCGCCTGTTTAATTGGTGTGGCTTTCCGGTACAGTTCCTCTGCGTCTGAAGCTGATGAAACAATAAATGTTGAGGTAACCCATTCCTGTAAGGAGGTCTCATCTGGCACCTCATACACCAATTTCATGCCTTCGACCGTCGCCGCTATCTGGGGCTGTTCGTATCGTAGTTGTGTCCAGGCGTGTTTTAACGCGGACTCCGCATCGGTCAGATCAGTCTCGATGGTAAGCTTGGAGTAGAGAACATAATGCTGGCGGCCGTCGCACAATCATCCCGAGAATGCCCCGGCGACGACAAAGTAGCCTTCAAGGCCGTCAAGAGGACGCTCCCACCGGTTGTATGATGTATTTGACCAACCCATGATTCCTCCTGTATACACTCTATGTGCGATTGAAAGCTATCCCAGTCTTGAATTTCAATAGCAGTGTGGCACAATAACAAGAAATTCTGAAGTTGAAAATGAGAAATGTGCCGAATCTTATGGTACCGAAGCAATAGTAAATGTTGAACCTCTAGCTGGTAGAGCGAGTTGCTTGCCTGACTATAGGTCTAGGGTGAGGTGATATGTTTCCTAGACATACAAATAATCTAGCTTCTAGTGATCTACATACTAGCTTCTGGCCCCCAAAACCAAGGTGATGAAGCTAAGCACGAAGAACAAGTTGTAAACGGATGATATTACAGATTACCATGCGTGTGGCCTTTGTGCAACGACAATAGGGATGATTGTCAAGCTTAGCTGACGACCCGATAGCGGCAGGTGGCCTAAGTCTTGGTTTAATGTCAATGCGGCTGACTCGATAGAAAGGAAAATACGCATAATTAATGCGAAGCCACGATGAATTCTGTGCACTACAGTTAGTTGATAAGTATAATTTGACTGACTTTCTATCTTCAGCCTGTTGCAGTCCGATATCAGCCCCCTGCCCCGCGTCAATTATGCCGCTGCTTTAGGCAAGGCCACCTGTAAGGAAATATAAAAGCTTATCCAGAACGAACTAGAGTAGAAATATAGCAATATTATACAAGGCAACCATGCCGTGGAGCCAAAGTGAAGATAATGTCTTTTCTCGCCCCTTGGGCGAGAACGAGACTTTCCTGAAGCTCATCGGTGATTCAGGCCTTAGTTTGCAGCGTGAACACTGGGCAGTCAACTTCACGGCAAAAATAGACACAACTGGCTCTTTCGATGATGATGATGAATTCCTCGCTGCCCAGCTGCGGCGGGCCTGGGCTCATTTGCGCTTCCAACATCCCAGCCTGGCAGCCGAGCCGGAGGGCAACCATCTGCGGTATACAGTGCCCCTGTCCAAGATAGCGCTCCAGGACTGGGTCGACAAGACATTCACAGTGGTATCAGATGCACCATCTACGTCTGAACTCATCACGACACTAAAGCCTACGCCATATGCACAATTGTACTTCTTGCCCAAGAGCCGCGAGATCCTCGGGCACACAGCGCATTGGCGCTCCGATGGAGTTGGAACGATGATGCTTCTCAATGCGCTTCTGGAGCTTTTAGCACGGCCAGATCTACCACAAGATCCATGGACTGCTCTCCCGTGGGGACAAGAAGTTGGTTCCCTACCACCAAGCGTGGAAGAAGCAGCTGCAGTACCAGAGGAACCATCAAGCGCGCAAGCCGCACAAGGAAGAAAAGCCTTCGAGACGTTTGGTCTAGCAGCAGGCGCTATAGGGATTCCTTGCCTGGGGGACAGCACTACTATACCAAGGGGAACCCGATGTGTATGCGTCACGCTGTCACCACAGACAACCGCAGCAGTAGTGGAGGCTGTACGATCCCGAGACCTGAGCGTGACCGCTGCTGTACATGCCAGCATCGCGGCAGCGAATTTCCAACTCGCAGACCCATCACAGCGTGATAGACACTACACCAGCACAATCCGGTTCACCCTGCGGCCATATATGCCAAAGCCATACAGTGGACCGGAGTATGCCTCCATGCTTCTGACAACTGGATGGATGGCACAAGTAAGCCCAGCAGAGAACTGGGCAACGCATGCGCAGAAATATCGGCAGGAATATCGCACAGCTATCTCGCCAGAATACCTGGGTGGCCATCGCGAGTATGCACGACTCCTATGCGATCTACTACGCAACAGTCCTGAAACAGAGGAGAAGCCACCTAGCGAGGTAGATATAAGCAGTATCGGCGTGATCGAAAAATGGATACGCCGTGAGTACGGCACGCCGAATTCGTCCATTCGAGTGCAGGCAATCAGCGTTGGGCTGGAAATGCTGACTCGGCAGGCTGTTTGCTTTGTGTGGACTTTTAGAGACTGTTTGAATTTGCAGATTGTTTATAACAAGGCTTTCCATGCGCCAGAACAGATGCAGGCCTTTGCAGAGACGACCAGAGCTGTGCTGTTAAAAGAATTGGGAGTGATGGGTACGGATTGAGCGGGAATTGATTTGTATATACTTCAATCTGGGGATATATGCTTGTTTCCAGAACTTGATGTCTACTGCTCTCGTCTTCAAGATCTGCGACATGTCAGTGTTCTTCTACGTCGTATACCATCGTCTATTATAGTCCGCTCAATCCCGCAGCTAGGACTGGGACCTATCTGATCTGCTCAACAAAGCCATGGACGATTTGGTCCTCGTAGACACCATTATAATAGCGCCCTCAGGGTGACCTGGATAATGGACATTGCTTATAGACCTAACAATGAATAGCAGGAGAAGAGGATATCGCACAATATCCTTTCAACAAACAAGGAATTAGAAAGAACAGCGCTAAAAGGCAATGTCCTATGTATCTATGCCAGGCTGATCATTGTACGGTATGTTGTCTAGTGATGAATGAAGAGGGGTGCTTAGCAAGTGAAGCTGGAAGAGTGAAAGACCCGCGTGAAGGGGAACACACTCACCCTGAAAGGGAAAAGCTCTATCTAGTCAAAACTGTCGGCCATTTCCTGCAACTTGACCAGATTCCATTCACCAATCGCCTGAGATTGTTGGACATTCCCTTCATAAATATTCTCTGGATACTCCTCCTCTCCTCACCGCCTTCATCGCAACCCACGCTTACTGGCTACTCTTCTGGCTATCTTCCTCACCGCCTTGCACACAGCGCCTCGCTAGTCCTGATTCTGATCTCAGCACGTGCTGTTCGGATATTTTGACCAGCAAAACAAGACTCTCACCGCCTTCGACAATGGCGTCTCATTCCCAACCGTGTAAGTTCTGCCCTCCGCTTTATATATTTAGCTGCTCTTCCTCGAGGACGAACTTCTCCCCGCATCGCACTCGTTCTCTGTATCTCTATATACACTGACCTAACGCGCACCTCTTCTTGCTCTGTCTGTTTTATATATATTCGAGTGCGATTGTACATTATCTTATATACATATATATACTAACTCGCAGCAGTTACTGCTGCTCCGGCGGCTGCTCCAGCCAACCAACCTCCAGTCTTACCGGAGTCAGCAGGGACTCGCTGGGCCCCTCGAGATCCGTTGAGGCCCGGCGCGGCGGGCGAAGCTTCGAGCCTTTGGGTCAAGGAAGCTGCCGCATTTGGGGGAAGGCTTCTTTGGGGCTGCGCACACTGCGGCAGCACGGCAACCCGCTTCAAGGGCCTCCGTGATCATCACAGTGGGAGGGACGGCTCTAGGGGCATGCACCCGGATCATCCCTTTGAGGACTTTACGTGCTGTATAAATAATCCGAATGTGAGTGGTTCCGCTATACTTTTCGCCCATGGTTCCCATTGTGGAGGCTATCCAGGTGGGAGATTTGGAGATTTGGATAGACTTATGCTTGACAAAGAAAGATGCTGACATTGGTGATCATTCACAGCTGCAAACCCCGCGTCCTCTCATTCCCGAACTCAGGGAAGCGGCAGTCAGGGCAATCAACGAGGGCAGAGTGCTGCCATATACTCTCCAACGCTTCGACCAATTTTATACCGGCCCTGCGCTCCCTGCATACCCTCCTGGCCTTGCGCCAGCCGGCCTCGCTCCCTCTTTTGCTCCAACTCTGGCCCCAGCCCCGGCCCTTGGTCCTGGTCCTCTTCTTCCTACTCTTCCTGACTTCGGTCATCTCACCAGTCTAAATCAGCATACGCCTGCTGCCAACAATTTCCCTGCCCCTTCCTCCGCCTATTCCTCTGATCAAGCTGCCGGCCCGGCTTTCGAGGATTTCCCCACCACGTCTGACCAGTGGCCTTTCTTCCCAGAAGAGGACTACCCGGTTCTGGGAGAACAGCAAACAGGGGCAGGCACAGAAGTAGAATTCGGCAGTCAGTACTACTCGTATAACCCCGGAGAATACGAGGAAAGGTACGAGGAAGAAAACCAGGAAGGCGAGTCGTCTTTCTAGGAGCTCGAGCGGTGTGCCATCGGTCAGCATCTAACAGATTATTTTTATTGCTCTATTGTGGTTGTGTTGCTCGGCCTGTACCAGGCGGCTATTTCCTTCTATTTCGAAAATGGCGTCTCACCAACAAGCGGGCTCCTCTGTACCGCCTTCTAGCATCAACTCTCCAGCCCCTGCATCCACCAACGGTCAAGAAACTAGCAACACAATGGCAGACCATGCGAAATCATCTCCTGCTCCCTCCCTGGCAGCCGATAGTGCCAGATCCAAACGAAATAAACGCGATAGTCGCAAAAAACGCGAGGCAAAAGGCCTTGATCAGGACAATATGCCCCCTAAAAAGAAAGCCGTCATTGCTCACAGCTCAGCTGTCCCCTCTTCTGCTCTTTCGATCCTTCGTCCTATGCTCCTTGCCGATCCTCGTCCCTCTGACCTCCTACCCGCGCAGCCCCGTCATCTGAACTTTGTGTATCAGAAGACTTCTGATGTCCTCAACCAGAGTTGGCGTTTCTACGAAGTCGTCGATAAACTCACAAACAAGAACGGCTTCCGTTACAGCTATGCCGTTGCCGATCCCGGATTTCCACACATCAAGTACCGCCAAACTGATGTCCCGCCTTATCATGCTCGATTCAGCTTTGAGGATTCTCCTGCTGCGATCACCTTCACCCAAGATGCTTTGGCCGTTACGACCAACGAGCCCTGGCACACTGCTCGTGCCAACGTCTGTGCAAGAGAGGGGTCTTATTATTACGAAGCTCGCGTCGTGAGTGGCATCGTCGATCCAGCACGGCGTGTGTCGAGCGCTGGTTCTGACTCCACGTCTCGCGGACATGTTCGCCTCGGTTTTGCACGGCGTGAAGCTGAACTCGACGTCAACGTTGGGGTTGACTGCTATGGTTACGGCATACGTGACGTGAATGGCGAAGTTGTCAATCGGATGCGCTGCGAGTATTTCTTCCCCAAGGGAGAGGCCATTCACGAGGGCGACGTGATAGGCATGCTTATTACTCTTCCACCTCTCTCCCTCCACAAGAAAGTCGTCGAAGGCACCTATGACCCCGCTGTCGATGGCGATGGCAAGAACCTCCACTCTGACCAACCTTACTATACCAATATGATCCGCGACCGTATCCCATTTCACCTCAAATCAGATTTCTGCTGGCAACAGTCCAATATCTTCCCAACCAAACATCTTCGAGACTACGCATTCAACCTGAAGGAGACCCCCACCTTCGGCCCACCATCACCTCTGAACAGCGAAGATCCGTCTCTTCGTACCCTGCCTGGTTCTAGCATCACTATCTTCAAGAATGGCGTCAAGATGGGTACGCCTTTCAAAGAGCTCTACGCCTTCCTTCCGCCCGCCAGTCGACTGGCCAACGGGTCGAACAACCTTGGTATTGGCGAAAGAGAAAATGCAGACGATGGCATGATTGGGTACTTCCCCGCCGTCAGCTGCTATGGGGGAGGTGCGGTGGAATGTCGTTTCGAAGGACCCTGGTGGGTTGGTCCCCCTTCAACCACGGAGGACGGCCAGCCGATCCGTGCTATTGGAGAGAGATTCAACGATCAGATCGTGGAAGATGTCCTCGCTGACATCATTGATGAAGTCGAAGCTATGTTCCTGTGGGGTGGCCTGGAGGGAGACATTGTCGCGCGCAATACGGGCTTTGACGGTCAGGGAACCGGTGGCATTGGAGGCGCGGATGTGGCTAACGGCGGCGTGGGAGCCGTTTACCAGGCTGCTGCCGCATCATCTACTCGCTCTGCGCCTGCGGATGGGGACCATGATGAACCTGCCGGTCATCATCTCAGTCATATCGGTAACGAAGATGGAATGAGCGTGGACGCAGTAAGCACGCCAGACGCCGGTCCTGTGGGCGCAGGAGTTGATGGCGCAGATGACAAGGATGTTGAGATGACCTGACCGTGGCAACCATCTTTCAGTGGTCACATCCCTTGAATAGTCCCGGGGCACATCCTCTCTTAATATTGTCCTCTACAGCATCTCGCTCTCATTTTCAGTCTGGTCTCTTCGGAAAAGGCTATCTGGCCGCTCCTGGTTGTTAAAAATGGTGTTGGTTTTGCTCTCCATGGGAATAGATGGCTTACGGGATACCTTTTCAAGAGCTTGTTTTTTAACTGCTCCTTTTCAGCAAAGTGATGTGGCTTTCACATTGTGCTGTACGATTACGGATTATGGATTTGGTGGTTTTCTTCTATTCCCCTGTATGTATGTACGCGAATATGTTCTCAAGAAAAAGCCGCGTTTGGACTTTTCCAATCCTCCTTTTACCTTCCAGGAATAGTCCCTTGCAGTGATCAGGTAGCTATTATAGCTATCCTCTAACTGTCATTGTAATTTGATATCAGGTGACATTCTTAATCATACATCGAGGCTGATTAAACCTCAGAAGAAAAAGTTCCCAGCTGCAGCCAGCCTGCAGCGATAACTAACACTGTACACATACAATCTAATCCAAGCCCAGCCAAGCCAAGCCATGGAGATAAATATTCATCATAGACAAAACGTGAAACTTCGACCTTAATCCGTTCTCGCATCTTCTAATATATTACCGACTTTCATCACCAGGTCGTCATCGCCGAATTGGCCGATTACCTGAATACCGATCATGTCTGTGCCGTGCTCGTTTTCGGGGTTGCGGATAGGCACGGATATGGCTGGTAATCCGGCCAAGCTTGCAGGAACGGTGAAGACGTCGTTGATGTAGGCGTTGACGGGGGGGATGTTGGGGTCTGTTAGGGAGGAGAGGTGTGGGGGGTACGAAGGAGCGGTGGGGGAGATGAGGACGTCCACGCCGAGATTGTCTGGGTGTTTTTGGGGAGTTGGTTCCGCTGTGGAGGTTTGGGAGGAGGAGGATGAGGAGGGAGAAGAAGCAAGCGGATTAGGCCGGGTGAAGGTATTATCAAAGTCGTTCTGGACGAGACGACGGACTTTCTGAGCTTGGATGAAGTAATTGTCCATCGCGTGGGCGCTTAACGTGAAGGCTCCGAGCAGTATTCGTCTCTGGACCTCTGGGCCGAATTTATCTCCTCGCGTGCGGGCGTAGAGATATCCATCGGGGTCACCTCCGCTGTCTGGGCCTTCTGCGCGACTGCCGTAACGGATACCGTCGTATTTGGCCAGGTTGGAGGATGCCTCTGCCGGGGCAATGACATAGTATGCTGATAGCGCCAGCTTTGTTGCCGGTAGAGAAACTGGATGGATTGTGTGGCCTTGTTTTTGAAGATGGCGCAGGGATGAGAGCCAGGCATCACGGACAGGCGGTGCTAGTTCAGAGATGTTGTATTCGACAGGGACACCCACTCGAAGGGGCCGCGAGACTAGCCGCTTCGACAAGGACGACTCAGCTAGCTGATCTATGATTCGGGAGCGTGTCGATTGTGAGAGACTTGTAGGATCTCGAGGTTCATGGTAGTTGAGAACATCTGGAGTCATGTAAGCAGACTTGACTTGTTACAGCCAGATCTGGTTTTCATGAAGGGACAGACATACCAAAGACCTCGCGCACTGCAGCTGTATTCCTGGCAATAATACCAACTGTATCGAGAGAATTTGCATAGGGAACCACTCCCCATCGCGAGATGAGCCCGTATGAGGGCTTGAAGCCCACCGTTCCAGTATAAGCGGCCGGAAGCCGTACTGAACCACCAGTATCCGTTCCCAAGGCCCTAAGATGATCTTAGCAATAGCAACTAGAAGCAAGTAATGACATCAAGCAGAACATACGCATAACATTGCTCCGTAGCAACCGCAACAGCACTGCCGCCAGAGCTTCCACCCGCAGATAACTCATGACCGCCATCCTTCCGATGTTGCTTAACTGGACCGAACCAGGACTGTGTCGAATGAGACCCCATGCCAAATTCATCAAGGTTCGTCTTCCCTGCAACTACCGCTCCTGCACTGCCTAACTTCTCAACGACCGTTGCGTTGAAGGGGCTGTTGAACTTTTCTAGGATCCCCGAAGCGCATGTGGTCGGTAAGTCGCGCGTGCAGATGTTATCTTTCACAGCGACGAGTTTTCCGTCGAGGGGAGAGCGTGGATTTCCTTAATCACCATCAAAATTCAAATTAGCAACGATCTCCTTTTGAAAGAGAACATTAGGAATGAGGACGTAAGAGCTCCCCTCCTTACCATGCTGTCTCCGCGCATCCGCATCCCTCACGGAGTCCAACCACGGACCGGAGCGCTGCAACGGCGTGATGAAGGCATTGAGGCCAGCATGTTTCTGCTGGTTAACGATGCATCTTTCTGCCTCGCGCAGGACAGACATTTATTTATGCCTGGGGATATATCGCTTAGATGAGGTTTACACTTGCATTTCTTTCTCCCGCAGCGGAGATGGAGAGTCCAGTCCGCGCGTGGTCCGTGCATCGAGCCTTTGGTTGGTTGGAGTATGTATTTAGTAGTTATGGTAAACTGCGAACTACAGCAGAAGTTAAGGAGAGGAACTGTCAATTAAACAGCTACACGTTAAGAAGGAAGAATTAGTATTACACTAGATAGAATTGTGTGTGGTGAGTCCTCCTGAATCTCGTATGACCTGCCTGTACTTGAACACACAATGGGCAAATATCTATATTTAACCCAACAAATGTCCGTTTGGACGGCAGCTGTGGCATTGAGACTGATTATTTTGCTCCTAACTAGTCCTAGATGTCCAATGTCATCTGCTGCATGGCAACTGGACCGGGAGACGTCAAGACTAGCTGCGAAAGGATGGAAGAAGATCAAGAGCCGGAATAACAATAGAAACATCCATATACACACGCAGTATAATTACATATCAAAATAAAACCATCCCCCGTCTCCACAGTGGCCAAACATGTGCCTATATTAATAATATCAAACGGACTAGTTAGTTATCGCATTGTCTAAGTAACTAACTTACCTCGGGTGAGCAGATCCCTTAAGCGACCGGTAGTTAGAAAAGCAGACAACGTCATCCCGGCTATGGAGAAGCTTCGCTCCGCCTTCCGCTAAATAAATAATGATATGAGCGAGTCGTTGCTCCAGTCGCTGCTCCAGACCAGACCATCATAGTTAAGACTCGAATCCATCTTTCTCTCTCGCATTCGTGGTCAGTGAACATTGGTTACTTATATCTCCCAACAGTCACCATGTTCTCTCGGGGCGCGCTTCGAACTGCTGCGAACAGGGTCCGCAGTGTCCCAGCAGCTCCCTTCGGTTTGGGATCTCCTCTGACCCGAACATGTCTGGAGCCAACCCGGAGGGCGGTTGCTGGTCAATCGATCGAGGGTCGCAGATTCGTCTCTGCATACGGCTACCAGCAGGCCAAAGCTCTGGTCTACTCGAAGTATGGAGAGCCGAAAGACGTGCTCAAGTATGTGTGCCTGCGACAGCAATCAACGTTTTGGCGGGGATAGCGTGCTAACATGATCCTCGAAACGATTTCTAGGCTCCATAAGCACTCAATTGCCCCTCCTCATGGGTCGCAGGTCACCCTCCGTCTGCTAACTGCGCCGCTGAACCCCGCGGATATCAACCAGATTCAGGGCGTCTACCCCAGCAAACCACCCTTCGAGACCACGCTGGGCACGAGCGAGCCGTCCGCCGTCGCTGGAAATGAGGGTGCCTTCGAAGTCATCGCAACCGGTTCCGGCGTCAAGAACCTCAAGAAGGGCGACTGGGTGATCATGAAGCGCACGGGGCAGGGCACCTGGCGAACACACGCCCAGATGGACGAGTCGAAGCTGATCAAGGTCGACAAGGAGGGTTTGACTCCCCTCCAGGTCGGTACCGTCAGCGTCAACCCCGTGACTGCCTACCGCATGATCAAGGATTTCTGTAACTGGGACTGGCTGCGCGCTGGAGAGGAGTGGCTGATCCAGAACGGCGCCAACAGCGGCGTCGGACGCGCTGCCATCCAGCTGTCGCGGGAGTGGGGGATCAAGACTCTCAACGTAGTTCGAGACCGACAGACCCCCGAGGAGACGGAGGCGTTGAAGAAGGATCTGTATGAATTGGGCGCTACGGCCGTCGTGGCCGAGTCGGAGCTGCTTTCGAGCAGCTTCAAGGAGATCGTCAATGAGCTCACCCGCAAGGGCAAGGAGCCCATCCGGCTGGGTCTCAACTGCGTCGGTGGTAAGAACGCCACGGCACTGGCTAAGGTTCTTGCTCCCGGATCGCAGCTTGTCACGTACGGTGCGATGTCCAAGCAGCCAGTGGCCCTGCCGTCCGGACTTTTGATCTTCAAGGATTTGGTCTTCAGCGGCTTCTGGGTGAGCAAGTGGGGAGACAAACACCCTGAGTTGAAGGAAGACACCATCAACGACGTGCTTCGTCTGACGAGGGCTGGCAAATTCAAGGACATCCCCGTCCAGGAGGTCAAGTGGACCTTTGACAAGGGCGAAACCGAGCTGGCAGAGGAGGTGAACGGTACCCTGGGTGGTTTCCGCAGTGGAAAGGGTGTGTTTGTCTACGAAGAGTAAATTAATGCCTGATAGTTTCTGTAAGATTACAGTTGGATCTTGTTGGAAATCTCGACGTGGTTCTTATGTATATTCTGTCGAGCTATGCTATGGTCGTCTACACTTCTGCACGTAACAAAGTTGTGTTATACTGAAGTTACAGTGACCCATCTACTGTTCGCATTGCCAGTTCTTTTGGATCCAACTGAGAATCGTGCTGGTTAGTGTCTTCCCTGCCATGTAGACTTCGGCATCCTTTTTGAAGTCTACATCCAGCCCGGCGAACTTGGCCGCAATCGTCACGTACGGCTCGATAAAGTCAAGATAGACGAGATCTACAGTCTCAGGCTCGGACGAACCCTGAGAAGGGCCCGGCACAAAAGCCTGGATACAGTTAGGAACGCGGTAGAAGGAAATTGGCGAATGGACGGTATCATCGCCATCATCGCCCGCATCGTCATGTGTCGTGTAGCCAGGAACCAGTTCTGGCTCCGAGTCTGCGGAAAGCGGAACTTGAGATGCGGCTCTCCCCACGTCGATTGAGGTCGCCGCATTGAAGTCTTCATACTGTACGTCATGGGCGAAGGCCAACTGCTCTGGAGGGGTCAGAGGAACCCTCCGGGCATCATTGGAAGATGCCTCTGTGAAAACTTGAGGCTGCTTATTCAAGACCTCCACAACCTTTTGGGCAGTATTGTAAGGGACGTCCTTCACATACCGGAACCCACTCGTGAACGGGGACACAATGTAGACATCGTCCTGCGTAAATGGTCCCTTGAAGATGTCAAACCTGATAGCACCCGTGTTGATTATGGCCAGTGCGGGTTTGTCAGCTCGGGAGGCATCGTGCACTGAGCCGGGGAGGACATCCTTCTCCAACCAAGTGTAAATGCTGTCTTCACTTGGATACTTGGCACGAGTCATCCAAAGATCTTTGGGCGCGCAACCATGCACCAGATCAAGATGAAGTGCGCGCCGGGATTCTTCAATCAGACGGGATACATTCTGCCCATGTGCAGTGGGGAACGTATCTGCGTCCAAGCCGGTATGGTGATAGTAGGAGAAGAGGTTGTTGTCAATATATTTACGGTTGAAGCTGGGCGTCTTCGAACTGGGATTGGCAGCAGTAGAGAGACCATCGATAGACATGAATCCAACGGTCTCCATGAAGCGGCCGCTGGCCAGGCCATATGCCTGAGCATCGTACTTGACGTAGTCTCGGATATGCCAGTGGCCACCGAAGAATTGAATGGGAGTGTCCCATCGGATACTTCGGATCTCCTTGAATATCGCCAGATATTCCTTCGAGCGGACCGGAACATGACCTGCCACCAAGAATAAATCGACATCCTTATCCCGGATGGCCTCCTGAAACCAGTCCTCTTTGATCGTCTCCTCCACTGGCTGTACTACCGTGTTGTTGGCGTTGCCCGTAAAGTCAAATAGGAAGCCGAAGGCGACAATCCGAATTCCCTGGTTTTTGGTGGTAAATTTCTTGAATCGGGGAGCCAAGGGGACCAATTGTTGGGTCTGGGGGTCGTAAATATCGATGTTCGATGCGAGATAGTTTCCTCTGAAATTAGGAACCGTGGTCAAGAACTCGGCTTCGGAGGTGTTTTGCTTGTAAAGCTCGTGGTTCCCGGACGAAAGGAGATCGATGTGCTGATGCTTCAGAATTTCCGCTGTATAAATTCCCTTCGGTTCCGACGAGTCGTACAGGCCGTTCCCTTCCACACGATCGCCAGTATCGATCACCAACAGATCCCATCCTTGCGCCTCCGCCTTCTCCCGCATGTGAGTCGCGAACGAGACATAATCACCCCAATCGGCCGAGAACGACGGCCTGCAGCTCTACGGTCAGCCGCAGTCAACCACCGGAAGTGAAGAGGAAAGGTCACGGACGAGCTCCAGATGGACATACTCTTGCAGATGGCCGGCCAGCCAGCCGTGGGTATCAGTAGTGTGGAGGAAATTGAGCTGGCCCCATGTCAAATCCCGCAACGGCGCGGGGATAGGGTCGGATGCGGAAGGCTGGGATGCGAGAACAGCAGTTGCGAGCGAAAGGAAGATGGAGGAATAACAAAACATGTTCATGGACGATGAAGGAGATCAGAAGGAGAACGAGAACAAGAACAAGACCAGCTCGAACACACAATGCCTGATAAGAGATCCCCAGTGATATCAGACGGGGAGGAATGAATTAAGGAAGGGAGAGAGAAGGAAAGCATCGCATATCAGCGGAAGCTCCGTTCGGGATGGGGAACTTGGGAGGAGAGCTCGACAGTCCGAGGTCCGTCGTATGGTACGGTAACATACACAATAGCCGGGTTGCGAGGGGGGACAATGCGGGCGGGAGTGTTGACATCGGGCGGGTAAATACGGGTACGGAACGGTAAAAAGACCAGGCCATGCCGGTGAGCGTATACAGAACGCTTAGTCAACGCTGGCCCAACAGACTCGCGCTTCTCAAGCAACAACGATAAGTCGAACTTCGACTCTATCTCGGCCGGTTTTCCTCTCTTCTTCTCTTCCTTTCTTTCTCGTGCGCGCGAGCCTTTCTCCTCAGCCGGTCTTTGCTCCGTTCCTTCGTCTTCCAAGGAGTCAATCCCCCTCCGGTCTATCCAGTCGCGCCCTCTCCGCTCTGGTGTCACCACTCATCATGGCTGCTCCCCGATTTTTCCGCCCAGCAGCTCCCCTGCTTTCCTCTCGTCTTGCTTCCTCCTTCGTCCGTCACTCTGCTCGTCGATCGGCCTGTGCGCCATCGATCTTCAGCCCGAGGCAATATGCTACTGAGAGCGGCACCAAGGAAGTCACTGTCCGAGATGCGCTGAACGAGGCCCTAGCGGAGGAACTGGAGAGCAACCCAAAGACCTTCATTCTGGGTGAGGAGGTTGCACAGTACAACGGCGCGTATGGCTCCCTTTCTGGTGCTGCATGCGCACAATTGGATTCCTGGCGACGGCGCTGACACAACTTTCTTGTCTAGATACAAAGTTACTCGAGGTCTATTAGACCGTTTTGGCCCCAAGAGGGTTATTGACACTCCTATCACCGAGGCTGGTTTCTGCGGTTTGGCCGTCGGTGCCGCTCTGGCTGGATTGCACCCGATTGTAAGTTCAGCGATCGACTGGAAGCTCTGGTGATACAGTGTTTCTGACAAGATATGTCGGCCAGTGCGAGTTCATGACGATGAACTTTGCCATGCAAGCCATCGATCACATCATCAACTCTGCCGCTAAGACTCACTACATGTCTGGTGGTATCCAGCCCTGCAACGTTACTTTCCGTGGACCTAACGGCTTCGCTGCCGGTGTCGCCGCCCAGCACTCCCAGGACTACTCCGCCTGGTATGGTAGCATTCCCGGTCTCAAGGTCCTGGCTCCCTGGAGCGCCGAGGACGCCAAGGGTCTTCTGAAAGCTGCTATTCGGGACCCCAACCCTGTGGTTTTCTTGGAGAATGAGTATGTGCTCAATTAAGTCCCAGATGATCTCGAGTGCTGACCACAGATAGGCTCATGTACGGTCAATCCTTCCCCATGAGCGAGGCTGCTCAGAAGGACGACTTTGTGCTGCCCATCGGCAAGGCCAAGATTGAGCTTCCTGGAAAGGATCTCACTATTGTTTCTCTCTCCCGTTGCGTCGGACTGTCGCTCAATGCCGCCGCCGAGCTCAAGCAGAAGTACGGAGTCGAGGCTGAAGTCATCAACCTCCGCTCGATCAAGCCCCTCGACGTCGAGACTATTATGAAGTCCTTGAAGAAGACTGGCCGCCTCATGGCCGTCGAATCCGGCTTCCCTATGTACGGTGTTTCATCCGAGATCCTGGCTCTGGCCATGGAGTACGGCTTCGACTACCTGACTGCCCCTGCCGTCCGTGTTACCGGTGCCGATGTCCCCACCCCCTACGCTGCCAAGCTGGAGGAGCTGAGCTTCCCTCAGCAGGATACGGTAGTCGGCCAGGCCGTCAAGCTGCTGCGGTTGTAGATGGGAGCGCAGGAGGAGTCAAGATCTATTAATATATTGTCATGTGCCCAGTACCCTTTCATTTTTCACTAGTCAAGCCTGAGGAATTGTACGACTAGAACGTTCTACCAATTTTACATCCCTCACCACTTCTAATGACCGAATGAGGTTCCCTGTGTTGGTTCACATGTATCTGTTCATCAAACATCATGCATGGATTTCCTTCTGCGAGCGACTGGCTGGGTCACATACGATCCGATGTGGCCATTTCCAGACCCCTCCAGTAGCCTGTTTGATATGACTCCGGCGGGTTGAGGTGTTTCGGGCGTGTCAACCCGCTGCGTTTTCCAATGCATCGACTATTTCCGAGGAGATCGATCAGACATGCTGACTGGAGCGTATATCGTCCCCTGAAAGCGCTTGGCTCTCAGTGCAGTGGAGCGCTTCTGTGGATCACCGGAGATATCGCTCGTAAGCTCGAATTTGGGGGCTCAGCGGGTATGTGAAACCCCTTTCCCTATCAATTCCAGTGGTTCCTCATGTGCCCGTATCGCCTCCACGCGACTTTGCTCGTCGTATATTCTGTAGTAAATTCATGAAACAGTAACTCCGTTCATACCTGCGCACCCAACTGGACAGTCCGTAGGTCTTCTCGGGTCATAATACTCCTCATCCGTATCACTTTCCGCATCGACATCCACTTCCTTCACCTGGGATGACCTGGCACGATCTCGCACATCTGCCGATGTACTTTCATCCTCGTCATCATCAGCCAACACATTTTTCTTCACTGGAGGCGCCGGAGCAGCCGGTCCCTTGACGGTGGTGAACGAGCTCTTGAATCCCCCCTTCTTAAAGCCACCACCGGTCCCCGTCTTCGTTCCCGCACTTGTCTCTTTCGTATCGACAACGCGTAATCCAGCTTCCTCGTCTGCCTTCCTTGCATCCTGTTTAGCTCTTTCTGCCGCGTTTGGATCGCGCGAGAGCTGTTTCAGATCCCGTAGGCGCTTGCGGTGTTGGTGGTCATAGGATCCAATATGTGCTTCGTACTCGGGATGGCGCGAGTAGGACTTATTGCAAAGTGTGCAGGTGAAGGAACTCAGTGCTGATCGCGCGGAGTCAGTCTGGAAAGGGTTAGCTATCGAGAATGCGCGCGGGAATCCGTTGGGATGGTTGAAAGGTACCTTTGGTGCTGGGTTCGTGAACCCACGCTGCAACGGTTAGTTTTGTTTCTTCAAGTAGCCTGGTCAAATTTCATGTATTGAGGAGACGGAAAGACTTACAGGAGCCATCGTTGGGGTTCTCTGGTCGATTAACTTGGCAACGCAAGAAGATGAACGCGGGGGCGCAAGTGCGGCCTTTGGAGAGTCGAAAGGCGACTGTTGGAATTATTGTGGTTATAACTTCAAAATGACAGTATGACGCTTCTGAAATCGATGATTTAATTCATGGAACGACAGTTGTGGCCGATATTAGCGTAATGTATTCCGGGTAGGAACAGTGTAGAGTACGAAGGTCATGTCTTCGCGATGGCGGCCATCTGCCGAGCGGAAGAGCCCCGGGAGTCGCTCACCGCCTTTAGCTGGCGGGATTTACTATATCTGAAACCAACGCTCTGGCAGCAGTTGTTCCTACGGGTGAATATTATGGAATATCTTTCTGATATTATACAGAGCCTCGATGCATGTGCTACGTAGTATATCAGCTTTCAAGTCTAACGGTCAATAGTGGTTATTGTTATTGTTATTTAGTTGATTGAACTACTGACCGTTTTCCCCGGTTTCTGTGGTGGGCCAATCATATCTCCGCAGTCACCGCTGACCAATGGAAACCGCGGGAAATCAAGGCCGAGCTTGTTTTACTGGGATTCTGCGAAACTGCTAGGAATTGCATGGAAATAGACGCTCAACTCTTTTGCACTCTGTTCTTCACCCGATGGCCGACTGTTATGGGCCCTTCTCATAGTTAATGAGTCTACGTACACTAATATTCCTTATATGAAGCCTCTGCAATTCCATTGACGAGAGAGACACCCAAACCATGAACAATATGAAGGACGGCGGACCGGATGAAGCCGATGCCCGATCTCTGATTTCAATGCAGGAGCTCGATCCATCGCCAGTGGAAGATCAACCCCCAGATCTTGAGTCTGGGGGCTATTTCCCCAAAGATGCGGATGCTGCTACTCCCAAGCGGGATGGGACGGTGTCCCATTTCTCATTCCCAAAGCTCGGTCTGAGCGGACATCGGTGGGACTACTGGCGTATGGCCTCCATATCCCAGCCAGGTGGATTGGACTTGAATTAGCATGATTGTTACTAACCGCTTCAATAGTATCCGCAGTCCAGAGATATTCCACCTATCCGCCGTCTGCCTTCTTCGTTCTTCACATCGCCAACACCTCCCTCATCCCGCTCGTGACACGTTCCGTACCCGCAAGTGAGAGTTATCTACTTCTCACAAGGCCAATATATCAGTCCATCCCGCTTGAACATATCATGCTCACCGTGCCGATTCTCGCGCACATCGCCAGTGGAGTGACCCTACGGAGTATCCGCGCTCGACGACGCGCGCGCCTCTACGGAGCCGAGACGAGGGCACAGAGATCCCTCCTCAAGTCTTGGCCGGTCGTGAGTGTCCAGTCGAGACTGGGATACTTGCTTCTCCCGTTGCTGGGAACACATGTGTTGGTGAACCGTCTTGTGCCATTGAAAGTGGAGGGCGGAAGCTCGGGTGTCGGACTCGGATACGTCGCCCATGGCTTCGCACGGAGTCCGGTTTTTTGGAGCCTTTACTATATCATTTTCGTGGCTGCCGGAGTATGGCATATTGTCGGCGGCTGGGCCGCATGGAGGGGTTGGAGAGTGACAACGGCCCGGAAGAGTCGCGGAGAAGGACACGTTATCCACGGCGGATATCTGGGATATATGGAGAGCCAGGAACAGCAGAAGCGACGAAGACGGATGTGGTGGATTGTCAATGGAATTGCGGCTTTAGGCACAGCTCTTTGGCTTGCGGGAGGCTTAGGAGTCGTGGGATACGGCGGGAAGGGCTCCGGCTGGGAGGCGAAGAATTGGGATGAGCTGTATAAAAATGTGCCTGTGATTGGGGCCTGGCTATGATGAACGACAACGACTGTAAAGTATGTAGAGTACATGATAATTCTAATAATATAACGTATATTTTTGGACAGTTATACTTCTACAGAATCACTAAAGTTGTTATAGGTTTGTAAGTATCATATAAGTTCAATATGCGTATGATTTATAGATATCAGTCCCCATTCCATGAACTACCAGAGAATGCAATTAATGCAGAATGTTAGCTCAGTTTGTCTTTTCATGTACCTATACCGAGTACAATTACTATTTACTCTAGATGTTCGGAGCCTAACACAGAAGCCCGCTCATGTGGCCCGTGCACCGAAATTTTACAAAGAAATGATGCTTCCGTCTAGAAACTCCGCAATGCGATCAATTGTAGGTCTGCAGAATGCACGGCCTGGCATCCGGTTTATGAGCCTATTTTCTCAAAGCTAGAGCCAATGTTCCTGGCTCCTTCATTTTCATTTTCATTTTCATTTCACCATATAAAAGCACGATGCGCAATCTGCACGCGACTACCATTTCGATCTAATCGTCTGAACCGCCGAACGATATTCCAAGCGACCAAGAAACAGTTTGCAGAACCTCCACTCCTGTCATTTCGATATATCCAGCTACGATCATTTTCCGCAAAAGCCACAGTCATGACGGCTTCTCCCTCTCCAGCGGCAGCGGCGGCTCCGCAGATTGTTCAGGTCGGGGATAAAGAATATGAAGCTGTTAAGGAGGGGCTGGCCTATATCCTGAACCCGCGTCCGAAAGACGCACCGAAGAAATCACAGAAAGGTCCCAAGGGAGAGACAACACAGCAGTCGGTGTTCTATAACCCGATTCAGCAATTTAACCGCGATCTGAGCGTGTTGGCGATCAAGGCATACGGTGAACATGTCTTGGCTGTGAAGAAGGAGAAGCTTGAAAAGAAAAAGCAGAGGATCGCACAAAATGGATTCGCGAAGGGGAAGAAGCGCAAGAGGGGAAATCAGGAGGGGGATGAGGATGCTGGGAAGGTTGTCCCTGATCAGGTTGATAATGCTGCTGCTACTTCTGAAGCTACTGCCGATCAACCTTCGGAGACTAGTGGTGTTGCTGTTCCCTCGGAGGAGAAGCCTTTGTCTTTCACGATTCTAGACGCTTTGTCTGCTACGGGTCTCCGTGCGCTGCGTTATGCGAAGGAAATTCCATTTGCGACTTGTATCGTCTCAAACGACCTATCGCCTTCCGCTGTCCAGTCGCAGAAGATCAACATCGAATATAACAAGGTGGAGGACAAGGTGAAACCAAACAGCGGCGATGCATGTGCCTATATGTACAGTCGCAACGGCCCTCACGACTCCGGTGACAGTGGTCGTAAAGGGAGATTTGATGTTATTGATCTGGACCCGTATGGCACTGCCGCTCCCTTCATGGATGCTGCAGTACAGGCAGTCAATGACGGAGGTCTCCTGTGTGTGACTTGCACAGATGCTGGAGTTTGGGCCTCGAATGGATACCCAGAGAAAGCGTTCGCTCTATACGGTGGTATCACCGTAAAAGGCTCCCATTCGCACGAAGGTGGGCTGCGTCTTATCCTTCACGCGCTTGCCACATCTGCTGCAAAATACGGACTCGCAATTGAACCGCTGCTATCACTATCAATTGACTTCTATGCCCGAGTATTTGTCCGCGTGTACAAATCTCCCGCAGAGGTCAAGTTCATCTCAGCCAACACGATGCTGGTCTATAACTGTGACTCCGGTTGTGGTGCTTGGTCCATCCAGCCTCTCAGTCAAACGAAGCAGAAGCCCGATAAGAAGGGAAATCCTTTCTGGACTTTCGGCTACGCGCAAGGCCCAACAGCAGCGCCGCATTGCGAGCACTGCGGCTTCAAAACTCACCTTGGCGGACCTATGTGGGGAGGACCTCTTCATAACCCTCATTTCATCCAAAAGATTCTCGACATGCTACCTGGAATTGACAGAGACACTTATCACACCGTCGACCGGATCGAAGGCATGCTGACGACGGCTCTGGAAGAGGATCTCGACGTGGGTCCCTCCAAGACACCAGGTTCTACTCCTGAACCAGGTCAGGAACAGGACGTTACAGTCACTGCTGAACGATCCCCCATCATCCCTCGCATGGATCCAGCTCAACGGGAGCCTCATCCCTTCTTTTTCAGCGTCAGCGCTCTGTCTAAGGTCCTCCACACCCAAACAATGCCCGTCGACGCCTTCCGCGGTGCTCTCAGACACCTCGGCTACCGTTCAACTCGCAGCCACACCAAACCAAACACCATCCGAACAGACGCTCCCTGGGACGTTATCTGGGAAATCATGCGCGAATGGGTACGGCAGAAATCCCCCATAAAAGAGGGAGCCCTCAAGCCCGGAACCGCAGGCGCAGCGATTATGAAAAAGAGCCGAGAGAACCTCAGAAAGTTTGACGAAACGGACCACCCACTATCCCTACTCAAGCAAGAAATCACAGCCGCGGTGGAAAGTGGCAGAAACATCAACGAGCTCACAACCAAAATCGAAGCTGCGCTCTACCGCTCCGGTGCACGACAGCGACTCGGAAAAGATACCGTTGGAACAGATACAGAGATGAAAGATGCCACAGAGCAGGTGTCTCCATCCGAGGAGGAGACTGCTCGCGGATCCAGAGCGGGAAGTCCATCGGCTGCTCAGAGACCACATCCCAGCACGCTGAATATCGTATTCGATGAAGCACTAGGAAGAGAAGCCTCCGATGCTCAAACGAAGAAACGACTTGTGAGATATCAGATCAATCCGCGAGAGAACTGGGGTCCGCTCAGCAGGGCTTCAGGGAGTACGAGGTAGGAAGAGGAAGTGATTAAACGAATGCAAATCCGATAGGAGCCCTATGAAGGAAAATATGTACTGTACTGTACTGTACAAGTATGTATTCCTGCATCTATATCGTCAATTCATCTATTTATATATTTCGATCATTTCCATTCAGGTCATTAATCAACCTAGAGCATGCGTTCTATTCTTTTAGCGGTTGATTATTTTCAAATCTTAATGGGGAGATCCAATCGTCTCTCAACTTACTAGCTGTAGAGATATTCAGAAAGGACCAAACAAGAGATCAGCGAACGACATATCGACGACCACCTCGTGGATATAATACAATACGCCAATTGTATAGTCGGAACAGCTAGTTAACTCGTCAAACACTAATGTACATACATACATACATGGATATCCAAGGATCCTGTCCTCTTTTGTTTTTTATCTATGAGAAGTAGAAAAGTAAAGAATAAACTTAACTCCCTCCGTCCTCCCTTTTTGATACAATAGTTACGCAGAAATAGTTAATAACTTGATGATGATGACATATCCTGTGAAGAATGCGAGGAGTCTGGCTCTTCTTCTTCTTCCTGTAAGGGATCCCGATGATCATACGATATTCCATCCATAAGAGGGATCTCGACTTCGAGTTCTTTATGTTGTCTGTACACTCCCATCGCATCTGGGATTTGGGCGGCAGCGTTTCTGACGAACCACATCCACCCAACCCAGTATAACCCGCCTGAGGCCAGTACTGCAAGTCCCGTAGCAGGGTAGGCATAGTACGGGAAAGAATTGTCGCCTTTACCGCCCAGGGGACTGATCCAAGGCAGGATGAGAAGAAGGCAGTTTGCGACGAGGAATATGACAATGTAGACAGTACGTGCTCTGTAGTGGATCGAGGAGGACTTTCTGTATTCGAGCCGGGAACGGTGCAAATAGAGCAAGCCGCCTGCGACAGAGACGCTGATGACACTAACTGGGTATCCGCCGATGTCGACGAGAAAGGCGTAGATCTCTCCTGGTGGCACGAGGATTACGATCACGGAAACTAACCAGTGAAGAAGCAGACCGGCGACAGGGGCGTGGTCTTTATCAGTACCTGTTTTGGGGCCACGAGAAACCCAGAGTGAAGGGAAAGGTAGCAGTCCGTCCTTTCCTAGCTCCTGGTTGACACGACTCTGCGCAAATGATGTTGCGGCGATGTTTCCGTAGGCGCTGAGGATGATCAAAAGGGGAAGGATTCGTTCTCCAACGACAGGACCGAATATGTTGCCGAAGAAATGGGCTCCGACTATCGCTCCAGAGGCTTTGAAATCGTCCTTGTCCACCACAAGGAAATATGCGATGTTCACCAGTATATAGCTGACGGAGACAAGTGCCAGGGCGACTGGTGCCGCTACACGGAGCGTTCTCGAGGGGTTCTTCACTTCAGACAGGACCTGGTTTGCGGTGTTGTAACCCCTGAAACAGTAAAGCACTTTGAGAAGAGCCGTGGCATAATCATATGGTTGCATTGATGAGCCTGCCCAGATGCCGGAGAAGTTCTGTTGCGCTATACTTTCGGGAATAGATATAACGTCTGACTGGTCTGTGGACTGCCCCGGGTTTATGATATGTTCGTCAGGCCCGCTGCTCAATTGCCAGAAAGCACTCAGGAATCCCAAAGCGACGACGATGACGATGATAAGCATCTTGAGTATTCCAAGGATATTTATCGTTTTCACACCCACTGCCGGCAGACGGGCGTGAATAAAACATGAGAGGGTGATGGCAGCAACTGCTATGGATCGCGCGTTCCAGCCATTCGGTGTTCCCCCGATGATATAAACGGCATATTGTCCAAGCACAATGCAGTTTGGAGCGCTGAATCCCAGCAGCACGACATATGCCATGAACATGCAAGTAGCGAACATGTAAGGGCGGCGAAAGATCCGCTCGAGGTATACTCGTTCGCCTCCGGACCGCGGTATCGCGGTGCCCAGGTCCAGATAGACCGTCAACCCGCAGAAGGATATAAGTGCCCCAAGGATCCAGACAGAAAGCGACATTCCAACCGAACCAACACCAGCAAATATAGATGACGGAACTGAGAAGACGCCCACGCCAAGCGTTTTCCCTATGATGATATTGATGGCGGAAAAGGTTCCAAGTTTGTCCTGTGTGATACTGTTTGCTGGCGTGTATCCAGGAGAGATAGGGCGTGGTGTAAGAGGAGATAGCGGCCATGTGTTTTCCTCCCAAGAGCTATTCCTGAGCACAGCCAGTCCTCCATCGCCAGGTGTTATGGGACCAAGCTTTCTATCCCGCGCATCATCGTCATCCTTTGAACCTTGCGGTATTGACGCTAACCTGGAGTTAGGATTTAGATATTGTTTGCCATTTTGGTGTAAGCGCGGCGTCGTTGGAGTCCGGAGAACAATGTCATTGAATGATGGACTGAGAAGAGGAGAAGTAGCAGTCGCTATGCTTTCGCCTAAGAACGTTCGAGAGACGCGCCGGATATCATGAACTAAAGGTTTAGACATTAAGATGACTCCTAGACCTGGGGAATGCAAGAGAAGAGATAGAAACGTATCACGGGTTGTGAACAGAACGTAACAGAGGAGTGGAGTGAAATATCGATGACCCAGACCCGACTTCCACAGTTACCTAGGCAGAGAGGGCGCAAAGCGAGTGCGTTGACAAGAGATCGAGAAAGAAAGAAAATTGTCGTGGACCGGTTTCTTTGTAGATGACAAAAAAGGACTGAACAAGGCTGATGTTCCCTGACAATAACGTGAAACCTTTAACTAATATCCTAGACTAGTATAACACTTTCAAGAAACAACAAAAAGTGATCTGATCGACGAGCATGTGGTGGTCGATCGCTGTAGAGCACTTCCCAAAGCTGATGCGAGCAACAAAAGAGCTAATGATTATCTGATCAAGATGAGACCAGGAGGAAACTGAAGTCTGAAACGAGCACTGCACCATTATATCCATGGCGCGCAGCATTCGACTGACTCAAGTGGTGAGTATCTATCGATCCGCCAACCCAGGACAAAGGGTCATTGGGGAAAGTGAATAAGATCAGCTGCGCCGCGTCACAAATAAGGATTTCATATTGGAACTTTACCTCGTTCACCTGAAGTGTATGGGATTTGGCGATGATCTATTATCTGTTGGTGGTTAGCAGATACGCAACACGCAATATGGGAGAGCGGCAAACAACGTCTCCAGTACGGCGTTTCAACCATCCGCCGGCGTCTCAGCCCAGGCCAATCAATCTCCGAAAGAGGATAAGAATAGTTCAAGCTGCACGCAATGCTGGTCTCGCATTGCTTTGGAATGTGCCATCCTATTGGGATTCACCTCGCCTCTAATTCTCTGATCTCGCAGCAAACATGTTCGAGATCCGGAAAAGTCGGATGTGATTGTGGATGTGGCAGAAAGGACGACAAACAACGCTTTTTCCTAGAGAAGACAGCTAGGGCCTGGAAGATTTCTGAACTTGTTGTAATAATAATAATAATAATATCATATTCTAAACTCATTACAGTAAATGTAGACATGCTGGACCTTCCTCATTGGTCGGAAAAATTAGTAAACGAAAACAATAACTATCATGCTATCTAACCTCATTATCTGCATAAAAGAAAAATAATAAACAGTTGTCAAGCAGAACATCCTGCCATCAAACAAATGTAGATGTGCCTCTATCACTTTTTTCGCACCTTCGAAATCGTGCTTGCAATGACACACGCCCAACTAAAGGTTGGCTTTTGCGGTTTATGCTACATGAATTAGAACTTCGCAACCGCAATAGCGATTGCTTGCGAGTCGCTGTGGCTGATGCTGACATTCACCTGCTTGACACCGGCTTTCTCTGCAGCCTCTGCAGCGGCGCCATGAAGCTACAAGGGCGAGTTAGTCATGTTCGAATATATTTGCATGGAGTTGCAGAGGTGCTTACCTTAACCACAGGAGCTCCATTTTCATCATTCACGATTTCAATGTCCTTCAGCGGAGCACCGGCACCCTTGCTGCTGACTCCGAGAGACTTGAACACAGCCTCCTTAGCGCTCCACCGGCCGGCAAAGGAGGCCTGGGGAGATGGGGCCTTGCGGCAATACACTTGCTCATTGGATGTGAAGTTCCTCTCAATGAAGGTCTCGTTGTCAACATTGATCGCCTGGACACTCTCGACGTCAACGCCGACCTTCGAGTTCTCAACCGCGGCAGCCTTGGCGAGGGATTCGACCACCTTTTGGGTGCTGGCCAGATCCTCGGACGCGGGCTTTGGAGGGACCGCAGGATAGGTCAGCTCCGCAGTCTTCTTGTCCACCGTCACACGGTAATCGGGGTTCAGGAAGACCTTGGCCTGGAGGTTGTCCTCGTAGGGGGACTTGTTCTTGGCCACAAACAGGGTGTTGTTGATCAGACCATTGTGGAAGTAGCGGTAAGCCTTCTTCTGACGGGCTTCGACCTTGGTCTTGTACGATTCGAATCGGGCTTTGTCCAACACTGCATACAGGTACTTGGGGTGGATACCAATAGCCTGCGCGCCCTTCTGACCGAAACCGAATGAAGTAACGGAGAATGCCTTGATACCGTCGGTCTGGATGCTACGACTGGGGTACACGATGTAGTCGAACTTCTCCATGACCTTGTCGACATTGTCTGCATTGCGGTTTCCGGGCACAAGACCGCTGTTGAGGACCTGCAGACATCCGTTGAGCATCCATGCACCAGCTGCACCCTTGGGGTGTCCAGTAAGGTACTTCTGGAAGATACCCATGATCGCGTTGCCCTTCTTGCGTCCGAGGTGCTTCAGTTGCTGACAGATGACATCGGATTCATTCTTGTCGTTAGCAACGGTAGAGGTACCGTGGAACGACGCAACATCGAGATCGTCGATCGTAAGACCCCAAGTGGCCAATGCTCCTCTCAGAGGAGCAATGCGAGGATCTTGCCTCCAGAAGTTGTTTCCGAGACTGTACTGGGCCTCCTTGACCTGGCGGACAGCCTCGCGATCGATGTGCTGGGCTCTCTCCTGCATATACTCCTTCTCATCGAACGGTTCGGTAGCTTGCGCCTTCATAGCCTCAACCTCTTCCTGGAGGTACAAGAGTTCTGATTCTTGCCACTGCTTGATCTGGTTCTTGCGCAACTCCAGCTGGCGTCTGCGGTACTTGATATCAAGGAGCGGGGACGGGAACTTGCCGGGGTTCTCACGAGCAGTGGTGAGGACACCCTGTCCAGGAGCCGGGACTGAGCGACCGATCTTGTCCGTTGCAGTGGTGGTCAAGCCGAGGATGGCATAGATGGGTACACCCATGTCAAGGGCCAGCTGGGCGCTCATGATGACTTGCATACCACAACCTTGGGACTCCATGAAGCCGCTACGGGTAGTAGTAGTAGGTCGGGACATCTCTTGAGGAGTACGGCCATGGGCGAATTCGTCTTCCGCATTGCTAGTGGCCTTCATGTTCGCGAATTCGTAGGAACCCTCCTCCTGGAAGTCATCGAATCCACCAACGAAACAGATACGAGCCTTGCCTTCGACGATGGTCTCGTAACCGATATCGACGGACTCGACAGCAGTAGCACAAGCACCCACAGGAGTCTTGATAGGACCGGTAGAGGAGAGGAGGAGCATGTTAACCCATGCGCTCATGGTGTTAATGAAGGACTCCTGCAGAATATCCTTCTGAAGAGGCTTGTCGAGGTACCGGTCCTTGTACATTCCTCTCAGGGCATGGGTACCACCGATACCCGAACCAATGCAGTTTCCGACTTCGGAGATGTGGACATACTTGTAGAACTCATATGGATCAGTGATACCAGACGAGAGCAGGGACTCTGCGGTACAGACAAGCACAAACAGAGTAACTGGGTCGACCTGCTCAATGATGTCGTCTGGAATACCATATCTCTTCGCATCCCAGCCGGTTGGGATCTGGCCGGCGACCAGTCGGTCGAACTGCAGGGCCTTGGGAATGAAAAGAGTGGCTCCCTTCTTCAGGCGCACGGTGTATTCGCCCGACTCGGGGATTTCGAAGATCTCCACCTTGTCACCATGCTCCCGTTTGAACTCTTCGGCGGTCTCCTTCGAGGCCTCGAATGGGTCAAGGTCTTCCTGGATGACGATTTCCTGGAGCAGCTGCTTCTTCTTGGGATCGTATCCCTTGAACAGCTCCGGCTCGATAAGTCGAATACCAGAGTGCTCCAGGATGAATTTCTCGTACTTCGACTTGACGTCCTTGTCGTCAACTGGTTCCCCAGTCTTTGCGTCAACCCAGCCGGAGTAGGACTTGCCCTTCAGAGGACCGTTATGGTTACGAATGAGGCCCATGATCCAGGCCATTTCGACACAGCCTTCCAAAGAAAACTTGCCATAGGCCTCCATCTCCCATCGGGTGCGGGAGTTACCCCAGGGACCAACTTCGGAGAAACCGGTGACGACGACAACTTTGTCGAGGTTGACCATATCCTTGAGCTGTGCGTTAAGCGGCTCGATCTCTTCCCACTTGGGCAGCTGAGGGAATTCGAACTTGATGTTGGCACGGGGCTCGGTGGTGACCTTCTTGTACAAAGCCTCGCTATCTTCACCGTTCACAATCTTGTTCTCAATGGCAGTCTCCTTGATGACGGCCTGACGAACAGTGCTGGTCTCCATGATGTCCTGGCGGAGCTTTGTCATGAGCTTCTTCAGGTCGGGGATGAACTGGAGACCACCGTTCAGATCAGCCCAGACAGGGTCCGACTGGCAAAGATCAACGATGGCGGGAGCCATGAGGCCGAGCAAGTTGAAGGCCATCTCCTGCTGAGAGAAGGTGCGAACTCCGAGCTTCTCGACGCCTTCAGCGACCATGTTGTTTCCACTCATGAGACCAGTGCCGCGGGTCCAGCCGATGACAGCACCGCAGATTGTAAGGTAGTTAGCCCAACTCTCAGAGTACCAGCGGTTAAACAGAGTCTCCAAGCCCAACTTTGACTCTGAGTACAGGCCATCGTTTCCGAAGGTACCGTGGTTGGGGGACAAGGGAAGGATAACCTGAGCTGGACGGGTCTCGAAACCTCTCTCCTGCTTCTGCGTCTTGACGGCACCGAGAAGTCTAAGGAGGTTGGTCAACATAATTCTGTGAGCAAGTTCCGACTTGGAATCGATGTTGTCAATTTCGCGACCGTTCTCGGGAATGGCCGCGAAGGGGACAACGTAGTCCAGATCCCAGCCCAGACCCTTCTTGGTGTCATAGATGTAGTCGACGAGAGCATCCACGTCTTGTTTGCTACCCTGGTTGAAAGGAACGACGACAAGTTGGGAACCACGAGCTCCGTAACGGGCATACATGGATTGATAGTACTCAGTGACTTCGCGAGAGAAGCGACTGGTGGTAACGATGACCTTGGCACCACCGCTAATAAGTCCCTGGAGAACCTCAGCGCCGATAGAACCAGCTCCAGCACCGGTCATCAAAGCATTCTTGCCCTGGAAAGTGACTCCAGATCTGGCCGCAGACTCGAGACCGTCCAGGTAGATGCCGGTCAGCTTCTTGTTGTATTCCCAGCCGTGCTCCTCCTTCTTCTTGAGGTGCAAGAAGGGAATGGTCTCAACCTTTCCGGTGCGAGTGGCACCGTTTCTGGAGCCGTTACGACCGGGTTTCTTCGCCTGGCCATTCTCCTGCGGCATGATCTGGCTCTCGTTCATAGCAAGAGCACGGACGACATCCTTGTAGAGAGCGTTGAACTGCAACTGGGACGACTTGGAAAGTCTGTGTTGCCTGCGAATGAGCTTGTAGACATTCTTCAGGTCATTCTGGACCTTTGCCCGATTGCTGTATTCAGAAATCGGACCGCCTTCAGCCATTTGTTTGACGTAGTGTTCAAGCTTCCTAGCGCTAGCCCTAGGTACTTCCTGGTACTCGATGTTTCCGCGAGCATCAACAGTCGTGTGGGGTCCGGTAGGGACTGCGACATCCTTGTATACAGGGGCTTGTCCGAGAACCTCCTTGCAGTTCTCAATGAGCTGCTGACCCAGTTCCTTGGCAAGCTGATAGGTCTCACCGCGTTCCGTCGGGCAGTTATCGATGTGGTACTGCATGAAATCCAGCAAGAGGGGATTCGATCGGTTCATGATGCGAATACACTGGCTAACAATTTCACGGTCGACGACCTTCAGCCTGCCGAAAATGATGTCGTAGTACATGCTGAGCGCATCCTGACGAGCCCAGTTCCAGGAAGAATCGTAGACACGAGCCTTCAGAGGGTCGAAAGAGGGCTCAATGCCGGAGGCATAAATATCGCCGTGCTCCGTCTGCCAAAGATCCAGCTGCGCTTGTAGTGCCTTCTGAGACTCTTGGGACGTGACAAAGGCCTTCTCACCAGCACGCAGATCCATCTTGAGATAGCGCGCGATGATCTCGAGCTGCTGCTTGAACAGTGCGCGCTGGTCCTTGGTCAGTGCGTCGATCGCAGCAGGGTCCATCATCATGGCGCCAGAACCGGCGCCAGAGTCGCCGCTGGCGGTTGGTGCAGACAGGCTAATGCCAGCACTGGCCGCATATTTGTTGGCGACACCGTCAAAGTACGCCTTTGCGTCAGCCTCAGCAGCGAGACGCGATGGGGGCTCCATGGTCAAGGCAAGTAGCAGGACACCGTCTTGTCTACCAGGTCCCAGTCCCCATCTTGTCTCCAAGTATTTCCTGACCGCTGTGATGTTGAATCCACCAGGCATCTTAGCGGATACCATACGTGCCACCAACGAGGATGACTGCTTGCCCAATTGGCCGTTGAAGGTTGCCTGCATGGCGGCACCCAATTCGTCCAGAGGCGTATCCTCTGGCTTTTCCGGCGTCGAGCCAAATTCTTTGCCCAGGTCACCCAGAATTTCATTCTGCAGGGTCGATTTACCTAGAAAAAGTAAGAGTTCAGTCAGTTTGTGTCCCATAGCATCTGGTTAAAGGGGGATATCAGACTCACCGCCAACCAGATCCTTGATGGCCTTGCTCAATGGAACATCTGCGATGCTCTTCTTCAATTTCTGTGCAACTAATGTCCTCAGCACATCCACTGCTGTGACTGGCGCGTCTTCGACCTGAGGAGCGGGACCTGCACTCGGGGCAGGCGCAGCAGCAGGAGCAGCCGCCGCAGGGGCCGCAGCAGCAGCCGGGGAAGCGCTGGCGGCGGGAGCAGCCTCTGGCTCCGGCTCATCTTCGACGGGATCGACATCATAGTAGATTTCCTTGGCGTCCTTGTTGTAGCAGAGAATCTGTCGTTGCACTGATGTAGCAGCATCGTAGGCTTCGTACTTGGAGGCAATCGTCCGTCGTGCCATGCCGCCCAACGTGTCCGCCGGACCGATCTCGACGATACGCTCCGTGCGCTTCTCCGCGAGAATAACATCCTGGGTCTCAATCCATCTCACTGGAGAAGCAAACTGGTATGCCAGAAGCTCCACCAGCAGGGTGTGAGCCAGCTCCTGCTCGACTTCGGGGCGCATTGTGAAGGTAAGAAAGAAAGAATACGGGTATCAAGAAAATGTCGGATTAAAGAGCTCAATGGCGGTAAGACGGCCCCAAAGAAGCTCGAAGACCTCTTTCTGCACAGCAACCCAGGCACCAAGAGGCCCGTCTGGTTACAGTCTTTGAAAAAAAAATCTTTTTGAAGAGGCCGTGAGATCAGAGAGGAGGCCACAATAATGGGCCGATAAGTAAGCCCGGAGAGGAGGTGGGCAAAGAAGGGGAAAAAAAAGTTGGAGGAGGAAGTGACACAAGTCAAAGGACCATGGCACGATACGCCAGGACCTTAAAGAGGAAACGAGAGAGGACGAGGACTCTTGACCACGCTCCAAGCCAGCAATTGACCTAGCGAAAATAATACGACCAGGACACCGCAAGAGAAAGACAGAGTGAGCGAGAGGGCGTGCCTGGAGCCGTTTGGAGTGTTGGGGCAGAATCCAGCGGTGGTTGACGCCGAACCTTGCACGCTGGACGGGCGGTCGCAGTGGGGACGCTGTTGGTTTTTGGTGGAGTTGGTTTCTGCCGTATCGCGGTTACCGCTTGTAATTTACATTGACTTGACTGTCGTTGGCCCAGCGTATGGTATTCGAGATTATTATGGTCCTACGAGTAATCTATCGAGAATAACAATATTATTATTATTGAATAATCCATCCAACTTATCCTATCTGGTACCTAGTTTACCCCATCCCTTGCCTCCACAACGGGGGACGGAGGAATCAGCAGTCACTGATGAGTGATCAGTATACTGTAACTACCATACATAATTACCTGACCAACATTCAACCCCCCTAATATTATTATTATCAACAGTGATGCCTAACTTAAATTTTCCTCTCCTGTCCTCAACCTCTCTGTGCTCCTGCTGCGCCACGTCTCCCTTGATGGGGACAAGCCTGTTAGTGCCTCCGGCTACTGTCCTACTAGGCTCCTTCCGACTAGCACCTTCGTCTCTGTATCGAATGGAATGTTCGGTCTGGTCAGGCCGCTGTCCCATCGGGCCGGGGAAACGGCCAGCCGGCGGTCACGTACGGTCACGGTCAATACCGGACGGGCCAGCCCAGCCCAACCGTTTGGACCTTTGGGGAGCTGCCAGACGGCGCTATGCCCAATCGGAGCTGCCTTTATTCAACCAGCTCGCGATTCATCTTTTCTTCGCCCCAGGGATGGCCCTAATGCGATTCAACAGCATCCAGTCCGCATCCCCTCGTCCGGTCAGCCAATTTCACGAGTCTGGGTCTGCTAGATAGATAGTTAGACGCTCTTCACTCTTTTGGTCGGGCTCTACAATCCCTTCCTGCTCGCACTCCTTCCACTCCTCCATCCCTTCTCCGTCCTATATACTCTTGTATTCGTGGTGGAGTGTGCTGGCAGGCATCCCGCCATAGGGCCCGCAGTCGAGGAAAATTAATTGCTCCAAAGGCGTCTTTCTTCAACTAGGTACGCTGATCAAGTCCCCCAGCTTGGACCTGCATTTCCCACCGTGATTTTTCAATCATTGGGAATTGGGAAATATCAGACTTGGTTTATTTATTTTATTTTTTTTCCTATGCAGCTAACAATCGCATTGTAACAGGTGCTCTTTACCCCCACCCGCCTGCATCTTTTCTTAATTTTTTCTTCCTTTTTCCTTTCTTTTCTCTTTCCAACCAAAATACCCTCTTGAAAAGATGTACGGGACAGCAACGGGCCCTCAGACGGGCATTAATACTCCCCGCTCGTCGCAATCGCTGCGACCTCTGATTCTCTCGCATGGATCACTCGAATTCTCCTTCCTTGTCCCGACCTCGCTTCATTTCCACGCGTCCCAGCTGAAGGACACGTTCACAGCATCATTACCCCAGCCAACGGATGAGCTGGCACTCGATGAGGAGCCTTCGTCCGTGCCGGAGCTCGTTGCCCGCTATATCGGCCATGTAGCCCACGAAGTCGAGGAGGGCGAAGATGACGCCCAGGGAACCTACGTCGAGATCCTGAAATTGGCCCTCAACGAGTTTGAGCGAGCGTTCATGCGTGGAAACGATGTGCACGCCGTTGCTGCAAGCCTGCCTGGAATCACGAGCAAGAAGGCCTTGGTGGTCCAGTCATACTACGCCGGTCGCGCGGCTGCAGGACGTCCCACGAAACCATATGATTCTGCGCTCCTTCGTGCTGCCAGCGAAGACCAGGCTAGAATCTATACCATCTTTGGCGGACAGGGCAACATCGAGGAATACTTTGATGAATTGAGAGAAATCTACACCACATACCCCTCCTTCGTTGAGGATCTGATCACCAACGCCGCGGAGCTGCTGCAGTCTCTGTCCCGCGAACCGGAAGCGATCAAGCTGTACTCCAAGGGCCTTGATATCATCCGATGGCTTCAGGACCGGGATTCGCAGCCGGATACCGATTACCTCGTGTCGGCCCCGGTGAGTTTCCCTCTCATCGGTCTTGTGCAATTGGCACACTACACGGTCACCTGTAAAACCCTGGGTAAGGAGCCCGGCGACGTGTTGGACAGACTCAGCGGTACCACCGGTCATTCCCAGGGTATCATTGCCGCCGCTGCCATTGCGACAGCTACGACATGGGAGTCATTCGCGGAGGCCGCCAAGAATGCCCTGACGATGCTGTTCTGGATCGGTCTGCGCAGTCAGCAGGCCTATCCTCGCACGTCGCTGGCCCCATCGACGCTGCAGGACTCTATCGAGAACGGCGAGGGTACACCCACGCCTATGCTTTCCATTCGGGACCTTTCCCGAAGCGCTGTCCAGGAACATATCGACGCTACGAACCAGCATCTCCCGGCCGACAGACACATTGCCATCTCTCTCGTCAACAGTGCTCGTAACTTTGTCGTTACTGGTCCCCCGATTTCCCTCTACGGTCTTAACCTGCGGTTACGCAAGGTTAAGGCGCCTACTGGACTGGATCAGAACCGTGTGCCGTTTACCCAGCGCAAGGTTCGTTTCTCCAACCGCTTCCTCCCAGTCACCGCTCCGTTCCACAGTCAGTATGTCACCGCAGCGTTCGACCAGATCATGGAGGATTTGGAGGATGTCAGTATCCCTGCCAAGGCGTTGGAGATCCCGGTCTATGACACGAACACTGGCGAGGATTTGAGCAAGAAGGGAGACGAGAACATCGTGGCGGCCTTGGTCCGTATGATCACTCAGGAACCAGTGAACTGGGAAAAGGCAACCGATTTCCCGAATGCTACTCACATTATTGACTTTGGTCCTGGTGGAATCTCCGGAATCGGTGCCCTGACGAACCGCAACAAAGATGGCACGGGTGTCCGCGTCATTATCGCAGGCTCGATGGACGGGACTAACGCTGAGGTCGGCTACAAGCCTGAGCTCTTCGACCGCGATCAGCACGCCGTCAAGTACGCGGCCAACTGGGTTAAGGAGCATGGCCCGCGCCTGGTGAAGACTTCTGTCGGCCAGACCTTCGTGGACACGAAGATGAGCAGACTGCTCGGTGTGCCTCCCGTTATGGTTGCGGGTATGACACCCACTACGGTTGCGTGGGACTTCGTTGCTGCGACAATGAACGCCGGATACCATATCGAACTTGCAGGAGGCGGTTACTACAACGCCAAGTCGATGACTGAAGCTCTCAGCAAGATCGAGAAAGTTATCCCGCCTGGTCGCGGTATCACTGTCAATCTGATCTATGTCAACCCCCGAGCCATGGGGTGGCAGATCCCCTTGATCGGCAAGCTCAGAGCTGACGGTGTACCCATCGAGGGTCTGACAATCGGTGCTGGTGTTCCTTCCATTGAGGTTGCCAATGAATACATCCAGACACTGGGAATCAAGCACATCGCCTTCAAGCCAGGTTCCATGGACGCCATTCAGCAGGTTGTCAACATCGCCAAGGCCAACCCTACTTTCCCTGTCATCCTCCAGTGGACTGGTGGTCGTGGTGGTGGTCATCATTCTTTTGAGGACTTCCATCAGCCTATTCTCCAGATGTACAGCCGCATTAGAAAGTGCAACAACATTGTCCTTGTTGCCGGTAGTGGTTTCGGTGGCTCCAATGATACGTACCCGTATCTGACCGGTACATGGTCCTCCCGCTTTGGCTACCCTCCCATGCCCTTCGACGGATGCATGTTTGGTAGCCGTATGATGACTGCGAAGGAGGCCCATACTTCCAAGAACGCAAAGAAGGCTATTGCTGACGCCCCCGGTGTTGACGATGGCCAGTGGGAGAACACGTACAAGGGTCCTACTGGTGGAGTCATCACCGTGCTTTCTGAGATGGGCGAGCCCATTCACAAGCTGGCCACCAGAGGTGTTCTCTTCTGGCACGAGATGGACCAGAAGATCTTCAGCCTTGACAAGGCTAAGCGCTTGGTTGAGCTGAAGAAGCAGCGGAACTACATCATCAAGAAGTTGAATGACGACTTCCAGAAGGTCTGGTTCGGCCGCAACTCTGCCGGAGAGACTGTTGACCTCGAAGACATGACTTACACTGAAGTCGTTCACCGGATGGTTGAGCTCATGTACGTGAAGCACGAATCTCGGTGGATTGATGAGTCCCTGAAGCGGTTGACGGGTGACTTCATCCGACGTATCGAAGAACGGTTCACTTCTTCCGAGGGACAAGCGTCCCTCCTTCAGAACTACTCGGAGCTGGATGTCCCATATCCTGCCGTTGACAATATCCTTGCCGCCTATCCTGAGGCATCCACGCAGCTCATCAATGCTCAGGATGTGCAACATTTCCTGCTTCTTTGCCAGCGCCGTGGCCAGAAGCCTGTTCCCTTCGTGCCGTCGCTCGATGAGAACTTCGAGTTCTGGTTCAAGAAAGACTCCCTTTGGCAGTCTGAAGATCTTGAGGCTGTTGTTGGCCAGGATGTGGGAAGAACCTGTATTCTGCAGGGTCCTGTCGCTGTCAAGTATGCCACCACCGTCGATGAACCTATTAAGGACATCCTTGATGGTATCCACAATGACCACATCAAGGAACTGGTCAAGGATGCTTACGGCGGTAATGCCGACCAGGTGCCTGTCGTTGAATACTTCGGAGGACAGCTCGTGGACGAGTTGGACGAGGAGGTTGAAATCGATGGCCTGACCGTGTCCGAAGATGCCAACAAGATCGGGTACCGGCTGTCATCCTCCCCATCAGCTAACCTCCCGGATGTTGATCGTTGGCTGCACCTCCTTGCTGGCAAATCCTACTCCTGGAGACATGCTCTTTTCACTGCTGAGGTCTTTGTCCAGGGTCAGCGTTTCCAGACCAACCCAATGAGACGGATCCTGGAACCTACCCGTGGTATGTTCGTGGAGATCACCGACCCTGACGAGCCGGCGAAGACGGTCATCAGCGCGAGAGAGCCGTGCCAGTCTGGCAAGCTTGTGAAGACTGTGGAGATAAAGATGAACGGCGACAACCAGATTGCTCTGACGCTGTTCGAGGGACGGACGGCCGAAGGTGGTGTCGTGCCTCTTCCCTTCCTTTTCACCTACCATCCTGAGACTGGATATGCGCCTATCAGAGAAGTTATGGACACCCGTAACGACCGTATCAAGGAGTTCTATTACCGAATTTGGTTCGGTGACAAGAATGTTCCTTTCGACGCCCCTACCACAGCCATCTTTGACGGGGGCCGCGAAACTGTTACGTCCCAGGCCATTGCAGACTTTGTTCATGCTGTCGGCAACACCGGTGAAGCCTTTGTCGACAGACCAGGCAAGGAGGTTTTCGCACCTATGGACTTTGCCATCGTCGTTGGATGGAAAGCTATCACTAAGCCGATTTTCCCTCGTAAGATTGATGGTGATTTGTTGAAACTCGTCCATCTGTCCAACGGATTCCGCATGGTGCCAGGTGCTCAGCCCCTCAAGGTCGGCGACGTGCTCGACACCACTGCTCAGATCAATGCGGTGATCAACCAGGAGTCCGGAAAGATGGTTGAGGTCTGTGGTACCATCAAGCGGGATGGCAAACCGATCATGCACGTCACCAGCCAGTTCCTCTACCGAGGCGCTTACAATGATTTCGAGAACACTTTCCAGCGCAAGGATGAGGTCCCCATGCAGATCCATTTGGCGTCGACCAAGGATGTAGCTGTTCTTCGCTCGAAGGAGTGGTTCCACCTGGATGAGCCTGGTGTGGAACTCTTGGGCCAGACACTTACCTTCCGTCTTCAGAGTCTAGTGCGGTTCAAGAACAAGTCTGTCTTCAGCAGTGTTCAGACTATCGGCCAGGTCCTCTTGGAACTCCCTACCAAGGAGATCATCCAGGTGGCATCTGTGGAATACGAGGCTGGCACTTCCCATGGAAACCCTGTCATTGATTACCTCGAGCGCAACGGATCTTCCATTGAACAGCCGATCAACTTCGAGAATCCGATTCCGCTCAGCGGCAAGACGCCTCTTGTCTTCCGCGCTCCCGCCTCTAACGAGACGTATGCTCGTGTCTCTGGCGATTACAACCCTATCCACGTCAACCGTGTCTTTGCCAGCTATGCTAACCTCCCTGGCACGATCACTCATGGAATGTACACCAGTGCTGCGGTTCGCAGTCTGGTAGAGACCTGGGCTGCTGAGAATGACATTGGCCGTGTTCGCAGCTTCCACGCGTCACTCGTCGGAATGGTGCTACCTAACGATGATATCGCGGTGAAGCTTCAGCACGTTGGTATGATTGCTGGACGCAAGATCGTCAAGGTCGAAGCCATCAACAAGGATACTGAGGATAAGGTTCTCATTGGTGAAGCTGAGGTGGAACAGCCCGTGACCTCATATGTCTTCACTGGCCAGGGCTCTCAAGAACAGGGTATGGGTATGGAGCTCTATGCCAGCAGTCCCGTTGCCAAGGAAGTCTGGGACCGTGCCGACAAGCATTTCTTGGAGAACTATGGCTTCTCGATTACCGATATCGTGAGGAACAACCCCAAGGAGCTCACTATTTACTTCGGTGGCCCCCGTGGTAAAGCCATCCGTCAGAACTACATGTCGATGACCTTCGAATCGGTCAATGCGGATGGTTCCATCAAATCCGAGAAGATCTTCAAGGAAGTTGATGAGAACACCACCTCCTACACTTATCGCTCGCCTACTGGACTTTTGTCTGCTACTCAGTTCACCCAGCCTGCGCTCACGCTGATGGAGAAAGCCAGCTTTGAGGACATGCGCTCCAAGGGTCTGGTCCAGAGAGACAGCAGCTTCGCGGGTCACTCCCTCGGTGAATATTCAGCCCTGGCTGCCCTCGCAGAGGTCATGCCAATTGAGAGCTTGGTGTCTGTTGTGTTCTACCGTGGTTTGACTATGCAAGTTGCCGTCGAGCGAGACGAACAAGGCCGCTCCAACTATTCCATGTGCGCTGTCAACCCCAGCCGCATCTCGAAGACTTTCAACGAGCCTGCTCTACAGTATGTTGTCGAAAACATCTCAGAGCAAACCGGATGGCTACTTGAGATTGTCAACTATAACGTTGCCAACATGCAATATGTCGCCGCTGGAGATGTAAGTTTTGACCATGGAACCTTTTGTAACTTGGACTTCGAACCTTTGCTAACAATGTTCTAGCTACGAGCTCTCGATACCTTGACCAATCTGCTCAACGTTCTCAAGGCACAGAAGATTGACATCCAAGCCCTCATGCAGACGATGTCTCTTGAGGACGTCAAGGCGCACCTCGTGAATATCATCAACGAGTGTGTGAAGACGACTGAGGCCAAGCCGAAGCCAATCCAGCTGGAGCGTGGTTTCGCCACGATTCCTCTCAGAGGTATCGATGTGCCCTTCCACAGCACTTTCCTTCGCTCTGGTGTCAAGCCCTTCCGCTCCTTCTTGCTCAAGAAGATCAACAAGACCACTATCGACCCGAGCAAGCTCATCGGTAAATACATCCCCAATGTCACTGCTCGGCCGTTTGAGATCACCAAGGAGTACTTTGAGGATGTGTACAGACTCACCAACTCGCCACGTATCGCGAACATCTTGGCGAACTGGGAGAAGTACGAAGAGGGAGGCGATGCCGCCGCACGCCCGGCTGGCTCTACCGCCGCTTAGACGTGTAGTAATACCCCCGATCTTTTCTATCTTCTTTCGAGCCGTGAGTCTCTGGCGTCTGCTTTTTTTTTGCCGCTTAGAACTCTGGACTCTTGTCTTCTAGGCATCTTTTTCTCTTTTCTGTGACGTGCCCACGTTCTTCGAGTTTGTTGTTCATAATTCGGTCATAATGAGGGAAAATGCTTTATGTAACTAGAAAAAGGGGCCCTATGCCTTTTTTATTTTATGCAGTTAGAATTTATGTTTAGAGGGAATGCTATGGATTATTCAAAATAACTAGTCAATTTTCTGACGCTAATCTCTTAACTGTAAAGAGAAAAGATTCCGCTACGTGCCGTTTAACCCTCGCTGCTCTTAACTGTTACACTTGCAGCATTCTATCATGGGGCTGGGGGATCATATCTGGAAATGCAAGTGTTACTAAGATAACAGCTCTTACTGCAATTCAGACCATTGCAGAAGTCTGTGAGGTCCACCGAGTCAATAACTTCCATATTTCCTTCCCATAAGGCGATAGAACATCAATGACAGCGTGAGTGTAATTAAATTGATCTTCTAATCCAGTCTATTAGTAGCTTTGGGTCACACTGGTAGACCAGAATTATGGACATGAGCATAACTTCCTCAAACTAGTCAGCCCAGCTGGGTTGTGCAAAATATGCTCTTCATAAAAAAACTTGGCCACTTCCCTTTTTTTCCCCCAAATAGGACGTACATACACCGCGCGTAAAGACACAAGAAATATAAAAACCCGGTAGATAAGACTGTCTAAGGAGGAGGGAGACAATTAAAGATTGGCAGATAATCTTACCTACCTTCCTGACAAGAGAGGGACGTAGGACTGTCGCTGTTCAGGTTTCTTTCAGGACACCTGGACGCAAAAGTCTGTCCTCCTTGCCATATACACCGACTTCTTTGACAATCGAGATGAATCTCCGGTGGTTTTCCCTCGATTCGCCAATGCGAGGTCGGAAAATCCTGAGCAGGTCACTGCTAAGGATGCCGGTGGCAGGGATGGCAGCGTGGATCTCGGCCGCTGTAGGGAAACTCTGTTGGGACGGACCAGGCGTAGAGACACGTGTTTGGCCTAGGAAAGATACAAATGGCAATCAGTATGGTCGATCTGATCAAGCGCAGAATCAAGGTTTTACCTTTCATAGAGCCTCCTTCAGGGCTGCTGGCGCGGCTTGCGACGACGGCTTTACCACCCAGCGGGATAGGACTACCGGCTCGGGATCCTTGGGGCGTTCCATGATGCGAGGGTGCTGTCGGGGGGTTAAGTTTGAATTTCTTCGTTTTACCGCTTTCACTCATCTCACCAGCTGAGGCAGCACCGCCATCGATATCACTACCAGAACCCGGGCCCAGATTCCGAGCACGCTTCTTGTTCAACTATCCAAGTCAGTCAAGAACATATCGTAGTTGCCTTTCGACAGGGCTTACCGGAACTGCGGACGTTGCCGCTGGCGACATTGGACGCGACTCCGGCTGAGTTGGAGCGTGCTTGCTCTTTGGCTTCTTGCGGGAAGTGTCTGTCCCACTGGCATCGGACAGACCTGGAGAACCAGGGCGTTTCCTAGCAGGGAGACCAGTCGCTTTTTTCAAGGGGTCAGTATGCTTAGGGCGTCCACTGGGGGTATCTCCGCCTTTCGCAGAGCCCCCTCCATTTTTCTCGGACTCCTTTGCCTTCTTGTTCTTCTCCTCTTCGGCCTTCCGCTCCTCTTCTTTCAACCGTTCTGCCTCCGAGTCTTCGGAACTCTGCACAATCCATTCAGTCAGTCACACCGAGCATCAACACGGATAGATAGGGTCGCTGATAACAATGTTACGTACCTCCTCGTCGGAGTAGGGATTGAAATCGGATTCGCTGCTATAATCGTAATTCTTTTCCCGCCTTTGGAGCGCCTTTCGTACTCGCTTACCCAGAATCCTCCGCGCTTCTTTCTCCCTCTTCTCCTTGAGCTCTTCCTCCTCGTAGTCCTTTTCTTCTTTGAGGTCAAAGACGTTTGCTTTTAACTGATCTTCCTTGATTCTTTTTTCAGCCGTCTTGGCCTCTTCATCCTCATCGAAAATCGCATCATGTTCCTCATCGTCCGCAAATCTGTCTTCTTCGAAATCCATTTCATCTGCTTCTAGAGCCTCGCCACCAGAAGCGCCTTGCTTACCACGGTAGACCTTCCGTGATTTGGCGTAATTTTCTAGTTCCTTTTGCTGTGCCATCTCATGTTGCTTTTCCATAAACCACCTAGGATCCTTAGTTTTCTTGGACATCAATTTCTCTGCCTCCTCAATCGTCAAAGTCCTGAACTGGTTCTTTGCGCTAAATTTGTACCACTTGTCGATCGGGATCATCCTCATTCGGCCAGTGTCTTCCAGTACGAACATTGCATACGTCTCAGACAGGGCGGCCTCATAACTTCCAACCCACGTGTTTTTGTTATCGAAATCTTCCAAGTGCCAGGGTAGAGCTTCTTCGTATTTAACCCGCGCCCGAGCTATTTCTTCCGGTGTCATCTCAGCCCTAGACACCTGTTGAGTCTTCTGTTTGGGAGCATTCGCTCTCCTCTGTACAGTTGCCGCTGAGGGAGCTATCTGCGCAAGATTCTCCTCGCGCTCCTTTTCTCTTGCAGCCTTTCTTGCTTCGATCTCCTCACGCTCAGCTTCATCGAGCGGATTCGCCCCTTCTCCCGTCTTCTTGCCATCTGCAGTCTTTTCACCCCCTCCTTCGTGTGTCTTCGCTCGCGGATCTCTCCGCTGGAGTCTGACCGGTCGAGTGAACTGAGATTCGTCACGGGGATCGATATTCTTCTTAGACGCGAACTTGGCCACATGGAATTTCAGTCCTTCGCGCCAAGCACGCTTTGTGGTCACTAGGGGATAGTCCACATAAGTATCTGAAAGCAGAGGGCCACTAAACCCGTTAACCGCCATGTCCTCCCCGGGAGGGACGACCTTTGTTCTAGGCGCATTCGAACCGGGTCGCGTATTAGACGGAAGCTGTGCATTTGTCTGTGGATTGATGCCCGCTGAGCCATTTGGCGGCGGCCTAGGAGCCGGCGCAGCGTTCGGTGGCCTTGGACCAGGCCTCTTCTTAGGACGCACCAGGGGATCTGCGGCTCTCGGACGACGAATCCTCATTACAGGGGGCCCGTTCGAACCGGCCAAGTTCTGAGGAGCAGACGGATTCGTGGGAGTCGCCATTTTGGCTGTGACAGAACGGAGAAAGGTAGGAAGTGGTGTTGAACAGCGCGGGTGTCAGACATCCAGCGGAACGACAAGCTTTTAGCAGCGCCTTGGTTTATAAATGCATGTGGATATGAGGGTTCCAAATAGAACTAAGTAACAGAATTAGTATTTCAGAGAGTATCGGACGCTGGAAGATGTATGCTGGTGGCCAGCGCAGATGAATGCAGCTCTCTTTGTCGAACATGATGATGCGGGACTGCAAGGCGCGGTCTTCTGCTGACATAATCTGTAGGCATCGGCGTCACGCTAGCCGAGCGGCAAACCCCTCGCTGATTGGCTGGCCAGTCACTCGGAATAAGCCCATGTAAATTGCCTGTGATAGCTTCATGTCTCTTTCACTTCTGGGTTTGCCTTCCACCTCTCTGTCATCTAGCGCACCCTTTTTGGAGCATTTCCCTTCATGTGGCTACTGCTATCTGCGCCTCTAAAGACTTTTTCAGTGTTATAGAGGATGCCCGTTCGACTCCGCATTGCTAGTATTGAGTCTTTGTTCAATACAAGCATGTGCTCTATTGTGCCCTCTGTCCCAGCCATCATTTTTCATTCACTGTTCACCAGTCACACTTTACTCCAGCCTTCTTTAAGATCTAATAACATGGCTGGCTGAGTGTTCTGCAACCTGACTCACTAGACTCTCAGATTTAGATCATTCTCATGCCCTAGACAATCCTCTTACATTCTCTTTCCCATTCTATCACTGGGGAACTTTGCACCGTCTTTGCTAATATTTTTGATCTATTTCTGAGCTAAGCTTCTTACAAGTTTGGTCTTTGCTCTTCATCTGAAAGGGTTCTGCCAATTAATCAATGAATATGGCTTCAGAGGCCTATCCTACTAAGGGTCACCTGCAGGGATCAGCACAAGGGGACATATTACCTGGACAGGCCTACAATACAATGGCTGTTCCTCCCAATCAGGCTCCTCAGAGTCCCTATGGGCCTCGAGACTATGCTTTCCCGACGCAGGGACGATCATTCAATCCCGCGCTTCATCAGTTTCCGAGTCCTCATCCTGACCTCCGGCAACAATTTCCAGCAACTCACATTGAGCGGCTTCCCTCTGGACAGCTGGTACCAGTCGGCAGTCAGCCGTTTAGCACAGAAATCGGACCGCATCCTGATAGGTGGCAGCGCTCACACTTCCAGCATCCTTCCACGCATCTTGTTCGCTCTCAGTTTCATGGTCATTCGCGGTATACCCGGCCCTCGATTCCCGCTGGGCCCGGATATTCCTATGCCAATGCACCCAGGACTCGTTTTGGGGATCAGCAGACAGATCCTAGACGGAGATATCAAATGCAGATGAATTACTTGGACTCACTAGCTGTTCCGGTTATTCAGAGCCTCCATTCTCTTACTCCTGAGCTACAGTCAAAGGAGAGTCTGAGAACTCGCCTAGTTAAGATTGCTCGAGAGGCAATTTCTGTCCGAGCTGCACAATGTGGTGTTTCTATCGGACCCGATGCCATAGATCTCAAATGTTTCGGCAGCCTACGCAATGGATTTGGTCTTCCCGGTGCCGATATGGACTTGGCAATGACTACACGTCCTTCGAATCTTCCCAAAGAGATCGAAGATGAATGCCCCCGTATTCTCGAGAAGGCATTCCTGGATGCCGGCTTCGGTGCTCGGTTGATAGGGAAAACCAGGGTCCCGATCATCAAGCTTTGCGAGAAACCGTCCCAGGAACTTCTGGATGTGCTCAAGGAGGAGCGGAAAGCTTGGGAAGTCAAGCAGTTGGCCAGCGACACGACAGAAAGCTTTTCTGGAAAAGAGACTCGTACTTCCTCAGAGTCAGAAAATCCGGACCGTTCGAAAACTGACGACCGTGTTATTGAGAAACCGTCTGTCAGCGTTGACTTCCCTGGTTCCGACACAGGGATCCATTGTGATATCAATTTTTCCGGGAGCCTTGCAATCTACAATTCGGAACTTCTGCGTTGCTACTCGCTTTGTGATGAGCGCGTTCGCCTCTTGGGCATCTTTATCAAGAAGTGGGCCAAAGCTCGAAAGATCAATAGTGCCTACCACGGGACCCTCTGTTCCTATGGATACATCCTGATGGTTATCCACTATTTGATTAATGTCGCTCAGCCTCCAGTGATACCCAACCTTCAGATAGACTATCGTCCTCCTGCATCTGGCCGCAAGAGTACCACTACAGTATCCGGATATGACGTACGATTTTTCAACGATGAGGAAGCCATCAGAAGTATGGCACGGACCAGGGGGTTCTCTCGCAATAATCAGTCTATTGGTGAACTGATACGCGGTTTTTTCGCTTATTACGGAGCCTCAGGTCCCAACGCTCCTCTCGGTGGTTTCGACTGGATCAATGGAGTCATCTCCATACGTACCAGAGGTGGTATCCTCACTAAGTCCGATAAAGGCTGGACTTCACTCCATGTGGACGATAACGGCACTCGCCACAGATACCTTTTGGCCATCGAAGACCCGTTCGAAGTCGACTACAATGTGGCCAGGACAGTTGTCCGTGATGGCGTCCATGCTATTAGGGATGAATTCCGCCGGGCAAATAATATAATCTACAGCATTCAGGAGATACCCGGCGCTGGTTGGCAATGGCGCACAGAAGAAGGTGCCATAGGTGAAGATTTCTTCGCCGAAGCAGAAGATCGGCTGCATTTACAGCGAACCCGCCAACTCAGAACCCTCTCAGGCCCATCTAATGAGATTTCGGAAGATCCTACCGAAGAGAAACAGCGGGGTGCACCTACAACTGCAAGGTCTGTGCCAGGTCAGAACCTCGGCGAAAATGACGTTCCAGCACATGGGCCGACAACCACGCTGGCATACCGACCTAGGGCGAAAGGAAGCAATAGTCAGAACAAAGGCGGCTCCATAGATTCGAACCGGGATGGGAGGCCTACATTTCATCCGCATCAGGATAAAACGCAGCCTCTAGCAGCCAACGCAAATAGCAGCAACCCCAACATTGGAACTTCAACTCAAATCGCATCCGGCAACTTACAGGATAGGGTTCCAAAACCTCGCGCATTTCGGGCTGATGAGCGTACAGATAACAGAGAATTATCATCGAAAGGCAAAAGCATATGCAATGTCAATCCTTTGATTCGTCGTCCAGTTTCCGAAGTGACACGCAAACAAGAGGAGATGGGTAAATTGTTTGCACGGGATGCCGCTACTGCAGCCGGAAAGATGAATTCCATGTTGGAGAACCAGAAAGCTTATGCTTTAAGTGTTTCAAATCAACCTAAAAGCCTACATACACCCTCGGACCACCCACTTGTGGGTAGTAAGACCGTTGCGGTGCCTTCAGGCTCAGAGTATGTTAATGATTCCGAGACCCGGGACAAAGAACAGCTAGATAACATTACCCCTATGGAAAAAGAAACGATACGTCCTGCAATACTCGACACCCGTGATACGGCATTCTCAGATAGCGACTCTGCCACCGTTCACACCCATCTTTCTGGTAGTTCAGACGCTATTTCGATTCCTTCAGTCGCCATTTCTAAACCGTCCCCTCGTGCCGCCTCCTCGGATAGCTCTCAATTGAGCACTGGTGACTCGAGTCGGGTTCCAGGTCAGCGCGGTTTATGTGTCGATCCAAAGCAATTATATGAGATGTATTCGATACACACCGGGAAGCAGAAGGCTGGTGGGGTAAGACCTCAGATCCCCTTTCCTCATAACCCTGGATCTACCGAGGACGACTATGATCAGGACAAGCCTCGTGTTCCGTATGACGAACTGCTGCGAAACCTGCCATTCAATCAGTTCGTCACACCTTCCAGTAACCTCTGACTCTGTCCAGTGATTGCATAAATAGAGAGGCGGATCACAGCTCTCAGATCACCCTTTCCAGATTACGCTTATGACAGGACATTACTCTATATTGATCCTTCTCTATGTCCATTATTGTTCTGGGTGCTTATCAAATAGCCGCGGTTTGTCTTTATGGGTCATGGCTTTTTATTTCAGGCCTAATCTTTTTTTCGGTGCCTTTTGAGTCCTTGCTGTCGCGCAGAACCTGTATCCATCGGGGAAAGTACATCTAGGTTAGCTCAAGCATAAGCGACGACAAAATTCGTGTTCATGTTACTCAGCTGTCATTTCCTAGCTAAGAGGCCTTTAGTGCCATATCCAATCTATACGTTCAATAGCCGCGGTTCGCAACCAGTAGATGTCTCTATAATTACCTCGTAGCACTGTACCAAATCTATGGTGATTTAATATAAAGGGCGTACTCAAGACAACAAACGGCGTTTAGAAAGGCAAGATGATTAGGGCCGAGCATAGAAAGAAAATGAAGGAACGGAAGACGGAACCCAACATTAACACTGCGAAAGAGATGGAACCAATAAACCGCCGCAGTTGTACGCTCGTGTATTTTCTCAAAATTGCTGGATCGGTGGTGTCAAAGAATTGCATTGATGGAATCATATAGCCTCTATTTTTGGTTGTGCCAAACACTTGAAAGAAATACAGCCCAATGTGTCACCAAGTGTAAATGAGAAAAAAACGAAGTGATCTATGCCTTGATGCTGCAGCATTCAGAACAATTCAACGACCTTGTCATCATCGTCAGCTTGCTCGTGCTGCGGTTGCCCCAGCGCTTCTGCCCTAGCTTTCTCGAGTTCGGCGTCTTCCTCCCCTTCCTCGTTCCTCATAATTACATTCACCAGCCTATCGCAAGCTTCACGGACATCGTCATCATCCACATGGAGGTGACACTCCCTTACGATCGGATACACATTTACCTCGCGCATCTTATCCCGCCCTTCTCGTGAGGTGGTTAGCAACATTAGAGTTTCGAGATGGGTAACGATGTTGCTGGTGTCTGTGTCTCTCTGCTTATCTGGCGGTAGTAGCTGTAGATCTGGCAGCATCGATGCAGATTCCTCGTCTGTGAACTCCTCGGGTCCGGTGATTGGCAAAAGAACATAAGGTAAAAGATTTGCCCCGTCCTCTGCAAGGAGCATTGGATGCGAGGACACATCAAAGGATACGTTCTTGATGGTCGAGGCGACTCCCTTTCTCCTGATATCACTCTTATGTTCCGTGAATACCGTGAGCTTCGTGATTGGAACGACGTCATCATATGCCTGTCTTGTCGTAAAATAAGCGCGGCCTTCCTCCGTTTTCGAGAGGTCTGCGAAGAGGTAAGACAGGTAGTCGTAATCAGCATGCTTGTTCAGGGACCCTTCCGCGCCCTTGACGAAGCAATCCATAAGCTGGTCCATAGCTTTTGCTGAGTCTGACACCCCCTCGGGCACTCTTCTCTCCATCTTTATAATCCTTTGCATACTATCCGATTTGGCGAGGTTTGCGAGAAGCATCGCTATCTCGTTCGCGTTTGGCTCTTTGGGGTTCTGTACGAAATCGGTCAGACTCGGTTTCGCGCAGGCCGGACGCTGAAAAAGAGCCATTCACGCACCGTCAACTTGACCAACAATGTCTCTAGAAACGCATCATCCTCCGCTAGAAGTTGAAGTATCTCATTATCGGCCGACAGATTAACCAGCATAGTCAGGACATTCTTTGCGATCGGCTATTCCGTTGGTAACCAGATTCTATTAGCCATATATCATTCTGAGGTAATTCAAATTCCACCAAAGGGTCCCAACGACTAACCGAGTAGTCGCGCACAAGCAGTTTCATATCTCGGACAGGTAGGAGTTGCTGGCGCTTGAATAATGAGGGCTGAGATGTTGAGAACCCGACCAGGTTTTCAACGGCTGACAAGCAATGATCAGTCAGCGTCTTTCGGGCTTTAATGTTCACGGAACCACGAGATGTACCTATTTGTCTGATCTGAGTGTTTCCATGGTGGAGGAACTCGACGAGCTATAATGCCGCAAGGGCAAGTAAGTCAGCATTAGAAATATCGAATCGTCGGGGTATTCTTCAACGCACCTCCTCCAGCTCTGTCGGCATTTGGGCTGAGAGACGGGGGCGCTTTCTTGAAACTGGATTCTAGGATCGCCGCCTGGAATATCTTGTGAGTCGATATAATGAACCAAATGTGCCTGCGAATGTAGTAGTGTCTTTGTCTCGTGTGAGATCTCGGTCGGCAAAAGAAAATTTTGTGGGGTTAAGTACCTACCGACGTCACCGAATGTATGGTATGGGCTTGCGATGCTTCTATGGTAGCACTCAGTATTTACTTGTTACGCCTACAGAGGAGACCAAATGGAAGTAAAATCGAATTGAATTGACTATACGCGCAAAATGTTACTAATATCTCTATATTTTGTGAAGGGTTGAGTTCTGGAATACAGTAATCCGTGCCATAATCTAATCAGAACTTTTCGGAGCGGATAAAGGGTTCCAAGATTGAGTGTTTTCCTTGCCACCACAGATGTCCCAAAGCTTCCTTCATTATTGTTTTGGCGGTCTCCAGACAGAATAGCTAGCATGTGGTGGTTTCCCCTTGTATCATTGGAGTGCAAGCCGTCTCCGTGTACTCCAGAACAAAAGGGAGAGTCGATGGAGGGGCTCATGACAGGAATGGAGGGGCAGAGTGGACCCGCGAAGTATTAATTACATACATTTAGTTAGGATCGCTTCCTAACATAACTTATCCATAATACCACCAGCTCGATAACATCCAAGGCACGCAAGAGCAGCCCTTCACTTCTCCAATTGCCTGTTCGTTGTGACTGTTGTACTGGTAGACTCTCCTCCTTTCCGGTACTATTGCTCCGTGCTCGTATCTGCCAGAGGTTCGGCTGCTTTGCGATTTTAAACAAGCTTAAGTACCTGCAACGCATCCCAAGTGAAGCAAAGCTACTCCAGCAATTTGCTTAATTGTCCTTTACTTGACCCAGATATCCGATAGAAAAACGAAAAAGATGGCTGGCTCCGAGAGCACTCCTGATCTGCAGGAGATCCATGATTTCCTGGTTGATTTGGCCTTCAAGGCTGGCAAAACAATCAACAGTGCTTTACCAACTGTCTCTAGCACCGATTCAAAGAAGAACAGTAAGTCTGGCACTTGAGTTTACCCATCAATGCGACCTGTTAGCAGAGACTGATGATGCCTCAAGGCTCCGACCTCGTCACGGAATATGACCGCGCAGTGGAACTGCAGGTTTCTACCGCTCTGAAAGAGAAATATCCTGAATACGAGTATGTGGTTGCCCAAGTAGTATAACGGTGCGTTGCTTACGGCGTGGCTGACGGTATTTTGTCCATAGCTTTCACGGAGAAGAGACATACGATCCAGCGCATCCTCTCACGGACGCCCCGACATTCATTGTTGACCCAATTGATGGCACTACCAATTTCGTACATGGCTTTCCCAGCGTGTGTATTTCCTTGGGCTTTGCCATTAAACGCACACCGGCCGTTGGCGTGGTGTTTAACCCTTTCACTCAGACTCTATACTCCGCCATCCGTGGGAAAGGGGCATACTTGAACAAGACAACCAAGCTCCCACTGAAGGGCGCCAATATCGAACCACTGCAGGGGCTCAGCAATTCCCTCATTGCCGTTGAATGGGGTTCGGACCGTAGTGGCCAGAATTTCGAGACTAAGGTCCGCACCTTTGAACAGCTAGGGAAGAGCCGGGAGGAGGGGGGCGCAATGGTCCATTCCATGCGCAGCCTGGGATCAGCTGCTCTGAACCTGTGCAGCGTCGCGGCCGGAACTCTCGACTTGTACTGGGAAGGTGGGTGCTGGGCATGGGATGTTTGCGCTGGTTGGGTTATCCTGAGTGAAGCTGGCGGCATTATGGTTGACGGGAACCCCGGTGAGTGGACTGCGAAGCTCGATAGCCGGAGATACCTTGCAGTCAGAGGGTCGCCAAATGGTGAAGGCCAGAAAGAGCTCGTGGAGGAATTCTGGAGTCATGTGCAGGGTCGCATGGACTACTGACCTCTTAGGTCGACTTCACACGATACCTCGGATTGAAGCAGCGATAACAGGTCTGCGTTGTGTTTCTCCTTCTCATTTCCATATCTTATCCTATATATTATCTTTTCTAACGGATATCTCGATCATCCTTCTTACACAGCGAGTAACTTCTTGAGGAACCATCTCCGTCAGACGAGAGAGAGAGAGAGATATATATATATATATTTCTTTTCTATATGCCTTTTCAAGTCCCCGCATTCTACATAGAAGTCTCATTATCTGTCATGAATCACTTCCCAGGAATCCCCTTATCCATCCGTAATAACTCACTCACATACGTGGTGACTCGTTGCTCCTTTGGATGTTGTGCTGTCTTTGTTCAGTTGGTTCACAGCATCTCACCGCTCGGGAATTTGCTGCCCGATTGTCCACGTTCCGCCTTCCCTATGGACGCCTAATTCTGGGGTCTTCTCCGGACTTCAGAATTCAATAACCAGGTTGAATTCTTCAAGCAAATGATGCTTTTATTCCATGCCTTTATAGCCAACACTGAACCTCATTCCGGGGCAGGGCGACAGTGTCTGCCGCCACACTCTGTCTGACGGGTACCAATCAATGATCACCGGGTGATTCGGCCACCTCATTCGGTCTTGCGCTGGCACATAGTCCAGGTGCATGCAGCCTCTTAAGATCGCGCGACATCGCGCCAAAGGCTACTAGCCTGTGGAGTAACAGCTGCCTGCCGCCACCTGCCTATGCAGCTGCGATCCTACCGGGGCACAGGAATATATGAGTCCGATTGCTGTCCAGCCTTCCGAACAACGGCGTCTGCTTATCCTACCATCGACAACCGACTACACTCTATACCTCCAATGCCAGCGGGAGCTGTACTTTTTGCATTGTGACGATGGATATGCTTTTCCGCGGGTGACTGGCACCGAGCTGCTGAAATAGTTTCTCGGCGGTAGCTAGTTGCGAAATCAACTCACCAGCGCTGTTAAGCTAGAACGAGGTCCAACGACGACATATGGCGGGCACACATGAAACGAGGCGTGGAAAAAAGGCGACCGGCGCTTCTAGTCAGAAACAGAAACGACCGTCTTCAGATGTACGCAGTGGGAGTGTCAAACCACCAGGTCGTGACTCGGAGGAGCAAGGGACCTCCAGACCGCCGCGCGATGGAGTGAAAAAGACGAAGAAGCAGGGAGACGCAGGTTCTAGCACACGGAGGGTGGTTTCTGCCGCGCTAGCTGACACCAAGACGACTGCATTGAACACAACGAATTCGCGCACTATCGAGCGTTCTTCCACGCAGCGCACCCTCGATAAGGATAACTCTCTCAAGACTCGAACTATTAATCGGTAAGTACAATTCCTATCCGAATGGCGGAGCTGTTTTGTTAACGCAGAAGCAGAGATCGGTCGCTGAAGAGCACGAAGCCCATAAGTTCTGGTATCAAGACAGATTCCTCGAAAGCGAAGACAGCTGCTGTGGACAAGCCTTCGAATGGCAACACCAAGACAGCCCCGGCCCAAAGTAAGGGGCTTCGAAAACCTACTGGCTTTTTCTCCGCTTTGTTCGTAGCATCACCTGCTCCGAACCCGCAAAGAAAGTAAGATATATTTGCATTGCAGGGTATCTAGATCAGTATTAATGGATAAAGCAGAATAACATGCCTTACATGCTTTTCGGACGATATTCCTGTGAGCAAATCGGCTAAACTAGCCTGCTCTCACCGAATGTGCCATGCATGCCTCAAACGTATATTTACTCTGTCCGTAACTGATCCGCAGCACATGCCACCGCGATGTTGTACGTCTCAGCACATCCCCCTAAGGCACGTGGACAAACTCTTTGACACGAAATTCAAAATCAAATGGAACAAGAAATATCAAGAGTACACGACAAAGAATCGCATATACTGCCCGACGAAGGGATGCGGTGAGTGGATCAAACCTGACCACATCTTTGTGGATACTAGCGGAGGTGCTTCTGGTGGCCGAAAGTATGGGAAATGCAGCCGATGTAAAACGAAAGTCTGCTGCACTTGCAATGGGATATGGCATTCTGGAAAAGAATGCCCGAAGGACGAAGATACGAAGAGATTTGTGGAAGTAGCGAAGGAAAAAGGATGGCAGAGATGTCACAGCTGTTCAGCTATGGTTGAGCTGAAAGAGGGCTGCAACCATATGACATGTCGCTGCACGGCCGAATTCTGCATGATCTGTGGTTCCAAGTGGAAAACCTGTGATTGTCCGTGGTTCAATTATGGTGCTGCCGACGAGGGAGATAGACTGAACTTCATGAACGTTCCCCAGCCGGTCAGAAATAATGTGGGTTATCAGGAAGAACTCGATCGAAGGAGAGAACAGGAACGGCAAGATGAGGCTCTAGCTCGACGAATGCAGTATCTTGGATTGTATCATCGTGCTGAACCAGATGAAGCTAATGATGGAGTCTTTGAGGTGGGTAATGCAACAGGCCACTTTATGAATGAACACTTTCACTTGCGACCGACCGGAGCTACAGCTGGCGATGAAAGGCTTGCTAGACGAGCAACACACACTGGAGCTCGTCGCAATCGCAACATAGCAGCTGCGCGTTCGTACACGCCTTCGCCACCCCCGGATCGATCGAGGGAGCACCTGGGAAGGCGTAGGGATCTTCCCAGGCGAACGTGAAATGGGAGCCGCTTGCTTTTGTAACTTTACGACTGTATGAGTGCCATGAAATTTCCAGGAATTATACCCTAGTTGAATCTACAATGACAAATGATTTATGGGAAAGAGCTTGTGTCTCCTTTTCCTAGTAGAAGTTCTCAACAAGAACCAGAGATCTAATCTTAAGGCAGAGTTCGAGCCTGACTATTAAGGCCGAAATGATTACCGGTTCTGGTCGGACTTATCATCCGGACTTAACGCGGGCCGCCAGCAAAATTGCGGATGCCAATGATGTCTCAATTCTCTACGCAACTTGATCGAGAGGAAAGAAAATAATAACCACTGATGGGCATTCCGCATCTCACACGCCATCTGCTCCCGTACTCAGAGCCAGTCTACGTAGGCGATACTGATCGTACTGCAGAAGATGAGACCAGATGCCTCAGAAGAGTCGTGATAGATGGACCGAGTCTTGTCCATCATGTCTTCCACCGAATACTATCCTGGAGAGATGCTGATCTCAACCCAGTAGATGCCCAGCCTACACCTAATGAAGTAAGCAAGGGTGTATTGCTGTACTTGCTCCTTTTAAGACACAAAAACGTCCAGGTGTGAGTACATAACCGGCCTCTCTTAACTATCTTCTTGGCAATGATGCTGATCTAATAAGAGATCACATCTATTTCGATGGAGCCTTGCCTCTTGAAAAGCGCCAGACGCGGCTTTCGCGCATGGAGAAATCAAGGAAGAAATTGGAAGATTTCTGCTCAAATACCAGAGGCGGATTCCGGGTATCGAGACCCTTGTTGCAGAAACGCCCAACGGTGCAACTTCATCAAGTCATGTGCAGCCATAAGCCGGTAAAGAGATATATGGGCCTGTCTGAAAATCCGTTTATGGTGTCAGCGGTGTTCGAGGATCTTAAGCACCGATGGAATTGGCGCAAGATCAAAACCACTGTCGAAGGGACCGGTATTTTTGAGACTCTTGGTGATGATGATGCTGCTGCTGCTGCTCATGATGCGGAATATCCCTGGGCCGGTATCACCGAAATAGTACCCGGCGAGGCAGATATATACTGCGGTTACGCATCGAGACATGAGGGCTCGGCTGTTTTAAGCAATGATTCTGACCTTCTGGTTCACGACCTAGGACCCAATGGGTCTGTGGTGTTTTTGGATACGGTTGAATTAACCAACTACGACCTGCACAATCCCCAGAACGGACGTATTACGGCCATGGAGCTCCGCCCTACCGTCATTTCACGGAAGCTTGGTATCCCGAGCATTCTAGCACTAGCATATGAGCTGAAAAGTGACCAGCATGTAGGGCTGACTGAGTTAATACGGCGCTCGAAAGGAAGGGTTGGAGCACTTGCCGATACAGCAGCGTATCTTCGCTTCATGCAAGAGTACGAACCTATCAATCTCGATGTATTGATTAAAACACCGGGAACCAGCGAGAGCCTGCAATCTCTTGATATCAGAATCGCAGAGCTATTCATGCAATACGAACTAGCCGGTTTCCAATCCGGGGAGGCCCCGCATATGTATCTCTCTATCTTGCATGAGGACCATTCCAGGCGTTGCGCATGGACTGAAGGGAAATATATACGACGTCTAGGATATTCACTTCTGAACGCTTCATACCCATCCTCGAAAAGGTACCCGACGGTAGTCGAGTGTGTCCGTCGAGGAAACAGGATTTGCTTCGACACAATAACCCTCCACAGCGAAACACAAATACAGAACGAACTACAAGACCTCCATGATCGCCTATCTCAAATCGGAGCCCTTTTCAACGAAAACTACACTTCACCTCAATACTGGAAAATGGTATCCCTGAACGAGATATATCACCAAAGAAAATCAGATCCCGCCATCCCCCCAAATCGTACTGAACTGGAACGATTCCTCCTTCTCGGCCACACGGGCTCAGAACTACAATGGAAAGACATCCATATATTCGCCCAGATGCAATCAGTTCTTTACTCTTTGAGAATATTAGCGCAACTACTTCACGTTGCTATGCTTAGAGATTATCGGGTCGATGGCCTCCAAAACATACAGAGAATACTCTGTCATCTTCCACCGCTTCACGAGTTGATATCACTTCGTGAAGTACGATTGGATGAATCCAAAGTAAAGGATTTTGTGCGTGGATTCTTTGAGCTGCAGGGACAAGCCGATGATAACGAATCGGATAGTGAGTTATCGGAGCCGAGGCCGGCTGAGATCGAAACTCGTGGTGATAACAACAAACGAGCCGCAGAGGAATGGACAGAGGTTCGGAGTGTACGGCGAGGACCAAAGGCAGATCCGCAGATTAGTTGGAAGAAATTATCCAACGGTCGGAATATAAACGTATATGACGTCCTCGGCAGTTGACAGTTAATTAATTACTGAGCTCTGGCATCTCGACTTCATTTGCATATGTAATGAATCTCTCTAGCAGCTACTCCGCTACATGAATCATGAAACTTTACGACTATAGTGAGTATTTTATGAATAATACATACAATACAACTAATTTTTATCATTGGCAAGGGTATGTAAACGCAGGACATGGGACTTTTAGCTCCTGTCCATCTATCGTGCAGATCGCAGGAATCCGACCACTCCCCTGCAGTAGCTCATCAACGCCGCCAACCTCTTTGCTTCCCGCTGCTCCTCTGATTTCCAAACCGCCAGAGCCTCTCGCAGCATCTCAGCTACCTGATGCTCATCGTCTGTCGATGCTGACCAGTCCCCAAGAATATCAGCATGTACCTTCAGAAAGACGGCCATCCAGGCATTGACAAGTTCAAAATCTCTCTTCATCCGCAATCGCCCTGTTAATGCTGTAACAAAGTCTACCAGCTCGCATCGGCCACTGCGGATACGCGGATCAAGCGATCGGATCTCCAAGTCTGCCTTTGCTGGCGGTAAAGCCTTCAGAAACTCGACAAAGGGTTCGAAATTTCCTGATTCCGAGCCAGAACGCAGAAGTGCGTTAAAGCGAGGTCCACCAAGGCCGACCCCTTGCTCGCTTTGAATCCTAGCGATCCTCGAGCGCTCGGTTGCGGCATCGTTCGAAGAGGGTTTACCAGCCTTGCCATTTTCAGCACCTTCAACTGCTGCGTTCGTGTCGTCTTTCCCAAGGAGAGACGGAAGGAAAAAGGGTGCCTTTTCCGGTGCCTTGGGAGCCTCTTTCGGCTTATTGCGCTCCTGCAACTTGGTTAGTCGGAATAGCTACGAGATTTCCCAATAGTACGTACCTTGATAACATCCAAATGCAACAGAGTCTGCCATCTACTCCTGGGGACAACACTAAGTGTCATCATTTCTTGACTTAACTGCTCAAAGGATAGGACCGGCCCTTCTCGCTCCTCGTCGCCATTATTGTCGTCGAAGGCAGCCTCGATCGTACCCGCACCATTCTCACCAGATGCTGTAGGAGCTGCAATCTCGGCAATATCATCCTCGTCGATATGTCTGGTCGGTATATGCGCAAATAGGCTTCGATTGCTCCAGAGGTTGATGCCTACACCGTCTGCATGAGCGGTAGCCAAGAATTCACCCGTGCTTGAGAAAGACAACGATGTGCATGTGCTAGCCACCCGGAAGGCATCAATTAAATGGCCGGTGGGCAAATCCCATATCCTGATGATCGAATCCATCGAAGCCGCAACGATCCATCGGCCATCGTTGGAGAAGCAAAAGTCATTGATCTGACCGATGCATCCCCAGAACTCACGAACAACTTTCATGGTCTCGATGTCCACAACACGAATTGAGAGGTCATCACAGCTGAAGGCTACCAAGTCGCTTGCGTTGCTATATCTTAAACCAACAATAGCTGTCATAGGATGCCAATCCAACTCGTTGATCAAGCGCCCCGAAAGGAGGTCCCAGAACTGCAAAGAGTGTCAATACTTTCCCCTTATACTGAATAGGATCACAATTACTGTACCTTTACTTTGCCGTCGAGACCGCAGCTCACCACTGTTCGGTTAAGGGAGTCTACCATGATGCCTGTCACTTCCTTGGTGTGTTTGCCTTCGCCTGCTGCGAACTTCTTCAAGGAATTCGAGGTCGTAGTTCCAAGCTTCCTCGGATTCGAAATGCGAGCAGGGAAGCTCTGACGATGCATGCCCGACTGCAAGTTGAACATGTCGATGCTACCGCCCGCCGAACCAACAAGAGCAAAGGTCCCACATGGTGAAATAGCCACACTCTGTAGAGCAATGTTAGCAAGGGACAGCTGTAAAGGCGTGTAAACCTGGTCTCTTACCTTGACTTCTGTTCCATCACCAGTTTCGAAGGCCCACCGACCGGCCTTTTTCTTCCCCCAGAACCATGTACGAGCATACTTATCCCCTTTATGGCCGGTCACAATGCTCTCCCATCCAAGAACACTGGAAGCTTCCGCCTCGGTGCCTCGCGTATTTGACCAAACAGGACCGGAAGCCGCAACTGCCATCCCACCATCACGGTTCAAAGAGCATGCCATGCAAGTGATCTCTGGAGCTTTGAGGTCTTCTGATTTTACAGATTCTCCGGACCGGCCACGGGTACCAGCAAGTTTTTTTGCGGTACTCTTGACGTTTCCTTGAGAGAGTTCAGTATTTTGCCCATCCTTTCGCAGACTGAATCCCCATAAACTATGATCTTTGCTTGCACTTAATAGCCACTTTCCGACTGACTCTGACCCATCAGATGGGGCGGGCAAGAAACTGAGGGCAGTGACCGCTGCGGAATGGCCGCTTCTTGAATGGAGCAATCGTGGAATCGGTGAGAATGGCGTCTCCTCAAATATCCAAGTCCGCAAAGCGTTATCTTTTCCTGAAGATACCATGATAGGCTGGCCATCAAGGAACGCGATTCCACTGATTCCAGACTCCTTATCATGGGACGACGTTTCGTGAGCCCCGCGGAGGATACCAGTTATCCGACCCCCGAAATTCAGATCCCACATGGTAATATCGCCACTATCCGCTGCAGCCGTTGCCATGACCCCAGACTTTCTGCCATCCTCACCTGCACCCAAGCCATCGGTTCGGAAAGCGATTGATGTCACTGCGGCAGCTTTTGTAGAACTTGATCGCAATGATAGTACGCTTTGATCCGTCTCCACATTATGAATTGATAGAAAGCCGTTCTTATAAGCAATAGCGATCAATGAGAGGGCTGGCGTCGGCTCCAGCGTGGTAACCGGTCCTGTGTTGGGTGCCGTCGGAAGGATAGAATAGAGCAATTTTCCGCTGCTCACGTTGTAGATATCCACGCTACCGTCGAACTTGCCCACGAAAATCTTGTTGAGATATGTAGGCATAGTGCACATCTTTCCAGTGAAGACCTGCTTTTCAGAGAGCCCTCTGGATTCGGCCGGAGTCAAGGTGGTGTAATGCTCATAGGATACCGACTTCCAGACATGGATACTTCTGCCACACCGTCCGACAATCCAGGAACCAAAAACGAGGATCTGCTCAACGGGCTCAACAGGCCCGGGGGGGCTTTGCAACTCCGCTACCTTTTTACCTCGTTTGAATATCCAGACTCCGGCAGGCGATCCAGGTCGCAGGCCTCCCCATGCTGCAAAAACCGCGTCTTTCCAGGCATACGTCGCCGTGATTATGTCCGGTGTCTGAGGACGAGTGAGGAAGACAAGATTGAGTCCACGGCGTAGATCGTAGGTCTGCAACGAGCGTCCCACCGAAGTCGTAATCTGGAATGTCGACTTTCCCAACCGGACAGCAGTGAATGGGACATCTGTCGGTGATACCAATCCTAGAGTCTAGATGGAGATCAGTTCGAGGATTCTCTCTGTCCTTATCCACGCACGCTCTGCTTGACTTACTCTGAAAGGAGAGAAGATCTCAGAACCTGGCCGCCGGATCTTTTTCTGTGCGTCTTCATCCAGAATTCTCTTTTGTCTTTTCGCAGAAGGTCCATCGTACCGCTCACCATCGATGGACGGCATTATTGCGATTTAAGACGAGAGGAATCCAACAATGCACGATAAAAAAAACAAAACAAAATACCACAAGTAAGACCGGCAGAAAATAGCCTCTGGCCTTCTTTGGATCGACACGCGAAGGTCAGATCTGCGATGAACGACTGTTGTTATGCTGCATGCGCCGCCTTAACTATTTTTTGCGGACAACTTTTTTTCTTCGGCTCTCTCTCTCTCTCTTTTTCCGCCTAACGAATCAGGCAAGCGGGAGAAGCTCTGCAAACAGAGATTATTATTGAATTCCACCAAGCTCTCGGCTATGCTCGTTCGAGTATCGCTCAGTGATTTTCCCCGGTACAACCTCGCGCTCACTAACTCATCTCAGATCGCTAAAATCGGATTCTGGGACCTGCGATGATTCCTGCCAATAGGACGAGATCCAGTTCACCGACCCACTGGGACATGATGTTGCGCAATGGAAGAACTCAACCATGAGAGCCACTGTGGCAATCGGAGGTTGAATTGGCAGAGCAGAAAAGCAGTGGACTGAAGTCTGGAAACCACTTTGATGTTGGTCTCCCTCGTTAGGAGTTCTCATGATAAGATCGCCCCAGCAGCGATCTTCCCCAAGGCGTCAGCTGTCTCCCGTCATTACCGCAGTCAGTCTTGGAGTGTTCTATACTGCAGTCCACTGTGCGTTGTAAGGACTGTAGGTGTGTGTCCAATCTCTCCCTACAGAATTGGCCTTTGACGCAGCAAGTACTGAGCCAAGCGATCCAGCAGGACCCTAAGAAAGGAAAAGAGCTTCTCCTCCAGACGTCTTGCCAACAACACTGCCAACCTTTCTGAGAACAAGAACGCTGCCAATCTCCAGAGCACCCATTCTAAACCTTCAACTGCGATCCGCCATCTTGTTTCTGGTCTCATACATTCTCTCTCTGAGCTGTCCCACGGATAAGCAAGCTTTTTGTGCCTCACGCCGATCGATTGTCTATCGCAAAGAGTGCGATGGATGACGAAGGGAGTGTATCTCCCTTCTCTCAGAGTCATGGGAATGATTTACAGGATTCGATAACCGCCAGTGATTTTTCGGCCTCGCGCCCGTCTATATTGGCCCCTCATCACCCCGCCCTGGGATCCCAGGTACCCGGAGGTGATCAGCCTTCCGATGTTTTGGCTACCGCCCGTGCTTCTCGGCCTGCACGTTCGTCGAGCAGGACACCCAGAAGGCTGAGCGGCAGCACAGCTGCTAGTTCCATCAGCGATATAGACCAGCAAGTTCCAATTATAGGGAAGATCGGGGTCTGCGCTCTCGATGTCAAGGCTCGTAGCAAGCCAAGTCAGAACATCCTCACCCGTCTCCAATCGAAAGGGGACTTTGAAGTGATTGTCTTTGGAGATAAGGTCATTCTTGACGAGGCCGTGGAGAATTGGCCCGTTTGTGACTTCTTGATTGCATTTTTCTCTGATGGATTTCCTTTGGACAAGGCGATTGCCTATGCGAAACTGCGGAGACCATTCTGCATCAACGATCTGCCTATGCAGAAAGTCTTGTGGGATCGCCGATTATGCCTGAAGATCTTGGATCAGATGGGGGTTCCGACCCCCAAGAGAATCGAGGTCAATCGTGACGGTGGGCCGACGCTTGAGTCTCCAGAACTTGCTCAGCACGTCTATAGGCTGGCAGGGGTTCGGCTCGAGGGCCCAGAAGACGGGACAGGAGGCGGGGCTGCGAAATCTCAAGATGTGTCCTTGTCTGAAGATGGAGAAACACTCATTGTTGATGGCAAGACCTTTCGCAAACCTTTCGTCGAGAAGCCGGTCAGTGGAGAGGACCACAATATTCACATATATTTCCCCAATGATCAGCAATACGGCGGTGGTGGCAGGAGACTGTTCCGCAAAGTTGGCAATAAAAGTTCTGAATATGACCCCGACCTTGTCGTCCCGAGGTCTATCACGGACAAGACTTCCAGCTATCTTTATGAGCAGTTCTTGAGGGTCGACAATGCCGAAGATGTCAAGGCTTACACAGTAGGCCCGGACTTTTGCCATGCAGAGACACGCAAGTCCCCTGTTGTGGACGGTCTAGTCCGTCGGAATACCCATGGCAAGGAATTAAGATACATCACTAAACTCACCAAGGAAGAAGCTGCCATGGCTTCAAAAATCTCCAACGGCTTCGGTCAGCGAATCTGTGGGTTTGACCTCCTGCGTGTGGGCGAAAGGAGCTACGTTATTGATGTCAACGGATGGAGCTTCGTCAAAGACAACAATGACTACTACGACAAATGCGCAAAGATACTGAGAGAAATGTTCATAAATGAAAAGCGTAGGCGTGATGGGTTGCTGGAACAAGGGGAACAACCGTCACCTGAGTTTGGCCATGGCCATTCCAGAAGAAGCACTGCAAGCTCCCACAGAAATACTTTGAAAACTTTGCTCAAATCACCGAGTGTGTCCAGGCTTCATGGGTCTCACCATGGTCACAAACCACATGGAAATATTCCTTCAGATGTCATAGGCGCCCCGGTGTCATCCTCGGTTCATGACAGTAGGGACGTCTCTCAGAATCAAACCCCGAACTACAGTGGAGATGATTCCCAAACTTCTCGAGACATACATGACATTACGAATCTGTCGCCCGAGTGTGCTACACCGGAGCCTGAACCCGAGATACCTGCTCCCCCGCCTCCTGCTTCCAAGCATTCGTGGAAATTGAAGGGAATGGTAGCCGTGATTCGACATGCAGACCGTACGCCGAAGCAAAAGTTCAAGTTTACATTCCATAGCCAACCATTTGTTGATCTGCTGAAGGGACATCAAGAGGAGGTCGTCATCAAAGGCGAGGCCGCACTCGCCAGTGTCTCCAAGGCTGTCAGAGTCGCCATGGAACAAGGACTAGAAGACCCGGATAAGCTGAAGCTGCTTCGGACTTCACTTGAGAGAAAAGGAGGCTGGCCCGGAACCAAAGTCCAGATCAAACCGATGTTCCGTAAAAGGAAGCCCGAAGAATTGCGTGAGGGTCCTGCCCCAACCGAGCAAAACCACCTTACCGCTCAAACGCCTGAAGAGCCTACCTCACCTGTTTCAGACGACAAGAGGGAGAGTAGACTGAATCGCTCGGAATCACGAAGCGATTCTATCTCTGGAACAACGTTCTCCAGGTTCTCTGCTGCAGAGAACGACCTGGTATTAGACAAATTGCAACTTGTCATCAAATGGGGAGGAGAGCCCACTCATGCAGCTCGCTATCAGGCACAGGATCTAGGCTTGAATATGAGGGACGATCTAAAATTAATGAACAAGGAGGCATTGAATGATGTTCGAATTTTCACTAGTTCAGAACGAAGGGTCAGCACCAGCGGTAAGTCCAGTCCCTTAGACTATTTTTTCCTCTTTTATACTATACATGTGCTGATTTCAAGTAGCTCAAATATGGGCATCTGCATTTCTGGATAGGAAAGAGCTTCCTGAAGATTTTATACAAGTGCGAAAGGATCTCTTGGATGATTCCAATGCCGCAAAAGATGTCATGGACAGAGTCAAAAAGAAGTTGAAAATACTTCTACGAGAAGGCTCGGCTCCTTCGCAGTTCACGTGGCCGAAAGAGAATATCCCAGAGCCCTCCGTCGTCCTAGCTACGGTGGTCGAGCTCATGAAGTTCCATCGAAGCGTTATGCGATACAATTTCCGAAAGATCGATGAATCCGCGCGCTCATTGAACGCGTCCAGAGACGACGAGAGCGCATCAGCATACCAGTCTAAATCTGATAATCCCGCCGTGGCCGCGATTCAGGGTCGTTGGTGCGCGGGAGAAGACGCGGATCTCTTCAGAGAAAGATGGGAGAAGCTGTTTGCTGAATTCTGTGATACAGAGAAGGTTGACCCTAGTAAGCTCTCTGAACTATATGACAGCATGAAATTCGACGCTCTGCACAATAGGCAGTTCCTTGAGTGGGTTTTCATGCCTCCGGACAATCTCAGCGGTGAAGACGGCGATGTCTCGCCGAAAGCAAACGAGTCTACAGGCGACCTCAACGGAGACAACAAGTCTGAACGCACGGCTTCGCTGGCTTCTCATGATAGAAGCGAGGAGAAGTCTGACGGTCATTCCTTTGCGCATCTCATAGGTTTGAGGAAGAGAGCAATGGCGTTAGATTCGATATCCGCCGTTGGGGCTATTGAGGATTCCTACGACCACTACTTCAAACTCTATACCGGTTCTGGTGCCACGAGAGCCAAGATGGATGAGCGCTTGTCTAAACTGAGAGAGCTGTACAAGTTGGCAAAGGTGCTCTTCGACTACGTCACTCCACAGGAGTATGGTATCAAAGATAGCGAGAAGCTCGAGATCGGCCTTCTCACATCCTTGCCTCTCCTTCAGGAAATTGTCAGGGACTTGGAAGAAGTTCAGGCTTCTCCAGAAGCCAAGTCCTTTTTCTACTTCACGAAGGAGTCGCATATCTACACTCTCCTGAATTGCATTTTGGAAGGCGGGATACAGACTAAGATCGCAAGGAGTGCGATACCGGAGCTCGACTACCTCTCGCAGATATGTTTCGAACTGTACGAGGCCAAAGATAGCGAGTCTGAGACGTATTCGTACTCAATTCGCATCTCGATCAGCCCCGGATGCCACACCTTCGATCCTCTAGATGTGCAGCTTGATTCGAGACACGCAATCGGCTGCGCACCGAGAAGGAGTCTGACCGCTCATCAGGATTGGAAAGAAGTTATCGAGACGCTGAAAGCCAAATTCAATACGTAAGGAAATTCGACTCTCCTGCTACGACGTTTGCTGACTGTTGCCTTCAGTGTAAAACTTCCAAAGACGTTCATCGCCGTGAACTTGAGTGATAAGCATGCGCCCAAACCAGACGAGAAATCAGGCCTTTCCGGATAAGTCTCCGTCATGTTTGGACATTCTGCTCTATTGGATAGGCCCATCCGCAGAGCTGGATGGCTAATTGCACCTGCTGTCCCCGGTAGATGTCTATAGTGATCTACATATACAAAGAAAGCCAATTGTAAATATATCATAATCAAGGAATTGATATCAAGCTCCCTCCAGTGAGAGGCAGGGCAAGTCCTATAGTTAGGTTACATTCGAATGGGTCCTGGTTCTCCTAGTGACTTATCACGCAATCAAGATGCTCCCTGAGCAATGTTGTAGTTGTAGTTGTTCAGCTGCCCAGCTGGTAGTTATTTGGCTTCGGGGACTCAGCCCCTCTCCGATTCCGACCCCACCATGTAATCAGGCCGCCGATAAGCCTCAGTAATCAACAATGGCACATTATATCCGTTTGAATATCTCACTGTAAAGACAGTCTTTTCGACTAAAGAGAAAAAGAATCATATTTAAGCCTGTCAGGTCTAAGAATCGAAATCGCCCTGGTAAGTATGCTATGGGGGTCTTAACCATCATGATCCCGCCTTGAAACGCCCAGTGTCCCCCGAGAAATAATCCATAAACTGATATGGTTCTTTTGTATAATAGATGCCGCCGGTGCCAGGCCCTGTCGAAGGAGAAGATGTTGGCTTGGATGTGTTGACAGACGGCTTTCAATACCGGGATCAGAAAACTCAGTCAACAGTCGCAGTCAAGGACAACCAAATCGTCTCTGTCTTGCCGAGCCAGGACAAGTTCAAACCAGGCTACACGATCTTGTTCGTCAACAAGCGTGTCGAGACTGGAGAATCGGGTTCACAGAAGGAATTCCCATACCTATCATCTGTTTTCGCAAAGAATTTGCCTGCGGAAGTGCTATCACGACACCTCTACTCGGGTCCGCCAGCCCACCTTGAGGCAAACTTACATGTGATAGTATCTACCGCTTCAGGTACAGGCAAAGGGAAGACCTTTTTTGAGGATCTCTTGCGCCCATTCTTGACCTATATCGACAAAACTGATTATCAATTGCACGAGACAACGTCTGACCAGCATATTATTGATCTGGCGCGCTCTGTCCTTCTCCCGAGGGCCAAAGAGGGTATCACGCAGACAATTCTACTCTTATCCGGGGATGGAGGACTGCTTGATATTATCCAGGTATTCTTCGATGAGTTCGAGGGGGAGAACCTACCCGCGGTCCCAAGCATTTGTCTCATCCCCACGGGCACTGGGAATGCAATGGCAAATTCTATTGGACTATTCTCTGATTCAACGTTCGGATTGACAAATATCATACGAGGCACAGCTGTGTCTTTGCCGACCTTTAAAGCGACATTCTCCCCCGATGCGGAGTATATTACGGACGAAGGACGGCAGCGCAGCAGAATCAACCCATATACCAAAACCGGATCCCCATATCCTCAAATCCACGGCGCTGTTGTCGCTAGCTGGGGCGTGCATGCAGCCATAGTTGCGGACAGTGACACGGCAGAATACCGCAAATACGGCGTGGACAGGTTCAAAATGGCAGCTAAAGAATGCTTATACCCTTCTGACGGATCAGGGCCACATGTGTATCGAGGCACGATCGATCTCACCCACACGCATGGTCCTGATGGAACGGAACACGTTCAGAAGCTAGATGGTACTGAGCACATGTATGTCTTGGCGACCATGGTATCGGAGCTAGAGCAAGGATTCACGATTTCGCCTTCGTCGAAGCCGCTTGATGGTCGTTTAAGGCTTGTCCATTTCGGCCCTCAACCACCGGAGACCGCAATGCACCTCATGACATTGGCATACCAAAATGGAAAGCACATAAACGAGGATCCAGTGACATATGAGGAGTTTGACAAAATGAAGATCACATTCGATGAGGAGCTTGAGAAGTGGAGGCGCATTTGCATCGACGGGAAAATTGTGGTAGTAGAGAAAGATGGCTGGGTAGAAATCGAAAGAGAGAATCGGAAACTTTTGAATATCGTTACTGATGTATCTCATAAGTTATAGGGATGCTAGATGCTAGACTATTACATTTGATAATTCCTCCCTATAATAATATACCTAGTTCCACCGCAAGGCCATACTGTATTCTTGAGTATGGTCTTTTTCCCTTTTCGCTCATAGTATACATTTCCGGAGTTGTACTGTCGTGGGGAATGAAGTGGACAATCGAATACTTACCAACTGACGCCAGTGAAAATGTGAAGCCCTCGATTTCCCGCATCGACTCCGATTCACCGGTTATTCAGTACTCATAAATTTATTCGCATTGACTTGCGACTATGTCTAGACGCGTGGCCAAGGGGCGGCAAGCGCAGCTCTTCATTTAACCTGGAGCCACGTGACGCGAAACGGCCAAGACGAACTGGACTCGACGCCGATCAAGATAGCTTTAACAATCAACACCCAAATGGCGTTCGACATATTCAAGATGTCGGTGGGAGTCCAGGCCAGATGCTGAAGGTCCCGATGGCAACAGCTGTCTTGCTTCCATGCTCATCAATACGCGCACTTATCTCCTCTCCCAAACTCGACGCAGTACTGCCTCTCCGAAGTCTGATTCACTAACAGGCCGGCACGGTCACTCTGAATCTACACATCAGACTACAGAGATGTTATTGGTATATCAGGCAGGTAGTGTCCATGTTGGCGAGGCTGTTCGGTTCGTTAATAGGGAATTTCTATTTTGTTTATCTAGTTGTTCTGGTCAAGATCTAATCTAAACATCTACGGATAGATATACGTTGACATACACACCGGCCGCAGACCCAATACTTCCAACGCCGTCGGAGCTGCATGTTAGGATTAAGAACACATCAGCCCTTCCTCTCCGCGCTGCCTATCTCCATGGTCCATATACTCTCTATACTGCCTGTTACCCGTCTTCTTTCAATCCAGACCACAAACACAAATTAGAAGATGGGCTGCCACAATTCGAACCAAATCTCAGGGCAGGTGGGAGCTGGGATGCCGTCATCCCTATACCTGAGCGTATTCGGCAAACTCCAGAAACAGCCCTATCCATCGATCCCGAAATAGCAGCTGGAAGCGTTACTTGGGTCATTGAGATTGTATCACAAGTGATATTCTCCACGACAGCATCTGTTCACTTTGAGCTCTTAGTCGGCCGCGATGAAAAGTCACTGAATTTGGGCTCGGGCTCTCGGAGCGGAGGATCTGGGAATGTGCCCCCTCCGGCGCAACTCCATGATCATTGGAAGCCAGGAGTCAAGCACCACCAATCTGCTGCCAATACTAGAAAGGGAGTAAATTCCAAGTCTATTACTTTGGTGGTCGATGATACTTCGAGCCTTTGGAATACGCCTGCATTTCCATCTTGGGAAGAGAAACAGTACCTTGGAAAGGAGGCAGATACTCGCCAAACCTCTGGAGAGACGCAAAGCGATTCAGATATAAAAGGCGGAAACTCGAAACAGGCCGGGAGCGAAGGGAAAAGAAAGAAGCGGCGCATCCACTTTGTGGTTTTGACTCATGGCCTTCATAGCAACCTTGGCGCCGATATGCTATATCTAAAGGAAAGCATCGATGCCGCTTCTAAGGCAGCGAGGAAGCAGGCAAGAGAAGAACGCGATCGCCGAAAACACGAGGAACCCGAGAACACGGCTGGTGACGACGGCGCCGAAAGTGATGACGAGCAGGTTATTGTCCGCGGCTTTCCCGGGAATGCTGTACGCACTGAGCGAGGTATACAGTATCTAGGGAAACGACTCGCAAAATATGTCCTTTTGATGACGTACCCTGATCAGCCGTACCTGCCCACCAAGAAACCCAAGAAGTCTCTTTCTCGGTCATTGACTGGTTTGAAGAGCCCGACTGGATCAACTGCCCACAATCCTCTTGCAGAGTCCTCCGAACTTGGCGACAAGAACACTCCAGACTACGCTTATGAGATTACCAGCATCAGCTTCATTGGTCATTCCCTAGGTGGCCTTATACAGACATATGCAATTGCCTACATCCGGAAATATTCTCCCGAATTTTTTGATCGGATAAAGCCTATAAACTTCATTGCTTTAGCAACGCCCTTTCTTGGTTTGAGCAACGAGAATCCAGTGTATGTGCGGTTTGCCCTTGACTTTGGTCTGGTTGGCCGCACGGGTCAAGATCTCGGTCTCAGTTGGACTGCCCCCAAGGTCAGAAGTGGCTGGGGAGCAGTGATTGGTGGCCTGGGGAACGAGTCTAAGAAGGCCGAGAAGCAGTCAGATCCAGGATCCAAACCACTGTTGAGGATACTCCCAAGTGGTCCAGCTCACCAGGTACTTCTCAAGTTCCGCAACCGGACAGTCTATTCTAATGTCGTCAATGACGGGATCGTTCCTTTGCGAACATCGTGTCTCCTTTTCCTAGACTGGAGGGGCTTGGATAGGGTGGAAAAGGCGAGAAGGGAGAACGGACTCGTTGGGACTATGGCTGAATGGGGTTGGGCAGAGTTAACCGGAGCAAATTCCAACACTGTCAAGACTGCCCGAACCCTGACGGATTTGAGTCTAGGTCCTGCAGCTGAAGCACAACAAAGCAGCTCATCGCAGATGGAGTCAGCAGCTACAACAGGCAAAGCCAAGGATGACAGTCCTGGTGCAGACGAGATGTTGTCTCCTGCCCCGAGACAGTTCCTCAAGCACTCGGTGCAGACGGGCAATACCGATTTGGTCAAGTCTAAAGAAAACTCGCATTCGACACCTGCAACGCCTGCGACACCTACCAGTCCACTTGGCAATTTGTTGTCGATGCTGCGGCCAAAACAGTCGAAAGATTCGAGCAACAGCAAAGATGCTAGGATCTACAAGCGAAGCCAAACGATGAATATATCTAGTGAGCATACCGACACGTCCTCATCAGATGTGCCGCAGTCCGAGCAGCCGCGTCCTGGACCAGTCCGTGGAGACTCCTTATACGATGATGATGTATATGCGCCGCCCAAGACTACGTTTTTTGAATCTGCCGGCGACCTTCTGAAGCCGCCTCTTCCAACAACGGAGTTTCTCATCGACCCGGCTGCACGACCTCGCACAATATTCCATGATCGCGTGTACCATCCCGAGGATATTCCTCCCCCGTCTCCTGTAAAACGCCGTACCATTTTCAGCTCTTCTCATAGTGCGCAGCCTGGGTCCAACTCAGGAACATCTCAGTCACTGGATCATCACGACCAGCAACACACCGAAGGCTCTATGAGTGGCATGAAAGTTGAAGAGAAGATTGCCAGGGCATATCACCGTGACTTGTCTTGGCGAAAGGTCTTGGTCCGTCTGGAACCGGATGCCCACAACAATATTATCGTGCGTCGAATGTTCGCAAATGCGTACGGCTGGCCAGTAGTGAAGCATCTTGTCGACACTCATTTTGCCTACACTCTTACTGCCGAAACTGATGATGCGCTCGAGCCGAGTGTTGAAAGAGCAAAGCCCGTCAACGAATCAGCATCTAATTCTGGCGAGGAGGTAGAAGGCCAAACTGAAGTTCCGAACATCGAAGCAATCGAACGGGGTAAAAACGCTCCGAGCAATGATAGAAATCACCCTTCAGAGCTACAAAGCACTCCGTTCTCCGAAGATCCACAGAAGACGGCTCCAGTCCCCGAGCCTGCCGTTGGCCATGCAGATGCACATGATAAAAATTCGAATCTATCGAATCTCCCAAGACAGGATTCAGCAAGATGGGATGACCACCTTTCCGGTGACGATAATGAAGAAACTCTTTCTGAAGCTGAAAGCAGTGATGGGAGCTATCATGACGATCTGAATCATTATAGACAGCGGACTGTCTAGGACTGACAATGTCCACGGTTCCACACTAACTCTTAGCTTTTGCAGAAGATCTTGACATGGCCATTCATTGGTAGATAGATCGGGTATCATGCCTGTATATAATGTAGTCAATAGTGTTGTTAATATGATAGAATGCATTTCAGTGGCACAACAGTAGAAATTCTAGATTGACATGGATTGTGTCGCATAACTCTCTCTCTCTGAACCTTGAAGAGAGGTATTTGAAAGTGTAGACCATACAATAATGCCGTGACTTGAGAGCAAATCTACAATACACGATGGAGATTTATTGAGAACGGTTAGAACCGACAGGTTTTACTAAACCATAGTAATCACATTTTGCATGACCCGGGGGGTCAATATCAGCCGAAAACTACCCGCCACTGCCCAGAGATTCAAGAGAAAACACATAATTTTTTTGAATATTCATTTCGAAGAGTGCTAAATCCCGTAGTGCCATTCCATCAATACACACACTAGTTATCTCTCTAATGGGATCAGGAAGTATATCGGTGGCAGATCACAAGGGACTAGTCGTCCAGTCATAGCTGAATTTAAACACTCTCAAGAACGGTCTCCTTGAATTCTCTCTCGACCTTCTGGCCCTTGTCGTCAGTCGTAGATTCACCGTGCAGGTTCAGCAGAGCACCGAGGTCGAACTTGGGCTGCTTGAGGAGCTTGACCTTGCGGATGTGGACCTAAAAAGAAAGCAGAGTCAGTTGACAATCGATCACTCAGAAATACTCCATGCAAGTACTAACATTCTGCAGGGGGTAGATTCCCTGGGTGGACTTCTCGATCTCGCGACCGATGACCTCGGGGATGAGCTTGGTGGTAAGCTGGGAGAGGGTGCAGCTAGCAGCCTCACGCTGGATGATCTCCAGCATCTTCTTGCGGATAGCCCGGATCTGAGACGAGCGAGCGTAGGTGGTCTTCTTGATCTGGTTGGGGCGTCTCTTGGTGAAGGCAATGGCGAACAGTCGGATCAAGTAGTCATCGGTGGTCTTGACGGTGACGTTGGCCTCGATCAGGGACTGCCACTTGCGGACCAAGGAGCGCAGCTTGTCGGATGTGAAGTCCAGACCGTGGAAGTTGGTCAGACAGTTCTTTCCCTGGATCTCGTCCACACGGAGCTTAACCTTGCGGAAAGCGTGGTCCTCGTCGTTCTGGAGATCGGCAAGGGAGACCTCGAAGATTCGGCCCTTCAGGGAGTCGTTGGCGTTCTTAAGACCGCTGGTACGGTTGACGAGGGTCTTTCCAACATCGCGAATCTGGAAAGTGGACGGAGCCTGCATGTTGTTAGAGGTGTGATAGCGGAGAAAATGTCGAAAATGAGATGTACCTTAACGGAGTACTCGTCCTTTCTCGAGAAGGGGTCGACGGTGCGCTTCTTGAGACCCTTCTTGCCCTTGGAAAGGCGCTTGTTCCTATAGAAATCAGCAACGCGTTCAGTTCACGCACGCTAGTCGATCAATCAAATAGATGTTTAAAGTTGCTGTGAAAAGCGATAACTGGAGATTGGAGGGGGACGATTGTGCTCACTTTCCGACAGCCATATTTGCGACTCGAGTCTATCTTACCACGTCGAAAGACAGACAATTGTCACCACAAGCGCTGGGTGGTTGATGTCGGTCGGTTCGAGTCGATTCAGGATGCGAGATTGAAAACGAAATCCCACACAAAAGTCGGCTAAGCGAGGCGGCGGCCCTAAACCGACAACCTTATTACCTAAGCCCCGTGTTGCCACGTGACGCATAACCACCTCTGCGGGCAAGGAGCATTGCGTATTGGTAATTACGGCTGGACGCCCTTAATAGATTACGGAGGCAACTGCCCTAGTGTATTGACATTACTCCCCGCCTATGGCTAGCCAGGCCCAAGCTAAGTAGTACTAGCAGTAACTATCATCACTACTACTACTTATCTACCTGCGAAACTGTTCACTGCTTGCTCAACCGCAGCCAGCTTCTATGCGCTGAGAGACTATTTGCCTGGTGGAATCGCCTGGCAGTGACTTCAAGTTACTACTCAAACGATCTTTCTCTCCGACTCTCCCCGTCTTCCCCCCCTCTTCCGTTTCGCCTTATCTGCAACTGCGCTCGAGTCCGTGAATTTGCGCCGCTCCTGGAGAGCAGCCCATTCGCGATCAACTTCTCCGGAATACTAGCTTCGAACCGACTAGCTCCGACCGGCGCATAGGTACCTTGTTAAAAGGGCTATACTGCCCTTAGCTAGAGAAACTACAAGATGGTATATGACTACTACCACTGGAGACCTTCACGCTCTAGTCCTTTACTGACGTATGGTCGCATAAACACAGGGTAAAAGAAAGAAGTCGAGTCGCCAGCCGCAGGGACCCAAGAAGGTGCGTCGCAAGGAATCCATATTGTCGTCACGTTGGCTGTGCTAAGATTGGACCAGAGAGAACCACTCCCAACAACATTTTCATGTCTGTTTTGCAACCACGAGAACTCTGTAATAGTGAAACTGGACAAAAAGTTGGGTCTGGGTAACTTATCCTGCAAAGTCTGCGGTCAGCGCTTCCAGACGGGCATCAACTGTGAGTACTTGCAGATCGTATGTTGTTGATTGTATACTAACGGATTACTACAGACCTTTCTGCCGCTGTCGATGTCTATTCGGACTGGGTCGATGCTTGTGATGCTGTCGCAAAGAACGCTGCCGATAATTATGAAGATAGTGCTTCCCGTGGAGCACAGCTCCGCAGGTCACCTCCTTCTCCAGATCAACTAGCCAATTCTAGAGACTACGATGAGGATGATTATTGAAGGCATAATAGGGCTATATTCAGGATTCTTGAAGTCGGTACTATGTGATTCTATTTGGTGGTTCACACCTGTTGAAAAGGCCCCTATGTTGCAAACCCACACCGTGCCTCATAGCCGCAATTCATATAGTTTCTTTGTATGGCCTATAAGGTATAATATCTGTCGCCAAAGTCACCTAGGCCAGGAACGATATATCTGTACGAAAGATTGGTTAGCTTTGAATAGGCGGCGGCATTTGATAAGTGCATACTTCTTCTCGTCTAGCCCTTGATCAATAAAGGCAGTCACCACTCTGAGCTTGGGGAAGCGTTCGGCGAAATCAGCTACCCCCGAAGGGCTAGCAATGAGGTTCAAGAAGAGTATGCGTTCTTCTGGAACCCCCTTTGCTTTCAGAACCTCCACCGCTAATGTTGCCGATCCGCCTACACTCTATCAGCAACAACAAAACTACGAAAAGGGGGCTATCCATAGAAACACGTACCTGTAGCAAACATGGGATCTAGCAGAAGAACCCACCTCTGGGCGATATCGGCGGGAAGTTTCTCATAGAAGAGCTTCGGCTTGCACGTCTCCTCATCCCTCTGTATCAGAATCTTTCCAATGCGCACGGATCGGCAACAGTCCCTTAGTCCTTGCTCCATGGCCTCTCCTGCTCTCATGATTGACACACCACAAATCTTTCCCTGGAACCTCACTCCCAGATAGGATCGACCGACTGGCGTTGTGACAGACTGCTCCACAACGGGGAGATGGTTCAAGCCCTCCTCCACTAGTAGACGAATGATCCGATTGGAATAGAATATGAAGTCCGCACGCCCAGTTTTCTGGTCTCTAATCATACTATGATGACGTTAGTGACTTTCGACCCAGAGGAATACCGGCATGCTCTTCCATACGTCAATAGTGCGATCAATTGAGGTGTTTGAGGAAGGACATGGACGTTCTCATAGGAGACAGCCTTCGAGATAGTCGCAGTTGGTTTCTCATCGTCCGGTCTATAGAACGGGCCCACACCTTGCGCTGGTGAGGGGGCAGATTCGGGTCTGGTTTGCGCCATGATGGAAGAAGGTCTGTAGTGAACGAACGTAGCACAAATAGCCAATCCAGTTAGTATGATCTCAAGGCTCTTTCTGACTGGAGCGAGTTTCTAGGTAAAGCAAATGTTGAACTCGTCACGAGTGGCCTCTTTTGGTCGCGAGATCACAACAGAGCTCCGTCTGCTCTGTGGCTCGAACAGAGGGCTTGATTGTAGAACGGTTGTCGCTAGCTCCAGAGCTCCACCAGTGTGAGATAAAGGGTACAGAAGAATGGGAAGACAAGAAGATAATTATGAATCATGCATGAACGTACCCGGAGACGGTCTACTGGGCAATTATGAGCGTGCGCCGTGAGTTGTACCGAAAACTCCAAGCCTGTTCTAGATAAGGGCTAAGTATTTAGCTAGCTTGGCGGGGCGAGGTTGGGGACAGACCGCCTTCCAGAAAAGAAGATCATCTAGCTTGTTGCGACGAACTTGCGAGCCGCTAAGCAGAGTTACATTATGATTATTTGAGGATTGTAACTACTGGGATACAAGCTTCAGACGCTCTTATTATCTTAGCGTGAAATGATCTCCACCCGCACGGCTTATATCATTCCAACTTGTCGCATTCTCGACTTCTCCAGACGACACATATTATTCTGAGCCATATCATCGCAGGAGATGTTGGTTGTCGTCGCAAGACAAGCCAAGACGTACTACCGGAGAAAGGCAACCTGATACTGTGATTTTTGCTGATAACCGCAATCGGAGGGCTGGGATAACTCAAAATTCTGTAAGATGATTCTGTCGCAACCCGGCTATGCGCACGTTCTCCCCTCAAAGTGGGGAGCATCCATTACAGCAAGATAACCATAGCATCGTGTTCTACTTACTATTTGAAGCCTATCTGTCAATTTTGTCTCAAGCATCCTGCGATTGGATTCTTGGTGGGATCTAGCTCGAGGGTTTTACAGTTTGGCTGATCCTTTAACATGTCAGGTTCTCATCTAGGGCGACCAGCCCTCACTTTCAGAGACTTCTTTGTCGCCAATGGCCACGATAATCCCGCGCAAATTCTATGTCTAATCTGCCTCTGAGACCATTAGAGTGAATTGGCCATAGCCGGTGCCTACAAAATGTCGACGCGCAACCGCAGATTAGTGACATACGGCAAAGCTTCGAGATCGATCGCAAAGGGCACACCGGGCAGTATCTCTTCAAAGCATGTGCCTCTCGGTGCTGTTGAACCCACAGCTAGGCCTGTGACCTTTGCGCAGAGATATGGTAGTTCGGTGACTTTGCCAGAGGAGACTTCCAGTACAGAAACCAACGGTGTGTCTAGGGACGCGCGAGAGGTAACCGCTCTCCGCGACACGCATGTCGAGCGCCCTGCTGTTTCTAGCGACGATGAACAGCCTGCGAATGAGAATCCAAACAAACGCAGGAAACCCATATCAAACGGTCCCAGTCAACGAACACGTCATGCCGGCACGAAGAGCATTAGTGGTCATTCTCCCGTATCAGCAATAGAGCATGGAAGCGGTGACATTCGTGATGTATCCAGCTCACATGGTCCTTCATCAAATGTCGGCGCGCCACAAGGTGACAAACTGGAGAATGGAAACAATATGTTTTCTGGAAGACGAGACATTTCCCGGAAACGCTCAAACTCCTCTCGATCATCGGTTGCCCCTACCAGTCTGGGAAATGTTCAAAGCCCAGGGACTGGAAAGCTTGCGGGTGACTCTTCGTCTTCTGACGCCCACTCGGTTCCTAGGACGCGTCAGGTCCTGGCTTATTCAAGAAAAAATCGATCGATCGCCAGGTCCTCGGCACAACCTCTCACCGGTAAGACCCCGGAAAAGTATACTCAATCAAATCCTGCGAGTTCAGAGAATATATCATCAAATGACGGTGAGCAAGTTAAACCGAATTCACCCAGGGTAGATACGCCGGGCAGAAAGAGGCTTGTGGATTCCTTGAGCGCTCAAGGAAGACCGGAAAGATCCCCTCCGCAGCCCTCTGATATTGGTGGTGACTCGAAAGCGATGTCCTCTAACGACCCTTTCACGACTCCGGCCCCTACTGGACAATCGATCCGTTTGGCCGCTTCTCAATCTAGTGGATCTAAAGTTACATACGCACGCCAGAGATCCTTTCTAAGTGAACTAGGCTCTTCTGATGATGCTGGGCCTCGAGACCTATCAGAACTCCTATCCTCATCGCGCATGCAACTGCAACCTCAAGTCAGCTCTGCAACTACGATTTCCTCGCTTATAGACGACGAGGAAAGTAATCGTGCCAGCTCAGTTCGCAGTATTCACGAGCTGAGACGGGCAGGTCGTACTGCTCATTTTCAAGCGACCGTCAATTCCATGTTGGAAGACATAGAAGATGCTTCTCTGTCAATGTCTAGCCGGCGAAGCGCCCTTCTACAACTCTGCAGAAAACTCAGTGATCATCAATTTGCCCTACAGTTTCTTGAGCATGGATTCGACAGACGGCTCGCTAGTTGTATCTCCGATCAACTCGATGTCACCTGCTCATATCTGGCGCTCTGTGCTTATGCACTAATCCTCTCGAACGGCCCACCATCCCCTGATGTCTTGCTGTCATTCTGGCCCCAGGTCTTGCAGTTGTCCCCAGCTCTTCTTGAATTAGAGGATGATGTCCTCGTGATGTCTAAGCAGAAGCGCTACAATCTGCCTAAAGATGGACAAAAGGGCTTTCGCGACCTAGTTTCGCACTTTCGAACTGTGTTCCCTGCCGATCAACTGCATTATTGGCTTTCTCCGCAAATACTGGGTCTTCGATGTATCTGGCTGACCCTGCGCGGATGCCGCGATCAAATTGATGCCCTGAAGAGAATCCCAGGAGCTTTAATGGAAAGAATAGTCGAGATCCTGGTACGAAATTCCGTCCATCTAGGAGACAGTCTAAGCCCAGAAAGTCTATCGATTCTGGAATATACTTTGTCTATCCTAGAAGCGCACACAACTCTACCGGACATACTCGAAGACGGTGGAGAAAATCCGATAAAAGCGGTTGCTTCCCTTGGGACTCTACTTCATTCTCTTGAGGAGCCGCATGATCATCGTTTGAAGGAAATTCAAGTCCTTTACATACGGCTGGTACTGAATATTACGAACAACAATACGTCACTCTGCGAGGACTTCTCTACCCCCGAACTGGTGAGGAGTCTAGTCGAAATAGTCTTGAAAGATTTTGAACGAGTCTCAGAAATGGTCAGTGCGGAGAAGAAAGAATCTATTGACGCCGTGATATTGGCTCTTGGGACTTTGATCAACTTGACAGAGGAGACTGCAACACCCAGGAAGCTTATTCTTGAAGAGATGACGCAGTCTGGGTCTTTACTTGATCGTCTCTTATCTTTGTTTTCGAGTGGGTTTGAGGCTGTTTCAGAGGTAAGGCTAAGTTACGCGCTATTGTTATGGATCTATCTAACAACATTCCAGGCCGATTCTTTTGTGCAGACACATTCTAATGTTGCATTTGGTTATCTATCAATTCTTCTGTGTACGCTGTCTTTGGATGAAAGTGTCCGTGCACGTCTGAGACATTCTCTCTGTGGCAATGGCCTCTCACGTGTTTTGGCGACAGCAGAGGAATTCCTTCAATACCATAGGAAGGTTGAAGATGAACTACGCAGCTTGGGCGGTGAGCAGGATCAAGTGGCTGGTTTTACATCTAGATTACAGGGCCTTGTGGAAAGAATTCGACGGTATGAAAAATGCTCGATTTGACGTGACGTATTGTTATGCCGCAGTTTTCTCGACATGGATGTCCAGATGCTCGATGAGCCCAAAACGCGACCAAAAATCGCTGGTTTGTCCCGACCTATATGAGCGGATTTCCTGCTAGATGCATGTATGAGTGCCCGCAGAGGGCGTTCTACGTTCAAATCAGACGTTCTGCGCTCACATCAGATCTTATTGGTCGTTATTGATGTTTATTGATTTCAGGGTCCGCCAGCTTGATTGTCCGAGCTAGCGATTTTAGGAGGGGGATTGCAGCATGGCATCAGAAAAATCAGGAGATCAGCCCGGAAAGCCTCGAGCTGCTTCCTTGGAAGTGGATGCGATACCAAAATCCTGCAGCTCCCTTCATATTTCTGGCATAACAGCCAAATGAAAATCCTTCGAGACGAGCAACGGTCGACCATTTCTTCAGTGGAGACTGCCTCCGTAGCGAGCGCATATACTTTAGCGCCATCTTCTCGTTCGGTCGACCGAACAGAGAGGTTCATTGCATCCTATCGTGACAGCTAGTGAAGGGGCTCCATCGGAGGACTGGAGGTTGCAAAGCTGCCGAGGTCCGATTCGCGATACCCATGTTTGTTCATGTGTCCGACTAAATTACAGGGGTTATATTCTGTTAAATAGGTATGATGATAATATCCATATGGAAATGCATAGATGATTACGACCCTAAGGACTGTGTTTGACTGTAGTGATCCTTAGCTCTGTAGGTAGTAGTATTAATTACCTTATCCGGACTGCTGGACAAGTGAGCACTGATGATATCGGAAGCATGTTCCGCCATCCGCAGAGTCCATTTGGCATCGGATCGTCTGCCAGGTGCTGGTCTACCGCCTACTATTTCCGGTAAGCGCAAGCACCGGCATCGCTACCTAACAACCACCTGCAGTAGCTACGAGTACTTACTGAGTAATTACGAGTCCCGCAAGGTCGGGGAACGATTGTCGACTCCAGACCATCATTCTTCATCAATTCCATCGTTTCTTCCAGGTCTCCCCGTCTCCGGAGGTGGCATTTAAAGCTACCATCCGTCCTTTTAGACTCTACTTAATTTCTCACCTGGCAGCCCACCTCTATTCCGGGGCGTGTGTACCTTGCCACTGAAAAATTCGATTAGCTGTGACCTTGGAATCTGTCCACTCGCTGTTTCAGGACATTGACTTATATTGTCCTCGTGAGGACCAGCTTCTTCTTGTCCGAATTAATTAAATATACAGAACGCCAATCCCTGATCCCGGAGCGTTCTCAGTGCTGGCACGCTCCCGTGTACCGATATTGGATCTCCAACCTATCCTATCTGCCAAAGCTAGTGTCTTTGGCTCCTCCTAATACTCCTGTTTCAGCAACTCGAGATCTCGCCATTCAAGATGCCTGCGCCTCCTAAGCAGCGCAAGATCGCCATCGTCGGCAGTCGTTCGGTAGGTATGTTGGTTTCGCTGATCCGGCCTGAGGGCTCCCTTTCCACCGGGAAGTAGTAGTTTCTGATCTTCCTACAGGAAAGTCTTCCCTCACAGTTCGTTTCGTCGATCACCACTTCGTAGAGAGCTACTATCCTACAATCGAGAACACGTTTAGCCGCATTATCAAGCACAAGGGACAAGACTATGCGACGGAGATTGTGGATACTGCTGGACAGGTAACATCCTCATCGTCTAACAGCCATGTTCGACGCTAATTGTTCCGACAGGATGAATACAGCATTCTAAACTCGAAACATTTTATTGGAATTCATGGATACATGATTGTATACTCAGTGGCATCTCGGCAGTCATTTGATATGGTCAGGGTTATTCGTGACAAGATACTGAACCATCTGGTGAGCATCAATTCCAACTCTGATAAGATATAGTCACCAGGCTAATTGCATGTTCCAGGGTGCCGATTGGGTGCCTCTAGTAGTAGTTGGTAATAAGAGCGATCTGAAACCCGAGCAACGACAAGTGACAACGGAAGAGGGCCGGCGCCTGGAAGAAGAATTCAAATGTGCTTTCACTGAGGCAAGCGCCCGGCTCGATTACAATGTCGCGAAGGCTTTCGACTTAATGATCGGGGAGATTGAGAAAGCACAGAATCCGTCTCAGCCAGCCGGCAATAGCAAATGCATACTCATGTGATCGCAGTCTGCGGTAGCGAACAGCGATAGCTGTACGTCCAACGGGGGAAACGGTTTATTTCATTGGAGGCCATGTACTTGAACTTATGGTGTTATGGTGCCCTTCATAAGATCGGAAAAGAAAGGGTATTATTTATGCTTGAGGGTGTTGCGTTTCAGCAGTGTTAACCTCCCTTCTTCTTCTTTTTTCTTTTTTTCTTTTCTCTTTTTATGTGTCTTCTTTTTCTTTTCTTTTTTTCTCTACTTCTCTGTTACTGTGCATTTCCCTGTTTGGGGTGCTGTAATCGATCGATGCTCTAATGCTGTAGGGGGTGTCTTTTTTTCATTTCCGCCTGTTATGGGTTTTGCCGGGTTTCAAGTGTCTGAGGTCTTTTTTTGGATGAGTGACAGTCTGAGTAATGGGATGTGAGGTAGATTGTCTAGTGCTGAGATAACATAGATATGTGCTAGAGAGAAATATTATTATTACTATTATTACTATTGTTGGTGGAGGTGTTCAGATCCCGGGCGACAGGTACTGGTCATAGGTTGCGTGAGCAGTGGCGAGGCTACATAAAGTAGTATGAGAGTATGAGTCACTACTACAAAGTAGTAACTAGCTTAGTTAACTTAATTACAATTATTATTTTTATTACTACGGCTGACTAGTAATGCCTGGTTGAGAAGTGGGGACCTTGCCCGCCAGATGTATTTGCAAAACGTCCATATCTTATCGCTGTCTTAAAGAGAGCTACAATGATATCCACTGTAGGAATTGGTTTCTCTCCAAGCTCTGGTATATATATAATATAATGAAAAAACAATATATCATGACAATATATCCTAACAAGTAGTCAACGCATTCAGTTCTCTTACTGGACTCGAATAGCAACATAAAGCGAGTTGGGAAAATCCTCCAGTTAACGAAGGAAACATTTCTAGTTCGTCCCGTGTCATGAGCTTAATTGGCCTTTAGCGGCATGCCCCTCCTGTCGCTTACTGCCACGCACTTTTGTTTAACTTCCAAGTTCCAGCAGTGAAAAAAACCCACTAGCCACTTGAGGTTTACCCCTCGCTAGCCAAAAACATTATTTGCGCCCTGATCGGATATCCCGTTGCCCACCCCTCGTTCGTTGAGGTCCTCAATAGACCAGATCAAACAGACACAAGAGTATCTACCAGCCGTGTGTGATACTCCATACCCAAGATGCTTGACCTCGCCGACTTTGTCAGTGATCGCGGCGGCGATCCCAAGAAGATCAAGGAGAGCCAGCGCCGCCGATTCGCTCCCGAAGAGGCTGTTGACGAAGTCATTGCCCTGTATGAGGAAGCTCGTCGCGGTACGTTTGCCTTTCTGCTGCCGATATAATATTATATGAATATTACACTAAATCTTGCTTGGATCGCCATATACTGATTTTATCATTTGTCACGATATAGCTCGATTCAATGTGATGCAGGTGGGGTCGAAGCTCAACGCTCTTCAGAAAGAACTCGGTCAGAAGAAGAAGGTTAGCACGTGTCCTGGAAGCCCCCTGGGGTTATATATATGGAAGAAGCTAATGAGTGGGATTTTGTCTGGGAATTTAGAACAAGGAGGACGCTACTGGTCTGCTAGAGGAGAAGGCGAAGCTGGAGAAGGAAAAGAAGGACGCCGAAGACTTTGCCGTTCAGAAGGAACTCGAGCGCGACAGGAAGATCAAGACGATTGGAAACTATGTCCATGACTCTGTTCCTATCAGCAACAATGAAGTATGGACTCCGTGACGCGGGGGGATTTGCTTTTCTCCTCTCTGGGGTAGGACAATATAACTGATCTGTTTGCAGGATGACAACGTTGTGGTCCGGACCTGGAAGCCTGAGAATACTGCGGTGGAAAAGCGCGATTGTCTCTCACATCATGAAGTCCTCACCCGGTTAGATGGCTACGACCCCGAGCGCGGAGTGAAGATTGTCGGACACCGTGGATATTGCCTGACTGGATATGGACTTTTCTTGAACCTTGCTCTCATCAACTACGGTTTGGAGTTCCTCTTCAAGAAAGGATATAAGCCAAACCAGCCACCCCAGTTTATGTTGAGAGAGTATATGGCGAAGACTGCTCAGCTGGAACAGTTTGATGAGGAGCTTTACAAGGTTACCGAAAGCGAGGACAAGTCGACGGACAAGTATCTGATCGCTACCTCGGAGCAGCCTCTCTCTGCTCTTCACGACAGCGAATGGCTCCAGGAGAAGGATCTCCCGATCAAGTAAGCACAATGATCCTCTCGCGTGCTACTTCAGATACTGATCAAGCGTCAGATACGCCGGGTACAGTACTTGCTACCGAAAGGAGGCCGGTGCCCACGGTAAGGATGCGTGGGGTATCTTCCGAGTTCACCAGTTCGAAAAGGTAATATCCATCCGCGCAACGATTTTGGATTGTGGTCTAATGTAATTTCAGATCGAGCAATTTATCTTGACCAAGCCCGAAAATTCTTGGGAGGTCTTCGACGAGATGATTGCGGTATCGGAGGAGTTCTACCAGTCCCTGGGGATTCCATACCAGGTCGTTGCTATTGTTTCGGGAGCTTTGAATAACGCGGCGTCGAAGAAATACGATTTGGAGGCGTGGTTCCCATTCCAGGGCGAGTACAAAGAGCTGGTCTCGTGCTCCAATTGCACCGATTACCAGTCTCGCGCCTTGGAGATCCGCTACGGCGTCAAGAAGACCACGGACACCAAGAAGTCATATGTGCACGCCCTGAACTCCACCCTATGCGCGACAGAACGAGCGCTCTGCTGCATCTTGGAGAACTACCAGACTGAGGATGTAAGTTTGACTGATCCCTTGTGTGTCTGTTTAAACTAGGAGTGTAGCTAACTTGAGATCAAGGGTATCAACGTCCCGGAGGTTCTTCGAAAATACATTCCCGGAGCCCCTGAGTTTCTTCCGTACGTTAAGGAACTCCCGAAGGATACGACTTCTCAGAAGACCAAGGGAAAGCAGGAAAAGAAGCAAGCTTCTCAGGCTGCTGCCGATGTTTCAGAGAAGGTCCAGAATCTCAAGATCTAAGGGATGGATGGAACATAAATATCTTCCGGCGTTTTGATGCGAACGTATGATGATTGTAAATGTTGGCGAATGAAATCCGTCGGGTTGCAAAAGCAGATATCTATCTACTACATATTCTATAGCTGCGAATGGATGGTAACCACAGCCCGTTGTGGAACGTTAAGTCTATAGTGATTGGATCAGATCAAGGTGGCTGTAGATAGAGCAGGTCTGTTTAAAATAATTAGCACATGTATGTACTACATAGGAACTGGGATGTAAATTAAATCTGATGTCAGATATTGATATTGAACAAATAGAGCCATGACTGATGCTATCCACACGAATAATACAATACTAATATTCTCCGCCACAAGACGCTTGCGGACACGGAACGGAGTGCGTGCGGATAACCAAAGTCTCCACCGGTAATAAATCAATCTCATACACGGACAAGACCAAGACCCCCCACCGCGCCGGTTTTCGGTGGACGGTCTCTGGTTTTGACGCAGTCAGTCATGGGCCTTATATATTTTTTGTGACCTGCTTCTTCTCCTTTTTCTTCCTGGAAGAACTAGACTGCTTTTATTTAAAATCTCCAGCATCATGTCGGCCGCGAAAGATATCAGCGTCAGCGCGAGCGAACTAGCTCGTCCGGTCATGTCGAGTCTAGGCCTCTCGATTTCTCCCATTGCTGGCTTTCAGCCACAGCCTGCGGCGAAGCAGCTCAAGCCTTTTGCGACAGAGGACATCAAGATTCTCCTTCTCGAAAACGTCAATCAGACCGGACGGGATATCCTCTCCAAGCAGGGCTACCAAGTCGAGTTTCTGAAGTCATCGCTGCCAGAAGACCAGTTGATTGAGAAGATCAGGTATAGTTCGCCCTAGTGACAATCACGATCTTGTCATAATATATAATTTGATCCGCGAAAGAACGACAGACTTGCTGACAGCTTGCCTCCTCGTTCTCCAGAGATGTGCATGTGATCGGTATCCGGTCCAAGACCAAGCTCACTGCCCGAGTGCTCAAGGAAGCGAAAAATCTTATAGTCGTGGGATGTTTCTGTATCGGAACCAACCAGGTCGATCTACAATATGCTGCGCAACATGGAATCGCTGTCTTCAATTCGCCCTTCAGTAACTCTCGTTCGGTGGCCGAGCTCGTCATTTCAGAGATCATCGCCTTGGCTAGGCAGTTGACTGATCGCTCGAATGAAATGCACCAGGGCACATGGAACAAGGTCAGCAACAAGTGCTGGGAGATTCGTGGAAAGACTCTAGGTAAGGAAATATTCCCTCTCTCTCCCTTTCTCTCATTCTTTGTGAAGAAATAGAAAAATACTCTTTGCTTTTGCATTCTGACCATATTCATTACCACAGGTATAATTGGATACGGTCACATCGGTTCCCAACTGTCGGTTCTCGCGGAGGCTATGGGAATGTCCGTGATCTACTACGACGTCGTCAACCTGATGGCAATGGGAACGGCACGACAAGTTCCTACCCTCGAGGATCTTCTCCGTGCCTCCGACTTCGTCACCTTGCATGTTCCCGAGCTGCCAGAGACGAAGAACATGATCGGATCGCAGCAGTTCGAACAGATGAAGGAAGGGAGCTACTTGATCAACGCCAGCCGAGGCAGCGTTGTCGACATCCCTGCACTGGTCCTCGCCATGCGCTCTGGAAAGCTCGCTGGTGCCGCGATCGACGTCTACCCCAACGAGCCAGCAGGCAATGGAGACTACTTCAACAACGACCTTGGCTCCTGGGTCAATGACCTCCGCGGTCTCAAGAACATCATCCTCACCCCTCACATTGGAGGAAGTACCGAAGAAGCTCAGAGGGCGATCGGAGTCGAGGTCGCCGAAGCTCTCGTGAGATACGTCAATGAGGGAACGACCCTAGGCGCCGTCAACCTTCCAGAAGTCAACCTCCGCTCGTTGACAATGGACGAACCCGACCACGCCCGAGTAATCTACATTCATCACAATATCCCTGGTGTGCTCCGCACAGGTATGACATATTTTCCTTACCCCTAAATCTCTGTCGACTTCCGCTGATATTTCTTTTTTCCCAGTGAACGAAATCCTCGGAGACCACAACGTCGACAAGCAGATGACCGACAGCAGAGGCGATGTATGTAGCAGACACACCCATACATACCTTTTCAGGAGAGAGTACATATGCTAATATAATATGAAAAAAACCAGGTCGCTTATCTGATGGCTGATGTCAGCAATGTCAACACCGCTACAATCAAAGATCTCTACGAGAGACTCGAAAGCCTTTCATGTATGAAACCCACTTTGCCTATGTGTCAAAAAAACATCCTATTACAGGTGCTAACGGTTGAATTTAGCTCGGATCATGACGCGAATCCTTTACTAAGCCATATCTTTCTATCCCATGCGGACACGACCACTAGGTATGACTGACTCGCATCTCTGATGAAGTTGCCTGTTAGCCTTGGAACCAATTGGATATGCCACTGCCGCATTTCTTCATGTTATTCTTGGGCTAGACAGGTGGGAATGAAAAAAAAAAAAAAGAAGAGGAACGAGGGTTAAGAAAAATAGCTTTTTTTTTTTTGTTTACATGGTTACATAGCTTTATAGGGCCCCCCTCAACGGAAGCCCTTTTTTGGCACAGCAGTAGTCACTGTGCTGGTACTATATAGTACAGACCCTTATGTTATAGACGTCTCAGTTGAGCAGCTTATTCATGGTTCTATCTCTATCTCCATTACTTTTTATTTTTCTTTAGGATGAAGAATCGGTATGGAGGAATATAGTCTTGAACAAGGATAAGTTAGATACGTCTCCGACCAACACCGATCTTGGGCAGACAGACGTCAACGACGATACACATTGTAACTTTGATCCGCTTCTCGCCCTCGATCCCTGGAGGTCGGACTTCGACTACGCCTTCGCGCAGAGTAGTCGCGGTCACCATCTCTCCTGTCACGCCACTCGGCCTCTGATCTCAGACTATCGACGTCCCGGGACCGGGATCGATCGCGCGTACCATCATACCTCGGAACATAAGAGTCTACCCGGCTGTCGGGACGTCCGCTAGCATGACCTTGCGGCAGCGGCCGATCCCGTCTTCCACTCCATCCCTGGTGAGCTGAAGCTGATACCGGCGGCTTAGGAGGTAGCCTGTCCCTATGCCAAGCAGGAAGGTGTTGATGGCCATCGTCAAACCCTTGCTTTGCTTGGCCCTCAGAAGGGCGCGCGTCACCAGGACGTCGCTGAGGAGCATTGGCATAACTCGGTCGCGCTGCTCCAGGTATCCGACCGCCTCTATTTTCATTAGGGGGTCGCCCCGCGGATTTCATGGCCCATTCAGGATTCGAGCCAATTCCAGCTGACCCTCCTGCAGGCGCTGGTGGCGGGCCCGCGCGTTGTCCGCGGAACTTTCTGCGGTCGAGCTCGTGGGAATCTTCGAATTGAGGCAGTTCGCCTGGCTTGGCTGGGAGTGGTGGTGTTTCGAAGTAAGGATGCTTGAGGGCGTCTATAGCGTTTATCCTCTTGCGCCAATCGAGCTTCAGGAGTTCTGTAAGCAGAGAGATAGCCACGGGCCCTTGGCTGAGAGTAACGATTAGATCCAGTAATACAGAAAGCCAACGGAAGGGAGTGACAGTAAGACACCTACTCCTTGAAAACCTGAGCGAGATTGCCAGGCTTGGACCCAAAGTTCTTTACCCCTTCGCATCCTGGCAACGAACTCCAGCCAGGCATGTTCTCTTCGGTAGGTGTCCCCACCAGGTTGAAAATTAAGTGTGCTTGATTAAGATCGCTGTTGCCAGCAAGTATGGGTTTTCTTTTGAACATCTCGCCGAAGACACACCTAGGAACGTGTGAGGATCAATTCAAGAAGAAGGGATATGGGAATACTCATACCCGACGCCCCACATGTCAATAGCGGTGGTATATCGACGAAGTTGGAGGAGAAGCTCGGGAGGTCTATACCATCGCGTGACCACAAGCGTCGTGTAATCCCTTTTGGCCTCACCTCCGCCTTTTCCGGGCTGCGGTGGTGGCTCATCATAAGGTCGAGCAAGCCCAAAATCTGCTATCTGAAGGATGCCTTTATTGCTAATGAGGAGATTCGCCGCTTGGGTCACATTAGTCAAATAGCTCTAACGATCTCAGCGGACTTCTAACCTTTCATATCTCGGTGTAAGATGCGACTCTGTAATGCCGTCAGTCGTGTTCCTGGTTTTGAAAGTCTCATATATTACCTCATGCAGATATCGAAGCCCTTCTAGGAGCTGTAGCATGTAGCATTTTATTTGAGGTTCACTGAAATGAACCTTAGGGTTCTCTAGCAAGCCTGACAGATCATGCTCCATATAAGGCGTAACCATATACATGCTCGGCTTTTTCCGACCCTCGCCTAACGCAGTGTTAACACCAGAGTCATTTTTTTCCTGATGACGATCACTCACCCTTGGGCCTTTCGACAACCATCTCTTGCAGCTGAAGTATGTTTGGATGCGAGAGCATTTTGAGCAGCTTTATTTCACGGAGGGCAGTAATAGGAAACTAGAAAAAGAAAGCGGAATGAGTCAACGGACGTTTCTTTTCGACATTCCTGAGGAGGATCTTACCCCATCCTTTTCATTATGCATCAATATTTTCTTCAAGGCGAAGATCGCGCCCTTCCGTTTGGACCTGGCTTTGTAAACTTCACTATAGCGACACATCAGTTTCAAGCATGTAGACCGCATAAATGACTGACTTACCCAAAAGTACCTTCACCCAGTTTCCCCAAGAACTCAAATTCGCGTATACTTGAACAACCGTGGAACCGAGGGCGACCGTCGCTTCCCTTCTCCAGTGGGACTCTGGCAGAAGGCGACCCTGCTGATAGAGCCATCGTAGCTATCTGGTGTTGAATGGATTTTGCTGTCCGTAACCCATATATAAAAGGGGCGCGAGTCTGTGGCTGGCAGCGCTATTGAAGCGAGACCAAGAGAATGCGAAAGACCGGTGGAGTGGCAGGGCGACAGAATGTAGCTTTATGGCAGCGAGAAGATAATCTGGGTGTCTGCGACATCAAAACGGCAATATCAGTATAGTTCTCGAGGAATCGATGAGCCGGACATACAGAGAGAAATCGATGTATTCCAGTATCCCAGAGTATTCACAATCCGACGACCTTGTCGTCTCGCGCCCGCGCTCAGCTTTTCTTATGTGCCGTGTGAAATACAGATGATGAACACCAAGACAAGCACCGTCAAGCACTCCTAGGATCCCGAATAGTTATCCAAGAATGATACCGCCCGCATGTTAGTGGCCGCCGTCTGGTTGCTCGTCGCTCGCGGATTGTGTCGATAGGTTTGGTCGGCTACTGCATTTGTATCGGATTTGGTTATCTTTCACTAGGCCCGCAGTATTGTGATCGATAGGGCGGTTTGGAGACGTTGCGACGGTTGATCTTGGGATCTCGATTGCGCCCTTCCATTCTAGATAGGCCCAGAGCTTGATTCCGAGCAGATCGCTTACTAAGCGCGCAGGTTGTTGCCGTCGCTTCGAGCTTCACGACCATCAATAAGACAGGAATCTAGAGAGGAGCATAGTATTGTGGTCCTCTCATGAGCATTCGAGAAATCATTTCTTGGATTATCATCTGTTTTATATACATCAAGCTTAGGATTAGCAAAGATGTTAAACCAGCGAGTTACTGTGTCTATCCCCGTCGACAATATAACTCTCAACGAGACGTGGGCGCAACTAATTTTTAGTCAATTCCTTGTCTGAGAATATACTACTACATACATTTGCAAATATAATACTGAATCTATTAGCATGGGCAGCTTGGCTTTTTCGCATCATAACCTCCTACGAAGGTCCGGCCTGTACGATAAAGATCCGCCACTAATGAAGTTAACCAATAATGCGTTCTATAATTGCACTGACTGGCACCCGCAGATCTCAACATGAGCGCTTGGTACATAATACCCTTCTCTTCTTGTTTCGGTCTAAAGAAACGCAATCAGTAGCTAAATTCCTACATTTAATTCAGTAATCCATTTCGAATAACCGTAGCAAGCCGACATTAGACTATCCGGTCATCCAGTAGATACATCCGGTCACGTGATTTGTATTCGCCGGATAGCGTCTAACCTCAAGTCCAGACAAAGTCCGGCACTGACTGATCCTCCGAACATCGCGATCTTGCGTTATCTCTCAGGTACAATTGATAGCCGACAGGTATGCCAAAGCACTGAGGATTGTTTACTGTCTGTTTGCGCTTGTGCTAACTTCCCCGCGATCCACAGTCATGGCTGGCAAGCACCCGATCCACGTCCACCCCCCGCGACCTTTCTATCGCTTTGCCGCGACCGCGCTAGGAGCGAGCATGTGGTTCTTCGTACGTGTGAACAAGTTTCTGTGGAGTGATATGAACTGGGTCGCTAACGATATCTGGGGCTGATAGTTGTTCTACCGAGCTAAGCAGGACGGCCCTGCATTGATGGGTTGGAAGCACCCGTGGGATCACTGATGGGCTACGACTGCATTCGAGAGCGTCCCAGTGAAATTACATGCGAGCAGAAGAAGTGCAGGAGAATCTTTTCATGGCCGTCCTGTATATTTATTACTACAATCGATTTGTCTCCGGCTTATGAGGCCCTATTCCCCGAAGATCGAGGCACATAGATATTGTCAAACACCACATAAAACATGAAAGCGCAATATCTATTCTTCTGATGACGACAATATCTTACATATAGCACAAATGATTTCTGATATGTGAGCTCATACTATTTTGCACACCGCTGGGGCAGCCTCCCTATGGAGAATGACCACACCACCACTGAGGCCGCTTCCCGTGACCATCACCTTTTCAACTTCTGCTGTTTTCTGTGACATCCTGCAATCCGATAATGTAGATGCCCACTCAATCCCCAGCGCCTCAGGTTTGCATTTGCTCCAACACTACCTTGTATTGGCGTCGGGGCTTCCGGTAGTTTGGACGCAGGCGAAGATATATACGCCACAGACCCTGTGCAAGAGCAGGGAAAATCCGTTTCTCTGCTATCCAGGAGAGGAGAAATTGGCCTATGGCAAGTGCCAGGATACATCCTTTAAACTTCAATGACATAAAGGTCAGCTGCATTATGTCTGTCAGCCACTCCGCGTGACCAAACAACATGTACGCTGATACGAGAGCATCTATAGTGACCGTCAAGAGGAAGGGAACTAATCTGTGTTAGTGAATGCCCTATATAATCCAGAGGAAGTACAAACCGTTTGAGATGATTGGCTGTCTGAAAGGCGGGCCAACGCTGAGGACCACGCTCGTAAGGATGTATTGAAAGCATGACAAAAGGAAGAGTGCCGTGTCTTCCGAGTTCTCGATACTAGGACTGTCTTGGCCAGGCTTCGGGGGTATAAACCTGCGGGCTTTGATGAGCCAATGGAAGAGTGATTCCAAGGAGTAGAGATATACCATGGCTGCGATTGAACGGCTTTGAATATTGCGAATTGAGCCAAAACACAAATCACGATTTGGCCGAGAAGAGGTGTGAGAACCTTTCGAGAGACTAGGTCGGCTGTCGGACGTTTACGAGATAATGTCGGGTAAGGCCCCGTCCAACCCACTTTCAAAAGACATCAATATTCACAAACGCGAAACTGATAGGGAAATAAATGGTGTGAACCACTTACTGAAAACTGCAATTGGTAAAATGAGGACGAGATCAATGAAAAGAAACTAGAGTCACCAAGTAAGCAAGCGGCTACTTTTCTTCGGAAACAGTACGGACGTACCTGGAAATCTCCGAGATTGGAAGCCGACGTATATAGAAAGCTGACCGAGGTGAATTGGATAGCTGAATAAAGACTCATGTACTTAAAGCAACTGAAACTCGTCACCAGAGCGGCGCGACCCTCCCTTGAGATAGTCAACACACATGCCCAGCTGGACGCAGGGGGACACTTACTTTATGACCTTGGGGACACAGGATATATCAAACACCCGGCTTGTGAATGGCGCAGCAACAGATGCCTCAGCATCAGAAAGTGAAATTCCGACATCTGCTGCCTTTAGTGCACCGCAATCATTGGCCCCGTCACCACAGAACCCGCAAGTATAGTCAAGAGACTGAAGTTTTTCGACAAGTTCGTGCTTTTCATCCGGAGACATCCGAGCAAAAACTTGTCCGCGCACCAAAACCTGGACGATCTTAGCATCGCAGGAAACTTGTTCAGATTTTGCAAGGGATGACATACTCTTTTCAAAAGTTCTTCGCTCCCGAAGTCAACTAGCCATCTGAATACATCACCACTAACCGCGACGCAATACTTGTCCGTGCTACGATCAACATAGGGTACTGATGAGTCGATGGGTGTCGCAGGCTGCAACAGGTCAGAGGACGCCAGAAACTGCGGGCTAGGAATCGTACCATAAGAGTGTGCCCATCAAGCGTAAACGAGGGGTCGTCTATGCTTTCCCAGCCGAGAGAAGCTTGGGCATCAAGGCCGTCACCTGTAACTGTGTCAGCTATAATTGTACAGTAACAGGTATGGGATCTAACCTTCAATGAAGCGAGGAATATAACATCGCGTGTCTGGATCTATCAGACGACATTCGCGAGCAACACTGACCGCAGTGAGAATATTATCTCCTGTGCACATTACGTTGCGGATGTTTGCCTGTTTGAGCTCAGAGATGACAGCGGCCGTGTTTGATTTCAGTTTGTTCTCGAAAACAATGAACCCAAGAAACTCTAGGCCAGACTCGGCATCGGAACGGGACATCTTCTGCACTTTCATCCAGCTTAGCTTGCGTTCATATTTTGCGGCGCAAGCGATCACGCGGTAACCCCTGTGGGTGTAGCCGCTCAAAACCTCATCGAAGTCACAGGGGACTGTGTCAGGAGTTAGCGACATTTGGAATACCACAATAGTTGTTTGCACTAACTTGTTTCCGGTATGCATATATCTCTCATACACTCCGGGGCTCCCTTTACAAAGACGCTTACACCAGAGTCCCCGAACTGCCTCACAATGACGCTTGTTCGGCGAAGATGGGAGACGAATTCGAACGAGCGTAGGACGCCAAGCTCCAATGGTGTCTACCCGACCAGCTCGTTAGCATGATTCATGATCAAACCCTTGTAACGGCGTAGCGTAAGTAGCAACAAAAAGGGTTCCAACCTCATTTGGTTCAACACCGTCGTATCCAGCAGGTGGCTTAGCAATAGATGGAGTTATAGTCTCATCATATCCGCCATCCTCCTGGCTACGGCGAGCGTTTCCGCCTTCTTCATATGACCAGCCAGTAAATTCAAACATTTTGACATCAAGAGGATCTCCCAGAAGCTCGTCATCCACAACTCTGAGTGAATGACAAGTTGCCATCGTGTATATAATCTGTTTCCGTTTATGGTAGTCAACTTCCGTGTCACGCTGGTTTCGAGACGATGGGTATATCTGGGAGGGACTGCACAAAATCTCGGTGAAGCTAAAAACGGGTCAGGCTAAGTCAACCAAGAGACTGTCATGGAAGAGAGCAAACCTGGACTTTGACGTAACTGCACGGACGCCTAAGACGTCTAGTCCATCTTCTGTCAATGTTCCTGTTTTGTCAAAACAGACGACATCAAGCTTTCCTCCCACGTTTACTCTGCGAGGAGTGAGAATCAGTTCGGCACGTGTATCCAAGGAAACGGTACTGACCTTTGAGGGCTTATACAGAATATCGACTGTTTTTTAAGGCGTGAAAGTGCAAAATTTGTCCCGATGGTCAATGTCGCAGGCAGAGCAGGTGGTACGACTATAGTAATCAAGTCGAGGGCCCTAATGATGATCACACGCCATGAGAGCTGCCATACATTAGCAGGGACATAAGCTGCTGGCCTATACCACTTACACCTAGTCGAATGAAATTGACAAAGGATGCGATGAATCCTAGTACAGCGATGAGGCCCATGACAGCAATATAGCGGAAGGAGTCCCTGTAAAATTTGAAACCTGAAGGCTTGGGGAAGAGCATAGAGCGAACTAGAGCTCCTTTCGTAGTGGAGAAACCCGTCCTTATAACAATAGCCAGTGCAACTGCGTCGTCATCACTGCCCTGCGGTCTGCGGGCTCGGACAATTCTGGTGCCGCAAAAAAGAAAATGTTTAGCCACAACTGGATGGATGGAAGTGGCGTTCAAATCAAAATACTCCAGAGCATCATCGGTGACCGGACTCTTTGAAACAGGAACAGATTCGCCTAGACTTCGGTTTAGTCACAGAAGTGTCAATGGCAGCAGAGTCCGCACCTGTAAGCATGCTTTCATTTATTATACAATCCCCAGATAGCAATAGGCAGTCACATGGGACCTCGGTGAGCGAAGGATCTGAAACTTCGAAGACATCTCCCGGAACTAGATCTCCAGATGACACCGATCTCCCTAAGTCACAACAAATCGGTCAGAACAGGCCAAGAATGACAAGCACTGCTAGCTTCGGTGGAGTCTTACAGAAGCCATTTCGCAGCACACGGACGTCGCACTCGAAGTGAGAGATCTCTCTCAGACGGTTCATGGTCTCCAAGGGAGTCAGCGAGGAATTCTTAGTTGATAATAGTTATCGATAGATTCTCACCGATCGTGTCTCCAATATAGTCGCACCGATACTGAAGATTGAGACAATGAAAATACAGGCTGCGTAGTAGTAGTATTCATCCAAAGACCAGAGAATGAGACTAGCAATTTGAAAAACATAAAATGGATGGAAAGCCTGTGGGGTTAGAGCCGTCTGAACGATGTGCTACGGGGAGAGCCCACTTACTTCGTCGACAAGGAGTTGAGCAACCGATTTCTCCTCGATGCCAATCAAGTTCTGGCCGAAAACTTGTTCCCTGCTATCCCGCTCATCGGCATCCAAGCCGTTTCGCATAACCTTTACGTTTGTCCATAAAGGATCTTTCCATGACGTGACAAGGACAAATTTGTCCTCTAATGGATGGTAAAAGAATTGGAGATATCTGTAATCCAGAGACCGCAAGACCGACATGATCGGATCATTGTCTTCCTCTAGTTCAGAAGTTGTGTGTAAAAGCTGCTGGGCTCCAAATACCGTGGACAGAGGCCGTCCATATTGTGTCTTACGAACAGGAAGGACTGCAAGTCGGTTCCATTGATCCTAATACGAATTAGCAAGCAGTTATTTGGCAAGGGGGAGGGCGTGTTCTTCCAACCTCAATCGCCACCCATTGACATTCGCGTAGCTGGCTTGGTTTTCCTACCAACCGTAATCGTAACTTCGGCGCCCATCGGAAGACAAGATATGCGATGCCGAAGGTCAATATACACAGGATCAGATAGGCAGCATAGCCACTCATGCGGGTTGAAAAACCAGCAATCACAATTGTCAAGTCTTCGGTGACAAGGTAGACTTTTTGGCTAATCCTGCCACCCACTTTTTGTCCGCTGACATGGGACTTCACAGAGTCACGCCTGGAAAGCAACGGCTCCTCGATAGAATCTCTGGAGCGCAATGACCTCCTCGACTTGCTACTCGGTACGGGAAAATCCAATTGATGTTCAGTACCCTCCGCGAACTCGGGACTAATTCCGACTTCGTCTTCCACGGCTTCCTCATCTTCTGCATGTTCAAAGGAATCGTCGTCTTCTCGCAGATAGCTAAAACTCACTACGGAACCATGTCGCATTCCTCGATGAGCAAATGAAGCAACGCTGGAAGGAATACTCTCGGACATGGGGCCAGAAAAGACCTAAGGTTCTCAGTCCGGTTTCTTCAATCAAGGCTAGAGCCAGGCCTCATGAGGCTTACCTCTTCCTGTGCCATTTCTACATCTGACACCACACTCATGCTAAAGTAAAAAGCAGTTAGTTGACCGGGACTAGAATCGGGGCTATGTACTGGTACAACCTGCTCCTCATAGACTCCCTGCGATGTCTAGGACCAGAACCATTCGGCCTTACAGGCCGACGGTCCGCAGCCGGCGATTCAGAACCGTCCATTGTGTCGTATGTAGATCGGAATGAAGCGTCTTTAGTTATCTGGTAAACGAATCCACCTTATTTCGGGGTCATGGAGGGTCATTGAACCTCGGTTATGGCGGAAGGTGAGTCATGTTTGAAAAAGATTCAAGTAGGATGCGATGAACTTATGAAGAGAGATCAATGAGGGTTTTCCGGGCGTGGACTGGGGCACGGAAGCTAAGTAGAAGGAATGTGAGCAAGATGCGCTAACATCCAGGCACATGAACTCACCATCGAATCCAGTTTGAATCTTGAAACGACGTTATCATGTGTGGAGAAGATCTTGACGGAAGGATGCAGAGCTGGGAACTTATCGACACGTGATCAGTGGATGTTGTGAATTCCTCTCGAGAATCCTTTGCGATAACATGTGGTACAACAGTCCGTAGACAATCATCTAGTTATTTTTCTTTTCTTTTCAAGATCCCTGTGTCAATTACATCATCGACAGAGGCAATAAGATACCGAGATCTAGTCATTATAGAAAAGATCGATTTTTCTGACGGGTAAAAATAGCCGCTATTGAGATAAGACAGTGATATCTCTTTCATCTTTATTTCTTAGAATATATCGATATATTGGACGTACTACGCTTCGTTCTAGTGTCCGTGACATGTACATATTTGCTGGATCCGAATTAACAAGCTAAATTACAGCCCGTTGTTACTCACAAGGATTTCATCCATCACCAAGTCTTGTGCGCATAAGTGCGTAACTAGTTCGACCAGCCCTGAGAGGAGTGTGGTCATATAGTACATAACCATATACAAGTAGAATAATACTCTTACCTTTTTCCTATCTATCTATTTTAGGACGCGTTATTACTAGCTTACTACAGAAAGACGGGATCTTCCATGTATTATATTAGAGTTTGACATGAGAGATGGCGCGATTAAATCTATTCCTTCGCCCCGGGCCTTGTGTAAAGACAAAAACAAATAGTTACTAGCGTCTTGAGACGAGACTTGGCTATGTATGTACCTAGACTGCGTAAATTCTGCCAAGGAGAGTCGTGTTACTTTCAGATTCTCCGATCATCTTTTTTTTGTCGCCCCAGCCTTATGATGTGTCGAGTTATATATATCCCTTGTCGCGTGGCTCTGGGTGACAGATTTGGTCCCTGGCTGACTCATGTAACTGATGGCGCAAGAGACAGTGATTTATCGCCCGCGAGAAAGAAATCTCAAGCTCACACACAGTCTATTATTCAAGACCATGTGGCAGTGTAGTGTGTAGTCGTAGCAGTATTATTGATTAGCGTTGGGAATTTGGAGTTCTCAACAGCCAACACGGCGACACGCCCGTCCCGCCAAGCCCCTCGCGCTAAGGATCCCACCAAGCCACCTCAAGTATTCCAGACCTCGAAAAACCAAGCGTATCAAAATCTTCCTCATCCCTCTCTTTTCCCTCCTACAACCACTTCACAACCTCTGTCTATCCCGATCAGCACCGTTGCCATGTCGGAACCTATCAGAAACAAGAAAGCCAACTTCCCGGTTGCTCCGTAAGTACTCACTTGTCGCGCTACCCCTCTCTCGTTTGATCGAGTTACCTCATCCGTCTTGTCTGTCGCCTGGCGAAGGATGCCTGACCGCTGATTCGTGCCATTATCATAGAACCCCTCAAAATACACCTGCCAACAATGCTCCTATCTCGTCTCATGCCCAGCAGCCTGGAGTTTCAAGTATCTCAGAAGGTAAAAAATCCCTCCCCTTAGCGGTCGTGACATTTGCCACCCTACCCTTGCTGACATCGATATATCAGAAAATCTCGATCATGCGGCCGCTGCCTCGATATTCGCACAGAACCCCGGACTTGTCTCCATGATCCAAGGTAGACTTGGTACCCTCGTGGGCCGTTCTTCAGGCTACATCGAGTCTCTCCCAACGCCTGTGCGCCGTCGGGTCGCAGGCCTCAAGGGTATCCAGAAGGAGCACGCCAAGCTTGAGGCGCAGTTCCAGGAGGAGGTCCTACAGCTCGAAAAGAAATATTTCACAAAGTTCACGCCTCTCTACCAGAGACGTGCTACTATCGTTAATGGAGCCGCGGAGCCTACTGAAGAGGAAATCGCTGCTGGCAAGGTTGACGAGGAGGAGGAAGAAGAAGAAACCAAGGCCGAGGAACCTAAGAAGGAGGAGACTGCCGCAACTTCAGTCGCCGGAATTCCCGAATTCTGGCTGTCTGCGATGAAGAACCAGATTTCGCTTGCTGAAATGATCACCGATCGTGACGAGGAAGCACTTAAACATCTTGTCGATATCCGCATGGAATACCTGGACCGCCCTGGGTTCCGCCTCATCTTCGAGTTCTCTGAGAACGAGTTCTTCACAAACAAGACTATCACGAAGACCTATTACTATCAAGAGGAGAGTGGTTACGGTGGTGACTTCATCTACGACCACGCCGAGGGAGACAAGATTGACTGGAAGGCGGACAAGGATCTCACTGTTCGCATCGAGAGTAAGAAGCAGAGAAATAAGAGTAAGTCGACAGCACATCAGTCAAATGCTTTCGAGGTCCTAATAACAATTCCACAGGCACGAAACAGACTCGTGTTGTGAAGATCACTGTGCCCACCGAGTCTTTCTTCAACTTCTTCTCTCCCCCGAAGCCCCCGACCGATGATGATGACACTGTCGCCACCGACATCGAAGAACGATTGGAACTGGATTACCAGCTCGGTGAAGATATCAAGGAGAAGCTCATCCCGCGGGCCATCGACTGGTTCACGGGTGAGGCTCTGCAGTTCGAGGAGCTCGGCGATGAGCTCGACCAGGACGAATTCGACGGTGACGAGGACGACGAAGATGATGAAGACGAGGACGATGAGGATGATCGGAGGTCAGACGGTGATATAGAAGATGAGTCTGAGGAAGAAGTAAGTCTGCCCTTATCTATTGTGCTCCATTGATTGCGGTGATTAATACGTGGTAGGATGGAACCTCTAAGCCCAAGAAGGAGGCGGCGGAATGCAAACAAAGCTGAAGACTTTTTACCAACCGACTGTCGAGGTTCTGATGGCTCGTCTCCTATGATTAAGGCGCAGTCCTCGTGCATTTTTGCAGGTTTCGCTTTGTTTACTTATTAAGACTGCTATTCGTCCCTTTGCTTCTTCTTATGTCATTGAATGCCAAGCATAATACTGTAATACGAGTCCCTTTTCCCGTCTCCACGCTGTCGGACAAATATGCGGTGATTCTCTCGAACCGATGTCGATCTCACGAAAATGATTGCTAGTACACTCAGTCGCGCCTCCGTTTGCTCCCACTTTTCCTGTTTTAAAAGTAGGGCGAGCTGGGGAGTCCGCTTCTATCTTGGGGCGGCGTCGGTCGGTGTACCTCCCTGTCTACCTATAGTGATCATTAACGGTGGAAAGAAGGCGACATGCAATCAAACGGCTGATGTTCTTGTTCTGTGCTCCTTTTTTCATTGACATCCTGGACCTAGAATCACGCGCACGAGTTGAAAAAAAGTCGTAATGTTGTTAGATATGCCGAGACGATCTCGAGAATACGAGAATCAACTCTGTCTCGTCCACAGTTCACTAGATACTGCCATCGGGATCCTCCCATGTCTATAAAAAAATGAAAGGCGTGTGTAGCTAATGCAGATTTACTCCGCTCTTGTGGAAGCATCTACAATTTCTGTTGCACTGCAAGACACGTTGAATCAAGTGTTTGTATACGTGGCACAAATAGAGTATAGTCCAGCTACCTCCAGTAAAACTCCTTTTTTTTTTCTCAGTGTCCACGGCTACTCTTGACCGGTCGAGTTACTGTCATGTATTTCATGTGGGGGACGGGACTTAGATCAACCAGCTCGAGCACAGGCCAGGTACCCTGAACAGAGTGTGTGGCATGCAGCAGCCCGAGACAGTGGAAAAATAATATGTCGGGGGTGTTAAAAGTAGGATTCTAGAATCATCTTGCTAATATTATATCAGAAGCAATATCAGTGATTCCCTTGTTGTTGAATACAGTAAAGACAGGGGGTCCCAGTTCATTCCGGCGGTCTGGTAGTCGGCCTTTGCATCTTAAGTGTCTTCCTGGGGCGCCTCCCGGAGCTGTTCAGGGGTCGCGGCCCGCTAATGGCCAGCTTTTAAGGTCCGTCCAGCGTTTCACCCGACCTCCAGAATTAAGACCAGCCTACTTCCCAAACTTTTGGACGGTGACCAGAAGGAAGGGTACCGTTTCTCCATCCGCATTCACCACCTGCATCCAGATTTCCTCCTCGGACTCCCTAAATGCTAGGTAGAGCAGCCAGGTGTACGATACTGGCGGCCTCGAATACCTGCAAGCCTGACGGCGTCCTCGAGTCGAGAGAGTCGGCAACGTAACGATGGCGACCAGCTACGATGTCGGAACAAGGGCGTGGCAGCCCGACCCTACGGAAGGATGGGTTGCTTCCGAGGTCAAGGAGAAGTTGGTGGAGGGGGATAAGGTGAAGCTCGTCTTTGAGTTGGCAAACGGAGAGGTAAGTTGATGCCACGAGTCTCATCTCGTCTACGGTTCTATCCCTGCTGTACCAGGATATCAAGCTGACGGAGCTACCTTTTTTCATAGTCAAAAACGATCGAGACGACGCAAGAAGAGTTACAGGTCGACAATAACCCCAAGCTACCACCGCTGATGAATCCGACGATACTCGAAGCAAGCGAGGATCTTACAAATCTGTCACACTTGAACGAACCTGCTGGTATGTAGGATGCTTGGGATCAAACCGGAGGTGCATGCGTTGACAATCCTCAAGTTCTGCAGGCTATAAAACTCCGTTACGTTCAAAAAGAGATATATACATACAGTGGTATAGTTTTGATTGCCACGAATCCTTTTGCGCGGGTCGACTCCCTGTACGTTCCGCAGATGGTTCAGGTGTATGCTGGAAAACATCGTGCCTCGCAGGCACCGCATCTGTTTGCTATTGCCGAAGAAGCCTTTGCGTAAGTGCCTCCCGCAAATTCTTGCCATTGATGCCACTGACACTGTTAAGGGACATGCTGCGAGATGCCAAGAACCAAACCATCGTAGTATCTGGTGAATCCGGTGCTGGAAAGACCGTTAGTGCCAAATATATTATGCGATACTTCGCAACGCGCGAATCCGCGGATCAGCCGGGCAAGTATACGCAAGGCAGGGCCGACGCCATTAGTGAGACGGAGGAACAAATTCTAGCGACGAATCCGGTAATGGAAGCTTTTGGAAACGCGAAGACGACACGAAATGACAACTCGTCACGATTCGGAAAATACATTGAGATTATGTTTGACTCCAAGACGAACATTATCGGTGCGAAGATCAGGACTTACCTCCTGGAACGGTCGAGACTGGTATTCCAGCCTCTCAAAGAGCGCAATTACCATATTTTCTATCAGCTTGTTGCTGGTGCAACCGACTCTGAACGACAGGAACTCGGTCTCGCCTCCGTAGAAGAGTTCGATTACTTGAATCAAGGCGGCACCCCAACTATCGATGGCGTTGATGATAAAGCCGAGTTTGATGCCACTCGGAAGTCTCTCGGCACTATAGGTGTAGCAGAGCCAACTCAAGCTGACATATTCCGGGTTCTTGCTGCATTGCTGCACTTGGGAAATGTCAAGATCACGGCTACCCGAACGGATTCACAATTATCAGCAACAGAACCATCGCTCGTGCGAGCCTGTGAGATGCTCGGAATCAATGCCAACGAGTTTGCAAAGTGGATAGTCAAGAAGCAACTGATCACAAGGGGAGAGAAAATCACCTCGAACCTTACTCAACAGCAGGCGATTGTCGTACGAGACTCCGTTGCCAAGTTCATCTACTCCAGCTTGTTTGACTGGCTTGTTGATACAATCAATAGGGGCCTTGCTAGGGAAGAAGTTCTGAGCAGGGTACAGTCGTTTATTGGTGTTCTCGATATTTACGGATTCGAACATTTCGCGAAGAACTCATTCGAACAGTTTTGCATCAACTATGCCAATGAGAAACTACAGCAGGAGTTCAACCAGCATGTGTTTAAGCTCGAGCAAGAGGAATATGTCCGAGAAGAGATCGATTGGACCTTTATTGATTTCTCTGATAACCAGCCTTGTATCGATCTGATCGAAGGGAAACTTGGTATCTTAGCTCTATTGGATGAGGAATCCCGACTGCCTATGGGCTCTGATGACCAGTTTGTCACCAAGCTCCATCATAACTTTGCTGCGGATAAGCAAAAGTTCTACAAAAAACCCCGATTCGGAAAGTCCGCATTTACCGTTTGCCACTATGCGGTGGATGTGACTTACGAATCTGATGGGTTTATTGAAAAGAACAGAGACACCGTGCCTGATGAGCACATGGAGATCTTGCGGAATTCATCTAACAACTTTGTGAAAGAAATTCTGGATGCTGCCACTGCTGTTCGTGAGAAGGACTCCGCCTCTATTTCGTCCAAGCCTGTCGCAGCTCCAGGGCGCCGGATCGGTGTGGCCGTGAACCGCAAGCCCACCTTGGGAGGTATATTCAAGTCCTCTCTCATCGAGCTCATGAACACCATCAACTCGACAGATGTCCACTACATCCGTTGTATCAAGCCTAATGAAGCCAAGGAGGCCTGGAAGTTTGAAGGACCCATGGTTCTCAGTCAGTTGCGAGCCTGCGGTGTCTTGGAGACAGTCAGGATCAGTACCGCTGGATATCCAACTCGGTGGACGTACGAGGAGTTTGCTCTCCGCTACTACATGCTTTGTCACTCGTCGCAGTGGACGTCTGAAATCAAGAAAATGTGCCATGCCATCCTGCAAAAGGCCCTTGGGGATCCCAGCCAGCAGAAACAGGATAAATACCAACTTGGTCTGACGAAGATCTTCTTTCGTGCAGGTATGTTGGCTTTTCTGGAAAATCTGCGAACTTCTCGCCTGAACGGTGCTGCAATCATGATCCAGAAAAATCTGAAGGCCAAATACTACCGACGGAGATATCTCGAAGCGCGGAACTCTGTCCTTTATACCCAGGCTTTGATCAGAGGTTTCCTGTCCAGGCAACATGCTCAGGAAGCAAGGAAAATCAAGGCCGCAACTACCATCCAACGGGTCTGGAGAGGTCACAAGCAGAGGACGAAGTACAATGAGATCCGCAAGAATGTGATCCTGTTTGAATCGCTGGCAAAGGGCTACCTCTGTCGCCGGAATATCATGGACAGCATACTTGGAAATGCTGCCGTAACGATTCAGCGCGCCTTCCGCAGGTGGCGTTCGATGCGCAACTGGCGGCAATACCGCCACAAGGTTGTCATTGTCCAAAATCTGTGGAGAGGTAAACAGGCCAGGAAGCAGTACAAGAAGTTCCGTGAAGAAGCAAGAGACCTCAAGCAGATCTCATATAAGCTTGAGAACAAGGTTGTGGAGTTGACACAGAACCTTGGAACATTGAAACGCGAAAACAAGACCCTGGTTTCCCAGCTCGAGAATTACGAGAGTCAGCTGAAGTCATGGCGAAGCCGACACAATGCTCTCGAAAATCGTTCTAAGGAACTCCAGGCTGAAGCCAATCAAGCTGGTATTAACGCGGCACGTCTCACAGCCATGGAAGACGACATGAACAAGCTTCAGCAAAACCACACGGATGCTCTTGGAACTATCAAGCGACTTCAGGAAGAAGAGAGAATTTCAAGGGAATCGATTCGCGAGGCCAATGCTGAACTAGAGAGGCTAAAACAGCTGAACACTGAGAACGAAAATGAAAAGGCCTCTCTCCGTCAGCAAATTTCAGAGCTCCAAGAACAGCTAGAGATTGCTAAGAAGTCTGTTGTGACAAACGGGGTGAACGGAGACGCACACAACGGAAATGGTATGCAACCTCCGGCAAGCGGACTAATCAATTTGGTGTCTTCCAAGAAACCGAAGCCCAAGCGACGCAGTGCTGGGGAGAAGATCGATATTGAGCGGTTTAGCGGGGCTTACAACCCTAGGCCGGTGTCCATGGCTGTTCCAGGCGCCATTAGCGCCCGCCAGCCTCTCTCTCCTGGCCTAGATTCCGTTGAGGTTGAGCTAGAGAATCTCTTGTCAGAGGAAGATGAGCTCAATGAAGAGGTTGCAATGGGTCTGATCAAGAACCTAAAGATTCCGGCCCCTGGAACCAATCCTCCGCCGACCGAGAAGGAAGTCTTGTTCCCGGCGTACCTTATCAACCTCGTCACATCCGAGATGTGGAACAACGGCTTTGTCAAGGAATCCGAGCGATTCCTTGCGAACGTGATGCAGTCTATCCAGCAAGAGGTTATGCAGCACGAAGGGGACGATGCCATCAACCCAGGCGCTTTCTGGCTTTCAAACGTTCACGAGATGCTCTCCTTTGTATTCTTGGCTGAAGACTGGTACGAAGCTCAGAAGACTGACAACTATGAGTATGACCGTCTGCTGGAGATTGTCAAACATGACTTGGAAAGTCTTGAATTTAACATTTATCATACCTGGATGAAAGTTTTGAAGAAGAAGCTGTATAAGATGATTGTCCCTGCCATCATCGAGTCACAGTCTCTTCCGGGCTTCGTTACGAGTGAAACAAACCGTTTCCTCGGCAAGCTTCTGCCTTCCAACAACACGCCTGCATACAGCATGGATAACCTCCTCAGTCTGCTGAACGGTGTTTTCAAGGCTATGAAGGCGTACTATCTGGAAGACACTATCATCACCCAGACAGTGACGGAGCTTCTTCGTCTGGTTGGTGTAACAGCTTTCAATGACCTCCTGATGCGGAGAAACTTCCTGTCATGGAAGCGTGGTCTCCAGATCAACTACAACATCACTCGAATCGAGGAGTGGTGCAAGAGCCACGACATGCCTGAAGGAACTTTACAGCTAGAGCACTTGATGGTCAGTATTGCGATATTACGGCTCCCTGTAACATTCAAGATCTCATTTCTAACGATAAACAGCAAGCGACGAAACTCCTCCAGCTCAAGAAGGCAACATTGAACGACATCGAAATTATCCAGGACATCTGTTGGATGTAAGTTCTCTCCATGGTGCTCCACGATAGCTTTCGTTTGATACCTGAGGTTGACACGTATTATACAGGCTTTCTCCCAACCAGATTCAGAAGCTCCTTAACCAGTACCTTGTAGCAGACTACGAACAGCCCATCAATGGCGAGATCATGAAGGCAGTAGCGTCACGTGTGACTGAAAAGAGTGACGTACTCCTTCTGACAGCCGTTGATATGGAGGACAGTGGTCCCTACGAGATTGCTGAACCACGTGTCATTACTGCGCTGGAGACATACACACCATCTTGTAAGTCAGCCTACGGGAATTTCAATAGCCTTTCTGTCTACTAACGGGTCGCAGGGCTCCAAACACCTCGGCTGAAGCGCCTTGCGGAAATCGTGTCCGCCCAGGCAATGGCCCAGCAAGAGAAGCTCGACATGGCAGAGAACGGTGGATACACTTCCGATTAAAATACTTTGGTGAAGCTTGGACTTCGTTACATATCCGTCAGGTACGAATGAATTTAGATGATCAATGCTGGTGATTTTTTGTAGCCTTAGCATCTGAAGAAGTTATTCATTTCACACAATATTGGGTATGACTAATGTAATGATATATACGATCACATACTTCAGAGAAGGGATCTCCTGCTCTATCTTTTTGATGATGCTGAATGATACGTAATGTAGTCGAAGTAGATATTCATTATTTTAAGCATTAGTATCCTTACGTACTGTATATATACCCCAATTATTCGCGTGCTGGCCGCCATGAGAAACAGATAATTGCGCATAAGATCCGAGGGTAATTCTGAAGAAGTACGATAGATAGTCCATGTCTCATACTATATATCAAGCCTGCCCTCCCAAATTTTCAAATAAGTCATGCCCGTCCAATTCGTTTTTGCGGAAAGTGGAGATAAATCAATTCGGAACTTTTCTTCATCCGTACTCCGCCTCCTTGCTATCACCCACGCCTTCGAAGAAGTTACCTAGTTAAATCAGAAGAACCCCGTGATTTTACCCCGCGCATATAGACCAAACGATTATATTCATAATGGCTTCTTCCATTAGAACGCTGAACTTCATTACCGGAAACAAAAATAAACTGGCAGAAGTGAAAGCTATTCTTGGCGACACTGTGGAACTTCAGAACAAGGCTATCGATCTCCCTGAGATTCAGGGAACTTCGGAACAAATTGCAAAGGAGAAATGTCGTCGTGCTGCTGAAATAGTAAGTTAGTTGGTTAGTTTTTGGGGTGGTTTTTTTGGATATGGGGTTTACTACTTTATTGTCTTAGTCGGGGATGGGTTCGCTTTTTTTTTTTACTTCTCTTTTTAATTCTATATAAAAATGCTTACATGGATTCGAATACGTCAAAGATAGGTGGACCTGTCCTGACAGAGGATACTGCTCTTGAATTTCATGCTCTCAAAGGCCTCCCGGGCCCTTACATGTATGTATATTACCCGTCATTATGATTTGAAGAAAACAAAAAAAAAAACAATAAAAATAAAAAAAAGTGCGCTAACTTTTGAGAAGCAAATGGTTTCTGGAATCACTTGGCCATGAAGGGTTGAACAAGATGCTTGACCCCTACGACGACAGGACTGGTGAAGCTGTGTGCACATTCGCCTTTTCCAGTGGACCTGGTGCAGAGCCCATCCTCTTCCAGGGACGGACACAGGTCTGAAGAGCCACGAACTCCATTGGTATAATGAGTGCAGCCATAGCTGATATGTTCCGATCATTAGGGTCAAATCGTACGCCCCCGCGGCCCAGCCAACTTCGGTACGTATTTGGATCCATGCGAAAAGCAAGAAAAGCAGCAGCAAGAATGTCCCTTCGGACTGACTGACATCTACTCTTCAGGCTGGGATCCTATCTTCGAATACGAGGGTAAAACGTATGCGGAGATGGAGAAACAGGAGAAGGTAAGCCATGCCAACACATCATTTTGCGAAGCCGTCCCCGCGATCGCTGACCCATTTGTCCCGCAGAATCAGGTTTCTCATCGCTATAAGGCGTTGTTGAAACTGAAGGAATGGCTCGCAGAGACCAAGGCCTGAGCGCGAGATTGTGATAGATGTCGTTTAGATCCGGAAAGGAAACCCAGCGGCTGTCCGTTATGAGAAAAGAAAATAGAAGACCCCCATTCAATCCGCATTCTCTGCCCGCGACGCCTTCCAAGCTTCTAGCCATGCAACTATCCTTGCGCAATTACTGTCAACGTCGTCGTCCTTCTCGCTTGTCAGTTCGACGACAATCTCCTCATCGTAAGCTTCTCTGGCTTCCTCCAGGAGTAGTCCGAATATTTCAGCGTCCAGGTTCTCTTGTAGCTTGTCGTCTCCGTATCCTCTGTGGCACCACACACACCATGGTTAGAACGATATCAATTGAAAGCTAAGTAGGAACCGTGATTACCTTGCAGAGAGACGATCGTGGAAAATAGAAGTAGAAGGACACCGCAAAACGACCACAAGGTCAATCCACGACTTGGGGAAGAGATCGCACGCATGCCAATCTATTAGATATCCACCCTGGAGCACCTCATCCTCGATCGCATCGAGAAGCTACAGCGCCATAAAAGTCAGTCAAATCCTCCAGCCGCAAGCACGGTACATATTATCCAAGTCCTTCCATGAGGGACTTGGCGGGGTAGCGCAGCCGCCCTCGACAGAGACGCCTATGTATATTGCATACCTTATCCTCATCCACAATCCAACTTTTGCGCTCTTCATCATATCCATCGTAGCATTCTCTGTCCTTGGCGACCTGGTTAATCGACAGATGCCGCAATCCGGTTTCTTGAGCGAGCTGTTCGCAATGCACGGTCTTTCCAACGCCCGGCGTGCCGGTGATGATCACATTCGGGGATTTTCTCATGATTTCTGGATATATTATGAATTTCTGGGAAAGACGACTTCGAGCGGGAAAAGGGCCTGGTAATATCGACAGGGTTGTCGTGAGATTAGCTGGATCGTGCACGTTTGGAGATCTTGAAAATTTCCGGCGCATTAATCGGCGGCGCGGGTTAGTCTCAAAAACTCCGCGGGAGTATAGATTTGCATGGTGGGGTCGCTGCGCGGGCCGAATGCTGGAGGAACGTTTAATACAGGCAACACCCCTCAAAAGTTTCAAGTTTGTACTGTATATTCGAATGCTCGTAACCTCATACATGCTGGTCATTATCGCTCTAACCTAATGAATGCCATATCGAGATTTACACGATTAGATAATACTGGTCAGATTACTTAACTAGTTATCGCCTGTATGCCCCAAAGTGTCTGTCTAATAAACTCCAAAACCAATATTTTATTTATTCACCGACTCATCTATTGGCGATAATCTATGCAAAACAGTTAGTGTTGATTCAACCTGAAAAAAAAAATAACGAAATAAAGAAAGAAAGGTGACATACTTGAGGGTCTCAAACGCTTTGAACTTCCGTAAATAAGATGTACCTCTCCGATAAGCTCTCATCAACCGTGCAGGGTTCGCTGAGGGCCTGATTGAGGTGCCGATGAGCCTCTGAATCGCAGGAGACGTCCTAAACATAGGATCGAACACCAGCAAATTTGCGGTGCCATCCTCCCGGACCTCAAAACCAATGATGGTCAAAGAATGCCCTTTTGAAGTATTAATGCCATTGGTCTATCCAAAGAGAAAGGTTCTTACCAGGATGCTGGAGATAGATCGGTGGTAGATCGGTCTTGAGGACTTTGTCGTTTCCTTCCAGCGAGACACCCTGTCGAAAATATTCTGCCACATTGATGAGAAGAGCATCGTAGGCTCGTAATTGCTTCGTTTCATGAAAAGCGTTGGCTTCGCATCTATACACACTTTTGTTAAGTCTGCCGACAACAATAAATATTCTGCACTTACTTGATCCCGAGACTCTGGAATAGAGCTTGTGCCTGCATAGCGTTAGAAAGATGGGGTTTGAGGATTGAGTGGTTATCGACATGATTCACCTCTGGGGTACCTATATACTTCCTCGTCCCTCTGATACCGCCTGTCTCGACCCTCCCGCTGCTGTTGAACCCCATATCCCATGCCTGTTCAATCAGGTCCTGGAGCCTGAGAATCGTCGGTAGCCTTCCCGGGAAGTGTTCGTGGCCTGGTCTTTTGGCGTCTTGGACATGCGAAATAAGCATTTGGATATTCCTGTAACCGCAAAACCCGCCCTCCATCCGCATCTTGAAGACGTGCCGCACTTTTTCGCTGCAGAAGAAAGCGCGCTGGACAGACTTGTCTTGTTGACAGAGCTGTATAAGGACAGGAACAACACCTGGGGTCTCGTTCTCGATGGCCTCATGCCGTTCAAGCATGCCATTCGAGCCTATACGGTTTATCCGAATGATATTTGCCCCATTCTCCAGCATCTTACGAAGCCACGAGGGCATCTGCTTCTCGTGAGCATGGGGGCCCAGTTCTGCACGCTACAAGCCTAATCAGCAATGTGTACATGCGTGGTATCGGGGCAATAGCAGTACCCCTAATCTTTTTGCATTTCCACCGTGGACCGTCGAGAGTGATGTATTTTCGTGATATCCCTGCTTTCCGCTGGGCCCCTGACGATGGCGGTCTTTGGAGAGCCCTTTGTGTAGACGCAAAGAAGACCCCCCATCGGAATGCTCAATAGCTCTATCGAAATCGTCTTGATATTCCGCGGGCGTCTCTTCCAATTGCCTCACCTCTGCTTCCTCGTCTTCGAAAGCTATATCTTCAGCAACATGAAGATTTAGGTGACTTGGGAGATCTGCAGCCAAAACAACTTCGCCGCAACCACGAGGACAGTCGATATACTCCCCTGCGCCAGCTTCGCCGTCCAAGGCCTCTGAGCTACCTTCCTGGTCAGCTATGAAGGGAGAATGGCCGTTCTCCGGATGACAGAGTTCGACATGCTGGGCCAAGAAGTAGGCATCGGAATCAGTGAAGCTGCAAAAAGGGCAGGGTAGAGTCTCCGCTTGTCCATGGTCCATGGCGTTTTTTCTTTTTCTTTTTTTGCTAAACGAAGCTTTTCCAAGATCGAACGCAGTGCAGGCAAATCAGTACCGACGCGGAAAGGAAATCAATACGTAGCAGCGGTTTGCTGGTCTATTTACTGGGGGCGTAGAGTATTAGCTGCTTCGAATGTCGTTAGGACCGCTGAATCATATATATCTATGTCGAATTAGAGGAACGCTTCACCGCACTCAGAAAAATTAACATTCGGGCTTCACAACAACTTTGCCACCCAGCATATTCTGGCAGGTGCAAGCAATCCTCACCATCTTAATATTTGATAAAAGGGGACTCCGACCATGAGAACAAACACACGATGTATTAGCCAGTAATATTGATATCCGGGGTAGAGTCCTCTGTACGTAACTAGGAGCAATAACGGGGATAACGGGGGGTTCTGGCCTGCGACGCAGAGAGCGGGGATGTGGCGGATGCGATATTAACCAAACCACATGAGGTAATTAATAACTAGTAACCAACTAGTTAACTAATAAATAACTAATAATAACTAATAATTATTAACTAGGAGGAGATTTCTGACTCCGATTGACTCCACCTCGTACAGGGGTCTTTATTGTATGGAATTTTCTAAGTACATACTTTGGGGAATCATAGGCGTGACAGTGACAGTACGTATATGCCTATTTGCAGTTGTGCTACAGCTTTCTGGTTTAAATAAAAAGAAATATCTATAACTAAGAGTTGTGCTGCCTGGAAGGAACCAAGATTGATATGAATAATAATAATAATAATAATAACAAGTATTATACCATAGATAGTTAACTACTACTACTAACTATGGTACTGTAGTTAATACGGAACCCACGGGAACCGGACTGGCCTGGGTTTGGCCACTGGCCGCAGCTCCGAGATCGTTCTCCCGCGGCCAAGAGAAAAAAAAGGTTATTGCAGCTGCGAGTCATCCACGCCTCCGTTGTCGCAAATTCCTGAACCCGCAAGAATTCACCAACCCCTCTTCCCTCCTCGTGCCGTCAAAGACCTCCAAACAGCGTCAAGTTGAAGATCTCCCAATCTCCAATCTCCAGACTGCGCTGCTTGGCCTCAGCATGAGCGTGCTCCCAAATTCGGACGGTGTCACGCCTCCGACCAATGGCAAGCCGGAAAGCCATTGGGTCGTTCAGAAGTTCGGCGGGACCAGTGTGGGCAAGTTCGCTTTCAACATCGTCGACCAAGTGATACGGTATGTATTGATCGCATCCTTCCCATTTCCTGTCGATCGTGGCTTTGAGAGACTGATTTCTTCGCTGCTCCAATTCAGTCCCAGTCTTCGTGAGCACAAAGTAGCCATCGTCTGCTCAGCCAGAAGCAGTTCGTCCAAGGCCGAAGGCACGACCAATCGGTGAGTCATCCTGGCGCTGAAGCCTATGCACTCGTTTGCGGGCAGTCCTCTCATCTCTCTTATACTCCTTTGGGCTCTTATACTCTGATATCTAACCTTCCTGACTGAATAGTCTCCTTCGTGCGGCTCGAGAGGCGGAACGTGCCCAATCGCGTGACTATGTTTCTTTAGTGGAAGCGGTTCGATTAGAACATGTCCAGGTGGCCGAGGCACAGATACAGTCCGTCGAACTGCGGGATCGTCTGATCGCAGAGATCGGGGAAGAGTGCACTCATGTGCTAAAGGTACTAGAGGCTGCTCAGACGCTCGGAGAGATTAGCGCTCGATGTGTCGACAAGGTGATGAGTACCGGAGAGAAGCTCAGTTGCCGCTACATGGCCGCGCTTCTTCAGGACAGAGGAGTAGACGCTCAATATGTCGACTTGGCTGAGATCATTGACTTCGTTGTCGGTAGCAATGGCCTCGACCAAGAATTCTATGACCATCTTGCCGCTCTCCTAGGCAAGAAGGTGGGAGCTTATGATGGGAAAGTGCCCGTCGTGACAGGATACTTTGGTTCCGTGCCTGGAGGTTTGCTGGACAAAATCGGCCGTGGATACACTGATCTCTGTGCTGCTCTTGTCGCGGTAGGAATCAACGCGAGGGAGCTACAAGTATGGAAAGAAGTGGACGGTATCTTCACTGCGGATCCGCGAAAGGTCCCGACAGCACGTCTCCTACCAACCATCACCCCGTCAGAGGCCGCCGAGTTGACCTTTTATGGATCAGAAGTGATCCATCCATTCACTATGGAACAAGTCATACGGGCAAAGATTCCTATACGGATCAAGAACGTGATGAACCCCAAGGGCAGTGGCACAGTGATATACCCTGATTCGCATGCCGAACTTGAGCGGACCACACCAGGACACGATCCAAGACTTTTTCGCACAAGAAGCCCCAGCAATCTATCGCAGCTCCAAGGCCCCAAAAGGCCCACGGCCGTCACAATCAAACACAAGATCCTCGTCATCAATGTGCACTCCAACAAACGTTCGCTTTCCCATGGCTTTTTCGCCGGCATATTCTCTGTCCTCGACCGGTGGCGCCTATCCATCGACCTTATATCCACCAGCGAGGTCCATGTTTCCATGGCTCTTCATTCGGAGATGCCATTGTTGAACGGCGTTGGCCGCGACGAGTACCAGGTCATCGACGAGGATCTGCGTGGAGCCCTTGAAGACCTGAGGAAATACGGCACCGTGGATATCATTCCTGGAATGGCGATCTTGAGCCTTGTGGGAAAACAGATGAAGAATATGGTGGGCGTAGCAGGACGGATGTTCTCCACTCTTGGGGAAAACAACGTTAACATCGAAATGATCTCGCAAGGTAAGAATCATCTCGTGCCCATTGAACTATTAGCTGAAAGCGGTGACTTACAATTGGCTTCACAGGCGCTAGCGAGATCAACATATCATGTGTCATCGAGGAGAGAGATGCCGATCGGGCGATCAACATCCTTCATACGAGCATGTTCACCTTCCTAGACGACTAATCGTGTCTGTCCCATCACAACTCATTGCTAGGTTTGGAGTTTTCAGCATCAAGACCTCTCCTGGAAATGCTGTATTCTTCTTCTGATGGAGCATTCGCATCTGACGGCGGTTTTCACGACGAAAAGTCCTTTTCGCAAGTTGAGGGTTCATATAGACCATTTATGGGTAATTGCTGCCAGCTGTGGCATCTTTCTTAGATTTCTTTTGCATGCGTCTTGCCAAAAAATTTCCCCTTATGTACTCGGTTGGATAGCCACGTTTGTTTTGTCTGGTCACGTGGAGTTGGCGTTATATATTCAAACCCTTTTCTTTTCTTTTTCTTTTCTTTGTGCATATCAGCATAGATAGATATCGCTTGCCCGTGTACTTAGCGGAGGCATGACTGGCGTTCTTTTTGGGTCTTCATCATCTCCCCCACATCGTTTGTGCTATCTTGCCGTCTCTCTACTCCCACTTCACGGCTCGGCTAGAGAGTCCCGGGAAAAACAGGGCAAAACAGAGATTCTGCCCCATGTACATATCTTATTATACATATAGAAATGGCTAGAAAGAATATATTCCCTGGAAAAAAGAAAAATTAAAAAATTTCAACGGTCCGTCACTTTGACCCCGTCCTGCCAAGAGGGACAACGTACGGCAGAGTCAATATCCGCAAGGGTTTCCTAGATGCGCAGGAACAGTAAGGGACTCACTCAATAATTTTCCAACTCAGATCGAACCGGATTGCGGCCATCGTGGGGCGCGTGGCGCTGCCGTGAGAGCTGAGCCACCTGGGAGGAAAGACGGGCTCGACTCCAGACTAGGGCTGAAGCCTGAGAGTGTTATCTGACTGTCTAGTTATTTCTTGAGGCGGTGTCGGATCAGTCAGGATTGGCAGCATGTCCAATTCATTATTTCGAGCCAGTCGTCTGTCGATTGACTCGATTCTCTCCGTGTCTCAGAACTGACAGGATGCTATACCATGTAATCGATTAATACTCTAGCTCTTTGAGACTGCGTCTGAGCACAGGATCTGCCCGAAGCAGGACGGCGCCTGCAAGCGTCAAGGGATTGATTGCCTTGCTAGCGGGACGATTGGACGGCAGAAGGGATAGAGTTATGGAGCCGGCTTGTTCTTGAGTCGATGCTATTTCTTAGTGTCGTCCTCTAGGGGGAAGACGAGGCCGAGCATTTTGAAACCTGTAGATACCGTGACCGTACCGAAACGGCATGTTTGGGTGCAGCAACGCGGTCCAGCACGCGTCGGGGACAATACGGTACAGCACGCGTCGTGCTCGCAGCGCCTCTGGCATCATCGTCTTGACATGCTGTCCCGCCCCATTCCTTGAACGATCTTCTCGCCCATCACACGCACCACTCGATCAGGCTCTTCGTACGGAGTAGTCGGACGCTGTCAGACACGCCTCTCCTCCCTCAATCGACTCTCTTTACTCCCCTCTCTCGCCCTTCCGCGTCGCCGTCTCTCCCGATTCTTCCATCCCACCACCGCGTTCTCCGCCCTGCCCTCGACGCTGCTCATCATCGCCCGTCTCAAGCAACGCTCGATTGCCAGATCTTCTCGCGATCGATTCTTCGAACTATCCACCATCTCAGCGTCATACCGTTGGGTCCTAGTCCCGTCTTGCTGCGCCCTAAAGCCTAGATTCCGTCGTTCTTATCATCAGGCCTCAGCTCCGCTTAACCGCACTGCACCGCACCGCACCACGACTCAACTGAACCTGTCCTAGCTCACGCCCAGCGTTCGTTTCACCGACTGATGCTCTTCCATTCTTAGTTCTTGGGTGGTCAATGGAGCCTCATTTGGGCGCACTGTGAGCCTAATCAAATCTCTTCGCGACTGCTGGTTCCAATACCATCTGCCTGATCTGCTCCCGGCCTCCACCGTTGCTGCTCGTTAACAACAGAGCAGAGCTGGTCTCTCGCTTGGAGTTCTTGGGCCCTGCAACCCAAAGATACTGTGTACGGTCACCGCTTTTAAGTCTAGGGTCCTCTGATCCAATAATCGAATTGGGAAAATCGCCCTAAAACCGTCGTCGCGATGGCTTCGACGCGTCCTCCGTCGATGGCGTCCGATTTTCCAGATGTTTCAATCGCCTACGAGCATAAGAATAATAGTGTCTCGAAACCACCACCACGTCTCCAGCCATCACCCATGCCACTGCAGCCGGTCGAAAAGAACTGTATTCCGGATCCACCGTCCAGTGGTTCGCACCAGGTGTCGCCTGTCAAGTCCCACCGTCGCCTGGACTCATCCCACTCCGCGAAGGGGAAATTGGGCTTCGTTCCCATTACAGCGCCTGCTCCTCCAATGTTCACGACAGACTCGCCTGCCAAAAGGCACCCGTTCTCTGCCTATGGCCCTACATCGATGCCACAGCCGCCTCTCTTCACGACGTTCTCCAGTGTGGACACCGAACAGCCTCAGAACGGTGGTCGACCTGGATCCAGACCAAGCAATGACAACTTTGCCGACTTCCCAGAACCATCGTATGGATTGAGGCCTCCCCTCAAGCGAACGCTCATGGAGGCAGCCCCGTTGAAGGATAGACCCGCAAAGAAACAGAGACGCGAGGAGTCTCTCCCCTTCCAGCTACCCGAACCGCATGAGATGCCGCCGATTGAAGATGACGGCACCAAGCCTCCTTACAGCTACGCGACTCTGATTGGAATGTCTATTCTCCGGGCACCGAATCGACGACTGACCCTGGCCCAGATCTACAAATGGATCTCTGAGACCTTCTCGTTCTACCGTACCAGCGATTCTGGCTGGCAGAACAGCATTCGACACAACCTCAGTTTGAACAAGGCGTTTATCAAACAAGAGAGACCGAAAGATGATCCGGGCAAAGGGAACTACTGGGCCATTGAGCCCGGTTTGGAGGCCCAATTCCTGAAAGACAAGCCTCTCCGCCGTGCTACCTTATCCAGCATTCCACTTCCTCCAGCAGGTCCTCAGAGGGATTCTGTCCCTTCTCCTCAAACTCAAAATACGACTACCTGGAGAGTGCCTCCGCCATCTTCTGCCAGCGCTCCTCAGAAAACTTGCAAAGCCGTGGATTTGTCTTCAGATGCCACCTTGCCCGCCTCTGACCCGGCTCTTCAGGAGGACAGTGGAGATGAAAACCCTCATGTATTCGTTCCGCCATCTCATCCGCCTCGTTCCTCTCCGCTACAGGCGATTCACTCATCCCCCCCGATTGCCCCTCCCCGCTTCGTGCGTCAAGGCACTCCTCCAACGCCTTCGCGCCCAGTGTCGTCCTCGACAAATGCACCGCGGCACCGGAAGCGAAAGTCGGTTACTGCCAATGATAGCGGTTATTTCTCCTCTTTGGAATCGTCCGCTTTAAGGCCGAACAAGTCAGGTCATATTTTGACCTCAGATCTCGATATTGAACCTCCCCGTATCAAGCGCGGTCGTGCAGAGGAGGAAATTGCGCGCATCCGCAGCTCGTCCCACGACATTAGCCCAGGCCGTCCTGGCATATCAAAGGACACAAGCTTGCTGGCTGGTTCCTCTCCACTTCGTGGCGAGTATATCAGCATGCTACCGCCTCCGCTCACTCCGGCAATCAAGTTCAAGAAACCCGCCAAGCCGCCGCCATCGCTGTCTCCGAACACAAACTTGAGAAACCATCGCAGGAAGATCCAACAGATGGTCAATTCGCCAATCAAACACCTAGGCTTGACTGAGGAGGACATTCCTTGGAGTCCGGCCTTTGACATCCACGATGACACGCTAACCCCTGCCGACAACTTCCATGTCCATTTTGATATCTTCGCGGACCCTCTTGCAGACAGAATAGCCACCCCGATTTCTGGATCACCTCTCAAAGCTTCAGTGAAAGCATCGCGCACCGATGGTGCTGGTTCGGCCGAGAATGCCCTGACGGATATTACCAACGTGGGCGGTACTAGTCGGTTGAATACTACCCCCTTGACATCCTTGAACAAAGCCAAAGGCCTTGCCTACCTTGAGTCGCCTTCGAAAATGCCTGATACTAGCCGTTTTATTGATGCCACTCACGACGATTTCTTCTCCTTTAGCCTCTTTGATGAGAACCATGCGGAAGTTGACGGGGTGGATCTCCTTCAAGGCTTCCAGAAAATCGGCGGCTCCTCCCTAGAGGACTCGAAAGGTCGTACAATGAGACCGAATATGGGTCATCGAAACCACACCTCACTTTTTTGATCTTGATTGATTTACTTTTACACATTTTGACGTTCGTTTTTACTTTGCAGCGAAGCGGAAATTGGTTCTACTTGCCAGGCGTTGGTTACATTTTGGGTTCGTGCTTGCTCTTGGGACGAACTCGGCGAGATATGTGACACCGGGCGAAGCGAATCTTGATTTCTAGGTACTTGTTTTGAGTTACTGAGGAGTTTCTGGTCACTGAGCTATTGCTATTTTGCTTTTTGATCGTTATCGACAATAGTTTGGAGTTAGGCTGGGACCAGGGTAGGAGTCACTTGGGCTGTCACATTTGCCGGGTCTGGTTATGGCCACTCTGTGATGACTTTGATGAAACCTGTTGACGTACATGAACAATGCTATGCCTTGATGATTTCAGCTTAACCACTTGGTTCTAAATTGTTACCTTTCCTTGATCTTCTGTTCATTTCGAGTTTGATAACCAGTGGAATGACTAGTTAATGGTAATTGAGATTTGATTTAACTAGCCACAGCCCTCTTTGCAGTAAGCAGGGTACTTATTACGATTCTTCGATGGTAAAGAGAAACACCTGAATTAAAAAGGGTATCATTTCACACTTTTAGGATAATGAATAGATCCGCGGACGAGTACACACATCACACAGGACAGAACGAGGAGAGAGCACAGCTGCCACGACTTGCCTGCTCACATAAAGCAGTAAAACCAACCGGTACCCAAAACGCCTTGGCTGAAGGACCATGTAGAACATAACAAAACCACCACATGTTCCCCAGCATATGCATGGCAGCCATGTGATGCGTAGAAATCTCCCAAAGACATGTTATCCATTTGGAACGAAGATGCATCGATATGATTATTGCTGCCCGTTTCATAGCTAGTTACCCTTGGGTAGTGACTAATCACTGCTCGAACAGCCCCGACAACCACAGCTTACGCACTGGACAGTCTGGTTCTCTTTGAGCTGGGCTTTCGGTACTCGGCAAATACACGTCGCGTTGAAGTTTGTTTCTTTCGTTTGGATACATCGTAGACAGCAGAGCTTTTCACACACCGTAAGTGAGTTATGTGTTCATCATCTCAGAACGGAAAAACGGGCAAAGAAGAGCGCAAAGAAGGAAAGAAAAAGAAATTATATTTACCTTCTCATAACCCTGCTTCTTCCACTTGGCGATCAAGTTCGCATCAGCGTAGTTGTTCTTCAATAGCCAGTCATATAATTGTTTCGAGATGGCTTGCTTTTCGTAATAAAGATCGTAAATGTATCTAGAGCCTATGTCATTACCCACTCCTAGTTAGCTATCAGATCCAGTAAAACAACAAAGTAACCTAACAGACGCTACACCCAGGAGGCCGTTCGGAACGAAAAAGACTGCTTCTTTCTTTCCGAGGAATACAGCCTCGTCCCGCGGTGCGTCCCTCAGTCAGTAAGGAAGAAAAGAAGAAACTCACGTTGATGGCTAATCTGGAAAATCGGCCAAAGGACCTCATGCTTCTTCTTGCCTTCATGGGGCGCGTTTTCCGCGTCTTTCATCTTGTTGCTGAATTCCAGCAGGGTATCTTCGATATCGTCAAAGCCCTCTGGCGGGGGTTTGCGATTGCGGGAGGTGCGTATCGGCGGCATATTGGCAAGAGAGATTTCTCTCTTCTCTCTTCTATTTTTTTTCAGAAGCAAGGAAAAGCGACGAGAAGAAGAAGAGTTTCTCTTGAAAGTAAATCAGTATGCGTCCTCACAAGCGCGCAATGAACTGGATCATCGTCTTTCCTTCCCGAAAGCAACTGTGGCGTAGTTTACTTACTCACCAGAGGCTGAGCGAGCGCCAAGGTTCGATTCTGCCGCATCATACCGCCTTCGATTCTTACGCCGAAGCTTTGCTTCTCTTCAATCGAGGTGCCGCGGAAGTGCCCTTTGCAATTCAATTACCATTCGAGTCCAAACAGAAAATATCACGAGACTTCGTCAATTAACTGAAGCAAGAGAAGTTCCGCTTTTTTTTTCATATCTACAACAAGCAATCATGGACAGCCAAGCTCAAATCGACATTTCGAAGCTCAGCGCTTCCGACCGCAAGGAACTGAACCAGTTCCTGACGAACGAGGCTCAGAAGTCCAATATTCAGCAGAGTAAGTTTTGTTTGTCTCATTCATAAAAAAAGAGAATAATCCGGATGTTGTGTCCGTTGAATATATAACTTCCCATTGTTTCCCGGTCAATCGAACAGAACCATCTGTGTCCCTCTTTCCTACTCATAACACCCTTATTATCAACTTGATCAAAAGAACATTTAATAAGTTCATACTAACACTTCATTTCCAATAGCCGTCCACCACCTCGCCGATGTTTGCTGGAAGAAATGCATGACCGGCAAGATTTCCTCTGGCCGATTGGACCGAACCGAAGAGGCATGCGCTAATAACTGCGTTGAGAGATGGATGGATGCCAACCTGGCTGTTTTGAAGCACTTGGAGTCGCTACGAGGACAGTAAATGCATACATATAATCATATGTCATTGTCTGTTACCATGGAGGAGGAGGAGGGAGGGAATAAGAAAAGAATGTGGTCTTCTTTTTGATTGATTGAAGGAAGAAGACTGGGATTCTTTTCTCTTTTTCTTTCTTTTTGTTGAATACTGTATATTACTATCCGATGCGTACCATGAAACGTTAATAGGGCATGCGTGGACAAAACGGGTGATTGGCAAATCTTAATGACCACTTTACTTTGAATATATGTCTAGTAATTGAAGTCTAACAGGGTTGAGATGTGTACTTGGCTGCTGTTGTACTATGGACGTTCTATATTACCTATTGGACTGTAGGCCGCTACTTGGAGAAAGCTGCTGCTTAGCTAGGTCTTCCGCGGACTACGTTACTTATGGTAAAGGAAATGCACTCTCCAGAGTCCGGTCTGAGACTACACTTTGCAAGAATCATAGCAGCGTTTTAAGTTGACTATACAGAGACACTGTGCTGGCATCGTCTGTTTTTCGTATTTTCATTTTTCCCTACCACACAAGGAAGTAGGAGGCACATGTTCGCCTTTGAGCATCCCGTTCCGAACATTTTTAAAATAATCATTCAGCCCGTGGTTCAGCTGTTGCAACTAACTGCGTGACTGATCTCTTGTAAAATATAGCGCGAAAACCCCACCGGAACCCAAGGAAAACACTTTAGACGATGGCCAGCTTGGTAGCGGCAATGTCCAGAGCATCGACATCAGGAGTCAGGCGAGCGAAGGCCTTCTTGGAGCCATCGGGTCTGCATGAAAAAAGTCAGATAACCATACCACCAGTAATTCGCGACCGCTTTAATTCATGGGCGAGGATTTTTTTTCCATACCTGACCAGAGTGTTGATCTTGACAGTGTCGACATCGTACAGCTTCTTCAGAGCCTGCTTGATCTGTCGCTTGTTCGCCTTGACATCCACAATGAAGACCAGGGTGTTGTTCTCCTCAATCTTCTTCATCGCACTCTCGGTGTTCAGGGGGTGGATGATGACCTTGTGCTCGTCGAGGCGGGGAGCATGAGGGATGGACTTGCGAGGGTACTTCGGCGTCCGAGAGAGCTGGAGGGTCTTCGGGCGGTGGAAGGTGGTCGAGGTACGGATCTTGCGGGCCTTCTTCGCCTGTTCATCCACATCTTAGTATTTCGAATCTCGTCAATGGAGCAGGTAAATGGAATGTAAACGTACACCGGCGCCCTTCAGCACAGCCTTGGCGGCAGCACCGGCCTTGTCGCTGGGCTTCGTCGTCCCTGTTTGAAGAAGAAGCAAAAGTCAGCGGCTTGTCGTGAAAAAAGATCTCAGGAAATAGCGAGAATGCAATTCCTGCGTATCGTTCTCTTCTCGAATTGTTTTCAATATCGAATCGGCCTCAAGATCTTCTCCATGTCACACTTTGTATGACGAAATTCCGATGGCGCCCGATATACCACAGTCTTCGAAGAAAACGATATTCAGAGAAACCTGAATGCGAGATGATCTGGATATCCATCTTTACCTTTCTTAACTGGAGCCATGGCTGTCTGTCGGCGTGCTCGTCGTTGTTGTCGCGATAGTCGAGAGTCGAATTCTTTGGAGAGTATTCGCTTAGCGAAAACCCTAGGACTGCTGTGGGTCACCTGACCTGCCGCGGCGGTGTTGGGCTTTGCCGAGTGCCCTAGAGACTAACAGGACTTTAGCGTATCCGGTAACTAACTCTTCCAGATCAACTCCCTTCCACGCACGGACTCTTAATCAGCAAAAGTCGCGATAGTCGCATCAGACAACAGACAACAGGCCTTTGTCTGTGACTTTGGAGCGCTACGAGGACTCTTTCATCTGTCTAGTTAGAAGGATCATGGCAAAGATGTCTTCTAGCAACTGCTAATCAATTGCCATTATATATCATTATTCATTTCAGAGTCTTCTCTCGAAGTCCATCTCATAATGACAGCCAAGAAGACACCCAAGAAACTTTCGCAGCTTTCACGCGGCCGTCCACCAACGCTGCGTGCGGGTCGTCCAGCCTTATCTGCAAAGGCGACCAGAAATTTGATCCGTTCTCACCATCGGCTCTTGAAAGCACGTGCGCAGGCTCTAGAAGCAGGTGATGACGATCTAGTCCGCAAGCTTGATAGTCAGATTCAGGCGAATGGTGGGTTAGAGAGTTATCAGCTCGCCAGCAAGATTGGACAATCGCTGGAGCGAGGTGGTGATACCAGCAAGCTCTTGATTGAATGGATCAACTCGACGTTGAGGGAGCTCAAAGGGACTCCATTCAAACTGCGCGTGCTTGAGGTCGGAGCACTTAGTACAAAAAATGCGTGTTCTTTGAACCCATTTCTCGACGTCACTAGGATCGATCTACATTCTCAGGAACCCGGTATTCAGCAGCAGGATTTTATGGAGAGGCCCCTCCCTGCTTCGCATGAAGATCAGTTCCATCTAATCAGTCTGTCGCTGGTACTGAATTACGTGCCGGACGCCATCGGGCGAGGCGAGATGCTCAAGCGCTGTGTGAATTTCCTCACAGACGTGTTTCCTTCTGGGTGCCCAATGACGGGTTTCAAGCCCTTGCTGTTCCTTGTGCTACCAGCTGCGTGTGTTACCAATTCAAGATATCTCACAGAAGAGAAATTGCGACGAATAATGTCCAGTATAGGCTTCTCTCTGGCCAGAAGCAAAACGACCTCCAAACTGATATATCAGCTCTGGGAATATAGCGCAACTCCAGATAAAATGCTCTTCAAGAAGGAAGTGATCAATCCTGGCAGGACCAGAAACAATTTCGCCATCGTTCTCCGCGACAGCCTCTCAGCATCTGTGTCAGAGACATAGTCACCAAGGGCAAATCCAACGAAGATAGACTTTGGCTTGAAATGGGCTCTCCTAATTTGCCGACATAGCCTCTCTGGGCAAGAATGCCCAAACTGTCCCGACCACGGCCATTGCCGACGATGCCACCAGCAGAACCCAGTCCAGCACTCTTTCTCCGCGAGGAATATCATTTCCAAAAATCTTCAGGTAGAAAGCAAGAGGCAAAATGATGCATATCGTGAAGCAGAGGGAAGATCCCATCAACGCCATAATGCGATCGAACGCTGGAAAGACGATAGCAATGAATACAATCAGCGCGATAAGAAAGATGCGAATCGCTATTCTGACTGTCTGGTGGATCCTCTCTTTGGAAGGTGAATGGAGGGACGCGGATTCACTTTGTGAATCAACGCCGCAGATGACTTCGCAGATGGCGATTAGCGGCCGACAGCTACATGATAGTCAGCCATCTGAGAATGTTACATGTTCTCTCTGATGGAATGTCACTTACTTGAGTGGCGTCTTCGTGATGGGGATAATCGCAATGAATATCACAACGCAGATCGAGAGTCCGCGTGGGTAACCTTCAGTTAGCAGAACATTGGATGTGATTTCATCCCGCACGCCAGGTCCAAACATTAGCCAGCCAATAATAGCCATGGTGCAATCGAGGCCGTACTGACAGGGGGACACGTTAGCATAAGGTGCCCCAACAGATATCCCTGGAGTCTCTTACCGTGAAGAAGTATGTGGCTCGCAGACTCTTCCCGTATTTATGAGGATGTCTCATGTCTCGATAAATGTTAGGAAACACGCCATGTCCACCCCAAGGAGCTAAATAAGACGATTAGAGGATGATTGTCGACTCTTTACGAAGAACCACTCACACATTATGAGGCCGAAACTGAGAGGGAGCGTCGCCCAGCTGTCTGGGAAAAGACTGGTTCTGGCTGGCTCGAGCAGCGAGCCGGGGGCTCTCGGTTTCAGAAACCCGTCGATGATCACTATGAGTACAACTAAGGCCTCTTAGTAACTCATGTTATTTTCATTCGGATGGAGAAAGATCGCCTTACTCGATGTGCAAGAAATGATACCTAAAACACTGGTGACGCTCAAAAGTCGTAGAGGAACGAAATTTAGAGGAATGAGAATGAGCCCGCATATGATCTTCCACTGGAGAAGACCCAATCCTGGTATCAACGCGTCGAGACTATCGGCGAAAAGCACAACAAGTGCGACACAAGCTCCTATAAGCTCGAGGGAAAACAGGATACTCGTTACCACACGTGCTGGCTGGCCAAAGCTGATATATGCCAGGTCGGCGTATGTGACAAGACTTCGATCAACGTCGAGGCACTTAGCAAGAACCTTAGCTGTGTAGGCTGTGGCCATAGCCGCAAAGAGAAGAAATGGCAGACCAATGAGCCAACCAGCATATTTGATACCCAACGGCAGACTCAGAAGACCGACCCCGATTAGAACGTTTACCGAGTTGAAGATGGTTTGTGGCACGGTCGATTGCCCAACAACGACGTTCTCCTTGGTCCCATCTTCATGCTCGATTTGCTTGACGAGCAACGGTTCTCTATCCGCATCCCGCCCCGCAACAATAGGCGGGTGTTCTTGAATGGCTTTCACCGGTTGTCTGCTAGATATGCGGCTGATACGAGATGCGACCGAGCCGTATGATGCCCCGTATGCTCCTTCAGGAGGGGAGGCCACGTGTATATCCGGCAGTCCTGTGTTTGGAAGTGGTTTCTTGGACGGTCCAAGACCGCTGTCGCTGCCATAATCGGCAATGGCTGTTCTAGGCCAGACGTCTCTTGCTTCCGAGTTATCACCGAGAAGTGGCTGGTCCTCTCTTCGTCCAAAGGCTGTGGGCGTTTCTTCTCCATCAGAATATTCCGATTCACTCGTAAAGTACGAGGATCCCCATAGGTTAACCTCTGGGAAACCTGCCGCTCTCTGCCATGAGCGTGCGAAATTGTCGATGCTGTTTACCCCGCCGGCATTTCGGAGGCGTATAGACATAGAAGAGGACCTTAAGGTGCGGAGGTAGACATTAGTAATTGAGAAAGCATATACAAACGGCCGCAACGGTGTTTTGAAATTACCTTTGTCTCGAGAGAGTCGGATTCTCTGCGTCATAATCATTATCGTCGTTACCGTAAGTCGTTTGTTTGTGCGAATGTGATGATGGAGAGGACGCGAGCCGCGAGATGCCCGATCCTTGACTGGTAGAATGACCGCTTCCTCCATCGCCTACAGGGCTGAATGGCCGTGTATTGGAGGGATTCATTATACCCTCCTACAGGAGAGAGCTGCGTCGCGAGGAAGGAGATAAAAGATGCAGTAATTGGATAGCAGCAATCGGTTGAAACCTATAGTAAGTAGCCAATGGGACAGAAGCTCCGACGTCGACAAATGCGCAAATAAAAGAATTTTTTGCTTCCCTAGGGAGCTAGATACGTCGTCTCAGAGTTGTCTGCAAGGTGGACACGTGAAATCGGATGTTCAGATAGATCGACATAGAAGCTTCGAGCTTGGAGAGAGACAATGACGTTTTATTTGTGACGGCTAGCGGATAGCTCTGTTGGTGCCAGCTTCAATAGCCCCATGAAAATATGCCAGGCAAAAAATCAGAAGAAGAACGAGAGAAAGCAATTGAGAGAGATGAAAATCACTCCAGATCGCAGGGCGTTATCATCAACAGCTCCGACGCCCTTACGGAAGTTTTGTGGGGTTTGCTGATAAGCTTGCCGTGGTTCCCAAGACCCGCTAAGTAGCAAGAGGGGAACAAACCGTGTGTACGGAGTAGTAATAACTATTTAACTATTTTTGCGGTACAAAGACAGGCGACCGCAAAATAATTATTTTATCGCGCCAATTGCAAAGCCTTCAATAGGGAATGATACTGTAATACTTGGCATGAGGGGAGGTTGTTCTGTTCAGATGAAGTAGGTATTGGCGAGCAAACGTTGAGGGGGGACTGCTGTTATCGGAGGATTCTCATTCTTGAGGACCTCATCCATCACGCTTTGACTAATGAGAATCAGTATTGTAAGTTTGGAAAGATCTCAAGAAACTAGAGCGCCAAGTGTTCTTAGCATGTGCGCATGAGGTGGAACCTATCTTCCATGATGTCCATCTGATCTATACCATATCGAACTGCTAGTGCTCGTTGTGGGAGAGATAAGTACGCGGTTCTTGTTTATGACAGCACATATTTCCTGGGTAATACGTGATATAAACAGCCCGGGGGGATGATCGGAGGTTTGAGGAGGCTAGCAGTGAATAATAGTCCGAGCGCGATGTAGCGAGATGACCCCGTAATAATCGCTGCCGGCACTTGTGAATCCCACATCTACGGAGTAGTGTTATGGGACCTTCGCACAGAAATAATACTCGCGTGTAGACAGACCATTATCGATGAGAAGAGCTGCCAAGAGCAGTGATATAGCACACACACGACTTGAAATAGATACTAGACTAATACTAGATATTATAATAATAAATCCAGGGGTATTTCACGAACACAAAGAAGTAGGGTTCCAACCGCCACCCTCCAGTGTGACGAGGCAACGTGGTGGTGGATTATGTCAGCTCCGCGGCGCGTTGACCTATAATCCTGCCTCCCCCACAGTACCTGAACGAAATTTACTCGAACAACCCCGCTGGACTGGACTGCCCGACCGGCTTGAAGGTACGTCTTAACACTCAGTTCCCGTTGTTTTCTGGTGATGGAAGAAGTAGACTTGAATCGTTCTATTGTTCTCTTACAAAACTGACCTCTTGCGCGGAATAGCTCCGACGGACGGACAATCCTTTCTTACCATCCCGGTCGCACACCAGCGTCGCCCAAGATGAGCGCGCCTCAGGCGAACGAGGCGGAGAAGAACATCGAGATATGGAAGGTTAAGAAACTCATCAAGCGCCTTGAGGCGGCGCGTGGAAATGGCACGTCGATGATTTCGCTGATCATCCGTAAGTATATCCAGGGTTTCCAGACATCTTAACTTCGCCGCTGACTATAGCCCCTCCCCAGCCCCGAAGGACCAGGTGTCCCGAGCCGCGAAGATGTTGGCAGAAGAATTCGTATGTCTACTCTCACCGTTGAACCATACCCTTATACACCGGCTAACTGTTTCAAGGGAACTGCTTCCAACATCAAATCGCGTGTGAACCGTCTCTCTGTCCTTTCCGCCATTACCTCCACCCAGCAGCGTCTCAAGCTCTACACCAGGGTCCCCCCGAACGGCCTCGTCATCTACTGTGGTGAAATTATCACTGCGGAAGGAAAGGAAAGGAAGATTAACATCGACTTCGAGCCTTTCAAGCCTATCAACACCTCCCTGTATCTTTGTGACAACAAGTTCCATACAGAGGCACTGAGCGAGCTGTTGGAATCGGACCAGAAGTTTGGTTTCATCATTATGGACGGAAACGGTGCTCTCTTTGGTACATTGAGTGGAAACACTAGAGAGATCGTCCACAAATTCTCCGTTGACCTGCCCAAGAAGCACGGACGTGGTGGTCAGTCTGCTCTGCGTTTCGCCCGTCTGCGAGAGGAGAAGCGTCACAACTATGTCCGCAAGGTTGCTGAACTTGCAGTTCAGAACTTCATCACCAATGACAAGGTCAATGTGGCGGGTCTGATTCTGGCCGGTTCTGCTGATTTCAAGAACGATCTGAACCAGTCTGACATGTTCGACAACCGCCTGCAATCAAAGGTCATCAAGGTCGTGGATGTTTCCTACGGTGGTGAGAACGGATTCAACCAGGCTATTGAACTCGCTTCTGAGACTCTGGGCAACGTGAAGTTCATCCAGGAGAAGAAGCTGATCGGCAAGTATTTCGAAGAGATCAGTCAGGACACTGGAAGAGTCTGCTACGGTATTGAGGATACTCTGAAGGCATTGGAGTTGGGTGCTGCGGAGATATTGATCGTGTACGAGAACCTTGATATCACTCGCTGGGTCCTGAAAAACTCCAACGGTGAGGAGATAATTCTCCACACTACCAAGGCGCAGGAGTCGAACCGAGAGCTTTTCATGGACAAGGAGACTGGCCAGGAGATGGAGATTGTCGAGCAGACATCCCTGTTGGAATGGCTGGCGGAGAAGTACAAGGATTTCGGCGCCACGCTAGAGTTCGTGTCCGACAAATCCAGCGAAGGAAACCAGTTCGTCAAAGGCTTCGGTGGTATCGGCGCGATCCTCCGTTACAAGGTCAACTTCGAACAACTTGCTGATTTCGATGATGAGGATGAATTCTATGATGGTACGTAACCTCATAGCGCGTTCTAGATTTTCACGACTATATGCTGACCATGTATGCCTAGATTGACGGTTTGGCAACCTCGCAGAGAGCGAGGAGGGAGGCCCAGAGATCCAGTCGACGGATACTCTGACGGATCGTCCGCTGGCACGCAAAGACGGCATCCATGTGATGCCTGAAGCTGCTGCCACGCGTACCATGACGCCACCTAATCCGAGCTCTATCAAACTGCTCAAAGGTATGATCCGTTGTTCTAGCCGCAAGGCTAAGTTTGTCCATGTTGATGCAGTGGAAACTAACCAAGACCAGGACCATCCAAGCTCCGCGCTATGGAGACTTGTACTTACTAAGAGAACCCGCGGTCCATACTGAGCACAATAGAAATTTGAGGGGGATTGTGAATTCGTTAAGAGTATCTGGTTTCTGTCCCAACAAGCTAGGCTGAGAAGGACCAGCGCCACAGTCTATCTTGGCTTGGTAGTTCCACAAATATTCCCCTGTATCCAAGAGACTGCAGAATTCAGCTATTTCGTTGACCTTCCGTCTTTTTATGCAGCGTATTTGCCGCTGCATTTCACAAATATGCAAACAGTCGGTCATTTCCCAAGTGTTGCACCTGCCTTCTTCTACCAGAGATCATCTGGCACTGTTGTGAACAGCCATTCAATGGAACGCTCATTACCAAGCACCCTGCTGCATCCAAGAGAATGGTCCATATATGATTGTATTGCTCGAGGCTTTTGGAAACAAAGAGATCCTTGCTTCCCACGTAGTCCCAGGTCTTTGCGCGTGTTCAGGAAATCTGCTCATCCCAAGTCCCCAGATTTCGGCAGCTCTCCGTGACCTTTCCTAGATCCTCCAGCAATTGACCAACAGTCTCGTCATTTGGAGAACTAGTAGTCTCACTGCATTCTACGAAGAAAACGTAGTGCCATGGCTTGCTCCGGCTTGGTCGGGTGTTAATGCTCGTAAGATTTTGACCATGTGTCTTGAAAACAAGCAGAGCATCTGCAAGCGCCCCAGGAGAGGAATGATTGACCGTGAATGAGACAAGCGTTTTTCTTTTCGCAGGGGATTGTTCATTTTTCTCCGCGGACCCAGCATTAGCCAGACTCGGGGGGTATGAGCTTGCAGTCTGTTCTGATCGAATATTCCTCACTATTAGAAACCTTGTCGTATTGTCATCTTTATCCTCAATGTTTGCCTCCAGAATATCGGCCCCGTGGTACTCCGCAGCAAAGCTGCTTGCAATCGCCGCACTTTGACCGGTCTCATCCCGTGCAGCAATCTCGGCGGCTTTTGACGTCGAAGACACATCTTGCTTCTCCACCCCCTTGAAGTGCTCGGAGAGAAACTTCTCACACTGGCCCCAGGCCTGGGGGTGCGTATATAGTTTATTTATGAAATCATAACTGCCAGATGCGGAGGGTGCGGTGCCTTTTCGAGCCAGAAGACAGTGATGCACGGTAAGATAGTACTCGCCGCAGATCTCAATATCACTATATACCCGGTCGCGGTCAGCTAAGAGGTCCAGGGTCTGGACAACTGAGCCATTCGTCGAATTCTCAAAGGGGATCGCGGCGTAATCAGCGTCGTTCTGTTGGACCGCGGAGAAGATATCGGCAAATGTTGGGCAGGGGGTCAATTCAGCTGAGCGACCAAAACATTCAAGTGCGGCCTGTAATGAGACGAGGAGTTAGCACTACGGGTTATATATTGTCTTTGTTGAGCAGGGCATAAATTTCTTACCTGATGAGAGAAGGATGCCGCGGGGCCCAGGAACGCAACCCGGAGTCGCTGCATGGCTCCTAGGAAATGCTGACGGTTGTGTGATATGGGTATTATGAAAGTGAGAAGGAGTAATGATTATAAACATCCATCCCCGAAGCAAAATAACCCGAGACTCTGCAAGTATTATTGCTGTCGCTAGGACACGCCCTTCCAACTGATCCCCGCGACATCGGAGAACTTCGCATTGTCCGGCAGAACAAACAAGGCAAACCGTGGATATCTCCGCAGTTTATTCCGCGACATCTACTCTATATCTTAAAAGCCGAAAACTCCCAATCATTGGTACTCATGGCGCTTGGGAGTCTATCAATATGAGTTTCGCAGCAAGAGGCAATGGTCCGTTGCGTCGCTGGGTATCTTTAAGTGGAAGGGCACCCCGATCTGTTCGCCCTTCCTCTTCCCTATCAGAGCGCTTTCACCAAGAGTTAACGACGCGCCGGTTGCCTCTTATTTATGACTATTTATCCCCTCAACCTTCTCATCTTCTGAACTTATCTCTTGTCGGATATGTTCCTGAACTGGCTCCCGAGACGTCCCTTGGTGATGCTGGCGGGATTCTCCCACTGATCAGCTCCCCCTCCCGTATGGCTGTCGGTCATCACTTGGTGTATTTTCCGCCCCAGGTGACATTGTCGCAGCTCCTACCGGACGGAACAGATGTTTTACATACACCCGGAGAGCCATTTAATAGGCGGATGTGGGCCGGAGGTCGAGTAAGGTTCCCTCAACAAGGAGGTCCACTACTCGACGGCAGACGCGCAGTCTGTATTGAAGGTATTCGAGATGTCAAGGTTAAAGGACTGGACGGGCAAGAGAAGATCTTTGTCGGTATCGAGAGACGGGTCGCCACAGTAGGAGAACAAGAGACCGAAGAGAAAATCAGAAGCCGGGTCTGGCAAGCCAGCGAAGAGGACTTCGGAGACGCAGAGATCATTGAGAGACGAGACCTAGTCTTTTTGCGAGAGAAAACACCGGAACAATTACAGAACGATAAGGCTTCTTTCTCCAAGGGTGGTAGGATCGTAAAGCGTGCGCAGAGCCAATTCACATTTGTTGTTTGTTCAAATTGATGATAACTGACATTTCTTTCTTCAAAAAAGCGCCTTCAGATCCTGAACTCAGCTTTAAGCTCAGACCAAACAAGGCGTTGCTGTTTCGCTACTCAGCTCTTACATTCAATGCTCATTCTATTCATCTCGACAAGTCCTACGCTCAGGATGTTGAGGGATATCGCAATCTACTCGTCCACGGACCATTGTCACTAACTTTACTTCTCACTGTTCTTCGATGCCATTTATACAAGCTGGGGCGTGTGATCAGGGATATTGAATATAGAAACCTTGCCCCTCTCTATGTATGTGAGGAGATGACTATTTGTGCGAAGCCTAAGCGTGGCCTCGACACGAACCAGTGGGAGGTATGGATTGCAGGTGAGGATGGGGGACTCACCGTCAGAGGAACCGTCCGCACAAGTGAACTATAGAAGCATACATTTAGAATTTCACAAGTGCAGCCTGAGAATATTATCGCAGCTCGACTCTTCAAAATGCTACGATACTCCCATGGTGTTGTATACAGAAGCAATAAACACACCTTTCCATTCGAGTTCCCCTGACTCCAATAAATCAGAGTGATACTATATATTATGGATATTTATTTCTTTCCTCTTCGTACTTCCGCTAGTTACATATACCTGGAGTTTCATTGCGAAACTCTTCTCCTTTATCTTTTTTCGCTTCTGTATTGATTACTTAATCGAGGCCCGCACCGAACTTGGTAGAAAGCTGGTGTTGCCTAAAATTGCACCTGGAAACCTCCGGATAAACGACGCACCGGGTAATTTGTGGATTAGCGGCTCGCATCTTTTTAAGCTTCAAAAAGAACACAGTTCACTTCTTCCTCTTCTCTTCTCTTTACGCTCTGCTGCCATTCTCGACAGAGCATCCAACACGCCTCGTAACTGCAGGCGATAGAGGGTCTGTGACAGTGATATCACGGCAGTGTGTCGCAAGCCCAGAGGGTTAAGGTCGCCCTTTATTTATCCTAGACATGGACATATTCTGGGCGGCACCTCCTATCTCAAGGTAACATTTCCCTCAACTTTCCAGTGGATATCCGATCAATGGTCTAATTCTATGTTTTAAACAGGACCATTACAGCACTTACATTCGTGCAGTCTGCTCTGTTCTACGGAGGATTGCTCAGTGGATATCACTTAGTGTTTCTCCCATGGAATCTTCTCAAACTCCCTCCGCAAATATGGAGACTTGCCACTCCTTTTTTCCTCACAGGGCCGAACATCGGGTTTCTCTACGACCTCTATTTCAGTATGCGCTTATGATGTTCCAGGCGGAGCGCAACGCTAACCGATACCCAGTGTATACCTATAGCAGCGCTTTAGAGAATGATTCTCCCCTCTTCAGCATGCCCGGGGACTACTTCATTTATGTTATTTTTGTAGGCACTGTCATAGTGGTAAGTCATGAGGCTGCTGGATCCAATCTACCGCAACTTGAACATGGTCGCTCCATAGAACATGTCCTTGCGCATATCACCCTTGCCTTACTCTTTTATTTGTCACCTCGCATTATCTGCCCGCCCAGCCTGTTCCTAGCTGCAGCGGTTCCTGGAAACGAGGGAGATTACCCCTGCACCTTGTACAGTCCCTCATTCGCAAAAAAATCCTTAAGGGGCTGTATCGGGTGTGGGAATGGTGGGATGGCCTATGAGATAGCCGTCGTAAACTATCCGTTTTACGTGCGGTGGTTATGGTGCCCTACATTTATTTCACATACACCAAATCTATATTCTTTTCCTAAATATCACTCGTCTTATGCATTCTTAAGTCCTGGGATTTTCCGCGTGGCCCAGCCACAGTATCAGCATTTACTGACATTCCGGAAGCTCACCGCAGGTTTTCTCTTGGGGGGCTTCGTCTTCACTGGTGGTGAGTGATGTGTTGCGGTAAAGCTGTGTAATGATAATATCCCAAGCTGACCCATGTAGCACTGATCCTTGCGTTTGCCTATACCTATGCCCAGGAGAACCGGGGTAAGAAGGTGAGGTTCTTTATAATCAATATTCCTGTGGTGTTCCTGCCATGGGCTATACTCGCCCTCACTCTCGTAACGAAAGGAGGGCATGCAACAGCAGTGGACGGTACCGGTATTCTCGCGGCTCATCTCTATCAATTCCTGGTCCGCATCTATCCGGAGTTTGGGGGTGGCAGAAAATTTATCACCACACCTGGTTTTGTCCAGAGATGGTTTGGCGGCAACCGACAGGCCTACCGTACCTATGGAACGGCATATAGGCCCCCGCGGCAGCCCTCGCAGGCATCGTCTGGCGGATGGAGTTCGTCCTTCACAGACTCCTGGAGCGCTCGGGGTGCCGGTAGGAGACTGGGCGGTGATTAGGGTAGGTTTACCAAATACTCCGTCGGTAGGCGTGCATCCATTAGTCGAATATGAGAACCCTATGTACGAGAACAAGAAGCTTGCAATGTCGCATCAGTTATTCATAGTGAGCGATAATATAATATTAGATTTCTATCGACTATATCTGCAGCGTAGGCCGCCATTTTGCGTTAGATGCGACCACAGTAGCGTAGAGAATCGGCTGGCATTCTCACTTGTTTACAGCCCGCCCTCTTTTCTTGCTCCTGAGTCCTGACAAGCGATACAAAAAATTACTTTCTAACAGCGCAAGAAAACTTTAACCGGCGTGGACCATCCAGAATTCCAGACTGACATTGATTGAAGCGTCGGTGGCAGACTGGCCGCTTGAGACTCCGGCGCTAACCCGATTTGTCGCTGGAGCTGTTGCCGCACTTCAAAATTTCCTTTACCAAGATCGACAAACTCTTTCCTCGCGACTCAAAGAGCAGCGGTACGCCTTTTCATCCAGAAGCACCCTCGCTCACCCTCTTCGACTTGCCTTTCAACGGCTCGATTGCAATTTCCTGCACAGGCCGTCCAAAATGGCAGCCGCGGAAAATGGCGATTTCGCCATCAAGCCTGAGGCGGTGACACCCAACATTCCCACCTCAGAGTGGCCGCTTCTGCTGAAGAATTATGACAAGCGTGAGTATATCTATCATCATGTTCGGTGCATGGGGTTATCTCTGTGAATGGCAGAGGCTGACTGTTCGGTTTTGCTGCAGTGCTCGTTAGAACCGGTCACTTCACACCAATCCCTGCTGGATGCACTCCTTACAAGCGTGACTTGAAGTCTTATATCAGTTCCGGTGTGATCAACCTTGACAAGCCGGCGAACCCCTCCAGTCATGAAGTCGTCGCATGGATGAAGCGAATTCTGAGGTAAGATTATAACCAATCAAATGGGAGAGAGCGTTGGACCCTGTGCTAAATTTTCCTCTTCTTTTTTTTTACAGAGTCGAGAAGACCGGTCACAGCGGCACTCTGGACCCGAAGGTTACTGGGTGCTTGATCGTCTGTATCGATCGTGCTACTCGTCTCGTGAAGTCGCAGCAGGGTGCTGGTAAGGAGTACGTTTGCGTTATTCGTCTCCATGACAAGCTTCCCGGCGGTGAGGCGCAATTCGCGCGTGCTCTGGAGACCTTGACTGGTGCTCTCTTCCAGAGACCGCCGTTGATCTCCGCCGTCAAGCGTCAACTCCGTATCAGAACTATTCACGAGAGCAAGCTCTACGAGTTTGACAATGACCGACACCTGGGTGTCTTCTGGGTTAGCTGCGAGGCAGGCACCTATATCCGAACTCTCTGTGTTCACCTGGGTCTGCTCTTGGGTGTTGGTGCCCACATGCAGGAGCTTAGACGTGTGCGCAGTGGAGCTATGGACGAGCAGGATGGAATGGTTACTCTTCACGATGTTCTGGACGCCCAGTGGTTGATGGACAACCAGCGCGACGAGTCGTACTTGAGAAAGGTTATCCGCCCGTTGGAGACTCTGCTCACTACGTACAAGCGTATCGTTGTCAAGGACAGTGCCGTCAATGCTGTGTGCTACGGTGCCAAGCTTATGATTCCCGGTCTCCTGCGATTTGGTGGGTTTCCTGCATCACAAGGCAGTGTACGAATTTAGCTGACTTTTTTCACAGAGGCTGGTATCGAAGTTGGCGAGGAGGTCGTTCTTATGACCACCAAGGGTGAGGCTATTGCCCTTGGTATTGCTCAGATGTCTACTGTCGAGCTTTCTACATGCGACCACGGTGTCGTGGCGAAGGTCAAGCGTTGCATTATGGAGCGTGACTTGTACCCCCGCAGATGGGGTATGGGTCCTGTTGCTCTGGAGAAGAAGAAGCTGAAGTCGGATGGAAAGTTGGACGTATGTTAACCCTGGGTATCCAGCGCCGTTTCACCGTGAGTGTACTGACTTCGATGCAGAAATACGGCCGTCCCAACGAGGCCACCCCCGCCAAGTGGAACAATGAGTACAAGGACTACAACGCTCCCCTGGGAACCACCGAGCAGCCCGCTACCGAGACGACTTCCAAGGAAGATGTCCTATCTGCTCCCCCAGTGCCGCCAACCGGTGATACCAACGGTGTCCCATCATCCCCAGCTGGCAAGATGGATGTTGATGAGGACAATGACGAGAAGAAGAAGCGGAAGAGACATGAAGGCGAGACTCCAGAGGAGCGCGCTGAGCGTAAGCGCAAGAAGAAGGAGAAGAAGGAAAAGAAGGAGAGGAGAAAGTCGAAGCAGAAGGAGGACGACAGTGAGGACAGCGATTAAATGCCCCTCAGAGAAGGCGCCCCTCTTGCTCTGTGATGCGCCATTGCTGGACGGGGCTCTTCTACTACCGTGCTCTTTCGGGCGTGTCGGTCATCTATTGGGACGTGTTCCTGTAACATATGCTGTTTCTTCTTGGGCGGAGTCTCGGAATCATTTTCTTACGTTTGCTCGATCTGGTCAAAAATCTGTTTCTTCTTTTTTCAGCAAGGACTCAATGGGAAAAAGTGTGTGCAAGAAAACAGTGAAGCTAATTCTGTTAATTGAAATTCCTTCCCAAATGAGCCCATACTATTATCCTTTATCTACTTGTAATTCTTGTTGTAGGTTTTGTAGTTGGAGCGACGAGTGAATATGCTGGTGTCATGCTGTGTTGGCGGCGTGCGTGGCCAGTAGTAGTGATGTAGACTAGAGGACTTACCATACTTATCCCGGGATCTCCACATGCGACCACGCTTATCCCCGGAACTCCCCTCCTCCAACTGCTGCCCGCTAACAAACTGGCAGTGATCCTTTCAATCTAACATCGGACGACACAGGCATACCAGAATTTACTCCTCTGTGAAGGAGGATCACGTTCCTTCAATATGGCTGCAGAGGTCACATCTACAAAACTGAACGCAGAGAGCCATCTCCTTCTGGTACTTCGCCACCAGTTGCTTTCCCCGACTTATTGCATGATCGTCTTTCTCTAACCTCATACAGGACCAACCCCTACTTCGCCTTCCCCATGAGTTGGCACGCCGAAATTTCAAGTCTGCTCAGCGAGTAATCGAACGTGAGAAGGAATATGTACTCCCAGCGCTCAAAGAGGCAGCAAATGCTTCTCTATCCGGAAGCCATGGCCCAGACCAGACCCTCGCCTCCCTCGACGCTATGATATCCCGCATGCAAGGTCTGAAACGGAAGATGGAGTCCCTACAGGAGGATGAGAAGAAGATCCATATGCAGTCGCGGAAGCGGATACAGCACCTGGAAGATCTTTACAAGATCCCCAGTCTCGCTGACGTGAAATATGACGAGTGGTCGCGGGTGCGGCTGGACAGGCTGTTGGTGGATCATATGCTACGTTCGGGGTACACGGAGAGTGCGAAACAGTTAGCAAAGGAGAAGGGTATCGAAGAACTGGTCGATCTGGGCGTCTTCGTCCAATGTCAGCGCATTGCGGAGAGCTTGCGGAAGGGAGAGGTTAAGGAAGCGCTCCAGTGGTGTGCGGAGAACAAGGCAGCTTTGAAGAAGAATCAGGTACGTTATGATACGTGTAACCGAAGTGATACAGTCAAAACCGAACGATAGAAACTGACTTGCCGTGTAGCATAATCTAGAGTTCGAGCTGAGACTGCAGCAATACATCGAGATCGTGAGGACAGGCCGAAAGGAGAGGTTCCTCGAAGCCATGCAGCATGCACGAAAGTATCTCGCCCCTCATATCGATACCCAATCCAAACAGATACATCAAGCAGCCGGTCTTCTCGCATTTTCTTCGGGTACCAATGCAGAACCCTACAAGGTACGTTTTGTCTCTAGACAGAGGGTTTGCTTAGCATGATCCTAACCGTCTTCTAGTCGATGTACTCGCCAAATAGATGGACATATCTCTCAGATCTGTTTATTCGCACCCACCATGAGCTGCTATCGCTACCATCCCGGCCACTTCTCCATATTGCCCTGTCGGCCGGTCTGTCAGCCCTGAAAACGCCTTCGTGTCACTCTGCATACACCTCTTCGAGTTCCAACGCCCGCTCTACCTCCACTTGTGTATGTCCGATCTGTTCGACAGAGCTCAACGAGCTTGCACGTAACATGCCATATGCCCATCATACAAAGAGCTACGTCGAGAATGACCCCGTCGTCTTGCCTAACGGCCGGATCTACGGACGGGATCGGTTGATGGAGATGAGTCGAAAAGTTAGCTCCGTTGAGGAAGGAAAGGTCAAAGATCCGGTAACTGGGGAAGTATTCGACGAGACAGATCTGAAGAAGGTGTACATCACTTGATGAAATAACGGTATCCAAAGGACATGGATAGGAAATAGTAATTAAATCATTTGAAGATTAGTACATACATTAAGGTACATCATTGATTTTAGTTAGTCTAGTCTCTAAGGACTCTCACTGTCAGAATCGTCTCTGGCCCTCTTCTTCCCACCTGTTTTCCCTTTCTGAACCGACGACTTAGCCGGCTTACTATTCTCATTCCCTTTTATCTCGAACACGTACGTCCTTGCCTCTCTTTCCTCCCCTCTCCACCCTCCTCTTCCACCATCGCGGCCCTCGATATGTCCCAGCGTCCGCGCATGAGAGTAACCAGGATAGGCAGCCCATGGGAACTTGAAGCTCGTAACAACCCGTAGACCGGCATGTCGTGCCAAGTCCCTTATATTCCAAAGGGTATATGGCTCACCTTCGAACAGTGTGACCACTATCTGGCCCGGTGCTGTCATCTTCGTTTTCCAACGATCCAACTTCGCAGGGACTTTGGCTCTATCAGACCCATCCATCTCATCGTTGTCATCATCATCACTATACTCCGACCCGAAATCCTCATCAGAATCCACATCCCCCTCAACATCCATCGGCGTAGAAAGCAACGGCAAACAACTCTTGAAGAACGCCACAAGAAGCTCCTGATTCGCACGCACTTGCCGATTCACGTCCGTCGAAAGACCACCAACATGCGGGAAATTAAAGCATATAACATCCCACGGCCCACCAGTCGTCTGATGGGAATTGCTATCAACGCCGCGTTTAGCGTTCTCCCACGCTACGCGCTGCGGATAGCGTCGTGGAAAACCAGCGCGGACGAGTTTCCCACCACCGACTGCAGAGCCGAGTTTTCGAGCGTCAACTGAATATAGGACTTTTGGTCCTCGTTTGTCGTGGTGGGTTTGGGGGTTGTCATTGTTGTCCTTGGGGGGTTGTTTAGTCTCTTCTTCGTCTTCGTCATCATCTTCATTTTCATCGTTGCTCTTTCCAACGGTTTCCTCGAAGGGGGATTTCTCCCCCCCGGCAGAATCCTCTACTTTCTTCCCTGAAAAAGTAGAAAGGAAGTCCTTGATAGTTTCCTCGACATGGGGATATTTGGAAGATAGCGTCTCTTTGGAATCATAGCATGTGGCCAGGATGTCCCTACATCGATAATGTAGAGCTAGGGAACGCGCGAATGAGAAGTCTCCTATGTGCATTGTCAGTGATTTTTATTCTCTCTTTTTTTTTGATAATTCCATCAATGAGCAAAAAAATAATAATAAACAATTGATTTGTAAAAATATAATTAATAAAAAAAACATAGCAACATCATGCAAAGCAAAAAAAAAAAAAAAAAAAAAAAAAAAAGTCACAAGTTCAACTCACCCTCCCCAACCAACAAAATCCTATCCTTCTTCCCAAACGGCACCGTGACCTTAACATCCTGTTTCGCCTGCTGTGGTTTCACGGAATCATCATTCTTATTATGATTGTTATTATTCTTCCCCCGTCCAGCTATCGACCCTGACGAGGTCGATAACTTGGAGAAAGTGTGCATTTTTCTATTACCGCCACCGCCGCTGCCATTTCCGCGAGGATGCTGAGATTTTCGAGCAGGTCCGTCTGCATGGTTGTAATTGGGGATGCGGGGTTTTTTGGATTTGCCCATTTTTCTTTTGGTTGTTTTCTTTTCTTTTTTCTTTTTTCCCCTTATATATATATATATTCTGTGACTGTATGTCAGACTGGCAGGGGTATATATTTCACTTGGGAGATGATGTCGCGGGCATCCATATATGATGGGGTTTCCTTTGTGGGTATAGTAAAAATTTTGGCGCGCGCGCCGATTTAGTCTGGACTCTTGCATGAAGTCGCGTAAATGAAAAGATGCAAGACTACCTACCTACCTTTAGGTCTGGTAATTGTATGTACGTACACTCATATGGAGACTCTTTAAAGGAGATGTTTTCAAGATCGAAGAACTGTATTCTATTAGATAATTTTTCCCTTTTTTTTTAACATATTCTAGGCGTCAGGCTGCAGACCACCAGAAGAGACACCTTGACATTAAAAAGAAGCAGGCATTCTATACGCCAGATAATTTGTATATACAAGCCCGGATAGTCCATCCTCACCGATCATGAAACAAACCTCGCCACGACCAAACCAGAAGAATCAAGAAAGATGCAGCGTCATTAATATAAAGTACTGCATAAGTCACAATGCAAGAAAATGCAAATCTACACAGACATGCAACGAAACGGGCTGTGTAAATGGAAGGGATGATAGTACAGTTCATCGCGTAACATATCATCCGCAATAGCCCACTATTCGCTTTCTCAGCCACCAGGTGAGAGAGCCTGGATGAGTCGAATTGGAAGCGTATCGGCAACTCAGACCAGTTTCTCAACCTCACCACACGGTCGCAGGCGGCATCAAACAAAAGAAGAATTTTCTCGACCATGCAACGTCAAGCATCATCGGATGATGCAAACTACTGATGGTTTACGACCTCAGTCCGTCCCTGATGCTCTGGCTGCTAGCGCTAACCGGGCCCGGGTTGGCCGTGGGCAGGACACCGATCTTCGGCTTAGCGTTCTGCTTAACCTTGGCGATGGCATACACAATACCACTGACGAAACCAACAACGATGGCGGAAACACTGGGGAAGGTAACCGGAGCATCGAAGAAGATCAGACCGGACAGAGCAATGGGAAGCTTGTTCAACGCGCCAACCATGGAGTATGTCGTCGAGGAGGTGACACGCACACACCATGCGGAGGTGTAGGAGATGAAGACCGAAGAGAGACCGGAAAGAATCATGGCCATGATAATGTTGTTGCGGCTTTCCACGGGGAAGTTGCGGTTAATGTTGGCCGAGGACCAATCCTCAGCCAAGAGCGTGAAAACGATGAGGACGGGAATAGACAGCAGGTTGTTGTAGAACATGGCTGGGAGATAAGTAGTTAGAAACCGACCACATCCTGAAGACGCAAGACCCACTAGGAATACTTACTGTCAAAGTCCTTGAAGTTGGTCAGCTTGATACGCTTGCGCATGCCCAGCACATAGGACGAGGTGCACAAGCAGTTGATAAGCATCCAGATGTAACCAGCATTGAGAGTCGACACCTTGGAAGTAGCATCGGCACCGCTGCTCTCCACGGCATGCTTGATGTCTGCCCAGGCAGCAATGATCGAACTCAGCACCATGAGACCGAAGGAGAACAAGGTGAGACCCGTAACAGAGCCGCCGAACCAGAGAACCTCACCATATGCGATAAGGATGATGGTCAGGTTCTTGAAAATGGTGTACACGGGTATCGAAAGGAACTGCAGAGCCTTGGAGCCAGTGTAGATCATGCCGATGAGAAGGAGGGTGATAGGGAACCCTGAGAGAAAATAGTATCAGCACCAGAACAAGGAACAAAGGGATTGACCCCTGAAATAAGCATATCAACATACACTTCTTGGCTTCATCTGAGCTGAAATTCCGGTAGGTGATCAGTCCAAATGACTTGCAGCTTTGAATCGCGACAATGCAGACGATAGACTATTAGAAGAAAGGGTTCAAATCAGCACAGGCGCTTGCAATACAGCTACGTATCAGGGTAAACTCACCTGGATACAGAGCAAGAAGAAGTTGAGGTTGAAATCCAAGCCCGACAGAACATATTTGTTCATCACCGTCATCAAGATCGATGAACCACAGTATGCGAGAACCGGGAGAATCGGATTGTTGGAGATAGAGCCCGATGGATGCGTGGATCTTGTCTGGTGCACAGGCGCAGCCTCAAAGGCCTTGCTGCCCTGGTCGAGCTTGTCCATCTCGATGGTGTAGTCGTCTCTCTTCTTATCTTCGGCCATGTTGACAATGGTGCTGGTGTACGGAGAAGAGCGAGAGGGTTAACGGAAAACGAGACAAGAAACGTGGTCGGTCGCGGGACCGCAAGAAGAAGAACTAAGGAACGTGGGAAAGTTGGCCACGAGACGCCCTCCACAAGGTGAGAAAGAAGAAAGAATCTGGAAGGAAAAAGGGTGCTTCGAACGCGGAAAAGGGACGTTCTGGCAAAGGGATGGAGTTTTGCTGTCCAAAACGTCCGAGTCTCGCCTGGCGCTAATTAATTTCCGGCCTGCGACCTCCGGGCGAGGCTCTGCATCTCTCTCTATCACTTATTATTATTGGGGGCGGTTGGGATATTCGACAGCACATACGCCCTCGATTCTTAGCTTTGCTTGTTTGTTTTCTACTTCCTATTGCATCTGTTCTATTATCCTTCTTTCAATGATGTCCAGTAACTAAACCCACGGTGGCTGACCTCCGCGCCCACAGTCCCGCCACCTTCTGATCTAAAAACTGAGACATAAGATATTTTTAATGCAAGACGAGAACCTATGGATTATTATTCCCCCGTACGGTTTAGTCTTGCCGCCTTCGGCATCGTCGCTCTAGTACGCTGTATTATAATCACTACCGCCTGCTTCACCTTGAATATACTGGTATAGATAAGGCGTGAATTAGCGTGGTATCATGGAATTCCTCGTCGGCATTATGTATACTGAATTCACTAGGATTGATCAATGCTATCGATCCTCATATTATATTGAATTTAGGGCGGGGGTTTATCTATATTAGTTTAGGTGGATGTTGGGATTTATAGGGAATATTCTCTTACCCTATTATATATCACTTTCCTATGAAAGAGACGCCAATTAAGTGCGCAGTTCTGCCGGATGAGCTATATAATTTGAGAGAGATAATTATTAAACGTATAGAGCTAGTGCCAAGGAACGAAGAAAAGATCTATATAGGGGGGAGGATCACTAACGCAGTGGAGATCTATAAGAAGAGTATATTTATTCAAGAGGCTTGTCAAGGGATGGATCAGATTTTGTAGTTTTCTCTCTTCTATTTTCATCTCTCTTTTATTGTTATACTCTAGGGAGATATGATTGTTACGATCCGGACCCAGAGAATCTCATGGCTCTCTTTCGAGAATAAGCTCATCGCCGGGCTTAATATTGAGGACAGTCGAGAAACTGTGGAGGAGTTAGGTAGAGCCTTTCCTTGGCCTGGTGCCTGGCTTCCTGCCTACTATGCAACATTAGGCATATAACAACTGCTCCTTTTCTTTTTCTGGAACTCAACCTCAATCTCATCTTTCTCCATTTCACTCCAATCCATCATCTCTTGACTCCACGTTTTGTCTCGTCGAGCAACAGTGTCTATCGCAGATAAACTTCCTTCTGGGGTCTGATAATCTTGCCTTTCCTCGTGTCTAACATCACTTCTCACCCTTACTAGAGCCTCTTCTTTGCTTCTATCGAGCTCACTTGTCCATTTCTGACGACCTCATTGTTCTCTTGTCTGACATAGATCTCCGTCTTTTTTAAGCCCGCTTCGCTCTCGAAAGACTTCACCATGTCTCAGATTGCCCGTCGGGTGCTCAATAGAGCCAGAGCGATGCTGCATTCTCTGAAGGAGAGGCTTACGGAGGAGCCGAATGCACGTCAAGAAGTGGACGAAATCTCGGAGGAAATGAACAAACTACTGACCTTGGCAGCTAGCAACTTAAGATTGCCAGACGTAACGGACATGTTTGGTCTGTCGCTAGACAAGCGGTTGGAGATGTGGAAGTTGGACAAACGGGATATCATCGCAGTGCCGGAAGTTGTTCGTAAGTCTATATATTTTGAACGCTATTGCCTTGTGAAGATTCCCTAGCTTCTGACTTTCCCAGTTTCCTGTATTGAGGAGATAGAGCGAGTGACGGGAAGAGCTCCAGTTCGCGGGCGGTCCAACATCATGTTACAAGCGTGCGTCAGAGGAGAACAGCAACGTATTGCTGCTATCGATACAAACAGACCGAAAAAGCCTATCACCCTCACCGCTAACACGCAGCTTGAGCTCCCAATTATGTACAAAGGCCAACCCGTCCTTCTGAGTGGAAAGTCAGATTATAGCATATGGCACGGTGACCGTGTAATGTCTACCAGCCTGGTAATCTGCGAAGTGAAAGATAATAGCTTCGCCGAATGCCTGGCGTATATGGGTATGTTGAGTAAGAATATCACGTCTCTGAATGTAACTAACTAATCATATTATATAGCTATGGTACGCAAGATCCGGAGACAAGAGTGCAGAATAAACACTAAGATTTACGGTTGTGTCACTGATGGCCAGGAGTTCACTTTTTTATACATCGATGAGAATGACAAGGTAACCTATACTCGGTTTATTCTATATGACAGCGCTGATGCTTGCATTCACAGTACTCTGTCTGGCGAAGCCAATGCTGGGATATGCATCTAGCGAAAGATGAGATATGGACGCACTTAGTCCGTATCACAAGATTCGCCAGTGCACTTTCTGAGTACTTCGGTGAAGACAGTTATGCCATTTGAATATACCTTATCGCACCCCTAGAGTAAGAGTAAAATGCTGTTTTATATTATCCCCGATTAAAGCTAGATCAAACTTAGAAGGATCTGGGTTCAACTGCAGAGGGTTTTTTAGCATCATTTTAGTTGTGAGTTAAAATGCAATCAGGATCCCTCCAGTATAAGCATTCTCATAAGAAAGGCAAGTAAATGATTCTCGGTGGATGCAGAATAGTGGCCCAAAACATATGACAGAGCTTTAAAGCGACAGCTTGCCACTGGGAGTTACTGTACAAGTAGAAGTATACAGACTCCATCCATGGTCGTCATTTTTGGCATCGTTTTCACAGGTCTTTATATTCTAGATGTAATTGAGAATACGATCCTAGTACAAATCATTCAAATAAGATACGTTTGTAGCTACCGTCTAGCGATCAAATCCAACTGAAGCGCTGTCTGTAAATCCACATGGCAGATATGCATATCTAACTTTTAACTAATCGGCCATAAACGGTCCGTTTTCAGGGACCAACGTTGATCAGGCGGGTCACGACCATCCGTTCGCATGGGATAATTTGGCGAGCAATAATAAACAAGATCGACCCTCGTCCATTCCTCTCCTGTCTCATTAGGAAAAGGTTCTAAGTTAACCAGCAAAACGATTCCTCCGTGAGCCTTTGTCCGAACACACATACAGACACACACAATGTCCGCGCCCCTCGACCCCGTGGTCTCCTCCATCATCGACCGCAACAATCCCGTCACGAACTCTGAGGAATTCGACGAAGACGCGATCTTCGAAGCTCTCGAGAACGAAGATGACTCTGCATACCGGTCGCGTCGTGTTGAGCAGCTCTCTGCTGAATTAAAATCCGCCCAAGATGCCGTGCGTTCCATCCAGCGCGACGCTGCCTCGAACATTACGACCGTCCACGACGCGCTCTATCCTACCTTATCGAATGACCAGGCCCTTCTCGATTTCACAACCCAGAATCAGCGGTGCGTTGTACACTTCGCCCATCCAGATTTCGCAAAGTGCGGCGTGATGGATGAGCATCTCCGTCTCTTGGCATCACGGCACTACGAGGTGCGGTTCGCCCGCGTTGATGTGCGCGATTGTCCCTTCGTCGTGGAGAAATTGAACGTACGCATCTTGCCGTGTGTCATTGGCTTCGTTGATGGCGTTGGTGTCGAACGAGTTCTGGGATTCGAGGGGCTGGGATCAGGAAGTCGGGACGGCGTTAAAGGCTTCAGGACTGTCGAATTGGAAAAGAGACTGGTTACCAAGGGTGTGCTCTCCAGGAGAAAACTGGCTGAGGATGGAGGACCTGGTATCTCCGGGCCAGGTGACAGCGATAGTGAGAGTGAGGACGACCGTCAGCGGAGAGGTCAGCGCGGAGCGATTCGCAGTGGGAACGCGAGGAATAGACATGCCGCTGAGGATGACGACGATGATGATTGGGACTAGGAATGGAATTCCCAGAGTGGGTTGCTTCCTACAGTACTTTAACATGCGGCCCCTAGATATTTTTGGGTTGCTTCTGATTCATCGATACCCCGAAACGAGAAAATAGCAATTAACAGACAAAAGATATGGAGACAAACTTCCATGACTTTCAAGGAACACTGAGAAAGAAGTGCGTATTACTGCCTTAATCAACGGAAACCTGTAGATATTATAGATGTATATTTGCATATATTATGACTAGATAGATCCCGCAAGAAGGAATGAGAACCGCTGGGCTAGACTAGAAACTTTGGGAAAGGACAGTCTTATATATAAAGAAACAAAAAACACATGACATTGCGAGTTTAGAGCGCATAGAAGAACAAACATACTGTGTGCAGAACGACTATCCATTCATTCCTCTGGTCCCCTGTAACACCATCGATCCCACCGACGCCTTTACGCTATGGCTGTTCCTCTGTGTACACTAGGAAAACGGCAAATAGTAAGAGAAGATTCACATCAGCCGTCATAGGCGACCTCGACACACCCAGGCCCTAAGTACCTATCATGGTTCACTTGCATTAGGGAACAACAGATAACTTGGGAAAGACGCCACGTAGCAAGCAACGCGCATTGCATGATCGTACAGTTACAGAAGGCAGCCTATCTGATGCTAATATGGGGAAAAGTAAGAAAAGGGGAAAAAAAGGCAACGAAGCAACGAGAAGAGAAAAGATGAGGGGAAGTCTCCAGATGTGTAAGGAGACCAGTCGTTGCAATCAGAAAACAATGATAGAAATAAGCGTAGAAAAGGAAAATGTTAAAATCTATACAAAGGGACATGAAATACTACTGCCTAGAAAAGTGCCGGCTGTGCTCGACGCAGACAGCTGAAAGAATTTCAAGTCCTGAAAAAGACATCGTAGAGAATTGCAATCCAGGGGAACATGGATGGTGGACTATTATATGGCCACGTTCTTCATCTCGCCCTCAATGTCGTCAATGACAGAAGCCCGCTTGGCGTCCTTTTCAGAAGCCTTTTCCTTAGCAGTATCCTGTTCCTCTTTCTCCGTCTCCGAAGCGGCCTTCTCAGGTGCAGGCTCTTCCTCCCCAGTAAGGACGCGCGGGGTCGTCACCTGGATGAGATCTTCTCCGTTGTCTTTGGTGGCAGCATCTCGGCTAGTCTCTCCCACAGCAGTCGTGGAGATAGGGCTCGCTGCCTCTTCCGTCACACGAGCGAGAGGACTTGAAATGCCGAACTGACCCTTAGGGCTGTGGTTAGGGCCACGAGCAGAGAGGCGATGCGGCGATCTCCCCCGTTCCTCACTGGGAGTTGGGCTGCCGTAAGGAGACTCCCTGCTAGCTCTGTTCGGGTTTGTATTGACACCCAGTCCATTGGGAGCCTTGCGGCGCGGTGGTCTTCTGCCGTATTTCTGATCCGTTCTCCACCGCAGAATTTCGAGATATGGAGGCTCGACGTTCTGGTTTTTGAATTCCTTCAGCTTGAGCTCACCGGTTTCCTCGTCCACGAAGACCTTGTCACTAGTGATATCGTCCGCGACAGTTGCGAGGAAAGAAGCCCAGGAGCGAGCAACTACGTATTTGCAGTCGTAGTCACGACCGAATATGATGACCTGTCCCCACTTTCCTGCCGGTCCCGGTGCCAGGTCGACGGCGATACAGTTTCCACCCCAGTCGCGTGCAAGAGGGATCCAGCCGGGGTGTGCGTAGGCCTTCTGGATAGCTCGTGGAGGTTGAGAATCCTGGCGGTCAAGGAGCTCCTGCCGCCACAATGGGTTGGACATTTGTTGAGCGGGGGAGGCGGAGGAAGAACCACCAAAAGCCTTTGGAGGTGGCCCTTGACTGAGCGTGGTTGAGCCTAGAAACTCCTCGTTGACTGTCCGCCAATTCTTCCATTCTTGGACAACCTCTTCACAGTCCAGGAGCATACAACCAAAGATGATACCCGTCGGTAGACCGCCACGCTCTTGACCGTCGTGAATCGACAATGACTCGCGGACCTCCAATGGCAGAGTGCAGTCCAATTCATGCTCCAACTCATTGATATCGTTCTGGGTGCAGCCTTCACAAAGCTGGTCCCAAAGTTCTTCGTAGTTCTTTTCCGCCCATCGGTCAATTTTGCTCCACGAATGGGTGACTGGAGGGGGTGGTGGAGCGCCCGCATGGAAGCTTTGCATCTGGATCTCTCCGGCACCATCTGCACCCTGGTCATTCGATCTCCGCTTCTGGGAGGAGAGAGATCTCATGCCAGGAGAGTATGGACGCGTGGGGGAACCGAGACCGGTGGGCGATCCGTTTGTTGGGTATTCCTCTTCATAAGGGGAAGTAAGATCGGCTCGCGACTCGAGTGCACTCGTAGCGACAGACGTGAGAGGTTCATGGCGGCTCTGGCTTAGAGGCACATGCTGGCCAGTTCGATAAGGGGAATCATGGGAAGCGTGTCGGTCATTAGAGGTCATCGTATGCCAGAACGAACGCCATGCTGACCCGATTCTACCTAGGGTCAGAACCACCGGTGGAAAGACAGATAGGGCGGCCAGAGGTTACTCACGCATTTGTCATGGCGGGCAGAGAAGCCGAACCGGCAGAAACTTGACAAAAAGGACGATCAAGGTGCGTGTGCCCCAGGGGTGTTCATGGACAGGCCCCAGACGCGATAGACACCGCAGGAAGCAACAAGCGACGAGACTAGTAGGATGGAGGGAATGCGAGAATGGAACAACGGCAGGGTGACATGAACAATGTACAGGGCAGCAGAAGCGACAGTAGCAAAGCCAGAGTGTGGATGGATGGACAGCCGTAGATGACTTCTGGAGACTGAAGGTTAGGGAGAGGTTATACCTAGAAAAAGCCAAAGACGGGGGAGCGTGCACCACGGGCGGAGGATTGGGCTCGCCGGTGTTCTTCGCTGTGCCTTCTCCTGGATCTTCTTAGCGTGTGCCGGGGCAGGAGACAACTTCGCCCGCCCGGCATCTGCGACCGCCCCTGGGAAGGCGGAACTCATTCATTTATTATTGTTGTTATTATTATTGTTATTCTTGTCCAGTGCTTCATGATTACTAGGAGGATTGCTTTCTTAGTTGCTTACTATCGTTGCCAGCTAACTAATTGTATCGTCTCCATCGGGCTCCTGGCTGTCCTATGCTCTAGAGAAGTCCTGATTGCAGTGGAAAGTAATAGACCACCCCAATTGCTTTCCCTTCTTGTCTACAGAGACCAAGACTGACCTCAGATTTCTTCAGCAGTCATAACAATAATCATCACTCACCATCATCACTGTCATCATCCTATCCTCTCCTATGAACAATCCAATAACCTGGAATCAGACAGTAGTTATTATTACACGTCAGCACTGAACATCAGCCATCTCTGTCCCATCCCCTGATTCATCAGTCTTGGAAGGATAAGATCGATTCGTCCAGAGGTATGTACATCAAGAATCTGACCATACTTGAAATCCCTGGCAATGACGGATTCTTCCTTGGAAGGGATCAATTGATACGCACGCATACTACCCTTCTTCAAATTGACTTTGATCGGGAAAAAACCACGATCTCATTAATTCAACCCTATTTTAGCTCTCTAATCTTCTTACCCGGGAGAACACGCGAACTGTGGCGGTTCCTAATGTATGCTAGTATTTCAGCCTCAACTGGCGTATTTAATCTATCATATATCTCTTTGCAACTAATACGGGAGTTCTCCGTGCAATAATCAATCCATCTTGTCCCTACCAGACCAAACTCTTATGGAGACCGGAAACACCACCACTAACTAAACTAACAATGGGACCCTTTTTTCCTTTTCTCTTTTCCCTTCTGTCTCCAGCGGGTCTTGCTTTTCCAAATAATAATCTACGTACCACCGTTTCTCTAGTCGACTGTCACTAAGGACCTCCTCTCTAGGGCGGTTGGTTTCACCACTCACGCGCCGCAAAAAAAAAGAGATAGTTTTAAAATTCAACGGTTGTTGATCTCAAGATCTAGGCTCAGGTGGAGTTTTGGCTCGCTAACTTGGCTTGGCGGCGCCGCCTAGCACTGTTCTGCGACTCCATCTTCGAGGCTGCTAAGTTAGTTGGTAGTTTAGCAGCGCCCCCTGGTCAGTAGTAGTAGGTGACCAAATTTAATCTAGTATTCTGTTTGCCGTCCCACTGCCTTGTCTGATTAGTGAAATAAGCCGGAAGTCCCGACAGGAGGAGGAAGTTATGTAGATCTCCTTTTCTTTTCCAGATTGATTCTAGAATAAACTGAGAAGCTGTTGGATTTTAGTCCTACGTATCTACCACGAGACCACGGCGTTAAGCGGGCCGTTTGATACACCGGGAAGGAAGCCACCGCATCGCATAAAAACCCACCGTTTCCACTGACGTGTCCCCTATCTACCTATCTACTTTGAACATGGAGGAAAGGATGTCTGAGCCCTGAGTCCTGACAAAGCTGGCTATGATCGCACCAAGCATGACTGAGAAGTTTGGAACCCTCTGTAGATCAAGTCCGCGACCCGCAGCAATTATTAACCTAGATAGAGTAGTTAACTAGTTATTATTATTATAGATAGAAAAAGGCGGTTGCTGACTTATTCCTTGGAATCTAAAACTTGACTAGTTCGTTAACTTAACCCCTACTTAATAATAATAATAATAATGTCCTCGTGGCTAGGAAGGAGCAGCTATTAATATCACTGCATTACCTTGACCTCTCAGTGAGCCTTGAATTCAATAATTAATATCTCCGAAGACGATACTATTGTTGCTACTGTCTCAATTTCATTTTATAGTGATCGTGATCAGCTTACTCGATACAGTTTTAATGGAGATTCATCTGAAAACGAGCGTGATGATTTCGGATGGTCTAACTATGCGGCTAGATACGCCAGCATCGACATGTCATGAACCTCGAAGAGCTCGAAAGTCCCGACAGGAAATGCAAACTGTCACGCACGGAGAACTCCTTCTCACAACCTGCATGCCAGGGGCGCCATCTAACAAAAAATCGAAAGGATAAATCCTCTCATGGACGACAAGCGAGAGATGCCGTTCTCTGAGGAAAGCCAACAAAAGCAGTTAACACAGATTAAAAGAATGGTTCAAGAAAGCCACTAGGAAAGTCCACCCAGACGACCAGGCCGCGATAGGACTCAGAAAATGGTTCCAGACTCCGGGTAAGATGCAAGAAAAAACATCCAGCCACTCTGAACAAAATTCAAGGTAGCAAATCTATCAGGAGTCACCCCAAAACCCCAGAACTCACGACAGTGCCCTTTCCCTAAGTGAAGGTCAAGTAGAGACTCCGCAGGACCGAAAGACAAGAGATCAAACCGGGAAAAGACGAACGACCGACGGAACAGCAAAGAAAGGGAATAAGGAAGGACAACAGGAGTATTCCCAACAGAATCCATCCCAGTTGATGCACAAACCCGTGAACAGAAAAGGCCGCCTCCAAACATAACTCCGAGGACGCTTCCTGCAGTCAAGGAATGACAAAACAATTATGCGAGAGGGCTCTATTATGCAAGGGAACTCTGGACCTCATTTGAACGGAGGCCACTGGCCATGTCGAGTTTCAGGATTCTCCGAAGATCGTCCTCCATCCTCTTGGTATCCAGCTTCGTGGAACCGTTCGTGGAGGGGTTGGAAGATGCATCGCGAGAAGGGACAGCCCGCGGAGCTGTGGGAGACCCATATCCGTATGCGTATGGGCTTCCGCGATTATTAAGGTAACCAGCTTTATTAGAGGGTGCTGGTGATGGAGAGGCTCCGGATGAGAGCATTACCGAATTCGCCGCTCTGGGAGGCGTCACTTCGCGCCGTAGAGCAGAGGAAGAAGCGCGGTTTTTCTGAGCGCTGCCTGAAAGCGAAGGCATATACTGATACCGAACGCCATTTGGCGAGCCATATGCCGTATTAGTTTTGTTCGGATCGTAATTTGAGAAAGATACCGGCGTCGGTGGACCTGAGGTAGTTCGGATAGGCCCATTGCGGTGACCAGCATTTGGGCTGAGGGTTGACGGGCCATTCGGCACGTTGGGTTGCGTGCGTACGAAAGGTGAAGCAGATGCAGGACGCTGAGGACGAGGATTGAGTAACAAATTCTTCAAAGCTTGGGTCTTCGCCCGTCGTTGAGCTTCGTCAAGATCAGCTGCTGATTGCGAAGGCGACTCGCCAGATCGGAGCGCATTCATCCGATCACGGTAAGGTGTAGCAAAAGAAGGACCTATAGCCATAGAGTGCGATTCAGAGCCTTCCAGCTCAAGCGGGAAAATGCCTCCGGAAGAGGCATCTGGCGTCCTCTGAGCTGGATACGCGTTTGAATAAGAGTTATACGGAGAGCCTTGACCCTTGTAAGCTTCCGGACTGCGCTGGGATCTCTCCCTAGCTTCGACGGCAGCTTTAAACAAGAAGTCAAGCGGCGACGACTCCCGTCCTTCGTCGCTGCAAGGGTTCCGTGGCTTTGGTTTGGACGGGGTAGCTTCGGTCACATGGTCCAATTCGGGGGAATCAGCGTCTAATTCTAGAGGAGGAGCAAGATCCGAGTCAGGCACCGATTTGGAGAAGAAACTGGGCATCGGAAGGGCAGAGGGTGCCGGAGATGCATGGAATGTCGGGCCAGCATAATGCGGGCTGTCCTTGAGCTGAGAGGGAGAAACGACGTTGGGTTGAGAGGAGGTATGGCGGTGACCGTTGGGCCGATTGGGAGCAGGAGAGCTGGGTGGTTTGGAAAAGTCCCGTTGTTTCTTTGCAGACCGTCCGTTGTTCTTCTTCTTGGAGGCAGCTCCGTTGATGTCGTTTCGATAATCGGCGGCCACTATTCCGGGACTAGAGGTTTGAGGCGGTGAGGCTGGAGGAGTTCTCAGAGGGATCGACTTTGGCTGAGAAGGAGTGAAGTTCTTCTTCTGCTGACGTCGACCGTTCCGCTGGCCCTTCGGCGTGGGAGGGGTCTGAGTAGACATCGTGAGGTTTGGTGGCTTAATAAATAGGCAGCCTTGTAGAGAATATCGATAGAAAAAAAGGAAACAAAACAAAGTGAGAGGCGCAGAACGCTATATGAATAGGTAGAAACGGCAGAAACGGCAGCAAATAGATCGCAATACCGCACAGCGGCCGAGAGAAGAGGGTTATTATCAGGTAACGAGAGCCAACGATATCGCCAGAATGTCGTGACAAAGGTTGGAAATGCAAGGCGCAGCGGTGATGTGTCGTCTTAAGAGCGGCTCGTCCCGGGCAGGGATGAGGAACAAAGTCAATGAAGGGCGGATCCGAGAGTGCTTGAAGTCGACAGTAGAGCGCAAAGAGAAAAGGGAGATCTCGTTAGTCTGTTCATGTCTGATTGAAGAGATCGATCGAAGGGTAGAGGAGATGGAAAGACTACAACTGACGTTCGGTCTGTAGCTTTGAGTAGCCATGGAAGGGAAGGCTGGGGTCAGGCGGGGAGAGGCAGTGCTGAGTCAGGCTTGCCACACGCCACCAACAAGCAAAGAGCAGAGCAAAAGCAAAGCAAACAGCTCAGTACTGTAACTACCAGGCAACTAACTAACCAACTAGCGGTATCTCGAGTCTCCCGGTCCTCAAGTTCCCCGCGACGGATGCTACTGTAGGTTAAACCTCGAGGCTGTTCCCTCCCAACCGTGACGATATCCACGTCTCCCTTCGCGAACACGTCGTTCACCGTCTGCCACTCCGCCTTTGTCGTGTCCCGGCTATTGCATCAATAGATTCCCGCTGCTACACCGGTGCCGCCTCGAACCAGCGTTGTCCTCTCCACCTCTTCCCTATCCGAGACTCTCAGCAACCCACGTCGGAATAAACTAGGATGGCCGACGTCGAAATGAAAGATGCCGTTGCTGGCTCAGCGGCCAAGGCGAAGAGCGTATCTAAATCCGCCAAGTCTGGCACCGCTGAAGGCGGAGCTGATGGCAAGAAGAGATTCGAGGTCAAGAAGGTTCGTTTGCTTCACATAAGAAACAGCAATCCATGGCCCAATATTAATTCTCTCTATCTAGTGGAACGCGGTCGCTTTGTGGGCGTGGGATATCGTCGTTGACAACTGTGCTATCTGCCGAAACCACATCATGGATCTATGTACGTGATGCAGCCTCCGTAATTTAGCCGGCATTCGAATAAACTAATTGTCCCTGTTCAGGTATTGAATGCCAAGCCAACCAAGGCTCATCTACAACTGAGGAGTGTACAGTGGCCTGGGGGATTTGCAATGTAAGTGTCTTTTCTATCTACCGTCCCTATTCGCAGATAGCTAACATGTGTCACGCTGTGCAGCACGCATTCCACTTCCATTGTATCTCTCGATGGTTGAAGACCCGTCAGGTGTGCCCATTGGATAACAGAGACTGGGAGTTCCAGAAGTACGGTCGATGATTTCTCTTCTGGTGACGAGGATATGTGATCTTTATGCGGAGATGGGCCATACCAAAGCGAGTGGCTTGAGACGCCATTTGCTCAAATACTTGTCCATATGCCCTTTGCATATATCTGAACGGCAGGGCCACATGATCTCCAGGGGGTTGATTGAAAATCCGGACAGAAAGATTACTGCCGGCATGGCGTTCAGGCGATTATTGTTTTGCTGCAGCGGTGTTTCTCTGTAGTCTAGGGTACTGCCCATAGAAATGAACGAGCCTTTTATGTCCCTCTACCCGAAAAAGAACAAAAAGACCATAGCACTATACGCCGTCGAAATTGTAATAGCTGAACCACCTAGCATCATCTGTCCTATGCAGCCTTGGACCTTTCCACTATTATCGCCGGCCCCCCAGCCGTAACACCAGACGGCACCAGCCATTTCTCCGGATGTTTATTGTACACCGGCCAAGGAGGGATGACCACGAGAGCCGTCAAAAGTGTACCTGCCAGACCGACCCATAACGTCAAGTAGACATCTCTGCTAACGAATCCCACGATAAAAGCGACGACCTTTTGATCCCCAAACGTGTCAGTAACTTGCGCCAGTTTGTCCCAAGAATCGAATTCCGACCACGTACCCCGGAAAGAATGAGCAAGACCGTGCTCAGTATCTCAGCCAAGCGCTGACCATGGAAGTCCTGTAGTTCGAGAAGAAAAGAAGATGCCAAGTCAGCGTTAAATGGACTTCAGCGACGATGATGATGGGGGAGCAAGGAGATTGGACGCGCAGTGATCAGAATGAGTATTTCGTTACTTACTATTTGGCCTTCAAAGGCATTTTGCAGCGGCGCAAGGATGTCATCCATGGTGTGTAGTTTGTAGAAAACAGATTATTCCGGCTGCTGTGGTATGTTCGACGTTCGTACAGTGAGTCTTTGGATATGCGTACCGCCCAGATTAGACAAGGTGGCCCATGCCACGGGAACTGCGGTCCGGGACACCTACTGTACTTAGATCACATGTCAGTTCTGCGTCTTTTTCGATCTTATCGCTGCACCAATTTCTGACCAGAATATCGGATTCTTATAATTCAAATTAAAGATGGTCGTTGAAGGCATGCTATGATTTTCTCTTCATTTGGCTACAAAAGTTGCTGGATTTCCATGCACTATTTGTTCTATCTCCCGGACTCAGGGCCTCACTAATGTCTTTTCCAATCCAGACGTTATGGCTACTCTGATGGTCCTCTAATTGCTTCGCCGCTGTGTTTTCTGACCGGATACCAGAAATAAACAGGTTGAAGAATGAGGTCATGGCATGAAATATACTGAGAGTTTCAATTGCATACCCTTCAGACCTCCCTTTCCTGCTCAGAGGGCCACTTGCATGATCTCTGGTGATGCTCAACTTCCATGGAGGCCTTAGATCTAAAATAGAGGGCTGGAATGCATCAAGAGGTTCAAGCGAGAACGCAACCCTACAAGGGTGTACAGACATACTCTGAAAACGGCGTATGATTCAAAAGAGATCATCAACACCCTTATCAGCGTCCTTTTTGATCAAGTCGACCATTCCCTACTCTTGGGTTAGCTCTTACATACCTACTTGGACAAAGGGAGAATATATCATACCTCTGGCATGATTGGTTGACCATCACTGCCCTTCACGTACCGGAAGGGCATTTCAGTGCTTTCGTTCTTGTTGACGCGCAATTCCGGATTATCGATATAAGGAATCTCCTCCAAGGGGACTACAGCATGTAAGTCTAGTGGCCACTGTTTTTCAAGGTGAATACGCTATTACCTTTTCCCTGTGCGATCATGCGTGTCACTCTTACCGCGGTGTCTGTTGTCATCTGTTTGGGCCCGAGGCGTCGCCCCGTGTAGCCTTTCTTTCGCAATTCAGAAGTGCGGTCTATTTTATCGTTAGTTCGCAGTTTCCATATTGTCACTTCTTATCGCTCAACCGACCTCGTGGAGGGTCGTCACCTAGAAGAATGAGATGTCAGCATTTCCTATCCGCCTTCTCTGGCAAAGCATATCACGGGATCTGTGGTCACTCCGCACCCAGGATGCCACCAAACAAAAACACATCAAACTGATCTCCGTCGGCCGGTGATAGTTCGACCTTTGCGGCAGGGTCCAGAAGACAGACCCTCGACTTCCGATCGGCGAAGATTTCCTCTACACTGCGCTGCTCAACCTCCAGCTCCTCCATCTTGGCCAGATCTTCAGGCAGCTGCAGTTCAGCTGGCACTGAGGAGAGAAGGAACCTGGCACCCGCAGCCCGTGATTCTCTAGCAATGCAGCCATACTCGAGGGCGGACCATGGGCCGAGTTCCGTATCAAGGTGCTCGACGACATAGGTCACTGGACCCCCGGCTCTGGATTGCTTTTCATCACCCATTTTGGGACGAATCAGAACTCGTGGTTGAGCAGAAAAGTGGCCAAAGATTCTGGTAACTGGTCAGAAAGGGAATATTGGCCTATTTAGAAAAGAGAAGAACAGCGGACGTCACAAAAGTCACCTAGTGACGGAGCACTTGGAGCAGTGGCAGATGCCCTGCTGGTGGCGCTAGAAATAGAAATTGAGATCGTTGATTGCAATACGAGACACGAGGTCGATCATACGCGTGCTTTTGTCTCCCCGTCTTTGCGTTTGGACTTGGGAGGCTTCCGTGAGCTACAGGGTGTATCCTCTGCTACGGCGAGATCTGATAGAGTATCAAATTTCATGTGGGGGAAGGGAACGGCGGCGTAGCGCAGCGCTCATTGGCCAGGAGCACATGTTCCAAGAAAGCGCCTCCCATAGGCTGGAGGAGAATTGGACGCCGCGACGCCAAAGAGATCGCATAGAGTTGTGCAAAGACCGTGGATGGCGCATTCTCCAACCGTGAGATTCCATCTTGAATGATGACGAAGGGTGATCTGCTGACCAGGAGTGGCCCTGCCGATCCAGATGCTGGGAGATTAAGACCCGTGAATTATTTCGGTGGCAGAACCCCAGAGAATGCGTTGTATCACTACTAGACAAAAAAGGTCCCATGTATGGTAGGATCTGCTATACGCAGACCAGCCACAGATGGCCAGCCAAAGATCGTTCTGTTCGCTGTGCTCCTTTCTGCCCACGTCAATAATAATAATAATCCGATGGTGTTAAAGTAAATAATAGTAAATGATTAGCAGCAGTGGGAATCGCAGTGCTGGTGAGTTGGGGCTTGGCTGCAAGCGGTTACGCTCTCCCTCCCACTTCCCTCGCCTGCTACCGTCACTCCCCCGCCCTCCCGACCATACTAACGGGTGCTTTATCGATACCGTCCAGAAATTCCCCCTCTGCCCAACTTCTGAGCCACGAGATCCCCGATCAGTCATTCCCATCCTCACGATTAACAACCGCGCTTCCCTGTGGTTTCGCTCACTATCCTGGAGGACCACCCTTCTCACGTGCGGATAGCTTAGAAGCTGAACCCATTCGTTGCCTCGATCCTCTTCGTGTCGACTCGCGGGACAGTGTGACGTTTCAAGGTCCTGCATTCTCAACCAAACAACATACGCTCAACCAGTCTGGAAACTCGTCTCCATTATCTGCGAGTAGCTGCGTTGGCGGAATATCTGCGATAGCAATTGCTCGGCCCTGGTGCTGCCCCACGCTGCCAGTCAGGTACTTCACCCCGGTGGTGAACGAAATACCCAACTCAGAGGCTTGACGAAACTATCAACAGCCCGACCTTCAATATGAACCCCCACCAGCAGAACAAGGTGGATGTCAACGTAATTCTCCACTGAACCCCCGGAAAGTCTGCGTGCGATGCTGTTGACACTGTTTCTTCTCCTAGTCCTTGAGCCCGGATGAACAACGACTCTTGAAGCTTTATGGCAAGGTCCCGACCAAGAAGGATCTGCTTCAGAACAAGCTCAAGGTACCTATCATCTCTAGCCCCGTTGTTGTCTGTTATCCCTCGAGGTTAACCATCGTCATGGTAGGAACGGAAATACTTCGATTCGGGTGACTATGCTCTTAGCAAGGCTGGCAAAGCGTCAGATGTCGGAGTAACCAACGTCGGTTCGCGTCATCCTCTTCCTGAGAACATCCCTCACCTCACGGCCACTTCACCTGGTGCGAACAATCCGGCTCCCCCTAATGGAGGCAGTGTCGGTTCTCAAGGACAGCCGATTCCTGGAAGTATCAGCGGCCACCCTGGCTCCATTGGATTCCAGAGCAGGAGCCCAATCAAGGAAGGTAGCTTTCTTCATCGTGGAAGCAGCCTCGATGAGTCGGAAGCAGCTGATGAGACCGGCAAAGACAAGGAAAAGGAACTGAGCGTTAGCCCGCCTCCAGCGAGAGAGGGAGTTCCGATCCGGCGATAAGTAGCCAGCCTCAGCATGTCGTTATCGAACTAAGTTCTTTACTGTTTCTCCTTCTCTATGTCTATGATCGTTGTCTCTTAGAATGATGCCCGGCGCTATGGTTATGTTTTCCTTTCCTTCCTGAGTCGGTTGCCAGCGGTTGAGAACGGCGGTTCTACACCGTGGAGCGGGGTAACGAGACGAAAAGTGATGAGTGGAAAGGACTCGATGGGGGAAGAATGAGGATACGGAGCCCCTGCCTCCCTCCCTTTGGTGTATGAAAGGACGTCTGTCGACAAACCACGGCACTTGGAAAACACTTAGCAGGTCGTACTGGGCAGTGTAAGTTGACAGGTAGCTTTTCTCCATGAGCATTTCCACTCTTATTCTATTCGAATGTCCATCGAACTTTTCCCCTTTCATCTGGTTTACGGTTACATATCCCGAATGTGTTATGTTTGTGTGGTTGGATCTGGAGAAAGTATCAAATGTTCCCAGTCGTCTCACTCGCGTTATGGTATTTTTTATTCTTTCTATTCTTCATGTCAATATCATAAGTTGAAGCTAGGTCAAGAATGCCTGGGTGTTCTTCCCCTTGAAAATAAAAAGCACTCAATTTCAACTACTATTCCCGTCATCTTTAGCCTCCCTCCCGTATTGGCATAGTCCCATTCAAGATAGTGAATGCTAAGATCTACTACCGTGGTAATGGTGAGTGAATCCGTCCATTTCCTTCCCTTAGTCAGCTGATAGTTAAAGTGGCCACCAAATCCCTCTTAAGTGCGCAAATTCCCTTATCTATCGGACAGAAGACATATTTTAAAAAGATAGCTCTTTCCTTTCCTGAATAGCTCCTTCCCCAAAGCCCCTCTTCACTCTTTTTCCAATGTCCAAAAAAGGAAACGGCACATGTCTTGATGTCCTCTCACACTTCCAACTCTTCAAAGAGCGCTGTTGAAAGCCTTTGGGAAGATATGATGCTTATCCGTTCGAGCGTAGTTGTGACCTATCATACCATCCATTTGCGTCTATAACTGTGATTCACATAAGCTTTATGATTTCTTGAATTGTTAAGGTAGAAGTAGCTATATACGTGATTATTGTTGGTTTCGGTAAAAAAAAAAATAGAAGAAAATGACCTGAAGAGGAATAAGCACCTAATGGGTACAAATAGCGAGGGTATATCGGGTACGGTAGGTGACCGATTTGCAGCAAGGGCAAAGGGTGTGTGAGTGTGAGGGTGTACAGTTAACCTGGGGGTGTTCAAGGGAATTATGCAATTATGCACCAGCGTTCCTCCCGGTTCTTCAAATCTCCTTCTCGGCCTGTGCGCGCTTCTGCGCAGCACCCGTTCCCCCACCCGAGTTAAACGACATGCGAGTCGATATTCATCAATTTCATTCCAAGGATATGGGAATCTCATCACCTCAGCAGCAATTGTAGGGAAATGAGGACGGGCCACAGGCTCGCCAGGGGCGGAGGACGTTGTGGGATCGGATTGGTGTCAATATACCCTGTCAGGTGGGCGAATCGATCATGTAGCCAAACCATAAGGGATTTTGCTTTATGCTTGGCCATGCCGTTCAAACCTGGACGTCTTTTCTGATACAGTCTGTGCCATGACGATCCAACGTAAGCCAGAACGTTCAAGTCTGCTGACGGGCAAGGTCCAGGGCTTAGACGTTCTGCAGCCTCGACAATGAGTCCACGTTAAGCCTCCAACTCCTGTATCAATGGATATAGCTTCCGCAAGGAGCAATTTCCCAACAGTTATCCAGTATAGTACCGGTCCACTCCGAGAATAGGCGGGGGCCCGAACTCTTCATCTTGATGGCCTCCTAGTGTCATTCAATCTGTCTTCCAATGACCAGCTAATCCCGCGTCGATATCATCCTGCTTGCCGAGCCATAGTTCTACTGCGTAGAGACCCATCGTACAAGCAAGGTTGATCCATCTCCAGAAGTTTCCTCCACCGCCTCCTTGGCTGCTCCACCATTCTCCGCTCCCGCCCATCGCTTGTGAGGTGGACGCGAAATGTTGCATCAAAAGACTAGTGTAGACTGCAACGAGGATGGAAGGAGAGAACCAACTCAGAAGGCCGAGGAATTGCCCCGCACCGTCTGTATCATCGAGAGACGCTTCCTGTGACAGAGCTCGCGCTCCTGATTCACGGACTGCGGGTATTATTCTGGTCGAGGCGTATAGAACAAAAAGACGGTACGCGAGAGATATCAGGACTGACGGGGTGACAGCACTGAATGCAGCGGTGACAACATTGAAAGCCCCATGAATGATTGATGGCAGGAGAGACAGCGCATGCATAATCGTGGTATATGAGGCCATGATGATCGGCGGCAGCGGAGGGAAATCCGCAGCCGTTGGCGGGGTGGCCTGCTCAATCGGGTGAGAGGGCTGGTAGTCTGTGAAGATCTGATAGATACAGAGCACAATATATGCGAAAAGCAGAGAGCTCTCCACTGCATTTCCACGGCCACTGCCAATTCCCCAAGCACATAATATCACTGCGCAGGTGATAGCCACACCGATCAGAGCAGAATCTACATTAGATATCCCAGGAAACTGCAGGACACGCCAAAGGAAGTAAACGGAGCTAGAGATGATCGACGCGGAGAGCACTAGTAGCCCGATCTGACTCGAAGTTAGCGGAACCTATGGAAGAGAGGAAAACAGGATCACTCACCATCCAGCTGTCACTGCGTCCTCCTCTGTTGACCAGCCATCGAGTGATCTGGCCTGCAGCCTGGATGACCAGTAAGCTGCAGAAGCCTTCGACCAGCTGGAATACTGGAGTGGACCACGTCAAGAACTTGTCCCAGCTTCCAAGTGTCATGGCCTCGAGAAGCCCGTCCGGTCCCAGGATCCACGAACGAATGGAGGTATCCTGCGCTCGCTTCCCGCTGAAAGTACGTTCCACCCATCCGCTGCTATTATCCGAATCGACCGAGAACCTATTCAGCGACCAAATGAGGAGCGACGGGACGATCAGCCACTGTGTCGACTGGATGAGCACCACCAGGGAGTGGCGGAACCATGACCGCTCCGGCGTCGCGAGCTTCAGGATCGAGAAAAAGAAGTAGAAGCCCGCGAGGGACAGAGAAAAGGCCAGACCGCATGTTCTACCACCCACATCGAAGGCAAGAGGAATGGACAGAACGATAACGGTGAGGAAGAGAGCCGAGGAGAGGATTCGAAAGAGCCACATCGGCGCTGCGGGCTGGTTTACTGTGCGGTGGGCGTTGAGTCAAAGATGATAATCGAGGACGTCAGAGCCCAGTAATAACACCCAGCACTCCACAGCAAGCAGCTTTTTCCCAGAGAACTCCAGAGCATGCAGTTTTGCTGTGGGTCAAAGCGCACAGGGTGTTTTGGTAGCAGTTTAGCACGCGATCCGTCTGCGCTTGGATGATCTTATCTGGCGAGCGGGACACGATATCTTCACGTGCGACACCACGCAGCTGCTGGAGGAGAGAAACGACTGCACCACGCGGTCGAGTGGTGTGTCTCGTAGTATAGTAAATATTGAGTCGCACAAGGAGCTGCGTCTCTTGTCTGTTCCTGAGATCGTTGAGGCCCCTGAGTGTTGCGCGGAGTAGAAAATCTCCTTAGCGTGACCGACAGGCACCTGCAGTTCGCGCGTTGCTGGAAGTAATATGTATTAATCTGTTGCAAGGACAGGCAGGGAAGGCTTGACGCAACTCCGGATTCCGAGAGCACGGACGCGTCTAATGAGAGAAACACCAGGGAAGGAATCAAACAGCAGTCCGCTGGGAGAGCAGGAAAAAGGAAAAATCGCAAAAGGGTGGAAGAGCGGTGTTGTGCTCTCTATCAGAAATGCTAACTACGATAACTAGTCCACCTTCTAGTTAGTTGACTGATTTCCCTTCTGATTTCATCTCACTTTCTGCTCCAGGGGCTCTTCCAGGCTGAACTGTGACGGGACACCGCCTGCTGTCCCCGTCGAGGACGCCGATGACTGGCTGGAATGTGCGGGTGTAATACGCGCTAGTGTTGTTTTAGGGATAGCTCCGTAAATTGATGTAACAATGGTATTGTCATCACATGACAGCCCATGCGCCGCAGAAACCCTCATCCCAAGCCCTAAAAGAAAGCCCAATCCAGCATCCGATAACTTCGTCGTCCTGCTGGTTTGTTGTTGTTATATGTTCCGACTACGGCACTTATTCAAGATGACCGAGGAAGCCGCCGCAAAGAAGCTCAAGACCGCCTCTCCCCTGATCGGGACTCACAAGTATGCAGTCGACTTCCCATCCTGATGTTTGACGTTTTCCCTGCGATGCTCTGTAATTGCCCTTTCATGATTGGAACTGATCTGTTCCAGCGGCCATTTCCATGCCGATGAAGCTCTCGCCGTCTACCTCCTCCGTCTTCTGCCTGCCTACCGTTCCTCTCCGCTAGTGAGGACGAGAGATCCTGCTGTTCTGGCAACATGCCACACGGTGGTCGACGTTGGCGGGGAATATGAGCCTGCCAACAACCGCTACGACCATCACCAGCGGACCTTCACGACGACTTTCCCCCAGCACTCCACTAAGCTCTCCTCTGCCGGACTGGTTTACATGCACTTTGGCCGTGCCATTATTGCCCAGCACACCTCTTTGCCGCTGGACCATCCCGACGTCGACCTATTGTACGAGAAGCTTTACTCGGACTTTATCGAGGCACTCGATGCCAACGACAACGGGATTCCCGTGTATGACCCTGCCCAGATCTCTGCAGCGGGAGTTCAGAAGCGTTTCAAGGATGGAGGAATCAACTTGGGTTCTCTGATCGGGGACATGAACCAACCTGACCCGACTGCCTCCCCAGGCGAGCCGCAGGACGAGGATAGCCTCTTCGCCAGAGCCAGCACCTTCATTGGAGATGTATTCCTCCGCAAGCTGCGCAACGCTGCTGCGTCGTGGCTTCCTGCGCGCGCTAGCGTCGGATCCGCATATCAGACTCGCAAGGATGTCCACCCGTCCGGTCGTATCATCGTCTTGCCGCAGGGCGGCGTTCCCTGGAAGGAGCACCTCTACAACTTCGAGAGGGAGGCTTCCGGAGGTGCTGAACCGGCCGCGGAAAACCAGGTGTACTACGTTCTCTACCCTGAGAGTGCTGCCGAGGGAGCCAAGTGGCGCGTGCAGTGTGTCCCTGTTGACGAGGGCAGTTTCCAGTCGCGGAAGCCCCTGCCAGAGTCCTGGAGAGGCGTTCGTGACAACGAGCTGGACAGCGTTCTGGCCTCAGAGGCAGAGAAGGCAGGACGTCCGAAGATCCCTGAAGGTGCCGTCTTCGTCCACGCCAGCGGCTTCATCGGTGGGCACAAGACGAAGGAGGGTGCCCTGGCTATGGCCACTCGCAGCCTGGAGGAGTCGGTTTGAAACAGAGACGTTTTCTTTTCCTTACCTGACGCCAGGGGAAATAACGGACAGCTCTAACATGGATCAGAGCTGCATGAAAGAAGAAAAAAAAGTCAATTTCTCGGAGTTTAAATTTACGGACCGGACGTTATTGGAATGACTAAATAGAGGAATAACACCTATTACTAGTGTTGAATTCAAGTCTCGAGCAGAATTATATACTGGAGCACTTCACGTAGAGTACATCCCCAACATCAACAACTGCAAAAAACCAAAATCACTTCAATTCCTGCCCCTTCAGCTCCCACTCTACCTTACTAATTCCACCCTGCCCTACCAGCCACAATGTCTTCAGCTCCGGTCCCGTCCACGCAAAGTTCTGAACCGTATAATTCGTCTGCACCGTCAACAACAACTGTCCCGCGGGATCCACAACATCAACACCTCTCCCATTCGCAGTCAAAATGTACCCATTCGCCGCGACTTTCAGACCATCGGGTACATATGCCGCAGTGAGGTAAACAGCACGCTTATTCGTGATCTTCGTCCCATCGGAACTGACGTCGAACGCGTAAATGGTCCTGTGGCCTGTAGCATTGAACGGCGTGCCCGGGTGTCCGTACTTAGGGTCAACGGGGCCAGTTACGGCACCTGAGTCGCTGATATAGAGGATTGAATCGTCGGGACTTAATGCGATTCCGTTTGGTTGGCTGAGAGTATCATCGATGAGAAAGACAGCGCCTGATGTTTGATTATATCTGTAACTCGCGCAGGGTAGTTGGGGAGGTGTGTCGGTTAGGGAATTGAACCATGAGTACTCTGTCAAATGCCGTGATTAGTTTGCTGCAGTAAGTATTTCTCGAATTGTGATATCCTATCCTAGTAGTACTAACTAGTAACTAGTATGTCATATACCATTTCTACCGTAGAAACGGTATCGGATAGAGAAAGTAGGGGGGAATAACTCACGAGGATCAGTAAAATAAATATCCCCCGTCTTCTTATTCACCGCCACATCATCAATCGTATTAAAATAAAACCCAAAATAATTATTCACCAGCGTCGTCGTCTTATTCGTCTCTGGATCAAGCACGCGAATCCCCTCACGCTGCTCGCCCCCTTCTATAGATCTATTCCCGCCTGAAGCGGCCCAGATGATTTTCCCATCGTAGAATGTACCCCCATTCGGAGCGTACACGGGCGGATCAGAGAGGAATTCAGATAGCGTAGGCGGATCCTGATTCAGGTCGATGACGAGCTGTGGGAGATATCCTGGCGGGGGAGAGAGTTGCGATAGATATAGTTTGTTCTGCGAGGGGACGTAGACGGGGGCTTCGTGGACGGCTTTCGAGACGGAAAAGACGAATTCGTATGTTGGGTTCGAGCCAAGGATCTCCAGGCCTCTGTCCTGGTCGAAGACGAGGAAGGAGGCGTTTTGTACGTCCTTGAGTTGCGTCCCGTTTGCTATGGTTGTATCGCCGAAGGTGGATGCGTCGGAGCTGGTGGAGAGGTTGCGGAAGAAGTGATATCTAAGTAAGAATTTAGTAATGCTGGTTTTTTCTGTATTGATGTAGTGGTTATAGTGTTTCTTTTTCTTTGCTCACGGTAGGACATTGGCATATTTGTTAACGCAGACGACAGAAGGTCCGCACTTCGTCGTTAGAGGATTGGTGATGCCGGTCTGCGCGCGAACTAGACCGGCAATGAGGAACAGAGGACATGAAGAAGATAGAATACGCATCGTGGTTGTTTTTGATTGCTATATAGAGGCTGTACTATATGACAAGACGCAGAGAGAGCAGGATGTGACCCGATCCTCTGTCCTGGATCAGGGCTGTCTGATATATTGCGGTCCATCATACACACAGACTACTGAGGCTATGACAAGAGAAGCCCGAGGATAACAACGCTCGGATGCTGATCTGCAGTGTGCTGCCGGTGATGATGGACAAAGAGGAGTCAATGCAGGCTTGTAAGATCCCCGGAGAGAAAAGCCTCAGTTCTTTGCGGGGAAAAGTCCCCTCTCTCATGAGGGGGCATATCCGGAGAATCTGCGCTCTGAGGAAAATAATCCAAAGCAGCAAGCTTCTCGTGCAGCAGACCTCTCGAAAGAAACGAGCTGCACGGAGCTGTCTCGTAAGCAATCGGCTTTCCGTGACGAGGACTCGCGTGGGATGGAGATGGCAGGATGTTGGTCTGCCCGATCTCGGAGTAACCCCGATATGCAAACGGATGGCAGAAGATGTAAGATCAAGAAGAAGCGGAGAAGACAGGAAGAAATCTCCTGAAAAGCCATCACGAATTGCAGATCAGTGCCTAATAACCAAGGAACTAATATCCTCAATGCTCCCGGTCCCATCGCCGGCAGGCCGAGGAGCCTCAGGACCCTGCGGGTTAATATCCAGGGTATCCTCACGTTCACCCAGGGCTCGTTGGACGAGTTTTGCTTTCATAGACGCGGTCTTCAGTCGTTGATCAATATCAGAGACAGCATCTTCGGTGTTTTCCATCGAGAGTTCAGCCGGATCTACCTGGTCGAGAAGATTGCGGATATTTTTCGCAAGCCTCGAATTCGCCGGGAGACTGGACATGTCCCGACAGATAGAGGGGCCGATGGGGATTGCATCTGTGTCTTCAGACTCCTTCTCTGCGTCTGTCTTGGAGATATCCGCTGCTTTCTCTTGGTTTTGGTCACCCAGCTCTGTTTTGGGACCGGCAAGTCTTTGTGTCCAGACAAGAGCTTTGCCGTAGAGTCTTCCGATTTCGAGGAATTTCTCAAATCCCTTCTCGACAGCAAAAACACTGCCTTCGGTATAACCTGCTAGAGAGCCGTCTGCAACTCCAAGTTCGTATCCTTCTTTGTAAAAGCCTTCTTCGAGATCAAGGAGGCTGTCGAGCAAGTCCTGGGCCATTTTTAATAATCGATATGATAAAAGACTCGCGTGTCTCAGAGAGAAGAATAGTCTGGGAAGGAAACAGGATAATATGTCCGATGGGAGAATTTCAAAACAGCAGCTCTCTGTTGAAAGAGTGATTGATGGTAAAGACAAGAGGAACAGGCTTCAAGAATGATGTTCTACTACTGATGTTATTCTGCGGGATCTGCGACAGAACTCTTTTTTTTCTTTGCCCCTCCGCGACCCCGCCACGCGATGTTATATAGGCAGAACAGAGATTCAATACACAAAATAATTACAATTCACGATAGTATTTGTCGCTATTTATAACTAGTTCTAGTAGCTACTGGCCTACGTGTATTTTACTGTTGAGAAAAAAGCAGCAAAGGAAGTGCTGGCTCTACTATTCCGCTTACTTATACGTCTGCATCCAAGATATAGTCCCGATTTTGCCATTTTTTTGTTATTCATAGCTTGTTACCCTTATGATAAACATCACTACATATCCGGCCCCAACCTAGAAAAAAGAGACGGGCTATTATAATGACATGCCAATGCTGTAAAGAAACCCACCACAAATCATGATCATAGGTCATCGACTCCAAGTTCGCCTAATTGGATCTCCATGAGGTACTGCGACGCTCACGGCACCGTCGACTCGTTGCAGACATTCCCCAAAATTTGGGAAGCTAGAGGAGAAGAAAAAAGAAGAAGGCAAATTTTCTTTGCCATCTGGAGGGGTGTTATTTCTTCGTAGTCATGAGTCCCTTGGGTCGATAATCGCAGCCGTACGCTTTTGTTGACGAGAAAGTAGTTTACACGGATTTCCAGCCAGCTCCATCACCTCGTCTTCCTAGTACCAGGTCTGGGCTTCACCTCTTCAGGAGTAACGGGGTGCAGCATGACCTTGTTGGGCGTCTGAGGAGTGTTGGCCGAGTAACCTTTGCTCCAATCGTAGCTGACCGCGTACGCGAAGATATCACCGGTGCGGTTGAATGCAGTGCTCGATATTGTCCCGCCAACTGAGGGGTATCCCTTGAGACGATGCTTCGCATCCTTGTCCCAGAAGTGGAACGTACCATCGCTACCAGCAGTGCTGAAAGTGCCATGGACGGGGTGGAACGAGATAGAATTGACAGAGTAGATGTTGCTGATATCGCGGTTGTTTGCGGGTGTTTCTCGGTGACACTTGAAACTGAAGTTCGAGCTTGAGTCTTTGTCTTCGACGTACTGAATGGCACAGCGACCTTCGATACTTCCGACGGCGAAACCTGTCGCGTCAGTGAAGCAGCTTACGACTCGTGTCTGCCACTTCAAAGGAGACTGCATCGTCTTGTAGAACTTGGTCGGGTTATCCAAGTTTATAATGTTGATGTAGCGGTCAGCGGTACCGATCACGAGGAGTTTGTTCTTGACGTCCATCGTGTAGACGCGTTCCTGGCACTCGACCGTGGCAATAGGCGTCGACTGTCGAAGATCCCAGTACTTCACTGTCTTATCCCACGAACCGGTAATCAGCAGCGGCGACGCTGCATTTCCGGGGTTCGGAATCATGTGGCAGCATCGGATAGGAGCTTCATGCGCAGCGACTTGCACAGCCGTCGTGCCACCGGCGCCAAGGTCAAGCATACGGGCGGCCTTGTCTGCGCCGGCACCGACAACTTTGGTTCCATCCTAGACAATCACCCGCGTTAGAAAAAATGGATGTGTTCGCCGGACCCGACACGCTTTATGACTTACCGGAGACCAGCAGCAGTTGAGAACCGGTGCTTCATGCTCGAAGAGAGCTTTCCCTTCACTCTGTCCCTGGCCATTGATCTCATAGATGCGCACTTTCTTGTCCCACGAAGCAACCGCCAAGTGCTCGCTTACAGGAGAGAAAGACAGATCTGAAATGCTATCTTCCGGGGGAGCTGTCAGGGCGACATCCTTTGAGATATCCCCCGTGGTGTTGGTTTGGGCCGTCGTGGCCGACGTGGTGCCCACAGAGCCGAAGAGCGACATCGCACGTCCTCTCCGCCAGTGAAACGAGACGGCAACTCAAATCCCTCTCTGCAGAGCAGTATACCTGGTCAAATGAAGGCGAAGAAGAGGTGAGGTTGAGCTGCGAAGCTTGCAGGCGAGGCGCGTACGGTGCGGATGGGATGTAGACTAACTAAACTATTTCGAAGGCTTCACCGCCTGCAAACACGGCAAATATATTTCTGCCTGGGTGCCTAGCAAAGTATGTACAGTACAATACAATACAGTACAGTACAGTACATAGGGAAGCCCGCGATAAATAATAATAGTTTTTCTTCCTTTCGAGTGTTTCTCGGCTTCCCCTGTATACAATAAATACGGGCTCAGTGACTCGCTCAGTGTTGACCTCGAGGAGCGAGAAATAAGCATTCTCCAAAAAAAGTAAATTACCGACAGAGCTACTTAGCGGGTACTTCTCTAGGCCGATTACTTCTTCTGTGTATGCTTTCCTTCATAGAGAAAGAAGCATTGATTCCTAGTTCTTAAATAATCAGCATAATCGACTCCGTCCCCCGCAGAGCGTGTAATCCATCTTTTTTGCCAGGAGAAATCTTCGCTACTCTTTGCTCAATCCCCTGGGATCTCAACTTAAGCTTCTCTCGAGATGAGGTATCTAGCACCTAACTAGCACTAGGCATTTCCTTCTCACCTTAAGCGAGCGATTTAGTTTCGATTTTATACATTGTCATTTAAATAGGGGCTCCTCTCACATCCTAGCTGACTTTGATGAGAGATTTTCTGCGGAGATGTGTCTTGAACGCAGTATAGCAGCACGAGGAGACACTGGATGGAGAAAACGAGGCTGCAAGAATGCTGGAAGGATCCATGGTGACGAGTTCGCGTGATTCGGTATTTCTCCATGGATGAACAACAGCAGGTGCATTGATGGTGTACAATGGACGGAATGGACGGGTGCTGGATCCGGCGAGAGGATCGACGAATTGAGCTTCACTGCTCGAGCTAACTCCCGGCTCCTACTTCCATGCGCCGTACTAGTCTGGCAGCATAACATAGGGCGCAGTCCCGAATAACCTAGATACTAGCAGCGTCCTGTAGAGTCGCGTGTCCAAGTGTAAGAGTTGCTGCTAGTAGTAGTAGATACCATATCTAGTCCAGCTTGATTCCCCGCAAACGAGCCAAGTGGAGCCGAACGGAGGCCAAGTGGGAACGCGGGGTGCAGGCTTAGTGTCATCATGTTGTTGTGATGTGATCCGGCTCGCTCGGGTTCGACAACGGCCACTGTTATCCAGGGATGTCGTGATGTTCAATGAGAGAGCTGGCCACCTCTGTACCCTGGATGGTACTGTACCATACTAATTGGACTCATGCTGGACTACCAGAAGTATGTACAAGGTAATCACTGGCAAAAACCAAGTAACTATCAAAGGCAAGGGTAGCTACAGACAATGAATGAAGAATCCAGCGAGTTCATAGGATAGATAGACTTCCAGCTGCGATGGAGAGAGTTGGCGGCATCGAGTGGCATTGGCTGTAATCGGCATGTCCTGAGGTCATCGGCGGACAGACAGGGAAGTCTAACTCATGAAGCGTTTCGTATTGTCCCAATCCCATCCAGGGAGAGAGTCGGCGGCGAGCATGACCATCTCTTTTCCCCTCCTACCCTGGCCTGGTCACCTGGCTGCTCGCTGTCCGGGTCTGCCGTCTCTCCTCCCTTCTATCTTCTTCTCGAGCCTGTCTTGTCTTCCTTTTTTCTCTCTCCCTGTGCATCGATTGCATTTCGATACTACTGATCTAACAAACATCTACTTCCACCGGCTATCTCATCCGGCTATACTGAGGTAGGTTCTATTATCCTGAGGAGACTCAAACAGCACGAGGACTCGTAGTAGTTCTGGTTCTGCCGCTGGAATCCCTGTAGAATACGTGTTCTGAGCATTGCTATAGAGCTATCCAACCACCCATCATGTCAGAAGAACTCACCAGAATCGACTCCGCCGTCGCTGGCCTGTCGATATCTCCTCCAGACGAAAAGCATCTTGACAAGAAGCCCATCAAGAAGACTCACAGGAGGACATCCTCCACCGCAGAAGGTGTCCGGAATATCAATGACCTAGGTGAGTATTCTCGACCTCTGATACTTCAATGTGGACAATACTAAAGAAACTTCTCTACAGAAAAGGAAGGGATTGAACTGGAGATCCCGATAGAAACGCAGAAACTCGGCTGGTAAGTGCTAGTTAGCAAGCTATACAATACCTAATTACCGGAGGCCAGACTAACTGACCACGATATCTTACAACAGGCGACTCAACACCTCACCGTCAAAACTGGAGGACCAAGATGTCCTAAAAAAGTTCCTAGTCACACCACCCGTGAAGAAGATCGACCTGGTCTGGCCGTTGGGTCTGCATGTAACAGCACGGAATATGAAAGGAGTAACCATCAGGGATGCGCTGGACGCAATCTACAAACAGTTCAAGAAGAAGGTGGGAGCAACCCCCCCCCCCCCCCCCCCCCCCCCAAGCCTCTCTCCATGCCAATATCGAATATCGAATTCGAATCTCACTAACAAATCCACCCTTCTTTCTCAGGCTGACGACGAGTTGGAAAATCCCGTCCTCGCTGGCTTCGAGTGGGACAAGGAAGAATGCTGGACACGACTAATCGTACACCAGAAGAAGGAAGGCGCTCCACCCCCAAGCACCAAAAAGTCCAAGAAGAAGGCCGCCGCCAACGGTGAGGCATAGAAAACTCCTCGTCGACGCGGTACAATCACTACCTATCTGGAGGAAATATCCCTCCCTTCCCTAGTAAGCCCTGACTTGTACCCTACCCTTTGTAAGAGAAGTGTAATCACCTACTGGTGATTACAGAACTATATACAGAACCCCCATCCCCATCTTGGTGTACCGTCACTACTGTACTCGTCCACACTGGGGCGGTTCTATCCAGTGTTGCTTGTTTATGATAATCTCCTCATCTTTCAAGTGTGTTTCCCTTGTTGCTGTTGCCGTTGCTGTCCGGCGTGCTGACGTGTGGTGTTTCGTGGAATTGATTTCCTATTCATCATCTTATCCTATCCTAGTGTGATACTGACTTGAGCATCTTTACACTCCTTGACACGATCTGTATGTTCCAGCTATGCTCTTGTCACAATGCAGGAAAGTTGCTGTCAATCCCTTGTATGATTTACGGGCCATTTTATGGATAATCAATCATTTAGGCCAAATTAATACTGGTGCTAGGAACCACCAGTTTATACATGATGTCACTCTTATGAGTAGTAGTGCACTCTCATGATTGCTCCATGATACAGAGCATAAAGACGTGATCATTATCCTTTCGCAAATTACCCACTTGAGCTAAAATGGGTTTTGATTAAAGTAGCATCGTCTGCTACTAACTATATAGTACATAAGGATATCGTTGCTCGAGACTTTAGCAATGTAATATGAACATGTCATACGTGGGGAATATTGTATAAAGAATCGCTCCCAAAAAGTAATATCGACAATAGCAAGAAAGAAAGGAAACAGAAGCTGAGAACCAGACACTGTTTCAAAGGACCCCCAGTCCCGTAACGAACGCCATCTAGTAAGTTGAAAACCGTCTTTTCCATCCGATACTCATTCAGTATTAGCCATCAGCATTACGCGGGTAGTGAGACAAGTGAGAAGAATGCCTCGATTCAAAGGTGCTATCGTGCCCGTACAGAGTCGGCCCCTCCAAATAGCACCATAACGATCTCATCGAGGATAGTAAATACTAGATGCATGTTTAGTCGTGGGTTATTCAACGTCGCAAAGATCCTACGGGAGGCTGCCTGTGCGTTTGCTCGACCAACGACATTGCCCGCCAGATCTGGAATGAGTGTTGCGAGCACAAGACTGGCCTCCGTGCGACTCCTAGACTTTTCAGCTGGCGTGCGCACTTTCGGCCCGCGCAGTACGCCCTCAGGCCACATGGTATCTTTGACCATGGTGATGTAGCGAAGCAGAGCGTCGTCTTGAATGAGAGACTTGGCACTATCACGGACTTTTCTTTCGATCGTGCCACCTAGGAGCTGATGGAGAACAACGACGACTGCCCGTCCACGCAACCAGTTGTTACCTTTGTTGAGTTCGAATGTCTCGAGGAAAAGGTCGCAGATCGGCTTGATAAAAGGCTCGAGTTCGCGATTCTCAAATGCATTGAGTTCCGCTTCCGCTTCTGCGGCAGTCAATGTGTCCTCCGTGGCAAGACCTGGTTCTGACGCGCTTAGCTGGCTAGTAGCAGCAGAAATGAGACTCTGTCCGGCTGCTGAAAGCTGATCCAATACGGCAATGTTACCAAGAAAGTCATCCATCCCATCCGCAACCGAGTTGTAGATGCGAGATACGATGTCTTTGGCATCATCCTCGCGGGGCGCTTCCCCTTGCTGCCCAATGCTCTGCTGCGAGAGGAATGCACGAAGATCACGGCTTCGACAAACTTCTGGAAGCAGAAGAAGGTTTTGCAAGTAAACTTCTAGAGCAGCTCGCCTTTTTTGTAGAAAATCTCTTTGCAATTTCATGACGACCCTTCTCCTAGGAAACTCTAGATGACGTACGGAGGGATATCTCGTACGCAATCTCTGGTGAAGCTCGTGAAATTCACTATATCTTCGAGCAACGGCCCACGTTGCGGCTGGCATCTGCTCTCCTGCCTTCCTTTGTACCTCGATAACATCTGGGCACGGTCAGCTACGTCGTGGGGAGGGCTAGAGGGAGACGCCACTTACACAATGCAAACTCTCGGCCATCCTCCTCCTTTCCAACCATAATTGACTTGATTCTAACGGTTGCTCGACCGTACAGACTATTATCGCTTTCCTGGATCATGTACTGCTGTCGCTGTAACTCCTTGCGGCGAATCTCACGGTGGATACTCGACTTAGATTTCCCCAGGATTCTGAGCTCCGCGGTATTATTTGTGAGCTCAGCCTTCCTGGTTAATGCATCGACTACTGCTTCCTGGGCAATTAATTTGTCGATGTCTTCTGTCAGGGCTGAAATTGCTTCTGCGAGTCCAAGGTCTCCCGGAGCTGCCTCATGTATCTCATCTGCAGGGTCCTTCTCATTTTCGTTTTCTTCAGGGTCTGCATATTCATCTTCGATGAATTTTTGTTCATCCTCGAACAGGTTATCATCGGAGAATACGCCGTGCCTGGAAGATGGGCCGATAAGGCCCAGTGAAGCGATGCTCGGCTTGAATCTTCCAGGAGCATTCTGCTCAGCCCGGGAAGACTCGGACGACAGGCGTGTTGAGTCAGTGTCCTTGTCGCTGGAAAATAACGAAGCAGGTCGGCCTTGCGCGGGAGATTTGTTGTCATCATTCTTCCCCGGTGCTGGCTGGTTGGTGATGATATCGTTCAACGCAGCTTCCATCGACTCTATGACACTAGTCTGATTGGCATCATTCTCCCCATTCTGGGAATCTTTGCCTATGCTATGGGTAGACAACGCAAGAGGATCAGTGTCGTAATCGTCATCGAATAATGGCACGGAATTTTCCGAATCAAGGGAACGCCTGGGGACATCAGCGTCGTCGAATAGCTTCCCTGAAATTCGTACATCGGTGGATGAGACAGCAGCCCTCCGCAAATCCCTGGCTTTCGGACCAGTCTGGGATGGGGTTCGACTCATGCTTAGCGGAGGGAGAGGCCGCCGCGCCGATGTGTCAGATGCCGGTGAACCGGTCATGTTGCGCGGAGGAGCACTTTGAGAAAGGGTGTTTGAGGCTGCTTCATCGGATGCAAGATACTTATAGTAGAGATCGGATTGTTTGAACTTGGGGAAGTATATGTTCTCCATCTCTTCCAGGACAGCCGACTGCGTACACAGAATTACCGTGCGAGCCTTGCGATACTGCTCCGGAGTCGCTTTCTTCCCTGCTGCCAGAAAAGTCTTCACGAGCTTACGGTTCTCCTCTGGCACCTTAAGTTCTGGCCTCGACAAATACGTTTCGCTGATGACAGCGATGTCATTTCTGTCCGCAGAAGTCCAGGTGATCGCGATCGAGGATGTCTCGTCTCCAAAGTCGTCTTCCAGCGGACTGCGGAACCCATCGACAACTACCCAGAATTGGACCAGGGACATCATATGGTGCCGATCCATAAATTCCATGAAATAGGACAGCCCTGCTGCACTGTGCATGATATCAATCAAGGAAACGTCCTGAGGCCGTGGAGAGCCGGTACGGGGTATCTCAGCAGGGGCAGCTATGTTAGGCGGCGATCCGCCTACGGCAGACATGCTAGCCACCTTTTGATCCAAGATTCGTTTTCCTGTTTCCAGGCGTCGAAGATAGACCTGGTCCTGTCCATCGACTAAGCTTGCTTTTTTAAGCTGGCTCGCAACATGAGCGCGGAATCTCCTCGCATCAGAGATATTATTGCACCGTCTGATTGCTCTGATAAATCTCTCGAACGACCGTTCTGAATCATTGGGTGCCAATCTGGGAAATGACTGTGTATGTTTTGATTTCGATAGCGGCGCCGCATGCTCATCGAGTGCTGCACGCAGTTTCTGCACGGTCTTCCGGTCTTGTATGGCGGCCCGTCCATAAGCTTCTATTAGTTGATTCCAGGTGTCTGGATCCGATAGCACCGTCAGCGCAGGTAGAAACACAGCACAGGTTGCAATTTCCCTTATCAAAATGGAGACGGCACGGCTGTTGATGAGACTGTCTGGCAGTAGTTGCGGGAGCAGACGGACGACCACTTTGCGTATATAGTCCTGCTGGACCAGCTTCTGATCTGAGAAATGGACCGTTGCGGCTGGATGCAGCCTCCCTTCGCGGTACTTGCTTGCAATCGCCAGGTCCAGTTCTTCCGACTCAGTCACATTTCGCGACAGGTTCCTTCCACGTACTGATTTCTCTGCTATATCGAACTCTCTGAGATGCGTCGTCAAGATGGGTACGATTCGTGACACCGCCACCGAAACCAGGTCTTCCCTCGTCAGTCGATCACGCAGATTCCCAAGAGCCACCCTTATCGCCCTGTCCACCTCATTGACAAACACTGGATTCGGGCTGACGTTTCGATACCACGTCGAAATGAAATCGCGGGAGGCAAAGGCCAGGAGTTGGTCGATAGCTTCCGAAACGACGAACGAGTCGGGGTAAAGCGAGGGTGGTTTATAGACGGAGCTCTGTCGGATATTCTCGACTCCTTTCTCCCAGTGACCTGGAGCAAGTAGCGACAGGGGCGCGAGGACTGCATGCCGTCGGTTTGACGCCCCATTCGGTCCCCTTGTCGTGGAGATGACCAGAATCAACAGCGAGACGGAGGTGAGGACGACCCCGAAGGCGAACGCGTAGCCCAGCCATCGGACAATGGGTAACCACTGGACGACCAGACCCCAAGAAATAAAACCGCTGAGTCCAGCTAGAATAATGTGTCGACGGCTGAGGGCCATTCTCCCCGCGTAGACTCCAGAGCCGGCAAGCCCATGTCGAGCTATGCGACAGTGCTCATCGGATGCTGCAGCGCAATACGCTTTCGAATACTGGGGCGCGTGTGAGGATAGGATCAGGAAGCAAGCGACGATTAGATAACCCCCATGAGAGGAATTAGTTATTAGTTAAGAGGGGTACATGGACTGCAGGGTCTAGTAACTATTACGGGGTTATCTAGAGGAAACGCACGCGCGTGGTGCCTGCACTAAATAGCTGGTCATAATCACAGCGGCGATGATGCGCCTCACTTGCAAGACCGTCACCGCCTCGGCCGGAACAGTTTGGCTTTTGCTCCGCTTCGGTCTGCAATTGCAGTCCGTGCTGCAGACTTGAAACCGAGGAGGATGCGTTTCTGTGCGATCAGCGCTTTTTGTGTCGTTGAAGGGATAGGAGACCCAGAGGATGCTGCGAATTGTGCTGGACAGGCTGCAACGACGGGGAAATAAAGGTGGATTAGTATGTAGATAGATACCTAGTCAATCCAAATCGTTGTTTACTACGAGTACGGGGTCATCATGCTTCTCTCAGATCAAAACGCGGAGGAGTATATGCGTATTGAGATAAACAGAGTAAATAGAGTAATGATTAGCTGTCACATAGAAACATACTTTACTTGCAGTATCTCAGATTTAAATAATAATTGTTAGTTAAATAATAATAAATGATGATTCCAACGCTTTCGTTGTTCTAGCGCTCGGATCCCGTGACCCAGCAGACTCAACGTCATCGGCGATTATTGGCTGTAAAACTGATTACCTACTACTACTGTACGGAGCCTACCTAGGTAGTTAACTACCTAGGTAGTTATTGTTTTCCTTCTTCGTCCGCTTCTCCGCAATTCCAACCTCGCACCTCCAGGGACAAAGAAAGAACAGGAACCAGCTTGCACCATGGCCTCCCTAACCGACTACATCGACTTCTCCCAGAAGAGTCTACAACGTACGTCCCTCTAGCCATTTCCCAAGCCAATTCCTCTGAATTATCCTTCTCCATACTGACGTCTCCGCTTCGGCTGAAGTCTCCGCACTGGCCATTGCGTTCAATCCGATCTTTTGGAAGTAAGCTATTCCCCTGCCTTACAAATATTCTATAATACTGCAACGAAGTAGACAGAAGCTGACCGCAAACAACAGCGTTGTCGCACGTACAGGTTTGTTCTTCCTTGCTACGGTGGAACTGTTTCCCGGACTGTTCTCCCCGGTGAACCCGAAATAACCTCTACCAGAGTACCACAAGCGCTACCTGACTCGCATCTTCGGGAGCCCCTACTATGGCTGCTACTTTCTCGCAGTCACCATCTTTAGTCTGGGAATCCTTCGAGACCACCTGTACAATGAGGCCTTGAATGACCAGCCCTACTACGCTCCCCTTCACCAACCACTGCTCGCCTACGTCCTCTTCGGAGTTGGTAACGTCCTGGTCCTGTCCAGTATGTGGGCACTCGGTGTAACCGGCACCTACCTGGGTGACTACTTCGGGATTCTGATGGACGCCCCTGTCACTGGCTTCCCGTTCAACGTCTCCGGAGCTCCCATGTACTACGGAAGCACACTGAGCTTCCTCGGTGTTGCGTTGTACAAGGGCAAGGTGGCAGGATTACTTCTGACCGCAGAAGTTCTCATCCTGTACCTGATTGCCCTCAGATGGGAAGAGTGAGTTTCTTTCTCTTCCACGAGAACATCCCACCCCACCCCTCCAGTCACCTCGTCAAGGATATTTTATAACTGACGTCACAATCCGTACTATATAGCCCCTTCACGGCCGAGATCTACGCCAAGCGCGAGCGCGAGAGGGCCAAGTCTCGCGGCGGCAAGAGCTCGTAAGCGACCTCTCTTTGTCAATATCCTGCGACCCAGTAATCCCGTCTAGAAAGGCTTGACGAGGGCTTTTCAACATCATCTCTCAAAATTTAAGCCAATACACAACTGGGACCAAAGCAAAGGATGGCTCCCAAGATCCAAGTATACTGCCTAGTATAGCTAGCCCACATCGATGCGGAGCCCGTTAAGAACGAAAAAAACAACCCCAATGGCCGAACGCGACAACACAAATCACGAGTGCATCTTCAACGATGGAGTTAAAGAATTGTGGATACCCTATGCGACTTGTATTTTTGATCACCATATTATCTCGATTGCTCTTTTAGATAAGCAGTACGTACTGTACCTGGAGGGGACGACGGTAGGCCCAGCTGGGGCCTTATAAAAAGTGTGCTAGTTTGAATAATATTAGTTTATGGAATGTTATTATTGCCTCTGTTTCACAGCTTATTTCTCATTTGAAACTGAACTGAACTATCCTCTCCTTCTATGCTGGCTATCAAGGTATAAATAAATGACTTCGGCTAGACTGAACCCGACTACATACCCCGCATAGCGAATCTAGTCCTATGTGCAGCACCAAAAGATAAGCAAAGCAAGGATAACAAATCAAACAGTACGCCACCAACTCCATATTCACATAGATACCGCTCTTCCCCAACTAAATGATCCATTAACAGTTGAGGTACCTTCTTATGGATATCGTCTTCCCTTACTCTTTGGCAAGAGTGTTTGGTTCCACGGAAAGAACCCACATGCAGGATGTTGTCCATAGATAATAAACGCCATATGATCCCAGATATCGAAAGAGTATCACATCGGTGAAGAAGAAGAAGAAGAAGGAAATCGAAAAAAAGAGCAGATATGTGCTGAAAGATCAAGTGACGAGCAAAGCAAAGACATGGCTCATTGTCTTCGTCCTCGGCCTCTTTTGCCTGTTGTTCTGTGCTCGTCGACTGCTTCCACTTCATCTTCGTCCGCGCCTTTTTTCAGATCTTCTCCCTCCGCAAGACCCCATTTCTCCCGGTCATACCAATCTTCGCCGTCGCTCATCTCTCCGAGATGTCCTTCGGCCTTGCACCACTCGAACACTTCGTCTTTCATCCGGCATGCCTTCAATAAGGACTCTAGCATGTGTTCAAAGCCGCGCACCGTCTCCTCTTGCTTCTGAATATAGGACCAAAGAAGTCGCCGTGTGTCTTCAGCCTCGTTTGGTGGGAGGCCAAAGTTGGCGTCTTGACGGATAGATTCAGGGACGAGGAAAAGCGGATGAATGCCGGGGAGGGCGCTAGATCCGTCGTCAGAGGGAGAGGGAGGATCGCTTGAGGAAGCATTCCCTTGCTGTGGGTTAGCAGCGTTTGTCTGGGCACGAGTTGTCATGCGTCGTGGCGGCTCGGGAGAGGAGCCTTCGTGAGCCTCATCGTGTTCATCCTGCCCATCTTTCGACTCGTGGCCATTTTGATCCTCAGTGTCCTGTTCATTGAACGGCCCCTCACGAGCGTCTTCGCCATGCGAGGGGGCCTCCGTAACCATTGCGTCGGTATCCTCAGACTTTGGTTTCTTTGTATCCTTCTCATCGACATCGTTACCAAGCTCAGTGGGAGCGTCCGTCATGTTAACATCCCGTTCAGCGGGCCGCGAATCCTGCCCGCTCCCGTCGTGCGATCCGTCGCCATGGGAGCCAGCTTCCCCACGATCTTTAGGCACGCCCGTCTGGAGTGGGGTTGCTACACGACTTTGTTCTTGCCCGGTAGTAGACGAGCTCTGCCCACCACCATTGACAATCCTGGGTTCGAAAAGAAACTTGTCTTCCGGTGTCTCGACCTGTCCACACGACATCCAAGCGCTATCGCCTAAAAACAGTCGATGCAAATTCCTAGCCCGCCATAGTAGGTTCCGCTCCTGCCATAATTTTCTTTCAACAGCTGTAGCCATTGTCTTGAGGGCCTTGGATGTATAGGGCTGAGACATCGACGGGTGAGTGGGCAATTCGGACGGATGCTTGATAGGGCACAGAAGTTCTAAACAATGGAACCCGCCAAGTTAGTAAATCTCACCAAGTCAGTGGAGTATCGAAGTCACCAACGTTCAAGCGCAATTTCAGCGAATGGATTTTCCTCCGCTGCAGCAGCATCGGCTTCTGAGTCTACGTCGTCCTCATCGAGCTCGTCCCCTTCCGAATCATATCGGGGCGGATTGCGTTGCAATATATACCGTCTGTAGCCAGCGTGCTCGATTTCCTATCGTCGGTAATGGATCAGTACTGTCAGCCCCAGATCCAGACTGTCACCAGCCCGCACGAGCAGACACCAAAAGACTCACCTCCTTGTACATAGCCTGTGGATTCGTGTATCCCAAAACCCCTTCATGAACATATTGCGCATTGGCCTTGAGCTTATTTCCTCGATTTGTCGGCTGTGTGATGGGGGAGTCAGGTCCTGAAACTAGCAACGACGTCAGCAGCCTCTCTCAAGAGATCAAAGACAGCGGCAAAGAAAAGCTCACTCTCATTCTCCCGGCGCAGAGCCTTCTTCATGCCCATGATCGTATCTGCGATCAGGGCTGCTTGCGTCGCCATTGTGAAAGGAAGGTGTACGAGGTGTCCGACTAGCAGAACTGCAACAAGGAATAAACGGGCGAGTGGTTTGAAGCACTCGAAGAAAGCAGATTCAAGCGCAAGAACTCCCCACTTGAAAAAAGGAAAAAAGAAAAATGCGATTCAATGTCGCAGGCTATCCGCGGTCATGGATCAGGGTGTCTCATTGAAGAAGGGGAAGTTTTGCTCCATGAATCGAGAGCTTGATCTTGAATAGAATCAATCACTCTTCTCCGCCTGACGGATATCGCGTTGCTGCTCCGGCTGCGGGCAGCGATCGGCGCCGCTAAGCTGTTTTGGGCGACTGCCTGCAATCAAAGGCTCAGACACGTGATCAAGAAATCAATTACTGCCGTTTAAGAACTAGATAAATTTAACGAGACAATGCGTTTGAATATCTGTATTGAAGAGTCTATTATGGACTAACTGATCCATTGCACCGTGGTTTACCATACAACATCTATACTCGAGTCATGCCCAGTATTCTTTCCTCATCATCGTCACACATGGAACAAAAGAACCAGAGCTATTCATTCATTCATCAGCATCAACCCAAACAAGAATGCCTCTCTTGTCAGACCGCATTCCCTCAGTTGGAAGAATCCTGAGGGTCTTGTTGAAGTACGTGTCTATTACAACCAGCTGTGGCTGGATCCATTGACCCCGCTTGGAGGCCAAGAGATTGTAGCGTATCGTGTGCCTGCTGAGAGGGACGAGCTGAACGGTGGTCGACTTCGGCCCGCTGAATGCGAACTGGTCACTGACCTCCATTGTCAAACTGAAAGTGAGGAAATGCAATGAGGGGTTCTCCAGAGTGTAGTCAAGATGAATGAATCCCGGAATTGTCTCTGAAGAGATGACAGAAGCCAGGATACGAGGCTCCCCTATCGGCACGAGAAAACGCGGAATGGCCAGAGGGGTGGTTGCGGAAAGAGTAGTCGAAGATTCAGAATTATCTTCAGAACTCGCACGTCGCCATTGGATTTCCAAGGCCAGGTTCAATGATACTGAGCGTCGGTCCTCCAGGCTCAATTTCTGTATATTAAGGACGAATTCCGATTCGCGCAGCTCTTCAAGAGCGATCACCGGCGCTTCAGGGCTAAGCAAAGTCTCAGAACTGATCTCGCAATTCGCCCCTCCACTTATTCCAAGTAGGACTAAAGCCACCTTCTCGACAACAAGGGGTTCAGGAGCGAATGAGACCAACTTTGAATTCAGACACCATTTCTGCTGAAGACCATTGGGAGGGCTACTTGTAGATTCCTCCCCGGACTCTTCATCAACGCGGAAAAAGTTAGGCCACGGTTGCGGATGAAGACGAGGGAGGAACTCGTAGTTCGCCTCAAACGGCCTGATGAAAGAGAGATCCACAGTCAAGGTCTTAGATATCGGTGTTTCCGGATCCGAGACGAGATGATAGAGCACTGATAGCTCAAGCTCATAGTCAAATGCGTCGGTTGTGTCGGAAAGCACCAATGAAAGATTCTGCGTGGAGGCACTTTCCATCGTGCCAATTGAGCGTCTCAAAGAATGACGAGCTCTTCCCATCGGTGAGCCGTCGGCCGCATCTCCCTCAGGACTCTCGGGATGGGCCTCTTCATCAGCCCAAGCGAGCTTGGCTACTGACTCTTGATGCCCAAAAAGCCTCACATCTATAGATAAGTCTGCCGTTTCATCTTCCTCGTTCTGAATTGAAATGTCGAGAGCCACTCGTTCATTAGTATAGTACGCTTCTCTGAGATTAGGAATTGCAAGGCGGATTTTGGGTGGCTTAGGTAGGATCTTGCACGCATGGGTGTCGCGATCCTTGCCAATTCTCCTTCGAATCGGGCCTTTTACTGTATCCTGCCACCAGAACGATTCTGGCTGGCTCTGGTCAGTGATAGAATACGCCAGGTCGAATTTCTCCTCCTCAATCATAAGAGTGATTGAAGCGATCCTAGCCTCGCCTGCCTCTCGAGGAATAGACGTCAAATCAAAGGCCTTTGTTTGACAAGGTTGGAATGAAAGGTCTGTTGTTCCAGTCACCGACGCCAGGGAGTTCGTAGGGGATTGTAGCACAGAAGAATCGGTCGACGTCACCGAGTCGCGCAAAGTCACAGGAAGTATTAAGACACGTTCTGTAGAGCTCCCTGATGCGCTCTCATCAGACAATAGCTTGATCGGACGCAGGCCGCCCTCGAATACAACTTTTACTTCTGAGAGACGGATGGGAGTAGATTCTGGTTGTGCGCGGGATGTGATAGCCAGCTGTAGTCGCAAGGGTTCTCCGACATTGCCATGTGGACGTTCGAAGACGAGTGAAGCAGTAACTAAAGTAAATGAGCGCCTGCAAATCCTGGCCAGAAGAACTGATGGATACTCACGGCATGAGACAACATCCTCCGATCTGAGTGCAACAGCTGGTTTGGGCCGTTCCTGCGGGAAGCTGTCAAGACTCTTGTGAAGATTATAGTCCCAGTCAGGTCGCCGAGAAAATACTGTGATATGTCAGACCAACAAAAGGCACAGCCATGACAAGGCAGGTTTGCGCACCATCATTTAGTAGCTCCCAATGCACCCGTAATAGAGATTCACTGTCCTTAAGCTGCAAAGCACACTCCCGCAATGCCCAGCCAAATTCTTCCATAAGCTGCCACCAGCCAGCAGATCGCCAGCTAAGTTGTGGCCACAGCGGCTGGAGTATCTGCATCGCTTCTGACCAAGAACCAGCTTTCATATATTCCTTCGCCATCTCTAGACTGATTTGTTCTACCTTTCTTATCTGTCCTCTTTTAGAAAATTCCTCCATGGCTGATTTTAAGGCGTCAACAATCAGACGACAGTGGTCGAAGCCTGGCTTCCCAGGCTGACCGGCTTCGACATGCGGCTCCGGTACTAGGTAGGTGTCATATAAGTGACTCTTGTTTGCAATTTGAGAAGCAGGAGACTGTCCAGGCGGAATTCGGTCCTCCGCTGGGATTTGGTTCGCTAATATGCGCCGACGTATGGAGTGTCGGGCCGATTGATGTATCCAGTAACCCTCATGGTGAAGGAGCTGCCACGGCATTATCCTTTCGCCCTCGGGCACTGTCTTCTCCACGGGGATGAATATACCGCCCGTGAAGCTAGACAGATCCTCAACTGGGGGTGGGAAAGCTAGTTCGGGTATCTCAGCTCGTCGTATAAGTTGCGCCATTACCATGGCCCATCTAGCTTCCCACGCTTGCCATCCGTAATTCTTTGTCCCCTTGCCTCGACGGTTGACGATGTCCCGCGTGCGATGCTTGTGGGCGACCCATGACCGTACCGCCACAGTATGCTGACCATTCCAGAGCAAGCACCGCAGAATACGCAACGCTAGGACATCTCCAAGAAGACGCGCTTCGTTGAACCTCGGATTCCAGCCGGCAATTGTTTCGAACACTTCTTGTCCAAAAAGAGTCTCATATGCGCTTTCGTAGTTTCGACAAGCGGCATCCATCTCCTGACGGAATTCGGCCAATATCCCCAATTTAAATTCATACCGCACATTCCAGCCCTGAAAGGATAAAGTTTGAGAGGTACCAGTTGTAGGAGGCGCAGTTGGCGGCGGGATACTGCCTCGATTCCGCTTTCGCCGTGCATGTTTTGAGAGATCACGGTAGTACTCGACGATTGTCGGTTGTAGAGAAGAGAGCAGTGACCTGGCAAACTCTTTTGTTTCGAGAGGCGTCAAATCCGACGGTAAAACATGTATCGACCTCGGATCCAGGTTCGTCGCTTTTCGAATGCTAGCCACCCGCTCCTCAGTATCGACTACGTAGCTGCTCTCGCCCTCTTCGGACAACAGAACAACCACAAAGCGGGTTTTACAGCCGGAGGCAACCCAGTCCTTCTTCAGAGTATTTATCTCAGTTTTAAGCTGGTTGTCGCGGAGGGTGCTCAAGTTCGGGTCCGAGGTGAAAGAGAAGAAGTTGATGGTGACAGCGGGTATGAGGTTCTGATGTTTCGTGACCCATAATGGCGTAAGCAGTCCATCTGGGAAGACAGGCGAGCTAGGAGTCAATGGTGAGATTGGGGAATGCAAGACGACTCCAGAAGATGTATTATCGCTTCGAGCTCCTGGTGGACTGGTTGGGGGAGAGGATGACGGAGGATCAGCCTTCCGCGGAGGCAATCTGTATGACTGTGCACAACGAATTAGCTCTATGATTCAACTGTTATCATGCGGTTTGCCTGAAGCGCTTTATTGAATAAGGTCCAATTGCTAGTAATCTCAGATGTGGTGGAATTCAACACCGCCGGCGTTCTTCGACTACCGGCCACTTGTAGTGCGGAGCAATTGTGCCAACTGAGTACTGCCTTGAGAAGCTGCTAACCTACCCGTCCAATGCTTTTCACTTTAAGTCGTATCCCACCGGACCTCCTAATGTCATTCAGTGAGTTCCATGGCGCCTCCGACGCATCTTCCTCGAGAAACACCTTTCGTAACTCCTCCGCGACTGGTCCGCTCACAGGAGGGAGATCCGAGGAGATCTTAGTCCCCTTTGTGAAAAGATATGGGTATTGCACATCGGAGCTCTCTGTGGGTTCTTCGGGATCAGCATCTAGGCCGCAGAGTAGCACGTAGGGAAGGTTGTGCGCGATGTAATCTTCGGGATAGGCGTCCATTGCGGACTGTGGCTGCTTCCACGAGCCCAAGTCATCGCATGTCTAAACGGCGCGAGATGGGCCTGGGCCCAAACAAGGGTCCTGTTGTTGTGTAGTGGCCGAGCAAAAGAAATGGCAGAATGTCCAGCTAATGGGCTGAGACCTGTAGGTGTTCATATAAATGGCCTGCGAACTTAGTAGTCGTTCTGGCATGTTTAGACACCTTGACGCCGAACCGAGGCGATGCCAAGCCTTTCATCAGCGGGACTTCCGTCAAGCGTCAGAGAGCTCTCGTTTGCGCTTGACACGAGTAGTTTGATATGGGAAACCAAAAGGCACTACAGCTGACTGGTAATTAAAGCGCTTACTTATGCACATCTAAGTCAGGTTCTTCTCGATACAAGGTTTCTCAACGTAACACATTATATGTTGATGTGAAGATGCTTCCGACAATAATTTCCGCGCGGGGCACCTTCGATTAAATATAGTAGTGTCAACATATGCGCAATGGGCTGCAGGAACAACTCAGATTTATGAGTTTATGGGGGCATTAGTTATTCACTCGACTTAGTCAAGTCTCCCACTCGAAGGACAATTTGCACTCGTAAATACATGATCATAAAACGTGCATAAGCAACGAGGCCCATTAGCGTAGTAGAAATACATAATGGTATATTCGAATTTATACAGCGTGCGTTGGAGTTTGGGCAAGATAGAAGGGATTAATTTGTCATAATCCAATAGGAGAACTCCTAGCTAGTCATTCCAAGCGTCCTGGTACGCCACTTTGCGTTTATATTATCTCGCTATGTACGAACATAACTGGGAAAGTCTCCATCTGCAGATATTCGGGATGTCCTGATTCGAAGCACCTGTCCATGCAGCCTGCACACTGAAGATCCTATAACCACGCCAGAGAACTGCAATCCATTCTCGACAGATAGTGAAAGCGAACGATATTGTTGCCTCCTTGACAAAGCGAAAGCTATTCGTCCTTGAATTATACTTTGGGGAGAGGGACCTTGCTCTTATTCTCGCACTCGAATCGTCTGCCTGCCTGATCATGCATATTAGTTGACCTTACTGCGGTAGTTGACCTCTTCCATGATCTGCGCAATCACAGTAGTGAGGATGATATCTCTAAGCGTGCATGAAACTCGTCTGACCAGCCTTTCCGTTACTTCCGACTCCACATGTCTGGCAATCCCTGTAGATATTTGGGACCATACACTGGAGCATAGATCCCTACAAGTATCGATATGACCTGCGAACGATCCTCTCTCTTTCCCTGATAAGGTTATACAGCTTGGGTGTCCTGGTCAATGCTGCGCAGAGAAGGCTTAGGGTCCACCAAGGTGCTTCCTTTCAGATAATGATTGGATTTCATCGTTGAAGCAAAGACATCAATGGTCGGTCCGACGTAGCCAAGGGACCCAGAGAATTATCGGTGTATGAGCACACGTGCTGTGAGGGATAAGGCAACTCTGGAGGACGCAGTAGTCAAAAAAGGCCGATGCTCGTTTCTGCTGCCTGCATAAGGGTCTGTACATAGGTGGCGTCGAAGGTAAGAGAGCGGGATAAGTAGTCGACTTGTAGAGATTATGACAGGTGAGAAAGATACGTAGATCCGACCGTCTTGTGATGTTGCAGCTCGCAGCGTCGCCCTTGACCTGGACAAACATGAGCAAATCAACGAGATCCATCTTCGCGAAGTATGTGCAAGGTTCAGCCTATCAACAATTTCGATAGATCTTCCATAGCGGCAACTAAATTAGCCCTGTTGACCCCCTGAAATCTTGTCTTCTTCACCACAGCAGATATGGTTATATCGTTCGCACATAGGAGTAGAGTTCACATGAATTAAGGAAAAAGGGCAAGGCAGAGCACAGGCGGTAGATGTAATAGCCATTCCAGGCCAAATCTCTCGCTTGTAGTATATCAAGTAGAGTAGTCGTGGTGGCGTGCGGTCAGTTGCTTAGGATGTGTGATGCTGTGGAGTCCATAGACCCTGAGCTTAGAGTGGGTTCAACGGTTCAAGCGAGGGTTCAAGAAAATAATAATAATAATGCCGATTGTCCAACAAATGGCAGCCCATACGTTGCTGGTTCTCCTGTTGTCTCCCCGATGTCCCCACCAAGTTTCCTGTGAGACTTCATTAGGAGTTCGTCTTAAACGAACCTGAGCCGCCAGTGCTGCGATCTAGTCTGCTACAGGCTAGAGGGCCAGGAGGGTAATATGGTCATTTATGCCTCCTTTCTCCTGAGAGTTCGAAGCTCGGACTATCTAACCGTCATCTCGTGGTCTTAGTCTCCTGTACCCAACCTCCCGTTACTACTGGTCGTTGTCTAGAACTAATTTATCAACGCCGAAAAAAAGTATTGCCAGTCCCCCCCCGGCTTGCGCGCGCTACAGTATCAAAGCTTCATATCGACCGCTCGACGACATCATTATTATTATTGAAGCGCTAGAACCCTCTTCGAGGATTCCAATAATCTGCGCCGCCTTTCCTCCCGTGGTGATTCTGGAGACGTCCGTTTTCACATCACATTTAGACCCCGCGCCTCCCTTTCTCCCAGGCTCTTCCTGTTTTTCTTTGGCCCTTGTCGGCGCCGTTCGCGCGGCGACTTTCGACCGCGTCACTTTGCTTCACCCCTGGGCGTCTGCAAGGGACATTAGAAACGGAAAAGGGGCCGACAAGCGTCGTTCTGGACGTTCATAGGCCATCCCAGGTTGCGTTTCCCCAGACCTGGATGTGGCGGTTTGGAAGAAACCATGCGATCCTCATAGATTTTCCTTGTGTGATTTCTCTGTTGCAGTTCCGGTTGTGAACGGCGGCCCCCTCGCCCAATACTACTCTCAGTCGGTCCGGCCTTTATTACCCAACAAGATGGACGCGCTGGATGAGTCTTTGGCACCAGATACACATCCGTCGCGACATCGCAAGTCCCTCCCCTCCCCGTCGACGAGCGCTCCGGCACCTCAGTCGGCAGACCGTGCCAATGTGCCTCCAGCCTCTCCTGAGGTCATCTCCTCGTTGATATCGTCGCTGTCGGCTATCTCAGCCCCCGCGCAGAGTCTTTTCGATAGCTTTCCCAACATCGATGACCACCTAGGACAGCCATTGCCCAATTCGCCGCAATCGGAAAGCTCGCGGGGCCGCCCGCAGAGCGGTCGTTCGAAGTCGAAGGCGTCGAATGAACATGGGTTTGGCATGGACTATGGTGCATACAAGGTCCTGGAAGAGAATAACGATAACCCGTTCCTGCATCCTGACGATGCGGCCATTGCACCAGTCGTTCGTATGGCACCTCCTCCCTCGTCATCCAAGCCCAAAAATAATTCAGGACAAGAGGCGCCGCCATTGAGACCCAGCTCTGTCGGATCGTGTACTCCATCGACGGCAGCCTATGACGAATTCTCTGGATTTGGCATGATCTCGACGGAACCCGGTCCCCGAGTATCCACTGCAAATAGCATCGCATCTTCCAGTTCCGGAGGACGAAGGAGCCTTAAGGGCCAGTTGGGATTGCTGAAGAGAGCATCCCGAGAATTTCTGCAAGATAAGGAATCTGATCGATTGAAGAAGACGTCCAGCCAGAACGATAGCCTGAAGCTTAAAATGCCCCGAAGCAGAGCAAGCTTACATTCAATTCGTTCCATGGCAGATCTCACAGAGGAGATCGCAGATGACGGCGATATAGGAATGCGAACGAAAGACAGCAGAGGGTCGTCCGACAGACACAGGGTTTCATCGCTGCCTCTAGATACGCCAGCGGCCGGACCCGGCGGTATAGGAAGCGGGAGATTGATCCCTACGCGTGAATCCTCGTTACGACATAGCTATGGTGGTACCTCAAACAAGAAGCGTAGACCTCGTCATACCCGCTATTCATCTACCGGGAGCAAGGACCTAAAGATTGAGGGCGGTATTGCTGAAGCCAGTAACGAAGCAGAGCAAGTGACAAAAAGAATTCAACAACTGAAAGAACAGCAGAAAAAGATCAAATCAGAGCTTGAGATCGATGATACTCCTTCAAAGCCTAGGCGTTCACACTCAGCGTCACGGCCTCAAGCATCGCGGATGTCCAGCGAGACACGTCCGAAGCGGTCATCGTATAGTGGTGACAGTCTCTTGCACAAGGTGGAGGAGAGCGGTTTCGATTTCCAGGATGAAAGCGCGCCTGCCCCAGCGGTCCTGACCGGGACAAGCAGCAAATCTATGAAGCGCAACAGCGGTCCTCTTGCATCAAAGACAACAGACCTACAGCCCATACTGGGGAAAAAGTCGTTTGATAAGTCCTCTCGTCTGGATAGGAGTCATTCGCACCGCTCAGCAGAGTTCTCCCCAGTCTCAGGTGCCAAGCAACACAAACGCACCCCCTCCGGACGGCTATCTCAGAGACGACTCTCCATGTCCGACGAACGCCCGTCCAGTGCGGATTCGATTGACCTCGCGGTGGAGGCGTATATTGATTCTCCAAGACTGACGCGGAGGGTGGCTCATCCGACCACAGGTCGCGTAATAGCTTTCTCTGACGTTGGAGACCCGAAGGGCTATGTTGTCGTCTGCTGCTTGGGAATGGGGCTTACGAGGTATCTGATGGCCTTCTATGATGAACTCGCAAGAACTCTGAAGCTGCGGCTGGTCACGCTTGATCGTCCTGGTGTTGGAGAGAGTGAGCCCTGTCCGGATGGGACTCCCCTGGGCTGGCCGGGTAAGTACCGTATCTCATCAAAATTGGTCGAAAAGCGTGTTTCTAATATACGTATAGACGACGTTGCGATTGTCTGTAATTATCTGAAGGTGACAAAGTTCTCTATCCTTGCGCATTCTGCTGGTGCTATCTACGCATTGGCTACGGCCCTGCGGATGCCACAACACATTCGCGGTCGCCTGCATCTTCTGGGTCCCTGGATCCCTCCTTCGCAGCTATCGGCTATCGGAGCTCACAAGGAACCGGCTCCTAGCAACGCAGTCCCCTACTCACAGAGGATACTACGTGCCCTACCAACTCCTATTCTCAAGGTTGCCAACTCGAGTTTTATGAGCGCTACCAGTACAAGCATCACAACAAGTTTGCCTAAGTCACCTCGTCGATCCAAGCGGAAGGCTGCCGTCAAGGATACCCCGGGACCTGTGGCAGCAGAAGCTTCTTCAAGTAAGACGTTAACGCAAGGGGGGCCAGATAAAGATGCGGGAGCCGCACAGTCGTCGACAGGTGTTCTTGGTTCTCCTGATGCAAATGGCCAGGGCACTGTGACTATGTCGGCCACAGATGACCGCGAGCGCCAGTCTGACTACGACAATAAGTTGACCTACAAGATTTGGGAGTTGGCAACAACGAACGCTAACCCAGCCGTTGATCTATTGGTCTGCCTAGAGCGCAACCAGCCGATTGGCTTTCGTTACGTTGATATTACTCGAGCAGTAGTCATCCATCATGGAAGCAGGGATACTCGTGTACCCGTGGATAATGTGAGGTGGCTGGGGAAGACAATGCGAAGATGCGAAGTGCGCGTGCTCGAGGGCGAAGGCCACGGCCTCATGGCATCAGCAGTCGTCATGGGGAATGTCCTTACTGAGATTTCTAAAGAATGGGAAGACTGGACCACTATCGTGCAGGGCAAGCGGGATGGTCGCAGACCGACTACCAACCACTCTTCGCGGCCGGGCATTGTCATCTAAGCCTATACACTTATCTCCGAAGGCGATATATGTGTCCTCAACGAAACTCTACGAGCAAATCAGCATTCTGCTCATCTAACACATTTCGCACCAAGTCCAGAGCTGGCCTTCTGCCCAAGCCTTTGGCATACGTCGAAACAAGTGCGAGAATCTCTCATGGCAGTTGTTCCGTTTTCGACTCTCACCATCGTCGTATTCCTCATCATCCATCTTTCCGTTGGTCGATCTTGGCCGACATAAACCGAGACACGTTGCTGCAGGTTTTGCGACGCCTCGTTCCCCTCTAGTGTGTTATAATCTTCTTTGAAGATTCAGCGATTATGGTCTTCTGCTAAGCGTATATGACTATGTAGATGTTCTGCTGATGCCCCTTTTCTTTGGCGTTGCTATGCTTGTTTCCGTCGGTGTATGAGATACCACCTATTGTTTGTTAGCCTGATGCCTGGTTCCATATTAACTAATTCAGATTAATCTAGTTATATCATTAGAAACAAATTCGTATAATCTCTCAAGCTGCAAATAGAAACCGCAGTGTGTAAACAGAAAGCGATAAATTCCGTGTAATATCGATTCATTGCATGGGATCTATTTATGGTTCGACTTCAATAATAACGGTGGCCGCCAGAGTTGAGTTTAAGGAACCGTCCAGGCCTCCAGGGGCTCTCCCGCTGTGACGTACATAGCTTAGTCGTCAGCGCTTCTCCGCGTCCACTGGCCGACTGCACGCGACAGGACTGTTGCTTCATGGCGCCAACCTCACTGGGCGTCTAAAATCATCGACGGACAGTTTCTTTGCTCTGTTTTCTCATTCGTGTTACATTCTATATTGACTGTTTGCGACTACTGTCATTTCAAAAGTACTTTTCGACCGCTCGCTTCCCCTCAAAAGGCCCCTGGCGGCGAGAGAGAGCCCCATCGGGGGTAGCAGTTCACACAATGCCTTCCCAACGTCGAATTAAGATCTTTTTGGTCGCTATTGTGACAGTTGTCTTCCTGTATATTTACTACACGGTAAGTTGGGTCCTACCTATTCTATCTTACGGGATGGAATGAACCATGAAGTTGCGACTCGAAGCTGATCCGGTGTCATGTAGAGCGATGCGCGACAACTCCAGAACCAGAGATTCTATCGCTCGACAGTCCAAGCGATGGACGCACACGCAGCAGCGAAGGATTCCGCGAGTGATGATAGCAGTCTGTTCCGAAAGCTGCAGCCGAACCGTACGCCGCCGGTCGATAAGGAGGCGTTGAAGGCGAATCAGGATAAGTCGGGCGCGAGCCCGCAGGACAGTGATCAAGAAATGGAAGAGATATCTATCGCAGGGAGGACTAAAATGCAGGTTCCCAAGCCTAAGTCGAGTGTTGCGCCGGTAGAGCAGAAAGAGGAGCCTAAGAAGGAGAAGACTGAGCCTGAAGATGACCCTGAGATCAGGGATGAGTTGAATGGGATTCTCAAGATGTCTCCAAGTACGTTGAACTCTTTGCCTTTACTTTTTTCTTTTTTGATGCCAAGAGCTGACGTATGCTGTTTCTTTTCTTCCAGTTATCATCTTCTCTAAATCCTACTGCCCGTACAGCGCAAAGGCGAAGAATATCCTCCTGGAGAAATATACTATTGTGCCAGCACCGTTTGTCGTTGAGTTGGATCAGCATCCCATGGGTCAGAAGCTACAGCTCCTCCTAGCGAGACAAACCGGTCGGAGAACCGTCCCGAACATCCTCGTCAATGGACGGAGTATTGGTGGCGGAGACGACATTGCGGCGCTAGATCGAGAGCAGCAGTTGGGCTCGAAGCTCAAGTCATACGGAGGAAAACGCATCATGGAGGTTACACCGAAGGCATCGAAGGAGGTCTGAATTATCTTATATTATAGACGTTGGTATTACTATCTTATGCTTCGGATCTGGCCAGTTGATATCCGCGGGTTGGAGGAACTGGACTAGCGCCGTGCAGAAGGGATGCATGATAGGGCGTTCTTGGTTGATAGTGAGTATATGAGTTTGGATATCATTGTATATATAGTCAGATTTTATGGTATTGATGCTCCAATTGGAGTCATAAGAAGACATTCTTCATTCTTTCGTTCAAGTCACAGATTCACCGAGGGTGCCGTGTCGATGAAAAACCATAGAAAATGCCATGAGAGTGGATACTCAACAAGCCAAATCTATGCAAATGCTCAGATCATGATACAGAATGTTAACTATTATAGAATGAAAGAAAACGAAACAAAGACTGGAATCGAACTGATCGTACAGTACAAGAAAACAATATTGCATCTGTCCCGTCGGCGTCCGAAGCCCGAAAAGTTCGATCAACCCTAGACCCAACCGGCGCTAAACCCAAAACATCAGCTAAGCGACGCACAACCCGCCCACCTGCAATTTCGCTCCACCAGGCCTCGTTGAATTTCGATCTTCTCGACGACCGATCGCACGACGACAACGACGACAGTTCTCCCCTCGGACACTTCACAGCACAGTCAAGATGCGGTACATCCACTCCGAGGAAACGTTGCCAATCCCCGAGAATGGTGAGCATTTGGAAAAACAATCCTGCATTTTCTTGATCCGAGTGGAAATTTGGGAGGATATCGCGAAGGGCGGACTTGTTCCTTGTTTAGCTTGTCGTCCACATGGGGGAATTTCCTCTGAGGCGATGAGGAAACATAGGAGCAGCGGCGTGCGATTATTGGGAATATTCGATTTGATGGGCTGGGGCTGACCGATGGGCTTTTTTATGCAGTGAAAATTCACATTCGTTCGCGGGTTGTCACCGTTGAGGGACCTCGAGGTACGCAACAGAAATCTACCCGACTGGCATATGTGTCGAAGGACGGAGGAAGAGAATTCTTCATCGTCCTTTCTTGCAATGGGGAGGAAGTCATGGGCTGACATTGGATTCCAGGCAAGCTCACGAAGGACCTGTCTCACATCGCTGTCACCTTCGGCCGCCCCGAGAAGAACGTCATCTCGATTGAGCTGCACCACGGTGCCCGCAAGGGAGTCGCTACTCTCCGAACTGTCCGCACTATCATCAACAACCTGATCATCGGTGTTACCCGCGGCTTCAAGTACAAGATGCGCTACGTCTACGCACATTTCCCCATCAACGTCAACATCGAGAAGAACAGCGAGACCGACTTGTACGAGGTTGAGATCAGGTATGATGAGACCTACCATTGAATTCCAAGTTCTTGTGGAGGAAAGACACTGGGGAACTCTGTGCAGATAGAGAAGGCCTACTGTGTCGCATCAGACATGGGACGACTGTTGGTATTGGTTAGGAGCGTTTGCTGATGGATTATTTCTTCGCAACAGAAACTTCCTCGGAGAGAAGATCGTCCGCCGTGTCACTTGCCAGCCCGGTGTCGAGGTCATCACCTCGCCCAACGTCAAGGATGAGCTCCAGCTGTCCGGCAACTCCCTCGAGGGTGTCTCCCAGAGCGCCGCCGACATCCAGCAGATCTGCAGAGTCCGCAACAAGGATATCCGAAAGGTCAGCCATCCTCTGTTTCAATCTTCCACATTTATAATGCTAACACTCACATAGTTCCTTGACGGTCTGTACGTGTCGGAGCGGGGCAACATCATTGAGGAGTAAAGAGTGACTGTATTTTCTGCTTGGGGTGTCTAGTTAGGATGTCCGGAGAAATTTCGCATGCCTATGATGCTAGCAGGGCGAAATAAAATGACCATGGAATGCAAATCCTTGTGCGTGTCCACGGCAATAGCTTGTATCAGCTGGAAAACGTGACATGTAGAAAAGTTCAGCTTTCATGAGACGACCAAATTTCAATTTTTTTACACGGAGTCTTGTTCGCTCATCTGAATTGCTTGACGTCGCATGTACAAAGAGCTCCAGACAGAGCCTCGCCTTACCTAGTTACCAAGTTGGTGCTCATTTGAGGCAGTAGACTCCAGCGTCCTGGCTAGATCACCCAATGCGAGATAATTCGAGCACGCTTCTTTCCTGTGTAAACTTCTGAGATCATTGCCGGTGGTAACATCTCTGTTTTAGGAACGCAACCACTGCCCTGGCTCCGCTTGCTTTGAGCAATGATCAATGATATATCTAGGAGGCATATCAATCATTTAATCACACTTTTGAGACTGTAGTGATCACCTGGGCCGAGACTAAGTATCGTTTCTCGTGGCGTTTCGGATACTGTGGGGTATTAGAATAGGAACGGCCCTGTTCTGGATCGCGGTTCCTACCCCATCACTTTCCTTGGCCGTCATCAAAGGACCCGGCCTCCCCCTCCAATTCCTTGCCGTGATATGCATTCAGCCCGATATCCAGAATAGAAACTGAGGTTCTGGTTGTGTCGCGAACACAAGGCTAGGAATTGACGGTATCTTCCTTCACCAAGAGTTCCTGCGTTGACTCCATCCCCGAAAGGCGGAAAACATGTGAAAGCGCGTCATACAACGCCGAGTACTACAACCACCACAGGCATCCAACTTCACAACCTCCTCTCTGTCAGAAAAGGGCATGGAATCTTGGATAAGTGTCTACGGGCTACTAGCCGCCTTGATGGGCATGCTAGTTGAGGTTGCAGAATTCTGGAAAACGGTAAGCCCCCCTGACGCTTTCGTCTCTAGCAGCTCTCCTTCGCTCGAGGAGTTGGTTCAACTGGATGATTGAAAACTAATATTATGATTTTCTCTGTTTGTTTGAATATAGAAAATTCTCTCATGGTGGATTTCTCGGTCGCCTAAAGATGAGCTGTTCGACAAGCTGGCGACAGCAGAGACGTTCGATGAATGGCAGGCGGCGGCGTTTCGTCTGGATGAACTTTTAAGTCATGATCTCTGGTAAGGAACCTCGTTTTTTCTTTAAAGAGAGGTTATCTTCGCTTGCATCTTCTGTTTTAACATTTGTCAATGTCTTGCTTACCGATTGCTGCAGGCGCCAAAACCCTGTCAGCAAACACTATGATCATCGACTCATAGTTGGCAGACTGGAAGCTATCGTTCACTCTAGAGAGGAGGAGGATGTCCTCACGCTTGTCAATCTCTTGAGATCCGGGCTTGTTCGCAATCTGGGCAATATCGCTTCCCCGAAATTGTTCAACCACGCATTCGCAGGCACTAAACTGCTCATCGACGACTACATCACTCAGGTTGCGCGTTCCATTAAGTACGTTGCTGCGCTAGAGACAGCATCTATTCACGATAGTGGGTTCACATCCCAAGCCAAGCTTGAACTTTTACACGACGCACGACAGGCCTTTGGCAGATCGACGCTCGTACTTCAAGGAGGCTCCATTTTCGGACTATGTCACCTTGGAGTCGTCAAGGCATTGCACCTTCAAGGACTCCTTCCGAGAATCATCACAGGAACAGCTACTGGCGCTCTGGTTGCTGCTTTGGTTGGAGTTCATACAGAAGATGAGCTCTTGGATTTCCTAGATGGCGACAGCCTCGATCTGACAGCCTTTGACCGTGCCAGGAAATCCGATCCCGGTGAGGATGTCAATGGGATTGTCGTAAACGAACAAGAGGGATGGACTGAGATACTGAAAAGGCGGGTGAAGCGGTTCCTTCGAGAAGGATCTTTTTTCGACATTCGGATTTTGGAAGAATGCGTGCGAGCCAACGTGGGCGATATGACTTTCGAGGAGGCCTATAAGAAGTCCAAGAGGATACTTAATATAACCGTAGCTACCTCAGCAAAGAGTGGCTTCCCCAACCTCTTAAACTATCTGACTGCTCCGAATGTGGTAAGTAGTATGTCATGTGTCGTTTAGTGATGTCTGCTGATTCTTTCATAGTTGATATGGTCTGCTGCTCTTGCTTCAAACGCATCTACCACAAGCCTGTATCACCCTGTAAAGCTGTACTGCAAGAATGACTCAGGGGCAATAATTGCATGGCCGCACTCTGAGGATATTATCTTCAAGTCCTGGCGCCAGACGACTTACACGGATCGGGAGTCACCACTGGCCCGTATTGCTGAGCTCTTCAATGTCAACCATTTCATAGTGTCTCAGGCACGTCCATACGTTGTCCCTTTCCTTCGGTCAGACCTTCAGCGCCCCGATCAAAGACAGGGCAGCGTCTCACAATCCATCATGCGTCTTGTCCTTGTGGAAATCTTCCACCGGCTGAAGCAGCTCGATTATCTTGGTCTCCTCCCCACTGGCCTGCGCCGGCTACTTATCGATGAGACTATCCCGGGTCCTAACCTGACCATTCTTCCAGATCTCTCATTAGCAGATCTGACCAAGCTCCTCCACCGCCCAAGCAAAGAGGGGCTGCGATATTGGATCCTGCGCGGTGAACGGGGGGTCTGGCCTGCAGTCAGTGCCCTCAAAGTTCGCTGTGCTGTTGAAATCGAGTTAGACAAGGGGTATCAAGTTGTCCGGAGACGTAGAGACAGCTCATCAGAGTCTGGACGCACGCAACTAGATCATGCGGAGGACGAGGAAGAGTCCGTCATTAGAAGACGCAGGGCTTTGAGTTTCGATGTAGCCCAGGGGAGACACTTTGCCATGTCCAGTTCCCCATAGCGTCAAGGACAGGACTTCAGTAAGCATGTCATTTTCAATGCAAAAACGACTACAAAACAAACATCAAAGCACATCTCATAGAAATTCAAAATATAGAGGAAGATTAGTTTTTTATTGCATGTAGTAATCATTTCTAAACCTACTTACAGCAAGAAAGACATTTACAGACCATGTTTATTTGATGTGGTGTTCCTCCTCAGAATAACATGGACCGGTGCCCCCTCTCACACATCACACGCGCTTCACAAATGACGCCGAGACATATCTACGGCTCTATCAGATGAAGCCTCACGCGCAATGATGTCGTTGTTTATATGAGGTCCTGTACTACCACAGCTAGATTAGTTCAATAGAAAAATGAGTAGGAAAAAGCCTTCATATTGACCCTTTTCACGGACATCTATCTACCTTGTCTACCTACATACCTTAACTCTCTGAGAACAATAACATCAGACGAATATCGTGACCTCGCTTAGAGCTGATGTTACATTGAAAGAAAGTAACAGAACCCGCCACACTGTTTTTGAAAAGAATCTCTCTGGGTCTCTCACTTCGGTGTTTCGTCTTCTCACACTCTCTGGCACCACCCACGGAGGATATCCTCAAGACAAGTCCTGTTCTGTTCCCTTTGGACAGTCAGCTGGGTGAGAGACCTTTAGTTGGGCCTTTCTGCAGAGTTGCCTAGTCTCTGAAGGTATCTTCCAATATTGCCGCCCACTTTGATCCTTGAGGCTGTCCTCATTCACTCTTTTCGTCAACCCCGACTCTGCTGTCTTTCCCTCCTGAGACACGTTATTAGACTGGACAGTAGTCTGAAACACGCTCTTTGCAGTTCTTGAGCAAGAATTCAGTATCAGACTCTGCTGAGAAAGAGTTTCTGTACTTCTATCAGGTCTTGTAAGTAACAGGATACCTCTTCGATGGAGTGAGCTTACAACGACATTCAGCTTGACATCCGCCAATATGACTCGTCAGGAGATCGTTGCCGTCTTCAAGTTGAAGAGAAACAAGAAAGAGATCGCCCGTCTCCGTGAAGACTCTGACCTTGGAGAGAGAAAGATATCTCTCGGCCAGATGATTGCCGAAGCGTTCCCAGACGAGGAATCACTCTTCAGGGACGATGAAGAGGATATGCAGGACTGGTTCGGGTTCGAGAATGAACCAGCTGAACAAGCTAACCCAGCTGTTGAGGACCCTGAAGCCAACGAGTCGGCTGAGTCGACGCCAGCCGTGACTGAAGAAGAACAGTCTTCTTCCCAGGCCGCGATGAAGCCCGATGAGGACGGTGATTTCGAGAAGCCGAAGGAGACCAATATTGTTCACCCCTGGAACATTGTTGATTATCACCTCTATCTGACCGCCATCGAAAATGGCGCAGGTGAGCATATCAAACGTCATTGTATGTATTTGTTCGACGGGAGCTGGTGCCGTCCTTTTCTCTACCGCAACTTCTTCGAGAAAGAAGGAGAGGAAGGAGACGCGTTCTCCCCTGACAAGGTTGGCCCAGCGCCGCAACTCTTGTTCGGGATTCTTCCCATCGCAGAACGAGGCCCCTACTTCAACGGTATGAAATATCTGCTGGGTTTCGACTGGAACGCAAAGAAGATCTTCGCTCGCCGCTTCACTTGGATCCCAGATGAGATTGAGGACATATGGACTGTTTGGGAAGAGGGCCAGATCGTCTACCAATTTTCGATCCCAGAGCTCCGGCGTATGATGAGGGCTAGTATCAGCAACGGAGACGGGAGCATAGATGTCACATGCTTAGGCTCAAGCGACCATTGCCTGGTCAAGGGTGTCGGCGACGGACCTGGATTGGAGATGGTTATTGTCATACAGTGCTGCCAGTGGGTCACTGACCTGGCGGAGGTCTTCTGGAAGAACGAAGACGAGATCCGTTGCGTGAAGGAGGAACTCATTGGTATCGCACACGAATGGCAGCTTGTCCTCCAGCGCGCTTCGCACAGGGCATGGTTCGCTTTGGACGATGGTATGCCAAAAGATCCAGATGCCAGGAAGTTCTTGATGGATGAAGTTATTAGCGACCTGTGTAATTTCAATCAGTCAAAGATGCTTGAAAACGTGTACGACAACTCATGGCATGCCCCATCCCAGGACACCTGCGAGAGGATCCGCCAGCGCTGCTGGGACCAATACCGGGAGGAAGCTATGGAGCGTGTTGGGAAGAAATACGAGCGCGTCTTCAGTCCGACGTACAGTGCAATTTCAACAATGTCACCGGGGAAGACACTTGGGAACATAATAGGTCGTGCTGGAAGCCTTGCAGGGCCGGCAGCTTCCTTCCTGGACATTCCCAGCACTCCTCCTCCGGCTGAACCTTTCTGGATGCCTCCGTCTCCATCCTCTGACTCGTCTGAGGAGATCGTCTCTCCAGCCACAGGAAAATATGATAGTCAATATGACGGGATCAGACTATGTGCTATGCTGAGTGTCCTGACCGGCTTCATCGAGCAGAACCCAGCGTTGGACATCCCTCACTATCGCCGCAGACTTGGAGCCTTGATGGATTATATGGGCCTCTCTCTGGTGAACCGCGAGCCTCCCAGGGAAGAACGTCGTTCTTTGGCTCAACAGAAGCGCGATTCCGGATTCGGATACAATGAGGAGGAATGGGGAGAAGAGTTGAAAGCGATGGGAGACACCGAAGAGAGCGACGAGAACTTTGTCGCCCGCGTTCCCGCCCTCCTTCCCAGTCCCATTCTCGACTGAATCAAGGAGGAATCGAACAATCTTCAATAATACCTTTGTCCATCTTCACTCATCTCTCGAATTTTTGTCGAAGTCCAGTTTCAATTTCCTCGTGATTTCATGCCTTTGTACCGGTGTCCATCTCTTTTTACAACCTTTCTGCATGTTCTCCAGTTTCCCCTTCATTTCACCTCTTTATGTCTAAAAAACAACACCTTTCTCCATTCCCTTTAGCATTGCAGTCACTAACCCCCTTTTCATCACTTCTGTGTCTTGTATTGGGTCACTATTTTCTCAACAGACCACTCATCAGGTAATATGTCAGGCAGCTGGGCTTGTCGCCAACCCTTTTCTTTCGACTTTTGTGTCTGAATACCCTCCCAGAACGTGTTTTTGAGCTTTCACTTCAAGCATTCAGTTTGTCTCGTTCTGTTTGGTGTACTCTCAAGCGTGTCACTGGTGACGGCTGAGAACATGATTTGTCTATCGAGTATTTGGTTTCTTTTCTTTCCCTGTCTTCTCTCCTTCCCCGAAATGGTTCTCTTTCACATGGATGGTCATACCGTTGCTTTCGGTGGCATGAAGATAACTGTATCCGTACTGCATTCTGCACGTATGGGGTCCCCCTTCTTCGTGCATGAAGTGAGCGGCAGACCGACCAGTGTACTGTACCTAATGGGAGATGAAGAGCACGAGTTACAGAACAATGAAAATCTCAAAACATTGCTAGTAGTATCTTGATTAGAGTGCTCAAGCGTCTGACACGGATAACCACTGTCCTGATCCCAAACAGGCAGATAGTTTGTAGCTCTAAGCACAAGAATCGTACCTCTCACGCCACAAATTCTTGACTCGCGAATTGCAGCCCGTGGAAAAATCTGATGGTGATCTTATCTTAGCGCTCCGGTGAAATACCAAGTAGTAGCTGAGTGTACAGCTGTGTCAAATATCAGGCCGGCGGGAACCTAGATAGCAAATGTGTGCGGCGCCCGAGTCCAGCTATATGCACGTGTGCGATAAGATCTAACACCAGATGCATAATGGAAGGTAATAATATACTGGCGGTCATCGATGATGCTTAAAAATGCTCCATACCTGTCATTTTGTTTATGATCTGTCCCGTGATGTCCAGTAGATGTTTGGATATGCACATCATACACCCTAGCAGAAACGGATCATATTTCGTGTCGGGCATAGGTTGGTATAATAAATCAAAATATAGGAAATACTAGGAGTTACAATAATCCATAATCTTAGGTTGCACTGAGCTCCTAGGATAAGTCTCTAGAACTAGAAAAGATTAAATATGGGATAGTTTATGTTTGACTTTATACTCATTTAAGTTGGCCTGCAATCCCACTCTAAAGGCGTCGCGCATAGACCTAATAGTTACTTATGCTTATACTATACAAAATGATGAAAAGCTCTTGAGAAATTAGATCAGACCATGCAATATCTTTACTAGCTTCTTGCTGCATAATGAAGCCCATAAATATATGACCCCCTAACATCATATCTGGAGAGATAGAAAACTTTAATAACTATCTTAATAGTACCTCAACTAGCTAATAATAATAATAATACCAGTAGTGAACTAAACCAATAACACAGCTATTCCTTAATGGTTATTCCTCAACCTCTGGGTACATCCCCCATTTATAGTTTCAAAATCTTCCACAGCTGGCCTTACTATCAGTGACGTAGGTTCGCTACCATCGCAGAAGCCTACAACGCGAGTAAGAATTAGGTCATCCCTCATAGAATCAGTTACCAGGTAGAAACAACTTGCTACTGAATCTCACTCTCATTTCCATCTGTCGCTCTTGTCTCTGCGTCCACTTTGTCAGGGTCGATAGTGATTGATACACTAAGTGCTGGTTTACTCCAAGAAACAATCAGAATGGAATCGTAAGTATACACTTGAGTCGACTATTTGAGGACAGAACGCCCTAATCATGAACTAGTCTCACGGCTCAAACCACTCCTAAAGCTGATCGTGCCTCCAACACGAAAGATGGCGCTCAACCCAACTCATCAGACCAGCCTGCAAGTTGCGTCCCAGGCCAAGGGCAGAGAGAATCATAAGAAGCTAACGAAATGTATAGGAAACTCCTTCAACAACATCGCTGTCTCCGCCTCACCGCTCCTCCATTCCAGACTGGCACGGTAATTATGATCGCAGACCTTCATGGGACATAAACTAAATGATATTCACCGCAGGGGACCCCCGCGCCTTCAAATGTGTTTTGTGTCAGAATTGGCATACGGCCCGGTGTCCTTGGCTCCGAAATTATTAGCTTGGCTTATGGATAATACGTTTGCTTTCCTTTCTGAAGGAGTCGTGGGTATGTGGGAATCTTTGGTAGATTGGTGTGGCTTTCGAGTAATCAGCAGCTTAATGATAAGAATTTGGACCTAGTAAGGAGAAGAAATAGTATTTAGATTCCAGGCTTGTAACCGCACATCAGAATCATGCACTGGAGACGTCTCTCCGTAGAATTACTTGTAAGGACTCTACGTTACAAAACACTACTAGACTGGACAACACGAGCGTAACGGCACATGAAATGACACCTTCATAAAACAGTGCAGTGAGGAACTGATATAGAGTATATACTTAAGGTTAGAATGACGAGCTTCTCCGGTTCATGTCTCATCTTCTGTACTGCTCTTGTGAGGTCGACCAGAGGCCCTATCTTCATGACAACCACATAGTGGTCGATCACAGTTGAAGTATGGTCCTCGGTAAAGGACCAGGAGGGAATTCGTGCGCTTGCCCTCGACTAAGTTGCCAATTTTGCTGTATTACCACAGCAGCATAACGAAACTGAATTTATAGACCGACTAGAGCAGGATCCATTTTCTGGCTCATTAGCGGTCAAAATCAGTACCCGGCTTTCGCTAGCCGCTAGCCTATCAAAGAGATCTAGCACAGGGCTGAGTGGGAGACTGTTGATAAATTGATATGGTTTGTTAAAGCGCTTATATTAGGCTTAAAATATTAAAGAAAAGATTAGACGCTAAGCTAGCTAAATAGCTAAAAGGAGAAAATCAATGCTTACTGGAGTTACTTAGTAAACTCTTTATAATGCTTAGTATAGGTCAAATACATATATTAATATTAGTGAGCATCAAGTCGCTTAGCATTAGCTCAGTGAGTGCTCGGCATTGCCCACCAAGCGAGTTCATCTGTAGTTAGATGGACTCTTATGAAAGCAGCACGGAACAGGAGAGGAAGCCGGGAGGTCGTTGCATATATTTGCTACATTGGATGGATATGCCACGTAGATACTCTGTTGGTGATAGCGGGATTCCCTGGTCCATGGGAGGTCGGTGACCTGTGCGTATCATGTGCAGTAGCATACCACACATCACATCTAGTATTATGTATCCAGTTACCCACATCGAGTTCATCCAGTCTATCAAACTGGAGAAAATTTTCTGTGCGTTTGCAGTTCCGCCTTGGCGAGACAACTGATAATCACACAGTGGGGAGCGTGTCCGCCGCCAAGTAAGGTAGCGGATGCCTTCCGGGTCCCAGTAGATTGTACAGTAGTTATCAGATACTACTAGTTAAACTTTGAAGCTGTGCCCCCAACGAATTTAGCGAACGTGGTGGAGACGAGCTGAATATGTTTGAGGGAGCGACACTAATCATAGAAAGAGGCTTTTGAGAAGAAGAAAAACCGTGAGATGGACAAATTACCTAGTTAACTAGTAGATTGTCATCAAAGATTCACATGACGGCAAGTTCCTTCTGCTGCTCACGAGGCAGACTGGTCAACTCAACGGATAGATAATAATGATTCAGCCACGAGCATCCAGCACTGTGTTTTCGTGGATGCGGATGAGGGCGTCTTACGCAACTTCGAAGGCTTCGTTAACTAACTAGTATTTCTTTCAGCTGCGCATCACATGATTCATATCAGATCTGAAAATGCTGTGGGGCCGATCAGCTGAGGCCCCACCCCGCTAGCGCCGCAAGTGGCTCCCGGCGTGGCTTGCGAGTGGCGGTGCTGAGGCTGGGCGGTTCCCCCCGCGCGAAACGGGCTGTGGCTGATTGGCCCGTATTATCCAGAGGTAGGGCTTGGCATCGTCACTTCCTCAAGCCGGTGCTTCGAGGCATTCCTTACTAGTGCTGCCCGCGCGGGTCTTGACGGCCCTGCCATTATTTCCCCCTGCGTCGCCTGCTGCTGCTCCCTTTCTTTCTTTCTTTCTTTCTTTCCTCTCCGGATCGTTCTTTTCCCTCATCGCCTTTTGCTCACTTTTCTTGTCACTCTCTTACAATTCCATTGTCCCACTTTCCTTTCAGACCTGAACCGACCCCTCGTCGCGGCACCGGGAGATCTTTGCGCGCTGAGTGGTTCTGGTACCATTGCGTTGCCATAACGCCCATTTGCGCACCTGGAAGAGGTCCCCTTAGATCATGGCGGATTACGAGTCGCAGCAGGCAGGCCAGAATGGCTATGGTACATACGAGAAGGCAGTAAATGGTGCGTTTGGAACGTGTTGCTCGCGAGGGCGGAACCACTGACACTCCTCCTTCTATCCAGGGAACGGTACCCCTTTCGACCTCCAGAACGCGGGAGTCAAAAGTACCGCAGTGTCTCCGGCAGAGCTAGCATCTGGATATCAAGCTGGGGGCACCGGTTCTCAGCTGGATGTTATCTGCGGCCCTCTGATCAACTATAAATACATGGAGTTGGATCCCGGCTCTCCCGTCTGGCAGGGAAGTGTTCTGATCGTTACTACTCCAACTCACCAGCAGCAGCCGCATTTACACTTGCGCCAGGCGGGTCCTGTGTCGCATGCGAGCAATGGTGCGCAGAATGGTGGCACGTCGGGCCGCGAGGGAACCATTGATGGTATCAAGCTCTACGAGGACCCGGAAAAGACGTTCTGGCGGTTTTCTCTCACGGTCCCGATTGAACAATTCGAAGCTCGTTGGGAGTACACTATCCCTGGCTTCAAATATGCCACTGGAGACCCAGTAAAAGCGCCCTGGACCTTTGTGGTTCCCGCAGCCGACCAATCCATGCGCCTCATGTTCCATTCCTGCAATGGTTTCTCGGTCGGAACGGACACGGAGAGCTGGGCTGGTCCGGCGCTCTGGAACGACGTCCTGAGGATCCACGAAAAGCGCCCTTTCCACGTCATGATCGGAGGCGGTGACCAAATCTACAATGATGGCATCAGAGTCGACGGTCCCCTCAAGCAGTGGACAGATATCACGAACCCCCTGACGAGAAGGCACCATGATTTCAGCGAGCACATGCGGTCCGAGTGTGACAAATATTACTACAAAAATTACGTGAGGTGGTATACCTCTGAGCCGTTCAAGACCGCCAATGGACAGATTCCTCAGATCAACATCTGGGATGATCACGATATCATTGACGGTTTTGGCTCCTATACCGACCACTTTATGAAATGTGCTGTCTTCCGCGGTATCGGAGGAGTGGCATTCAAGTATTATTGTCTTTTCCAGCACCATATCCCGCCTCCCAAGTCTACCTTCACCACGGATGCGCCCGAGACAATGCACGCGGTCAACGGGACGTCCGGAGTCGACCCGCGCCAGACGGAGAATACGTTCGTGCTTGAGAGCTTGGAAGAGGATCGCAGTTGGATCATCGGGAAGCGTCCCGGACCGTACGTAGAAGAGAGGAGTCGAAACCTGTACATGCGTCTGGGTAAGCGCATGGCCTTTGTCGGTCTCGATGCGCGGACAGAGCGCACGCGCCACCAGGTGAATTATCCCGATACGTACGACGCCATCTTTGACCGGCTAGATGAAGAAGTTGAAGCTGCGAACGGCGAGATCAAGCATCTCATTCTACTGCTGGGTGTTCCGATTGCGTATCCCCGTCTTGCGTGGCTGGAAAATATCTTCAGTTCTCCCCTCATGGCACCACTGCGTCTGATGAATAAACGTTTCGGGCTTGGCGGTGGTTTCTTCAACAGTTTCGACGGGCAGGTCGATCTGCTGGACGATTTGGACGATCATTACACCGCTAAGCATCACAAGCGCGAGCGCAGACATTTTATACAGCGCCTTCAGGCCTTCGCGAAAGCGCATTCCATCCGGGTCACAATTCTGGGCGGAGACGTCCATCTGGCTGCTATGGGCCGATTCTACTCGAACCTTGATCTCAATATCCCCCCTCTGAACGACCACCGATACATGGCCAATGTCATCAGCAGTGCCATCACAAACAAGCCGCCTCCCAAAGCCGTGGCCAACCTGCTGGCACGGAGGAACAAGATCCACCACTTGGACCCAAACACTGATGAAACTCTGATGGTCCTTTTCGACAAGCAGCCTGGAGGACAACCCAAAGCTGCGGCTTTCAACCATGTCACAATGCCATCCCGGAACTTTGCTTGTATCACAGAGGTCACCGGATCCGCAACCGCCAACGGCGTGCCGTCAAATGGGGATCAGAACGAACAAGCGGATTTGCGCCCCACCACTCCTGCAAAGGATGGCCATCAGCCCCTTCACATTGGTGAAGAGAATGTTGGTACAGTACACAAGGCAGCCGACGGCGTCAGCAGTGACAGTGGACTGGTAGGCGGCCTCGATATTTCAATCCGTGTGGAGATCGAACAGGGCAACCCGGAGGGACTTACTGAAGGCTACGGGTTCAGCAGTAAGCAGGTTCTTTCATATAAGTACAATTGGGTAAGACAGACGCTAACATCTACCGACTCACAGTTCCGCCTCTCAAGGTCGACCCATCTATCGATGACGGTGATAGTCACTGGCACCTTCGAAGCGCCTTACGCTCCCGGCACTCTCTGCACTCACGCCGTAGCGTGAATTGATCAACCTGGTGTCGAAACAGCATCATCAGTTTCGATTTTCTATCATGAGCTCGTAAGAGCTTCCAATACCCCTTATTTGCATGATTCGTGATTCCTTTCGTTCTAATCCTCTTATTCCTTTCTTCTCTTTTCCGATTCTTTCCTCATTATCTTCAAACGAGGATGGATTCTTTTCGCTGTCGCCTGGGGCGTGATGTTTTACTATGATCCTTAATCGGGGTCAGAGGTGTTGTTCGCATTTGTGATACCACGCAATACTTGCTTCCGGCGCGGGTTTCTCCTAGTGGACAAAAAGGACTGCATTTTCGTCAGCTTCTCAAATACCAATATTTTCTCTTAAGAGTATTGAATGCACCATACCGTGTTTCTTACCCCCTCTCGAATTTGGTAGTTGCGACCCTGTAGTTGACAGCAAGACTGCAGCATGGGGTTTGACAGTCCACAAGAGTTTATTTCTAGACATTCCGCTCAGTGCCATACCTCTCAGTAACGTATACGGATAGTAGTTTTCTTCTATCCAGCCTGTAAAACTGGCTATTAAACAATAATAACATCCCCTTAGGAGGAGAAGGGATCATCGATAGTCACTTACTACCACTGGCGGGTCTAACCGGATCAGGCAGATAGATAGGCCAACCTTAAGTGGGTCCAATCACTGCTTCCCCGGAACAGAGCATGTTTCTGTCTATCAAACTGCGCAATTACTATGAAGTACTCAGGACTGGAAAGGCAATGCTATACATCGGCTCTGCCAGTCTTGGGGGCTATCTCTATCGTCGCGAATGGTGGCAGCGGGGATACGCCAAAAACGGCTATCATGATGAGATGAGATCAGCGAACATATGGGCTCCCTGGCCCCAGAGAATGATTCACAAGATAAGAAAGAAACAAATACTGGCTGACTGCCTGAGGATCGAGAAGAGCTTCTTGTCTCTCTTTTCCGCTCTGCGTCGTCACTGAATTCTTAAGAACCCTCTATGGTTTCTTTACGCTGTTGTGAGAAAAGCAGTCATTGAAGAGTAACCGGAATAGAGGCAACAATGGTTTCCTCAACAGTCCTCCAGGCCTGGGAGGCCTGTGACAAGACCGACACGGTATTCATCCTTGTCTGCAGCGTTTTTTGCTGGCCCATCATCCCCGCCGTTGGACTGGGTTACTCCGGTTACTCAACGAGGCAGAGCGGACTCGCCTCGTTCATACCATCCATTCTCGCAATTGCTGTCTGCTCGATCCAATGGTGGCTGATTGGTTACAGCCTCGCCTACGGTGATGGAAATGGGGTTATTGGGGGTCTCAAAAATGCTTTCCATCGAGGCGTCCTGGCAGACCCAGTAGGGAGTATCCCGGCGATTTTGTTCAGTGAGTTTCAGCTCATCTTCTGCGCGACAGTGTGCGCTATTTCCATCGGAGGTTCGTGTGAGCGTGGGAGGATCCTGCCTTTGGTGCCTTTCATTTTTGTGAGTGGATCGTTTCTACTGATTTCTTGTCATTCTTTGTGTTGATTCGATTCGCTGTACTAGCTTTGGGCTACGTTCATCTATTGCCCGCTTGCGCACATGGTGTGGTCAGAACAAGGCTTCCTAAGTGGCCTTGGAGCCCTAGACTTCGCTGGTGGTACTCCAGTCCATATCTGCAGTGGTGCTACCGCAACGGCTCTCAGTCTATACCTCTCGTACCCGATTGCGCGTTCACGAAAGTCCTCTGTGCGCACTCCTTCGCATTTGACACTCCACCGCCCTCATAACAGCATGTGCCAGCTGCTTGCTATGGTCATCATCTGGAGCTCCTGGCTCGCCTTCGACGCAGGAACAACCCTCAGCCTGAACTTCAAATCAGTCATGGCGTTGTGCGTGACGAATATCTGCGCTGCCGGTGGTGCAGTGACATGGGCAGGCGTGACATACTTCGAGACTGGAAAGTGGTCTCTCGACTCAACGTTCATGGGAGCCATTGCTGGGCTGGTCATGATCACCCCCTCTGCTGGTTTCATCGGCATGACCACCGCACTCTTCTTCGGAATTGGAGGTGCCGTCATCTGTCGCCAGGCGCTACGGATCAAGTTCACTGACGCTGCTCGTCGATTCCGCTGGGTGGATAATGGAGATACCTTTGCTACGCACTGCGTGGGTGGTTTTGTGGGTACCATTGCCACGGGACTCTTCGCCATGAAGGAGGTTGCTGCCTATGATGGGTTCACCGAGATCACAGGGGGTGTTTTCTTCGATGGAAACGTCAGGCAGCTCGGTATCCAGGTCCTGGAGGCCATCATTGGATTCACTTGGGCTTTCGTGGGATCCTACTTGCTGTTTGCTCTGATCGACTGCGTTCCTGGACTGGAGGTCTTAGCTGAAGATAAGTGAGTATTGGCCCATTTCCATTAGAGAGAGAAATTAAGTATGATGTCTCAGTATTGATGTTTCTGCATAGGGAGATTATTTCCGGAATGGACGCGTCGCAGATGGACGAGTCGTTGTATGAAGCTCAGTGGGCGACCGAGGTGGACTATCACCCCTTTTCAGGGAACGGGGGCATCGTCTTAGAGTAGATGTGCTCTGGTGATGAATCCTTCTCTTCTATATATCTTCTATATAGTTCCATAAGGTAATACCCCGACAATTGTAATTGATTTTCCTTTTCGTCCCGGTCATACAGTATACGCAGTCGCCGAGGGTGGCGATATGCACAATTATCCGGGATGTACGACAGCACGTTTGGGAGATCTTCTATAAGAATTGGAGTAGATTATTTCCACACATGCACACACCGTCTAAAGTAGGAGGGAAATTCCATGATTTCAATTCAATCGCCTCTTCCATCGTCATGATCCTCGACCTTGAATCATCTGACCAAGCGGCGGTAATAATATCTCTGCAGGCCCCTCTCACGCTCAGGCCCCGAGTATCTTTCGGTTGACTATTCAATATGGCTGATAAGCAGTAAGCCCCCATCCAACCTTATCGGAGCTGGTCAACTTCCCCATTTCCCCCTCTCTTTTCCGTTTTCAATCTCAAATAAGAAAGTGAACGTTGTTGCAGGCCCTAAGCGGCTTCCTGCTCTCAGTCTACTGCCCCAGGTTCATCAGAAAATTCCACTACCATAGATCTCAAATATAGTCCAAACTAATACTGCAAGTTTTCGTTTTCTGTCTTGAAGAAAAGTCCTTTCTCCACTTTCCCCCGGCCTGGTATCTTGATTCTATCTCCACGTTTTTATTGTACTAGACCATGGTCCCCAAACGCATAAGGACTGTCGAAGGTTCCTGCTGGCCATGCAAGGATCGTCGAGTCATCTGCGATCTCCAACAACCTGAGTGTTCGCGTTGTGCTACGTCTGGCCGGGCATGCAACTACAGCAAAGTCCGTCTCAAATGGTGCAACGGCATTGCGGCTCGTGGGCGTTTCGCGGGTCGGAATGACCCCGTTTCTGCTGCTGCTGTCACTGCTAATGCTACCTTTTCAACCGGCGGTAGGACTTTGGCCAATGTTACTACTACTACGGATGGTTCTGCTGTTGCTGCTGCTGATACTGGCTTTGGGGAAGGATCGAGCTCGTCGGAGAGGAGCGATGATGATGGTTCCTCTGTCATCAGTCTCAGTCCTTCAGCGAGCTTTAGTGTCCTGTCTGCTACGGTATTGGAGCCCGCGTTTGTCATGACGGCAGACCATTTGATGCTTTATTTCCAACATGAAGTCTTGGATAGGTTTAATGTGGCCCAAGATCGGCTTCAGGTTGATGTAGGGTCCGCTTGTAAGGATCCTGCCTTACTCCAATCCGTCACAGCGGTTGCGAATGCACATCATTTCCTCTACGCACGGAGGAGTCAGCAGGATGCGATTTTGGCGAAGAAGATAGCTAGATTGACAGCTATAAAGCTGTTTAGGGAAAGATTACAAGTTTCTCGTGTGCGGCGACGACAGCAACAACTGGTGAAGACAGGAGCGGATGGGGGCCTAGATATAGCTCCCGTGAAGGACCTGTTTGTTATTAATGTTTTGTTTTGTATCCTTGACGGGATTATAGAGCCTTTAGATGAAGGCGCCGCCACTTATCTGCATTTCCGCGGTGGGAGAGCTATCCTGGCCCAGTGGGGGTTCCTGGATCAGCTCTTTCGAGTGAAGAAGGGTCTATCCGCGTTGATGCTGTCCATCTTTGCGACTATGGATCTGACCCATTCTCTACTCACTGGAGAGAGGCCATACTTCTCTCCTGAGAGCTGGATGGACTTTGCTGATTGTGAGGGCTGGTGGGGTGTTCTTCCACCGGGAGATCAGTTTCTCGAGATCATGGCTGCCCTCTCTCACATCGCACGGTTGGGACATCAATACCGCTCAATTGGGGTGTCTCCGCCTCTCAAGGAGATTTTATCAGTATGGAATACCCTGGATCCGAATGGCAGCGGTCTCATGGACAAAAGTGGGTTTGTAATAACATCTCTTCCCGCGATTCCATTGGAGCCTTCTGCGCCTTCAGATACCGGTGGTTCCCAGCCTCTCAACTATGACCGCTCCTGGGAAGTCTTCTGTTCCGCGTACCGGCAGACTGCATTGATATACATCTACCGGGCTGTCTGCAACTTGCCGCTGACACATCCACGCGTTCAACGGGCCACAGAGGCTGGCCACCGGGCGATCTGTGAGACTCGGCTGGCGGGGAAGTTATCTCACTGTCTTCTTTTCCCGACGCTGGTGATTGGAAGCCAATGTCTCATACCGGAGCAGCAAAGGGCGCTGCGTAAGAACCTGCTGTTAACGGGCACGTTCTTGTATTTCGGCTCCATACCGGTGATGGACCAGTTCCTGCAGAAGCTGTGGGCGACTCCAGACCCGGACGTGAGCTGGTGGGACTGCTTTGAAAGCATCTCGCGGAAGACGTTCCTGTTCTGAGCTTTGGATCCCGAAGAGAAAGAGGGGGCTCGCATCTTTTTACGATTTCCATGTGTGTATATATATATATATATTATCTGTCTTTCGTACCCGATTATTTCGAGTTTCATGACGAATCGATGACGGAAGGGTGGTACATACAAACGGTTGATGAATCTCAGTGTTATTACCATGATTTTTAAATGGAATCGCGGGTCCTGTTGTGCCCCGTTTCATTTCTGTAGCAGGACGGCTGCATGGGATCGACTTTAAACTTCGTCTGTACTCCCGGAAATATGTACCCTCGCGAACCTGCAGTTTCTTTCCCCGGATATATTATTGTTCTCTGGCTGGACCGGCTACTTTGCCCTGGGGAGTAGTTGGATCCGACTCCAGGATTATCCGACCGATTGTGTAATGTGTAATGCGGATAAGCTCTTCTGGAGTCTTATCTGGCTGGTGATCGTCTAGACTATGTTCATACCTGCAGGATAGATACCTAGTGAGTATCATGGTTTGATGAACGCGGGATCTACTTCTGAATATCATGTCGATTCTATCAAATTCAGACAAGCAGTTACAATATGGTTGCCTTAACAGCGCTGATTGTGTCTTTGGTCTAATATTTGAACTCCCCGGATCCCTCTCCATTAATAAATGTCAGTTCGCAGGGTCGATTCACATTCCACCAACTAAGTACCTAGTAGTTAGTTAGTTACAGTAACTAACTAACTGACCTCTGGAATCTTTTCCCCTGTTGGGAGTGACGATCGCCTTATCGCGGTCTCGTGACTGGTTGCTTTTCCCCGGATCCACCGGGACGCCGTCGCTTTTGCCTCCAAAACAAGTGCAATCTTCACAACGCGCTGGACATGGTTCTATTAACTATTCTACTCTTTAGTCCTCTGCATGTGTTCTTCAGCTCTAATGAGCTGTCGCTATGACCATGGCCGTTTTGTGCCTCCCAGATACAGATGCAGCCTGGGAACTGGCGCACGCGGTATCGATGGATTTCCTGGTGCAGCCGAACACGAGCTTACCCGTTATACAGCATGAAGAAAAGACAAGCAAGACCGCTTCTGCAGAGAGGGAATCGATGATCCAATATCCAGTAATGAGTGGATTCCGGCTTTCCTCTGACAATGTGGAAAGTAAAGTGAGAGTGGCTAGCTGCCAGTGGCGTTGCTCAGGGGGGAGAATCATAAGTAAGCCGGTGATAAGGGAATCAGGAATAGATTATCACATCTCGATCGCTCGCTCACTCACTAGGGTTCCGATACTATATGGAGTAGTCTTATAAGTACAGCGGGGTCCAACCGGTTTGTTTCACGCTTTCACTGCCGCTCTCTTTGCCCCTGGTGAGATCATATATTTAACTAAAGCTCGGATCCTTTTGCGATTGCTTATCGTTGGCGTTTATGCAGCTGCTAGTTAGCACTGCCAACAGCAACCGGGATCATACTTAGTACTTGAACGCATACCATTATTGGCGTCGATGGCCATGTGTTCTTGACTGGTCGCATTTGATTCTTTTTCACGGTTAGACAAGTGTATTAACAAGCCTCGGGACTGTTGAACTTGTACTATACATCAACACCTGGACTACTCTATTTCTGTCCTCTCCTGCTTGTCAGTTGACTCGCTTCATTTCTTTCTGCTACCAGGGTCGCAGTGCGATTGACCCTCAATCGATATCCTTGTTCTGATCAGGAGGGGATATACGATCTTTCTCTCTCTCTATCTCTCTCTCTCTCTTTCTTTCCTTTTTTTATATATATAGCTGAGGTTCAATACGATTCAAGGTCACAATGGACGCCATGGACGAAAAGAAGGCGCCTTGCACGACGACTCCGAGCCAGGAACATGGCGCCCCAGAGGAGGGAATCATCCTCAAGGACCAGCAGGAAGGTCTCGACAAACTGGGTTATACGCAGGAGTTGACGCGAAATCGATCGCTTATCACCTTGCTCTTCCAATGTCTTGCCATGGCCGCCATTCCCTACGGTGAGGGTGGCCCTCTGCTGAGTGCGATCTATGGCGGGGGTCCACTATCGATATTTGTTGGCTGGATTGTTGTCCTCGTGCTGGATGAGTGTGTCGCCGTCTCTTTGGGGGAGCTTGCCTCGCGGTATCCTACCTCTGCTGGGCCATACTACTGGTCCTACCAGATCGCCTCCAGAGGAAAGACAGTTCTGTCGTTCATCACTGGTTGGGCCTGGCTGGTGGGCAACTGGACCATTACCCTGTCTGTGAACTTTGGTTTCGCATCTCTTCTGTCAGCCGTTGTGTCGATGTATCATCCCGATTGGTCTGCCAACAGCTGGCAGCTCCTGCTCATCTTCTACGCTGTGATCCTGAGCTCCTTCGTCATCTGTACGTTCGGAAACCGCTTCCTGCCCATGGTCGACATCATTTGCGCCGCGTGGACTGCTATCAGCATAGTGATCATCTTGATTGCTCTCTCTGTCAAGGCGGACGTTGGCCGGCATAGCGCCGGTTGGGCCTTGGGCCATTATGATACGAGCTTCTCGGGTTGGGGCGGCTTTACCTTCTTCATCGGCCTGCTGCCACCTGCCTATACATTCTCGGCTATTGGAATGGTCTCATCGATGGCAGAGGAGTGCGCTAACCCGGCTGTCAAGGTGCCGCAGGCTATCAGCCTCTGCGTGCCCGTTGGCGGCTTTGCCGGTTTCTTCTTCATTCTGCCTATCTGCTTCACCATGCCGCCGCTCGCGGAGCTCATCAACGCGCCTGCCGGTCAGGTTATCCCGTACATCTTCAGCCGGGTGATGGGCAGCCCTGGTGGTGGCCTCGGCCTGATGTTCCTCGTCTTGGTCATCGTCTTATTCTGCTCCATCAGCATCACTGTCGCCGCCTCCCGAACCACCTGGGCCTTTGCGCGCGATGGTGCCCTTCCCCTGTCCAGCGTCTGGGCCCGGGTCGACAAACGCCTCGGTGTGCCCGTCTGGGCCCTCGTCCTTCTGACTGTGATCCAGATGCTTCTAGGTCTCATCAACCTCGGAAGCAGCAGTGCGTTCACGGCCTTCGTCTCCGTCGGTGTGATAGCCTTAGCCGCCAGCTATGCCATCCCCATCACTCTGAGCCTCATCCAGCGCCGTCGCGAAGTGAGTCGTGCGCGCTGGAACTGTGGCAACATCATCGGACCAATCGTTAACGTTATTGCTATCGCATGGATCTGTTTCGAACTGGTTCTCTTCAGCATGCCCACCGCTTTACCCGTCACGAACGTCAGTATGAACTACGCCTCGGTTGTCTTTGCAGGCTTTATGGCTATTGCAGCGGGGTGGTATATCATTTCTGCAAGGAAGAGTAAGTTTCGTCCTGGTCTCCTGACTAGTTTTCTGTCGTTTGACTCTTTTACAAAAATTATTCATATACTGACTGTCGAACAGCTTATAAGGGACCTCCTGAATCTGATGGTCTTGAGTAAGAATAAGGACGGAAGTTAGTCTATTAGTTGGGGATTCTTCTTGTCGATATGATCAGTATATACAAAAGAGATAGTTTGATACTATTAATATAAATACCTCTTCGAGTTCTATAATTATAAATGCAAATGAAGAACAATAAACGTTGCATTATGTACTAGGTAGAATTCCTCCATCGATACGAGTAATGTGCAAGCAGGGTATTCTATACTAGCGTATCATATCATGCCATGGATCACGGCAAAACCTTCTAATTAAACAATCCAGATTCTGCTCTTGAAGAAGATTAGGCTCTTATATAGAATGAGCTCGTTCGTAGCCGGGGCTCAAATTTATCAGCATTTAGAGACACCACCGTAAACTATCTATTCACTGCCATGTCAAGACGACGCCATGAAGCGAAGGATCGTATGCTAATTCTGCAACGAACAACCATGTGCATGTCCGCAAGTCTGCTTAAAACATACCATGAACGCAAAATTGGAAAGGAGAAAGGAAGAAATACAAAGTCGACATGCTTTCAAGCGGTTTTCACCCGCTCGGCAAATCGTACATCCCTTCGCAAGTGTGACGGGGCCCGTCGCTCTGCCCTCGTGTTCACAGATGACGAGAGGAGACGATATGTTGAGCGAGGACGAGGGCACCCTTTCAGAAGATAATCCTTGCAGCCATTCGCCTTATCCTGCATTTGAGACAATCGCCGGCGAAGCTCCATCGATCTGATGCGATCTTCTGCCTTGATTACAATCATATCGTCTATGATGAGGTGGAGTAGGTCGTGAATAAGTTGCGAGCACTGCGGCAGAGTGCGAAGCTCCTCAACCCACGTACGAACCCCACGGCGTACTTCGGCATCATCACCAGATGGAAGAACAGTAAAGAAGTTATCCTCGCTAATGCCCAGAGCTGAAATCTCACTGCGGTGCTCGGCGAAATTCTCGATCTCCGCGTACCCCTTTAGGAGCCAGGTGATGAACTCAAGGTACAGACAGCCGAGGCTCCAGATGTCGTACACGCGAGAGACGGGTCTGAAGATTTTGCATTCGGGAGGTTCGTAAGTAGGGGAAAAGACCACACCGGTTGGGTCGATGTTTGAGCGAGAATCACGACCGTGGAATCTCCCAAGGCCAAAATCAGCGATCTGTAAAACACCATCCGGATCATCAATGCCGTCCATGAGCTGGAAAAACAGGATATTCTCAGGCTTTATATCGCCATGACGCCCGAATATCTTCTCTTCCTCGTCTAGTTTTATCTCTGAAATTACCTGCATGTTTGCGTCCCGGTTGACTAGGGATACTGGCTGCGAGAAGGTCGGACGAAACCCGTGGATATGCACCAATCCGTCGGCTATTCCTATCATCTGCTTGAGCGTCCAGCGGATGGTCCGTTCGTCAAATGGTGGACGAGGCCGCTGCTCCCAGAAGGTGCGGAGATTAAAGTCGGCGTATTGAAAGACAAAATGCCACTCATCCCTGTGACGAAAGGAGGCCAGCAGCTTGATCAGATGGCTATGAGTTGCGATCCTCCTCAGAGCCTCGTGTTCTTTTTTGAATTCCCCTTCATCCAAGGACTTGAGCTTTTTGATCGCTACCAAGGGGATGTTGCCCTGCACAAGAGTTAACTTGATTTCCCTGGCGAATGGTATACATGGATAACGTACTTTTCTATCTCGCTTCAGGGGCAAGTCATGATGCGCGTGATGAATCCGGCAAGCAAACACCTTGCTATATGCACCTTCCTTTACTTCGTGGTTCTTGTCGTCATCTAATAACTTGACGAAAGGTACGATGCGATCTTCCAGATTATCGCTTCCCTGATACTCGAAAAAATGCGCCGAAATCCACTGCTGTTTTTCGTCGAATTTCTCTCTCTGTCTCCTCTGCCAGCCACTCATACACTGGACTGGCTCATAGGCGTCTTCTCGTTTCACATGTAGCCGGTAATCGCTATCGTTCGGTGGGCGCCAAAAGGGAATGTTTCTGTCACAAATGCGTTCTTCAAGAAAAGCTTCAATCTCCCGGGGCTTCTTAAGTGAGACAAGGATCGCAAAAAGCCCTCTGGCCTGTTTAGATGTACATTCCGCAATGTCGTCGGCCTTGTGCTGGCCGAGACCTTCATTTTGAAGAATCACTCGGACGGTTTCTCTGGTGATCAGTCGCTTCAGGCTATCTCGTGGGATGAATTTCTGACGTCGATCGTAGGAACATTCAACGCGTGCGTCCTCGAGTTGCTCCTTGAGGGTCTTGGCCATAGTGTTTACGGATAAGATGCTGTTAGAACGAGATCGTGATGTGGACTCTCGTGTTTCCATCTGGATTGGGAGAGAGGCAATTCCAGAATTGTCTAGTGACAATGTAGGGGACAGCCCTGAACGTTGGCTTGAGACGGGTCTCATGTCTCCATTAGATGAAATGCCTTCAATGCTGGTCTTTGGAGAATGGAGTACTTTATCGTCTGGTGATATTATACCAGGTCTGTTCCCCGCAGTCTCGGAGTTGGTGGAAAGAGATCTGCCAGCCTGATATACATTTTGGCCTATATAGGGCGCGGGAGATGAAGGTGAAGGGTGCTAGAAGGCAACCAAATGGGTTGATCTTGTTACAAGGCGATGATTACCTGACAGTAGCGAAGAATGTACATGACAGGCAACTGACTATTTGGTTGGGCAGCGAAGGGTTCAAGTGAAGCTTCTTGTTCATCATATTTTCACCCATTGTCTGCTATCCGAAGCGCCCTACGTAATTTTCATTAGCCGCGGGATGTGCAGTTCATTAGCAAGAAAGCTTCCCATGTGCTGGATGATCTAAGATAGAGAGCTGGTGCATTAAGCACATACGACCTTGTCTGGGTGCACCTTTCGCCAGAGCCTCAGCCTAGATGCACATATGCAGTCCGGCACTATTGCGATCAAGACCAAGAGCCTCTTGCAAAAAAGCGCCCCGCTTCTGCCTAGTGGGATCAATGTGTTCATGTGAACACTAAACTTGTCTATGAGATGTGATGTTGAGAGCTGAAGATCTAATTATCCGAGCGGCGTTTGGGTAGGAAGATAAACCCTCCTAGGACAGCTACATTACAGTGACGCAGAATAGATGCTCAAGGCGTTTACCCTGAACCACCCTATGAAGAATATATCTTATCGATCAATAGACCAAACATGTTCTAATTCTGAGGCTGAAGATGTCTTGAGTGCTCTAGCCATTCATTGTGACAGGATATATTCATCCCGTGTCTTGCAGGGAACTCGATTGGCCGGGCTGACTCACCGCAGCCTGTTATAGAAGGATCAAACTGTCGGGTTACTAAGTACTATTTGTTGTTTTTTCTTCTATAGGCTTTTTACGAAGTAAGAGGTTTGGTACTCGTTTCTTTTTTGTTAAGCTCTCGATGTCCCCCTTCCCCTGGGTGCCGCAGTAAAGAATGATAAGATCTAAATAGTACAATTATAACGACATAGTAAGCATGTTTTAAAACGACCTCTATAACCTGGTATGTTCCAGCCATCTACAATCAGCCATGGCTACTACAGATCAGTGCTTCAGCATTTTTGTATTGGAAGTGCATACTCCCTCCGTCAACACATCAGGCAAGGAACCACCCGGCACGATTCCCGTTTCCAGATCTGAGGACTTTCGCGATGGCTTCCATGGCAGCAACCAGCTAAGAAGCTTCACTTTACCGAGTGTTCTTGGCGGTTGGGCCTCATTGTCTGGCAATTCCACAGTTATAGTACTCAGATGAACGAACAACCACCAAAGGACGACCGTTAGAAAGGTCAGGGGTATCGAAATAGCTGCGAGAATCCAGGCTTCTGTCGATACGTGCGTCTTTCCATCATTATCAGTTTTGACGAACGTCGTTGAAAAGAAGTTCTGAATTTTCTCAGTGATTGTGTCGTCTCTAGATAGGAACAGGATTAACTTACGGCGACAACAGTCGTTGGAAGATAGACCAAGCTGATGACAGTGAGAACCTTGACAGCTGATGCATCTAGAGCACTTTTGAGCTGTGAATAGAATAGTTAGACCATAAGTATTATATAGTGGTCGGATGTAGAGCTAACTAACCGTAAGAGCTGACAGAAACTTGCCATCCCGTTGCGATGCGATGCCTAAATCTTTCAGGGCCTTTGCTTCTTCGTAGTCCAGGAGGGTTGACAACTGAAGGATAAAACTTAGTAAATGCATGTCTTGATAATCTTAAAGACAGTCGACTCACCATTTGTGCAGTCGATCGCACTTTTTCTGACAAGAACTCGGCACGTTGGACGTACATATCTGCTTCTCGAACATAGCTGTTAAACTCTTCCAGGAAGTACACACAAGTCTGCACTCGCTCAGTGGAATTATCTAAGCAGTCCTTTTGACACTGGTCGCGGACCTGAACTATATTGTTCAACATGTTTACGAGGATCATCTTCATATCGATGGTGTACTCTTCGAGCTCGTGGATGTGTTGGCGATCGAGAAAGGTGATGTTTCCATCCACCTGCTGAGCCACTGATCTGTCTTTCATCGAGAGCTGAGCAAGTAGAATCTTTTCTGTCTATTATGTGAAAAAAATCCCTCACAGTGTAAGTGGGCTTGAAATTGTTTCTCAGAATTGGAGCTACCGACCTGTTCCTTCAATTTGTTCTCCACCCACGCCATGTAATCTTTCCAGTCCCTCAAGCTATCAGTCATAAGAACCCAATGGACATACCAAGGCGAAATGGGTTCTTCAGCCTCTCGTGCTCTCTCAACGCCGCGAAGAATATGCCTCTCAGCAAATAAAGATGGTGCCACTAGCAGAAATGTAGATATTGGTCGGATCTCTCGAGAGGTAATAGCTAAGTCTGGAATGTCACCAGGGGCAATTTTATGATATATTGCAGTCTGTCGAATCGACCAGGGCGATTGGCCATCAGTGAGATCTCGTCCATTGGGTTCCACGCGTCGGAGAATATACGAAAATTCTACATCCGCGTCAGCTATGGTTCAGACTGAATGGATGGCAATAGTAACTAGGACTGACCGCAGGCATTATTGGATCCTGTTCTTCCTACGGCAAAATCGCGGAATTGAAACCCTGCGAAGCCAAATTCGTTCTCGTTGTGTCTCCAGCCAAAGGAAAGCATGTGTTGCCAGAAACGCGGAAATATTTTGTATTGCCTTGCAAATTCTTCGAAGACATTGCGACAGATCTTGAGCCTTCCCCAGGTATTCTCGTGTCGGATAATGAAAACTTGAGATTGATGTACTGAGGCCTGAACTTGAAGTTAATACAATACAATACTGAATAACGCTCGGTATTCAAGCTGGCCTCAAGTAGTATAGAATCTGAAAAGATAGATGCTGCAACAACGCATATTGAACTACATACCTTTTTCAAAGAATAAAGCTGCTCAAGGTCCGCGACCACCTGTATTGTAGAATGGTCTTTATCATTTTCCCCACACATGCTATTCCCACGTGCATCTAGAGGTAGATAATATAATTGAATACCATCATCGGTAGATCTAAACAAAAAGGGGGCTTTTTTATTGACTTTGATTTCCAGTGATGCTCTTTCGGCTTCAAGACACATTGAAGCCATTATCACCACTTAATTTATCGCCGGTGTTAAATCTGAACACCTTGGCAGAATCGATATCGTTACAGCGATTTAAACATAACCCTTCTATATTGCCTTTCAAGTCTTCCTTCTTCCTCAGACTGTCTAAATAAGCCTGGTAAGAACTCTACGGCGAAGTTCGCAATCAAATCAAGTATCTCCCTTCCTTTTCACCCCACGCCCGGAAGCCCTTCACTCGAAGATGCATTTTCAGCTCGAAAACTGTGATTTTTCTTTTTTAGCATTATGCATGCCATTTCAGCTGCATGTCAGAGCCTCACACAACCCCGCCTTCGGCAATATCTCAGGGTGAGCGGTAAGAGGACCGGGTTTGCGGGAGAGTAAGCGCATACACAGTGCCACTCGGTTGTGTCTGCTGCACGAGGCAGCAAATAAAGAGCGAGCTAGGCAATGAAGGTGGGCATAACACAGACCGCATCATGTCAGCCTTTATAACTCATGTCTAGTTCTTTTTACAATTTTGTCGACTTCTCGCTGGATACCTAACTTAGCCCATGTGATCCTGTGGGCAAGACAGCCTTCTATCAAAGATGCCCTTCGCTAAGAGACGTTGACGGTTCACCAGCGCTTGGAATGTCAGGCATGAATGCAGTACTAGGGTGGCTCGTAAGTTCTTATCGTTATGCATCACGAGGCATCCTTGCTAGCTTGAGAATGGCTTCATAGGTGGTTGGAATCTTGCGCAGGGAAAGTCGGTGTGAACATCACTTGACTGTTTGAGTTAATATGCGGCTGTTATTAAAATGACATCTTTTCATTGTACAAATCCGAAAAAGCGACTTCCGCTAAGTATGCAGTATGACAGCATTTAAACGAAAATAAGTTGAAACATGAATGAGAGAGAAGAAAAAAAAAATAATTGATAACTATCGGTAATCTGAATGGTGACTGGGGATATTGGTCATCGCCATCTTGCCATTCTTTGACAAGAACTAATCTGACGCTGTGTAGTTATATCAGAACCTCTCACGAGCAGAATAATAAAAAAAGAAAAGAAAAGACAAACTGAGTCTTACAGCGTTAATAATATCGTTCGAGGAGGACGGCCTGTAAATCTTATAACGGTTGAGCCTCAGCTTTTAGTGCAAGAGCGAGTTAGCATACTTAACATGGAAGATCATAGATCAGCAATTAGGTGATTCAGACCTCAACGAGAAAGTTGTTTTGGCCTTTCTCCGATGTCCCGTACACGTCTCGAAGGAGTTCAATAAGTGCTCGAGGATTGATATACTTGCTCTCGATCACTTGAGGCTCAGGATTATACCGATAGTTTGACATTTCGGACCAGTTATTGACGTGGGAAGTTGAACGTTGCATTTTGATAAAAATAATATTGCTTTATTTGATGGACAAGGTTATAGGAAAAAGCATGTATTGATTGATTATCTATACTGTGAAAACCCCCTATGGAAAACTTTCGGATTGAGGCTTATTGCCATGGACGCCCCTATTTATAATCCTACTCTATCATGTCAAACATCTAGCCCTCGGTAGAACATGATTGAATCTGCTCCTAAGTATTGACGGGTCAAGATCAGCGGTAGCGCTAGAAATGCAGGACTAGGACGCAAGGGTAGGATGCGCAATGAGCGAGGCTCGGATCATACCTCGGTCAAATGAGCAGGAGCGACAATTACGAGCCGCCCAAGACGCTCCTATCAGGAGGATGTCAGCACGGTAAGAATAATGTGACCAGTTAATTGAGCTGAATATCTTGCGCTGAAATGTACTTCCCTGTCAAGAGAACACAGGTGTCACAGTCTCGGACAAGACCATGTGCACGAAGGAGAAAATGATTTGACTCACTTTAACTTCAAAACTTCCTTCAGGGAATAACTGCTTCAGAAGAGCGATAAGGCGAATGGGTTGGATGTAGCGAGATGAGAGAACTTGCTGGGCCATGGTTCCTTTCAGCTGTGTGAATCCTTGAATGATCATATGGCGGATCTGTGATCCTGATTGCGCCTAGGGAGGCGAAGTCTATCGAATATACGCCTTGAGCGTCTCACTAAATATAATCACCTCGAGGATATTCACCGGTTCGTGCGGTGGCAAAGTTCCTCTCTCCTTCGCCTCAAGTGTAGCTGAATGGAATCAGAGCATTTTGTTATCATCCAATGCTAATGCAAATAAGTGCCCGGTGGCAGAAGCTGAAAGTTGGGGGCACAAGGTGTTCAAGGAGGAAAGTATGATCATGCAAGTCATCAACGTGTATCATTCATAGACTAATACTGCAAGACGTGGCTGGATCTTAGTAGATTTAAATTCCCAAGTATGAGCCGAAAATTACCTTGCCAGTCTTGATCACCTTGAGGCTCTAATGAGAGCTCTAAGGTTGTCTAATTCCAATTTGTCAGTTGCTTATTTCAGGCAATATTGGATCTGCGTGCAGTAGACCTATTCATCTTGTCACTAGCAATCACTGAAATAATCCCTTTCCACAGTTCAGCAAGCCAAGTATCAACAGAAAAGCTGCTTGGATTTTGCCTATTGGGTTCTCATTTATCTACGCTGTTGTCCTCGATCGTCCTCTAACTATGTATATCGTTATTCATTGGATCTGATTTTTTTTTTTCTCCCACTACTTGTCTTGAACAGTCGATTAACTTGGAATCGTGTCTTAGAGTCGGGGTTATTGAGTTATGTCATTGAATATCCTTTGCCCCTCGTCTGGATCAATGCTTATTTGCCTGAATCCTAGTCTGCTTTATCTATTCCTCGCATTTAGCTATTAGACCCTTTCTCTATTGACATAAGCATGTCGTAGTTCTACGTTAGTAAATCTGATATAATTTGTAATCATAACTTTTTATCGGGGATTCAGCACGTATATAAAATAGAGCAGGGTATTTCTACAATTTCCTTAAATAGTCTATTTCATGTAAACCAATCGATAAAATTGATCGACCGATTAATCTGAAAACAACCTCCCCAGAATACCCAGTTCCTCTCTTCGTTTCTTCTTCTCCCTATCTCGCTTGATTTTCCAATACGACGCCCACGCTGCGCCGGTTAGGTAGCCGCCTAGATGGGCCCAGTGGTCTAACGCAGCGACGCGGAAGGGGGTGAAGAGGCTGATGGCTTCGAAGAGCACGATGCCTGTGAGGAAGACGGAGCCACGGGCAGAGATGGTGTCTTGCCACTCGCGAGGGAGGAACCAGAGGGTGAGTTTGTCGCTGAGTTTTGTGTGTTAGTGTTGGATTGGAGAAATTGGGGAGCTTAGGGAATAGGGTACGTACTTTGAGTGAATCATACACCATGCAGCGACGAGACCGGCAATGGCGCCGGAGGCACCGAGAGAGGTTACGGTCAATTGCTTCGTGAGCACATGTGCGCTGAGAGAGGTAAGGGAGCCGATCACGCCGGATGCCATGAATAGGGCTAGGAAGTTACCACGGCCGATTTCGTCGTGGACTGAATTAGACGGCGGAGTTAATTTAGCCCTCGAACTGGAAAAGGAGTCGAGGTTATGAACTTACGTCTTGTTCCGATGAACCATAGAATCACCATGTTTGTAGCAAGATGCTTCACCTGCTGATGACTGAAGACACTGCCCACCACGCTCAACGCGTGCGGGTAGATAGGCACGCTGATGAAGTACTTGTTGAGCATTCTCCATGCGGGTGGCCAGAATTTCCACAAGGTAAAGACACTTAGGTTGAGACCTATGATGGCCAGGACAGTTGCTGCCGCCGGCGGAATGTCTCGCCACATACGGTCCTTGTGAGATGGAGGGTCATACGTCTCGGCGAACACATAGCACAGACCAAGGGTAAGCAGGGTCACGCCAAGAGCAGGAAGAATTCGGCGGGCCTAGCAGAAGTCAGTGGAGCCGATTATATAGTTGCGGTACGCCGGGCACTTACGGTTGTCAGGTTCGAGGTGTCGATATCATTGTTCGTAGCGCGCAGATGATGCTTTTGGATCCAAGCCAGCAGCGGACGCTCACTGGGATCAGCACGGGGACGAGCTTTCAGGATCGTTAGAAACTGGCCATATAAAGACACCCCAGATGAGAAGATAATACCCACCCTCAACGACCGCTGATTCTTCAAATTTCTGCAGTTCCGTATTCCTTTTCAGCGCCTTGGTGATCTTCTCGTAATCCTTGGCTTCGCCCTCCAGCCATTCTTTGCGCTTCTGCTCCTGTTCCGCCAAGAGGCGCGCCTCGTTCTGTTCTCGATATTCCTGCAAAACACTCTTTCCCCAGGGATCATTGGCCTTGCCCAATTCCGCATCATAGTGGCCGCTCTGCGGCTTATACAGGCTCCTCAGCCTCTCCTCTTCTTCTTGTTCCTCCCGTTCGATCCGTGCGAGAATAGCAGCATCCTCGTCCATTGGGCGATTCTTCCGCAGCCATTGTAGACCGGCATCGATAACGAACGGGCGCGCAGAGCGGGCTATGTCGGACGGAAGGTCGAGGTCGAGAGTACCGTTGATACGACGGCCTTGTAGGACGGAAAGAATGCGATTTCCCATTGCTGGAGAGATTTTATTCGGGCCAAAGATCTTGTTGATCTCCGCGGCGGAGAGCGGTTTAGAGCTGATGGGGACGCCATGTTCGACCGGTTCGTTGGGTTTGGGAGCTGGTGTACTTTTCGTCTTAGCAGATCTCGTAAGGAACGAGGAAGGAGGTTGATTTGAGTTGAAAGATGTGCGGGGGAAAGTCAAATATCCCAGTCCTAGCGGGGAGATGAGCTTTCTCTGTGAACTATAGAGGCGCTGCGCGGGCAACTCGCGGAAGTACGAGTACGAAACCGCCGGGCGGAATATGGCTGGGCCAGAGAGGAGAGAGTTGGAGGATGCCCGGAGCCCCGGGCATGGGATCCGCCATCCTATGGAGAATACATTGCTCATCTCCACGGGATTATGAGGCTGACGTTGCGCTGCACGCCGGAGGTTTTGCGGCGACTAGGACGATCGAGATGCGATGGGATGCGCGGAGCTTCCGCTCTGGGTTTCTCCGGCTTCCGGTCGATTGTTCCGGACAAGACAGCGAGAGATCAACAAGACGGACTCGAGGCTACCTGCAGTAAGAAGGGGAGCATGTAGTAGTGAGGTTGACGGTATTATCTAGGAATATGCTATGGAAATCTGCTTTTTGATATTCCGCTTGGGGATCTGCTTATGGTATGAGTCCTAGTCAGTATGTACCTACTGTACATAGTTCCAACATAGAATGAGTAGATAGCTACCTTTGGACATAGATCCACTTATAATGATCTATTTCCGCATTATCATACCTCATATCTCACATTAAACCACCGTAGAAAGATTGTGCTAAATCAGAATAGTATATATATATTTTTATTCTTGTTTAACGTGATGTATATAACTACTTCTCGCAGATGCGACGCCACGTGATGATAGCGATAACCGCGATAGCGATCGGCGTGAGCCTTTTCTTCCCCAGACATTAAACTATTAGCTACTGATATTCCAGAGCCTCTTACCCTCCATCCTGAAATAACCTCATACCTCTGTATTACCGCCTAGCCCTCACAACAACCTCATATAACCTCAACCATGTCCTCCGAACCACAACCCATCACCCCCGCCGCCTTCGCAGAGGCGCTCAAAGCCCTCCCCCTCTCCGCCGTCTACGCCAAAGTATCTGAGATCCGCAACTCGATCGCGCATCTCCACCGCTCGAACGCAGAACTGAAGCTATTCATCGAAGAATCCACGGAAACAGAGAGCGACAAGCGCGAGTTGGAGAGCTACATCTCTGAAAACGAGGGGGTTATCGAGACGATGAACGAGAGGGTAGAGTTGTGCAAGGCGGAGGTTGAGGAGCGGGGACAGCAGTGGATAGAGCTTGATGCGGATACAGAGGAGCAGGGAACTGTGGCTGCTGAGGGAGAGGAGGCGTCGACTGCTGATTCTGCTGCGGCGCATGCGTCTGGGGTTAATGGGATTAATGGGACGGGTGGAAGTGGGATAGAGGGAGGGGAAGCACGGGTTGGTGGTGCGAGTGCTGCTACGACAAATGGGACTTCATCTCAGCAGAGCATGCCAGCAACGGGGCAGCAGGATGTGGAAACGGAAGAGGAGGGTGTTTATCTGTGAAGTCTTACCGGGTGCAGCTGTCACATCCAGCAGAATAGATATTTTGTTGAGAGAAGGCCGCCGTTGGCTGTCTCCGTAGGGAGAACTGGACCCTGCTTCGAAGGACCACGCAGCATCTCAGTACAGGGCTTTGATGCAGACCTCAGGATTGAATGTCATTGATACAGGCTCGGTAAGCTGACGCTGCAGAGATGGCCGAGTCCTACGGCTGACATCGACTGATAGCCTTGACAGTCAGAATGGGGGTAGTCAAGTCGAAGTGAGCATGGAGAATCGAGACGCTCTTCTCAAGATACACCCGTCTGGTTATGAAAAGGGAGAAGCATTCGAATTGAGTTGTGATTTTTCGAATATCAGGGACACCCAAGATTCCGTCACCGAATGTGATGTTATCATTCATGTTGCAAGGGAAAAACTACGCACTAATAATTCTAGACAGCTCTTTTTATTTCCATCTTGTGACCTCAATACGGCCACTGACCATCATGCTAGATCCATAAGAACAAACCACAGAACAGTGTTTGTCTAGCTGACCGTAAACAGGAAAAGAAAAAAGCATGCTCTGCTCTGTCCCGACCGAAGGACCCGTAAAGAACTGACGCTCCATCAACAACAAAACTAGACATGCTAGATAACAAACTGGGGTTTTCAATATCGCCATGCAGAACATAAGAAAATAGAATATATCACCGAATTTCGGATCAGGACAGCAGGTATCCGTTCACTTCATCTGTCCACCAGAAGACAACAACAACAAGGAACTGGGAAAAAAAAAAAGAAGCGAACATCCAACGCCAGGTTAGAAGATATGCCATTGTCATCCATCAGATGCAACCAGGAGTGTATGGTGTATTTGAAAGAAATTTGTTCTTCTTCTACGCCGTGATGGATCCTGCTCGATCACGCCGTACTCTGTGGCTGCTGTGGCTGCTGTTGCTGTTGTTGAGCCCAGTGACCTGCAATAGCTTCCGGAGGAATCTTCTCCTGCTTGATGAACAGGTCGATGAGGGGTTGCATCGGCTCCATCTCCTTGTCAGCGACCAGTTTGTAGTATTTGGCGACAGTGACGAAGTGGACGAAGCTCATATTCAGCATCTCATGGCGGTTGATGTGCCAGAACGGATCGAGCCAGTGTCCATGATACAGGTGCGCGTAGCAGCGAAACATCTGCTTCATGATACCCTGGCAGTCCTTGTAGAAGGTCTGAGGGAAGCCGCTGGACTTTCCAATCCAGTCGTCTCCACTCGCAGCATCTCCAACGGCAGTGCGAGGCACACCATTGACCGGGTCCGTAGGGAACATGACGGGGTCATGGATCTTGCTGACAATCCACTTCTCGACACGATTGATAAACTTGGGGGCAGAAATCTTTGCCGCACGTCCGTCCACCAGCCATGTGTATGTCAATCTAAAGATCCGTCAGTGACATCGTCGACAGCATCTGGATTGAGAGAACGAAACTGACCGGCCAGCTGACATGGTGGGGCAGGTGTTTTCATTGCAGATTGGAAGCCCAGTCACGGTGTTCACTTCTTGGATCACCTGGAGCATACCGTGGAGTAGACGGTACTGCTCGACAACTGTTGTGTATTAGCCCCGCCATTCTAGAACCGCTGCGGCTGATATCGACATACTCTGATGAGCCAACCACTCTCCCAACTCGACATTTTTGGGACAGGCACACAAGGTCAAGAAGTTTCCCTTCACATTCAACGGGGCGTACTTCTCCTGGAAGAAATACTTGGCCGAGTCATTGTTCTCGTTGACGGTCGCGGCGCTGTCCACCGAGAGGGTCGAGTTGACGGAGGGGGAATGGGACATGACGCCCCCCTGAGCTGGATATGCCACGGGAGCCTGGTTTGGGGCACCGTTGTTCATCTTGGGCGAGTTGTTTTTGTTGTTACCTCCCCTGCCAAACCCCTGGCGACTAGATAGATGAAGACAAAGATATCAGCAACACAGTTTCAGATGAAAACCATCAACCCATTCACTGATGGGGAGTGAGCTGGATGCGCAACATGTCTGAGCAGGTGAGACCAGTGTATTTAAAGGCAAGGGAGCCTTTGCAGTGTTGGGGCGCACATGGTCCTGTCATTCAGAAGCACGGGGTAAAGGGGGGTCGAGGAGCGGAGAGCGATAGGATAGGGTGTCGGGGGGTAAGCCAGCAAAAGTTGGGGAATGCACTTACACGCTCTGAAAGAAGGTCGCCATTGTGAGGGAAAAGAAAGGACAAAGAAAAGAACTGGTCACTGATAGACACAGACAAATGACCTTAGATGAAACCTCCAACACAGAGCACGACCGCAATCCTGAGACGAGAGAAGGAGAGTGAAAGTGAGCCCAAGACAGTTCTGGCGTGTATCTCCATCCCCGTTGTGGAGCTTGCAGCGGCGCGACCAACACCAGAACCGACTAACTACTACTGACTACCTGGAACATCAGTATCTCCGGCCGCCTGTTGAGGGATAGTGCCCGATCGCGAGGAGCTGCTTCGAAATGAAGGCTGGGATGGATGGATGAATGAAGGATAGAGACTCCGACACGCCACTCTGCGGTGAACCTTTTTTTTTATAACTTGGGAGGGGCAGACGCATCGACGGAACTCTCTGCTAACTCACCTCCATCACTTCTTACAACCATCTTCCCGACTGCGCTGCGCTGCTTTTCTCCTGCTTGATTATCTTCCCGAAGCTCTCCAGCGCGTCCAACACATCTACAGAGACTTAGAAGGAGGTCATGTCTTCCTCAGATGAAGAGGTCGTTCGCCGTCCAGGGCGCAGCACGGATGCCAGTCGTGTCCAGAGCCCGTCTGCCAGCGAACGCAGTGCTAGTCCCAATGGCCGCGCAGAGAGTCCTCTCGGATCGGACAAGCTCAATGCAGATGACGATGCAGACCTTTTCGGTTCTGACGGAGACTTAGAAGAGTATGGCAACACTATGTATTAAACTATGTATAAAAATATATGCCCCATGCTGACAGGCCCAGTGAACGACCCAGACGCACAATCGACGACGAAGAGCTAGACTCGGGGGATGATGAGGGTCGCTACGACAGAGCTGGGGACCGCATGGATTATGACGAGGGCGAAGAGGGAGGTTACAGAGAGACACTCAATGTCATGGACCTAAATCTCGGACGTGCGCCCGAACCAGAGTCTTCCAATGGAGAGGTATGTCTCAACGGGAAGCCATGGGATAATCAAACTGACATCGTTGGCCCCAGGTGTATACTCTAACCGTCCCGAACTTCCTGTCAATTGAAACGGAAGAATTTAACCCAGAAACCTACGTGGCACCCCCGTTCTCGACAGCTTCCACTTCACTGTGTTGGCGATTCGACCCTAACGACCCGTCGAGTCTCCAGTCCAATGCTCGCATCATCCGGTGGGAGGATGGCTCCTTGACTCTACAGCTCGCTTCCGCACCACAGGAACAATACAGAATATCCTCGAAGCCGCTTGCACCGCTCAACAAGGCCGGTGACTACGAGTCAGAGTTCGATGCTCATGCTTACCTGGGAGCCGCTGCTGAGAGGGCGTCCGTCTTCCACTTAACGTCCCATCTTACACACGGTCTCACGATTTTACCGACTACACACGAAACAGATGATGCTGTGCAACGTCTCCAGGAAGCAATGGCTGCTGCTGCTCGCGCAGGCAGGAAGAACCCTGACGGCACGGTCACCGTCATTGACGTGAAAGAGGACCCCGAGCTTGCGAAGAAACAAGCAGAGATGGCTGAGCGGGAGAAGCTCAAAGCTGCTCGCCGGCGACAGCAGCTGGCAGACCGCGACCTGGACCGGGGCCGTCGTGTCGGTATGTCATACCGTACCGGTGGAGCTGGTCTCACTGTCGGTGGACTCGAAGACGACGACGGCATGATGACAACGAGGCCCCGTGCAAAGAAACCACGCAAGCCCAACCGCCGCGGAGAGATCTACACAGACGAAGAAGAAGAATACGACCGCCGTGGCCGCACCAGGGAAGACGAGTACGACGAAGACGATGGCTTCCTGGTTGGCAGTGACGAAGAACCCGAAGTTGTTGACGATGACGATGAGGAGGAAGAAGAGCTGGAAGATGAGGATGCTGAAGGCGAACTAGACGACGATGTGGCTCCCGCAAAGTCTTCACGAAAGGAGAGAGAAGCATCGCCAAAGCGGAAGAGTCCAGAGCCCGCTGGCGGTGCCGGTTCGCCGCCGGTCAGAAAGAAGCACCGCTACGTTGTCGAGTCGGACGAAGACGAAGAATAAAGATAGCTTCTCGTCTACTGGAGATTCTATCTATTGGTTGCACTCTCGAGCACTTCTCATGTACCATTCTCTCATCCGAACCATTTCACGGCCTTGTTCTTTTAAGGGCTTGATGCCCCTCATGTCATTTCATTTCATGCATGTACCACCATATGAAGTTGAGAGACGGAGCAAAACAAATAAAATAGAAAATGAAACTTTTAATTAAATCATGTCCTTATTCTTGGCTTGTTTTTCCTATTTACGACCCCCACGGTAGGCTGAGTCACATATAATATACCCTGCATGAGAAAAGAAGGTAAGTAGACGAACACACCCATGTTCCCAACAATATACCAGATATAATAAAATGTTCCTTATGTCCATCCTGAAAGAACTCCGGTTGGAGAATGAAAATGAAAAAGATTTGCTCAAAAACGCACAATGAGGGGCAATCATCATTCATGCAACAACACCATCAGGATAGTCATGCGGTTGGAACCCGAATTTAGAAATAACTTCTCTGGCGCGACCGACGATTTGAAGGCAGAGGAGGTTTCTCTCATCTATGTCGCCGTTCGGCTTTAGTGGGCTACAGCCGTTCTGTTCGGTCGATGCCCACCCTTCGGATTGCTGATTCGAATACCCTCGAATCTCAGAGGGTGATGTACCTTCCGCGTGCCACCTTCTCTGACGTGTTTCCATCTCTTTGATGAGGGAAAGCACATCAGGTGTATCTTTGGCTTTTATTGAAGCTGCAGGTTCAATTGGCCCGCCGATGACAGCGTGGCGAATGGTCTGCATAAGCCATTCCCTCCACCTCGAGGCCTCATTCCGAGGATCCCTTGATACGGTAGAAACGTATCCAGCAGGCGCTGACTGTTTTCCTAATTCAACTGGATCTGCCTCAGACACCCGCAGCCACGAATCTGCGAGTATATTAAGTAGAGTGCCCAAGAGCATCACATTTTGCACACCAGTGGAGTATTGCTGTGGGCAGATCTCGCAGCGGATCACCTCTCTTGCCGTGCGAGCAGCTGTATAAAGAGACAGGATGGTTTGATTGGTGGTTGGAAATGAGGTCAGGGTCGACAGATTGCTGAGACAGAGGTATAGATAGGAGAGACAGGTGCATCGCGGGATGCCTTGCGGAAGAGAGAAATTGGATGTCATCCCTGAGTCGAACTGCTTGTCCGCCGAATCAGAGTTTCTAGGAAGCATCAACGAGGATGCTGACGCTGCCGCCGCATAATCGGGCCAAGGACTGTCGGAGGCTATAACAGGTTCCAACATGGTCGATCCATCTTGCTGAAAGAGCCCGCCCTGATCCCCACTCAATGAATTGTAAGGAGCCTGTGAACCTCTCGATATCACAGCGCGAAATACCGGCGCACATAGGTGAAATGCCTCGGTCGAAGACTTAGTATCAGCCCTGGAAGTTCGAGAGTCTAACGGGTTGCTCTCCAAGTCCCCCAGTCCGCCGGAATCTGAGACATCCATGGAGTTTCCATCATCTTCCAGACGTGACTTCTTCTTCGGAGGTCGTCCCATTTGCTTCTGTATCGAGTAGTGGCAGAAGAGCGCCTGTTTTACGCATCGCGAGCAGCCAGTGAGCTCTCCAGAGCATCTCAGCTTACGCTTTCCTGTCCGAAATTGAATAGTTCAGTTTCCGGAGTTGGAAGCAAGGCTGTTAGGACGCCATGGCATTTTACACTTACGACATTCATCACACGCGGCATGCCTTTTTGGAGCAGGCTCCGAGCCCGCGAAACTGCTGTCGTTAAAAGACAGAGGCAGGTCTGATAGTGGATATAATAGAGCGGGGGCGTCAGAAATGCCCGCCATAATGCCGGGGATATCTGAAGATATTCTATGTCCGTTTTATTTATAAATGCAAGCAAGCGGCTGCTCTAGCAGACTGGATAGAGGCAGTCAGAGAAAATCTGTGAGAAAGGGCGTGAAAGGTCCCATAGCAACACGGCTCTTAAAATAAAAAATAAAAAAGGGTCGTTGCTCTCTTGACCTCATAGAGAGAGAGAGAGAGCAAAGACAGAAGGCGGTGAGTCATGTGGGCGGTCAGGAAAAGCAATGCTCCGACGCCGGGAAATCTTGGCCCACCCAAGAAAAAAAGTATCGGAGCAGAAGAAAGAGAGAGACGATCAATCAATCCTTCGACCACCAGCCACCGGCAAGGATGAGTAGCTTCAAGGCCTCGAAGAAGCGCAAGGCGGTCACCCGCGACGTCGAGGAAGAAGCCGAGGCCGTCTCCGGAGACGAGCTCAATGCTGGTGACCTTGACGGAGTCCTTTCCGACAATGCGCAGGATCTGTCTGAGGAAGAAGACGAAAGTGATTCCGAAATTGAAATAAACGATGAATTCAGCGAAGATGAAGAGGACGAAGAGGAAGAACTCGACAGTGATGAGATCCCGTCAGACGAGGAAGACAACAAGGGAGCACTTGTCCAATCTCGTGGAAAATCCAGAGTAAATGTCAACAGCGCAAAGAAAGAGGAGCAAGATGACGAGTCGAGCGAAGACGAAAAGCCCAATTACCGCATAGAAAAAGATGCCAACGGGAACCCCCGTTATGTCTACGACGAGATCAACCCTGACGATAACTCGGAATACTCTGATGTCGACGAAAATGCAAACACCATCGGCGATATTCCTCTGTCGTTTTACGACCAATATCCCCACATTGGATACAATATTAACGGGAAGAAGATCATGCGACCTGCGAAGGGTGAAGCTCTGGATGCACTGCTTGATAGCATCGAGATTCCTAAGGGCTGGACCGGTCTGACCGACCCGTCTACTGGAAAGCCGCTAGAGCTGAGCCAGGATGAGCTTGAACTTCTGCGCAAGGTACACATGAACGAAATCCCAGAGGAGGGCTACAATCCGTACGAACCCATGGTTGAGTGGTTCACCAGCAAGGAGGAGATCATGCCCCTGAGCGCCGCCCCAGAGCCAAAGAGACGCTTCTTGCCTTCGAAGCACGAAGCCAAGCGGGTCATGAAAATTGTCAAGGCTATCAGAGAAGGCCGCATCCTGCCGTACAAGCCTCCAGCTGAGGAAGACGAGACCGAAGAAGATGTCATTAAGTACGATATCTGGGCTGATGAGGCTGAACGCCCTGATCATCCTATGCACATGCCCGCACCTAAGCTTCCTCCGCCTGGTTACGAGGAGAGTTATCACCCCCCGCCAGAGTATCTACCCGACAAGAAAGAAAGGAAAGCGTGGGAAGAGGCCGATCCTGAAGACCGCGAGCGTGAATTCCTGCCCACTAATTACGACTCTCTGCGCAAAGTTCCCGGCTACGAAAGCTTTGTCAAGGAGAAATTCGAGCGTTGTCTCGACCTCTACCTTGCACCCAGGGTTAGGAGAAGCAAGCTCAATATTGATCCTGAGAGTCTGTTGCCAAAACTCCCTAGCCCTGAAGAGCTCAAGCCATTCCCGACCACATGCGCAACTATCTTCAGAGGTCACAAGGGCCGTGTCAGGAGTCTTGCCGTTGATCCCTCTGGGCTCTGGTTGGCAACTGGTGGAGATGACGGTACTGCTCGTGTCTGGGAACTTCTTACCGGTCGTCAGCTATGGAGTGTGAAGCTCAGTGATGAAGACCCCGTCAATGTTGTTCGCTGGAGACCCGGCAAAGACGCCGTGATTCTCGCAGCCGCAGCCGGAGACGACCTCTTCCTTGCTGTGCCCCCAATCCTGGATCCGGAACTTGAGAAGACTAGCATCGATCTCCTTGATGCTGGCTGGGGTTACGCTGCCAGTGCTCCTGCTCCCAAGCCCGCAGAGGCAAACAAGAAGAGCACACCTCCCCAGTGGATCCGCCCGTCAGCAGCTCTTGCTGAGGCCGGTGTTATGGTGGTGATTCCTCTGAGATATGTCGCCAAGTCTATCTCCTGGCATCGCAGAGGTGACTACTTTGTCACCGTTTGCCCTGGATCCTCCACCCCAGCATCCGTCGCCATTGCCATTCACACGGTTTCGAAGCATCTCACGCAATTCCCCTTCCGCCGGCGCCTCAAGGGTGGTGGTCCCCCTCAGACGGCGCATTTCCACCCTTCGAAACCTATCCTGTTCGTCGCCAACCAACGCAGTATCCGTGCGTACGATCTCTCCCGCCAGCTTCTGGTCAAGATTCTACAACCAGGTGCTCGATGGATTTCATCATTCGACGTTCACCCGACCTCCTCCTCGGCTTCTGGTGGTGACAACATCATTGTCGGATCCTACGACCGCCGTCTCCTGTGGCACGATCTCGACCTGTCTGCCCGTCCATACAAGACATTGCGATACCACAAGAAGGCCATTCGTGCCGTCAAGTTCCACCCCAGCGGCCGCTACCCTCTGTTCGCTGATGCAAGTGACGACGGCTCCCTACAGATCTTCCACGGCAGCGTTACCGGCGATATGCTTAGCAACGCAAACATCGTACCTCTCAAGGTTCTCAAAGGCCACAAGATCACGGGCGAACTCGGTGTGTTGGATGTCGACTGGCACCCGAGCCAAGCCTGGTGTGTCAGTGCCGGAGCGGATGGCACTTGCAGACTCTGGATGTGATAGAATAATGCTTACGCTAAATATCTTGTTGCTGTATTTCTTTTGGGCATCATCGCATGCAAAAGGCGTTTATTCAAATGTGCATATTGAAATCTTCTATAGGCTATGGAAAAATATACCTTTCTTTTTTTGTTCTGTAATCTCTCTCCGTCTCTTCCTGAGGCTAAGCCATACTTTATGCCTTTCCATTCGTAAATAATATAGCGCAGCAAATGGCTTCTTGAATACACCACAAATCCTTACAGAAGGAAAGCAAGCGAAACTTTTGAAAAATATATGCATTCAAAGAGTCTTAAGATATATATATATATGTAAGACTCGATAATCATCTCGCTTGATCGGGAAAAGGAACAAAATCATGATGTGATGTTAAATATCTACACGACACCACCACTCCAATCTCTCTTCAACTTCTCGTACTTCTTCATATCAGTCACACTGGGTCTAATAAACGACTTTGCGGCAACGAAATCCTCGAATTTGATCGTATCCCGCCTCTTAATAGCCGAGTAACCGGCTCTGCGGAGCAGACTGCCCAGATCTGCACCACTGTAACCTTCGCATTCTTCTGCGAGTCTGCGTAGCTCATCAGAGAATTCAATCGGGAGGTTGCGGACCAAAGTCTGCAGGATCTCGACGCGTTCCTCGGGACCGGGTAGGTTGACAAAGAGAAGAGTTTCCAGACGGCCGGGACGCAGCATAGCTGGGTCGATGATGTCTGGACGGTTGGTGGCGGCAATAACATAGATTCCTTGGCGGTTGCTGCCCAGACCGTCAAGCTCAGTGAGCAGGGTATTGACGACTCGGGCGGAGGCTTCGGATAAAGTGTCGTCTCGACGAGGGACTAATGCGTCCAGCTCGTCGAAGAAGATGACGCAAGGTATTGATGAGCGAGCGCGGAGGAAGACTTGTCGGACAGCACGTTCTGATTCACCGACGTACTTGTTGAGAAGTTCGGGTCCTTTGACGCTGATGAAGTTCGCGCGAGACTCATTGGCAACTGCCTTAGCAAGCAGTGTCTTACCGCAACCAGGAGGACCCCAGAGAAGGACACCGGTAGGTGCCGTGATACCAACTTGGGCGTATATGTCGGGGTTCTTGATGGGCTCAACAATAGCCGTTGCCAGCTCGTCGCGGATACCTCCCAGAGCACCAATGTCTGCCCACGTGGTGTCTGGAATAGTGGCGAAACCTTCACGTTTAGATGACGGCTGGATCTTCGGAAGAGCCGTGAAGAAGTCAGCGTTAGAGACGAGAACAGTCTGGGTCTCGTCTCCTATCGGTGTCTCTTTAGCGTGCTTGATGAGACGTCGTAGTTCCTTGACCTTAGGGCTCACTTCGTCCACCACTTCTTCGATCTCCATTTCTTCGCCGGTATTGGCTCTCAGGATCTCAAGATACCGTTTGATAGCGGCAGAGCCGGCCGTGGAGACCAAGTCGTTTAAGTCGGCACCCACGAAACCCGGGGTTCTCTTAGCGAGAGTTTTGAAATCAAGGTCGTCTGCGAGTTGCATCTTTCGAGTCAATGCACGAAGAATCTGTTCTCTCACAGGTTCCGATGGCACACTGAGATTGATTTCCTTGTCGAATCTGCCTCCCCGTCTCAGGGCAGGATCCAAACTATCTGGGCGATTGGTGGCAGCCAGCACAATAACAGGTTTGCCGTCAGTCTTATCAAGCGCCAAATCATCCATACACGTCAGAAGCTGAGCGACTATTCGCTTCTCCATCTCCCTCTGTGCACTCTCTCTCTTCGGTGTTATAGCATCGATCTCGTCAATAAAAATAAGACAAGGAGCCATCTTCTTCGCTTCCTCGAAATGCTCGCGCAGAGCCTTCTCTGACTCTCCAGACATTCCAGACACAATTGACGGCGCAGACACGGCAATAAAGGGAACGCCCAAATCAGCAGCAAAAGCATTTGCGATCATAGTCTTACCGCAACCAGGCGGTCCATGCAGTAGAACACCTCGCGGAGGCTGAACATTCGAAGACATGTAGACCTGAGGACGAGTCATCGGCAGAATAAGCAAGTCGGCCAGCTCTTGCATCACATCATCCATTCCACCCAAATCTGCCAGGCTCACATGAGTCGGCGGCGATCGATCAATAGCTTCGGCCTTGCGCCGTTTCGGAGCAGACTCGCCCGCATGCTGTCGTCTTTTGTTTGGGACCGTTGTTGATGCAGGAGCCTGCTCCGTGCCCATAGATTCGGCCGACTTTTGCGATTTCGAGGCCGTAGACCACATGCCCACGATGCTTCGGTTCATGCCATTGGAATCCTTCGTCTCGTCAGTGATGGAGCCACAAACGGCCAAGAGCACCTCGTAAAGAAACGCAGTCATATCACACTGCCTGCCGTGAGACATACTTGAATAGCTGGCGCAGACTTGTCATCCAGGCCCTCGAAATCCCCATCTACAGAGTCCGATTCATCACCGATAATATCGGTCTTTATCACCTCCAAGACCCTCTCTATACTATCTTCAAGAAGCTTCTTCGGTTTTCGGTTCAAACTAGAGTTGGACCGCTTGATAGTTTCATAAATAACTGCTGCAGAGACACGCAGACGGCCTCCTTCGGGCTGCTGCTCGTCGACGATCTTGCGCACAATTTGGTAGATCTGCGGAGAGCGCAATGAGAGTCAGCAAAGGTTTCTTTGTGCAATGCGCATGAAAATATGGCGCGTTACTCACCTCACGATCGAGACCTTGACCCAAGGTATTTCGACCTCGATTCCTCGGAGGCATCTTTGAGCGCGCTGACCAGAGATTGCCTGGGAATAGAATAGATCTCTCGGTCATTGATCCCAATATTTTTGGACGGTCGGGGAAACAATGTTCCGAGGATTCCAGAACGGGAATCCGACAGGCTGGATGCGATCGATGATGGTTACTGCCGATCTCGATCGCTACACGTCCAGAAACTGTCTAGCGAACGTAGAATCGAGAAGTTTCAGGTGCTTAGATTTGCTAGTTACCCGTAGAAAGGTAAATGCAGTCTTACAAGATTTCGGTTGTGGATGAAACTCGTACCGTATCTTACAAGATCTGTAACGGAACTACTCGATAACGGACGTCATTCCTGGCCCAGGCACGAGCTCATCTGCGCGATCAACCATAACAATATGCTCCGACAATGGGAAACACGAACAGCTCGCACAAGATCTCCGCTCAAGATAGGTAAGTAGATGTAATGATTGTCCCATCAGCGATTTACACTATGACCCTCAAAACAACCTCATAACTTCCTCGAATTAGACATATCCACATGTCCTCCCCCGCATCCGACTCCCGTACTGGAATCCGCTAATGACGCATACGCTTCCTCGAAATAGGGCTATTCTCGACTTGAAAAACCAGCGCGACAAGCTGCATCAATATCAGCGGCGTATAACTGTCCTCACTGACCGAGAGACAGCTATCGCGAAGGAATGTCTTGCACGTGATGACCGCCGACGTGCGCTTCTGGCTCTTCGACGCAAGAAGTACCAGGAGTCGCTACTCGCGAAGACAGATGCGCAGTTAGCGCAGTTGGAGGAGCTTACGAATAGTGTCGAATTCGCTCTTGTGCAGAAGGATGTTCTGTTCGGACTGCAGCAGGGCACGAGTGTCTTGCAGGCTATTCACAAGGAAATGGGCGGTCTGGAAGCCGTAGAGAAACTGATGGGAGAGACTGAGGAGGCAAGGGCTTACCAGGAGGTTCGTCTCGCAACGGAAGGCCACTTTCTTTGCAGGATACTGATGCGATCGCTTTGAAACAGGAGATTAGCCAGATGCTCGCTGGACAAATGTCGAACCAAGACGAAGACGAAGTCGAGGACGAACTGGAGGCGCTACAGCGGGAAGTGGAAGGGGTTTCCTTGCCAAATGCTCCTACGTCTACTCTCCCAGAAGGATCAGAGAAAGAAAAGGAAGAAAAGGCGAAAGCGAGGGCGAGGGCGAGGGCGAAAGAAAGAGCCGCCGTGCCATTGGCTGCTTGATTCCACATATATCAACGACCGAACATTGTTCTTTTTCTGGGTTTCAGTCATGCAAGCCGCATAGCTGGCGCTGGAGGTCCGTCTGGGTTTGATATTCCCCCATTAAATTGGTTATATACATATACAGCTGGCGCGCTTTTTGTCTATGGTCAGTGTTTTTCCCCCGTTGGTCGTTTGGTTCAGGAAGACTAGTTTTACAGCTGTTAATACCAGGGTATTACCGCTTAGACAATTTCATTATATCATCAGAGTATAGTAATATGTACTCCATAATAATTTTCTGACTTCGTCCTACCTTTCTGCGCGTATCTTCGCATGGAGGTCCCGCATGTCGCTGCCAAATCATAGCCTCATCGCTCAGCATTTACTGTCCCGGCATTATCCTTCCACCTACGCCCTCCACACCCTGGATGGCAACATGGTCACTAGGGTTTGCAGCAGCCTCGTAAAGGAAGCTGACTGGTTCCCTACTCAGCGCCATAAATTGTCCTTTGAAGCCAACGTATCCCACCTTAGTTACCTCTTCCTCCCCGTCACTCCAGTTATCCTCGAAGAATAAGGTGATGGAAGTCGTCGCATTCCAGTGTGCGCGATTCAGCGGTAACTCGAAGACATCTGCACCAGGCACTGGCTGTGGGACTTCGACAGTCTGCGTTGGGGTGAGATCTGATGCTGTGCTGAAATCGAGGTCGTTGCGATTCTTGAAGAGCTTGAGCGTCTTGGGCGCGGAGGGAGTCGGTGCCGTGTATAGGAGGATGGAATGTAGCTTTACTTGTCCGGCGAAACTGTTTTGCTCAGGTGGAGCGTGGTCAGTTTAATTTTCTCATGAGAATATAGACGAAGCCTCGCCTCTGCTGTTGGAAGAGGATGTACTGAGGGGTGACGGCGGGGTAAGATTCTGGGACCTCAAAAGCACAGCGGAAGACAGCACGCACGGGATATACATGAGCAACTGCTCATCAGCATCGCTCTCAAGCTCCGGGTTATCATTAAGTCTTTCAGTCCAGGTTTTCTGCACAATAGCAGCACCGGATTTCGGCGTCGCCTCTGCGTTCTGTCAACGACGCACGTCCGTAAAGTCTGAGCCGGCTGGCATACCGTTTAGGGTGACTATGGAGTCAAACTGGATCTGGGAGTAAAGCAGGGACTGGACGGCGGGGGTGATGTCGTCTGAGTGGTCGTGGCCATCTTCTCCATGGCAATGGCCCCCATGGTGATGATGATGATGATGCCCTGACATCCTGGTGGTGTTTTGTGATGTTGCGAGTTGACAGGACTACTACGCAGGTCTAAAACGGATCTTTTTCACTTCGAACATACAAACACATCTCCCTCAGCTTGGTAGAGCAGCACCCATGATGGATGTATATCATTATCATAGCATCGAGGATTATCCTAGAGGGCAGATAGTGCTATAGAGATCGGCCATGTTCAATGAGGGCCGAGGCAGAGAATCCCTGCGTAAACGATTATGACATCACAGCTAGACTACTAACTATTTGAGCTGAAAAGTGAAGGCATTAGATCTAGACCAAATCCTACACAATCTGATGATACCACGCCCCGCACATAAGAACTGCCCGGCTATCGTATTCTGTAATATTCCGGCGCATACTCAACAAGATAACCCTTCTCGATTTTGGTGATATCACGGATGAATGTCTTGTCGCCGGTCTGTAATATCTCATGGAATATAACCCAATCTGCCTTACGATTCTAGGAGAGCATAGTTAGTATAAATAACCTCACGGAAACTAAAGCTGTAGGTAAAGGGGTGAAACTCACAAACATCAACGAGCTTGGATGAGCATGCAAGGTGAGCCCTCCACTGACTGTCTTGAAAGTCCCATCAGGCTGCATCTTTGCAGCATGAGCAAAATACCCGGTGGTCAGACATCTCTGGATCTTCTCCGGCTGTCTGGAGAGGTCTGTTTGTTTCTCATTGGAGGAAAGAGACTCATCGACCTGGATTCCAAAGCGCTCTAAGTACCGTTTCAGCTGTGCCCTGATGCTGACAGCCCTTAACATTGATTTGTAGTTGAGATGATTCTCACGGCACCACTTCGAGTCCTTCTTTCCTCGAGTGACGAACGCATGGTAGACATTTAGATATGTCAAATGATCGCCTTCCTCAACAGCAAACTTCCTACGAGTGCTCTCCATAGCCTTTTTATCGCTCTCATGATGCGACCACACTGTGCCCTGGAGACTGACCATAGCAGCGATAGTAAGAATCTCGCTCAAGCACCCAAATGAGGGTGCGCTGAGAAGCACTTTTCCCATCATTGGCTCGACTGCTAGTTCCGCCATACGAATGCCAAGCGGCTTCGTGAGCTTGGCATAATCGTCCACAGCACCTAGGGAGTAAAGAAGCTCGAGTGCTCTAATTACAAGCTCAGCCGGCGGCGGTGACAGGAAATCGAAACGTACTATGTTGTCTATACCCAGCGCCTTCAACTGCAATATGACTGGCGCCAGGTTCGACCGCTGTATTTCTGGGACTGTAGCGTCTGCAAGGTTTTCGTACGATTGCTCTGTATAAAGACGGAAGCATTTCCCAGGTTTCGTCCTTCCAGCTCGACCTGCACGTTGAGTGGCGGATGCCTTCGAAATCGGAACGGCGGTCAATGTCTCTATGCCGGTGGTCGGGTTGTACGCGCGCAATTTCGCAAAACCGCAGTCGATAACATACACTATGCCGTCAATTGTAACCGATGCTTCAGCGATATTTGTAGATACAATGACCTTGCGGGTATTCTGGGGTGCTGGTTCGAAGACGTAGAGCTGTTGTTCTGTTGTAAGACCGGCATATAGTGGAAGAGGGAGTAAAGATTGAGCCTTTGGATGAAGCATCTGCGCACGTTCAGATATCATCTGAATGGTAGCATCAATTTCCTCTCGTCCGGTCAAAAATACCAGGATGTCGCCGTCTGGCTCTTGGGTATGTATATCGAAAATAGTCTTCACTGCACGTTCGACGTAGTCCTCAGCCGGGCTCTCCAGGTAGAGGATATCCACTGGGTACATTCTCCCTTCTAAACTGATAATTCTCCCAACGCTTCCACCAAGTTCGCCGTTGCCGGCTTCGATTTGAAACTCATCGCCAGCAAAGAAGCGTAGAAAGTCTTCAGCTTGCAGGGTAGCACTGCTGATCACTATTCGAAGATCAGATCTCTTCTTTCTGATTTTCTTCAGAACGCCCAGGAGCACATCCGTACTCAGGGACCGCTCATGAGCCTCATCAACCATAATGACGGAATACCGTGATAATAGAGGATCCACAAGAGCCTCTCGAAGGAGTAAGCCGTCGGTCAGAAACTTGATCCTCGTTGCTGCTGACGTCAGATCCTCAAAACGGATCGAATATCCAACCTCTTCTCCGACATTGCAGCCCATCTCTTCTGCAACTCTCGTGGCCACGGTTGTGGCAGCCACCCGCCGAGGCTATATATACGCGTTAGTTAACATGAGTCACTCAGTCACTAGCGACAAAAACAACGCGAGAGTAATCATTGAAAGAGAATAACTAACCCACCTGCGTGACTCCTATAACTTTGCCGTCTGCTGTCCATCCTGCTTGGTCAAGATACTGCGGTAACTGCGTTGTCTTCCCGCTTCCAGTTTGTCCGACCACAATCGTTACAGGATAGGTCTCAATGAGGTAGAGCAAGCTCTGTTTGTGCCTAGCAATAGGAAGTAATGATGATGGCTTATATAATGAGGGGATAAAGGTGGTGGAAAGATCGAAATCCGAAGCCATTTTTAGCTGCCCGTTTATTTTTGACCTGGACAGATCTAGAGTGAGGAATAGTAGATGGAAGGATCATTATAATCATGCATATTTCATAGTAGATCCCCAGAAGAGACTTCAGTGCATCGGAGGCACAGGTCAGCTTTACTAGAACGCAGGAACAATGCTTTGAGCTAGATCGTTAGCCATCCAGTTAGATAGGATGAACGAGGCGTGCAGCTCCTTAGGTACTTACATAAGCATGCAACTAGGAGATCCCACGTGATTCATGCAATGTCATGCTTCGCCCCACGCGGTTGTGGCTTAGGCTGTTTTGGAGCTTCGGCGTACAGCGATGAGAGGCGGAGATCTATCGCCCTGGCTCCTTATATCTTCCAACGGTTCTGCCTGATTCCAGTCACCTTTTCCATTAGAAAGTTCCCCATCACTTTGGTTCAACAAAAGATCCCATTGCTGCGACACTGTTCCCCATGGCAGACGAAGACAAGACCGTATTTCACCTCCATACCTCCCTGTAGTTAACATGACAAGCTAACTGGGTTCAAAGGCCACGCCCACCAAGGCTGCGGCGGCGCTCAGCAGTCCTAAGCCTGAGTCCCCGACTACGGCACGTCCTCTAGACTTCGATGGCGATGATGAACCACAAGAAAGCGGCGTTACTTCATCTTCAGCAGCTCCGGGACAATCTGCGGAATCGGCACCTGCCCCGCCGCCGAAACCACCACGGCCATTGACTCCGCAACAACAAGCCGAGAACACCCTCAAGGAAGCATTTCCGACTGTCGAAGCCTCTGTTGTCAAGGCCATTCTCGTAGCAAGCGGTGGGAACTTAGAGAGGGCTTTCCATGCGCTTCTGGGTTGGTGACTCTCATTTATTGATTGCAGATGTAATGCTGACTCTGTTGGCCTAGGCATGACCGATCCCAACGCCCAACAGGAAGACCTGCCACCTCCAAGGCCTCCGCGACCATCGACTGCCACATCTACAGCGCAGAGCCAGCTCGAGGCTGACGAGCGGTATGCCCGCCAGCTGGCAGAACACTACAGCGGGGCCGCCCGTCGAGGACCACCATCGGGCTGGGACGGGAACCAGCGCCCGCGAAGCAGAAGAGAAAGTGGAGAGGAACGGGAATATAGCTTTTTTGATGGTAACGCGATGCTGGCCTCTGGTATGAATTCTGATCACTAATCACCTTCGACAAACAGACGACCTTCCTGTAATCCGCGAGAATATCCGTAAGGGATTCTTGGATACACAGTCGAAAGTGAATTCCTGGGTCCAGAATTTGAAGAAGAAGCTCGATGGCGAAGAAGACGAAGATCAGCCTGCAGGAGGATATCATCGCGACAGCGGCAGCTATGGCAGGCCCAGACGCAGTGGCGATATGGGCCGTCGCAGCGCTGATCGCGAGCGCTATGATGCAGACCCTCAAGTAATCAGCGACGACTTCGCGACACTGGAGTTACGGGATGCTGAAGGTCTGTTATTGCTTGCATGAGAGGAGCATCCAGAGACTAACGCATCTTCATAGTGCCCCCACCTCGTCCAGCTCGACCACTCGCAAACCCGAATCTATTCAAGACCTCTTCTCCTTCTCCAGATAGGCGTAAGGTCTCCTTCCAAGAGGGTCCACCTGAAGAAATTGACAATCTTTACGATGCTCCAGAATCCGCCCAACGCGCACCGTCCACCGGAGGCAAGTCCAGCAAATGGCAGCCCTTGGCTACTGTCGATCCGTCTCCTGTGGGAGAACACGACCCATTTAGCCTCGGCGACAGCGATGATGAAAAGGAAACGAAAAATAAAGATGCCAATGCAGACGAAGCGGATCGTGTGAAGCAAGCTACGACCGAAGCGATAGCTGGGGAAATCGGATCCAGCTCGAAGGATGATAATAGACCGGAGAATAAGGAGACGGGACATTAAACACGATCTAGTAGTCATATTTCTTTTTTCTTTTCTCGGCATCGCCCAGATTGTGATATCCATTTTGTCAATATGTATTTCCTTTCAGGACTCTCCCGCTCCAGCTGCGTGATTACAACCCGCAGCATGCGTATGCATCATAAGCGTGCCAAAGTTGGGCATATAATCTCATAAGCTCCGTCCTTACCATACGGATTCTGGGCCTTACAAGAAGACTGAAATGGGTATCTCTCATTGGAAATAAATAGTGTTCGTAGCGTCATAAAACCCAACCGTCCAAAGTCCATATTCTCCCCAAAATCACCATCCTCAGTCCGCTCTGCCAGGTAGACCTCGTCTTGCTGCGGATGCGGGGGCTGCTTTTCTCAAGTCTTGGATGACCGCCTGTAACACGATCCGTATCAGCTTCTGCCCCCTTCGTGCCGAAACCCTCCCACGTCCAGTATTGTTCTCAATGACTCACCGCAAGCGCATCTGGATTGACGCCATTCTCGATTAGCGACACACAAAGAGAAAGCTCGGTTCGATCGAGATGTGTATTCTAGAAAGAAAGAAAAAGAAAAAAGGGAAAAGCGATTAGTAGCTTGACACCATTTTTAACCAAGACCCCGTTGACACAGGATCTTCGAAAGGGGAAACTTACCAGCAACGTGGAGATTTCGTGTAAGATATCAATGACTTCTCTCGCAGCCTGCCGCTTGTCATCTTGTTGGGAAGGCATTTTATTCGCTGAGGATGCGCAGGAACATAGTCTTGCGGGGAGACTCGTTAAAAGGTGATTGACGCGCGAAGTCGCGGTAGACTAGATTATTAGTTCCTGACTGTGCCAAGTAGGTAGTGGGCTCCTCGTTGCGCCGGCGTTGAGCTAATCTATTTCAGAATTAGTTACTGTGTCCTACTTATTCCGAGCCAATTAAATGCATAGTATATACTATATACTTACTTCAATAAACGGCCGGGCATAACGCGCCTAATAGATCCAGTGATTATACAGCGGACTACGCTGATAACTATAAGTTTCGTATGTACTTAACTATCCTATTATTTTACTACTACACGTCTCTGCTTTAGCTACGGCCCTAAAAGAGCCGCATTGCCCGGGTGCTACCACGTGGAGGTACAGAGTCCGATTTCAGCACCCTTCCCCCTCTTTCTTATCAGTACAGCTACGATGCCCGGGTTGATCGCAAAATACTAATTGATACTTGCAGTTCAGCCCTCCTGAGACACCTTGAAGCGTTCGGCTTACAGCCTAGTTGTCATCAAGGACCCAGTCGAAGCCTACCCACGAAGAAGAGCAACTAGTATAGGATCGTCATGTCGTCAATTGATACTTGCAGTTCAGCCCTTCTGGGACACCTTGAAGCGTTCGGCTTACAGCCTAGTTGTCATCAAGGACCCAGTCGAAGCCTACCCACGAAGAAGAGCAATTGTCCAACAGAGCATGACCCGGCTCGAGTCTGATACTGATGTTTCCTAACCCGCAAGCCCCTCATCGCTATAATGTGCACGTCTAGAACTTCTAGACGGACAGCATTATAGCGATGATAACCCTGGCGAAGTCGGCCATCTCGACACGGTTGCCAATTCGGTACGGACCGAACCGGTTCATCTTTGCATGGCTAGCGCACTGTGGGTTACCTCCATTGAGATAACTTTTCCAGCTTCGGCCGTATTCAAAGATGCAAACGTATAGTTCGGATCCGTCCTGCGAGACGAGAGCTCGCCTTGTTCCATTAGATAGATTTCTCCACAAGGTCCCATTGAGTGGTACTCACCAGGGTCTCGGAGCAGCGTCCGGAAATTCTCTGATCCAGGCCACCATCTGGGCAGTCTCCTGGAATTCGACTTGAGGACTGTGCCTCAGTCTTTCGTCCCGCTTGCACTCGACAAGCGCCAAGATGTGCTTGGTCGTCACCTCCTGCAGCTGCCCATCGGTGACAGCAGTGAACTTTCGACCACTGCCAAAGTCCGCTTCGAGTGGGATCCTGTTCGCGCTCCATTCGCCGCTGATCGGCGTAGCTACCATACTCAGGGCTTGTAAGTAGGAGATGATCGACGCATTCACCACCGATTCAGAGCGACGGGTCAACTTTGACCCTCCTGACAGGAAAGCCTGCTGCTGCTGCGCCAATGGCACCTTGAACAAAGTGTCTTGGTGCCATTGGCTTAGGCTCGTGGCGCCGCCGGAAATCCTCTGCAGGTATGCTTGGAAATCCGCACTTCCCAGAAGGAGAACACCAGCCTGTTGATATTCAACAGACAGCCCGAAGAGGTTGGCATCGAAGCACTCTCTTGTCGGCGGGAACAACGTTCTGAAGAGCAGGAATTGCTCTTCCGTTACTCTGGAGCCGGATTGCAGGTTATTCGGGGATACCGCCAGCGACTTCCCCTGGAGGTTCCTTTCCCGGACCTCCTCTCGCCATTCTGCGGCAGTTTGACAGAGAATCGGGTGAGCTGTTGCCATTATCACCAATATCACAATGAGGACAGATTGGGGGCTTCCTGAAGGAGAAAGGTGAGATATCTGATGCAACGGATCGAGCGAAGATAGAGGTGGTGGAAAGACAGGAACAGAATGAGGATGTGGGTTTAAGAAATCACTACAGTCGCTTATGGGGTCTTGTGTTATAAGCCAAAAGATTGTGGAAGGGAGTTCCCACCCCTTCTCACTGTAACCTAGAAAAGACAAAGAGAAAACTACATAATGCTTGATTGTAGCAGTTTTCTTTGTAGATTTTCAGTTTTCAATTTAACCACTAGAGGCCAATCTTAGATTAGAACTTATGTGTTTACAGAATCGATGTTTGTGCTATACAGATCGCCGGTTACTGCTTCAAGAAAAGTGAGGTGGGACCAGCAGGTATCCATCGAAAGCATAGGGGGAAATTGACAATATTCCACTAGTCTGTCTGTACTTACTCCATAGTTTCTATATATTCTAGAGTGATATCTGAACTAACGTGCATAACAGCTCTAGATATCCTAATAGCTAGTAGTTGTAATCGCCGTGCGGCCCAGTAGATAAGAAGAGTCAGATAATTACGAACTTGGCGGTAGAAGAGAGAGGGCTTTTTGTTAGCGTTAATGCACAGAGCGTATGTATAGGTGATCTGGCATACTGTCTACTTTTATCAAATTTAATTCCAAGGATAGAACTAACTAGATCCTTCAGATCTAGATTATCTGTATAATTAGGAGATAAATATAGTATCAGCACAGAAATAATACCGCCTGTTAGAAAGAATTTAGGTGCATTTTGTCAGCACTCACAGCTTCAATAGAGGCAAGTCGCAAAAACCACTACTACCCTATACAAACGGTATAAAGGAATCAACGGGAAGCCACCTACATCCACCAATATAGGATCAAAGCAGACACGCCGGAACCAGGGAATGCTCAGGAATAGTAACAAACACAGTGCTCCAGGCAGCAGTAATTCAGGCTGGAGTCCATGGGCCTCAATAGCTAATAGATGTTGATACCTTCTTATTCTTCAAGCAATCAAGATCTTATTCCCATATCAGATACTCTTCATATCTTTGCTTCCGTGGTCTTAGATTCCCTATAATTTGAACCCATATTCATTTCTATAGGCATACAAAGAATCTAGTAATCAAGTAATCTAGTAACTTCTATCCTATAATTAGGATCCAAAGGACCTGCCGCAAACGGATGATTGTCAGAGCACCTGACGTTCGCTTTGTGCGCCGACAACTTGGGGAAATGATCTTTATCGCTTGACTACTAGAAGATGGCTAAATCCATCGACTACTTGTGCCCGGGGACACTATCCTGATGATCTCTGCCTAAAACACTGTCACTGTCACCGTTTGTGCATTGCCCTGTTCCAGGTCGTCTTCTTTGACCTTAATCTGGTCGAGCAGGTGACTGATGCTGATTATTCTATTGGGTGCCCTCTACAAAGAGTAATACCTAGTGGCACTTTGCAGTTTGGCTTGCGATAAAGCATTTGCTGACTGACTGACACAAACCTTTTACAGAATACTGTAACTGGGACTAAAATAAAGATAGACAACAAAGCTGGGTCTCCATCCTGCTAATATTCTTGGTTGAAGACTTAATCTAAGGTACGGGTGTAAGCCTTTCCTAGGTAACCGACTAACCTACCTAGGTAACTAGCGGGCGGGAGACTACCGTAGGTATTATTATTATTAATAGGGCTGATTGGATAACTTAGCTACATCAGAGTGACCTGAGACAATTTCCGGCCCTGCTGCCTTCAGTGAATGCAAGGACTTAACTGTTACACAAGCTGTCATTTCTCATTTTTACCTTACTCGATCTTTTGCACTGCCATTTGAGAATTCTACCACCATTCTTATTCCTTATTCGAATTTCACCACGTTTCTCATCTTTACCTCAGAATGGCGAAGGAAAAGCCGCGCAGGGCTCTAAATGCCCTATGGGAGGATCTGGAGGGGTCGTTCGTTGTCGCGGAGAAAGGAGGAGTTGTTGGCAACGACATTCTGAAGCAGCTCAGAATCAAGGTCCATCCTCTCGAGATAAATCCCCGCGGGAGTGTCTCGATGACTATCGATAATCCGCCTTTCCTGTTCGAGATACTCCCAGACTCAGAGCTCAGAAAAGGCCCCCTGCCAAAAGGATCGGTACAATTTCGGGAGTACCTGGAGCCTTCTCAGAGGCCTGAAGGGTCTCTTGACTATTACTGGCGCCCAGAGGCCTGTGCTAGGGAAGTCTCACAGTACATAACCTATTTTGCTCGCAGGACGTTCCGCAAGCTACCGAAATCTAGACAGTTGAGTTCCATCAGGTAAGCTGGTACATCCACGAAAATGAGCAAGTGATGTGATCACTACTGATTGAAGTTACAGCCATCCCGACCCGTTTCTGCTGTGGGGAGACCTCGATCGCAACTATGGTTTGTCCTGGAGCACCCACGTGCTCCTGGAGGCCCCGAAAAGCGATGGGTACCCAATTAAGCCGCATATTACTATGACAACGGTTATAGATCGCGTTGGCCAAGATGGTTCTATCTTCTATGAGGAATTGGCACCTCTGGTTGCTGCTATGCGAAACAGAGCAAACCAGCCAGAGGTGCCTCCTGAGCAATGGGAGTCCCTATTGGAGCTACTGGATATAGGAGAGCTCCCCGACAAACGTGTCTTCAGAAATGAAAAGATATTCCCTGTGTTAATGTTGTCGTTTCTCGGCCCTCAGCATGCACGGGTATTTTACGCTCGCATGAATGGAAATGAACTCGTGATCGGACAGTCAAAGCTCTATAGCTTTGAACGGAAGAATGATGCAAACATTGAGCTTTTTGCTCGACTTCTTCTGAGCACTCCGATCAGCATCGGGGAGTGGCAGCGCACTTCCGAGATTCGATAGATACTCAAGGAAGGTTAGAAGAAGCCTGGTTCATGATGTATGGAGGGAGAGTTGTTTCGTTCTGGCCCAGTATGTTGTTGTTGCTAAGACTTTGGATTTATTCCGTCATAATAATGATTCTTATAAATGCCTTACCGTTCCCAACTCGTTAGTATGAAGGAATATCTTTATTTACCCTCAGGATTACTAGACTGTCATTAAAGGTATTAAAAAAAGCCCCCATATGTCGGTAATACTCAGGTTAGGAGTAGGGTTGGTTCAATCGATATTCGAGGACTCAAAGCTGAATCAAGGATCCAAAGGGGTCCTGCCATACTTACCGGCCGCCTTCCTGAGTAGTTCAATCTTATCCTGTTATATTCGCCAGGAAATTAAAGACACGCTTTCGCGACTTTCGATCACATCAATAATTGTCCGTTTGACTGGCGCGTAGCCGCCGTTCTGCAAGGTTGCCCACTAAGTACGGTAAAGGAGGCGGGATCGCTTCCGGACGGAGATCCACGTTTTCCCTTGTTAACCGAGCCGAGCTTGATCCTTCACTACTGATATCTATCCCCTTGGAGCGACAGACGCTCAATTTGACGGAGGGTGGAACTAATATCCGTGGATCTGGGGTCTACGTGCATCTCTGAGGAATGTCGGCGGATCTCTGGATATCTGATATCCATTCTCTAGGGCAGCAGGACGCGGTGGACATTCTTGCGCGTATAGCACGCGTCGAGAAGAAGACCTTCCCTTCTAGCGAGGCGTGGGACTTCGGTGCCGATCTATGGAGGAAGAAGCCTAACACTCGAGTTCTATACGCGACGAATGCACCGCCTTTGTCTGGATCAGGGAACCCTCCTGTGCTGATCGCCTATGCGCTCTATGTGCGGCAGAAGGGAACGGCCCTGCTGCACAAGGTCTGCGTCGCAGAGCCGTACCGTGGACAAGGAGTCGGACAGAAGCTGATGAACTACATCAGTGAGCGGCTTCGACGAGAGGGCTGTCAGTACATCCAGTTGTGGGTCGACAAGGCCAGGGCGCCTGCACGAGCGTTGTACGCTCGTTCTGGCTTTCAAGAGCGTGAAGCGATCGACGACTACTATGCGCCTGGCCGCACCGGAATAAGGATGGTGCTCGATCTTGAACATGGTTAATCAGCTATGCATAAGAATTTCCATTTACGATCATCTAATTTCGAATTGAAGCGAGGTCTCTCTCCTTCATTGCCTTCTGAGCCCTTCTCCCTTTTGCTATCGACTCGAAGGTCTGGCGGTGGTTGGACTCCTTGATAACGCGGGAGTTGGCCCCTTGCAGGATCGCGAAGGTGGCCGATAGGGCTGTCAACGTCCCCGCGATGCTGCACGCTCCCTGTCAGCCCTTGTGCATTTCTTGACGTCGAACATAGCCAGGCATGGCTATCTTGAAAGGGGGGCTACACGCCTCGCGTTTGCCCTTCGATGCCCTTCCTTCCTTGGGTAAAACTCCCCAGGGGACCTCGTCGAGGTTCCTCGGGCGAGTGCTGGAAATCTTTCAATCTGTCTGCTGCCAAACTGCTTCCTCATTCCTTCTTGTCATGTCTTTGTGACCCTCATCGACGTCTCGCGGCCTTTCGGCTGTCATTTGCAGCATCCAGGACGATCCAACGGTGTTCACGGACAGTGACACGGTTGATTCGCCTCAGATAATATGGCTCTTCTGATCAGCTTTCTTGCACTTATATTGGCTGCGAATGCGGTTCCTGCGCCGAACTGGCCGATCAACTCTCAGTTACCACCTGTCGCTCGAGTGTCAAAGCCTTTCGAGTTCGTCTTTTCGGAAGGCACCTTCAGTGACAGCTCTAACATGACATATTCGTTATCCAATGCGCCCTCATGGCTGAAAATAGACAGCAGCAGCCGTAAGCTATATGGGACTCCTGCGTCTGGCGACGCCAATTCTCTCCAGTTTGATCTCGTGGCTTCCGATGATTCGGGCTCCGCTCATATGACCACGACTCTGGTGGTATCGGCGGAGGAGGGACCGACAGTTGGAAAGGCAATCCTTCCGCAGCTCGCGAAAGTCGGACCTACTTCTAGTCCTTCTACGCTCTATATGTACCCCGGTCGATCGTTCTCGTTCTCCTTCGCATCGGACACTTTTCTCAATACGCAGTACACGACCATCTACTACGCAACATCCACGGGCAACTCCCCTCTTCCATCCTGGATTGGATTCAACGCAGCGAACCTTAACTTCTCAGGAACCAGTCCTTCGTCTCCCTCCTCGGGGCCCCAGACATTCACATTTAACCTCATAGCGTCTGACGTTCCTGGATTCAGCGGAGCCGCTGTCAGTTTTCAGATCGTGGTGGGATCGCATATACTGGCCTTCAAAGAGGATGAAGTCGTGCTCAATTTCACCCAAGGGCAGCCATTCAGTACGACACAATTTTTAGACATCTTGACCCTTGATGGCAAAGAGCCCACTTTGAGTGACATTGCCAGCATCAAGGTCGATGGCCCGGATTGGCTGCACCTGGACAACAATACCATTTCCCTAGCCGGGACGGCGCCTCAAAATGCGGGGGACGAGAATGCGACTATTTCTGTGACGGATATTTACCAGGATGTTGCAACTCTCGTGGTGAATTTGAAAGTCTCGCAGCTGTTCGCGGAAGGTGTTGACAACTGCAATGCCACCATCGGCCAGGAATTCTCGTATGTCTTTGCAGAGACGTTGCTCGACCCATCAGCCACTCTCACCGTCGATCTTGGACAAGCTTCCGCTTGGGCGAACTATGATCCTGCTACCAGAACTCTCTCTGGGAAGATCCCTGACAACATGAAGCCGCAAACAGTCTCCATAAAACTCATTGCCACCAGAGGCTCGACAACGGAAACGCGCAACCTAAATATCATTATCACTAAGAAGGGCTCTAATGATACCGACGAGAACTCAACGGGATCGGGAGGTGGGATACATGAGAAGGCTGGCTTAATCGCGATTGCTGTGGTTATCCCGGTGGTTGTCCTTATCAGCTTGGCCATCGTCCTTTGCTGTTGGATCCGTAGGCGCAGAGCAGCTAAGCCCAAGGACGATCAGGAGGCAAAAGAGAAAATGAATATCTCGAGACCCAAGATACCCGAGCTTCCATGTGGGAAGATGTCAGAAGACCAGCAGCCACTCGAAAGAGCGGATACTGGCCAAGCCTCTCCGACACATTCTGACCCTCCTCAACTCGACTTGGGGCCACTTTGGGAGGTGGATTCGCTGCAACGAGACAATAGTGGCAAAGTGGTAGACGATGAAGCTCGTGCCTCTCGATCCATGGCTGATTGGGGCTTTGGGCCCTCGACAAGCGCAGGAGCGAACGAAGAGAAGCAACAGGATAGTTCAGCCAACAATGATGCGAAGCGTGGTTCTCAAAGGAACTCACCTCTGAGGCGCAGCACTACGAACTATTCCCGGAAAAGGGAGCCACTCAAGACCATTCAGCCGCGATCTTTCAAGCGAGACTCGACACTTTCCGCTAAGTCGAAACGATATTCACGACGCTCCAGCGGTATCCCATCTGTTGCCTCTGGACTTCCGGTCAGACTCAGCGGTGCTGGACATGGAGCGGGCGGGGTCGGGCCTCCTGGACATGGTGTCGTAAGAATCTCATGGCAGAACACGCAAGCATCGTTTCAGAGTGATGATACTGGCATCGAGAATATAGCACCACTCTTCCCTCGACCGCCTCAGCACAGGCACAGTTATTCCTCGAGACCATACGACTACCCCAAGCGTCTCAGCCTGAGGCCTGTTGACCCGAGCAGCTCGACTCTCTCTGAAAGTGAGTCACTCGAAGCATTTATCCATGGCCGTGCCAAGAGCAGAAACTCTGCGAGCCCGATGTTCTCAGCCCGTCTGAATAGTAAAACCTCATCTGGCCTGCGAGCACTTGAGAAAGCCCGGAGGACGCCAAGCGGCGCGGAGACAGCTGGCTCGATCTCGATATACGCGGACGAGGCCCGACAGTCTCCCCCACGGCCTGTCTCGACGGCGATGTCGGGGTCGGTCTACACTGATGATGTTCGGCATTCCGTCCAGATACGGCCGTTGTCTCAGATATCGAATGCGCAGAAACGAGGTAGTCAACCAAACTTTGCTAAAAAGTACAGTGAGATCGTTGCACCTCTTCCTCGCTTTTGGAGTCAGGGCAGTCTGGCGAGTAAGGGCCGACAGGAGTCCGGAGACTCCCTGACGGGCTCAGAAGACTACCACGATCTCATCGACGAGCGCGAAGAGCCTGACGGTCAGCGCTGGTGGTACAAGGTAAATCCTGTTACGCATGCCCGGACAGCCTCTGCGGATGCACCAGAGAGGGTAGATACAGCAAACGACGAACGTGCAGCAGAAGCGGATCCGATCAAGAGTCGGGTACGGCGCATGAGCCTCATACGGACGGGCGGACGTGGGCGCGATAGCAGTCCTGGCAGCCGTAGTGACCGACTATGGAGGTTGGCGGAGAACGAGGAACGACGACCAGTCAGTATCGAGGACACCAGCAGTATTGATCGAACGATTACGGGGAGTATGCGGGGCGATTTGGCATTTGTATGAGTATCAGGCGGAGGAAATAAAACATTGGCCGGTGTGGTGGGAGCATCCTTGATCTTTTTTCTTCCTGTCTTTGATTGGCATTATTGAACTGTTGGCCTGGTCCCTTTCTCGGTTGACCGCTATTTTCCCCTTTGCGTTTGGTTTCTTTGGTTTTGGACAGTTATCAGGCCCTAGAGGCGCTGGCTGGATGTGCTTTGAAAGAAGAGATACCTCGGTACAGATATCCTTGTGAGTTACATTGTCATAGTTTCTTTTTGTTTTTGGAGAGAGCCAACAAAAGAAAGAGCATCCCCTAATGGTAGTTATCTCGGATAATAATAATAAGGGGAAAAAAGAGCTTCGAGAACATCATTTGGATCATATCAGTAGGAATAACGAAAAGGCGCCTTGCGAGCCTCCTAGATCTACGGAGTACCGGGAGTCGATCCCGACCAGGTAAAATCTGGGGAACCCTCGCATCCTTAACCCGGATGCGCGGGAGCTTTGATCTCTCTGAGAGATGGACGAACTTACGAAGGGGGATGGACACGGACCCTTTCTTAAGCGAGACGTCGGAGATTCAGTAATAATAATAATAATCATAATAATAATCATAATAATCGAATCAGACCAGACCAAAGAAGACCAAAATAATAACAAAAGAATTAGGCGACTGACTCTGACCGATCGATCGCCCGATTGACAGACAGCGGAGAAGGGACCTTGTTGCGCGCCGGTCTTCATGCCAGTGAGTTTTTTTTTTTTTTTTTTCTCCTCTTCCTAACACAGGGAAAATTGGAAGTGGGAGGAAAAGGGCCAAAAAAGAAGAAGAAAAGAGGGACTCAACTTCCAAGCCGGCCAGGACCAGTCTAGACGGGTGAAAACTCTGTCTGATGATCTACATATTATTACATGGCGCAAGTGCCGGTATCGTCCAGTAAGTACATGTACATACATAGTAGGTATTAGGTATTACTCTTGACAACTCTGGGTGGGATTTTGGTGGGTTGTTAGGATGAAGGGCCTGGCGCTCTCAAGTTTCCAAGGAAGGAGGGAGAAGAAGTCATGAATAAGAAGGAGGATTAAGAGAGAGAGAGAGAGAGAGAGAATCCAGTATCAATTGATCTATAGCACTAGGAGTCCTTGATCGTATATTGATTATTGTGTAATTAATTAACTGTTGATTTTGTTGAGCCATGAGCCACAAATCGTGGGGGAGATTGACCGGAGAGCCGGTCGCATTTGTGTGATTCACCGCCATCATAGAGTAAAGTGCTCTGAAGGGAAAGTCAGTCAGTCAGTCAGGAATGCAAGAAGGACAGATCAGACATTGTTGCAAATGTATATATATGATTTATTACTATGAAATTCATAGACAGAGAGAGAGAGAGAAAGGGGAGAGAGCCTGGAGGGGTGGTAGAATACCTAGACGAATCCATGATAAGAACAAGAACACATCTGGGGAATTATTACGTAGTGCATAGGTCGATAACTCATTGATTTCTTCTCCCCCCCTATTTTTTTTTTTACTGGATTTTTTTTTTTTTTTCCAGTATTAATTCAGCCTGTTCCATGTTGCTGGTTTAAATTAATTATAATTAACTACTACTACTAACTTAACTTGCCTGGTTTACGGGCGACCACCAAGTCACCGGACGCTAAGCATTTTCGTCATTTCTCACCTGCGGCAGCTTTCTTCAAACACGCGACTTGCAAACTTCATCATCCCCTTCAAATCTTGCTCCGCCCTCCCTTGGCTTGGTTCCTGAGCATCCAGCCAGTGCTCGAGATCTATTCTTCCTCTTTTCCTCCCGCCGTTGCAGTGTTCAGTCCAATATTGACCTGCAACAGAGATCCTGAACCGCTCCCCATCGACTGGTGCACTGGCTCCATCCGCCTTTTTCCCCGCCCAGATTCTCTCTCTACCCATCCATCGGTCCCCAGCGCTACGACTGTGAGCATTAGTCCCCTCGACAGAGTCTTCACACCCCCGTCCGACCACGTTCCCTGACTGGACTGCGTGCGATAATAGCAGAATTCTCCTGGCAGTCTGTCGTTGTGCATGACTGTTGTCGACAATCGATCCTTCACTAGACTTCCGTGACCACCTATAAATCATGGGTCAGACCTTATCAGAGCCGGTAGTAGAGAAGGTGAGGATCTGATTCCTGCTCTTGTTTGATGTTGTGCCAAGGTGCGTCAGGCCCTGTCTGCGTCGCCAATGTTCCCCTCTGGTCCTGCGATCAGTTGAGATGGGTGCCGGACAGGATGCGGGGCATGACGCACCGTGGTCCCGAATGCATTTTCCTGCTCGAGGGACAACCCATTGCAGACGAAGGACCGCGCCAGGGCCTTGGAGTAACAATTCTGTCTTGATATTTTCGATTGCAATTTTCTTGTCTGGGGTAACTGACGTTGGGCCCCTGGGGTTGTAGACTTCTTCGGAAGGCGAAGATGAATGTGTCCTGTACGGCGTGTCCGCCATGCAGGGCTGGAGAATCAGCATGGAAGACGCACACGCGGCAGTCCTAGATCTGCAGGCCAAGTATGTGGATAGCGATGGCAAGCCTACCGATCCGAGCAAACGGCTCTCCTTCTTCGGTGTATATGACGGGCATGGAGGAGACAAGGTAGCTCTATTCGCAGGAGAGAATGTCCACAAGATCGTCGCAAAACAAGACGCATTCGCAAAGGGCGACATTGAGCAGGCCCTCAAGGATGGTTTCCTGGCTACGGATCGCGCTATCTTGGAAGGTGGGTTGCAGTGTTGGCGGCGGCGCTGAAGGGTTCCGGACCCTGATAGAACGTTGGCTGATGTGGAAGCAGACCCGAAATACGAAGAAGAAGTCTCTGGCTGCACAGCGTCGGTTGGTGTCATCTCTCGCGACAAGATCTGGGTGGTATGTGTCTGTTACCATGTTGTCAAGGTCTCATTGTCTTACGTCGTTTACAGGCCAACGCTGGTGATTCACGATCTGTTCTTGGTGTCAAAGGCCGCGCGAAGCCTCTGTCCTTTGACCATAAACCCCAGAACGAAGGTTAGAATATCTTGATTAGGTTGACTCTGCCTCGATGTTCATTCTGACGGTCCTCCGCAGGCGAGAAAGCGCGTATCAGCGCCGCAGGCGGTTTCGTCGACTTTGGACGGGTCAACGGCAACCTGGCTCTGTCCCGCGCCATTGGAGACTTCGAATTCAAGAAGAGCCCCGAGTTGTCTCCCGAACAGCAGATTGTCACTGCCTATCCTGACGTGACCGTCCACGAGGTCACTGATGACGATGAGTTCCTCGTCATCGCCTGTGATGGTACGTCGGATTTCGTCTTTCAAAAAAACTACCCCCACTTTAGCCGCGCTGCTTTATTAAACATGTCTCTACTGCAGGTATCTGGGACTGCCAGTCTTCTCAGGCCGTGGTCGAATTCGTTCGCAGAGGAATTGCAGCTAAGCAGGAGTTGCACCGGATCTGTGAGAACATGATGGACAACTGCCTGGCTTCCAACAGCGAGACCGGCGGGGTTGGTTGTGACAACATGACCATGATTGTCATTGGGCTTCTCCATGGCAAGACCAAGGAGGAGTGGTATAACACGATTGCAGAGCGGGTAGCCAAAGGCGACGGGCCTTGTGCTCCACCCGAGTACGGCAAGTTTCGCCAGCAATCCTCGGAGTCCAAGGAGAGCCCTACTGACTGACGGGCTGTAGCTGAGTTCCGCGGCCCTGGCGTCCGGCATCAGTTTGACGAGAGCCCCGATGACTATGAACTGGAGCAGGACAATCGTGCGCGCGGCTTCAGCGTCCGCTCGGGTCGGATCATCCTTCTCGGTGACGGCACAGAAGTCATGACGGATCAGAATGAGGAGGATCTCTTTGACCATGCGGATGAAGACAAGGATCTGGAGAACCAAGTCAAGAGAGGCACTGAAGACTCGACTAGAAATGATCGCGAAGGCACTCCTGGACCGCAAGTGGATCGTGACGCTTCTCCCCAGACCGGGGATGCTCCCAAGATCTCCGAATCGCCCTCGTCCGCCACGGAGACGGAGAAGTCAGCCGCTGCGGAGACGAAGGAGTCTTCCTAGTTCGAGATTCACTGCTTCTCTGGGACACCGCATTTGTGATCCTATGATTTATTGATTCCACGACGCTATCCCCCCGCCCTCCACTTGAGCCTTTGTCGGTCCCCGCTTGTCCCCTTTTCTTTCCCCCTTCTTCTTTTCCTTTCTCGATTTTCCCTGTAACGGAGGAGACGGTTCGAGCGGTAGCTTCTTGAGTCCTCCATCATTTGTCTCGATTCGGGAGGCGATCTATGTCTTGCGATGTATGGGAAAGGTGTCCGGGCCGGTGAATACAATACCTTCGACGACCGTACGTCTGTTTTATGTCTGCACAGGAGATACCGAACGCACTCCCGCTTCTGCTCCCAAACTCGCCTTGTTCTTCTCTACGGAAATGTTCTCCTTCGGCCTTTTTTTTTTTTTTTTTCTTTTCCCTCTTGTTGTTTCCCCTAACTTGTTGCTACCTGTCATTCTCGTCGCGCTCTCCCGGACCGATTGGTGGAATATGGCTGCGGAGGGCTTCCGCTGGGGTGGACTGCACGAGTTACTCTACTTACTATCCTGCTTGGAGCCTTGTCACCGGCTCCAGCGGCCAGAAGAACGGGGGCAGGGGTTCCACAATGGCATTGCACACATCCAGGCGTAACCGGTATCTAAGTCTACACACGTTTGAGATCGTCTTTTTTTTAGTCTGCTTGGACAGGAATCCGTATTTGTTCAGTTTCCGGGCCGCGGCAGAGCCTTTTTATATCCTCTCCTGGGAGACCTCAGTAGATGAGCGCGACTCTCCCCGCGACGGAATCTTCCCTAAAGAGGAAAAAAGAAGCTTTTAAAAGAAGAAGCAGATCCTAGAGAGAATACTATACTACCAATGACATGGCATGGAAAAAGACGACGATGGCTGGAGAAGACGATTCCAACGCGTAGAGCGCTCTGTTGATTCTCAGTCTGGCCTTTTTTCCCCCCTTTTCTTCTTTTTCTTTTTCTTTTTCTTTTCTTTTCTTTAATTACTTTACCAGGACTTTTTATGGTCCTTTTGGTGTCTGATGCGTCTTGTTTTCTTCCATGACGTGACCCGATTCCATTGCTTTGGCCCCACCGCTTTTTTCTCTCTTCTTCATCTCATCTCATTCTCATCTCCATCTACATCTACAGTCAAAGTAAAACAACCCATTAACTATTATTTTTGTGATTCTTTTTTTTCTCTTCTCTAATCCCATCATCGCACGAGCGCACGCGGCCCCCAGACGGCCTCTGTCTCGTCGGCCGTTGCAGCGCGAAGAGATTTCCGCTTGTTCCCCGTCTTCCCTTCCCTTCGCTTCCCCACTCTCTCTCTCGTCGACTCTAGAAAGCTCCGGGAAAGTCTTGGGGGGTCCACTACTACACTGCTAGGTCCCTCGAACTGCCCAAGCCTAAGGCCGCTACCCATCCCCTGTTGACCGACTTGCGAGTTGACATTCTGCATCGACCGTTCGAACAATCAAGCGACCGCTCATCTCTCATCCTTTTTCTTCCGATCAGTTCTTCCGATCAGCTGCAATATCCAGCCAGAGGGGAGCTGATCAGCACGCTCTCCCTTCACCTCCCAGGCTTCCCACACGCTGCCCTTCATGTCCTCTTCCTCGTCCCTCTCGGGCTCCGCCAAGCGCAAGCGCAGCGCGTCCCAGTCCCAGTCCCAGTCCCAGTTGTCATCGGCCAATATCCCGAAGTCATCGACCGCAGATCTGTTGCAACCTTCGTCTCGGGACGCTTCCGGAGAAGAAGGTGACGATTCAGCCGCTCCCACGGCCTCGACAGGGAAACATAGAAAACCATCTCAGGCCGTCGAGCCCACGTCCGTACCGCCGACCAAGCGCGCTCGAACCCGTAACGGTGCAATGGCCGACGGACCGCAGGCTGTCGACAATGGCGTAGCAGAGGATACGTCGAGGAGAAAGGAAGATCCGGGAGAACCGTCGGAGACGACGGAGTCCAGTATCGACATCGAACATCGTTCCAAGAGAAAGCCGGCATCCCATGGCCAGACCCCATCTTCATCATCAAGCAAGCAGCATGGGGATGCGGACGGATTGATGGCACCGCCCGACAGAGCAGGACTGGAGAACCCCAAGGGCTATTCCATGAACCCTCCCCCGACAGGACGGCCAGTGCGTGTCTACGCTGATGGAGTCTTTGATCTCTTCCATCTGGGGTGAGTTGGACTCGTCGAGCGCGCGGGTAGCTTGGTGCCAACGCGACAAAAGCTGTCCGTACAATGACTTGACAAATCACTGACATTCGACTACAACAGACACATGCGGCAATTAGAGCAGGCGAAGAAGGCCTTCCCCGAAGTCTATCTCATCGTGGGAGTGACCGGAGACGAAGAGACACACAAGCGGAAAGGCTTGACCGTGCTGAGCGGCAAGGAGCGAGCAGAGACGGTCCGTCACTGCAAGTGGGTGGATGAGGTCATTCCTAACTGTCCCTGGATCGTCACCCCGGAGTTTTTGGAAGAGCATCAGATCGACTACGTCGCACACGATGATCTGCCATACGGCGCGGCCGAGGGAGACGACATCTATGCCCCCATTAAGGCCCAAGGAAAGTTTTTGGCCACCCAGCGAACGGAAGGTGTCAGCACCACGGGAATAATCACAAAGATTGTCCGTGACTACGACAAGTATATCGCTCGCCAATTCCAGCGGGGCGCTTCCCGACAAGAGCTCAATGTCTCTTGGCTCAAGAAGAATGAGCTGGAGATCAAGCGCCACGTGAGTGAAATCCGCGACAACATTCGGAACAATTGGACATCGACTGGGCAAGAACTGGGCAAGGAGCTGCGCCAGTTCTGGCAGAACAGCCGGCCCAGCAGCCCTGCTCGCAGCGCACGGAACAGTGTTGATATTGGTGGCTCGAGGAGTGGTAATAATCTCACCAGCCCCACCACCAGCAACGGCACTGCTAAGACGCATCTATCGCGTCTGGAGATCCCGAACCGTGCTGAGAGCCCTGGTGGCCATGCCCGGAATGAGGATTTCGCGACTGGTTACAGCCTGGGATTGATCGGAGGTGTCAGAGCATGGGTGAGTGTCTGTTGAATCCCTTTCGTTGTCCCCTTCATTTCGAAAAAAACGAGAAACATAGGATTATCTTCCCCGGATCCGTGGAGTGCATGCCTCTGTATTTTCTCTTAGCCACTGACACAATCAACGCAGATGATGCGGAGCCGGACGTCTCTGCTGCAGCCCAGCCGACCCCAATCGCCCGAGGGTAGCGAGGAAGAACACGAGGATGATGCCCACGCTAGGCACGCGTCCCCTGAGCTGCGTGGCAGATCGTCCAAGGAGACAAAAGTGCCCAGCTCAAACACGACGGCTGTGGCATCGTAAGATGCTCGCCGTGCCTTGTCCTTTCTTGTAGGAGCCGGCAAGTGTGCCGTACGTAAATCCAAGAAGCCCTGAAGTAAGACACGGGCCCCTGGTAGATGCGGACGGCACCGCTTTCGACAAACCGATGAACGCCCTAATACTCGCCCTATGGCCCATCCAACGTTTCCTCCATAACCGGAAAAAGACCCTCTACTCAAAAACTTACTACTACTTTTTATTTTTCCTTCTATTGGAATGTGCAGGCCCGATCTAGACGAGTGTTTATTTAATTCTGATAAGACTAGAGCGCCCACCGTTATCAGCAGCAGCAGCAGCAGCAGCATCATCATTGTCATCATCATCATGGTTATGGTCATCATGGGAGGCGCCAGAGACGTTTGGCGTCAGGGTCATAATTTGGGTCTGACATTTTTTTTCTTCATCTCTAACGAACAAAATCACATAGCAAAAGGGGTTATAGACAGTTGGGGGATAGAAAAGGGAGAAAGACAGAAAAAAAGGGAACCCGGGATATATATAGGTATTTCAGGCCTTCGGAAGGAAGGTGATGACGAGAATGATATTAAGCCTAACAACCCGATTTTTATTCAACATTGCGTAGGTGGGAACAATGTTTGCAGACTCGTAGTTCACTCGACCTTGCAGGATTATTAGAACTACATCGGAATATGAGCTCCCGTGTGAATGATGATGGGATGATTACAGCAGCTGCACTGCGCCTCCAGTCTTTATACAATGTATGGTACGGTCTGCGATCTACTCTATGAGTGCATATAAATCAAGTCTTGGTCGTCGATAAACTAACTGGCCTTCTAGAATAACCGGAGCGCCAGGCTATTTTTCTAATTTCTTTTATTCTACCTGATTGATTCTTTTCTATCAACGCGGACAGAAAACAATCTTCTATCCCCGCATATAGTCAAAGAGAAGCGTCAAATGATTCCTTTGCTCCTCCAACAGACCCTATTGATCCGCGATCCAACTTAGAAGAAGAAATGGTGATAGGATAGGGAGTCGGATCGCCTGGCCCCCAGCAGTTAACCCACTATCCACCTCGCGGGGAGATCTGCGACGTGGAGTGGAGTATGGGACAGTTGGCCCCTAAGTCCATAAAGTAAAATCAGTACCCGCTTGAGCGCGAGGAACCTAATCATAACATAGAGGTTTAGCCCCCAAACTCCTAATAATAAGATAAGTTGATATACATGGGCTGGAACTAAGCCTCTAACTGTAGGACAAAGAAATCGTAAGATGCCTTAGCTGGCCTGCCTATCTGATGGCCCTGACGCACATACTTGACCACTTAGTATAGAATTAGACTACCTAGAACAAGCGCTGTCTACTTCTGTTGATTGCTTCTATATTTCAGCCACACGCAGCACATGCGCCGTCACTGCTCGAGAGGGGCACAAAGTGGTACCAGATGCAACATATCGTCACAATCTATACATACCACATCTTCCACGATTTCTGGTCGGCCTCCATGTTTTTAAGTAGGAGGACCCTTAGTGCTAGCATTGACCCTGTTAGGCTAGTCAGCACGTAGGTAACCAAGTGCATTCGGTTACCAGAAGCTCAGCGCCACCAGAACAGAACGCTGCTGCAGATGGTCCATCATGCGAAGTCGTCACCCCATGACTAGCGAGAAGTGTTTTTGGTCCCCCCAGACGATTTCCCGCCTGATCGCCCAGGTCCTCTATCTGCAGGGCCGTCATCACAACGGCCAAGATAAGGCTGATCCATTGGTAACTGGTAGTATTGATTATGTCCGTGCATCCGCAAGTCATAGTCAATGCCCCGCCCGAGTAAAAGCTCATGTCTTCATCGGAGATCGTTGTATGTATGTACATACATCCATGTCAGGACGATCAGGCAGAAACCATGCCAGACGACCCCTTGAAGATAGGCACAGAGCAGCACGGTGGGAATCAAACACAACAGAAAATAGCGAGCTCCGCTGGGCATGATTCTCTTTGATGGAATAAGCATCCACGGTTTGTTGACTTCGTCGTCGATGAGAGAAGCTGGTAGGCTGGTTCGGTACATTAAAGAGCTGTAGATTGAGCCAGAGCCAGAAGAACACAACGGGAAGCATGCTGATAACTATAACATATCACATACATATTCGGCTACCCAGTTGGAGTTACTTCTTTGCCTACGTAGAGTCCGTCAATTAATCACGGCAGGGTCCCGCGACCCCTCTCCCCAAAAATGGAACAAGGGCTTCGGCATTGTATACAGCTGCAACTCGGATAGACAAGATCTACAAGCAATATGGCTCAAGTAGTACAGCTTTGCATCCATATATTGTAACCGATTGGTTGTATCTACTTTCCCCTTCTCCCACGCGGCGGTAAGAATTTGGCCCCAAAGTAGGAGAGGGGTTGCATGAGAACGTGCAGGCTCTAAACACAGTAGGCTGGCGATCACAGTGAGCATCCAAATGCATTTCTCATAGTCTGAAGATATATCTTTCTTCCTTTCTGTCTTCACATCCAGATACTCGACCAGCTTAGGATGCCAGATTCGAGATGCCCTCACTCACGCCAGAGCAGATTCAATATCAAATGAGCCACAAAGATGACGACCGAAGAGCAGGAATCGTGGCTTCTATCTCTATCATGCTGGCCGTCGCTTATGGGGCAGTCATTCTGCGAGTAGTGGCCCGACGGATTGGTAGAGTGCCCTTGAAAATGGATGACTGGATGATTATGGTGGGACTGGTTGGTCAATTGGATGATCGAAAGGATCTGTAGAATGGTTATACTGACATGGACGACAATAGTTTCTGACTACCTGCTTTGCTATCGGCTGTTTTCTCTGTAAGTTGCGACATTAGCGATGCTTTTCTCCTCGTGCAAGAACTAAAGACTATGGCAGCTGTCGCCCTTGGAATGGGCAGACATGCCATTATGGTGAAGCAACCGACGCGAATGGCCAAACAGATCCTGACGAATGAGGTCTTTTACACTCCTGCGTCAACAACCGTGAAATTCAGCATCCTCTTATTCTATCGACGACTATTCCCGCTGCAGAACGGCCTTAACTGGACCCTACTCGGAGTCGCAGTGTTTTTGGTCGTCTTTGCTCTTGCTCAAATGGTGAGCGTCATTATTCAATGCACTCCCCCAGCAGCACTCTGGGATCCAGTAGCTCATCCGAATGCTAAATGTGACAATTACTCTCCGGCTCTTTTGTTATTTGCCATTGTTAACGCTTCAACCGATGTCTTCATCCTATGCATTCCGCTACCGATTCTATGGAAACTTCGAGTCTCGGCTACCAGAAGGAAACAACTCATTGGAATCTTCCTGCTGGGTGGTTTGTAAGTACATGCGACAGCAGTCATATTCTGTTTTAGATTGCTGACCAGGTTGTATATAGGGTGTGCGTAGTAAGCATCTGCCGAGTAGGTTACGTGACCCAAGTCACCCTGACAGACCCAAGCTGTGAGTGAAAAGAGTACAATCAATCAGAAACAGAGTAAACTGACCCGAGTTATATACCAGGGGATGATGTCAACACAGTCATACTATCCGCGGTCGAAAACTGTGCCGGTGTTCTGAGTGCCTGTCTACCAACAACGTTGCCCATTTGGCGTTACCTGAGACACGGTAAAGCTAGTCAAGAGGAGCCAGGACACCATCTTCAGGAGTCAGAAAATCCACGTAAAAAGCCATCCTGTAAGAAGAACTGGTACACCGATACCATGCTCCTGAATAGCATTGCGAAAGACGACATTATCAGCGGCTCGAATCCATCTAGTGAGCACACTCAGTCGACAGTCAAACTTTTTAATCCTGCCTCTGCTATTCGTGTGACTACCGATTTCCAACAGGAAGATGAGATCGTTTCAGAACGACTGCCTTCTTATCAGCCGTACGAATCCGTTTCTCAGAGATGGTAGTCTTCCGCAAGTAAGGAGTCTCATTCCATATCCAGGTCGACAAGTACGTCAGGATGGAGTCCGCCTGAATATTATATCACGATGAAGTAGCTACCTCACCCTTTGACATCTTTTCGCGGAGTTTCGAACTGCTCAACTTGTCAGATGACCATTATAGTATCGATGTTCTGCTAGCTGTCCTCCAAGGGTTGAATGTTGTAGGTCTTCCTTTTCCCGCCGAACTTTCTTCTAGATACTGACCCTGCTCGTCGTCTCTTACAGCTAGGACGCATGTAATGGCTGGCATCACTTAATCTCGATAAAGCATTCTTCCGCAAACTCGCCGCTGCAAATGATCGATATGAAGCTTTCAGTGGCATTCGAGCGCATGGCAAAATGGGACACAGTAAAGGTGAAAGATGCATTCCATTTCCTGCAAAGGGGAAGAGATCCCATAACCGAGTCTGGGTTTACGCCCGAAAATCTGGTTTCTGAAGTGAGTCTTTTGATACTTGGAGGTTTGTCTACTCGTTATTTAGTTTACAACGTTCACTAAGCGTGAACGCTAACTAACGCGGTTCCAAATCAGGAAACGACATCACCTCCACAGTGATTATTAGTATTCTCTTCACGGTCATTCGAATATATTCTCGAATGGTAGATTGCCGGGAATGATGAAAATAGTCTGGCACGAAGTGAATTCCACCCGTTCAGTATCGGTCTGTGAAGTTGTGCGAGGAAAGGAATGGTATATCTGATGATTGGTCTCTAGCAGTTAATCTGAAAGGTTAATTATCTACAGAAACTAACTGCTATATCTAGCACTACATGGGTTCTTTTTGTCTATTCTACTTGACAGTAAGAAGGGGTGGGAGCTCCTTCCCATAATCCAAGCTTACTAGGAGCGGAAGGATTTATTTTGGCTTAAGTACAACACAAGACCCCATAAGCGACTGTAGTGTTTTCTTAAACCCACAACCTCGTTCTCCTCCTGTCTTCCCACTCCCTCTACCTTTCTCTTGCGTCAGACATCTCCCTTCTCAGAAACCACTTTGACTTCTTTCCCATCGTGAAAATGGCGTCTTCAAACACTGTCCTTTTCGAAACTGGTGCCGAATGGCTCGCTGAGGCCCGGCGAAGAAACATCGCCCACAAGTCCATAAAGACTTGTAGCGACCTACGATCTGGCTCGAAGGTTACGGAAGAGCAATTCTTGCTCTTCCGGACTCTGGTCCCCTCGGTCGAACACAGATTCGACCCCAATGTGTTTGGACTTGCCGCGCAATATTCGCAAGCCGCTGGTCGTCTGGGGGGGATCCCTAGACTTCCAAGCATATCTCAGCAATATTGGCGCCACGACAACGGCCATTAACCAATGGCACCTTGACACTTTGTTCAAGGTGCCATTGGCACAACAAAGGCACGTCTGTTCAACAACCTTTCGAGACAGAGCAAAGCTTGCCCGTCGATCTGAATCGGCGGTGAATACATCTCTCATCTCGTTTCTACAAGCTCTGACAATGGTAGCTGGGCTACCTACCTGTCAGTGGAATGGGGATAGAATCCCACTGGAAGCAGACTTTGGGGCCCCTGCTGGCAGCTTTATTGCTGTCACAGACGGCCAGCTCCAAAATATAACGAGAAAATGGAATATCGAGCCAGATCGAAGCTCGCCCGTCGATCTGAGTCGGCGGTAAATATATCTCTCATCTCGTTTCTACAAGCTCTGACAATGGTAGCTGGGCTACCCACCAGTCAGTGGAATGGGGATAGAATCCCACTGCGAGCAGACTTTGGGGGCCCTGCAGGCAGCTTTATTGCTGTTACAGATGGCCAGCTCCAAGATATAACGAACAATTGGAATATCGAGCCAGATCGAAGCTCGCCCGTCGGTCCGAGTCGGCGGTTAACACGTCTTTGGTCTCGTTTCTACAAGCTCTGACAATGGTAGTTGGGCTACCTACCTGTCAGTGGAATGGGGATAGAATCCCACTGGAAGCAGACTTTGGGGGCCCTGCAGGCAGCTTTATTGCTGTTACAGATGGCCAGCTCCAAGCTGTGACAGATAAACGGATTCTGGCACTCGTCGAGTGCAAGCGCTGGGAGAGGGACAGACACAGTCCTCAAGTTGAGGTGCAGGAGACTGCCCAGATGGTCGCCTGGATTAAGGAATTTCCGGACACTGCTACGAGACCTTGGTGAGTGCCACCCAATCCATAATCTCGCCTGCCTCTCCAAACTTGAGGCTGAGATCCGACCCAGATTCGACCATGTCGAGGAGATCCGCGGTGGTCCCAAGTTGGCAAGCTGCCAGTACTTATCCGTGCGCCTGCATTTATGAAGACTTTCGTATGACGCCTGGCGTTGGTGGTATTTTACCTCGCGAGGTCCTCCCCGGAGGCATTCTCATCGATTGCGGTATTCCCATCTACACTATCCATCATAAAGAGGAATAATACCCACTGCCACTCGAGTACATTCTCGAACGGTAGAATGCCGAGGACGATGAGATTACTGGTACTGAGAAGGAAAGCGAGAATAGTGGAGGATCATGGACAGCAGAGCAGGTAGCTCTGACACGAAGTGCATTCTACCCGTTCAGTATCGGTCCGTGGAGCTGTGCAGGGAATGGGACGGCATATAAGGAGCTGATGTTTGTGATTGCATGTCTAATAAATCTATTCGACCTGAAGGTCGCTGATGGTACGAAGAATGGAGAAGGCGACCCAACGGCTACACTGAGATATCGATGACAGAACTATGTACAAGGCAATGACCGATTTGTCCACCGGACAGATGGCCCAACGTTGCAGTTTAGACTTCGAGTTGGAGCGGTTCTCTCAGAGTCGATTCGATACGTCCTTCTCAATCAATACTACAAATGTCGACTGAATCCTCTGGCTGCCTCCCTTAAACCGCTCCAGTAGTACCCCATCCAATCGATCTCTTACCCCGCGCATATGTTACTATTTCATCGACCAGCTCTGCTTAGACCTGCTAGAAACGGACAGTAGCCTGGTTAAATTAATACTTTTGACTGGTTAGATAAGATCGAAATTTTATTGGAAATTCACTAAGCCAGCTTGAGCAGGTCCATCCCGCATACAATATTTCCTCTTATCTCCTCGAGAGTAACTATATCCCGCGTTACACGCCACATTTTATTGATCAAAGCCACAAGCGCGTTCGGTTTATTGGGTGACAGTAAGTAAGTAATAATTAATAGATACTTTATCTTATCACGGCTAGGTACTTAATCTATACGCCCCCGCATGCTGTCGCCCTGGAATTCTGTTCCTGAAAAGCGATACTTCCACCAACCCAAAATATTATCCGTCGGAGTTTTCTTGACGATAAGCCCATACGAGTCGATTAGGGTGCTTCCGACAGCGACTTGGCAATCGTTCTGCATGCTCTAAATTAGTAGCTCTTCTCTTTCATCGTGCTAGCAGGGGAATCCAGGAATCTACGTTCCCCACGATCTAGATAAGGATCATGGGATCGGGCTCTCACATGGACCTCTCGATAGGTATCTATGGTCAGGCTGCATGGCCGTGGTATTATCTATCTCTAGCCTAGCTCCCTGGTATTAACTAGCTCCTGCGATGCATTCTAGGGTCTTTGGAAGCCTTTCTTCTTTTCTCATAAAGAGCTTCGTCTGTAGGAGGTTCTAGTCCTGACTAGTTGTTGAAGCTATTATTTGATTTTATGGAAACCCCCATAAAAAAGACCATTACAGGCCTGAGATTATTGCGGTTTCTTACGTCTTTTTAGTTCTTTTCTATTGTACATGTACATAGACCGGGGACTAGATACACTTCCTATCATCATGGTCGGTCATATGTCCCTATGTTCATTGATCAGTTCGCTCGCAGTTACAGCCACACTACTCTATCCAGTAGTACATGCGCAGAAATGCGAGAAGACCAAGGTAGCCATTCTCGGGGGTGGGACCACAGGGATCACTGCTGCTGTAAGTCGAACGCGATTAAGTCTCTATTATGCAATACAATGCGATGCTCACATGTAGTGACGAGAACAGCAAGCCCTGACGAATGCATCGATTCATGATTTCATTATTGTGGAATATAATGCGGATATCGGCGGTCGAGTCGCTCATACTGATTTCGGAAAGGATATAGATGGAAATCCTTACACGGTTGAACTTGGAGCGAACTGGGTATGTTCCTATGACATGTGGTTTTCCATCGATATAGATTAGATTGACAATGGTCTAGGTTCAGGGTCTTGGGTCAGCTGGAGGACCGGAGAATCCGATTTGGACTTTGGTATGTGATGAATTAGTAGGGAAGATATTCTACAACTTAAGTCTTGCTAACGATGTATGTTACTTCAGGCCAAGAAGTACAATCTTACAAACACGTAAGATATATTCTGTCAAAAAGTGGTGATTAACCCTACTATTATTATGTTCTAATTTATGTATAGCTATTCGGATTACTCTTCTATTTTGACTTACAACAAAGACGGATATTCCAACTACTCAGACCTCATCGATGACTATGAGAATGGACCGTACTCCGAGATTGAGTACGGAGCAGGTATCATTCTCACCGAGAATCTTCTCGACCAGAGCTTTCGTGCAGCGTCATCTCTTGCGGGCTGGAAACCACAGACCCCAGAGGAACAGGCGGTAGAGTGGTGGGAGATTGACTGGGAGTATTCTTACCCTCCAGTATGTATCTCCCTCTCTCTCTCTCTCTCTCTCCCTCCTCAAAATATAGGGGTTGTATGGAGCAACTGACTTTTATTGAAAATAAATAGGAAGAATGTTCGGAAACTTATACAGTGGTCAACTACGTGAGAGCCGTTGAATTTCCGCTCAACAAAATCTTGCTCTCGAACTAACGGACAGTTAACTACTACAGAATACTACCTTCTATCAATTCTCAGAAGCGAATAACCTAGTCATTGACCAACGGGGATTCAACGCCTTTATCAAAGGCATGGCGTCGACCTTCCTACATAAAAACGATTCGCGACTTCGTCTAAATACCATTGTCACGAACATCTCATATACCGATGACAGTGTCAGCGTGTTCAATCATGACGGCAGTTGCATCGAAGCCGACTACGCCATCTCTACTTTCTCGTACGTTGGATCTCCCTTTCAAATAAAGCCCCCCAACTATACCTAGTTTATAGCTATCGGCTCACTATAGCTAGCTAACTAACTAACTACCAGTCTGGGAGTCCTCCAACACGACGTTATAACCTTTGACCCTCCGCTTCCGAAATGGAAGAAACAAGGCATTGCCAACTTCGCCATGGGAACATACACCAAGATATTCCTTCAATTCAACCCCGAGGACGTCTTCTGGGACAAAAACACCCAATTCTTCCTCTACGCAGACCCAACCCGACGAGGCTACTACACAGTCTGGCAATCGCTAGACACAGAGGGCTTTCTTCCCGGTTCGGGAATCATCTTCGCCACGGTTTTAAACACTGAATCTTACCGCATCGAGAAGATGTCCGATGACGAAACGAAGAAAGAAGCACTAGCCGTTCTGAAGACGATGTTTCCAGAGGTTGAAAAAATCCCTGATCCCATTGCATTCATGTATCCTCGTTGGACCGAGACGCCCTGGTCATACGGCAGCTACTCGAATTGGCCAGTGGGCGTTACTCTCGAGATGCATCAGAATCTGCGTGCCAATGTTAGTAATCTTTATTTTGCGGGCGAGGCTACTCATCCGGAGTATTATGGATTTCTCCAAGGGGCTTATTTTGAAGGGAAAGCGGCTGCGGAAGCGATTGCTAGCTGTGTGAAGAATAATGGATGCGTGGGCGGGCCGAATTATCCTGTCTTGCATGGAACGACAGAGGAAAAGGATCTGACTTCCGCGAATGGATGGACTGGTAGGAGTTTATTCTCTATTCTAGCATAGTCTGACTTGGTATATGTGCTAACAGGCTTTTAGTGTCGCCATTTGAGACTTGGGGTTATGACTAGAATAATTAATAATGGGTTATCTGTGTACACAACATATAACATATGCATAAACAGAACATATCAGTATACGCAGACGTTTAGCGGACCATGGCATGATATGATTGTTAAGGGCATTAAGAAATAGTTTTGAGGGTAATAAGGGACTAGGATTTCGATCGCTTTCTTTAATTTCACTACTTTAAGATATGTATGTACAAATGACAGGAATATTCAACCTCGTCATACTAAGGTTCTCTAAGTCAATGAACAAGATTCTCTATAGTCCTCGGTCGTTCCGCGCTTGGATGAACTTGTGCGAGACTTTCGTGGTCGATTTGGCGGAATGGTCCAACGAGAGCTAATGACAAAAGTTAGCCACCTCGAGCAATCGGTAGAGGGAAGGAAAGAAACGCACTTGTTCCATGAGACTGTCCGCTCTATTGAAATCTCGCAAATACTCCTCATAATCGTCGGAGTCCATTTCGTATTCAGAGTCAGACTCCTCGCTTTCGCCTTCCGGTGCGATCCAATTCTCATCCCACTCGTTCTCTTCCTCGTCTGTGTCATCGTACTCTTCACTACTTTCTGAATCACTGTCTTCAAAATTGCTCCCAGTTTCCTCGTCATCAGCACCGAGACCTTCTGTCTCTCCACCGCTTTCACCTCGGAGTCCTGTCTCATGATAATGTCTGCCTAAGTAGCCTGATACCCATGGACGGAAATCTTCGTTTATCCAGTTTTCCAAGTTATCAATGATACATATAAGCTCCATCATTGGATCTTCGAAATGTATATCTCCCTTCCACATGCATTGCATATGCTGTCAACGGTCAGAACCTCTGTTGATTGCTCCTCGTTGACCACCAAGCAGACTGGATAGCACTGGGAACATACGTATCTCACTCTGGTGAATTCCCGCAACTGAGAGCCTTTCTCAGTTGCGATAGTCTCTGAAGCATTCTTTGTGGACTTGATACCCGCTATCCAAACACGAGCCTGATGTCCGTTCAAAGTGATTGTCACCACAGGTCGGGCGTCTCTCTTGAAATCAGATGCAATGTACTTGCCAGTAAGATTATGCAGCAAGGCAAGTGCACATGCAGCACCGTTCGCTGCCTGGCAATAGCAGTTCTCAACACTTGACTGTTTTACCTCGTGATGCTTCGCTTCGAGAACCACACAAGGAAAACAAAGGCGACCCTTCTCTTTTGATCGTTTGCCAATTATACGGCTCAGGGGACTAGACAACAGGCCTTTCTTATCTGCCAGCAACTGAAGCTTAGCAGCGCAGAAATTTCGCATAATAGGGCTACGTGCAAAGCCCCTGGGTACTTTATCTTCCTCAAATGTCGGTAGAGCTATATAGAGATCGGGCTTTGGACGTGTGAGGATTGGCGCATTAGACGACGCTGTTTTTAACCGCACCTCGTGAGCAGCATACCAGGTGTCCTCACTTTCGCTGCACAAGAAGTGGTTAAAGGTTGAGAAGGGGTCTAGTATGGCTTTAATGCAGGACTCACACCCTAAGGGATTTTGCTAATTCTCTAACTCCAATAGTTCTTGCGCCCTCGGTGATTAGTGCTCGATCAGACATGCCCTTGAAGAGTTCGCTCTTCACCAACCCTTGCCAGCGCATTTCACTGGCAGCAACAATGTTCATGGCATAGTTATGTGCGCTCACTGCTTTTGCTGTTAGCCGCTTGAGCTTTCGAAGTTCTTGTGGATATCCAATGTCAGCGGTTAGCCTGTGTAAAATACTTCGATCCTCTGATGCCAGTAAAGGCTAGTCATGTTCACGAATTAGCTAATCTGTCGTTCGCAAAAATGAGAAGAAAAGGAGGCGAGTTCTAGGATGATTACCTCTGCCTTCTCCTGAGGCACGAATCTGTGATGGAAACCGAGGAGGCGCGCAGCCAGTTTTTTGGCTTGCTCACCCAATTTATTGCGTAGTCCATTCAATCCAATTACTCTCAGATCAAATGTAATCCCGTTTCCTTGCAGGCTTTTCCTGTCCAGCACCCCTTTGCCCTTGGCCATTCTTCTTAGCAATCAACTTGATATAACGGAGATTCTCGAAGCTGTGATGATGGTCGAAAGAATGGCACCAAGTGAGGAAATTTGCAACTTCTTATCATCAGGCTGCGCCGCAAAAGCAAATGCTCACGCTAAACTCGTAATATAGATTAGCACTGTACTTTTGAACAGGGTAAAGGAAGAGAGACCAGAGCCCCTGCCGCGCTAGGCAGATACTACAGCATGAGAACCCACTCTAGCAAATGAGCTGCTAGCATTAACCGCTGAAGACGTTCCTATCACCCGTTCAATCACCGTAGAACTAGGATTAGAATGTGACCTGATTTGGGGGCCGCTGCTGGAGTCAGATCATCACAGGAGGCCCAGAACCGTAGGAAGGAGCAACTTGTTAACTTTCACGGCGCTTATCTCGGGGCTCTTATGAATATACGAGCTAAGACGCAGAAATAGACATCGTAGATCAGCTGACGCAATGTATGGCATGCATCTTTACTTAGCAGAGCTGATTTGGCAGCCGATACCGCCGCAGAGGAAGTGCATATAAACAAAATCGGCTTCGTCTCCTTCTCAGATGCGCAAATGGAGAAAGCTATTGGAACCAGGAATCTGAGTAGTTGCATAGCAGTTATGCTAGTCTCGATGAGAGGGGGAAACACTGATCTTCATCATGCAGTTCACAGCATCTGAAATGAGAATGACACATAAGTTTATCTTGGTGTTTCAAGATGTATAACAATATATAATGACAATAGGGCACAGAAATTTATGAAGCGGATAAAATGAACGCAGTCAAAGACTCCTACGAAGGTATGGAAGAGAAAAAAAGTGAGAAGAGGAAAAATGAGGTTGATAAGGTGGAGGATGAATGAAAGAAACAAGAGGAGAAACGAAGAAAAAGAATATTATAAACAAACTAGTAACAACAACGCCTATCAAAGGGTATCATAAATATCAAATGCAAATTAAAATGCAGTGAACATGTTTATGCGACGGTCTCTCGGTTCTACCTGTTGAGGCACATCAGAATGGTTTGTTGTCATTGCAGGGTTTGAATGCATTCGAGGCTATGCCTCGATATTCAATGCTCCCTCATTGCAGAGGGAGGGTTTGTTCTTTTGGGACGGTCTTTCTTATTGCCGTTTCGACTTGATTCATCATATCATCGTGGACGTATCCTTTTGTCAATGGACACAATAACGACTTAAGCTGGAGTGATCGCAAGACGGGGTCTCTTGTACATCTGCTGCTCCTCTCTTCCATGCTTCTCCGTCGCACACGGCTTTTCGAATTTGATTCCGGTGATCGGTGGAAGCTGGCCAGGGGGCGAGCACATAACCGACCGCAGCTGGTCCTGGAGCTGCACAGCATCCCTCTTGATGTCTTCCTCCATCAAGATCTTTGCAGATAGATCGCATTTCGCCGTGATACACAGGTCAAAGGAGCGCAATCCACGGACTAAGAGCATCGGTGAAACCCAGGGTTCGTCAACCGCAAGTCGAATCCGCTTGCCGCCGATGATGACACCTCCAACCGGGGTGCTGCTAAACCGGCCAATATCCAAGCTCAAATTAAGTTCTTCCAGATTAGGAAGGGCAATTACTCGAGTCCAGAAAGCAACCCACAGTCGGTCGTTGTGCGTATGCGAGTAGATCGATGACTTGTGCTCCTCGCCCGACATGGGCTGCCAGATGGGCATCCATTGAACGGTCAGACGCTTAATGCAACGCAGTCGATCGGGGCAGACACTCAAGGTGAAGGCAATGAAGGTGTGAAGGTCATCAACATCGAACTCCACTTGCGAATAAAGGATGTCTGCCGCCTCCGCGTAGATGGCACGACACGTCCGGAGCAACGAGACACCTGAGTTGCTCAGGTTCCCTGGCAGCATCGTATGCGTGTGCGGATAGAGCTTACGATCGCTGTGACCTGCCATGCGGCCATCGTTAACGCGCCATCTAGCTGGAGTGAGCGGGCAGCACTGGCGGTTGCTCTGGATGGAGGACGAGACGTGGTTGCAGCGAACATGGCGGACCTTGTCCTTGACCTGCACCAGATGGACGGCTTGATCCCCAAAGACATATTCGTAGATGAGCAGACGAACCTCGGGGGGAAGCTTCTGCAGGAACATCGAGTCCGGCTGCGAGGACATCTCCCGGCGAAAGGGGTCTACGGGGACCGCATTTCTGGCCGCCGCAACATCCACCTGCGGAGCACAGATCTTGCGTTCCTGGATCATGTCCCGGATGGTCTCCTGCCATCTTCGGCCGGTGGAATAGTAATGAAAGATCGAGTAAGGGTCTCGAAGGAGCCAGGCGTCGAAGTGACGCATCGTGACCAGGATTCAATCGAATCAGGAGAAGTCAAGAGTCAATTAGTCGAGAAGAGGAAGAGTATAGAAACAAGGTAAAGCCGTTGTAGTACCAATCAGGGATCCTTGTTTCTATGGCGGTCACAAGACGAGGGTAAAATAAGAAAAGCTGGCTTGGGATAGGATGAGACAGGATAGGAAATGTTCTACGGCGCCAGACACGAGGCGATCTATACAGAGCAGCGTTGATTTCGAGGCAATTCGAGTAGGACAAAGCGGACGACTTCTCCTGCTTTTTATCTCTCCCAGCAAGGCGTCCTTGAACGGCAGGAAGAGCAACAACCAACATGGACAAACGATCAGGGGGAGGGAAATACCATAATTAATATTAATACCATATAAGATGTTCATCCTTGTTGTCCAGCCCGATCGGGACTTCCCGGTGCGATGACGTCGAGCCGGTACAGGATGATACGCAAATATTATAGGAAATTCATCAAAATCCGCGCCAAGAGAGACAAACAGGCTGTAATCTTGTGACGATCGAATAAATTACACCCCTGATTGGCCTGTGGAAGAGGGGACGCTACTCCGGCCACCCGCAAATGCCAAGTCGCGCACCAACTGGCCATTCACAATTTATCTTATATTGTTGATCGCTGCGCTCGCCGCTCCCCGGAAAACCGCACAAAGACATGCTCCTATACTGACCGGACTGATTGGATAACCAGTCCAACATCCCCTCGCTGAGGAGGACAGTGAAATCCTTGCAAAGTCGGGGTACGGCGATCCCTACTCGATCTTTAACCCGGAGTAAAGTCCTCCGTTCAGCACAGACATACATGCATATGCATATTACTCTATCTAGTACCAGAAGGACGGTTATCGTCAGCGGCGGTGATATAAAACGGGCCTGTCGCTGGAGGGTAGTATTCATAGGAACCTAGAATGCGTTCGGGAAAGGGTCCTCAGCTAATAAGATAACGATATCCACACATGGCTATACTCCAATTTCTCCCTGCTTGCATCTACCCCCGACGCGGTATTATTGCAGAGGACTGTGGGGTAAACCGAGAATATTGAGTCTAGCCTCATCGCGGATACTACACGAGGAAATATACACTCAAACACAGGTGGGAAGCAAACACAGAGAGACGTAGATTGATTACTGCGTGGCGATTACTTATCTATACAGCGCAGAAAACAAACTGCCAACAGTGGAAGATACAAAAAGATCAGAAGAAAAAAGCCCCTCTTAAAAAACCCAGACAAAACAAGAGAGAACATACGTCGTATGTATGTATGTGTATATACAAATAAGGCTTCGAGGGGAAAAAACAAAAAATTTAATCGACCAACGCAGGATTCGAACCTGCGATCTTCCGCATGCGAGGTTAAAGAACCGGAAACGGATGCCTTATCCACTAGGCCAGTTGGCCGGGCTAGTTGACGGATAAATTCCGAAAAGATTTTATGAAGCAGACTGTTAAAATGTATGTACAGTACGGTAACTAAACGATCTAACTTACCTCGTGGATATGTGTGATGCTTCCATGCGGATAGACCCTGTTAAATAGGTTTTAGTATAGAGATAGGAGAAATTCAACGGATTGGAAATAATATGCTATGTCATGGGATCTACTAGCCGAATGTCTAAGATGTGGTTAGGCAAGATTAAGGAGTCGAAGTGCCTATGGGTTCTGTCAGTCGAACTCACACTGGCTATCCAAGCCTGGCTCACCAGTACGTCCGGTTGGACTTATGGCAGTAATCAACTAGTCGGGAGTAGGATCTGTTTAGATCGTAATCCTTGATATTCCTATTCTGACCACCCTAGTATATAGTATAGTAGCGATATAAAACTAGGCACAATGAAGTGAAGATATCCATACACAAAAATGAACACCCTTATACCATATCCCCCGTATGCTATTTATATAACTACTCATCGAAATTCATTTCCCCAGCCTTCATACGTTAACCCCATAGTAATCTTTTGGTCGCCTAGTGCCGTTGCATTCCTCCAGTGCGTAGTCACTCTCCTCTGGGTGCCCACACTGTACCAGCCTACTCGAGGTACTCATTGGGCATGTAGAGCGGCATCGAGTCCTCCCAAATGGTGTCCGTGAGCAGCTTTTTATTGGAGCCATCGTAGTCCATAACCATGATTTGGCCGTAGGGCTGGAAGGTGTTGTCGTACAACGCACTCTCGTCCTTGAAGCCGTACATGCCGGTGCTCCACATGATGCGGCCGTCCTGAGACCACACCGCACTGAGACAAACAGTCAATATTTTCTTGCCAGAGGAGAAACACTGAGAAAGGGGATCGGGTTTAAGGGTAACTCACTGAGCGTCGTTGGCCAAGCTGTCCGTCACCCTCGTCAGCTCCGAGCCGTCAGGGCGGATAGTATAGACATCGAAGCGATCCGCGTACCAGCGGCTACCGTAAGATGCGGTCCAGTTGTTGTTACGGGTGAAGACAATGCGCTCACCATCTGGCGACCAGCCGGGCGTGTTGTCCCAGCCCAAGGTGAGTCGGGTGGTTTCACCGGTTGTGAAGTTGAGGACTTGCAAGCCTTCCGGCGCGCCGGTCTCGCGATTCCAGAGACGATAGACAATGGCCGAGCCGTCAGGGGACCAGCTGGGGAAGCCGGCATTGTCAACCCAGTCGGTCAGGTTCGTGTGGGAGCTGCCGTTGGCGAAAGTGCGGTAGATGGCAGCGGAGCTTTCAGTGCGCGTTGCAAACCACGCACCGAAGCCGACAACTAGCTCTGTACCATCTGAATTCCACGAGGGCTGGAAGGCGCCCGCTTGACCCTCATTGAGCATCTCAACTTCGGTGGAATTGTTGATCGAGTAAATGGCATACGAGTCGAGCGCCTGGACCACGTCCGTGTAGCCCGGCGACGAGGTCACTAGGGATCCATTGGCGCTTCCTAACACCTTCTGTGTCGTCGCGATACGGTTGACGGCCGTGTTGTGCATGGGGAAAACGTCCACGTAGCGGTATTCCCAGTCGTCGTCAAAGCTCCATAGTTTCAGCTCGGCCGCCTGCTGCGTCCAATTGAAGACACTGTAGACGATCTTAGAGCCGTCGGGAGACCATGAGGGGTCTCGTAGGTTGGTCAGGTTGAACGCTTTGTGTGTTTTGTCGGGGACGGTATAATGTATGCCCTCCAGAGGCCCAGCCTTGATCAGGTAGCCGATGTTACTGGAATTGCCAATGTAGTGCTGACCGACCTTGGGGTAATCGCCAACGGTGTGAGCGACGATGTTCTTACCGGTGGCTACATCGACGCTATAGATCTGCGCGGTGACGGCCTCTTGCTGGGTGGAGACTCCATGAGAACCGTAGGTGTCCTCCGTCGTCATATTGTTATAGATAATGCGCTTCCCATCCGCCGACCACTGGGGAGTGCCCAACGAATAGCCGCTCTGGCGTAGCAGCGCGCGGAAATCGCTGCCATTTGGGCGGATCACATATAGACCCAGGCTCTGGGTATGTTCCCAGCCAACGCCCTCACTGTGACCTGTCCAGTCGGTGTTGCGGTCGGAAGTAAAGGCGAGCCATTCGCCATCGGGGGACCATGCAGGGCGAAAATGACCGGACGGCCAGATATTGTTGGTGCGCGTGGTCGCGGTGTCAGTCAGGTTGTATGCGCGGTTGGTCTTCAGGTCCTTGACCCAGATGTTGGTCGTGTAATTGCCCTTCGTCGACACGTACGCAACCTTACTCCCGTCTGGTGATAATACGCCCACATCCTCGACATGGTTCGTAGCCACCAGGAGCTGGAGCCCCGTGCCATCCGGCCGCACCCTATACAAGTCCGACTGTCCAGGGGCGCGGCGCTCGCTGGTGAAGACAATCCACTGGCCATCCTGCGACCACGAAGCGTGGTAGTCGAATGCGTGAGTTTGGTTTGCCATCAGCTTTGTCGCATTGCTGCCGTCTGCGTTTGCGATCCATAGCTGCGAGCCAGAGGGTCCGATACGGTTCACTGTCAGCCCGTCAGTATATGTCTTTCTTCCTGCACCAAAACTCCACGGACAATCGAGTGATACTCACTATAAAAGATGCCCTTCTTGCCCTCAATTGGCGTGCGGCGTGAGAGCACGGGGGTATCTTGTATCACCGGCGTGGCAGCGCGCTTCGCATAGGGGCAGCTCGCGGCAGCAGCAGCAACATTACCACGCTCTGCGTAAGGGCAGCTGGCGGCAGCAGAGCCAGCCACGAGTGCAGCAAATGCAACAATAGCCGCGGAAATGCGCATCTTGTCTTTTCCCAGGGTGGAGATCAACACAGGCAGTCGCCATTGTAGATCCGAAGGAGAAGATCGACTTATATATAGACAGTCATATAAATATATCGATCTAATCCTTTGCCTCGGACACTTTCCTCTTCGCTCCCCCACTCTTCAGACCTTTCTGTTCATCATGAACTGCGCCTGTCTTCAGCACGGTTACTTGAGAGACCCGTGGGACTCGAGTATATCGAATCGGTCGTCGGGACATTCCAGGTCAGAATGACGCAGCAACGGCTACTGCCCACCAAGATGAGTCTAATTTGAATTTTAAGATAGTTGAGTGGTATGATGAGGCCTGTTAGTTTTATTAACCATCCAGTCGGCCGTTATAAGATTGCAACTTAGAAAAGCAGAGGATAAGTGTCGAGCTGGAAACAGAAGAGATCGGCGTGCTAAATAAAGTTCTCCCACAGCTCGGTCACTTTTCCCTAATTGATACAAGTTTAGACGGTGCTTTCTGCTCCATTCATCGACAATGATCTCTTTTATCTCCGACCTCGCAACTCCTGCCAAGTCTTTAGCATCTATTAAGCAGGAAATAATCTCTCAAGGCCAAGAGATTAAAAAAAAAGAAAAAGAAAAAGAAAAAAAAGAAAGGCGGCATAGCCTCGGATTTGCGACGCCAATTAAATAGGATTATTCGGAAGTCTTTTGGAACTAGCGCAGTGGAGGAAACACTGCCTGGTTTCATCAGCTCAACTTCCAAAACATTCTGCTAGGATGCTTGATACGTATCTAGTCCTTTTCAGCCTTAAAGAGTGGTCTGCATTTGGGTGCAGACGACACGCCAGTCATCATTGCCCAACTTATCTAGCAATGGTCTGTAACTAGTTATCATTTCCTGCTTCTACTGACCAATCTAGATTTCAAGTCTCCCAACGCCATGCCCATGCTGAAACGCCTATTCATCGTCGATTCATTTCCTCCAGCATATCCGTTACCGACATTATTCCCTTCCCCTGCCTGTGCGCCCAATCAGTCATTAGAGGTCATCAACACGTGGCTGTGCTGCAAATCGCAGATATATCCAATCTGTCTCAACCGAAAAGGAGGACCCTGTGCGTCAGTGGGAATATAGCTCATCCAATTCAGCGTTGACGGACATCATGCTGAACATTCTCGACACGCCCTTGCAGGAACACCGTTCCGCGTTCGAGGTCGCCCTGTTCTTCGTCCGCGGGGTCCTTTGCAACCTCAGCGTGGTTAGTATCTGATACAGGTTCCACTTCGATCTTCCTGTTGTTTTCTCGTGCGACTGCGACATAGATCGCACTGCCCAGGATCAACCCTGAACCCGCCCAGCTGGCTGCCGACGGGGTGCTGTTCCATATCACTTTATCGTAGAACAGAGCGAAGAGCATCTGCGTGTATACCATTGATGTGGCGCGCGACCCGTGGCCAGAAGAACTATGAGCCCGGACTGACTGTCCCGGCTTTGGAGGAGGTACATATGCCAGACCGGCCGTCAGAAGGAATTGGAGAACAAATCCAGCGACCCCCAGCCCTAGGAGAAGCATCCATTCTGTCATGTTTCCCGGTAAACGGAAGTTGGTCGACGGAATGACTAGTATAGCCACAACCGACACAATTGTTGTCCACGTAGAGAAGTAAGTTACGCTGACGAGAGCATGGGCTCTTGTTCCGATCCAGCGGATCGTGGTATATGCGCATGCCGCACCTAGCACCCCGACCAGGGAAACAAGAACAGCTAGCATGTGGTGGTACGCGTCAACGGGCTGCGGCTCCCCAGTGTCTGCAGATGCATTATTGCCCTCGTCAGGACTAACATCGGCAGATGTCGAACCCTGACCAAACGGCTGTGCTATCAAGACAACCCCTAGCAACGACACGATACCCGCCAGCTGTTGCTTTCGAGTGAAGGGCTCATTGGGCATAAGAAACGAGCAAGCATAACAAGCCACGATAGGTGACAGGAAGGTTAGCACTGTTGCTTCCGAGAGCGGCATGTACAGCATCGCATAATAGATGCCAAACACACCGAAGAACCCACCAAAAGCACGCAGGACCAACGGCCAGCGGACTTCGCGTGTCCCCAGAGGATGAGGTACCTTAGCGTACCACATGTACGCATAGCTGGCTATAGCCGTTATCGACATACGGGCGAAAAGAATCTATGTACACTGATTAGACATTATTACGGTCAATTTGATTGGGGGAATACAGCGGCTGACCTGAAAGGGATCCATGCCCTTCCCATGAGCGCCGTCGATCTCCAGAAGCCGTGTCATGACGTTCATGGATGCACCAAAAAACTGAGATAGCATCACCATTATCATCCCCTTGTATTGTAGCCAGGCCGTCCATAGTATGCCTCTCCACGTCGTCGGCGGAGTAACATAGTGGGCTTCGAACTCGGACCCTGCGGGGGAGGGAGAGCGGAGCAATGGCACATCGCACCGCGGCGCATTCACTATTCGTCCAGAATACACAGAGAGGTCGGAGTAGAGTGAGTCTGTTGAGGGTCGAAAGCTGTTGGCAAGAGGGACGCCCAAGTGCTGGACGTCATCCCGTTTATTGGATGGCCGATCCTCGACGATCCCAGTGCTAGGAATCTGGGGATAGTAGTCTTTATGCTTGTCATTGTTTTCATTCTCTGTCGCTGTCATGATCCCTGGTAGTGCTGATGGGATCCCCGCAATCGCCTGATTCTCCTGTGAGCTGTCCGGTGTAGCCATGAGCTCTGCCTATATTTTAAGTAAAAATTAAAAGGACAGGAGATCAAGTTAAAATAAGAAAGTATTTCAGACTTTGGAGAGACGCCAGCGTCCGAATGATCCCGTTGGACGTTCTTGAATAGCGGCACGCGACAGTCTGTTGGCTGGGCGTCACAGAGTGAATAGAGGATGACAGGAGAATGGGAAGAACACAGAAGAAAGACAAGACAAGAGGCCTGTCTAGGTCCCTGGAGGCCATCCGAGCCTACCGACGCAGGCTGTCTGGCAGCCATTCGTTAGTGGATATTTAACCGTAGAATCCAATATCACATTTGCATTTAGTACTTGCAGATGAATGAGGGGAACCAACCATGACGTTGGCTTGACAGCCTCTTTTCCGGCGGGTAATAATAATGGGTAATAATAGCGCCATTTCTCGGGCGGATATCTTTCCTGCCGGAGAAACACTTCAATTCGAAATACGATGTGATGTCCCTCTAAAACCGAGACTCTCTTCCAAGACCACTTTTGTATCTCAATAGATAGACGCCCTACTAGGGTACTAGGACCTGCTATAATTATACCGCATACCTAATTACACAAAGGTGAATGTGTCTCCGCCCTTCTCTCGTAGCATATTCCCGATCCTCTTCGTTCCAACGATCCGTTCCAGCTTGAGAGCATCCCATTTGGAGAAAATAGCACGCACGCCAGTGTCCGCGGCCTCAGAAACACTGGCCGGGTCCAGCCCAAGATAGCCTACAATCTCTCCCCAGAAGACCGGGTTTTCTGGCACTCCATACATGATCACGCGCTTCACGCCTCGAATCCGATATCGTCGGAAGTGGTGCGCACGCTCTGTGTACAGCAAAACAGACTGTCGACCATTCAGAAAGTGGGTACGAGCACGGGCGACATCCCGAACAGATGTATATTCAGAGATGGCTCCGAACGAGACATTCGTTGTCTGGGACGAGGTAGCAAAGTGATTGCGCACACGCACAAAGTCCAGATACGAGGGAATAAAGATCAACGTTCCCGACCCGTTGCCCTTTCCTCTTCCAGTGATGTTTTTGACAAGCGAAGAGAGGATAGCAGTAGTGAAGTACTTGAATCGCGCGTCAGGATCCTTCACCGGAGAGAGACTGTCAAACCGCGAAAACGTCTGCTTGACAGGGACGGGCAGCGGGACCTCAGTGATAGCACCGGGATAAGTAGCCGTAAGCTTGACCTTGCCGGCCACATTCTGCATATGCGAGGTGAACAGAGAGTTTATTTCCGGTGTGACGAAGGCTGATAGTACGATAGTCTGCCGAAGCTGGCGGGCGTGGTTGTCGAGATACCACGATCGCACACGACTGAAATCACAACCGTGCGCTTCCCGGGGTTGCAAGTTGAGGTGCTGAAATATGTATTCCATGTGGTCCCAGTTCTGCATAAGAAGCGCATCGGCATGGTCAACAATGACCAATTCGATGGAAGACAAGAAGTCATAATCCCTCTTCTTCTCACTATGGCGGTGTCAGTAGGAGCCTCGAACGGAGGGGCCAGAAAACTTACTCTGCTTGGTCCATAACCGTACGGAGACCCAAGGGACTTGCGAGAATGACATCTGAGTTGTAGAACTGCGCAAAGTACTTAACAGTCTTCCGGGTGAACTTCAGACCTAACCGGAACATGTCATCGTCGTTCCCCCCGAAGAGTTCTCTGAAATCTTCCGTCTTGTCCTCAAAAGATGTATGTTCGGGTGCAGAGAACCCATCGAGGAATCGCTTCTTGTTCTCTTGCTGTTCCGGCTGATACAGCTTGGTGATCGAGTCCATCACCCGGACGCAAGCTTGCCGGGTAGGTAGGATGTATAGCACCTTTGGCCTGGTAAAACCCTGGTCTCGTAGATCGATATCCTCATCTTGTTCTTTTGAAGCACGAGCATTGTTCTTGATGACACGATCTCTGGTCTTGAGAACATGATTAAGGGCGTGGAGACTTAGTAGATCACGCAGGTGACCGGAATTTGATGGCGTCCTCGCTCCAAAAAGAATATCTTTGTAGTTGAAAATGTAAGGTGCAAGATTCTGAGCCTGGCCTTCAAACTTGGGCACCAGCTCTGAAGCAGGCGCAACTAGTTTCTTTTTGAGCTGCAGACGAGTCAGCATTCTTGATCCAGCTCTGTTGCAGATTAACGTACCTTTACGCTACCTATGTCTCGTAGGGTGGAAGGGAGATGTTCCTCTTTCCCCCCGATTTCAGGCGTGCTGTACGCCAGTCTGAAGTCATCCGAGAGCAGTTTCTTGCTGGAGTGCCATCGGTTCTCGGACACAGCTTGCAGTCTCTTTGCAAGCTCACTCTCGTCTGGGTTTGCGAAATGCGTCTCGAAGGGATCACTCGCTGCTCTACAGTTAGTACCACGAGTAACATACACTAGGATCATCGAAATAATTCTAACCATCTTCATCATCGTCCACGCCCTCGTCATCAGCCTCTCCCGGTCCAACGTTTTCGTCCTCAGACATGTCTCCATCTTTGGCGGCATCGTCTTCCAGTTGGTCATCCTCGTTTTCAGGGACATCTTCCAGGACAGCCGCCTCGGTTACTTCATCATCTTTATGACCAAGCTTTCTCTTTTTGCGAGCAGGTCCCTTGGAACCCGAACTTGATCCTGCATTGAGCAGTTGTAGGAGTGCGTTGTATGGGCGTTCCTTAGATTGTTCCTCCTCCTCCTCGCTATCGGATGATACGTTGTCAGCAGACGCTACATCCTCTATTTCGTCCTCCTCAGGCACGCCATTCTGCTCATCAGACTCATCTCCCGATCTGCAATGTTGTCAGTCGACTTCTCTGTAGACATTCTGGAGGGCTGGCGTGGATACTCACGGTAGCTCGGCCACCCGCGAAGTTTCGAAAGCGTTTTTCCTGCTGTGAAATGAACCACCACGTCCTCTTCCACGGCCCCGGGCCTGTCTGGCGCCTCTACCGCGTGCTGGAGCCATTATTTGCAGTTGTTGCTGAGCGCGAGCTGTGGTCGCGAACTTTTTCGTTGATCGGGGGTAGCGGCGTTATCTTATCTTAGCGTGAAATTTCGTCTGCGCGCACACACAATTCGAGCCTCTCAGGAACCACGTCGCCGCAAACCCCAGCGGGCGGAAAGATTGGAGCCACTCTCCACGACAAGAAGAAGAGCCTGTCCGTCTGTATCTCCCACCGCGAGAGACAGACGTATCTATCCAACCCATCTGCCCAGCATGGCCGTCACCGACTCCTTCCTCCATCTCGCGCGGCCTCTAGGCCCTGTGGCAGTGGGGTCTGCACCGACAACCGCCCCTCTGAACGTTGTCATCCAGCCCCAGGTATGATTACGATCGCTTTCCCCTTAGAAGATTCTTGATGGCTAACTGGATTTTCTAGGCTATCTTCTCTATCCTCGACCATTCCCTCCGCCGAAATGCCGACCAGGAGCGTGTGATTGGAACCCTGTTGGGAACCAGGTCCGAAGATGGTACCGAGGTCGAAATCCGCAGCTGCTTCGCTGTCGGTCATACGGAAACGACGGACCAGGTCGAGGTCGATATGGAATATCAGAAGCAGATGCTTGCTCTGCACTTGAAGGCGAACCCAAAGGAGGTCCTTGTCGGGTGGTACGCCACCTCGTCTGAGTTGAACACATTTTCCGCTTTGATCCAGAACTTCTACGGCGGACAGGGCGACGGTACATGGCCGCACCCTGCTGTTCATCTGACTGTGTCGACGGAGCCTGGCAAGGATATCGAGACCCGTGCATACATCTCTGCTCCTGTCGGTGTTACTGCCGAGAGAGCAGCCGACAGTGCTGCCTTCATCCCCGTTCCCCACGAGATCAGATATGGCGAGGCCGAGAAGAGTGGTCTGGAGGCCATTGCGACTGCCAAGGACAACGAAGAGCGTACAGCCAGCATCTTTACGGATATTGAGGCTCTGGAGCGTGCTGTTGAGGAGGTCCTTGGCATGATCGACCGTGTTTCCCGATATGTTGAGTCTGTCATCGATGAGGAGGCTCCTGCGTCAACGGCACTGGGCCAGTTCTTGCTCAACACTCTTGCCTTGGCTCCCAAGGCTGAGCCTGCTGACATTGAGCGTGACTTGTATGTTTCCCTTGTCTCTGGCTTCTGGATCTATATCATAGTCCCGATACTGACATATATTACAGCAACAATCACATCCAGGATGTGCTCGTTGTTTCTTACCTCGCCAACACCATCCGCACACAGATGGAGCTGTCTAACCGACTAGCAACTGCACAGCTGACCCTTGGTCCCGGCGAAGGTGCTGCAGAGTCTGGCCAGCGTGGTGGCCAGAGAGGTAAGGGCGGTCGAGGAGGCCAGCAGCGCAACCAGGAACGGGGTGCGGAGGAGGCTCGTGCTTGAAGAGAAGGAGAGAGGAGTATAATTATTACTACTCATTGATAGTGTGCGGGCTCGTCCCGTTCCAGGCCTTTTTTGCGAAAGGCCTGGCCCTCCTGGTCAACTTGTTATCCGTTTGCTTTTTTTTTCTGGCATTGCATTTTTGCTAGGGCGGCAAAAAGCATGGCGTATCGGAGTCATCTGGCCTTGTTCAGACCGAAAGGAGGAGAGGGAGAGAGTGAGAGAGAATCATGCCCTTTTGTCTGGCTGGATCAGAGGGAGCTATTCTCTCGAGAAAACCCGCTGTAAAAGCTAAAAGAAAAGAAAAAGGGACCGCCCGCCACTTTTATGAAGCAACGGCAAAACTGCCAATCTCGATGAAATGAACAGGAAATGAGCTAGCTAGATAATCTCCGATTCCGTTTCCCACTGTTGTATGTAGAAGATGGGTTTCTGTCATGGTAGATATATATGTATGCATTCTGACCCTAGTCAAGCTGCCTTTCACGAGCATTTCCCGTATGATTTGTGCCCAGTTAGAAAATAAAGAGGACCCCAAAGACAAAAGCCGCCCATCCTGAAATCTAAATGACAATAGGGACCACCGAAACGCCATTGCGATGCAAAATCAGCAATAAAAACAAATAAGAGCCCAACAGTCGACCCCCAGATCAACTCGACATTACTCTTCCTTTCAAACCTTCCTCTTCTTCGAGACTGTCCCTTCAGTCCCATCTGAATCTCTCCGGGCTCCTCTCTTTCCTTTGCTCTTTGCCTTCTTCCCCGCAGTACTCACCCCATCGACACTCTCGCCGACATCGCCAAGGCCCTTTTTACCTGCCTCCTTGAGTGCACCAACCTGGTCATCGTTCTGATCGAAAGCCTTTCGCGCTTCCTTCAGTTCGCGCTCCATCCGCAGCAGCTCCTGCACACGACCTAGCTTGTTCGGATCGCGGCGCAGAGCGAACCGGAAATCATCGACTTTGATCTTCTGTCGGCGAGAATAGGTCGCGTACTGGGCGGCTGTGTGACACATCTCCAGGACGAAGTCTGTTACGATCTCGTCGAGGACGCGGACGGTCTCGGGAAGTGGTTCTGAGGGGAAAGAAGGATGCGGACTGGGATCACCGTATGCGAGAAGGAGAAGACGCACTGGTATATAAGATTAGCGAGGGAGCGCTTTTAATGAGTGTATAATATCCAATGCGACAAACAGCCCTGGAGCCTGTGCCCTCCTAAGAAGTAGATTGATGATAATAAAAAAACGATGATGCAAAATCACATACATTCAGGCGCAAAGTTCATTTGGCCCTTGTGCCTTGCGGCACGGGCTCTTGGTTCAGCCATGTTCGTCCGACGTCTTTCTTCCCTCTGGCGAGTTCTCCAATCCCCAGGCTTCTTGAGCGCGCTCTTAGGAACAGACGGGGCGTTTCTTGGTTCTGGTCCTGACTCTTGGACCGATTCACTCGAGGCGGCAGCGGTCTTCGGCGTATAGCAGGGTTTATAACCTGCCCTGATTAACGCAGTCTCTTCAGGATTGAACGGCCAAGGAGGCGCAAGTGCTCCAGTAACATGGCCCGTCGGTGGACGACTGACAGGACGTGATAGAGAAGGTGTCGCTAAACGGTCGCCGGGATTGATACGGTAAGGCGATGTCGTCGGGGCGGCGAAGTGGACGTGCCTGCCGCCGCCGCTGCGGGCCGGGTCAGCCATGGCCAGATATAGCTTTCCCTGGCGCGCGCTTGTCGGGAGCCTCAACTGTGCAACCGCCAACGTCTGTGGTAGATCAGTCCAAACGCGAGGATAACGTGGGTTTTAGATCCCCGAGCGAAATAGGTGCTTGTTTCTTATTTCGTACGAGATCAAAGCAGCAGACAGAGGAGGTCGTCAAGATGGTAAGTGACAGATTCCAACACGCTCATGTCAAAGGAAGAAAGAGAGAGAGAGAGAGTAGACAGACCAGGACACTTCACTTTCACTGGCACCTCCTAGTCAGCTGTTGCTGTTATTTTTTCTTTCACAATTAGCTGACAATGGCCATTACCACACAGTCTGCGCTATTCAACTTCCAGTCCCTCCTTCTCGTCTTCCTGCTCATCATATGTACGAGCGCTTACACCCACTCCATGATGCCAGGAATCATGGACCGCAATCAGCATGGGTACGATCTCCTTTCTCGCTCAGTCCTCTATAGATGTCCAGGAAATTCTTCGTGTCACCCGCATCCTATATTCGGTTGTCTTTTGACTTTCTTGCAACTGTACACGACTCGACGCTAACAGTTGCTTCTGACATGTAGCTTCTTCGGTATCTTTTGGAAATGCGCCAGGATTGGAGAGCGGCTTAGTCCATATATCAGCATATGCTGTGTTATGATGGCGGTAGGTCTATATTATGAGAAATCTTCTTCGTTACCTGATCATCTTATACTCATCTTCTCTATGTACAGATCTCGATCTTCTTCGGTGGTTGAAATCTGGCAGGGTATGTTACTGAGCGGGGGTCGGCGTTGTCGTATCAATCAATTTTATTGTCTATTGTGGTTTGGATCCACGAAGCATATGGAAAAAGAACAGATCATGAATAGTAGTTAATGTACATGTACATCAGTCCAGAAATGTATAGACCAGCCCTACACGCCTGTACAACACCAGAAACGCATGTGCCCCTCACATTGAACCACAGCATACACTCTAAACTCAGATGAAGCGGGTATCTCAAGAGTTCGAGTTGGAGTTGGATTTCTCCGCTAGACGCCGAAGACCTTCATCGAGCAATTGCTCGCGCTCTTCCCTGCCCTCCAGCTGGGAATGCTGATTCCGCAGTGCGTCCCTCTGATCCAGCTCTTCAATGGCGGTTCGAAGACGTTCTGGGTCTCGCAGATAGCGCAGACCTTTCATCGTGTATGCATCGACTGGGAATCCTTGCTCTTCCATCATTTTGATCGCCTCCGCGGTCTCTTCGACTTTCTGTGCGTTCGCGTAGCCATTGATTATAGTGTTCCAAGTCACGCCGTTGAAAGTCACCTCGTGCTTGGCCATCATCTCCCGGATCTTTTCCGCAGCTAGCGGTTGTCTGTTGTAGATAAAAGCACTGAGAAGGATAGTCCACGTCCGCGTCGTTGGCTTCGCGTGGGCTATTGGATGTTCCGCCGCCCAATCTAGCACGTCGCGCCCCGGAAGTGGATGAAGCATCTCCTCGACGATTTGAACACAACAGCGGAGCGCTCGTGGGTCTTTGCGAAGTGAGACCAAAAATTCGTTATAGGTATGATCGGTCTCGGCCAGAGGTACAATAGTCTCGTGTCCACGGATGAGTAGCTGGCGGAATCGTTGGTATAACCGGTAGGCAATGCCTGAATTGCTTTGGCACCGGAGGTATGTCGCAATTATGATATATAAGGCCACTGGCGTCGGCTGAGGTTTCGGTTCACCCGGCGGATATCTGTAGTGAGGTGGTAGAATCAAGAGGTCTTTCAGGGGAGTTATACTGTAGAGTTCACTGTAGATATTAAGCATGGATGTAAAGACCTCTGAAGGATCGGCATCCGAATCAAGGTGTTTCGCGCTGAACGTATAATGAGCATGGAATATCTTGCCCGCAATGTAGGGGTTCTTCCGCAGCTCATCATTGGGACCGATTTCCTGTATAACCGAGTCGACACCGCCTCTGTCCCCGCGGGCCACAGCGTCTGTGAGCAACGTCAGGTATGTGTATGAGTCGAGTTCAAAGCCTCGGGCCTTCATGTATCCCACCATATCTAAACCCAGTTGTGGATCACCGGTTTTGAAAGCATTGGAGATGACGACATTCATCATGTCGCGATCGGGTTTGACGCCGAATCCAAGCAGTTTGGGGAGAATCTTGAAATTCCGCTCGCCGTTTTCATCATGAACGGTGTCTAAGGTTAAAAGTTTGCAGCAGTGGCGTAATACCGCCTGGGAGTCCAATTCGAAGCCGGCTTGTTTGGTTATAGGTATTAGCTGGAGGGCTTCCAGTGCTTTGTCCACGTTGCCAAACTCCGTAAAACGCATCATGAAACAGAGAGCTGTTTCCGCAGACATATGTGTCTTGCGTTCTCCCATCATTCGAAAAACACTCAGGACCCTTTGATGATCCGATTTCTTGATGTATAAGCGGACGCCTTTTTGATTGAGAGAGACCACCGGCCATTTTTGGGGATCTAGGCAGGTGTGAATAACAGAGTGGTACCACTCCTCGCTTTTCCAATGCTTGAGCTCCTCAGCATGAAATTCGTCAAGATAAAGCAGGCAGTCAGCGACCATACCAAATGGTGGTCGGATATCCTCGCGGGCCGTCGCAAGTAGAAATTTCATGGCAAGCTTAGGATCGTTCCATAGTAGATGTAGTGCTAGTCGCGGCCACTGGAACGCTTTCACGGCCCGAGCTAATTGCTTCCAACTGGCCTGGAAAAGGTTTTCGTTGTCCGTTTCAAGCTCCTGTAGAAGAGTCTTTCCACGATCATCCAACTCGTAGTACGACGGTTGCTGCCATGACGACTTGTAGAACTTGGCTTTGTATAGTCTCGTATAGGAGTCTGGCCAAAGTCGATGCACGGAATCGAATGGATAAAAAGTAGCCATTCTTACTGCGATATCGTAGCGAAACCACTTCTGGTCTATGACCCTCTTCTGTTGTTTTAACTGCTTCCCTGCCCTATCAACCGCAGCGACGACACGTCGGCGGGTACGGCGTTCAATAAATTGGCGAATTTCAGCATCAGAGTATACCGGATACTCCTTGGTGACCTTATCTTCATGATCGGCCGGCAGTGATACTGTGTCATCATACCAATCCAAAGTTTCTTCGTCGAGAGCCGATCCGTTCGAGGATTCTGCACCATCTGTATTACCACCAGTCACCTTCTCTTGGAGCGAATCCACCTGCCGATCTATCGCTCCAAAGCTCTCCTTGGACACTGGGTGCCATGTAACCGGAGAGTCTCGGGGGCAAGACTCCTTGAATAGATGACGAGGGACAAATGCAGACTCCTTCAAATTATCTTCCTTGTAACCTAGGTCGCCAGAAGCACTCGCGTCTGATTGAGAAGTGGTATTCTCTCCTCCCCTTGCCGTCTGCGCTGCTGCGTATCGACGCCATTGCCCAAGTCCGTTCCTGGACCGCGGGACACAGGACGAAAGCCCGGCTGTCAAGCGGCAGCGAATAACGCTGTTCGGGCACGTGTACATTCAGGAGTTCGACAAGAGAGGCATTGACATAAACCGGACGACTGAAATATCGAATACCGGAGCGTGCATCGACGGAGAATCAACGCTCAAGAAAGCCGGCAGTCTGAGTTTGCGAACAAGCAGACAAGAAGACTTCGGAGTTTGAGCTGTGGCTGGTGTAGACTTCCGACTGTGGCGCAAGCCCTGCGGGACAATTATCGCTGTGAAGCTCCCGAGTTAAGAACCAGAACGGACATTGACCAGCGAGATTCCACAGCGCTCGAACAATCTGACAGCTACGCCTCGAGTGCTATTATCTGTGCTTTCTTACGTTGTTCAATTCTCAGATATTTATATTTTCCGGCCTGGCGGGGAACATGTCATCTAACCACGCTTCTCTCGATGCGGCGGCAACAGAACGCAAGGCAAGACTAGCCAGACTTGCAGCGCTGAAACGGAAACAACCAGAACCAGAGTCATCCGTGGACAATCCTCCCAGAGACGAGGAGCTTGGAGACGCAGCCCCCGATGTCACCACGTCATTCCTGTCTGGGCGAAATTACGACCCCGAAACGCGCGGCCCGAAGCTTGGATTTGAACATGCTCCAACAGATGGGCAGATCACGTTGGAGGAAAAGGCCGCTGAGATAGCAAAAGCTACCGCCGAACAAGCAAAGAAGGAAGAAGAGGCAGAACAACCAATTGATCTATTCAAACTGCAACCGAAGAAGCCAAACTGGGATCTGAAGCGTGACTTGGATGAAAAACTGAAGATTCTGAACGTCCGGACCGAGAATGCCATCGCGAGACTCGTACGACAGCGCATAGAGAATGCGCAGCGTGAAGCAAGAGGCAAACCTTCCAGAAACGACGGAGAGCAGCAAGGGGAGGAAGTTGGGATGGAAGGCGGAACGCTGGTGGAAGGTATTCACGTTCGTGAAAGGGAAGAGGAAGAAGCGCGGAATAGAGAAGAGGATGAAACGCTGTGATACCCGATTGTTGAAAAAGCTTTTATGGATGGTTCTTCCTGTATCTGGCGTTAGAGGCACATTGGGGGACGCGGTTGAGGAAGTAAAATGGCGCAACAGGTATCTATGGTATTGCAGCTCCATTATCATTATGTAATCTTTGGTAACAATACATGATCAAAAATAATTTTCAGCTCCGAAAATGCAGGATTCTGGTAGACCTTGCCAGTGTACCTCATCTCCCCATATTCATAGCTTGTGTGAGAGCGAGCCGCTTACTGAAGGGGCTCAAACTGCGCTCCCGCGGCGGAGCAGGAGCTGGGGCTTCCCTCCGCTGGCGCCCATTCTCCCCGCCATATCTGCCCCTAGGCGATCGAGGTCTGGGTGGCCGACGCTCCCTCTCGTGAACAGGTACTGGCAGATCCTCCGGAGTCAATGACCGCCGCCCTTTTGCGATGCGACTCTTATCCAGACTATCGCTCCGAGACCTGTCTCGTCGTCGTCCCCGACTGCTCACTTCATGTTTGCGCCCGCGCTCCTCTGGGCTAGATATTCTGTGACGTCTTCTTATATTCCTCTCATGGTCTCTGTCCCTAGATTGCGCGCGCCCCACAGACGAGGGAGAAGAGTGTGAGTACCCCGAAGATGCGTCGCTGTATCGCCTCTTTCTCCTCCTTGATTCATGAGGCGAAACAGATGTAGTCCTACGTGGTGATCTTGTCTCACTGCCGCCGGCGTCGTACCTTTGCCGGCGCTCCCGAGACGCAGAACGGGAACGGTTGGTAGATATGGTGGAGACAGAGCTGGCAGAATGCGACGACAGCGACCTTGCACGCTTCCGTGATTGATGACGGCCATCTGAAAGCTCGTCGAGGTCGTCTATATCCCTTTTCCGTCCTCGCTCTTCGTCCTTTTTCTTTAGCAGCTCATCTGCGACACCCTTCCTGTAGAGGCATTAGATCCCTGGAAACAAGACACAGTAAGGGCATGACATACGTGCGCGAGAGATCATTTGGTACCTCTGTTGTGAGCTTAGGCCTCAGATCTGGGTTCAGGAGTTGCTGGGTGCGGGAAGGCCGAGATATATACGGTCTCTCCTGAGCAGGCGCCTTGCATTCGTAACTATAGTGCCGTGCTTGGTGTCAGTTAGGAGAGCTGCAAAAAATATAGACAAGCTGAACATATCTCTTTTTAAACATTTCTGGCAAAGTGTGTCAGCAGAAGCCCTTGTTGGACCTCGCAACCCAGGGACATTTCGATATCGGTTCATTGCACGCAGCGTTCGACGGAACACTGATCGCGCTGGTTTGCGGGATTTTGGGGGAACTCTGAGTTGATAAATGGAAGGACTAACCGCGCAGGTGCGACGAATAGGATATGGAATGGAAGAAGCCTGATATTCTAATTGCGCCTTATGTTCACCCCGAGATATCAGAACGTTGGAGAGTCATAACTACCAAAACCATAAATTGTCGCGGGGCGGCTATCACAGCCAACCACAGCAGGCAACACCCGCGCGGCAAGCACACCGGGGGCTAAACCCCACGAAGGAAGCCGTCCTGCTTGGGTTTACCAGATCCAACGTCTGCTCTCTCTCACCTCCGCCGTCTTCTGTATCCGCCCCTCGTCTTTCAGGCAGACAATCGCCTTCTTCGTGGGACACCCTGAGAGTCCTGCTCTTCTTGGCTTTGCAGAAGTCATTCTTCCTGAGACTGAGCCAGCGACTGACGCTTCGAACACGCTGTTACCGTTGACCTTTTATTGCCAGTATCAAGTCTGGCTGACTATATTATCCTACGTCGTGCACCTTGCTAGCCTTTTCGGGCAGCTTCAATTCCTGGGAACCGCGTCTTTTCACATGGCGAATGTCTTCTCTCAGAGATATGTCGTCTTTCTCTTTGGGCTTGTGTGAAGCGTTTGTCAGCGACCTCATCTCAGTTCGAGTTTCGGTTCAATCCTTTCCTTAACCCGCACTGCGCTCCTATTAGTCCGGCTCAGCGTCGTAGGCACAACTCGTGCTTTCCGTGACTAATTGAAGATGGCATCGAATACAAAGGGCGGAGGCGCAAACCGTCTCTCGTTCGCAAAGGTACGCTGGTGTGCGAAGCAAAAATGGACCTAGGTCAAACGGCTGATATGTTACTCAGATCGCAGCAATGCCTCCTCCCTCCAAACTGGAGTCTCCGATTGCCCACCCTGAAGAGAACGGCTCTCAATTAACCGAACCACCGACGAGCCCATCGGCATACCACACTTCCAGCACGACCTTACCCCCGGAGCAGTCCGTCATTCAGTCGAAAGAAAACAGCGCAGACCGACAGATTGAAGGCCTCGGAAAAGCCGTAAAGGCTCTTGGGCTTACAAAAGGGAAGAACCCGGAGGGCTCAGAGTCCTCTGGAGACCCACAAGAGAACGGCGTTCTCAAGAGAGAAACATCCTTTGAGGATGACAGGACTCACCTATCTAACTCTTCTACTAAACAGACGAGCTTTGACTCGAAAAGCATGGCGTCTGTTACAACCTTCGCCATGGACGAGAAGGATTCGTTACGCCCGGACGACAGCGCAAGCGTCCAGGCTGCGGACGAAGAAGAGTCTCTCTCCGGTCCTGCTTCTGGAGCACCAAACTCGCTGACAGGATCTGAATCTGGTGCGAGAGGACTTAGAGATCACTTGCGGGATGCTAGTCTCCAGAAAGCAAGAGGCGTTGTCCCCGGCGCTGCGCCCCGTTTCAATGATGGCGGTATCCAGATTTCGGGAGCGATTCCCCCGGGCTCTGTTTCTAACAACTTTGTTCTGCCGAATGCAGACTCCTTCCAAGACGGCAGATCTCTCCATGGTTTCCCGTCAGAGCCAGACGAGAAACTTTTGGAGGCAATGAACTCCCCCAAAGACCGCCTTCTGTTACTACAGCTGGAGGAAAAGATCCGGATCTTTATCCAAGACTCAAAGTGAGTTGTTATTTTCCTATTCCTGATTTCATGCTCGTCAGAGGGAAAGATATTCTAACGTTGCACTAGAGAACAATCTCTGGAACTTCCGCCATCTAACGCGTTTGGACGGCTCCTCGCACATAAGCTGGGCGACTATTATCACCTAACCCACTTTGTGGACAATAACGTCACATCTGTCCGCCTTCACAGAACACCCTTCTGTCGACTGTAGGCTGCCTATCATTCACTATTTATTGTCACTAATGAACATCTGCTGATAATATTAGGCCTACTCCCCTAGCCTTACTACATGCCGCTAATACAACGCCTCCTCCAAGTGCTCCAGCGATGAAAATCATGCGCCGCAATGGAGATCGTCCTGGGGGTAGTACAGGTGCTAACTCCTCAGCTCCCTCTAAGACCACCTCGGAAGCTGGTGGAGAAGGTAACGACGAAGAGCGCGGTGGCTCTTCTGCTGGCGCAACACCAGCCAAGGACAGAACTACCATGACTCGGGAGGAGCGAGAAGCTAAGTACCAAGAGGCTCGGGAGAGAATATTCCGCGATTTCCCCGAGTCGAAGTCTTCCGACAACGCAAGCGGCGATCAAAGCGCACAGATGTCCCGTTCAAGTTCGGCCAGTGGTCGAAAGAAAACTCACAGACAGAAAACACCACATGACGATAGCTTTGAGGCAAGATCGCAGTTCAATGCTTACTACCCAGGGATGCATTATGCTTCCGGTCCGGTCCCATACAATGTCCCCATGGGCGATGGCTCTTATACAGGCCAGCCACCTTACATGGTTGGACCTGGCGCTTCGCCCAGCATGGGGTACGTCCAGAATGCCCAGCACAATGCGATGTATTCTGCACCGATGAACATGAACTCTGTCCCACATTATCCTATGACGGTCTCTCCTCACATGGCTCAGAACAACGGTTGGCAGAATGGTGCTTTGCCTCAAGGATCGCCATATTCAGGATATGCGTCCATCAACCAGCCGTCAGCCATGATGGCTCAACAGTCGTCCACGAGGTCTTCTCCCGCGATGAACAACTACGCTGTTCCCAACACTGCACAGTACCAGCAGACGGCTCCCTCGTGGATGCCAACACCTTATCAGTCAAGCTTCCAGCATTCCCCGCAGCGCAACCCTCCACCCGTACACTGGCCGAACTATCCTTCTCAGTCCATGGTATCAGGACCCGTTACGTATCCGTATGGACAACTGCCGGCACAGCCTTACGGCCCGGGAATGCAGAATCATGCAAACCAGCACCCATTACCTGGGAGCTTCACTAGATCCCCTTTCAACCCCCAAACCCGGTCTTTCGTGCCTGGTGCTGGGTCCCCCATGGGTTACCCCGGAAAAGGGAATCAGCATGGAATGGGTCACTCCTATGGGGGACCTCAGCCTGGCAACCAGCAGCAGTGGGGTGGATCTCAGTCTCCTGCTTCAAACTATGCCGCAGGACGCAATGGCTCATCTAGTAGCCAGGATTCTATCGCGAAATGGGGCACACCATCCCATTTGCCTCCAAAGCCTCCACCCTCAGAGGTCTCTTCTGACTTCGATATGAAGAATAGGATTACTTCCGTGCCAAACAACAACGGGCTGCCCAACATGAAAAATGGACCGCTCGTGGTTTCAGGAGGCTCCAAACAAAACTGATTTCAAACCGTTATCAGCCAATTTCCTTTCTTGTGCATCTTTGCTATGTGGCGTGGTGATACGAACTGCAATGAAATAGCTGCGGTGATCCTCCGGCGGGTGGCGTACCTGGGAAGCTTCTGGTTATCATGTGGCGAGCATCATAAAAAGTCTGACACTTGGTGCATCGTATGTCGGGACTCTCTTTTGTGTTTCCTCATCCGCAACCTAACCCTGGCAGGTGAAGGCGTGAGCGGGGACCCGAGTAGAGGGAGGGGTCTTTGAGCCGGCAGAACGGCTCGAAGCAATGCAAACAGAATTTCTACTCACATTGATTGATATCCACGCAGTTCTCTCGCGTAGCGGAGGAATGGCGTGGGCGCTAGGGCAAGATTCGGGAAAACATAATGACTTCCAACGCTGATCATCTTCTGTTTGTTATGGCCAAAGGACGGGGAAAGAAAGAGTTTTCAATATTTCCTGCTTGCTTTGCTGACATGCAGTTCCCGGCCGCTCGGCTCTTCTAAGATAATCGCTCACGTAGATTGCCTAATGTATGTTATAATTCAATAAGAATCTACCTTTCTCGGTACGACGGAGATAAGAATACCGTAGAGATCATCGGATCGGTTCCAAAGTCATCTTTGATCATTTGATACATGTTTATCTCACAAGAAGCTGGCTAGGAAAACAAAGAGCCGCGAAGATGCTGACCCAGATAGAACATGGCTGAGACACGCCGAGAGGGAAAAAAAAGGTAGCACAGGAGTTCATAAACCGATAAGCCACTCGATAGATATACACAGGGCTGAAGAATTCGCAGTCCACCCCAGACGGACGGATTCAACAGGCAGAGAAAGAAGCAAGGGAAAAGCACCAAAGGGCCCCGAGGCCTGATATAGGTTTCAGCTTACTCCTTTGCTTCCGCCTCCGACTTCTTAGGCGACGCAGCTTCCTTTTTCTCCTTTAGTTCCATTCGCTCCATCCGCTTAATGGCATCTTCGAGCTCATCTATACCATTCTTTCGGAACTGCGTCACCTTCTTCACGTTGAGAGCCGTCAATTCGTTCAGGGTCTCGAAACCTTGCGATCGCTGGCGCGCCACCGTCTTCGCGGTCATGGCGAATCGAATGTCCTTGGGGCCGTCTACTAGCTCGAGGATCGCACTGGGGGCCTGGTCATCCTTCTTGGGCTCAACGCGGAGAACGCGCGTGTATCCACCGGGTCGGTCGGCGTAGCGTTCACGGAGAGGTCCGAAGAGTTTGGGGAGAAGCTCATGGGGGGTCTGTTTGATATGCTGGTCAGTAGGTGCTCTGCAGCTCACTCGTGAGGATGTTGATCGACGAAAAGAATAGAGTCCATATGATCTTCGAGGAGTAAAGATATACGCTAGCATGGACGAATGAAATATCTGGGTCCATCTCATGCAGTTTATATCCCGCCAGCCTTTTGCCTCTAGTATACCGCAAAAAGGACCGGTGGACGAATATACGTACATAAAAGATCTGCAATGCCCGTCTCCTGCTTGATTCCGTATTCTTCTTGCCCAATGTGATCAGCTTCTCAGCAAGTCGCTGTGCTTCCTTCGCCTTCGGCCATGTTGTCGTGATGGATTCGTGCTGAAACAGTGACGTGACCAGGTTGCGCAGCAAGGCCTGCCTGTGCGATGACTTCCGGCTAAGATGACGATATTTGGTCGCACCGCCCGCCATCTTGAATGACTATGTTCTGGTTGGAGGAGGATTAAAGGATGGGAGTATCGGTAAAAACGGGTTCCTGGGGTGAGAGCAAGGTCGAATCGCGCTGGCTGGAAGCACGACGGTTCCGCAGCAAGGGAATAGAAGTGAACAATTGACCCCTCGATGGCGGAGCCGGAAGAAGAACGGTCTTGTTCGCGTTGAGAAGAAGGCTGAATTGTTCTTGGACTCCTTTGGTCTCCGATCAGAAGATTCGATCCTGAGGTTTCCGCCGCAGCCAATCGGAGAGCTGGCCTGGGGCCTCCGATCGTCCACTGCGGACTTGGAGGGCAGAAACATCTCATCCTCACTTCGTCCAGTTCCACGCAGTGTCTTGCGCTTGATCTAGAAGCGAATTACCAGAGCGCTCTGGTCTCTGGAAGCCCAGGACGGCTCCCTGTGTTCAGTTCAAGCCAAACACCCGTCTCTTAACAATATCCTTTCGTCCTGCCCAGACAAAGGACTGCAGTACAAACAGGCTGAATCACCCCACCAGCTCCGCATAGCCATTGCATTATCCTGTGTCTCTTTGACTGCGCTGTATTTCCATACAATAAGTCTACATACTTACTCCTAGAGGAGTATTCCTGGGCAGCATGGGTTTCCTGGCAGGATTTGTATGTTTCAAGTCATCCAATTGTTATCATACTGCAAATGTTTGTTGTCACGAGACCAAGATGGATTGATTCTTTGGCGCATATAGTTTGGCGGGTTCGCTCTCACTACCTCCGTTCTCTATCTCTCAGTTCAAGTCCACCGTTCAAATCGCCTCGAGCAGCAAAGAGCGATCAGGGAGCAGACTGAAGTCCTCAATACGCTTGCTTCTCCGGCCGGCGCATACTACCGTCGATTCGCTCCCGAAGTGCCAGAACGGAAGCCACGCGACTTCGAGACAGAAAGAGCGGGAACAAAAGCGCTGCTAAAGGAGAAATGGAACCGCGAGGTGGAAGCATTGGCTAGGAAGGCGTACGAAGTGCGTTGGGAAGATATGAGAGAGACAGCCGTGGAAGGTTTCAAGGCCGTTTCGCGACTGGTTAAGAGGGAGTAAACAAGTGCAGATGGATGATTTTCATGGATACCATTCCCATGTCATGGGATCCGTACGCCCCGGATATTTCGAGCGATTTGTTGATGTTGCATGCCTTTATACCCATTTTATTACTGTATATATGGTGTGACGGAGTTGGGATATCGGTTCTTCGCACGCCTGTTGTGAATCATAGTATACAACCCTTCAACTCTCTTCATGCTATTTTTGTCTAATGACCAACTCCGCTATACGACCTAATTGATGTCAATGGGTATATGAGATATATGTGTGGAGTCTGGACAATAATGCCATACTGTTGATGCGGAGCTTGGCCGGGACCTTATAAGCAGGTCAAAGCAGTACTTCATAGCATGGAGCTTTTCGATCGCCCATGTGGAAGAGAAGTCGGTATGTTCTGCGCACCACCAGGCAGGGATCGAGTTATTCCCAGGATAGCGGCCATCATTCGCGCAAGTTTGTCATAAGCGCCGTATTGTGTAGGGGGGGATTCGTCTCCTTTGAGATGGTAATATGAGACTCGGACCGAGGGAGGGATGTAAGTCTCCCCTTGCACACCATCGTGCTCTCGAATCCACGGCATTCGCGTTTGCAGCGAATAAATGTTGAAAGTTCCTGAACGTAGGTACCGCTTTCGCCTTCATCTGGTGGTCCTTGACGTGCCACTCGTATCTACGCTTTCGCTTTCACTCCAGATGTCCTTGCTTTCTCTTTCAACAGCACGCATTGCATCAGCGACCTCCTCGAGTTTAGCAACGACATCTAGCACCCCACTCTTGACACGGTCGAAGTATCTATCATTGGCTTCACGCCTCTCACGCGCAAGGAGAAGATCATTCTCCGTCTCTTCCTCGAGAGCTTTGTGTGAGCTAGACTCGCCTCCTGGCCGTTCTGCTGTTCCCCCAGGGGCTGAACCTCCTTTTTTGGCGGACTGCTGATGTGGCTCCTCGGTACCTTTGGCAGCATCAACGACTTCATCAGCTTCACTTCGGGCCCAGGCTTGAGCCAGTCGCAACTGCTTCTCGCGCAGCTCATCCAGGGCTTTGGCATGTTTCTCCCCAAAGACGTGTTCACCGCTCATCGCGCTGAGTTCCACTTCAGCAAGGGTGTTTTGCATCTCCTGCCATATTGCCTCTGAACGGTCTACTTCACCTTGAGAATGAGAGCGTGAGATAAATGGCGAGAGCAATGTCTGGCCTTCCAAAGGCCCTGAGCGTTGTCGAGATGAGCGCGTGCGAAACAGAGGCGGTGACGGAACACCTCCCGGAGTAGTAGCCGCAGAACCTCCATGAGTACTAGCAAGACGTCCAGAAGGAAGAGAAATATTAGAAGCATTATGCGACGGAGGCCCTTGAAATAGAGACGGAGGGGGCAGACGCTGGGAGCTTGTATGCCTAAGCGGCTCCATTTTAGACGAGGACATCTTGGAGAGTTACAGCAAAGGTATCTCGCTGAAAGACAGGAACTTGTTTTACATAGGAAAGGAGCAGATGGCACAGTTGACCAAAGCTATTGTCGATCAATGGGAGTATGCATATAATAGATTCCATAACAAGTCTGTACTCTGTAGTTATGGTTGTTCCTATGGAGCGGACTACTAGGCTCGGTCCCGCCGACGTTTCTCCGATCCGGGCGGAGGTCTCGCTTAGCGTCGTTAGGGCGAGCACGCACACCAATTTTCGACCTCCCGATTTTGGCGAGACGTCGGCCGTGAAAGTTGTGAACGACTTCGCCCTCGACAATCAACCGTCAACCTTTAGGTCTTTCAAGTCGGTACGTCTTCCTGACCCTGCACCATATTCATTGAGATTCCCCGATCGTGCATCGATCTGGAATTATCAACGGATTCCCTACCTCCCGAATCAACCCCGCAGATACCCTTCAATTCGCACCTATCCCACCGTGTGACAGCAAGACATCTAACATCTTCTCTCTCGATCTCACAGTAACCGTCCAACGAAAGCAATACCGCCAAGATGGGTAAGGGAAAGCCTAGAGGTTTGAACGCCGCCCGCAAGCTCCGCAACCACCGCCGTGAGGAGCGATGGGCCGATCTGTCCTTCAAGAAGCGTCTCCTCGGAACCGCCTACAAGTCCTCTCCCTTCGGTGGTTCTTCCCACGCCAAGGGTATCGTCCTTGAGAAGGTCGGAGTCGAGGCCAAGCAGCCCAACTCTGCCATCCGAAAGTGTGTCAAGGTTCAGCTCATCAAGAACGGAAAGAAGGTCACTGCTTTCGGTGGGTTACCTGCTCCCTTTATCTTCTCTGGAATATTTGTCGAGATCGACTCGAGGCCATGTGCTGGATTGCTGGATAGTAGAAAGAGCATGGGACTGGTCCTTTATGACCAGCGGATGAATTGGCTGCGAGGGAATCTCTCAACATGCATAAAAAAAACCAGTCATGCTAACTTGATAATGCTTTTTAGTTCCCAACGACGGTTGTCTGAACTTCGTCGACGAGAACGACGAGGTCCTCCTCGCCGGTTTCGGTCGTAAGGGCAAGGCCAAGGGTGATATTCCCGGTGTCCGTTTCAAGGTCGTCAAGGTTTCCGGTGTCGGTCTGTCCGCTCTCTGGAAGGAGAAGAAGGAGAAGCCCCGCTCTTAAATAACGAAACGAAAAGGGAAAAAAAGGGGTGTTGGAATCTTCTTCTTCAAAGAAAGCAACGGAAGGAGATGGTTTTTTTCTCGGGAGCATCACAGTCACTGGGATATGTTATGTTATCTGTAACTCTGGTCTGGATCAGGCGGATTATGGTTCAGGACGGATGACATGCGATGCGACTTGCAAATACTACGAATTGATTCACTGCGCAAGAAAACCTTCAAAGATGGCGTCATGAATACAAATTTTTTCCTATCTCTTTCTCTCTCCATGAGAGGGGGTCAGAGGATCTCTTCGAGATAAAAAATGAAGGATGTTCTGACCAGTCTTTTCCGGAAAATAATCCTTCTAGAAAGCGTAATGTGCCTGTGATCTATTCTAAGGTAGCCAGTGGCCCCAAACCCAAGATCTATAAGCACTCCCCAGACCTACTTCGTTAAAATCTAATAGATTATGGCCTACAATCGAACGTGCGGGTTATCTATAATGATTGCCCTGGGTATCATTATTTTCATTTTGTTCCTTCCATATTTTCTCATCTAGTGTAAGTGTCATTCATAATCTAGAAGTTGATATCCTCCTTCCGGTAATGGTCTGAGACGATACGGTACAGATATGACGGCGCATGACCTCCCCTAGAAGCTATTGTCAATCCAATGCCATATAAGGGAGCAGAAATGAGAAAAGAATGCGTGTACTCACAAGTTAGTAATGTAAAGATCAACCAGCTCTGCTGGAACATAGTCATAGAGTGGGTTCTCAACGTCGATCTTGTCCACCAGATCGCCGTCTTCGTAACCGAGCACTTTGCTCGCGTCACCGTATTCGATCAGCGCCTCGTAGTCGAAGGGATACACTGGGCTCAGCTTGTAAACACCGCTGACCACGACGACCGGAGTCTGGTGGACTTTGGCTGCCCGAGCAATGACTCGAGTGCCAGCGGCCGCGACAAGTCCGCCGTTGGCCAGGACCGAGTGTGTGCCCAGGATAACCTTGTTGACCCGGGACATAAGCGCAAATACGGCGGAGTCGGGGATCAGGATGACCGTGATACCCATGGCAATCAAAGGCTTCTGGAATGACTCGACGCTCATGCTCTCTTCGTCGCCGTAGGTTGTTCCGCTTACAGTAGCGTGCGTCGCCTCGTGGTTGTTAGGATAGGACTCTGCATGGATGACGGTGAATTTCCGCTTAGCAGCGGCCTTCATCAGGAATTTTTGGACGGTCGACGAGGACGTGTGGGTGAGAATGATTTCATTCGAGTGGATATGCTCCAAGGCGTAACCGGCGATCTGGTCGTCGACTTGACCTAACTCATCGATGATCTCACCGATTCCGTCAATGACTTCTGCGCGGATGTCCTTGCTTGGAGCGTGACCAGGGAATCGACCCAACGGCGAACCAGGCATTGCAGGGGAGCCTGGTTGAGAGGAGTCCGTATCGGGATGTGACAGGAGACTGAACATGGATATCGGGGCCGGAGTGGGCGCAAAGGAATTGAAAGGTGGGCGAGAGGAGGATCTCTCTGAGCCTTCGTGCCGGACGGACAGATGGTCGTGAATGCCCAAACCAGCTTCAAAATCCTTGTTCGACTGGGGCGGAGTGTGTGGTCGACTGTCTGAACCGGCGTCACTGGACAAGGAAAACTCCGCATCTCGTTCGTCCTCCGCTTCGTCTCTGATGAGGCCTAGGATCCGTCTCACAATATTACCAACGACCATCTCCCTGGGTTGGGCGGCTATCAGCCGTCTCCCCACACTCTGCACCCGCTCAATTAATTTTGCAGCATCTGTTGTCCGGTAAAAAGAGACGACGCGGAGGAGAAGGTAAGCGGTCGCAATGGCGCATGATCGTGAATGACGGATCTGTCTCCGTTTGAGAAGTCTAGCACGGTCAGTAAAGTCAGCAGCCATCGCAGCAACGAGGACAGTATCGTTGGAGACATACGATATGAGGTTGTCGATGGATGTGTCGATCGGGTTCGTCTTCAGAGACTTGAGAAACGACGACAGGCCCGGGGTCAAGGCCACCGATGTGGACGGCATCTTGGATGTCAGACACTATATCTCCTCCCCAGATCCTATCGTATCCCTCTAGTGGTTGTGAGATGAGCGTGGAGCAAGGGCGGAGCCAAGCGGTGGTGTGTGCGGACGAACGATGTGCCCCTCTTGATGTCAGGACTCAAGACCGTCCGCGTTTCAGTACCGGCCGTTGTCTGAGGGAGAATAAGAGCTGGACTGGTCCTGGAGATCCAGTGAGGCCAGAGCTGATGGTATTTCACGCGAGCACCGTGGACTACTGACTTGCGGCGGTGGTTGAAGCAGCACGGTTTGCTGCCGGTTATGTTAGTGAGCGAAGTTCAGAGAAAAAAGGCCAAGCTCGGCCAACGGTTCAACGTAAGCTCAACTCCTCCTTGTTGCTCCCCACACCTCCGTCATCCGTTGAGTACTTAGCATAGGCGAAAGAAACAGCAACTTCCACCACCAGCCACTCGCCCCGTTGTTTCTACTGTACTATCGACTGCCAGATCATCCAGAGCGTTAGTGTGCTGCATCTTGAGCCCATATACCGGCACGTTTCTAGGGGCAGCGACGTGGCAGCGCGAGCGGTATCGAGGGACGGTCGTCCACTGGCGCATTGAGGTCTGCAATCGCCCTTCCTCTCTCTCCCCTTCGGCGCTTATCTGCCCTGCGAGCGGCCTTGTTCAATGACTGACAGAATCCCTCCAGATATCTGCGTCAGGGTCTGACCCGATGGCCGTTGCTGGAAGATGAATTCACTGAATATACTGTCGTCCCGAGTCATTGGACAGTCCTCATCTACTAGTCCTCCGCGCCATCGCTCTCGCTCGCAGGACGAGGTGCTCTCAGGCAGTCCGCGCAGTGATTTGGCCAAGACCCGATCGTTTAGCCACCAACAGCTCAATGACTTGGACCTCTTCGAGAAGGAACGCGAAGGCAGGTCCGATCAGTTCGAGCCTACCGACGCCGACATCCATACCCTCGATGAGAAATCCCCTCTTCTACAGACGCTCCATAAAGATGTCACTCTCCCGGTTCACAGTAGACTCCATTTGATTGCTCAGCGACTCTTCGACGCCATTGCGGAAACGATCAAGGTTATACTCTCCACTCTTGCTGCACCTGGGGTCTATGCTGCGCGATGCTTCCGAGATGATGATGGGCACTACTCTCCCCTTGTCCCCGTGAAGAAGTTAGGACGTGCGATGTCGAGTAACAGTGGTCCACCATCAAAAGGAGGGAAGCCGTCGGGGCACGGTAAGGGAAGCAAACGGTCTGAGAAATCTACCCGCCGCGATCCTTCCACCAGGAAGCTCCGAAGTTCCACATCGCGGGATTCCATGGTCTCAACGACTTCCGACTCTGAAGCGGATCGACGAGGTGATATCAAGACTTCCGGTGGTACAGGGCGCCATGGCAAGACAAAGGCTCATAATGCAGAACCCGCAGCCGAAGACGGTACTCCTCGACGTTCTATACGGATCAAGCTCCACAACGAAGATGTTCTCAAAAGGCAGAAGCAGCGACGATCGCAGAGCATAGACTCGAATCAGGACGTTGATAACCCGGGGAATTTTCAGGCCGGTCTCGCAGCGGATATTCTCAAGTCACCGACGTCTCCCTCCTCTCATAAGATCACCAAGTATCCCCACTCTCCTACTCCTCCCCGTCCGCTGGTCCCTCCGCGTCAGCCTTCGTACACTGCAGGTACACGCGGCTCTAGGATTCCACAGAAAACACTGGTGCTTGATTTAGACGAGACGCTTATCCACTCCCTGGCAAAAGGTGGTCGGATGTCGAGCGGCCATATGGTTGAGGTCAAGCTTGCCACTCCAGTGACTACCGCAGTGACACCCGGTTCAGCGCCCACGACCCTGGGTCCTCAGCATCCCATTCTGTATTATGTCCACAAGCGACCTCATTGCGATGAGTTTCTCCGCAAGGTCTGCAAGTGGTACAAGCTTGTTATCTTCACGGCTAGCGTTCAGGAGTATGCCGATCCGGTCATCGACTGGCTTGAGCAGGAGCGGAAGTACTTCCACGCCCGATATTACCGGCAACACTGCACTCTGCGCAATGGGGCGTACATCAAGGATCTCAGTTCTGTAGAACCAGACTTGAGTAAGGTCATGATCTTAGATAACAGCCCGATGAGCTACATCTTTCACGAAGGTAAGACTCTTCTCGACGGCAGACTCCAAAAGAGAAACTCTAACTCTCTATAGACAACGCGATCCCGATCGAGGGCTGGATCAACGACCCTACGGATAACGGTCTGCTGCACCTCATTCCCATTCTGGAAGCGCTCCAGTACGTCACCGATGTACGAGCACTTCTAGCACTAAGAAGGGGTGAGGCCGAATCATGATCCTGTTCCCATGTATCGAGCACGAGAAAAGATGCGGGTACGAATATTACGGATATCATGTCTGTTGCCTTTGTTTTCCCCCTGTTTCTGGTCCTGCCTTGTAAAGAGAAACCCGGCAGATGTCTCCCCGCTCGATGAGTGCATATCGTCATACCCTTCCGCACAGCCGATTGTATTTTTTTTTCCGTATTTATCTTCTTCTTTTCTTGCCTTGGCTTCCTGACAAGCCCTCTAAACGCATTGTAGTCCTCTTTGAGTGTTCGTGTCTATGTCTCTAATTCGATTGTTGCCCGTGGCGTTTTCCCGAGCGAACCGGTGTTGTCATAAATATTACCAATTACTCTCGATTGATAAGTGATGTTCAACAAAACTCGTCTACCATGTTTACTCCTCATTGGCTTGTCCATACAGCCGTTCTTGGTTATTGAGTTCCGTGTCTATTCCGCACTTCTAGTCCTCGGAAAACGAGATACGAGGGACATGTTCCTTCAGGGGTAGAAAAGAAAAACAAAAAAGTGAAGCGGGAAACTTTAAGATTGATCGTGTCAAACAGATATATACCAGTACATATTTAATAGTGTTGAGCGAGTGGTCATTGCTTTATATATCGTTGACAAAACGGGTACAATTGACATACAATTAATATATTCCCTAAAAAAAGACAGATGCAAGAACCAATCAGAACATCGCTATCTACCCAGGTAGGTAATTTTCCAAAACATTCTCGATCACAACATTGCCTCATTGTATATGTTTGCAAAGCATTGGAAACCTTGAAGAAGTTGCATTTCTTATTCTACAAAACGACATGGGAATAGAATAATCTGATATTGATTCCTAACTTACGGCAAATGTGGCCTTGGCCAATGTTATTTATAGTTTACAGTAAGGATGACAGTCTTTTGAAGATGAAGTTTTAGTTTGGTTTCATTTTCATTCACTCGTTCTGAATTTTATGTGCCTGAAATAGCCCCCGTGTACACTTTTTTTTTGGATCCTTGCCCCCTCCTTCCTATTATTGCGTTCCAAGAAGCCTGATGTTTTTTTGGGTGGGAATCTAACGCTAGATGTTGATATGTGCAACTATTTACAGACCCTTTGCCTTCTTGGCTTCAGTGATGGACTCCTTCAGAGCCGCAATGGCCTTGTCGATATCACCGCGGGCGGGGTCAGTGACGCTGACGCCCATGTGGCCGAATCGGATGTACTTGGTGGCAATCTCCTTGTGAAGACCGCCAGCGAAGACGACACCGCGCTTGGCCAAGCCAGGGAGAACGTCCGCAGCAGCGATGCCCTCGGGGAGACGGATGGCAGTCATGGCGTGCGCCTGGTTCTCGGGCTTGACGGCCAGCTGGGTGAGACCGAGTTCGGCAACGCTGGCCTTGACACGGTCAGAGGCCTTGGTGTGCACGGCGAAGCGCTCAGCCATGTTTCCAGTGATCTGGGATAGAGTGGTGTGCAGAGCGTGGACGAGCTGAGTGGGAGGAGTAGCGAAGTAGGAAGGCTTGAGGGCCTCGTAGTTCTGCATGATGGGTAGCCAGTTCTTGAGGGAAGCATAGTAGGATCCAGGAGGGCTCTGGCGGGACTGGAAGCGGTTGATGGCACGCTCAGAGAGCATCAGGATGCTCAGACCGGGAGGACAGCCGATGGCCTTCTGGCTGGCCGTCAGGACGACGTCCAGGTCCCATTGGTCGAAAGCGATCTCTTCGCATCCGACACTGCACACCCCATCAACGACGACCAGCGTCTCCGGGCTGACACGGCGGACAAGCTCAGCAATGGCCTTGATGTCACTCAACACTCCAGTAGAGGTGTCGACGTGCGTGATAGTAATAACCTTGTACGACTTCTGCTTCAGCGCCTGTTCAATCTCGGAGAGCGATGGTCTCTCGCCAATGGGAGCCTTGAGCTGCGTGACCTGCGCGCCGTAGGTCTCAAGACAGGCAGCGAAAGAGTCACCGAAGTAACCGGTGTGGAGGACGAGCGCATCCTGGCCCCTCTCGATCAGGTTCGACGACACGATATCCCATCCCAGAGTACCACTACCGGAGATGATCAACGGCTGCGAGGCGGGGTTGCTGGTCTGGAAGAGTTTCCGCAGAAGAGTCAATGATTCTCCAAAGACCTTGACGAAGGCCGGGCCAACGTGGCTCTCACTGATATAGAAACCAGACAGATCAGTATACCTTTCCCCCTCGACAACCCAATGCTCAGGAGGGGTAATTCTCAAGACTTACGCATAGTGGGACATGGACTGCAGGACCGCATCGTCGAATTCGATGGGTCCTGGGATCAAGAGAGTGGAATGAGGGGCTTGGGATGACATCCTGGCGTTTGATCTGGGCTGTCTGGATGGAGTTGCGGGGGATAAGGAGGAGATTGTTCGATCGATGGGTTTATACTCTAGGTCGTCCGGTTCGACGGAGATCCTTTCGGTCGAGAAGGGCGTGTTGAGCTCGGGCAACGGTAGACGCTGCTCGAGGTGCCTGGAGATCAGGCTCAAGCGGCCAGTCGCCCGTGAGGACGCCAGTGTTCCGATCCGCGGCCCTCGACGGAGAGTCGCGGCGGGGTAGAATCGGAAGAGAACAAGGACGACGGCGCCTAGTTGGACTCGCTGCTGATTTGCAGGTAGAGACTGACTGGATGGTACTGAACAACGATCAAATAATGGAGGGAAAGAAAGATAACTACTATACTCTTCCGGTGACTCAATCGAGGGATATTATAAAAGGAGGCCTCTTTTTTTTTTTCTCACTAATCCAGGGGCGGTGGACTCCGGAACTCACATTCGGGAGTGCCACCGCCTGCGGGGAGAACGAGGCGATGGCGATTCTACCTTGAAACAGCTAGATGTATACTCTAGTCAATCTTCATGTCGATTGACCTTGGTTCAATTATTGTTTTACAGTCTTCTGTCTCTGCATCTGTGGACAGTTCTAGTACATTGGGCTCTTATATATTGCGGATGGACATGCTGAGTGACTCACATAAAACATCCCGGACAGTCGAAGGAACATTAAAGCATATTTCTTTTTTCTTTTTTAAAAGGTTCTTTTCCCCTCATTCTCCAACTCCAGGACGGAAATGGATAATTCTTAATGGCGCCATGGGTGCAAAAAATTTTTCTTTCTTTCCCGTCATGGAAGTATAAAACGACCGGATCTGAGAAAGCAGGATATCCCGGTAACTGTCTACAACTGCCATCTGCCGTTGTCGGAGGCTCACTTGCAATGATACGGGCCAATTATGATTAAAGTAAGCGCCTCTATCGGTGAGATTCAAAAATAGTAATTCACTTTCATAATAATTGTAATGATGATTACCATAGTTAGTCACATCGGAGAAACTTTTCCTGTGGCTGGATGCGGAGATGGCGCTAGTCCATTATAGTACTACGTATTAGGGCTTAGGGTTCAAGTACTACGGATGCCAAGCCTGCCCTCGCAACTCCAGCGGAAGCTGCCTGGAAGCTCCGCCGTGGAGAGCTCGAAGGAGTAAAGTAGTAAGCAGTTGGACGTGTTCGCTGCTTCACCCTCGCTCTGTCTCATCAGCATTGGATGTCAGGAATGGGCCGTTGAGAAACTTGCGCAGGATTCACGATGACCTCGCGTCTGGTCCTGGTCATTGGGGACCTGTTCATCCCGGACAGAGCTCCGGTAGGTTTCCCCTCACATCTCCTATCTTGATATAGATAGATACTGACATTGGGCACAACTAGGACCTTCCAGCAAAGGTGCGCATTAAAACCGCAATTCAATTACTAGCATATCAACCAACCAATCTATCAATCATTAACGCCAGAATAGTTTAAGAAACTCCTTACTCCCGGCAAGATCGGCCAGATCCTCTGTCTAGGCAACCTTACCGATCGGGACACCTTCGAGTTCCTGCGGCAGATCGCACCCGACCTACAACTGGTGAAGGGCGATTTCGATGTCGATTCTCCTAACCTTCCTCTCTCCAAAGTAGTCACACATGGCAGCCTCCGCATTGGCTTCACTCATGGCCATACCATCATCCCGCCCGGTGACGCAGATGCTCTCCTGATTGCGGCCCGTCAGATGGACGTCGATATTTTGCTATGGGGAGGAACGCATCGGTTCGAGGCCTTTGAGATGGAGGGTCACTTCTTCGTCAATCCCGGCAGTGCGACTGGAGCGTTCAGTACGGGATATGCGCCCGAAGGCCAAGACCCGACTCCGAGCTTCTGCCTGATGGATGTGAGTGAGGATGCAAAGCCAAGAACTGATTCGTTGCGCACGCCCGGATACTGACGTGTAGTAGGTCCAAGGAGATGTGCTCGTTCTCTATGTGTACCAGCTAAAGACGGACGCGAGTGGAGCGGAGACCGTCGCAGTCGAGAAGGTGTCATTCCGCAAGAACAGCGGCACCACGTCATGATTTCTATTTCTTCTACCAGCATTTTGTACATACCCCTAAGAATGTGTGCTATTATGACCCTGCAATTCTATCAGAATCATTGTTCATCCGCTACTTCCTCCCCATCTTCTTACTGGGATTGAATCTCCCACCTCTACACTCAAGTGCATGCGAGTGGCAGGCAAATGATAGCTAATTTTCTACCATGATCTGAACGCGGAGCCGACCAACAAGGAACTACGCTCACGAGAACCTCTTGGCTTCTCGTAGATAGCCCCCTCGAAATAGGAGCCTCTCCTTCTCCTTGATGCGAGCCTTGGCAGTCCGGAAGGCGACCAGGGCTGCTCTCGTTCCCCGTTCACGCGCCGGGGTAGGATCTCGTCGCATATCTCGTACATACTCTGCAAGCGTGATTCGCATCTGTCGCAGCTGCTCGTGCCATTTGTCCCGTTCCTCCTCCCACATGCGGACCTCCTGCTCTTTCCTATAGAAGACAGTCCAGTATGTGCACATGGCAAATAATTGCAATTTCACTGCCGTCCCCTGATCCACCCATAGATCGTGCCCTAATATGACGGGCACGTAGGCTGCTCCGAAAAACGCAGCAGAGTAATGGGACCTGAGAAGTCCATGTTCGCGAGCAGTCGTTGACCTAGTATATATTGGTTAGTATCAACAGAAAATCTCATAGACATCTCGTAGAGGGGAAAGAAAACACAGTGTGGGGGGGGGGGGAGGACGCTGTCCTACATAATTAGGGAGAGCCATTTATAGTTGACAATATGCAACATAAAGACGAAAAGGAAGCAAAAATTGATCAGCTCTAGGATATTGGTAAACTTGGCATCCCAAAGAGATACGGTGCCTCCCCAAGTCTCTGTAGCGTGTCCGGTGGCGTGGAGTATGGCTGCTAAAACCGTCGCGCAGTCCATGATGAGGGTGATCATATTGCGCCTTATATCCACAGGACCATGATATCGATGTGTGATATGAAGTGTTCCTTGAGTACCTGTAATAAGGTCCGCTTTAGGTATGGGAGGGAGCAAGCCTAGTGACATGTTTTTGAAACGAAGGCCATGATGAAGTAGACATTCGGAAGGGAAGGTACGCAGAAAGCTCTTGCTGACTAGTTTTGTGATATAACTGCGATATTGTTCTATATTTCATGGTTCAGCTGCCCTCCATTTCTATATAAGTAAAAAGATCTAGCGTTGTACCATGAGAGAGTGCTAGAGTCTAGATTTTGTTCTTCTCACTTGGATGTTATTTTAAGAGATATAACTTGTATTAGCTATTTATTAATCGTATTTCAGACATTACAGGCAGTGTATTTGCCAGAATTCTGCTGATGTATCGACAATCCCGAATACTATTATTGTGAACATTGTTCGCACAGCGAATCTGGAAAGACTGCACAAATGCACAGAGCAGAGAGCGGGCGCGACTTCGGAATCCATCAAGCAAAGATCTTTTTGTTCGTTAGCATAACTTGTTGACTCTCCACAAGCATCGCAACTACCACTCTCCTTGGAACATTATCACACCGGATCAGTCATGAGGTTCTTCTTTGCATTCGAAGTCCGATCTGATAGCGGATCAGTTGTTAAGCGCCTCTCTTCACTAACAGGTCCTGTAGTGCCGCCAGGCTGGTTGGAGAGGAGTATCTTCGATTTCCTGATGATATCTGGAAGGAAAAATCCCCCTTTAACAGTGTCGCATGGCCCAATCGGTGTGGATTTCTCTGATGCAGGCCAGTTCCTAATGACCCGAGCATAGTTCTGAAAAAGAATAGGTTTAACGTCCTTCTGTGTAGGTGTACCAAGGCAAAGAACGCTGCCTGAAAATCCTGTTGCATCATCGCCGTCGGCTTCTGATCTCCATAGTAGACTGATCGTAGGATTTCCGATTTCATTTTCCCACAAATATTTCGTTCCTTCAATTACCGCAAGACGAACAGCTTCAGTCGCAACAGTCCCCTTCATTATTTTCCATTTATCATATTGAAGGAAGAGGGACGCTTCAAAGACGGGCTCTCCCTCAAGAGCATCGTCGTATTCAGCCCATACTGGGGCCATATGAATCCCTGGTGGAGCAAATACATCAGGAAGATGAGGTGCCGTTACCAATGACAAGTCATGCTTATATCCGGCAGGGTAAGGGACGTGCTCGCTTGGGTTGTCGAAGGTTGTTGTTATATGACCTATCTTTTTTGCGAAAGCTAGTTAGCCTTGCTATAAAAGAGCATCCAAATGCAAAAATACCATAGTTTTCGTTCCCGCAGAATATACCACCTTCCCGAGGGGCGAATTCTTCATTTTCTTTGTGGTGTGTACATCAGCACGTGCTATCGAAGGTGAAGGGTTGGATCTGAATCCCATAAGTGAGCGTTTGATGCGCTTATATCTGTCCGCCACAAAAACCGAGATCGGGCCAGGTTTAGGTCGTTTTACAAACCCGTGTGTAACAGTCGTGATACATTCAATGCCACCAGGTAGCCTGATCTTTAAACCCAGTTGCGAGTGTGCGATGTAGCTGTCAGGCTCCGGACTCACTGGCTCTCCTGCCTGTAAAGTAGCATGGCAGGGATTATCTTCAATGGTCATATGGCCGACAGATAACCCGCCAATAGCCCGCGCACCACCCTCAGCCCACGCCTTCTTCATGTCCTTCTTTGTTTTGAAAATGTATATGGCCCATCCGCAAACTAGAATCTCAACACCAATGGCTCGGACATGGACTTTGCGAATCAATTCCAGGTCTTCCGGGGTAAGAATCCGGCGTGGATTAAGCTCTTTCCTGAAAGGGTCGCATCGTTCTGGGATCCCAATAGGGATTTCACTTAGATCCAAACTAACAGCAGGAAGTATGTGGATTTCTCTATCTCCGGCGCGTAGCCCCAGTTTACGACTATTCGATGTTGGTAAAATTACCCACATCGACTTGCGACTGTGATTCTCCACCATAACGTAGACGAGTGGCTCGTTCGCGAGCGAGGGGTGGTGCGTTCTGAAAAGCTGTTCATTAAGCCTTGTGACTCTGGGTTCGACGATTGCCCGAGCGGCTGCAAGATCAGGATTTCCCCAGATTCCTGATGATGTATCTATAGAATATCAGAGAGGTGCCTTAATGGGGACAGAATGCCATACACTCCACTCGGTAGTGAGTTCCACCGTATCTGAACGACGGTACCTGCAGCCCCTGGTGTTCCTTTCCTCCTTCTCTAGGACCCAGTCTGAAGTATCCTGTGCTGTTGACCCTCTTCAGGCCATGTCGAGACCTGACTGAGGAAGCTGGCTCAGACATTTCAACGACTAGAGCCGGCTGTTAAAACCAAGCAAAGGAGTAAGATCTCGGCAGAGATGGAGTGAACGTGTACTGGAGAAAGTGAGAGTAAACTAAACAGAAGACAAAATCAAAAAGATCAAGATCTCGGACAGTAATGACATAAAGTTACTGCCAGAGAACGTGAGGACAACCGAGATAAGGAGAAGATAAAGATCCGACGTAGTCCAGGATCAGGAAAGTAAAGGTAGATCCGACGTAGTCCAGGATCAGGAAAGTAAGGGTAGATCCGACATAGTCCAGGATCTGTGGGATGTGATGATCAAAGGGGATTAGAAGGGAAGAGATGGAAGGTGTGATGAGTGTGGAAATCACTTTAACACAACAAGAGAGGAGCTAGTTAGTAGGGTTGCTGGTCAATTAATGATCAACAAAAGAACAGAAAGATTGACATTTACCTAGGCAGCGACAGAATACATCGCCATTAGGGAAAGTAGTAGTTAAGCTGTACTACTGTAGCTGCCTAGGGTACCTGGCTTGCGATGACTGCGATGCCAAACTGAAGCAGTGCTGAGCATTTTTGATGAAATCGCGAAGTCTAAACTCTGTTTTTTTCTCAATTGGGTCTGATTTAATCTCTGTAATTCCTGTGTTGATCTGTTAATTGCATTTCAGGCATAAGCATAGTAATAATTCTGTTGCTGTATTATTATTATTGACATACCTAAGTAGTACTCCATTATCGTGACGTTCGCACAGCCAATCCGGAAAGGTTCCCAGAGGGAGGAGAGATGTCGCTAAGCCAGAAAGAGCGGGCGCGACTTCGGCATCGATCAAGCGTAGTTTTTGCATTCATTATTACTTTGCCTCTCAATAACTCCCATATTGTCCCCTTCGGCAAGGACCTTTTGTTTGCATTCACTCCTTTTTGCCGTCAGCCGGTTCTTGTTCGTGTCGGTGATCATCTGTGCTTGGAAGGGTTTTCTGGGGAACTTGCATCTTCGTTTCCCGAAGGAGCACCGCGAGATTCCCGAACAGACACATCGCCCCTCATTTTAGCTACGGAACCTATCTCTTCAGCGTTCGACTTCCCTTGTCAGACCGTCGCCATGGCTACTGAAGGAAACGAGGTTAAGGATGAGCGTCCGGAGATGCATGAGGAAGGAGGCGATGACGAGGTACGTTTTTCAAGCTTCCTGGGAGGAGCTCCAACCAGCCACCTTGCGCGCAGCTCAGCAACCATGCCATGACATGACTTGTTCTCAAGCGCGATCTGTTCTTTTTGGACTGTAATGATGAGACTAACCTATGCCTGTTACAGGAAGAAATTGCGGCGATGAAGAAGCGCGTAGCAGAGATGGAGTCGGAAGCAGCCAAGTTGCGGGAGATGCAGGCTACTCTCGACCAGCAGTCGGAGAGCTTGCGCGAGGACAAGGAGGACATCGATGCCCGAAGTATCTTCGTTGGAAACGTGGATTATGGCGCTTCGCCGGAGGAGATCCAGGCCCATTTCCAGAGCTGCGGCTCGATAAACCGTGTCACGATCCTGCTGGACAAATTCACGGGACACCCCAAAGGGTACGTTGTTGGTTGTGGTTCCTATGGATGGTTCTACATCTTTCTGGCTGGATGGTTCACGTCTGATGCTAATGGATGGCTGCAGATATGCATATGTTGAATTCAGCGAGCCGAGTCTTGTGGCACAAGCATTGGTTCTCAACGAGAGTCTCTTCCGTGGACGGAACTTGAAGGTAAGAAGTCAACCCCCTCTTTGGGGTCATCTTCTCGATCTTCAGGAAGTTATGATACTAACGTTACTTCTAAACAGGTTGTCCCCAAGCGCACCAATCTGCCTGGCATGAGCCGCGGACGTGGGCGAGGAGGCCCGCGAGGACGAGGCGGCCGCGGCGGGTTCCCGCCTCGCGGTGGATACCGTGGCGGAGGTTATCGTGGTCGCGGACGAGGATATGCACCATACTGATGACATGTCGTGAATGGCGATATAATTTTTGCGCAATTTGAAAAGGATTTATCCGATGAGGGCAGAGACAGGACCGTGGGACGCATCAGCCAGGGCAGTTCCACACTCGACGGGATCTGTCACTTTGCAAAAAAGGGCTGAGGATTGCTTCGGAGTTGGGAGAACAGGCATGTATGATACTCGAGCAACAGAACTGGGACCATAAAAAAAACGGGCGGACCATAGGGAGCTTCACTGCGACTTTCTGCGACATCAGTACGATTGAGCCTTTTTGGTTTAGTTTTTGTGATTATTTACACATTGGAAATGGCATTGTTCATATTTTTGGGTCCCCTAATTGCAGCCTGTCTGGGTCTTATTCTTGTTTTTCTAGAATCCCCGTGGCTGAGTCCGAGGTATATAAGCAAGTGTCATCGAATGCAGTGGCTGATGGGCCATGTGGATGAACCGCTAACGCCAGAACGGGCGGAGAAAGCATGAAGCACGGCCTGGACTTGCTGATTGCGTCGTCTCACGAAGGGGAGCCTCCGGATATGCCGATTGCCCATCGCGAACTAGAGTAGAGTACCAAGTATTTCGTTGTGCGGTCACCAACTGGCTCCTATCCTCTGCTTGGTCAACCGTGCTCTTTCTTTCTTCCCTTCCACCCTGGCTCTCATTGAATGAAATCGCATCGAACGTTGTGCTGCCAACCTACAGTGATCCTGGAGCACGCGGGGTTTCCATCCTGGGACTCTGATCCATAGCGGCCGAAGCGAGCGGGCCAGAGGGGGGAACGAGGCAGAAGACGTCTGAAGAGCGAACCCGGACGGCCACTCACCCATCGTTCGACCGCCATCAGGGAAAAAAAAGTATTCTTCGTGTTCTCTCTTCTCTTTCTTTTGCTTTTTTTTGCCACGGAGCAGAGACGAACAAAAAGAACGATCGTTCTGGTTGAAAGGGCCTACTTAGAGTAAGCTGCCTGTGCCCCCGGCCAGCCCCTCGCCCAGAAAGGTCGATTGGCCCAGCGGCGTCACGTCAAGACTGCTCAGCCCCAATTCCAGGTTTACTCCAACCATTATCGCCCGCCTGAACAACATCCTTCGAACAGACGACCCTATTTACTCTCCCGCGGAGTGTCCTGTTTCCTGTTTCTGCGGTCGGAAAGTGAATGCGCAAGGCCGCATCTTTCTAGTCGGCTTGCTTTGACTGGCCTTGAACGCCCGACTCGGTCGCGGTGTCTCGCGAGCATTCGCTGCAGAATGGGTTCGAATCTACCAGCGTAAGTGATACCATCGATCATCATGGTCTCTCTCATCCAGTTCTTCCATACTGGCATGTCAATCTGCTTGATCACGCAATCAATACTGACGGTTATCATAGCCAGCCAAATCTGAGGGTTACAAGTGAGCAACCTACTACTCCGACAAACTAGATCTGCGAACCGCTGGACAAGATGCTGACTCCGGAATACTAGTTATCGCGGCGGATGGATTATACAAGCGAGATGTCTTTCGTAAGTATTAACTTCGATCATCGCAAAGGTGTTACGTTCCATGACTGACGATGGTTGATATGTTGCAGGTTTTCCGGATCCATTCGCTGTGGCCACCGTCGGCGGTGAGCAGACCCATACCACCTCGGTGATTAAGAAAACGTTGAATCCATACTGGAATGAGATGTTTGATCTGTACGGAATCTCCCACCCGCGATATAATTTTTACGTTCGTTTCGGTGTCTGACTACCGGGTTCCCCAGGAGAGTCAATGAGGATAGTATACTAGCGATCCAGATCTTCGATCAGAAGAAGTTCAAGAAGAAGGACCAGGGTTTCCTAGGCGTCATCAACGTTCGCATTGGAGATGTGATCGATTTGCAGATGGGTGGCGATGGTGAGTTCCAACTGGTTTTGTTTTCCTTGATGGTCGGGGTAATAAAGAGTCATGGCTGACAACTGTGGCTTTCACTCTTCTATAGAGATGCTTACCCGCGATCTGAAGAAGTCAAATGACAATCTGGTCGTGCATGGAAAGCTCATCATCAACCTGTCTACGAACCTCAGCACACCAAATACCACGAGTCAGAACAGGACGCAGAATCGCGCATCGTCAACCGGACTTGTCCCGCAGCCAGCTCTCCCCCACTCCGAGTCGTCTACCGCAGCTGCTTCCACCGCGAGTACTCCACGACCTCCAGCTTCTTCTACTCGACCGACCAGCATTGTGGCCCCTGTCAACGGCACCGCGGCGCAGCCTAATGGACACGCTTCCTCTCGCACGAACCTGAGCTCCTTCGAAGATAGCCAGGGCAGACTTCCTGCTGGATGGGAAAGACGCGAGGATAATTTGGGGAGGACGTACTATGTCGACCATAACACGAGGACAACCACCTGGACGAGACCGTCGGCAAACTATAATGAACACACTCAACGAACCCAGCGGGAGGCCAGTATGCAGATGGAACGGAGAGCCCACCAAAGCCGGATGCTACCGGAGGATCGTACAGGTGCCAACTCTCCCAGCTCAGCAGAAGCTCACCAAACGCACACGCCACCAAGCGGTAGCAATGCCAATGCTGTTTCTATGATGGCAACTGGTGCGACTACGGCCGGTACCGGTGAGCTTCCTGCTGGATGGGAGCAGCGTACAACGCCGGAAGGACGACCATATTTCGTCGACCACAACACTCGCACGACGACGTGGGTTGATCCCCGTCGACAACAGTACATCCGCATGTACGGCCAGAACGCAAACGGCACCAACACCACAATTCAGCAGCAGCCAGTATCCCAGCTGGGTCCTCTACCAAGTGGATGGGAGATGCGGTTGACGAACACAGCACGCGTCTATTTTGTTGACCACAATACCAAGACGACGACTTGGGATGACCCCCGGTTGCCGTCATCCTTGGACCAGGGCGTGCCGCAGTACAAGCGTGACTTCCGGCGTAAATTGATCTACTTCAGATCGCAGCCCGCTCTGAGGATCATGTCTGGACAGTGCCATGTCAAGGTCCGCCGATCAAACATTTTCGAGGATTCGTATGCCGAGATCATGCGTCAGAGTGCATCCGATCTCAAAAAGCGGCTCATGATCAAGTTCGACGGAGAGGACGGTCTGGATTATGGTGGTCTCTCTCGGTATGTAGACCTCAAAACACACTTGTTCCGATGTCAATCTGGAATGCTAACCTTTATCCTAGTGAATTCTTCTTCCTTCTTTCTCACGAAATGTTCAACCCTTTCTATTGTCTATTCGAATATTCCGCGCACGATAATTACACCCTGCAAATTAATCCTCACTCCGGCGTTAATCCCGAACATTTGAATTATTTCAAATTTATTGGCCGCGTTGTCGGTCTCGCCATCTTTCATCGTCGTTTCCTCGACTCTTTCTTCATTGGAGCATTCTACAAGATGATGCTGAGGAAGAAGGTCACCCTCCAGGATATGGAAGGTGTCGATGAAGACTTGCACCGTAATTTGACGTGGACTCTGTAAGTGAACATACTACGAGACGCACAATCGTTATCGAAAACTTTACTGACAAGACCATAGGGAGAACGATATCGAAGGCATTGTGGAGCTGACATTCTCCGTTGACGATGAGCGATTCGGAGAGCGTCATACGGTTGATTTGATACCCGGTGGCCGGGACATCCCCGTCACCAATGAAAATAAAGCGCAATATGTTGAGTACGTGTCAAATAGCCTGTCTCGCTGTTTTCCTCGGTTCGTTCTAACTCTCGATAGGCTAGTGACGGAGTGGAAGATTCAGAAGCGTGTTGAGGAGCAGTTTAATGCGTTCATCTCCGGCTTCAACGAACTGATTCCTCAGGACCTGGTCAACGTTTTCGATGAGCGAGAATTGGAGTTGCTCATTGGCGGTATCGCTGATATCGATGTCGAGGACTGGAAGAAGCACACTGACTACCGAGGCTATCAAGAGTCAGACGAGGTTATCCAGAACTTCTGGAAGGTCATTCGCGGCTGGGATGCGGAACAGAAGTCCCGCTTGCTCCAGTTTGCCACTGGTACATCTCGTATTCCAGTCAACGGTTTCAAGGATCTCCAGGGTTCCGATGGTCCCAGAAGGTTCACGATCGAGAAGTCTGGCGATCCGAATGCGTTGCCCAAATCTCATACTTGGTATGTTTCGTATCTATCCCCGTGCGAAGTGAAGACTAACCGTGTTTGTAGCTTCAACCGTCTTGATCTTCCGCCGTACAAGACATTCGAGGCTCTTGATCAGAAGCTCTCGATTGCGGTCGAGGAAACAGTAGGATTCGGTCAGGAGTAGAGCAAGACGATCCGACGCAGGGATGCGCTCATGTTTGTGTTTACTTGGGGTGTTATATCGGTCACCGTATAGTGGACTGGCAATCTAGCACGGGCATCTGTTGACCCTTTTCCTTTCTGGTGGTGTTTGCTATGTTGCAGTCGGTCTTGTCGACCCGACTTCTAGGATCAAGTGCGACTCTTCAAGAGAAGTCAGTTCCATTACTTTACTATTCGAAGGCCGTGTCTTTGACGTTGCGTGCGGATAGCAAAAGATACTGTCTTTTTTCTTTCTCTTTTTTGCACATGCGGTTTTTCCCTTCTTCCGTTTGTATATCTGTACAATTCTACCGGTCAGAGGCCTTTATGATCTTGTTTTACTCGCAAACGATGCTGCTGGTCGTTATCCAGCGACTGCGCTTTTCAAGTCGTTATGGGGCGCACTGTTGATACTGTTGATATTTAGTCGAGCATATCTATCTGATAATCAATCTACGTCATGGAGGCTTTTCGTTATCGTCAAAATCACTCATTTCTCAACACAGAGAAAGTCGTACTGTCCAGCACTCAATGGACAATAAATACTAATACTATGGTAGTAACATATGCCCGATGTTTTTAGATTCCTAGATATAACTATACCAGGCAACAATTTTTCCAATGTTGCCTATCAAGAGAGGACACATACGTCTTCATCACATAGTTACGGCTATGTATGTAAATACCCCCTCCCCCTCCTATTCGAAATAACATCTTCCCTTCCCGAACCAAACAACATCCAACAGACCACCACCTCCAAAATGCCACTCCAAGATATCCCCGAGATGATCCTTCTCTGCCGTGAGAAGAAATTCATCACCGCATTCAACGACGCCCTCCCCAAGTACTGGCCTTCATACTCCACAACCAACTCAACTACAACATCCACGCCCCCAATCCGAATAACAATCCTCAACGAATCCCTCAACACCATCCCTCAAGGGACGAAATTCGACCTCATCGTCTCCCCGGCCAACTCCTACGGCCGGCTGGATGGCGCCTTTGACGACGCCATATCGCGCAAATTCTGCCTCTCGCAGAAACAACCATACGATATGCTCACACATGCTGCGCAAAAAGTTCTATATGAGAAATGGAGAGGGTTCGCGCCACCAGGGACGTGCACTTTAGTTCCCTTTCCGGACGAGTTGAAGGGGAATGAATTCGGATGTGCATGGATAGGACTGTGTCCGACAATGAGGTTACCGACTAATGTCAAGTGGGATAAGGAGGTTGTTTATGAATGTGTTTGGAGCCTGATGGGGGTGGTGGAGGGGTGGAATCGAGATCATGATCACAATCGACGATCGTCTGGTGGGGAGAAGATCGAGAGGATTCTAATCACGCCTCTAGCGACGGGCGTGGGGAAAGTGAGTCCGGAGAAATGGGCGGCGCAGTTCGTGTTGGCGATGAAGCATTTTGTGGATGCGCTCGAGAGGCCTGAGAGGTGGAGTAAGTTGGATTGGGGACAGATAGGAGATACGGCAATGGAGGTGGAGAGGACGTGGAATTTGTGAGGCTATTGAGTAACTACTCTTCAGTAAATTGATGGGAAGGTATTGTTTAATGGTTTAATGCTTTTCCTTAGGCATATAATGTATGAAAATTTCTGATACTAATGCGTCTATACATGTTTGTTCCACGATCTTGCTTTTGGTATGATTTCCCGTCATCATTTGGAGAACCCCCAGTAATGTAATAGTTTCTTGTTTTGTCTCTTGGTTTTTGATATGTTGTTGGAAAAGATAGACGGACAAACCATGACATAGCGGCCGGAAAGCAACTACTGCTACTGCGTCTGAAAGAGAAAACCGTAGATGATCCCCATTGTGTCGCCGTCTATATGGTTCTATGAGATAGTCAGATGGCATATCATTCTTTTGTACGTACCTCAGTTGCGTCAAGTCAGATCAGATACTATTTGGTTATGTTGCTGGTAGACCGAAAGAAGGAGTTTCGAGACATGACAGAGTTCTAACTCAGCAGCTTCGTTTTGTCAATGTCATCCTGGTTCGATAAAATCTAGGAAAAGAAAAGGAAGATTCAATCGTGAAGAGAAAGATATATACCAAACCTGGGTCTTGAGAAGCCAGGATTTCATGTAGCCTTTTCCATCGTCGTACTCCACTCTTCAGTTCCGACGGGCCCGTTTAAATACTAAGGTCTGTCTGTATACTGACCACGTGCTGTGACCGTAGATATCTTTATGATTGCTCGTACATCCGCGAACGAGACAGTGTTTAGCATTAAGGGTATGATTCTACGAACATTGTGCGCTTTAGCCATCTACCTAGTGCAGAATCTGTCTGTTCGTGCAATGAAGCGGATATATCCCGGGTTGGTTATTCCGCAAAGAGGATTAACGCCAGGATATAGGTGGAGGCCTTTAGGGTCCCAGAGGTAGATTGCTATATGGTGGATAACGAAAAAGGATATTGAGAGAAAGAATGAGGATAAGAAATGCGATAAGTACGATCATCCCGTTGTTAGATTGAACAAGTTGACCGTTATTAAGAGATAATTATGCAAAAAAAGAATCTGAAAGCTTTTGGGGAAGACGCCATCTTTGGTTACATGAGCCAACAATATTTGGAACACTTAAAATTCCGTGTATAAAGGAATGATAAGATAAAACTATATCCAGACAGAGTTTCCCGACGGAGACACTGGCGTGGAAATCTCAACATGAACACATAACAGCTTCCAATTTACATATATTGTATCGAGTGGTCGGATGAAATTAGCATTCTATCCCGCGGTGGTCCATCTTGCATATCTTGTTCATAGAAAGGGAAGTGATGGTACAAGATCAGAACTCCGTCTAGCCTCTATAACACGGGGGGGGCATCTCTTGGCTAGCCAACGTAACGCTTGAATTTCCATTGTTATTTGAGCGTCTGTTAGTATGTAGAAACTCGTCTGTTTGAGTTAATTTATAATCATAGAGAGCCATCTATATATTCAGTCGCGACCCAGGTTCCATCAAACACTGAATCCTCAATAGTGATGTTTACTGTCCACATTTGGCAACGCTGCTATTTTGAATGAGATAAATGCGAATCCCGCGGCTCGAAATGGAATATACTACTGGCTGTCCCTAATAATAATAATCATGACCAGTTCAGTTCAGACCCCGTAGTCCCGTATCCTACTCTAGAATCAAAAGGATGCTCCCCCCGCCAGGAGCTCGGTAAGATCCACTGTCGAACGTTCCAGCAGATCGGCGTAAAGTTAATGCTGGATAGATTGTCCTGCTTTCTTCCTTTGCCATTCAGCGCGGTTATCGCCGCGCAGGGACGCATAGTTACATGCAACTCATTCTGAACTCTGCGATATTGAGGGATAATCTGCTGGCTAAGCTTTTGGGCGGGAAGACCGCTATATTATTCCCGTCTTCGGAATGTCGGGAAGCGATCACCAGTACTCTACATGCCACCGGTTTCCTTGCCTACTACCTAGTTAACCAGTTCGTTAATTACTCCTCCCGGACTCCTATATTCAAGCGCGGTACAGCATCGATGAAAGTCGATTTTCTGACTGGAAGCTTCGAGACATCAATTCTGGCCAGGACTTGTGATCGACTGCGGTTTTCAATGGCAGATAGTATTCGGTGTGGACCTTGGCTACTTACCCCATACGCTATTTTGGCGTCTGCCACGGCGCGCTAGATGGCCTCTTCTTACGGTCTGACCTCTAGCAGTCAAAGAAGCGAAGCGGAGTGTGTCAGTGCTGGCCAAGCTCACTCCCACTGGTACAGTTCTCGACCGTCAGCTCCGGATCAGCAGGATCGCTGGTCCTACGGCAAGGGGCTTTGACCAGCTGTATTTGGAGATCCTCACCCGGAACACTGAGAGACGCGATCTTCACAACACGGCGCGGTATACTCATGTATCTTGCCGTATGTTTTATATGAGTAACGTGATAGTTCAACTCTCAGAAAAGATGATTGACAAAACTCATATGCTCTTTCATCGATCCTCTGGTCGTGGTCCGTGATGTATTTTTGCGGCTTGGGGTGTTCCCCGGCGTGGCGTGCGCTATGTCCTCGAAATAGCATCGCCCTGACACCGAGCAATTCTGCAACCTGGACAATGAAGGAACAGAACGCTGCGGAGCCTGAAGGCCCGAGGAGCTATGGTCAGCTATGGTCTCAAAATGGATCAGCCGGGCTTTGTTGATAGTTCTATGGGCCGACCTTGCGGATGCCATTGGCTGAGTGTTGTGTATGTTTACTCCAGATTCCGATGTCCTTGAACATTCTTGGTCTCTATGCTACAGCCGGGATCTTTCCACGGCGGGACCAGGATGTGACCTGTACGGGGAACTCTCAGCATTCTTAATTGACCATCTTCTCCCTGCTTCTTTCTCTCCTGATCATCTTCTTGTGCATTCAGTTTGCTTTCTCGTGCCTGTTTTTGCCTGTTGCAGAGTTACAGTTCTTCGTCTCTCGTTGAGCAGAAGACCATCTCTTTTATACACTCTCGTTAACTACTCACGCATATCAATTTAATCACGCTTCTGCTCTAGCGAAAATGCGTTTCTTCACGGCTGCTGCTGCTTTCCTCTCTGTCTCTGCCGGCCTCGTTGCTGCGCAGGACACCACTACTGCCGCTGCAGCTCAGTCAACTTCGAGCTCTTCGTCGTACCAGTGTGACGCTCAGAAGTAGGTTTACATTGCCTTCCTCCTTGAGTGAACGGTAGAGCTGACCGCAATTGTGTGATTCTAACAGCATCGTGGACGCTTGTCTCAAGTCTACTACGCCGCAGCTGAAGGCCTGCGAGTCCACGGACTGGCAATGTCTGTGTGATCAGAGCACCAACGTCTTGACGTAAGATACCCCTTCATTCATACTGTGGACGGGGATACCTTTATCTTCGGTCTCATTCAGTTGATGTGGACTGACGTATTATCCTTCCAACAGCTGCTACAACAACTGCCCTGGTGACCCAGACCAGTTCGGTGCTCAGCAGACCAAGGAGTCGTACTGTAACGCCGCCAAGGCGTACGGCACCAGCAGCAGTACCAGCGCCAGCAAGACTCCTGGCGCATCTGCCACACATGCTTCATCGACTGGTGCCACTGTTGCTCAGGTGACCAGCAGCGTTGACGGTTCCAACGCAGAGGCTACCGGCACCTCGACTAGCACCGGCTCTTTCTCTTCCTCTACCTCTGAGTCTTCCAAGAACGCCGCTTCCGGACTGACAGTTGAGGCTGGCAGCCTGGCTGCTGCTGTGCTTATTGGCCTTGGCGCTATGCTGTAAGAAGCATAGATACCAGCGTCAACTGGGAGGGGGCTTGAGCAGTAATTAGCTTTTTCTTTCGGGATCAGAAATATGGCACGAAAACAATAAGTTGTCCCTGTGACCATGTAATGTGATTTTACACTGGTCCAGGACATGGTTATGACAATATTTACTTCACTCGCATAATGTGTACTCAATATACAAGATACTATATATGATAATTGGATTTTCACTTCATTGACGGTGTTCTGTTCAACTATGGTAGTACTGCAGTTTTCTCCTTCAAATCCGCCAGACCAACTACTGATCTGTGACAAGCATCGGGCGATCACAACCGCTCGCAGTGGAGCAGTGGCAAGTGCTCTCTGCTGATCTTCTGCGGGTCTGACCATAGCGGTGCGAGCCTATATTAATGTTATATATACTTTTCATCAGTTGTGATAGTTTTGTTTATCACATTCTTAGCTTGACTTAGTTTTCTACTTAACCTTTTTTCCTCCTTAATATTCAGCAATGTATAGCCTATCTAGCAAACCTAGATTTTTTTTATAGATAATGAAGAAAACTAAGCCACCGCTACGACTGTTTATTACTGACTGCATATACAACAACTGCACGTTGGCACCTTATAGGAACGTTCGTGCAGCATAACAAGGCCAGCATGACCTGAAGAATAAGCATCAAGGAGAAGTAAGCATGACCACCTGCAGGGAATTCCGCATGCGGGAAAACGGAGACTATGGAGGATCTGCCATGGGGTATTAATAGAAAAAAGTAGACAAAATCGCGACGGGAGTGATATATCTGAGACATACATCAACTCTTTCTCTCTTTTGCTGTCTCTTGCAGCGAAGATCAGAACGATGTAACTTGAAATGGTAACTCTGAACTGGGTAAGCTTTCCCTTCACTCCAGGAGATTAATCCCTCCTAAATACCTAGGTAGGTATCTAGTTAACTACCGCACCCCAATCCTCAATAAATGTAAATAATCTTCACCTGTTTATCTAAACTAATTTACCCCATGTAGAGGCTGGAGTGAGATCATTCGAAGGTCTGTCAAGCATTCAGTTGATTCTGCAGTGTCGCGAGTGGACCTGTGCGATACAAGCCTACCTAACTACTTAGCGCATGACAAGCTGGCCAACTCATGCTTCCATGCATGCAGCGTGGTTAGCTTTCCACATACGTACATTAGAATGCAGGTTGGTTTAGTAACTATTGACTTATTTGAGCTGGTGTGAGTGAGATTGATATGACTGTATGTACATAGATGCGGGGAAGGTCCATTTCAGAAGTATGGGAGTATGGATCGGATAATATTGGGACAGACTATCAAGCGCTTCCTGTCTCTGGCCTGAAGGCCTGTGAGTGGCTGTCTGTCTTCGCTGTGTGGGTAAAGAAAACCTTTATAGGGAAAAAAGTGGATTCAATCTATTGTTCCTAATTCCATAATAATACCTTTATATGCGGATGGAGTGATAAAATAACATCAACGGATTTTTCACTTCCTACCTATAGGCACACGCGCCTTATTGGGACGTTTGCCTGGAATTCCAATATAAGCCTTGAACACTCCACCACTGTACCGCTTCGATTCCGGGTACTTGTCAACTTCCGGATCAGCTTCGCTTGTAATGTAGATATCCTCTCCTGCGATAACAGCGCACTGATATTCAGTGGTTAGTAAGGTCCTTGAAATAAAACCACGCGAGAAGGCGATAATCGAAAACGAAAACGAAAAGCGAAAGATAACTTACTGTAGGACACCGAGTTGGCACCTTAATCTCAGCGGTAACTTTGCCTTCAGGGTTGACGCGGACAACCTTCCAACCACCCCAGATGGCAACCCAGATGTTGCCCTCGACGTCCATAGCGTGGCCATCGGGAGCACAGCCCTCCTCTTCAACGCGGAAGAAGACACGCTTATTGGAGATGTTACCCGTGGCGGCATCAAAGTCATAAGCGTAGATGGTCTGGGCTCCGGAGTCCGTGAAGTACATGGTCTTATCATCTAGACTCCAGCTGGTACCGTTGGGGATGGTGAGTCCCTCGACCATGCGATGGAAGGATCCATCTGTATCGAGTCTGAACAGGACTCCTGGATTCATCGTTAATATGCTAAGAATTAAATCTCCAAGAGATAATAGGGAATGTATATAGGAGAAAAATGCCATACCAACTGGTTCCAACTTGGTGATCGACGGATCGTTGAATGCGCTGACCCAGAATCGACCCTGGCTGTCAATCGCACCATCGTTGGCTCTCATCCGCTCCTCATTACCCTTTTCGACCTCTTCCGGAGTCCAGAAGCGCTGGATGTAGCGGTATTTGCTACTGTGCTTCTCGGCGACACCGACTCCATGCTTACCGCCAAAGAGGATCTTATCCTCTACTCCCTCCAGATCGCAAGTTACTCTGTCGAGCAAGTCAGTCAAAATACAGACTCTCAACATTGATATAAAGAGGCTATAGGCATGATGTCTCTGGAGATCGACCTACCCGATAGAGTATTCATATTCGTGGTGGCGTGCGGACGCCGGGCCGACGGTCAAGTCGACATACCAGATCGATTTGTTCATGATATCCACAAAGCGGAGGACATTCTTGTTCTCTTCCCAGAAAGGGCCCTCGCCGAGTCCGCAATGGATATCGAGATACGGCTTCAATCAGCTCTCGTCAGCACCTTATTACTCTATGTGGCCAATGACGTTGACGCGATCTTTGTTACCTCTGCTGTTATGGTCTTCATTTTTGCGACTGTTGTAGATCAAATGAAACGGTTTCTCGGGCGGGAATAGACTGGTAGAAGAAGGAAATGTCAATGACTATGTTACTTTCCTCAAAGGCTCACGCTGACGGGAATGAATCAAATGATGTGTTGTTGGCAATTTGACTTCATCGCCAACTCTCCTATTTAAATAAATTACCCAGTAACGTAACTTAGTAACTTAATTAAGTACTGTACTTACTCCACTGCTATTCTTGGTTTGGTTAGTTGAGAGGGAAAAAAAAGAGCAGCAGATGACGGACCGTGCAACCGTGCCGTGTCCATAAGATCTGAGATAGAAAGAAATCCCCATGCCCATGGATTGAATTGCTTTTGTCTTGTCGTGGATGTGATATCATTATTATACCGTATTGTGGTGAGAATTCCTCCCGTTCCGAATACTTACAAGGTTCTGGCCACGTCCACTGGGCCTTTTTTTTTGGAGATGCAATTTGAGAAACTAATATAACTATCGATTATCTGTTATTGTGGCTAATGCAGCTAGTTACTACACACAAAATACTATTGCCTTCGACCTCGTACAACAGTCGTGAGTGTGCATACAAACGAAATACAGTCAATCCCAACAACCCCGCGGAAGAAACTTACCGAGGGGTTACAGTATTACTTACCGATCGCTTCATACTTCACTTGACCTCCCAATAAGGACCGCCACGGAATTCCATCTGTTAATCAAAATACCCAGAGAATAAACTGGAAAGAGCAGATCCATGAGTATATATTCCGCAACTGTCTCCTACAGGGTGAACTGTCTATCGTGGAGAGCTATTTAATACTATCTGACTTCGGACATTTATACTCCGTACCCCTCCCCCGCAATGAATTTAGCCACGATGGCTTGCGGGTCTGGCCTTCTGGGCCATGTTGTTATCTTCAGATCTTGCTGTTCACGGTAGACACCATAGATGAAATAACATATCATATCATATCACCGGACTTTCGATTCTAGATACGTCTTTCGGGGAACATCCTTCCATTGGAGTTTGTTTAAGTCTTCAATTCCTATTCCATTAACTACGTACATACATATCCCACATCAGTGATATTTACCTCAATCCAACAATGGCCAGTAAAGGAACCTGCAACTTCTTCCAACGCCCATATGAAGGCAAATTAGGAATCATAACAGGCGGTTCACGAGGTAAAGCAAAAACAAAAGCATGATCAGAGAATCCTCGGATCTCATTTTCTCAGGAAATTTCTCCAGCTAACAAACACAAACAACCCAGGAATCGGCGCCGCCGTCGCCAAACGTCTCGCTACAAAAGGCTGTAACCTTCTCCTCGTCTACACATCCGCATCCTCGAAACCCCTCACAGACCAAATCACCACGGACCTCATCTCCTCGCACCAAATCCACGTCTCATCCGTCCAAGCGGATCTGTTGAACCCAGCTGAGGCCGCGCCGCGCATCGTCTCTGCCGCAAAGGACCTCTTCCGCTCTTACCATGCTAGCGAAGAGGATAAATTCCAGATCGACATCCTGATCAACAATGCAGGCGTGGCATCAAACCAGCTCCTGAACGATAAGGAACATGGACCCGTTCAGCCGGAGGAGTTCAACCGCGTGTATGCGGTGAATGTGCTGGCGCCATTGCTTCTCACGCAGGCTGTTGAGCCGTATCTTCCCCACGACCGATCTGGTCGGATTGTCAATGTTTCCAGCGTCTCGTCCTCGATCGGATATGAAGGCCAGTCCGTGTATGCGGGGACGAAGGCTGCGCTGGAGGCCATGACGCGCTGCTGGAGCAGGGAGCTCGCGACCCGCGCGACTGTTAATGCGGTCAATCCGGGCCCGGCCTGGGGAGATATGTACGCGGGTGTTGGGCCGAAGTTCTGGAAGATCAATCAGCCGTACGTGGATGCGGCGCCGTTGGCGCAGTATAATGGTGAGGAGTGGGTGAAGGAGATGGCTGGGGAGGATGCGGAGAGATTTGATCGGTTGGTGAGGGAGGAGATGGGGGGTAGACGACCGGGGTTTACGACTGAGATCGCGGGGACGATTGATATGCTTTGTACGGAGGAGAGTGGGTGGACGACGGGTAGTGTGGTTTGTGCGAATGGTGGAATGAAGATGTCGATTGCGTAGTCGAAATTTTATTAATCTTTACTCTGATGGTGCGTACATTTGTGCGGATATGTCATTATACAGGCACGCGGTTGACATAGAGTAACTCTCATCATTGGATTTCCCAAGGAGGGCGATTATACAAACAATATATACATATACAACAATACAGCTCTGGGAATGTGTACGAACGATATATTATGACATCTATAATACAATCGAATAGGTACCTATCTTTTACAATAATCTTACATGACAGCAACAACTCCCGCTCCAACAACAGCGAGTCCCACCATAACCTTAGCATTGGCGCTCATCAGAGGCACAGCAGCGCCAGTACTGGTCGTCGAGTCAGCTGTGCCGGATGCCTTCGTTGACGTAGCGGAAGATCCACCCGAAGTTCTCGAAGCACTTGCTTGAGGACTCGAAGCCTGGCTAGCCACTGTAGGCGCCACTGATGCCGCAGTGCTGGCGGATGCCGCTCCAGTAGCAGATGCAGATGCAGAAACCGGGGTGGTAGAACCCGCTGTAACAGTGACAGGAAGGAGGTGGATATCAGACGCAGCCAAAGTCTCAGTGCTGACGCCCGGAAAGTTGGCGCCCGTTCCACTCATAGAACTTGTGCAGATAGCAGAGGTAGTTCCGCCCATGGAGCAGAAAACACCTCCATAGCTGGTGACAGTCGACAGTGTCAGTAACCTGCACACCCGCATATCCGCAAGGACACATCTGCACTAAGCAAAAAGAGGTCCAACTTACAAGTCCTCCTCTGGCTCCTTTAACATCCACGCCGCTGTCTTCGGGCCCGAAATGAGCGTCATTCCCGGTCCCATGCCGCAATCCGAACCGTCTGTCCCAACAGGACAAGTGAGATAATACGTCGTGGCAGCGGCATCCTATATATCAGAGAACAAAAATCATATCAGGTAATCATATAACAAAACATCGAATGCGCATTTCAATCTCAATGGGTGCTAACATTGCCGATAATAGAAGCCACCAAGGGCTGAGGATCCGTGTCGGGAATAAAGACTGATATGACGGACGACTGCGCAGATGCCAAGCCAAGCATGGCTAGGCTGGTAACGAACGTTTTGGCAGCCATGATTAGCTGAACTGAGAATGATCGACTTGGTGAACGAACGACGTAGTTGGATGAGGAGTAAACAAAGTCGACGGAGAGTCGCAGAACGCCGATTTAGATATATTCACTTTTTGGAGGCAACCATCGGGGAAGAAACGACACAATGTCCGAGCAGGAAAAGGGAGAATGCTAAAAAAAGGCAAAAAAAGTACAAAACGGGGCAGTCCGTCGGTCTGGGCCGGCTGGGCGCGACTTGTGGCGTGGCGATTTTATCCAGTAGTCAGGAGCATAGAACAATCAAAAACTGATTCTTCTGCGGTAACCGAGAACATCAAAATAATCTTCAGCCCAGTGGCTTTTCCCAAGATCTTTACCAGCGCTACCTAGCGACTGAACTTCAAAATTAACGTCGACTTCAGATAAATCGGGATTATCTTGGGAGGGAGTCTGGGAGATGTTGTAAGCACAAGCAAAAACTTGTAGAGCATGTAGCTGCCGAGACATGCAACACAAAGTGTACAACCAATCGCACATAAACCGAAATGAAGAATCCGGTGTGGATATCAACGTTGTCACTGTGATCGCAGAATGACCCCCATCCACCTGTCAGAGAGAAAGAAAGAAAAGAAAAGAAACAGAATTAAAAAACAATATTCAATAAATCTTCAGAATCCCTTATGTTCATTGTAGCCACAATCAGGGCTTGGGTATCTAGCATAATATAAACAGAGAAATATGTCGTCACGGAAATCTAAAAAGCATAATCATATCAACAGAGAAACGAAGCGTGTTATTGAGGCAGGAGTTGATAATCAAATCGCGAGAGACAGCGTTGGAAACAGCCGATCATCTTTGATAGAGGCGGCCGATTCCGGGCTTTCCAGAGCATAATCAGGATTGCTGCGAAAAGACAAACTGACAACAAGGACTGCTGCAGAGAAGGGATATCCTGGGTGATAGGCTCGAGCAATGTTCCGGAAGCCTAAGCCACTGGAGTCAGCATGAGGCACACGAGAGACTACAGCAGGAAAATAGCTGCATGGGAGCAGAGAAGAGCTGTTGTAGTTGTACAGTACACTACTTACCATTTGTCCCGTTCTAGCATCAATCACCCTCGAATAACCCAATATCACGCCGTCAATATCCACAGCAGCAAATCGAAGATAACACTCGTCCAGATCCTCCGGCAGCTCTATGCTCGTCTCGAAGCTTTCCTTAGTCGTATAACCGATCGAATCATACTCTTCCTCCGTAGCGTGAGGGTAAGGTGCCGTCTGTGTAATCCAACCCGCGACTTCAGTCGCACCGTTCCAGCTCACGTAGGCTGTTCCAATATCCACATCCATTTCCACATCGGGTGGGTAATTTGGCATCCCTACCCACGGGCTCTTGAAGGCACGATACGATTTCACCCACCCGAGATTGAAGAACATTGAGGGTCCAAAATGGACGTCGCATAAGATCTGCCCGTCGGGTGTGAATTCGGTATATGCGGACGTGTGACCCCAGCCGACAAAGACGTGACCGCTCTCTGGCATGATCTGGACTGAACCCTGTGAGCCGCTGATAAATCCCTGAGGGCTTCTGTATTCATGTACAAGCGTCGCCGTCATATGGTCTAGATCAAGGGAGACAATCATTCCGCGACTATACTCTGCTGTTATTATCGATCTATCATCAGCGCCATTGTCGAATATTGTCAACGTGTTGTTGGGATACCAGTTGACATGATGCTGCCAGCTGAAGTTCGACGCAGCGCCTCCTGACAGATCCTTGAAGCTGCTTCTCTTTCCACCGAGCACCCAGAGAACGTCCCCAGACGGACTGATACAGGTCACTGTATGCATGTATCGAGAAGAGATGTAGTAGTTGCCATCCGGATCTTTGTCCACGCTGTTGATGTGGAAATAGTCGAACGCTTTGTCTTTCCTAGAGCCCTTGTCGCCTATGGGAGCATACGTCTCTTCGACGGGGTAGAAGCTGGAAGCTCGCCATTCGAAAATGACATCTCCAGTTTCAATGTCGATCTCCATGAATAGACCATCGTAGATCCAACCATTGCGAGACTTCCCTAGCGGGGAAAGGTCTGCGGGGATGATTTCGTAAACCGTTACCAGAGCGGTGCCATTATCCGTAAGCTTGAATTCGTGCAGATCTCCATCTAGTGCACCAGGTACTTCTACCGTGTATGCTACCTCGTACGACGAATCCAGCTACCATCCGTCAGTATAGATCAAGAGGGCTATGGCTCTCCGCTTTAGATAAGAGTCAAACTGACCATATAGTAAATGCCTCGACCATGGGTCCCATCGTCGGTTCCACACCAGAATGTCAGATAATTTTCTCCCTTATACTGCTGCACCTTCATATCCATCACCTCCCCGAAGCGTCCCTCCGTCCAGACGAGCTCACCCGTATAATCCAGTATTAGCGGGCCCGGGGCCGGGACAGCATGTCCGCGAGGCGTGAGGAGAATATAGTCATGGTCGCAGCGCTCATCCCATTGCAGAACGTTCAATCGAGGCGCCTCTAGGTCGAACGACTCATAGCTATTCGCTGGATATGACCCAAGGACGCCGGCATCATACCAGAAGTTGTACCATGATTCACAGCTGGAGATCAATGGTAGGGCAAGCAGCACTACCAACAACAACATCGCGCCAGCAGCGCGGCATCGGATACGCAGAAACTCTCACAGAGAGAATGCTGCTCCCCCAGCGCTATTAAAAGGAGAAATTTCTCAGAAGCGCGCCGGCGCGATGGGAACAGAATCGAACGGCACCTGCATCTACAGGAACTAAGGCATCGCACCGCCACATCGGCACGTCTTCCGCTCTTATAGACGGTTCCTCTTGAGGAGAGCACAGATATGAACGAGGCCCCATTATTAAGTACCACCGCTTACTCGGCAATCTCTCCAGACCTGTTGAAGAAGGGAGTCGACGTCAAGCACGAGGATAGTGGACTGTGGGCGAGCTGCCAAGACAGACGGCGCAGAGGAATTCCGCTCCAGACGAACGTAAACTAGACCTGTCCAGGGAGAGGTGTCGTGTGCACTCGATAACTCAATTGTTGAGAAGCCAGTTTTGCCATGTGGAATGTCTCATGGTTGGCCCGTTATGCTTCGGTCGCCCCATCACCAATCTGATCTAGAAGACGGTTAATATTTAGTTTTGTGGAGCAAGTATCAGGAGCGGTTATCTGGAGGCCGCTAGAGTATCTGGAAACCTGACGGACTGGTTCGACTCCCTTTCCTATAGATAGTGGACATCTTGCTGGGGTGCGTCTTGGCAGATGTAGCATGTCTGGGAACTGCCAACCAGGAGGTTCACGATGCTGGTCCATTCTTCGCTTATCAAGAGGAGATCTGAACGCTGAATCCTCAGTGCCTGGAAACGAGATCCGCCATCCGCCTGGAGAGCAAATCGAAACCGTAAGTGTGACGACGGCTTGCTCTTCCCCAAAAGGCGGGCTGTGCCAAGATGGCAGAAGTAAAGATGGATGAACGAGGCAAGTCAGTACGAGATAGTATCGATATCAAAACGCCACAATAGAGAATTCGCGAATCGACCAAGTCAAGTCAAAAAGAACAGCACAGATAATACAACATGTCCTTAAAGCGCGTCTTCCCTCCAACAGTATCCAGCTGCTGACAACTAGCAGGTCTCCGATCTGACAATCGACGTTTCACGAAGTTCGCTATCGAGGCAAGGGGATAGAACATGGCTGGATGGCCATATCTGGCGTAGAGAAGAAGTGACTAACTATGCGTACTCCATAACTAACTAAAAGTCCCCGTAATTATTAGTAACTGTCTTTTCAACCAATTTGACTCAAATTATTATTAAACAGGTTAAGATTCTAAGCAGGACAAAATGGCCAAAACCAAACTATGGTATATGTTGAATGTTCGGACCTCCGAGTCGGACTCCGTCACACCCGGTACTTACCTAGTTAAGTATCGCAGTACTTAGGAAAATTGCATCTTGGATATCCCACCCGCATTCCTCGCAGAAATCCGATTCGTTACACGATCCCAGTGATTCCAACATGATCGAATTTTCACGAGATGATCTACGAAAGTACGTAGAACAATCTTTACCATAGCCATTATATTCACTGATAAGAACAAGATAACATTGCACCGACGGAGCTTCCGACAAGGCCACGAATGAGACGCGTGGCGTCTGAAGGCTGAGCCGGTAATTAACTTGAATAGTTCGCTTCTCGATTCACTGCCGAGATGACGTGGATAGGAAACTAGCTAGCTGTCTCTACGGGAGAGATAGTAGTAGACTGTAGTTAACGCCAGTCAGAACCGAGTAAGTGAGGTCGATTGCGTCCCTGGATCGTAGTTGGGTGTATTTAAGTGATGTGATAAGACCTGAAAGTCCCTGCAGGAGAAAAGAGTATTACGCCAACATTGCTAGGACAAACATCTGTTTATAATATATTCCCTTCAAGATGTTATTTCTGGATCTGTGTGAATTCGGGAATGTTAATTGACCGCTTTACGTCTCTCTCAATATTCCCAAAGGTTCTGCCAAATGTTGAGGTGATTTCAACTATTCGCATACAACATCTATATCCGTTCATGAATCAAACAACCAATAATATGCAAATACGCACTCAGGATGCTAATGAATCAGTAGTTCTGAGCAAAAGTAATAATACAATGTCCAACCCATCTGATTAATTATTCCTACCAGTCCTTCTCTTCTTCTTCTCATCGTTCTTCTCATACTTTTCTTTTCTCTTCCGTTTCTTCGCCTCCGGTTTTCTCTCTTCATTGTCTTCTTCTTTCCCTTTAGGACGAGCCTTGGGCGGGGTAGTAGTAGTGGTAGTAGTGGTCGTCTTAGTCGTAGTGCTCTTCCTCCTCCTCTTAGGCTCCCCAAAATACCCGGACAGATCAATATTCGCCAGCACAAACGCAACCTTCTCAACATCCACGACGGAAAAGATCCGTCTCTCATCTTCATCAGCACCATCCGGCTTCGCGGTCTTATTTAACCGTTCTCGGATCTCAAAGACCGCGTTCCATACGTTTCGGTATTCCGTCAGATTATATTTGATATTCAGCTCGCCATTGCTCTTTTTAGGCGGCTTCTTCTGCTCCCTGTCGTCTGCGTCATCATTATCGCTGTCATTCTCATCATCCCCGGTTCCTTTTCCTTCCTTTTCTTCCGCGGATGGGTAACAATCCAAACAAAGCCATTGGTAGATCTCATCACTGAAGAAAGGGACTTGGGTTTTAGTGTCTGATAGATATGTGCCTGCGCACAGGATGAGAGAAGCAGTAGCAGGACCAACGCCGCGCAGGGGTTCCGTAAGAGCGTCAAGACTGGCCTTGGGGAAGGCCGCGTCGGGATCATTGGCTGCAGACTCAGCGGTTGGGAGAGCCGCATATGCAGCGGCCGTACTCTTTCGAATGAGAGATGCTTGGTTTGATTTCACAAGGCCTTGAAGCGTGGGACGGAAGACGCCGTGTTTTCTGTATCCCGATTCATTAGAATGGTCATTAAATTTCCACACCCAGACGAAAAGAAAGAAAGAAAAAATCATAGAACATCGAAACAAAGGCCGGAAAAAAAACTCACAACTTCCAATCCATCAACTGAACCAACTCCTCTTTCTCTATGAACAGCCCATCCTTCCCATTCTCTTCCCTTCCCCTCACTTTACCAGGTAAAACTTCATACCGCCACTTATCCAACTTCAAGAACGCATCCAAATCTTTCTCAACTTGCTTCTCCGGCACCACCACCTCAGGCACCAAATCCTCTCCTCCTTTTTTTGCTTTCTTTTTACCGCCCTGATACTTGGTGTGTAATTTATCTCGATACACCTCTCGGATAGTGACCGGGTAGCATTTCAGAAGACGGCTGAATGTAGATCGGGTGATATCCTCGGGCTTGAAGGAGGGGATTATGTCGAAGGAAATGAATTCTTCTTCTTGTGTAGACATGATGAGGTGGGAAGGGCGAATGGATGGTGGATGGATGGATTATGTGGTGAATGGGTCAGTCGAAGGAAAAGCAAAACAAAACAAAGTAAAAAGCACAAGGAGAGATAAATTGTCAGATCAGGCAAAAGCAAAATTGAAGCAAAATGATTTTCTCGAACGAGAATCGTTCCGAAATGGGGTAATATCAAGCACGAAAAAAAGTTGAAAAGGACAAAAGGGACTTAAATGCGGTTGGATAATTTCTTTTATCCCCCTTCTGTGCATCAACCTCCAAGACCAAGATTAAACTTGGAGAAAGCGGTTAATAAGAACGGCCAAGATAGACGGGTCTTATATGCAGGTCGAAGCACAATTGAATGGTCGTCTGGGCGATCTCTAAATACCCGCGAGACGCGGAAATGTCAAAAGTCAGACGTGAAGCCGGAACTGGCCAATCAGACGCATCTCAGAGACAGAGCGTCCTGCCGCACGAGAACATCATATCTCGATAACTGCCCGGTTGATTCCAGGGCATTGTGAAATGCTTACGAGATTCTTATTCTCTTTCGATTACAATCTTACAGTTCAGAGTTAAACAGTCTACAACACAGTTTCCACTGTCCCTCGTATGCAGGTATAGTTCATTAGAGATTGGAGGTACAGTAGTGTATGTTGGAGCACCACCGCAAAGGACAGAAAGACAAGCGTAAAGAGCGTTACATGCATGAAATAATAAGAATACTGGCCCCGAAGTGAACAGTTGCAAATCAGACAAGTTCCGCACTCCCAGACCCAACCTGAACCCCGTATACCGATCCGATCCCAGCCATAAAGATAAGAAGAAAAAACGTGTCTTAGAAACGGTCATGCCCCCAAATCCCACTATACCACTGGGACAAAAGTAATAAAAAGCCATATGTAGAAGGAAAAGAGGAGAGAAAAAAGACAATTACAAGAAAAAGGGGTGCCTGTTGCTTTCAGCATCCAGGCTCAACCACGTCAGCAAAAAAAGAAGTGAAAATCTTAGAGTGATCACCACACCAAGTGCTCACTTGTACGGCTACTATCGACGCTGCTTGCGACCGCCATCGCCTTTCGTCTTCGATGGAGACGTTTCCGGACTGGCAAAGCTGACGCGCTTCTCATCCTTTCCACGACTCACGGGCAAGACAGGAGGAACAGCACCGTGTCGGTCCTTTTTCTTGCCATTCCCTCGTTTGAGAGGCTTTGACAGCGGAGCAGCATGGCGTCTGGCGGGACTAGCTAACCCGGGTTCTGTTTTGGTCTCCGTTGTGGTGGTAGTTGTATCCTCGTCATCCTCGACCTCGATGTGACTGAAGTCTCGGATATCATCGTCACCATCGGAGGAGCTAGGGCTCGGACTCTCAGACTCAGATGCCGCCTCATACTCGTCATCATCGCTAACAAGGCTGGGAGCTTGGTTGGACTCCACCGTATTAGGACTGAGGTTCACAGACGGGTCAGCCATCTCCATTTCACGCGGCTCTTCGTGAGAGATTCCTAATCCAGACGTTGGAGGAAAGGAAGAGGCATATGAGACGACTGGCTTTGCAGGAGTTGAAGCATCGAAATGCTGCGATCCATGACCAGCCTTATCCTGACCCTTGCGACTACTCGGTCGCTGCGACGCTGTTTGTGGCATTGTCGTGCGGGCCGGCAGTCTGCTTGCTCGGACATTGGGTGACGACTGTTGGTCATGACTGGGAGCGGCATCAGTCACGCTGTCACTTGACTCTTCGTCAGAGAACAGCGCGTCAAGATCCAAGCTAGTCTTTGCATCACCAACAATCTGGCTGAGATTGAGGCCGATTCCTCTTCTCTGCATCAAGGAAGAGAGATGAGGTGTGTCTGGCGAGGCAGTGAATGGCAGGCTGACAGCGGCCGGTGTTGACAGCTTATCCTTCTTCGTCTCCACTTGCGGCGACAGGCCCTGGCTTTGTCGCCTTGGAGTCTGGCTCTCAACAGAGGACTTCCGCTGCGTATTAACCTTGGACATCGATTCCATCACATGGGCAGAGCGGATCAACGGATGGACATAGCCAGGAGTACCACCGCTGGTCGACTCAGTGGTGTTTCCTCCAACCACCGTCCCTGCCTCATCCACCTCCACAGGCTCTCCAGATGCCATAGCAGCAGCATCATGACTGGCGAAGTTGCGGTTGTGAGCGATACGACAGTGATTGATGAAGCCCTGAGTGCTAGAGAAATTATCCCTGCGACAGTCGAGGCAGACCAATTTCACAAACTGGCCGTCTGACTTCCGCTTGATGATCATGGGCCCGGCTTTCTCCTTGGGTTGTGGGTAGCCACTAGCGAGCGCTTGCAACTTCACGGTTCCACTGCCTCTCTGCGACCGCGACTTGCCGGCCACATAACCGCTCTCTGTCAAGCTGCCTCGAGTCGCTCGTCCGTCCAGAGAGGAAAGACCTGCTGTGGCCGGCGGCGTTTCCACCTCACCGCCATCAAAGCGAGGATCCGGTATCAGCCATTTAGCATAATGTCGCGAATACGGGCCGTCTGTTACTCCCCATGGCGCGGGAGAGAGCGGTGCAGGTCCATTTCCAGGTTGCAGAACCGCCACTCCCGTACCATTGCTGACTGACTGTGACACTCCCGAGATACTCGATCCTGGATAAGGAATCTCAGCGCAGCGTCGCAGCTGCTCCAGCGCGACCTGACACTTTGCGATCTCTTGATCAATCAACCGTAGCTCGTTGTGTTTGAGGAGCACCTCCAGGCTCAGCTGCGCATCGATCGTCTCCCGCAGTTTATCGATATCCACTTTGGGCCGCGCTGCGGGCTTCTGATTCGAGTTATTGGTCGTGTCAGCTGCCGGTGTGACATTGCCGTTATGGAGCTGCTGTGGCGTTGGGGGTTGAGAAGGGGCTGCTCCAGCAGTACTGTCCGTCGGGACTTCCGGTTGCGCCCCGACAGTCGTCGATGGGAGACCGGTCGTATTTGTCGTTGATGCCTGGTCTGAGTCGTTCAGACGCGGCTTTGTCGTCGCACGCTCACCCACCGAGGATTCCGATGCGCTCGAATCGACGCGCTTGCGCTTCAGCTTGTGCAGAGACGGATTGTCCATTCTGGGGGAACGACACTGTTGCGGTGCTGCCAACATCTTCAAATCCTCCCCCATCACCTTGTTTCCCCCAATTCCAGAAGACCATGGAAGCAGTCGAAACATGCCATGCGAGACGTGGTGGATCGGCACCGAGATCGAAGCGACGGCGGAGAGGAGGCCCGAAAGCTGCGTGGACGCCACCTTCTTTTTTCTATCTGTTGCAGAGGGAGGGGGTTGTGAGCATGAGGTCGCAGACGGCTATCGCGTCCGCTGACGGAGAGAGGAGGGATGAGACTCGTTTCGATTTCCACGGATCGCCAGCGACCGCACGTCCCCGTACGAGCAGTGCGGAGAAGCCACGCCCGTCAATCACGAGAATCTGGCCTCGAGACAAAGGCCAGCTGCCCCAGGAACAGGGCGATTCAAGGGTGTAAACGAGAAGGACCGGTCGCGCAAACGGCCGGGGAAAGGACCGATATAGAAGGCGAAACAGGGGGGCGGATGCGACCGCGGTTCAGCAGGGCGCTTGGACGCGGCAATATCGACCACGCCAACCGGTCCACGGCTGTTCGTCGAGATTTGTTTGTACCAGAAGAGTCTCTCCGGGAGCTACAGGAGAGGAACAAGTTGGACGTCCTGCCAGGGACCGTCTATGAAGAGCAGGAGAGGTGTGGTTTGAGACAGGTTGAGTGCCACTGCGATATGGGGTCGAGGTGGTCTAACTAGCACGGAGGTTAGTCAATCCGGTCGGGGCGAGCCGGGGCGCGGTCTGGAACACGTAGTACTAACTAGTAGTAATAATACGTAGATAGTGGTCAAAGTGTAGAGCAGATAGTTAGCTAGTCGTTAGTTAGTCTAACTACTAGATATAGTATAGATAGTTCCAGCAGCAGGCAGAAAGAAAGCAAGAAAGAAAGAAAGAAGGAAAAGGAAAAAGGGAAGAAGCAGAAGAGAAGAAGGCAAAAAGGCACTAGTTGCAGACGTAAAACAGGCAGAAAGAATCAAAGATTGGGTTAGGTTAGGTGCTGAGAAACCAAAACCCCCGAGGATCTCTGGCGGTTGGTCCCGTAACAAATGCAAGACAAGACTGGGGGTCAGCCAAGCAGGAAAAGAAAGGGTGAAAGGGGGGTGTGGAGGAGAGAGACAGAGAGAGAGAGTATTACCGTACTCTGCTCTAGTTAGAGCACGGAGGAGAAACAGGAATGCGGCGGAGCATCCAGAACAAAGCGTTTTAGTTAGTCTAATGGAATTATCCGTTAGTCGGTCGGCGACGGCGTGCTGAGTGGATACGGCGATGATGCGAAAGGAGGGGACGGCCTGCGATCGCCCGATTTCGTGGCGTTTTGTGTATGTAGTATTGCTCGATTATTATTATTGTGTACGGAGTTGATCGTGTATAATTCAACTTGATTAATTATTATTCTCAATAATAATAATAATATCTAGTTGTTAAACAGAAGATAAAGATAGATAGACATATCTCTAGTAATAGACTATCCAGAATCACAAAACAAAGACAGTGAGTGTCATACAATCCAGTACTGGTAAACTATAACTAACTAAACTACGAGGCCCATCTCCAAGTCTCAAACTCTCTCTCTCTCGTCCTCGTCATCGCCGTCCAACAGTCCAACTAGGGTCTCCCCGGGGCTAACGTAGCGCCAGTTACGGATGGATCATGGAACGGGCGATCCTCGATGTGCAGCTGTCAACGTCCCAGGCCCTGCGCTGGGAGCATCGTCGCTTGCTCGCCAGAGCGGTCTGAGAAACAGCTTAATTCGACTTGCCGCCTTTTCTGGACTCTTTCTGGACTGTGTTGGATTAATATCCGCCGTGGCCCCCCGGTGGATGGGGGATGATGAGCAGCAACTTACGGATAGAGTAACTATGGTATAATGGTATTATTAAGTTACTCCTCCACACGAGAACAACTCGGGAGACATTCCATGCTTTTGCCATATTATTACAAATGGGTTGACTCCCCCCGCTCCCATCGACTTGCTCTTGGCTGGATAACTGCAGATTGTTGGTCCTGTCCAGGAAAAAAAACAAGAAGAAGAAAAAAGAAGAAAGAAAAGAACTAGTTACTATTATTGTTGATATTATTATTATTATTACCAACAAGTAGGCCGTTGCAACAGGAACAGGCTCTGCGCCGAATCAACGTCAACAGCTCACTTGTCGTACAGTCCCCGAGCAGTGGTGGGGATGTGGTGGCGCTCGGAGTAGAATACGAGCAAGAGCAAGAGCAACATTACTCCGTACATGCGTGCCCGATTCACTCCAAGTGGTGCAGAAGAAGTTATTATTAACTAACAGCACTAGATAACTGCCTAATCGATTAATCTGGCACCGTGACTGCTTTCTCATACTGACAGATACGATCTTGAATTCACTGCCACCAGTAGTGCTGCAGTAATCAGAGCTGGGGCATTAACTAGCGGTATCACATTACTCCTAGTCTACACTCAACAGATAGCAGATATGTACGGAGTACTGTACATACAATACTCTACTGTCCCGTTGGATCATCATATCGGCATCGCAGAAGGCTGAATCGAAAGCAGCCCATGGACGACAGACTGTCATCACCGGATTGGCTGCCCTTCCCGATACGAGTTGCCAGTCGATTGGCCTGACTTTGACTTGGCGATAGACCAGAGATAGATAGAATAATAATAACCAGACAGACCGCGACGAGCACAGCTCAGGTAGAAGAGCGACACTGAGGTAAGCAAAAAAAAGAAAGAAAAAAGCGACGGTATCTCTATTAGTATCAGATCTGTGTAGAATAACATATCATAGTCCACGACTGCTCCGATATAACATCACGAGATTGCTTATTTGCAGCAACCATAGTTATGAGGTGCCTTTGACATACTCTGTATCTAGTCTACTCTAAACGACCGATGTCTTAACTACTCGTAGTTACTTGCTCTCTCATAATCGGACGGCCTAGTTATGCATTTATCTGATCCCAGCACAGGCTCCGTGCAGCCTCCTCTAGATAGTGTCGGCTGGCTGTCCTCCAAGTCCGAGCTGGACTAAAAAGGTCGCTAAACGAGACGGGGGAGAAAAAGGTGAGATCCGTCTCCAGCATTGCCGCCCAGTAGTTATCTAGGACTTCCTTATCATGTGGTAGTAGAAGTCCGTACGGTTGCTGCTCGCGTACTGCTCGATGGCCATGAAGCCGATACTTACCTATGCTTCCGGAAGCCTCGGAATGTTGGGCCCTCGCATCCGATAAAGACTTCTTAACTTCCCGGCTTCAAGTCCTTCGGCCGCGAAAAAAAAGAGGACATCTGAAACAGACTAACAGGGCATTGATAGCTTAAAAAGGAATCAAGGGGCAACGGCGCTCTGGCGGTCTGATCTCAAATCTACCATCTTTGGTTAAGGGCGGCGGACGTTCCCCAGACTCACCATGGGAAATACCAGAAAGTCTATCTAAGACATCGGTATCGTGACAAGTGATGAGATTCACTAGTCTGCATAGCTTTTCTCATGGCTGGCATATAATATCGTCTTGATCGAAGCGCTGGGTAAACCAAGAGTCAGCGAGTAGTTAATGGAACAACGTTCTGGCGGAATTATCAATAATCCGAGTCCGGATCTAAGTATCCTTTCTTCCAGCGTTCTCTGTGAGATCTTTATGTCAATGGCAGCATCACTAAGAAATCTTGTAGGGCCCTGATGGCCACTTCACTTCGTCTTGGCCAGCTCCTTCAAGGCCAGACCGGGAGATACACTGTTACCACGCAGCTTCAAGATACAGGAGAAATTAAATATTCTGGCGCATATTATGCAGAGCATAGTTACCATCTAAAAATAAAAAACCTTTCTCTTGGATTACGGAACGGGAAATATCTAAGGAAGATAAGGAGTTTATTCTGAAAATAATGAGGCTTGACCCTAGAAAAAGAAACCCTCTGCGACCAAGCTTCTGCAAGACGAATAGTTCAACAACTGAAATTGCTGTCGAAATTACATCGTGCAAAAAAGAAAAAGTGCTACGGTAGTCTCCACTCGCATTCCTCCATCTTCAAGTAGACAAAACTTCCCTACCCTAGTCTACTCCCAGCGAAGAGAGGCGTATAGCATTTGAGGGCAGAGAAACTCCTCTGCAAATAGCTAGTGTCCCCAGCTCCTTCGGTTTGATGATATCAGGGCGTGATTCCGTTTTTACCCCATGTGTTCTTTTTCTGAGATCTATCTACTACTTCCTTCCGGTAATATTAATGATAGATCTAGAGCCGTAGATATACCATACCTAGTTAATTATTACAATTTAGTTTCCTCCTGGCACTTGCTGAGGACTAAGTAATTTGTGGCGGGGGTTCTCTTCTGATCGGATCCACCGGGAAACTAATTATTAAACCGTTTTGAAGCAGGGGAGAGCCTTGTCCCAATTGAAACGCTGGAATTGCGAGTACTGACTGCTGCAGCCTGCCAAGGGACGCGGGTGTATCGAATTCAGGAGGCGAATATGAATATGGCAGTTTTCTCGATGAGGGCAAAGGGAAAGAAATGGATATATAGAGCCGATGCGGCAAAGACGGGACCGGATGGAGAAAACCACGATGGTCTAGATAGAAAAAGGACTGTCCAGCCAACCTTGGAACGGTAGAATGGACCGGCCAGCACCGACTGTCTGGCCCCTCGATGATTCTCCTGCTCGTCCGGCAAACTTAAGACGGCACCATTGTTAAAAAGACAGCCGCGAGAGCCCCTTGATGTCATCCATCACGGATATCTTGCTGTCACACTGCCATATCTACACCCTGCGCAGAACAGAACACACCTCCGGGCTTCTTCCTCCAGCCGCCCCCCTTCTGGTTATATATCTCATCGCACTCACACATGCGCGCCTTCCGATGCCGACGCGCTCTCCATCATGGCAGAGGCGTCGGGTTCGTCAAAGGTGATGCCCGCTAATCGCGCTCCGGGGGCGCCGGGTGTGATTCGGTCGTCAACAATACCTCTGGCGCCGTCCGATGGCAGCAGAACCGCCAGCCCTGATGTCGAGAGACCCGGATCTATCAGGGCGTCGCAGACATTTCCGATCGGTATGTAGATGATCAGATGGTCAGCCGTTGCGCGAGGAGCTGTTGCGTGCCTGAGATCTTCCGCCCCCCGCGGTCCACAAGAAGAAAGAAACTGCTTGTCGCAAGGCTGCGATTGCTGACCCGATGAATCATTCCAGTGAGTTCTCATGGCACATCCAGCCAGCAAGGGACACGTCGCTCCCATGGAATTCCTTTCGCGAAATCGTCGGTCACGGAGTCCGCTGCGGACGGCCAGAGCGCAATAGATCCGTTGTCCCAGGTGTGTAGTATATAGTTATTACTGTTCTGTCTACATCGCGACTATACTCGCGACCTACAGACGGATCTGTGTGGGTATGAGCAAACAGCTGACCTGCACCGCGCACAGCATATCCTCAGGCGAACGACCACTGAGAAGTTGATCCCCCTCAGAGTGCGCGCGCAGACATCTCACGAAGCGGAAGCTGGCGGAACGGATGCGGCGTCCAACCTAGGCTTGAGCGAACAGGCCTCAACACGCGGAGAGGTGGCAGCCAGCTTAAAATCATCAAAAGATAAGAAGTAAGTGTAGAGAAATTCAGGATTACGGAGAGATACGAGCTATGCGCTCTTCCCGCCTCTTGGACGTGTCGCGCTCGCCAGGGCGCGCTGTTCGAAAATGCCAATCGGTCCTTCCATGCCGTTGCGCATAGCTGACTAGTGCTTGTTATTGTAATGTAGGAAAGGCGTCTCGTTCCTCAGCCGACTTATCCCAAACAAAAAGAAGGACCAGATCTCCGATTCCAATGACAGCCAATCCGAGCTGGACGATGAACGCATGGATACGGAAGTCTTCGCGTATCCGATCGGATTCATTCCTCGATTCCCACCGCCGCCCAAATATATCAAAGTCAGACTGCATAATAAAAAGCAAAAGACTTTCGACCACGTCTTCGTGGCACAGGAACTGAAGGGGTTCGACGAGCCCAACGGTAGGTCAAATCGAGGCGCAACGACCGAGCGGGCGATCTGGACTCTTGAGTTCTCAAAGGACGGAAAATATCTGGCTGCTGCAGGTCAGGATCGGAAGATCAGGGTTTGGGCCGTCATCGCGAATTCTGAGGCCCGGCGTGACCATGAATTGGATGAGGAAAAAGAAGATGAGGGCGAGGGGCCGTCGTTGCGGTTGACTGCGCCAGTATTCAAGTCGACACCCATCCAGGAGTATGAAGGACATACAGGAAGCATTTTGGATCTGTGTTGGAGTAAAGTATGGGATCGCAACGTCTGTATACAAGTTACGGCCATGCTAACCTCTCCTAGAACAACTTCCTGCTGTCTTCGTCAATGGATAAGACTGTCCGCTTGTGGCACGTCAGCAGGTCCGAATGTCTCTGTTGTTTCAAGCATTCAGATTTCGTCACCTCAATCAAATTCCACCCACGCGACGATCGATTCTTCCTTGCTGGGTCCCTTGACTGTAAGCTGCGATTATGGTCCATACCAGATAAGAGCGTTGCTTTCTGGGCAACCGTTCCAGAAATGATCACTGCAGTCGCCTTCACGCCTGATGGCAAGAGTTCGATTGCAGGATGCTTGAACGGTCTGTGTCTGCTATATGATACCGATGGTCTAAAAGCAAACGGACAGATACACGTCCGTTCAGCGCGTGGGCGCAATGCCAAGGGAAGCAAGATTACAGGCATCGATACGATTGTCCAGCCTCCCAACGACTCGAATGGAGAGGTAAAGCTTCTTATTACGAGCAATGACTCCCGAATTCGACTCTACAACTTCAAGGATCGGACTCTGGAGGCAAAATTCCGCGGAAACGAGAACAACTCCAGCCAAATCCGTGCCTCCTTTAGCGACGACGGAAAATACGTGATATGTGGCAGCGAGGACCGCAGGACCTACATCTGGCCTACGGGTTGGAACGACAAGGAGACTGATAAACGTGCTGTAGAAGTGTTTGAGACTCAATCTTCCATAGTAACGGCGGTGGTCATGGCTCCTACAAAAACAAAACAGCTCCTCGGTCTCTCCGGCGACCCTATCTACGATCTATGCAATCCACCTCCCATCACACTGGGACCTCAACCAGACTCGCGGATATCATCCAGATCAAAAACAGACAGCGGAGCACTCCGAGATGACTTTGCTCCAGGATCTGGAAAGACAGAATCCTTGCATACGACCAAGGCTCTGGAGTCTCCTACCTATCTTTCTCGGTCGGCGCATCCAGACGGGAATATCATCGTTGCAGCCGACTATTCGGGGAGGATCAAGGTATTCCGACAAGACTGTGCGTATCAGAAACGGCGCAGTGAATCGTGGGAGACGAACTCGACATTTTCCCGGAAGATACTGGGTCGCACGAATTCGGCTCGCCACAGCATTGCTTCCTCCATCGGAAAGGAATCCAAGACACCTTCTGAACGGATCATCTCCTGGCGTGATTCCGTCATCGGTACTGAGATCTCTAGTATCGACAATCCGCGTAACGCTGGTGGTTTGCGGACCCGAAGCTCGTCTCCTCGGAAAGCCATGGCGCATTTGTCGCGCTACTCGAGCCCTATCGCTGCCCCTACTGCAGTGGTTCCTGAGTCCCCATCTGCATCAGCGCATTCGCCGCCACCTTCTGCACCAAAATCTTCAATGGACAGTCCGTCGTCGTCCACGATGGATGCAGCACGAAGTTTCCATACCGCGGAGACCGACCCTTCCTCGCCGCAGCATCCGGAGCGACCCCCAGAGGGTCCTTCTGTCTTGATGGATGGTACTCAGAGTCACGCGTATTGGAATAAGACCGCTCAAGCGGCGCAGGCAGCGAGCGCACGGAGGACAGCAAATACGTTGGATCCGCACTTCCTTTCCCCAGCGGCGAGACAGTACAGCGTGGCAAGCGCATTGAGCAGCGATTGCAGCTCATTGACCGGGGAACAGGAGGAGGGCGAGATCCTCCGATGTACCGATTGCAAGGGAACCAACTTCCGGGCCACGAGAACAAGAGAAGGGAAACCCAGATTAATCTGCGTCAAGTGCAACAAGCCTGCTACTTGAGAGTAATGTCCTTTCTTCCTTTCTTTTCCTTCCTCCTTTCATCGTACATATTTCTTTTCCTCCCTTATTATTCCTTTTATTTGCATTATGTATTACGGCATATAACGACGGAATAATACACCGCATCCTTGGAGCGCCTCTTTTGGAGCGTTTTCTCGTCATGGCGCAACGTGTACACTATGTCGATGGACACGAGATATGATTTACGGGTCTATATATATAGACTTTTGACGATGTTGGACATGTGTGATTATCATTTATGAAAAATATACCTGGATATCTGAAGAGAGCTGGCCAGTGTTGCCATTTACAGCTTCTCACAAGTAATCTTGTTCTTTCTTCCCATACCTAATCCCGTTCAATGTTGGAGGTAATTTGCGTAGTTTAGATTGAGTCTGAAAAATAGAAGAAAATAAATTTGAATTAAAATGAAGAAACAAGTACATATATAGACGACAGAATAGTTCATTAGTACATAGTATATCAATATAGACGTGTTCTAGTGCAAGAGTGGAGTTGCACTCTAGCTCAGTTTTCCTAGTTAGGATCAACCCCGACTTTCCACCCGGCAAAGGCCAGAGCTCACCTTCTCCACGTATCTTCACCACCTCACCGTCAAGCGCCCACTAGACCGCCGACAAGCGCATTGTCCGCATAAATATCATTTCTATTACTCGGCGCTTGATTTCTCAATTGAGAGAGAAAAAAAATTCTGTTCTGTTCTACTCCGCGAGTGACACGATCAGGACGCAAAACGCCGCACCGGAAACCTCCCATCCCGCACATCGCAGAGCAAGAAACGGACCAGACCATCGCTTGAGTAAGAAGAGGAAGAAATAAAAGAAGAAGAAGATGCCATACCTTCCTTCCTCCCAGGCTTTCCTGGAACAATCGTCTCTACTACTCGAGGCGTATCCGGAATCTGTATGTCATTCCCCCCTCTCCCCCCTCGTCGCAATATCTCCCTCTCCCCTCCAAAAAGAAATATATAATTAACAAACCACCATTAAAAAAAAAAATCCAGACCAAAATCACAACCCGCTACAGTTATCCTTCACGATCACCAAAATCACATCCGAGATCGAAACCCAAAATCACCGACCCGGCTGCTACTACTACGGCTGATTCGAATGCAACCACCACCACGACACCCGTCGCGACACTTACTCTGAAAACGTGGCATCCACCCACGGGAATCTGTCTGAAGTATAAAACGAACAAGGCGGCGGAAGTGGGACGGTTGATTACGGGGTTGGGAAAACTTGCTGCGGGTGCGAAGGTGAAGGATTTGGGGACGAGTGCTACTGCTCCTGTAGGAGCAGGAGAGGATGTGGAGATGGCGGATGCTCCGACGGCGGCTGCGGCGGTGGTGGTAGATGATTCTGCGGCTGCGGCTACGGCTACGGTGGTGAAGACGGATTCTGCTGGAGCGAAAGGTGGGAAATCGAAGAAGAAGGGTGGAAAGGGAAAGCGATGAGATGTCAGTGTAGTGTGTTGGGGTTTGTGTGCTGTACGGATGAAGCGTACGTGACGGTTCTGGCATCATCAACGAACGGGAAATGGGATAAGGAAGGGAAAACTGCCCATGGTCTTTTGCCTCGGGTTGCTTTACTTCTTCTTCGCGTCGTGTTTTCGATCGTTTATGCCCGGTGACTATGTGGTCCTCACTGTCGATTATGTTGCAAACCAAACGGCCTCGATCACCCACGATGGTAAAATTACCCTCAAAAACGCTCCAGCACCGGAATCGCAATCTGACGCTCTGCACATCCAGACAGGTCGGGATTCGAGAAGGCTAGGATCACGAAGACACACATCTACTTCGCCAACACAGGAACGATTCCCGTCCTGCTTTACGAATCCAATCATCCTTATCAAAAAGAAGATCAGGCTAGATTCTTTGCGACTACGATCCTTGCATATTTTTTTTTTAGAGATGATACCATGCTAGAAATTCAAGTCTTTCTGTGTACTCCCTCAAACAGTATCAATTGATCGAAATGATCACAACACAATCATCCCACCGTCCAGCACGTGGAAAATAAGTCGTATGCATTCCCACTAGTCCTCAGACCTAGGCCGTATTATCCAGCAAACTCCAAAGCTCAACGCTCAAGAGAGTTCCACCAGTCATTCTGCTCCCGTCTTACCTTGTCTGCTGACAAGGCGGATATCAAGTATACTATTAATCTCGTCATACAGACAAGTAACTTCTGCATACGTGTTGGTCTGAGTGTGGGGCAAAGGGAAGATGGGATTCCTCTTAACGAGAAGCGGATTCGACTTGTCGGGTTAGACAGTTCAAGCTCATGCGTCACTATGCAGAGGCGCAAATGTCTACGGCCACGGACAACATGTACTTGACAAGACTACTACAGTTAAAGCTGCACTGATGTAGATGAACAACTCGATCATTATCCAAGTAACGTACATAGCGCATATGATTCAACCATAAATACATCAACCCATCCGACCACTTCCCTGCTGCCCTCTGTGTAGCCCAGAGAACCAGCCGTAGAAGAATGCAACCGGAGAATACCATAAAACCATCCCAATATAAACGCCATATACCGTGCTAACCATCAAAGCGTTTCCATCGACATAATAAAAGAAAAAGTGCATGGCCGGAGTGGTGGTATAGGAATAAGCCGAGAACATACAAGAACGGAAGCAAATTCAAGGGTATAGTTATCGACGAGGCGATAAGTTTAGAAGTCCTCGTCGAAGGTGAAGGCACCACCGTTCTCGATGTTCTTCTCGGCTTCCTGGGGGTCCTTCTTGGTGCTGGCCATGACACCGGCCTTCTGGTAGTCACCGACGCGCTTCTCGAAGAAGTTGGTCTTGCCAGCGAGCGAGATGTTGTCCATGAAGTCGAAGGGGTTGGTGGCGTTGTAGTACTTCTTGTTGCCAAGAGAGACCAGCAGGCGGTCGGCAACGAACTCGATGTACTGGCACATGAGCTTGGAGTTCATACCAAGGAGGGCAACGGGGAGGGCGTCCGTCAGGAACTCCTGCTCAATGTCGACGGCATCAACGATGATCTTCTCGACAACCTCAGGTGAGGGGCGGTTGTTCAGGTGGGAGAACAGCAGACAAGCGAAGTCGGTGTGCAGACCCTCATCACGAGAGATCAGCTCGTTAGAGAAGGTCAGACCAGGCATGAGGCCACGCTTCTTCAGCCAGAAGATAGAGGCGAAAGAGCCAGAGAAGAAGATACCCTCAACAGCAGCGAAGGCAACCAAGCGCTGGGCGAAAGTGGACTCCTTGTCCTGGATCCAGCGAATGGCCCAGTCGGCCTTCTTGCGGATGCAGGGAACTATCAAAACTGATTAGCATTCTTGTGATCCCACAAATCCTAAAACAGTTATCACGTACTAGTGTCAATAGCGTCGAAGAGGTAGGTGCGCTGCTTGGGCTCCTTGATGTAGGTGTCGATGAGAAGGGAGTATGTCTCGGAGTGGATGTTCTCCATCATGATCTGGAAACCGTAGAAGCAACGAGCCTCAGGGACCTGGACCTCGCCACTGAAACGCTCGACGAGGTTCTCGTTGACGATGCCGTCAGACGCGGCGAAGAAAGCCAGGACATGGGAGATGAAGTAGCGCTCGTCATTGTTGAGGCGGTTGTTCCAGTCGTGCAGGTCCTTGGACAGATCGATCTCCTCAGCAGTCCAGAAGGAAGCCTCGGCCTTCTTGTACATCTGCCAGATCTGTGTGTCGTGTTATGTTAGTCCATTATGTTCCCTATTCGGGTAGGTAAAAAACCACTATACGCGTAGACGCGTTGTCGACGTGACTCACCTCGTGGTACTTGATGGGGAAGAGAACAAAACGGTGGGGGTTCTCCTGGAGCAGAGGCTCAGAAGCCTCGAAGTCCTTGATGCCAGGAGCAACCTTAGGAGCCTCGTTGGCGGGCTTCTCGACGAGCTCGACCTTGGTGGGAGCAGCCTCGACGGGGGCGCTAGACACGGGAGCGTTCTCCTTGTTGGAGGGCTCGAAATTGAGCTTCTTGACCGGGGAGTCGCTCATCTTGAGGTTCTCCAGAGAGGAAGCAGCCTGTTGAATATTATCTGTCAGTCGATCTGGATGTGCACGACGCGTCTTGTATAGCACTGGCGACGTGCTGTATCCATGACGTACCTGCTTCGAAGGGGTGAGCTGTGCTGCCATTGTATATAACGGTGAAGAGAACAAGAGACACTGAGACAAGGAATTGGACACAGGCAGACAGAGAATAGTCAGAAGATTCCCAGTTGAAGGACTGTTGATGAGAGAATCAGAGACGCGAAAGAGGGAAGAGAGCTGGCAGAAATACCTGCATCGACGCCAAACGTGATCTCTAGCGCGACGGGCTAAGTCACGTCGCACGTGACTTAGCGCGCCTCGTCCCTGGCTGCGGGAGGCTGGACGGCCAAACCTCCGGCGCGTCTCTGCTTCTCCATCTATCTAGTTACTGCTTCCACGAATCCATCGTGCTCCTCGCATATCCACCGTGCATTATTATCCACCCCTTCCGGTCATTATTATTGTTTGGCGTTTTGCCCTTCAGCTTCCCCTTCATAGCTCGGCATCAGACCACACCTCTTCCTGCCCTTTCCGATACTAGGAACCCCCACTAGGAAAGCAAGCTGCCCATTGCCAGGCCCGGCTGGATATGGTTCAAACGTTATCAGATCAAAGCTAGACGCGTACCTGCAAGAGAGAAAAAAACACACGGAGACCCCATCAGGTTCCATTCTTAGCAATGACCAACTGCTTACACAATTCTCCCAACTTCCTGGAGTCCAGAGCTGAAAACTTGTCTCATTCTATCTCCACAACCGCGTATGGTACTCTAGGAACTCTTCCAATTGAATCAACCAAATGCTCTCCGGATTACAAGTCATTGTTTACCGACGTAATCCCAACCAGATCTCCAGTCCTCATAAAGCCGAGCGAAAACTTAACATCCGACTACAAGACGCGCTTTCAGAATCCCGTAATGATCTACGATCAGATAAGAGAACCGCCCAGGATACCCTACTCAGTTAGTCTAGCTCATTTCTCGCACGCGTATCGAGTACATAGAACAACATAGATCCCGCATTCCCGGAAATACGGAATAAAGCTATGATTCCATTGTAGTCAAGGAAACCCCTAGTTTGGAAATGATCGCATTCAGTGGACTGGAAATTTTTATTGAGGTATCCAGTTCTTTGTGTAGTGCTCACGCGTGGCAAGACGCGTCTGACTCTAGGCACCACGTGCAGTTCCCAGCCCTGTGGATGCCATATGGACTTTGTGACAACTGCACAATAGCAAAGATCATATGAACTTCGAGGATATTATACTCTTTGGTTTTCACTTGAACTGAGATTTCCTGCCTCTGGACAATCGTTGTACGTACCAGAAGTTGCACTGTCGCTCTTGATCTCTACTACCGCTTGTTCTCTGGTTTCCATAGCGGGGATTACTACACTAATGTGGCCTGACACGAACTTCAAGAAAGCTTCATGATGCCTCTCATTTCAATTCTGTGAAGAACTCATCTAATGAGTAAAATGTGCTAACAATTGACGCAATGCAGGGAGCGCTGATACCGACGTGTAACATCGCAGATGCTTTATATATTGATATTGATATATATAGAATATATCTTGTACAGAACACAACGCCATCTATCCCTACATAAGACGCCCAGACAATGGCAGCCTCAGCTATATACAGGAACGCAAAGCTCCAGGGGAAATAAAACCGCGAAGACAAAAAAACAAGCAAAACGGCCAATTCCACAATAGGGCAAACACGAACGGATACATGATCGGATAAATGGCACACTTTTCTCGTCAAAGAAGAATCATTCAGATCTTCGCACGGATAGATTCGGGCAGCCAGCGATCTTCAAACCGGCGCATAAGCTTGTTGGTCTGCTCTGCCAGACTGAGGGTCAGGATCTAGAGAGCAAGTTAGTAAAACAGTTTCCTATTCCGCGAACTACGCTGCTGGAACGTACAGTATGAGGCAAGATACGCGCCAGATGCGCGGAGAAGCCCTTGTAAATAGCGAAGACACCTTCGGTCTTAATAGTCTTATACAGGCAGTCAAACACTCCCTTGTAGAGATTACCGCTCTGGTTGTACAGGCGGGACATGATAGTGTCTGTCTCCAAGTTAGCAGATAGCCACAGCAGGTGTCCACATATCGAATGGGCATACCAGGAGGATGCATGACGCAACACACAACAAATCCAGACGCAGTACTGCTGGCAAAGTGCAAGGCAGGGCCGTCCTCCATTCCCAAGTGGCGCATCAAGCGGCGCTTGGCCAGGAAGTAGGTGGGCAGCTGGACGGAGCTACCAAACCCGGTCCGTACCATAGCTGCTCCCACTCCACGGTAAAGTCCCTTGATACCCTCACTCTGGTGGATCTTTCGCAGACCGTCCACTGAATTTTTATAGTTATGCTGGGTCCCGACAGGTAGGAAAGGGGAGTGTGACTGAAGGCGAGTCTTGACGAGGAAGAATGGAGACCCAAGTGCAGCTCCCATCATGCCGGAGACCGCACCAGAAAAGACGTTAATACCCAGGCTCTGGACGTGGGCATCTTTATAAACGGCGGAAGCCAAACCCCCACGAATGGGTTCGTAGAATCCAAGACGGCAGCCGTTCATGAGAATTTGATAGACGTACTACTCCGACAGTCAGTCCTCATGGCTCAATCAATTGTAACACATTTGTAGCCATGCATAGAATCACGTACAGCAGAGCCAATGCCCTGGAACAATCCACGTGGACCCTCATTTTTCAGGATGACTTTGATCGCGTGGAAGACACCCGTGTACTTTTTGACAGCTGCGTCCTTTGCCTGCAGCTCTCCTTGCAATTGTAGGCTTTCAAAGAATTCTTATCAGTTTCCGAAAAATGTATCATAAATGCTGTAGTAGGGCGCAATACCGGATTTTAACGGTCTCGAAACTGTGGGTAACGGTGACGGCTCCGCAGGCTGCAATGCCTCCAGCAATGAAGGCTCTAAGTCGCAGAGTGTCGAATGTTAGTATGCTGTACCAGGAGCCTGTATATGATAGGCATTGGACTTACCCTGTCGTGGTAGACATTTCGTCTGATGTGACTCCGCTTCCGGAGACAGGTAGGGCGTGTTGCCGGACTGGATATCTGTATTCAAAAGAGGAAAAGACAGAGGAAAAGAAAACGAAAATAGTGGAGAATCGCCCAAGAGGCCAGTTGCAAGTCAAACAAAGGGTATCAGTCTTCAGACGAGAAAGTATGAATTTCCTGCTGGTGCTATGGGGGATGTCAGATCGACGACCCAAGCGCTGGCTGAACAATTCGCGAAAGCTATGTTCTTTCACGCTATTGGCGAGTTCTCCGCGGCACTCCCCGGTCCAAGCTTAGCTAACTCCGACTGTCGGGGCGGATCTCCTTCACCGCCCGGCCTCTACAGAAAGGCAGAAAACCGCTCTTTCTCCACGTTTGATTGAACGCGTCCGAACAGCGCGTTGGCCGGAGGTTGAGAAGTGTCAGTGGGATCGTGGGCACAATTGAGCCAGGCCTTCAATTAATCAATGCTGCTGAAGACACAGGTGCCTTAGACTTGGTCTTCAATTGTGTGCTCTTAAGACAGCAATGGCAGAAACTCAGCAGCCGTCTACGCCGCAGCAGCAGGCCCCCGCTCCGCAGCCTACGCAGAAAGTGTCCGACGTAATTCGCAGCTACAGACCGACTAAGGTAGGTTGAGGATTTCGCAGACGTGGGATTCAATGTGCTGATAGGTATATTCAACCCTTATCAGGCATTTCGATCCCCGAAACAAGATGGCCACGTTCACATAACGTCCTTGGACTTTGACGACCAGGGCGACTACTTGGTAGCTGCTGGGGATGATGAAACGATCCAGATTTTTGATATCAAGGAGGGCAAGTCGACAAAGACAGTCCCTAGCAAGAAGTATGGTGTCCATCTAGCAAGATTCACCCACCACTCGCGTCAGGTTCTCCATGCGAGTACGAAGGTCGATGGTGCGTCCAACCCTCAACCCCCAGCTTCGAAGTCAAGGGCTAACAGCATAAAGAATCTTTACGACTTCTTGACCTCCACAATGAGAGTTATGTCCGCTACTTCACGGGGCACTCAGACAAGGTTACATGCTTGGCTCTCTCGCCAGGCAGTGATGCCTTCATCTCATGTTCTAAGGATGATACTGTTACCATGTGGGACCTCAATTCGAGGAACCCGCAGGGCAAATTGAAGCTCGCGACACCGTATCTCGTTGCGTTCGATCCATCTGCCTCCGTCATCGCAATCGCATCTCAGTCAACGTCATCTGTATTGCTCTACGACTTCCGGAATTACGACAAGCCGCCATTTGCTACCTTTGACCTCGCCCCTCTTGAGGAGAGATTCACGCCCTCCACTCGCGGTCGAGCATGGACCAGGTTGGAATTCTCCAACGATGGAAAGAATCTGCTCGTTGGGACGGAATACCATGGGCATTTTGTGCTGGATGCGTTCGAAGGCAGCCTTAGAGCTTTCTTGGTCGGGAAGAATGGATCCTCTGGCAGAGCGGCCCCAGTTTCTAGTTCGGGAAAGCCTCTGGGCCAGGGCGATGCCTGCTTTACACCGGATGGGAGATATGTTATAGGAGGTTCCGGTGACCAGTTCGAAGCTCTTGTGTGGGATACACACCAAGCACCAGAGCCGGGGAACTTCCTGCAGCCGATGGCACGGCTGCCGCAGAGAGGCCGGACGGCCATTGTTGAATGCAATCCCAGATATAACATGTTTGCTACTGCAGACAGGGAAATCGTATTCTGGCTTCCGGAGGACAGCTCGAAGGCCTCATAAGGCGGCGACGGCTTAAGGAAAATCCCATGATGGTGAATGCTGAGCTCATCCTTCCGTCGGCAATGACTTCTGGTGCTCTTTACGCAGGTGGTGAAGCCGATTGTTCGAAATGCAATCCTGCTACAGGTCGACAAATGATGTGCTACTCAAGGACCGTTCTTTACAGAGATGTCATCATTTTCGATTCTTTTCCTTCCCCACCAGACTCCTGGCAGTGTCACAGACCCACACCAGAGGTCCTTCAAGCTCATCATTGCCGTTTCTGTTTTCCTCGACTATGTTCTCTATCTGCTTGACGACCGTTCGGTTACTGGAGATGGTCATTATTCCCGTCGACCATCCGTAGAAGAATACGCTGCGGTTGATATCAGACAGGCTTTCTTCTACCTTGTGAGCCACGCTGGGCAGCCTGCCGTTTTCCCAACCAGCTCTGATATCCGTCTCAGCATCGACGACCCGGATTGGTAATATCAGCTGGGTGGGAACAGGGTGATCTGAGAGCTCTTGAAACTTGCGTATCAGGCTGTTCCTATCCAAGTTTTCGAAGCCAGAACCGCCCATCAATATTTCTGTTCTCCTCTTCTCGGCGTCCGTTCCGATAGTATCGACGATCTCGCGCATCCTCTTGGCGGCTTCTTTTGTACATATCAAGTCATGGCCGTCTACTGCTGGCCATAGCTCTGTGGGAACCAATGGTTGCTCCTTCTCCATCTCGATCTGTCTGAGTATGGCGCGGTGATAAGTCGGTAAAGGGGGAATTTCGCGGAAGTGAGAAAGGTCTGAGACAAAGGCGAGGAGCAAGGTGCAGTCGACATTAAGTGTTTTTGTGAATCGCTTGAATGGATTGGGAAGAAGAGTCCCCAGAGGCAGCTGTTCTGGTGTAACTGTCTCAGGGTCTCTGTCGCTGTCGAGATCATCATTCATCAAGTCAAGAGGCAGACTTGTGCCACATTCGACGGTGGTGCCATATTTGCGCATCTGGCCGAAAATCTTATCAATCTCCGGGATTCTCCCTTCCACGATTTTGGGGATTACGACCCGTGTTCGGGGATGCCTGTAGTTAATCCTAACCGACCTAGCAGCCTTGGTCAAATCAGCCGCCAACTTTATCAACTCAATCTCATCATCGCTGTCTTCCTCTTGATCACTGCCGTAATTTCGTAGAATCGTCCTGTTTCCTCCATCCGTATCTTCATCCTCGTCCTCATCCATTTCCCAGCCCTTCTTCGCCATCTCAAACAACAACCGACTCTCTGAGATGGTCGACACCTTCACCCACTCTTCCCCTTCACCAGCTACAATATCCACAAACACACTCTTCTTCTTATCTTTATCTTTATTGCCCGTGCTTCCTTTATTCTTCCCTTTAGAATCATTTTCTACCCCTGACCGATCCCCACCTCCATGACCTTTCTGCTGCTCATGTCTGCGCGACCCATCATCCCAATAAAACCTCTTCCCAAACGCCACCAACCCAGAACAACTCCTCTTCGCAATCGTCCACACAGCCATATAAAACTGAAGATTAGACGACCGTAGCGCATGAAGAAGCTTCAACTCCCTATGCTTCTCCTCCTCACTCCGATCATCACTAACATCCCCCGCGCGCGTCGCCTCATCAGCAGCAGCGGCTTTCTCTGCCTGCTCGTGCATTTTCTCTAGCCCGCGCAATTCCGCTAGGACACTCGAGCGTAGTTGTCTGATTTCGATGATTTGAGGTCGACGGAATTTCTCGTTTACAGCGGATTGGAACGCGTCGAGTTCAGCGAGGAGGAGTCGGCATTGGTGGAGAAGGCTCCGGGAGAGGGACAGCGCGGAGGAAGATGGTGATGATGAGTCTGGGGCGTCATCTTGTGGATTGTCGGTGTTGGAGGGAGGCATGGTTGCCAGATTTCAATTTCCGAGAAGATAATTGCGCAATGTGAGAATGTGTATTGGATTTCAGAAGTGAGTCGTCGTTGAATCGTAGCTCGCGCGTGACTCAAATGTGTGTATGTAGGTGGGGCGTGACTTTTCAATCAGCCATTGGCTGTGACAATATCTGAAGAAACAGATCTGTATAAAACAAAAGAAAGAAAAAGTGAAACCGAAGTAGTAACTGCTGTTGAACTCGCAAAAAGTGCTTGCGCAGCAAAGTTCAACCACTCCCATGATACGGGTGTATTCTTTTCGCCGCGGGATGCGGAGTGATGTCAGTATCATTACATAAGCACAATCACAATCAACAAGATACGTTAGGATATACTAGTACTAGTATGAGACTCGATAGAGTTAAAACTCCCCTGGAAATCATTTCACTGTACAGTAGAGTGTACGCGGAAGATCAATAACTGTAGCAGCCGGAAATGACAGAAGGGATCGAGAATCAGGAGCGTAATAAGAAATTAAAAGATCCCAGAATACCTCGTTGAACCATCGATAGGAATAAGAGAGACAAAAAGAAAACGCCCCAGTAATGCTTATTGATCCTGAGAAAAGAAATACAAAAGAGGAAGGAAAATCTTCCAGTGAGAGAAAGGGTCTTTTCTTCTCAGGGAGCTGTCCCAGAGGTCAATATAAGATATCAAAGCTTCGGTATCGCAGAGACAACGCATCCCCTCTCCACGGACTCGCTCCGTCCATCTAGTCATGGTCCTTTCCCGTTAGTCGTTCCCTCTCGCCAGAATTGCGGGGAGATTCGTCCTCGTCGGACCACTTGTCAGCATCTTCACCGACAGCAAAGATCGTCTCGCCATCGAGAGATTCTCTCTGTCGTGGAGCGGAAGGAACTGGCTTAGGAGGCACAGGTGAGAGCTCACGCTGCGGCTCAGGCCGTGGCCGACCTTCATTCTCATCAGGGAGTGCAAATTCCTCGTCCAGAGATGTAGCGAGAGAGCGAATCTCGAAACCGTCGTCATCCTGGGCAAGTTCGTCACTCATGGCAAATCTTCTGTTGTTGGCCGTCGGCCGCCAAAGATAAGCGACAAAGCTAATGTCAAATAAATAGACAATGTTGAGCCATCCGTCCAGGACAAACCATCTGGTCTTCCAGTGCTCGGGAACAAAGTTTGCTTCGCTATGGCCTGCAAAAGCGAACGAGTTGACGAAGAAGAAGCCGAAGATAACGATGATGCTAATCAAAATGCACCACCAGAGCTTCTTATACATCAGAGCCTTGACTGTCTGCTTCCTCTCGACCAAATCTTTCATGGTCATGTTCAATGAGTTCAAGGTCCACACGTAGAATGCGGTGAGAGTACCGGCGAGGGGTAAGATAACGAGCAGGATTAGCGGTCCTGCAGTATCCGGGGTAATAGACAGACTTGCAATGGCATAAATGACACCGAAGACGAAGTGACCGATAGCAAGTAGGCGCACATAGATCATGGTACGGCCAAGAGATGGCTTCACAACACCATAACCCATGCAGACGATGAGAAGCAGGAAGAAGGAGAAAGAGTTACGGCCTGCGTTCAGAATAGCCACAATGACCATAAGGACCTTTGCCATAGCGTTCAGACCATGTCGGTTTTGATAATCTGAGAAGAGTTAGCTCGACCGGACATATCTCGCAAAAACAGCACTTACCGTAGAAACCCCAGGTCATCAACTGCTCCACAATCAAGAAGACAATAATAGCCGTGATATAATTCTGGACCGGTACTATGGAGAGTCAGTAACGAATAGAATAAGGTAGATAGAGAATGACGCATACAAATATCATGGCGATTTTGCACGTAGAGGAAAGCCCAAAACCTGCATATGTCAGCCAAATCATTCCGATATTAGAATAAAGAGGGAGAGAGCATACACTCCAATAACAGCGTATACAATGGTTAGTCCTCCATAGAAAGGCAACTTCGCTATTTGCGCCGCTGGAAGCTCGCCATAGGCATTTCTAAACTCGACAACCGCAGTATAATCCTGGCCTGAGTACGCGTACGTGCTAACACAATAAAACCCCGTTGCCTTCACTGGATAGTTAACAGCCACTGGATCCTTCAGGTGTACCGCTTTCGATATGATAGGTGACTTTGCCAGGTCGGTCGCATTGGGTGCAAGAATGAAAGAACCAATCTCTTCCTCAGTACAGAGCTTCGCTTCGACATTTCCTTCGTCACAAATCGTTTCCTGTCCCTCACAGATACTTGTCAGTAACCCAATTGCGATCCAAACGGAGGCGGAATAACAGACCTCAGCATCATTGGGTCCATTCCTTCCAATCAGAGCTTCGTCGTTCCACTCAAAGATGACCAAACTAACTATAGGATCGCTATCATCCTGGACTGTGCTCTTCATGAATTTCGTCAAAATGAATGGCTCGAGGTCGCCTCCCCATGCTTTCCGGCTATACATGCCCGAGCATCGTTGTCGATGAGCATCATCTTGTTTCTAGAATAAAATATTAAACCAAACATGTCTCTCGTGATGGAAAGGGTGGTTTCTGACCAATTCGACTTCGTTAGCAAGTGCGCATGTTGCCAGCAAAGCTGGCAGGCAGAGCGCCTTGAACCAGCCTTTCATGCTGAGTGTCAACGGTGGCCTCTGAGACTCCGAAGGTCCCGGGTTGCAGGGCGCAATAGATATGTGCAAAATATCAGTCTCGATCAGAGAGCATACGAGAATAATAAGAACAGCGGATACGACTATACGTCGTATCTATCCGTCATGGATGTCTGGTGTAATGATGTGAGCTTCAAGCTATTCAGCTCCTAAATATCGCAACAACGTTGGCCGCCCCAGATGGCCGGGGGAGCCGCGCGTTGACCCTCCGCCAGCCTTATTATCTAAGCGGGTCGCCTGTCAGACGCCACCGGCCGTTTTTTACCAAAAAAGTGCCCGCCTTCGCGAGTAAATTTCGATCTTTTAGACGCAGCAGCTGGACCTGCACAGTAAAGATGCCGGGGAAACAATTCAACGATCCTTGCAGCGACTGCCAGGATGCGGAAGCTATAATAGACGTGCGCACCCGCCATCTATGTCGGTACGTGCTTTGAGACATGCGAACGATAGATGCGGGGGTTACCACTAACGCTCCATAGGGACTGTTATATACAATTTACTAACCGCAAGGTCGTGCGGCGAATGGACTATTACCGCCAGATTCGAAATGCGCCCAAGGATAAACGGCGCAAATTGCTTCTTCCTCTTTCATACGGACCCTCCTCCTCGGTCCTGCTGCACATGCTGAACGAGCAGTTAGAACGACAAACGTCTGAATGGCATGGCACAACAGCATACGATCTTCACGTTCTTGTTGTTGACCCGTCAACTATATCATCGTCAAATCCGTCTTGTCAGGAAAGGTTCTTCTCTCTGCAGCAGAAGTATCCCAGACACACCTACACGCAGATCCCGTTTCACGACATCTTTAAGTATGATCAAAATATCAAGGAAACTATGAAGGAGTTTGCTGGGCCAGAATTCGAGGATGATCCATCTAAGCCGGACAAAGATCGGCTAGATGCGTTTCGCGCATCGATTCCTTCAGCTACATCCAGGACGGACATTGACAATGTCTTGTTAAACAGGCTGATAATAGCATTTGCAAAAGAAAGTGGATGTGAAGGTATACTTTGGGGTGATTCAGACAGCCGTCTGGCATCAAAGACCCTGGCCAGTGTTGCCAAGGGACGTGGCTCGTCCTTGATATGGCAGGTCTGTGACGGCATGTCTCCCTCGGGCCTCCAGTTCACTTTCCCTCTGCGAGACCTATACAAGTCTGAGTTGCAGCAATACTCCGGTTTAATTCCGGAGCTTCAAGACATTCTCATACCTGAGGAGTCAATCTCTGCCGACATGTCTGCTAGGAACATGTCGATCGATGAACTGATGATGCAGTATATCCAGACCCAGGGTGAGAAGTACCCTGGTATTATGGCCAACGTAGTTAGGACGGTAACCAAACTCCAACGGCCGTCTATTTCTGGTGCTCAATCTCGGTGCGCTCTTTGCGGTACGGTTGACGTCCGGGGAAGCAGTGCTCAAGCATCCGAGGGACGCGGTGCTCTATTCTGCTACGGATGTGCAAGATCGAAATCAGACATGAGCCCTGTCACTAGATGAATGGGCGAAAAGAAAAATGAAAAGGAGTTCAAAATATTCCATTTCCACTATGGTATCGAGAAGCTTCACAAAGTGAATCCATTAGTATGTACGCGTAACCGAAACCCATTATTAATCATTAAAATTACACCATTCAGTTGCGGCAACTCATCGAGCACGAACGCGATATTAATCCGTATTGCGTACAACTCCCCTTTCGAGGTCGCCTGTCGGCTGTTTGGCACCGCCAAACCAACCCCTGCCACCACGATTTTCCTTTTGGGTTTTGGCAGGTTGTGGTCTGACAGGTTCATCGACGCCGTCGTCAGTTCTGGCCCCTGAAGCGCTCTGTCCCGGATGGTTGGGTTGGTCAGTCAGCAACCCATCCTCGTAACGATCGAACTCTTCGGCGACACTAAGGTCTGTAACGCGTTGTTGTTGCTTGCTACCCTTAGCCATCGCCCGTGCTCCTTTCGCGCGCAGATGTTTCTCAAGCAAGACAGCGTTCCGCGTGTTGCATTTATACAAGGCATCGGCAATATCACCAACGAAGGGCACGAGTCCAACTATGAAGTCAATCATGATGTTGAACATCATATGCATCCGAAGGTTGCCAGGTAGTCCTCCATCGATTTCCTCGCATGTCCTGAGAACCATCAAGGCCAGGGCGACATCAGCGGCATCACCAGCACTGCTCGGTTTCACCAGTCAGTCTCCATGAATGCTAAAGATGTGGACGAAAAGAGAGCCTTACAATGGTATGATAGCAATCACACTGCTCCAGCCAAACTGTATGCCACACAAATTGAAGAGAGAGTAATCTAGCCTGTATGCTCTGCGCTTGACTTTGGTCAAGACTTTGGCATCATTTTCAGAGAGACCCGGCGGTACTGCCTTTCTCCGCTTCTGAGTCTTCCGTCCAAATGCACGATTGAGGCGGGATGCGGGTACTTCCTCGAAATAGGGGTCCTACATTGAAAGGCGCTATTAGCAAGTTATTTATTCACCGTAGCACTGCAGACTCTCACCTCTTGACCGAAATGGTTCTTGGCATGTTCATTGAGGATCCTCTTCCCCACGAGAGCAGCTAGTTGTCCAGACATATTGGTCTTGCGCGCAGCGATGTATGATCAGAAGTGGAAGCGCGTCAGGGGAGGTGATGCCTTGAATAGACTCTTCTGCAGCTCCAAAAGAGAACACAGTCGACTGCTGAAAAGAAGGCACAAGTGGCAGAACAAGTTCAGATAAATGTTCAGACGACAAGGCTACTCCAATGGATTCTTGAAATAGTCTGTGCTGGTCGGTGTTTCAACAAGCGCCGGACCCGCCAGTAAGGATCAGAGGAAAGATGAGGTTATTTTTATCACAAAGAGCAAACAGCTTTTCAGGATCAGAGAAGCAGAAAGGCGCTTTATCTATGGCTTTTTCTCGGAGCGCCCGTTGGCAACATGTCCAGCGATCGGTTCCTGTTTTTGCGATCGCAAGCCAATGATCCCTATCTACCAGGACCATGCAGTCTATGATCAGCGAGTTCGAAACTTGCTCAACGTCATCCCGCGTGCACAGACGAATTGTTTCCTCTGTGGCTGGTGCACGATCGCTGCTCAGCCACAGCCTGTGGCGCAGACAGCAAGCTGCCCGACAAGTCACTGGATTGCCACATGCCGCTGTGCTTTCATTTCACCTGTCCTCTACGGCAAACGCCAGGTATACCTGCTGGTCTTTCCCGAAGCAAAGCGTGGCGGTTTACCGTCTTTCTTTTTTGTTTGTGCTTTGACGATCTATTATTCTTGTTTGGGATCCCCTACAGTGAATTGTTCTCCACTGTCCCACAGCTAGGACTTGTCCTTGACCTTGCGTCCTGCCTTGGACCATTCTAGCTATCTATCAGATCCCCTCGCCGCCTCAGTTCCTGGAGAGCTTCTCGCCCTGCGTCAGGCGAGTTGAAATGCTCAGTTCCACCAGGCACTATGGCAGAAACAAAGATGCAGTTGGAAGACTGTATGTTGACACCCTCTCTCAGCGCTCCTATCGCGTCACCTCACCATCCGGGATGACTTACGAAGCTGACCATGTATGACTCCTCGTCCAGGGCTGGATGACCTATGTGTTCGCTTTATTATCAACTTGCCCCGTGAAGAGCTCGAATCTGTCGAGAGAATTTGTTTCCAGGTTGAGGAGGCACAATGGTTCTACGAGGATTTTATCCGCCCGCTGGACCCGGGTCTTCCCTCCTTGTCGCTGAAGGCGTTTGCAATGCGGATTTTCCAGCATTGCCCGCTGATGTCTCAGTGGTCTCACTATCACCATATTACAGCTTTCTCGGAATTTCTGGCATACAAAACTCGCGTTCCCGTCCGAGGTGCTATCATGCTGAACGAAGCCATGGACGAGGTCGTTCTGGTCAAGGGCTGGAAGAAAGGTGCCAATTGGAGCTTTCCCCGAGGTAAAATTAACAAAGATGAGAAGGACATCGATTGCGCGATCCGTGAAGTATACGAGGAAACTGGCTTTGACCTAAGAGAAGCCGGCCTCGTCAAGGATGAAAAAGAGATGAAGTATATCGAGATCACGATGCGCGAGCAGCATATGAGGCTTTACGTCTTTCGTGGTGTCCCAAAGAATGCTTACTTTGAACCTCGCACGAGGAAAGAGATCAGTAAGATCGAATGGTACAAGCTGTCCGATCTACCCACCCTTAAGAAGAACAGGCAACACGACGAAGGATCCACAGTGGCCAACGCGAACAAGTTCTATATGGTCGCCCCGTTCCTGCATCCTCTGAAGAAATGGATCGCGCAGCAAAAGAAACACGATGAAAGGGCGCGAGAAATCTCTGGTCAGTTTCAACAGACTGAGGGTGAAACATCGATGGACGAAGCTGTTTATGCCGCTAATGGGGCCCTTACTCCCAAGCGGGAGCTCCTACAAGCAGCAGGCCCCAGCGATCTGCCCGAGGTCACTCCATCTCAGGATGTGTCCTCTCATTTGAAACAGCTTCTCAACATAAATGGCAGTGCCACGGATGCCCGACACGCGGCAGAAGTTCCTCAGCCAGCGATGCCAGACCCGGCAAAGTCTAATGCTCTGCTTGCCCTTCTTAAAGGTGGCCCTAACGGTGTATCTCAAACTGGACCTATGCCAATGACCCAGGATCCTCCGAATGCCTCAGTGTTGCAGAACTCTCAACAGCCGGCCTCCCCGTTCTCTTCTTTAGCAGGAACCCGTGGATCAGTTCAGTTCCCAAGTCAATTTGGACCACCAGGACTGCCATCATACCCTCCGTCTTCCCCCCTAACTTTACATCATGGACCGCCCGCAGGTGGCTTGCCGTCTGTAGCACATCTACTACAACAGCGACCGACATCTGCCTTCTTACGGATGGATAGACCTGAGTCTTTCACGGGTTACCGAGGAGAATTCCCCCATCCGCAGCAGACCCCGGCCCATCAACCCCAGACGACCCTGTCCCGCTCTATGCAGGAATCTGTGCGACCTGTTCCTGGACATCCTGACCAGCACTATGCACCTGCTCCTTACCAACGGACTGGAGACCCACAGTTTGCGCAGCCGTCCCAACATCCCAATGTTCAAGGCCCTGCTATTCCTCCCGCAAGCAAGCTACCACCTCCTAAGCTTACAAGTCATTCTCTTGCTCTTCTCAGTGTCTTCAAAGATCCAACTCCGAAGACCCCGAAGACGCAGGGAGCAACGTTGGCACCGAAGCCAGATGCTGCACCCGACATGACGCGTCGGGCCTCTCAGCACCAGGATAACCTGCTGAGCCTCTTGAAGGGGGCATCCCCTGCACCTCCGGCGAGACCTGCGGAACTGTCGGCGCAACCTGCTTCCCCCGCGACCAGGCAGATCCTTCAAAGACCTGCAGCGACTGGCACACCTCCTTCGAAGCCGCAGACGATCATGATCAAGAAGCGCCAAGGTGGTGAAGGTCAGACCTCCGCAACTGTTTCCGGGCCGTTAAATATGCCTGATCTCGAGAAACTTGGGAAGAATCACCCAAAAAAGACGAATGGGACACCCCGCAGAGGCGCAAAAGAGCGTCTTTCTTCACCCATCACCATCTTACCGCGACCATCTAGTGCAAAGAGAGAGTCGCCCGTCTCCGCTGAACGTATTTCGCAATCCCCTCGGCGACAGCCGCAGGCCAAAACTCCCGAGCCCTCGAAGCCGTTCCAGCCCCAGATTCTTCGACGATCTGAGAATGCTGATTTGGAGACACTTTTCCCAAGTCGTACTGTAACTGTCCATGAGTTCACTCAACCTGGACATTCGGACAAGGTAGGCGGTACGCCGAAAGAGACGCCTGCCGCTCCACTGAACTACGATCGTCGCCCAAGCCAAACAGCCGCGCAGAAAGAGACACTACTATCTCTATTTGGAAAGTCGCCTTCTCAGAGGGCCCAACCGCTGGCTAAACCAGCCGAGTTGCCTTCTACTGCTGCTGGGCCCTCGATGAGCTCGGCGAACATCAGCCCGCTATCTGCATCTCAGATTCGCAGTAATGGCGCAGAGTCCGTCGGATCCGGCGGACCGGAAAGGGTCACATCGCCTGTTAACAGGGCATTTTTGCTTGGGTATTTGCAAAACGTCGCGAAGGGTCATTAGATCTCGGTTCTTCCAGAGCCGTATCGATAGGGTTTCCTGGAATGGCATAATAGGAGTTTTGTTGTGCTGCTGTGGTGGGCGCGTGAAGCGGTTTCATACTGCATACATCTCAAATTTAGCACTGGAGAGCGCATTTTATGCATTGATTTTAGCTAGCCTGTTCCACTAACTACCTTGATAGAATCGCATTTATGGTGTCTATATCGGTACCTTCCAATGATTTTACTTCCGTACTTCCACATTCTTAATAATTATATCCCAGTACCTTAACTTAAACAAGCAACCACCATCGGTTACGTCAGAGCAGACATCGGTCATACTGCCGAACCTCACCGCCTTGATTATATACTCGGAGCTTCAGATTTGCTTAACAATCTATGCTCAAGTTCACGCTTCCAACTTTCACGAGTTAATGCAGAAATGCCTCCTCGGACGCCCACCCGATCCGTCTGTACACGGTGCCTAACAAGGCGCCGGTTATTCTCAACCAATTCTTCCCTACAGCAACAAAAGCAGCATGATCTCCCCTCTCCCCCGCCGCGCTCCGGATATGCTCGACTCGACCACCGAGGTCTCATTTCCCTCACTGGAGCAGACAGTACGACCTTTCTCCAGGGCATGATCACCCAGAATATGCTGGTTACAAATGACCCTCAGCGGTCCACACGAAGGACGGGATTCTACACTGCTTTTCTCAATGCGCAAGGACGGGTGCTCAATGATGTGTTCATCTATCCCTCGCCAAACGGAGGGGAATCATCCTCCGCAGATGAAGCGGGTTGGATCATCGAGGTGGACAAGAACGAAGTCACGAATCTAATGAAACATCTAAAGAAGCACAAACTGCGCTCAAAGCTCAAGCTCCGTGCCCTCGAAGATGGTGAACAAACTGTCTGGTCGACATGGAATGACCAAGCGGAGCCAAGATGGGCGGCTTACAACCTCGAATCTGAATCGCCGTCCCCTTTCTCTCCATCTTCTCATATTGCTGGTTGCATTGACACCCGCGCTCCGGGTTTTGGTTCTCGTCTCGTCACGCCCGGTGATGATGACCTCCGCAAGTACCTTCCAGACGAGTCCAAGCTCCCCGGTAGCGAAGTTCACCTACCCACCTATACATTGAGGCGGATGCTATATGGTATCGCAGAGGGACAGGGAGAAATTATCCGGGAAAGTGCTCTGCCTCTCGAATGCAATATGGATATGATGCGCGGTGTGGACTTCCGAAAAGGCTGTTATGTCGGCCAGGAGCTCACGATCCGGACACACCACACGGGCGTTGTACGCAAACGCATTCTTCCTGTCCAGCTATATTCTGCCGGTCAGGATCCGCACAAGTTCGGAGAAGTCCCCGTCTATGACCCTACCACCCAACTTTCGCTACCGCCTGCTGGCTCCAACATCTCTCGGATCAGTGCACGCAAGGGCCGCAGCGCCGGGAAGTTCCTCAATGGAATCGGAAACGTCGGTCTTGCGCTCTGTCGGTTGGAAATGATGACCGATATTGCACTTACAGGAGAAGGTACTCAATATACCCCAGACCAGGAATTCAAGGTCTCCTTGGATGATAATGCGGAGGGGAAGGAAGTCAGGGTCAAGGCGCTTGTACCGTCGTGGACAAGAGACTTTATCCTGAGCGGGGTCAGGAAGAATACCGCCCGACCAGATGAAGGTGAAGGCCACAGAGCCAGGGAAATGGTAGAGGAGCTGGACGAAGAGCATCGACGAGGGGAGTAAGCAGGACGCAGCTCATGTACAGTAGTTATTCATATCCTCTTATATAATCCATGTACACTCTACTTCTCTTGTTTAAAAGCTATCAGATGTCCACCAAATGCTTGGTTTGTTAGCCATCTTTAGTACGGTCAATACGCCGTAGATTATCACCAGGGCTGCTTAGCAGAAGACCTCTGGTTTTCGAGAAGCGATCTAGAATATTTATGCATTAATGAATATCTCTATAGTATCTTGATCGAACGCTTTTGGGGTATCTTTAAAATCGAATATAACAAAACGCATGAGACCTGACCAATTTCTCTTGAACGCCATCGTATGACCCTAATCTCACCAGACATACCTCAATACTTCCTTGAAACCTTAGGCGCCTAAATCGCAACATGTATCGATAACACGCTCTAACTAGAGGCCTTCGCGGCCGCCTCAGCAGCGTCAGCAGCTTCGTCTTCTTTGCGGATTTGCTCCTCTAGCATTCTGCGCTCTTTCTCACGCTGTGCATTCTTCAGGCGCATCAGTGTGACCTCCTCGAGACTGGGAGTGCTGAGTCCGGTTTTCCCAGCTGACGATGAATCCTTGGGAGTGCTTGCCGCTGCAGTAGAAAACGACGCAAAGGAGGGAGCTTTGTTGGGTTTTTTGGCACCGTCCGACGTGGCTTTGTTAAGACCAGGAAAGTTGAATTTGGGGGCAGCTTTGGCACCATTGCTTCCGAATGCTGGTGTAGTTGGAGTTGTAGATTCTAATGGCGGAGTAGGAGAGGACGCTGCTTGAGCAGTGTCTCCTCCCAGATCGGGTTCATTTCCAGAAGCCCAGAAAACCGATTCGATTACAGACCATTCGTCCTGAGCGGCTTTTCGCTTCTTCTCGCTGTCCAGAACAGCAGAGTGAGCGCTGACAATGGATGTGTAGACAACTACTCCTGTTGCTACGGTCTTCTTCTCCTTCTTGTCTCCGATCCGTTGTCGCTTGTCCTTCAATAAGAATGCGTTATCGACCTTGCCGAAGGGAGCAAATAGAGCCACCAAACGATCCTTGTCAAGCTCCAGCCCAGGGCCCTCTCGAATCCATCGCACCTTAACAGCTCTCTCCAATTCAGGGACGTTTGTCCCGCCCTCTTTCGATCGGTCCACGCGCTGACTGCTTCTGTCTGCGGCTCCTCGACCCTCTGCTTCTTCCGCCTGGAGGCGTCGTTCTTCCTCTTCAGCTTCCCTTTTCAGCTTCTCCTCTGCTTCTCTTCTCCTGCGTCGGTTATCCTCAGCAATGCGCTCGATTTCTCGCTCCAACTTCGCTTCCGCATCATCACCGCCATATCCAGCCATGCCTGTCGCCATCCAAGGCCTCTTTAGACCCCTCTGCGCAGCCTCCGCAGCCATTCCAGCTCTCTCACGCGCTTCTAAGTCCTCCTTCATCTTCCTCTTGGCCGCGTCCATCATTTCCGTCTCGCGCTTCTTCCGCTCTCGCGCCTCTCGCGCATTGTTGTAGAGCTCCCGCACCGACGGGTCAGACAGCACATCGTAGGCGATTTGAAGTAGATGGAACTTCTCGATATCGTTTGGGGTAGGATTCTGGATCTTATCCGGGTGATACTTAAGTGCGGTGCGTCGGTAAGCTCGTCGAATTTCTGCTTCATTCGCTGCAGGCGAGACGTCGAGGAGCGCATAGAAATCCTGCGCGGAGGCCGCATGGGCCTTTAGATCGTCGGAGGGGGCCATTGTTTTCTAGATAAAGGCGGCCGTGTATCACGGAGAAGCAAGAGGGCGAACCTGGATCGATTCAGTACTGAGCTGCTGTCGTGGAGCTTCTGGGGGGAGTAGGTAAGATTCTGTGGAGCCAACGCGCGCTTTTCCCTCGAGACTTGGTGAGAATCCGGGTAAAAGTACGCTTCAAGCACTAATTCAGAGGAACTGCGCGTGCTCGGGCTCTTCACGGATGTTATAAGAGGTTGACGTTCTTCAAGAGCGTAAGTTGTTCTGTGCCGCCTCTGACGGCGTTGAGTGGCGCCGGGGATTTCTCCAATGTCCGTGCAGGCACCAACCCAGCCAATAATAGTAACTTCTTTAGATCTAGCTATATAGGTAGGTAGTTTCTTAGAGATAGCTGCTCTACATCGATGAGTAGATCCAACTCGATGATACAGTGTATTATTATTCATTGTCTATCTTGTAGGTCGGAATATGTAAATATCTAGTCGACCTCGTATTGAAAACAAAGACTTTAGTGCAGTGGTAGTTGTTGTAGTCGATATATATCCTCCATAACTAACATATTTCCGTTAACCAGAGAAAAAAACTCTCTGATATCTTTTCCACTAAAACCTCTAATATAGCACGCGCTTCGTATATATGCTAATCCTATGTCTGAAGACTTGTTGGAGTTTCTACGTTCTGGAATGACACAAAAGGCACGTGCTCTCTTCAACCCAGGCTGCTCGTTGCCGTCAGGAATCCGTATTCAGTATCCGTATGCTATCGCCTGATCGATGAACTCCTGTGAATAATCAGTCTATTATCCTTGCTTGCAATATGTCCTCACTCAATGCCTCGCACGAAGCTGTTCCTGCCCCATCTCAGTCTCAGCTAGCTCTCGCTTTGGCAATCGTCAAGCTGAAGCCTGCCCATGTCGATATCAAAGGTTAGAAACCTTTTCTTGCCAAAGGTGAATCCCCCACGAGATGAGTGCTAAACCTTGAGTAGATCACATCCTCAAGATCCGCGAACACATCAAGCATGGGAGAGATCCTATTCGTACGAGTTTCCCAGAGAAGCATCTTGACAGCGTTGCATTTTGGCAGCAGGCGTATGAGAAGTCTGAAGCTACTCAAAGCAAACTCCTCGACCGGATTTATGAGCTTGAACAACGTAATGAGGCGTTGCTGTTGAAGCTTCAGCCCAAAGAGCCCGAGGGGACAAAGGCCCAGGGACAGGGGAAACGGAAGTCAAAAGCTAATGAGGTTATCTCTGCGCCTTTGAAAAGAGCGAAGACGCAGATTCCTACATCCTGTGGTGATATTGCAAGAGACAAGTTCGGCTCTTATGGTGATGTAGTTGGTGGGTTTGAGCCATCAGAAGGCTGTAAGTCAGTGATATCCCCAAGGAGAGTTCTTTCTGACGGCCTTAGATACAGCACCTTTTATGCGCCAGTTATATACGCTGCAGAGCACCTTACATAAGAAATCGAGTCGCAGTAGCATCGTTCTTGCTGCAGCGAGTTTGTGTAAATCTGCAGAGGATGTCCTACGTATGGTCCCTTGTGAGGCGAGTGCGCCAACAGGTCGAACCAAAACGTCCCTCCAAGTGGACAATCCTCAGCCAGATGCTAGCTCAGTACTGAATGGAGTCCAATATGCATATGTGGCCATATACCAGGCGCTAGATAAGCTTTCGGGTGGCAATGAAAGGACCCGGGAGACTGGCCAAGTTATTTATCATGCAGTTTCATTGTTCGAAAGTCTCATGGAACTTCTGCAGAGGAGCTCGAAGACTAATGTGGAAGACTCCCTGGATAAAGGCTCATCAAAAAGGCAGAAAAAGGTCGCGAAACCAAAGGCATCGAAAGCTACAGGGAAACACCAAGCGTCAAATAAGGAGGACGAAGACGGATTAGCGACTCATATATCGAGTGTTCTCTGCAACATGATGTTGCATCTCAATCTCTCCAGAAGAGAACATAAGAGTCTCTTGGAAGGATATCTATTCGTCTTTCTCAACCGCATAGGAAAGGTTCTGTGTGTCTTCGTCTTCGGAGATTTGCAGTTGAGACCAGACCTAAGGGCAGATACTACCAAGCTCCCGCTGCCTGCAGGACTGACCGCCACCAGCCTTGATGATACTAATCTAAAGGCTATGAAAGGAGAAGCAAAATATCTCATTTCGATCTTGGAGAGAATAATACATCTCCTTGGCTCATTATATGGATCGTCTCACTCCATAATAGCAAGTAAGGAGGGAGATACAGCTAACCACGGTCAATCTCACGGTATGCCACTTCCTCTGCAAGTAAAGAAGAAGCTACAAAATACTTTACTCTCTGCAGTATTTGGAGATGAACCTCTATTCAAAGATTGTTTGAAAAGGCCAGGTTTGCCCGGTAAAGCGGAGCTAGAGAAATTACTGGCTCGTGAGCCAGTTTCGGACAAGACAGTGCCTGACTGGTTTGTGCAGGAAGTGTGGACATTACTGGGATGGGATATCCTAATGAAAAATGACAAGAACTGAGCATTTCCACTCCATAAGTGATTTGTTTCTGACCGTGTCTTACTCCCGACTGTCGATCTCACGCGTTGTTCATTATACAAAGTATATTGCAGCTTTATATCGGTATCATATCATTGACTCCTGGCCTGAATGATCCGCATGCATATCCATTCTGTCTTTGAAGATGTCCCAGATTTCTGAGCATAACTCACGTCCACTCTTCTCTATCTCTAATACGTACTAATGGGTTAAGGCTTCCTTATTTGAGATCCAAAATTCGGACTGCGTTTCCTCCCAGAACAGCCTTTATGGAATCTGTATCCCCGGCGAGCGTAGCATCGATCGCTTTGTAGTTGGTCGTGACACTGAGCCAAGGCTCTTCCTCCTTGCCATCGAGTGGAGGGAAGAATGGATGATCGGTTCCTGGCACAATTAGCAAAGACTGATTTTCGCCCAAAATCACAGATAGGATTTATAGCTTCCATACCGAATAGCAACCTGTCCGGTCCTCCTGCTGCATGAATAGCGGCCTTCAGCCCAGCTTTCCCATATACAACGGCATCGAGGTATATATTTGTTTTCAACACATCCCACACACTCCTGCTGGGTCCTTTAGTATCGCCACCATTGGCAATGAATTTGCGCTCGTGTGCGATACAGCTCTCTATCCGTCCTGCCAGGAAAGGAAGAGTGCCCCCGGAATGAGCCAGCAAGATTTTCAATCGTGGAAACCGATCAAACACACCAGCCAGGAGCATTCGCGTGACCGCAATGGTCGTCTCAAGTGGGAATCCCAGGGCTAGTGGAAGGACATGGCCGTATCGATCTGTTGCTTCAGGACCACCAAATGCTTCGTCTGGCAGGCCATAATGTGGATGAAGAAAGAGAAGAGTGTCCGTGTCTTGCAGAGCTTTCCAAATAGGATCCAGGCCAGGGTCGTCCAATCCTTTGCCCAGCCCAGACGTGCCCATGATCACTCCTCGCAGATGCGGTAGTGTCTTCAGTCGCGCAATTTCCTGTGCGACAATATCTGCGCTAGGTGCACTGAGCGGTAGGGCTCCGAAGGCGAAGAGGGTCTCCTTCTCATGCAGGGCACGTACTCCGTCTGGGTCTGCTGCAGTGTTCACTTTGGCACAAGTTGCTTCCAGATCATCATTGATTTTCTCAGCCCATATTTGTGCCTCCTCTGGTTCAACAAAGTCTAACCACGGATTAGCCAACGAGACAACACTGGTAGTGATACCATGCCGGCGCATGAAGGCCAGCTTGACATTGATGTCGGAGTACGATGAATCGACGGGTCGCCCTCGTTGGTCAAGAGGAATAGATTCACTGTCATCGGAGGATAGGATGATCAATCGCGAAGGTGCACCAGAAGCAGGGTCATGAACATAGGGTACTGTCTTGCGCGAACGCAGCATATCTATGTAGGACTGGGGGTAGACATGGGTGTGAATGTCGACAATTGGATGCGACATTGTGTTTGAAAATTGCTCGTAATCTCTAATGGATCACACTGTGCGAATTCAAGGCCTCGGTGCGTCGACAGTTAGTAAAGAATATCAGAGATCGAGACAGTATGGTTTTCCAAGCAGACGAGGGCGGGGTATCAACGAGGGGAAGTCGACAAGATATGTGGAGGGGTCAGATCTCGATCTCGAAGTCCACGCAACTGGAAATGGCAAGTGACTAGAGAACTCCCCCGGAGCCATTCCAGAAGAAGGCATCGGATAGAGCCAGATTTGAAGCTATCGTGACAGGTAATATGGATATCGTACATATTGTCTTTCTTATCGAAGCTTATCATCCGACAAGCCGCTGGGAAGACCAAGAGATAAGCCCGTCGATAAGCCTGATAAGAACGAGGGCATCAGTATTTATACCTGCCTTAGACTCCACCCACATACTAAGGGACTGGTAATACAGCCTCAACGATGTTTTGAGTCGGCGGTATTGGAATCTGTTCCGCGGAGGCTTGAGTGTGCCACATTGATAAGAAATTCCCCCGCGCGGCGTCAACCGTTACTCATACATACATCGAACAATATCACTTTTCGAAAATGGAGGGAAACATCGCTCAACAAGAGTGCAAGCCTGCGTCGACGGGCGTCGATAAAGATGATCTAGTTATTCCTGTAAATATCTCCTCATCTCCAGCTTTCGAGCAATGGAATGCTAAATCAACAGCTTATCGATTTCGAGCCCTTCCGGGCTGGGAGGCCTGCCGAGAAACATGCAGTCGCCATTTCCATCCTCAATGCCTTCAAGTCGTCAGGATTCCTTTATCTCAAAAACCACGGAATTCCACCCTCGGTCGTCTCAAAGGTCTTTGGTGATTCAGCACGCTTTTTCGCTCGCCCGCAGGAGCAGAAGGACAGCCTAGGCTGGACAACCCCGCAGTCCAACCGTGGATATGTGGCTCGTGGTCGTGAGAAGGTTTCTCTACCAGATGTCGAAGCTTCAAGTGTCGAGGCTATGCGCGCTGCTATCCCAGACTTGAAGGAAACTATGGAGATCGGCTGCGAAGGGAAAGAAGGGTACCCTAATCGCTGGCCGGACCAGTTGGACGAGGAGGGCAAAGAGTTCAAGCAGACGATGCTCGATTTCTTTGAGACCTGCAAGGACCTACATATGCAGATCATGCGTGCTATAGCTATAGGAATGTCACTGCCGGAGCACTTCTTCGACGAGTTCACCGATGGCGGAGACAACAACCTTCGTCTTCTGCATTACCCGCCTATTCCTAAGGATGTCTTCAAGAATAACCCGGGGCAGGTCCGCGCTGGTGAACACAGCGACTATGGGTCTCTTACACTTCTTTTCCAGGACTCGCGGGGCGGTCTGCAAGTGCGCAGTCCAAATAATACATTTGTAGATGCCGTCCCAATCCCTGACACCATTGTTGTTAATGCCGGTGACCTGCTGGCCAGGTGGTCCAACGACATCATCAAAAGCACCCGCCATCGGGTCGTTGAGCCGACTTCTACAGTCGAAGAAGACGACAAGTCGAATATGTATCCTGCGCGATATAGCGTTGCGTACTTTTGCAACCCCAACATGGACAAGTTTATCGACGCTCTGCCAGGAACTTATGGTGACGAGATCGGTGTCCCCAAGAAGTATGAGGGGATTAAATCAGGGAACTATCTTGTGCAGAGGTTGACTGCGACATACTAGTAGATATTATATTCCCTTTAGCGCATCTGGTCCAGTCATGTCTTTTATTTTTACTATGTTAATGTATATGATATCCTCTTTATCTTCTATTTTCAATGTAATTCATAGAAGTTTTGTGTCTGATGTTCCGTAATACTTTCATCTCTAGGGTAATATACACGTCTGCCATGGAGATAATCGTGTAATTTAGTTGCAGATTGGCTGTCCTTTGCAAGAAACTCGTGGCTACTTGCATGTTCACTCCTCATATGATGGTGGCGGTTGCTCTAGTGCCTCAAACTCAGCCATCGAAAGATTGTACCCAAGGTGTCGCTTGAGCAACTCATGGGTGGCAAATCGTTCCGCGATATTGCCCTGTGCATCAACAAATGAAATACGAGGATTAGCTTCGCTGATCCTCTGTAACTCATTGGCGTGACGATGGTGGTGTAGGGATCCATCTACGCCAATCAAGAATATCGTAACGTGCACCCAAGGAAGACTCAGGAGATCAAGTTCAAGCTCGTACATGTCAGTCGCCTCTCCATCAAGTATAAGGAGTAACCTTAACATTGGGGTTCTGGGACCGGCTTGCCATCCATATACGGGATGATACGTTGCCGATTCAGGATACTGTTGGAAATGCAGATCTTTGACTTTCTGCCAACCTGTCATAACTCGAGTCTGTCCCCCGAATCTGATACTGCCCCATGTCGTTTCAAAGTTCTGTGAGTTAATGAAGCCGATGTAATGAGCTTTGGTTGAGAAGGTGACAAGCTGGTAGCCTCCAGGGTTGTTATCGTGATTGGCCATTGCATCGGTGAAGCGACGCAGGATAGCTTTGGAGATATCTACGACGCAAAGAGTTAGTCCATCGCTCTGCTGTTCAGTAAAACTATACCTAGTTACCTTTGCTTTTAGGCTGGGAAGATCTGGAAAAGCCTGTGATAAGATACTGCTCATAATTTGGTCGGATGGGAGCAGTATTCATAGACTTCGAGACATCCAATAGAATCACAGTGCTACCAGTAGGGTATTCCGGTGCATCTAGCGCTCTGAAGGGAGTTGGAATGGACTGTTTCGAGTAACTATCGGAGGTATGCTGAAGCTTGCAGGTATCGTCGGCAGAGTAGTATGCAGTAGGTGGCACGACTGCGGAACCCATCCTAACGCGAGCCATCTCAATTGTAGACATGATGTCCGGCTTCATGCCAACTTTAGCTTTTCCGTCTCTGTGGTTCAGAACCCAGTATAAGCGTTCCTCTGCGGTGTTTTCAAATCCTCGCCAAGAAGGTGTAATCCCTCTCCATCCAGTTGGCGCATCAATCTTAAACTTTAGCGGATGCGAAGCTAGATTCGCCCAGGCAGATGGAACAGGCTCGAAATATCCTGCTCGAAGTAGTTGAAGGTATTGAATCGGACGATTGGCTCGAAGGTTTGCTATTGCTTGAGCAACTCCAATCCTTTCTTGGTACGTTGCCGCAATCTGTCGTGATTCTTGGTCTGGCCATCGACCAGACTCTTCTTCCAGGATCGCGTTTCGTAACTCTCGGCCACGCGAGGACAACTTTTCCTCTGCGGACTTAATCGAGAAGGCTCTTTTGGCCCTTTTCAGACCTTTAAACTTGGATTGCTTATCGCCTTCAGCATTCCCAACGGCGAGAGATGAAGGAATATTGTGTGAATTCCTGTCATCAAATCGACCCGACGAGCTGGTGGCAATGGTACTACTTGGCATTAAAGGGCCTAAGTGATCGATTTCCCAGATATTTAACTGTGGCTCTTTAGAGTCAACAGCAGCCTGTGCCTGCACATTCAGCGATAAATTCAGCTGTGCAGTCTGTTGAAGAGCCAGGGTATAATAATCCGGCCGAGGCACTGGTTCGCCATAGTCGCTAGAACCATATGGAGAGACCACACGGCTATATGGGTTGTTGCTAAATAGGATTGATTGGTAGCAGTCATGATATTCTTTCTCCCCTATACGAAATGAGATGTCAGATTGTGTCAAAGAATAAGTCGGTCTCCTGAGCCCTTTCTAACCTGGATACATGACTGTTTTTGACCACAAGTCTTGGACGCCAAGCCGTTCTAATTTCCGGGCCCTATATTGGTGAATAGAGCAGTTACAGTCGATGAATGAATCATGTTCTGGCTCAATGTCACTATTGTAAATGCGATGTTTAAGTTGAACGCTCTGTAGCATGTTCCACATCTCTTGCTACAAAGCCAAAAGACATTAGCTCGTGTCTCGAAGAATCTCGGAATGGAGCAGATTGGACCTCATCTCGAGCGCGGATATTTGCAGCTTCGATGACTTTATTCGTGTGAGACCGACGCTGTAATTCGCTTACGGTGTTTAACGAGGCATACGCTGGAGGAGCGTCATCTCGAGTGTCGATCTCCTCGTTAAGGCCCCTGTGGTTGGCCATGCGAGATATTGGCCTGTTCGAATTATTGTTTGGGGTTTCATAGAATCTATCCAGGGCCTCGTTGATGCTATCTGCCCCCTTTAAAGTAAAACAGAATGAGTCTCTGGATAGTGAAGAAAGCAGCAGCATAACTTTCTTACCTCTAAGAACACGAAAGCCTGTTCTTCACTAACCTCTGGAGCGAATGACATGAACTTTCTTATATCTTCTTCTGAGGGTACCATGGCGAGAAGAACGCAAGTGCCTATCTTATCTACCGGAGTCTTCAAGAGTCCATCATAAGAACATCGAGATGCTCTCAACTCTTGTTGTGTTTTGCAACCCGCACCTGTATGGTACTCGTAACACCTATCAGCCTCTTCGATGGTGCGGGCTGTGCAGTTCCTGCTTCGTGAAGCTCTCAGTCCCTAATTACTGTCTTGTCATGTGATGATATCAAGCCACTTGAGTTCAGTCCACCAATTAGCCCAACACCTTACGGAACGTGCCGACAACATCTCCCAACGCTAATTTCGATTGAAAATGCGATTCTATTTATCTTTATTTCTCCCAAGATATCAATTTACATAGTATAAATAGCTTCTATGCATGATATGCGACTAACTGTAGCAAGAGGCAACTGGGGTGCATTAGCGTATACTCACTTGTTCCCAATTCGCGCAAACTTGATGACTTCAAACAGAAATCGTGATACAACATAATCTTCCTTTGTTGATCTAGTCAAGACCCCGATCATGATTTAATGCAGGATCTTTGAACAATTGACCATGAAAATGGACGTTGCTGCGATACAAGACGCTCTCGTGGTGTAGCAAAGCTAAATCTTGGAGCTGATGAAGATGCTTGATTGTCCAACTATCTAGGGGCTCGATCGAGCTGATCTATCTGGCTACTACTCTGCTGACTACTTAAGCTGGCTGCTGGCGCGGGCGACCACCCTGCAACCACCACTACTGGAGCCCCTAAGTAGGGGCACCGAAACTAAATTAAATACACTGCCGTCGGCCATAACTTTACGATGCCTATCAAGGCCTCCCATGTGGTCCAGCCTTTCGCAGAAAACATGTCGAAAATAAGTATTATTAATTATATGATGACTTGGTTTATACAATAGTTAGAACCGTGAAGAAATAATACCGCCTATTCCCCATCTAGTATTCGATAAATAGCTTCAACTTCTGGGACCTTCTTCTTAAATTCGGCCTTGGTCTCCTGCCAAACACGCTGCTGCGCTGCACGACCAGATTTCCTCTCCATGAAAGGCGGATACCTGAATTCAATAGCTTATTAGGTAAATCCGGCAAGGATGCAGAAAGTAACAGCACTTACGGTGATAGGTCGTAGTCTATAACAATTTTCCCATGTGTATTTTCGGTTGCTGAAACTCCATTTACAAGCGCAGTAGCGCAAGTCATTGGATCCCTCGCTGAAAAGTCCATGATCAACCTTGGAATTAACTTTGCCTGGTTCGGATTCGTCAAGGGTGTCCACGCAGAGCCGGGATCTGCGGAATTGACTGTGACTTTCTGTATGCCCCGTTCTTGCGCCCTCGAGATTCGGTTTGCGAGTTCGCGTGCGAAGTAGAGCAACAGGGCTTTCGAACGGCCGTACTGATGGGCTTGAATCATGCCGTCTTTGGTGTTATTGAGGTGTCCAAGATATGAGCCGGTCTTCGGGACGGACATAGTGAGTGACGAAGGATAGACCCCGAATGTTGTCGTAAAAGTCAGAACTGGAGAGGCTGGATTCGATGGTGAAGATTTGAGCAGTGGGAGCAGAAGAAGGGCGAGGAGCGCAGTAGACAGGAAGTTAACTTGAATAGCTAGATATATTAGACACTCAGTTAATTTTCCATCATATAGAGGAAGGAGATAAACGATAGTAAGAAGCATGGAGGAAAACGTACATGATTCCCATCCTTCGGGCGACTTGCGGGGTTTAAAGGCGAGAATGCCTGCAGTCATCAAAACATGGTCGAGGCTCTTGAGTTCACGTGCTTTCTTTGCTAAGGCTTGACAGCTACTATACGAGAGCATGTCAACTTGCCAAACCAGAATATTAGGCTTGTTTGGGCCTGAAATATCAGCCAGAATCTTCGACTTCACGCCTTCACAGTCTTTGACGTCAACGAGGACAAGAGTGTCAACACCGCGATTCGCTATTAAGCTTGCAGCGCGAGAACCGAACGCGCCATTTGCCCCTGTGATAAGGACTGTCTTGCCTTGGAAGGACTTTGCTGTTACTGTGAGCTTGGCATTTCGCTGTTTGTACAGATTGCGCCATGGGAAGACCTCCGCGAGTAGCAATGGTGCGGCGATAGAGATGACAACAACAGCGGTAGCTGTAACAATTGGCCAGTAGTAACCAGCCATCTCAGTTCCCATAGATTACACGCGTTCCCAGGGGTGTTGACGTGTCAAGAGACAACCAATATGGGTAACCGTGTATCAACGGGGAGTATAAATAGGTTTTAAGCTACGGTAGTTCGGGGCTCGGGACACGACCGATCTCGGTCACCCCATTAAAGCTAGTTGGCTACCTAAGTTACGGCATTTAAATAAAGTTAAGCTATAGCATCAAAGTCACTAAATAAGCCTAGATGACGAGGAGGGAGAAACGATCTCCTTCTACGAAAGAAAGCATCGATCTCACCGCAAACCTCCCGCTCTCAGCGACGTTGCGCAGCGCATTAAGACTTAGAGCGAGCCGATGGTCTATCATTGGTAAAATGCTTTTGGGGGCTTTCTCGTTAGTATCATCAGCGGTTCATGCTATTTCGTTCTTCAACTCGAGACTTCCTATTAAAAGTCCCGATGCTGTCTACGGAGACATGCCTGGAGAGAAAGGTATTATTTTTGGACAAAATACTCTCTCTCAACAAGGCAATGTCAATTGACCAGCCTGGTAGCATCATCACCTATCCTCGATAATATTTCTATCATATATGACACTGTAAAGTATAACGAATCCCTTTTGAAAGAGAATGTTTATAAGAAAGCTCCCGCGCCCGATGTTGACGGGGTTTGGGATGCACTCGTGATACAAAGTTAGCGTTTTTTTTTTTATTCGGAATTTAGGAAAGCTGTAAGAATGTTCGTCTCGAAAGGTAGTCCGTTAATTGTCCCGAAAGATCAAGGTGAGAAATATGGTCTTTCAAAAAGCCGTGTTAGAGGAAGACCGCAGGTTGGCGGTGGATATCCCTTATTTGGAAGCCATGCATCATCTTCATTGTCTGGTAAGACACCGTATGCCTACTAGCACTTACTACGCCATGACGAAGAGCTATATGTGGTCAACTAACTTTCTGAAAGGGAATGACTGAACTGTACCTTCGTCTTGAAAATGATAGGACTCGATAGTTCTTGTGACCAGCTTAAGAAGACGGAAGTGAAGTTAGAGAGCGGGTAAGACTGCAGCAAAAGACAATAGTAAGATTGATGCTGAGTCTGTACTTTACGTGACGTTCTTGAACCAGCCCCCGATATCCCTGTGAGTGACGCTCGGTTAGTGTCGGTAGTGATCATGTGTAGCTCTGGCACAGCCTGATTCGGGCCAGTACTATATAATATAATTAAGCCTTTGGTTTGAAAGGCTTATTTTCAGAGCTGTACTACGATGCCAGCAGCAGCAGGATTTTAGGGTATTTCCAATCCGACGGATAATGGACCGACCCGCGGTTATGTCCAGGTACACTGCCAGCAATCTACAGAACAGCGATCGGTAGTTATTGGTGGACCATGAGCAGGATAGAAGCAAGACAATTGGTTCCTGGTCAATTCAGGATCAAGGAACAATCTAGAGATTTATAATCACATTGATACTTATGTGGGTTTTGTTCGGCCCGTTCACCAGGAGATTTGCCGATAACAAGCTGTCATCGTCTCTAAATGCCGAATCGCTTTTATCTCCGAGCCGGCGGGGTATCAAGCGCTAGGAACAGCCATTTCGAGGGCGTCTTCTCTTTTATTTAAAGGTCTCTCAGTACGAGGCTTTATGTAGAGAGGCATGCACTCTTAAGGAACCATCTTGTTCACAGAGATACTCGATACTGTGGCAGAATGGCGGAATTCGAAGCTTCTAAGTTGTTCTCCGTGAAGGGATTGGTGGCTGTCGTCACCGGAGGAGGAAGTGGTGAGCATTGTCTTTCAGTTGCTGCTATATTGGACCTCTATGAAATGAGACATTGATACTCCTGAGGTGTTTTATGTCTACTTATTGTATCCCCTGTTGATACCCTTACGTGCTATAGAAGTGATGAACACAAACAGCTTAGTTTGAGAGTATGACCCGATGTTAACAGCTGATATTAAGGTCTCGGGGCTGTAATGGCACGCGCTCTTGATGCCAATGGCGCTTCCAAGGTGTTTATTCTCGGCCGCCGTGAGCAGAACTTGAAGGATGTCGCCGCGCAAGCGATCAACAAATCTATCATCCCTATCACGGCAGACGTGACTTCCAAGGAGTCCCTCCAAGCAGCTTACGATACCATCGCAAAGCAGACCGATTATGTCGATCTTCTTGTCGCCAATAGCGGTATTATGGGTCCCAGCATTAGCCCTGGTCAACCAGGGACACCTGCTGGTACACAAACCTTGTCCGAACTTCGTGATCATCTTTGGGCAACACCGATAGAAGATTTCTCCAGCGTATTCAACGTCAATATCAGCGGCACCTTCTACACTGTTCTCGCTTTCATTCCTCTCCTGCAAGCCGCACTCGAGAAGAGACCAGCTCCCGTACCTGGAAAGCTGTCCCCACCTAAGCCGCAGGTCATCATCACCAGCTCCATCGGCGGCTTCTCTCGCATCGCTGCGTTCTCACCCGCGTATAGTATGTCGAAAGCTGCGACCAATCATATGGTCAAATCTCTATCCACAATGCTGGTCAAACATGACATCCGCGTGAACGGTATCGCGCCTGGTCTGTATTACTCTGACATGGCGGCCCCAGCATTCCAAGCGTACAATGCTGTTGGTGGTGGTGTTTCGGACGGATCGATCCCTCGCGAGTTTGTTCCAATCGCAAGAGGAGGCGCTTCAGAGGATATTGCTGGTATCATCGTGTGGATGGCTGGTGCTGCTGGTGGTTACATGAGTGGCAATATTGTTGTTAGTGACGGAGGCAGATTGAGCATGGTGCCGTCGTCGTATTAAATGACGAAATGGAAAGCAATTCATACTCTTCTATTGCATGTATAAAGACGCCGACATACGATATAGGATCTAGATTCTAATGGGAGATGAAACTTTCAACGGTTTGATATTCCATTCAGGCATCAACTCCGTTAAATGAAAATCAACGACCCAAGCCCTGGTTAAAGTATAGGTCTACGGTAACTATCTCATCCAAGACGTCATCACTCGCTCTAACTGTGAAGATCGATTCTCCATCCCGCATCCACCTGCTCCCTCAGCTGACGATCACTCACTCAGTCGCAGATAGCTTCACAGTTCTTACATTGACGCTTCGTGTGAAATCTGGATAGTTTCCGTAATCTCGGACCCAGAATTGGCTGAAGATATTGAGGTCATCCTTGCATATGAGTTGCTAGCGAAGGATATCAAGGCAATTTCCTGAACTTGTACGGTCAGCCCAGGCCAAGGAGTAGAATCAATATTTGCTGTTTTGTGAAACTAATAGTGTACCTGCGTGAGGATGGAGTCGCAAATGATCCCCTTTCGCTCTTTCAGATCGTATTCACAGTTCTAATAAGAAGTCCGGCGGAGTAGGTTGTGTCATTTGCGTCTAGGGTTAATATCCGAAGTGCTCAATCAACAAGCATGCAAGGTAAGTCGACCCCCGCGGGAACTCCTACTCGCTTTGAAATCTCGATAGGATAATATAATGCCACGTGCTTGCCTATTATCGGAGTGCTCAGCAAACTTATGGTAGATACGAAGGATGAATGGTTCACGTCGGTTCCCTGAGATAAAGGCCAGGGTTATGTATAGGACCTAGAACTCGAAGTCTATATCCACGTGCGATGCTTTTTAGTCGTCACCTTTTCCTATATCCTCCATTTGCAACAGGTTCTTCGGCTACCTTCATTATGGAATCGAAACTACAGGATTATTAGCGATTTGGGTTCTTTGTATGCTCAGGAGATGAATCTGCAACTAGTCGATACCGCCAGATTTCCCATATGTATAGTTATTTGCTTCCGTGCCATTTAATATTCGACATATAACCATTATGCATAGAAGTCAATAAATAGCAGTCCTTCCTCTTAAGTAACCGCAGAAACTCACAGTGTGTTTATGGTTCTGCTGACAACGAAATCAGTAGGTAATAGTGAAATGTCGGATTATGAGGACACAGACAACTCCACAGCCGTCGGATGGCCCTGTCAGCCTTCTCCACCATGTCCCGCATCCCTACTGACAGGAGCTGAGCTGCCCATTGCCGAGCTCTAATAGTTATCGTGTGGATTGATTTGTCACATCGGGAGCTGCAACAGGCGGGGTGCGGGGTAGATGTGTTGATGCGAACTTTGTATGCGCATCTGTAGCTTCTCTTGTTATACTTAGATGTTGCCGGTGCGAAGCAGACATACGGTTTTTACGAGTCTGCGATGTAGATAGCCGGCAGTTAATGTGTCATATTCATTCGTACTTTTATTGTTCGTTATAAAATGATATATACATTCCAAGGTTTTGAAAATAGACCTGCTAAGCATTGCATGATCGTCACCACGTAATCGTTGTGGTTAGGGCCCCTGCAAAGCTTCCAATTATCTTTCCCTCACAACTTCCCCGCCTTCTTAGCAGTGTAAGCAGCGATGAGATCCATAAGGGTCGGCGACAGTGTATCGTATGTCTCCAACCCCACAGACTTGAACTTGCCGCGGACCTCGCCCATACGGTCCGGGTTGAAGCCCTGCTCGATGATAGAGGAAACGAAGGCAGCAAATTGAGGCTCCTGCCAGCCCTTCTTGTCGGACAACTCGACGTGAACGAAGTCGAGACCCTTAAAGGGATGGTCGATCTCGATGCGACCGAACAGGTGCACTCCACACTTCTTGCATCGGTTTCGCTGGATGGCGGCGCTCTTGTCGACGATCTCGAGCTTTTCTGGGTGAGCAGTCACAGTGACCTTCTCCTTCGGAATGACTCCGACAACCGAGAAGAGAGATCCTTCGGGTTTCCAGCACTTAGAGCATCCGCATGCGTGGTTGTGAGCGACATTTCCACCCAGAGTCACTTCGACTTTGTCACTGGGGCAGTGGCAGTACAGCTTTCCACCGTTGAAGTTGGGGTCACCCTTGGTGATGCCGTTGTCGATAAGAGGGTGGAGGTGAAGGGCCATTTTGGGGACTTGTATAGCCTTATGTTTCCTTGACGATGATTGGACTCCGGATTGTATAGCGTGCTCACAAGGTAGACAAAGATTGATTCTGGAACTGTTCGTCAAGGACCTTGGGAGTCATGGTGAGACGGTATATATATGTCCAGCTCGGGCCCATCTCGGGCCCAACTCCCGTCATGTCTGAAGTACACCTGATGCGGAGTAAAGATCCAGCTCTTGAGGCATCATCTTCGTTCTAGTCCAGAAACAGTATCATTTCGCGTATGTCATCTCTTGCGGTGTTTGATTTGGAGAACGCGGGCGCGACAAGATACCTATCCGTTCACTGCGGGGCTTTCGGATACAAATTACTCCGCATCAGAGATACAGAGTACTTTCGAGAGTACAAGAATTATTAATCAAACAGGTCCGACTCCTCATCGCGACGTGGTTATACTCCGCATGGGCACAAAAATCTCGCAGAGGTTTCTCGGGATTGCGTGCTCAATAATGGCGGTATTTGGTATCTTCTGGAGGGACTTCTCGGGCAATGAAAGTCGTATGCTGATTCGCAGGGTCTCCGAGCAATGAGCATTAACTAACTAGCACATGGACGAATGTGTAAGCCGAAGAACATGGGGCTTGAGAAGATTTATTATTAAGGAAATGGGCGCCGGGAATGTCCACTTTACCAGACGGGGAAGTATCCCTTCAAAGTTCAGGATTGAAGCATGGAGAATGACCTTCATGTCACTGGCTTCAGGTCACATGAGATGTTCCTTGGGAACACAGCTGGTCATTAATCCATTCCGAAGTGTCATGGCTGTTCCTGCGCTCTGCGCTCAGAGATGGAAATGCTGATGGTATGGGTGCATTCAGACTAAATAGGTATGCTCCCTTGAATACCCGTGATTAGAAATATACTATTACTGACAAGCATCCTTAGAACGGCTATAGAGAAGCTCAAGATCAGTAATCAGCATCGCGGATCGGAGCAGATAATTTCGCCGTAGGGCCGGCCCCTATCCGCATTTTTCAGTGATACAGACTTCCCTCTCCCCAAAGCTTTTATCTCTTTATACATCCAATCATCTGGGTACCAGTCTGTTCTGCAATCGTTCCCATATTCGTTTTTCTATGAGTATCGTCCGAACGGTGGGAGAAAATATTTCTGAGACCTGATGGTGAGTCCGATACTGCGCAGCTTTCCGATGCAGGGCCTATTCCGGGCTTAATCCTACAAAATCTCTGGTATCGAGCAGATATGGGGATCCGAAGCGGGAACGCTTTGTTAGTCCTTGATCCGACGTGGCCTGCAGTGATTCGCGAATGAATTGTTAGTTGCCAGAGATCAAAGGTCGTAAATGAATGACGGAAGTCGACTAGACGACTAGACCAAAAAGGAGAACTCCTCAGAAGTCTGATCCTAGCTGGATCTAACAATGAATATTGACAGTCTTAGAAGAGGATGCTAGCGCGCAGGAGAAAAGGGGACTGCCAGCATTTGACATCACAATCACACTCAACGAACCACAACACGAAGTTATTAAACTGGAGGGTATAAACCGTGACGACGCTTGTCTCATTCTGGGCAGTATATCTCCTTAGCACGAGCGAGGTCGCCGTCGACCACAGGGCTTGTGGTGTGATTTTCGAAGCGTTCAACCCTGTTTTTTTTTTTTTTTTTTTTTTTTTTTTTTTTTTTTTTTTTTTATGCATTAGTTAGTTCGCTCACTCAGACTGCACATGAACCTATGTTGTTTTCTTTTGGGCATTTGCTTCTTTTGTTCTAGTTCTACTACTATGGAAGCCCCCAGTTGTTTTTCTGGGCGTTGCTTATACCGTTCTGATTTCACAGCGAACCACCGTGATACTCGCACCTCAGCATTTCGTGGTTGGCCGCGGCAGGTCATGGTTTTCATTTTGACTCCAGCAGGGCCTTACTCAAATGAACTCCATAGAACCCCTGACTCCTCGCTGGTCTACTCTTCGTCATCTTCATCGTCATCTTCATCATCATCATATTCAATACTATCTGCAGCCCCACGAATAGCAGCAATCCTATGCAGGACCCACTGCATCTGTAACAGATGGTAGGACGGCAAAGGATGGGTCTGTGGGTTATGAGTCTTGAAAGTTATCACATCGCCGGACTTGACCAGACAATCTGTATGGCCATTTAACAGCTTAACGCACCGTCCCGTTGAATTAAGATCCGACCGCAGATCAGGCCGAGATGTGAGGATCGTATATAGCGCGATATCTTTGCGTTTATTCGCCGGTAGCCAAAAGAACTCTACCTCCATCGTCTTCATGTCTGCGGAGGGAGGGCGTGGCTTGAGCGCAAAGAGGCATCTGTCCCAATAGGCATGCGCGCTAGGAGAGAGCGTGATGAGGTTTTCGCATTTTTCGGTCCCATTACCTCCCAATATAGCATCTTCCCATTGTTTAACATGCTCTGCTGTCCAGAAGGCTCGAAGAGATGCCCAGAATTCCCCTCGGAGACTGTTCCCAAGGCTAAATGGGAATATGTGGGCTGCTTCCACCACTTGGTCAGCGTGTGTAATAACACACGTTTGGGAGTCTCTCTGGAGGCACTGACGCAATATATTAGTTGATACCCAATCTTGGCTTATTTGGGTGTACTCACGTTATCAATAGCCACCTGGGATCGGACCTTCTTAGCTGATAGCGACGGTGAGTTAGGATCTATTACAGACTGAGACTCATCGGTAGATGTCCGCCGCCTTTTGCCAGTCGGGGTAGACGCTTCACTTGAGGGGTTTGTGTTTCCTCCCCAAGGATCCTTAACCCTTCTTCGGTTTGCCCCTAAAGAAATTAGCCCAGTAGTCATTTATTATAACCCTAGAATACTTACAAATCTCTACGGCATCTAATATCATTGGATTGCCAGCCACGAAGACGGATGCCTTGACTGGATCGTCGTGGCTTGCGATTCTGCGTAGTGATTCAACGTCGGCTACCCAAAGGGCAGCCCAGTTCTCTACACGAGCGTGAGTCAGATTGTTGGCTTCAATGAGGCGTTGCAGCTTTTCAAGAAGATCTAGTCTGTCCTGAGACTCGAATTCCTCCGTAAGACTCATTCTCGAGAACGGAGTTGAATTGCTGCTGGTGGTAGAACTGCGCAGTTGGCTTGCGAAAGAGTTCAAGGCAGATATGGCCGTCTTTGAGATAATCGGAGCTCGTAATTTCAAGGAGGGTTGAAGGAGAGTTGAAGGAAAGTTGAAGGTCGAGTCATTCTAACGCTGTTAGGCAACCACGACCTGGCCTGATTCTGCCTGGCTATAGATAGCCCTGTTACGCTTGCCGACGTCCTTACCACAAACGTTCGGTTAACAGCACCAAACGATAAATAAGATGCTGGTGTGGACTTCATGGAATGGGTGGGCAGCCAGGTGGATGTGGCTTAAACTCAACGGGTTCAACATTGGCATCTGATTCTATTAACTGTTCTGGGATTGACGCCAGAGAACTAGAGTGAAATTGCCTAGGGTTCTAAAACTCTGGGGTTGCGAGATTCTCACCTCAGTAATCGCATTCTACTGTATTCCCCGCGGTTGCCTGAGATAAAAGAATACCATAGAAGGGTTCTCTGCCGAAAAAGGAGAAAAGCATATGTTTTGTCATAGCAAATAATGTTGGATATGTCGCCGATGACTGATCGGGGCAGTAGACACATTGTAAATAGAGGTACCGCCGTTCTTCTAAGCATTCTGTCGCTGTGGGGTTATTGGACCATCTTATTGACAATAATGACAACAAGGGAACAAGGCGATGTCTGTTGCATAATTGCAGAATTAGCAAGAGGAGTTTGTGCAAATACAATGTGATAACTATGTTCAGCATTCTCAGGCATTTGACTAGACAGCCGAATTTACCTACCGGAGACTGTTTTACTCTCAGATTTCGGGGATATATCCAGTCCTCGATGCGTTTGCTGAACGACGTGGTCTGGACCTCAATGCTCAGATAATCAGGTCTTATCTGATTAGATGTGTCCTCACAACGCGCGGATCGATTTCTGCACGACCATGCAGATGAGCTGTGGACATGAATCAATCGGGCTACGATTTACCACTCAGTGGATCTCAGATGAATATCTTAATAGCAAAGATAGTAACTTAAAGTTTAGCGCTCTAGTAGTACAAGTGGCCGAAAGTTTGCTACGCATTTACTGTATTAGGATATTCGCTAAGGGACAAGTACATACTTCCTATGCAAGATGCCGGGGGCATCTAACTTACTCCAGGACGGATATGCATGTTTAATTGTGATTGTCAAGCGCTAACTATCAGTCTATCATCGACAGTATTCCATTGACTGAGACGAATAAATGGCTCTGGTAAAAGCACATTGTCTTCTTACACGACATAATGTCTCAATGTCTCAGTGTCTCAGTACACCCGTGGGAAGCTAATCAATACCTTCTGCAGTAGACTCGAGTATTATTCTGTCATATTGTCCTTGCGGAAGTCTCCAAAATGCAGACGACCTCTATTCGATTGATTAATATTTGATAAGGAAAGCCGATCTCTTCGATCGGCGAGCCGGCAGTTGTGTTGCTGACGTACAGTCCTTAACGAGCCGATGCCGGAGCCGAAGTGGGCTGATGTTGGATTTGGCATTGCACTTCAATCTACTCCCGTACTTAGTTCTCTACCTAATAATGATTTCTCCACGCACTAAATAACTGAGAAACCGTGCCAAACAAAGTAAGTGGCTCTCCCCGCAATCTGGCCCGTCCTGCAACTGAGATACAATCTGGTTGGACTTCAGGATGGAAGCTGTTTCCACTCTGTTTAAGGTAAGCTGAGAGGTTGTCGGCAGTCTTGGAACCGTGACGATGTCGAACGTCATCCACAATGTGCTGCCTACCTAGAGTTTTAGACCGTCGCCTCGGACAGACTGCCAGCTCGGCCATTTGCATAAATGGTCGCTTTACTTACCCGTAAATTCCCTGTTTGCGACGCCTTAACATTAACTATGACCAAAACAACCAACATTATTTATTAAAATATATTGAAAACCTGCCTCTATAGATGAATATATTAATATATACTTTAAATTTTATCTTTTTGTTAAGAAATACGGTAGGTTGTGGTAAAACTCCCAAGCAAATTGATGGGGTGACCGAGCTGCCAGTCTGTCCGAGGCGACGGTCTAAAACTCTATGCTCTTGCACCAAGGAAATCTCAATTTTTTTAATCGTCTTTTTATGACAATGGTCACAGTCAACCTATTCCGGTAGTCGAGGGCGCGCACATCCATAGCCAACGTGGGGCACAATATTCCCGGCTTCGCCTCTTTGCAACCACCACCAGGAGATGATTCTTGATAGCCTACAGGGGTGCCACGGGGTCCTCTTGAGAAGAAGAAATGCTTTCCCCGAAAGAACAAGATCGGCGACAGAGCTGGAGCCGCGAGCCTCGCCACTCCTCTAGCCGTTCGATCCGAACTGGAGCTGTCCGCGTCTTCAACAAAACTCGTCCATCATCACTCCAATCTCCGGTCCAAGATGATCTCATGCATATTATTTGTGCCCCAGAAGACTGTATGTCAAATATCCTTGGACCGGCTTGTTCCGGATGCGCGTGCGGAAGGTGATAGGCCACCTACTCCTGCATACTATTTGATAATAAGCTCTTTTAGATCTCAATTCATACATTACGGAGAACCCGGAAACCGGAGGACTATCCTCCTTGACTTCATCTCCAGGTCGCTTTCTTGGTATGCCTCTGTAAAGGGCGGCCGCTACGATGGTTTGCCGATGACATCCCCACGTCATGGCTCCCGCCTAGCAAAGATGTGGAGTAATTTTTCATCTACCTCGAATTGAAATGCTGAGAGGATAATCGCCTTTCCTCTTTCTCCGGGCTTTTTGGGATAGTTATGGGAAGCTTGCGTCACTAGTCCGTAGCTGACAAAAGATGATGCCTAGATCACGACAAGAAATGCATATATCTACCCTCTATGCACCCTCTTTGGGTGATCTGCCAGGAACTTCAACCAGCAGATCTTGACTCGTCTTCTTGGGTACAGCTTCTCAAGATGCCTTCAACCCATATCAGCGTCGCGGCGCTGCTGGCCTTGGTGCCCTTCACCCTGGCAGCTCCAGCCACCACGTCTGCAAGTACAACCCCAGATTCTGCGGCTGCTACGTCCACGTCTGCACCCTCTGCACCGCCTCTGCGTAGTCATCCGACATCGATCAGCCATGGACCCTACCTCGGCACTGCTACGACTACAGGGGCTTTGACAGCTGCCAGCGGTATACTCGGAACAGCTATTCCATCGCTGCCACCTAACCCCAACGCAACGACGTACCCAAGTGACGGAAAGCTCCATGACGCTGAGCCTGCTCCGTACGTACCGGCTGGAGGAGTTGGCACCAACGGTACTCCGCCCGTCTATAACGCAAAGAGTGACTTTGACTATGAATCCTTGGTATGTTTCTTGCATTGCCTAGCGATAAAGAGCCATTCATGCTAACAAGTTATAGGCACTTGCACTCTACCAGGAATGGATTGAATTGGATCTGTTCCACAATGGCCTGGCAAAGTTCTCTGTGGAAGACTTCGAGGCGGCCGGTCTAACCGCTGAAGACCGCTTCCTGATTGAGTTTATGGCAGACCAAGAAGCCGGGCACGCCACTATGATCAGCAACATCCTGGGTGCTTCGGCTCCGCAGCAGTGCCAGTACAACTACCCGTACACGAACGTGCGGGAGTTTGTCGACTTTTGCCAGAAGCTCACCCGTTTCGGTGAATCGGGTGTCTATGGCTTCCTTGGCCATCTTGACTCCCGGGAAGCCGCAACGCTCTTGCTGCAGTCAATCACTACGGAGGCCCGTCAGCAGATGATTTTCCGTCAGTTTGAAGGTCTATTCCCGATGCCAGTCTGGTTCGAGGTTGGCGTGCCCCAGTCCTGGGCTTGGTCTCTCATCTCGCCCTACATCGCTTCGTGTCCAGCCAACCAGACCAGATTGGCATGGCAGAACTTCCCAGCCCTCTGGGTGCTGAACCAGCCTAACCCAGAGCGCATTAACGGCACATCCGGTTTCAACGAGACCATCAGCGCTGGTATGAACACCATGAACGCAACGGTTCCCAACAGTGACTCGTGTCTCAATGCCACCGGCGTTGGTACGAACTGCGGCCCTGCTATCACCCACAACCGCACGATTCCTCTATCCTACCCTGGACGCCAAGTTTTCTTCGAGTGGGAGACTCCTGGTAAGGCCGTCGGTCCCAACAATAGCTACATCACCTCATCACAGGCTGGAGCTCCCAAGTATGTCGTCTGGGCGACGCAGCTGAACGTAACCTACTCTGCTCTTGTTCTCAATGGTAGCAACTCCACTGCGGGTTGGACCCTCCAGCCCAACGTGTCGACCTACCAGGGCGATCCTGCTATCAACGGAACCATGTTTGTTGCCATCACTGACGACAACCCATTCCTGACGCCCTTCAACTTCAGCTTGATCAACCCTCACGTGGTGGCTGGTCCTGCTCTCTACCAATCTGGTTAAAGAGACTTGGCGGACAACGCCGCGTCCTGTGGCGTTGAACGCGCTCAGTAACGCTGATATGATGGAAAACTGGTCTATGCTACTAATCTGTACAGAAGGAGTTCTTAATCTCCGCTACAGGCCCACTCTATAATGTATGATAATTTCACCTAGTGATTAATGCGGAATAATCATGCTCCAAGTGCAATAATCTATATCCACCAGCCTCTCTTAAAAGTAAACGGTAGATTCTTCCGGGTGAAAAGAGCAGCAGTCTGGTGATATTGATGAGGTCATCATCGCTTATGCATTGTTGCAATATTTTATTTCAGCCGGGAGACTCGTAGTTTATGGCCGCTACCAAACAGGGTCCGGCTGGATCCGGTGTGGCAAAGAAGCCATGGGTTGGATGAGCGAGCTGCAGGGAACTGGGCAAAGTCAATTCGGATATCAACTGGTTTCAGGCAGACGCGCACAATCAACCTTCTAGATAGATGGAAAGAAAAATTGTTGAATGACATGCATCATAAATTCATAATACATAGTTAGTTAAAATTAATACTTCCGACATCCCGTAACGCCGCCGAATGCCGGAATGCCAAGGAAGCTTCTCGATCTAGTTAGTACTGTAAGAGTTAACCCGCCAGAGCTTAACTTTATCGCCAAACACGATAATGATCTGATCACCACCTGGTCTGGACCAACTCGTGAGCTTTTTTCAACCAGGGAAAACAGAAACAATAACCTGTGATGGACGCTCCACGGAACCGAAAACAGCGTCGAGCTGCTGCTAAAGAACCAGACTCCTTCGATCCGTCCTCCATCCCTCTGGCGCGACCGCCACCCCCGAGCCAGAACCAGAGGACGAAAACGCTCTTGGAGATCGCCGAGGAGAGGCAGCGGGAACTGTATCGTCTACATGGCCAAGATAATTCACAGGAAACTGGAGAGGGAAACGGAACTGAAACACAAAGGGGGAAGCAGGCGCAGTTCATGCGGATAGGGCCCGATGGAAATCTCGTTCCTGTGCCTTCTTCTTCGTCTTCACCAAATGATAATGATAACGACGAAGATGCGACTGCAGACCCTGATGACGCCATCTCGCCCTTCATCGATACCCTTCTCCTCTCGATCCCGCTCTCCGCCATGCATCTCACACTCTCATACCTCGCTGCGCATCAGTATGCGCAGGATATACCCGTGAAGAAACTCGTTAACGAATCGGTCTTCGCTGCGTTGCCCGTTCTCACGTTCCTGATCCATCTTTCTCACGGACATATCATCTCCTTTGGGAAGACAGATAGAGGCTCGAAGCAGCCCCCGCGTCTATCTGATTTGTCCTTTTCATCGATCTGGAAATTAATATTTCCACCTACGTTGCGCACACTCGTGTTCCTACCGCTGGCGGTGGCCCTGGGTGCGAAGCTCGTCGCACTGACGAATGACGCGGGATATTATGCCGTGATGAAGAGAGCTCCGTCCATCGGGACACTCTGGGTGTGGTCTGTACTCGAGCTGTCTGCCGGGGCAGCAGCTATTGGGGTCATAGTCCCTCTCGCATGGGGTGTGTGGTGGATGGGATATACAATCATTTAGCGTGTAGTCGCTTGTTACGACATAGCGTTCATAATTTCTGCGTTGTATACGGAGTTCAAATGCTTGGAAACTAATCAATCATAAGGGTGGCGCTTCGCGATTATCTGATGGTGTTGAGGAATATATCGCCGACTTTTCGTATTTGGGATTACCCTCGAGTACTACAACAAATCGGGGTTTCCTCTCTTCGGGCATCGTATATCCTGTTTGATTCATGTCGGCTTTCTCTGAAGCATTGCGGGTGTTTACAACGGGGATATCAAAAGCAGTGATTTGTTTCTCCGTTCATTGAATGTGAAGTTCATTTCTCGACGGATCTACCATACCAAAAAAAAGCTACGCCTCTGCCCGTATCCTCATCCCTCTCTCTCTCTCTCTCTCTCATTGATTCATCGCTGCTCTCTGCAGTGCCATCATTTCCTACCTTTTTCCTTACTGAATTCCACTTTATCGAAGTGCGAGCACCCTACCCAATGCAGATGACGGTATCGCCAGTATAAACACATTTCGCAGCCCCTGATTATACGTATCAAGCAGTACTGGCAGTTGACTCGGGTTGATCTATTTCCGCACATCAGTCGCGCTGGCAGAGAAGACGCGACTCAAGTCCAGGCGCCAGAAGATTACGGATCATGGCACTTCCGATGGAGACGAAATGGCCCCTGAGAGGTTCTGAATGAGAAATATCAAGGCGGTTCCAATGGGCACCTCCTCTGCAGGTAGAACTGTCTGGATTGTAAGGAAGTACTGCTGGACTGCCGTGCCGAAACCGGGGCCTGCGATGATCTCGTACCCGATCTATCGACCGGCAGAAATATCTACATGCACGGTGCATAAGTAGTAGGCCTGCACCAACAGCGCCCACTGCGGGACCTGTCAAGGCTGGAGGATTGTAGTTAGTTAACTAGTTAGTTAAAAGCTTGTCTTAGTCACAATAACGCCGGCGAGGACGGCGGCGAGCGAGGAAGTTCATTACGGCGTAAGAGATCAAATTGATGCTAGATTGCAGGGGACTTGCATCCCGAGTAGTCTGAAACCAATACTTACGGCAAGTAGTAAACAACAAGAAGCGTACATAGCTCCTCCAAGGCAAATCGCCGCCACTAAGCAGGCCGGCGCGGTCCTTTCTATCATGAAATGCAGCGGGAGAAGCGAAGCTTCTCCACGTTGTTAATTCTGCCATGCCAGGAACAGAATACTCTCGGCCCCGAATCCGACTACCGCAGGCCGATACTTAGTCCGCGAGCTATTTCAGGGATGGATATGTCACGCCACCCCATTGCATGGCGAGGAGCAGCATGACTACTGCGGTGATTATCAGGAGATTTCCAAGGAGATCTAGCCCAAGTAGTCGCTTAGAGAACGGTTCACGGATGCGTTCATTATTCTTGCGCAGATGGCCGATAAGAAGCAGGAAAAGAGATATACTGGATAGTAGATACTAAGTAGTGGTTGCTGTTCCGTTGAGGATGTAGTGTCTGTTAGGGAAACAACTTGGTCCCATTCACCATCCCCAGGGTGACGGTGATGTCGATATACCTTTTTCTCACCTCTTTCTGGCTTATAGATTTTTCCGTCATGTTTGTCGAATCATCCATATTATAAGAACTCAAAAAGTATATAAAGATCGATAAGAGCTAAATAGGCGTCAGATTAGGATTTTCCTACAAATGTTTGTCGAATCTGGCCTGAACTAAACTCCATAGAACAAGGGATACTTGAACAACTCTCTTCGATAGGACGATGCACAAGTATGTGGTGTGGGATGCGACATATACAAGTTGTAGTTAGTGATACAGCTTAGCCAAGTTGTCGTATTGTATCACCATTGGCACACACTATTCACGCTCGTTGATGTGTTCCTGTGTGCGACTTCACCTGGAGTAACTAGCGGGAACTGCAGATCTCAGAATGTGCTAGCTAATAGCACTAACTTTACTGTTTCGAACTACTCAATGAATGTTGTACTGTACTTGGTTCCTATATGGTCTGGTGAATAGTAAAAAAGGACTGTACCACTTTTACTTACGCTACTTGATTTTGGTAACACAAAGCTCTGATAAATCATGAAGAAGTCCCGGGTGCCACATCAGGAGCTAGACACATCTCAAGGGCCTCTGGATGAGATTTGTGACAGTGTATACCGTTGAGTCATAACCTTGTGAGGCATCGATTGAGATGTACACGTTCAATATTAAGATAGAAGTATGCTAAGTCACGATCCCAAACATCCGGTACCTACAACACTTTCCTTCGCCTCACCTCCACCAACAGATCGGTTCTGGGATCAAGCATTGTCAATGCTGGCTTCTCGACCGCTGGAAGAGGCACCTTCGTCTCACCAGCCGGTCGCATATCAAATCTTGACAATGCGATTGCAACAAAACGGGTGACCTCTCTCTTGGCGAGGAACCGTCCTGGACATAACGTCTTTCCACCGCCAAAAGGTGCAAAGGCCTTAGTAGACTCCAGATTCTTGTCTCTCATCCAGCGCTCTATGTTGAATTCATCAGCGTCAGGACCGAAGATCCTTGGTTGCAGATGCGTCATTCGCAGAGGACCAAGGACTTGAGTCCCGGGGCGGATGGTCGTGTTGCCGATGACTGTCGTACGGATCGTGTTGCGGGCAACGGTGCCATTGCTGTACAGACGAAGGGCTTCAAGCCATACTGCATCGAGTGTTGGACAGCAAGAAGAGAGCTCTGTGAGATCAAGTGAGCCATCTTGACGGCGAAGAGATGATACTTCGCTGGTAATTGTCGCCTTAAGGGCCGGGTCACAGATGATGTGTGCGAAAACCCAAAAAGCCATTCGAAATGTATTGAAATTGACGCTGGTTCAGAGTGTCAGTCCAAAGATTCCGACTAAGGGGTTAATACGGATTGTGAAGTTTGTAACGTACGCCCAGAGCATCAAAATACCAATTGAAGCAGTCTCTTGAACTGAAAACCCCAGGCGTTGCTGCTCACTCTGCATCCGATTGAATAGCCAACTAATGCGCGGTCGTTCCTCTTCTGGGCGCGAGTAGTATTTGACAAAGGCATCAACTAGCTTGTCTCGGGCCTTGTTCAGATCTCTGCAGAAGATTCTAGGAACTTGGTGTGGGATTTTCCAGCTTGTGTTATCCCACTGCACGTAATGCTCGACGAATTGGGGGTCAATATTCAATATCTCTGGGCCTATAAATGTCATGCAGGCTGCATCAACAAGTGTGTACCGACAAAAGCTATATAAACTCAGTGATTTTGTTCCGTGCTCTGGATCTTCGGATATGAGGTATCTGGGTGTTGACAACTTGTCCCAAATCAACAACTTATCGAGGTATTCTAGGAGAAGCTTTTCGGCAGCCTTAGCCCTTTCACCACCTTGGAACTGCTCCTTGATCCATTCGTCTTGAATATCAATAAAGCGCTTATCCAATGGATTCTCTTTCACGAAGAACGGGGCCTCATTTTCATCTTCTTGGTTGCGCTTATAAAGACTCGCTGGTCGTTCAAGGAACATGAGGCTGTAACTCGCTTCTCGCAGGCCGATTCCTGCGAACGTATTCTGCATGTAATGGTCGAAAGACAGTGATTTTGTGTCTCTCCATACAGCTAGAACATCATTTGTGTTTCGAACTATGAGGAAAGTACGGCCACCAATTCTAAGCGCATATGGGTCATCTCCTTTAAAGTACCGACTTGATTATGAATGTGCACGTTAGCAGATTATTACGGATGAACTCTCCGCAGAGTATAAGGTTACTTACTTCGCATTTCGTATAGTACCTTCCGGGTTTATCAGGAAACTGAGTGTATGGCCTGCTCGAGAGGAAATAGCGGCTGTTAGCTTCCCTCCTTTATGAGATGTAGGTAGATATATAATTTCATTACCGAGTAAAGGAACAAAATATGGAAAGACCAACGGCTCATTAGGCCAGATCAGTGGGATAATGGTAAACTTCCAAACTCTCCAGCAGAACCAGATTGTTAGTATGGAAATAGTCACGGTTGTATCGAATTCGCAATCTCCAAGGTGCTGCAGGCTTTGCAGAGCGCTATGTAAGGCGGAAAATATCATAGCGTCTATAGTAGAGTGTAAAATGAGACTGTCGATCACTTAGTCAATGAGATGCCTTTCTCTGCGACGAACATTTATCAGCACCCGGTCCTTCCTCTAGTAAATAACTGTCAGTCGGGTTCTACAGTTTTATGGCACTCCCGCGATGTTTCTTCTTCAACTTGCTTTGTTTCAGCGGGCACTTCCACCCATATGTTCGTCCAAGCCCTAGAGCAACTGTGGTTGGACTATGATGGCATATTCCGACTCTATAGTCTCACAAGCTTCCAAAAACATGTTTTCGTGATTACACAAAAATCTATATTTAGTGCTACATACAGTACTCCTTGAGCGGAATCTGCCTTACCCTGCGACATTTGCACACCATGTCTCCGCTCCCAGACTCTAAGGAGATTCCCCTCATATCCAGGCTGAGTGGGTATCATGTTATTGCTCACCTAGTATAATGCCCCCCCCCCCTCCACCCCAAGAGGTATATCTCCGCTTTCTGTGCTTCTTAAAGTTCCGGCACTGGTGGTGATAATTGTCGATTGTTCGATACAATGTCTTTTCCATTTCAACTTGAGAATCTACAGCTTCTGCACATCTTTTGGCCGCAGCTGGGAGCTATTCTGGCAATTCTCTATTTGCTGTGGCTGAAAATAGTGCATTATATCAGGCTAAGACATATTCGCGGCCCATGGTGGGCAGCCATCACTAGAATTTGGATGTTGGGAGCACTAGCATCTGAGGATTCATCGAACATTTATATCCGTGTCAATCGCAAGTATGGTTCGTATCTATGTTTCTCCCAGAAAAAGCTGGCTGTGTTCTCACATCCTCAAGGACCTCTAGCTCGAATTGGGCCAAACCATCTCCTTCTTAGCGATCCAGACAGCATCCGCACCATTCTCGCGGCACGGTCACGCTATACTCGAGGACCATGGTATGATGCTCTGCGGATTCACCCTCATAGGGCGAATCTGATTACAGAGCGAGATGAACGGAAACATCAGAAGCTCCGTCACCAGATGGCTGCAGGTGTAAGTTGTCTAACTGTCGTTTGACGCACTATGGTCTGGCCAGTTGACCCTTGCAGTATAACGGAAATGATATTCCAAGCCTAGAACCTACGATAGACGAGAGAATCCATGAATGGCTGACGTACATTGACTCTTTTGGCATCTCTACATCTTCCTCAACCGTGAAGTTTGATATAGCTCGAAGCCTGCAATATCTGACTACCGATATCATATCCCACTTATGCTTTGGAGAGCCCTTTGGTTTTGTCAAGACTCATGATGATGTCTATGGATTTCTGGCAACTCTGGAATCTCGGCTTCCTATTGTGGAAAAGTTCTCTGTGGTGGTCGAGCTAAGCAGTCTATTGTCCGCGCTATCATATATCCCTTATTTCGAGCACTGCGTGCTACCCCAACCGACAGATGAAAATGGGTTAGGTAAGATACTTGGGGTATGTTCACTCGAAGTCACAGTCCTATAAAGTGGTGCGTATACTTACGCTACTAGCAGATATCGAAGAGGGTAGTAGATACACGTTTTGAACCTAATTCTATTTGCCGGACGGATATTCTTGGATCTTTCTTGAAAAACGGAATCTCTAGGAAGCAAGTGGAATCCGAGATCACAATCTCGTTGTAGGGGCTTTCTATTATCCCACTACCAATCAAAGGTTCAAGAGCTGATTGATCTACCAGATTTGCAGGTTCAGACACTACGGCCAGCGGTCTTCGCGGTACCTTACTTCACATCGTAACTAACCCGAACGTCTATGCAAAACTAAAAGCTGAAATCGATGAGGCTGTTTCCAAGGGCTTAGTTTCATCACCCACACAAGCGCACGAAGCGGCAAAGCTTCCATACCTCCAAGCATGCATCAAAGAAGGCCTACGTATCTTCCCACCGATCACTTCTCTTCGCGAACGTGTAGTTCCCCCAGAGGGAGACACTATTCTAGGGAGATTCATACCTGGTGGGACTAACATCGGGATTAACATGGCTGGCTCGTTACTAAGCGACATATTTGGACCTGATCCAGATGTCTTCAGGCCAGAAAGATGGTTAGAAGCGGATTCGACGAATTTGGCGCAGATGGAGCGGGTCCACGAGCTTGTATTTGGTCATGGGGCAACGCGATGTCTAGGGATTCGTATCGCGACAATGACTCTCAATAAGGTCTTCGTTGAGGTATGGATTAAGCTTATTCTTGGTCATTTTGCCGTTCAGGGGAAAGTTGTCCTTTGCTAATCCCAGACCTAGCTTTTACGCCGCTACGAAATATCAGTCACAAACCCAATCAATCCTTGGAAGAGCCGATGTCATGGGATCTTCTTCCAGCGAGATTTCTGGATTCGAATCACACTGAGAGAGAACGACTCAGCGCGTAAATGTTCTCTATCATTGCAGAACAATCAGCTGTGATATGTGGAGGGCATGCTTTGAAGCAAGTCAGTCTTATATTTTTCCCGGCTGTAAAGCTTGCCATCTCACTCGTGTTCATACTACCGCTTCATATTCACTGATAATATGTATTCCTGTTTGATACTCCTATGTAGTCTAGGTGCTTAAGTACATACATAATCTGTCATTGTGGGTTTCCCCAGTGTGACTTGCGGTTGAGATTTGCTTTTTCTCCATTTACCTTGCCTTACCCGCGATCTTATCAAGCTATCGGCTAAAGTTGTTCAATGTCGGTCTGGGCCGGTGTATGTATATGATACATCCTATAGCAAATAAAGATAATGTCGTGATCCGTACCGACTACTACGTGCTCGCGTGATTAATGCAAAGCCACTGTGCCGCGTCCGCTGTCCACGCATCACCAACCGCCAAAGAGAACCAGGTTGGCAGCCTGAATTTACAATTGGCTACTCCAGAGACAACCCTAGAGATACTCCATGTATGTGACTTTGATGTGAGCTATTGACCGACATCTCACGCTGATCCCTCTCTCTAGCAGTTTATTACAGAATATCGCGGCGGGATCTCGATAGATCGCTGTTTCAGCGCTCTTGGCAGCAGGAAACGCTGCGGGGAATAAAACACAATATTAGGGTCTAGTTTGCGGTTCAGACCATCGCAACATACTCCGTACACGACGCGGATAGATCTTACTTCGATAGTATGAGGCGGCTATTGCTGCAGTACTGCGCTATGTACTGAAAATAGATTTCTAAGTGCCCGCACCGATTCCCGTATCGGCCGGCCAACCAACGGGAAAAATCGTATACTATATTCATGCATCGGGCAGAAATAACTAGGATGTTGGCTCTTCGGTCTTTCGAGTCGTTAATCTCGATTTCGTCCGTCGCTGGAAGCCTGTCATCGCGTGGTCTGTATCAGCCCCGAGCTCACCCTTAACAGGAGAGCGGGCCCGCTCTGAGCCCTTGCGCAGGGCATCTACCGAACTAAATAGAGAAAGACTGTACGAGATCGAATATCTGGTACAAGCATTGCTCCGCATCTGGTGTGGGTAGGAGAGCCACCGTATATGCTTTCTTTCCGCGGAGGGGAAATACGGCGGTGGAGATAGGGAATTATTTTCACCTTCAGTTCTTCTCACAGACTACTGTAGGTGCTAAGTTGTTGTGAGTCTCAGCAGCCCTCTTTACTGGCATGGTCAGGAAGATCTATCTTGGCCTGCCCCAGGTAAGCTTCTACTACATGTTGGATCACCCTAGGACACTTGGTAACTAAGTACCGTGACCATAAATTAGAATGCTGAAGTGGGGTTATACTCCTTTACCTGGCCCTGATAATGGATACGCCAAGTCTAAAGAAGGAAATCCACAGCTTACTATGTCTTAGCAAGTCCCATTATTCTCCGCAGAATATCATGGCACCTAGTCCGTCCGTTAAATCTTTCCTTGGCAGCTTGACATGATACAAAAGGATGGTATCTGCGTGGGTAGCTCTCTGGCGTCCTGTTCTGTGATCATATTCAGTTCTAATTTGCATTGCAGTTTCTACTGTGTTGTTGTTAAAGCATGGCACTTATATCGAAGAGCCTAGTATGTTGTCTGTTTTTGATGTTTGGCCAGCTCGTCAGCTCAGTTACTGGTCTAGAGCTGTCGGTGTCAACTTCTGGAGGCAACGAGTCGAGTTCGATTCTCTATGGTCTTATGTTTGAGGTATATTATATTATTTTCCTCTCTGTTTACTGTCGCTGAGTGCTATTTTACCTTGACAAATTTGTGGCATAATTTATTCTGTTATCTACCGATTACTAGCTACTTTACGCTTTCACGGTTACAGAGCACCTCCGAACTCATATCAGAGAATTGACTGCGTTAAGGACTATCAACATTCTGGAGACGGCGGTATCCATGGCCAGCTTCTGCAGAATAATGGCTTTCAGGGCCCAAACATAACTTTGGTGGCATATGATGCCATTGGAGACGCAACATTGGCTGTAGATACCGAGAACCCCTTATCAACAGCTATCACGCGGTCACTAAAGGTTTCGGTACCTGAAGGAGCCTCGGGAGAGGTGGGCTTCTCTAACGCAGGATACTGGGGCATTCCAGTCAACGAGGACGAGTACTGGAACTCCTTCTATATCAAAGGAGACTACAATGGACCAATCACGCTTCGTTTAGTCGGTGCTGCTAGTGGGACAGTGTACGCGTCCAACACGATCAACGTCGTCAGCAACAGTTCGGAGTTTTCGTATATCGAAACAAAATATACAGCAAATCAGGCTCCAGATGGAAATAACCTGTGGACTTTATCATTCAATGCTTCTAGTGTTGCTGGCAGCGAGCTATATTTTGATTTATTCCAACTTTTCCATTCTACGTTCAACAACAGGTGAGTATATCGCATTGTCAGCTGTTCTGGGAATCTGATATACTGACACCTTCTCAGGACTAATGGACTAAAACCCGGTATTGTTGATGTTTTGACAGGTCTTAATCCATCTTTTCTGCGCTTTCCAGGAGGGAACAACCTGTAAAGTTTTGGCTACTGACTGGATCCCGGGATATTTGAATGACTGACGTGAGATAGTGAGGGATGGACTCCTGATTCACGTTGGAAGTGGAATGAGACGATTGGTCCATTGACGGACCGTCCTGGTCGTAATGGTTCATGGGGTTATACGAATACTGATGCCCTTGGTGAAGTCCTCGCATGATAACATTCTTTATGGTGCGCTAACTACAAAAAGGTCTCAATGAATATTTCCTTTGGGCTCATGACATGAATTTGGTGCCGCTTCTCGGGGTCTGGGATGGTTTGTCATTGAATGGCCCTATTATTACCGGCGATGCCCTGGATCCCTACGTTGACGATGTTCTCAACGAAATAGAGGTATTCTCACACACCTTGTCTCTGCTACATGTAGATAGCGTTGGTAGTGACTGATGCAGTACATCATCGGGGATACGAGCACAACTTATGGTGCTCTACGCGCCTCTCATGGATTTCCCGATCCGTGGCCCTTAACACATGTAGAGATCGGTAACGAGGACCATCTACACAACGGCGGCCCTACCTATGCAGAGCGCTTCACGGCCTTTTACAATGCTATCAATTCTGCCTATCCACAACTCACCATTATCACTAGCACACCGCTATACCTACCAGACCCGAAACCTGCCGGAATATGGCTCGACTGGCACCTGTATTCGACTATGGGGTATATGGTCGAACAGTTCAACAAGTTCGACAACGTCGACCGCGCTTTTCCGTGGGTAGTCACCGAGTACGCCTGTACTAAGTGGAACAATGGCACGAACGTACCTTATCCGATCATGCAGAGCTCCGTTGCGGAAGCAGTCTTCATGATTGGCATAGAAAGGAACAGTGATATAGTCAAGATGGCAGCCTATGCACCGTTACTTCAGCTGGAGAATTATACACAATGGACAGTGAGTTTCTCTCGTTTTTCTCTTTTTGTTGTCCTCGCCGTGGAAGGTATGTTAAAAGTGTCTGACACTTACCAGCCAAACCTCATCCCTTTCAACCAAAACCCGAATAGTATTATCAAGACCACGAGCTACTACGTACAGCAGCTCTTTTCCACCAACCGGGGTGCAACCATTTTGCCCGTTACATCAGACGAGGGTTTCAATCCTGGTAAGAACCCCCGTTCATCCGTCTCGCTGTCTCTGCGAGGTTCAATCGCTTTTCGAGACTGACATGACGCAGTTTATTATGTCGCCTCTCTATCATCAGACAACAGCACTTACTATGTCAAGTTGGCCAACTATAATGGTACCGCGCAGGACGTCAACATCACTATCGACGGGGCTTCCTCGGGCAAATTCACTCTCCTGTCTAATGGCTCACCACTTGCAACTAATGACTTGACCGAGACACAAATCACTCCCCAAACGAGCTCTGTCGAGGCAACTGATGGTAAATTCCAGGTTCACCTTCCCGCCTGGACTGTGGCTCTTTTGGCAGCTAGCTAGGTTGGAGTGTCCTGAAAGATGCGATATATATAATCGGTTACCCACATGTTTAATTTATTTGTTTTATTACTCTTCGTGGTTATGATCACCAGCAGAATACATCCCTAACCACTTGCATACATTCGATTCTAGATACCACATTTACTACCTTTACCGTCTACCCCATTAGCTATTCAAAGAACGCACGAAACAAATCCACCGTAATCAAACATCTTCATACCAAGCACCATATGTAGCTTCAACAAACACAATCCCGGACCGTTCTATCATCCAATGGGGTCGTGGTTTAGTGGTATAATGCATCCTTAGCATGGATGAGGTCCGGGGTTCGATTCCCCGCGACTCCATTACCTTTTTGCGCTTTCTCTGTTCATTCTAAACGGCGCAGAAATTTTTCCTTTTCTCCCTTTTTTTTTTTTTGGTGAAATGGCTTCAGTCCGGTCCATTGCGGGAGTGGTGTGGATCCGGCCGTAGTCCGGTTATGCCAAGTGATGGGGTTAAGGGCTACGGTCACACGTGATCTGTTATTTTCTCGCCTGCGGTTGAAAGATTGTTTCACGCATAGGTGTGCATGGGCTGCGTGGAAGTAAAAGGTAGTCTAGTAAGTACTCTATGGTAGTAGTGGACTGAGGAGCCTTCTAGCTAGCAGATTTAATCATATAGTCTATATCTCTCCCAGAATTGCAAAACTCCCTGTTTCCGTAACAAGTAAATACCGGAACAGTTTTACCACCGCAAACTAATCACCAAAAAGAAAGCACTTGCTATAATCGAGCGAGCCCTTTTGCCTGTCCGCCGCTAAGGAATATGTATATCTTCTTCAGCATCGAGAGCCATGCTCAAAAAATGAATGCGACAAGTATAGGTTTTTCAAAAAAGCAAAAAGTAATGGAGTCGCGGGGAATCGAACCCCGGACCTCATCCATGCTAAGGATGCATTATACCACTAAACCACGACCCCATTGGATGATATATTACGTCAGGTAGGAGTGATTTATCAAGAAAAGAAGGATTTCATATTGTCAGAAGACGCTAGTAATTTATTTTACGCATGGTATGGGATGCTGCTGTTTAGGAGGGTACGTTCTGGGTCTCTGTCTTGGGTCCGTGATATGTTTTTCCTATTGTACTGGATTCTTGTATAGCATTCATAACCGGGATCCTAGGGTTAATGCGATACGTTGGTGTTTTACTGTGATGGGTCGAACGTTTAAACATAATTGGATCTTTGGAATGTATCTCATCTATGAGTGTTCTGATAATCCATAGCCCTGTTGTCTCCAAAAATGCCCATATTCCAACCAAACGCAAGATTAGACCAACCTAAAAGAACAAGAAAAAAGGTAAAGAACATTACGCCTTAACAATATCAAAGCCCTTGAAACTAGGAAGTACTTCTCTGATCTCTGTCAGGTACGGCATCATGCCACCGGCATAGTTGACCTGCTCGAACGGTTTCCCGGGGACACTGCCACCCATGAATGTAGAACGGGTGGTTGGGAAAAGAGTGATGTCAGAAAGGTGGTTGATGTGCTTCTTCCATTCCTTGGCGGATTCGGGCGTTGGGTTTATATACTTGATGCCTTGACGCTCCATTAGACGGATGGCATCGACAATCCAGCGACCTTGGACTTCAACGCTCGTCGGACCGTTACTGAAGAGAGTCGGACCCTGAGCTCCGTACAGGTGGAACATGTTCGGATAGCCGCTCACGGTCGTTCCTAGGTAGGTATAGGCGCCAGATTTCCATTCGTCCTCAAGGTTTGTGTTGTTGATACTGCGGAGACCCATCTGGGTCATGCTGCCAGTGGTGATATCAAAGCCCGTGGCAACACAGACAACGTCTAATTCGTGCACGGTGCCATCGGCCAGTTCAATGCCAGTTTCAGTAAACCTCTTGATCGGATTGTTTTTGACGTCGACGACATCCACGTTTGGGCGATTGAACTGTTCGAAATAGCTCTCTTCTAAACACGGGCGCTTGATTCCGAATGCGTGTGGTGGCTCCTCGGGAGCGAGGAGTTCGCGCTTCTTAGGGTCTGCAATTCTGGCTCGTGTCTTCTTGGCCCAGAAGTTGTATATTTCTCTGTTGGCTTTGAGGTCAAATAAGTAGTCCTTGTAGTTAGCCAACCAGAAATGGAATCCACCGTCTTCCCATATCTTTTCGAGGAAAGCTTGTCTCTCTTCTTCGGTGTCTTCGAAAGTATTCCGCTCGCAAAAGTGGTATGTAAATCCTGCAAAGCATTTCTCCCGTAGCTCAAAGAGTTGCGGGTAATGCTGCTTGCAGTGCTCTTGTTCTTCCACTGTAAGGTTCCTCCGACGCAAAGGGACAGCGAGATTGGGAGTTCGCTGATACACCTTGAGCGAACCGGCAACAGGTCCCCATGCTTGCGTGACCTGGACGCCAGAGGCGCCTGTACCGATGATGCCGCAGCGTTTTCCACGGACATCTACACCCTCTTCGGGCCAGAATGATGAATGGTGGATAACGCCTTTGAACTTATCCATGCCTTCATATTCGGGGATGTATCGCTTCGCGGAGAAACCAGCCCCGATAACCAGATATTTCGCCTTAGCAGTTCTGCCGTCGGCAGTTTTTACATGCCAACGGGCCTCGTCCAGATTGAATTCGGCCCCCACGACCACGCTCTCAAATGCGCAGTCCTTCTTGATGTCGAGGACTTTTGCGACATGGTCGAAGTAGGCCCGCAACTCCTTGTAGCTTGGGTAGTTCGTGCTCCACGTCCAATCCTTGTAGGTCTCCGGGATCGAATACTGGTACTCCGGAACTTCGGAGTCAACAGCAGCTCCAGGGTAGCAATTCCAACGCCACGTGCCTCCGAGATCTTTGCCAGCCTCGTATATGACCGTCTTGAGTCCGCGTTTCCGTAACTCATACAACATGAAAACTCCACTAAAACCCCCACCTACAACTAGGGCATCGACTTCAAGGTTGTCCGCGTAGGGTCCGGTCGTATCCCTCCGGTTCGCGTATTCCTTAAGTTCGGATCGCATAATGACGAGTGGGGCGAGAATCGGACGATATCGGGCGAGTGTATAGATTTGTGGTTTGACTGTGATATTATTATTGTTCGGTCTCAATCCCTGAAGCTGAGATACCAGCTTTCCATCTCAAATATATATCCTACCGGTCGACCTGGACCCCAGATTGTCGCATTGTACTTTCCCCGCAAATGCTTCCACCTCATCAGCATGATCACTCGGATAAAGGCCCAGGGAATACTTGAGAGAGCCGCATTCGGTCACACAGAATGTCTATGACACAAAGGCCACCACGACTGCCATCTCCGCAAAATCGAATCAGTGGAACTCAATGTATTGGCCTGGAATCCGGGGTTGCGGATCCGCATCGGTCCATGATGGTTTTCTTGAACCGCTTCCCATCTATATGTCACGTGGACCGTCCATGATCGGCGTTGCCATTTTTCAGAACTTCACAGAACTTACAAACCCAAGAACTCGTCGATATCTGTCTCAAACAGTAACTTCCTGGAGACGAAGTTTGGCAGTATGCGGTTCCGGCAATATCCAGATCCCCGCAACTAAGGAGCTTGAGACTTCAACGACGCCGGGATCGCCATTCCTATTTGACCGGGTTGATGTTCATGAGAACCGAAACGCGGGGTTTCTCCAGGATATAACTCCACTTGATGCGGAGATCATAACTAGGACCATAGACGTTCCTAGGTGACCGTTGCCACCCACGCCTTGTCCTGGCCTCGACAATCCTAAAGGACGACAATCTCTCAGTTATGAGCACCTTGATGGCTGTTATCACGGGCAATGGAATATACACAACCCCCGTCCAATGTTGACGCCACTGAGTTATATGTTGGTTGTCAATTGTAGCGCTGGCGCCAGCAATCCGATAGATACCCATCATCCCAATGCACCGATAGACTTCAATGGCAGAAAAGCCTTGTCTTAATCCCTGTGTTGAACCCCTGTTGGCAGATCTGGAGCGTGGCCTCCCTACGATCCAGCGACATGGCTTGTAGCTCTATCCTGAACTCGAAATAAAGCCCGCATAACGGTGGGTCATCTTGTTTTCTGCTCCGCATGCCCAGAGCTATTCCTGAAAGATCCATAGCACCGGGAAAAGGGGAGCATATTTGCAGAGTAATGAGGGGTCGGCCTTGTATGCGGACCGAATCCATGCGGACATCATAAACGTTAGATAACAGGGCGCACGATCTACCGTACCTCCAAGCGCTTGGCTGATTTACAGAGGCTTTAGGAGCAAGTAGTCTCCAAAACAAGGTGCACTGCCCTCAGACGATGGCTCAATTCGGCCTGGTCTCACGATATCGTGAGCGGAAGAAGGAGCTGCCTCAAACCATATAAGATATCCTATCGCTCCCCTTCCATTATCAAAGATGTTTTTGAAGAGAAAGAGCTTTTCTTGGAAGAAGCCCTTACGATTTTTACGCTCCTCGCCCACAATGGGAACCCTCTCAGCTTCCACCGTCGAAACCCTCCAGCAGAAGATCGATGCTGCTTGCGCTGACCAGGAGAAAGGCATCCCAGGGACAACTATTGTTATAGTAGGCAAAGATGGGAAGGAAAAGTTTGCATACTCAGCAGGAAAGCGCGGGTATGGAAGTTCCGAGCCCATGACGCTTGACAACATCTTCTGGATCGCATCCTGTACGAAGATGGTTGTGGGGATTGCCTGTATGCAGCTAGTAGAGCAAGGGCTGCTCTCTCTGGACGACTCAAACCAGGTTGAAACACTTTGCCCGGAGCTCAAAGACCTCAAAGTGTTGCAGGATGATGGCACACTGGTCCCCAAGAAAAGAGGAATCACCTTGAGAATGCTCTTGTCTCATACCGGTGAGTCTGAACTCCAGATGATCTGACCAAAGGCATCTCCTGACGATCAATAGCTGGGTTTGGATATACGTTCTTCAATAAGAAACTCCGAGATTACAGCAAGCCAATCGGCTATGACGAGTTTTCCGGTCACATCTATGACATACTGCAGCCTCTGGTAAACCAGCCGGGTGAGGGCTGGGAGTACGGTGTAAGCAATCCGTCCCACTGGCAGAATCTGAATTTCTCACACCCACCAGGTCAGCATCGATTGGGCAGGTATATGCCTCGAGCGTGTTACCGGTCAAACCTTGAACGATTACTTGCACAAGCATATATTCGAGCCCCTCGGCCTCAAGAATATATCCATGTTCCCCACAAAGTCGATGAAGGAAAAGTTGGCATATATGAACAGCCGCGCCCCTGATGGCCAGCTGTCGCCCCGCGATCACCCTCTGCGCAGACCTTTGATTGTCGAAGGAGCGGAAGAGATCAAGAACTGCCTGAATAGCGGAGGAGCTGGTTGCTTTGCCAAACCGCAGGAATACTGCCGTGAGTGCCCCCCCTCGTCGCTGAGACATGCTGGTTGGTTCTGGACCTGACGGGGATGTTCAGAAATCATTGCTGTGTTGCTCAACGATGGTACTTCCCCGACCACGGGTGCGAAACTGCTTCGAAAGGAGACCGTAGATGAGATGTTCCGCAATCAAATTCCAGAGTTCCCCCATTTCGGAACTCAAGGCATTCCAGATTCCAAGCCCGATCTCACCAACCCGATTCCAGACCTCTATCCACTTCCTCCGACCGGCGGACAAGGTTGGGGATTGACCTTCATGCTGACCGGAGGAGCTACCGGTCGATCGACAGGCACCGGCCATTGGGCTGGCCTGCCCAATCTTTGGTGGTGGTGTGACAGAGAGAAGGGGGTCGGTGGCATGGTGTGCGCGCAAATATTGCCATTCGTGGATGCGCAGGTCACGGGCCTGTGGGTTGATATTGAGACCGAAGTATACAAAGCTTTGGCCAGCTAAGGGATCTGAAGCTAGGCATATAGTCAGTAAATACGCCGTTCTTGTTGGCTGTAAACAGTGATTGATTTACTTATTGCTCCGTTCTGACCATCATCGTCCTTCTGCTAGTACTTACATAGCACAACGGGCTAGACCAACATGTAAACACGAACCTTACATGCAAGCTAGATCCTTTGGGAACCGGATTTTTAGCTCGTCTCCAACAAGAACAATAATAACCATCCAAGGGTTTTGAGTTGCGACAAAGTTCCGGTCGTCCGGGTATGGCATCCCGCCTGTCTCGCGGCGGCGGTTGAGATACCCGATACTTTTCTCGAACAGACTCCGACTAATTCTTTTGATAGGCTCAGCTCGTGTCCTTTGCAAGGCTAGGATTCCGATCGCCACTGGGGATACTCGGGCGTTCGTGTCGTTTAAGCCCCTTCCGTCGTGCGGGGCGGAACCAAGAGGAAATGGGCCAGCTAGCGGCGAGTAGAGCGATCTGCTACAGGGCAAACGTTGAAGCCAGAGGGTTGATGCCTTGATGGAGCTGTTCCCGCACATACCCGATGGACACTAGATAGAACAGGGAGAAGTTAGAAGTCGTAAAATCGGGACGTGAGGCTAACCTACCCCAGACTTCCCCGGACTGCGAGAGACGCAAGCGGAGGAGAAGACGAGGCCAAACGCTCAGCTGAACTCCCCGCAACAAGCCCCCTCACCGCTCACCATCCAGTTCATGTTCATGTTCATGTTCGAGTTCGAGTTCATCTGTTCATGCTGGGTAACTCACTCACTTGACTCCCGTGTCCCTGCCTGGTCGCGTGTGACATCGAGGATAACTACCAGTCATTTCTCAACAGAGGATAGATAATCTGCTCCTCGTCGTTGTCCATGGCCCAACTGCCCCCGGCCGACCCCTGCGCGAGCCTCCAGGGGCAACAGATCCTCAGCATCAGGACTTCGCCCAAGGCGCAGTCCGGGAGGGCGGAATTACCACGTCGTCGACAGAATCGGAGCTGTGATCAGTGTCGCAAGGGCAAGAGAGCCTGCGACGCGGCCATCGTGGGGAAGACAGGTTCGCCCACCTCATCGTCGACATCCAGTGGTTCTCCTGACACCGGGGTCCCTGCTGCGGGCCCATGTTCGAATTGCAGGCGATGGAGGAAGGAGTGCACGTTCAAGTGGCTCCATTCAGTACAGACCAAGAGTTCGAAGCGGCGAAGGAAATCTGAAACCGCTCAGGACAGCGCAGAGTGCGAACCGATCGCAGCAGCGTTGAATGAGTCGAACCTACAGATTCCGGGCACCTACGTTGGTCCACCGGCCGATCCCACAGCAAACCACGAGAATCCTTCGCTATGGGAGCAACAAGATCCACTGACCGCGGCCCTGCGATGGCAGGACTCGTCGGACAGCTCAGATCTGTCCGGAAGTAGAGGCCCTGATTCCGTCGAAGATGACATGTCAGTAGTAGAGACAGACGTAATCGGCTTTGCTATCAGGCACGACGAACCGATGCAGCATGAACAGACGATGAGAGGCTATCAAGGTAAGCTTGTTGATCCACCACGTACCTTTGGTAAAGCAGCAACAATAGTGATAAAGCTGTTACCATATGCTAACAATGTCATTATTAGATCTAAATAGGCCTCAATCCTACCCTCCCAATTACGTCTCTGAGGAAGGTGAACACCCGCGTCGTCATGCCTTGCAATCAGAGAGGCATCCTTATCGGAAAAAGACATCGTCGCCGCCAAAGACGGTCAGCGAGCTGCTACACCAGTCAGGAAAACTGTCACAATCTTTCAGTCGTTCTGCAATGACCCAAAATCTTCTTCGAATCTATCGCGACAGCATGGAGAATGCCCTGTCTTGTTGGCTTATAGAGAGAACCTGTCCGTACAGCGGACCAGTCACTTTGAGCGGCAAGAGACCGGACGTTCCTCCGCCGTTTTCTATGAAGTCCGAATGGGGTCCGAATTGGTCGAATCGAATCTGCACACGAGTCTGCCGCCTGGACCGCGCTTACTCGATGATACGCGGGCGGAGTTTGACTTCTACGGAAGAGAAGGCAGCTTCTCGGGCGCTCCATACCTCCATTATGGCCTTTGCTACGCAGTGGACGCAGACAGGTCGCCCTATTGTGGAGGATGGCAGCGCCGATTCCTCAATATCTCCGAAGGGTATCCATCGATCAATCCAGGAATCGTGTTGGAACCAGGCATATAAAGCGCTGAATGATTCAGTCGGTATAGAATCATTTCGCGTGGTCTTTGCTCACATCATTTTCTCTCTCACTCTACGGCCGTTGAACGTGAAGCAACATCTAGAGGCCATGAATGCGCGGCGCTGTATCAGCTGCCAACGGAGACGAAGTTCTGTTAACTTGTCATCCGGAGAACCACCGAGTGACTGTACTTGCGGTGTATCAGACTTTTCAGAGCTGTCGGAGATACTTGACTCTGACAAGGCCCCCCTCTTCCTGGAGACGGCAGTTCGGCAGATGTACACTTATCGACACAAATTGGCAGGGGTCCAGCGCCGTGGCGCCCTAGCTGGTCAACATAGAAGCGGAGGAGAAAGTCCATCGACAATGGATCCTTTCGCACCATTCGCGCCTCCAGAACGGAGAGCGAGCATCGGTGGACCTCCACAGCCGAGCTCACAAACACAAATGGTGTTAAGTGCTACCGATTACGAGACTTTCAACCTACTCTTTTGGCTGGGTATCATGTTCGACACCTTGTCCGCCGTCATGTATCAACGCCCCCCGGTCGTCTCGGATGAAGATAGCGATGTCACCACTGCAATACCTGAAGAGCGAGCTCAGTCCACAGCCATGGAGAATGAAATCGATCTGAACGGATGGAACATGCTTTCTGTGTACGCCGATGCCGGGAAGAAGGGAAAGGAGATATGGGGTGATTTCTTTCTTGACAAGAGACCTGTCACACGCTGGAAGAATATCACCAACTGGCCTTGTTCTTACGAAGAGGCGGCCGAGATCCTGTCTGATGCTGCGCCAGTCAAAGTGCTGATCTACCGTCGCCTGACACGCTTGCAGACGTTGATCTATCGAGGTGCTCCTGCCGAGGAACTTGAGGAAGCAGTTCAGGAGTCACTTCGGGTATATCAGTACTGGAACCATACCTACGGGCGGTTCATGCTAGGCTGCGTCACGCATCACGAGAGCCTTCCACCTCGAGTGCAGTCATGGTACATTCTCCTCGCCGCCCATTGGCATCTCGCCCCCATCCTGATGGCCGATATCTTGGACGGGACAGACAGAGCTGGTATAGGCGTCGAATCAGAGCGAGAATCGAGGCGCGCCACGCACTTTTCCTCTGCCTTGCGAAAGGAAAATGCCTTTGCTGTCTCAGAACTGGCTCGCTGCTGCAGTCATGACCAAGCTTCGTCTTTCTCCAAGGCCGCCGAGTTCCACGATGCGGTTAATTCCCAGGCTCTCCTCACTGAGCCATGGACAGCCGTTCTTATCCGCTCTTTCGCTCGAGCAGGATATATCCTTCTAGACGGTGTCGCTGCTCCGCCCTCGGGTGAGGAACCCCCAAACATCTACCTTGCGCAGCCCGGCATGCTCGAGGAGTCCAGACGACGCTGCCAGATGTGCATCGATGCTCTACGTTGGATAGGCAGAAAGTCAGACATGGCGTTCCTTGCCGCCAGAGCGCTATCCGACAGTTATGAGGCGAGAATCAATGGCGCCCGACGAAGCACCACGTCTGCGGAGATCTCAGAGATCCCATTCCCGGAAGTCGAAGTTCCTGACTACCAAACACACGATGATTGTTCACGCGATGACATTCTATATCCGCTGGTTGGATCTATTGCTGGGTAGGGTAGGGTAGTATAGTTATTTGCTAGCGGTCACCTTGTATCCAGCCGCCATTAATTACCCGTATATACAGTGTATCACAATACAGTGTATCACATGTACTTTCCTTTCGCACGTGGCGGTGGGTTGGTCGCGAGGTGGCGAGGCGGCGTCTCGCGAGGTGGCGAGGTTTTTGTTACCAGTAGATTACTAGTAAATTACTATTTTATATTAAAATTATATTAATATATACTAATAGGGAATAAAATCTAAAATTTTTAAATCTGGCGGGGTGGTAAGTACAGGTAAATCTTATCTCGCGGGGCGGTAAGATTGTAATTGCTGTATTTTATACTAAATATTATTAGTTTTACTAGTAAAGTTTAATTACTATTAAAACAGCTTAGTTGTAAATTACCATTATACCGCCCCGCGAGACCGTGTAAATAACCGTTAGATCTGTATTAAAATTAAGCAAATACAGGCTATTAATCTTGGCTGATCTACTAGTATATACTGGTAGATTTTAAAATCTACAGATACAAGAGACTAAGTATTATTAAAGGCAGAAGATAAAAGGGAGTTAGTAAGTAATGTCTCCTAGAATATACTAGGTATTACTAGTTACTAACCATAATAACTAATTAGAAATATTTAAGATAAATTATAAACTTTTAAAGTTGTAATTATATATATATATAATTATAATTTTAATTTAAATATTCTATTTTAATTTATTTTAATATAAACTAAATATTACTAATATAACTATTAACTAATATATTTATATAGCTCAATCATTTTTTAGAGATATTATAATTTACTGAAATATAGTAGTTATTACTATAATCTAGCAGTCAGGACCAGTAATTACTATAGTAAGCTCACGGGAAATGGTCGGCCCGATAGGAGAGTTCCTATACTAAGCTTAGTAAGCTAAGGGTTTATACAAACAATACAAATATTTTAGCGAGTAAAAAGTTTAAACACACTAAAAAAACTTCTACAACCTTTTTATCTTTAGATATTACTTTTCTTTAGCTATTAATAGTCTTATTAAGACTATTATGGCTTTAGATCTATCTCAAAGACTCCTAGGAGTTATAGAATCTAATAATATTTCTGACTGGAATCAAAAAGATGATTATTCAGTTTATTCTACTGAAACTCCTAATATCTTAGAGATATTAGATGAATTCGAGCGGGAGCCTCAGGATGAAGACTCTGATAACGAAGATCCTTTGAATACGGTATGTTAATTACTATTATATACTAATCTTTACTGTGATAATGTTTATATTACTAATACTATATTATAATATTAGATTGACAACCAACCTACTACTAGTATATCTAGTAGGGAATCTAGTAACCAATTACTAGATCCAGAGGAGTTACATCCAATCTCTACCAATAGTTCATTGGAGATATTACCTTTTTCTAGATCAACCAGTGTTGAACTAGGCACGAAACCGCTTTTTGGTATTTTCAGTCAAGCTAAATACCTCCAATATTCTCAGACAATACCAGAATACCCTAGTACTCATCCTGAAGGTGTTGCTTATTGTGTGAACGTCAGTAACCTGACGCAATCCACAATCGATAACTATCATAGTCAGGTAAGTATTAATCTATATTGGTAGCGGTTATAAGAGTACTAATATATATTAGGTTCAATATGGTAAAGGTTCAAGAACAACCAGCAGCAGTAAGACGAAAGTAACTGCACATATACCATTTCTTAATAATACTGAATGTATTGTTAAGAAATGGCAATGTTCTGGTGTTCGTTGTTGTCCACATGTACCAGAACATATTCAGACTCTCAATCATACCGAAGCTTCTGAAAGTATTTGGTTACAACTAGTACTCAATCGACATGACCAAGAAAACATTACCAATAACCGAACGGATCAGCAACGACTAGAAGAAACCAGCAACCGACTCTATGATTCTGGGATTTACCAACGAGACCATAGATGTCCTGATTCCTGCCGTAATGGAGGCTTGAAACTTGGATATGATCACACAAAGGTAAGTACTAATTCCAATTAGTATAATCTAATATATTAGTAGTATAATTACTACCAGGACTTAATACTAATAATAAATCTTATTAGGATCTATACTGGCTTAGGTGTAACCAATGGTTCCCATCTGATAGTGCACAGCATTATTTCCAGTATCTTCCAAGAACACTAAACTTTGACCACACTCACTTGCGTGAGTTATGCAACTCGCAAGCCAGTAATTCTAATCCTACCAGTACCACTGGTTATACTGGTATCTCTACCAATACTACTTCAACAACAAACCCACGAATCTGCAGTTTAGTTGAATCAGTACGAGCTCGCAGTAAATATTGTGGTAAGGAAAATTTTTAATCCCTACTAAAACTAACTGGATATAACTGCTAATACTGGGTACTATTATATTACTAGCTTATCATGGCGTATCTAGTCCGATTCAAACAGTTCCATGTGATGTTCAATTTTTGTATATCACACCTAAAGACTATCAGCAAGTACCATTTGTACTGTTTGTTAGTTTTGGAACCCATCGACATCCACCACCTCCTACAGCAAAGGTACCCCGTGATATCTGGAATGATATTACTAAAATTATTCAAAAAACCGATACTCGGGGGCTTACTGTTGGTATGTTTTAAGATATATTAGTAACCCCTAATAATTACTAATAAAATACACTATATACTAACAACTATTAATACTAGGTCGATTCATACGGAATAGTAATCTCCAACAATACCTAAAAGAGAATAATGCAACTAGGCTTTCTCAGATCCACCCAGCTTTGAACAATCAGGACATTATACGCCAGATGATATACAAAGAAAAGCTATTAAGGAATCCATTTGGCGAGAGCTATGACGGTAAGTATAAGCTATAATTATTAATATATACTGGTAGATACTAATATATCCTATAATACAGCGGTTCTCTTCCAGTTCCTAATGAAAACCCAAAATTCACAAAGTCATGAATACATTCGTGATATGTACAATGATGGGGTAAATATTCGTATCATTTGCTTTTCTCAAGAACAATCAGTTGCTTTCAGTAAACAACGTTCTTTTCAAGTCGATATGACTTACAAACGCACTGGTAATGGCTTCAACGAAGTTGTTTTTGCAACTATGCCAGAAACAGTTGGTAACGGTATGTACTACTATATACTAATTGTTACTAAGTATACTTAATACTGACTAAGCCTATTTACTACTTTAGCGGTTGTCCTTGCTCGAGTTTTTGTGAATAAAGACTCAACAACAATGTACACAAAGCTATTCGAAAAGATTTTCCCTCTTTTAGCCGCTACTAGTAATAGTAGCAGCCACCGGTTCAACTGGTGGCACATTGATGGCTCCGGGATACAAGCAGTAATCACCGATATGTGTCACAAACAAGCTGCTGGTAAGTATTATAATAATCGGTTTTAGCAATATATATACTAGTATAGTACTAATATTTACTAGGCCTTGGTCGATACTTATATAGTATCGATAATACCCGATCTTGGCAGGAGCATATAATGCATACTACCATATTCTGTTTGATTCACTATTTCCGAGGTGTACATCGGAAATATCGGAGCTTTGATGCATACCAGCTTATGCGTCGGTTAGTTTCAGAAACAACTAAAAGCAACTGTGATCGAATCTTACAGACTTTACGCAACCACAACAACCGGGATATCCGAACATGGGTTAAACATAAGGAGATTCCTTGGATCCTATCTGGTCTAAACGCCAATTACTCTCGGATGCCTTCAATTACGTTTAATACCTACCAGAGGAATTCAAATGCAGTTGAAGCGATACACCATCGGGACCAAGTCTTGACTGGTACTGGAATTTCGTTACTTAGTGCTATCATCCAGTAGGTAATATAACCTATTGGATAAAACTATTACTAACTGGGTCTATAGAGCACAAGATATCGATAACCGAGCTGTTCATGGAATTAACCAGTATCTTGAAACTGGTGTAAGACCTGCTTCAAATTTGTCTACACCTCTAAGGCGTATTCAGAATCGACCAGTACAAGCTACACCGTCAATATCAACTGGTAAGTAATAAAACCTATTATATGGTTAATTATACGGAGACTATTATTATATATAAAATACTAATAAAGTACAGTTACATCTGGTATTGCTAGCCCAATTGATCTTACAGATAGCCCAGACCCTCCAGTGGCAACTCAGGCTATTCAATCTATATTGGATAGATTCAACTCTAGTGGTGTTACTGGTAAAAGAAAGCGAACTCGGCAGGCCATGACTACAGACCCTATTACGTCGCCTACACCTAACCAGAAAAGATCCAGAAAATCAGCAAATAAGAACCTAATACTGACAGCAACTGGAACTACTGGACCTACTGATATACCTAGCTTTGAGAGGTTACCCTCTTTAGAGACTAGTAGTCAGTCAAGAAATACTAGGGTACCTAGTAACATTATGGCTTACACCGATGAACCAGCTGCTACTGGTAACACCAATACAACTAACGACAATGATCTGGCATTTAATAGAGAGCTTACCGCTCTCCAAGATAATATCAATCGCCAGATATTAGAACTTCGAAAGAAGTATAATAAGATGTGAGCAAGGATAATAGGTTTCGGTTTCAAGTTTTGTCATTTAGTATTACCAGAAGATGTTAGTGAGTTAAATATTATTAGTTAATACTAATATATTAGTCTATTAAAAAGAGATATATTATAAAATCAGTTTATTAAACTAGAACTACTAGTATAAACTATACTAGATTACTGGTTACTAGAAAACCAGATAGTATTAAATTCTAAGTCTGAATTGCAACTACTGGACCTAATTATCTAGTATATAGTCCTACCTAATATATAATTTTTCTTAAGGAATTTAGAATTTTAAAATATAAATATCTTTATAATTAGTAGATTAAATATTTAAATATTTAAATAAGATATTTTAAAACCCTTAAAAATATAATATATATAATTTTTATAAAAAATATTAATATTAAAATAATTAAATCTATTATTATATATAATAATATTTAAAAATTATTTATTTATTTTAATCTTTAATAAATTAATTATTTTTATTTATTTTATTAATTAAATATATTTAAATAATTTTTAAACTTAGTTATTTAATATATAATTTTATTTAAACTTTTACTAAAATTTAAAAAATTTAAAATATAAATATTATTAATAAATAATTAAATTATTAAATATTTAAATAAAATAAAATTATTAGTTTTATCTTTACAATAAGCTTTATATAAAAATAGAATTATTTATTAGATATAATAAGATTTTATATTTAACTTTCATATATCTTTTTATAATTCAAATCAAAAAATATTAATTTAATTAGATAATATCTGAATGAACCGACATTCTTACTAATTTTTAAATATAGAGATATTATTAATTTTTTAAAGATATTTTATAATATTATAAATAATTCAGATTAAAAATAAATTTAAAAATTAATTTTTATAATTATTTTGAAAGATATTATAATTATTATTAAAAATTAATAAATATATAGAATTTTAAATAATAAAAAAAAATTCTAAATCTCTCTTATATAATTAAAATAAATAAATAAATAAAAATATTAAAAGTAAGCTTAAAATTAAATTAAAATTAATTTTTTAAATAATAATATTTAAACTTAAATAAAGAAAAATAATATAAATTTTAACTTTTAAATCTATATTATAATTTATAAATTTCTTTATAAATAAAACTTAAAGAAATTTTTAATTTAAATTAAAAGGAATATAATATATTAAAGAAGTATTTTTAATATATTAAATCTATTAAATCTATTTATAAAATAGTTTTAATAATTTAAATTTAAATATTATATATTTTAAGTTTATTCTAATATTTTTTATTATTTATATTTAAATATATTATATTATTAGAAAAATTTATTTATTTTTTTTAAAAAATTTTAAAATATTAAATTAAACCTTTATTATAATAAAGTTATTTAAGAATTAATTAAAATAAATTAATTATTTAATAATAAATTATATAGATTAAATCTTTAATTTATTATTAATTTAAAAATATATAACTTTTAATTTAATTATTAAAAAAAATAGAATTTATTTTTAAATTTAAAAAATTTTTAATTATTCTTAATAATAGACTTTATAAAAAATTATTAATTTAAGAATTAATAAAATATTTAATATATTTTAAAACTATTATTAATTTTTTAATATTATTAATTTAAAAGTTATTTTATATATTAATTTAAATATTATACTTTTAATATAATATAATATATATTTTTATTATTTAATTATATAATATATAAAATATTATAATAATATTTAAATTATTTTAAAAACTATAATAAATTATAATATTAATATTTAAATTTTAAAATATTAATAATATTATAAAATATAATATTATTATATTTTAAAGTTTAAAGATAAAAAAAGAAGTTTTTCTTATAATTATTTTATATTTTTTCTTATATATAAATTATTTTATAAGTTAAAAATATTAAAAATTACTTTAAATTTAAGCTAAAAAATAAATTAAAAATTTCATTAAAAAACTTAATTAAATAATAAAAGAATTAAGAATTAAATAATTTTAAAATAATATTAAATAAGTTTATTAAAATTATAAAAAGATTTATAAATATTTTATTTATTTAAAAATTATAAAAATATTAATTTATTAAAAATTAAAATAAAAAAATTTAAATATTATTAAATATAATAATAGATTTAATTATTTTAATATTATTATTATTCTATAAAAATTATATATATTATTATTTTTAGGGATTTAGAATACTCTACTTAAATATCTAATTATTTACTCTACTAATTATTAAGATATTTATATTTTAAAGTTTTTAATTCCTTAGGGAAAATTATATATTAGGTAGGACTATACACCAGATAATTAGGTCCAGTAATAATGGAGATATTTTAAGCAGTGTACCAGTAAATTTACTAGCTACCAAAAGGGACCAGTATTAATCTACTACGGTCTACCTAACTGCCTTTACAAGAAACCAGCACCAACCAGTACCAACCAGCACCAAGCAGCACCAACCCATTGCCCAGTTGCGATTAGTTGCTCACGCCTTCGCCTTTCCTTTGCCTTTGCCCTTAGCACCGCTGGCCCCACCAGTAGTACCGGTAGCACTGCTCTCATTGGTGGTGGTGGGATTGTTTCGGGTCTTACGAGGTGGGTAGTAGCTATTGGTAAGGTTAGTAACAACCAGTATATCTTAGAATATCAATACTCACTGGGAACAACTGTGATTGATCCTATCACAGGCCTTGTGCTTCTTGTTTGCACATGATTTGCAAGGACTAGTTGTATTAGTAAATACCAATACCAACCAAGGAAATAACATATACTAGTAGAACTGTTACATACCCGATGGTCGTCTCAGGGGATTTTGATCTAGCGGAGTCATCAGAGGAGTCCTCCCCTTCAGAATCGGTTTCTGCCACTTCGAGTTCACTACTACCATTAGATACTAGTATCACAGAGTATATTCTAGTAACTGCACTTACTGATCGCCCTTGCCCTTTCCCCCATCTAAAACCCTCAGGCCCTTAAACAGATCGATACGTTTGGATCCCTATTAGTACTACCAGTTAGTATCAGTAGAGAATCAACCGAATGAGTATACTCACGATATGAGATGTCTTGATGTGTTTGCGAATAATGGAACCCGAACCCCAAGTCGACTGGTTCGCTCTAGTAGGACCAGTCAGTACCAATACTAACTGGGCAATTATACAACCAATTAATACATACGGCTCGTAGACGCAATATGGACAGCGTTTCGCACACTTCGGTATCTCCTAGTAGCTATTAGTACTCTCAAATATAACCAATAAGGATTAGACGTAAATACTTACGATCTCGCCTTTGTACGGCCACTTCTTCTTCTCATGATGGGCGCAATCGCAAATTTTTTTCTTCCTGTAACTAATCAGAATAGTACTACCAGTAAATACCAATATGTAATAGACGTACACGATTTTGCTGCTCTTGGACGGGGTAGCCTCCTGCGCGTTGGGATTACTGGTTAAACCAGTAGTATCAGTGGTATGACTGCCGCCAGTAGGGCCGGTGGGAGCAGTATAACCAGTCGTATCAGTGGGATTGGTGGTAACGGTGGTAACGCCAGTGGTATCGTCACTGGCATTGGTAGTAGTATTACCGGTCGGACTGGTAGGGGTCGCCATCGTACTAGTTGGTAGACTGTACCTACCTAATCTACCAATCGCCATCTGTTAGTAATTAGTACTTACCAAACATAACCAATATAACCGGAAACGCATAAAAAGTGGTAAGAAATGGGAGTAACCAGTATTGGCTTTTGAGCCTAATCATTGGTCGCGGTCGCAACTGCCAAGTCTGACTATCGCTTTCCCGTTCCCTATAAGCTCAAACTAGGGGATATAAGGTTTAAAAGAGACAGAATTAGAATAATAATAAACTCAGTGTATCCAGACACCTTTATTAGGGATTAAAAACAAGATTAACTAGGACTTACCTGTCTGAAGATGGTTGACGAAGGGAAGAAATTAAAAGGGATTAATCAAATGTGATTTTTTTTTCATATGGTGTTTGTGGGCTGAGTGAATAACATACTAGCCTAATTTGGAAATATAAACATCTACCAGAGTGAATCTGATATTGCCTAGTCTACTAGTCGGATATAGCCTACGAGTATACCAGTTGTATATAGCCTGCCACCAGTATACCAGTCGGATATGGCCCACTACTAAGGTATAAGTCGGATATTGCCTGGCATACTAGCCGCGACTACCTTGTACCAGTACGTTTTAGTAGACTAGTTTACCAAGATCAGTTAAAATTAATAGCCTGTATTTGCTTAATTTTAATACAGATCTAACGGTTATTTACACGGTCTCGCGGGGCGGTATAATGGTAATTTACAACTAAGCTGTTTTAATAGTAATTAAACTTTACTAGTAAAACTAATAATATTTAGTATAAAATACAGCAATTACAATCTTACCACCCCGCGAGATAAGATTTACCTGTACTTACCACCCCGCGAGATTTAAAAATTTTAGATTTTATTCTCTATTAGTATATATTAGTATAATTTTAATATAAAATAATAATTTACCAGTAACCTACTGGTAACAAAAACCTCGCGACCTCGCGAGACGCCACCTCGCGACCTCGCGACCCATATAACCCGCACGTGGTGCGATTTTTTTTTTCTTTGTCTTCCTAAACATCCTTGTTTTGTTCTTCTAGCCCCGTAATCAACGAGACCATATCGATGAAATATATACGTAGAATCGACCATATAAAATCCCTCATCCCCTCCCCCCCAATCTCTACAATAGAGTTAGCACACACACACACGCAATATAATAATAATTCACCATATTCTACATCAACATTCCATCTTACAAAGTAAATAAATACATACATACATACCCACTAAGTAATTTTTCCCCTTCCCATATCAAAAACAAGACATACTCGTACTCGTACTCGAAAAAAAAGCAAGGACCAATCTAAAAGAAAAAGAAAAAAATAATAATAATAATCGGGCCAAAAAAAAATGGAGTTGCGGGGAATCGAACCCCGGACCTCATCCATGCTAAGGATGCATTATACCACTAAACCACAACCCCATTTGATGAAAGAAGGGTCGGGAAATATGTTACATATACCAAGATTATTGGCTGTTTAGTTCAGTTCTCAGTTAGACGATGGTAGTTACTGTAACTATGCTTGTAATTTTATCGAGAGTAGATTTAAATTAAGGTGTGTAGCCGGTAGGTAAGTGCATATTCTTGATGACTAGGTAGCTCATTATTCCAATCCTACTCTTTGAGCAGCATACTTAGGTGGTGGCATTAACTTGAAAGTGTTAATTGCTTTGGTACTCCGTATTTCATTTGTCGTAAGAAGATGGATAGTTAGAAAGTGCAAGCTATTGTTATTATTATTGAGTTACCATCTACTATTTACGATATAATGCTCAAGATTAAGATGATAAGATGATTACCATGTGGTATTTAAAAGAAAAGTAGCTAACAATCTCCATGCCGAAGCACTCTGGTATTTCTAAGTACGTTGGTGCAATATAGACGCCTGTGAACTATTTCCCTTTTCGCCAATTTGAACAGAACACCGCACCCAGATACTGTGGAAAAAACAAGCAGTAATCCCAGAGAAAGCTCTCTGTTCGAGCTGGGTATAATAAAAAACAAATGCTTTTGATCACGTAATTCAGGTCATTAAAATGTGTATGTTCAATGCGATTTGCAAATTCCAAGGGGAGGAAAAAAGAATCCCTCTCGAACAGCCCATCATGACGCGTTCGAAGGGTCATGAATGATCGAACAGTGAGACGTCGCGGACGTCGAGACTAGGTCTGGCGAATTAAGGAGTAGACGGTAGTCAGAACGGGAAGCTGATGGACCGTGGTTGATGTCAGTTCCAACGGCATCCGCGGTTCTGGCGTCCCATGGATGATAAACGCGCAAGCAACTTTAATTGTCCCAAAGCACACAGGCGAACCAGGCCCCCGGTCTTAATGACTAATAGCAGATTCATGACTTCGTAAGAGTTCCGGTGCAGTCCAAACAGGGGATGCAGATGGAACTATTGCAAACCGAAAGATGAGCGGTTTCACCGTACAACACCCTGTGCGACATCAGACGAGTCGCCTTCGTCTTCGGGATGAGCACGACCTCTGGTCTCAATTGGTGGTCCGGCAACGAGGTCGTCGGTGGTCAGTCGTGCCCTCTCCTGAGGACGACTCTCCATGCTTTCCATTGATGGTCGGGAGGACCTGGTGGAGTCACCATCAAGTCGCAAGTGCTCCATCCTCTCGAGGTCCTGGTAGTCAGGGAGCGGTAGTGGAGAGCCTCGGTAATCTTCCATGGTGCTGTTGACGTCCAAAATCGCGTATCCGGGAGGGCTGGCAGGTACATCGTTGTAGACAGGTGGCATCTCCTCGTCCCAGCTGATGCCCAGTCCACTCCGCTCGGTGACGTGCAGGTGGAACTGCATCCGGAGAACACGGGCAGCTCCGGTGGGCGTGATAAGTTTGGTGTTGCGGTTGGGGCAGAACTCCTCGGCGACGATAAGTTCGATCACCAGATTGTGCTTCACCTCTAGTCCACCGGGGGCGTCCATATCACACACTGGGTTGCAGCCAGGTTTGATGTTCGCATCGAATTCCATCGTAATCTCACCTCCAGCGGTGTCGAAGTCCGTTTTCCATCCACTCTTCTCCTCATTGTGTCCGATGATTCTGGTTTCCTGGTGCAGGACTCCCTTTCCTTCCCCGCCGACCTTGTGAGCATGTTTCGCGCAAGCAGTGGAGATGATCTTCTGGTGCTCTTCAATGCGCCACATCATCTTTCGTAGGCGCCATCTCGTCTGGGTCTCCTCGCCCTTGTCGACCACTCCGCTCAGAGTCATTTGAACCGGGAAGGTTCCAATGGGATGGACGACGGAAGGAAGCACCACCCGACCGGTGAGATTAGTGGGAGGGAAGATGCGGATGGAGGACTTGTCATTTCCGGGCAGAATGGCGCGACGGATCGTCAACGGTGTCTGGAAGGTAAACTCCTCTCCAGTCGAGGTCAGGGCCCTGGCCGAGAGCTTATATTCTACCCCTCCCAGTGTGCCATTGGCAGAAGCGGGGAGATGGCCGGGGAACAAGTAACTGAAAGGATAGTCATGTTTACCGCGCTGCAGCTTGGCGGGTTCTGTCAAGAAATCCCACTCACACAGCGGTTCTGTGCGGGTGGAACAGTTGGGGCAGTCCCTCGAGACTGGCTTCTTCGTGCTGATACTGGATGTCAAGCGCATCTCAAGCTTCTGGAGAGTGACCGCTCCAGGGATCTCCGCCACATCGATCAGGAGACGGCCAGACATCAGAGCGCCGCTCGAGTTTGCTGGACTGCCATAGAAGACGAGAGGCGGGGATTCGAAGATGACGTCCAGCTGGGCCGGAGGCTGATGAGACTCGTCTCTGGCTGCTGGACGCTCCTTTGACCGCGACGAACGCCCCAGGCTGCGGCGCTTCTCCTTGCTTTCCTTGTGGGGGTGGATGAGAGATTCGAGAGATTCCATGGAGAACGACAGACGACGCTCAGGGATTAGAGCCTGCACGGCATGAGCATTCGCGGGTTGCTTCCGCGACACCGTTTGGTGGGAGATTTCGTTGACTGACGACGATGAAGAGTTGTTGGAGTGTGTGGAAGCGGTAGCAGAATTGTGTAGAGAAGAGGCGACGGGCCGGACGAAATTAGGGAGGAGACGGCCGGGCATGGTGGGCGAGCTTCACGCCTTGGGTGAAGAAGTTAAGGATGTAGACTTAAGATCCCCCTCCCCCAAGAGATAAGACAATCAGGCTATTCCCTTGTATAAAAAAAAAATTCAGATAGCCAATGGCGAGTGGTGAATGGCGCGGACAGTGGCTTTGTCCGAGTGACGTTTGCGGAAAGAGACGCTCTCTGCGGATGCGACGTAGAAAGTGCAATTGAAGTATAAAATGCGGATTCGGCAGCTATAGTCTTCGAGTTGATGAGATGAGTGAGAAGAAAGACGTGGCACGACGGTTCACATATACATCGTCCTCCGCGCGAGATCCTGCAGCAATGACGGCAGCGCAGGCGCAATCTAGACTGGGGAAGTCGTGATCCAAGTCCCTGTGGTGAGATGTGCGTGAGATGGAAGCGGGTTATTCTTAGGCAGTATGCGCGCAGCAAACAGGGTATCAAAGATGAGAAGCGAGTACGCAAAGTCGTAGTGTCAAAAAGTCTCAAGTAGAAGTAATAATAATAATACTACCAAGATCGTATTCTACGACTCCCTGGTGGGCGCCAGGGAGGTTTTGTAGTCTATGTCTCGAACAAAACATTTGCCAGGCGGCAAGGGGCCACCGAGGACCCAGCAGCCAACGTCTTTCCCAGATCCATCTAAGCTTCGACCAAGGAACGAGTTTTTTCTCCGTCGAGACTTTTTCTTCTTTTTTTTTTCAGACCAGGTGGTTCATTCCAGGGCATTCGGAGCGTACCTTGACGGCCTAGCCACCGATGCTCGCGGACAAGTGGGGTCTCGTTTCGAATCGACAGGTCTCGACACCGTCTCGTTTCTTACCGGATACCATACCATACCATCATCATACAGCCAGCGGGATGACACCATCTGGGTTTGGAGGAGTACTATGATTAGATACCTACCTAACCTAGGTATGACCCTGACTCATTTTGCCCTCATCAACATGAAACAGAAAAGGACCAAAAGAAAGCTTCATCTTATGAAAGTCTAGAACTCCTAGTAATAATTCGTCAGATGTGTATACTGCTCTTGAGACGTACTCATGGTCCAAGCAAAAGCAAGGGTAGTCTAGATAGAAATCACCCTGCAGTGTGCACACTATGGTAACTGTTGTTGCAGGGTTAACTACTACTAACTACTCCACTGCATCAGGTCATGCTTCCCATCCAACTCTGACATGCGGGGTAGATACGGCTGTACTGTACTTGCGACGGACATATGATCGATCGCCTTGATCAAGAAGAATAGCATACTAACGACCGTGCATTGTTGATGACTGGATGGATGCAGTACATAGATGCCGTCGCCGGGGAATCGGAGACGAGTCCCTGACTCCCTGATCACCTCCGGGCGAGAGTTTAGGGTACGTGGCCTGTCACGTGCTGAACCAAGTAGATAGGATGGCAATCTGTGAGATCGAGATGAGCAATGGTGTTGACATTCCGCGCAATGCCAGGATCATCTCGTGCTATGCGCTTGACGTGTCGCAACGGTCACCCGCCATCGCCGTCATCGGCTCATCACGTGGCGCCATTGTCAGGCTGTTGACCGCCCAGGAACTTGTAGCCGGACTGGCACTGCCGCTTTGCCGGACCCAGCATGCACCATGGGCAATACCGATTGTGACGATCACAATACGGTAACAATACGGCTGCGAACAAAGAAGGCGCAGCCCTATTTGGCGATCCCGCGGGCGCCAGGATGCTCCACCAGACACGCCGGGCTGCCATTGGCTCCCCTGCAGACCCAGGGAAAATTCTGAGGATTCTGTTCTCCTCGCTGCTTCCTGTTTGGGCTCCTCGTCGCTTAACCCCGCACTGTCTGCTCTGCCGGGCCCGCGGGGATTATTATTATTATTGCGCAGGAGAGCAGCTCGGCTATCCTCATATTATTATACTGTAGTATGTTATTGCATTTGGCACATGAACTCGACCCCCTTTCTGCACAGGGGTCACTACAATTTTCTCGAGAATCTAGGCTGTCTCAATATCTTTTAGTTTGGCCACTTGGTGCTCTGTGCGCTCGTTTCTGGGGGATGATGCAGCGTGATGACAGCTGGGATGGCAGACTAATTACCTAACAGCTTTGTTCTCATTGCAAGTCCGGGGTCAACAAGCTTAATGCGCTACCTTTCTCCCCTGCCACGTCGTCCATAGAGATCTCGCCATCGGGAGCGTGGCCGTGTTTCGACGCCAGAAGTCAGGGTCTGGTCTCTACTCTAAGCTTACTACTCTATTACTACGTACTACTACTAATCATACATGATGATACATACTCCTCCCCGAAGCGCATCACGCTCGATCCAACGGGTACCTTGCGAACGTGCTTCGCGCGATGGAGACGGATTCGTTGAAGCTCTCCCGGTGCAATCATCGGGAAGATCGCACCATTCATCCCTGGCCCGGTACCCTCGTGGTCTGATGGAGAGTAGGTATGATCCTACCTCCTTGTTAGGGAGATTAAGATAATTTCGGACTCGCTCCCGGCCCATGACTCCCGGATGCCGGGCCGTGGATATTATTGGGTCACGACTTGCGGTGTGTTCTACCCATAACATACATTTTTGCTCTGATCTATACTGAAACATCTCCCTCTGCAACAGCGTATCTCAGTTATCAATCTAAACGACGAGTATAGCCGGCAATAATAAAATACGCCGTCTCCACCGTCGTCCATGGTTCCCGGTCTGGATGCCGCACTTCAATCCACAGCAGGAGACCGCTGGTGTCGGCTGCTCTACGGCGCTGTAGTAGATCTGTCGTCCAGCGGGTAGATTTTTTTTGACTAGGTATCTATCTCCATACAATGCCCTATCTCGAATGGTGCCCGCATCATGGCCGTCGTTGCGAAGCCAGATCCACCTACACACGCCCGAATACTACGTTGCGCCAGCAGTTGCCATGGAACAAAGCAATCCATCTTTTCGTATTCTATCCACCGGCAAAACCATGTGAGGAATTATTGTTATTTAGGTCCAGTACGGTGCTTTATTATTGTGGGAAAATTATGGCTGAAAAGCACACCATCCTACAACCCGGGATTCTGCACCCGAATCGCCTGATTTGGCCCTTTCATGTCGGCTTTAGTCAACCGTCACCACATCGTTAGGGCGTACTGTTCTCGAGGTTGGTCTTATGTAACGCCCCGTTGCAGTAACTAATTAAAATAATACCCTTCTGGGTCGCACGGTTGTCCCTATTTCTGTCAATTCGTGACTCATTTTGCGCTCTATAATAATAATAAAAAAAAATTAATCAAACCCTCAAATATGCTATGTCGCTCTTACACCGCACCGCCTGGAAAAGTCAGCCATACCCACTTGTCTATCGGGCGAGACTCGACACCGAGTGGACCGCATCGCAGCCCCTGGAGGCATTTTTTCCGCTTCAGGAATTCTCACGCTGCTTGCTCGGCATCCAGAAGTTCCTCGCGATCTCTATTTTGAGCACCAGGCGACGGCGCGTCCTACTATTGGCTCCGTAGGCCGCCGGCGTCTGTGTAGAATATTTTTGGCTGGCGGGCCCCTCGATTAATTCTTCCATCGGCGGGTCTTGCCTTTGCTAAATAAATTCTGCCGTGTCTTCGGAGGTCTCCGTCGGCCGCTGCTAACCGCTGCCAGATCTACTAACTATCTAGTAGTAGTAGGAAGTCCAGAGCATTATTATTGTTGCCATCTCTTCTTCGAACTAAGCGCTGGCGCATGGCTTCACACAATATCATTAACTAATTAACCAATTGTTAGTTTGCTGGAGATCTCATCCTTTAATTTACCTGCTACATTACCCATTTGCAGCGGGTTCATTGCTATAGGATATGTAAATACCTACCTGACCAGGTTCCCAGGCTCTGGGCCAAGGTCGGGCAAGCAACTTGCGAGCTTGGAGAGGTCCAATATTCCGTTTGCTTTTCATGCCATTTGGGATATAGCGACTGCTCTGTGTGGATATTCTCGACGTAATAATAATAATCTAAATGGTATTAGCTGCTTAAGAAAGTCAGCCTTTACTTCCCCGCGGAAATAATACTATCGCTCAGAAATATATATTATATATCGCACGGGAAGGTAACAACAATATAACCCATAAGAGGGCGTAGGCGTTGCGCTATCAATCATTTAAACCCAATATGCAAGATATAATACTATATTAACATCTCTATTATTATTGCTATCTATAGATATGCGTCTTTATCTGTCTTACCGAAAAAGGTGACTCTCTAGAGATTCCCCTCTTAAATCGCATTGAGGAGCAGACTATCATCCAATGGGGTTGTGGTTTAGTGGTATAATGCATCCTTAGCATGGATGAGGTCCGGGGTTCGATTCCCCGCAACTCCATTTTTTGCCGATTTAATATTTTTTGTCTCCACGAAGAGGAGGGATGTGTCTAGTTTATATATACTGCTACCTACTGACATTGTGCAGTATTTTCATTTTTCCTCTTCGTTGTTGGTTGTATATCTATCATTGTTGATGTCGGAGGAAGTTAACGAGTGACCTTGGTAGAAAAGTATCGCGTGAGCCATGATGGAGCTCCTCTATTCAGGTTAAAGAAAGTATACGGATAGTAATATGTTTTCTGGTAAATGCCGTTTAAGTCTCAGATATAATCATCTCGTCCTGGGGTATAACCCTGTAGTTACTATGTAGTATTACTTCAACTACTTATAGTCTACATAGTACATACAAACATACCAACTCTACCCCTCCCCCTTTTCCTCCGGGTGTTTTATGCCACGTTACATGTTCGTGATTGGATCTTCAATTGACTTGATTTCTCATCGGAGAAACCAAAAGATTTCATGATACCTCTCGCATAATTCTTTCCTGCGTCAACAGCAAAGAACGGGGATCATTAATTGGTGCTATGTTATGGTGATGTCGGCTGCGCATCGTCCGTTTCGCCGCATCGTGACCCATCCCGACTCTCCGCAGCTCCGCTCCATTTTATTATCATCGCTTCGATAACGGCGACACCCTCTCTTTGCTTTCTCCTCTTGCGACGCGACGCGACGCGCAATTGGGTGCCGTCGCTTGACAATCCCAATAATTAAACTATAACTATCCTATCCAATCCAATCGCATATGATCTTCAATTGACGACGCAACCACCACCCTCACCTCCGTGTCGAGTCGAACTCGACATTTTGCCTCTCCCGCAATGTCAACCTCGACATTATACACGCTCGCTCTCACATTACCTCTAGTCCTGATCTTCTGGACATTGTCGTCGACCTCTGGGTCTCCCTTCGGGAGCTCTTTTCCGCGACTGTACAATAAGCGGATATGTCTGCTCATCGCGCATCCGGATGACGAGGCGATGTTCTTTGCGCCGGCGCTGTTGGCGCTGACGAAGCCGGCGTTGGGGAACCATGTGAAGATTCTGTGTTTGAGTACTGGTATGTGAAGAAGATGTTTCTCCTTTGGGTTTGAGATACATTGGAGGATCACGGGGAAGGAGTGGCTTGTCTGATGCTGCGCGAAAAGCTCAGCGGACAAGTTACGATCTAGATCAATGGCGCAATTGCTGCTACACTACATTACATACCTACATACCAGGAAACAAAGGAGAAAACATGCTAATAGATATATTTCCTTCCAGGCGACGCCGACGGCCTCGGCCATATCCGACAAAAAGAGCTCCAAAAGAGCGCCCAGCATCTCGGCCTCCGCAGCGAATCCGACGTCTTCATCGTTGACAACCCGGCCCAATTCCCAGATAGCATGTCGAAAACCTGGTCTGAAAACGACATCGCATCTCTGCTCGCATCGGCCTTCGCCCCTAACATCTCATCATCCACCCCCTCGGCAAACGGCTCATCATCCTCGCGCCGAAAACAAAATACATCCGATAACGACGCCCCCTTCGCGACAATCGACGTCCTCATCACGTTCGACAAGCACGGAATCAGCAACCACCCCAACCACCGCTCTCTCTACTATGGCGCCCTGGCATTCCTCCGTACTCTCATGAAGGGAAAAACAGGCTACTCCTGCCCCGTGACGCTCTACACACTTAGCACGACGAACATCGTGCGCAAATACGCCGGTGTGCTCGATGCCCCTGTGACGATGCTCGTTGGCGCGCTGAGTAATCTACGATCCGCCCTCGGAGGATCTAGAAGTGGGAAATCGAGATCGAGCACAGGCGGCGGCGCGACGGCTCCGGAGCGGTTATTGTTTGTGAGTAATGTGAATGAATGGCTACGTGCACAGGGGTCGATGGTGAAGGCGCATAAGAGTCAGATGGTTTGGTTTCGATGGGGCTGGATCACGATTGGGAGGTATATGGTCGTGAATGATCTGAGGAAGGAGAAGATTTGAATTGAAAATGAAAAAAAAAAAAAAAAAAGTTACTGCCAATGATGGAATTGGTGTCCTACTCTACTCTACACTACAATACCATATAATGTATGTATGTGTAGCATACATATACTGCGGAAGTAGTGTATGTACAGTACAGTACATATACTGCCTAGATTTATAAGGAAAGCCCCAGAAATCAGGATGGACGGAAGGAAAGAATGATGATGGATGGATGGATGGATGGATGGACTGTATATAATAATGTATCTTACGCTTATGCCATGTACATATGTAATTTTCATTTACACATTGGTTCTTCCCTCTTTCTACTTTCAACTATGTAATATAGACAGAAGCGTACACTGATGTAGTGAGCAACTTACCATAGCTGAAATAACCCGCCCCCCCTACCTTCGAGAGCAGAGATATCACATCTCACATCACATGGTCAATACTCTTACTTCGTCCGAGAAAACTACAACTATCGAAATTGAAGCTGACAGAGAAAGAATATCATTGCTGATAATGAAATACATTCAACATCGCTAATAAAGAAAACCTCATTTTCCTTTCCAGATCCGCCTTTTTTTTTGTTCCTCGCTTTTTTCATACCTTACACTGACTGATTAGTTTTCGCGATGTTGAAACAAAGGAAAGATAAGAGACATGATACATGAGGAATCATTAGAAATGGGGTAGGAAAAGCATTAGGTCGTAGATGGAAGTAAATGAAATTAAGAGGATCGCCGATCCTGTTTGATGTAAAGAAAAGAAAAGAAAGAAGGGATAAGGAATAAGAGATGCATTATGAAGTTGGAAGGGAATTGGAATTTTTCGTTTGGGGTATGTGCATAAAAAGCCGAAACAAAAAGAGAAATATGTAAAAAAAGGGCATAATAGAGAGGGAGCGAGAGACGACGGCCTACAGTACCGTTCTAGCCCACACGTCTCTCATCCAGGGGAGAGACAGCCATGGGATAGTTGGGGATGGGCTTCTGATTTCCTTTTCGGTGTCATGTCCTGGTTCAGCCTCTTCCTCAGGGGCAGCTAGACCATTTGCTGTATTGCGAATCCGGTCAAGCCAACTCAACAAGTCCATATTGATTGTATCTGCATCATCGATAACACCGGTATCGAGCTCATCTAGTTCGTCAGGGATCAGGTATTTCTCACTTTCCCACACCAGCTGCGTCAAGGGCGCCACATCGAAATTCAGATTACGCCCGTCACCAGCACGGAAGCTCTGCCAGAAGAAGTCGTCGTCAACTTCCTCGGCTTCCTCCCAAATCTCGGGGTTTTCCGCGCGTGAAACTCGACGGATGGCTACCTTGTTATGGGGCTTGAGCTTGCACTGCCCCCAGAAGGTTTTCCCTTTAAACCCGACAACCCCAGTGCCGGAGTAATACCAGAAGGTAGTCGGTAAGAAATCGGCCCATTCTTCGAGACCTCGGGGAAGAATCTGCCACTCGAATACTGGATTGTCTCTTCCTGTGAAGCGGTGGTGGATCAAGAGCAAACGGGCCATACGCTCCACGAGTGCTGTTACCTGCGCAGTCATCAGCCGTCGGATTCCGTAGGTGTGAATTGCATCTGCCAGTGCGCTCGATTGGAGCACTGAGTTCCGGTCATCCGCGTCTGCCCGGGAGGCTGCCGTGAGATATTCTGCTACGACTGACCTGGCGTGTCTTGATTGCTGTCTTACTTCCCTAAGCAGGTCGTAACAGGCGTTCATATGGCTCCGGAATTCGCGTAATCGGGCCCTGGTCCAGGCGGTTTTCGCCATTCTGAAATATTCCGCCGCCCTAGGATGCACATGGTACGGAGCCGATGTCATAACCTCGAATAGCGCAGTCAGGAAATCGTACGAAACACTCCCTTTGGCATTTCGGACGGCGTCCGGTCCAAATCGCGGCCGGGAGAGGACAAAGGATCTCTCGAATAGCTCGTACCAGACGTTTTCCGGTACGGGGATATTGTACGAGCGCGATACGTAGTCCAGAACGCGCAGGGCGCTTTGCAAGTCGTTGTTGGTCCCGAATCCATGTGCTACGGCGAAAAGTAAGCGTTCTGACGGATGGAGCGGAGAGGAAGGCTCGAAGCTGGTTGCGGGAGGAATCTTTTCGGGGTCATTCTCCTCCCGTAACAGATCAATATCGACGTTCCAGACCAGCTTGAGGATACTTTTCATGTTTCCCGTATGGCCCGTGCGGCAGCAAGCCAGGAAGAGATTCACAAACGTCCTCTCATCTGGAGGAATCTCTCGTTGCGTCATGTCCCTGAAAATAGCCATCACCTTCAAGCGGACACTTCTGTTTCCAGTTCCGTAACCCTGCCATCCTTCACTAGGAGTGTCAGACCGTCTCTTGCGATAGTAGTACGGAGTGACGCGCAGGTTATACTTTTCGCGCCCAACGAACGTATGGTCCCAGACTTTGGCTTCCATGTAGTGATTATAGCACTGGATGTCTGGATCCACTCTCTCCTCCTTCATGTCGAGCCAGATGGCGTCTGCCATCTCCACATCGCCCATGGCGCGTGCACAATCGAGGAGATGTTGGTATTCTGCCAGTCCCAGGGTCTGCTCCCCCTCGTGCCTGATGCGAATGATTGCCGCAAGGTTGTGAACGAACTCGTCGAATATAACCTCTAATGGTTTAAACATCTTCGCCAAAACCCCTGTTAGATGCATAGGCCGGTAAATGGGCCGGTAAGGCTCAATGAAGTAGGCTGGGGACAGGATACGCAGTGCCTCGACAAAGACGCTGGATGGCAGCGATGCGACCACTTCACGGTACTGCGGATCCAACATTGCATTCATCACCCGGTCTGGTTGGCCATCTCGAATGATTCTGTAAAATGCACGCTCTCGTGCCACCGCGTCTTCCCGGGGCTCATTGTCCTCTTCTCGCGACGCTTCTGAGGGACCTTCGAGCACGCTCGTAAAATTCCAACTCTGTCGCGAGACGAACCTGTTGTCAAATATACTCGACCTGTCTGGGGGTGGAGCCGGCTTCCATTTGGGTTTCGGGATAAGATCTACATCTGTTGGAATGTCAGATTTGGTGGTTGTCGTCCGCAGATGAACCCGATCCCCGCGACGGGAGACACAGAGACCAGGAACCGGGCGATGATATCCTGGACATGGCAGAGGAGCAGCGAAAGAATCAGTTCGAAAGATGATGCCCCGCATGAAGGGCGATAAGAACGTTATCATGAACTTGGGTGGAGTATCGTCAACTAGCGGATCAATCCAAACTCTCCCGAGTCTTAGTTTTCTTGGGTTTTGTCCGCGCTTGGCGTCTTTTGATGCGCTACTGTAGGCCGACCTCGTCTGCCGCCAGAAGTCCCAAGCTCGCCGGTAGATAGCTCTTGCGACGCTCAATCGACGCAACCTCCTCGTCGCTCTTTTCATACCTTGCTGTCCTGTTCCCTGTGGACCGTGATTTACTACACTCCGCGCCATGGCTGACGTTGAGGACGCCGGTTCCTCTGTCTCGGAGCCCTTAGATCTCGTCCGTCTGTCGCTCGACGAGGTCGTTTTCGTGAAGCTACGTGGGGATCGCGAACTGAAGGGCCGGTTACATGTGAGAAACACACAAGATATATGTTGATGGACTGAACTGGGAAGCTCATTGCGCGACAGGCCTACGACAGTCACTGCAACCTGGTGCTAGGGGAGGTCGAAGAGACCGTCTACGTGGTGGAAGAGGATGAATCCGGGGAAGAAACAATCAAGGTGCGTTTGTCTGGGCTATGATGCACCTATGGTCCGTGTCAGGATTACTGATGCTCATGGCAACCGGTTTAGACCATCAGGAAGCAGGAAGAGATGCTTTTCGTACGAGGTGAGTCGTGTGCTACTGAACGCTCTAGGCTGAACTATGGATGCTCATGATGTCTTCTCGCACAGGTGACTCGGTCGTGTTGATCTCCCCTCAAGCGTAATACAATCGGGTCGAGGAATACTTGGGAAGGACGATATCTGGACGCGCATGTGGACGCGCATGCTGCAGGGAAGAAGAGTGAAGCAGAGGGAGCTTTTGAAGAGACCATGGAAGTTATAATGCAGGACGACGAACTCAAAATACGTATTGAAACGGATAAAATGGGCTTTATGACCCGCACATCTAGGTAGCTACTATTACCTAGGCACCTAGTGGGATAGACACGAATAGGACCTGACGGGCACAGACCCGACACTCCGCCTCAGGAATGCAAAAAGAAAAATGAGACTCCACGAAGGCGCATGCCACTAAAAAGTGCTATGATACATCACTCGTTCTGCCTAGAATGACTGACCAGCTGCGGCGGTGGTGGAATGACTCAGTTGTGCGCGTGTGAGTCGCGCGAGGAGCCTCGGGAGTCACTCGCTATCGATAACTTTAAGTCCGCTTCGCCGTCATCGCCGCGCCAACATCTCCTTTCCGTCTGCTCTCCCTCCGCACTCTGGTTTTACCATCTGTTTCGCATATTATTCTTGTATCTAGACTGAACCATGATCATTCGAATACGTACCTGAATCCGCCTGTGGCGACAATATCGACTTACCCTATAGCTACCTAGATACCATTAGTTTCACCACTACTTCCAGACCGCTTCCCCGGATCTTGCTACTACACACCACCCGAATCATGCCGCAGGCCGGCCAGAAACAGACCCCTGAGGAGCGCCGGCGAGGTGAACTGGTATGGTCCTTCATGTCCTGACTGGAAATCTCGTAAGGAGAGAAGACTCACCAGCTTTGCGACAGGCACTGAGTGAATTCGCCGACTACGTCGCAAAGGAACAGGCTCATCGCGCGGTCTATGGCATCGCTGCCAATGCTCCTGGTGCTTTCAGCGATAGCGGATACTCGACAACCAGCCCGTCTATAGTCACTGAAGACCATGCGGAGTTGGACATCTTGGACCAGTTGGGACTGTCAGATGCCCCCAGCAATGTCCGGTTAAAAGACCTCCTGCTTGGCACCGAAACAGAACCCGAGAGCAGTCTTCAGCTGCTGGCTGGGATCATACAATCTCGAATTGACGAAGGCCATGGCGAGACGCTGTTCGATCTGGGCCAGGAGGACAACGGAGAGTCGATGGGGTTTGACATCACGCAGTGGAATACGGCCCTGGCTCGGCTACGAGAGGCAGCTGAGACGATTCCTGCACACTGTCGGGTTCTATTGACGTACAATGTGGGTGGCCCGGAGGAGACAACGACAAAATCAGACAAGGTGAAGGGCTCCTGTGGCAAGATCTTGATCCGGCAGGTCCCCGGATCGGCGGAGGAAGTAATTGAGACAAGAATTGCAGTTGTGGGAAATGTTGACGCTGGAAAGAGCACTATGCTGGGTGTTCTGGTGAAAGGCAGCCTGGATGACGGCCGTGGACGCGCTCGGGTCAGCCTCTTCCGTCACAAGCATGAGATCGAAAGTGGACGTACCAGCTCTGTTGGCATGGAGATCATGGGCTTTGACAGCTATGGGAATATCGTGAGTAGCACACAAGGACGCAAGCTATCCTGGGAGGAGATTGGTAAAAAGGCCGCGAAAGTGATATCTTTCTCTGACCTGGCTGGCCATGAACGCTATCTCCGCACGACCGTGTTTGGGATGCTGAGCAGCAGCCCCAACTATTGCCTGCTGATGGTGGCCGCCAACAACGGCTTGATCGGTATGAGTAAGGAACACCTAGGGATTGCGTTGGCGCTCAACGTGCCTGTGATGGTGGTGATTACGAAAATCGACATCTGCCCTCCACAGATTCGGGAGCAGACGATTACTCAGTTGACGCGAATTCTCAAGTCCCCAGGAGCTCGCAAAATTCCCATTTTCGTCCAAGACATGGAGAGCACCATCAATACCGCGACTCAATTCGTCAGCAAACGTATCTGCCCTATCTTTCAGGTTTCTAACGTCACGGGCGAGAGTCTTGATCTGGTGCGGACATTTCTAAATATCCTCCCTCACTACGGTTACTACAACCCGGAGGCGCCATTTGAGTTCTTGGTCAACGATACATTCTCCGTCCCCTTCGTGGGGACAGTCGTCTCTGGCGTGGTGAAGTCCGGGGTTGTCCATGCCGGTGACACGGTGCAGATAGGCCCCGACTCTCTTGGTCAGTTCACGACTACGACAATCAAGTCCATTGAGCGCAAGCGTATCCCAGTCAATGTGTGCACGGCGGGACAGTCTGCCTCCTTCGCATTGAAGCGTGTCCGGCGAAAGGAAGTCCGTAAGGGCATGGTGGTGCTGCCTAAGCTCGAAGGCCCTCCTAAGGTGTATCGAGAATTTGTTGCTGAAGGTAGGTTCCTTTTGCCCACCGTGGTTTACGTCTCATCTGTTAGTTATCTACGCATTGATGCTTACTATCCTGGCTAGTTCTCATCCTATCACATGCGACGACGATCAAACCGAAGTATCAAGCCATGCTCCACGTGGGAGCGGTTAGCCAGACGTGCGCCATCATTGATATTGATCGTGCATTCATCCGGACGGGTGATCGGGCGCTGGTCGCCTTCCGTTTCGTCCAACGACCCGAGTTCCTTGCTGTTGGAGATCGAGTGCTCTTCCGAGAGGGTCGGACGAAAGGTCTGGGGATCGTCAAGAGTGTCGGATACGATCCAGAGAAACCCCTGAATCCGGAGGCCAAGGCCGCTAAGGAGGGTAAATCATCAGGATAGCAATGTTTAATTTGACTTGCTCTGTGTCTTTGTGCCGATTTCATACATTTCATTATTGGTCTTTTTTCTACTGCAATCTCATGCTTGCACGTGACGACCCGAACCAGAGGATCGGGATGTCCAAGGATGATATCTATGTGGTGAGCTTACAATTTCATGTCTACACCTTTGATTATACTGCATAGATAAGGTCCGGGGAGTTTTTTTCCTTTCCAGGCTTAGCTAGTAATCGTTCGTTTTCCTTGTCCTGGCGGTGTAGCATTATTATTGAGCATCAGCACATGCATCATTCTTCAATCTGTGGCTGGAAAAATATGTCAATATCATGCATTATTATCACGATTCCAGAATTACTTCTAAGTTAGGTAGATCATAGTATGTACACAGATCCAGTGACCCTCACGCTCTCGGTACTCGGTACATACCTGATCACTGCTGTGCCACTTTTTCCCGCCATCCCGCTTTCAATAATATGCAGATCTATGGTACTATGCGAGTAGATCGGATCAATCCACACAGCACGGCTGGGACGGTTCCACAATTGCAAGCTGATATCATACCAATTCTTTCTTTCGCAGGCTGAACGATGATCGCACAACGACAATGTTGGCGTTCCGTTTCGGCCAGACCACGTGATGGCACTGACGTCAGACATGAGGCAACCGGACAACTCGTCCTTGTTGCTTTCTGTCGCTCACGGCCGTCTCTTTTCTGCGATCGAGAAGAACAAATTCACCAATGATGGCCACATGGTGGCTGTCGTGCCCCGTCCGGCCACTGCCCCTCCATCCTCTCGGAAAAGGGGAGAGACGCAGACGTCAGTGGGGGACGACTGACGTCGGTGAAGTCTTCGACTCGTAATGCCTGCTCCCAGTTCATTTCCGGACCAAACGTAGCGATATATTTTGGCCACCCCTGAATGATCTCCCTCTTGTCTCTAGGAATTGGCATTCATATGTTATCGGGTTTACGATTAACTATCCGGAAAATTACTTGTCTATCATCGTGATCTACTTTGAAGATACCCCCCTACCTCTCAGGTAAATAACAAAACATCATCATGGAGACTGTGAACAGGGCCATCGATACTGCGTCCCAGGCTATCTGGGGCGAGAACTCTTCTCAGTCGCAGTTGCAGCAGCAGCAGCAACAGCATGGTTCTGAGCCTCTGTCTGGTGTGTCTGGCAAGGGCACTGTTACCGATCCCTATGACGCTGGAAACCGTGATGGTACGTGTCTCATCCCATACTGAGGTTACGGGCAGAGGATTGATCCTCTTGCACGCTTCTGTTTTCTATCCGAATGATGCTAACTACCTAACCATCTTACAGAGCAACCCGCTGCTGCCACTCAGACCGGCGGTATCGACCCTGCCAATAGACCTGCTAGCTACGCAGCATCCGGCAATAGGAACTACCAGGCCTCTGGCTCTGAATATCCCGCTTCCGGCGTGCAGCCTGGCGATGAGGGTGATGCTTCTAGCAGCCAGAAGGGAAGAACCACTACTTCCGAAATGGACTCTACCACCACCAACCAGGGCAGCGAAGGCGACAACCAGTCATCGGAAAACACTTCTTCCGAAGAGTCCGAGAGTGCCAGACAGAATGTGAGCAAGGAAGCTCTGGAAGGACCCCAGGGTCCGCCCCCAGAGCACTACGACACCAACGGACTTGTCGGCGAGCCAAAAAAGAGCCGCGGCGTGGTCAATGACGGTGCTGGTAAGTGCTGAGAGAACCTTGAAATATATAGATATAGTGCGATCAATCTTTACTAACAACATCACAGAAATCCGCCAGGACAACCCTGCTTCTTCCAACAAGCCCGGAAAGGGGAACATAAGCGGAAAAGGAAGCAAGATAGCTCAACTGAAAGAGAAGCTACACGGACACATTTAAACCGTTTAAACTTAATGTTGCTTTTCTCTCGCGACTGAATGACACGCTACGATCTGTTTGTTTGCTTCATGTACTGTACATCTACTAATATGTTCCTGGTTGAATGTATGACGTCATTAAACTGAGATGAGATTCCTATTTGCTTCTTAAAAGACAATTAATATCTAGCACTGATATCTTTTAAGTATACTTCCTGGTTCCTTCGAGAAAATGCAGTCATGGCCAAAGATCTTAACAATATAAAAGCAAAGCCGGAATCGCTGCTTTTTGCCGGTCAATAGTAGTTAGTAGCACTGCGGGCGTGATAAGTATCTATATTCGCCGACGTTGTAAAAAGGATGCGCCTTACGCTAGTGTTATTATCAGGTCAAGCATATATATATATATACTACAATCTCATTTTCCTACTAGAATGAACCGAGCTACAATATTTGGCTTGTGCAATATATTAATAGACGCCAGCCACTGAAAATATCACGTGACGAGACACATGTACCATAGTTATTGTTCGCCGCCGAGTCAACCTCTTCGATGATAACTGTTCCGCACTTATCTGACAACACCCCACCACCAACGGCTCACTGAGGCTTTCCAGGTATCAGTGAGCCTGTCACTACTGTATTGTTAGTTGCAGATGTTAGGAACCGTGTGATTCTGAACCCCCTAGCCAAAATGCAGGGCTTTAGTAAGTTTCCCTGAATCCAGGCGAGATCAGCGTATTATTGCACGGATTTTTTGAGCTAATACTCTCTTTTTTTTCTTCTTATATAGATATGGGACGCTACGTCCCTCCCGACCAAGAAGGTCTAACGACAGGCAACAAACTCGCTGGAAAACATGCCCTTGGAGCACGAGCGCGCCACCTCCGCACGACAGGTGCTCTGGTCGTGCGATTCGAGATGCCCTTCGCAGTATGGTGCACGCACTGTCAGCCCGAAGCGATCATCGGACAAGGAGTGCGGTTTAACGCGGAGAAGAAAAAAGTCGGCAACTACTACTCTACTCCGATCTACAGCTTTCGTATGAAACATACTGCTTGTGGAGGGTGGATTGAGATTCGGACGGATCCGAAGAATACGGCGTATGTCGTTACGGAGGGTGGGAGGAAGAGGGATACGGGGGAAGATAAATTTACGGGAGAACCGGGGGAGATTCGGATTCGGTTAGGTGCGGAGGAGGAGGAAAAGAAGAAGAAGGAAGATTCGTTTGCGAAACTTGAGGGGAAGGTGGAGGATAAGAGGCGGGCGATGACGGAGTCGAGTCGTATTCTGGAACTGCAGAAACGACAGGCGAGAGATTGGGAGGATCCGTATGAGAAGTCAAGAAAGTTGCGCAGGACGTTTCGGACGGAGAGGAAAGAGCTTCAGAAGGCGGAGGGGATCAAAGAGGCTCTGAAGGATAAGATGAGTCTGGGGATAGAGATTGTCGATGAAACGGAGGAAGACAGAATGCGTGCGGGCATGGTGGACTTTGGAGCAATTCCAGATCCTTCTCACGCAACTCGGACGAAGCCCATGTTTGCGATTTCCTCCTCGCCTCATGGCCGAAGTTCTAAGTCCTTGGACCATGGGAAGAAAGGGAGGAAAACCAAGGCTGCTGATATTGCTACAGAGCGCAAAGCCTTGCTCCGGAGCGAGCTGAGTGGTAATACCCGCGCTGCCCTGGATCCTTTCTTAACCGGAGAGAGTGTATGGCGGCCAGAGATCAAGAAACGAAAAGCAACAAAACAGAATGGTGGTGGTGGGAATATGGAGGGATCTGCTAAGCTGTCTCCTGATAATGGTCAAGCGATCTCAGAGACGTCCGCAGAGCGCAGTTCAGGCATGCCAGCACTCGTGGATTATGGTTCTGATTCGGATTGAGCAGAGTGGTTTACGGCGTGTTCCGTTTGTTTTTGTTTCCTTGCATGATACCCCGGATCGGATGGAGTCGGTTCTGCTTTGAGTGCATATGGGATTATAGGTTGAACTGGCATTTTATGCTGCGAATGAGTCGTTCATGAAGCCTTCCGTCAGATCAGATACCCTCCTTTGGATATGCCAACAGTCATCTATGCGGTGTCTACACCAATAGAAGTGGCGTTTCACATGGACAGGTCATTTGGGCTATGTACATTATAGAAAATTCATGTAGACATTACTGTTGCCTATATTGTTGAGAAGAATAGATCAAGACTTAGCCCACGGAGCTCTCGTTGGCATATCACCCGGATCATCACGGGAGTTGGCTGGAGGCTGGTCTCGAGCCCATGGAGCTCGTGTAGGCGCCATCGGTCCGGGTGGCATCCGGGATGTGTCTGGAAGAATCGGACCTGTGCCAGCGGCCGGAACAGATGCTGGCCCTCTGGAAGCCGCCCAGGGCGCAGCCGTGGCTCCGATCGGTCCTGTAGATTGCGAAGCCCAAGGCGCCCTGGCGCCGTAATCAGTGGAAGTCCCCGGAGCCTGAGCTAGCGTGCCTTCTGCAGGGCGAGCTTGAGGTCCCGATGTAGCGTGCACCGTTGATGGAGGAGGGGGAGCATTGGGATCCTTTTCCCAGCTCAAGAGTGAACCGAAGGGGAAGTGCTGTACCACGGGAAATTTGGAAAGAACTTCCGCGTTATACATCTTGATCATGCCTTTGTTAATTTTAGCCCATCCCGCCTTGATACCGGAGATATCATATAGCATAGGACTGTGCTCCCAAAATGGTCCTCTCTTGACATCATATATGAACCCGATGGCAGAAAAATACATGTTAGTCTTTCTCTCTCTCTCGACGACAGCGGCCTTTGCGACTCCAGAAGGATCCGGGGCATCAGGTAATGATCCTTCCACTGGAGTCTGATCGGTCTCTGTTATGGCAGGGGAAAGCTGCGCTGAACCAAAAATGTAGGGAATAAAGGAATGGTCATCCAGACCCCATACACCGTGGGATCCTGCTGGCTCGAGTGTATAAGTCTTTATAATCGTTCGAACAAGTTGAAGGTACCTAGGCAACCGACATGTTAGCATAATTCCTGCATGTTGATTTACGAGTAACGTACGGTTCTATCACTCCAAGGACGATGCCTCTTTCCTCGACTCCCTGGCTTGCTTTGGGGAACCCGTTGAGCTTCCATATACAGGCCAAGAAAGCCAGGAAGCTCAATTCATGTCCACTTCCATAGTCAAGTCTTTGCGGGCTTCCGAAACTTCCCAGGAAGTAAGGTATCAACTCAACTTTAGCTGATGGAGAGTCGGGTTCAGTGTTTTCTGGCCGTAGTACTTCCGGCCATAAGCACTCGTCCAGAAGATCCGAAGCTCGACTCTCCACGACCTGATACCATTTCCTAAAACTGATATTTCCGAACCGTCTGGGTCCTTTGTCCGGAGGAGTTTCCTGGAGGATTTCCTCGAGCTTTTCCAAAAGTAACTGCAGCCGTCGGACGGGTTCTGAGAACTCCACTGCGTCTGAATTGAGTGGCCACGTCTGTACCGTGCCATCGGGCAGTTTCGAAGGAAACATCGATCTATTCAATTGCAAAAGGAACGTCATCGTGTCAGTGTAAGCTTTGGTGGTTAGGAATGTCGAGACGTCCTGGCCTTCGTGGATCTTTTTGCTGGGCTCCACGAAGGAATGTCTCTGAGAGGTCTGCAGGGTCTCAAGGACCCTAACAGAGGCTGCTCCATCGAGAGCCATTGTAAATAAACTACCAACCGGCTGCAAGATGGTAGTGAGCTGCGGTGCTTTCAAGTCGTCGAGTTCATGAACAATGGACTATCGAGGTGGGGTGATGGCGGGGAGTGCTTAAACTGGCGGGAGAGCTTGTCGCGCTTCTCCACCATAGCTCGACTTTCTCTTTGCTCCGAAACACCGCGCGACCCCTGAGGCTGTCCGACTTCTCGCTTACTGCGTACTAGTTACCCAGTTATGCGATGCAAGCCGCGCCTGGCTTCATTGACACGGTGCCCTCTGTGCACGCCGGGCTTTGATGTCCCTGGGTGGTCATGGCAGGTTCCAACCACCAATCCTATCGACGAAGAAAACGGGATACCACAGGCCGTACGGTAGACCTGCTGAACGGTCTCACTGCAGGCGATACACCCCCACCATCGTCTCCTCGCAGTATTCTTGAAACGCCGCAATCGACGGATGCCAGACAGGCTAGCCCAGGGGAGGATCGTCATGGCGCTAAACCCGGAGCTTCTAGCAATGAGTCTGCTGAAGATGGAGATGCTGAGTCCAGCCATGGATCGGACGCAAGTGATTCTGACGATCTCCCATCGATATCGAAGATATTTGAACAGAGGGAAAGTGAGTCTGAGGGAGCCCTGACCGCCAACGATCACGAAACGTCGAGTAGCGATTCACCCGCCTATGTCGAATTGCTCCCACCTTCGTATGTCAGCGACGAGGAGGAAGAGAGAGAAGAGGAGAAACAGCAAGGGAAATTACAGCCATTAGTGGAGGTTGCAGTACCAATCTTGTCAAGCCCCTTCGCATCGTCACCTAGCGCAGATTCGCAATCTTCCGAACAAATGGACACGGAGATGAGAAATGCAGATGAACAGTCACGAGAAGATTCAAGTGCCGAATTGGATGGGGACGCCGCCGAATCGGCCAGTGGCTGTTCTGATAATGGATTGGAAAGGTCGGCATCGACTCCAGAGGACACCCCAGATCCCTTATTCCTTGAGGCTTCACAATTTCTGAACTTAGAGGACAGCTGGTCGATCCTAGTCCAGCGAGCACCCCAACTCGGTGACTTCGCAGAAGACAGAGATGCCAGCCGCTTTGAGAACATCAACGGACTTTTGGAAGAATTGCTTCAGTTATACCCTGATCCTGCGAATGAACATTTCAACGGCCATCGGGTTCCATCTGATGCGGCTCACAATCTGATCCAAGCGATTTTTGATGAGGCGATGGGATTCCTGAACAAAGCCTGCAGAGATGCGAAGAACCTGGACGCTCAAGGCTCCAGGGCTAGAAGAAAGTACCTCTCTGCGACAGATCTAGTGGATGCATTTGAAGCCCATGTGATCCCAGCGCTCACTTTAGCTACTTGTATGAGCTTACGAGCCCACTACGTTGATGGCAAGCTCCGTGGACTTGGAGACCTTATGCACGCATTGAAAGTTCTGTATAGACTCTGTGAAAGGATTTCCAACTTGCGTACGGAAGGCTGTCTTGATTGCTCGGCGCGTAGCAGATTTCTTCTCCGCCCTGTTAAGAGAATTCTTACAGCCCTCGAATATGAATCATCCGGGCGACCGCCGCGCGCAGCTCCTCCGCCTAAAAGGCGACGCTCGAATACTCCGGAAGTGATAGAATTGGACAGTGATGGGTCCATCAGCCCCGTTCGAGGCTCTCAAGCAAGATGGACTCATCAGGAGGGTGAAGCTCTCCTCGACGGGCTCAAGCTCTATCAAGGTATGTTTAGACCATATTTCCGGAGAACAAAGGACAACGAAAGTAATATTCATTGGGTGCTACCTGAAGGTCCGGATCGTTATCGTCAGATCATCAAGCATTATGGACACAGGCTGAAAGGGCGGACGGTAGCAGACCTACAGGCGAAGGCTCGAGAGATCCGTGACAATTACAGACCGGGGATCCAAGAACAGCTACGGAGTCACCGGGGCCAGCAACAGTGGGCATGGCTGCTGAGTGTCTAGATAGGTACATGAGATATTTGAAGCGTTGGTATTTACGCAGGATGTATGGAGTACTTCTTGGGCTCAGATAGGTTTGTTTATTTATATGCCGTTTAGGACATGGCTTCATAGAATCGCATCATTACCGATCAATTATATTTATCCGTGGTAAAATTAAATTTCAGGAACGTAAAAACATACGAAGTCAAAGCCTTCTGACACTTCGCAATAAAAGATTATACTTAGTGACCTGATAGATAATATAATAAAAACAATGTAGTAGTAATCGTACTAACATAGTTAACAGTAAGATAGAATTGACAAACAAAAAAAAAAGAGCAAAAAGTTATGACAAGGGTGGGATTCGAACCCACGCCTCTTGCGAGAAATGAAACCCCTTGTTCAGGGAAGCTTCTGAAGCTTGAGTCATTCGCCTTAGACCACTCGGCCACCTTGCCATTTGATATTATTCATCGATCTGACCATGACTGATATGGAGCTTTTTCCTCATGATATCAAGACCGTCATCACGGCGTGAAGCATGACTCAGGAATTATAGGATGCAAATAACGACATATCTGCCGTGTGCATATCGTTCTTGGGCGATAGAAAAGAGAAACTATCGAGATAACCATTCTATAGTGTGTGAAATGTGCGATTATACCGTAGTTACAACCTTGAGAGTATGCACTTGACAACTAAAACTGAATATACAGTAAAACCTGCCTATAACGAATCATTTTTTCCAGGCAGTCTAATTCGTAGTATAGAGGATTCGTTGTATAAAAAGTGGGTCTGTATTAGTAATATACGGATTTTTAGTGAGATTTTCGAATAAATTTCCTTAATTGGTAATTAATGATTAGGTAATCACTGACTAATAAGGTAAATCTGTACTTTTCTATAACGAATTGTATGGGAAAGGTCTGAAAAAATTAATGAATTTCGTAGTAGGAAGGAATAACGAATTTTGTATGGGAATTTGAATTTGACACGGTGTCAAATTCGTTGTGTAGAGGAATTCGTTATATGCGGTATCGTTATAAAAAGGTTTTACTGTATTATTATTGGTCAGTTAACTATGTTGATGGCCCCCTGATTATCTAATCTAGCCTCGCCTGTCCCATTTGTGGACTAGCGTGAGCCCAATGTTTTGGTCGTCCGATTGTCATAATAATAAGAATAAAAGAATAACAACATGATTCTTCGTTCTCAATAAAGACACAGCAAGTAACTCAGAAGTCCTGTATTCGAATGCTACATACTTACCCCCCCATGTCGGGCATCTGCAGAAGTGATGAGGGGTTGGAATGGAGGGGGAAGGGGACTAGAGACGACGCGCCTCCAATAATGATCTGCTGAGATGCCACGTCGGCAGTATCAGAGTATTCTCTGTCCTGTATCGCTGGAAGTATCTGACGATCTCGTATATCTCAGCCATTGTATGTACATACATAGGTATATATGGCCTTCTCCTCCAGGAGTACTGTCACCGGGACACGAGTATCAAGTCGCGATAGACGTTAACGAGCTTCATCCGAACCTCTCGATCCTTGTACGCACCCTGAACTCCTGGGCTCCACCGTTCTGAACGTTGGCCTCATCTGCAATCTCCATCGCAGTTCTTCTGGAGCCACGCGGGCGACCGGCGTGCTCGACGGACTGTTTTGGCGTCGCCGCGATCGTCCCGAGGCGCGCGCTGGTTGGCCTCGAACAGAGAAACACAACGTTCGTTGGATCGTCGCATCTCCGCCTGTTGTCCGAGCTCCTTGCTCACCTTCTCCTTCCACCCCCTCCTCTTTTTTCTTTGCTGCGTGTTCCCCTGCCGGGTGTTTCGTCCATCGTCATCGCTGCTTTCTGTTTGTTCTCATCAACGATTCCGATCTCATCGATCGAGCCCCGGGCGACAACGTGGACCCTTGATCTCTCCCGCTCGTGTCCTGTCCGTGCGAATTGCAAACACGGGGCTGAACCGGCTTCTCTTTTTCTCGAACGGCCCAATCTCCGGACGTTGGACGGGCTCGGAGGCTCTGGAGCTTGGGTGACAAGTGAGCTGGCAAGTCTGGTGAGTTCTGGCTGCAACCTCCGCAATGACGATGGAAACACTGCAGGACAAGGCAGCGACTCCCATCGTGCTGCAACGCCCGTCAAGAAGCGACGGCCCAAAGGTAGTTGCCTCAGGGGCCTGTCGTCCTCGTTGGATTCTTCCAGCAGAGGATGTCAGCTTGTTGGAGCTTTCAGGCTGCCCGCATCGAGGAGTGTTCAGCTGACTGCGGGCAATGTTTATATACTATGCCGCAGTGGTTACCAGCAGCTGATTGTCCTTGACCATCGTCAATACTACTGTTGCTTCAATAGTCTATTATATTTCGTTACGGCCAAGTAGCTAATATCAAGTCTTGACCAGAATACCGCTTTTGCTTCCCCAGTCTCTTCTCACCCCGGTGCCTGCTTCCTCAGGCAGTTGATATCCCGCATACACCAGTAGAGCAATTAATTCTCTGCTCTTCTTGGACACCATGGCCTCTACGGAAGAACCGGTTGTGCCGACTGAGGCTCCTTCGGACCCCGTCCCTGCTATGGAGCCGGTTTCTGAGGATGCTCCCCCAGCGACCCCAGTTGAGTCAACCGTTTTCTCAGGTGAGGAATCGAAGTCCAGCCCGGAGGCTGCGAAGGAAAAGCTCGGTGATTCGCCTGCGAAGCAGAGTCCCACCACCGCGACTAAGAGACCGACTTCTGGGACGACTACCACCAAGCGCCCCGTAGGGTCTACAACCACGAAGTCATCGCCGACGACCAAGACAACCAATGGCACCACGCTCAGCAAACCACCCACTCGTCCTACTACAACGTCAACCGTCCGCAGAGCTCCCTCGACTGTCTCCACCACTGCATCACATAGGTCTCGAGCGTCGGTGAGCAGCTCAGCCGATGAGAAGACCAGGTATGTGGCCAGTTCTGGCGACGAGAAAAAAGGTATCTCTGGCGCTGCTAAGAGGATGTCTCTGGTTGGCACGGCGTCATCCAGGGCCCCTGCGAAGCCGACTACGTCCATGGCGGATCGCAGATCGAGTGTGGCCGCTCCTAGCGCGGAGAAGAAGACACTGTCTTCTCGGCCCAGTAGCATCAGCTCGAAGCCAATAACGAAGCCGACCACAACCACCACTCGTCCCGGCAGCACCACTGCGACTTCAAGGACACCGACGACTACGAAACCAACGTCAAGTACCGCCAGAACATCGACGACCGCTGATCCCAAGAAGAGACTCAGCACCGTGAGTGCATCTACGCTCAACAAGGCTGCCCCGGATGCAGCACAAGCTGAAAAGCTCCGGTCGTTACAGGCGAAGCTGGAGGAAAGTGAAGCTACCATTGCCAGTCTCAAGGCAGAGCTCGAGGTCGCAACCGAGAAGATAGCGACCTTCTCGAAGTCGGCTGAGGAGGGTGCACCTCAGGGAGAATCTTCAACAGATGAACTTGTGGCAGAGCACGCTGCTAAGATGGAGAAGTTGGCCGCTGACCATGCTGAAGAGCTGCGTGCCCTGCAGTCGAAGCTGGAAGAGGCGGAAACGAAACACAAAGAATTGGAAGAGAAGTCACTGCAAGACCTCGATGATGCGAAGAAGCTAGCTGGAGAACAGGGCGACTCCAAGACTGCCGAACTACTGGAGGAGCTGAAGACTTCCCACAAGGAGCAGCTTGAGAAGCTGGAAAAAGAATTGGCGGAGCAGAGGACCGCCGCGGCAGAAGCTGCGGAGCAGGTTGCGCGCCTCACGGAGGAACTGACTGTTCTGAAGATTGATTCCGAAAATGCAACGAAGAGTGCCCAGGAACACGAGGAAAGCGCTCTAGAGAGTCTGCAACGGGAGCTGAAGGGCCGTGATCAAGTCATCGATAACCTGGAAACCGAAAACAAGAAGTTGGCAGAGTCTAAGGCTCAGGAACTCGAGGAAGCTAGGTCTTCTGCCTCTGCTCTCGAGGAAAAGATCACCGCCCTGGAAGCCAAACTGGCTGAGGCGGAGGCGACCACCCAGCAAGGCTCGGACGAGACAAGCAAGCAGCTGGCGGAGAAGGAGACTGAGCTGACAAGCTTGCGTGAGACAGTCGATAAGCTCCAGGATGAGATCAAGAAGATCCACGAGGAGAAGTCTGACGAACTCCGTGAGAAGACGAGAGACCTCGAGCTCGCTCATGAAAAGGCTATCGCTGACCTTAAGGCGGAACACGAGAGCTCCAACACTGCTTTGGCAGCTACCCACGAGCAGCAGTTGCAGGAGCTTCGCGATGCTCTTAGCGGATCAACAGAATCTTCTAAGAAGGAAGCTGACGAAGCTCTCGAGGCTATCAAGGCCACTCATGCTGCGGATGTCCAGGCTTTGGAGGAGAAGCTCACTGCTGCGGAGCAGGCCTTGGCGGATGCGAAGCAGGCACTCGAGGACAGCAACCAGTCCGTTCAGACCGCTGCTGATCAGGAAATCAATGACCTCAAGGAGAAGATCGGTTCTCTGGAGAATCTACTTAGCGCGGAACAAACCAACATCAAGGCCCTCCAGGCAGATCTACTGAACAGACAGGAACAGGTCGGTGAGCTTCAGAAGGGACTGGAGGCACTGGATACGGATACGAAGGGCAAGGACCAGGAACACGAAGCCGCAATGGAAAAGTTGCGGGAAGATGCCGCCGCCATTGCCAAGTCGCTCGAAGAGCAGTTGCAGGAAGCCAACGCTACTGTGGAGAAGCACGTACAGGCTCTCGAGACTGTGAAGGCTGAACATGCCGCCGAGCTCGAGAAACTGAAGACCGAGCTTTCGGGATCCCACGAGACTGCCTTGAAGGAGCTCCAGGCTAAGCACGACGAAATGCTCTCTGCGCAAAGTGACCTTGAATCGGGACATGCCCAGCAGGTTGAGACTCTGCAGGCCGAACTGAAGGCTGCCCAGGAGGGTCACGCCGCGGAGATTGCTTCGTTGACTGAGTCGCATGAGAAGGCCATTGCAGACTTGAAGCAGGAGCTGGAGACGCAGAGCTCGAAGGCTGCACAGCTCGATGCTGACCACAGTAAGGTGATCGAAGAGCTCCTTGGCACACAGGAGGAGAAATTCTCCAATTTGAGGAATGAACTCGAGACATCGCACAATGACAAGCTGGCTGCTCTTCAGCAGTCCCACGATGCGACTGTCGCAGAACTGAACGAGCAACTTACCCAGGCTAAGACTGCAGCGGCAGACACTTCCGTGGTTGATGAACTGAAGAAGCAAATTACGGATCTCGAGGAAAAGCTCGTCAATGCTGAAAAGGCCGCAGCAGCTGCGGAGGATGTCTCCACGAAGCATATCACCGAGATCAGCGATCTTCAGAAGGAAAAGAGCGATCTCGAGGAGAAATACCAGGCAGCCGCTTCACAACTCGAAGACCTTCAGAAGGTTGTTGCCGACCAGCAAGCGGCCAAATCGGAACTAGCGGTTGTTTCAAAGCAGTTGGCCGAGGTTCAGGAAGAGCTTAGCCAGCTCAAGGCAGCGAACGAGAAGACGATTGCTGAGTTGGAAGAGGCCAAGTCCCAAAACCGCGAAATGGCCGACAAGGTCTCTGAGGGCGAGAAGCACCTCAATGACCAAATTGATAAGAACATGTCATTGCTCGAGCAGTTGGGAGAGGTCGACTCCGCCATCTCTAATAGTCGGAAGCGTGTGCGTGAGCTCGAGGCGGAGCTTGCGGCCCTCAAGAAGGACGATGTGAAGTCCAACGGTCTGGAGGCTAGTCGATGGGCAGCTCCCAGCGACGCGAATGGGGAAGACGCTGGTCCAGCCACAACGGAAGGTGAGGACCTTGGTTCTTCTATTGAAGGAACGGTGGGCTAGCCCCATTTTATGTCATCGTATCCTTTTCCTATGTCAAGCCTTGCCCATAGAGACCTATACCCATCTTCGTACTATTGATAACTTCCTCTTTCGAACGTTTTACTGATTGATGTCATCAGATGGCGAGCATTCAGGAGCAGCTTAAACAGATCCAATCCGCCAATGAAGACTGGTGTGACGAGCATAGACAGTAAGCATACACTCCTATTGACCGTTTGTAAATCACTAACCTTATTGTAGGATTGTCAATGATCTCGCCCAAGTCTCTGAAAAGACTTCATCGGAGACGGGGCAGCGCTCTCCCAACCCTGAATCTGGCAGTCTTGGTTCTCTTGGAGGACAGGACCCTGCTGGCACTCAGGAAGAGATCGCATCGTAATCGACTTTTGATATCTCGTTGTAGTTTATGCTGGATTGTGCCACGGGTGAACGTCCGTTTTCTTGGCCCTGTTGGATATGTGTACATCCCTCTTTGTGCATTGGCTATGCTCTGTGTATATTGTATGGCGCTCGGGATACCCTCAACGCTCCTGTCTTGGGAAGTGTCGTCGCCTCGTTTCCTTATTTTTCGGTTATTACCCCTTTTCTTATATATTTTATTAGTTCATTATTCTCAGTACTATTCCCCATCCGTTTTCATTATCCAGTGATTGCGCCTTTTCATATGTTTCTCTGCTGGCAGCTGGCGGTAGTTTGACTGATCAACACGTGAGATGGAAATGAATGAAGTATTAATGTGCCATTGTTTCTCACACTCATGTAATTATTCCACACAATAATAACTGGTGTAAGGATATTGTATGATTTTCATACTGCATGAACCAACCAGGTCCCTTCGTATAGATATTTTTAGCTGCCGGACTCCGCGGAATGACGTCACCGTAGAATCAACAGTGATCAGTGTCGACTGTGATAACAACAATAATAATACCAACGTTTACATAAGTTTAAATAGGATCGATTCTAACCTTAGGCAAGAACAGAGACTGAAATCAATATCTTCATAAAGTTCGTGCTAGATCAATGGATACCCAATCAAGTGGAGGGTCGGAATCGATCTGAGCTCATGTCCCTTGTCTGATATAGGAAAACGGGGCCAGTAATATGGATAGATAACAGTATCATTCCTCTTTATGAAAAGAAAAATTGCTGTGTATATAGTTCCTCGCGTGACTCTTTTACTAGTAGCATCGAGTGGGGAAGGACCAGTAAGTAAGCGCTAATGGCAAATTAATTTAAAACTTCGAGGAGAAGAGACCCACGTTTGTTTCGTTTCGAATTTGCAATGTTATGAATGTGATTGGAACAAGTAGAGATTTAGGTCTTGTCAGATCGGATCGAATATATGGGACTCTGAAGGGACGCTCTTGATTTGATATATGCATATTGATAGATAGCTCTTGCCTGTAATACGTAGTTGAAGCGTCAGCTCTGCAGGAAGCCATTCGACATAGATATATGGTATACTGTAGAGCTAGATATTCTATTAGTGAATGATATGTGGTAAATTTGCGAAGAGAAAGAAGAGCACGTGTGTTTAGGGATAATGGTCCTCAAGACTACTCAGGAAGAAAGAGAAGTATTGGATGCCATTGATTCCCTAAGCGCTTATGCTAAGTTGATCAGCCTTCCTGCTATCGTAGCTACTGCAAGCTCTTTGCGAACTATCCCCGAATGGTCGCGGACAAGCTCTCAATTTTGAGTCCTGAAGTCATTTCATGAGCCTTACGGCCTCCTGACTGACTCGCAACCGGAAACCGTTGTATCAGACCAATGGGGCCGGGCATTTCTTTTCGAGAACATCGGACTGATTTTGGGAATCTTATTGGATAGGAGCTTTTTTTTTGACCGGGAGATCTACTCACCGCTCCATAGAAAATCACAGTGGAGTCGATCACCCCGGACACATCGAGGATGCTTTCCCCTAAAGGGTAGAGCTATGACGACCTGTCTCCTGGAAACTCACGCTTGGTAGAAGCTAGCGTAAAACCTCGTATCTATTTTTGGCCGCTGACCTTTCAAAACAAATGCCAGTACAGAGTGAAGCAAAGCTTCTGTCTCTCGGAATCCAGAAGTTGAAAGGTCGCCGCCGGTTTTCAAGTAGAGCCGTATTCGGTGCTGTTTTGAGTACGTTCAGTAAGGTTATTTCAGTTGGGATGAATGACGAAAAGAGGGATTCAACAGACTGCCATCAGATTCCATCAGCATCGGTTATGTAGGTCGAAGATTTAGTGGTTATTTGTGATCCTAGCAGCGTTTCAGACCGAAGCTTCATAGAGTAAGGAGTAGCGATCTCTTTTCTCCGTGTGTACTCCGTACTGTGCGCGGCTGCCTGACTAGTTAGTCTCCCTTGTCCAGTGCTGTGACATGAATCCATTCCGGTTGGGAGTTCCTTGGGCACATTGCTTTCATTTTGACAGAGCATGGGCATATAAGCAGGATCGTTGATTTCTGGGAAGTCATCCGTATTCCCTGAGCCTTCTCAACGAGCCTCGATATCCAAAAGATCCAGATACCAGACTGTTATATCGATTTCTTCTGCTGCCCTGATACAACCGCAGCGTCTTGGAGTTGCCGATTTTCAATAACTGGCCGAAGGCTTTCATGCCACCGTGAATCAAGACCGTTGCATTAAACAAGCCTCTTGTTGACAAACCCGGGTCCAAACACCATCGCCGATGGTCAAGGTGCCAGAGAAATATATCATCTTTTCGGCAGTGAGTGTGGACCAGTGCTTGCACTCTCAACATGGCACGGTTAAAATGGGCAGCTGACATGAGGAATATAAGAGCAACGAATAGAACAAACAACAATAGACGACCGAAGTACCATTAACCGGTCATCCGATAAATAATCCGGAAGTGGTCTTTAACAGACGCGAAGAGAGACAGACTAGTAAATAACGAGTCGGCAGCAACGATGTCGCCGGAGAGCAACAAGGAGATACCTCCCACTGTCCGGGACAAAAAAGAAAAGGGGAAAAGATATAGCATTGAGCATCGGCAGGTAGCAAAACGAGAGAAGCGGCCAACAACAGAAACGCCTCAAAACGGCACAGGGGGAGAACCAGAGCAGGAAGTGAGGCAATCATGCTGTGCGATGATGTGAAATGGACAATCTTGTATGTAGGTCTTTGGTCATGATCCCGAGGGAAGAAAATCGAGGTATGCATACTTTCTTATGGCTTTTGGACCTTGGATAGAAATGTCAGAAGATGTACTTAATATTTTGCGTTCAGCATGACGCTACATACCTCTTGATAACTTTCCATAATGTTTTGATGACCTTTCAAAATTGTTGCAATCGGTGTATATACGCTTCCTGATGCCAACCTGACAGTGTCCGATCCAAACAGTAACTGACAGACTATTCAGGTTATAACTAAGTCGACCGGCTTTTCGATTTCCTTTTCTCGTTCTTAGTTATCGCTGATATAGGTGATGTGTAAGCAGATGGTCTAGGGTGATCTTCGGCTAGACCCTTGGTAGGTGGGTTTACATTGACTGTATTGGTCGCAGCGTCAATCGTCCTTGCAGAGGCCAATGCGAGACATAATCTGTGGTCGATTCCTTGGCTTGCATTGGGATAGGCTGGATTTTGCGGAAAGTGTTGAAGAGATCCAGTAACCACCGGCACGAATCAGGATATCGTCACCTATGTTGGTGAGCGTATGCCCACCAGACCCTCAGTGAGCGCAAGAGTTCCTGCGAACAGATGCATAGCTTTCTCCCTAGGAAACAATATTCAGTCAAGAATGAGGTTTGTCAGTGCTGTTTCAGAAGCTAGATCCGCTTGACCGAATCCCCACTCCAATTTATCCAACGCAAAACATGTGATCTACTGTGCGGAAATATAGACAGACAGGATAAGATGCTGATGGATTACTGGACCTAATCATCCGGTGCACGGTCGCACCTGCTGCATGATTTTTCCTGAAGAATTTAAATAATTAAAATGTGAATATCTTAATGCCAAATTGATTAAATTAGTAGTCATTTAAATAGGGTATTTTAGACGCCTGAAAATATTATATAAGCTATTTAATAATATCCTGATACTGTTAGAAGGGTTATATCTGCTGTCTGCTTTTAGTAGTAGGAAGAGGACCCTTTTTAGCTTTAACTTTTAGTAGAGTATTATTTTAATCTTTTTTTTTTATTATAGTAGGCCGGGAGGTCTTTTTAGGGCTCTTATTAGCCTATTTAATATTATTTTAAAATTATATAGCAGCTAATTATTCTGCAATTTAATTCTTTTTTTAGTATTATTTCTTAGTCTATTATTTAGCTTAGATTTAAATCTTTTTTAGGTAAGCAGCTTTATAATTTTAACGCCTTTTTTTTAATATATATTCCTTTTCTATTTTAGCTTTTTTATAATATTATTTAGCTTCCTGCTTATAAGCTATAATAATTTATATAGCCTCCTCCTTTTTTATTTAGGCGATTTATACCTTTTTAACTTTAATAGGGCTATAAAATATAGTATTATTATATTTTAGAGGTCTAGAGGGTAAAGGGAGAGGTTTACTATAATTATTCTATTTTTTCCTTTCTTATATAAGAGTATTTATAAGCCTAAAATTTTTTATTTTAAGTAGATTATTCTCTGCCACTAGCATAGTATAATTATTATAAAATTTAATAAATTTCTATAACTTTGCGTTATAAGTAATATTAACCACTTAATTAATCCTTTTATAAAAGTTCTTCTAGTCTATATATATAAGCTTAGAGGCTGTAAACTTATTAAAGAAAGGTTTTAAGTTATTCTTTTTAATAAAATAGGAGATTATAATTAAAAGATTAAATAGATAAATACCTATATTTCTAAACCTACTGTTGATATTCTTTTTTATAAAAATAATATCTTATGCTTTTTAAAATAGGCGGAAGAAATCCTGTTTATTAATTAAAGAGAATCCCTAGTATTTATATATAAACTTCTCTAATTTATTATTATATACCTTTGCTAGCAGACTAAATAAACTAATATTAAGTAGCTATAGGGTATATATTATATAAGGAGAAAAGTAAACTAATAGGATCCTATTATAATTATAATAGTTAATAAACTTTAGTATAAGATAAGATCTATAATTGTCGATTATAAGGAGTTTATAGAATCTCTTTACCTTTAGTTTAGTCTTGTAGTTAAATACCCTAGTTAGCTAAGTATATCTAAGCTTATTATTTATCTATCTATTAGATAAGGAGGTAAAAAAGTAATTATATTTATTGGGATTAAAGTCTTGAAGCTAATAATTATATATATTATTACCTATTGTTTTATAGATTAATCCTAGGGATAGAGTAGTATTATTAATATAAATATAGATAAATATAATAATCTATTTATAAGATCTAGATTAAATCTTTTATCTAGCCTATCTTTATTCCTATTAGTAATAAAAGAATATCTTTTTATCTTTCTATATAATACCTATTATAAACCCCTTCTTATTTATATTATATATATTGCAAGGCTTAATATTATATTTATTTAACTTAATCCCTAGACTAATAAATTAGTCTTAATATTTTAAAATAAAATTAGCTCGCTTGCGGGAGATATTAATGCTAATTAAATATAATACTTAAAGTTTGCTATAATAGCGTTTTTAAAATTATATAGGCTAAGCTTATTTTAGCTTTTACCTATAGATCTCTTTAATAAAATTCTATAATATCTTATTTAATAAAAGTAGACCTTATTTAATTAGTTTATTAATTTTTTTAATAAGCTGAGCTTTTTAGGCGTTATTTAGCAGGCGTTAATCTTTATATTGCTTTACTTAAGAATTTATAATATTATAATATCTTTAGGATAAGGTCGACCGGTTATAACTATATTTTTTTATAATTTTTATATAATTAGGCTTTTCTCTAAGATCTAGCGACTTTAACTCTTTAAGAGCTAATAAAATAGGGTCTATTTTAATGATTTGGTGAGTGGTTGAATAAAATTCAGTGTAGTAAAATTTGGAGGGGAAAATTGTGCATCAGGTGCGACCGTGCACCGGTTGATTAGGTCCAGTAGCCGAGGCATACATCAGTGGATGCTTCAATAGCCTCATCCCTCACGATGTGCGACACGGGAGGCTCAGTAAAAGACGCCGCACTAGCTTCATCTTCGCTGGCTGTCATACAGATTCCTGCCGTCTCAGCATGTTCCGCAACCAACCATCCCTCGTTATGGATATCCCACGATAGTCGGTCAAAAATGCAGATGGATTGACAGTTGTCTTCTGCTTCAAAGAATCAAAATAAAATTCCTTGTCAGCAATGCCCGATTGCCTCGTCAATTTGGACCTCACCGCTGTGTGGACTGCACGATAACGAGTTGGAGGAAATGCGAATGAGGCGAAGGTGCTCGTCGTATTAAGAGCAGTGGTTGGTGTTCAGCTATGACGCTTCAGACATGTGTTGGACTGGCTCCTTTCCCTGACTTCCCAGGGTTGAAGCTGAACGGCCCATCAACAGCTCTTATTGGATGGTTCTTTGCTTCTTGGGGCTGTGTTCGTCTCTCATTTACATGGATTCATTGGAACTTCTCGAGTGGCTGCTGATAGATACGCAGCCTCCACGGGGCGCCCCGCGAGATGCCGGTCGCTTCTTCGGGCCTTCATGAAATCCTTCGAAGTCACAATATCGTATGTACTGTCTTTGACTTGTGACACTCATGTACTCGACCACAGATCCAGCGGTGCTGCCATTAGCCTTCAATATAAGGATCATAATACTCCTATTTATGTGTCGGCATTTCTTTTCTTTGTATAGACCATAACATGGGCAATATCTGAGTTTTGCTGTATATGAAGATATGGTCTTTATTGGTTTGCATCATGTAAACCCCTAGGAAGAGGAAAACTCAATTCCAAGGTTCCTGCATCAAACAAACGCCAGTCCCTGCATTATTGATACATACCTTAGTTCCCTGACTAACTAATGTTATTAGAGGACATATAGAGTAACAATGATATATGCAAGTAACATCGAGCTCCCGGCAGATTTCTCGACGAACGTTTCGTGAGGTACATCTTGAGAACGAGAGATAAGCCTCAAGGATCAACGAGCAGGCAATAAAACGATTTTCGCGAGATGAATTTCACTCGTGATACAGGCACTACGAGGCAATGCTTTTCATATGCAGCCGATATTGTAAGGCTTCTACCGCAGCACGTAGAGTTCGTGAGGCGCCGCGGGGGTATTAAGTCTGCCCAGTCTCTGAAATCTGTTGACAATTAATGTCATCTATACTTATGACATAGCAAGGAGCCATAGTGAGGAGTCGACGCACTTCCCATTGATCTTGTGACGTTCAGAGATAGCCAACATTGTTGTGGGCCGTCTTGACTGCAATTCTGTGATACATTTTCTCATAGATTGTGTTATCGGTGCCTTCCTCGGCTGCCTTGTGTGTTTCAGACCCTGAACTCTGCCACGTCGACATATAATTACTGCCCAAACGAACCAGTTCACAGTATACGCAACTACTGATGCCGGAATCCAATATCGTTTCATTGTTTATCCATGAACGAGTGGTTAGGATAGCTAATGCTGCAAGTTCTGTAAGAGAGTAACCAACCTGTTTTGTTCAATTGCATATATACTCTTAGTCAGAGCAACCAATTGCAGATCAATGAAACTTGTTGGCTGCATGAAAGGAAAGGCAAATGATCCTGGGATCGCGTTTTAACTAATCATCGTGGGCCACATTATCTACATCGATCGCCCATGCAAAACATACCAGCATCTGCAGGTGATCTGGCATGAACTACACCGCTAGAGTTATTCTTGATGCGGCTCCTTGACAAGGAACGAAGCCATATATATATGACCTGACTTCTCAGAGATGCATTGTAGCAGTCAGACACGTTCAGGATCAAACGCTTTGCTCCTTAATTTTACACCAACAAATCCTTGAAGATGAGTTCCATTGACCATCGATACGACGAACTTATTGATTTATTCCAAAGATGCCCCCGAACAGCAGTTTTCCGAGATTTTCGCAACCTGAATCTCGTACGTATCCTGCAGCTACAGGCTACTATTGATGAATTTGAAAGGAGTTTTGAATCTCCTTCCATCGGAGCTAGCAACGGGGCTACAAATACAACAAACCCATCGACCTCTGAAGCACACTCCGCCAAGCCAGTCCTCCAAGTTGACATGGCCCAATGCATCTGGCCGACACTGAAAGAATATTGTATCTACTCCGCATTGGCTGTCTGGCAGATCTTGATTTGATCAGCAGGACTAACCAGTTTATCAGATGAGCGTATGCTGCTAGATGTCCAGATCCAGAGCTTGCCAACTCCCGAGGAATGCGACCTCAACTATCTACGCCTGAGCCTTAAGAATGTTGCTGGATTGACAGAGCATGAAGTTTCTCTGTGGAATCACGGAGACGACTTTGTTGCCCTATTCGCCGATCCCCACGAAGAATTTGACCGTTTTACGCGCTGGGTCTTCAATAGGCTTGAACTTTTCCATGACTACGTCCGTAAATTCAAGGTACGCATAAACTACTATTCCCATGTTGAGCAATACTACTTCCAATTTTCTTTCATGTAAGGACGAAAGTTATTGGCCTTCTCTGACAATCGTTAAACAGAAAGTAGACGACACACTACCTGTTGAAACGTATGCATACAATAGACGAGCCCTTGCTTCTATAGTCACCGTGTTCTCAGCCATCATGGCTGTTTTGATCAACGTTTCTTCCATCTACATCTTATACTACATAGATAGTATGCAGACGAGGTTGGGAGTTATCATGATCTATACCGCTCTCTTTGCATTGATGATGATGGTCCTTACCAATAGCGGGGGAGCCAACATCTTCCCAGCTACCGCTGCGTAAGTAGAGGGTTATTTTCGCTATTCAATTCTCAGTATTCATTTTGATGCATACTACTTTCTCGATTTCAATCATTCGAACTGTTCTAGGTGGCCTATTGTGCTGATCGTCGCCTCTTTAGTTACGCTGCTGTGCTAGTCGTTTTTATTGGAAACAATAACAATAACAACGGCAGCTAGAATTCGGACGAGCAGGATTGTCAATACCTGGTGACATCTACATATTTGCAACGTCGGATATGTTAGTCAACGGAATTTGATACTCCTTGAGTCAGGACGTTCTGCGAAATTCTTACCAGCAAGACCGACGACCGCACCTGGTACACGGAGGCTATCCAAAATACTGGTATTTCCCAATTTGTATAGTTCTCTTACCTTTCTTGATTGTTTTATCTTTACTTCTCTCATATTCTTTCCTCGTCATGTATTATTTTTACTCTCTTTTCATGGTGGAGCTGTAGGCTGGTGTCCGTACACATAAGTAGAACTTGATCTATGGACATGCATACGGCACACGAAGTCTACGATGGGGTCGTGTTACATTCGCCCAGTGTATTTCTTATAACTTACTGTCTTTTGAATACAACAATTCCTGCACTAGTTTTTCTTTGATTTGGTTTTGGGCTCAATTATTCAAATAGCCAACGTTCAGCATAAAGTAGACAGGCTCCGTGTTGTTCAAGTTAAGCGCCCTCTAGCACATCCTTTCTCGAATCCAGAATCCACAGAGATGAGCGAACCTTTTACGTGACAGCCAGAATCCTCTCCACAGACGCGACGTTCCCTTCCATTGGCTGCACTTTGTCCGTCCTACTCGGTGATGTCAAGTTAGTAAGGGATCTCAGGGGAGCGATCTATTATACAGTTCCCGAAATCGGAAGGTATTCAAAAATCACATACCGGGTGGTAATCCGGATATCAGTCTGGATTCTCGCTATACCCTGTTGATGAATAAGAGTATGCGCCCATCCAATTACCTGCATGACTTGATCCCAGGGTCCTTCTGAAAGCAATCAAACCACATTAGCAGGAGTCAAATGTTTGACTGTGAAATATGAAAATGCCGAATTGGAGATCAGAGTGATGGAAGATAGGGGGTAGGAATCCATACCGACCGTAGTCCCTGTCGAGTGCATCATGAACTTCAGCCCTGTTTGCTGCACGAGTCGTTGAACATCGGCAATTTGTTGGGAGAAGGAGGTTGTTTGGTGTCCTATCTGATTTATTCATCAGTCTGGTGTCCGTATAAGATGTAAAGACAGCTTCCTAAATGGGACGAGGATCGAAACTGATTGAAGACCAACCGGAATGAGCGAGAAATCAGCCGTGCAGCGCGCTGGGGTCGCTAAGGCCGGGGCGTTGAATGCCATTTTCTCTATCTCTACCTTAGTATTTGATTTTTCGAACGTAGAGTGTAGTCCAGTATCACGCGAAGACTGGAGCAGAGATTCGGGCTGTTTTTATTTTGTTTACGAATAAATAAATATACCATGAGCCTCTTGTATAAAACATTGGTGAGTTGTCTGAGATAATGACCCCTCAATAGAGCTTGGTAATTGTGACGTAGAGACATAATATGGGATTATGCAGATCTGACGGGAATGGGTAGAGATTACGATTTTTACATGGATTAGTTACTGCGGGACTAGGATGGATGGAAGTGTGATTGGATATAAGATCGGGAACTCTGAGGTAGAGTAGGGATGGTACAAAGACAAAGCTGAGCAAGGATTTATGAGAATGTAGGGGCCGATACTGGCAAAATTTGGCATATTGTTTACGGTGCTGATTATGGAGTTTTCAATTTCGATTATAACATGTGACAGTCGATTCTCAGTCCAGACCCGAACGGACACGCGCACCCAGTGCACTGATTTAATTTAATAATAGTATGTCTCGTAAGTAGTTCTTCCTCTCATATAAAGAGGCTCGCTCCCTCGAACGTAAATATCCTGGAAAAGAGTATCCCCTGTGGGCTGCGGTTCTGGCATATTCTCCACTTCCGTCACGGCCTGTTTGATCTTGTCTCTGACCTGTTTCTCTAATTCGTCTAGTTCCTCATCTGTGTGCGTTTTCCAGTCGAGGAGTTTTTCTTTCAACATTGGGATGGGATCAGATTCCCGTTTCGATTTTAGTTCCTCTCGAGTACGGTACCCGATTCCGGGATCAGACATCGAGTGCCCTGCGAAACGGTATGTTTGAAATTCGTATACCAGAGGACCATTCCCGGATCTGATATAGTCGCGAGCGTGTTGTACCGCTGCTTGCACGGCGAGGACATCCATCCCGTATACGCGAAGACCAGGGATGTATTGGCCGCGTTTGTAGTAATCAGTCGAAGCAGAAGCACGCTCAACGGATGTTCCCATGCCGTAGTGGTTGTCTGGATATCGAATTAGCTGGGTCGATCTAGAAAGAAGAAGTCTTGCAACTTACTTTCACAACCATACAAAACCGGCAAATCCCATAATTTCGCCATATTAAAGGCTTCATGGACCTGACCCTGATTCGCTGCACCATCGCCATATAAATTGACCGTGATGTTTGGGCTCTCTTGATATTTCTGCGCCATAGCAATACCTGTCCCGACTGGTACAGAGGCGCCGACGATGCCGTTTCCTCCAAAGAACCCCTCGCGGAACATATGCATCGATCCTCCCTTTCCGTGGGAGATACCATCCTGGCGACCCAGAAGCTCGCCTAGGATCGATTGTATAGATGCTCCACGCATGTAGGTATTGCCATGCGATCGATATGCAGTTATGAGTAAATCATCCCTTGTGATTCCGTGCTCGATACCAACAGAGACAGCTTCTTGACCGGTTGACAGGTGGCAGAAGCCGCGGATTTTCTTCTGTTTATATAGAGAATCTGCGGTCACTTCGAGACGTCTGTTCAGGTAAACTGTCAGATAAGTGCCTCATAAAGAATGTGGAAGAGAAGTACCTTATCGTCAACATGTCATGGTATAACTGCTTTAGGTGATCCTTCGTCGTCTCTAAGTAGTATGGAGGCGGATCGAAATTGTAGGTTTCGAACGCGTCGTCGTCGAGTGGGACTCGGAATGGTTTATCACTCGCCTATCAATAGATAGCATTAGACACGATATCAGCCCAGGTATAATTGGATCTTACAGTAGGAATGTTCCCGATATCCGTCACTTGGGCCAAGTAACGGCGGCCACAGTGCCCTATTATCCTGGGAATCCGAGTAGCTCTGAGAGTGGTCGCTTGAGTTCTTGAGAACATGTTTTAAACCGATAAACCGATAAAGCGAGATTCGAGAACTGGAATACTCGATACTCCTAAGATTAGCAATGTAGCTGTTCGTCCCGTGAATCGCTGGACAGCCACGCTGATTTCAGACCACACCAGGCGAAGAGCCGAAAAATCTCCTGTGTAAGAGTGATTGTAATCCTCTTTAAATTGTAAGTTAGGTTTAAAGCGACACATTCTACGTTGATCCATACGCGCTCAAGTAAGTAACGCCATGACGTTAATCTTATCTCACGAAGGAGGGGTACATAATAACACGTTGATCAACCGGAAACTTCGTCTTTTATATACTATATCGGATACTATCTAGCTATTTCCTTTGTATGCTAAACACAAGGACAATATTTCTATTCGAACTCTTTACCTTGATGATACATTGTCTGTCGTCTTGGTACGATCGAATACTTTCTATGCTGATAATCCACGAGGGATACTATGTATGGATCCAAGAGTTCCACCCCGACTATTTCAATACATTAACGGATGCACAATAACAATCGAGGATGGACAACGATTATATACTATTAAAAAAAGACAGGCCCGTGCCCAAGAGAACAGTAGAGTATCATTCCGTGACGGTGATTGGCTAGCCTTATCCGGCTCGGAATAACAATGCTGCGCACCTTGGATGACGCATTTGGCCATTGATAATGCTCTCTTATGTTGCTCAGTCGGGTTGTTCAAGACAGAGCAAAAGCTGGATCGCATGCATGTTCCATGCACCAGAAGCTTGTATCTATTTTCTTGGATAGACTCTGTTCTTTTGCTGTGTTCGTCTTCCCATCACTTGTTGGGACTAAACTGCATATGTGATCCGAAATTGGAAATCTCCAGAGGAACAGTGATAATCAAACAAGTGAAGAAGCATCTAGTGAAAATGACGAAAGATGCTATGATCTACGATGTTTTGAAATAATAACTTTCAACATATGTCTATACCTTGAAGACTTTTGGTATGGCTCGTACTTCCTCTTCCCATCCCCAGCGAGGCAGGGCGGGTCGCGGACGTCCAGCGAGACACAGGGAGAGTGACGAGGATGAAGAGATTCCAGAGCTGTACAGGGAGATGCTAGCTGAGGCTGATGCTCGCGCCAAAAATCAACCGGACGCGGATGATCGTCCTATCAAACGGAGAAGAGTGGGAGAGCGACGAGTAGCACCCCCCGAAATCAAGCCTGATGAGGCAACAGCACCTTTGCAGAGTCCAGATGCAGGTCCTGCTAAACAGGTCCAAATCGCATACGACTCGGCCGCTTCCGATGATTCGGATATGGAATGGGAAGAAGTTGACATTGAGCAACGATCGACTAATGCACCGGAGGCTTCTACTCAGGCTGAAGGAGCAAATGAGCCCCTACAGATCACACTGGGCCAGCATGGTGCCACTACGCCCAAGCCTGCCGTCCCACGACGGAAAGCTATAACAGCAGTGGAGAGAAAGTTACGTCTTGACGTCCACAAAGTCCATCTCTTGTGTCTACTCAGCCATGTCCAGATACGCAACCTGTGGTGTAATGACGATGAGGTCCAGGTATGTTGGAGTTATTTTGATGCGTAAACCGCTGTTGATTGAATTATCTAGGGGTTCCTGAGACCAATGCTGTCAAAGCAAACGAGAAACTTCCTTAACCCCAAGGAAGGGATGTCGCAGTTCACTAGGTCGACTACATTTGTCGATGGCCTAAAACAAGCCAGTGACGCTTTCTCTAGGAGATTTCGTGTTACGGAATCAGGATTCAAGAGGCCATACTGGGCAGAAGACCGCAGAGACCTAGATAAGAGAACGGTAAACTCCAAGGACCCACGTATTGACGCGGTTTCATTCTGACCACAGACAGGAAGCGATTATGCAAGGCGTTGAGACAATTGTATCCAAAGAGGATTTCCGAAAACAGTCAAAGACAATGCAAGGATCGCGAGATTTCGGGGCCCAGCTGTTCTGTGCATTACTGCGTTCTGTGGCGGTAGAGACGCGGCTAGTTTGCTCTTTACAGGCCATCCCTTTCACTGGAACTGTGAAAGGCTTCAATCCAGTCGAGACAAGTCCAAAGTATATTGTGATATCCTCGGATGATCATGATGGTTCAAGCGATGATAAGTCGCGTTCACAAACGCCAGCAACCAGCACTCCACCACCGAGAATTCGCAGGATAGGCCAACCTCAGTTCACCCCTTCTGTTCGCCGCCCTGTGCATACAGTCCAGCGGACAAGTAAGTTCATGTGTACCCCATTATCTGTGCCCTGTGCTGAATCCGAAAAGCCACCCTACGACGTTCCGAAGAGTCCCCGTATCCAGTCTTCTGGGTGGAAGCATTCAACGAGGCTGTTCAAAAATGGATACCCGTTGATCCCATCGTCACAAAGACGGTTGCTAAGCCTACCAAATTTGAACCTCCAGCCAGCGATCGTTACAATGCCATGAGTTACGTCGTAGCGTTTGAGGATGATGCATCTGCTAGGGACGTGACTAGGCGGTACACAAAATCATATAACGCAAAAACTTTACGAAACCGTGTTGAAAGCACCAAAGGAGGAGAGAAATGGTGGCAGAAGACAATGTCCTTTTTCGAGAAGCCGTTTATGGACGACCGAGACCAGGCTGAGACTGGAGAATTGACGGCGAAGACTGCGGCGGAGCCGATGCCCCGGAATGTGCAGGACTTTAAAGACCACCCGGTGTACGCACTGGAGAGACATTTACGTCGAAATGAAGTCATCTTCCCCAAGCGTGTCATTGGACAGGTGGCTGTTGGTAAATCTGGATCTAAGAACCAGGTTTTGGAGCCTGTTTATCGCCGTGGTGATGTTCATACTGTCAGGAGTGCTGACGGCTGGTACCGTCTTGGAAGAGATATTAAAATCGGAGAACAACCTCTGAAACGTGTTCCAGCGAACAGAAACAAAGTCCTGGAAACAAATGATGATGAAGACGATCTCGAAGAAGCTGCTGAGACCCCACTCTATGCTGAATTTCAGACCGAGCTCTATACCCCTCCACCAGTGATCAAAGGGAAAGTACCCAGGAATGCATACGGAAACATAGATGTTTATGTTCCAAGTATGGTCCCGCCTGGCGGGTTCCATTTGAAACATCCAGAAGCTGCTCGCGCTGCCAGGATATTGGGCATCGACTACGCTGATGCTGTGACAGGTTTCCAGTTCAAAGGGCGACATGGAACAGCTGTCATTCAGGGCATAGTGGCTGCTAATCAGTACCGCGAGGCCCTCGAAGAAGTCTTGCGGTGCCTTGAGGATGACCGTCTTCAAGAAGAGATTGAGAGAAAGACCGCTGAGGCTCTCCGACTTTGGAAACACTTCCTGGTCAAGCTCAGGATTGCCGAGAGAGTGAAGAACTATGCAGTTGAGGGCGAAGACGTCAATAAAGTTGATTCTCCTCTAGACGATAATAAAGAAGAAGAAGAGGAACTTGGCGGTGGCTTCTTTCCCGAAGATGGTCAGGAAATAGCAGAACCTACTGCGGGCACTGGATCCTTCTCTGGATTCCCCAGAGAAATCGAAAATCCAGAACAACTTGCCTCTTATAGTGGGGATGACGGTGATGGTGATAGTGGAGGTTTCATTCCCGAAAGTGGCGGGGAGGAACTCAAAGACGCAGAATCCGTACTACCTGAACAGAGCAACGACCCCGGGGCAGATGCTAAGGCGCTAGGTACATCGACAAAGCCTCATTCGCGCTACACTCTCGTTGTTGTCCCTAACGATGGGACGAAAAAGGAGGCAAACGCGGCTGTGGACTTGACTGCTAGGAGGCCGTCTGATACCGCAGCTCGCCGCTTCCAGCTTGGCACAGCAGAAAGCAACGAAAGGGGTATTCAGCTAAAACATGAAATCGCTGTTTTAAATTGCGTACAGGGTTCCTCAGAGACACCGATCACCGTGGATTCCTCCAGCGAACCTAATTCCAAGGCTGCTAGCGTGCAAGTCGTTTCAGCACCAGAGTCAGAGAATCAATCTCATGCAGAGGCTCCCGAAACCGAGAAGACTCCTCAATCGGATGATAGCGTCTCGGAGGTTTCCTTACTATCCCACGACCCTGAAGATGAGGATGCAGAGCCAGAGTGGTTGCTTTCTGATTAGGCGACTTCTCTGCACGACCAAACCCAGTTCATTTTGCTCTTATTCTTGCACGTCTTTTGGTTGGCGCAGGAACCCCATGTTAGAGACATGTTTTGAGCAGATATGGTCTAAATCCATCAATCACGGATACCTTGTTTGTATTTTGGGCAATGAAAGCTTGCCATGAGTTATGGTACCTCTTATTACTGTGCGCTGGTTTGATAACTCCTTTCATGGTAACTAACTAGTTAAAGCGGACGGGCTCGATCGCTAATGATAGCCTAGTCTAAGTTGAACTCGTTAGGGATCCTCGATCTCCTGCCATGCAATATACATAAGTAGAACAGAGGCTAAAATGAAAAATACCGTGCCAAAAAAACAAAAAAAAAAAAACAGGCTAGATGTGCGTAAAATATATGCAGCGTTGACTCTGAGTGTTATAAGCAGGAGGCATAGTCCTTGACGATAATTGTAGCAGTAGTAGATTAACTTACTCCCTATCTACATCTACCTAGGTAGGTATCGAACATAACTAATCACAATCGGGTAAGATGGAAGCGACGCACGGGCCTCGGACGCGCTCGACGCGTCTTTGATTATCCACCAAGTCAGTCAACTTGGATGCCTTGGGTTTCCGGTTCGGTTCGGTTTATTCGGTTTTCGGTTTGGGTTTTCAATCATGATCATAAACCATTCTGCCGCAAATCGACTAGGAAGATTCATCAGATATGGTTAGAGGCGACAAGCAAAAGGGCCATCCCGACAGCTCATTGCAACAACCCCGGACACCTGCCAATCCAACTACTCGACGTGAAGGGGCATCCGTACGAGCTGCTACAACAACAAAGGCGAAGAAAAGGACGCAGAGCCCGTCGGTTTCAGTTCAATCTAGCTCCAGATCAAGAAAATCGGATGTTGAGACGGACTGGAGGCAACAACCCACTCTGACACAGATCGACTTTGTGACAAGGACGCTTGGTTCCGGACCACATGAAGAGCTTGACTACATTCAGGACAATGACGACAAGCAAGCTGCGCAGAAGGAACGCGAGGTTATAGAACTAGATGATGATTCTGATGGTGGCGATGCGACATTCCGACCAACTTCGCTTCCTCGAGTGCGGCGGGCCCGCGCTATTCGATTCGATGATGAAGTTAGAAGTACCTCTGGTCAGAGCAGGTCTCGGGCGAAGAGTACCAGTGGACATGCGGAAAAACGTGGGAAGAAGGGGAAAAGCAGCACAAAGGGCAGTAGCAAGAGCAAGCATCCTGGGAAAAGCAATTTGAAACCTGGGAAAAAGGACAAGACTCTGACCCAAATGGACTTCGTCCGTCGCTTTTGCGTGATTGACTCGTCGGATGATGACCTGAATCTCAACTATATTGGCGACAATGCGAGGGAGAATACTGACGCGGCAGCCTCCAAGTTGAACGCTGATGATGTTGCTGCCACGCCAAAAAATGAGGAGCTATCCCACGATGGACCGCCGGAGAAGAAGAGGAAACTGAACAACGGTTCTAATGTCTCAGCTGACAGCTGTATGGTTCTGGTCCCTATGCAGGGTAACGAGGCAAGGAGCTCTCAGAAGGACTTATTCCCTGCCCCAGTAACTCCGCAGAAGCCGCGGAGGACAGAGATACCGTCCTCCCAGTCTCCTGAGAGTCCTGGATTTGCGGTTATTTCATCATCCCAGTTCACCAAAGCTACAACCACACGGTCACCCCTCAAACTTATGTCGCCTAATAGTACCAATAGTCCATCGAAAGCGAGACAGAGTCCATACCATTACACACTGAAAGTCTCTCAGAGCCCGGATGGTGTCTCGCTACAGCGAAAAACCAGAATAGAGTCTACTGCCCCAGATGACGCTGCATCTCATTCTCTTCTGCATTCGGAAAAGGAGCAGACGGGTCTTAAGGTATCTCCGTCGAAGCCTAAAATCGAACAGAAGAGCCAGCAAGCTGTGTTCGAAGAGGAGCTGTCTGCCACCCAACCGCAAGAAGAACCCGATGGTGGTGCTGAAAACAACACGCCCAGAGCTACTGGAAAGGCAGTCATCTACGAAACGGATGCGGAAACAGACTATAGTGACTTGGAAGAAGATACTATGTTGCAAGTCTCTCACTCAGAACATACAACGGCCGAAGATGAAGAGCAACGCAATGCTGGAGACAATGAGCTGAACCCCGACATCTTTAACTCCGACGATCTACTGGCCCCGCCAGTTCCGAATTCTGGCACCGACCTTGAAGGAGGAGATACGCATATTTCCGACTTCGACGTCTCGTCGCAGGCATCGATATACTATAAAAGGCAACCACGCAGCACACAATTTCCTGAAGGGCCGGTCCCAATCCTTAATACACAAAAACTGACTGAGCTGTTTCCTCGGTATGACAGTACTCAACTGGCTAGCGTGCCAGTATCTCCACTGCCACCATCACCAGCACAGGATAGCGTTCTCCAACATTCTTCGCCCCAGACACCTAAGCAAATGTTCACTCAAACACAGACCCAAACTCAGAGTCAGAGTCAGAGTGAGCAACGCCGAGTGTCCTCGACGCAACTGATCCCGGAGTCGTCTCCGTTGGTTCCGTGTACGGATGTGAGAAACTTTACGAATAATACAGAGTCTCAGTCTGACCATCCAGTTGTCCTTGTGGAGTCATCGCAGCCCGTGGACAAACACCAGAGACTTGCCGATTCCAACCACGCGACGAGCCAGAAAGGAATAATACCTGCGAGTCGCTGGCTGACGGACAGTGTGATGGAAAGTATACCCCCTCCACCACTGTGGATGTCGAGCCAAGACAGTGTTGGGGAACCATACAGTTTACCTGAAAGCTAGCGTGCAGCTGCTCTAAGCGCGGGTGTTTAAACCATTTGGGGATATATAAACAGGAAGTGCAGAATGCCTCTCTATATACATGCCCTACCAAGTCGCACGACTGCAGTTATGCATAGCTGTTACTACAGTTTTTCCAAGTTGCAACTATCTGCTTTACAATCTGCATGTGGAGAACCATATTCTTAACATGCACGTCTATATCCAGAGTGCGAATGATCATCATTCCGCTGGCTATCGTGAGAAGACTCCCATCATATAGTACAGACATGGTAGGTTACTGGGTGGGTTCACGAGGCCTGTCCATGAGTTGGATTCCACCTCCCTGGGACGGATGAGCGAAGAGACCTGAGATACTTTTGTTCTGGAACCGACTTACCTCCACCCACCATGGTGTCTGACCGTCAATATCGCTTTTGGAGCAGACCTTACCATCTTGAAGCCATACCATTTCACCCACGGGATTCGGCAGCTCCCCGTTCTCGTACAGTCCTATCACGGTTGCAATATTCTTTCTCTGCCCGGCCTCCACGGTGTCTTCCTGGAGCATTTGCCGGAGAACGGAGATACGCTCCGCGGCGTCGAATGTGCGCGGGTTGATGAGGATAGAACTCGGATCAGGGTTCATATTGCTTATAGTAGCTTATTTTAATAATGAGCAACAGATAAGATGTAAATCGGAATATGATAATATCTGGCGTCCGCTACTTAGAATAAGAAGTGATTGATACTTGGGAGCAGCTTCGCACTAGAGTGATGTCATTGGAAGTACCGCCACTCTGATTTACGTCAATCTCGGATCTGCCGTATTTCTGCTCTGATAGACTGGGAAGATATCTCGAATAGAGTATTCAGAGTAGATGAAGTCAGGATGGACCAACGGATGGAAGCTGCTGATGCTTCCGACTCCGAAAGCGTCAGCGCGTCGTCTGCGGGGCGTCTCGACCACCGTACATCTGTAACCCCAGCTCATCCTCTGAACAGCAAATCCCAGGGGAATAGGCCCGCTTCGTTGAAGCTGCCAAACCGTCCCTCCAGACGGTCTCTACTCCTGGGCAGCAAACATACCTTTCCCTCTTCTAGCTTGATCCAGTGCCTCTGATCGTGTTTCGGTGGTCGCCGGCGCCATGGATGTAGCCTACGATCACATCCAGGAGGAGATCCTCTCTTCCAACAACGCCTCCAAGACGGGCGATTCATCGTCTTCTGCTACCGATGCGAACTCTTCCCAGAACCAGAACCTTGATCTGAGCGCCGAATTCCAGGAGACTTTCCGTGCGTTCTCTGCTAGCCCGTGGGGTGCTCGTCTGGGCGGTCTCTGGGATAATGTCCGCAAACAGGGAGAGAGCTACTACGAGGGTGCTCGACAGGAATATGCGGCAGCCAGCGAAGAGGCCGTCAAGGGGCTATCGGATCTCAAGGAGACCATCGTCGGCCGCACCAGGGGTCTGTCCTTGGGAGTGTCATTCACGGGTGAGGGAGAGGAGAAGGACGAGCCGTCGACGCCTACCGCTCCCAAGGCTGAAGGTTCTCAGGCGGAGGGTGATGATGGCGAGAGCTTCATCACTCGCTTTCGCAGTGAGGCTGCCAAGAGGCTGAAGGACATTCAGAAGGCGGAAGATGCGGCTGACCAGGCCCTCCTTCGTTTCGGAACGAATATTCGTGATTTCTTGCGGGATGCAGTCAGCATTGCTCCTCCGGCGGAAGGGGACGGCTCCGACAAAGGAGATGTTCGCTTCGAGAGCAAGGATGCTGATGGCAAGCGGGTGATCCATGCTACGCGATTCGAGGCTCAGCTGCATGTTATCCATACCGATTCGAACAGCTTCACGAAGGATCCCGACAGTGACAAGTGGGCCGAGTTCAAGAAGGACTTTGATATCGAGAAGAAGACAGATGAGATCGCCAAGGACCTAGAGACATATCCGGAGCTTCGTCGTTCTATGGCAAAGCTGGTTCCCGAGCAGGTTGAGTACAGTGACTTCTGGTCCCGGTACTACTTCCTACGCATGGTCATTGAGACGGAGGAAAGGAAGCGCAGGGAGCTTCTGAAAGGTACGATTCCATTTCATCCTAGCTAATACGATTTCATCGCACGAAATCTGGTATTGACGATGTCTACTAGGTGCCATCGATGCGGACGAGGAAGAAGTTGGCTGGGGTGAGGACTCAGACGACGAATCGAACTCTCCTTCTACTCCCCAAGTCAAATCCAACAAGGATACCTTGAAACCAGTCGAACCCCGCCGTTCCAACGACCAGCAGTCCCAAGCGGATAGCGAATCCAGCTATGACCTGGTCAGCGGCACCACCAGCCGTACCCCGGGGAGCCCCAAGGAGCACAGCCCTGCCAACACCAAGACCGACGAGAGCGACTTGGAGGACTGGACATAAATCCATCACTCCTAGGACAGATCTCTGACTTGCACGTCTCCTCTCATCAAGGCTCGAACTCAGCACGAGTTTTATTCTCTAACCTTCTTTCCTCTTGAAATCAGCGGGTACCTGGAGTCCGGTTCGGTTATTCATTGGCGTTACATTTCCCTCCTTTTGTCTCCATCTACGGTCCCTTTTCTGTTCCTGTCCTGTCCCTTTCCTCAGGATGTGTTGATCCCCGTCTCGCGACTGTTTTGCCCCTCCTAGTTGACTTAGTCTATTTGCTCCAAGTGCTAGCTGTACAGCCATTCCAATGCATGGGTAACTCTGACTTTTTTTTTGGCTCTGAGTCGACTCCTATAATTCCATAATGCATCGTCGCCTGAGGGGTTATCTTAGGTCCAGCTGGATTTACAGTGCCACCATGGTCTTGTTTCCGTGAATGTCAGATCTACTCGACGCTCATTGGAACAACGGAAGAGTTTACATATTCTTGGTGCGACAGGGTTCACTAGTTAATGGAACATGAAACATTCCCTAATCTGACGTTATAAATCATAGTAACTCATTAAATATTATTACCCAGACATTCAATCCCATCCCATCTATTCCTCTATTCAGATTTAGGGCTGTTGCCTGTCATTATTAACGTGTCCTCTGGACTAGGACTTGTCCCTAGACTTCGTCTGTCTGTGGTGCAGTGGGTGGTCTGGAGAGAGGAGATTTCATGCGGCTAGCGTCATCAGCGTACGTGCGTGGATTTCGGTAAATGGACGGTCGTCGCCGCTCCGGAATAGGGGGACGAGGCGACGATCGAGGCGGGAGGGGTGATTCGGGCGTGCGTTCGCGAGACCGAACGTCGTGATATCCGCTCTCTTCGTAGGGGAAGTCGTCGCGGTCTTGAGGGTAGCGGCCTGGAGTACTGCTAGCGCTGGGTGCCCACTGGCCATATTGGTAATCTTCGCCGCGGCGTTTGAGGGGGCTCTCGTCGTAGGGATCCCAGCCGACTTTGCGTCGGGCTTCTGCGCGGACACGTTGGCGGTGGTTCTCATCGCCTCCGGCGCCAGTGGTGGATGACTCCTCCAGGAAGAAGTTGAGAAGTTCGTCTGTGATTGAGAGGTGGGATTGTTGTTGGAACTGTTGGAGTGAAGTGAGGCGGAGTAAGGTTTCGAGGAGAGATAGGGATGTGCGAATGTTGTCGAAGAGGGGGTTTGAGACTGTGGTTGTACCGGCATGTGGTGAGGATGAGGAGACTTGATGATTCGAAGTTGAGGAAGGTGATCTGGAGTGTGAGGGCTTCGTAGGATCGAGACTGAGCCTTGAGACGAGATGAGGATCGACCGACGCGGACCTGGAAGCCCGATGAGGAGATGAGGATTCTTCTGTCTCGGATTCTGTTTCTGAATCTTCTTCTTCATTGTAGACTTCGAATGCGATCCATTCAGGGTCTAGTCCGGATGGTAGCCGCCACTCTTCTGGTATCGAACTCTCATGGAAAGACGGGTAGTCGACGTGCTCTGGACTTTCTGTTGCCCCATTCAGCTGGGCATCAAGCAAAGCCTGCACTTCGTCGTGTTCGGAATCTGTCGTAGTAGGTTCTTCTTCGCCTTCTTCTGCTTCCTCGTCATACTCTGCTTCGGTCCGCTCCAGCATACGTCGTGGGGGAATCGCGTTGATGTCACGTTTCAGCAATAGAACGGGGCTGTTCGTCTCTCCTTCCGTGCTGATATTGAGTATCTTTCCAGTGTCCGCATAGAATATCTTCGAGATTTGATGAATAGGAAGGATCTCACGGATTCCCGCGGTCTGAACGCCATCAAAGGGTCCCGGCTGCGGTTCACCTTCGTCAAATGTATGTACTCTGCCATCATCGAGGTCCTCAATAATCAATATCTGATATGCGAATTCGTCTACCCTGGCCTCAGCTGGGACTTGAGGTCGCAGCCCGCCAGCTTCCGCTGGACTAAAAGCCAAGTCCATGGGAACCCGCCGCAGCTTCACCTTAGCCTTATGCATGATTTCTTTCCACGTAGTCTCTCGTATGCCTTCTTCATCTTGCGGACGGACATGGCCGGCAAAGAGCATGTACATAGATAGGGTGAATGTCGGCCCTACCTGCACGGCTTGAACAGGTGACATAGAATACTGCGTATCTGCAGCTGTGAGGAAAGTACTAGCTTGAAGGAGACGAGAAGGCGAGACGGTTGATGGCAGGGTAGTGGAGAGACTGGCGCCAGAAGTCGTGATAGCCAGGTTCATCAGTGGCACGGCGTCCTCGATGCGGTCTAGTAACCTCTTGATATCTTCAATGATCATTTTGATCTCAACATCGTTTTGACTTCGTGTTCTAGCCGAGAAAGCGCCTTTGCGCATTAATTCCTCAGATGCAGCGGCTTTGGCAAGTCGCTGCCCGAGAGCTTGAATGTCCCATCTTAGAGATTTGGTAAGAGTAACAGCAGATTCAAGAGACGTGTTTCCTCGAGCGGCGCTATACTACAGTTAGCATACAAGGATAGAATTTCCATTAGAGCGGAGACAGAACGAACATAAGCTCAATCATATCTATAGCGGGTGATATGACCTACAGATCCTCCCTGTCAGTGGGCTAGTAATTGGAACAGAGACAAGAAAACCTACTTGGATCTTGCTTTGAAGACGTCGTTGCAAAGCAAGAAGCTCTTGTCGCTCAGTACCGCTAACATTCTGCATCACGATTAGCTACAGTTGCGGTGCATCTCTTGCATTCAGGGCGTATCAACCTTGAGTAGACGCGACGACTGGCGGATAGCATAGCTGGCTGTTATAGTTATACCAGAGCTTGTAGACGACTATCAGCATCAAGCTTGCTACTTAATACCTGCGAATAGACTGTGTATCGTACCGGATGGCATAATTCATCGCCTGTTGGGTGAGCTGTCGACAGTAGTTAACACCATCAAGCCGGAACTGACTGTTTCCCCACCTAGAACGCGACTTACTTTGGCGAGAAAGACCTCCATTGTAACTAGGGCTTCCAGGAAGCTATCTGCCTTCGTCTCTTCCCGATAGTCTTTGCTATATTGACATCTGAGTAGCTTCTCTGGAATGAAATTCTGCTGAATGGAAGAAGAATAGACGCCAGTTACCCCTGATCGGTATTGTGTATTGGGCTGCTCTGCTTATCGATAGCGGGCAAGTAAGTACCGCCACCTGAAACAACGGGATTGCTTACCCCGCGAAACAAATCGAGAACGCACGAGAATCCCCAACTCCAATCGAGGGTTGAATGTGTTTTTCAGGACACCAAAGAACGCAGTGATATAAAAGCACCACAACCATCTCGTTTGATCCACGTGCAGACAGACGCAGTTGGCGGAGTAGACGCGGTAGACGCGGTAAACGCCCCCGGAGAAAACACGGCTGAGTCATCCTGCTAGCGTCTCCAGCTGTGCAAAATCAGGCCGCAAAAGCGGCGTTTTGCCCCTCATCGTCGGTCTCCATCCAGACGCTCGATCTCTGCAATATCCCCCGGGAGATCCTTTCCGCTCACTCGCGTTCCGTCTCGCTGTTGCTTGTGTCTGTCTTTTCATTCGGCTACTCAAGATGGCTGACCAGACCCCGGACTCCTGGGAGGATGAGCTCTCCAAGCAGACGGAGGGCGTTAGCCTGAACAACGCACAATCGCGGCCACAGCCTCAAGCGCCGACGTTTCGCCCTGGAGCAGCATCTTTCCAACCTGGAGCTGCTTCCTTCACTCCTGGACAGCAGTACTACGGCGGCTATCCACAGTACGGGCAACAGGCCTACGGCGGTTATCCCAACTACGATCAACAGCAGGCTTATGGCCAGTATGGTGCGTATGCCCAGCAGCCCGGAGGCTATAACCAGGGATACAACTATGGTGGTTACAATGCCGGATATCAGCAGCAGCAGCAGCCTGCTCAGCTGGCCCGTCAGGCTGCGCCCGCTGCCGCCCCTGCGGCACAACCGACCCCGGCTACCGCGAAGCCCGCTGTGAACACGACGTCCGCTGCCCCTCCGAAGGCGAAAGTGCTATCCATTGGTGGTGATGCGGCATCTGCTCCCAAGACTAAGGTTCTGTCGATTGGCGGTGATGCGGCTTCTGCCCCGAAGACCAAGGTCCTCTCCATCGGGACTTCCCCCGCGACGAACAACACCTCTCCAGGAGATACAAAGGGCACTGCTGCCGCTGAAGCTGGTTCCAAGGTAACTGCAGCAAAGGCTATCGAGAAGACGGAGAAGAAGGCGGACCAGAAGGCAGCGGCAAGCGGCAAGACCTCTCCTGTTCCCTCCTCCGGCCGATCAAGCCCTGGCCGTTCCAGTCCTTCTCGAAGCGAGCTCACTCGTGCGGCCCGCGCCGCTGATGCTGTTGCCAGGGAACAGCAGGCTGATGTCGATGAGGAAACCTTGAAGGAAATCTATGGTGAGAAGAGAGAGCATGTCAACCTCGTTTTCATTGGACACGTCGATGCTGGAAAGTCGACCTTGGGCGGTTCCATCCTGTACACTACCGGAATGGTTGACGAGCGAACATTGGAAAAGTACAGGAGGGATGCCAAGGAAGCCGGACGTGAGACCTGGTATCTGTCCTGGGCTCTGGATCTCACCAACGAAGAACGTGCGAAGGGAAAGACCGTGGAAGTTGGCCGTGCCTTCTTCAAGCTCACCGTGGACTCTCCAGACGGCCCTATTACTCGTGAATTCACTATTCTGGATGCTCCCGGACACAAGTCGTATGTGCCAAACATGATTGGTGGTGCGTCGCAGGCTGATGTTGGTGTCCTGGTCATCTCTGCCCGTAAGGGTGAGTACGAGACTGGTTTCGAGCGTGGAGGTCAGACTCGTGAGCACGCATTGCTGGCGCGCAACACTGGTGTGAAGAAGATCATCGTTGTCGTCAACAAGATGGATGACGCCACTGTCGAATGGAGCAAGGCTCGGTATGATGAATGTACGACCAAGGTTAGAAAGTTCCTGGAGGCACTTGGATACACCAAGGATGACCTCTTCTTCATGCCCATTTCTGCCCAGACGACTCTGGGTATTAAGGACCGTGTGCCTAAGGATCTTGTGCCGTGGTATGACGGCCCGTCTCTGCTGGAGTTCCTGGGTCAAATGAAGATGCCCGAGCGTAAGATCAATGCGCCTTTCATGATGCCAGTCAGCGCCAAATACCGAGACATGGGAACCATGATTGAGGGTCGCATTGAGTCCGGTGTCATTAAGAAGACTGGTACTTACCTGATGATGCCAAACCGCGATGAGGTGCAGATTGCTGCCCTCTATGGAGAGACTGAAGACGAGATCCAGACCGCCACATGCGGTGACCAGATCCGAGCCCGTCTGCGAGGTTTGGAGGAGGAGGATATCCTGCCTGGTTTCGTGCTGTGCTCTCCCAAGCGCCCTGTCCACTGTGTACGTGCCTTCGAAGCCAAGATCAGGATTCTTGAGCTCAAGAGCATTCTATCGGCCGGTTTCAACTGCGTTCTGCATGTGCACTCCGCCATCGAAGAGGTTACCTTCGCAGCCTTGCTGCACAAGCTCGAACCTGGCACTGGACGCAAGAGTAAGCGCCCGCCGCCATTCGCCAGCAAGGGCCAGACCATCATTGCTCGTCTGGAAGTGACGGGTGCAGCTGGCGCTGTCTGTGTGGAGCGATTCGAGGACTACCAGCAGCTGGGTCGGTTCACCCTCCGTGACCAGGTATGAAGACTATTACTCCCCTCTTAATTGCTATGTTCAATTTGGCTGACGCGATATAACAGGGACAAACAATCGCTATTGGTATGATCACGAAGCTGATCACTGACGAAACCGACTAAACAACACGGTCGATCTTATCTTTTTCTATGTAGCTAATCGCGATCATGATTCTACGGTGACTTGTTTTGCTTTGAGGTCAGAAGTTTACGGCTAGCGCGGTAAACCCTTGGGCAGAAAAGTATTGAGGGAATGCTCCCTGTCAATCTCAACGACGAACGAACGATTTTATAGATAGGATGTTCATAAACAAAAAGAGCTTTTCCCTCTCAGAGGAGCGCGGTGTCGATGTGACGCTCGATATGTCATCAATTCATGAATGTCTTTTTCCTTTTTGCTCGCCGCCCCATTGTATTTTTTGAGTAGCCGACCCGAAACCCATGATTTATATGCACAGATAAAACAACCTGACCGTAAGAAATAGTATCCTTCACCTCTTCTTCTTGCCGACCACCTTGGTAAACCCTTCTTCGTCCACCTCAGGCTCCACTCTCTCCCTCGGAGCCCTCGTCAGGGCCGGCGCTTCATCCATCTCAACATCCCCTTCCTCCTCATCATCCTCATCCTCATCCTCATCCGTCTCTTGATCCTCATCTCGTGCATCCACTTTCCGGAACAGTCCAGCAGCATTTGCTCCCTTCTTATCCATCTTCTCCTTCCACGCCTCGTACATGGCTCGAATCTCACCAAACTCCCCACGCTGTGTTTGAGCTCGCATCTCCATGATCTGCACTGCGACGTCACCCGCACTTCCATCGTCGACCACCACGTCGAACTCATCGTTCATCACCTGGATCAGAACATCTTCGAGGTCCTCGGCGTCGGTCTCGGGTCGGTCGTTAAGGAGGTCTGAGATCGCACCACAGAACCAGTCGCGCTTGTCGGCTGATGCAGGACCACCCCAAGAAGATTGAACGGCAAGGGTCAGAGCAGGCCAGTTATTCAGGGCGAGCGAGATACCCAGGTCAAGTTGGGCAGAGGCCGAGGTAGCTTGTTCTTGAAGCTGTTCTTGTGTTTGAGTTGACGATGCCATGATTGTTTCCTCTTTGTCTTAAATTTGACTCCCCTCTGTCTCTTTCGTAGAAATAGAGCGACTGGTTGGTAGAAGATGTAGGGAAAAAGTTCGCTCGCTTCGCGATATGGATTTATCTGCCCCGCCTTAAGTATGATGAGAAATGGAATTCCGCTTGAGATAAATGTCGAAGGTTTCCGAAATTTAAAACATCAGTAAAAAAAAAATCGCCGATAAATACGAACGAAAGATAATAATCCACGGAGATCTCCCCAATAGCTCTCTGCTGCTGTTTGGTACGTTATGTGGAAGTTCCGCGGGGAGCTCTAGCAATCGGACTCGCGTCTTTAAATTTTTTTTTAACCTTACATAGGTAGGTACTTAATAGTTCGCGATAACATTGAGTTAAGCTCCACCGCGACGGAAATGATATATTATATCATCTTACTACTAATGTGGAATTTTAATAAGAATAATATTTTATATAGGAATAATCAGATATTTCATTTTCCAGGGTCATGGTCCTACAGCACAGAATTGTGCAATTCATATTGCTGTTCTGGAGAACTCACCGCCTTTGAATCGATGCTATCACGTGACATTTATATCCGGCAGAAAAAGCGCAAAGTAAAAAAGGCGGTGGGCATCGACGTCACTGATAACAGGGTCCTTTATTCTTTCTCATTGCAGTTTCTGGGGGATATCCAGTGGGATAATAATATACTTGTATACTTGGATAAATAATGAGATAGCTGTTCTGTGTTCTTCTTTTACTAGAGGCAGAAGAATATGTAACTCATTATCATTGACAACAAGGAGGTCGAAACTGAAAACTAGAATCATTTTCACTGTGTTGTTTCTGGAATTTAACCATCTTATGGTACAGTTCTCGAGAATGCCAAGATGGGTTTTCCGGTGACGAGATCCTTAGAAGTTTCTCTGTTAGTCTAACTTTAGGTATCTATTTCTGTTTTTACTTTTTCTACGCACGATTTCTATATAGGACCACTGACACTCTTCATGATAGAGACGTTGTCCTGACCTCTGTGTCTGAACACGACATTAATGGGACGGGCTTAGACGAGAAAGTCAAGCAATCTCTAATTTCCCGTAGATATCTTGTTCATGACCTGGAGACTGCTCACACAGTTGGAGAGAAGTTTTGCTATATTGCTACGGACATTGACAACGAAGATCCTGATGAGGAGGAATTCTATCCCCTCCCTGATGGGAGTATAGTTACTCCCGTACAAGAACGATACACGATATCTGAAGAGCTGTTCGATGGTGGTGTTGTAGTGGAGGCAATCAGGAGGTTTTATCGATACATCTTGTGAGGTAGTAGAATGGTGATTTAGCGCCAAACACTTTACGATAATATACCTTAGTGATAGCGATACAACGCTGGCGATCTCTAAAGAGACCCTCGCAAGCGTAGCAAGTTCAAAACTAATTAGTTGGCTGTAACCGAGTATTAAAGATAGTGCGCAGCATAGAATTACTTGATATCGCGCATCCGGCATAGAACGCTGGACATACAACTCAGTGTAAGTACCTAGTAGGGATGCACCATAGCGATTGTTGTAACAATTCTCCGTCCTCAATATCGCAAAATGTTCCCCCCTCGATTTCATTATTCCAGTTGACTCGACGACTGTGATTAAAGGATTATGGTAAATTAACTATCCTCCTCCCTTTCTCGCGGGGCAACAAAAGCCACCCCTCACTGGTGGGTCGAACTAAATACAGCACGAGCGAATCCTCTCGAGAGTATCGCATCGAAGAACGGTTCTTCTCCGCATGAAGTCACAGTACTTCCAGCGGTTCAAATGCCGCAATCGCGTCTCCGATGTTGATGGTTCCGCTTCTCCGTCTGTATATAATAGTCTGGAATAACTAACTACTCGAGTAGTTTGCGTACCTAAGCACATACTGTCTTGACGGGAACCGTCCACCACGAAATCTGTATCTGATCCCAACCAAGAAGCAAATATGGCAGTAACCAAAACATTCGCATACAAGAATATCCAGGGAAAGCCTCTGGAACTAGACGTGATCGTGGCCGATGAGAAGCCTTCTCAGCCGCAACCTGCGATCTTGTTCTATCACGGTGGTTATTTGGTAGGTCGCCCGTATGGCAACTAGAACCATGCGATCGAAGAATAATAATATCACACTATTCTACCTTCCGCTGACACAAATTCAACAGATCACCGGAGACCGTCACCATGCTCCGCGATGGCTCATTCAAGCAGCTATAAAACGCCGCTGGGCATTCATCTCCGCAGATTATCGCACACTCCCCGAATCAACCGGATTCGAACTCGCAGAGGATCTATTCGATGCCTACAACTTCGTCACCAAGAAACTCAACACCGAAATCCCCAATCTGGTTGATCCGACACGGCTCATCGTTGCAGGATCGAGCGGAGGCGGGTACTGTTCGATCCTAGGCGCGGTGCGGTTCAAGGATCCCGCCCCAGTAGCGGTGTTGCCCATATACCCGATGGGTGACCCGACGTCGGAGAAGTGGACGATCGGCAAACATTGGACGAAGCACCTGTCTGCTTCTGCAACTGAGGAGACGATCAAGGAGATGAATCAACGAATTGCTGATAAAGAGATTAGTTTCGGCCAGAGGTTCCCCGCGGATCCCAAGGGACCCAATTTCGAGAACCACAACCGCTGGCGATACGTTCGCGCTATCCTCGAGTCGGGGCTCTATGCGGACTATCTGACGGGTGTAAAAGGTCTGGGAGCTGCTATCGCAGAGAAGGGAAAGGATGCTATCCCCGAAAACGCCCGGGAGTTATTCCCGAAGGACTTCTCGATCACCAAGGATCTGCCGCCATTGATCGTGGTCCATGGCTTGGAGGACCGACAAGTGCCGCATGAGGACGGCGAAGCAATCGTGCAGAAGTCTCGCGAGGCTGGTGTAAATGTCACTTATTTCCCTGTCGAGGGTGCGGATCACGATTTTGATCTCAAGTACGATTCTATTGAGGATGATAAAGACACCCAGGATCCAGGCAAGAAGGCCCTTCTGGGATGCTTGGAAGCACTGGACAAGCTGGTGCCTTCGAGTGCGTGAGCTAGACCCTCAGCGATATTGCCTCGAACTATATGTATATAGGATGCCGCTATGTTATGAAACCTGATCTGGCTATTGTGACTACATTGGCTGAGTGTAGAAACGGGCTATATGATGAAGATAATATTTATTATGGACGGGTCATCGATAAGTTCTAGATAAATAAAGCAGAAACGACATAGAAATGATGACGATCCCGTAAGGAGCGCTGAAAAGCGCGCCGAGATGGTAAAATGTCTTTCTATCTTGCACAATAATTTGTGCCACCATGTAACATACATGAATACATAGGACCGTGCCTGTGGTTTAAATATCGCGAGTGTACATCGCCAAAGCCCGGGGACTCGCCCCTTTCCCCGGTAAACGAATGGGTATGCAAGAAGAACGCCGCCCATGTGCATCCATGATAAATACAGGAGAAGTGGTATCCAACCCCGCATGACCAGCCCGAAAAGAATAATAATATACCAGAGAAACAAACACAATACGAAGCATTGGTGGTGTGACCTTAAAACGCCTCGATCACCAGACCCTTTCCAAACAAAAATGCGGCTTCCAGAGCGATCATAGAACATAACTAAGCATCTCCTGCCCTCTTATAGCCGTAGCAATATGCCACGGTAACGTATTCCGCTGGACACTAGCGATCCCTTGATATCTAGCAAGAGTAGCGAGATCCCGGTACATTCCCAAGACCTCCTTAAGAAGTAGTTCGTGAGACGCTGCAGGCCGTTGTGTATATACCAAATTGATAGTCATCGCAAAAGCACCGTCTCCATCATAAGTGCCCTTTCTCCGGAGTAGGTAACCACTAGCGAGTGCTGGGCGGTATTCAGTGAGATGAGGTGAATTATTGAGGCGATGAGACAAAATGACTCCCCACGACTCATCGCAAATGTCAACAAGCACCGTGTCAGAATCAGGTTCAACCGGCTGAAGGTCAGTGGGGGTTGAGGCGGATGCCATGGCGTTCCCGCCACTGGTCGGTGTCGCGGCAGTTCCTAGCGGGTCTGGCGAAGGCGCACTAGGGTTAGGTGTTGCGACGGGCGTGGACGTAGACTGAGCGTTGAGGAACTGCACATGTATCTGTGACGGTGGTAGCTCCAGGTATAGATCGGGTGCAGTATCGACGCTGAATATGGTTAGTTCGACAGGGACAGGCCGTGTTTGATTGTATCTCTCTGCGAGGTTTGTCCACGCTATCAACTGTATTAGCGAATGTATCTCATTATTTCAGGGCAGTTTTCGTACCTTCGATCTCTTCTTGGTCCACCGGTTCGGTCTTCGCAAGAAGTACCCTCCAACGAGCCTGCGTCCTCTCTATAATGTCTTTGGTGGTCTCCCATATCTCATGTCTCACGTCGGAAATAGCTCTAGCGACGTTTGAACTCTTCGAACGTAAACAATAGGATAGAGCCACTTGGAAAGAGCCAATATTGTCCGACCAGGCCACGGTCACCCAACGTTGGTCGATGCTTCTTGAAAATGAAACATGTAGGCATTTGCCTTCCTGCAAAGGCGATATTCTTTCGGAGACTAGTTTGAAATTGATGCTCCGTGGAGTAGGTTCCGCAAGGAGCAAAGGGGGAGCGCAGCCCATGGAGCCAGAAGCCTGATCTCGGGGAGGGCATCGATTATACACCTCCAATGCCAGATTAAGGTATTCACTCTGTGTAGGAACAACAACCCATAGTGGCGACCAGACAAAGCTCATAGGGACAATTTGCAAGACCAACTCATTGAGCTGACGCGTATCTTGGCGATCCGCACCGCCAATGTACTTCTGGAAGAGTTGTAGGAAAGCTGCGCATATATCGGCTAGAGCAGCGGCATGTTCGAACGGATTTATAATGTAGATAACGTAGTTATCTTTGGTCGGGGATCGCTTGGCCAAAATGTTCCCTGGTAGAAGTTAGAAACTGCGGGAAATTTGGAATGCTAATATATCTCACCTAAGCGTTCACACATGGCCTTGAGGTCCTGCATGGTGGAGGTATAGCCTGAGTGAGACGTTTCCACTTTCCAGGGTCCTAGTCCGTTCTCGAAGTCTTTGGTTTCACCTCCCCTTGCATGCTTACCAAGGCCACAGCTCGAATATAGCAAACTCAGACGCTCCAGAAATGCGTCGGCGCCCTCGGCGGCGTACTGAGGATGGATACAGTAAGCCAAGATATCCTTCTCGCCGTGGGCAGGCTCTAGCCCAAAGGTTTCCCAGAATGATATTGCAGGAGGTAAGACCTCTAGGAAATCCTTGCCGCGACGTATGCGCAAGTGTGGCGTCACCAGCTTGCTGATAGTGCCCCTTACAGGCTGGGATCTTTGACGAGGAGGCTGACCTTCATGCGTTGGAGATAACTCGCTTTGTTGGATTTCAACATAGCTCTTCAGATCAAGCCGCGCAGTTTCGCCCATCACGCTGCTGTCCTCAAGAAAAGTTCGGAGAGGAAAAGTATCGTTTCCGAGATCTGGAAGTCCTATCTTCTCATCAAGCTTATGGGTAAGGGATGACTGTGTGACTTGGTCAACCATGAGCTGTGCCAGCTGAACTACATCCTCCTTGCGGACGAGAACAGGAAGAAGTCGATTTTGTCTGACCGAGAAGTAGCCTGCCAAGGACCAATCCGAGAAGATATAGAAGAAATTTCCGAGAAAGGTCGAATTTTCCTCTTTTATAACAGAGAGATCAGGGCCAACGGCCAACGACGTCTTTTCTTGAGAAATCGCGGAGTCATTGTCTGGTTCCGACACTCCACGTTTCCTCTTCACAGCTGTAGATCTCGTGGGGGATATGGTTCCTTCGGGATAATCATCGTCGCTATCATCGGTAGTCTCGTCGCTTGATGCAGAAGTTGAATTGAGAAGCGGCCCTCCGTCGCTCATGGCGGTGTCCTGATCGATCGTCATGGGCCTTGAAAATCCATACTTCAAGGGCTTTGGTCTCCCAGGACGAGGTAGTCCTATGGTTGGAATCTCACTTGTAGAATCGCCTAGCCCAGATTGAGTCTTAGCAGCCTTGTCAATAGACAATGAAAAAGTACCGGCAGCGCCATATTTTTGATCCCAGGAAGACAATTCTTTCTGGAATGGTACTGGGCCATAGTGGCTCTGGTTGCGACCATCATTTGATAAATGACGTGCAATGCTTGACCTATCCACGTGGGTGCTCTGCATCGGTTGGACCTCTGAGAACAATATTCGTTTGATCTTCACCGGACTAAGGGGAGGGCTTATAGTTTGACTATCGTCGGCTGCTGAGGCATGATCTGGGATATTTATATGGGCATCGTCTTCGATGTTTTCATCGCTCATTTCCGCGAGATCATGCTTTGGCCCATCGACATCGGTCGTAGGTACTGCACCATGCTCCCCGTCGACAGGGGTCTTAGTCTCCTCCGCCGACGTATTCATTGCGACGTCTGGTGTTGCTGTATCCGGTTTGATAGAATCCGTTCCCAGAGTGATCTGAGCTGCAGCCTCCTGGGGTATTTCCTGGGCTGCATCGCCTGTCCGTTTCCCATCGTCGAAGCTAGCTATGTCAGGCTCATCGAAAAAACTGAAGTCAGCATCAGTGATCCCCTTCGACCCGAAATCCTTTCCATTCATCTCCTCAAACAGGTCATCGTCATCATCCTCATCATACAGCCCGGATCCAACTCCAACGGTGGTAGAAGTTCCGAAACCGTCCATCACGTCAGGGCCTGGCTGGGCATTAGCCACCTCTTCATCAGCAGGTCTCAAACGGCCTGCGTTCTGAGTAGTTGATGGCGCCGCATCTGGTACTTCAGCAAACGCATCTGAAGATGGGGCGTTGTTAAATCCCTGCGTTAGTGCGCCATCCGGTGGCGTTGGATATACAAGACTCGCAGCTTGCAGATCAGGGTACTGGTTCACACGTGCCAGGCTTTCAATTACCTCTCCGGCATCTGTCCGCGGTGTAGACATCTCTGCGCCCTTTGGTTGCTGCCCGGGAGACCCGCCAGTGGCCTGAGAGGCAGCTAACTTTTCATTCCTAGCACTTGCCGTTGCAAACCATTCCGTTGCAAAATCTATAGGGTCGCAGCGTTCGAATTTCGAGGTTTCAACTGGGGAGTCCGTCTTGGTTCTCGTAAATGAATACTTAGCTGGCCATAATAGACGGCGCAGCGGAGGCGACGGCTGCTTTCCCTCGGTCTGACGCATGCTCTCGGCTGCGAGCCGACTATAGAATGGTTCAGGGACTTCAACCTCTATCCACGATTCATCTTCAGCAGAATTCAAAGGCAGGCCGACGTTTCGAATCCACTCCACGACGTTCTCTTTCCAGTTCTTGCGCTTTAAGCCGAGGAGATGCTGGGGTGTTGCATTTTCAGAGTTTCTTGGGTTAGACAAGCCTGGTGAGGGAAGGGACCCATCCTCGCCCTCGGCCGATATTAATCTTGCGATTGTTCCAGTAGGTGCTAGCCAAATGTCCTGACCTTTCTCAAGAGCCGGTCCAATGGTATTGCGAGCAGTATCCCAAAGCCGCGTTATACCATGCTGGGATATCGTGTGCAAAGAGATTATCAACTTGCCCAGCGGGGTCAATTCAATCCGCAACGTGGTTAAGGATGGTACTGAGTCAGGACTATCATGCAAAATAGGACTGTCGTATCCATTCCTTTCCACTGCAGTGAAGAGCGTGCGTGACCCTAGGGGGATTGCATTATGACGTCGCACCAATTGCAGGGACATTGCACTGGTGACAGCAGAAATGAAGGCTGCGTAAATGATACCTTGGTTGCCCTGGCCTTCTCCAGGCCGGCCAGCGCTCAAAGACCTTTGCGCTCCTGACGCATTTGGATTGGGCGTTTGAGGATCCGTTGACATAGATCGCATCAAATCTGCCGCGGAAACGGTGCCTGCTGCGGCCACTGCATTCTGCGCATTAGTAGAATAACAAAAATAAAGAACTCAGATCGCAGCTCTTACCTTTCATGTTGACAGAGTCAAGGGTCAGCCGGTTGAAATTCGTACCATCTCCATCTCGGCTCAGAGGCTTCAGTGTGCCAAACTCCGGAGTCGCAGAAAAGACCCATAGGCCAAGGCGCCTGGGATAACATGATACCAAGCAGTCGAAGTTCCTAAGATGCAGCTCGAGTCGTTTGAGACGACTGAGGTGCTTCAAAATGGTATAGCCATTGGCTGGCCCTTCAGCAGGAAGAGCGGCACTAGCCGGCTCTTCAGTGTATATCCTCCAATAGATGTTGGAGAAGCCATCCTGAGTGGCGAGTTAGAAATTGACCCCGTCGTTCAGAATGTTAGAGACTTACTATGACATGTACGTTGGTTATAGTGTTTGCTGGAAAGTCCATCATCAGAGAGAGGTGCTTCTCGCTGAAGCTCCGGCTACTCTTGGATTATAGATAGAAAGAAATGATATCCATTCCAAGAATAGATTCATTTCCAGGCAATTGGAGGTAGATGCGGAACTCTCCTGAGTGGATTCCTGGGCCGGGTCGCCCCTAATTCAACGGTCGAGAGTAATAGATATGGCTCCGCAACGGTGTCGCCATGCGGCGCAAAGCTAAGCGACAGCCGCAGGCTGATAATGAGCAAAAGCGCGTCAACGCAGACAAGGCAGGCGTTTCTGGAAAGACTGGGGATATCGCCCGATGGAACACGGCGATCCAAGATGAATAGCCCTCCCAGTCAGCGCCAGATGCAGCCGATAGTCGATGGCATTCGCGGGCAGACGCAGAGCAAGTTGCAAGGACGCTCGAGGTCCCGGCGCTCGGACCACCGTCAACCTCCGCGGAGCTGCGTCACGTGGTGAAATCTTGGCGTTGATCTGGATCGCGAAACTTTTTTGTGCCGATCGACTTGGAGACGTTGAGACATTCAACCACCTGGTGGACGAGGGCAGCTTCTCTCGCCAAAATGAAGATCTCCAACCAGGCCGCTGTCCCCGTCTATACGATCTCGGGGTCAAATACTGCTCGACCCCTTCCAGAATGGCTTGCGCGGCGGCGAAAGCGCAGCTTGAAGAATGACCCGGAGTATGCCAACCGAGTTGAGCTGCTGCAAGACTTTGAATTCGAAGAGGCAAGTCAGTGCATCCGGGTGAGTGAGGATGGCCAGTGGGTTATGAGCACAGGTGAGCATTTTGAAAGAGTATCTTTCTTGGTTCATCGTCCCGGATCTAATGTCTTGCAGGAACTTATAAGCCACAAATTCATACACACTACCTCCCACATTTGTCGCTTTCGTTCGCTCGTCACACCGTCTCGCTCAATACTACCTTCCTTCTTCTCTCGTCTGATTACTCCAAATCTCTGCATCTCCAGGCGGACCGGTCTCTGGAGTTTCACACTCCTCAGGGATGCCATTACACGACCAGGCTGCCCAGATATGGTCGCGATCTGGTGTTCGACAGACAGTCAGCAGAAGCTCTGGTCCCGGCTGTTGGTGTCAATCAGGATAACATGGGAGAGGTTTTCCGTCTGAATATGGAGCTGGGAAGATATATGCGAAGCTACGAAGTTGATGTCGGCGGTGATGACTACACATCTGCTGGAGGCGGTACCTTACAAGGCGGTATCAACACGGGTGCGGTTAATACTGGTGCTGTCGCGGAGGAGAGCCACAACCTGCTCGCCTTCGGTACTTCTCTGGGGACTGTGGAGCTTTGGGACTCCAGAGCTCGAGGGAGAGCGGCAGTGCTGTTGCCCCCAACTCAGTCGCAACCAGGTGACGCCAGGTCAGAAGTTACGGCTCTAGAGTTCCATCGCTCTGGGTTGACGCTGGGAACGGGTTCGTCGAACGGCCTTATCCACCTGTACGATCTCCGGTCACCCGTGCCGCTACTCAAGAAAGACCAAGGATACGGCTACCCCATTCATACATTGAAATTCCTCACCCCGTCCACTGCCACGCGGGAGCAGACAATGGAGCCCAAGATCATGTCATCCGATAAGCGAATTATTAAGATCTGGGATCCGCGTGATGGCACTCCTTGGACATCGGTTGAGCCTACGGTCGATATCAACAGCGTGGCTTGGTGCAGGGATAGCGGAATGATTCTGACTGCCAACGAAGGAAGACAACAGCACGCATTCTTCATCCCTCAGCTCGGACCGGCTCCAAAATGGTGTTCCTTCCTGGACAACATTGTCGAAGAGATGGCAGAAGATCCGAACGACCCTCATGCATTCTCTACCGGCCAGGCTGGAACGGTTTATGATAACTACAAGTTCTTGACTGTTCCTCAATTACGTACCCTCAACCTGGATCATCTGATTGGACGGACAAATCTCCTACGGCCTTACATGCATGGTTACTTTGTTGCCCAGCGGCTGTATGAGGAGGCACGCCTCATCACTAACCCGTATATTTGGGAGGAAGAGCGAGCCAAGCGTGTCAAGGAGAAGATTGACAAGGAGAGAGAAAGTCGCATCCGAGGCAAGAAGAAGGTTACTGCGAAGGTTAACAAGAAACTTGCCGAGAAGCTCCTTGAGAAGGAGGAACGCCACGAACGTCGCAAGGCCCAACGCGTTCTGGAGAATGGTGGTGACCAGGAAATGGCTGATGCTCCTTCGACTGAGATATCCAGCAAGGGTCTGCTCGGTGACAGCCGTTTCGCCAAGCTTTTCGAGGATGAAGAGTTCGCTGTTGATGAGACCTCGAGAGAGTTTAAGATGATTAACCCAAGCACTGCACCTGAGGCATCGGAACGTAAGGAGCGCGGTTTGACTGCTGTCGAGCAGGAAGAGATCGACGAAGTCCCGGGTTCCAGTAGCGATGAGGACGAATCCGAGAGGGAGGAAGAACGACCTGCAAAGGACAAGTCCTCCGGCCGGATTTCTAACCCGTCCTACAAGCGCACCAATCGACCACCACCTCGCATGGAGGTCAGCTCATCAACAAAGACCGGCCAAGCTCGCGACCGGTCCTTCGAGTCTCGTATTCAAAAAGTTCGCTCCAAGGACAGGCCAACACGGACTGGTGGTGCTGTTGGTGAAAAGGAGGTTACATTTGCACCGCAGCCCAAGTCGAAGTCTAAGCCTGTACGCTACGACTCCGAGAGCAACAATTTCAGATCGAAGGAACGACGAAGCGCCTCTGGAAACACCTTCCGACGGATGTAAGAAGATGTCTTCTGGTATCTCTTTAGCAATTGAACCATGGCGTATAATTGAGACAAGATATCAAGGGAAGGTACCTCTTGTCTAGAAATCGCACCCATGCGACTTACACGCTGTTGCCGCTTGCGAAGGTCATGCAGAAGGGACGAGACTATTCGTCAGCATCTAGAGCTGTCCATTGATGGTGTGAAAAGTCCAACCAGATAGCTGACATTCAGAAAGATCTTGACTCAAACTTCAGGGCTTTCCCTTCCATATATTCACTTAACATGGAAAGGCTAGCTTGCTTCGCTGCAGATGATTAGCAAGATCTCTATCTCGAAGAAATTCGAGAAATATCTTCATGTCATGTCGTCGGGTGCTACCAGTCAAAGACATCAACTTCCAGTACCTGCATGGCTCAAAAACGACAACAGAGTTGCACACGTTAACTTGATGAGGACGACCACTTTAACAATTCTCTTTATGACTATTAGGGTTTCTTGATACCTGGAGAGCTTGTACACATTTTTTCTTCTTATTCTTATTTTCCTGGTGATCAAGGCGCACGAATTGTACGGGATAGACTATTACCCAGCTGGTGAAGACAAAAAGTTTTGCATATTCAACCTGACACGAACGCTGCATATACGTTATCTGTTTAGATCATAATCTACCAACATCCACCCACATCCAATGCCATAAGAGAGCAGAGAACAAAGCTACTTCTGAAAGCCATATAGAACAACCCCCCACCCTCAAACCCATTCAAATCCTCACCACATCAGAAACCCCCCAGAAGCAGAGATACACTGTCCCGAAACCCATCTACTCCTCTCCCTCCGCCAAAAACGCCACTATCTGCACAACGTCATCAAGTGTCCCAAGCCGATGCTCAACCGCCGTCGACTCCCTCTGCCACTCAACCAACCACTGCGGAATCTCGTCCAACATGACCGTCCGGACTGGCCCCGGATGCACCATATTGACCATATGACCTTCATCTCGCAACTCGGCCGCAAGCACACGCGTCAGACCCTCCAGTGCCGCTTTTGACGAGCAGTATGCGCTGTAATTCTTGAATCCATGTCTCGCCGCCACGGAACCGATATTGATAATCCTACCGGGAGCAACGGAGGTGAGGAACCACTGCGGCGCAGAGGAGAAAGGGAGCGCGAACGCTTAAGATCATACACGTATGAGAAATCCTCAGCGGTTATTTTCGTGATGGGCGTTTCGATCTCGTAGCCTGCGTTGTTGATTAGGATGTCGATGTGCGGACCGAATGCGGAGAGGGTTGCGGAGACGATTTCGCCCGGAGAAATGGGCTGGCGTAGGTCTGTACGGATGGATATGGCCGTCGGAGCCATTGTTGAGAGATTTTATTTTCTTCACAGTTGTAGAGACGGCGGAGTCGCTTTCGGGGGAGCTGTATGTGAGGACGACTTTGGCGCCGCGGGTTGCGAAATCGAGGGCGCTGCTTTGGCCGATTCCGCGCGATGCGCCGGTGACGATGGCTATTTTTCCAGATAGAGATAGCGGGGGTAGATATAGATGGTGTAGTCATTTTGAGAGAGAGAGAGAGAGGGGACTCTGGTATGTTTGACTTGTTCAACAGCAGGGATCGAGAACCTATCGAAGTCTCTAGTACTGTTCAGCTACAGAAAGCCTAAAAGGGCAAGTTGCAAAAGATCACAGAAGCAATTATAGAAACTAAACATATAATACTTCAGGAAAATAATCTGGATCGCTTCAAGACTAGGATGATAACCAAAAATCTATCGAGTACTTATATTCCAGGACACACCTCACCACTGCGTAGACCCCTTTAGTGCATTTTACTAATACCACATATCTTCGTTGATGTACATATATCCTGTAGAAACAGGCGGCTCCACTATTCGTTCTGACTTACCCTTTATATAGGGACGTAGTGGCACGTTGCAGCTCGGCTTGCAATAAAGCACTCGGATGCCGATATTGCTGTTGCGGACTAACCAAGCAGGGGTATGATCATGACAATGGAAGAGGATGAAAGGCCGGCATAAGGCCGACATAAATATCATGTGATGCAGGCAAGACAATCTGCAGGATGGTATACATATACTATTTAATATTCTGTATACCTAGTGGGTATAGATATACCAGAATAGAGGGAATATACCATCGAAGGACTGAATATATAAGGACGCCCGTTTCCGCTCTACAGAAATTTGATTCTTTATACTCAATTGATCTATTGTTACTATACTACTTACTATAGGTTAGTAAAAAAGCTACTAAAGACATCAGAATTTGATTAGGCACTACTCCCAACTTAGCCATTGTGTATCACTGTATACATTTAAAGACTCATTTGAGACGTTACCAGTAAAAGCCTGACCTAACTCACTGTGGTAAGCAAGTAGTAGTAGCTGCCTATGAGAAGATCTAACGGACATGGTCACGGTTCAGGAACAGAGGCAACGGTCCGCTTAAATCTTTCCCAGCAGCAGAGATAGGATAGGTAGCTATTGGAGACCAGTCAACGTGAGCAAGTATAAACCACCAGGAATTTGGGTGGGTCGGCCCGTGCGGGAAGATGCTGCCGATGTGGCCGCATTATCAACGCCTTCTATAAAGTCTGAGCAGCCATAGTAGTGCACCGTCATCAACAAAGCAAGTCAAAAGCCGATTTATAGTTTTAGACGAGTCATTTGATCGGATATCCAAATAAATAATTGACGTTGTTCTCGTTCTGTTTGAAAAAAAGAAGTCCCTATTGAACTCCCCACCAGGACTCCGTTCACCGTCGCCAGTTCGTCAGCTTCAGCATGCGAGAGAAAGCCCGCATTTACGTACACATAACGCATCAATGAAGAAGAAGCTGAAGAAATATCCCATATAACAAAAAACAGCCATCATAAGGTGCTGAAAACAATATGCGGCTGTCAGCCTGGAGGAAAACGACATTGAAACAAGCCATTAACTGAGGCTTGTCGCCAGAATGGAATATGTTAATGCAAGAACAGAAAAAACGTAAAAAGGGCGGAACCTGCCCAATGATCGATGAGACTAAGACCTCCAAAAAAAGAAACATTGTAGATTCCTCTATTCGTCAGTAACCCAATTTCTGTTGGTTTTAGCGCTTGCCATACAGTCTATAGAAAGTTAATCGCAATGAGACGTGAATCGAGATGACGAAGAGGAGCGACGAATAGGAGCGAAGAAAAGAGATAAAGAAATAGACAGCAAGAAGTATGTGAAGTGTGAGCGCAGATTATATTGCGCCAGCGTGGCGGCATTCGAAAATTATGATATACTGCTGTCAGAGCTCGGATGTAAGACTTTAGTATCGAGACAGGTCATATATCAAGACACCGGATGACACCACGGTGCAGGAAGTATTGAGGGACAGAGTATGAAGCTGCCGTCAGAGTCAAGGTGCTTGGGCGGAGCCTAATTGAGAAGACATGAGTTTCGATTGGACGACCATTTCCCGACGGCGGAATCGCCTAAGTGATATGCCGTCTTTCGAGGTCGAGCTGCTGGAAAGTATGGTCTACTGCCACGCATGGAAGCCGGGAAAACCGGTGCCCCTTCGTCCGCTGTTGGGTCTGGATCCAGTCGAATTTCCAGCCGAGTCTCCAGCACTGCTTCCGGTCCTGCCTTCTTCCAAACTTCGTCTGGAGGATTGGAAGTCGCTCATGGCGAAAAGCAGCGGTTCATCTTCCTCTAAGGGCGCTGAATGTGTGAATGAGCGTCCGGAATTCGATCTTTGCCCTGTGCCTCGTCGAATATCTGTAGTCGAGTGACTACTGCTGCTGCCGCTGCCACTATCACCGCGACCACGTTCAGACAGGTGGGGTGGAATGGCACTTGCACGCGCCAGACTGCTAGACGTCGAACTGTGAGATTGAGGACCGCCAGAAGAACCTTGCCCTCGAGGAAGGCGAGATTGGTATGGATTACTAGTGAATCCACCTCGCTGCGAGAGAGATCCGCGTTGGGAATCGGAGGCAGTAGCACTGCTAGGGGCAGCCGTATCATCATTTGCAGGTGACGATTGCTCATCTGCCCGTGACTGATCAACACTTTGCGGTGCGTTCTCAAACTCCTGCTGTCGAAGGCGAGCACTGAGGCTCAAGTGAGATCCATCGCCATTGCCCAAACTTACACTGCGCATCCCGAACGGGAAGATGTCATCATCGTCAACGACAGTGCCGGGCCCATCCTGGGCGGCAGAACTAGGCCGTCGATATGGTTGAGGGCGTGGAGATGTGGGTATGTCGATGGCCGCAGCACCTGATGGTTTTCGTTCATCGCTTGTGTTTTCATCCGGTGGGGAATTGTGCCCCCTGCGCGAAACCTGGGGACGTCGGTCCACATCTTGATCGCCATACTCGACAATGCTATTAGAGCTTAGCCTTGACGGAATGGCAGGAGTATGGGGAGTATGAGGGGAAATAGGTTTCCCAGGGGAGGAAGCTGTCGATATGGAAGTGCCGGCCACCATAGGCGGTACACTGGAGAGCTGTCTGCTAGACGACGCCGACGATCGCTGCATAAGAAGTGAGGATGACATGGACTCAGAGAGCGCGGTATTGGAATCTCTCATACGCTGAAAGCGTGTCAGAGCGGCGGACGTCTTGCGTGTCGTAGCATCTACCGCCGCCGTATTTGCAGGTGTTAGCAGATCCTTCCTCATATCGAGCAATTTCAAGAATTCAGAGATCTTTTCGTCGTCCGCATGAATGGAATCAGCGCTCGTTCCGGTAGGGTCTGCTAGTAAGCCAGAGCCCGGTTGGGCGGCGGAGGACGTCGCACTTGCTTTACCGCTCGAAGTGTCATCTTCTGTTCGAGTTGTCCCACCTCCCGAAGAGAGACGACCACGACGGTGGCTGAAGGAGCTACTGTACCTCGATATCGGAGCCGGTTTGGGCGAGGCCGAATTAGAGGAAGCGATGGCATTTTCTGGAGAAATAGCAATTGGCTTACGCGTGAAGGGCCCTGTCGTTGTCGGAGGGGGCATATTCTTGGAGTCGGAGCTCCCCGTCGGCGGTGTACGGGCAGTTGCAGAAGAAATAGGAGGGTCTACCAACGAGGGGGAGGCCGATAGAGGCGGGGCCTTAAACGGCTGGAAAGATATAGAGGGACGTCTAACGACTCCAGACCCTCCTTCTCCTGCAAGTACCGCAGCACGTCCTGCTGGTCCAATTTTGGCCGCTGGTAGGAGCCGGTTAGTAGGTGATGATGGCGACGGTGATGTGGTGCCCAGCTCTCTTGCAGCCCTCAGAGTTGAGATCGGACTAGCACTGGGAGGGCCGACTTGGTGGAAAGTCGAGAGACTCCCGTATGCTCGTGTAGGGTCTGGCTGTTCTGTCATCTTTCTTCCCGAAGGTAGCGATCCAACCTCATTCTGAGTAGCTGGCCTATGGAGCCCGTCTGATGGAAGGGAAGGGCGGAAGAATTCATCGTCGGCTCCCATGAATCGTGAGCTCAAAAGCGCTTCGGAATCGTCCACTCTAAAATCACAGCTTGCACGATAGGTCACTTGGACAGTGAACGGACCCGCGGGCGAGTCTGTAGATCCGAACGAATACGTCTCCACGACCTTCCCCCCACCCTCATAGAGTGGAGTGGTTAGATTGTCCAGCTTGGAAGCATCCTGACTGGGAGTACCTTGCAGAATCCGGTACTTCATTCTCAGGGCTGGACTCGCTCGCATCTTGCCATTACGTTTTGCAAACTTCCAAGCTGGGAGAAATTTGGAGTATGTGAACAATGACCGAAATAGGACGATACTCTTTTTATATACTGTCGGAAGCACCGATCCCAGGTCAGCTGGCGGTTTTCCCGACGCTGCTCCAAGTTCAACTCTCCACCGCTCTAGGATCACTTCATTCTGGCTGGACTTAGCCAATCTTGCGGAAGGCGCTCCTCGAGAGGCAGCTAGTGCCTCAAGAACATCCCAGCGTTTCCCATTCTCATCGATAATAACGAGACTTTGGTTGTTGGTGAGTTCACCGCCATCCAGGTATGTCTCGATAATCATAGGGGGTGGTCGATTGTCGCGGGCATCGCAGGATCTCCATGTTCGCAGATGTTCTCGTAGTACATCCGTTTCATCCAGTTCGACATTAAACTTGAGAGTAAATGACATGTCAGCTCGCAGATCATGGTAGATAGGAGCGGTGTTGGCTTTCAGCCAACAACGGAAGCTCAATATATCACCGTAAAGGCTAAGAGAGGCAGGAAACATGAGGCTTACCCAGCGGTTGACCCTCGGGGTATCGGAACCCTTGTTGTAGACCCGAGGAAGATCGACTCGCGCATGAAGAATGATGAGGGCCGCTTTTGTATGGTAGTTCTATATAGAACAGTAAGGTCAGCATCCGTTCGCGTGATAGGTAGTGTGACATCGCCTATCTTACCGAGATAATCTGATTCAGCTTCGCTATGGCCTCTTTCGCAGGCGCTGGGTTCCTCTGGGCCTGCTCGGACGACTCAGTCTCTGTCTCTATACCGAGCCCTCTCGGGTTATTCGTTCCAACCTCGCCACTCTGTGGACTCGACGATCCCGCTTCCGACTCTCTCGAGAGGTTGCTTCGTACTGTGTTGGGCCGCGCCGAATTCGCTGGTGACGCCGTCACCGGCGGCGTTCTGGGATGCTGATGCATTGTGAACTGGGAGGAGTTCCGGACCCCGACGAGGCTCACGTGCCGTTCTCGAGGACTCTTCGTAGAGTGACTTTGGCTGTATTATCCGAACAAAGCGAACAAAATGGTCGTCAGGCTGCTGAATAAGGTATCTTGGAATCTCAGGCGGGAGGGAGGGAAACACTGGACTGTCGGCGGAGGGCCATGCTAACAGTGAGGCAGATGAGAACGACCGTGGAGTAGCAGCAGCAGCAGAAGACCGGACAGAAAGATGAGATGAAAGGAAGAAAAAGTTCCGATAGTGTATTGGCGGCTCTTAAGTTTCCAAGACAAGCATATCACAGCAAATGCACAGCTTGGTGAGGAAGCCTGAGGTCTAGCTAGACGGGCTGGGAGAGCTATCTCCGCAGTGACGGCCAGAGAACCCAATGGTCAGAGAACGGTGCCTCCTCACTATGTGAGAAACAGCACAGTTCAGAGAGCCATGTTTACGGAGCGAACGTGTCCTCTATAGAAATTTGATTGTGGGCTGTCGGGTGCTCAGGGATGCCTGCAAACGAGTCGTCAAAGGGGAGTGCGTGAACGGCCGATGGGCAGGCACCTGTGACGCACACCGGTGACTCGACGTCTGGCGGTCAAGTGGAGGCGGACGAGTGAGCCACCACGATGTTCGGGGAGAGGAAGGCCAGAGGCAGCAGAGGTACACGAGCCAGTGAGGATGAGATGGACAGGATGGATAAGAATAATAAGTTAGTTAGTGAAGTTCACGCAGTCGAAGGGGATGAGAGGGACTTGGACTTGTCCGCTGCTCGACATCCAGAGCCGCCTGGAGATAACTGGAGGGCGGTAAGCCGTATCGATACGATACCGCGCCGGACAGGCTGATCTGGGGCGATAAAGGGGACCTGGGGACTGTTCTGTCACGCTCCGTACTGAACCGGGCAGCGCAGGCGATCAGGTGCAGATCCCGATTGACGGCCGTCGCGGAAGCCAGTCCTGCAGCCAATGGGATGCGCCATTGGGAAGAATAGCCCCAGCCAGCGCTCTCCTTAAGCTCCCCAGGTGAGGTTCCCTAAGGTACCAAATTACGGTCTGGTCCCGTCATGGACAAATACTCAATACCATAGATACCATCCGTCTCTCCCAGGATATCCGCAACCAGATTCAAGGTCGACAGCGCTGAAACGAGGCTAGATACAGGATAGATCTATCCATTCTAACTATCTCATCGGGTCGCAAATAACTAACTACCAACATGGATGACCGATCGGATCCATCATCAGGAGGCAGTGCTCCACTAGATGCACAAACAAACAATCACTGAACAATGGTGATTGCGCCAAAAGTCCAACAGAGTTAACAGCACAGACAAAGCGCGGCAGTGTGATAGCTCGGATGTCTAGACCAAACCCGAACCATGTCATCTGGCTGCTCGAGAACAGGCAGATGCTCATAACCCTCCGGACTGGTCGCCTCGCGCAAACGGGTTGGTCAATCGGGTCCACGTCTCTGACGCCGCGCCATGGCGAAGACAAGTCAGGGTCAGTACCTGGGCCAGGGTCAAGCCGGCCCAGTTGCACCTGCAGCAACCATGAGCTACAGTACGATGGATTGCTTTTTAGTTTACCGCTATCCGGAGAGAAGGGAATCGTGGCGCTAGTTTTGAGCTACTGCTCCTGCGACAGATGCTTGTGCCTCTGTTTCCTTTACTCAGAAATGCGGACGGTCACCTGCAAGGAGACGACCGCTGAGACTTGGAGCCTGCTGTCTGGCGCCAGATGGTTGTGCAGCACCCGCTGATGCAGTCGGTCGCTGTCTGTCCTCAGTGCGTCTCCGCGGCGAATAATCAATCTCAGTACGCTTGTTGTGTCCGCTGTCAGATAGCTACTGCTAGAATCTGGGGTCAGAACTCGTGAAGGAGACGCCCTCGTTGGTTGGTATATCTTCCGTACAACAACCGTGGCAGCAGCCTGCATCGAAGATGGCTACTATACTGAGGAAAGCAATGGACAGTTGAAAAAAAAGACCCGATTTGAGTGATTCCTTTGAGGGCCCATAGATGCCAGCATGATTTCGTTATGATAGAGGGTAAGATGAGATTGGTATAACTATCGCTTCGGGGACAGGGGGTATCTGACCAGTTTGCTCGTGTGAATCTTGCGCACATCGATATTTATGATTAATCCACGAGTATGCTCATAAAAATAGATAGAACCCCTTCCGTTCTCCTATAAGGCCCCGGTGTCTCCAGCAAGATGTCTCGAGCATTTCCCGCGGTCCAGATAACCTCGCGGTCGCGAACCGATAATCGAGGAACATGTGGTCCGAAGTCAGGTAGACTGCCAACCTGCAACGTTTTACTCTTTCCATTTCTCATCTCGTATCAGATCATCTTAGTGCCGTGATCATGATAACGTGCGCGCAGTGTTATCAAGAATAACCGATGACCGCCATCATGTGCTTCCGTCTCTACGTCACCGGCTGAGTAGATGGGCAATCTGAAGATGGGCAATCTGAAGATGGGCAATCTGAAGATGGGCAATCTGAAGATGGGCAATCTGAAGATGGGCAATCTGAAGATAATCATGTGCACCAGATCACTTTAAAGCGTTAATAAACAAATATACACATATGATTCTCTTTGCATTCTCTCTCTCGGTTTATCCTAGAGATAGCAATGGAAGCTGTTATGGTCTCCAAAGGCGCATGCAGGATCATACCGTATGGTAGACTATGGTGGACATGTAGCACTTCCTTTCCATCGTGAGGAGGGGACAAATTCGTATTTGTAGACTTGCCAGACCAGACACTGCCGTCTTTTGAATACAACTCATGCCTGGAAGTAGTGTAGTTATCCCAGTTTTGAGGGGAAACCTTTTATCAGGTGATTGAAGGCATACCATAAGTAATAACCGCCCGCGTGTCCGATCTCCAATGAATCTGGCACGAGCCGCTCATCCACGGGGGGGAACAGAGCCTCTGTCTGAGGAGAATGAGGGGATTATTCCAGGGAGACTTCCAGCTAGAAGCCGTCCAGGTCCATTATCATCGTGTTCTGGCCGCCGAACCTCTCGTCCGGGGGCATGGAGGGGTCTGCAGGCCCTGATTGGCCGTCCGCGTTCGGAGCATCCCTCTTTCCTGTCCATGGCTCATTGTTCACACTGCCTCTGCCGATATCCTGTCGAAAAGTCATATACATAGTTAATAGAAGCCTCATCTCTCGTCCGACGTTTCCATCATATCCTCAGACTCAATCTTGTATCGCCATTCCCCTTGAAACTGTGCGCGCCCAGTCAGCTCCGCATCCGCGTGTCCCCCGCTTGAGCTTCCGGAGATAAGTACGAGTCGGTAATCGCCACCACAACGCGACTCTGAACCCTCCGCAATTTTTCGCGATTCAAGAACGGTCCTTCCCTCGCTTCGATCATCGAGATTCAAATAGCTGCCTGGTCGCGGCGGTTATATTCTCCCTGTCCCCCGGGTTTCCTTCTCCAGAACCCCCTTCGAGCCCACAGAGCGCCTCTCCTACGCTGTAATCTTCGTGATTACCGCGAGGCATCTCGTCGGGGCTATAAGGAGGTTCTGTGACAACCTATTCGTGGCACATGATCAGCAATCTCTTACAATACTTCTTGCACGATGATGTCGAGAGTTTCCGGCGGTTACTGGCCAACGCCGGTTACCCGGTTGGTGGCCAGCGGTCTGGAGGAAATACGACTGACAGTTTCGGAGCTACATTAGGGTCGTCTCCAGTTCTGCCATCGAAATCGAACAAGGTGTACAGCGGTACTTCTCCGGGTACGCCTTTGACCGAACGAGGCAACGTGAAGCGTGGGAATGGCACGTTATCTCGAGAACAAGTAAATGCGCGCGACCATTATGGCAGGACTATTCTTCACTTAGTGGCCTCATCACTAAAGCCGTCCGCGGTTGAATTTGCAGAGGCACTGCTAGAGATACCGTTCATCGACATCTATGCTCAGGATCATGAAAGCGGTTGGACTGCCTTGCATCGGGCTCTGTACGCGGGAAACGCAACCATTGCACAAGCTCTGCTTGCCCGAGATCTACGTGATGCAACAGAATTCAGTACCGTTGGAAACGTCCATTATCCTTCTGGTGGTTTGATCAAGATCAAAGACAGGGAAGGCTATAGCCCTTTCGACGTGTATGGGTCGACTATCGTGTCTCGCAACATCAAGGAGATAGTAAACCGGACTCCCAGAGCGGTAGTGAAGGATTCGTCTGATGTCGATGTCCCTGGCAGTGATCTCTCTTCTGTCGATGGTCATTCTGTTCCTGGAGACGATAATGCCGAAGAGACCAGCTATCATCATCGAGCTGTCCTAAAACCGCGCACAAACCTGCAAGGCGACGAGATCTTCACATTCGGTAGCAATAAGAACCTGACGCTTGGTTTGGGGGATGAGGACGACCGACAGTTCCCCGAAAGGATATCTGTGCAGCGCCCGGAGCATCTCCTGCAGCGATTCTTTCGCGAATATGAGGAGCGTCGCTCCCAATCTGGCCGTTCTGACTTGCAGGATTCCAATCATATTCCAGATCTGCCTACACTGATCCGAAATAAGCCTATCAGTTTCCAAGATGTCGTCATGTCCAAACTTCACACCGCTGTCCTCACCAGTGATCCGGAATCAAATCTATTCATGTCTGGGTTCGGCCCCGGTGGACGTCTAGGCACGGGAGACGAGTCGACTAGGTTCGGCTTCGTTTGTGTCGAAACTGGTGCTCTTGCAGGCAAAAAGATAATATCCGTTGCGTTGGGCCAAGATCATTCTCTAGCAATTTCCGAACACGGGGAGATCTTCTCATGGGGAAGCAACAAGTACGGGCAACTTGGCTACAATCTTCCCCGGACGAACAACAAAGATGATGTGCCTATTCAGACAACCCCAAGACAAATATTTAACCCCTTTAAAAAGGAGATCATCCTAGGGGCGGCAGCCTCTTCAATCCACTCGGTTGTCTTTAGCACGTCTGGTCTTTACACTTTCGGCAAGAATGAAGGTCAGCTAGGAATTGTCGACTCAGACGCTCGTTCTCTCGAGACCCAGGTCACTCCTCGACGCGTGGGAGTTTCCCTCTTCAATTCACCTATTCACACCGTGACTGCCATCGATCGAGCTACTGCAGTGCTTCTAGAGAGCCATGATGTCTGGGTTTTCACGCAATATGGGTATTCCAAAATCGTCTTCCCGCTTGACGGGGCATCAACTTTCATCAAGAACAGTTTCTTGGCTACCCGATACGATACTGCCATCAACCGTATCGTCAAAATAACTTCAGGTGGAGATACTATCTGCGCCCTGTCCAGTTTTGGCGAAGTATACACAGTCCAGGTCAATAAAAAAGCTGATACCAGCTCTATGGCTGCATCTACCACGAACCCGGCTAAGATACGAAATTCCTTACCGCCTCCGGCAAGAGTCTGGTCCGTTCGAAAGTCTCATATGGCCGCTAGAGACGTTGCTACAGGACAGGATGGTTCGATCATCATATGCACCAAGTCTGGATCGGCCTGGAAGAAAGAGAAGCGCACCAAAGTCAAGACATCTGGGTCTAAGGATTATAAGTTTGTTCGCATACCGGGGCTCTCCAGAGTAGTCGCTATCAGAAGCAATGCATTTGGGGCGTTTGCAGCTGCTCAGCGTGACACCGACGTAACCAAAGAGCAAATTGCTGTTGATGAATCCACTCTATGGCATGATATATCGCGTCTCCTGCCGTTCGCAGCGTTGGAGCCAGATATTCAGGACCACAGTCTCGAAGACCCCTCAGAAGATCCCGCGATCATAGAAGGACTCGTCCCCAGGATCAAGAGAGCCGTTTTGATGTCACGAGACATTGAATCCCAAATCCAGCCAGCGATTCAAGCCAGCAACTTGTACGATAATCCTTATGGGACTGTCTGGATTTCAAGCACTGTGTCCGACATACGGGTCCCAGTTCATGAGTTCATTGCCGCGGGACGGAGTTCTGTCCTGAGAGAGGCGTTCCAGGAGTTTCGAAAGAAATATTACTTCTCCATGCCAGAAGTGTTCTCCATCGAATACGGGAAGGATGGGCAAATCGAGACCAAGTTCCAGGGTGTGGATTTGTTAACTATCCTCAACTTGGTCTTTTTCCTCTATACGGACAGCGTTCTGGATGTGTGGCATAAGATCAAACACTCCCCTGAAAAATCGTTCCGTTACCGGCAGGTTCGGACAGAAGTGATGCGGGTTGCGACACATTTGGAACTGCGGACCCTGGAACGAGCAGCAAGAGTCATGATAGAGCCTACGCGGACCTTGAATATGGATATGGAGGCTGCTATTAAGGATGCCTCTCTCTTCGAGAGCGCCGACGTGGTTGTGCAGCTAGATGGCGGCGAAGTGAAGTTGCACAGTCAAATTGCTTGCCAAAGGTGCCCTTTCTTTGATGGGTTGTTTAATGGTCGCTCGGGAGGCCGATGGCTCTCTTCGCGTCGCGGGAACCCGGAAGAAAAGATCAACGTGGATCTTAAGGACATTGACCGGACAGTGTTTGCGTTCGTCCTACGGCACATGTATGCCGATACCGCAGACGAGCTGTTCGATGATGTTAGATACAAGAGCCTCGATGATTTCATTGACTTAATTATCGATATCATGTCCGCTGCAAATGAATTGATGATGGATAGATTGGCCCAGATATGTCAACAGATGCTCGGTCGTTTCGGTAAGTCTACAATTTGGGCACTACATTTTGCTATTTACTAACTTGTCCAGTCAACACGAGGAACGTCTGTCACCTCCTGAACGCGGTTGCGCCATGTTCAGTGACAGAGTTCAAGGACGCTGCGCTCGAATATATTTGCCTCAACCTTGAAGCTATGTTAGAAAATAGGCATGTGCAGCTTACTCTCTGCTCTTGCTTCTAGCTGCTAACTAGTTCTTAGGCTTCTAGATGACCTTGACGAGGATCTAATATATGAGCTAGATGCTGTCTGCCAAGAAAACCAGCTCTCGTGCTACCCAATCTCGAGAGGACGTAACGCCGAGGAGTTCTTATATGAAAAATATCCCGAACTTGTTTCCCTTGTCGAGAATGACCGGCAACGGAGGATTGACTCCATGAAACTGAGTTCCCGTCTCGATAGAAATGAGCTCAGCGACAAGTTGAGATCCGGAAGCCTTGAAAAGACAGCCTCACCGCTCGCGCAGAGGACAAAGCCTTCCGTCACGAAGGAGCCAAAAGCGGTCATGGCTAGTCCTGTTCTCAAGCCAATGAAATCCTCTGGAGACCTTATGTTCCAGATGGATGATGAAAATGCCGCCTCACCTGGTCCTTCAGCAAAAGGAAAGGCAGTGGTGAGGGATATTCCCAGGCGCACCAGTGATCGATCATATCCAGAATCTCCATCTCCCGCATTGGATCCCAGATTTATGGATGTCGGATCGCTTGGTGAGAACGGTTCGTTAGATGATAGAACGGGCTCTCTTTCTCGGATCTCCATCACACCAAGGGGGTTTTCAGCTAGCCCCTCCGGCGCTGATAAGAGCGCATCCAAAGCTCCCTGGGCTTCTCCGGTGATATCCGCCTCCAAGAAAGATCTGAAAGATATAATGGCGGAGGCGTCCCAGTCACGAGTATCAAACCTGACGCTAGGGATGTCCGATCGCCGGGAGTCTACTCCTGGCAGCGCTCTTCCCTCCAAGTTATCCCAGCGAGAAAGAAAAAAGCTCCAGCAACAGCAGATACAGGAGCAACTTGCGGCTGAACAGAGAGCGAAAGAGAACCCGCACGTTCCATGGCAGACACCCGTAAAATCGAAGGCACCTATATTCCCAGAGCCATCACCGCGTTCTGAAGCTACGAAGACTGCTCAAAGGCCCTCAATGACTCTTCGACAAACTGTCGCTGGCACGCCCCCAACTCAACCGGGGCCGTCCCCTGGACAAATTCAGGGGCGCAACATTGCAACCCCTCTTCCAACACCGCCCAAGCCTGCTCGACCAGTGCAGATTACCTCAGGTCCAGCTCCCTCGCCTAATCTCTCAACTCCTACTAAACCTATGATCCAATCTGTACGCCACAGTCCACGACCTGAACCACGCAAAGCTAGCTTTCACTCTCCATCGTCTGGTCAACTTTCCCTTGCTTCCATTCTCCTGCAACAGCAGGCAGAAAAGGATGAGCTGCACGAAATTGCTACAGCCAAACATAACCTTGAGGATATCCAGCTCGAACAGCAATTTCAGGAGTGGTGGGACAAGGAGAGCAAAAGGGTCATGGAAGCTGAAGCTGCTGCCGCAGCACGAGGGAACAAGAACAGAGGAGGTCGGGGCAAGAGTTCTGGTAACCGTAGGGGACGCGGTACAGGTCCAGCTCCAGCCAGTCATGCGCCCGGAACCAGTCTCCCACAGCGACAGGAACAAGGGTCTACTGAAGCATCGAAGAAGACGAGTAACCACCATGGAAGAACTCCAAATGGAAAGCAGAAGGATGCCGCGGCTGGTGGCAATGCTCACCGTGGCGGCCGCGGTGGTAACAGAGGCAGGGGAAAGACCCGAGCCCAGCCGGCATGACGAATAGCCATGTGCTCTAATACCCAGTCACATATTACGCTTCATTGTTAATCTGCTTGTATTTTTGGGCACTCTGGTTCATTGCCGCCCATTTTATTACATAGAATAAGCCCTATATCCCACTTTGCTTTAACTCCCCACAAGAGGAGTCCTCGCGGACCCTGGACATGTTTAACGTGTTTACATGTATACATCTTTTATTCACTTGAATATGTACCATTACCCTGCCTTTTCAGGTAATCTTTTTTTTTTTTTTTTCCTACCTGGTTTAGATATTCTTTCACATCGTATGGGATAACGGGATGGCATTGGAGGATAGATATATACACACACACACACTAGCAGTTGGCATATAGAAGGGTATACTCTATTAATATAAACTCACTCCACTTTTAGTTCAGAAAACCTCCACAGATAAAATATCATGCCCAATGTGCATTCGTCTTGTCTTACGGAATTAAACCTAGTTTCGTAATTCCGTGTGCTTGCATTTAAAAATAGTATTACCTGTCGTGGTCTGCTGTTCAACGATACCATACACATATAGAATAAAACAAATCGAGCGTAGTAAGAGTACAAGGAAAGAAAAAACAAAAAAAAGGTCAAGACGACGCCTAACAAATGCCAACCCAGCTGATTCGCTACCGTATTCCTTCCTTCCCTGTCCGACACCCTTCTAAATCCAGTGTTCGATCATAATAATAATCATAGTAGTAAGAGGTTAATCCCGGTTATTGCCGAGGACAAAATTAGAATTAAGAGGTTTGTTTCTTTTTTTTGTTTGGTGATAATGGTTAGGTCCTGTATGGTTGGCCTATGGTAGGTAAAGATGTATTAAGAGTTGACGTCTGATTGATAGTCGAGCAACTGGATTCAACCGATGGTTGGGACTTCTCTGCTTTCCCACAAGCGACGGAGCATTAGTTCTGTTTCATTTGGGAAAAAGCCACCATTGAGCTCGTCCGAAGTAGGACGCCCATGCGCAGCTTCGTCGGATGTAGAAAGGTGCTGAGTAGTCGCATGCTGATGGTCAACGTCCAGTCTGTCGGCAGGCTCTGAGGGACTGATATTGACAATGTCGTCCTGGTCCTGGAAATATACCCGAGATTGCCTGGATCCAGAGGGCTTGTTCTTATTGACTTGGCTGCTGCTACCCGTATCAGAGTCATTATTTCCTCGAGAGAGGACGCGGCGATGCTGTGTTCTGGCCGGTGGTGCCTGCACCAAGCCGATGTTGGCTAAAGCGGGTGCCGACTTGACAGTCTTGGTAAGAGATCCAGGGCTTGAAGACGGTCTCTCCATCTCAAGCATTACACGTCTTACCCGCTTGAAACTATCGTTGCTGGGGCTCTGGAAGCGTCGTACAACCGTTAATTCGGATGCTGTCTTCTCATACACCTTGCGAACATGCTTGGCTTCGCTCTCATGGGCCGCTCCGCCGATTCTTCCGCCACCATTCACCACTCGAGCACCATCATACGCACGTGAGCTCGTTCGTGCATGAGTAGCAGCCATGAAAGCTGGATCCATCGTGGACGGAGAGATAGCGGAAGATGGATCATGTGGATCGGGAGGAGAAGTCGTCAGGGCAGCTGTGCGTTGAAGCCATAGCTTCTGCTGTGTACGCGATGGTGGCTCGGCACCTGGTGGCCGTGATGGAGGCGAGGCTTTCGTCCGCTTCGAGCTCGTACCACGACCCGGAGATGGAGGGGTCTGGGGATGATAATGGGGGAGGAAAGAGGAGGGAGTATTGGGGTCTGAGTCTGTGCGGGACGCCGCATGACGGCCATCCTTGTTGATGATGAAGCGTGACACGCCGCCTTCAATGGAGGAAGATGTAGCCTGTCCGTGTGTGCCTGGTGTAGAAGCCATTGCTGGGTTCGAGGTCGACAAATGACTGCGACGAGACCCATCATGAGCGGAGGCCAGGTTTGTCAGAGATGCATTACGGGAAGCAGTATTAATCACTGCGGGTTTCGCCATAGCTGATATCGATGACATGGCCGGGGGAGCCTTGGATGGACGTGACTGGCTGAGTAACCGCGAGGCTATATCGTGTTCTGAACCTTTCACGGATTGCGCGTGTTCCTCTTCGGCCTCTTGCCGCTCTCGACTTACTCTGTCTTCTCTCTCTCCGTCTGATTCTCGGTCTTCGTCATCTGAGTGAGAGAGTCCCGTCGAGAAGGTCCTGCTTGTTGGCTCCGGCAGGCTGGTCGCTTGCGGAACGCGAGGATAGGGACGTTTCACAAAGGTCAACGGGTCAACCAGCACCGCACTGTTCTCTGCACTACCTTTTGACGGAGCTACTGAATTCCGTCTCGTGCTCTCTGGTGACTGTGTACTATCTTCCCATTCACCTTCGTCGTCGTCCTCGTCCGGATCACCCAACTCGAAACCCACGACCTTCTTCGGTTGGCCTCTGGCACTTTGCGGACGGTCTGTGACCAACGCCTTCTTTCCTGGCACAGTTGCGGTATTTCGACGAAGAGCCGGAGTGGAGAAGTTCTTCTTTATCGACGCATGTGTTTTGTGGTCGCCCAAGGAAGTCGGAGCATCCCAACGGACGTGGTGGCCCTTTGGGCTGGCAGCTGGAGTCACTGCAGCGGATGTCGCTGGAGCCGACTTCTTTCGCTGGTGATGTCTCGTGCCTGTGCCGATCCCGTACGCATGACCTTCAATGATATTCTGGCCCGAAGTCGGTCTCTGTAACTTGTTCAGATTCTTGCCAAATGAAGGGTTGCGGCTATGGGTGCGATGGGCACCGCCCACCACATGGGGTCGATGTAGCTTATGTACAGGCGCCCTCTGAGTGTGCGATTGAGATAGATCTGCGTTATTCGACGATGGGGGCCGCGGGGTGATGATGGCATGCGAGGACACTGAGCGACGGGCCAGTCCTGGCCGTTTAACCGGGGAGGAGGTGTTATTTGAGGTTGGCATGCTTGTGAAGAAGGACTAACAACGAACTGAAGTCCACTAGAATAATCTCCGGGCAAGACAGAAGCTGACAGGTGTACTCTACATCGTTAGCTAGCTGTTGGGGGCCCTTTGTGTTTCTGCATCGCCTGGTGGTTGAAGCCGTTTGCCGTCTGGAGCTGCTGTCTCCGGCTGACTAAGCGCCCGGCTAAGGTGGCGCTTTCTTTCACTTTGGATAGAAATAGAAAGCGAACTAGGACAGTCAATTGATTCACTCAAAGGATGAGGTTCCAGGAGAAATTCACTCCTCATGGCTGATAATCATAATGGACAACTAGGTACTCTAAATACATTCATCAGGCGCCGGATCTCCCCGGTTTTCCCATCTGGGAAACGGACTGACCTCATAATCATATCGGCCCTTGGCTTGCAGGACGGACACAGAACCAGACATTGACCACAGATTCGAAAGTTCAGCCGGGCCAGGACAGTCTACGACGAGAGTCACTAACAAAGGCAAATTCAAAATCTTCAAATCTTTCGAGGCTGGCAGCCGCTGTACAGCTATTAGTGTCACATAAAATTCACCGGTGCCTCGAGCTAATAATGAATTGCGGAGCTGCCAAAATCCACCTCACAGACGTACTGTTTTCGATTCGAAGGTCAATTCCGATAGCAAATGCTATCCCAATACATGCGTTCACACAGGAGATCCCCATAAATTCACTACATACATAGACCCATACAATACATGTTGATGGCATTCACAGCCGCTCGCCGCAAAGGGTCCCATATGTTAAGACTAGAAGGGATGTGAGGGTAAAAGCATGGACTTCTTGTTCTGAAAGGAGTGGCCACATCTGGTATCATTAATGCTATGCCGAGAGACGATTGTTGGAAAGATCGATGCAACAGGGGTAAAAGAGAAGGAGAAAACGCCGTCGCTAACATGTCCGGTTCACTCATAGATCAATCAGAGACTCTTCTACCATCGGCTTAGGTTGCGGAGGTTGCGATTGTTGGGGGTATGCAGTCGCCGGCGGGTTTCCAGCCAAGGCAGGATAAGACCCGTTAGACCAAGCTCCCGTTTCTGTTGCCTGATATGGCTGCTGGGGCTGTTGGTAGAATGATTGTGGAGGCTGCTGAGACGGGTACGGAGGGTATCCTTGTGCCTGTTCCTGATGAGGTGGATAGCCCGGTGATTGCACTGGCTCCCCACCGACAGGCTGGTAAGGCAGACTCTGAGATGAAGGGCTCTGAGGTGTAGCTTGTTGGTACTGAGAGTCACGTCGGACGACTGAAGGCTGCTGGAAGGGGGCTTGAGGTTCCGCCTGCGTGGGAGGTTGAGGTTGGTTCGAAGGCTGCCTTTGCGCAGGATAATAGCTGTCCGGGGTTGCTTGTGGCGCAGTACTGCCCGGATAGGGGCCAGCACTCGGAGGAGCAGGTGTAGCATGCTGGTTCTGTTCCGGATTCCACGTCTGAGAAGGTGCGGCACCATAATGAGACATTTGTGGAGGATACGGAGGACTTGACACTCCAGCAGACGGCACCCCTTGCTCAAGGCCCCTGCCAGCAAACTGCGCCGTAGCACCTGGAGACTGGGGCTGCTCAGGAGCATTATTTCCGTAGTAGAAGTTTTCAACAGCACCTCTTCCTGTGGGAGGGTTTCCAGAAAGCGTAGGATATATATCCGAACGTTGCGGGGCGGGCGAGAAGGATCCATAGCTGCCCAGCCTGTGATGCGCATATGCACTGGACAATCGTTCCTCTAGCATGCGATCGTAATACCGCACAGCTGTGGAGAGTTTCGCGTGCAGGTCGAGAAGCGTGTCTGCATATATTAGCCAAATTCTTCCAAAGAATATCCGCGCCATGACATACCGTGCTTGCTCATCGTCTCCCCGTATGTGCGTGCTAATTTGGGACGTAGAGCTCCGATACTCTCGTACAGTTCTTGAATCTGAGGCTCGCGTAGAATGGTACCCGGCGGTTGATGTTGGAGACGCTCGACCAGCGTGGCGAACAAGTTGATATTTTCCGCTTCCACAGGGGTGAGCTCATACGGGTTTTTGGGCAAGGGGGTCACCGTCGAGGCACCGTTAGCTGTTGGGGCAGAGGCTGTTGAGCTTTTCAAGGCGGCTGCGTGCTTCCTCTTTTGTTCCTCCATGTCCCTTAATGATGCCTCTATGGCAGCCTTCAGATCCGCGTCTTCCTCCTCTTCAGGCATGGGTTCATTCAAAGGCTTGCTGGTTTCTCGGGCTAGCTTGGGCTGCGGAACGTAGCCTGATGATCCGCCTTGTGCCTCCTCCAAACTCATCTGCAGTGCTCTTCTCAGATCCTCGTCGAAACTGCTATCCACCCTGGCGTCGCGCGGCTCCATCGAGGTGGTTGCCTTTGTGATAGAGTTGTTTTTAAACGCCGCTCGATCAGAGATCCCAGCTTGGCCAAAGGTCTTCGATGTGAGCTTAGCATAACAGCCATCATCTACTCGGACAGGTTGCAGTATTCCCAGATGGGGCAACGGCAGACTCTTGCTGGAACACTGGCTGTCGAAGACATTGCCGCAGTTACGGCAATGGTGTTTTCTATTTGTAAATGTAAAAGGCGTACGGCATCGCATGCAGACATCGGAGTCAATCCACTCTGGTGGCTAGGAGAGTACGGGTAAAATCAGCAATGCAGTCTTTGGATGCCCAGAGGACGGAAAACTCACCGCACTACTATCGAGCATGCTGCTGGTGATTTCAGTCTTGGGAGGAAACCGAAAACCTTCATCTTGCAGCTTCCGATAAGTTTCGCCCACGTATCTGAGATCCATACGTCCTTGCGCTGCCATGGCCCAATTCTGGATAAGCTCCAACATCTTCTCTTGGACGTCATGGTTGAGCGGAGCGGCATCTGACTTTAACAGTGACACCAAGTTATCCATAAACTCACGGGAGGCAATCTCAGCCAGAAAATGCGTGCCCCCGTTCTTGACACACGTATCTGTCAACTGGAGACCCGATAGTTAGCGCATCACTGACCCCACGGTCTCCGGACTAGCCACCAACCTTCAACGTCGCAAGTTGTATATTCGGGTTCTTATTTTCTAGTCGTCGTTTCAACGCTCGCATCGCTTCTTTTGGCTGCACACTCTTCGACCGAATCATGTCTGAAATCTCCAAGTTGAGGGCAATATCCTCCCTATTGCTCAGTCAGCCCTGTATCGATGCAGCTCAGCTCAATCGCACAGGAGGTAGCGATGCCACTTACAGCGATGAAGCTGTCGCGCGCTCGATTTGATCATCGAGCGGCGAGGCGGACGAAAACCAGCCCGCCATGTTGACTGTTGTGATCCTAGCGGGCGACAGTGGCTCGAACGACCAAGATCAACGGTTGCGCACCGCAAGCTTATGACGTTCGGTGAACAGGATAGGACCAGATACGGAATGCGTTGACGACAGCCCTGATGGGAAGCGCTTTCAGTAGCTATAGGCGCGATAGACAGGCGTTGCACTGGACAAACAGCTGTGTAGATGGCGGGCACTGTTGGATGTTGCTGTCTGGTGTTGATGCTCCAGGCAGATAGTTCGCAGCAGTTCCAGGTCCCTCCACCTCCACTGGATGCCTGGCTTGGCGTTTCCATGTATCCATGTACATTAACTTAGTAAGGCAGAGTAATGAAGCAGATGACTCAGCTATTCCATGCACAACATCTATCTTGGGTTTAGCGCTTCATCTGTCTTCTTCTATCGTGCCCTCTCAGTGGCGTCATCGACGAAGGCGGTGAGATATCCCTCACGTGCGAATAATACCGTACGGCCGTGACCGAAACTTTACAGGCTTCCCGTACCCCAGACGGAGACGCCCCGCCTGGTTGGCCCGCGGAGACAAGCCCGAGTCAACTACCTTCTTTCTCTCTGCTCGCTAATATGTTTCTTCGAGGTCTCTCCTGTCGTGGAATACCTCTGGATATTTCTTGATCTGTCGCTCTTCTTGTCCTTTGTGTTGCGGTTCTCCAACTGCCCGGAATCGTCCTCGTTCGGCAGCGACACTCGAAACGCCTCTTCGTCCCGGTCACCACCTGTGCTACAGTCACCCTCGGATCATGCGTCCTTCCTGGCCCCGGTGCTTTGGATAATGTTATCAGATACAGCTGCGCTCCCATCAGTGCCCAGTTTCGAGCCCTGGAGGGATATCAACGGTTCTCGATCGGGGGGTGGGATGCAACCTGGCGGCGATCGGAGTAGCTGGGCTGGTCCGTATCGGAATGGCAATGATACCCCACCAAGTGGTCGTCAGCGGCCAAGATTCCCGAATATAAAAGATCTTCAGGATGAGGCAGCAGCATTAGGCGTGGACGAGAAGGCTTCTGTAAGTTTCAATACAGTTTATGCCGCTCCAGGATCGCAGTCGTAGGTCTTTAACATGTACGTACGGTTTGCTAACTGCTCTGCATAGCTGAATGCGCTGTTGAGGACAGCCAAGGATGCCATACGGCAATCTCGCACCGCTGTGGACAAGGGAGAGCTAGACGTTGCCTATGTCCTATACTTGCGCGCTTCAGAAATAACTGTCAATACCATACCGCACCATCCAGACTACCGGATAGCGATCAACCAACGGCCAGGATGGTATGACCAGTTTGCAGATCTAATGCTGGTATGATCCCTAGTGATTCTCCTTGACTGTCGTTCTGAACAGCCATTCTGCTGCCTGTCTGCTCTGTATCTCACTGACGTTTAATAATTCCTAGTCTGTTAGGACCAAACAGGCAACCATGGACTCAATCAAACAGCAGATTCTCGAAGATAACCTTGCCAACAATGTCAAACCTACAGGGGCGCGCACGCTTCCACCATCGGCGTCCTCGAACACGCCCTCACAACCTGGTGGGAACAGCGAAATTGGCAACAGTATATTGAGAATGCCGAGTCCTTCGGATTTCCAAGCAGGGGACGCGAGAATTACAAATCCTGTTGACGATGTACTAGCCCAGAGATTTGCCAGACTGAAGGCAACACCATCATCTATTCAAGGATCTCAGACGCCTGTTACCTCCGTTCAGACGGATGATCCTTCGGTCTCTCCGCCTCATGGGAAGCCCTCGGACTATCCACCGCGGCCATCTACCACCTCTCCACGCGCATCGCTCATGTCGCCCTCTTTGCGCCCTATGGGTCCGCGGAATATGGGATCACCACATAGTGTACCTTCGCTCCCCCCAAAAGTTCCATTAGACGCGCCACTTCCTCGCGCGCCCGATCCAGCATATAACCCGATATTCACTGTACCAAACCAATCCCCTTCTAACCCTCCAAGAACTTCGACCGAAAGCGCACGAGCAGCAAACTCAAGATACTCTCATATCGCCGGTTCTCCAAGAGGTAGCCCTAGTCGAGGTGCATTGGACGACAATCCTTATCGGTCACGGACTCCAAATGGCGTTCATCCGGCAGCAGAATCAAAAAGCAGTTCTGCCGATTTACCCCACAATCCGACTGTTAGTGCACAGCAGCTACTGGATTATCTCCGGAAATACAATGTACTTCTGATTGATGTCCGTCCGCGGAACCGTTACGACAACGGACATATATACGCGAAGTCGATTATTTGCATTGAGCCCGTTGCTTTGAAGGAGAATGTTTCTGCAGAAGAATTGGAGGAGAGATTGATAGTCTCTCCGGAATATGAGCAGTCATTGTTTGAAAGAAGAAATGAGTTTGATCTGGTTGTATACTATGATCAAAGCACAGCTTCCGTCAGCTATCTTGCCGGGTCCCCTGTCGGGACAACGGCGCCGCATCTCAGAGCTCTCTACGACACGTTATATGAGTTTAACGCATACAAGCCGTTGAGGGACGGACGCCCACCGGCTCTACTAGTCGGTGGCCTGGATGCATGGATTGACTTGCTTGGCCAGCAGTCCCTCGCTACCTCATCCACGGCTGCTGTCATGGGGTCGCTTCAACCCAAGAGACCCGGCAGAGGACCGGGCAGGCCCATCGGCAGAGTCCCAACAATGGCCAGTGCAAATTCCAGTTTAGAAGTGAGAAAGAGAAGACTCCGAGAATTCACACCACTTAATGCGGAGGAGCTCACTGCATGGATGGAAAGGTCCAGGGTAGAAGAGATTGATCCCGAGAGCTATGAGGGCGAGGACGAGACTATAACCGAAACACCAGAAGAGAGCGTAGCAGAGCAAGAACCTTCTTCTCCTTTTATCCACTCATATGAGGACTTCCTGCGACGCTTCCCCGAGCCGCATGCTGTCCAGCAGTCAATGATCATGTCCGAGACTCGACCGCCACTCCCGTCTGTGCCCAATTATGGCGCTCCTGTGCCTGTTGTACCTTCACGGCCGCCACCTGCTGTGCCGCGACGAAGTTATGGAGGTGTCTCAGATGGCCGGCAGATTCAGCCTACGCTTGCGCGACAGAATTCTGCAAATAGGACTGCTTTGTACACGTCGAACTCCGTCATCCATCGACTCAAGCTCCCACGAACGGGTCTTACGAACTTTGGTGTGACCTGCTATATGAATTCGACCATTCAATGCTTGAGTGCAACAATTGCGCTAAGCAAATTCTTTATCGATAACCGTTTCCGATTCTATGTACAAAAGAACTGGAAGGGGTCCCAGGGGGTCATGCCTGGTCTGTACGCCAATCTCATTCGTTCGCTGTGGAAGAACGACGTGGAAGTAATCATGCCTACGTCCTTCCGAAACTTCTGTGGGCGACTGAACCGGGAGTGGGCAATAGACAGACAGCAGGATGCAAAAGAATTTTTCGATTTTCTCGTCGACTGTTTACACGAGGATCTTAACATCAACTGGCAGCGGACTCCACTGCGTCCGTTGACATTCGAAGAAGAAATGCAGCGAGAGAGGATGCCGGTGCCCAAGGTATCGAAGATAGAATGGGACCGTTACTGTCACCGTGAGGAATCATATATTTCTTCTCTCTTTGCGGGGCAGCACGCAAGTCGACTGCGTTGTACTACTTGCAAACGTACTTCAACAACGTATGAGGCGTTCTACAGCATTAGCGTGGAGATCCCACCTTCAGGCACTGGCGATATCTACCAATGTCTTCGCAGCTACTGTCAAGAGGAGATGCTGAGCGGTGATGAAGTTTGGAAGTGCCCTTACTGCAAATGCGAGCGGGTAGCAACCAAGCAAATCATCATCACCAGAGCCCCCCAGATCCTGGTTGTACACTTCAAACGCTTTTCTGCGTCGAAAACACAGAGTGCTCGAAAGATTCACACCCCTGTGGACTTCCCTCTCCACGGCCTCAGGATGGACGATTTTGTCATCCCTGGCTCTCCCTCCAACGCACCGAACAGTGACGCACAGGGACGATATACCATCTCACCCACCTCCCCACCCTTCACCTACGATGCATACGCCGTCCTCCGTCATATTGGCTCAACCTCAAGCGGCGGTCACTATATCTCTCTCATACGGGACGCACAGCGCCAATGCTGGCGTAAATTCGATGACGAGCGCGTCACGGAGTTCAGCCCGCGCGATCTACGATTTTCTGACCGCCTTCAAAACGAGCAGGCATACATTGTATTCTACGAGCGTGTTCCAGCGAAATAACCAAGTGCATTTGTTTGAGGCCTTTTTTTTTTCTTTCCATGTAATCACGACTCGCCTTTTCCATTCCCTGGTTTTTCTCTTCCACGTTCAGCTCTTTTTGGGGGGACGGTTCTTTTTTGCTAGGATGTCTAATTCTTTTGCGCGCCTACGGAGCAATGATTCCTGTCCGTGAGAGACCGCCACGCTTAGATAGAGATATGATTACATGTATGTACGGTTTCCATATCATACCCCGGTTTTTTTTATTCTTTTTCTATTTGTTCTTTTGGTAGGGGTGGGCGCGAACGAATTGTGCCTATAATCCTCGTGAGAGATATGTGTTTCTATACTATATTATATTTTATAGCATTAGGGGCATTGTAGAACCTCCTACGCTCCATCCAGCTACATGTTCAAGAACGAATTAATACCCGGTGTCTTCCCCTTTCAAATTTTATAAATATAGTATTATCCTAAATCCTGAAGGGGACAGAAAAAGAAAATTACATTAAAAAAGGAGATTCGTAAGAGTCGAGTCATAAGGTCGTAAATCCGTCTACGGTCATCAATCGTCACGGCAGCCAACGAAGAAAAGGACAGAAAAGTCGGTCCAAAAGAAAAAAAAAAAGAATTATGCGTCGAGACAATGAAAATAAATCCATAGACGCCAGCTCTCTAACTACGCAGAAGCCATACTGATAGGCGATAACGGCACGGCGGAAACATTCCGAAGCATTTCATCCTGTTCTAACCTGCCCTTCGCGAACGCGGGAGAGTCAGGAAAAAGCGCACAACCACGATGCAAGATGTGGAATTCATCATTAATAGATCTCGATACGACGCGGGGGAAGAGACACCATGGTTCCCATGTCTCGGTGGTGATGACGTCCTTCGAGGAAGAAGCGATGGCATCTCCGTGCATATCTATGCTATCGTAAGCTTCCGCTTCCCAGCCATCGGAGCTCTCTGTTGCTTTCAGTGAAGATGGAGGGGAGAAGTCGATTGAGATGTGGCTGTTGTCTGCGCGGATACGGGCCCAGAGAGATGCGGCACTCTCGAGAATGTCGGTGAGGTCTTCTTTGAATTTCCCTTTGATATTTTCCCGTACGAGAGGCGATAGAATGGCGGCGATGGAGTTGACGGAGGTTTTGATGCAGGTGTCACCTGCCTCGGGCGATGCGGCGGCTGCAACGGCGTCCAGGCCTTTATAGGTCCAGACGCGCCAGGTGATCTCCTCTTCTTGGTTCAAATCGCGGTATCTTTTAGAGAGTGCTTGGAGGACAGGTGATGGATCTGCGTTTTGTTTCTCGAGAACGCTGGAGCGGAAGGGTCGCCAGACTTCTCGCTCGAGACATTCTATGATGAAGAACCGAGCGATGCGTATGCGGAGGAAAGTCGAGGCGGGCGTAGGCAGGTTTGGAACCATTTCTAGGTCGAATATGTGGTGGAGCCGGGAAAGGTTCTTTAAGATCTTGTAGTATTGCTATTGTTGTTTTAAGCTCATGTTAGTATACAGATCAACCCATATGGAAGCGGGAGACAAAAGAGAAAAGACTCACTGCCAAGTCTCCAGCAGGTAAATGTGTAAAGTAGTCTGTCGTCACCATTTTGATCTTCTGGGAGAGTCTGTCTAGTTCTTCTTTGCTTGAAGTTTGTCAGTTGCCGTAACTAGAAGAACATCCTCGAGCATGATGATGACTTACAATACTCCGGGATCCTCGCGTTGGATAGGACACTTTGAGTGTGCCACTTCCAGCTCAGCATCAAGTCTCCGGTTGTCCTTGAGTAGCAGCTCGTGGAATTTCGTTCCTTTCGTGATTTGATCTCTGGCATCGGCGAGTTCTGCTTTGACCTGTTCATTCTCAGCGACAACGGCCGCCTTTTCTTCCTGTAGCTGGGTCTCTTTCTTTTGGAACTCCTCTTCCTTAGCGGCCAGTTCTTTTCTAGCCTTTTCTTCTAGTTTCGCTTTCTGCTCCTTCAATTCCTTCTCGTGCTGGTCCCTCTCTTTTTTCCTGTCAGCGAACCAGGTAAGCCGGTCTTCCATCCTTTTCCTATCGGCCTTGATCTTGTCCTCTTCCATTCTCTTCTTCGTCTCTTCGAGGGAAGCTTTGTCGGAATTGAGGAGTTTTATTTTGTTCTGTAGTTCTTTGATTTCATGGTCTTTCTTATCGAGCTCCATGTTCTTGAGACGCTCCATTCCGCTGAGATCGTCTTTCAGTGACTGAATATATCTCTCTCGGCTCAACCCCTTTTTTATGCTCTCATTGCTCTCAATCACATCGATCCAGTCACGGTTCTCACGAAAGAGGTTTGCAACACTGGCCACGCGGTGAATGTATTCGTATAGGGAAGCCAGGTGCTCAGCAGTCTCCCGGGTTTTCTGAAGACCGTAATCGGAGCCCCGAGCACGGCTCGAGTTGTGTTGATTGATACTCATTTTCGGGTGTGTCATGAGAATAATTTGCTCTCGATGAGCTCTCTTTTCTCTTCGCCGTTCTTCGCGTAGTCTTTGCTCCTCTCTCCTATCAATAGTCATCCCCTAATTGCCAAAGAAAGCGACATGTCAACATCTTGGATACATGGTGTACTCAAGCGACCCCCTGATACCGTCATGGAAAGTTTGTATTCTTACCATCAGAGTTGGATTGTCCGTGCGCAAATTACGACAATCGGCAACATCGAGCTTCCCCATAGACCTTTACTCGAGGACATCAAGGATCCAGTATGAATGGTCCTGCGTAATGCTGGTTCGTTGGCTATGCGGGCAGAATGAAATGTCTCCAGTCAGGACAGCATGTATGGCTGTACCCCTTTAGAGGCGACTTCGATATCAGATATCACAACTTCCGTCTTTCTTTTCTATATCGTTCCTCTCAGCATGGGGTCTTGGTGAAATGTTGGGAGTCAGCATCCTCTCGGAATGTGGGTGTCCTGTCTGTTGTGGCAGTCCATGATGTGGCATCAATCGAATGGTGGAGCATTGAGCAGTTCGCAGATCTGCTTCGACGACGGTTCATTGTAATTCCACATGAAATGGATGCAGCAAAGAGTGAAATGAGGGACCATAACTTGCTCCAAACCAATTGTAGCCCCTCCACACTGCAGCACGAGCATGGCAGAATGAACCATTCGGAGCTTAGGCCTACGGCTGGGGCATATGCCAGTGCTTGATGAAGTATGAACAAGAGGGGCGGCGGATACAACAGCCGGCAGCAACATTGAAGCCACAACGATGATAGAAAATATGACTGGGTACTATGGGTTAGAGGGTATAGGACCATCTTTGACAACAAACTGGCAGGGTAGGGGTCAAAAAGAAATGAGAATACAACTCCATCGCAGGGTTCGCGCGCCGCAGTTCTAGATCGGGCCTCTTACAATGTTTCCTGAGGCAGGAATGAGGCGTGTCTACCATCTAGTGGATAAACATTGTCATCAAAAGATGCAGCTCAGACCGAAGAGTCAGTAACTCCAATCTCTCAACCTGATCATACACCTCGAATGTGAGAAATTCATGCGTGGATTGTCTGCATTGACCGAACAGTACCCTCCAGGGGTTAAAGCCATGCCGGTGCGATGGATAAGCGCTCAGCTCCAGTCGCGAAGTGCCAACAAACTCGCCGGTCAACGGGCCGTGACAGCAGAGATGCATACTCTAGCATATCACCCCCAGTGTGGTGTAGCCATGGACCTCGACAGACGAACGGTCTTTCTGCAACCAAACCTCTGATTCAATTAAAACTGGTACTCTCAATGCGCAATACTCAATTTATGGAGACGAAGTCCGTCGGACCAGCCGGCAGCCTGATACGCGACGAACTCAGTGGGTTGACTCCTACGCTGATAAGACCCCAATGTGACTCAGTCATGAAGACGAAACCGGCGTGTCTAACTTGTCATTTTCAGTGAAAGGCTTATAGTCGATCTCATTCGTTTGTTGGTGTTTAGTTCGACTGGTGATCGCGGGGACTTCTAGCTCGGCAGCGGGGCTATCTACTGACGCTTCAGTGATACATCTGAACTTTGTACCACGTGTTGCAGGAGATTTCATTTCAACATAGAACCGATGGCAGGCTAGATATATATTCTCCGCCGTTCTAGGTTTCATCTCTGTAGGTAGGACAGACAGTGAAGGAAAGCAAAAGTGAACTCGAGACACGGTTCGATCTGTGACACGCAGAATCGACTTCCTCGTCTCGTCCAAGGCGGTGAAGATGTCGGCAGGTGATGAATTAATTCCTTCGCAGTTGTAAAACTGCCGGAGAATCTACCGTCTTCTTTCTTTCTCCGCTTATTCGGATTGAATCATTGCAGTCATCGTTGGACATGCAGATATATATCATAAGCTACATATATATTCCCTACCCCAAGGGAAGAAGCAAGTAAGTAGCGGAGACAGTCCCCGCAGATGCCACCGGAAAAGTGGTACTCCACCATGTCTATACGGATTTCACACGAGTCTACTGCTAGGAGATAAACAAGGATAAATACTCTACGCATATCGACACTTTCGCAACATGAGGGGTTCTCTGGGGAATGTGGGGTAGAAAAGAGCAACTCCACATACCGAGAACGATAATGGACCGATTCTGCTGTTCATCAGTGATCAGCAATGGCCATAGCACAATAATGGCAAGCTATAGAAGATCGAAAAAGAAGAAGAAGAACAATATTCCGTCGCGTGGCAGATAACCGAAGTTGCTCCGCCAGCTTGTTGCCGATGCGAGGGACAGAGCGGAACCAGAGAGATCTCAGCCCACGCGGAAGGACACACTACGAACCGCCCACAGAAGCCTAGTCTAGACGCGAGGGGAGGAGTTGCGAAAGTCAGCAGAAGGTGGAGAAGTCTGATAGCGAAAAAAAGGCCAGATGGCCAATCCTACCGAAGCCCTTTCTGTTGCTGACTCGCTCACCGCAGAATTAATAATAATGAGCTTTCCGGGGAGTGGAAGTATTATCCTAAGCGAATATATGCCTCAATAGGTAAAAGGATCCATGGTGGTCTAGGGACATCGTGGAGGAGAGAGCTCGAAGGCGTCGAATATTGATCGAATCCATCATGGTTGCTAGGATCACTTTCAGCAGATAACTAGATATGCCTGGCGGATTTTGGCCGGACAGCAACGTCGACCGCCGAGGCTGATCGGCACATCTTGGGGAATAAGCGATTTCCCATTCGCAGACGGTTCACGCCCCATCCATATCAGACCACCGGGGAAAACACAGGAGGAAGAAGTAAAAGGAGACAGACAAGAAAACCCAGAAACGATATCCGGGGGTGAGAACCACTGTTGGGCACGGAATAATGGATGGTGTTCAATGGACGCGAGAGCAGATCGCACAATGTAGACCGCACGTAAGTAGAGTAGGCAGTTATCTAACTTAATTGAACTCGTCAAAGATGGGGTTGCCGTCCGGAGGCCTTGTCGAACAGTGTCCTGAACGGGCCCCAAGTACTAGTGACCTGGTCTCTCACCTGAAATCCGCGTGAAACTAAAGTACCCGGTACTTTGACCGCACTCGCCGACTCGACCTTCCGCCAGCTTTCGTTATCCGACACTTTTCTCCTCCTTTCACCTCCAACTGCCGACTTTTCTCGTGTCATCTTTCTCGACCGTTCCTGTGTCTCTCCGTCCACCTTCTCCAGCTGCGGACCTCCCTATCCAGATTCTTTCTTCCGTTTTCCGGTAAGCATCCCCGACTCCCTTGGGATCGCAAGCATTGAGATCTTCAGCTCGTCCCCCGAAAAGCCCTAGACTCTGAGCAGCGGTCGAAAGATTCTTGCTTCGTTGTCTATAATTCCCATCCCGAAGAGAGAAACTGTCGTGCAGCTTTTTAGGGTGCTCAGTTTCCACGCTGCTGCTGCTGCTGATGTTATCCTGTTTCGTGTTGGCTAACTGTCAATTCCATCTACTAGATCCCCCAGCAGTCATCATGTCCAAGGAGCTCACCACCGCGGAGGTTGCCTCCCACAACACCAAGAAGGATCTATACATGATCATTCACGACAAGGTTTACGATGTCACCTCTTTCGTCGATGAGCACCCGTATGTGGCCGCCTTTTCGCGACTCCCCCTAAAAAGTTACTAGTTAGATCGCAGCAATTGCTTAGCTAACACGTGAGTCGGTCATAACTAGTGGTGGTGAGGAGGTCCTTCTCGATGTCGGTGGTCAGGATGGTACGGAAGCTTTCGAGGACGTCGGACACAGTGATGAGGCCCGTGAGATCCTGGCCGGTCTGGAGGTCGGAACGCTGAAGAGACTGGTATGTTGTGCTTCCCATGGTCTTAAAACACCTGCCCGAAGAAACTTGCGATCCATCTTGTCCGCTCCACTGCCTCGGCCTGTAGACTGACAAAACACTTTTCGATTAGCCCGGTGAAGCTGGCCCCAAGACTGGCAATCCCTCTTCCGTCAGCGTCCCTAAGAAAGACAGCACCGGCCTCGGCATTGGTCTCTACGCCGTTCTGCTCATCGGTGGTGCCGCTGCCTACTTCGCCTACCAGTACATCCAGGCCAATGCTGAGAAGCAGTGAGCTACCAGCTTTCAATGGCGTTGTATTGGTGTAAAGGAGAGAGTATGTGGAATAGAGGGAAATGAATTCAACACCGAGTGGATACGGCTACATGAGACTCCTGTGCGAGTGGACAAACTAGAGCTGCGCAAATTGCAGCACCTGCGGCAAGCGACGGGCCTCTCGCGACCGGGAGACGGGGAGAGAAGCTTGGATCCAAAAAAAGGGAAATGGGTTTAATTGAGTGACTACAGTTGAAGAATCCGGGAGAGGAAAAGGGCGTCCTCTTTTCTTGGTCCCATGTCCGTTTATTTAATGTTCCATTTTTTTCTTATTCCTTTTTTGTTTTGTTTTTTGCTATGCAGATATGGTAGATATTACCCACGTCTTACTACTTTCTGCCACATAGACCATTAGGTATTTATTACCACCACTACTTCAGATGACTCCCACTCCACGATAACCATAAGGACATGAGAAGAGGAAATTGTCTTCTAGACTACATGGATAATCCAGTTGAAAAAAGAGGTTTTTAATTCGTATTTCACTTTTTCTTCTCTGCTCTCTTCATTTTCCCTCCCAACCGTGTTATCTTCTGAACGGCCGTGGCTTTTGTTCATGGTTCGTTCCTTTTTGGTGGCCCTTTTCCTGTTGTTGATATACCATGCTCATTAAGGCTTCATCCAAATTATGAAGCAAACTGAGGCCGGCCCTCGAGCGAGAACATAACAAAGGTTATACAGAATATATAAATAATGAGACAGGGTGAAAGATAATGATAATAGTAATAGAAGCATATCACAATAGATAGATGAAAAATATTGGAATCACCAGAAAAACGCTCATCTGCTAACATCAGGTTGATGAAATACAAGGAAATCCTCCAAACCTCACCACCCATTTTTTCTTTTGAATCACATAGTTAAATTATGTTGCAAACTGGGTTTTGATCATCTCGAGGTGCCATTCAAACCTGCCTGGACGGCCTCCAGAATCAGGTCCTTGGCCTGCTCCACGCTCTCTTTAGATCCCTTGATCTCAATTGCTTCTCCCTTTGCCTGGTCCTTGGGCACATTAATGCGGCAGCCGGTCTTCTTCCTGATGGAGTTGATCTGGCTACCTCCTTGTCCAACAACGAAGCGGTATGTCTTGGGGTCAGGCAAGATGAGGTAGCCAGTAGCCGACTGTTGGGATGCACTTGCGATGGCCTTTTCCAAGGCAGCCTTTGCCTTGGAAACATTTTCAGACGAGCCGCTGAGAACCCATGGAATCGTGGACTGCTGCGAAGGATCAGCCGCAACGGAACTGTTGTCAACGACCTTCCAGGAGTGAGCGTCTGCAGCCGCGCCTGGCTCATCAGTGATCAAAGGAAGCGAAGCTGAATCATTCGTGCCATTGCGAGAATCCACGCTGGGCTTTGGCGGGATCTGATGACCGGCATGATCGACCGTCACGTGGTAATCATTGCGAAGGCGACGGAAGAATGAGCCATTCTCCGAAATAGCGTGGTGAAGATGCTTCGGTACTTCAACAGTTTCGCCTTGCTGTTCCTTGAGCAAGGTTAGGATATGCTCCTTGGCTCCCTCGACGGCGTTGCTGGGGCCCTTAATTCTCACGTCAGAACGGCCCGATCCCTGCTTAGGGACGTCCAGAGTGATGTTGAACTTGGACTCCAAGTCTCTTCTGGTGTCACCGCCACGGCCTATGAGCAGGCGATGCTGTGACTGAGGCACATCAATTGTAGCGGTCACTTGGTCCTCTCGCTCCTTCACGAAGTCCTGAATAGCAGCAACGATCTTGTCAACGACGGCCCCGTTGCCTTCAAGCTTAATCGTACTATCATTGCTTTCTGGACGGGGGAACTTGACAATACGAGCGGCGCTACCGTCGTTGGGACCACCAGCATCAACAACAATTTTGCGGATATTCGCACCTTTGGGTATGTTAGATAGGCATTAAACGGAGAATACGGAGACAAGACTTACCACCTGCGCCGATCAGAGCCTTGTGATACTTCTTGTCAACATCAATCGTCTTGGTGACAATAGCATCGAACTCCTTGGAACGCTGCTGAAGGATCTTCTTTGCCTCCTCAACCTGCTTCTTGGTGCCCTTGATTTTGATTTCAACGCGACCCGACGCATCCGGAGTGTCGTTAGCGCTGGGAACATCAATCTGAGCACCAGTGTCGGCCCTCAGCTTGTCCATCTCACGACCACGCTGGCCGATGAGAGACGGGACTTGGGCCTGAGCAACAGACACAGAAGCAGAGTGAGAGTGGTCAATAACCCATTGCAGCAAGCTAAGAATCTCATCTCTTGCGGCATCAGCGCCTTTACGGGGACCCTTCACAATCACTTCGTCAGGTGCCTGCTGCGGTCGTTGAGGCCGTCCTCCGCCTACTTCGCTTGCAGTGTCCGCAACAGACTGGTCGTCATTGACCTGCGCTGACACGGCAGCACGAGGGAACTGTACGCGAACATTGTACCGGTCCTGAAGGCGGTTAACCTGGCTACCCTTTTGACCAATCAGGTCACGATGGTACTGCGGCGGAACCTTGAGGACGTGAGTTGTCTCGTCTTCAAGCTTCCTTCCCAGAGCAATAATCCGGCTCTTCGCAGCATCAGCCTTGGCCTTTGGTCCTTTGACCTCAACTTTTCCGTTCTCGACCTTGATATCCACGTCGAACTCATCACGAAGCTTATTGATGTTCTCACCCCTCTTCCCAATGAGGAAGTTGGCGAATTTCTGAGGGAAATCAAAGCTAGTGGTATATCCCCTCTCTAGATCATCCTTTTCCTGCTCAACGACAAATGTATCGATCTTCGAGGCCAGATCTTCGACAGAATTGGAGCGACCACGGAGAGAAACTTCACACTGAGGAGCAGCTTTCTGAGCTCCGTTGCGTTCACTTGGCTCGCCAATGATGACACGGACGGGGATGTGATCTTCACCCTTAGCCTGCTGTTCACGGGCGACAAACCTCCGAAGCTTTTCAGCGTATCTGAAAATATCTGTTAATATTGATTGAACAATTTCATCAAGGGAAGGCTTGCATACTTCGCAGGTACATTGACCGATTTGGCGACGACGTTCTGCTGGTCTCCCAGGATACTCAGAATGTGTTCCTGGGCTTCCCGCAGGCTTCTTTCAAAAGCAGCGACTTCCTCAGCTGATGGTCGTTGTCTTGGCGGCTGGTACTCTGGGCTTGTTGCGGAGGGGCCCTCATAGACCAAGAAGACATTAGGGCTATCAACATCGTCTGGGACGATCAGATGGACACCGAAGTCATTCTTCAGTTGAGAGGAACTCCGGGAACGGAGATAAGGGTGGAAGTAAGGGTCTACGGAGACAGGGCGGATTCTCGATGGGGGATGGGCTTGAACCAAGCCCATGATATCAGAACGAGCCCGGATAGTATTCTTTCCATCCCTGGAATACACCTCCCATGTCACTGGCCCATCTGTGGTCGGTGGCAGCACAATACGGGCATCGTACAGCGATTCCAGATGTCTAATGATCTGGCGCTGCTGCAGATACGACGTAAGAGCGCGCGCATGAGCGTGGGGGCCCACAGGTGCGTTAGGATGTTGCCGGGACAGGTCGATGCTTGCCATCTGCATGCTGGTGGCGAGATCCATAGCACGGTTGACACCAACATCGATGTGCTCAGGTGGTCCGGTGATAGTTAGGAACTCGCTCTCGTCAGACTCTGGAGGCAAGATGATAGCGCAACCGGTTTCCGCAAGGAAACGGTGTAGTGCATCAGCTTCGTCACCCAAGATGAACTGATGTTGGCCACGGTTGATAGCCAATTGTCTTAGTGTGAGTTGACGCTGCAGCTCAGCAGCACGTCGCTCGATTTCAGCTCGCGCTTCCTGGGCCGCAGAACGTTCACCCGAAATAAGGATGTGCGTACTGGGGTCAGGGACGAAGTTGATCTGACCAGGGACAGCTTCCTGGGGTGGCGGTTGTGTCGTCCATGTATCATAGCGGGGAACCCTTATCTGAGCCTTTGTGCGTTCCTCAATCTCATTGAGATTGGTGTTGTGAGGACCTGCGAGGAATGGGAAGAACTCTGGGGGAATGGTCTTCAGGCGCAAGCTGATATTGGATGCCCGTTCCTTGACAATAGCTTCTATTTCTCGTCGAGCCATTTCCGCTGCAACAGCATCTCCCTCAATCAGGACGTCAATCGTGACGTCGTCGTCGTCCTCTTCTCCAGCCGGCGATTCCTCAGCTCGGGGTACCTGCACTCGAGCACCAGTCCGCTGTTGGATATCTTGGACAACTGCACCCTGGCGACCGATAATGTGGGGCCGGGCTGAAGCTGGGATAGGCACTCGGACAGATTGCTGTTAAGAGTCAAAAACCGTTTCAGAATAGGTGAACTACGGGTTGGCGTACCTTAGATCCAACCTGCTGTGCGACGTCCTTCAGGGCCTGTCTAACCGCATCCACTGATCCCTTGCCCTCGAAGATTATGGAACCACCTGGCCCACTACGCATATCAACAGTAGCCTTCGAGCGCTTGCTGATGTCTCTAAGAAGGTCGCGAAGTGGCTTCTTGAGCTGGCCACGGGGAAGCATCTGCGAAGGCGCAAGGCGGAGCTGCTCCACATGCTTCCCAGGAAGTGTCATGATCTTTGGTGCATCACTGACACCGAAACCCTGCGTACCTGTAGCAGCTGTGGACGCGAATTCCGTCAATTGAGGATCCGAAACTGATATACGGGAGAAGACGTACCGGAAGCCTGTGAGCCATTGGCCAGGCCGTTTGCTACTGCAGCAGCTGAAGATTTCTTAGCACCCCAAGTCGTCGGAACAGCAGCAGCTCGAGGCTTGGGACCGCCTCCCAGAGCAGGAAACAATTCCTCGGACTTCACATCGAAAGCTGGTGCTTTCTTCCGTGCAGCAGCAGTTGTTGCGCTACCGGAAGCGGAATCCGGCTTCACTTCCGATGCAGCGGGAGGAGGATGCTGGATTTCATCCTCGTCCGGTACATCCTCCACTGTCACCTTGTGAGCTTCATCGCGTGCGTGCTGCTCCTCCAACAGAGCAGCCGGTGATTTTGTGGCAGCCGATCCGCCGTTGACGATCAGACCAGGCGCTTCAGCTGACATTGTAAATAACTTCCCGAAGTTATTGCAGAGAACCGGGGTGATAGGATTATATCAAGAGGTGGGAATGAGCGGAGAGAAATTTAAAGTCCTAGACAGCGAGAATTGATTAGTATGCAAAGCGCAAGAGCTATCATTGAGTCAGACTAATCGAGTCACACCTGTAACCTGCAATTCTGAAAGAGAATGTACAATGCAGAAGACGCCAATGCTCTAGCTGGTGTAAGAAAACCAACAGAATCGCCTACACTAAGGCGGTGGACTGATCTAGAAAGGCTGGGGGTCAAATGGTACGGATATCTATCTGGTAAGTGCAACAACGAATTGCATCACACCGGTCGAGCAGCAGACAGGATTAGAAGGGCGGAGAAGAGAGAATAAGAGAGGTGAAGAGGCGGAGGAGGAGGAGAGATGATGAGAAGGGGACGTGAAGAAAAAGCGTGGTCGATGAGCGTTTCGAGGACGGAGCGGAAAGGACAAGTTCGAGGTGTCGGAGTTGGGACTTTGGGGCAACGCACCGGACTGTCTCTCTCTGTTTCGTCCGCCGCCGCCTAGCGCACTCTGGGGCCGGAGGAAGCACGCGAGACGCCGATGTTGTGCCGTCACCAACAACGGTGATGGTCCCATATAGTTAGTATTTACTCATTGCTGTGGTTCTTCTTCTCTTCACGATATTGCTGTGGTCGCTCTGCAAGGGCTGTCTCTGGAGCATCGAGAAGCTGCGTGGAGATAGCCAATGCGGGTACTTCCTCGTCTCTGTTAACTAGAACTGAAAGGCAATGACATATCTGCTTTTGCTTTGTGTCCTTACTTAGTCCCCCTAGTTCCTTGCGAAGTACTAATCCAATTCACATTATGTGATGCCTTCATTAGGAATCGTACTTGTGTGGCCGATTCATAAATCTTACGGAGTCTTAATATACCAGGATTACACGTCTCTCTCCGGATGGCGTCAATGTTTATTGGTCTTCTATTACTTACTACAGGCTCAAACATCTCATTTTATTTTCAACCTGTGGTTCAAAAGCCTCAACACCCAGTTGCAATGCCCCGTTTCATCTTCCAACGCTGCGATAGAGTCTGCTATCCTCTGTGACAAAGACGCTAGTGTCTGCTCAGTGTACTTCATACTCCCAGCTTTCTGCAGATGATCGAGCACAAACTGCTTCAGAGGCACATGTAGACCCCCTGACGTCCGTGAGACCTGGAGGATTCCCTGCAGCTGGAAGTCTCCAGGAGGAGACGTCAAGGCGTGAATCAACGGGAAAGAAAACTTCCCTCCATCGAGATCCTCGCAAAAACCCTTTTTCTCAGCATACTGTTTTATCGAGTGATTGGTCAGAGTCTAAGTATCTTGGCAATCGCTTTATGGACCCGTCTTACCTCTTCTGTTAGATTTTTGTAATCGTCGCGGATTTGGAAAAACTGACCCAGCAGAGTAGCTAATGAATCCAAGGAGCTATACATTCCATCAGAGCAGTCAGATTATGAGGAATATTTGGGCAGTTAAACGAAGACCGATAGCGTACCAACTATGCCCTGTTTTCGCCTTCTGCATCATCATCCGTGTTATCAGTCGAAGAAGACCACCGGTTTCTGTATCATGAATGATCAGCACGTTCTATCTTTGGCCACATACAGAGAAAGAGAAGTGTGATTTACTCTGACTGATCATTGCAAGATATTCATCCTGCGAGGGGCATTTCCCATGCCTGGTCCAATACAGATCGAAACTTTGTCCGATGAACAAGTTCTGGGTCTCTTCCATGAATATATCCCAACATCGTTGGTTGTCGAGCTGTCTCACTTGGTCGGCAGCCTGTAACAAAAGGAAGTTTGCAGAATTGATAGTTTGTCCGGCTCCAAATATTACATGAGTTGCTGGTTGACCGCGGCGGAGAGGGGATGCATCTTCGATGTCATCTAGCCTATACCGGCACAGTCAGTGACATCTGACCAGGTCCTAAGGGTTACGGCGTGTACAGCATACATTAATGACGCATTGTGCATAGTCTGCGTAATGGACTTGAATTGGTTGATAAGATGGGGTGGTAAAGTGAACCAGACATTTAGTCCGTCAATAAATGCCTCCCGGATTCCTTTGGAAGGAAGAGAGCTAATGTAATCTGCTGGTCCAAGAAGATGCTGTGTGATAGAGATGTCAATAATATAATCTCATACACAGTGAAGATATGGCCACTCTTACCTCACTGCCTAGTTTTGTCTGCTCCAAGAGCCGTCGATCTTCATCTTTTGACGGACTGGACGATATCGAAGATCGCGACGAAGAGTCAGACCAACTAAAAGACTCATTTGATATACTGTTTTCGGAGATACTCGAGTGTCTGGTTATGTTCCCTGCAGAGGTTTCTTGCCCCGTATTGTCATCTTTCTGAATCGTATTCAAGCCTTTTTCTTTATTTCTTTGCAACATGAGGCTCGCCTCATCGCAGAGTCCAGGGTGGTAGCGGGGACATCGAATGCTCCAGGCAACATTTCCTGGGATTTGATATTCCAAGGCCCTCAAGTAGGTGGCCAGCTTGATATTTCCTTTTCCTTCTCCTGCCAAGAATGCGTCTTTTCGTTTCCTAAATTCCTCTTCGTACCCATTGGTTACTTCTCTGACACGGCTTTTCGCTTCAGCTGCATCGATCTGGTACCATTTCATAAAGAGCCAAACCAGGTTCGTCATGGTGCTCTCGCCGCAACGCCCTGACCGGAAATCCTCCCATTCAACATCAAATGAGAAGTAATCATTTGCCAACCCCAAGGCGGCATAGCAAGGTTTGACTACTGAAGAAAGTCTCTCCTCTTCTTCAGGAGTGAGTCGAATACCCATCCCAAAACGCATCAGCGTATCGACAAACCTGCTTGCTCGTCAGAGAATATTACGAATATATACCATGGTCATGCAACATACGGGGCGCCTGTGTCTATAATCCGATAATCCACGTATTCATCAAGATTCTCAAATATGCGAGATTTGTCCTGCTTTGCAGTCGTAGAAACCATGGTCTTCCATGAGTCAATCACAACCTCTGCACATGGTGCGTCAATGGAGAGCAGTTGCAAGAGCATTTTGGACTGTATTTGCTTGGTTCCGATAACTGATTTTACCGTCCGATATTCTGTATCATCGAGAGAAATATCGTCGCCATGAGGGTTCCACTACCTACAATTAGCTTCCCTCGATTAAAAATTGCTCCAGATGGAAGAACATACAGTGGACTTGGCTGCTGATTCGACAACATTGTCATAAAGAAAGGCGTCTATTCTCATTATCATAAGTCAGCAAAAGTACATCATTCGTTTCGCCTCGACTTGCTTGCATACATTCGAAAATATATGAAATAACCCCCAGTCTCTCTGGTTTACAAAGTGGGAGAACCACTGTTCCAAAATGTCCTTCCCATGGGCTGTTGCAGCCCCAGCGTTCAATTGGACCTATGTATTTCAACCAGTCTTCGCGACATTGTAGAGAACCCTCGATTGCCTTGTCTTCGAATTTATGTCGTCGCAGGGCATATCCATCACAAAATCCTTCGATATCAGATGATTCTCGAGGCACAGTGTAGGACCTTTCATCATCCAATAAGAGATTCAGATGCGCCATTTCTCCGGTCTAACAATGCAAACAGTATGCTCACAAAGCGCCAGAGATCATGAACAAACTACCTGGCAGAATTTTGTGGGCGATCGAGTTCATCAAATTGTCAATTTGCATGTCTCATATTTCTATTTCTACGCAAATTAAGTTACGACCAGTTTCTTCCTCAGCGGTGACGTGATCTAAACCAGTTTAGCTTTTAACATAGTAGACTGATCATATACAAAGTCAATCTTACTGTGAACACATGTTCACGCAAGATCGCATTCAGAATTAAGGACGCAGATATCATCGTGCAGAACTTGGAATTCGGTCGATTTCTTATCCAATATTGGGCTGCGATGATCCACACGGCTCCACAGCGTAGATTGTTGATGCCAGCAGAAATTCAATCTGAGATTCTTGCCAGCTTTTACGCTGCATCGTAACCTGATTTTTGATGTCATCACCCTGAAGAAGCACCATACTGTACCTTTGGGTCTGCAAGGGATCGTGATCATGTCTGTTCAGCCGATCTTACAGATCATACATTATACTTTTGCTACCAATAACAGATTAGCGATTAAAAGAAAGGTAGATAACATAATCGAGGTTAACTTTTAATCAAAGTGTGTCTACCATTAAAGTTATCGTCACTGCGCATCATCTGTTCTATATATGGTACATTCCCTACCTGTTGCTTGTACACTGGATTCTTTACAACCAAATGAAATACTATTTATAGCTCAATTACTGACTTGAGTTCTACCATTCACTCATCAAATAAGACGAACCGCCGCTGGAGGTAGTATCCTACTATGTCACAGATCACTGCTAGCCAGGCAGCTGCACTGGCTTCCTTCAAGGCATCATGCGCCGAGAGAGGACTTCTTGAGCATGCTGATGATTTGAAAGATGGAGACTTACCAGATGGGATAACTGACGACAGTACTCTTCTGTGAGTTAACCTTATGAATATAACACTACAATACAGAGGGAGGGAACTAAATTAGCAGACGTTTCCTGGAAGGCAACCAGATGGACGCTTCAAAAGCTCTCATGCAATTTGAAGAAGCCACACAGTTCCATAAAAAGAATGAAGCCGTTAAACTGTACGATTTGATAAACGTGACTGATTTTGAGGACACTAGGAAGCTTGTTGGATGGGCCTTTCTTCAATCTCTATTCGATGGAGACTAACGAGTACTCTACTCAGTACCCGCACTGGACAGGTCGTCGCGATAACCGAGGCTTGCCCATCATGATGATCGAGATGTCCTCCTTGAATCAAAATTCAGTGACCCATTGGCGCCAGACGAAGGACATGCCCAATTGCAGTACCGATACATCCAGAAAGACTATATTGTCTCCCAATATGGCACAGCGAGCTTGTGTACATCACGATTATTCGACACGTTTCATATTCCCACTTTGTTCTGCAATGCGAGATCGACCAAACCCGTCTGAGCGAATAAGGAAATCTATCTATATCGTGGATGCATCTTCACTCTGTCTGAAACAAGCCTGGGACCTGAGAGAGTTTGCTCAAGACATTAGTTGGATACTGTCGACCTGTTACCCTGAGACCATCGAGCGGATTTTTGTAAGTACTCTCTTCCTCGGTTCCATTTAATTCAGCGCTCATGTTGATAATGTGATGTGTGAATCTACCAGGTCTGTAGTGCGCCTTTATACTTTTCCAAGATTTGGGGAGTTCTGAAGAGATTTGTCAACCCAGCAACTGCCGAGAAGATCGTGGTTTTGAGGACAGCTGAAGTTTATCCCACACTGAGCAAGTACACCGACCATAAACATATCCCTGTTCAATTCGGTGGAGAGTTTGTCTTTACGAACGGCATGCTTCCCGATCTGGATGATAAGATACGGCAGGAATCACAATGGGTCGGCCCTTTCAATGGAGATCTTCCTCCTGGTCCCATCAAATGGGTTCGGGAGTCACCAGGACACATGAAGGCAGCAGCCACGGGGACTTCTGATGGGGTTCGGAGAGCAGAAGATGTTGTTATCATGAAGGACAATGATTGAAATTGAGGGAATATAGATGGATTCGAAATATAACAATAAGTTCCAGAAAGAGAACACAACAGCACTCGTTTGGCCACTGTTCCGGTAATACTCCCCGCCGATGGTACTTATTTTTCTTCTCCATAACAATAGTCCAGAAGAAGCCACGAACAAGCTCTATTGGTTTGATTGCGCCTCAACGTTCCGGACCGTGACGGCTATAGCCTTCCCCTCGGCAGGCATTAGTCCTAAGTACCCCGCAAACTCAAGGTTTCCGCGGGGTGAACTAAGAATTCTTGCTATTCGAATGTTTGTGTACACCAAAGCACTGTGACACATTGGAGAAAAGCCATTCTTCATCAAGATACCGTAACCTATCCGAGTACGTGAACTACCAACCCTCGTGGTGTCCACCTCGGCTCGTTTCCGAGCCACTTTCGTGTATATCAGATTCAGGCAAGGGAGCCACTCCCGAACGTCGACAATCCACAACCGTCTGTCGGCTGTCTGGACGCCATGTGCTCGAGGGCGGGGATATGTAGGAAAAGCTTGTCCACAGCTTGGCCAGGAGCCTAGCTTTGTCTTCTGGAAGCCAAAAGAGGCCGATTTGTGTCGGCATTTGCCGAACCTGTGCACACACTAACTAAGTAGGTGCTTATGTCGCACGTAAAAGAAAAACGCGAAAAAAAACCGAGTGTCGTTCAGACCGTCTGGATTTCTCTGACACTAAACCCCGCGCAGCTTGCCACTATACACGATAGTATGCTAAAAAGCCGAAATTTAGCTACACGCGATAAGAGATTCCGGAATGGCGACAAGATATGGCCACCGTACCACACTGAAACGCGCTTATTCGTGTCTAGCTTCGGATAACAGACTTAAGTGGTATTCTAGAATGTGACCTGTCGCTCTTCTAAGGCACTGAGAATATTCTTCCCCGTGGGGGACGACTTCTTCCTTTTTCTGCTTTCCCTCGCGCGACTTTCTCTCAGAATCAAAGATGGAGGCAGGATATCTTGAACCAGAGAAGGTCACGGAGACAGCTCTGAGGGAGGTCCCCGTCGAGGAGAGGAACATCGTCAAGCCCTCTGGTTTTCTTGCTCGTTTTCGCTACTATGAGGAGCTCTTGGATCGCAAAATGGGGGTTGAGTCGCATAGTCTCGACCGAGTGCATCCCGAGGACCGCAAACCGCCAAACCCACTTGTGATGGCCTTCATGTGGGCATCGGCGACGATGAATCTGAGCTGTTTCAGTACCGGATTCCTGGGAAACCAATTCGGGCTGTCACTATCACAAACCATCCCGATCACAATCTTTGCAACATTGCTTGGTAGTGCTGTTACGGTTCGGAACATTCCCAGCTGATAAGATGAGATGCCTACAGATCTAGATACTGGAGGATCTCTGTTTCTCTTACGTCGCTTACTCTTGTCTGTTAGGGATGGTGTGCAACTATGGGCCCCGGTACTGGCCTTCGTCAGGTAGCGATATCCAGATACTCCTTTGGTTTCTACCCGTCGTCGATCATTGCCGCCCTGAATGTCGTCGAGCAGCTTGGCTGGTCTTCCGTAAGCTGTATCACAGGAGGCCTCGCCCTCAGCGCCGTATCTGACGGTCGTGTCTCGATTGCGGTTGGAGTGGTTATCGTTGCAGTGGTCAGTCTGCTATTTAGCTTCGTTGGGCTGAGGGGCGTCCTTGCGTATGAAAAATATGCCTGGATCCTATTCTTCATCATCTTCATGATTATCTATGGAGAAGCTGCGCACCGCGCAGACCTGAAAGCACCACCGAAGGTAACAGGAATGACACAGTCCGGCCAGGCCTTGAGTCTCATCAGCGTGGTCTATGGATCGAGCGCGTCCTGGAGCTCAATTGTGTCTGATTTCTACGTGCATTACCCGGTCAACACGCCAAAGATCAAGATCTTCCTTTACACGTGTCTGGGCATAACCATTCCGACATGTATCGGAATGCTGCTGGGTTGTGCCGTCAGCTCAGCCCTCGCAACCAATCCTGAATGGTCTGCTGCATACGATGGTGGAATCGGTGAACTCCTCCAAGTTATCATCTATCCCAGGGGTTTTGCAAAGCTTCTACTCGTATTACTCGTCCTTTCCGGAAGTAAGTACTTAATGATAAGTATTCTCCACCCAAAATTAGTAACTAACAACTCTCTCTCTCATAGTTGGCGTGAACTGTATCGCCATATACGCCGGCGCGCTTTCCGCTCAACTATTTGCTAAACCATTCCAGGCAGTTCCCCGAACCATCTGGACCATCATTGTCTTTGGATGTATCCTCGTCATCGGCATCGCCGGACGAGATCACCTGCTCGAAGTACTCGAAAACTTTCTCTCCCTCCTAGGCTACTGGAATACCTCATTTTTCGTCATCCTCTTCTTAGAACACTACCTCTTCCGCGGAGGCAACCTGGCAAACTACGACCTGGACGCGTGGAATACTCCTTCGAAGCTACCCGTCGGAATCGCAGGTCTCACGGCCTTCCTGTGCGGAATGGCGGGTTGGGTTGTCGGGATGGTGGAGACGTATTATGTCGGGGTCATTGCGAAGATGATCGGTCATTATGGGGGCGATGTTGCTAATGAGTTGGCTCTGGTGTTTTCGGCTGTTTCGTATGTGCCGTTGAGGAAGTTGGAATTGAAGTATATTGGACGATAGATGAGATGAGATATATATATCTACCAATATATATCAAAAACGGTAATTTATAGGATTGTAAACTTACGCGCCTTGAAATAGAATCACCGGCTAAATAAGCAATAATTACCAGGCAGTCGGGATTGGCGCACTGGCGAGGGGGTCGACATAGAGTGATATATTGCAGTCTGGGTCTCCATAGGGGACATGTGATGCATTGAAAAAGTATAGGTTTGCGTCTTGGATTCGAAATCGAAAGCCGGGAATACATATATATTGAAAGCCTCTAGACGAACCAACAATGTTTACGTCTGACTCGAAGAGGAAATTCTGTATTATGTAAATATATATGCAGTTTACCTGACGTGTCGTCAATGTTCTTATGTGTATTACGATGACTCCGAGCATTCAGTGAGTTAGCTACAAGTGATCTTTGAGCGACACTGAGTATGAGACTTCACTGCTGGGGTTCTCGAACCAAGAAGAGAGTCTACTCGGAGCATCCCACACATTTTGATTATTAAATTTGATTAAATGCTTCACAAAAAAAAAAAAAAAAAAAAAAAAAGAGAGAAGGGAGGGGGTTAGGATAACCGACCGTTATCCGTCAGGCACAGGTAAAACCATTTTCCGGAGGGGCAGCCCATCTCAACCATGGATTCTTTCATTAACAGTAGAAGCTCATAGGTTCCAAGCTTGCGGCGTCCTGAAATAGAGGGGCAGGGATTCGGCATCCTACGGCCCTTTTTTGTGGTCTCTGTCGGGTAGAGGGAAGCCGGATGTGTGATTCGTCGTTCGGGAAGAAGTGCGGTGCAGATCGCGCTGGATGCTTTGGGTCTACGGTGCGAACGGGATCGATCCGATAAGAGAAAATGTGGAAATTGATGGATTTGAGTGGGCTGCTGCGAGTTTTTGTGATGGACCTATGCTTTTCGAGATGGGGTCTAGCCATGAGTTAATAAGTCAGGCAACGGGGTTGATCGCGGTTCATCCAGAGTTTCAGACGTTCTAGACGAGGGAGTGGGTTGGGTAGGGTTACTGAAGTTCGCACTGTCCTGCACGATCAGTAGAGGGGAGAGATATCACAATTTGGGAGAAGTTTGGCCTCCAGAAAAGGGATAAAAACATTGATGAGATTCTCGTACTTTCTCACGGCTGGACGCACTGAGTATTGTACAGTACGAGCGCCTGTGAGATGCCAATCTGATTAAGGGAACGGTCGGGGCGAGTCGCCTATCTGGTTTCACAAGGACTGTGCTTAGGAACCGCCGCGGAACCTCGGATAGAGATTCGAAGAAAGACCATGGAAACGGCCAAGCCACGATGGAGAATGAGCAAAAACGACAGGGAAGTCCTTAGGGTTTGTATATGGACAACATTTGCTGCAGACCGATAAGATTCCAGTGATTGTCTACTTCGGGGGCATTCGGTGTTTATCTGGCCGTGTGCCATCGCCATAGGGTGCGCGGGATCATTCAACTTTGCGGAATCAAGACGGATGAGAGACATGGCCAGTGACAGTCCGCGTCGCATGGTACTTTCGACGATTGGTTCGAGGGGCCCTATTTTCAGCACCTTATTTAGTCTGGACGCAGCATGAAGGACTACTAGTTATGTACCGATAGAATGCAAGGGTATATCGCCCGTATCGAGTAATACGGGCGATGGAGGACGGAATGATTTCAGCATTGGGCCGTGGACAGGAGGGGCACCTGCACTCGGATACGACCGTGTTCCATCCTGACAGAGCGCAAGGGCCGGTTGGGCCAGAGAGACATCTAGTGCCTGCTGTCGTTGAGTTGGACGGTCTCATGAACCACGATGGATCAGGCAGAAGGAAAACACGGAGATGTAGATGGCCCTTTCCGCTGTGTTGGTATAATGAAGAATGTTCAGACGCCCTGTTGATGCGCTGTCCCTTGACGTGGTAACCCCGCCTCATTTGAGAAGACGGTGACATGTATAGAGTAGTCCTCAGTGGTCAAGTTAGTATATTACCCAAATCAGTAAGTAATGCACATAAATGGAATCGAGAGTAAGACAGTAGTATATTGGCACATCATCCAGATTGGATTTGAGCTTCCTCATGCGAACTGTATGGATGTCTTGGGACGACTCGTTGCTAGCTCGTAGCTTGCTTTTGGCACGACGAACATGCTAAGAAATCAGCATCAGCATCACTGCAGCAGTTGGTCCTGGCAGATGCATCCTAGCCACAAACTAGTCTATCTAGATACACCATTGTTGGCGGACAAGAGAAGATCCAGCCTGTCGAACCGGGCTGGTGATGATTATCTATGGTGCCTGCGTTTTGCCCCGTTGGAGGTGTGCCTCTTGTCTTTGCGCCTGAGAGAGGCTGTGCCGCACTGCGAACTCATCGCCCAGCTAGTTAAGTATGGTATCCCAGAAAGAATAATAATCTCTGTGGATGAGACGATCGCTGGCGACTCCACCGCAGCAAAGCGTTGTTGTGAGCTTCTTTCCACTTTGCTTCTTCCCGCTTGCTGGGCCAGACGTCGCTTGTCTGGCTCTCTCGCTTGTCCCCGTCTCTTGTCGTCTGGACCCAAACCTTCATCGTCCTCTCCGTCGAACTCTCTCCATCTCCATGTCGCGTTATTCTTCTTTGTTGTAGCTGTTTGTGCGGGCTCTCAGTGTCTCCTGCTGGAGGCTTTTATCCCAGCAGCATTGTTGATTGCGATTCTTTCTTCATTGCCACTGACCCTCTGGCGTTATTTGCCTTCCCCGAACGCCTTTCCCCGCCCGGTGACTCCACGTGCTTGTTGCTATCACCGGCCCTGTCACAGCTGCTTTTGCCCGTCTCCCTTGCGTTGCCATCTGCTTAATCCTCCCCCCGCCAGCTGCTCGTGCTGCTGCATTGTCCATCTAAAATCAGATCAAGAAGGCTGGCAGAGCCAGACTGCCGCCTTATAGGTGGCTTTGCACCACCGCCCTATCGCCCAGCCTGTCCTGCAACGGCTGCACCCGTCATCTGCCGCCATGGAGCAGTCAACCTCATCCTCATCGCTAAAGTTCCGCCGACCTTCTAGCAAGCTTCACAAAGACCCTCCGCGCTTCTCGACCTCACGTATTCTGAAAAATCAACCCAGCAACACCTCATTGAAGAGACACCCTTCTGCTCCAGTCTACCCACGCTCCCAAGTGGATGGCAGTCGAGAACATCTACGAACCCGATCCAACGCTTACGGCTCTTCATCGTCGTCTCTCGATCAGAGCAGCAGCACTGCTCCATCGCCCGTCCTCGTCCAGCACGACTCCAATCCATCGACTGGCAGCTATCACTCAACGAGATCCCGCCCCTTGCATTCAGGGCGTCTGTCACTGAACGATCGAAGCTCGGATGAATTGATCGGCGCCCCGTTTGACGCGCGGGGCATGCTCAGCGCCTTGGATGAGACGATTTCACAGCCGCAAAACTCTCCTCGAAGGCCTCCGTTGCAGTCTCCTCATACCAGTCCCGATCCCCGGGGCGTCCAGACATTGAGGCAATCCCAGAGTTTCACCGCTTTGCCTCCACGGATGGATACAACCCCGCAACGGGTTGAGGAACGTGCACCAAACTCCAAGAGATTCTCTGATGAGGCCAGCGGAACAAAGTCCAACTGGACTGGAAGAAGCAAGAAGAGCAGCTTTTCGAGCTTCGTTAACAGTGTACTGGGCTCTCCCAAAAACAATATCAAGATATCAGCACCAGAGAACCCAGTTCACGTCACACATGTCGGATATGATAACCAAACGGGCCAGTTTACGGTGCGTCTCTCCCCAAATCTTGTTATGTGTGTTTCTGGCTCTCGTTCGTTTGATCAGGATCGATCGTCTGTTTTCAGATTGCCTGTTGTGTTTGCCTGAACTAGATGGGTTGACTGACTTTTTTCTTGTATAGGGCCTACCGAAAGACTGGCAGCGGATGCTCCAGGAGAGTGGCATCTCGAAGAAAGAGCAGGAACAGCACCCGCAAACCATGATGGACATCATGAAATTTTACGAGAAAAATGCTACGGGCAACGATGATGTCGTCTGGCACAAGTTTGACCACGCGATGCCCAAGCAGGATTTCCAAACCTCCTCTGCTGCATACAGCCCCAGTGCGCCAGTAGGATCTCCTCCCACAAGTCCTCGATTCCCACAGAATCATGAAGGCAGTTTTGAGAATCCTAGGGCTCCGCCTCCTGTCCCTCGTGATGCGCCTGTGACATCCCCAGGGCTTGTACCAAACCGATCAGCTCCCAAACCTCCAGCAACAAATGGAAGTAACTTGGTGCCTGTGCGTCCTCCTCCACCTCCTCCTGTGACGAGTTCACCCGTCCACTCCCCTGGGCGAGCGACGCAGGAATACGCCTTCAACACCCAACCCACAATTCCGGAGACCGCACCGCTCCCAGTGGAACCGCAGCTCACCAGGTCGAATACCAAGACCAATGGACTCACGAGCCCGCGCTCGCCACAGGGTGGTATCGTCTCTCCCACCCAGTACCAGCAACAACAAGAGCAGGCGATGGCCGCTGCCCAGCAGGCTATTACAAGCAAACAGCTGGACCGGAGCCGCAGCCAACGCCAACAGCAGCAGCAGCAGCAGCAGCAGCAACCACAACGCCAGCCAGCGCAACCGTATGCGGCCGCTCGACTAGAACAGCAACAGACTGCACAACAGTTGCCTCCGGCACAGTTTAGCAATCCGGCTAACCCGGCCCCTGTTCCACAACCACCGCAACACACGCACGTTGGACCGGCTCCACGCCCGAGGCCGAGACAGCGCCAGAGCAATGCTATCGATATTCGCGCCCGGTTGAATGCCATCTGTACGCCTGGTGATCCAACTAAGAAGTACTACAATCTAAACAAGATTGGGCAAGGTGCTTCTGGCGGTGTGTTTACTGCCTATGAGACTGGTACCAACAGATGCGTCGCCATTAAGCAGATGAATCTGGACCTGCAGCCTAAGAAGGATCTGATCATCAATGAGATCTTGGTCATGAAGGACAGCAAACATAAGAACATCGTCAATTTCATGGATAGCTACCTGCACGGCTTGGACCTCTGGGTCGTAATGGAGTACATGGAGGGGGGCAGTCTTACGGATGTTGTGACCTTCAACATGATGAGCGAAGGACAGATTGCTGCTGTCTGCAGAGAGGTGAGTTTTGACAGGTATAATTTACGTAATACGAGATTACTGACACGCTACAGACTTTGCACGGTCTACAGCACCTCCATTCCAAGGGAGTTATCCACCGTGATATCAAGTCGGATAATATCCTCCTGTCGTTGGATGGCAACATCAAACTTAGTATGTCTTATGGGTGAACTAGCAGTATCTCTGAGCTCCCTTGCTAACATCAGCCAGCTGATTTCGGATTCTGTGCCCAAATCAACGACTCTCAAAACAAGCGCAACACCATGGTGGGAACTCCGTACTGGATGGCACCTGAAGTGGTGACGAGAAAAGAATATGGTCGTAAAGTCGACATTTGGAGTCTGGGTATCATGGCGATTGAAATGATCGAGGGCGAGCCTCCTTATCTCACAGAGTCCCCCCTGCGTGCTCTTTATCTGATCGCCACCAATGGTACTCCCACGATCAAGGACGAACACAATCTGTCCCCGGTATTTAGAGATTTCTTACACCTAGCGTTGAGGGTGGACCCGGAAAAGCGCGCTTCGGCACATGATCTGCTCAAGGTACGTTTCAGCAGCAGTCACGAAAGTACAGCAGTTTACTAACATGTCGCCTGCAGCATCCATTCATGTCGATGTGCGACCCTCTTTCCAGTCTTGCCCCTCTTGTGAAAGCTGCGCGCATCAGTCGAGCCCAGGAGAAGGCCCAAAAGGGCGGCTCGTAGATGACATTCCCATTTATCTGTCTGTCCCCTTATCACGTCCATTTCCTCTACTCTATTATACCCCGATGTCACCGTGCCAGTTGTCAAGGCTTCTGTCCACATATTACCACCGGAGAGCGGCGATATCTTTTCATGTCTATCATTTGCCACGTTTTAGATGTCGATGGTTTCTTCACGGGACTTGCCTTATGTTATTTACCCCCAGGTCAGCGACCCTGTTTTATTCCCGATGTCATGGAATTCCCTCGGCCTTACGGTATCATGCCTTATGTGACTCTTTGAGTTTTTATGAATCTGAGATGCTAGTGCAATACGTCCTTTGAGAAAGTCTGATCTGTGTTTTTCAGTTATCCTGCACCCGTTTACTTGCAGTATCTGAGACACAATATTCCCAACAGAAAAGCAGTCGGCAAAGGCGCAACCTCCGAAAGAATCGATGATTCGTCACGTCCTTGAAGGTCAGGTAGCCTTACTCATCCATCTCAGGTGTCCTAGGGTGCAGATACCTTGTTATTTTTTCCTTGTCAGAAAGTTGCAAGATGAAGAGATGTTATAAGGTACGGGTCAATCCCTCTTGTCATGCTTTCATGAAAAGTATATGCGGGAGTCATCCCTTTTTTTTCTTCTCTCGATCAGGCTCGTCCAAGCCCGTGTCGTTCGATGTATGTACATAGGCGCAGAACATAGGTACCGCCCGAATTTCCCAGTCAATCTAGTTTGGGGAAATAGATATTTAGAACTTGTGGTGTTCTATTCCAGTGGTCCGCATTCCTTTCCTGCGACCATCAAGTTTAAGACGCGTGAGATCGAGCGTATTTACCTGTACAAATCTTATCTGGAACGACGAGTTCTAGACGGAATATACTAGAGCTGTAAAGAAAGTGGCCTTGTGAAAAAATCATTTTGAGTCCTCACTGCTTACTTTAGGCTGGAAGGGCATTTGATCTTTACCCATGAGACATGCCAGTGCGCTAACTACGTAGTACCTCAGTACGGAGTACTACCTGTCCCCCAAAATGCAGCTCACCAAAAGCCATTTCCATCCCGGGACAGGAGCATTGCTACTTTACTTATGTGAATGCGAGCTGAAGAAAGCTGTCCGCAACGGTAGGTTGCGTTTTCACAAAACAAGTTTTCTAGCACTGGGCTATTATTCTGCAATATGAAAACTGCACTGGAACAATCAGAACTATAAAAACGATAGTAAATAATATAGTGCCAACAATATGATCGTTACTCTGCGGCAGCTAGTTATATGACGAGTTCACTAGGCCCTGGCAAGTTTGTTTTTGAACTCAGGAATTACTGAAATTTTGTTGCCATAGGCCGTGAGATTAATACGTGCATTCCCTCACCTTGAAACCTTGGGATGACCTTCGATGGACCGTTGACGATTGCCAGGATCATCAACCTTTGATAGGCAACAGGAGATTTGCAAATTTTAATTGTTTAAGCACAGCACAAGTTACGGGGATAAATCACTGCTTTTTTGTCTTCATAACTCGTTACAGCATGTCTCGATTTCGCACTTCCAGCAAGACTTCAGATATTGATCATAGAGATCTCTCACAAGAAAGAGAAAACGGTCAGCACATTTGCTCGTCTTCCGCTGGAGTTACTGTCAATGATTCTCTGCATGTCAGATGAGAGATCTTCAGACAAGATCGGCTTAGAAGATGAAAAGAAGGAACTTGTCTGCTGTGACAAGTGAGCTTCTCGCAGAGCAAAAATGGATCATCCAGCATCGTCATAGTTAACTTAAGTAGCCTTCCCAGCGCCCGCTTACTCACCCGCGCAGTGAGCCACTCAGCGCTTGCGCAGCCGCTCTCCGCCTACTTGATGATCACTCGCTCCGCCCGCTCCTCCAGGTTGCAGCGTTTCCCATTGCTACCCTCGCCGCAGACTCGTTCTCTCTTCGAGATTATACTGATTAAACTCTGAACTAAAAGACCTCTCACATATCACTCGCTCATCTGTGTGGGAGACGACGAAGTCCTCCGCTTCTTTCTCAGTCGCCGTGCCGGGGAGGTTACTTAGGCTGCGAACGTCTCCGCGCTCCGTGAAATCTATCCAAGGTGTCAACATTTCTGAACTGGTTGGATTGATTGTGCTGCCGGATCTTGGACCCAGTCTACGGTTTATTCCAGGTCGCAATACTGCGAACAGTTTGATTCTTCTCGGACTGTTTCTCTGTGCTTGGCAGTCGTTATAGAGGGGTAGAAGGGTAGCTTGGTCTAGTGTGGTGGTTGGAGACACCATTGTTCGCCATGTTTCGAGCGCAACAGAACGCCTTCGACGACGCCGTCGGTGAGTACCAATTATTTCTTACTGTTGTTCATGAGCGCACGCATGAGTGGATTATTAGCTCTTATTCTTGCTTCCATATGATGACCACATCGCTTGACACAATGTACTTCATGCTGACCTTCCTTTTCTATATAGCCAAGGCGACGGATGAGAACCTTACCTCCGAGAACTGGGAATATATCCTAGTACGTCCTCTATTCCATTCACCCTTTCGATATTATTCTGCGTTCGGATAAGGGAGCTGACCGGGTTATTCCGTGCTCTAGGATGTTTGCGATAAGGTCTCCGCTGAGGAGTCAGGGTATGATTATCTGATGGTGTGGGCAGACGGGGAAACGAGATGCTGATGGAATGGCATAAATACAGGGCAAAGGATGCTGTTGCGGCTTTGATCAAGAGACTGGCGCACCGCAATGCCAATGTCCAGCTTTACACCCTGGAGGTACAGTCACTGGTCTGGCCCTTTGGATATTATGGTCGGTCGCTGATTCTGGAAATTATAGCTTGCAAACGCTCTGTCGCAGAACTGCGGTCCGGTTATCCATCGCGAACTGGCGTCTAGGAGCTTTACCGATTCGTTGTTGCGTCTCGCCAATGATAGGGTAAGTTCGACTTTCAAGATCAGCTTCGTTCCTATGATGGATGAATCGCAGGATTACTGATATACTTTTGTGTCATCCATAGAACACACACCAACAAGTCAAATCAAAGATAGTCGAACGTATGGAGGAGTGGACAGAGATGTTTTCTAGCAATCCCGATTTCGGTATTATGGAGCAGGCATATATGAAGCTGAAGACAACCAGTGTGTAATTTGCAAAGATATTCTGTTCATTCTCTTACTGACGTTGCACAGACCCAAGCCTGCGGCCTCCTTCGAAGCCTACAAAACGCCAAATCACAGACATTGACCGTCAGAAGGAAGAGGAAGAGTTGCAGATGGCCCTTGCCCTGTCGGTAAAGGACAAGACAGCCGCCGGTCCATCCACACAATCGCAGGCCGCTGCTCCATCCAGTTCATCGCCCGCTGCGCAGACCACTCAGTCAGCCGCTCCTCAGCCAGTTCCGTCAGGAACAACTGCTGCAACCGTTTCACGTGTCAGGGCGCTATACGACTTCCAGCCATCAGAGCCCGGAGAACTGCAGTTCCGTAAGGGTGATATCATTGCTGTCATAGAATCCGTGTATAAGGATTGGTGGAAGGGTTCAATCAGAGGACAGACAGGCATTTTCCCGTTGAACTATGTGGAAAAGCTTCCCGATCCAACAGAGCAGGATTTGCAGCGCGAAGCTCAGATGGAAGCAGAAGTCTTTTCACAGATCAAGAATGTCGAAAAGCTGTTGACACTTCTGAGTACTAGCGGTTCGGAGCTCAACGTCCAAGACAACGAAGAAATAACCTCATTATATCACTCAACGTTGGCAATCCGGCCAAAGTTGATCGAATTGATCGGAAAATATTCGCAAAAGAAAGGTCCGTTATGCTGTTATTTACCCTTTGGTGGTTTCCTTCCATACTCACAGTCGTAGATGAGTTTACCCAGTTGAACGAGAGATTCATCAAGGCGCGAAGAGACTACGAAGCTCTGTTGGAGGCGTCAATGTCCCACCCGGCGCAGCCTCAGTATGGCAGGCCTGCACAGGCGCCTTATGGTTATGCCGCTCCAGGCGCACCACAGGTGTACCCTCCTGGGGTTCCGCCTCCAGACCCCCAGAGATATTTCAGCCCCCGTCCTCAAGGTTCGTAGTTGAGTCGTATGCCAGGATTTCTTAGTTCTAATGTCTTACACTAAGCAGACTCTCAAACGCCGCAGCCAGGCTATTGTGGAGCGGAACAGGCGCAGCCTCCTTATCCAACATCCTCTCAGTCGCCTGATCTGCGAAACAGGACACCTACTGGCGCACGTCCTCTGCAGCCCCAGCAACAGCCAGCTCCTGACTCCTACCAGCCTACATACCACCGTCCCCAATCCACCTACGACAACCCCCAGGAGCTGGGGACGTCTGTTTACGACACGCCAGTCGAAAGTTCAACCGCGAACCAACCGCCATTCTCTCATGGCGCACAGCATCCTCCTGCTCCTCACCAACAATTCCAGCAGGAGCAGCAGCAGCAGGACTATTCGCCGTCTGTCTACTCACCAGATGGTGGCCCTCCTCCTTCCAGTGCGGGCACTATCCAGCCGCCTCACTCCCAGTTCCCGCCGCCGCAACAACAACCGCCATATCCTACATCAACTATCCCTATGCACCAGCCACCACCCTCTCACCAACCGCCTCCGATCCCCTCAGCTAGTCCTCAGCCTACGCCTTATCCATCTCTGAACGCCGGTGCGCCCCAAGGAAGTGGATATGAGGCATACAAGCCGCCACAGGCGAGCTCTGTGAACGCGAATCCGGCGTCGTACTATAGATAAGAGGCAGGCACGGGAATTATGAACGGTTGGACGGGATCATGAAGGAGATGCGACGGAAATCTAGGTTGAATGACCCCAAACTCAGTTCTTGTCCTCTCACACTTGGCGTGTGCCGTTTCCATAACTGCACATATTACTTTTAATGCTGTCATGACAGAAGCGTTGAAACTGTATGCTATTTAGGTACTGCTCTCGCGCGCTAGTAACTTTTTGGTCGAACTTGTAAAACTGAATCAAGGGGTAGCTCGAAGCATAAATACCCTTTCTAATCCTCCATACTTGAACATTGGCTGGGACCGTTGGAATAAATCCATGGTTCCTTTCCTATCATCACGTGATATCGTGTCAACCGATGCTCCGTTGTCTTCAACTGTCTCTCGTCTTCCAACAGCAGCGCAGAGGATTGCGCTGATCCCCTTATTGACATTAACTTTTCTACTGCTGAAGGGCCTTCTTTTAGAGGGATCTGTCCCGCCTCTTCACATTCTGAACCCCTTGAATGAGACGGCCACTTCGGCATAAGATACGCCATCCCGCGAAAGCTACCCCGCGCTTCGCGTCCTCACGGTGAGGACGATGTCGCAGTTCACTCGGATTCCCATGCGGGTAGTATGATTGGAATCCTGAGATAACTTGCAGTCAAATATCATCGATACGTTGGGGCATACGCACCAGCCTCTGTGGTGGGTACCTGAGAGGCAATGGAGGCCGATTGGGACGAGGTGTGTCGTATCGCGGTGCCTCCGCCGAGCCCGCATGTCCTGCCTACAATTGCGACAGCGGTCGCATTCGACGATGTCCAGGAACTGCTATGGGTTGGAAATGAATATGTGTGTCCGCTATTCGCCAATATATATATTTTGTTGCTGACTTGTTTTCTCTTCGTGGTTTCTAGGGCAGGATTACCTCCTTCTACAGTGCGGAATTGCAGAGATACACATCAATCAGAGCGCATCCGGTTTCCGAGGGCGCAGTACGCCAGTTCTTATTCCATGACAGAGGCGTGATTTCGCTATCGTCGAGAAGTGTGCATCTGATATCTCGACGTGGGTTGACACAATGGCACGTTACACATCAGGAGATGACGGATCTCCGCTGCATGAGCTTCACTGCTCAGACGAACAAGATTATTGTCGCAGGCAGTCAGCGCGTCATGTTTATTATCGATGTTGACAAGGGCCAGATTGTTGACAAGTTGCCAACGGATTACAACTACACTATCATGAAGAAGAGTCGGTATCTTTGCGCAGCAACGGATACGGGCTCAGTTAATGCGCTTAGCCTGACGGACTTTAGTGTTGTGAAGAGCTGGAAGGCGCACGGGACAGCGATCAATGATATGGATGCGCGAAATGACTTCCTGGTCACTTGTGGCTTCTCAGTGAGGCATCTGGGCTCCCCGATCGTCGATCCGCTGGCCAATGTATACGACTTGAAAACACTTGCACCTTTACCGCCAATTCCTTTTCACGCCGGCGCTGCCTATGTTCGAATGCATCCGAAGCTACATACTACGAGTTTCGTGGCATCGCAGACTGGACAACTGCAGGTCGTGGATCTCATGAATCCTAATACCATCAATCTTCGCCAGGCAAATGTGAGCTTTATGCTAGGCCTTGAGATATCACCATCAGGAGAAGCTCTAGCTATCAACGACGCAGAGTGCTCCATCCATCTTTGGGGCTCTCCATCTAAGATCCATTTCAACGAGTTGAGTAAGGAGACCGAATTCGCCGACGTCCCTACGCGACCTCCTATGTTGGACTGGTCTCATGATGCCCCGCTGAATCTTGTCGGAATGCCTTATTATCACGAACGACTCCTCTCCGCCTGGCCCAGTCATCTCATCTTCGATGTTGGAAGTCCACCAGCCCCGATTGACCAATCTCTAATTCCTTATCTCCGCCCCGCTGAGCTCGGGCATTATGCCCCGAATCCAAAGAAGACGCGCAGGAACCAAGTGGAAAATACCCGTGTTTTGACTTCTGCAGAGCCGGCGCTGGTCGCACCCAAGTTCTTGAGTGAAAAGGCTAGAGAGCAATCCAGATCAAAATCTGACGGCTCTGTTGATGATGCCGCAGAAGCGCTTGCGGGCGCCAAACTCAAGAGTGAAGTCGACGAAGACCCACTACTCAAGTACAGTAATGTCGAAATCAAATATAGTAAATTTGGAGTCGATGACTTCGATTTTAGGTATGTTATTATGGATGGTGATCTCTGGGTCAATGCGGTATGCTGATCTAGAGCAGGTACTATAACAAGACGGCATTTTCGGGTCTGGAGACTCATATCGCCAACTCATTCACGAACGCCCTTCTCCAGCTTCTCAAATTCATCCCGCTTGTGCGAAATATAGCCCTTCATCATGCTGCCAGCAGTTGTATATTCGAGAACTGCTTGCTTTGTGAGATGGGTTATCTTTTTGACATGCTAGATAAAGCGAATGGTCAAAACTGCCAGGCTACCAATCTGCTACGGACATTTAGCAGTTTCCGCGAAGCATCCAATCTAGGACTACTCGAAGAAAATCTGACTAACAAGGCACTGTCCTCTGCCATCCAGTCGGTTAACCGATTCTTTCTAAGCCAGATCTCGCATGACTACCGCATGGTCCAGCCTAATTCTGATGAGCTGGATCAGAAAATTGTAACTATTGCATCGGAAGCCATTCGATGTATGTTCTGTCGAAATGAAATCGTCAGACCTGGAAACGCATTTACGACCGAACTAGTCTATCCTGCTCTTGATATCAAACATGCTCGTCGCAATCCGGCTTTCCGTTTCTCCAGCATTCTCAAGGCTAGCATCGAGCGCGAGACGCAGAATCGAGGATGGTGCAACCACTGCCGACGTTATCAACAGGTCGCGATCAGGAAGACCGTGCATCGCATGCCCCTTGTTATGATGATTAATTCTGCTCTCACAAACCCCATACACCGGCAACTTTGGGCCATCCCAGGCTGGCTACCAGAGGAGGTTGGCGTGCTGGTTGAGAACGGACAAGTCATGTGTTTCGAAGGGGAGGATCTCCGAACACGGGTAAGGAACAATACGCCTGGTCTCCTTGTCTATGAGCTTGTCGGCAGTGTCGCGGAGATAGATCATACAGAACACCAGAAGCCACACTTGGTATCGTTCATTAACGTGTCTATCTCCGCCCGCGAACCGGAGGAAAGGAGTAGATGGCATCTTTTCAATGACTTCCTCGTTACTGAGGTGGACAAAGATGAGGCTCTTAAGTTTAATCAGCCATGGAAAATACCGTCTATTCTGGCCTATCAGGTCAAAAGCGCAAGGCATTGCTTGGATGATTCGTGGAAGAACGCTCTCGACACTACTCTTCTGTTCCACGAGTGGTCAATGAAGTGAGTAACATTGTCCCAATGAGAACTTGTGCTTTGCTAACTCCTGTTAAAGCGGTGGCCGTCCTGTCGAGTCTCTGCGTGTACTTTCAACTGACGAAAAGCCGCAACCTGGTACCCCTGTTGCTCTTGATACAGAGTTCGTCGACCTTGAGAAGGCGGAGATCGACGTCAAAGCAGATGGTTCACAGGAGATTATCAGACCAAGCAGGAGCGGCCTTGCCCGTGTCTCTGTACTGAGAGGCTCTGGAATACAGGAAGGAGTTCCCTTCATTGACGACTACATCACAGTCAAGGAAACCATCGTGGATTATGTCACGCAATATTCGGGTATCAAACCGGGCGATTTGGATCCTAGGACCAGTGAACACAATCTGGTTCCGCTTAAGGTCGCGTACAAAAAGCTTTGGCTTCTGCTTAACTTGGGATGTGTCTTTGTGGGACACGGTCTGGCGTCTGACTTCCGCAAGATCAACATCCAGGTCCCTAAATCCCAGACGGTCGACACACAGTACTTGTTCTTTCAGCCCGGTAAGAACAGACGACTTAGTCTCCGTTATCTTGCGTGGGCCGTCTTCAAAGAGTACATCCAAGAAGAAAGTACGGAAGTCACAGAAGGCCATGACTCAATCGAGGATGCTCGCATGGCTCTTCGGTTATGGAAGAAGTTCCAAGAGTATGAAGATGCCGGTATCGTCGCCCAGATGCTAGACGAAATATTCCGCGAAGGATTCAGGCTGGGATTTCGACCCCCACCCCGCAACGGCAATAGTCTTGCCCGTCCGGGCACCGCAGTCACCATGTCGAATGCAAGCGGTCGCAACACGCCTGATGTCTCTGTCGCTGGAAATCTAAACGGCGGTACGAGTGCACCGTCGACTCCTAGACAAGCATTCAGACGTTCTATCGCCCTAACGCCAAGTAATGGTACCTTTTCTGGTCCTGGCACGGGAGACTTTTTTGGCGGTAGTCCACTAAGGTAAAACGGACTGCAGCTGGCATGATGATGATTCCTGATTCCGATTACAGTAGTGAGATGACACGACGTCTATGGAAGATCGGATCTTTCTCCAATAGCGTTTCAGTGACAATGTTAGCATATTGATGGAAATGAGTGACCTATACCGTGACCGCATGGGATAAAATTATTATTTTTGCCTAGATAGCTATACTCAAGAAAGAAAGAAAGAAAGAAACATTGGTTAGTCTTGAAAGAAATACTCGTTTGTTTGTTGTTGTTCCATTTCTATAAATACTCCATACCATAACTATCAGAGCTTATCTGAAGCATTGACGTCATGACGTCATTATTCAGGTCATCCCGCTTAGAGCGAGAACGGCCATTCTTAAGTTAAGTTAGGAGGTCCTTTTGAGTCAGCAATAATAATAATAATAATAATAATAATCAGGATTTCGTTTTCAGGCTGTCCGAAGATCACTGATTGTCTAGATCCGGCAAGTTGGAATGACGGTATACCATACATGGTAACACTAACGGGTCAATGACGTCCAAGAACGGCGTGGCAGGACGTCACGGAGGCTGGATTTGATGCTCGTATACCACTCATGTTAATCGAATTCGGCTTTACGATCCGTAATCGAGACCCCTCTCTCGATTCCCAGCCAATTTATACCCGTGTGTTCCATGTATCGAGTACTTAACCCTTATATAGTGAAGTGTGGCTAGCCATGTCTGTATTATTCCCACGCCAGCTGAAGATATCATCTACTTTGTCATCACCCCTTCGAGGTGCTCACCTTATCGGTTTAAATTATTATATCCTCAAACCATCTCGTCTTGCTTCCGCTGTGTCCTCCCGACAGGTCCGTTCGAAGTCTTCGCAAGCTCCTTCATCGAGGCCATTTAGCTCGACCTCCGCAACCATGGCCGAATTCCCGACTCCCTCTAGGGACCCTCCAAAGCATGAAATGGCATACTTTCCCCAGATCACGAGTAGCCTGCCCTCGAAGAATTCCGAGTTCAGACGAGTCCTCTGGACAGGCTTGTACTCGCAGCTTGTGCTCATGAACGTTCCCGTTGGCGGTGAAATCGGAGACGAGGTGAGAGAAAAACTCGCAATATACCGGAACTTTATTATTACGCCGTGTTGGGAACAAACGCATTCTAACCTTTCCCTTCTCATAGATCCATACTGTCGACCAAGCTCTCACTTTCACTTCCGGAACAGGACGCGCGACCGTCGCTGGTAAGGATCAGGATGTCAAAGCAGGCGATATGGTCATTGTCCCTGCAGGAACGCAGCATCAGTTCATCAACACTGGTGATACTCCATTGATCCTTTATACGTTGTACTCGCCTGCGGAGCATGCGCCGACAACTGTGCATAAGGACAAGGCTCAGGGCGATAGGGAAGAGGAGGAAGGTATTGATAAAGCTCCCGAATGGAGCCGCAGAAGCAAGAAGGATAATGAAGCTATGGGCCTTGTCAAGGGAGAGGATTAAGTGCATGATTCGACGGTGGAAATCCCGAGGAATATGTCATGATAGGTAATAGGTAATAATGAGAATGCAGTACTGTATAAGCTATGCCGGTTGATTCGCATTCTTGTTTGCACCAACTGGTTGCAACATGTAATATGGAGTATTGTACCTCGTCTCAGTCATGTGTGGGGGTTGTCGCTAATGAACCCATTCTAGCTTGGTCTAGTGTAATGCTTCGATCAAAAAGGGGGTCAGCTTTGATGGGAAATGCGCATTAAATAGGGCCGCTATTCAGAAGACTTCGCAAGTATTAATACTCTAGGCAACTGGAATATGGGTGCATCTTGTAAGTCACAGAGTTGCACGTTGTTGCCTAACTAACTACCTAAGTATACTACTTGCTACTTAGTGAAACTGTGGGGACAGAACATATCTCGAAAACATAGAAATAGGCAACACTGCGTCCTGTCCATTGAATATGCTTTCATTATCTTTGACAAACCAGTCGATCTGAACTTTGAAAGCTGTTTCACTCAATTGCACAATCCTGCTGACATGTCGCAGTCATATCAGGATGGGTCTTGCATGCTGTCTCCTATCGACCAGCTGATGCCAAGGATATATACCACCCTATTTCTTGTCTACGAAACAGACCAGTATGAAAAGGCCGTGAGAAAGCTGAACGAGGGCTTAGCCAAGGCCACCTCCCTCCTTCCATTTCTCAGGGGCTCTGTTCACAAGTCACCCGACGACTGCAATCCACGCAATCAGTTGTCGCTATCGTGGTCGTCTCAGGATCAGCCGCCAGCTGTGGTCGAGATCCCCGCTCCAGAGTCTCTACCAAGTTTCGAGACGCTGAAGCTGGGTAAAGCGCCGCTATCCGTCTTCCAAGATGGCCTTAGTCCTGTACCAATGGTCATTGACCACCAGACTCCAGGCGCAAGAGCACCGGCCCTCGTGGTCGGAGCTACACGCCTGGAAGGGGGTTTGATACTATGTCTGTGCGCTCACCACGTCGTCCTGGACGGTGCGGGAATGGGCTTGTTTCTCAAGCTCTGGGGCGACTGCACCAGAGACGAGCCGAACAGTGCTCATTTCGATCCCGGGGAAGTCTATCACAGGGAGCCCTGGCTACGGGATGCCAGCGGTTATTTCGCCGGGACCAAGCCGAAAGCTACTCTTGAGGAGCTTCTCCTTCGACATCCGGAATACGCTCTTCGGTCTCTGAGCTCGGCTCCATCGTCAGTGTCGACCAATATCCCTGGCCACCCAGTTAAGTGTGCGGCCAAGATCTTTGCCTTTTCCGGCGCCAAGTTACAGGAGATCAAGCAGGCCATGAGCAGTTCGATCCCGGCCAAGTTCCTAACGGTCAACAACGTCCTGGGAGCTGCCCTGTGGCTCTGCATCACACGTATTCGGCTCGGACGCATGCGCCGCGACGGCCTCGCAACAGTGACAGGTTCTACCACCTCGAAGCTTGGTTTTGCCATTAATGCACGCTCGAGGTTAGGTCCCGCCGCGTCGAACAAGTCATACGTGGGCAACTTGACTATGCTCAAGGTTGTCGAGTTCACTGCTACTAAGCTGGATAGCATTGCTGGGAATGCCATGGCCAGCCCTGCAGCCGCCGACCTATCGCCCATGGTACCGGTTATCAGCGCCATTGCTACAGCGACAGCCGCGGTGACAGCAACACACGTCGGCGAGATTATAGCGTTTGCGGATCACCTCGCGGACGTTGAGGATGTCGGGCCCGGGTGGAACTCGTCCCATTGTTTGGATCTGACATATACAAGCTGGGCAGACTTAGGGATGTACGATTGCGATTTCGGGCCCAGTTTAGGGGGTAAGCCGCGGTACGTCAGGATCCCATATATGCCTTATATTGACGGCATGGTACTTGCCTTACCGAGACGCAGGCTGGTGGATCCTCTAGATGGAAAGGCTATAGAGAGAATCGAGGTTGCTGTCATGCTGAACGAGCGAGATATGCGCGCACTGGAGGAGGACGAGATATTGCGAAGCTGGAGTGTTTAACATATCGAATTGTCATCTTCGTGAGCAGACCGGTGTCATGCCTACTTCAACCTTGTTCATAGCTAGGTAGACGGGAGGTGCCTCTTGTATTCGCAGATGAAACGAGTTGATATCCTGACCATGCTCATCCGGTATATTTTGGCCGTTTGTGAGGGTTGAACAGTCTAGCTTGTAAAGGAGAGTTGGATCAACATTCCGAGAATCGCGGTCCATCGTAAATATATAACCATTTGACTGGGCGCTTGATAGTCTTCTCTAGGGTTCAACCAGAGGCTTGATGCTTCATCCGCGGGAAGTGACGTGGGATCGTTGCTGGATCCACATGACGGGCTTTCCAAGAACCCCTCCTCAGCTGGTAGCCATCGCAAGTTCTTCACGGCTACAGCGCCGCGATTCTGCTTGGTTATAGACACGTTTGGTTTGGTCTTCTTATACCGGTCAGTTAGTCGGTTTATCCCACGACTTCTATTCCCACAGCGGCAATTTCTGTCCGACAGAGCAACAATCCATCCCCCCGCTCCCCCCCACCTCAGTGCATAATGTCTCGGCATCGCATGAAGACGCTCAGCTACGACGATGAGGATCTCGATGACGAAGACTACGAATCGGCCGATGCTGAAGAGCAGGAGCTGCTGGAGCAGTATACCAGTGAAGTTCTCAATCAGTTACGAGCAGGTCAACCATCTGCGAGCGCGTCCAGAGAAGAGGTACAAGAGGCGTTATGGCACTACTATAACGACGTGGACAAGTCTGTCAATTATCTGAGAAGTATGTGTGGTCTTTTCCTCACTACAGATCTATGTTGGGTCATTTGATAATCGATTCCGCCACTGACATTGCTATGCCGCAGACAAGAAGGCGAAGGAGTTGAAGAAACAACAACCTGCTCCTGCAACCAAATCCAAAGGGTCAGCTGGTAAGTTCTTTCTGTTTGGTTCTTGTCGTAATCATGACTGGGCTCGGTTGTCTACGGTCCCGTTCAATTTCCTTCTACACTGTCGGTGTATCCAGAATCGCAAGGTAGGTTGGAATCCTTTGCTTGCTTTTTTCTTTAACGTACCAACTGACAGCTTATTCAAGTGCGGAAAATTCTAACAGGGCCTCCAGTTTCAGCATATCCTGCACCTCCTATCTCCTCTGCGCCTTGCTCTGCACACCTATCCGCCGCAGATTTCTTTCGTGATTCGCCATGGTTGAACGTCCCAGCACATCGCAAAGCGGATATACTCGTTGAACCTTTGTATCCCCGCCTTAGACTGTTAGGTGGAGCCCCTGAAAGTAGCGGAAAGGTGTCGAAGCTGGCTGCGTTGGCTGCTGCGCGCAAGAAGAAAGAAGCTGGTAAACCGGCGGCCACCATTCCCGGGCCTGCAGACCAGCCACCAGCAGAAACACCAAAGGAGCCTACTGGTCCTTCCCTGACGTTGCAGGAAAGGCTTCGAGGCAATGCTAAAGACCGGCTGGTTGGTGAACATGGGGGTAGGCTGCGCTCTCTGGGAAAGGGCCTCAATGGATCACGCACGGGGCAGAAAAAACCATCTCCTGAACCCGAAAAGCAAGAGGAGCAGACCCTGTCAGCAGCGAATGAAAATCTGGTCGACAGGGAAGAAGACAAGAAGCTTCCTGTTACTACGGATATCAAAGCGCCGCCCTCTACCTTCGCCTCGGTCATTGTTGGGGACACGACGCATCCTGCGACTCCCGAGCCCAGTCATTTGACTTCAAATAGCATTGATGTTATGAGAGTCTACGGACAAGATCTTACTGAAGTCTTTGACTTTGCAGGACCCAGCCCCGATGATGTCGTACAGAATGCGCAAAGCGCATCTAAAGGTTTGGCGATTCGCAGACGCATATAAAACCCCACCTAATCGCATGCAGGTCTCAAAACAAAGCATGGCGTTTCCCAGCCTGTGGGTGACAAGAAAAAGCAGGCCGACTTGGCTGCTGGAATGAAAGCCCTAGCGGTGGAAGAACCTGTCAACGTAAAGAGCAAAAATCTAGATGTGTTGGCAGAATATAAGAAATCACAAACAAAGAAAGCTGCAAACTTTGTGGTGATAGGTAAGTTTTCTCTTTTCTTTTCCCGGTTATGCTAAACGGCCCGCTCACGATAAGATGTAGGACATGTTGATGCAGGAAAGAGTACATTAATGGGCCGTCTGCTTGCCGATTTGAATGCAGTAGACCAGAGAACCTTGGAGAAATACCGTAAAGAAGCAGAGAAGATTGGCAAAGGATCTTTTGCTCTGGCATGGGTCCTTGATCAGAGCTCTGAAGAGCGGGCTCGCGGAGTCACCATTGACATCGCGACCAACAAATTCGAGACCGAAAAGACGCGTTTCACCATCGTGGATGCACCTGGCCATCGAGACTTCGTACCCAACATGATTGCAGGTGCTAGTCAGGCAGACTTCGCCGTGCTGGTCATTGATTCTGGCACCGGCAATTTCGAATCAGGCTTGAAGGGCCAGACCAAGGAACACGCATTGTTAGTACGCAGTATGGGCGTACAGAAGATCGTGGTTGCTGTCAATAAGATGGACTCAGTTGATTGGTCCAAAGATCGTTATGAGGAGATTGAGCAGCAGATATCTTCTTTCTTGACAACTGCTGGTTTCCAGGAGAAGAACATCTCATTCGTCCCCTGTTCAGGGTTCCATGGAGATAACATCACCCGGCGCAGTGACAACCCAAATGCGTCTTGGTACACAGGACGCACCTTGATTGAGGAGCTCGAGACGTCAGAACCTTACACACACGCTCTCGAAAAGCCGCTCCGCATGACTATCGCGGATGTTTTCCGGGGCGGCGTGCAAAGCCCGGTCTCCATATCTGGCCGCATAGACGCGGGAAGTCTGCAGATTGGCGACCAGATACTCACCATGCCTAGTGGCGAGAAGGCAGTTATCAAGAGTCTGGAGGTTGACGGTGAGCCTAGCGAATGGGCGGTGGCGGGACAGAATGTGGTGTTGAATCTAGCCAACATCGATCCAATCCACCTGCGCTCCGGAGATGTCATCTGCACACCAACGTCTCCCGTACAGAATATTACTACATTTACTACGAAAGTGTTGGCATTTGATCATCTGATGCCTATGCTAGTAGACATCCATCGCGGGCGCCTCCACGTTCCGGGACGTATCAGCCGACTAGTGGCCACACTTGACAAGGGAACCGGAGCACCCGTGAAGAAGAAGCCGAAGATTATACCGCCAGGAACGGTGGCGAGGATCGTTGTCGAGATGGACCAGGCAATTCCCCTGGAGGCACCAGCGAGAATTGTTCTGCGTGCCAGTGGTGACACAGTTGCCGCTGGATTGCTTGAATAGACCGAGCTTATGCGGGATATGAGATACGACTTGGCGAGTTTCTCTAGGATCTTAGGAATAGATACCATTTTCAGGCTCAGGAATAGGCAGCGGCAATGCGCACAGATCAGTTCAGGATTCGCAAGTGAAGATCTTACTGTGGATTGCCTACTTTCTAAAACAATCTTCGTATTATTCTAGAGTGTGTGCAGAGGCAAAGGCATCAATGTGATGGCGAAGTCGTGTAGGCAACATGGGGGAGCCACAGGTACGAAGCTCCCAGGCATTTTATGAGTCGTCATACCTAACTGAAGCATGAAGCCACTTGGTCAGTTAGGATCTCCCTAGTTCGCCTCTTTGTCCTCTGCCACCGCCCCCAAGGCGCATGGTTCGTGCGGGGCGAGGCTTGTTGCCGGGGGCCTTGTAGAAGTTAACACGTTGAAAGATGATGAGATGCTACTACTTGTCCTTTTCTTGTCGTTTCCATCTGTAGAAACGCGATTCAGGTGCTGTGGATCGCCTAGCGATGGTGACAGAACGTAGTACTATGTACTATTCTAGAGGTATGTTCTGAGGCGATGCCAAGGAGTAATCAATTATGGTACTCTAAGCTGGGAAGCGAACATGTATGGGGCTCCACAAGTCTGACCCGAAGATCCTACCATCTGAGATAGATATCATGTCTCCGCTGAACATTGGAGAAGTAACGCTTTGTTACTGTGAAGATCCAGATGCCTGCAAACGGAGGCGACAAAGCTGGGATTCCTGAGTGAATCAGGGACGGCCAGTGTAGTTTCCAGCGTGCTCTAGGGCTGAAGTGCCGCAATAATAATAACAATAATGGGTTCTCTGGTGGTTTTCTACCGGATTCTACCGCGGCGCAGCTAAACCCGGACGAGTAAACTGCGAATTATATTATTTGTTCTATCCAGAACGACGATTTCCCGGATGGCGGTCGACCTGCTGAGTCAGCAGCTGCTAGCCTCCGCATCCAGCCAATCGCCACGCGAGAAGTAACCTTAAATGCGCTCCCGCGAAAAGGCCAGCATGGCCGGAGTGGCTCGTTCGCCGCGAGGCCAATACAAGAACCAACCTGGCCGTGACTTCTCTTCCTTCTCCAGCCAACTGACTCTTCCTTTACCTCCCTCACCCCCTCTTGTCTTTCTCCATTCTTCCCCTCTGCTCATCCGGAGTGGTTTGGAGATAGCCTGATCCTCCTGTCTGGACCAGGAAGCGAGACTGGGAATCGAATCTCGAGAGCTCAGCACAGCTGGAAACAGCGCGTCTTGAAGCTCGAACAGATCGTTTTGAGTTGTCCTCCGGCTCTGCGCTGGCCATATACACATAATGGCGCGTCAGTCGAGGGATATGGCGTCCAAGCCCTTCGCTTGGACGACCATCTTGTACTTACTGCTTGTCTTTATTGCTCCTCTGGCATTCCTGGGAACTGCCAACGCCTCTGATGATGTACAGGACAACTATGGAACTGGTATGTCTCTCTATTGCACAAATAAAAGATTGATAACAATGCTGACCAGAGCCCCGAAACAGTTATCGGTATCGATTTGGGAACAACCTACTCTTGTGTCGGTGTGATGCAGAATGGAAAGGTCGAGATTCTGGTGAACGATCAGGGTAACCGTATCACTCCTTCGTACGTGGCCTTCACGGACGAGGAGCGTCTGGTCGGTGATGCCGCGAAGAACCAATACGCATCGAACCCTACGCGGACTATCTTCGATATCAAGTAAGTGTGGTTCCGGGGAAATAGTCGTCTTGAGCTGTGCAGCTAACATTTTATCTTTAAGGCGTCTGATCGGTCGCAAGTGGGATGACAAGGATGTCAAGAAAGACATCAAGAACTTCCCATTCAAGGTCACCGGAAAGGATGGTAAGCCCGTCGTTACCGTTGACGTTAAGGGCACCCCCAAGACCTTCACCCCCGAGGAGGTGTCCGCCATGGTTCTTGGAAAGATGAAGGAGATCGCCGAGGGCTACCTCGGAAAGGCTGTCACTCACGCCGTCGTCACTGTTCCCGCCTACTTCAACGACGCCCAGAGACAGGCCACCAAGGATGCCGGTACCATCGCCGGTCTCAACGTTCTCCGTATCGTCAACGAACCTACCGCCGCCGCTATCGCCTACGGTCTAGACAAGACTGGTGATGAGCGCCAGATCATTGTCTATGATCTGGGTGGTGGTACTTTCGATGTCTCCCTCCTGTCTATTGACAACGGCGTTTTCGAGGTCCTGGCTACCGCTGGTGACACTCACCTGGGTGGTGAGGACTTTGACCACCGTGTCATGGACCACTTCGTCAAGCTATACAACAAGAAGCACAATGTCGACATCACCAAGGACCTGAAGACCATGGGTAAGCTGAAGCGTGAGGTTGAGAAGGCCAAACGTACTCTGTCTTCCCAGATGTCTACCCGCATTGAAATCGAAGCTTTCCACGAGGGCAAGGACTTCTCCGAGACCCTGACTCGTGCCAAGTTTGAGGAGCTGAACATGGATCTGTTCAAGCGCACCCTGAAGCCCGTCGAGCAGGTTCTGAAGGATGCCAAGGTTAAGAAGGCCGACATCAACGACATTGTTCTTGTCGGTGGTTCTACCCGTATTCCCAAGGTCCAGGCTCTCCTCGAGGAGTTCTTCGGTGGCAAGAAGGCCAGCAAGGGTATCAACCCCGATGAGGCCGTCGCCTTCGGTGCCGCCGTCCAGGGTGGTGTCCTTTCCGGTGAGGAGGGAACCTCTGAGGTTGTTCTCATGGATGTCAATCCTCTTACCTTGGGTATTGAGACCACTGGCGGTGTCATGACCAAGCTGATCCCTCGTAACACTGTTATCCCCACTCGCAAGTCCCAGATCTTCTCGACGGCGGCCGACAACCAGCCCACCGTGCTGATCCAGGTCTACGAGGGAGAGCGCTCCATGACCAAGGACAACAACTTGCTGGGCAAGTTCGAGCTGACCGGTATTCCCCCGGCTCCTCGTGGCGTCCCCCAGATTGAGGTCTCCTTCGACCTCGATGCCAACGGTATCCTGAGGGTCAGCGCCAGCGACAAGGGCACTGGCAAGTCGGAGTCCATCACCATCACCAACGACAAGGGCCGCCTGTCTCAGGAGGAGATCGACCGCATGGTTGCCGAGGCTGAGGAATTTGCCGAGGAAGACAAGGCTGCCAAGGGCAAGATCGAGGCTCGCAACGCACTGGAGAACTACGCCTTCAGTCTGAAGAACCAGGTCAACGACGAGAACGGTCTTGGTGGCAAGCTCGACGAGGATGACAAGCAGACTGTAAGTTTTGACACGATTTTCTTTGTCTTTTTCTCTGGGATATGCTTACTAACTCTTGGTTATAGATCCTGGATGCTGTCAAGGAGGTCACTGACTGGCTTGATGAGAACGGTGCCTCGGCCACCACCGAGGACTTCGAGGAGCAGAGGGAGCAGCTGTCCAGCGTTGCCTACCCAATCACCAGCAAGCTTTACGGTGCTGGTGAGGCTGACGAGGACGACGAGCCTCACGGCCATGACGAACTGTAGGATTATTTAGAGGGCATTATGGAGTTCTGAGTGCTTTTTCGTGATTCCATCTTTTGTATGCATTAGGAAACGCTGCGTCTTGCAGGTCTCTGGGAGCAACAGCAGAAGAATATGATACCTTAATCATGTTTGGTTAGATGTGTATAATGTCGCGTAATGGCCTGTTCATTGTTTCCCACATATATCGGGAAGTAAAATCCATGTCTGGTAGTTATAATAATCGAGTTTTATTGTCCACCCTGCTCGATGAACGCCTTGACTGTCTCCACGATAACCTGATGGTCATCCTGCTGCTTCAAGCCACTCACTACTATCACACCCACAATGCCAGCGACTCCCTTGACACGCACAGGGAACCCACCCCCATGAATCGCATAATCGTCCGGGATATCCCCGCCATTCGAGCTCTTCAGAGCGTACTTCCTCACAAACGCCGCCTCCACATTTGCCTCAGTACCTCCCAGCCCCGCGACCATCTTGCGTCTCAGCAACCAAGTAGACGAACCCCATCGAAGGACGGCATTCCGCTTGCGTCGCACCCAATGGTCGTTATCAGGGACAGTACCCGGTTCGGTGGCACACTGGAATATCACATGCGGTTCGGGCCCGTTCAGCGCAATGGAGATCAGGGCTGGTTTGCGCTGGTCATCGGGAAGAGAGAGGATTCGAGAGCGGAGGGCCAGGCCGAGAGACCATGCCGTAGTGGCTGTGAACGAGGGGAAGATTGCGCTGGGTGAGGTTTCTTGGAGGGCGAGTTCGGTGGGCTGTTTTTTTTTTTTTTTTAATGATGTTAGCTTAGCTCCAGTTGTGTATTATTGTTTAAGGTAAACTAGTATTTCAATTGCATATTTTAGATAGTGTTAATGGAAGATTAATGCTCTGGGATCTCATATAAATGAGTAGTAATAAATGCTGAAGCAATTGTACAGTACAGTACATAGCTATAGGTACACAGGGCAGTATGAAAGACCACTACCCCGCAGAGCAATCGAGATAGACATGCTTTGAACCTCAATTGGGGGGGCTTTTTGATTGATACTTACATCCGTCGCCGCCGCACCGAGCCGTCCTTCTAGCTTGGCTGCCATGTTTGGTGATGTCCAAAGGGAACGTAATTCGACGACTGCAATGTTGTTAAGTCTGCAGGATGTTGGAGTTTCCAGACGCGGGGAACTCTGCGGGCCCGGTGAAGCTAACTTAGTTATATGATTAATTTGGATGAGATGAGTCAGCATACATCTATTTCATAGAATTCTATAGAAGGAGTTTATGGGTTATATAGTTAGGTATGCTTGGAAAAAGAGATAAACTGTAGGCTAGAATAAGACTGCATGGATGATGATGGATTTGCGATCTATGTGTATAGACCCTGCAAAGCAGAAAGTATTTTGCACGCCCTGCGATCTGCCCCTCTTCCCCCGCTCAGAACCCCGAGTTCTCCTTCGGTCTGGACTAGAAAGACAGTCTGTTCTGCTTCGTTGGCAGCAAGACTGTCTGCGAACTCGTGACTCTGTTTCAACGCTTCTGTGTATGAATTGAATCTGTTATATTTATAATACCCCCGATTAACTTAGTGGCTCACTGTATATATATAAATTCCATGTCCCCGAATCCCTTTTTGCTTGATGCTATTTAGCCAGAAACTACATATTAATATTAACTGAATTCTTTCATCTTATAAGCCAACCCATGAAACGGGCCTGTGATTCCTGCATTTCTCGCAAAGTCCGGTGCGACGGTGCGCAACCGTGTCGCTCATGCTTATCCTCAAGCAAGAAAATCGACTGTACTTATTTGAAACCGGCACGAAAGCGAGGTCCGAAGTCGAGGCGTATTTCTCGAGTTCTAGCCACCGCTGTTAATGCGAGATGGGCTACAAACGATGAGTTAGATGTGGTGGATGCGTCGCAGAATGTTGAGTCGGAGTCCGATGCCGTGGGGGCGAGATTCCTGGACCCGACTACAGTGGTTGACTCTTCGACTCATGGAGAGGTTTCATGGGATATAACTAATCTGCCTGCTAACTCCATGACTGCATGTGTGTCCTCGATGGCCCTTGAGACAATTATACATGAGTATCGATCGAAATCGTACAGTGTCTGGCCGGTAGTCAAGGCGGAAGGGCTGCTTGAACGAGTTCAAGATGGCGGAAATGACCCAGGCACATATTGCCTTGCAACGGCGCTCTGTGCTGCGACCATGGCGCAGTTGGATCTTCCGCCCATTGAACAGGACAGCAACATAGTAGACGGTGCCGTGCTGGCTGGCGAATGCATCAGGGTTCGAGAGCAGAGCCATTATAGAGAACATCTTGATCTGCGGAGCGTTCTGGCCTCGTTCTTCCTCCACGTCTATCATGCCAAGGTGAACAAGCGCAACTCTGCGCTGATATTCATCCAAGAGGCGATTTCGTGTGCAAGGCTTCTGAGGCTGGATTGTGATGAGATCATGTCGGAAGTTGCTTCAGATGTGGTTGATAATGAAGGTATATTGTTTTTATTACTCTGGGTTTCGGAAAGGTATGTCCTTTTCTGATGATATAAACGAAAATAATTCACCTGATATGCCTTCAGAGGATACGCTATGCATCTAGGATTATCGCCTTCTTACGCCGATATTGTAAAGCTGCCAGACGCGAGCGCCATATCTGACAATGTCCACGTTCAAGGACTGTTGGAACTAGCTAGGCTATTCGTTGCCTTCGCACAATGCATCGCATCTAATAGCTCATACCCCTTCACAGACAAACTTGTCACAACAGAAGATTTCCTCCACGGCCTATCCATGCAGCGAGACCAGGCTGCATTCGTTCGGTTGGCAGACTATCATATAACCAAAGAATGGATGCGGACCATCATCTGGCAGCAAGCACTCTCCTTAGGACTACTCTCTTCAACTTCTTATAATGCACTAATGACATTTACTTTTCCTTCCTATGTTGGTCGTGATCTCTTAAGCTCACTGAAGGACTACAATGCCGAGGATCTCCTCCCACTTGGTCGGGACCAGGTACGTTCTCCATCCTTAACTCTTCTTTAGTTCTGTATAACTGATGACAAACAACAGCTCTTGAAATGCTTCGAAGTGGCAAATTCACTAGCAGACACTTTACTGTGTAATCCAGCTGTATCTGCAGATTCCCGTTTCCGTCTTGGACCGCTGGAATTCCTGCACGGGTTATATCAGAAATTGTCACCTTTTCTTGAGCAGGATCCGATACTGGATTCGATATTGCGCCAGAAAACTGCAGAAGCGCTTCTGAGAGCTCCTTCGCGTCTGTGGACGCTTGATATTGAGAGTACGCATGCGGGTGTAATGGACGATAAGGAGGGAAAATCTCGACCGGTCAATTTGTCATTTAATATGCCTATCCATTGATGGAATAGATGCGTTTTCCATATTGGATGATCGGGATGTGTGTGTATAAACCCCAATTCCAGAGAATTATACCATAATGATTGGCCACTACTCTGACGAAAAATAATATCCCTAATCAGCAGCAATTTTCAGCACAATTCTTCCCGAAATATCCCCATTCTCCATCTCCTCATACACTTTCGGAAGCTCCCTAAATGGCCTAACTATCACATTCGGCTTCACTATACCCCGTCTCACTAACCTCACCGCTTCCATACACTCACTTAACGAACCAACCAAATTGCCCGTAATCTTCAATCCCTTGATCACAATCGTCGAAATCGGCGTCTCCAAATGCGGCCTACCAGGAGGTATGCCCACACAACTAAGCGTTCCTCCCACTCTCAGCATTTCCGCCGCATGGCTAAAGGCTTTTGCGTTTCCGGCAGTGACGATTACAGCGTGAGCACCGCCGTTTGTGATTTCTTTCACTTTCTCAATGGGATCTGTTAGTGCGAAGTCGATAAAGTCTTTGGCGCCGAGGGACAGGACGAAGTCTCGTTTCTCGGCGCCTGTGTCGACGCCGAGGACGGAGGCGCCTTGGGCTTTGGCGTATTGGACTGTATGGGTGGGTTAGTTGTATCATGGAATGGGCTGATGAATTGCTTTCTGTGATATTCTATTCCTTGAATAGACATGCCCTCTAGTACTCACCGGCTAAATGCCCCAATCCACCCCCTGCACCTACGACGACAATCCACTGTCCCGCTCTAACGTTTGCATTCAGCACTGCCTGAAACATCATCAGCCTTAATCTCCCATTCTATTCTCCAGACACGACCAAAGAAACAGACTTTATAAGCCGTAACGCCCGCACAAAGCACAGGTCCAATAACCACCGGGTCCACATCCTGCGGCAATAGCGTCAAATAACCCGCATCGAGGGCAATATATTCCTGAAAACTCCCATCTTCATGATGTAGATGATTCGTGCTTCGGACACAATACTGCTCTGTGCCAGCGAGACAGAACTCACATCGTCGACAGATTCGACTTGAAAAGCGAATGCCGACGAGATCGCCAATGTGGAGGTCTGGGTCGTTCTCACATCCGGGACCTAGGGAGACGATACGCCCGACTCCCTCGTGGCCGCCGATGTGGGGGAGCTTGATCTGAGTTATGGGAGTCCCGTCTGCGCTGGCAGCAGTGCCGGATTTGGTATGTAGGTCTGTAGTTTTTCATTCGTTGGTTACTCATTGGTTATCTGAATGGTGATTCAGATCGGTTCGATGGGGTCTTATATGCATACCGCTCTGACATACCCCCGTGTAGAGGACTTTGGCTAAGACTTCATTCGGACCAGGGACAGGGACGGGATAGTCATCTTTAAACTCGACGGGTCCGCCAATTTCACGGACTAGAGCGACAGTTTGGGCTTTTGGGATTGAGTCGGGGGGTATGTGAGAGCCCATTGTTCCTGCTTTCTTCTTTAGAGAGAATACCTGTTATAAAGAATTTTTTTTTGTCTGGAAGATAGATGCTTTCTTCGGATATAATGATCTTTCTGATGAAAAAAAAGAAAAAAAAAAGGATTATATACCTGAGGTCTCCTCCCCACATAGCATTGTAGGACGAAGGAGAAATAACTATCACGCATAAAACCATAAATTCCCCAAACCATTCTTAGAACGAACGATCCGATGAATCCGTACACATTGCATGCAGATCCATCATAGCTTATAGCACACGAAGGCCGGAATAATCTCCACATTTGACCATCGACATTGGGATTCCGACTAATCAGACAGAAAGAAACGCGACTTGGTTCGCGGGACATCAAGTACATCCCCGCAGTTTCTCCGTCTGATCGCTATGTTCGGGGAAATAGGATGTAGGGATATATGCGTTTTGTTTCTTCATGGTGTGGTACCGATACCTATAGATGGATTACTGTTAGATGATTTTGCATCATATGGGCTAAGTAGGTAATCATCAGAATTCTCCCGAAGCTTTCTTGGTCTATGTGTGGAACTACATTTCTCGATTCATAAGTCCTTATTGTAATAATAAAAACGATAAAATCAAACTGAATACAACTTAGTTACTTCCTCGCCCTTTGGTAGATTTTCCTAAGCTTCACGATAACTAATCTGCAAATATACCTAACTACCCCGCCTTTGCAGATGCAGGTCACAAGTCGCCGGGATCTTGCAGGAGATGTTAGGATTAATTAGTCAACTTGACGGGTAATGCCGAAGGTCTATATTACACTCTTTACTTTATCCAGATAGTAGGACACGATATTCATGTCCTAACCATGTCTATTAATCAGAAAATCTTATCGAATTTATGTAGGATTATGGCCATCTCAATGCGAATCTTCATCATTTCGCTATCTTTGAGATAATTAAGGGCTTTCTGCAATATATGGATACATGCATACAGTTCACGTATAATCCACATATTTCCATGTAGAGGGACAAGAAGTATGTAGAGTAGGTAGCTAGGTACTTATTTTATTAACGTCGAGCTAAAGTTTCCCCGACGCTAAAAATGCAATTTCTCCGCAAAACTTTACGACGCGAGGTGCCCGGGGTCAGAGCCAGATATTCGCAGAACTTTATTTTGGGGCTTGTTAGTTTGATTTATGTGACATCTTTTTGATGAAACGATCCTAGGAGGTTGGTTCGAGGAGTGACCTAGGCTCCGCAAGGGAGGGGGGTTGGTCGATTATTCCGAGGAATTGTCCGAAGATGACAAGGCGATATGCTTTTGTGGGGGTTGTAATTTGTATTTATTGATATTGTTCACATCATCTCTACGAGGATTGAGAAACATGAGAAACTGTTGATAATTCGGAGAAATAGTGATTGATTGGACTAGAACCACATACTATATCATCAGATCATACAGGTCATTATAGAGTGGGAAGGCTTTCTAATTTCCTGATCCGTATTATTGGTCCCGCGATTCGGCCTTTGCAGATATTTCGGCCGCTTCAATATCCTTCTTCTCCACGTCCTTGCCTTCAGCTTCGTCGTGGCCGGCGAAAACACCTTGCATCTCTTCTAGGGAGTAGCCGGAGGTCTGGTGAACAACTTGTCAGTAAAGTTAATCATTTCAAGACGGTGAGTTGGGAAACACACCTCTTTTAGGAAGAACCAGGAATATACTATAATTGCGTAGTTGAAAATGGCAAACATTAAAAATGTCCTCCATCCAATGTTGGTAATGGCATGAGGTGTCATCTGCGACATGACAAAGTTGAATAGCCATTGCGACGCGCTGCCAATGGCGAGACCAACTTCTCGAGTTCGGTTGGAGAATATTTCACCCAGGTATAACCAGGGCAGAGGGCCCCAGGACATGTTGTAGCTGAACGCCTCTGCGTAAGTCATGATAACCGCCGCAATTCCGGCCTTCGATGCTCCATGCTGGGCTGCTGTGGCACTAGGCGGGTGCGTGGCTACGATGAGAGCCATGATAAGCATGAAGGAGCCCATGGAAAATGCTCCCACCATGAATGGAACGCGACGGCCGACACGGTCAAGGACGAAGAGCTGGAAGACAATCACTCCGACTACCTTGACGACACCGAAGAAGCCTGTCACGAACATGTTGTTATTGCCTGCGCCCACGGTAGAGAAGATCTGAGCAGCATAATAAGCCAGCGATGTGTTTCCGGTCAGTTGAGCGCATAATTGGATGGTGATTGCAATGAAGATACGATATCTGTTTGCCGGGAGAAGGAGCTCTTTCAGACTGAATCCCTCCTTGACGCGGGCTTCTTCCTCGAGACCGGCAAGGATTTCGTCAAATTCCACTTGCAGCTCTTCAGTCTCTTGGCCTCCACGGACCCATTTCAATGACTCCCTGGCCTTTTCTATCTTGCCCTTCTGCGCAAGCCAACGTGCACTTTCTTTCACCGTGCACATGCCGATTAGCAGCAGGCCAACGGGCAGAAACTGGAGGCCCAGAGGGATCTGCCATTGCCTGGTGACTTTCGGTTGATCGATACCGACCGCATAGGTCACCCAGTACGAGACCATGACTCCGGTCGCAAAGAAGAGCTGGAAGCATGCACCCAGCCTGCCTCGGATGTCTTTGGGTGCCATTTCTGCGGTATACATCGGGATCAGCACCGTCGCGGCTCCGATTCCCAGTCCAGCAATCACTCTCCCTCCATAGAACACGCCAATCGAATGTGAATTGACGACCTGGAGAATGGTGCCGATGATAAAGACGATAGAACTGACCATGAGACCTCCGCGTCGACCGATCCAGTTGGTGATTGGCCAGATGAAAAAGCAGCCAAAGAAAGCGCCGCCTTGGAGGATTGAGACTGCATTGGAATTGACGTTGGTTTTTTGCTTCTTTGTGTATCTGAAGTCTTCCTCGAACGAGGTCAGGGTAAGAACGCCGCCTGTCAGATCGAGTTAGTGAGAATTGCTCTTTGCAATATGTCCATATCCATATCCAGAGATCAGACGCTCAACATACTGATCACCCCAGTATCATAGGCAAAGGCAAATGAACCCATGCAAGCGATACAAACGAGGTAAATGGCCCTGAAAAGGCCAAGTCTGCGGCCCATCTTAGCGGTGGATGCTTGGTCACAACAAGCGTTAGATTGTTGGGTTCTTCCGCACTCGGAAAGGGACGTCAGTATGGCGGGCGAGCTGTGATGTATCCTCTGTTACCGGGAGTACTCCTGGCTTGATCCAGAGCAAGATGTCTCAAGATGGAGAAACGGCGACGCACACAAGTTCATCAGCTCGAGTGATCACAAAGGAAGATTTTAAAAAGTCGCAGCAGATGAATACAAAATGCCAGATCCAGTTCGTCGTTCGTTTTATCCGCAAGCAGTCAAGGACGCGTCAATGGAACCTGGGAAAAGATCAGACCGTAACAGCTGACTGCACGATCCCCCACATGGATCGTGGCAATGGCTTGACTCGCTCTGAGTCGTAGTTATTATCCGATGTTTCTGCCATGCTGAATCGCTCCTTTAGCGATCATGGGAGCCATCGAGCGGCACGAAGCGCTGGCGGGAGGGACCTGGACCATTGACAAGCCTCTCATGGTGAGCTCAATGTTCTAGGGAGCAGTTTAGGAGCAATCGAGGAGGACGCATGGACGGCAGCTCCGCGCTCGATCCCTGCGTAGTTGACTATCTTGGTTGGTTATGGATTGCAACAGGACGGCTAGAATTGCGTGCTTACGCCTATCGATAAGAACAGCTTGACGTTGAGCCACGAGTGCTTGTTTACAGCTTGAGAGATAGTTAGCAGAATCAACTCCGTACTCTCTTCTGGATCTACGGATCCCATCGTTATTCACTTCTCACTCCATGGTTGATCGAAGAGTAGTTTTATACTGCACTCGACGCTAGAGACAAGGGCCGATGCATACTAAACTAAACTAACTACCCCGCAAAATCGCCAAGCTGACCCCAGATTCTCCCCGGGGAAAATAGAACAAACAAGTCCAGTGGTCGGGATGAGGATGCTCTTGGATGTTGATTGTCTATGAGTTTCCTCGAAGACAGAAGTCGAAACCATACTTATCTGTTTCTCTGCGACAGTGATCGGGTTTCGAAGGGAGATAGATCTTACCTACCGCACAGCTTTGCCACTAGTACTAAATATTACGGACAAGAAGTAGAGGCGCGTTATCATTAATATCTTGGGTTCTGATTCCTACTCTAAGAGGCCTGTCGTACACATTAATATTTTTGTCAAGAAGATAGGTACTGATGACCATCTGATGTATCCCAAGCACCTTTGCCATGTTAAAAGCAACCCTCACAACCGCGAATAGCCTCTTCAGAGCAGCAAAATGCAAAATGCAAATAAACCCCTTTGCGAATGAGAAAAGGCTCGGCGACGAAAAAGATAAAAAAAAGATATCAAATCCTTCCCCCGAGCCGGAATCGAGCCGGCGACCTTTCGGTAACAATGGAAATTCCTATTACAGCCGAACGCCATATCCAACTAGACCATCGGGGGTTTTCCGGATAATTGACGGTCCGGTATAATAACCTTTCAATTTCGAAACTTAGAGATAGTGAGCATTACAATAATGTGTCTATGGTATGCACCCAACAGTGACCGGACCTAGACAGCCTTTGCGGCATTGAATCAAGATACAATCATCGTACGGATAACTAGAAGGGATTCCATCAAGACCTTGGACCCTGCAGTGGCAGGGACCTCTCTAGCACTTGTGATTCCACCCTTGGTGCCGAGATCAGATTAGGATCGACGCTCGGTGTGTCGGTGTCCAGGAATCCAGGAGTGCAAGTGGATAAGAGTGTCCAGGAACTAAAACCGAGTCAAATTGCCTGAGAGAGCGTCCGCTTCCAACGGCCAACCATAGAAGAATGACTGGATGTTCCAAATTGCAAATGCGTTCCTGAGACCGGTAAGCCCTGTTCTTCTCACTTGATGTTATCAAAAAAGCTGTCTCTAGCTGTCGAGAATGGCGCATTGTTAATCAGCGGTCAGTTCGCAATGGAACAGACTCTATTTGGTGCAAAAGATGATCAGTGCCTGTCGATCCACTCTCTTTCAAGAAGGCCGATTGAAGACCTCATCGCCAATAGTCACCCGTTGGGTTCAATAAGCCGCAAAGAACGGGATGGCAGAGGTTACTGCTGAGCGTGCTCCGTGTCCCTGACTGCGAATCACAGAAGAATCCTGCTAGATCGATATTGATCCTATCTGTGCTTCTTGGTATCTAACGGGCAAAAGAATCACTCAATATGCGGGCAACTGGGCCTTGGTGCAACAGTGGGCCTTGCTTTCAATTCCGTCTGCGTTTGCGACCTGCCCATGAAAGAGCGCTGATCTACAATCACTGTTTGCCCGCTTAAGAAACACCAAGGAGATCGCCAGCTCAGCCCCATGGACATTAGAACGTATGGTAGGTTAAACGTCAGCCCCCGCAGATGTTTTGACAGGGGAGGAGATTCATATAGTCTATGCGCCCCAGATCTCATCACGCAATCTCCATCTTTGCTGTCGTCACTCTTTTCGACGGCTACTGGTTCCTTGTCTGTTCCTGGGGAAGATGGCGCGCCGTCTCTTAACTACCTTATCTGCCTTATCGTTGTCCGCCGGAGCTATTGCTCAGGGATGGCCTTACTTGACGTATAAAACAGCTCCTTTTCAGCCGCCGCAGCTCAATATCACAACTTCTGGCGCTCCCCAAGCTCCTGGATATCTCTTCATTGGCCCGAGAGGGAACCAGGCTGCTGGAACTGCCGCTCTGATCTATGATCAAGAGGGTAATCTCGTCTACCAGGGGCCGGACGAGGTAACATCGAACTTCAAAGTCCAAAAGCTCCACGGCAAAGATGTGCTCACTTTCTGGGCCGGGGACATGATGTCCATCGGCTATGGTTACGGCACTGTACATATCCTTGACGATACCTACAAGGAGATCTACACGGTGACACTGGATGGGCCTTTCCTCAGTCCAAATGGTAGTACTATGGGGTCCTATATCGATCTCCATGAAAGCAAGGTCACAAACCGGAACACTCTTCTAGTCACTGCCTACAATGTGACACAACAGGACCTGAGTGCCATTGGGGGCCCGACGGACGGCTGGATGCTCGACGGACAATTCTATGAGATCGATATTCCGACAAACAAGATTCTTTTTAGATGGAGCGCCCTGGAGAACATCGCTGATATCCCCTTCAATGGTTCCCACCAGGGTTTGGGGAAGTCTGGTGCCAGTCAGGAGGACCCCTGGGATGCTTACCACATCAACTCCATTACGGAGACGGATGAAGGGTATATGGTGTCTCTCCGCCACTTCTGGTCCGGTTATTATCTGTACCGGAATGGAACGATCAAATGGCAGTTGGATGTACGTCTTTTTGAACCTACTTTGTTGGTGGGCTATGCTAATGGTGAGATTGCAGGGCCAAAACGGCGGTTCCTTCAACCTCGGAACAGGCAACAACTTTTCCTGGCAGCATGATATTCGCGTTGACAATGAGACATCTCAAGGTCTCGTGCTTACCATGTTTAACAATGCCAATACGCCCACGGCCGAAGGACAGCCGACAACTGGTCTCAGCATGGCTCTGGATCTGGTTAACTGGTCTGTCTCTAACCTTAAGAACCTCTCCGACCCTAGCGATGAGATCCACAGTGTCAGTCAAGGCAGTTACGAACCGCTCGACAACTCAGTTGGACATGTGGTCATGGACTATGGCTCCATTGCAAAGGTCAAGGAATATGATGCTGTCGGAAATACCATCATGACAGCGCAGTTTGGGCCAGATAATGATGTCGCATCCTACCGTGGTTACAAGGCTCAGTGGGTAGGCACTCCATTCTGGAAGCCTGCTGTCGTTATCGAAGGCAACACTGTATACATGAGCTGGAACGGTGCCACTGAGTATGACAACTGGGCCGTCTATGGTGCTCAGACTGAGACCGCATCCAACAAGACTCTCCTCGGCACTGTTGCTCGGACAGGATTCGAGTCGAGTACTACTCTCAAGCAACTGACAACGCAGTACATCCAGGTCGTTGCGCGAAGGGGCACAACTAACCTTGGATACTCGGACATGATCAGCACTCAATAATTCGACCCAGCATGTCGAAAGCATATTCTACCTCAGTGTAGTCTAACGAGGTCCGCATGGCACTCATCACGCCTCTGACACGACTTACCATCTAAACTACGAGGCCCTTAAATTGTGTTCTGATAATATATCCGTTTCTTGACACAATTTAATTATTCTGTTTCGGTTTTTGGCTTGTACAGTACATATACAGAATTTACCATGCATACCACTTTTTTCCTGACATACTTAGCAAAACTGCCCTTTCAACGTACATTCGTAAGCATATCACCTGCCGTGACTCGTGAGGTCACTGCAAAGGTCTTGTCTGGTCGGCCATCGATGGTTTGAGTCTATGCGTCAGAAATTGGGTTTAGTTCTGGGATCGAGGACAGAAGATCTTATCTAAGATTAGTTAGTTTGCGGGGTTAATGCAGGTTCCAAGTTCCCTGGATTCTCACCTTCACTTCAGCTTTATCAACCTGGCCTAGTATAATAATAAAAAAAAATATCAAGGTCCCTAGAAATGGCCGAGTCGATGACCGTAGTATTTAGCGTCGGGTGCTGGTATTCTTGTCATTCGAGCCAGCACACACCCGCACGGATGACAGAGTGAGATGTAATAATAATAACAATTGCTGGAGTGACTTACGACTAATAAAAATAAAGAATAAAGAATAAACTTCCTGATCAAACTGATTACTTGCCACTGAAACAGCAAGGCACGAATCCTCGGTCTATTACATGTATGGTAGAATTCAAACCAGCCCACCGTTGCATTCCGGCTCAGGCTGCTCGGTTCGAGAAACCAGATCATGATATCGAAGCATACCGTTCTATAATTAGTTCACCATGGCAGAGCGAAGTAACGAGCCCAAGAAAACTAGCCACGACCCACGAGTCAAGTCAGCTGAGATCATCATTTCCAGAAGAATACGAAGGCTGCTTCCCATGGCTCTGAGAGATGATGATTATTATTGAAACAACTCGGCAGCCGGCCTTACCGGAATGGCTCTCAAGCCAACACCTAACCAACGAGATGTCCACAGGAGCCCTTGGCACGCAACATACATGAATTATCCAGTACCTATGCAACGGACCTAATGATGTTTCGCCAGGTCACAGGACGAAGAGGGGAAAATTAAAAAAGAAAAGCACTAATTATACCTAATACCTATTTACTGCTTGCAGCCGAATCCATACCAGATTTCTCTTCCCTGGCTGTCAAATAGAATGATGTAACAGTCAGATGTGTTTTATATTCCTCCACTCGGATTATAGGGAATTCTTTCTTTTTTTTCCGAGACAGCGCATGAGTGCCCGGGCGTTGGATCGTGTATCCAGAATTTCGTTCAGGTGCTAACTAATGCAGCTGGGGAGAGTTTCTATCGAATCCTAGAAGACAACCCGTATTACTGTCTCAATTGAGGCCTGACAAGGTTCCATGCCCCAATGGATGCAATTGGAATATGCTCCTGCTATTCTTTGCTGTCCAGTAATAGAGAAGGCGAAAAATGGAAAGAAAGGAAAGGTGCTTGGTACGCCTTAGCTCAGCTCGTCTGGAAGGATGATATCACGAGATGGAGCATATACTCGGGATAGGGTTACAATGACCCAGCCCAGCAAGGTGACATCTGTAAAAGGCAAATGGAGGGAATTCTTCATGAGGATCGTAAAAGGTATAAATTGGTCGATTGATCCTGTTCAGATCTGTATTGATTGCATGCAACATACCTTCAGCTCACAAAGAACTATTATATACTATCCCAAAACAAAACAGAGTCAAGCCACTTCTCCCACTTAGAAAAACCTTTGCCACAATGCACTTTTCCACTCTTGCCCTTACCGCCACTGCGGCGCTGACTCCCCTCGTGCACGCCGTTGGCAATGCCATCGTGCACAACAACTGCCCTCAACCCATCTACGTCTGGTCCGTTGGCTCATCCATCGGTCCCGAGAACACCGTCAACCCAGGCTGCGAATACTCCGAGGTCTTCCGTACCGACCCCAGCTCGGGTGGCATTGCTATCAAGATCACTCGCACTGAGAACGGTCTGTATGACGGTAGTGCCCAGACGGACTTCGCGTACGCTCTTGACAATAACGGCGTCTATTATGATCTATCGGATGTCTTTGGAGATCCTTTCTCGGGCACTTCGGTGGTTGTGACTCCTTCGGATACTTCCTGTAGAACGATCGATTGGTCCAACGGTATTCCACCGTCGGGGAGTCAGGTGAAGGTCTGTCAGTCGGGAACGAATTTGACTCTGACGACTTGTTAAGTGGTTTGGAGGAGAAGAGATTAGTGTATGTGTTTTCCTGGTCTACGTGAATAAGTCCCATCATCCGGGGAAATATAGTGCTGACTGAAATCAGCAATATCAAGTGTACTGAAGGAAGTGATGGAGAGAGACTACCTCTTGGTCTATGAGAATGAGATTGGAAGGAGTGGATTACATATGTAACATGCATTCAGCTAATACGGAGAAAGAAAATAAAAAGAGAGAGAGAGAGAGAAGCGAAAGCTCGGTTACTCAATCATTTATACAGTCCCTAATATTATCTACCGATCAGAAATGTCATACGATGCATTGGAGATCTCACGCAACATATGATTCTATCAGGAACTAAAAATATAAGGCTAGCTAGCTTAGATGTAGTTCATATAGTGATTTTCTGCTGAATCCTCATAAGGTTTTCCATGTCTTCTAGTGTATGATAACTACTTGGATTCTCAAGTTATCCGACTATTGTAACGGCCCGCAGTGTGACTTATGCTGCCGCATTGTTTTGTTCTGTGCTTGCCTACTTGCATATTCGAATATTCGAAAATGAGACAAGTAATATCATACTCTAAGCTCGGTTGGTCGGTATAGCTGAAGGGCCTAGTGATGGTATTATGTATAGAGTAATAATATAGAGTACGTTGGCTGACAGGTCAAAAACATGAGAAAAACCAGGAACATCGCGTTGACTCGGCCGATAGAGCCCATAGTTCGAATAAATGATGAAAAGGATACCCCAAACAGTTAGATCAAATAACTAATGATATCGGTAAATACTAAAAGCTGTCAACCTCGGGCAAATCCCCGCCAACCCCGCATAATCATCTCCCCGGAGCTGTTCTTACCCCATCTCGCACTCCTGTCCGGGGTCAATCCTTCGCTGCCTTCTCCGTGGCCTCGTTCCTTTTCATTTCCTCCCTTCCACTCTTCCTAGGGGCTGTTTCGAGGTCTTATTATCTCCTTCGTGGTCTTTCCAATTGCCCCCCTGTCCATGTTCTCTGTAGGAGTATCGTACCGTTGAGATTGCTTTCTCCCCCGCATTTATCCCCGGTCGACTATCATGGTAGCTCCCTCAATCAGAGTTGCGCCCTCGGCGGCCAACAGAGCTCTGGGTCTACTTCGAACCGTGCAATTCACTCATCCGCCCAATTGTCCCTGCCATTCGAACCCCAATCACCATCATCACCACCAGACGCCGTCCTTGGCCAATCATGTGCGGCGGCATCTGGCGACGCCCATCGACGCGTCTCGTCAGAAGGAGTATGCGTTCGAGATGGCAGCGTCCAGTATACGGTTCGGACCCGGAGCGACCAAGGAGGTTGGTATGGACTTTAAGAACATTGGTGCTAAGAGAGTCTGCGTTGTTACGGATGCGAATGTGAGCAAGCTGGACGCGATGAAGCAGGTCGTTGAGGGTTTAAGCAAGGAAGGGATTGAATTTACGGTGTTCGATAATGTGAGGATAGAGCCAAAGGATCATTCGTAAGTTTGATATCGAGAAAGAGTTGTGTAGCTCTGCGGTTCTAGGTTGGTATTTCTGACATGGAAACTAGGATCAAGGAGGCTATTGCTTTTGCTAAGCCATACAACCCGGATGCTTTCCTGGCTGTCGGTAGGTGTCTATGTTTTTTATGGAGTAGATAGGATGACCGTCTAACGTCATACAGGAGGAGGATCCGTCATTGATACCGCGAAACTGATGAACCTCTACACCGTCTTCCGCGACGCTGACTTTCTGGACTTTGTCAACGCACCCATTGGCAAGGGTCTTCCCATCACCAAGCCATTGAAGCCTCTCATCGCGATCCCCACTACCGCTGGTACCGGATCAGAGACCACAGGCACGGCAATCTTCGATCTTGTCTCGAAGAAGGCCAAGACTGGTGTTGCTCACCGTGCACTGAAGCCCACCCTCGGCATCTGTGACCCGATCAACACGCGAACAATGCCCTCCGCTGTTCATGCTTCCTCCGGTCTCGATGTCCTCTGTCACTCTCTCGAGTCCTGGACGGCAATCCCCTTTAATGAGCGTGTTCCGCGTCCTACCAACCCTATCAATCGACCAGCCTACCAGGGTGCAAACCCCATTTCGGATATCTTCTCACTGCACGCCCTTCGCAGCACTGTGAAGTACCTTCCCCGTGCTGTTAAGGACCCCGACGACTTTGAAGCCCAGTCCCAGATGCTCCTCGCTGCCACCCTTGCCGGTATCGGTTTCGGCAACGCTGGTGTCCACCTCTGCCACGGAATGAGTTACCCAATCTCCGGTCAAAATCCCGGCTATAAGCACAACGGATATGCTGTAGATCACCCGATCATCCCTCACGGAGTCTCTGTTGCTGTTACTGCCCCTGCCGTCTTCCGCTTTACTGCTGCATCAAACCCTGACCGGCATCTGGCAGCCGCCGAGGCATTCGGTGTTGACATCTCCAATGTGAAGAGAGAAAGCGCCGGTGAAGTCCTCGGTGAAGCCATTGCCGAATTCCTCATCAAACTGGGCGACCAGCCCCGTGGCCTGAAGGCTCTTGGTTTCAAGTCCTCTGATGTCGAGAGCCTGATCGAAGGCACACTCCCGCAGAAGCGCGTGCTGATGCTGGCCCCGAATCTTAGTGAAGAGCTCACCGCAGAGAAGGATGAGCTGCGGCAACTCTTCGAAGCATCGTTGGAGTATTAGTTGGCAGTCATGTTGTTTCTCTTGCATGTTATCTTTGAGCATTATGTATATAGCGGCCGGCGTGCTTCTATCGCAAATTTGGAGCAGAGCGTGGTGTTCGCAGTGAGACAGTGTGATGATTCATTTTTCCTTCCAGGCGGAGAATCCAGAGATTGCATATTTTGAATATCCATATTTCTTTCTTGGGTCAACTCTCGCTTTCTTCGATAATAGGTCTCACAGGTTTCTTCCCCTTATCAGAAGGATCATCTTCTGGCTCCTGTACGATTTGGATTCCTAACATCCCCATAGATGAGGCAATGCGATCCAACCAGATGACTGCTCGGGGATCTGACTGGTCTGATGTTCCAGATGGACCACGGCTAATCTCGGAGACAATGCGAAAGGGTAAGGTCATCACTCTCGGGGCTCCATCTCCGGACGATGGGCTCTGAGGACTCGACGCCTGGGAATATGTCTGGGATCCAGTCTCATCCGACGCAACTGGAGACGTGATGTCATATATCCGATGAGATGGTGCCATTCTTCCTGTAGCAATATCAATTCTGATAGAAGCCAGTAACTGGTCCAAAGCAGCAACAGCGCTAGTTGCTCCTCGAAGGAGAAGAGATGGGCTCGTATCCGCAAAGACCTCGGGAACAGGCCCAACGAAGTTGCCTGGTCGATAGCTGATCCCCTGGGCACGTTGACTGTGAGCTGCAATGCAGGTCCTCAGTTCTTCCACACTGACGAGAAGCTTATTTCGAGTTTCCGTAACACGCTCTACGAGTGCGATGGCAGCTTCTGGGGAAGATGATGTCGAGGTTGACAAGGTACGTGCTTCGCTGAGGTATCGTGGGCATTTGGTGAGCTCCATGAAGATCGGTTCTGAGATATCCACGAACGCAGACCATTCTCCAGGCTTTTGTGAATCTTCAGCGCGCACTTTGGCAGCAAATTCCTGCCACTCTTCCTCATCCAGGAAGCATGGTTTGTCTTCGAAGAGTGCCGTGGCTATCAGGAATCCCCTGAAGGCATAATAACAAGAACGTCCGAATCCAGATTCCGATCCCTTGACGCCACGGCTGAGCATGAGCCGTTTGACACCTTCCGAATGTCGTGCCCAGGCATCTCTAGAGGTCTGTGCGTACATTTCATAAACACTGAGAATCACAACGGAGCTGAGCATGTTGTCCGAAAACGCCTCTTCTGTGTCCAGGGCCTTACAAACCTCCTTGAGCGCCAATGAATACATCTGTCTGCTCGCTCTCAACAGGGCTGGATCCTTGGTGAGATGGGCCAGATAGATGCTACTGAGTGAGCAGACGGAGGCATCTTGGTACGTATGCGTACCGAAATTCTGCGTGATATAGTCTGGGAAGGACGGGTCGGTTCCGGACCGGAACCTGTTGTGGAAGTAGAGGGTCGGGAACGCAGCGCAGACGAAATCCGAGAAGAGCTGGGGCTGGCTGTTTATGAACGACTTGCGGACAAGGGATGAATCGACTCGTTCGTCTATGGACGTGTCTGCAACATGCCGTCGGAGAAGTGCCATCGCGTGTTCCCGAATGGACTGAGTCGCAGAGCGACTGCTTTCGCCGCGCCTCGTCCTCGAACTGCTTTTCGATCGAACGGAGCTTGGATTCCGTGAGGACGACTGGAGTCGACGCCTGACACCAGGCCCTTCATCTTGGAATTTCAAGTCCCGGCTGTAACCGGGACAAGGGGCTCCGTATCGTGCACATTGTGTGCATCCGGGCCGAATCTCATCGCACTGATTGCTTGCTCAGTAAGTAAATCGACACAAGTTCTGACGTGCCGTCCAAAACTCGACTCGAGAAGAATCTCAGACGGCTTGAATACTGTACTGACCTTCACACGCCTTTCTCGGCAGAGGCCGCAAGCTTTGCTGCGTGGTACTCCGACCATCTCTCATCCAAGACGCATGACCCTGGTAACATGGCATAGGGGTTACCGACACCGATACAACACCGGAATTGCAAATTCACAGGACAGCAAAGAATTTTGATTTGTGGGGGGGGGGGGCATTCGCATTATATCGTCTTGTTAGCGCTCAAGGAAGTGTGATATAGGAAGAGGGACATGCCCGTAAGACACATCCGTGACGAGCAAGCCAACCCCAACCAAGAGAAAAAAGAAAAAGGAAAAAGAAAAGGAAGTCCATGTCCGGCAAATCCCTGTCCCCGTCCTGCAGGCGATTGATCGGGCATCGAGTTAATAATGGTCAACGAGATGGATAGCACTATTAGTAAATTTAGTTAGCCGCCGTTAGGATCAAAATTAGAAAGACGGACAAGCCAGCGGGGCAAAAGGAGACAAGAAGAATTAGAGATCAACATTGGGCCCCATCGGCTTCGCCACCAGCACCGCGGGCCTGGCAACTTGTCGTTGGCGTGAGACACTGCAAGCGCTTGTCCGAGTAATAATATTTCGTGGCCGTTTAAAGCCACTAGTTATCTCAACGGTCTGGCGTCGGGGAATTAAACTAGCTCGCAAAAGAGATGAGCGAACGGGTATTCTAAAAGGTCCATGACTCCATAGAAAATCGGATCCTGCAATCCGGCCGTTTATCTAAGTTAGTGGGGTTGTTTTTGAGTTGATCGGTCCAACCCTGACACAGGCCAGCGAGTGTCCTTTTTTTTTTTTCTGCTCTTTCAGCTGAAGCCGAAGACAGGGGGTTGTCATATCTATGGCCTTCGCGGCCTGGACCGTCTAGATAGATCATTTTGAGCATCGCAGATCAACTATCATATAGACTACTGTACGTCACATCAGTGTGCATGCCTGATTTGCAGTTTCTACTTGTTCTCTCAGCTGTCGGTTTACAGCTGAGCATCTCGCTCAGCTCTCACTTATTGCCTCCTGTGCTCTCGCCACGCTGAGAATTATCAATGATTACTATTTTCTGAAACGAAAACCACTGAGATACTGCGGTTTCTCCCATTGGTTGTCACTAGCTGCTACTTTCGCCTATGATATCTCCGTTGGCCATAGGCTCTCTCTGCCTCCCATATCTTGACCCGAGGCTGGATTTGTTCCCTATGATGTCTCGGTAGATATTCACTCGAAGATAGCATAGGAGCTACATATACATTGTCTTCAAGGGTATCAATCGTCCACCGCCACAGGCCGGAGATACGCTGGACGCAAAGGGAGGCGATCCTGCTTGTTCCCAAAGATGATATAGATCCCCGAAGGATGCTTCGTCCTCATCCTCAAGTTCCTCATCCATTACGTCCGCGGCCCCACTAATGGCGACCAGTCTGTGCAATATCCATTGCATTTGAAGGAGTTCGAAAGATGGTAATGGATTGGTATCTGGGTTCTCAGTAGTAATCGTGATCATATCTCCCGAGACCATACGCTTGTCCTGGTTCCCATTCCACAGTTTAGCACCAAGGTTACCGCACTTTAGGTCAGAGGGGATAGACGGAGGCATGGTCCACCGAACAAACTTGGAATATTGATGTGTCGGCATCCAGAAAAATTGCACTTGCATCTTTTTCTTATCCTCCGAGGGCTCAAAGGGCTTCAGAGCAAACCTTGCCTTTTCCCATAAACGGCGAGCCGATGGGGTCAGGCATATCAAGTTTGCACAATGTTCGGTGAGTGCTGGACCAGTGACCTGCCTTTGCCATGCTTCAATCTTGGCAGGGCTCCAGTACATTTCAAGCATAGCCCAGAGCCTCCTCTGCATGGTATTGTCCGGTTCCTTGCCGAGCGCAGAGGGAAAGATATGGCATTTATCCACAGGGTCTTGGACCTTTTCGATTATGCAAGAACCGCTGTCTCTCTCGGCACACTATTTATTATCAGCATTTGTCACAAAGGGACACAAGGGAACTTCCCAGTGGAAGATAACATCAGGCAGTGGCGTTGACAGGAAACACCTCACTGTCCAGAAAAAGGGCCCAAGTGATAAACCATACAGTAGGATTGATAGTGGGTCAATACTTACGGCATTCTCAGCAGTGTCGGAGCGTTTATTTGCTATCCACGAGGATTCAACGGGCTGAGGCAGCATTGTCGGACTCCCTATGGCAGAGCGTTTGCTAGGAGTCGTGGGCGTTGTGGGAGTCGTAGCGGGGATAGAAAGAATGCGAGAAGCAGTCCCTGATGAAGCAGTAACTGCATTTAGCATATCACTGACATATTGAGAATATATGAAAAGAAACACTCACACGCTCTGAGATAATCAATGTCATTTGATTCGAGCACCCGAAAAACAATTTTTGGCCTCTCCTTGGCAAAACTAACGAGGCCTCGAAGATTCTCTATATCTGACAACCACAGACAAGCCCAGGTGGCGCTATCAACCATCGGCGTCTCTGACGTGGCTCGACTGATAGCTTCGATTAACGCCGCGCGTTCTGGATCCTCGAGCTCCTCAGCGGCTGACATTTTCGCGAGAAACGATGCAGAAAAGGACTGGAGAAAGGCCAGAAGAGAGCTTGAACGAGACTCAGAAGTGTCATAAGACGGCTATCAAAAGACCTGGCAGGAGAGCTAAAGACGAGGAGACAAGTCCGTACGTAGCTGGTTGAAAGAAAGGAACATTCTCTCCCGAAAAGATGAATAGTGTGAAAGAAAGAAAGAAGAGAAAGAATAGTTTTGGAAAAAAATCGTTGTTATACCTACCTAGGTAGGTATGCTGCTGCTGCTGCTGCTGCCTACACACATCCATATCCATATCAGGTTTGGATCAGTACTTACTTTTATGGTACTTCCGCTAGTTCATTGTCTGTGTAAACTAAACGCAGAAGAGAAATTGTCTAGCTTATTACACTTCTATGGTTCTTTTTGGAACCATAAGTTGCATTCCCCGTTGTTTTGGTCCATAGAAAGTAGCTCCACGAGATCCGAAAAATGATTTATATTAGAGATCCAGGCAGACCAACAAAGAGTTCTCCTTTTCGGTCGACTAGAGGAAAGCCATCATGTAACAGTTTACAATTGACAGTTGACAACCAAAGACAGGCCTAGATGGTGCTATCAACCATCGGTGCCTCCGATGTGGCTCGACTGATAGCCTCGATTAACGTCGCACGTTCCAGATCCTCGAATGCAATAAAGAAAAGCCCGCACTTGGGCCAGGCTCTAAAGGAGTGGTAGAGCCGGCCCACCGTGCGCGAGCGGGAGAAATGAAGACAAGGAGGAAGGGGGCAAATACGCCTTTTTTAACCCCGAGGAGGAGGTTGCGCGAGTTCCCTTCCTACTGTGAATCCGAAAGAAAAGGAGTGGGTTGGGCGGCCTTCACGGGAGGACTTCACTACATAAATAGGGAATAATAGGAGAACCCAATTAATCTAGAGGATAGGCACTGCTATAGTAGACAGTATATCGGGAATAGCGCAAGTAAAAGGCAGTATAAAAGTCGATAAGGATAAATAGAACTCTTGAACACCTTGATGGCTCTTGCCACTCAACCAAAAAGGAGAACTCGTTGTTGGCCCGGTCTGAATCCGAGACACCCTAAAAAGCATATTCCATATACCATATCCCTGAACCCTTATTAGGAGGGTGAAGAAGAGCAGTAGGAATAGAGGTAGCCCAATATGATGCACCATGTCACGTGGGCAACTCTTCGTCCAGGTCTGCATTTTCTAGGCTGCGGAACATACCATGGACGAGAATAAATATGCACAATGAGATACCTCACTCAATCATGTTATCTGTTTGGCATCAACGTGAAAAGACAAAGAGAATTGGATGTCGCCGCTCCCAGAAACCTGCGCTTCTACTTAAAACTCGGACGTTCGGCCAGCACTCTTTCACCATCTGAGAATGACGATCACTTTTTCTCCTACACATCTGGCCGATGGCTGTATGAGGAAGAGACTCAACTGAGGCGCAGATACATCAAATTCGATCTGGAAGGTCTTCGAAAGACTGCTGCCCTAACTCTAGGCTCTCGATGTGTCCACATATCCAAGCTTCCGGAGGGCCTGTACAACAAGGTCTTTTCTTTAACGATGGAAGGCGGCAAAGAAATCTTGGCGAGGATTCCAAATCCCAATGCTGGTGATCCTGATTATGTGGTTGAGAGTGAAGTGGCGACCCTTGACTTTGTATGTTCTATAACTGTGTCCTTTCGGTTGCCAGTTGGTTTATATGTGGACGACAGCTCCGTAAGATGATTGGTGTTCCAGTTCCTAAGCTGCTTGGTTGGAGCGCGCGATCCGGGGTGTCCAACTCTGTTGGTGCTGCCTACATTTTAATGGAGAGGGTCAAAGGTCATCAACTGAGCGACGTCTGGGAGACCATGTCAGAATCTCAACGTTTTGGCCTTGTGAAGAGCTTGGTGGAGATTGAGAGAAGGCTAGCAAGCATCAGATTTACGAACTATGGTAGCTTGTACTACGATGGCACGAGATCGAGGAGTTTAAATGTCGTTGACTCAGTCGAACAATCAGTTGACGTGCCTGATACCATGTCGAAGTTTGTCATTGGTCCGACAACTGAGAGGTCATTTTGGGTTGACGAACGAGGAGAGCTAGATATCGACCGCGGACCATGTGAGTATTATGACGACCCAACGTTTGACTTGTTTTATATGTTTTATCATTCCTCAATATATGCTAATCGTCACTATAGGGACATCATTCGAAGAATATATTTCAGCCGTCGTACGCCGTGAGATGTCATTAATCCGAAAACTAAGTTCGCAACGACAGAGTCGTCACCCTGGATTTCTAGGCAGCGCAGGTACATCACCGGAAGATCATATACGACTTCTGCAGCAGTTTCTGGCCGTTCTCCCTCATATTCTACCCCCGGCTGAAATTACTAGACCCGTCTTGCTTCATCAAGACTTGCATGGAGACAATATATTCGTCCACGAAGACGACCCAACAAAGATATCAAGTATCATTGATTGGCAAGCGTCGTATGCAGCGCCACTTTTCCTACAGGCCAAATTTGCGTCTATAGTTGACTGTGACGATCCTTACCCGTGGGGTGCGGTGCAGCCGGAGCTTCCTCAAGATTTCGACTATCTCCCAGAGTCGGAGAAAGTGTTAGCTAAGGCAGCGTTCCACAGACTTAGATTGAAGAAGTTCTACGAACTGGCTTCAAGGAAATTCAATCCAACGCTCATTAGAGCAATGGACGCAATAAGGGACGATGGCGATCCCACAAATTTCATCTTTCACCTTATTGGGCAAACGGCAACTGATGGACCGATCCCTTTGAAGGAACTTCTTATCCAGATATTTGAAAAATGGGACCAAATCACCGAGAAAAGCGGATCTAAGGTGGCATGTCCTATTTCGTTTGCTCAAGAAGAAATCAGCAACGCACGGGATCAAGCGCAAGCGTGGGCGGATGCCTTTAATGAGTTCGAGGCCTTGCGATCTGATATTGCGGGGAAAGATGGATGGGTCTCTCACAAAGAGTACGAGGAGGCTATGGCCAGATTTGAGGCTCACAGGGGTGCTCTGGAAACTCTACAAAGGCGTCTCGAGGAAGTATCTTGAAGGCTATATATCAAATTTCTTGTTAGGATATGAGAAGTCAAGATAGGAGACAGCATCCCCAACTACGGTACAGCAACCAAACAACTCTATATAAAAAGGCTTGCGCATAATTTTATCCATCCGCTTATTGTACCTGGAATATATAGTTCTTTTGGTGAAACGAAAATCGGTATTAGCCCTTACTCCTGCCAGAAATAACTGCCATTCTTTTAGTACAGTGTTTGTTTACAAGATCGTGCCTTCCCCATATCAGAGCAACCTGGGTAGCACATAGAACCGAAACCATACAGAATACACACCGAAGTAATTTAGTCACGAAACCCACATTATATCGTTATTATCTTTATCGCAGGCTCTATACCGACTTTGCCTACGTCGAAGACAATGATGGCTGATTCAGCTCGTCCTAAAGCTTTAGTGGCTGAAAAGCTCTCCACTGAAGGACTCGCTCTTCTACGCGAAACACTGGAAGTCCATGAGCGCCATAAACTGTCCCCAGAGCAGCTACTGGCGATTATCCCCCATTATGATGCATTGCTGGTTAGATCAGAGACGAAGGTGACGGCTGGTCTGCTACGAGCCGCAAAGAAACTCAAGGTTGTTGCCAGGGCGGGAGTAGGCGTGGATAATATTGGTTTGTGAGATAAGCTGCCATATACGATTTGATACTGATATAGTATTATATTGGCAGATGTTGAAGAGGCCTCGAAACTTGGTATCGTCGTGGTCAATTCGCCCTCCGGTAATGTCGAAGCAGCAGCAGAGCATACAATTGCTCTAATGCTCTCCCTGGCGAGAAATATCCCACTTGCTTGCAGTGGCCTGAAAGCTGGACAGTGGGAAAGGAGCAATCTAGTTGGTGTAGAGGTCAAGGGGAAGACACTGGGAGTCATAGGTCTCGGGAAAGGTAGTGCTGTTTCTAGCTCCCCCCTTACGAATCGGTATTATCTAATGCATATATAGTTGGCCTGACTGTTGCAAAGCTGGCGAAAGGTTTGGGGATGATCGTGGTGTCACTCGACCCATATTCTCCGCCAGCCGTGGCAGCTTCTGCCTCGGTAGCACTGGTGTCTTCGCTATCGGAGCTACTCCCGGTAGTAGACTTCTTGACCATACACACGCCTTTGATTTCATCAACAAGGAACATGATATCGGCATGTGAGATAGCCCAGATGAAGCCTGGATCACGAATTCTAAACGTTGCCCGGGGCGGAACCGTTGATGAGGTGGCTCTATTAGCGGCTCTGGAGTCTGGACATCTGGCTGGCGCTGCTGTCGACGTCTTTACTTCAGAACCTCCTGAACCACACTCCAGTGCTGCAAAGTTGATATCTCATCCGCGCGTAGTAGCCACTCCCCATCTGGGCGCATCAACCATGGAAGCTCAAGAGAGCGTCTCGATCGATGTGTGCGAACAGGTCCTACAGATTCTCAAAGGATCTCTACCTCGGAGCGCAGTGAATACCCCGTTGATCCTCCCAGAGGAATATAGCAAACTGCAGCCTTTTGTGTATCTTGTTGAGAAAATGGGTAGTCTCTATACACAACACTTTGCCTCTGCCAACAATGGACCCATGCAGAGGAGTACATTCGACCTGATTTACCAAGGAGAGCTGGCCAACATCAGTAACACGAAGCCTCTGTTTGCAGCCCTGATGAAAGGACTCATTTCACCGATCAGCAGCTGCGCGGGTCTTAATATCAACATAGTTAATGCGGAGCTAATAGCCCGCGAGCGCCACATCATCGTCAATGAGCAGCATTCGCGTGACACGTCTTTCCAACCATATTCGTCGCTTGTAACATTGATAGCACGGCCTCCCCCATTAACATCGCCACACAGCACAGATGAAGCCAAGCAGCAATATCAGATCATCTCCGGTACCTGTTCCGGATGCCAGCCGATTATCAATCGTCTCGGTCGCTTTGCCACATCCTTCGTGCCGGAAGGGACGCTGATTATATGCAGAAATTACGATTCTCCAGGTAAGATCGGAGTCGTAGGTAGTATCCTTGGCAGGGAAGGGATCAATATCAATTTTATGGCCGTTGCTCCGATTTCTAAGAAACCACTTGACACCCTGGGTGGGCAGATTATTTCTGCAATTGAGAATGACAGTAAATATAAAACTGTTCCGGAAGAGGATAGGCAAGATTCAGAAGCTGCAAAGGACGCATTGATGATCCTCAGTGTTGATCGCCTCGTTAGTGAACATGTTGCTGAGGCATTAGTTCGCGAGGGAGGAGTGTTGGACGTCAGTGTTGTTACGCTTTAATTGTCATGGTCGTCATGAACGACGGAAGGATATGAATTGAGCAAATGCTGAATAGCGCCATCTTTCCGTTCCATATGACCTTTTCTGACAGTAGTCATCGCCCAAAGTTGAGTAAACCTCAAATCTCTCCTAATGCATAGGCAATGAAAATCGTAAGAAGTGACAATGAAATGGTATAACGAAGCCCACGATAGTAGCTCAACATAAGATAAAACATATAGCAAGGAATTCATCGCATTAAAACCGGTGCCATGTCGTCCGTCCCCAAATGACGTAACGTGGCCTATCGTACGTACTCTTCGATCGAAAATCGAGAGATGTGACAAAAGCACCGCTATCTATAAAATTCGTAACAGAAAGGTAAGACGAAATCCAGTCATTAAGTTCCATCAAACGAGGACCTCCCAAACGCGGCATTGGGCGAGTCCCACCAAGGCTCTATGTCTGCGAGACTAGGAAGCGGTGGGGTGGTATCAAAGGTGGCTTGCTGTTGATACAATCCTTCACTAAGGTCATCAGAAAGGACGCGGAGGTCACTGTTTCGTAACCATTCCATGTCAACGCTGTCGGGTGGGAGAGTTTGTTGTTGAGGCTGAGGCTGGGATGGGGGTTGCTGATGTCTGGGAAGGGCGCCAGCAGACGCAACGGGAACGGTAGAGGACGACGGTATAGCGGCTTCCTGGTTCGCGTTGGATACACTGCTTCGAAACCTTTTCCTCGATTCTGACGGATCAGCCTCCTGGCTCACAGTACTAGGGCCTGTCTTTATCTGCGGTCCCATCTGAGATGAACTCAGCAAACGCTTAGCTGCTGAGCCGGACTTGCGCATGCGGTTCTGCCACCTGCGCTGCAAGCTGACCAAGAAGTCTCTTGTTCGCTTTGCATTATCAAATGACTGCCCCAGTTCGTCTAGCGCGCGGAAGCATACGTTCAAGTGTGCGACCATTTCAGGTTTACTGATGCCACTTGTCCGGCCAGGACTTTGCGCAGAAGTCGAGATTGTGACAAATATAAGCATTAGGGCAGCGGTGAATATGATGGCTACCACTTGGTTGTTGATACGACGGAAGGTGTAGTACTTCTCATATAGGCGAAGTAACTTGGCAACAGCCGTGGCTGACTCAATGCACATTCTTCGAGCGTGGAGGTAGCCAGGACCCTGACGCGGGTTGGACGGCTGAATGTAGCTCTTCGAGACCCATGGACGGTGGAAGAAGATGACTATCTGATGATATTGCATGTGTAACATCAGGAGATGTGGTAACTGCGGAGCCGTATCATTGTCGAGATCGATCTGAAGCTCTGAAGGTAGATTTCGCTTCCATGCGAAAAGGTCTTCGGTGACTTTGTAGTTCAATCTTTGCAGGTCATGCTTTGGGATATTTGCACAGCCGTAGAGAATATGGCCCACTGGGGATATCATCTCCCACAGGAGCACGAACTGTCTGGTAATTAAGTCTGTTGGACTCCTCAGACCGACCTTCGTCAGATTGGAGGAATCTGAAGCCCCGTAAGGATACCAGGTTTCAACCCTCATCTTACTAGGGTGCGAAGCCGGTCTCGGTACTGTAATATCTCCAGCGTTCATGCGGAAGGGTCGTCCCAAGTAGAAGCCCCAGAAATGATCTGCGATATAGCTACCCCAGAAAGCCATGCCACGAACTTCTGCATCGCGCTCGCTGAGGTCTCCCTTCTTAACATATGGTGACATGTCGATGTGCAAACCGAGGTCGAATGCGAGCCTCATTGACATTCCGCTATACAGCCAACCACGAGCGTCACGGTTAGAAGCTGCTTCGTGACTACTGAGAATGGCCAGCGCCTGAACAGTCGCAACGCATGGGGAGTCCAGCTCGATTTCAAGCAGAGTCTTGGCGCGATCAGCAAAGAATTCCGAAAGTGATTTCGGGAACGTGATGAATGTTGGATGATAGCGCGCCTCGAATGCGCTTCCTAGAGCACACCTGCACGTTTGTCAGCTTGCTTGCCGGTCAAGAGAAGTAACACCTCATCCTACATTGCATTCGTTAAGACCTCAGAATAGAAGGGCGTATCGTCGTATTCATTCCTCCATTTTGATCTCGCCTCCAAAAACACTTCACGATCCACTACATGAGAGCTAGTATTCTGCCAGGCAAAGTAGAGCTCAACAAAATGGTCTTCCAGGGCTTGATCGACTGCCTGCCCGATCCGCAGGTGGTTTAAAATCTCCTGGCCATCTTGTCGGACAGTCCGGGTGTCCGGCCGCGGTCTCTGCTCGGTGGGAGACACATCAATAAGGTTGAGATTCGAAGTCGGCCCGTAGTATCGCAGATGTCCATCTCCCGCTATTTTCAGAGTTCCCAGTCGAGAAGAGAGCTGCTCAATGACCTCATTTTCTGCCTCATCCCCACTATCCGTCTCGGAGAAAGGATCAGTCTGGCCTTGTCCGAGTGCAGATCCAGACAGCTGCGGTAACTCCTGGCCCAAAGGCAGACTTTCCGGACTCGTCACTCCACTTGTGTCTGCGGATCCACTGCTTGCTCGATCAATGTTTGCGTATATACTATCTAGACTCTCCGCGTTCGGGAGCGCAAAGTTCCAATTCGAGGTACCCAATTGCGATTCGAATCCACCAATCATCCCCAGGCCAGAACCTCTCCCACTTGTCGCTGGAAGAGTAAGCTTGTTCGAGGTAGGGGCGACAGAAGACGGTTGGGAATCCATGCCACCCACACGTGGCACGATCGGCAGTGTATTATTTGAAAGATTTGAAGATAAAGGGAAGGCACTAGACAATGTGTCGGTAGCATCCGTAGGCTTTGAACTACCCCGACGTTTCTGCGCCTGGCCCCGAGGAATTTGAAGGGTGTCTAGAACCCTGTTCATTGCTGCTTCGTCCTCGGGCTTCATGGGGGGAGGTTCTAGCCCTTTATCATAGATATATTGGCAGAGTTCATCGATCCTCATGGAGAACAACTCTGTTGCAGCGCGAAGTGACACTCTGAGGGAACGGTCAGCAACGATGACCTACAGAACGAGATATCTCCAATCAGAGACTGCATGGATACTGGGTGATGGAGACTCTGTTCAATGCGGCTCCTGATTGTGCCACCCACACAACCAGAACCCCGCGCAGATAGGAAGAGGAACTTGGACAGAGACCTACTTCCGCTTATCGTCTCCATGCTGGTATCTGCACTCTTTCCCTTTCTTCTGGCAGTTATGGCAATTGGGTGCGGCCCCATCACACTGGGACTCATCAGTCGCTGCACCATTTCCCCGTTCGAGATCCGTCATACCCTTATCTTGCTCTCCCTGCAGGGCACGCAAGCAGTCGTGACATGCTTGCGAGGCGCCTTTTTGGGCCGTTCTGACTCCTGCTGCATGGTGTCACCAGCCATAGAAGCTCAGGCAATCCTTGCGAGTAGTCTCCAGATGAGGGTATATCGCGAAGACATTCAGGACTTCCTAGCTAACCCATATCACGCGCAGGATTCGCTATCGACATGTTCGATCATAATTTTGCCGTGGTGCGAAGAGCGCAAGTTCGATGCGTCCTTTGAAGGCGGTCCGGGGAAGACACTGACCCACCACACGATTCGCCTATGTCAATTCAATTTCAACCCAACCGCCGCCCAGGTCGACTATGTCGACTAGTAATGGGATGCGACGAGGAAAATATCTGCATACGTATATATATTAAAAAAAAAATCGCGGCAGCGAGGTCATGTGCAAGAATAGCTCGAGCTAGCACTGCTGTCTCGCAAGCTGTTGCTCTGAGCTCCCCCGCACGAACGACGGCCGGAGTAAAACCGAGATCCGCCGAAAACAGCACCGATTGGGAAATGACATACCCGACCGCTCTAGATCGGAGAAGAGCCTCTAGAATCTAGATCGATGGGCAGCTTTCACAAGACCTTACGATAATTATAGATCATTGTCTAATAACAATACGAGGGCGGGTCGTTATTCTGCTCACTAGGTAGCTCAGCCGAGGGCGCCTACGACACTTTTTGAACTTGCAAGACACAATGAAAGATTCCAAAACATTACCACATTGCTTTCTGAGTTAAAGCGATTACATATTAAGGATTTGAAGACTTTATGGTTTACCAGTTGCTGGTACGCTTGAGAGTCTCGTTCTGGATCACCTCAATCCAGTATCCATCAGGGTCCAGTATGAAAGCCACGTTCTTCATGCGGCCATCCGTGAGACGCTTCTTCCAGTTGACGTTTAGAGATTCAAAACGAGCACAGGCAGCATCAAGGTCATCGACAGAAATACCTACAGAGAGCCATGGTTAGATAATGATCATACGACCACTTGCTGTTGTGTGTCTGCACTTACAAATATGTCCAAAGCCCTGGGGCTCCGCGTTTCCATCATGGTAGACCTTGCCTTCCTGCTTCTCTGTTCCGTAGTTCCAGGTGAGCTCGAGCAATCCCTCCCACTCAGCAACAGGGTTCTTAGCGTCCTCCTTGATGGCTGGGTTCGACGCGGGATATGCGAGGAAGTAGAGATTGAATCCAGCATCCTTGTTCTCAAAAGTGCGGACGAGGGTCATTCCCATGACTTCCTGGTAGAACTTCAAGCTGGTCTCAGCAGACTTCACTCGGAGCATAGTGTGGTTCAGTCTGTAGCTGGCCGGATCCGTTCCAGAACCGACGTCCTCATCATGCCGACGGATAACCTCGACCCAGTATCCGTCAGGGTCCTTCACAAAGGCAATGTTCTTCATGCGGCCATCGGTAAGCTTCTTCTGGAAGGCATAGCCGGCATCCTCGAGCCTCTTGCATGCAGCCTCAATGTTGTCCACCGAAACAGCAAGGTGTCCAAATCCCCGGTACGGTTCAGTGTTTCCGTTGACGATGCTGTAGTTAGGGTCGTTCTCGGTACCGTAGTTGTGGGTGAGTTCCAGAACGCCGTTGCGATCAGTCCAGTGACGATCACCCTGGAGGGAAGCAGGTCCATCGTAGGCAAGGAAATACAGGGAGAACTTGTTCTCAGGGAAGTCCAGCTGGCGAATTTGGTTCAGCCCGAGGAACTTGTAGAACTCAACTGATCACCATCAGTATCCATGTACACTAGAAGAATAATGCATATAAGGAATGTATATAATAGAGTGAACGTACCAGACCTCTTCGGGTCCTTCACCCGAAGCATAGTATCTGTCGAGACCCATTGTTAGCCAAGACTTGGACTAGCATGTAAGGCTGCTTGGCAGGCGAGATGAACGCACGATTGAGCTTATATTTAGCAGTCTCCGTCGTAGTCGCCATGGTTGCGAGGGTTCTTAGTGGTCCTGCGTCGATTTGTCAGTATGTCATGTGCGGGGAAGCTTGCTGGTTCCAGCAGCGTACCTTGAGGGAATCTGAGGCACGGAACAGGGACCTTGTGGAAAAGTCTGGTAGGATTAAATACCCTGTGGCAGGCGAACATGAAGGAGGGGCGAGGAGATGGCAGTTCACAGAGCGTGGGACAGAAGAAAGATATGGAAGGTTGTTTGAGCAGAAACGCTACTTGGATGCCCCTCAAACACCTCCAACTCCAAGTGGGGTCGCTTAAATCCGATGACGCTATTCCCGCCGGCGGAAAATAATAAACATGAACGAGCTGCCTTTTTTGCAACTGCTCGACTGCCGAACTTGCTCCAGGGAGGGAAGGGTTGGTTTTTCCACACTCATCTTCATCGGAAGTATGTCGTACATCAATGTCTCCTTGGTCCACTGGTTTCCCAAAAGCTGCGATTATCGTCTTGATCGGCACATTGGAGGTTCATCCGATGCTGATTATAAATCACCTAGAACTTGTTAGTTATGAGCATTCCGCGCATCATGACAGGCCAGATAAACTAGTTAAGATATTATTATTATATCCCCGGGCTATCACCGACAGCGGATCGGCCGAATAAGGCCAGGACTATTAATCTCTGGAACAAACATTGTTGTGCTGGCTTCTCCACTTGACACATGTATACAGATAATTAGAGCATTCAAATGTTGAGGTATCACAGTCATCATTGGTATGAACTCTTTTTTTTTTTTTTTTTTTTTTTTTTTTTTTTTGAGGCATTGCACAACGTGAGAGGCGCTTGAGGGCAGGAGCCCTAGCAGTCAAGAAACAGTGATGCTACCCCCATGCTGGTCCAAAAGTATTATGGGGAGAGTCTTGGTCTACATAAAGTCCTGCCCGTACAGATCTCGGAGGGTAATATGTGCCATGCCTCATGACCTGCTGTGTAAAAGAGTCTCGAGGCAATTTATTATTGATCACTTGTCCAAGTGAGAAACATCGATCAGTAGGCGCCAAGAGCTTCGAATGGCATCACTTCCGTTTTTGGTATAGTAACGTAGCTCACGGAATATGGTAAGCTGTCTCTGACTGTCTCATAGATGCTCAAAACGACAAATAAGCCTTGACGAAACGCGGTAAAGTCGCATGGAGAGACACGATGTGGCATGTCTGCGGCGGGCCGTGGTTGGGTGCAAGGCGACAAGACAAGCCCGTTCGAACTTCGGACCGTCCTACCGCCCGCCTAAGTTACTACACTACTTACACTTCTAGATCGCGCCCTCACATACGTCTCCGTTATTCGGCTGAGATTCGTACTGTGCAGTCCAGACAAGGCAATCTCGAGTGCCGTGAAGTCGATCTCCCCACGCGGGCCGTCAGGTGGATCCATAACGTGAACCTGGTAGGTTTTCTCTCGTAGGCCTCGTATTGCTTTTCAGGCCGCGGATCCGTCCTCCTTTCTGCTGTTTGGCGATACTCTGCCATTGTGCATTCCTCCCACGCGTCTAGCCAACATCAACCCTCTATTTGCCCATGGCTGCCCCGATAGGGCTCATCCCTGAGACCCCCGGCCCTCTCTGTTGCGACAGGAATGGAATTGTCAAACAGACCTTGTCCGCTCTGGGAACATAGGTAGGTCCTGTCCCAGTGAACCTAGAGTTTTGCGGGGAAGGATCTATTCCTATAGCAGTACTGTACCACCCAAATCAATGGCCCCAGGCATCAGTTGTCTGAATTTAATGGCTCCTTTTTTTTTCTTTTTTTTCCCCCTAAGATATTTGACACTGTCGTTATGCTGCATATTTCATCATCCTGTTGGCATCAATCAACATCTTACCTTGACTCCAATATCCCCAGTTTGATACACCCGTCTACTGCATTATGGCTGAGTTTGAATCTCCAGTTCTTTTACCTCAGTATTTCAACCACAGAATCCCCCGTTCCAGTGGAGTCTTCCTGCCTTCTTGGGCAGCGAGCAACGTCCAGTACGCAGAGAACCTGCTTGAGTGCTCAGACGAACCGATTGAATACGACGACGACGACGAGGACTATCAGGACAATTGCTTCTTTTTTCCAGAAGACTGCACCTTACCTGTCCGAAAGGACAGTGGCTGCGAAGTCAGTGACCACGAATACGGTCTCTTGGACAGTCTTAAGAGCGACAAGAGCGATAAAACCGACAAGATGACACCCGAGCTGCCAGATATCAAAATGCTTGATACGGAGGCACTAAGTGACCTCCTAGAGGATAATCTCTCGCCTCCAGAGATTACCTCGATCCTGTATGACTCCACTGGAGAGGTATCAGAGACGCTGCTGACTGGGGGTACAGCGTATTCCACGCCAATGGTGCACTATTCGCCTATGGATCACCTCTTCCGGTACGACAGCTTCGCAATCTGAGTGCTACATACGGAGCTGCCTATACAAACTACGCCAAAAATGCATCCAGTGGTAACCTTACAGGAGTTAACCCAGCGAGCCATCCATCTTCATTCGTGACAGCTCAATCGAACCCGTTGGGTGATGTAGGTTCGATTGTCTTCGAATTTGATGGCCAGGTTGCAGTCGTTACCAAGATAGCCGATAAGGTTCTTCTTGCCGCCGTAGGACCATCCAAGCTGGAAAATGCGGAAGGTGGCCAGTCCGGGGAAAACCCTCCTTTGAATGGGCCCGGGCCTGATGTGATAGAGCCTGCTGGAACGCCTTCTAACGGCCCAGATGTCGCCGCAAATGGGACCTCTCGCCCCAACGCTTCTTCCTCTCAGTCTCAGCAACAGAACAGTGCCCTTCAGACGCGGACTGCTCTCGACCGCAACCTTGAAACGCAATGGGAGATTGATCGAAACAGCGACCTTGCGCGTCTAGCCAGCCTCAATCTTTCCTCGTCACCATCGATTCTGCTTGCTCTCGAATCTAAATCTGCCGCTTTAGCCAGGTTCCTTAGCCAGAAGCTGGAAGACCTGGAAAGTCCAGAAGACTTTTGATCCAAACCACTTTCCTATTTTCTTGAACGTCTCGTTTTGTGCCAATTGTCTCAAGCGTGTGGTTATTTTCAGCTGAGCGCTGCGGCTTTTCATGTTTCTCTTTCCCTAGATCAATGCACACATGTATTGTCTACTGTTATAGCTCATAACTCAATAAGACTACATATGAACATGAAACCATCATGTCCCGACACGTAAAGTAGAGGCTGCTCTGGTAAACGCTACCGATGATTTACCATCTCTGAAAGGATTGTTGCACATTACTCCATATCTAGCAATTGAATTATAATATGCATTATATGTGCATAGTCTACAGTTGTGCAGGGCAGTTCGCTCCTACAATGCCATATTGTAACTGTCCTCTTGACAAGCGCCGTACCGGGGCCCAGATGAGGTCCTTCCTTAAGCGGAAGGAGGGGTTTACGGACCCCATTTCTTCTCTCCCCAACATTTTCTCAGGAATCAGGATAGTACTTCAGTAGTGAACAAGGCCAGATTTTCGAAGAAACGAGCGCTGTGAACACGAACTATAAAGGTTAGTGACTATTGATCATCCATCTAAGCGTCTGTCAGATCTTAACTAACAAGACGCACAGGGCACATCTGTCGGCGGGTCTCTTGCTGTAGCAATCCATGGGAACATTAGCACGTCCTCCCACCACTCCTGGGACTCTCCGTACCTTTTTATCTGGTCTCTTGTCCCTCTTGTGAACCAAGGCACCATGCTTTTCAGGAGACAGGTGATACTTTTCTTTGGCACATGGTCTACAGAAGAATGAACTCCTTCCGGAACAGGCAGATCTAATGACGACAGTGGCTATAAACATTTGTCTACCCGGATATACTCGAATACCTAATAGGATGAGCTAACTCTGGGAACCGCCACACATGGCATGCCGATTGAGTTGTCTGAGCTCCTCAGTTCCAGGATACCGGTGCGGCTTTCCCGCTTATTGGCGTTCGCAAGGAATTACCATGATTTCATGGATGCATGAAGTATTATATTATACCACTGGTACGTTCATCTAACAGGCACCCAACAGTGTCGCGCCATGACCGAGAAAGAATCTTTACTGACAAGCGAGAGTGATGGGTTTTCCCTCTTTCGGGCGCGGTGACCTCATCGCGGATCGGTCGATTAGCGCCAGCCATTACGCCTATTCCGTCGACTCGTCGGACGATCACTACCTGAGCAAGGGATGTCACCTTCACTGGATTGCTGAACAAGCCAGGATAGTAGAGCTCTGGTTCTCTTCAGCGCGATACTTAAATGCGATAGCTTCCCACAGGACGTTTCGAACGGTTGGAGGCACTGTATTCTACAACTACTTTTGAGACCATCTTTGGCTTTCAAGTCACATCTTTACAACTCGAACCCCGCGATAGACTTAAAGACTTCCCGTGCGCGCCCACACTGACAAGCTCCCCACCTGGGCGGTCGTGGGATAAATAGCGGCTTCCGCGGCCGGAACTGTTCTGCGATCACAGTTACTGTACAATCGAAAGCCACCTATACTGAAATCAAGACACTGTCAACGAGATGGCTTCACCGACCAGTCCTGCGTCGCAGGGTCTCCCGACCCGTAGCAACACGGTACGGACTACTGCGACGGCCACTACAGCGACCGGCGGGGGAATGAGTGACGATGAGGCGGTCCCGGATGAGAACACCAGTGAGGTGCGTTGTCTGCTAATAATCGGTTCTGCGAGGAAGTTACTGATTTGTTTACGCTTTGCAGACCACTGCTCTTCTCTTGGAGCGCCTTCAAGCATGGAAGCATATGTGTGGCTATCTGGAGGACTATGTCTCGTCTACAGCGAAGGTGCAGAAGTCGCAATCGAAGGATTATGAGAAGATCCTCAAGGTGCGTGGATCGGGTATACTGGAAGGCAAATCCGTCGAAATAACGCTGAGACGCGAGCACAGACTATCAGTGAGCCATTGAGGGAAGCTCATCATTTCAATTCAGGACCAAATGGAGTAACTGAAATGTTTGAGAATATGAAGGCCAACACCCAGGTATGCGTCATGGGAACGATAGATAAAATAAACGCCTAGATTCTAACTATGAGTAGGGAATGGTGAACATGTACCTTGAAACGGAAAAAAACCTCAAGGGAACCATCTTGCCGACTTTGGAGCGTCTGCACAAGGAAATCAAGAACAAAGCAAAGGAGCTGAAGTCCGGTGCAGCAAAGGGTTCCAAGGCAGTTGATAAGGCTAGGGCTTTAACTCAGAAGCACATTGAGCTCCTCGGTCAACATGCGGCTGCGGTGGAAGCGGCGGCCAGTAACAAGATTGAACCTAGCAACGACCCTTATGTGTTGCGAAGAGGCGTCAATTATCGTTTGAACAAACAGATCATTGAGGAGAACAATAACCGCAATGACATCCTTGCGGTCCAGCACTCTTTCCAGCAGTTCGAGAACCATATTCTGCAGACGGTTCAGAACACCTTCAACCAATTCTTCCAGTTGATGGGAGGTCAGAATGACCGTCAGCGTGCCCTGTACGCAGACATCTTGAGTAGTGCGCAGAAGATTCCACCAGACTATGAGTGGCTGAATTTCGTGATGCGAAACGAGGGCGTACTGGTCAATCCAGATGCTCCCGCGAGGTCCATGTCTAACATTACCTATCCGAATCAGGATCACCGCGCCACCAAGTCTCTCATCGAAGGGACTCTCGAGCGCAAGTCTCGTGCCGGTATACTGAAGGGCTACAACACTGGTTACTTTGTTGTGACTCCGGCGCGCTACCTGCATGAATTCAAGGACAATGACGACTTCCGCCACGAACCGACTCCCGAGCTGTCACTCTATCTCCCGGACTGCGTTATTGGTGGAATCGACGGCGTCAAGTTCAGCGTAAAGGGTAAGGATGTGTCCAGCGGCAAGGTCGGTAACGCCTTCCACACCACCACTGAGCTGCATTTCAAGGCTTCCACACCGGCCGATGCGGAGAAATGGTGGAACACTGTCAAGAGCTGCATCGACGGCCAAGGAGCTCATCATGCCGCAACCTCGCCTATAAGCCCCATAGCTAGTACAGCAACCACGCCTGCCGGCAGTAGAAACGTCAGTGCTGTGCAGCCGAGTGGCTCCCTTGAGAAGGAACTGGAAGCAAAGGGGGAGATCCCCGAGACGACTGCGGCCCAGGACCATGCCGAGGAAGCGACCGCTCAAGCAGCTACAGAGGGTGCTGGAGCTACTAAAAAAGAGTGAACGCGCCCACTGGCATGATTACGACAGAACAGTAGGCCACTGGATAAATACCGTCCTATATGCTCAATGTAGTACCCTAAGGTCATTGGATGTGCAGCCATATCATCTGCGTGATAACAGCATCTATCGACATTTCCTATACCACCTTACGCGTCATGTAATTATGAGTTGGATATATGGTCTTTATTGATTGCTTCCCTTCGGTTCCTGATATTGGGCCTAAGAGACCCAAAATATAACTGCACTTCTTTGTAGGTCAGACCCTTCGCGAGGCGATTGGCTCTGCAGTATTGTAGTGATTATGAAAGCTCTGTCGGTTTATCTTCAAGTATTGGTCAGCTTGCCACAATGCGCGGTGTGAAAGCCAATGTATTCGGTGATAGGGAATGAAATGAAATGTATAAATCAAGTTGGTGCCCTCCACCCTAGGACATTGATGGACGCTCTCCCCCCTCCCCGGCTCTCTGCAACAGTTGACCAATCCTCTAAGATATGTTCCATCTGGAAGCCGTTCTTTTCGAATACTCGCACACTCCCCGTATTTCCAACGTATGTAGATACCTTGATAATACGCGCGTTCATGTGGGGGACTGCCCATTCGTTGATAAGAGCCCGTACGACAGCGGTCATGATCCCTCGGCCGTGATGCGAGGAAGCTAGATAATCTTTGCGCCTTGGATTTAGTACGGTTTTCTACGTGGTATATCTCCTGAAGAATCATAGAAGTATACATACCTCCTATCGTCCAGACAATCTTCTCATCCCCAGATTCTAATTTGGCATTGCGTTCCTGCGCTTCCTTCCGCTCCTCACTCCCTTCAGGCAATTCATAGAACGGATATCGCATAATCCCCACATCTCCGATGAGTACATCCTTCTCCCATCCAGCATCATCATCCCAATCGCCATCTACATCCCTTTCTCGAACAATCTCCCTAATACTTGAGAACGGACACCCACCGACATAACCCCCGCTCGCGCCTTCGCTTGCCTTCCTCGCCGCCGCCAAAAACTGCTCACTCGCCGCGAGGGTTTTCCGGAAGAACACCTCTGCATGAGAGAGCAGGTATGGATGCGGCGGACTCGCGAGGAACGGATACACGCGAGGGTCGTTGAGGATGGAGACCAGCTGCGCGCAGTCAGCAGGGTCGGGATCCGTCGAGTCAGGTCCCGCGCGGCGCGGAGGGGTTATGATGATATTGGAGTGAGGGGCAGGGAGGGGAATGTAGAGCTCCCCTGTTCGAGGATTGGTTTTTATGGGCATTGTAGATTATCGTGTCTTTCTGTTTCGGCAGGATATTAAACAAAGGAACTGATGTTTCAGGATCGAAGTAAGTAGTAGGTGAGTCCTACTATGCAGTAGACACCGAATAAGAAAATGCAGATAGGAAGAAAGAGAAAAAAGCCTTCTTAAATATATAAACCTCGACATATGACTCGTATGTAAGGACTGTTCTCCTTTTGTTTCTCTCTTGTCAGGCGCTAAGTAGGTACTTAAGACTCATCGTAGTTACCGGTCTAGGTGAGTCACCCACATCCTCAACGTAGGTTGTAACTATTAATCGCAACTGTGAGATCTCCTGCAATTCTGAGGTCAGACCACGTTCAATGATGAGATGGACTATTATTATGGTGTCATTATTCCAGATCGACCTTTTCCCCTGTCGTAAAAAGTGGTCTTTCAGTGGTTGTTTTATATACTGCCATTTGTTGCGCTTCCGTCAGTTCTTCCACGCTGGGGCTTTCATCCAACCATTTGGCGCAGCTTCTGAAGTAGCAGTCTCTCAGATATGTCTGGAATTCATATCTTTCACCTATATCCTCTGGACAATCCAAGTTGGATGCAGAAAAGTTAAATTAAAGATCCTCGTCTAGATATATATATAAAGTCCGACAATGTTATGATTAATTGTGATACAACTTGGAAGGCGGAATGATCCTCAAGGCTAGAATAGGAAATATCATGTGGCGCAGTCCAGAGGCGCAATAGACAGAGGAATTGCAAAAAACCGTCAGACGCATTTCCAGATGGGCTTCTTGTAAGTTGCACAAATCCTTGTTAGGAACTTGCCCTGGAATTTCCTACAGCGCCTCTATGTCATAACAGACATGGAAACTCTACATCCAGGCTTCAGAGAGGTAAGAGAAGCGGGAATCGAATATGGGCTTGAGGTCTTAAGCCAACTAACGATCACGTTCTTCAGCCCCGTTCTTCCTGGGCTGATAGCATATATCAGCGACGAACGAAATATGGCGTAATATATTAGCATAATAAAACTATCACAAGGAACAACTGGGAATCCTCACATGCGATTCAGCCAGTGGAAGGAGGATGGTTTTCCAAATACGACACCAGCACAAAGAGAATGACAGAGCTTAGTCCTGTGGAGAGTAGGTAGCCACTATCCCAGGTTTTAAGGGGTCCTTGGTGGCGTCACGATTGGGATTAGTTAAGGAACGAGCTTTCTAAGTATTTTTTTTTTGTTTTTCATCAGGCTTTTTTCACAAGAGCTGTCTTACTCTACTTACAGAGCTAGCTAGGTGCGGATCTGGTATGGCAGTACGAAGGAGACCTGCGGCTCCGACCCTCGGCTCCGATGTTGGTGGCAACGGCCTTGTATCGCCAAGTCCTAGCTCCATCCCTAGATATCTTCTATAAAAATGTCAGATCTAGCATTAGGTTGTACCAGAACATAGTGACCATTTAGTTTCTTTGAACTAGGTCAAGTCATTCGTTATTTCATGTAAAGCAATTTCAGCTCTTCACTCTCTACCGCAAGTACTTCGACTGCATTGCGCATTGATCCACAAGCCGCATCCAAATCAATCACCATTCCCGACTGCCTTGGTCATATTTTGAGATGTCTGATCTACCAACATTGGTCTTCATACCTGGTTCCTGGCATAAACCTACTTGCTACAACAAAGTCACCAAAATCCTCCAGGGGCAGCACAACTTGAACTGTGTCTCTGTCACTCTCCCATCTACAACAGGCAACCCAGCCGCGACTTTCAAAGATGATCTCGATGCTGCCCGCGAAGCCATATTCAATGAGACCACCCACGGGCGCAATGTGGTAGTTCTTGCGCACTCTTATGGTGGTATTGTTGGCAACAGCGCAATTAAGGGTTTCATACGGCCACAAGATGCCACCGCAAACGAAATTCAACCCTCAACAACGGGCTATGTTATTGGCCTCATTCTTATAGCCAGCGGCTTTGCCATGACAGGATTCTCCTTTATGGATCCATTTTTTGGCCATCCACCTCCTTCCTGGCGTGTCAATAACGAAACTGGCTATGCCGAGCTTGTCACATCTCCACGCGAGCTCTTTTATCATGACTTACCCGCAGATGAAGCGGAATACTGGATTTCTCAGCTCACTACCCAAAGCCTTAAAGCACTGTTTGAGGGTGGTGAGTACGTATATTCTGGCTGGAAGGATGTGCCAGTCTGGTATATTGGCACCACCGAGGATCGGGGTTTGCCGGTGCTGGTGCAAAGAATCCAGGTGGGCGCTGTGAGAGAGCAGGGTTGTAGCGTGGAGCATAGGGAGCTGCAGACGAGTCATTCGCCGTTTCTGAGTCAACCAGAAATGACGGCAAGTATTATACTTGAAGCTGTTGAGGCATTTACGGGGAAATCGAAGGGAAACGAATCTACAATGGTTGGAAGTGGCCATGCAATAGCAGTTCCAAGGGCTACACTCTGGCAGCCTTTCACGTGGTTTAGATTTGGGCTACCTCTGGCCTTTGGTCACTTGATAGGAAAGGGAGTTCTCCTGTTCAATTGGGGGAAGAGATTACGGAGGTCTGGGTCTAGCTAACGTACTCGTTATCATCGGTTTTCCACCGACGTTTATAAAGAGATGAATATATGCTTTTGCAACATTTGTATCGTGTTAGTAAGAGACGCTTTAAAGAACTCTTACTCTAAAACCTTAAGCGTCATACGGCTAGCCACCCATTGTTTTCCCTCCAACTTACTATGGAGTCTTTACTACGATCTAGCTAATTATATCACAGGTGTATTCCTACGTAGCGTAGGTGACTACTTAGTTCCCCTAAATAGCAATATTCAAGCTTATTGTAGCCTCGATAACGAAATGTGTCTGCTTCCGAAGCAGAACGTGACTCGCAGCTGCATCTACGGTGGTCCGCGCCTATACTATACGGTCAATGGAGATACGTACGATATCATCGCGCGCAGGCTGAACATTACTATGGAGTCAGTGATGTCGAATATGAAATCAAATGAGACCGCGACAACACCTCTGGCACCGGGGCAGTTCGTTAAGATCCCGGTTTTCTATCCGAGCCAGTGCGTGGTCCAGCCGTATTCGTTCAAGTATGGTGTCCATAAGGATCTGGCTGAAAAGTTTGGTACGACCGTCGGGCAGATCATGATGTTGAGTCCGACGTATAATTATAGCAGCAGTGCGCTGCGCGGGGAAACTCCGCCGTCGATTAACGTCGCTATTAACTGCACGCTGCTGTCGAGTAACTACATAGTGTTGGATTGATCTGTCTTTGTCGATGAGGGTGCTTCTAGGCAATTCGAAGGGAGAGGGGAGAGATAGGGATCGTCCGTCATTGTAGCAAGAGCTGTGATCACTTGAGTGTATATTTGATCTATATATGATATTTAACATGTATGCCTCGCCATCCAGATCGCAGCATGTCAATGATTAATAACAATGTACAGTAAGTACATACAGGGACCGCATCCATCCGGGTATCACGTTTGCCTGAACTCCAAAACGAGATAGATTCAAAATATCTGGCTCTATCCAGAAGACCAGCTGCAGAGGACCAGTTTGACTGACGGACTAGACATTGAATAGCCTGCGCTCACCCCGTTGAGCCCGCCAATAATTAGTCGAAACCAGCAGCTCCCTACACCCGCTGAATATCCAGAACCACTTCTGCGCGAAATGCTCCGTCATCTCCCAGGCGTACGGATCCCAGGGATCTCCCCAGATCATGATACCCACTTGTCCTGTGCTGCCATCTCCACATTGACCGATGAGGTCGTTGCAGAACTCAACGTCATCGTAAGTCCCATCCGCTAGGAGGAGGGCATCTCTAAAAGACGGATACGGGAAGGGGTCGATCCAGGGGTGATGTGGGATAGTTTTTTGAAGCATCGTCGGAAACAATATTGGCGGCAACTGAAGCGTTGAATCGGTATAGTTCGCCGCATTGAAAGGGGAGATGGTATCGTCTTTCATATCCTTCATGTCCAGACCCAGGACAGTCATGTTCTGCAGTATGGCGCGGAAAACGTTGAATTGAGTCAGAGTGAGCAACATGTCCGCTGCCGGATCATGTTGCAGGCATTTCTGGACCTTGGCTTCGAGCCAATCGATAAGCTGCAGGGTTGAGGGCGCATCTATTTCGCAGATATAGAACGTTCCCTCCTGCGGCCTGGCCATCCGTTGTTCATTGCGGCCCCTTTGCTGTGAAACGGCAGCAGCACCCGACGATACGATAGTGGCTTCAACCACGTCTGCGTCGGGGCTTGCGCCATCGCTACTAATAGTACCTACACTGTGGCTGCTGTTCTCATTATCGTCTTTTGATGAGGCCGTGATGGAGCCGGCTTCACTGTCGCTTTTCCTAGGCCGACCTCGTGGTCGCCGCACGATGCCTTTCTGGAGATCCTCAATAGCCTTGCGCTCTCCTACATAATAATACATGTCAGCAGCGTCCATGCGATACTCACCATCAAGTCTACCTACGTCGCGCCCGTTGATTCAGCCGATTCTGTAGCTTCCGTCGTTGCGCGGCACTACTGCGGCCGGTCCAGTCCTCGTCCGCTTGACGGATGTGGGCTACTGAAGCCAGTGGACGCGATGGTATCTCAGCCATCTGGCATGGAAGTGGCTGACAGATATATTTATTTAACGTTGGTAGACAGAATGGGTAAATAAATTTGAAATAGAGATGGGGGGAGGTGTGTAAGCTTACATCTTATAGATCGCTGCAACCTGCTGACCGATTTTTTTGTTAGGTTTTGCCGCATCGGGAAAGGTTTTTAACTAGCCCTGTCTATCTGTACATCAAAAGAGAGCCAGAACACTGCTTGATGACTGAATATTATTATATTCATTGGAAGAATCCAAGCTCAGCCATTGGCTCGATACTACGAGGAGAAATATGCCATCAACAATGCCAGCGGCGATAGCTTTCTACAGCTATATAAATATACATATATAAGTATATTGCGTTGAGATCTACACCTTGTCGACTGTATATTAACCTGATATATTAACAAATACCAACCCCATAGACAACCAGAATCCTTACTTATCAACTGCTATACAACTACGCAATTTCAAGTCTGTACATTATGTTGCGAAGGCATTCCATTGTCCATCCCAGCACCATGACTTCCAATCCACGCTTCAACAAAAGAACCACCGCGACTGAAGTTGCCAAAGCATACTCCGAACACATCAAAGGAAAAACAAGTACACGCTACTTCCTCATTACTCCCCAACACCCCCTACTAAACTAAAGAAAATATAGTCCTCATCACCGGCGTCTCCCCAACCAGTATCGGAGCCAACACCGCCTACGCCCTAGCATCAGGCGAACCCGAACAAATGATCCTCGCCTCTCGAACAAAGAAGAACATCGACGCCGTTCTCGACAATATCAAATCCCACTACCCTTCCGTGAAAGTAACACCTCTAATCCTCGACCTATCATCCCAAAAATCCGTCCGCGACGCCGCCGCCGAAATCAACAGCACAATCACCAAAATCGACCTCCTCGTCGCGAATGCTGGAATCATGGCTCTCCCCACACGCACGCTCTCACCGGATGGAATCGAATTACAATTCGCCACGAATCACATCGGACATTTCCTCTTCACAAACCTCATTATGGACAAGCTACGAAAAGCAGCGACCTTGTCGAGAACGCCAGGATCCACTCGCGTGGTGATGCTAACTAGTAACGGCCATCGGTTCTCACCTGTTCGATTCCACGATTACAATTTCGACGGAAAGCCTATCCCATCGGAAGAAGAGCCAGGCACACAGGCGATGATCGATCGAGGGATCGGATTCCCCGCGTTCGACGAGCAGGGTTATGATAGGTTTGTGGCGTACGGCCAGTCCAAGACGGCGAATATCCTCTTCGCTTTATATTTGCGTGCGAAACTTGCTCGTGAGGGGATACAGGCGATGTCGGTACATCCAGGAGGTAAGAGCAATCCCCATCCATCCATCCATCTTAGCTACCTAAGTACCTAAAAGACACACACACACACATATATATATATACATCATGAACACTTCCCAGTGTGAATATCGTTTCTAAACATTGGATCCTTGTACTTATGGTATGTACTGTATATACACAGCAATCGGAACGAACCTCATCAGATACTATACAAATTCACCCATCACAAATACCATTGCACGCTGCATCCTCCGAACCAACGGACTACTCGGAATCGGCCAGTTCAAAACCACCGACGCCGGTGCAGCGACCACTATCGTGGCCGCTCTAGATCCGAAATTGAGTTCTTTGAAAGGTAACCGGGTTCATCTTCGTGCTTGTTATTATTATTATTATTACTACAAAAGAAACAAAATATCAACTAACAGATTCTAATCCTAATTTTCTCAGATACCGACGGGATATACCTCCAAGACTGCCAATTCGGCTCCCCAGCCGCGCACGCTACGGGGTTTGAAGCCGCGGAGAAACTGTGGTCGTTGAGTGAGGAGCTTGTTGGGGAGAAGTTTGTGATTTGACTTTTTTTCTTTCCTTTTCCTTTTGGGGGCCTGGGTTGGTTTATTTTGATTAATTATATACAGGTGTTGGTGACATAGTATAGATAGATTTCTTTCTCATTTGCTTTTTTAATATTAATGGTACTGATGGACAGGGTTATGTTGATATATCCTTCTCTCTTTCTTGAAAGGGTAATATAGTTACCACATGATACAAGAAACCACATGTGTGTGCCATTGCTATTTCCAGAATTACTAACTGTCGTAATTTGCATCCTTACAACTCAACTTCATTGCAGCCACGGGTGGCGGGCCGTTAACGGACCGCTACCCGGCATTTATTACACTCAGGACTCACGTGCAAATGATACCGAGGTAAGATTTAAGGAGACAAGTTTCGGCTGTAGATCAATAATAATAATATCTCATCTCAGTCACAAGCTATAGTATGCAGTAATAGCACCTAAGTAGCATTATTAGATACACGACTTTTTATCTGGAAGGGTTGGAAATGACGAATCAAAAGAGTTTGGCTTCTAAATAAAGTAAACATAATAATATGCAAGGGTACGTGCGTAATTCGTGCCGAAAAAGGAATCATTATATTCGGCGTTGCTAGTGTCATTCGTCATAAATCGACGCTGGTTCGTTCCAAGCCTTTTTCGTGTCTCAAAAGCCCACCATCCCATCTCTATACGAAAAAACAGAACAAAAACGCCCAATGATCAACACGCCAGCGCAGTTGGAACGTTCGGAATTATGGAATAAAAGGCTAGGGACGTCATTCAATATTTTCAGCCGTTGAAACGCCGGGGTGCAAGAGCCGAGAGGATCCGAGAACAAATCACCGACAGAGCAAAGCCACAAAATATAACCTTGCAGTACGAATCACTGCAGTCTAGACACCAAAGAATATGGGGCTGCGGGAGCAAACCGCGCGTTTCTTTGGGAAAAAAAGGACAAGAAACTACCCCCGAAGGGTTCAAACTCCATGTGCGCCGGATGCCTCTTCCAAGAGGCCATGCACGAAACTGCTTTCTTCTTTTCCACACAGTAAGGTCATTCACCGGATTGGCACAGCTTAACGATACCTAAGCATGGTTCAGACGTCAAGCGGCGCGAGTATGAGTAAATAAAGGGAACGTCGGACATCGGCGATCTCAACGCAGAGCTATTACGGCTATGGTGTCATCAGCCTCGAGCTCGAGCTTGAACCATTCGTACTCTGCGCTCCTCCTCTTCCGAGGCACCATGACTCGAACTGCGGCTGTGGAAGAAAGAGGAACGGTGATACGCATCTGCGAATGAGAAATGCGAGTGTCCGCGACCGCCTCTCAGATGAACCTGCTGGGGAGACGACGGGGGCGGGGTGACAAGATCTCCTGCAACCGCCGATTCGTAGTCTGGAAGATCGGAGGCGTAGGGCGTTCTCACGGCCGTGCGGACCGCGGTGGAGTAGCTAGGAACACGACTGAGATTCTCAACTTCCAGGTACTGGGGGTAAGGCGTCGCCATTCCCGAGGGGATGTGATCATGGTCGACCTCATCGGACAAGCGGTGCTCCGCGCTGCCCGGACTCTGCGAGTTGGAGTGCGGTGGGTGGAGATTAAAGTAATCCGGAGGGCCGGCGGGACGGCGGTTCCCCGCATCGACTTCCGAGGTATTATCGTTGCTGCTGGCGTCAGGGGGATGACCGGTCGCGCTGGCATGAAGCCTTGTCAATCGACTGTGCAAGGCTTGCGCTGAGATGTCGGCGCTGGTCAGGGCTGTCATCGAAGCCAAGTTTTCGGTGGACAGGTTCCGGCTGAGGGTCCCGAATGGGGTGCCCGGGCCGCTCACGGCTCCAGGTGTCCGGTAGCCGCTGATGTCGAGGGAACTGTAGAGCTGATCGAACTGGTGCTCTCCGTACAGCGGAGGTGCTTGCTGGGCAAGATCGTCCACTGCGCGCTGGGCGGACTGGGGGGTCTGGTCAACGAGGTTGTTGTTCTCGTCAATCGCGAGGTTTGGAGAGATGAAGACGGATACGGGCAGAGTTGCACGTAGCTAGATGACGTGTCAGTGATGTTATTATCACTCTGATAATCTATCCCTTCTTACCTCACTAGTATGGCCATCGGGGTTGTGGAGTTGGACTCTGAACTTCAACTTGTGTCTGATCTTGATGCCCTTGGCGTCCGCATCCTGGAGACACTTGGACAAGGTCTTGGGCAGGTCCAGATAGCGAGAGAATTGATAGCCTTCGGCTTCCTCGTCGATGATATCCAATTCGGCCCCTTCTTCCAGCTCGTAGTTGTCAGAGATGATGGTCCTTGACGTCTTATAAGTGTTCCGGATCGCGTCAGGATCCTCGGGATTGAGCGTCAGATCATGACTCTCTATTAGCTGAGAGGTGATCTGTCCGATTTTAAGGCCTTTCAAAAGCGGTATCAACTTGAAGTCTACCCTCAATGATGTACCAAAGATGACAGCTTTGCTGGGAGTGCTAATCGAGTATTCGATCTTGTTGGGCCACACATTCTCGACGGACTAGAGTCTGTTAGTCTATACTTGGTAACAGGAGAAGAAAAATAAGGGAACCTGTCTTACCATCACATGAGACAGCTCGAGAGCACTGGGATCCAGCGTCCGGATAATCCTGAGCGGTTTCCTGACTACTATGTCCTTGGCGTATTTCCGTCCGATCTCGGCCTTGAATCGGTAGGCAATCCAGGTGTCACTCAGACCCTCAATGCTCTCAGGCAAAGAGCCCTCGAGAACGACATCGAACGGAAATTCGTAGTTGTCTGCCGGAAGGATCTCAGTCTTGCCCTTGGGCGCCTCCCGGAATGTCCATGTCTTTTCGTAGAACGCGCGTTCCCTCCATGGTTTCCTAGCACCCGCGGAGCTCGAGGGAACTTGCCAACTACCAGGTTGTATGTTAGTATATCCCGTTGTCGCCATGAGCATTCGTCTTGAATACTAGGAATACTTACCAGATGCGAGACATGCCCGTCAAGTGTAGCTTCAAATGTTTAATTGTCAGAGGTTCTGTGATACAGAGGACCACTGTTCCGCAGAGATGAGCGCTGGCGGCTTCATCTTCACCCCCGCGAAAAACAATGTAGGGATCATCCAGCCTGTAGGACATTTCACGGTCAGTCGTTCCGTCGCATTCCAACCGCCATTTCCTCCTGCTCTGCGCTTTTTCAGACTTGACTTACCTGATGTCGAAGTACTTGGCATGGCTGGCACCACTGCCAAAGAAACTCAGGGCCATGGCGGCGTTCTGCGGTGCTGCTAATGCGCAGCTGCCAGCAGAGAAGAAACACGGGCAACCGTGATGAAGATGATAAGAACAGTCGCGCGCGACGCAGTGGAGGGGATAATAAAGAAAGGCGCCGCGACAAAAATGCTTTCCGGTGAATGGTAGTAGATAGCAACCACAGCTTCCTGGACAGCGCCAGCTGGGTCTAGCAACGGGTCCCACTGGGGGAGTCCTTGGGTGCGCAGAAGAGCCGTTTCCGTCGTTGATTTTTTTGGCGCCAGACGGAGTGGCAAGGCGGAGCCCTTTTTAGAATGGTAAAAGACGTTCTCTCGCTGCTGATGCGCCAGCAGAGTGGGAACTAAATACGCAATAGTCGACTAGGGGGAGCCAAAAAAAACTGGAACAGGATACTGCTGTCAGAACGAAGATGAGGCGTTGCTGTTGCAGATAACGAAGCTGGGCTTCTTATTGTGGAAGGGAGATCATTAAGGGGATGGGGCGGGGTGATCTGGAGCGACAGAAGAGCCAGGTGAGCGTGTCAGAGAAAAGAGAAGAGAAGCGACAGTCGGGTGATGCGATGCCGGATGCAGGAATCTGTCCATGAATGAATGAATGAACGATTAAATAAATTACTCTTAACTTATGGTACTGGATGATTCCCTCATCGTGAGATGCAAGCCAGTGTGTTTAATTACGTCAAAGACCGTACCATACCATACTTATCTTGTACCGGTTGTTACCGAGCGGTGGAGTATATCATATTAATACCCGGCAGTTACTGGGTACTAGCTAAATAATTACAGTGACAATAATATATAGATAAAAGAGACAGACAGAATACAACAAGATGGGTCGAGTAATCGGAGCATCGTCGCCAACAGTACTGTTCGCTGGCAATGCTGTGAATTCCCAAACAACCAGCGCACCATGAGGGGCAGAAACACGGCGAAAATACTGAAGACGGAGTCCGCAGCTTTCTCCCCATGGTCCAGCCCATCCTTCACAGGATCTGATCGACCGCACCGCATCAGCCGCCCGGGCGATCTTAGGCTAGCAAGTTTCCAGTTCTCTCTCCTGACTGCTTGCTTGCTTGCTTGTTTGTCCTGGAAATTTATCCGTACGGATAACGGCACATCCATCCGTCCATACGCACCATCAGCACATAAGTACCGGTGTGTCGACTCGGAACGATAATAGAATCAATCGAATCAATCCAAACAGGAAGAGAGAAAGAAGAGTACTCTAGAGAGCCACGGCAGCTCTCTGGGCCCTGCGTGGCATGTTCGACGCGTCGATGGAGCCCTTGGGATCAGACCGGCAACGCCCCGCCAGAGCATGCCCACCAGCACATAATAATATTCTATCTAACCAGAGTCGACTACTCTACGATATAGGAGAAAAGGCAGACTGGGATAAGCATGGCCTGTTCCCAATCCAGCAAACTATCAGGTGGAAGAGATTTTTTTTTTTTTCTTCTGACCTCCCTGTTCCAGAGGGTGGTAAAACCCCCGTCATGCGATGCAGATACTGTTCCGCATCGCAACGCTCGCCGTGGCGAGGAAACACCTATTAACTCGCATCAGCAGGCCGTGTTCCGATGTTTGTTTGTGCCATCTGAGATTCGATCCAAAAGAGGGAAGCATATCAAAAAAAAATAATATCCCGCCATCATCCGGCGCAGACCATATCCTTCCGTCACAGATGGCATCATTTACCCTGGTGGCCCCAGCACTGCGGAATCTTAATAGCACCCCCGAGTCTTCTAGAAAAACTACGGCTGTCAGCACGCTGATTCCTGTATCAGCCAATCGAGTTTTGACTGAGCAGTTCTCTTCCGCTTGAGCCGTGAGAAATAAATAATAAACATGGTATCCCATCCGGGAGTCAGTTACTGTAGAGTTCAGAGTCTACAGACAGGCAGTGAGGCTTGCTTACTAGTGCCGGTGCCATCCTTACGGTACCGTACTGAAGATTATCTAGATCCGGTAGCGACATGGCTCGTCCCTGGCATCCTTGCTGTGGTATCAACTTTCCAGTGCCATTATTCTGCAACAACAACAATATCAATATCAGGAACAACGGTGGAGTGTGTCAATCGGTGACTCAGACCGCCCTGAGGCCCCGATTCAGTTTCTCCCCTAGTATCATGGCCTTTCCTGTAACGTGCGATCTTCATGGAGAAGAAAAAAAAAGGCCAAGACCAGGACAACAAGCTCATTTAGGCACGGAGTAGGCCGATAACTATTATTACTATTCTTATTATTCTTCTTCTTAATATTATTATTATCGGCTGCAAATTTTCCCACCAGGGCGGAGGCAATCCCGATTGAACCGACCGACATCCCGTCACATGCCGTCGGGGAACGTCGCGTTTCTCCCGAGAAGCCGCGAAAAGGTGACCCGATGCTCGCATCACTTGCCATGTAACATCTCTGCCTCTGCCTCCTTTTCTCCGCTGTCATCTCGACGAGATGCGTGGCTATGGCCAGCAGGGATGCTCTGGCCATCCCTCGAGGAGGCCAGCAGCTCAGCAGCCATCCACACGCAGCCAGTCTAGAACCCGGCTGCGATAACGCGTCGTCGGGGACGGTGATATCGACTTGTCAAATGTCAATAAAATAATCAAACCTCAAAGGCCTTATCGGCTGCGACTTGCCAGTAGTGCCCCACTGTTCTCATCCCAACAAACCTGCGAGCATTTAATTGCTATGGTATTGGTATTTTATTATTGTTATGTATTCAGGTACCAATGTCCATCAGGCATCTCTGAGGCAAGGCGTCCGTCCACTCGTGCAGGCCCCGCGCGTGGCCAGAACGGCCGCTGTCAATCACATCATCGGGAGCCGGCACACAGCCTGTATGGTATCTATGGCTACTACTATCTACTGCTGCTGCTGCTACTGTACCATATACTACTATCCGGAGAACTGTGGACCGTTCCGCGAGACCAGAAAACCGTCCACACCGGCAGCTGCTCTGACAGCCATTATTATTATGATTGATCAAGGCTGCCAAGAGTCACCAGCCTGCGTGTTTTTTTCTCCTTTGGCCTGTGCATAACGCACATGCAGCCATCCGTCTTCTGGACCGCTTCGACGACGCACATCGCGTCGTCCGGATGATTCCCGGGGAGGAGCTTACTTGGAACCTATGAAGATCCTGTGAAGATCCTGTCGCAGGAGATGAAAGAATCAATCAACGGCTCAAGGTGCTTACACCCATGGTCCGCCCACACCACCTGCAGTGCGCCGTAGTCAGTTTTCTCCTTGCATATGTCGATAGTCATAGAAGCAACGGAAAAGTCTACCGTCGCCTATATGGACCTTTTATTCCCGCTAGCTACAGACCGACCACCAAAAAGACCACCAAAACTCTCGCCGTCCTTCCAAGATAAGATTATTGTCTAGACATGCAAGGTCCTTGCCAGAATAGAATTTGTTCCGGTCAGACCTGGTGGATCAGACGGTCTGCAATTCTCACCAATAATCGCGCCGGCATCTTGCACGGACGTTTCCTGACGCTGGATCTACGGCCTTTCCGCCCGAGGGGCCCTTCGTTTTATATAGAAACGCGGTGAGTGGATTATTATTATTGCTCGATTGACTATCTCAGATCCAGGTAGATGGCTAGCGGCAGACCCACTTGGTATATCCGAACTTTTACTCTTCAAGAAGGCAACAAAAGACACACCGGAGCACGATCTGGGAAACGGACAGAGAGAACTTAAAAATCTCACGGGCCGGCGCTTGTCTTTCTCGGGATATTCGAGGCGTTTTTCTACTGGATAACTCCGGTGCCGCGATTATTATTATTATTGAATCGGCCCTGTTCCCGGTTTTTATCTTTTTCTTTTATTTTATTCTCAGGGAGGTTCACCGGTGGGAAGCCAAGAAAATCCGTGCATCGGACTACTCATGGTCTGCAGGGTCTTTTGGCTGGTAAAATGTAATAAACTTGACCCATAGTCTAACTACCATACCAGTACAGCTTGATTGTGGTAGTTGCAACCTTCGCCACCAGGATATCTTGTCTCATCATGCCTTTTCACATGCCACCTGCATACCATGAGACCTCAATAATGCCACGTGAAGCTCTGACTCTGTCACGGGCCAGTCAAGATGATAGAAACTATTGATGCTTGCAATAAAGTTATCAGGGCGTAATAAGCGTCGACGCTCTAGGAAATAGTACGCAGGAGAACCTTGCCCATCCTGTGGGTATTCGACGAGTGACAAGGTCGGGAGATCAACCGGCCCTAATAGAGTATATTTCAACCGTTCTAGATGCAATGTGGCTGTTTGAGCATCAGTCGACATCTGAGTATTCAAAAAAATAATATCCTTCTGCAATACACATGCACAATATCGCTGTCCATCCTCAACGCACCTTGTAACCTCCATTTATGCAAGAACAACCGTTCAGATATGAGAGTGTGTGAAAAATACTATTGTTTTATTTTTATTTACTGTTTACTATTTTGATTCTTATTCTTATTTTTATAGTCTATGATAAAAATATGAGAATCCTCAGACAGTCGTCTTGAAAAGGGTCGAGTTGTCATCATATTATGCTAACTATATTGCGCCAAGTTGAACCGGGTACAATACAGTAGTAGGCAATGCCGTTAGAAACATAACCATAGCTCAGCGTCTTGTGGTATGTTTATATCAGCTATAGGATTAGTTTTGATACTGGGTTGTTAATTCGTGAATGTCATTGCCAAATAGAATCCGCGTGAATATCGATATCCGGCTTGAGGCTGATCAACGGACTGAGTCGATCCCCATCCCATCGATCACGTCAACAGAGATATTCCGAATCAAACGATATCCAGTGGCAATCAGAACATCGCCATTCGATTCAAATGATTGTACTCCAGTCTAGCCATCAGTACTTATACAGACTGTGGGAGTTTCCAACGTAACTCCCCTTGGAATGGAATCGCAACCCCAAGAGACCCGTACTGATGTAAGATACCAACTCGAATCCAGCGCAGGAACAGGTTAAGATATCATAGCCCGGCGAATTCCATCCCTCCATTTCGTTGGTCGAGTCCACCCTCGCGGAGGCGAATCACTTCCTCATCTCGCGACCTGGGGTCATCCTGACATCATACGAATGAAACTCTCACGAAGCTCTAATATATAGATTTTACCCAACAAGCAAGTTCCGTTTTCTTTTCCATTTTCGAATGAAAGAAAAAAAATATCTCTTTTTCTCAGATAATCAGAAAAGGAACTCGAAATATCGAACGTTATAAATCAGTGTGACAAGTGACCTCTTTGAACGGCATACTCCGCGATCCTTGATATTGGCATAACCTCAACAACTATCCTGTATCATTCCAATATCTATACGCATCTTGGACCCTTTTCGCGACCATGAGCAGACAAGTTACCAAGCCCCGTCGCACGGATTTTGAAATCAAGGAAGGACCGCGGATCGGTCGGTCGGATCATACTGTTCCAGAGGTTTCGCCAGGTGTATGTTACTTATTACCATCGACCTACTCGTGATTTCATCACTGTGATCGACACGAATATACTTAGATATGCAACGAATATGGATTCAGATAACATGCTAACCGTCCGATGTGATGCAGGACGCTCCGCCGCCACACGTGCGCAACTCGAAAGAAAAGCTCCGGCAGTTCGTTCGGGCTACCAACCCTGGTCCTCAGAAGGGAGCTACCACGGGTCGCACTCCTACGGAAGAAGAAGAGCAGAATAATAGACCGGAGGAATGAAGGTAGGAATCATGATGGAAGAATAGGTACTGGTATGAAATCATGGGGGCGATGATAACGATGCTCTCGTGGGATATACGTTTAGGCTTCTAGCATTTTACATATGTGGTATATGTCGAAAATAAACTCTTTATTTGCTCGTTTCAGTATGTCTTTCGTGAGATTGCACTTAACTGAAGATATGATCAGTACTTGATGATAAGTAGTTATAGGGATTCATTATTGAGTAGTTGCTCTCCAATGGAAAATGCACTGGCTTTACGAACAGCTAGATTGTTTCTGATTGCTAATACCATATGAACAGATAGAAAACGATAGAAAATACAAATCATGTTTCCAGAAGGCATACAGTTCCGTGTGTATCTTTCTTTCATGAAGAACCACCGCCCACCAATAGATTCGCTCACTTCGGTGATCGCGGCGCCGAGATGTCCGTCTGAACTACAAATCCTTCAACGAGCGCCACGGATGGTAGTCAATTATTCTCTGAATAATTTCGTAATAAAAAAAACACGGCCTGCAGTTCCACTTAAATTTCAAGTGGAGATTGCTCAATGGCACAATATGGTCAAAATATCAGTAACCATGTCGGCCCCGAGTCCGCCGCCGCAGCCTCTACAAAGAGGAACAATATTCCTCTCTCTGATCTCGGAGAGTCTGGCCAGGTTGGACTTTCTGTTTTTGAGACCGACGAAAAATCTATTATTCTACTCATTTCTATATGCAATTGATGATTCCAATGAAAAGCCTACTCTTCTGGTCACGTTCCAATAATGATCATGCATCGACTGCCTCGACGACAACAATGGCGTCTGATACACCGACACATTATGAGATGACGACTTCAGAACAGAAGCTGCCCGCGGACAAATTCCCTGAAGGGGGATATGGATGGGTCTGTGTTATTTGTACCTTTTTCGTCAATGCACATACGTGGGGTGTTAACAGTGTATGTGAAAATGGAAAATAGCATAGATTTTTTCGACCTCCTTCAAGACTGACCAAAATGCAGGCATATGGTGTCTTCCTTGCCTATTATCTCTATTCAGACGTATTTCCAGGTACTACAGCCATAGACTATGCATTCATTGCTGGCCTCAGTATCTCTGTCGCTATGTTCATATCTCCGCTAGCTACCTATCTCTCCCATAAAGCAACCCATCGCTTCGTTCTCAATCTCGGAACCATACTTGAGACGCTATCACTCATAACAACCTCATTCGCCAAAAGAAACTGGGAACTCTTCCTTTCTCAAGGAGTCTGCTTTGGACTCGGCTTGGGGTTCTGCTATATCGGCTCCGTGGGCATTATCTCTCACTGGTTTGAAAAACGACGCAGCGTTGCAAACGGAATTGCCGCAGCAGGTTCCGGGTTCGGGGGCATGGTATACTCTCTAGCCACAAGCGCGATGATTTCCCACTTGGGGTTTCCATGGGCGATGCGCATCCTCGGCATCCTATGCTTCTCAGTGAACACTGTATGCGGGAATCTGCTCCGGGTTCGTGGGTCAGTAGCCTCTAAGCAGCCAGCGCTGCATTTTTCACTTTTCAAGAGACCGGAATACCTTGCCTTTCTAGCCTGGGGCGCATTAAGCGCCATGGCATACATCGCGCTCTTATTCAGTCTGTCCAGCTACTCCGTAGCAATCGGACTGACACAACACCAAGGCAGCATTGCCACGGCACTGCTCAATCTAGGACAGGCTATAGGCCGCCCTGCTGTTGGGCTCCTAAGCGACAAACTGGGTCGTATCGAGGTAGCTCTCACGGCAACCTTCCTGGCAGGATTCTTGTCCCTGGTCATGTGGATCTTCGCTCAATCCATTGCAACAATCTATGCGTTTGCGATCCTGGTTGGGTTATTTTCAGGGACGATATGGGCCGCAGCACCGGCGTTGGGGGCTGAGGTAGTTGAACTTTCGGAACTCTCCAGTGCTCTCTGTTTTCTGTGGTTTATTCTAGCTCCGCCTACTTCGGTAGCGGAAGTCATAGCTTTGCAATTGAGAGGTGGAGTGGTAGGGGATAAGGAGTATCTTCGAGTTCAGCTCTTTATTGGATTTATTTATATCGGTGCTAGTTGCTGTTTGGTTCCGTTGAAATTTGGCTTTCGGAGAAGGAAACTAGAGAGAGCGAAATCGATTCCTAGAAGTTGAGGCCTAATTAAAAATAGAAATGAGAAATAAAATAAAAAAGATCCTCCTCAGATATGGCGTATACACAAAACTTAAATGCACCATGGGCAAAATTTAGAGCCTGTGGACAAACGTATTAGTATAGCGTGAATTAAGGGAGTTATAATATTTACAATTACCCTGTTGCAACTGCAGAAGCGATGAAAGCTTATAATATGCTTCTTGCCAGCTGAGGCTATAGATATATGTCAGAAGAGGCGTTTCCTCGCTTTCTTCTAGGAGTTCTCCTTTTTGGTCGACTGGCAGAAAGCCATCAATAGCCATTCTTGTAATGACACCTAGCATTCTTGAGAACGTGATCGATGCGGTCATTGGCAGTGACATAACAATAGACACATTTATATACTTATCTATAATTATCTCTACAGAATATTAGCCTCTTCAATAACTGGGAGATGATTCGTCCATTCTGGATATATGTAGGGACTGTAAAAACCTAGCCAACGCTGCTGATAAAACGCTGCAGAAGTAGCGGTAAGTTGCTCAGCATATATGCTACAGCGAGCTGGAATGATTGATTCATGATATATCTGTTGCTCCGTATCTATAGAGAGAGCTTCGCGATTCCATATGTGAAAGTAACCCAAAAAGGGCCAAGTGAGAAATGAAATGGCATTCGCGCGAATCTGCCCTAATTCATTAGAATAGGACGAAGAATCTCAGTGGCTGTGCAATCTTACCTACCCATGAGATTCTCCTACGTAGTGTCCGATCTTATTTCCCGCATGGTTTGTTCTTGGGTAATAGTCCCTCTAATCTCCCGTAGTTCAGCCGGACCCAGTAGAAGTATCAATATTATACGGCTCTCGATAGTATCTGATGGAGAACTTTCGGGGTGCTCGGCACCGAGGTTGCCGAAAGAGCTATCTTAACCCTATCCGCAGCAGGACCAGTATTTGATCTGTTTCATCAGGGACAATCCTGCTTGATGATAAAGTGTAATTCCCTAAGCAAACTATTCTGGGGAAGTTATTGTCTTTTTTTTTTCCTGAGCGAGTAACCCGTTCCGATAATTCTGCCATGAGTCACGCGCGGAAGCGCTCTTCAGGCGACGATGAAAGGCCGACAACATCTCAGCAAGTCCAGTTGCAATATTCAACCCGCAACAATCCATCATGTATCATTTGCCATAGGCGCAAAGTCCGCTGTGATCGGAAAGTTCCATGCACAAGGTGTTCACTGGCAGGTTGGACATGCGTTTATCCCAGTCCCGAACGGGATACAACTCGAAAACCTCCACCTTTACAGGATATTTCGGAACGATTAGCAAGACTGGAAACCCTTCTTCTGAACTTCTTGGATAAGTCTGTTTCTCACGATGACCCACGCCCACCGAGAGAAAAACGACAAAGAGTTACAGGACCAAATCTCGCGGCAAGCGTACGCCAGGAAAATTCCCGTCCGTGGGAGTTCTTGCTTGAGGATGGACACCGGGTTCAATATGTCAGCAATTCCAATCTGCTGGAACCGTTGGAAGATGTATAATACAATAATACCTGACTCGGGATATATGGATCGATCGAATCTAACCGTTGCGCTAGGAAGCTCGTGTGAAGTCTCCAGCAGTACCTCTCTCTAACGCGGACGCATCATCTCCTAGAACTAATCTCAATTTGAATCTGGGGGTATCTACTCAAGTTCCAAGTATTTATGCAGACATCACGCAATTTTACCCTGATGTCACACTCGCCTTGCGGTTATGGACAGTGTATGTCAACAACGTGGATCCTGTCCTCAAAATCCTCCATATACCCACCACACAGTCGGCAATGGTGGCAACAATTGCAGATACAAAATCTGCGAGTCCCACCATGATAGCATTATCATTCGCGATATACTTTGCAGCAGTTACAACCTTGACAGATAAGGAAATATCAGAGTTGTCTTCGAACGATCGACAGACCCTTCTTTACCAATACAAAACTGGCCTCAATCAGGCCGTTATCAAAGCAGACTACTTGAATAAACCGGACTTGCAAACGTTGCAAGCACTCGTGATATACATTGTAAGCTGCACTAGACATCATTGTTTCCGTGCCGTTATTAAACGATATCTTCCTTGACAGACTTGCCTCCGCATCCATGATATCTCCCGCTCGGTATGGGTCCTCGTCGGTATAGTCATTCGCTTGGCGCAATCGATTGGGATCCATCGTGACGGGGCAGATCTGAAACTCACGCCATTTGAAGCGGAGCTTCGCATACGATTATGGTGGCATATTTGTCTACTTGACTCCCGCTCACCGGAAGATCATGGGTATGCGCTTACGGTAGATATACTGAACCAGGACATTAGAGCTCCTCTCAATGTCGACGATAACCAATTATTCCCTTGCATGCAATCGCTCCCGGTTGAATCGACTTCTTGGACAGAGAACACCTTTTCTCTAGTCAAGATCGAAGCAGTCAGGCTCCTGCGTCCCGTCCTCGAAACGGGAGAACAGAACGCCGATACCATTCTTGCCGACATCGAAGCGAAACGAAAACTAATGAGCAGTCACGGTAAATGGATCCATGAAAAGTTTCTATCCAAGGCTATCCCATCAATTCCTTTACATAAATCCGCATGCGTCCATTATGACAGCGCATGGGCCAAGATGGAATTCATGCTACAACTTCGTGAAGAAATGTATCTATGGGGCCAGAAGAAACAACCATCAGACTGGCGACGAGATCCTGTGAAATCAGCCTTCCACATAGCGTGCCGAACCCTCGAGGTCAGTTGTTCTCTGATCAGCGGGGACATGTCGGATCGTTTCATGTGGTTATTCCACACGCACACCCAATGGTATGCGCTAGCATATGTCCTGCGCTGTCTCAATGTCTATGGACAATCATCGGAGATGACCAGCGTCTGGGCTCTTGTCGACAAGTCTTTCAAGGCTATATCCACTTTCCGAAATCCTTCTAGCGACTTACCGGCTCCTGGCAGTAGTGAAGGAGGTAGCATTTGGCGTTGCGTGTTGTCTCTTCGACAGCAGGCATTACGTCTGAGGAACGATCACCAAGGAACGCTGAATGACGAGGAAACTGCCTCCTCTATGGGTTGTTCATCGACGATGAACGGAGAAATGACTAACCACTTCGTACCCAAGGGCCAATCATCACAGGGTACTGAAGCTTCTGTGGAACCGCATATTCCTCAAAACTCTCGTCAAGCTGCTGCTTCAGTGAATCTGGATGCATCCGCCGAGATGATGAATCTTCCTTCTTCAAGAGCAGTGCTACCTTCAGAATCCGAGCTTGAAAAATACGATCCGGCCTCTTTGTTCACCTCCACACAGGCCCCGGAACTGTTTGCGTTACCTGAGTGGAATGACTTTATAAATGGGAATCTCGACTTTCTCAATACGTCATAGAGAGGTTGCAAATAGCAATATACCAGAAATACAATGTAAACACAAACAATCAAACCAATTAAATTACCAAGCTGGTCTTGTACTCCCCCTTATTAGGAGGAATGGTATGTCTACTGGCGTCAGCAAGAGTAGATATATGCTATCTTTAGAAGGTTCTATTGATCTTTCCGCTAATAACTCAGTACATACTGCCATGAACATGCAAATTCCTTCAGCCCACTACCTCTCTACATGAGAAAGGATAAGCACAAAGCTAGCAAAAGTACAAAAAATAGAAAAATACCTGAGTGAGTTTGTTTGTTTGTTTCCATTCGAATTCAGGAATAATAAAGATACCACGAATAAAACACATGAGAGAATCAGAGCTAAGAAATACACCAAGACGAAATGAAGAAGTTGCCCCACGCATCGTGTGACTGACATGGATGCAAATATCAGTTATACTCCGTATGTGGTCTTCGCTAAGAACCAGATTATGTCCATATGTCCGTATGTCCATGCATGATATGCATAATAAGCCAAGATGCAGAACGCGAGATTCAGAGCAAGAGGGAAAAGAAGTATAATGGTGAAACACAACGAAGAGACATAAGAGCCTGGAAAAACTGAACCGAGTTTCTCCTCTGTCGATAAGTAATTAATGGTAAGAGGGGTCACTGTGAATTCGACCTCGACGCAGGTCCAGCCGGAGTCGAGACCGACCGCTAGAGCGAAAGGCTCGTAGGACATTGCTAATTGTGACCAGTATTTATAGAGTCGCACGTCGCCCAATCTTCTTTTTCTGGCCGTTATTCGGAAACGCCATGAACGGAGGAGCTCATCAAGAAACTTAAGGAACTGATAGATATCCTGAGCGGTTCCATCAGAAGATCCATCCCAGCACGATCCACGCGCCGACTCCAGCACCAGCGACGATACCGGCCACCTTCATCACGGCGACCTTGTCACCCTGTCGCGCCATACGGGTCAAGCGGCTCGCGCTACCTCTGATATTTGTGGAAAAGGAGGAGAAGACTTCGCTCTATTGGGACAAATAACTATTCGTTAGCAACGGATCACGCGACCATAGAGGAGCCTGTATTGCCGGGATAACACGAACAGTATTATCGATAGTCTGCTGGTCTCGAGCATTGTCATAGATATCTATCGTGACGGACTTGAGGGCAGAAGTTTTTGAAGCCAGGGAGTCGAGAAGGGCGTTGTTTTGCCTGTTTCACGTTGCACACGACAGTTAGACAAATGGACATACAACACCCTGAGTATTAGAGTATTAGTTGTTGACTGATATTGAATTTCCATACCGTTCTCTCTCGTAGGCTTCGCTCATTTTGGCAGGCTGGTTGTGCTGGGTCCTTGGCCAGCAGGTCGATTATTCGATGATGTATGTATGTACCTCCTTTCGGCTTCTTATCGCGCGGATATGTCCAGGAGATAGAACGCGGGAAACACACAGTTGAGAGCGAGTAAGATTGTTTATCGCAAATCAAATGAGTCGGGAAGGGAAGTCAGAGGTAACTTCTGAGACGGCGACGGCGAGATAAAGTACGGATTGCGATGTCACTGCCAACCCCAGAGCCGCTCCGCCTCCCACGGGCTGGACCACGCACGACCCACGGTCACATGACGACTGGCGGCCCGTGAGATAGAGCCGGAAATGGAAATACCGTAGATAGATGGATGAATTAATATAGATTTACTCTGAAAACCCCCAGATGAGAGAAAGTCAGATCGTCCGAATTTGCAGACCTCTTATTCAATACTTGGTTCGCAAACCAGTGCTCAACTAGAGCAACCGAGAGAGATTAAGTACAAAACAGTATGGCAGTTAAACCGTAGCAGTCATCACGGAGTACAGGCGTTAGTTCGAGAAGGTGCAGGGCGCGAGATAAACCAAGAGATAGTGAGGCCAAAAGGAGACTATAGAAACGAAACCCCAGACGCTATGCCAAGGACACCAGGCGCGCGAGCAGAAAAAGCTAATCAGCAGAACAATACATCGTACCTAAGCATGAGGCAGCTGGGCATAATAGTCAATGATGACAGGGAGCTGAAAAGACGTGGAAGGAGTGCACGGCATTTGCCACCGCGTTTTCCACGCTCAGTATGTAATGATATGTATCCATAGCCAGGGAAGAATCCCACCATCAGTGTACAAAGTCTATGCACGGCCAAGATCGATGAACACAAAGGGTATCCTCAAGTGCACCCATAAGAAACCAACTGTAGCGAGAAAGGTGGGCAGTCGAGAGACTGGCTACCACATATCATCATCGTCATCCAGCTGTGGATCGTCCACAATGTCCGCATATTGCTGGTGATGTCCAGGGCCATATGTGGCTCCGCTGTCGTAACCATGTTTGGCGCCTCTCGACTGCTGTCGATAGGGGTCATGTCGGTCGTCATCGTCATAATCATACATCTCAGACTCATCGTACGAGTTGTCCCCGTACTGTTGCTGCTGTGATCTCGTCAGAAATCTAATTTACCCCTGGAAACAAAACACGGATTTCGTGAACTTACCTCCTGATATCTCTGGTACTGGGAGTATTCTTCTGGCTGTTGTTGCTGCTGCTGCTGCTGTTGCTCCTGCTCCCTGCTCTTCTGCTGCCTCTGGGCGGGGGATGTCGGGAGCATCATCTGCGGGTGCATCTGCTGTACCTTTGCCAGGTAAGAATACATGAAGTTGCTGAGAAGTACCTGAGAGTATAGCTCCCGTCGTGGGTTCGCGAGTTTGATGTGTGCCATCCTATATATCGCACGCTCTTCGAGAATCGAGAACCGGGACCAGTTGTAATCTATATCGGGACGAAGCTCTCGCACAGGAGGATCCGGTGAGATGTGGCGCGATGCACTCTTCTTGTGGGTGCTGTCACCGCTGTTTTTCTTTTTGCCTCCTCCGAATATGGAAGAGAAAAGACCCGACTCTTTCTCCTTCTTGGAATCCCCGGACGTTTTCCGGATACTCTCTTTCCTACGTTCTTCCTCCAATCTCGGATCCGGACGTTCCAAGACAAGACTTTCCCTCCGTTGCGTTGTTTCAGCAGGTGTCTCGGGAATCTCAACAAGCACGGGCTCCTGAGGTTTCTCCGAGACGGGCGACAGCTTCGTTTTCGACTTCTTCGAATCACTGTCCTTTTCCTTCTTCTTGTCCTTGTCCTTCTCTTTGTCTTCGTGTCCGAGTAACCAATGCCAGCTTGACTTGCGGTTGCCCTCTGAATCCTTTTTATCCTTAGACTTCTTGCCTTCTGGCTTTTCGGGCTTCTTCTCTTCGGGCATCGTCGGAATGAATGACAAAGTGTCCGTTCGGGTACTGTTTCCGGGCAAAGACGCCGGGTTCGCAACTAAATCATTCATCGTCTGTGTGTTATCCTTTGTTGACGCAGGTTGTCTCGTAAGAGGCGGTCGCTTGTGCCTTGAGCCAGGTTGTTCATGAATAGGGGGCACCTGGGCCATCACGCCTGGCTTGTTACCTCGAGAAGTTGAACGTGCCGGTATCTCTGCAGGGGGTATACTAGAACCCGCTGTCCTGTTCTCCTCCTGGAGGGGCGGTTCTACGCCGTGGGGCGTTTTTCGGGATGATGGAGGGACATCCAACGTGGAGCGACCGTTCGAACTGATACGCGACTGCCATTGCCGTGTTTCTGATGTCTCCGTCTTATCGCCAGCGTCTTTCTGTCCAGGCAGGGCACCAGGTGCGGCATTCCGTGCAGTCTCTTCCTCGTCCAGATTCCTACCATTCAGTCGTGGTCCAGGATCTGTAAGCACCCGATTTATTCCTGGGGTTGGAGGAGAATCATTCGAGGTTCTTCCAGTTGGCAGCGCTCCGTCGGTATTTTCTGTGGCCTTGCCTAGCCGCTTCGAATAAGGAGGTCGCTCTCCCTTTTTCAAACTGCCCTTCCTATACTGCGTCCGGGTGGACCTTCTCAGACTTGACCCAGGAGGCGCGGGAGGTAAAATGGGCCGGTCTTCGGTTGCGGATATGTCCAATGTCTGGACACCCCGCAGAAGCGACGCCGCACCCTTGTTCACATTATTTGAATCGTCCACCAGGACCTCCAGATCATGGAGGTTAGGATTCAAAGATTCCTGCTTGCCCTGCTCTGACTGAGACCGTTTGCGCTCCAATCGTTCCGCTCCATCCGTGTAGCCGCTGGAATTGTCTATTTGCCTCGAAAGCATCGAACGTTTCCGCCGTAGACCGCCGCCGTTTGATACTTGCCTCTCAACACTCAACCCTCCAGAGGAAAACTCTCCTGATCTCCGCTTGATCTGCTCTGTCTTGCTCTCAAGAAACGATTTGAACTCCTTCGGAGCCAGCTCGGGATGTAACCGCGCAGGTACCCAGAACAATCGCGATGCGTCATCTTCATCCGCCGAGGGCGCTGACGGTACGACTAGATTCGAGCCAAAAGAGGGGAGATCAGGGTCACCGGTAGCCGTTACATCCATAGACATACGTCTAATGGCCGCTAGATTGCTAAGCTCCTGGGCCACAGCCGCAGGATCGGATTCATAGTCGACATCATTGAGAGGAAAGGACGTTGTGGCTGTTTCGGACGGCGTGCGATTCGTTCGCGGAGAGGACGGGCCATCCCCACGATCGGGCGAGCTGGAGCCATTTGCTGATACTCGCGACTGACCATTGGTCCTCTGTTGGTGCTGTTGTTCGTATGAATTTGGTGAAAGCGAATCTGATCCTCTTGAGCTTGGCGAGGCTGTAGATATGGTTTCACTCAGCGGCGATGATATATAGCTTAGGCGTCTGGAGTCCCTCTTATTATCGTAGTCATCGTCATACATATAGCCAATCGCTTCCGTAACATGGTGACTCTCATCGCTTATCGACAAGTGTGGGACATGTCTCCTCGTCGCGTATCCTCCGCCAGCCTCTTCCGGGCTCGTTGAGGCCTAAAATGAACGGTTGAAGTCAGTAATAAATCGCAGATAGCAGCGTCAATTTAAAGTCGGGTCCCGCAGGCGGGTTGCAGCATCCATCTCGCGACACGATCTCTGCCGGGACTGGGCCGGAGAAAAAGCAATCCAGATCCCTCCATACTGCTGGATCCAACCGGACTAGGCACAGATCACGAAAAATAATATCGACCAGGAAAATGAACACACCTGCATGTGAAAAGGCTCGATGTTGTCCGAGCAGACGACAAAGGTTCCCTAGGAACAGGCCGGGGGATAATCGCTACGGGGTTGCTGCACCGCCTGCGCCGGAAGACAGCCAGGAAGAAAGGTCATCGAAGCGAGGCACAAGAGCAGAAGGGCGTGCACATTCGAAAGAGTCAACGAGGCGACAGACAGGGGGGGTACCAGTGAAGACTAGATACGGTACATCCAGATGAAACAATATGAACTCCGGGCAGGGAGGACGAGAGAGTAGTTAGTAGTAGTGTAGGTCTGAGGGTGGCAGAATGAAGTGGAGTTGCGGTTGGAGATGCGCAGGTGAGTTTGAGCGGCGCGGGTGCAAGAGCAGCTGGTGCTGCACAACCTGTACAAAGTAACGTTAGAGCAAGTTCAATGTACAACTTGCCGTCAGTGACAGCGAAATAATTCTTCAACAAGCTGCTCTGCTCTGCTATGCTATTCCGATCGCACTGCTTCTTCATCTACAAAGGTCCTCCCCCGTGCTGGACAACCAAGATCTCTCCATCCCCCGCTCGGAAGCCTCCGGTGAGCTTCCAGCCTTGCATGGAAAAAATCCACCATGCTTCGGCGTCTCTGGTTCCCCGGAAAGCAAAGGGAAGGCCTTGATCAGACTTGCATACGCTGGAAAACGCGCATAGCCGGTGAGATTCAACGCGCCAGATCCCCATCCCCGAGAGTCTACTCTCTACCTATCCTCAGATAATCCTACCCCTGCCATACCGTCAAAATCGACACCATCTTACCCACGGGAACAGGACAGACTACTACTCTGCGCTTGCAATTGGGCCTGATCTCCGTATGGGAGCGGACAAGGAGAAAGTTGCACGTGGCGTACCTCTCCCAACCGTCCCAAGGAATGTGAGTGCTAACCGTCAAGCCTCCGCATTCTTAACTAGAGTCTTGATGACCTACGCTGACCTTTTTTTTTTTCGACACAACTGGAGCATAAGAGAAGGGGGGAGGGAAAAGCCACACTCTAAATCGGGCAGACAATTGGAAGGGCCTGTTCCTTTTTTTGGCTCTCATCAGCAGCCCAAAGTCAGGCGCTGTCGTAGTAGTTGTTCCCCTTTTACCAACAGACCCCAGATTGTGGTCTACCAATCGACATACCACAGAGGGCGCTTACTAGACCCCTACCCGGTTGAAGACCAATCCGCCTGACCCTTTCCTTTTATCAGGGGCCTGGAAAGGACAGCAAAAGCTAGCTGATCCTGCCCGAATGACAGGAAGGTAGGAATGGACTGCGTTTTCTATGAATCATACAAGAGTCATGGTGGATACAGTCATGACATACATATCGACAAGACAAAATACCAGATTGTAGCAGCAACAAGAAGAGCACACGGCATACACAGTCTCTCTGGTTGTGCCAGGGAAGTAATCCACATTATCTAACCTCGCGCAAGGACAACAAAAAGGGCAAAAAAGAAACAGAAACAGAAAAAGGCGCGTAATCGTCGCGCGCAGCGTCCATATTCTCGGCTCCTATGATCTAGTAAACAAACACTAACAGAATTATGTCTTTTTCCAGACTAGTTATATTGAAGAAATACTGTTTAATTCAGCATGTCTACCATCCTCAATGCATATTTTCATTCTTTTTTTTTTCCCTTTCCCTTTTGCACTGGAGGTCACTGCCATTTAACCCGTTGACGGGTTCTCGACGGGTTATTTGTATTATGCCTATCTGCTAGTTTCTATCTTTGGCGTCGCCAAGACGCTGATGGGGAATACAGGTCCAAGGGGCCCAGACCATCGAAACTTCCATGCTATTCCAATAAAACCCCCATACTGTTAAACTGCTATATTATTTCTAGCGATCCATATCACTCATTATGGATGAACTAATCTCTGAAAAGCAAGGACCGAGATTTGACCGCCTTTCCCCTTATTTCGCAGTTGAGCAGTCGACATGAGACTGTAGCGCTCCTCGCCACAACAATAGTCGCAGCTCTATAATCGTTAGTAGAATAATACAGGAGCCAAGCAGTCTCTTGGCAAGATTGTCTTGGTGCCATTTCGATTGAAAATGGCGTTTCGAGAAAGTAGAAAAGCTAAAAGGAGAGCTGCTGAAACGCTGGCGGTGTCACGACGTTTGATTCGATAGTCCCCAGTTTCATAAGCTTATCTAAAATTAAGCGATGTTATCGGATAGATCTTGCATTCCGCTTCATCGTTTCATCGGGGTGAAAAGGTCATTTCAGAAACAATTGAGACTTTTCTAGCCCACAAGAGAGTAGAGCAGCGTCCTATACGGATCGGGTCTTTGACGACGTAGCCTTTTCTGCTGTCTGTCCAAGTTATCAGACAACTACCGACTTAGATAAAAAAATGATTTCTGCAAGTGAACCCTGAGGATTGTCAAAGCAACATTCCAATATCCAACTATCCAAAAATTGAGTTTCAATCGACCAAAAGTACTGGCAGAGAAATTTGCATCCAACCAATTCCCGGAATATTCACAAAATAGGCAAGGCACAGAAAAAAACAAAAAACCCTAGATCTTTGAAGACGAACCATGCAGGCACATACAACAACAGTGTAGAATAGGTGCAAATCAAGTCAACCGAGTAAATCCAAGCCAAGTTGCGAACTCCAGCGCTCGAATATAGCAGCAGAAGATGCGACGGAACTGGATCGAACGTGGATGCAACAGTGACAGCAGAGAGAGCAAGTACCCGCTCTGCGCTATATGTGGGAAGATTTTTTCTTAATTCAGCGTGGAAGAAAGAGCTTCACAAGGATATAGAAACCACTGTTCCTTGGCCCTTGGTCTTCACATCGTTTTCGGTATAGAGTTCGTTTCAAATCTGTCGCAATGGTATCATTCAATGTGTAAAAAGAAAATTTGGATGCATTCACGGAGCATCGATGTAGTTGCTGTTCTCAAAGGTCAGTTGATGGATATTCGATATCCTTAAGAACAAGAACCACTTACGCAGGGAAGATCCCGACTCTGTCTCCTATCCGTCCGGTCCACCAATCCTCTTTCTTGTCTGTGCGCTTCAGAATGGTGATAATCTCACCTTTCTTGAATCCCAAGTCACCATCCTGATCTGGCTCAAATGTGTAGAGTGCAACGGCCTGGTCCTTGCGCAGAGCAGACACGTCGCCAGTCCTCTGTCCGAAGACAGGTTTGGGAGCTGTTGGCCGACTCGGTCTGCGGTCCGAATAGACATAATCCTCCTCATACGGGGTTGTGTTGCTTCTGGCGCGGTGTCCCATGCTGTCAAAGGTCTCCTGCGGGTTCGCACGGGTCGTGTAGGAACGGTTGATACCACCCACGGCTGGACGGTCATAGATATCGTCGGCCCAAGTATTTGCGCGACGAGGACGGTCGCGGTACTCGTAGTCATTATCGTACGGCGAGCTGGTGCCTGTGCGATCCCGTCTAACACCTTCACCAAACGCTTCGCCGCGTCGACCTTCCCAAACCACGTCATCATGGCTGTCATCATAGATTGGGATGTCGTTGTACATAGAATCACCGTACACCTGGTGCCTGCCAGAGAATGCTCGAGAATTGAGGACACGCAAGAGGGGTTCAGCGGCTGGCGGTGGCCGAATGGTCCCTGAAAGCAGCTGTCGCGCGGTGACCTTGCTGTTGTATAGTTTTTCGTTGGCATCCTTGCGTTCTACCAGCATACTTCCCTCCAGACTGACACCAGCGAACAGACCCTTGGTCTTGGAGTACGAGAAGACTGCGGCAACACCTCTCGTGCTCGCCGCACCGGCTGCCTCAGCATTTCGTCCGATAGGACCGGCCGCAAGAGAGACATTTCCACCAAGCGTCAGAGTTCCGACCTGGGAGAACGTCCGGACGGCAGCCGCATCGTTCAGGATGAAGACGAAATCTGTCAGCTCAAACCCGATCTGTCCTCCAAATCCAGCACCAGCAGTCGCAATCGCAGAAGGTGCCGACCATGAGCCATCTGCCAGACGCGCAACGACAACGCCGGAGCCGAATCGAGCGGAGCCCAGGAACCCCGCCTTCAGAACCGTGAGGATCGCAAGTCCCTGTATGAGAACGATGTCAGAACCAGCAACCGGGAGCTGAAAAGTCCGCTTCTTCGCTCACCTTTGCTCCCGCGAGAATCTCCGGGGGAATAATCTTATCAGGACCAAATGCCTGTCGTGGGTCTACGAAGGAAGCAAGGATCTTACCAGCCTTGCGACATTCGCCTGCGAAATGCACGGTTAGCTCAGTGCTCCGGGAATTGCGGGGAAGCGGGAGGGTCTCAGATGGGCACGTACTCCTCATAGAAGAGGGCAATGGATTATGAATTCCGAGAGGCATCCTGAACGTACTCGACCAGCACGAGGGGGAGAGGTCGACAGTTGGACAGCACGAATGGGGTCGAAAGGAAGAACAGGCGCAATAATGGAGTCAGCTCGACTGACAACCGGATGTGGGCCTGTGACGGCTGGATGCGGCTCTGGATATGGCGAGCAGCAGTTCGGTGCTGGGTTGACCACCACGAGGGAATAATAAATAATAATACGAACAGGGTCTATAAACTGTCAAACTGCTCTATCAGTTGACAAGACAAGAGAGGAACTGCCACAAGCGAGCGCAAGTCGTTATTATGCTGGGCTGCGTTATCTTCAGGGTCCCTCATGGAAGAGTACGGAACGGCCTTACTTAGCAGCTGAACAGCCGCCGGAGCGAAGCTAGTTAGCCCCGGAGTCGTCATCTGCAGCGGAGTATTCGCTTCTCGAGTCGATGAGTTGGAGGAGAAAATGGGTAATTAATAGATTCAACATTCTACGCTCTGTATTTACTCTATAATAATTGAAGATCCGCATTTACTGTTCAAAACTGTGTAGGATCAAGCACGTTCGTGGCTGTAGATACATAGCTGCTTTCACGTTGTCTGAGGCCACAAGGCTGACCCCGACCGGCGGCATGTTGTTCCGCCTGGAGATCGTTTCGGCAGCTCATCGGGGTCACTGAGGCAAACCGATATCATTATTATTTTGTTGATTGCCAGCCTCTGTTCGCGGTTCTGGTCCGACCGCTGCCTTTGCATTATTGATCATGTCCTGGCGGTAGTCCCGAAGTGAGCTGTGTCGTCGCCTCATTGTCACTTAAAGATGGCTACGGGTTGGTGATAGCACCCATCGCATGTGCCCGTGTATGATGATGTATACTGATCATGTCCCAGTGCGGATCTGCGTTTGCGGAGACGAGGGTACTGGCAAGTCCAGCCTCATCACCTCCCTTGTCAAGGGAGTTTTTGTCACGAACAAGATCCAACCCGTTCTACCGCAGATCACGATTCCTCCCACGATCGGTACCCCTGAGAACGTGACAACCACAACGGTGGTCGACACGTCTGCGCTGCCGCAGGAACGGAACAACCTGGCCAGGGAGATCCGGAAATCGAACGTGATATTGCTCGTGTATTCCGATCACTACAGCTATGAACGGGTCGCGCTATTCTGGTTGCCGTATTTCCGTTCCTTGGGCGTCAATGTGCCCGTGGTGCTGTGCGCCAACAAATCCGACTTGGCAGCCGCAGGGAGCGAAGCTCAGGTGGTCGAAGAAGAAATGTTACCATTGATGGCAGAGTTCAAGGAAATCGACTCATGCATCCGGTCTAGCGCTCGAGAACACAGGAATGTTAACGAAGCGTTCTTCCTCTGCCAGAAGGCCGTCACACACCCCATCGCTCCGCTGTTTGACTCGAAAGAGTCTGTTTTGAAGCCGGCAGCTGTTGCGGCTCTGCAGCGCATATTCTACCTGTGCGACAAGGATCGAGATGGATATCTGTCGGATAAAGAGATCGAGGACTTCCAGATGAAGTGCTTTGGAAAGTCCTTGAGTCCGGAGGACCTTATCCACATCAAAGAGACGATCCAGAAAGCTTATCCAGAATCAGTGACCCCCCTGGGCATCGACTCTCAAGGGTTCCTGCATCTGAACAAGCTTTATGCGGAGAAAGGACGCCACGAAACGGTGTGGATCATTTTGCGGACGTTTCAATATACCGATAATCTATCGCTTCAGGAAAGCTTCCTCCATCCGAAATTCGAGGTGCCTCCTTTCGCATCAGCAGAGCTTTCGCCGGAAGGATATCGCTTCTTTGTTGATCTTTTCCTGCTATCTGACAAAGACAACGACGGTGGTCTGAATGACGCAGAATTGGCCTCTCTGTTCGCCCCAACTCCGGGGCTACCGAGCTCCTGGGTTGAATGGTCCTTCCCATCATCGACGGTACGGAATGAAGCTGGACATGTCACCCTACAAGGTTGGCTGGCCCAGTGGAGCATGACGACATTTACCTCTCCCAAAACAACTCTCGAATATCTAGCCTACCTAGGGTTCGAATCCTCCGATCGTAGCAACCCGACTACAACAGCTGCTTTGAAAGTAACCCGACCGCGGAAACGGAGACGGCGTCCTGGACGTGTAGGACGGAACGTGGTGCTTTGCCATGTGCTTGGAGCTCCGGGTTCAGGGAAATCGGCCCTTCTGGATGCTTTCCTGGCGCGGCCTTTCAGCATCACATACCATCCTACCATCCAACCACGGACCGCAGTCAACACCGTAGAGCTTCCCGGTGGGAAACAGTGCTACCTGATCCTAGACGAGCTAGGAGAATTGGAACCTGCACTACTGGAAAACCAGACCAAGCTCTTGGACCAATGTGACGTCGTGGCATATACCTATGACTCGTCGGACCCAGATTCCTTTTCTTATATCCCAGCCCTGCGGTCCAAGCATCCCCATCTAGAAGAGCTCCCCAGTGTCTTTATTGCGCTCAAGGCAGACCTCGATCGCACCACACAGCGGGCTGAATGCCAGCCGGATGAGTATACAGCCAGGCTTCGGATGGCGGGCTCGCCCTTGCATGTGAGCGTAACGTGGAGCTCTATCCAAGAACTTTTCGTTCATATCGCAGAGGCTGCGATGGAACCGAGCACGGCCTTCCCGCGAACCGAAGAGGACGTGGAGGGCAAATGGATGTCTTGGGGCATCGCTCTTGGGGCCGTCGTCTGCGCCGGAGCAGCGGCGGTCATGATCTGGCGACGGGTCAGTGGCAGTGGAGCTTAATCCAGGGACGCCGCGTTCCCCAAGTAGGTATTATTGAGGTTGCATACCTTAGGTACCCTGGGCGAACGAGCTGCGCCTGTGTTCGCTCTAGTCGATTACATACTGGACCGATACCCTGTTTCAACCATCCAGTATACGCAGCAAGCCCGTGTATACTAGGCTTCATAGCAGAACTTAATGAACATGACTACGGTAGATAGCAATTAGAGTATGTACGATGCGCGAGTCGATTTCCCTTTCTGTTCTACGGGAGCGACGCTGCTTCATGTCCAGCGTTGCTCATGAATCGCTTCCGGGGGCTGAGGCCTGCACCATGATCACACAGATGAACGGCGGGGCTGCTCATTTAGTACCCAGTAATTAAGCATTCAGCAGATGCTCACAGATGGCGCTAAGCACGTCAAGGTCGATCAGTGATCAGCAACTGATGACGCACTGAGCTGAAACGGAGAAGTTGGAAAAGCAGGCGACAATCGGACTTGATAACTTTATATTAACTTACAGGAAATCATTCTGGGGTAGTTTAGTTCCAGGAAGTATTGGGTCACACCAACACAGATCGGCAAAGCATACCAGATATTGCTTGCACTCAAATTGGTATATATAAAAGCCCTATGTGCATAAGTGACAGTTTCCATAGAATGAGATTCTGCCATCGAGTACCGTGGTTCTACCTTCCGTAACTCGATTTGTATTCCCTTGAAAACACTTGTCGAACCGTCTTTCCTCAGCAAAATGGGCGATACGACATTCATCGTAAATAGGGTCTTGATTCAACATTGGTACCTTTCTTATATAAGGAAATAGGTTATTTTTAAACCAGATGCCACCAAAGATATCATAGATGAATATGCAAGGCGGGTCGAAAGCGGCGGTGGGAAGGTTACAGCTAGATGGAGCAGCGGTTTGAGCGGATTCAGGTACTTATAGGTTCTCTTTGCATTGGCAGTGCGTAGAACCATCTTTGCTAAGCGAAATCAGGGCTATTCTTCCAGACGATTTCGTACAGATGTGGCAGACTGAGATGGAGACTGGTGATAGCCCGATTGACTGTATTGAGATAGATTAGCAACATCGGCGCATAACGCTATGTTGTGGAAACTATCAGTCAGGAAGAGGAATGCACAGGGGCAGTTTTCAGTATCTAATTCTTATGGAGGAGAATCCCGTCGTATGTAATCTGGACGAGAGTACCCAGCAGCCCTGGAAATTGGTTGTTCTGACCGAAACGTGACTATGTATTGAATGATACCTGGATATTTCCTAGCTTGGTATTCCGATGATGGTCACTCGATGCTACGGCAGCTACGTTCGTTCTGTTTCAGCCCAAGAACCGTCTAAACCTGGAGTATCAACGTGCAATAAGTAGAATCATACACGCCAACAAGCAATGTAGCGGTTCGTGCGAGGTTTCCTCGTCGCGCGCCTGGCTCGTCATCGTCGGCCACTCACACTCGACTCTGGCAGAAAACGTCGCAATGATCTCCAACAGATCTCGATGTGTTTCCTCTGCTCTCTTCATGTCTCCTTTTCTGTGTTTCTCCGTCTTCATGACTGCTCTCCACTCTCCAACTTTGACGCCACGCGACCCCACGAACCGGTCATACTTAGCAGAACCAACCGGAATTCGCGCTCCCGTATTACCCCAGAACCAGACCTCTCCGCTCTGCTTTCCAACGCCTCTTCGAGCCTTTCCTGTCTTGGACCTCCTCGTCCTTCTTCGTTAACATCCTTTGTCTTCACCACAATCAAAATCCTGGTCTTTCTGTGCCAGTCATCCTCGAGCTAGCAGCGTTCAGAGAGTGAGTCGACCGTGAGCGCTGCCCCCGCAATTGAGCACCGGCCCCGGCTCAGTTACAACTTCCCGATCGCGATATTTCACCAAGACGACGGCCAGACGGAGAACAGACCTTCAAGCAGCGGGATAGCTGCACGGTATACGGAGTATCTCACATCGCATTGCATCTGCCCCCGGTCGTTATCGAGGGACGTGCTGTCACCGGCAGGATTATAATATACTGTACATCGTCGCAGAGACACAAAGGGAAGACCAGGCTAGGATCTCGGGCCCATCGGGACGTTATCAAACCATAACTAGCTGCGCAATCTGACGCAGCACTCCCCTGCTCTACAGACACAGATTAATGATCACGCCACAACTCCTTCGACCCGAGCAGCCAAAAGCCTTGTTGGTTCAACTCATAATCGGGTTCCTCGTGGCGTGGTCCACGTTCCCCTCTGGGAAGCGCGCAGTGGGAGTTTCGTAGCTGTCGCAAACTGCCATCATGTTGTAAGGATTCCCTTCTCCCATTGATCCCTCTGCGCGAGTCACTGTTCTTTGGTGCCCTGGAACCCATGCGCCGCATCCTAGCTATGCGGGCGCTGTCATAAGAAGCGCAGGCGCTTGCCCCAAACCTATTTCTGCGAGAAGCATTCGATGTCTCTGCACGCGAAGATAAAACCCCTGCAGAGATTATCACAGAGAAGGCCCTGTTTCTGACTCCACGCAGTGTCCTCCCACCTCCTCCGCCGCGGTATACCGTGCCGCTGGCGTATGCGGCGGGTGCTTCCAACGGCATGGCGGTGCCAATTCTCGAGACAAATAATGTCATTAGCCATCCAGAGGGTGGTTGTCCCCTCCAAGTAGGTGAAGGTAAGTTCAATTGCGCATCTGCGGTGTAGCCTTTGGAGTTTCTACGCTATTGCCGTCGATGGATCGGAAGACAACAACTTAGATTGTACATAATTGCTGACAATGGTAACTCCAGGAACATATGAACTCCAAGATGATTTACATCTCGCGACCCCTCCTCCGCATCCCTCCGAAGCCCCCGTCACAAATCCAAATCCCCTCGCGACTGTTCCGACGCCACCGACCTCCGGCGTCAAGCTGACACTCGTCAGTGTTGATGGGCAAAAGAAAGTCCCTCGGCTGTATAATGTCCGGAATGGGTTGTCTGAGCTCAGGAATATCAAAGAAGATGATAAAGAGGGACGAACATCGGAGAGTGGCAGTGATACATTTCGGAAGACCAATCTATCAGTACCTATTTTTGGAGAAGGCAATCCCGCACTTGCTCCTCCTGCGAGTAAAGATGGCTTGAAACGGAGAAAACCGAAGAACAATATCGTCAAGAGCAGTTCGTCGTTCGTTTCCAGAGTGATTCTCCATGAATCCTTGACGAAGCGCCTTAACGAACGGGATCCGGACGGCGTATTTGCATTTGCGAACATCAACCGCGCCTTCCAATGGCTGGACCTGGGATCGAAGTCCAAAGAGGAGCCCCTGGCTAAGATACTCTTGACAAAGGCGCACATGCTGTGCCACGACGTCAATGAGCTGACCAAGACAGCCTCCCACATCGATGTCGTCATGGGGTCGTCCGCCGGCGATATTATCTGGTATGAGCCTATGTCGCAGAAGTATGCTCGCATCAACAAGTACGGGGTGGTTTGCAAATCCCCCGTAACACATATAAAGTGGATTCCGGGGTCGGAAAACTTATTTCTGGCTGCGCATGCCAACGGCCATCTGGTCGTATACGACAAAGAAAAGGAGGATGCCTTGTTCACACCGGAGACCAACGATGTATTCGACAGGCCGAGTGCCAGCGTCAATACGCGGAAAGGGATGACGATCTTGAAGTCTGTCAATTCAAGAAATCAGAAGACCAACCCTGTTTCCGTCTGGAAGCTTTCGAACCAACGAATCAATCAGTTTGCCTTCTCGCCAGATCACAAGCATCTGGCTGTTGTCCTTGAAGATGGCACGTTGCGAATTATGAACTTCTTGAAAGAAGAGTACGTCGCGAATCTGTTAAATACACTATATGCAGTTCTCTAACTTTGTTCAGGGTGCTGGACATCTTCAGAAGTTACTATGGAGGCATGATTTGTGTCTGCTGGTCTCCCGATGGCAAGTACATCGTGACCGGTGGACAGGATGACCTCGTAACGATCTGGTCCTTTCCAGAGCAAAAGATCATTGCGCGATGTCAGGGTCACAATTCGTGGGTATCTACGGTGGCGTTTGATCCTTGGAGATGCGATGAGCGGACCTACAGATTTGGCAGTGTGGGTGACGATTGCAGACTACTGCTGTGGGATTTCAGCGTTGGGATGCTGCATCGTCCAAAGGCGGTACGTCAGAATCCCAGTCTCTTAGCCTGGTCCTGTGTCGAGAATCTGAGGCTATCATGCTGTACTTACTCTCTTGACTAACGGTTATCCCCTGCAGCTCCAAGCGACCGCCAGGCAGCGAAACAGCATTGTTGCATCTGGCTCACATCTTAGTCGACACCAGACAGACAGTACGAGTCACCGGAAACGATCCGACTCTAACCGAACAGAGAAACCAGACGATGATGAGGAAGAAGTCACGGTCTGTCATCCAGTCGAACCCAGGGCGCGAACTGCACATTTGCCCCCTATCATGGTGCGTGTTTACCCTGGCAATTGTTTTTTCTTCCTAAGAATAACACAACAATCTCATTTGTTCTTTTTTCATCACCGAAGCTAACTAATATCCTATATAGTCCAAGGTCGTCGGTGAAGATCCTATCTGCTGGCTCGGCTTCCAGGAGGATTGTATCATGACATCGTCCTTAGAAGGTACGTACATTTCCCATATGTTTACTTTCACCTCGAAACCACTTATCCGTCCATCCACCAACAACATACCCATTACTAACACAACACAAGGCCATATTCGCACCTGGCACCGCCCTCGTGAAGGTCCGAACGAAAGCCGCATCAACCTATCATCCGCCACTGCCTCCGGCTCCGGATCTGTATCATAGCCATACCATACTCTCACGAAATCGATGTAGTGAGAAATCTCTTCTTTATGAGACATAATTACTACCCCTAACATTCTATACATACGATGAATGAAGATGGTATACATGAAGGTGGGGGCGGGGATCCGAAATCCATAGGATTTCGCACTATGACCCATTTGTTCCTTGTATATATTTAGAATCTGTGCGAAAAGATCACGAAATTCACTTTTACATATTGTGTTTCCTGGTTTACTACTTCTGCAGAGTAAGTAGACTTCTATTTGACTGCCCTGCTTGTAGCTTTGGAAAGTACAGTAGTTACGATTTTCGCTTACCATATATATTTTGCTTTTTATTTACACACGTATTCTGGAGTTGTTAATGCAGAGCTCCTAAAGGGGCAATAAGTATACTTTAAAAAAAATGACATTAATTCCACTTTCATTGATGCTAATGAAATTCGCAAGGAACAAAACAAGATTAGTCTATTTGTTTTCATCCCCAGACATTTCCAAAAAGGTCATCAGCACCGCCAAACCCGCCAGCCGGTTTGGTGTTTATCGTAGATGTTGATGTGGTCGTCGTGGTCGTGGTCGTGGTGGTTGTGGCTGGTTCCGGTGCGGCACTGGCCCATCCTCCAAAGTCCTCATCCGCGGCTACGGCAGGAGGGGATTTGGCAGCGGATGGGGACGGTGCACCCCAGCCGCTGCCGATGTCGTTGGCGGTCAATGTGTCAGGGACTTTCATCATGTTCGAGGGTGCCGCTGCGGCGGGGGCGGGATCAGGAGTGCTCCATGCGTCGCTGCCCCAGGGGTCCAGGTTGCTCGAGAAGACGCTGGACGTTGCTGTGACTACCGGCTTGGGGGTGGGTTCAGCAGCTGGAGCCGGCGCGGGCTGAGGAGCAGGCTTGGAGAGGTTGAAAATAGAGCTGAGATCCGCAGATGGTGAGGATACAGCCTTGGGAGGCGGAGGAGAAGTGGTCGGCGGAGACGAGAGACCGAATAAATCATTGGAGGTTGATGAAGCAGTAGGCAGGTTAGGTCTCGATGCTGGGGTTGCCGTCTTCGTAAAGCTGAAGTCCAGGCCGTTAGATGAGACGGAAGTTGTACGCTGTGGCTGTGGCTTAGGCGAAGTGCTGGATGCCAGGGTGTCGAACAATCCCCCACCGGAAGACATAGCAGGGGAGGTGACCTGAGGCGCTGCGGGACTTGACTTGGGAATGCTGAAGCTTCCGAGGTTCGAAAAGGGGGAAGGCTTCTCCGCCTGCTTCTGAGGCGGCGGAGTCGCAGTAGAAGGGAAACTGAGCCCACTGAAAGCGTCCGTCAAACCGCCAAGGGAGGACTGCGACTGAGGCGAAGCCAGGTTTCCGAAAGAGGACGTGCGCTCGTGTTGCGGAGCAGCCGGCTGAGGCTTCGGAGCGGACGCATAGAGAGACAGGATGGACTGCTTCAAGTCTGGTCGTGAAAGGCCAGTGGGTGCAGGAGTGGAAGAGAGGGAGGCTGGCCGACTGCCTGTGGATGGCTGGCTGCTTCCAAAGAAATCCAATCCCAGCAATGAATCACCAGGCTTCGTCTGTTTAGGTGCCGGCTGAGATGCCTTCGGGGGCGGTGCGCGAATAGGAGGATCTGTCGTGCTGGGTCGCGTTGGAGGGGAGACGATATCGTCGTCGCCGAAGAGATCTACGGATTGGGTCTGCTTCCGTACCGGAGGTTGCTGACTCGAGACCGAACCCAGACGCTGCGATGCGGAACGCTCAAGCTTCGCTTTCTCTTGAACAACGGCAAGTGGCTAAGAAGAGATCAGTATGCCAGTGGGAGCCAGAACCATGATCAGCCACCTACCACATCGTCATCCCCTTCAACATCGAGTGTGGAGGGATCCGGCATGGGCCCGTCCATCACCCATCTCTTCGATTCATATTTTGTCCTGATGAAATTCTCTATCTTTCTGTGAAGGGCGTCAGTCTCAATGATGCCGATAGTCTATCTGCGATCAAACCCACGCTTCAGATGGTACATGGCCCGGCGCAAGTTTGGCTTCCCAATATCTGAAGATCCGTCAGCCCCTAATCCCTATTATGATATCCATGAATGTTCGACACACTTGTTCGCTCGCGCATTTCCCCACTTCAGTACACTCTGCAACTGCTCGTCTGTCCAGGAATCGAGATCAACAGACTTGACTCGGCTGATGTGAGTGCCCATGCCCCTGTGAATTCCCGAGCAGCGGATGCAAATGAATATCCCCAGATTCCAAGACGCCCATCGTGGGTCTGGAGAAAAAGCGGCACACTGTCAGTAACAGGTCGAATGAACCAGACGTTAACGGATCACCAACGTTTATTGCGCTTGCAATCGGCGCAGACCTTGTTGTGCTCCAGCTTCAGCAGACTCTTGATCGTCTGCTGATTCTGGGCAGCCCGGTCGGCTGTAGGGCGCCGAGACATGTTCTCTCTGAAGTATGTCGGATAGACCCTGCCAAATACAGTGCGTAGGTGAAGTAAAAGGGGCTCTTGTTAATCCGTAGAGTAAGTTGTATCAGGACAGACTTATCGAGAACGTGGCGGAGGATGTCGCGGTGGAGCGGAGTTAATTATTGCACGGTGCCTGATGACTGGGATACTTAGTTGCGGGGGACGATTGCCGCCGTCTGTGCACTTTGGCTTCCGTTGTCTGCGGGACCAGAATTCCGTTCTAGCAATTGAGAACTGTCAAGTGAACAAGATTAATGCTGCTGGAATGTCTTCTCTTATGAGCAATCTCGAGTTTGTGCGCCTCTTGTGGCAGTGGCCCGAGTTACGCCTGAAACGTGTGGCGAGCCGCTGTCGATCAAACAACGGATACACTGCGCTCATACAACATCCGCCACATCAAGGCCATAGTTTGATATACATGGGAGTTTCCATACGTGCTTATCATCGATTCGCTTATCATCGATTCTCGGGATAGAGAAGAAGCTTGAAGGATCATCATATCGGAGGGTGTATAGTAACTAGACGCTTTTCCGTTCCTAGTATGCTCCTATACAATCGAAACCCCTCGGTATATTAGGTCTTCATCATCAGATCTGACCACATTCGAATCATACATTTCCCCACGACCATTCTTCGCCACTACTCCGAAAGTTTTCACCTCCTGACCCCAAGTACATACACCTACTCCCCTTGGCAACGAAAGCTTCGCCCAGAATAAATCAATCCCACTGTTACAAGCTCCCGGTCTTCCCGTTGAGCCTCTTAAGCCTTGGCCTTGACCTGGTCTGCCTCCTGCACGGCCTTATCATCGTCCGCAAACTTCAAACTGATACTATTGACACAGTGTCTCTCGTCAGTGGGTGTGTCGTAACCCTCTCCCTTAAAGACATGTCCCAGGTGTCCTCCACAGTTGCTGCAAACGATCTCTGTGCGTTCCATACCAAAGGAGCTGTCGGTGTGGCGATCGATGGCCCCTGGAATGGCATCAAAGAAAGCGGGCCAGCCGCAGCCAGATTTGAACTTGTGAGAGGCCTTGTAAAGGGGAGCTTCGCAGCCGGCACAGGTGTAGACACCTTTCGAAGGGTAATGCGAGTCGTATTCACCAGTGAACGATGGCTCTGTGCCTTTTTGGCGGAGGATACGGAATTGCTCTGCAGGTGCCAGTTGTCAGTATTCTACTTGATGATCCATAACTGGCGGTACGGGAACGTGTAAAGGATATTCGCCATACCTGGACTCAGCACCGCTCTCCACTCCTCCTCGCTCTTCTGAACTGGATGAGACATCTCTCCACCGTTACTTGGATCTTCTGCTTTAGCGCTCGAGCTGAAGAGGGAGCTTAAAAATGGAATCGCAGGTGCCGCCTTCAGGACAGTAGCCCCGGACAGTGGCAGTGGAATCCGACCAAGAGACGAGAGCGTGCTGAAAACGATCCGCCGTCCTCTAATCGGTGACACAGATCTGGCAGCGGTAGCAAACGTCCGAAGAGCTGCTTGGAGTCCTTGGAAACGCATAGACGCGACGGTTTTATACGGGTGATGAGCGGAGTATATCCGGAGCGGGACAAAGCGGAGACGGCCTTTTGCAGGGTGAGTATGTCCTTTGCTAAGCTAAGTCGAGTACATGCAGGAATTCAATGGAATCATGAATGTCCCGGGCTAGAACGAAAAAGATGCGGTCTTGCGACTACCGGTAGGAAAATCAACCGCGCCACAAGTAAGTCGCTATCTTGTTTTTACGTCATCATGCGGGGTTACAAGGGAATAGAATATGGTGTTTTGTGAACTGTCGAGATGTTTGAATGCGGAAATGTATTAGCTATCAGGAGCCTCTGAACCAGACTTGAGTCGTGGAAGAAATACAAGTATTTGATCATTCCAGGATCATTGTTGACCATGGCGTTTGGTCTAGCTAACTACCTACCTAAGTTATTCCTATCTAGTTAAGTCACACTGTTATGCTAGGATGACTAAGCCATAGAAACTGAACGTTGGAAGTTGGCTTCTTTAACAGCAATCAAACCCTGGATTAGAGTAATGTTAATTATAGAACCTACTGGTGGCTGGTAGCAATTACCTGTCTTAAGCAGGAATAAACGGAGTTGCTGGAATCAGAATGAATCAGAATTTGTACTGTATGTACATTGCTAAAGTGGTTCTTTCAATTAAACTTTCAGACTCCTTTTCAGGCACAAGGCTTTTGTAGATTCAAAAGGTCAAATAATAATAATGAAGAAAAAGCCATACTATTGTCTAGCTTATTGTCTTGACTAAGTATGTACCATAGTATGGAGGGACAGCGCGTCATAGACAAACAGCCGTGCACGCGCGGGGAAAAGCCCTTACTTAGTTTCAACCAAGAAACTCTGAAAGACTTCGCCTGCAACCTGATCGACCATGACTCCAACAACACTATTCCGCCCACAACACGCAGCTGCAGTTTCTTATAACAGGTCGCGTGATTAAAGAGACCTGGGACTGGCTTTAAACTTGTTGATTCTCCAAAAGTTATGCGCATAACACCCAGACCAGATTTACGACACGAAATTGGCGAGTTTGAAGATGGATGACGATCGGGAGCGTCTGTTAGAAGTGGGTTAGAAAGTGCCTAGATCCCTAACGATCATGCTTATATTGTTTCCAGGATCTTGAAAAGACATATTGTCCTCCCCTGGACGCAGCGTTGTTCGCCGCGATCGCATGCGACTTCGATCTCTCCAAAGATGACCAGGTTGCCCAGCTACGTGAAACTCTTGATACCTTGAAGATCTCTGCTATTGAGCAAGAGGACCTCCCATTTGATCCTTCAGGAACAAGCGGATTCAACTCCGGCAGCCTACTCGATGGAGATGGTATCCCCTCCGAACGCAGCACCTCACGCAATGAGACGTCGAAATCAAGAGAAACCGATCTGACCAGCCTGGGATCGGATATTCCACCCTTAAACATGGAAAGGGGAGGATCTGGAGTCAGAAGTAATGGATCTCGACGTTCTTCGGCTGCCCCTGTGGGGTATATTATTGGTCCCAACGGATCGGCCAGCCTGACTGGAATGACTCTGGATGACAAAGTCTGCTACCTGAGTGAGATGTTTCCGTCTGTGGAGGCGTTTACTATCAAGCACACATTGACCAAGTGTGACGAGGACGTGGACCGCTCGATGGACGTCTTGCTTAATTTGGCCTTTTTCGAGGAACAGGGGCCATGTAATGATGAGGGCAAGGTGTCCATCCCAAAAGGGATAGATGGGTTTCTCGGGGAATCAAATGACAACAAGGGGAAAAGGAAAGGGAAGAAGAAGAAGGGGAAAGAACGGGATCTTTTGAGCTCATCGAGCGATCCACAAGACGGGGTCAAAGTTGTCAACAAGTGGGAGACCAGCAAGGCGGACGTCGAATTTATCTTCTCGAGAACGTCCCCGATTCTGGCGAAAGAAGTGGTGGCTTCAGCATACCATTCCAACGGTGCATCTCTTTCAGCAACTATCAGATCCCTCGCCACATCGCATGCACCTAATGATGCAGGGCAGATCCTCGAAAATCCGGTCATGGCCACGCAGGTCGCGGAGCTTAGCCAGGAGTTTCCTACAATTTCAAAAACAAACTTGGCCGGTCTACTGAAAATCACGAGGAATTCCATATCCGCTGCCAACGAACTCGCGTCGGCCATGCTGGATTGGCCATCGCGCCCGCAGTTATCTGACCTCATCCGCATCACTGCAGCACCGCCTGTGCTCGATGAGGACAGAAGAGAACCGAAGAAATCAAAGGCAAGCCAGCGAATAGCACGAGACTATGAAAGTGCACGGAGTGCTGCGGGCTCACATCTTATGGCTGGCGCAGAAGCCTTCAACAAAGCTTCTGCTGCTTACCGTCGTGGTAGGTCAGATAAGTTGATGGGAGGTGCAGCAGCGTACTACTCCGCGATCGGTCGAGAGCACATTGAGAGAGCAAAGCGTGAAGCTTCAGCGGCAGCAGACGCGTTGGTAGAGACCCAGTCTACAGCAGACTCTCTTGATCTCCACGGTGTGACGGTGCAGGATGCCGTTCGCATTGCCAATGACCGCGTATCCCAATGGTGGGAGTCTCTTGGAGATGCAAAATACACGAATAGCGGGGGGTTGTTAACCCGGAGAGAGTATCGAATCGTGACCGGTGCAGGACGACACAGCCGGGATGGTACCTCTCGATTAGGGCCTGCAGTTGGGAAAATGCTGGCTCGAGAAGGCTGGAGAGTTGAGATTGGAGAAGGTGTCATTACAGTTACCGGTAAGGTGCGGCGTCGTTGAATAATTTCGTTCGCGACAAGGACAAACGATATTGCTTAGTTTCATCCAGATACCCAGGATTTCCGACATTTTCTATACCTGTTGCGAAATTTCGATTGTCCATGTTAATTGACATTTTCTGGCATTTGGTCTGTCTTGATTATCGACTTGTTGATTATTGAGGAACACCTAGCGATGCAAACCAGACATTTCTACTGCCGCGAATGTACATACATATGTTACGACGAAATCATAGAAGGTGGTAAAGATCACCTTACCTATAATTTATTATCGAGCTGCTCAACTTCGTAAAGCCTCAGTCTCCAACAAAGGTCATTAGCCAGTAAAGTAGGCACCCGCCAAACAGTTGCCCAACCCAGAAACATCATTCTACTCTAGCACCCGGCTATAGAAGCAAAGGAAAGTTAACATTAAGAAAGACGACACCGCTAAAAATAGATCTCACATGCGTTTTTCTAGAAAAAAAAATCCTCGCCGGCAGGTCCCAATGACCCAGGCAACGAAACTAGGCTACAAGTTAACGTAACCATGGATTGGGCGTCCATGTCTCAGGATTTAGTAGCAGCGTTTATTCTGGTCCGGCACGTGGGGAATGTCTAAGGGAGAAAAAAGAACAAGGAGAGGGTAGGAGGCAGAAAAGAACAAAAAAGACAACCACGAGATTGTTATTTAGTTTCCTCTCTATACATGATGGTACTTTAAGAGGAATCTTTCCAAGTTGGAATTTCTTTTCGGGTTGAGTGAGTGACTACTTGGTAGGTTTGTATAAAATTTTCCTTCTTGGTCCACTTCTATCTTCCGGAGAAAGCCGTTCGGTTCCATATAATCATTATGTATTATCATCAATTTATACATATGATTACGTAGTAGTATAGTGTCCGGTTTATAATAATATGGTTTGATTAGCATTAAAGAATAATTCTTATAATCATTGAAATTCTTAGTGATAATAACAGCGTTCATCTTCTCTTTTAGGGAATAACTGAAACTAGTGCATGCATTTTTGCTACCTTTTTCGGGAACTCACTGAAAACTTTTAGTATCTTTCTTACTATATTTTTTTTTTCTTAGTTCCCACATTCAGGCCCGCCATGATTAGAAAGCCACCGCAGATAAAATAGCCGGTCAATTCTGGGGGTATGTACATACATATGTACTCGGGAACTCGGAGAAGGAACTGTATTGGCAAACGGTGTTGATAGTCCGACGAGGATTTCATAGAGGTAACTACGCTCTGCGTTTGACTAGATGTTCATGCTTTGTAGGATCGGGCCGACATGATATTATTGAGTGTCCGCTGTATCAAGATCATAATCTAGTCCGAGAGACATAAACAGGCGTATTCGATTGCGCCGAAGAGTTGTAGGTATACATGGTTTCGTTGTAACTCTGTTACGTCCTGTTTTATCTATACAGAGAAATCATACTGAAGTCTGCAATAATGTCCTGGTTTGCGGCTCTCACATCTAACATGGGTGTAAGTTGCATTTGTATACAATGGATGAGGGTGTATAACATGCTTCGGCATGGCTAGATAATTAATGCACAGCATAGACATTAAATAGTCATAGATAGATAATCAGCTATCTTTGATACGCTTCGATTCAGCGCTTCCTAGTTCTCCGGCTGACAGACTAAGAGCTCGTTTCCGAATACGAGAATGGCCTTGTTAGCCAGTCCGTAAGCTTTTACCTTCCCAATGACTTTTTAACTAGCTAATAATAATAATAAAATTAGAATTAAAATTAAAAGAGCGTCATCCTTGCTTTGAAGACGCCAATATGCTAGTTTCGACAAGGTTCTAACAGACAAGATATTGGCGATTCTTTAGAAAAGACACCAGATAATGAAGTCCGCAAGTTCACTATTATTAACAATAACTATCTCAGCTGACAGCTTACTTAAAGCCTTAGTTACATAAACCTTTAAGGATGTGGAGAATTTTATGAGTCGCTAAGATCTTAGTGAGCCTGAGCTGGGACTTATTATTATAATCTCGGACCAGCACTAACTACTCCGTACTAGCTCCTTAGTTAGACTGGAATCATGACCCTACGACCCAAAGAGGAAGACGAGTATCATTATTATTTAGGTTCCTTGAATCTGACCGGCTCTCGAGTCGTCCCAACGTCGTATCGCAGCCGAGATCCGCTAAAGTTATCGCATGGTTTTCCGCCGATCGCCGCGATGGCGTTGTATGAAAAACCGGCTTCGCAGTCAACCCTAGGCCACCAGTGTGCAGCGTGCAGCAATAATGCATCATGAACAGTCTCTTCTTGATTGCTCCCCTTCAGAGCCCAACGGTATAGCTGGATGTGTGCACCCATGGTGTCCGCAGGGATACAAGGATACCAAATTCAATCAACTTTGGCTGTGGGAATAAATATCGAATGGTTCTCCTTGCATCCTGAATCGTCTTCTCGGCCAATATTATGCAAAACCGGGAAAGATTATAGACTAGCTGCGGGCCGATGCTACTGTCTCAGAAGGAAAGCAAAAAATTCACCAGACGGCGCAACGGTAAAGGCTGACATGGTGAGCTGGTCGAGGTTCGATATATGGTAAAATTGCGCCATGATAGAGTGGTAGAGTAGGTATTCTCTTCTGTGTTCCTGGGACAATGCACCGGGAGAAGAGACACAACGAGGAGGCATTATCCATCTGGATCATGATCGACAAAAGTAGGAGCTGCTTATCTCCCTAGCCGGCCGGGGAACTGAGCCCAGATCGCCCTTTGGGACGCTTTGGTGCCTGTCACGCAATAATAAATGATGTGCAACTCCAAACCACCGCTAACCGCAAGGGCGGATATATTGAAGGCGCGACAAACGTTGAACGGCAGTCATCCCAACTCGACCGTTTCGCGTTGTTTTTGCCCCGGAGAAGCCAAACAGAGAGGCTGAAGCCATTAATGATTGCTGGCACGACTGGAACATGACCCAAGGCAAGGTCTTTGCCAAGGCCTCCTACCGAAGGAGCCGTCAAAAAAATAAAAAAAAAATATTACGATGCTACCTCCAATCAAGGAGATGAGCCGACAGCCCAGCAAGGCTGGGATTGGACTATCGCTGCCTTTATCGGTCCCTGGTGGCTTTTTTACTTGGCCGGCCCTGGAGAGATAGGGAGTCAGGGACCCTCCTCGCTTGCCACGCTTCCACTCTCCTCACCAGCTCCCACGACTAGCTGTACAAGGAGTTCCCCAAAATAGATGGCGCTGCGAGCCCTGTGAAACCCAGGTTGGAGGATGGAGCCATCCTTGCTGACTGCGTCCCTGGGGGCAGTCTGGATTGATTTAAAACTGTTGTCCCGCTGTTTGGCTCGGGATCTTGCTTTCTGCTCATCCCATCACAATCTGGTTCTCTCGACGTTTGTTGCTGTTCGTCGTTGCAGTCACTCGCTTCTACTTCGATCGTTCATATAATACCGCTCTCGTTAAGATACCCATTTGCTTCTTTCCCGGAAAGCATCCATATTATTCATAATGCAGTTCACCATTGCCACTCTCGTCGCGCTCGCCGCGTCCGCTTCTGGTATGTTTAACTTGTGCCCCCTGGTCTTGTATATCTTGTATACTGAACTCGATAACTAACCAAACCATAGCCCTCCAGGTCACTTACCCTGGCAAGGACGCTAAGCTCGACCTGACCAAGGACAACAAGATCGAGTGGAACTCGGTCAGGTACGTAGCTATCTATCATTAACGCTTATTATATCTCGATTGGCCAACGCGACTGACAAATGATCCTAGCACTGACCCGTCCACCGTTGACATCTACCTCGTGGACAACAGCGTCTACCCCACGGTTAACACCAAGATCGCCTCCGGTGTTGACACCTCTAAGGGCTCTTACACCTTTGATCTCAAGGGTGTCAAGGCTGGGTATGTAGCTGCCAGCTCCCTCACGACATATGTCGTATGTTCATATTGCTGACAATCAAAACACAGTTCCGGCTACCAGATCAACCTGGTTTCTGATGATGCTCAGAACACCGGTATTCTGGCTCAGTCCCAGCAGTTCGACGTGACTGAGGCTGGATCCAGCTCCACCAGCGCCGTCACTTTCACCGACACCACCACTGGTGCCAGCACCTCTTCCACTGGTATGAGAACCAACCACCGTCTCTCAGACAGCAGGTCATCTTACTAACAACCATCCTCGCAGCTTCCGGTAGCTCCACCACCCTGAGCACCAGCACCACTGGTACTGCCAGCTCCAGCGCCAGCGCTGCTTCCAGCAGCAGCTCTGCCTCTTCCAGCGCTTCCAAGACCAGCTCGAAGACCGCTTCCGAGACTGGTTCCTCCGCTACCGCTACCGCTACCCACAACGCCGCCAGCGCCCTCTCCGTCTCCGCTGGTGCCGGTACCTTCCTCATGGGTATCTTCGCTCTCATCCTGTAAAGAAATTGTCAGTGATAAGCACGACAGGATGAGATCGCGGGGGAAAAGGGAAAACGTGAAAACGTCACCCCAACCCGCATTCTCCTCGCTTTCATGGGAGGCAAGATATATACGAAGAAATTCTTAAAAACATAATGATATCCCCTTGCAGAGAAAAGGAGGAAATGGAGGAGAGACGTTGATGGAAATTTCTTTTCTTTTCTTTTCTTTTCTTTTTTGATGTGTAAAGGCCACTTCGTCGTCACCACCGATAGTGAGGAATCATTGGGTGGGTGTTCGAATTTAGCTATTAATGTGAATGGAGCTATGTATCTATACTCCTGTGCTCGAATTTGGGGGAAACCGCTCCTCGTCTTTACTTCTCTCATCTTCTTAACCCTATTTGATTGAATAGTTAATCTGGATTGATGGTCAAACCTTGGGAGGGCTATCTCTTCCGGCTCGACGTCGAAAATATTAATATAATACCAGTTCTTGTTTACTCTAGACGAAGCTACAGCCAACTTAGGCATAATGTACGCACACGAGAGTATAGCTTATAAACGTCGATCATAGTGGCGGAAGTTACCAACCTCTAGTTTAAAAGACGAGAAGAAACCCCGGTCTGTAAAATCGAACCCCATGCATTGCTTTTGCGCGCAGTGCGCTTTCACGTGCACCAGCTAGCCACTGTGAAGGGGAAACAGACAACATGCTTGCTATTGTACATTCGTTTCGTGAGCAATAAATATGAAAAGAAGAACTTGAAATTGAAAGAAAAACCAGCGAGATAAACAATGTCATGCCAGATCGGACTGCAAAATGTCGAGTCTCTCCTTAGAGGTGTCTCTCGTCCTTTCCAAAAGCCGATCTGTACAGAGGACATAGTTATTCTTCGACAAAGGATAATTAAGACAGGATCAGAGTAGCCCAGCGACAACGGAGAGTGAAGGAATCAACGAATCCCAATACAGGGCCGTATGCCCTCCGTCGCCGACATTTCCGCTGCGAAAACACCGACCATTCAAAGAATTGGAACTTTTCTAAAATTTTCATCGCCAAACCAACCGTTTTCGCCAGCCACCGTTTTGTAACCCGAAGCCGAAGCCAAAGCTATCGCCACACCAATAGACAGCATCGTCCCGTGACGTGACTTGAAATAGAAAGACATAGGGGAAATGAAGTTCAAAGAAACAGAGCTGTCAGAAAACAAGGGGTATTAAGTCGTACATGATGCATGGGTAGGAAAATCGCGTCCTGTGGTCTTGCAAACTAAGTAAGGCTGCGACTGACAGGTTAATCGTCTTCTTTCTCGAATTCCATGATCAGCTCTGTAAGCTCTTTGCGCAACGAGCGATTGCGGTCCCACGTTGAGATAATCTTCGCACGGTGGCTCAGGAATACAGCCTTTTTCCACGGCAAGTCGTTGTATCTTGGCCCCGCACTGCCGCTGGGGAGGTTCCAAGCAATGTTGCGCATGATCAGCGCAGCCTTGTACGCGACACCATAAGGCTCGCCTCTCTCGTTGGTCGGTGTATCCATGTAGTACCAGCGCCGGACAACGCGCGGCTGAAGGATCTTACGCTCCGGCTTAGGCGGTTCAGCGTCAGGATCGCGCTCTTCAGGCAAGTGTGAAGCAACATGCTCAGCAACCATAGCAGTGTCGTCGCTTGGGCCAGTTGTTCTGAACTTGGTGCAGTTATTCCATTCGCAGGTGTGGATAGGTCTGTCTGCTTTGCTGAGGTCGTAATGACCAGGCTGTTCCGTAGGTTTCAGATGCATGTGCTCCGTGAAGACATGGGAACGAAGATCAGTAGGCGTAGGGAAGGCACGGCCGCAAACCCTCGAGGCCTGGGCATTATCGGCCCATTTGCAGTACAGGTAAGGGAAGCCTTGGAAGGTGTACGCAGTTTCCAACGGGCGGATGCCCTTGATGATGAACTTGGTTGCAGTTCCCGGTCCATTGATAACCTGCGCCTGTGCATTGGTAAAGGTGGTGCTGACGTTCTTGATGAACTCGGCAGCAGGAAGAACACCACCACCGGGAAGCCGAGAGTCAGCGAACCTGCTCTGATAGGCTTGCCAAAGAGCAATCTGTGTGATTTCACATTCGGGGTCTTCGACGAAACAGCAACGTAGCCAGCGGGAACTGCGTTCAGGCTCGGAGAGTTCCATCAGATCCTTGAACAGCTCTGGGGGCACACGCGGAATCTCGGTAGGTGGCGCTTCGACCTTCTCTTCTTGCAGCACAGTCTCACGCTTGCCAAGTCTTCCTTCATGGTGGAGTAGATCAATCATTTTGGGAACGAAAACAGTGGGAAGACTGAACACCTCGAGCATAGTATCCATGTTCTCTGGTATGAGAGTGTACTGGTAGAAGAAGTCAAGAGCACCGCTGATCATATCCTTATCACTGGGAACAAGAGTGAGATAGTAAAGCTGCTGAAGAATGTCCTTGGGTACCCCACCACGGATCGCAGTGTTGCTATCAGGAGCCTCCAACTCGGTAGAGAAATGGGTCAGGGACCAAAGAGCGCGGACGATATGCGCACGATCGTTTGATTTGAGACATTCCAACAATGAAATCCAGAGAGGATCTTGCGGATCCGTTCTCATGTACATCGTTACCTCTTCCGCAATGTCCAAGGCATCGTTCTTGATCTCGTTGAGACGAGGGTCGGACGGGATATTGATCAGGACGACGAGGAAATCCCTCAAAAGTCCCTTTGCATAGCGTGACACGTACCAGGCGTTCTCTTTCAAGAGAACCATGTTACGCAGAACCAACGTAGCCTCTTTGATATTCCGTAGATGGTGATTGAACTCTTCAGTTTCGAGAGTGTCATTGGGCAGAGTGACGGGAATACTCTTGATGCGCTCAAGGATATCGCGTGTGCTCTGCAGGGAATTGAGAATATTCACACGGTTCATTGGCTTGTGGAAGTCATATTCAAGTTCCCATTTGACTCCAGTACAGAGAAGAGTGATCTCCATGGCTTTCTCCATAAGCGTTTCTGCGAGCAGCGGGAACCCCTCAAACTTGAATTTGTCCCAGCGTTGGTTCGATATCTGCACCAAGTGGTAAAGCGCAAAGTCAACTTCGTCGGGAATTCCAGATTGGAGTCCGTAGTGAGCACGCTTATAGATATGGTCCGCTGTGTGATATAGTCAGCATAGATTCACAACCGGGTTTAGCCTGCATATTATGCATCTAGCATGCAACACGAGACTTACACTTCGGGACATCAAGAAATCTGAGAGGGAACAAAGGGTCATAGAAGTCAGCCTCTTTGACCTCCTTGGTTCTCTGCTCAGCGAAAAGGCCTGGACGAGAACCAGGGGTAGGTACGTCGCGCGTCAGCATCGGAACAAATTTCTCATCCTTGCCCTGGAAATCATGAACATTGAAGTTCGCGCTCATGGGATTCGAGCTGGAGTTCATGTTTGGAGGGTGTGAGCCACTAGGCTGTGGGGAGGAAGTGTGAGTACTGGCGCGAGTCTGTCTGACGGGCGCAGTATTCGGGGTAAACTGCGGCGCTTTGGGGGGCTGCGGCCTTAAGCCTTCTGTAGAAAAGATCAGTATTGAGACTATGTCACTGTCTTATATGAGAAAGGATTAGGCACTCACCACGGCGCGCATCACGGTTGGAAGGGGTGGACATTGCTATGTCTGCAGTCGTTCCCTGCACAAAGGAGAAGGGAGAAGGAGAAGAAAATATGAAAGAAGGAGCTGGCGTTTTATTTATGTTATCTGCGTGACCGTTGTAACGTCCGTCGTGGGAGGGCTCTGGTGAAGCGCCTTCCTGCCCCGCCCTGACAGGTTGGTTATTGAAAAACCGAGCGACAGCGCCAGTCTCACCAGGCCGGTGCTGCTGGAATTGGTGGAACAGGCCGTCGAAAAGAGCCTGGTCTTTAAGCAGGCGCTGTTCCTCTGTCTCCAATGGGAGACCAACGGGCGCGACGTCCTCGAGGAGCGTTTTTGGAGGAGGCGTCCTATTCTGAAGCCGGGCAATCTCGTACGCGCTATATCGCACACGTTAACAGTAGTCCAACAGATTCAAAGTTGAGCATTACTCACAGAAGATTGTCCTTGTAGATTCCCTTCACTTGGAAGGACAGGTGCTGGGGCACGTTGAGCTCCTCGCAAACGAACCTCCAGTATCTCGCCCCGTATTCCGGACGTGAGAGGGCGGCGTAACCCCCGGCGGCAACGACGGTCTTCAGTAGCTCGTAGAGCTCGAGGCTTCTGTGGATCGAGGGGTGCTTCAATTGGGATGTTGTGCTGTTGTATGAATTCTGTTCAGCGCATCATCCAAAAGTATGCGAGAAACGCGATGCAGGAACACTGACCCCCTCTCGGTGGAGAACCTTTTCAAGTCCTCGTGGAACTCGCGCTTAGTTTCCGGTATAAGCGCTGGGTTAGGCCTCTCGTCCCAATGATCCTTTAGCCCTCCAGCTGCTGCGAACGGCGCGACTTGGTTCTGAGAGCTGTTTCGAGATCCCAGAGACAAAGACCGCGCTTCGATAGCAGCAGCTGGAGGCGCGTCCGGAATATCATTTCTCCAAGAAAGCCCGGCGCTCTCCATGGCTTACCTAAGCCTAGATCACGTGGGAAGGTAGATATGGCAAGGTGCTGGAGCCAATCACGTGCGGTCACAGGGATATCAGAAAGATTATTGCCTGAGGCATGAACAAGCACTCATTGCTCGCTACAACAAAGAACCTCTGGCAGAAGTTGGAGAAAGAGAAAGTCAAGTTCTGGATTTTTCAGAATCAAAGCAGTTAAATAACATAGAACACGTGATACAGGCAGTGATAGCAATACATCCTAGGAGCTACAATTCAGGGTGTACCCTTGATCAGTAACACTTCCTCAATATATCAAGAAATGATTTATCCCAGCAGATTATTGAGGTATCCCTGAAAGTGATATTGCATAAGATCTAAAATAACATAATTAAAGCACTTTCCTGTAAAAGAATAATACGGACACCGTCGATACTATACAAGCCCTCCATTTCCTCTTCCTCCTCTGGGGACATCATTTGCTCTCAAGATCGTAGATAGGTATCCTTTTCTTGCCGTCTAGAGCCCATCCATAATTTTTCTTCGAGAAGCAGATACAGCAGCCTTGATAATATGTCCATCATATCTTACTTTCCTAACAATGCAGAGCAGCCTACTCAGCTGGCTCGTCTGGTTCTAGCCAAATTCTCCTACACGACAACATCAACGCTTCACAACGCGCCCCTGAATTGGAATCACATCATTGGACAAGGGGATATTGAGGCTGTATTCGAGAGGTACCATGCATCAGGGCTAGGAACTCCTCACGGTCTTGGGAAGACAGTTCTGAAAGTGTCACAGCATGCTAAGGTGCTAGTAAGTTGTGTCTTTGAGGCAGTACGACGACACAATACGACTGCAAGAAAGCTGATTATAGACAACAAAAGGAAGAGTTGAACTTGAATCTCTTGACGCAAGAAGCTGTTTCTCAATCTCGATCCATGCAGATTGGGAATGCGAAACCTACAGTAGCTGTGATTGTCAAGTCGCCGTGTCTGGCTGTCCGCTACCCCCGGTCTATGGGCCAGGTATGTCTCTGAAAGGCCCAAGTTTTTATTTGTTAACACATTTAAGTCATAATTTCGTCCAGATCCGTCGTTTCCAACTTAAATTCTCATCCGACCATGACTACTATACGGCGTTGGCTATCTTGAGTGAGATCAACTGCCCATTCACTGAGTCGAGCGGCGGCCCTTCGGTGCAAACAACCCTGAGACCTGCGTCTTCATCTTCGCAAATACGCCCAGCTTCAGCATCTGTGGCTGGGACAGGCTTTTCGGCCCCAGTCAGAAGCAGTGGGCTGGCTCCTGTGTTCAATACTGCCTTCGACGCGAGAGCATTCACGGGAAGCAATCCATATGGAACTTCAATTAGTGCACCGCGTAACTACCCCCCTCATTCTTCCTGAACCATTGACAGGGCTAACTATTTTTCCTCATCAGGGTCATCCATATCCTCATCCTCCTCGTACACTGTCTCTACCGGATTCGAGCCGGCCACTGGGAATCGAGCCGGTCTTCAGCACGAAGAGAACCATGCATTACAATCCTTGCCTCAAAGGAGTCCATATTTCAACCAGGGTACATCTCATGGGGAAGGATCCGCATTTGGGACTCGCCCTTCAACAGCACCGGTGTCTGGCTACCATGACATTGAGTCTTTGAACCAGATCCTGCCACCAAAAAGAGAGCTTCCCTTTGCCAGACCCCTTGCGAAGAAGACTAAGACGGCACAGGATCCTCCGAAGACCGCGTCTTCTGGTCAACTCAGAGAATCAGAAGCTGAGCCATCTGCAGCGAGCAGGTCTCTTGAACCAACCGGCAACATACTCCCAGACAAAACCCATCTTACACAGCTTCCTCCAAATACTTACAATGACTCAAGGCCTCGCGTTCCATTACAGAAAAACGCTGCTCACTTAAACCCAGAAGTGAGTCTCGTAACTCAAATCTGAACCTTTAACAAAGCCACCGTTCTAACCCAACAAAGCAGCTTCAGACACCCAATCCGCAGCTTTCAACGAATCACTCTCCTCTATCCCAGTCTCTTGGTATTCTCTCATCAGCAGACCTATCCGCATACCTAGTCAAACCAGTACCTGAGCGTTCCGCCCTCGTTGAATCGTGGGTATGCCAGCAGCTTGAAGATGATGGATTTCTGAGCCTATGTCAGGATATAGAAGGTGTTTGGAAAAGGATTACTTTCGGACGATGAGGAGAAGAAATGATATATAACAGTGGTGAGGTAAGAAGAGCGGTTTCAGTAATAACCAGAACGGGGGTCTATAATATGTCGAATAGGGGTTGAGAAAGGAAAGTGGGAAGTGCTTTGCTTATATGAAACTCAACATACGTTTAACATTTCATATATTATACTATGCATGCTAGCATTACTCTTCCCCTCGCGGAAGTTATATGATAGCACATTGATCTTAATTAGTACTAAAGATGCGAGGAAAAAGTAACTGGAAGATATTTTTGAGAGCGAGCTGTATTCGATACCACTTGACCTAAGTATTACATACAGGTATGGACAAAGAACAAACAGCAAGAGTCGCCCTCCCAGCAATGAAGTCCAGTGACGGCTAGTAAATGGAAGAAGGACCAGTGATGGTCTCCCGCCTATCACAAGATTGATACCAAGGGTATCTGTACGTGAGTGCAAATATTTGCATGTCATCACGACAAGGCTTATTACCGCGGTGCTGAAGAAAGTCTCCGTTCGTCTCGCTTTCTGAGGAGAAAGGCAACTACTAGAAGATAGCACCTTGTCGAGGCAAAGAAACAAGAGATGGGAAATAGAAAGACAAGACCATAAAAGAAATCCCGGCCCGAAAGATTCCCAACCCCTTCCAATGCTATCAAGTTGAGATGTCACATTTTTTTCTTCTTTTCTTTTCTCTTTTCTTTTCTTTTGAGTCCTTTTGAGTCGTTTTGGCATTTTTTGTTATGTTTTCTGCTCCCCGCCCATGTGCCACAAAAGTTCGATTTTGAACGCCAGCCAACGCCGATTGCTTGAAAATGATTAAAAAGCCTGCTCTGTCATAAAAGACATACCCGAAAGAGAAATGACATTCCGAGTGTCGACGACTTGAGAGTCGATGACTACCTCAGGAAGATAAGAAAAGTGATAGACTTAATATTTAGCGAAGATATTAAGGTAGCCTTTCTTGGTGAGCATGCCCCATTCGATGTACATGTAGACAGGTGGCTGCGCCTGGGACTGCTGATTCTGACTGTTCTGGCCGGGAGTGGAAGTGTTGGTCTGACCGGGATGACCAGAGCCTGCAGCATTACCGTCAGCTGCAGAGATAGGAGGAGATGCGGCGTTCGTGGCAGCGCTGCCTTCCGCTCCAACTGCCAAGTCTGCAAGGTGCTGCAAAGAGCGCTGCTCGTTAGGTCCCATCACCGGCGGAGCTCCAGTCGAAGCGCTGGTGTTAGCGTTGGTGTTCGCATTGCTCGCGGCTGTACCCTGTCCTTGGCCTTGCGCCTGAGCCCTGGCCTGCTTCCTTTCGATGGCGGTGCGTATTTTAGCATCCCAGACCGGAGTGGCGAAGATGTTTGAGAACTCTCCTCCCTCATTGGTGCGCTGGTGACGAAGGTCAATGAGCTCTTTGGCCTTGTCCAGCCATTCCCAGCACTCTTTGGCATGCTCAGGGAGATCGGTCGCCTCAAGAAGACTCATCACACTGAGGGCTAGAGCGTGGAGGTCAAAGGGAGATGGCATGCGAGGACCAGTCGTCATCTGCTTCAGCAGATCCTCAATGATACGTTGGCAGGGATAGAGGACGTCGGATGCGTCTGATATAGCAATTTGACGTTTGACCATGACACCGAGAAACCAATAAATAAGCCTCTCCACGGTGTCTAGATAACGCCCTATGGCAGAGTTTGGATCATTTGCTCCAGGGATTTTCCGGCTCAGAGCAGCCACCCTCTGAATTTCTGTACCCAGGCGACGACTCATTACACGAGGTGCCGCCACGCTCCAGTTGAGCAAGTCGACCCCAGAAACGATGACCTCGGTGATGTGAGGCAGAAACTCGGATAAATCTATTCAGATATTCAGGTTAGCACGTTTTGATTACTAGTATAGTAGACTTTGAACTTACGGAAAGTGTGCTCGAGGCCGGACCCAAGAGTGTCTGGATCGTAACGGACTGGTTCATTCGTCGCAAACAGGTCGGAGGTTCCAACGCTGACATCATGCCAACGAGAAAGAACGGCAAGCGTGGCATAGGCACGACATGCGAGATCACCATCTGGGGTGGTCGGAGCGGGCGCAAGGCGATCGTATGGGATAGGCGGGTTCAATTCCCCCAGGCTCCTGACGAGAGCGCGCGCGTGCCTGATGGCAAATTGGATGATGACACTCTTCTGCAAAGGATCCCGATAACGAATGCTCTCGGGGCCACGTGCGTCGCATTCCAGGACAAGGCATATCAACGTCCACATCCAAACCATATTGGCAGGGATGCTGTCACGGAGAGGCGGCATCCCTTGCTGGTAATGCCAGAGTTTGTCGACAACATTGTCTAGAGTAAAGACCTTCTTGAAATTATTCTGGACACGGTCCAGGTTCGTGTCCGTGACCGCATAGAACACGTAGAGAAGAGCCTCCTGCACTTCACGCGGACACTGGTGTAGAATCTCGAGGAACCGTTCCCGGTTGTCGGGAAGGAACCCAAGCATGGGGTGGATGCATTGGTAGTACCTGATATTCTGTTAGAAACCCAAAAAAACGAGGACGTGTTTGAGACCATTCAGGACATACGCATTCAGCGACCCCTCATCCACCTCCGCCGGGCTGTTATCTTCTGGCATTTTAGCCTCGTCAGTGACCTCAAGAGTATCTTGTAGACCGTGCTCGTTAGCCCAGAATGGTTGGGTAGCCTTAGGGACAGAGCCAGTACCGTTGTGAAGCGGCTGGCTGTAGAAGTCAGAGTGTTCAGCTGCAGGTGTGGTGTGTGAGCAAGACAGCGTAGAAGCACGACCAGGGGAAACAATCACGTACCAAGACCAGGATGAGGTGCGCGGGACATGAAAGAACCCTGCGGAAACGAAGAGGTAGGGAAATTCTCTGACATGGAAAAGGTCCGTTTACGACTAAGCAGATTTCCATCCATAGGCGGGGAGAACTCCTGGTAACCTCTCGGCGACGCGACATCGTTGATCGCTGGGTACTGCATCTCAGCCTGCCCTATCGCGGGCTGCATTTGGCTTTCAAGAGTATTCAACCGTTCGGCCAGTTCTTTGATATAGCTAAACCACCCTGTCAGCTGCTGCTCTTGATATGGTAATGTCCTGCCTGCTCTTACCCTTTGCTGGGTCCTCGTTTCATCGGCACCCGACTGAACTGACAGTTTACACCCAGACGACGGCAGTTGGAACATGTTTCGACCCCGGACTCGGATGTGGCATCGCAGCGAACCTGAGGAAAGAAAGCAACATTAGCTATCGGGTTCTGGGACGCGTCCAAGCACATAGAGAGGGAAAAGATGACGCTCCTACCTTCTTGCGCCGACATTCGTCACAAGCGCGAGATACTTTCGAACGTTTCCTACGCGCGCTCTGGTCTCCATAGCTCAAATCATGGTTGGGATCGACGCCAACCTGCTGGTTCGGAGTGAACTGCAGCATGTGTTGCTGTTGTTGATCTGCAGACTGCGGACGACCCATATCAGGCGCGCCTGGGTTGGAAGGACCCAAGACCATAGGCTGGCCATGATGCAGACCGTTGCTACCGCCATCTTGAAGATTGGCGCCAGACGCTTCACGCGAGAGTTCCGCAGAGAGGAGCTCATCGGTTGTCAACTGACGGTTGTAGTACTGCATGGTGCCCTGGCCCATCTGCGCCGCGTTGGGAGAGGGATACGAGGGCGCCGGAGGCATATCGGAGTGTTCTCGATGATTCATTGCATCGAACTGGGCCGCGAAGAGGGCGTGGAGGTGGTGTTTGTTGCTGGAGCGAGACTCCGGAAGGTGAGAGAAGGTGGTGGTTGTAAGGGCGAGGCCGAGCTGCGACGCAAGATTTTACAGGCTAATTTTCTATGGGCGGGGGGGCGATGGATAGGCTAGTGCGGGCAGCACTCGGCGCAGGAAGGCAGGACTCGTCAAACATCGTGCTCGACGAATTTGCGATTTACATACTTCGAGGGAGCCGGCGACATGGCGATGGGGATGCGATATAGTTCCCTTTAGGATGATTGCGTCGCGGCGGAGATCCGGCCTTTTGTTTCTGCGTCCTGCGAGCGGAATAATACTATTTCCCACCGGCCCAGACTCTCCATTTTTTCCCGGAAGAACTCGAGCACGAACGGCCCGAGTCGCTGTCGGAAATTCTGCTGGCCGAGGCTAGATGATAATGATACATACAAAGGGCGTTGGTCATGGCTGGTTGTTGCGGTCTATCCCTGGTTGACGCTGCGATGCTGTTCTGAAGCTGTTTCGTATGGCATGAGGAATAGTGGTGGTCGCCACCGCACAACTCCGCTTTGGTCTGCCCTCAGAGAGCGTCACTTTTATACAAAGACAGCAGAATCACCCGCAGGCAAACGCCTTCAACTAGAGCAGCCTCTGCGTCTGGCTCTCTTCATGATGTCAGAACCTTTGTGTGACGCAGTAGCCTTTGTCCTGCCTTATAGAGAGGCTGGCAGGGAAAAGCTACAGTATTCACTATGTTATATTATTGAATGTAGGTAGCTAATCTATATGTGGAACTGTGACTTCTAAGACAGAATTCTCTATTGACAAATTCTTTGAGAATAGAGTTATTATACGGACAATCTGTGACCAAAAGCAATGATTACTATCGTCTAGGAGTAAACGGACATGGCTTGATTGTATGTTGCATGTGATGTCCAAACATCTCTGGTCGTTATTCCAGATAAAGCACCCCAGAAGTCCTGTATTTCATTCCAACCTTCTCCGTCTTCATAATGCCGTCTCATATCTTCTGGAGAGAAGTTAAAGGGGAGATCACCGCATCCCTGAGAAATGGATATCTAAACCTTTGCCAGTGTCGCGATATCTTGGCCATGATCTGATCTACCAAATGGGGTCGCAATGGACAAACTGCATTCACCCAGGCTACAAGGCTATCTTGTCAAAGTGAGCCACGCATGAATATGCGAATGTGTGGGAACCCTTATATGTAAGTAAGCTATCTAGTTAATAATATATTTCTATATCCTCGTAAGATATCTTCATAGAGACCACTTCAGATGTTTCAATATATAATAATTCTATGTACTATATGCATACTTGTAAAGAAAAGCTCAACAAAAAGGAAAAAGAAAACAAAAAGTCTAGACCGGTTACAATACTCCATCAATGCGACCTCCCAAACACCATCCCTCCCTTGGTATCTCGATTAGTTTTCCCCTAGTATCTTGACACGAGTTGGCAACCCTTGCGACGGTTTAGCAGTAACGTCCAATGTCTGATACATGTAGGTGCCGTTTTCGTAGACCGTCTCAAAGTCAAAGGTGCGCAAAGTCATGACTAGAATGATTTTGAGCTGGATCAATGCCAACGTCTGCCCAAGACAAGTTCGCGGGCCCTTCTCGAAAGGCCGCCATGCGTCCTTGGGCACAAAGTACGGGTCCGTCGGATCAGTAACAAGATGGCGCTCGGGGTAGAACTTCTCAGAGTCTTTGAACAGGTCTTCACGCCGCATTGTGGCGCAGTTATTCACGAGAACAGCGAAGGGGTATGTTGGCCATTCCCTGCCATCCGCTTTCAAGGTCTGACCTGGCTGTCCGCTCCGCAGACTAACACCTGTCGGTGGCCATAGTCTCAACGCTTCCTTGATGATTGCGAGAGTGTAATGGAGGTTGTTAACGAGTGCGGGATCCGTCCGGAGCATAACTGCAGCTCTAGAGGGGTCCTTGCCAAAGAGTGCTTCATGTTCTTCTCGAACACGCTTAAGGATATGAGGGCTCTTGCCAAGTGCTGCGTATGTGTACTAAGAGACGAATTAGCTAACGTACGAGAGAAGTTGTATAGGTTCCAACTTACGCAGAGAGTGCTAGCCGAGGTGTCGTGTCCGGCAAAGATCAAAGTCTTGACTGATGCAATCAGCATCTCGCGCGTGTCCTGATTGACAGATGCCTTTGCATCGCCCGATATACTCTTATTGTTCAAACCGATTGCAATAGCGTCGTCAATGGCAAAATACTTGCTCTTCTCATCCACAGGCGCTGTAGCTGGTCCGTGGGCGATTCTCTTGTCCACGATACGGCCGACGTAGTTGTCAAGGGCACGTCCATTTTTCCATTTCCGGTAGTGCCGACTGGGACTGATATCGTACAAGTATCGCGACCAGAAGTCTTGAGGGGCGAGAGCTGCCTGCGCTCTGAAGAGTTCAAGGAACTCATCGTCATCTCTCTGGGCGTTGCATTCAATACCCCTACACCACTGTTAGTGAATGGAACGAATCTATACTGGAGACGAAAAAAGCTCACAAAATAACCCTAGCGGATATATTGAAGATCATACGAGCGCACACGTCCTCCATTTTGAAAACATCTTCGTTTCTTGCGTGTTCTTTGAGGACTTCAGCGAACTGTAAAGCATTGTCCACAATACCAGGAACATGCTGCAACACTTTCCGCGGTTGGAAGCCCGGCGTGAACGACTTCCTTGCTACCAGCCATTCGTGTCCATTCGCAGTAACCATAGACTTCTTGCCAAGGATATGGCCAGTCCATTTCTGCATGACAACCGACTCCTTTGGTAGATTCATCTTCTGGACAATTTGTGTCGCGAGTTCCGGTTGGACGATAACGAGCTGCGGTGGAGCGAGGGGCCATAGATCGAGGTAGAAGAAATCGCCCAAGCCATATCGCTTGCGCATCAAATGGGCGAAAAGTTGAGGAGTTGCATCAGGTGGTAGAGACCCTGCTATTTCTCGCATGACCAAAAAGTGACCCCAGATAGCGTGATGCGGAGGACCAGGGAGATCTTTGAACATGCTTCGCTGCTGGCGCAGTCTCCAGAGGAAATAGACCACGAGGGCTACTACTGCGACGATTGGAATGAACATATTGAGATTCGGTTGTCTTAGAGTTGGGTGTCCAAAGCCAAGAGTCGTCACCAGCGAAGATGCAGAGGTCAAGAGGTGAAGAGTGAATGATGTTTGAATAAAATTCAGCTTCAAGCATGGGCATTGCGGAATGAGGAGATGTGCTTGGAAGATATTATTTCATCTCGAGGGACATGCGTTCCATCGCTTTTATATCGATATTCCCGATGCCAATTTATTCCGCATAGACTCTCTCCTGTACTCTACTTAAACCGCTGAGCCTTAGGTCCAAAACGCCCGATGCTATATTTGGCCGATTAGTCTACGTATATTTTTAGATGCATGGAAGCAATTTAGAACGCTACTTCAGGTACAACTATCCATGCGCATTTTCATAGAAAATCTGCTTTACACTACCCTTGGGGCTAGCGTGATAATGTAAGTGCTGCTTCTCCACAATATACCTTAGGTAGGTAGTTTGGGGGCAGGAAAATGGGCCACTTAGACCGACAGTGTACCTTAATATGGCAACATAATCGACGCCAACCTTATCTCAAATCCTTCCAGTTGCAACGAAGGATGCGCTAAAGCAATGCCGAACCACATGGCAATGAGCCTCAACTCGCGGCTGCGCTTGGCTGCTGACTGGGGCCGACCTGTTTCTTGATCCACCATGATCTAAGTTAGTTACTGGGGGCTATCATCCTTCGTGTTTACTTGGGATTTACAGCTAGATTCTCTATTTCTATCCTGAAACTTCAGGATAGTGGCCCGTGGGGCGGAATAGGCCTGATGTCCCAGGTCGATACGGACGTCACAACCTGGGGCGGAATCTGGATCTCAGAATGTCGTTCACAATACTACCTACCCCATAGAAAAAGAATAAAAAAAGACTAGTGGAAGCAATCTGCCAATTTTAAGCGTCCTTGCCTGATTATTCTCCTTCGTTCGAATGTCAATCTTTCTCAAGTCCATCTTTCTCAACCCTCTCCAGCATCATCATCATCATCATGTTCGCTCTACGAGACGCAATCTATCTTATTGAATTGTCCTTCTATGGGCCTATCATCCCTGCTATCGTTTTCATCATTCTAATTCACACGGCTCAAAAGCCGTACACATGGCGCCCCATAGTCATACCTCTTCTCCTGCTCTCCGGGTTGCGAATTGCTGGATCATCATTGGGACTCACAGCACTCGATCCTGACAAGTCCTCGCTGCTCACCACGTCGACGTTGCTCGATACAATCGGGCTGGCGCCAGTCTTATGCTTGCTTCTAGGACTTTTGATTCGAGCGTGAGTCTCCTGTGTACCTGTCGAACTTGGCTTTCTCCCCCGGGAATAGAACATTGACAAAATATACCAGAAATGCACCATTAGACAGGGGATTGCCCATCTGGGCGTTTCTACCACTCCATTTGATCACCATCGCGGCCACCGTGATGACAGCCTATGGAGGGAGAGACCTTTATACCACTCGGAAGACACAATCAAAGGACCTGAAACTGATGAAAGCAGGAATATTCCTGTTCATCGGTGCCTTCAGTATCTCCATAATCCTAGCGATTGTAACGCTATTCCGAGCCCGCTCGATATTTAAGAGAACGGAACGGACAGCCGCCATCTGCGCGCTCCTATGTGTTCCGTTCATGAGCGTCAGGTTGGCTTATTCGGCCGGTTCTCTCTTCTCAGGCCAGGGTTCGGTTTTGAACCCGCTTTCCGACGACGACACAAGCATATGGCTTCATTTCCTCATGGTTATTGTCATGGAATATATCCCAACGCTTTCTGCGACTGCAGTCGCTCTGACTGCTAGGAGAATGACAATAACACATATCAGAAACGATGAAGGTAAATATGATTTGGACGATGAAAGTGAGAACTGTATTTAGATATGTGTTTATTTTCGTTATTTATGCCTTAGATTTTTCTGTCATTCGGGGTTTTGGTTGTCGTTTTTTTATTTTGTGCCGACGAAGAAGGTACAGGTTGTGGTAGCTGGATGAAACACGCATGATAGTTATCGAATTGTCTACTGAGTCAAATTTCTATGTGTATTAGCTTCGCTTCGAAATAAATCGTATCTATTTTCGACGTTCTTACTCGAAGTGGATTTCAGTGCTGCCTCCTGGGTGGAGCCGTTGAGCGTAGTCTATGTACTTATCCTACTCAGCCCTGGTGCTACTGCTCTGAACATGTGCAGAACGCATTGCGGTATACTTTAGGTAGTAAAAAGCGGCGGGAAAAAAAAATCCCATATTGGCATATACATCGTCGCATATATCTTCCTGGTAGATAGTCGACCTTTTTTCTTCATGGTCAACCACGCTGTCCACGATGTCTGAACAAGAAGTTCTAGCTTCGAACAATTTCGCGCCCAAAATGGCCCCCCCAGCCACTTATATAGAATGAAGGGGCGAAGGATTATTATTCGGGGGCGCTTTACTGAGGATCGTCATAGTTTACAGTTACCAGGGCAAAATATAGAAATGGAAACTTTGATAGCTTGATTGTAGCACTGGCCAAACGGCCGCTCTAGATATATGCTCTCTATAAACAACGAAAGAAATACGACAAAAAAAAGGCATAACAGCCACTGCATGGTAATGGTATACAAAAACAGACATCCTGCCAACGCTCGACACCCATGATTTTCCAATTCCAAGACAAAAGAAAAAAAAAAAACACCTGTAGCACGCATTTAGCCAATGCTTAACAATAACAGAAAACAGAACGCCATGGCCAGAACAACTAGCCATAGCAGGATTCCAAGTACCATTGCTACCCGCTTGTAATACCTTAGATGGCCAGCCTCATTGCCATGCGGGAACGGATTCGGCCTTTGTCGTCCGAGGAACTCGCATAGCGGTGCCCAACCATCCTGGCACTTGAAGACTAGTAGTCTGTTTTTCGGCACGATCTTCTTCACCCAGGCACTGTGTGCATGATATAGTTCCACAGATGGCTCAGGAGGAAGATTATATCGCTCAGATGCTAGTTGCATCCAGCCTCGGTAAAGGTCGTTGGCGGCGACGACGCCCGGTACCCAGTATCCGATCCAGCGGAAGCACTCAGACCGCAGGTCGATGCCAAAGCCATGCCATGAGTTGAGCCAGACTTTGGCTGAGGTGCGCTCGGTGAGGATCACTTTAGCGTCAGGGTACATTTCCAAGAGATCGGGCAAGCAAGCGCTTCCAGGAACTTCGAGTGTAGCTTCGCGACCATGGAAGAGCTTTGCTAGCTTGCGTCTTCTTAATGTTGTGTCCTTGGTGTGGACAATGTCGGCACTTAATCTGAGATTCTCGAATTGACAGAGTGGCTCTGCAAGATGGAAACAATTGTTGTAGCCAAGCTCTTCTAGTGCTTTCTTCATGCTCATGGTACCAGTTCGTGGCAGTCCAGCCTGAAGAAGTACTCATTAGCTCAATTGTATCCTGGATATGTCCATATCAGAGGATCAACTTACCACAATGACCTTTATCGTTCCTCCATGATGCACCCCTGCTGAGGACACACGTAGCCTGAGATCCGCCTTGGGATCGGGGCTGGTGATGCTGATACCCGCCTTGAGAATAAGCGGGAGCAGGTTCAGACTGAGCTTGTGGTAGACCCATGAATTGGGCTTGTGGATATCTATCTGAACCCTTGGGCTCTGCATCTTTGCGGTAGAATGGGCGGGAAAGGATATGAGAAGGAATTGTGATGCTAGATGGATTGGCAGCTCCTGGAACAACTGAAGATGAGAATTGGCCCGGGGAGGAGATGGATTATATTATGGTCTATAGATGAGCTCTTGATACTACCTACCTATCATTAATAGTTACAGTTCTTTTCAGAGCCTACACAGCCAAGAAAGCGTCTATACTACGGCCCCTAAGCTAAACCGCATCACGCAATGTACCCTCGGATGCCAAGAGGGATATTTTTACGAACAATACTACGATAGTGAAGCCTCATAGAGCTATTTTTACGCTCTGCCACGAGGTACCGTGTTCACGTGGAAGCGTCTGTTGATACTAAGTCTATATGTTTAAGGGATCCTGTCAGCTTGAAGCTATCTAGATCCATCGAAGATCTCGTATCAGATCAGCATTGTTAGACGCCACTGCAAGGGACCCGCTAAGTAGCTAGTAACGGGCCGGGCGTTTCTGCAGCAGTTGCGCTTAGATCCCTGGCCCCCAGATCGATCTCTCTTCAGGGTACGCTTAATTATTATTATTAGCTTGTCTGAGCCTCCGCACTACTTCCTGGCTTGGGGCCGGGCCCCGCAAGGATCGTACCCCTACTACCTAAAATAATCACTTCCTTCTGCAACTACACTTCACGCTCACTGACACTATCCGAGACGAAGGATGATGTACATAACTAAATAAATCCTCGTCGAAGACACGTTCTCACCGAAGGATGCGCTAAACTAGAGACGAAGGAAACATACTCGGAAAAGACCTTCCACGCAAATAAAAATAGGGCACTGATCATGGGGCTGAAATCCTAGAATCATGGCCGAAACTGCACTATATGCCATCGCTCGCCACGAAAGAATCGGTGGGTATACTTGGGGTTAACTTGGTCTGAAGGATTGAAAGTGCGGGTCTTGGAGTCGAAATAACAAGACTGAGGATACAACACAAATGCTACTCTTTTGGGTCCATAACGATGACCATATGGAGAGATGTAACAGAGGTTGCCACAATTTCCGAGAACGTACTACACGTCACTTTTCAGGAATAATCGCTATGTAATTTTCTGCAAAGCTACACTCCTACGCGGAAGTTTGAACTATCCATTGGCATTACTGTCGCATTTTCAGTGCTGTACTTTGGAGAAACCACGCCCTTTTCAACGGAGTATTACTTTGAAAATGCCAAACTATTTGATCTTGTCTATAATATGTAAAAATAAAGGAGAAATTACTGGAAACCAGTTCGACCTCACGGGGGCTAGTTTGAAACTTTTGTCGTATAACTTTATTATAATCAAGTCTGAAGAGTCATAGGTCTGGCGGATCTAGTACAGACACCGATAAAACTCTCAGCCGCACAGATTCTACTTTCCCGCAGATGATTAGAAGGTTGATAGAATTGGGTTTTAGTAAAATTCCTTTCCACGTGGCTGCAAGGAGCCAATGGCAAAATTTCTGAAACTATGATATTCGACTTGGCTACGTGGTGGGGGCTGAATAGAGATTCGTTAGGATTAACAGGAAGTACAGAAGCCATGTCAGCACACAAAGAGTGTGCATTGTGATCTGCAGTGCTATCCATTGGTATCGGGCTTTTTTAGTATGGGGCAGAATCCACTGAATCTTTTGGATCTATACTCAGTGTAATTAGAAAATCAACAGAGCCATCTTCCTTACATATAGAATCAAGCAATCAATTCAAGATTCTGCTAGATGCTGCAGTAGCTTTTTGCTTCCGTGTCCTTCTAAGGTCTAACAAGTTCTTGATATCCACGATGGTGATATTGAAATTGAATTCGTTCTAGTTACAACGCAATGAACATGACGTATGAAAAACAAAACCAATATGCTCAAAAACAGCCCAAACTATCTATATGCACTTGAGTAATCTAGTAGATATAAAACCGCACTTTTTCAACTGATGCAGATGCGCGCTTATAAAGGATCTCATCTAGGAGTCAGCGTTAACAGTGCACTGCTGGAAGGTGCCACCTGCTCCTTCAATCATCACTCCCTGGAACTTGCCATCGGAGCCGCCAACAACACGGTATTTACCGGGAGATTGGTCTGTTGCAGAGACTACGGTTAGCTTCTACTCGACACAATATTGTAAAAGTGAGCGGGAGCTGAACAAGAACTTACCTCCATAGAAGGTTCCTCCTGGGATGATTGGGAATTCGAGCAGCTCCTTGGTAACACCCGGGTACACCTGGGAACCGCCGCTCATGTTGCCAAAGACTTCAGGGTATTTACCGTATGTACCGACAGCGTTGTCCTTCAGCTGCTTGAAGGCACTTCCGACATCGTCCTTGGACAGAGTGGTACCATCGGGGCAGGTAGCAGAGCCGACCTTCTTCTTCTTAGCACGGGCGGCGAGCTCGTTCGTCTGGGAGCTAGGGGAGGGAGCAGATGTGTCTCGGACGGCGAGTTCATCATCGCCGCTGTCGTCGTTGTCGTCGCCATTGTCACCGTTGCCTTTCTTGTCGCCCTTGTCGCCCTTGTCCTTCTTGTCTTCCTTATCTTTGTCGTCGTCGTCGTCGTTGCGCTTGTCCTTGACAGGGGTGCAGGCTTCGTAGGCACCGGAAATGGTAGCACCAGTATGTTGCATTACACCCCTGAAGTCTCCGCGATTATTCTTGTAGTCAGTGACTACGCGGTATGCACCGGGGGGTCCTAAGAAGGGCTTTATGTTAGCATATCGCAAAACATGATGTGAGCGTATTGGGACAATGTACCTCCTGTATACGCAGCACCAGAGATAATTGGGAACTCTCTAAGATCAGTGCCGTCAGGGATGTTCGAGAAGACTTTCCCCCCGCCACTCTTGTTTCCGAAGGGCTTAGGATAGCTGCGCGCGACGGTTCTATCGTCGTGGGCTCTGCACTCTTGGAGTGCAGTCTTGATATCATCTTTGGCAATCGTTGAGCCATCAGGACAAAGGTAGTCACTGAGCTTGGCTGCTCTCTTGGTGAGAGCGTTCTCCGCTGTAGAAGACGCGGGGATAGGAGAGGCATAGGCCACGGCGACGAGCCCGTAGAGGAAAACTGACTTCATGTCGAAGAACATTTTGAATATAAAAAGTCAAGAGACCGAAAAAACAGACTTTGGGCTTTTCGGAACAAGAAATTGATCTATTCAAACAATAGAGGGATCGAGTTGGTAAAGCGCAAGACTGGAAATGCCTTCCAATTGATGCTGTTGCTGTTGTTGCTGTTGGATAGAGAGATCTGGTGTCGATGGTAAGGACCCTTATATAGACGATGAAGTACAATTTGGACCCATATTGGAATCAGTACAGTTTCTATTTTGGATAACAACTTGTAGTCTCAGTAGATGGTCGGGGGCTGCAATCCTGATAGTCAGCTTGGCGGAGTACTCCATGAGCACCGATCTTAAGCACCTCAGGTCGTAGTAAAGTATAGGTCTTACTGAGATCCACTTCCTTCTACCCCAGACTATCCTCTGAAATAGAAAGATCAGCGTCCAAGGATACGCCGATAAGATACACTGTACCTGGCCCCTACATGAAGATAGCATCTAGCCCCCAACGGTAGACTACTTACGCCGAGCCTGTACTTATCCTGCGACGCCTATCACCTCCACAGCAGCAATGTCGCGTGGATGAAGACTTGGCGGCCCCAGAAGCGAGTCCAATGGCCCCCATCCAAGAGGAAATAAACTGACGATCCATAAGCACCATGATCCAAGTTCAAGTCCGGGAAAATTGATCGATGCAATCCGCCAAGGTCAACGTTAAGTCAACTAGTTAACTAGTTTAACTTACTTACCTAGGTAGTTAACTAAGTAACTAAGTCCTTGGCAATGAATAAGCAGAGGGGCTGGTTAATGAAGTTAGCCTAACCAGTTAACTAAATTTAGACTACCAGCTGCACTGCGCCATCACACTCGTCTCTAAAGTATACTCCGTACAATGTATGTATAAACTCGTTCTAGCCCCACTACTTAAGAATATCGATAAAAGCTCTGACACTGTCAACCCCTGCCAGTCTTCCAAAACACACATCGTCCTTCTTCATTTCATTCTCTTTTCCCTTCGTGATCTTTGAGAAGATACCTAGTGAAGTGTATCGTACTTGGGAGATCGCCAATATGGGAAGAGCCGACTTCATCAAGCAGGTCGAAAGTTCGGAAGAATTCAAGATTCTCGACTCGGTCACAAAGCACGATGCGACAGTTGATGATGCCCTGCAAAAGGTCATCGACATGACCATGGTTGCCACCACTGTGCATGGTCCAAACAGCCTCCAAGGCGCCGGCCTCGTCGACTACAACGTCGCCTTGGCTCTTATGGAGTTGTCCCAGCGCCTCGAGTCCGCTAAGCATGGCAAGCTCGTAGAGTTCATCTCAAAACTTCAAAAGCAGACCGCAACCGACCCATTAACGGGCGAGCCGCAAAAGATCCAGGGAGATACCCTTTGGACGGATCTACCGTCGTTTGGCTACACCGAACTAGAAACGTGGTACGAGTTCGGGGGTGAATACAAAGGTAATTCATTCCTAACACCCATCAGTACTTGTTCATACCACTAACCAGCCACGATACTATCTAGATCCTCTCGATCCTAAGATGGATCCCGAGGAACAATCGCGATGGGCCAACCTGAACGCTTTTCTCGCCCAACTGTGCCAAGCCACTGACGTCCACTATCCGTCTCCTGACGAAAAAGTCCTTTACCATCCTTTGGACAAATCTCTTCGGGGACTGTGGACGCTCCAGAAGGCGCTTGAAAACGGAGACCATCCTCCCGAAACACTTATTGGCACAGTTGCTCTGCGGGCCACATGTCTGTGGTTTATCCACGCCGCTGACCGGCTGTGGGCCAATGTTAAGAACGGTCGCACGTACCCTCAAGCCTCAGGAGCTGGACATGCAAGTGGAAAATATGCGCCGCGAGGCTGGAAGGGGTTTGAGAAAGAGAGGTGGGATATCTGGGTGCAGGGTCTGCAGGATGCCAAAGCAGCGTCTACTGATGAAGAGGAGAAGGCATTGATTGCAGATGCTCTGGCACACATTAAGAGCGCGACGGAAAGTGGCTAGGTTTCTGGGAACATTATGATAGCATGTATTGGATACCCAGGAGAATAGAGTCATGGACTCTGATAGATTAACGGTTCAAATTGCTCAATATATTGATACACAGCATATATGTGTAGGAACATTATCCAGTACAAATACAGTTAAACCGCGACAACCGCCGAAAGAATTTTATATATAACGAATCTAGTGAGACAATAGGCTGCACAAATTGTTTAATGATGAGGAGTTACTGAATTCCGAGGTATATATTAACCTCCTAGCGAGACAGTTTTCTGCCAGTCCATGGTCTATAATCAACACGTCCTAACTCTACAGTACATATAATCGTCATATTCGTTCCACTATCCACATCAATCTAGAGGTTATCAGGTTTCCTACCACGTAGAAACCTACAAAGCAGCTTCAGTTTCTAGATATATATCTCAGAAGCTTGCCCTGAAGTTATGTACATTACATATCAGAGTGCTATCTGCTCGAGAGAATGGGCATAAGAGTCTTTACCGCACTGCCTCTCCATCTACCTACCTGCCGCCAGAAAATGGTTGCATAGTCCCTCTCCCTTCGTAGGGGCTGGCGGTTAGGACGAGGTGAGAAATGGCCCTTCACGATTGGGATTGATTCCCAGCCTGCCAAGAAGGCTTGTGCTGCAACTTGGTTGCTAAAGGATTCTCTTAGCGCTTGGGGTCTGAGAATCCTTCGAGAAACTAGCCCATGTCAGGCAGTTGCACAGATTATCGTCGACGAAGTAAGGCACTTTCGCGATAAACTAAGGTTGGGAGCCGTGCGGGTCGTGGGGGCCATAAATCAGCGTTGGAATTAAGTTCGCGTATAGTGTCCAACCTCCAGGCGGGGATCCTAACTTAGCTTGGAGAGAAAACAAAATATGGCCCCCCTGCCTACTGCAATTCTGGCATAGATCTATGCATCGTGTCCAATGGCAACTGACTAAGTATTCGTCGAATGTGGCTTATACAGCCGATACCGACTAGCTAATTAACACTCTGGCGAGGCGCCCGACTTTATTTATCGTCTCGGCGCCCTGGTCTGTCATGGATCGAGGAATATTAATCAGGGCTCTTTCTTCAGTCGCTCCCTAAATCGCACTCTAACGCAGTCAGGACCGGGTTCTGAGAGTTGTCAAATCTCGTTCCATTTCCTATCGCCCACTGCAGTTCACAATGACCAACGGTCTCTCCACAGCCGAGCTGGTCATCTATGTGATCCTCATCATCCCAGTTCTGTACCTGCTCGTCAAACATGGACGGAACGGCTTGCTAGGATGGCTCTTCCTGTCCTTTTTCTGCGTCCTCAGAATCGTTGGTGGAGGGTTGGCGATAAAGAGCTCTAGTCCAGCTGCTACCATCATTTCCAACGTCGGACTTTCTCCTATATTACTTGCGACAGCCGGTATCCTGCATGAAGCGTGAGTCGAACTCCCACAATCTCAAGGGAGATATATAGCTAATACGGGGGGAATAGGAGGAGTTACCGCATCCATGGTCTTGACGCAAAACTTGAGCAGGTTCTCGGGCTCCTTTTCCATATGCTGGTGATTGCGGGAGTTGCCCTCACTGCCGCCGGATCTGCGAAACTCCAAGCCCACCAACAACCAATTGACAAAGACGAGTCGATCGTCAAGGCGGGTATCTCTATTTTGACCGTCTCTTGGGGAGTCCTCGTCGGATGGACCGCACAGTCATTCACTGCGCAGCGTGCAACGCACGGTGTCGCGCGTGCGGGAACACTGGTAAGCAATGCATTCTCGAGATATCACGGCAGCACTAGGAGTTGCTGACTTTGGAATCTAGCTCCTCTCGTCTGTCGGCTTTGCTCTCGTGTTCATCGGTGTTCGCGTGTTCTACAGTCTCGTTGCTTTATGCACCGAGAGGGCATCTCTCAACCCGACTACCGGCTCCCTCGCTGTCCGGGTGGTGCTGGGCTTCTTGCCAGAACTTATTGCGACGCTGATTTACATTTCCGCGGGATTCGCGACTCAGAGTGTCGCCCAACAGGCTCGAGGTGAAGCTGTTGACTTGGCTCGGAAGCCTCATCAGGCGCCATATGTTTGAATGGTGGACTGATTCTTGTTCCACTGTCGTGCGTCAGTCTTGTATATACATAATTAAAGCGATACCATATATTCCATACTATCATGTTACTCACGCGTCTTGAATTTCGAATTTCTGCTGTCATTATCCTAACGAGAACGCTTCCTTGGAATATTGCTCCACGACCTGTCCTAGAAGAGATGGCCTCGATGATCGCTGTGCGTGTTGGAAAGACAGCTGCATCAGCGGGAATGCGGAATAAGGGGTTTCATAGACGGAGGAATCTATTAGATTGCATTAAACCTAGGTTATTGTAACGGTCTATAAACGGCTATTTATTCTCAGTCTGGCAGATACTTAGCGGAACACCGTTAGAAGCCATCCAATCCAGATCAACTTCGAACCGGATGAGGCACTCTGCGAGACATTTCCTTTGGGAATTATGTACGTAGGTACTTCAGAGTGAGCCTCACAATCAATTGTAGCTGACCATTCACGAATCAAAACCATGTATAGATAGAATAGAATGTTGCTATTGCTGGTTCGCTCCACCCGGAGTTTAATCTCTTCGGAACCCCACTAATGTACTTAGAATTCTATTCCGAAACTGTCGTCGAAAAAGACTAATAGTAAGCAGCTACCCTACCTAGTCAACTATACTCACTTCATAATCCATCTTCTCGTTCCATCCAGAACGGAATTTTCTTTTAACATGTCGCAAATCCCCAGTGACGCCCTCGATTTCCCGGACTCCGATCGGAAGTTCCTGGAACCTCATCTCCCACCTCGGAATGGCGAGATCAAGAGTCCTAACTTGCCATTCACAACAGTGACATTTGCCATGTCACTAGATGCATCTCTGGCGATCTCACCGGGAGTCCGAACGGTCCTGTCGGGACCTCAGTCCAAGGCAATGACGCATTATCTACGCTCTCGTCACGATGCTATCTTAATTGGCGTTGGTACCGCTCTAGCAGACGATCCTGGTCTGAATTGTCGCATAGAGGGCGTGGGCGGATACGGCGGCGAGAGTCTGCAAGGCCAGCCTAGGCCTATTATCATTGATCCTTCGGCTAGATGGGAATTTACGGAAGAGGCTAAGATCTTGAAACTCGTCAACGAAGGCCGTGGGCGTGCTCCGTATATCGTTACTGGCAAGCATTCACCTCCGGTGAAACAGAAGGAGATCCTTGAAGAGCACGGTGGGAAGTATCTTACTATGGATATCACTACGACGGAAGCTGGAGCTCATCGGTTCGACTGGACCGTCCTGCTGGAGAGGTTGAAGAAAGAGGGTCTAAACAGCGTCATGATTGAAGGCGGTGCTGTTATTATCAATTCTCTCCTGGATCCCTCGTCTCAGGCGCTGATTGATAGTGTGATCATCACGATCGCACCAACGTGGCTGGGTCGAGGTGGGGTGGTTGTCTCACCTGAACGACGATATGATAGTGGTGGCAATTCCATTCCGGTATCACGTCTCTCGGACGTAAAGTGGTATCCCTTTGGTGAAGATGTTGTGCTCTGTGGAAAGATCAAACACTAAAATGTTGGGTACAAGGAGTGAATGCTCACGATGCGAGGCAGCACGCAGAAGATGCACGATGGAATTTATCATATGACCACAGCATGTAGCGAATAGAATCGTATTCCTGATGTTTCTTTCTCAAAGTAGAATGGAGCTCACGAAGGCTGAGAAACCTCAGTAACAAGACAGCCAAGAACACCACAGGGGCCACAGCAAACACAAGCGTGAGAACTGAGAACCAAGCTGAAACCCCGAGAAAGGCGTTCCATTCTGGCCTCGCCTGAGTTCCCACTTACATCGTGTGTAATATGAGACTCAGGACTCCAAGCAGAAAGAGAAGGGGGGGGGGGGGGGGGGGGGGGGGGGCGTAGTGCTTCGCGAGTACATCGGAAGGCAGTACAAATGTGTTGGATAGTGCCTGTTTGGAAATAAAAGTCCAGATCAGGAGAAGCATCTAGAAGCAGTGTGGAGAGCTGGAATAGGACTTTCTCGAGTAGACTCGTCTCTCCAGGAACCTCTACAGGAGGTACAGGACACAGTGGCAGAGGGGACCATGCTGGTTAGATGAACGAATGAAGAAGTACCTTCCAGAGCGGCTAATTCCAGAACCCCATTTTATTCTTCCTCTATATGGGGTTAATAACAATAAGTCTCATAATAAAGTATCCTTTCTCCAAGTTGGATTTCGGTACGTCCTTTATGGTTCAACCCAATATAGATCTGCCACAAATGACTTAGGTACACAGAATACCTATTTAGCTTGCAAAGCTTCAACAACGATGATGAGAACAAAGGGGTAAAAAAGAGAGCATAAAGTGACAAGAGAACATGAGATTCTCGCCTTTCGGTTCAAGAGTAAATAAGAAATCCCCTGCAACTGCGCGCATGTGGGAGTAATTACCTAACCAGGTTCGGTTTTCCTGTTTGGGAACCTATTACATCTATGTCATGTGATTCAATAAGAGTTTGGAACCACGACGAGCTGGCACCCCTTCAATAACTAACTAGTTAGAGTGAGGATATGATTAGTAAGATCTGTATTCTCTCTCGCGGAATCGACGGGGAATAATTCAAGAAGGCTTTCTTTCTTGGCAAGTAATCTTATCCTCTAGGGTATAGTGAGACACAGCGGCGCAGTGGAGTACTGTATTTTTCCTTGCCTATCTTATCTCCCAAGTAAGCATCTTTCCAAGATATTACGTCGAAAGTGAATCAGGTAACATCCACGTTTGGAAAATAGATCCCTATAAGTACATGTGAGTGCGACTGTAGAGTACGTGGTACCCTGCTATAGATAGAAACAAGAGAAGGAGGCGCAGGGAAAAGTTGCCGCAGGATCGGAGGGTGGACAAACTGCGTACTCGTACAGGGCTGAGTCTGCGTTTACCCGCGTAACCGCGATGGGGAGGACATGACCCACCGCTTGGGGTCGATGGTAGCGGGGATTTATTTTTAAGTTATCATCCTCCATCAATGCCAAGATAACTAAAGTTGTTATTATTATCTGGGGATCGCATAAACACTTTCCTATTTGGTCTCTTTGCTGGGTTACTCTAACGGCTGTGCCGTCAGTAGGGGACTGTGTCTGTTTTGGGATTGTTGCATCGCTTAGCAAGTGCGAGCGTCCTGAAGAAGGGCCAGTTGATGTAGACCTCGACCGTAGCATATATCCGGTTTTCCCCAAGACACGATAGGGATAATAAACAATGAATTGTTGGGTGAGCTTCTTCTAAGGTCTTATATGGGTAGTATTTGGAATCCAAGTGTGACTGATATCGGAATTGTATTAGTTATTGGCCAGACAAATGCTAGGTACAGAGGTTCGAGATAGAGAATAATATACTGACCTGGGCACAGATTACCATAGAGTAATAATTCATCAACCCTGTTACATCTTAACAAGAAAGATGATCCATAGATGATATTGCCTCTTAATCAGGCTAAGGTATTCCTGCCAACCTGCCAGATTCCGGGGGATTTTAGCGGGATGAAGCCATGTCGCACAGGCTGCCCAAGGCCCGACCCGGCTTTTCCCTATACCATCACTCTGATTGGCTGCATCCGCCCACTTACCGGGCGATCCAGGGTTCGCCAAGAAGAACACCTGACCGACGAGGGGAACAGCACCATGACGCCATCGCGCAGCAGCAGTCAAAGAGCAAAATACGATCGTCTGGCGTGTCTGATGCCATAACCATAACCCGCGATGGTTACAGTCTGATCATTGGCAGCCAGCGCTCGCACGCGGGGAGAGAGATCGGAGCAGAGACCGTGCGCCACTTGGTTCTCGTGCCCGGGCCTGCTTCTGCCTTCTGGTGACGACGGCCAGCAGTGAGGGGTATCCGGCACTGACGACGGGGCTTTCTCGGCCTCTCATGGGGGGTTGACGAAGAAGAGAAAAATCTGCCACGGTTCCGCACTTCTACTGCCCGGCAACAGCAGTGGGAAATGTGGACGGTAACTACTAATAAACTAACTAGACTACCAGTCGTGGGCGAGTCAGCGGTCGGTGGGACGGACGTGGACACCTGGCAGCTCGGCCGTGGCGTAGAGCCGTGAGTGAAGTTCCTGTGCGGTCGATGCGACACTGCCAACTGCCAATGATGCGGTCAGCAAGCTGTTTTAGTGGCATGCAGCGAACATGGCGGGATTCTTTCTAGAAGCCTGCCCGGACCACAGCCCTGCCAGCTTCCTTTGCGGGCATCGAAGACGACGCCAATGACATTGTGCACATGCATTCTTCGTTGCAGGCGGGAGGTTTCGTTAGCCTTATGGACGTGGCGCCAGAGAAGAAAGGAGCCGTGGGGTTTGATTTGGTCTATTAAAGAAAATCCGTTTCTGACCCCGCGGTGTGACCAAAACAAACCGCCAGTGGACTTGGAGTCTTGGACGGAGAGCAAGGCCGCGATGACGTGAAGTCAGGCTGCTTCCCACTCAGCTCGGCCATTGAACTGAACTGCAGATGATCGCGACAAGATGACAAGAGGCTGAAGCCGTACGCTGGACATGATAATTTGATCAGGTATGAGCGACTGGTGAGGACACCCGAGCCATGGATCGTCCATACCACGGAGCGGCACCTGGACCGCGCACCGCCGGAGGGTTCGATGCCAGCAATGCCTGGACACGCCAATGGTGATCCTCGTATATATGTAGCGCTTCGCTGCGGTCTCCAGGCGTCTACTGGCTGGCCTGGAGGTTGTACTGTACATCAGACCGATCTGGGATGTAGGACGAGCCTTGCTCGTTGCGGACACCGGTCCAACCCCGGATAATAGCCGATACGTACCATTATTATTTCTCCAGATTTAGGATCCTCCCGGCCGGGTCGAGGACACAGATGCGATACGCAAGGTCCGATCGAGGTACTAGACGTGAACCATGGACGCGACTCTCGCTTGTAGTTCCCAGTACCACGGACTCCCCAGTATTCCAGACCTATATAGCGGCCGTGCGCCATTCCACAACGCTCAATGGCACACAGAAATTATTTCTTGCTCGTCTAGGACGACTATCGCCCGTCGAAAGCGCCAGGGTCAGCGCGTCCGCCAATGAACCGGGAGTGGTGATAAACGCGGCGCGAAACGATCATCTGCAGGAAGTCCGTCAACGAGGCGCCGGGATCATCCTGGGGGGGAAGTTATCTGTGCGAAAGCGACCCTGGGACATCCTGTGCCTGGGGCCAACGGTCTCCTAGAGTTCAAACTTCAGCCGGCGCAGCTTTGGGAGACTGAACGGCGCCATCCACGGGTCAGAAGCTTCAGACGCTCGGGGCGATCAGCGTCGCTACGCCTCGTCGGATACGGGAGACCATTGAGACCAAGTACGCAACTCGGCCTCTGCCCTCGCCCTCCCCCGACTCTTTCTTCCCTCTCTCCTCTCCTCCCAGCGCCTCCTCCCATCTTTTTCTCTTTCTCCTGCTGTCTGTGAAGGACATCCCCCTCCCTATCGACAAACCGTCAACTCAATCTGGCCGCCACTACCGATATTTGGTGTCCTGTCTCACGGCCGGCGCCAAACGGTGCGTAGGCTCTTGGCCCCCTCCCCTCCTTTCTCCAGCTCGTTGCTGCGCTGCTCGTTACGGGCCCAGTCATCTCCCAACTGCACACGGCTACCGCGCAGCTTGGTGCACGCTTGTCGCTCTGGAACCGGCGTTTGGAATCTTGCGCATCCAAAAAAAGAAGATACTCGATACCCATTTCTTTGTTTGGAATTTGATTGATTTCTTTTGGATCTGTTTTTTGCTTGTCCCCTGCCAATTCGTACGGGACGCCGGTCATACGTCCCTCGCCGGGCTCTGGTGTCAGCCCCTTGGTATCGAGTCGAGCATCTCGAGGCGCCTTGACGGCCAATTCGTTTCCTGACTCTTTTTTTTACATATTCTTTTTTATATTCCCCATCGCGAATCATCGCATGTCATCTCAGTAGAGAACCGCGGCGATGCTTATCGATGGCGAGAAGTGGGCTTGTGAAGCTTGCGTCCGGGGTCACCGGGTCAGCAGCTGTCACCACAGCGGTAGGTCGAACCAACAGAAGGAAATGAGATTGAATTGGACCCCAGGCAAACTAACATTTCTACCACAGACCGACCCCTCACCCATATCAACAAAAAAGGCCGACCAGTCTCTCAATGTACACACTGTCGCGGTCTACGCAAGTCGAGGACAACCCACGTGAAATGCGAGTGCGGTGACAAGAAGAAGAACAACAGCAACAACAATAACAACCATCATAGTGAATCTGACTCCCCCACCGGAGATAATCGCTTGTGCTGCGGCTGTACTCATGGCCAACGCTGCACCTGTGCGCTCAAGAAGGAGCATCACCTCGACCCGGTCCCGGAGACGGGCTTGCCTCTAGCACCACCAGCGGTCACGTCAGAACCTAAGAAACCTCGTTTGACATCGACCAAGTCTGAGAGCACACTCACTGTCTTCCGTGATGGCCATCACAAGCCGGCCTACAAGCACAACGACATGGCTCACAAGTGCGGTGTGCCGTACACCATCCCCAGGTCTCACACGATCCACTCCACCACGGATATTGTCCAGCGATCGACAGATGCTCTTGCGGGCATCGGCCAGACCGCTGACATCGGTCAAGATGTCTCCAACCGTGTGGATCAGACGCCCAGTGGTCCCCAGCGCCTGGTCAAATCGGAGCATGGATCTCCTGAAAGCGCGCCCGTCCCGAGTTTGGAGCAGATCAACACCCAAATGCCGCCTCTCGATATCTCGTCGTTCTCCCCCTTTGGAACAACCGAGTCTCCTTTGACATCGATGACGTTCCAGGATTCTTACCAAGAACAACCGTTCTTCACCTCGCCTGAGGCTGACTTTTCGCTCGGGTCCGCTGGTCTCAGTGCACCGCCGGTGGACTGGTCAAGCTTCCCATTGTATGCGTCCGACGTATCCGCCACAGCAGAGAGCCAGCCTCCTTCCTACGCTAGTTTTGATTACAATGCGTTCAACAATCACCCGGGCATCGCAGCTTCGTCGTCCGGTGATATTTCTGAGATTGATGAATTTGGACCGCTCCCCGGGTTGGGGCAGTCTTCCAACGATATCCATGACCTCAACAGTGTGAGTGACGGTTCTGACAGCGATCAGTACCGCTTCAGCTCATCTTCCTCCTTCATTGGGTTGCCTCAGGCACAGCTCCTGTCGTCAACCAGCCTGGAGTCGATCAACATCGATGATTTCTTGAAATCAGCCAATGAGTCGACGGCGGCGTTGGAGCACCAGCTTCAAGCCAGCATGGGCCTGGAGTCAAAGCCCATGCCGTCGCAGAGCGGCTATGCGATCCCGCAGGCGCAGCTTTACCCCCACGGTAGTGAGCCACTGACGAGCGAGCCGCTGCCAGATTCGATGAGCGGTATCCCGATGACGACGTCTCCTACCGATGCTATCTGGGCCCCTAGCTTGTATGATTCCGCATCTGTGCCTCTCGGTAATGAGCAGTCCTTCCCTCAGAACCAGTGGTCCAGCTAGCATGGTCCATACATGCTGTGGGTCCTATCGTTTCGGTAGTGATCATCATTGGGGGACCCCTCTTGAGCCACCCTGTTGTAACAGCACCTCCATACCGTCTGAGTGACATCCAGAGTCTTCATGACCTTGATGAGAGATGATGATAATACGTGTTTTACCTTTGTCCCATTAGCCAGTCTAAATCTATTTGATATCTAGCCTGTCCGTCGCAGATCCAACTTACTCTCAGTGAGAGAGCAAGGCTCTTCCAAGCCCCGTGTACTTATCTCGCTCTGTTCGCCATCTCTGGTCGTCTCTGACGCTCTGCAGGAGCGCTTACGTCTGGCCATTTTGTCCACTCCCCCATTTTGTTGCGCTTTTCATGCAGCAGATTATGGTATGGCGACGAATGTTTAGATTTCCTCAACACTTGGATTCTTGCCGTGACTGTAGACCTATTATACTGCGACTACACCAGCGTTATCTGCATGTTTGTCCTGGGAACCGCTCTGTCATTGTTCTCTGGCAGGACATGGATCATTTCCCGTTCTGAGTTGCACATTCGACTCTTTGCTCCGTTTATTTGAAAGAGCCAGTTGCCTCTTCCTCGCAGCAGCAGATTCCCCGTTGGTTATGGTTCGCAAGCATGATATACTATACATTTTGTACATATGCATCTTTGTTATTAGATACCACTGCACATTTGAATTACAGCTGAAGTCGTTACACTTCTGTCAACGAAAGGAGCCTTCCACTACGAGCCACCTAGTAAGATCGAGTAGGTCCAGAAATCGGCGGTGTAGACCGCAGAGCAGATGTCGGCAATTCCGATTCTTTTCTGAAAGCACATCATCCCTTGTAGGTACAAGGTGCCATTATTACTGGGTATTCTGCATGGAGCCAGAATGAACCGTGCTTTCCTTGGGCCCTCAACCTGGAACAAGACTAGTTAGTTGAGAGAAGGCAACCCAAGTGGCCACAAAAGACACAAGACCCCAAGCCCAACCACACAACCAATTGCAGCATAAACTTGACAGCCTATCTCATAATATAGGTAGTTATAGGAAGTATGGTAGTTAGTCATACAGTCAAATATGTAACTAGTTAGGTATGTATCTAAGATATCTCGCATACATAACTCTTAAAAACTCTACCCAACCCAACCAGAGAATCTCGGCCAAAAGACGTAGGCTAGTTAGTTAACTAAGACTATCTACGGAGTACTCCGTATTCTAATTTAAAAAAGTAGCGGTGTGCAGGAAACATGACCCCCTCGGACTCCTCTTTTCGCTTGCGCTTTGCCCCTCCCCGTCTGTGCCCCGAGCTTTCGGGCTGCCTAGCAACTATGCTGGGGCGGGGTGTCCGAAGCGCGTAGGTATCTGACCACGAATAATACTCTGTAGACGGTTGATGATAAACGCATGTAGTTCTAGTTAAGACACAGGATAATCGAGATGGTAACTACCAGTAATTTTCACAGTTACAACTTACTAGAGTAGAATATAAGCCACCAATTAACTGCATCTTCCACATCCCCAATCTAACAGGGATAACGATAAGGGGGGTTTAGATAGAGAGAGAAAGAGGAGGGGGGGGGGGGGTGAAGGTGAGATCTCAACCAGGTCGCGGTCCAGTTTTTCTCTCTAATAATTGTGGGGATTTAAACCAAACTTACCAAGTTGAGGAATGATAATACGTACTACAATCCGCACCATAGACATTAGTGCCAAAGCCAAGCGCAAACAAGCACTGTGCGAAGATGGACCCGGGGAATAATAGAGAAAAAGCTTAGCCAAGGTTAAACCGTTAACCGTATGGTATATTAGTACGGAGTACATATATGCAAGTACGCGGGCATTTTAGTGTTTCTCTAGAGTGCTTCCTATGGTAAGTTTATAACTAGGACGTGGGGGTGGTTTCGTCACGCAATATTTCTCTTGGAATAATCTGTTATTATTACCTAGCTGACGTTATTTGCCTGCTAGAGTTCAGCTTCAGCGGCAAATGCGCTTGGTGCCCACACTCTATCAAGACAGAGGAGTACATACTTCCCCGACTCATCCATTTGATACCGGAGAAAGAAGTCTGGGATCCTTAACCGAGTGCCTAGGGCGTACTTAACTTATCTACCGAACATCTTCAATAGGCAAAAGATAGGCAGGTTTGAACCCGCCAGCTCCAAGGTCCAATTCCTCTTCCCGACCACTAGATACGCGCGTTTCACGATCCGAATATCCCGATCAACCAGCCGGCCAGCCAGCCAGCCAGCAATCCAATATTTCATATCGTATTATTATTGACTACATCAAAACCCATTGCCACGGTGTACGTGCATAATGCAAGGGGCTCTGTATACCCCCACCTCCTTCTCCGCTACGTAGTAGTTACTCCACAAGAAACAGAAACAAGCATCACTAAGCTTTTTGTCCTGCGGTCGGAATTGAAATATGATCTACCAATCCCCAATCCTAAATATGGAATAGTTAGACTATGCCCCGATACTTTACTCCGCAAATATACCTAGACGATTATGATTCTTCCAGAGCTTTGGTTCTGCAGTCTATAGTTAGTTACATTGGTAGCTGACGTATTGTATTGCCTTTCCTACCTACACGTAAGTTACTCCAGTTATAGTGATACTTATATGATAGGTATGATAAGTTATGCAAAACATATCTCATTTCCCGACCGAGTGGATGTCCGACGATGTATCTAGTGCTAGGAGAAAGTGTGTAATGGAAAGCTTAGCGTTCGACACCGCATCTGGAGATGATCGAATTGCTTATTCTTGAAGATTTTTAAAGACAAAGGGTTGATCCGTGTCTTGCTAAGTAGTGAAGTAACTACATAGCATAATAAGATAGTGAAATCCGCGAATTAGGTTGAGCCGGGGTCAGGTCGTGTCAGACGGAAAGAATATGCTTTGGACAAGTCCTTTGCCCGATCGAGGAAGATAAAAAAAGAATGGAAAAGTGGGAAAGAGAGTTTCATTACTTAAATCCCAAATTATGGTTGACCTTTTTCCCTTGTTTGGGATCATAGTTATAACTAGTCGGTATGACAATGATTCACCCCCCACCCCCCAAAAAAGTCCATATTACATCTAGAAGGCGAGTAGCTGGCAAATCGACGCTGAAAAAATGACCACCATGGGATGGAGGCCCTAAACGGACGCACTTATCGATTGGCAAGCGGCTAGGGTCGAGCCAGTCCTCTGGTATGCAGGTAAGGTGCCCGACTTTGCAATAGAACATGTAATAAGCATGAGAACATTCGAAATCTGCTCACGCCTAAGCTCTCGGGACCAAGAAGGATGGATGAACGCTTTTTTTCATCTTGATTACAACTACAGGAACTGGAAGGACGGTGCAGTAGCTCTGCGCCATGAGTTGATTGAAACAACCCAGAAGCTGGGATTGCAAGAGGTGAATCATCATCCTAGGAAATGATGATCTGGATTAGACGGGATATCTCAAGATTCCTTGTCATGCTGGCTCAATGCTGTCCCCGAAGAATGCTGGTCAGATATCGTCTGTATTATCCTTAACTTGAAATATCATCCGAGCGCCTTCCATACACTGGTTGGGGATGTGCACTAATCTTCACAGGTTACAGTATGTTGAGGTTGTATGCATATGTATACTAAGCTTCACCGCAGAATCCGTCCTCGGCGACAAACTAAATTCTTAGAGGTCGCAAAAAAGAACAAAAAGAACACATTCTCTCCGGCAGTTGACTGCGCATCGTAGCATTCACCACACAATTCCACTGCCCACAAACTAAAGACTGCATAGATGCGATATATTTGACGACTTGGACTGTATGTCTCCAAATGATTCTAAGCACTAGTCTATGAGGTATCAAACTTTTCAAATGTCTGCATACGCTTCCTTCCTGTAGGAAATTGCGCTGAATCGCCGACCAGGACGTAGAGGACATGGAATCCAGATAACCGTGGCTCGTGACGAAGAAAGGTATCACTTGAATTCTGCCATAAACTCCGCGTGGAACTTGACGATACGCTCAACCCAGTCCGTACCCGGAGCCAAGAAAGTGGTTCGGAAGTGGAATGTGCCCTCTTTCTGACCGAAGCCAGAACCGGGTACGACACAAACACCCGTCGCGTCCAGCAAGCGCAGACAGTAGAATTCATCAGGGAAGCGGTTCTTGGCCTTCGCAGCCTCGACGGCCTTAGGTGGCAGAGTGATGGTAGGGAACAGGTACATGGCACCCTGGCATATGTTAGCTCTGGATTATTGCGACCAAATTAACATCTCCACTCACCTGCGGCTCCTGGCACTCGACGCCTTCCATCTTCTTGAAGGCCTCGTACAAAGCCAATGCGCGCTTGTGCAGACCATCCCGAATGCCCGTGTATTCTTTCTGGTACAGCTCGTAGCTGGGCTCGCCCTCCTTCGGGGGGTTGACCATCAGTTCAACCAAGCACTGGCCAATAACTGGAGGGCAGAGCATGATACTGATAAACTTGTAGATCTCAGCCGCAACATCAGGGTGGAAGCCAACAAGTTCGAAGTAGCCACCACGGTGACCACACTCTCCAACCATACCCTTGGAGACACTGTGCAGCGAAGCAAGCTCGACATGGTCATATCGTCCAGGCACAGCCTTCTGCAGCTCTCGTAGGCGCTTCTTAAACGAGGTGAATTCTCCAACAAACACGTTGGTCTGATAGACCTCGTCAGCAATCACCACGAGGTTCTCGTCCACAGCGAGATCGAGCACGCTCTTGATATCCTCCGGACTTAGCGAAGCTCCAGTTGGGTTTCCCGGGTTAATAACCACAATCGCACGGACGTCAATACCGTCTGCCTTGGCCTTGGCCACGGACGCTCGGATTGCGTCGACTTCGGTACCCCAAGCCTTCTCCTCCTCCAGATGGTATGGTACACATTGTGCGTCCAGCACAGACAATGTGGCCGTGTAAAGGGGATACTGCGGGATTGGAACGAGGATACCGGTCTTAGGACCCTCGCACATGACGTTCAGCAGAGTGTTAACACCCGAAGACGCCCCACCAGAGAGGTAGATATCGTTGGGGTTCGCGGGGAAGCCATCACGCTGCTCGATGAATTTCGCTACGCTGGCTCTCACTGCCGGGGAGCCGTGGCTCTGGCTGTATGCGCCCACACTGCGAATATCCTTCAGCAACCTTTTGGCGCGGTCAATAACATCCTGCTTGTATCCAAGTCCGTTCTTCAACACATCCTCGTTCTCCAGCAGGGGGGGGTATTCGAGCAAACTCAGGACCTGGCGGAAGAAGGTAATAGGCTTCTGGTCCAGCTGCTGAGGGTTTCCGATGTTGGCAAAGATCACACTGTCGAACGGCAAGGATTTGTCGCCCTTCTCCAGCCGCACACGATATTCCTCTGCCTTCGTGGCCAGCTCTCCACGGACGGCATACTTAGCGGCTTTGACGTTGGGGTTGATGTTGTCGACCGTAAGACGGCCGAAACGAGGGAGGGACATCTTGGGGTCCGATTTTGACAGGTCTATATACCAACAAGGTGCTAGTTAGCTGACGGGACGGTCTTCCTCGGTAAATTTAACGTTGTGAGAATATCTTCCTGGTCCTCCCAGGGCAACGAGGACTCTCGGAAACAGAAGGCTGGCCACGGAGCTTCCCGGGTGACTAGAGGTACACGCGACAACACAGTGAGTGGGGTTGAAGGACAGACTAATAATTTACGGACCCAAAAGACGAAGCCAATGTTTCGGGACAACTTGACAGCTGTAGACCACGGAGGGGAGGAGGGGCTTGTATCATTACTTAAAAGGACGACGCTCAAAACTCGTACCTGGAGAGCTAGCGAGACTCTGACCCCGCGTCGAGCTCAAGAAGCGCTGGGGGACATATAAATGCCCTGTGAAGTTGCCGGGCCATCGGAGAGAGCATGGCCGCGGAGTAAACCGAGCACGGCATAGCGATATAGTCTGGTTCATGTTGTTTTAAGATGCCGATACCCACCAGGAAGGGGGAATATCTTCCCGCGCGGCGGAAGATTTCGCGATAGATGGTTTCTGTGGGCGGTGAGGGCGCAACCCCGATAGATAGTCTAGTAGGCCAGAAGCCAGTCGCACAGCCAAGGGGAATCCATCATAACGGCCTTCTCCGCGCATCTATATATGACAAAAGAATTTGCAGAGGGAAATCTAGACCAGGGGATGAGATGTTGAAAGAAGCAGTCAAGGATATCTATTGGGTTCAAGATCTGGCTGCGCCGTTGGTTGAGATCGAGATCAGACGGCACAACGCAGGGATTGTTGCACCGGGGTGAGACGAGCAGCATCGGATTTTAATCATTGGTTGCGCTGGTAATAATGTTAGGACGTTTACAAGGTCGCGTCAGGAGCAAGAAAGACGAGAACTGACGATGGCTGTCATGGCATGGTCCCTCCGACGACAATCGGGAGGAGTTCCAGTTACAGCTGATAACGACATGGAAACGCGCCCGATTATAACCAGGGACCTATCTACGGAAATAATAGTCTCACTTGAGCCATGTCATGGAAAAGTTCAAGGTATATCAGTCGTCATTTTATGTCAATGCAGCCATGTATCTGAATGGACAACAAATCCCCCGACACCCACCCGGCCGAGAAAACACGTAGAACATCACATCTAGCTTCGTTCGCTTCCGCGCAGTCTGACGGTTTGTCCGTATTTCTGCAGCTTCGTGATAAGAGCATCACCCTGCTTAACCACATCCGCATACTGCTTGTTCTTGTCGTCAGGCCGGTTGGTCTCGATGATGCCATTGACCCGGTCGATTGTGCAAGGTATCCGGTCGGCAGCGATAAACTTAGCCAGATCCCTAGATTGTGTCAGTATAGCCTGTGATGACCGCCAATATACTGGTACATACCGGTCGAGGAAGTCCACTGTCACGCCAAAGTCGCTGGCCATGCTAGCCAGTCCAACCACCCTGTAGCTCTGGAGGAGCTGCTGGTATCCTCTCAGTCTCATCTCCCGGACAAACCAAGCGCGGTGCTCGTAGAGATATCGGTCCTGCGTGAGGAAGTTGTCCTCGACAGCAGCAAGGGCGACGAAAAATGAGCGATAGTCGCCATTGTACAGGCTACTGACCAGGTTGGCCAAGGGCGAGAAGTCCATGGGGGCTTCAGCCTCAGCCTGGGTGCCGGAGCCAGTACCCAGCGTCGTCAGGTTGACGACCGTGGATGCTGTGCCCGGAGTAGCGCTCGACACGGAGACATCCTTCATCTCCTCATCCGCCGCTGCTGGTCCCGAAGAGACAGCACCAGTCAGAGCAGCGATTCTGTTGTCTTCACCTTCTCCAAGGATAGCCTTGATTTCCGGCGCATCCACCACCTTGGCCTTGAAGTCGACTCTCTTGAGGGAAAGCGAACCGGCTAGGACAGCGTAGATCACAAGGGCGGAATAACTGCAGAGTTCATAGCTGGTAAAGGTAGACAAACTGTCCAGCAGAAGAGGAGCAGCAAGGTTGTATGAGCGGATCGTAAGAAGGTGAAGGCCCTTGTACGCCTTCAATCGGTTCCTCCGGTCCCAGTCACCACCGCTCTCCACCAACGCATTCGCGCGCTCAACCTGCTTCTTGACAAATACCCGGTCACCGAAGAACAATCCTACCCGGATCATCGCCAGCACCAGATCGATCTTTGTGCCAAGAATGCCCGTCTTCTCGAGCACGTCCTCGTATGACGTGATTGCCTTGTCCTGTAGGAACATGGACCGTCAGCGCTCTATCCTGAGTGAAATATCCTATGCCTGTCATTCTCACCTTGTCTCCTACTCGGGCCCAGAACTCTGCGCGCTTGCCACGGGCAGCTTGCACTTCCGTGTCTCCAGCAGCTTCGGCCGCCTCTTCCTCCTCCTTCTGGTATGCCTCCAGCTCCTTCTTATTCTCCTCTACCAACGACTCGTAAAGCTTCTCGTCCCATGGAAAAACAATCTTATTCGAAAGCTTCTTTGTCGCGAGCAGGTTGGAGGTGATAACCTGCTTGTTGGTGCCGTGCTGGGCATGTTGAGGAAGGCCTTCACCGGTGCTGTTCAGGATACCTTCGACGGGATGTGCGAGGTGTCGGTATAGGGGAGCCATCTTGTGTTCCTCGATCGCATTCTGAAGCTTCTTCAGCGAATTCTGCTGCACCGTGGGCGAACATGATGGATTGGAGATGTTGAAGATGTCCTGGGCGAGGGTGAGGTCGGGGTACTTGGCGTATTGCGGATCGGACCCCATGGTGGCGGGGAATGAAGAAAACGACGGCTCAGGAGAGGGACGAGGAGGGCGAAATAGGAGGGAGGGCCAGGGAGTGTAGCAAGCAGAGTTGTTTGGTTTCAAAGACGGGTTGGGTTACGTCTGGATGTTTGGACGATGATATCCAGGCTGCGGTGCTCACGTAGCTGACCCGAGCTCAGCTGGGGCCACGTTTTTCCAGCTCCGAGCATCGCCCGCTTACAACATTGACATGCAAGGAACCTCACAGCTAGTACTCTCAAGTTCTTTTCTTTTCCTAATGATGGTTTATTCCTTGATGGGTGCTAATATTCAGTGTGCTCTATGATTTGTCATTGAGTTTATCTCAGGGAACACACATCCTCGTGATATTCCCCATCGGTTATATATTTTGTCGGCGCACAAAGCGTACGTACAGGTGATCTGTCGTATCATCCATTTGTAGCAGGTTCTTTGATATCCTAATTATAAGGTAGAACCTATTATAGTAGATCACTAGGATCTAGATACTTTGTATTCTATAGGGGATAACCATGCGTTCACCCCCCCGCCTAGAACTAGAGTCAAGCAAGCAAGTCAAGCAGCCCAGATATATCAGCTAGGTGGTCCAATATAATGACCGTGCTTCCGTGCTTTGGACTCGACATATTTCCTCGTCTGCTTTTGTCGCATGTACTGTATTACTTATATCTCCTAGGATTCCTATGGCGCGTATTCCAAATATACAAATATACGGAATCCAAATGCATTGATACATCTGGCATGCTCATTTCTGATTGGCAGCGCTAGCTTTGCCTACCCTTCGATACCATCTGTTTCCAATTTGTGTTGTGAAAGGTGGTGGTATATGATGGGGCCCTTCGATTTAATCGACTGGAGGATCTTGATTCCACGGTTGACATAGATTGCGAGACGGCTGAGTTCTTAATTACCAATAAGTTTCTACAATAGTTAACTAGTTCAGGATAGCCATTCTTTCCCTTACAAATGTCGTCCCTTTTGAGATATTGCCCCCAGTGCATATTCTGATGTGGACAATAGTGTATTATGAAAGATTGGAAATTGAAGAGTCTTGGTTTGCGGTTGTATGGCCCGCTACTTAATCTGTTCAACCCGCCCCCTCCGTAACTTTCAGAGCTCGGATAGCAGCAGCTTCTTGATCAGAATTAGAGGCAGTGTTCCTGAAATTCCCAAACCATTTTACTTTTTGCGTGCGTGTATTTTTCCGCGTCTATGTGCGAGCTCAGATCCGATCTCGAGTCTTGGTGGCACCCACGTGCGGCGCCTTTAACCCACATGTTTTAGCACTGCGTAACTAGTGGAACCCCAGAGAAGAGAAGGTGGATTCGGATAATTTTTATATCGGGTCACTCACTTCCTGCAGTGTACTACACGGTCTCGACTAGCACCAACTGTGAGACGATGTAGGCCGCTTGATGAATGTACGCGTTGGCCATCGTTGTCAACTCGCCAGTTGCAATGATACTGCCCAGCACGTGGAAATGCTGGGCTGAGCCGGTGAGCTGGTTGGTCGATAACCAGGCAGGGTTGCACCCGCTAGAGGAGGGCCGATCGGGAGAGCCGACAGTATAACCGCTTTGGCGCAGAGCTTGAACGTGAACCTTCTAGCATTCTGGCTCAAGAGAGGCTAAGAATCATGGTCTATCCACGGAGGCGAATCGGTTGCATCCCGCTCTGGGATATCCGCTGATAACGTCTCGTGCCTCGTGGAGCGGTACAAATGCCTGGCTGTCCGCTGTCCTCTCGACTGTCAGTCCGATCAACTCTGCTCCTGTAGACTGTCCAATTCCTCGCGCTGGAGCGCTACTGTTGATACTTAACGGACCAGCTATAGCCATGGCCTCCAAGCGGGACCAGAGCACTTACCCCGACGCTGCGGCTGAAAAGCAGCAGCTCCCTATCGACAGCGTGACGAACAGTGTCGACGGGCCTGTCGAGATCGTGCCACTGGAAAATCTTCCCAAGAGTCGTTGGGAGCGCAGTTGGCCTACCATTGCTTGTGGTGCTGGTCTCTTTTCCGACGGTTATCTCAATGGGGTGGGTGGATGTTCTACATATACGTACTCTTATCGCGGGGTTGAAAGGGCTGACACGAGCGAACTACAGGTGATCGGGTCCGTGAACACCATCCTGGGTATCCTCTATCCCAAGGAATATGAAAACTCTCCCGCTAGCCAGAATGTTTCGTCCATCACCTTCGCGGGAACGGTGCTGGGGCAGCTCGTGTTTGGAGTTGTCAGTGACCACTGGTCGCGCAAATGGGCGCTGATGATTTCCACTATCATTCTCATCATCTTCGCGGCGCTCTCTGCCGGTTCTTACGGGTTGGACGGTAGCATCTATGGCATGTTCGCCGCGCTGACTGCCTATCGTTTCTTCCTCGGAGTGGGCATTGGCGGAGAATACCCTGCGGGGTCCGTCGCGGCGGCCGAGAGCACGGGTGAACTGAAGAAGGGTCATCGCAACCGTTGGTTCATCATGTTCACCAACTTTCAGATCGATGCCGGATTCGTTGTTGCCGCCATTGTCCCAATGATCCTGGTGCTTATCTTCACGGAGGATCATTTGCGGGCTGTCTGGCGTGTGGCTCTGGGGCTCGGGGTCATTCCACCCCTCAGTCTGTTCTATCTGCGATTGAAGCTGAATGAACCCGAGGAGTTCAACCGGGAGCGGATGCACAAGTACCCTGTCTGGCTGATTATCAAGTACTACTGGTGGCGTCTGGTAAGGCTGGCCGGCCTTTTTCTTTCTTCGCTTGCATGCGACTTATACTGACATGTTAACCCAGAGTGTCGTCTCCTTGATCTGGTTCGTCTATGACTTCTCGTCGTATTCATTCTCTATTTACTCGTCCAAGTGGATCAACATTATCATCGGCGGGGAGGCTCCGCTGTGGCAGCAGTTTGGCTGGAACACCCTTGTCAACGCCTTCTACATCCCTGGCTCGTTCCTGGGAGCGTTTGTGAGCGACTGGCTGGGCCCCCGCAACGCACTGGCCTTTGGAGTTCTCGCTCAGGGAATCATTGGATTCATCATGTCGGGCTGTTACGCATGGCTGGCCACTCCGCAGTACGTTGCTGCGTTCGTTGTGGTCTATGGGTAAGAGGAGCCTTCGGATATCTTGTAATCGCGACTGACATGTGAAGAATCTTTCTGTCTCTTGGTGAGCTTGGTTCTGGTAACAACATCGGACTGATTGCCTCCAAAACGAGTGCTACTGCCATCCGTGGCCAGTACTATGGGATCGCCGCCGCGATGGGCAAGATTGGTGCCTTCGTGGGAACGTATGTTCTCCCGATTGTTCAGAAGAACGCCCCCAACCCGACCCGTTCTGGACAGGATCCTTTCTTCGTGTCGAGTGCGCTGTGCATCTTCAGTGCGGCGCTGGCGTTCTTCCTGCTCCCGCATATTGGACAGGTAAGTTACGATCTCGGCAACAATGGGCCGCTTCAGTACTGATCAGTATCTCTGCAGGACACGATTACGGAGGAGGATCTTAATTTCCGTGCCTATCTCGAGGCGAATGGCTACGATACTTCCAACATGGGCAATAGGGACGCCAAGGAGCGAACCCCCCAGAACGCTGCGCCTGAAGTCACCGCGGAAGTATGAGTCTCTTAAAATCTTGAACCAGGACCGCACGGCAGACGACAGTGAGTACCAGTCTCATCACCTTCTGCACATGTCCAGTAATACGGTACCGCCCACACTCCGGGGGTAGTCGCTTTGTCGCGTCTACAGCTACATGGGAACAGCAGCCCTCGCCAGTTGAACTCGCCCGTTAGTGATGGTAGAGAGTTGAGACGAGAGCTGGGTGCAGCCATGATCTCACCGCCCAACGATGATAGAGAAGGCCCGATGCAGCATGGAAAAGAGACGAGTCGTAGAGGCGCAGTCCCACGTGTCCAATGGATGGAGGCGATCGATTTGGCCCTTCGTATTTCAAAATTTATGCCCAAGATCCCGTGTACCTTAGCGTTGCCCTGTGCCGGAAGGGAGATGATTGTATAATTGTTAGCTACCAAGAGCCCACGAGCTTCCAGCACTCTCCTTCGCAGCCATCCTCTCCGAACGGCCGAGTGCCTTCGTAAATGCCCTCGAGGAGCATCCCACCCAACTGTCAACTCATGACAGCCAAACCAATTGGACAGTAGACGATCTCACATCGATCAAAAGAGCAGCCGTCGATCCATCGAGAGTGCGCATGGTTGTGTGCGGGGGACCATATAGATGGCGATTCCTCTCGTCTTCTCTGGCTTCTCCATCTCCCGGTCGCAGAGATGTGGGGAGAGATGGCGCGCGGTCGGGGTAAGTAAGTCGTTTCCCCGCGTCTCCGAAAGACGAGTCAAAAGGAGGTGAATGTCATCTTCAAGCTCATTTCTCTCTTCTTTTTGGATTTAAATCCATCCTAGGGATTATTATTATTAGTATTATTTAATCATTGAGAAAGTTCAACTGCAGTGGGGTGGGAATCCAGAGTCAGTTAAGTGATAACTAAAGGATTAACTTAACTACTAACTAGTTCCAACTTCACGGACATCCGCAACGGCATCGCACTCACGGCGGTCGGCTTTCCCCAGCCCAGCCGAGGTTGACCACTTAATTAAATCGACACAATCCATCCTCCATCCCTGACGTCTCCGACTCCATATAGTGTGTCTGTTTCCGTTCCTAGACCCGCATTCTCTCTCTTCTTTCTCCTCTCTCCCATCCTTATCCAAGCCTCCACGTCTAGCCCGGTCTCCGCCGACATAAATAAATACCGGAAGCACCGGACGTCACCAGCAGTCATCTCAGTACTCATCATTCACGAACAAGTCGTGCAATCGAACAAAGTCATCACCACCACAACCATGGTTGCTGACGCCGTTATCTACCACCCTGCGGTGGCTCATTACCTGCGCTTCGTCGCTACGACCGGTAGGTAGACTCGTTGATTCTTATCCTTATCGCTCATCCTCGATCAAAACGCAGGATGAAGGAGGAGATGTGACGGTCGCAATGCGGGATCTTCTCTCCCGTCCATATCAGATGGAACATGGAGAGACGAGTTTACTGATGATCTATAATAGTTGGTCGCGACAAGCTGCTGCGAACCCTCCAGTACTTCTCCCGCTTCTACGCCTGGTACCTGTTCCGTACCAACCGCCCCCAGACCGCGATCGCACCCTTCGAATCCATCAAGAAGCAGTTCGGTCTGACGCGAAAGATCCTCCGTATCGGCAAGTTCATTGAACACTTCAAGGCCGCTGCCGTTGCCTTTGACAACAAGGCCCCCGTCGACCCGATCCTGCGCTGTCTTGCCGTGGGTCGCCAGCTTGGTTACGCCGGCTACATGTCTTACGACACTATCACCGTCATCCACGCTCTCGGCATCAAGAAGCTCGCGAACCCGAAGAAGATGCAGGAGAACGCATACCGCGCGTGGTTGGCGTCATTGGTGTGCAGCGCTATCGCGGGAGTCTACTCTCTATGGAAGTTGCACCAGCGCGAGAAGCTGGTCGACCGCACGGAAGGCGAGGGCGCTGTGGAATTGAAGAAGATCCAGAAGTACGTCTTTTCTATGCAGTCTATTCGAGTTTCGTATGTTAATTAACCTCTGTTCAGGGAACGCGCCGCCGCCCGCGTCCAGCTCATCTCGGACCTGTTCGACCTCCCGATCCCTCTCTCGGGAGTGGGCATCGTCCCTCTCGACGACGGTATCGTCGGTCTCTCGGGTACCGTCAGCTCCCTGCTCGGCATCTGGTCGGCCTGGAAGAAGACTGCCTAAGCGGGCTCTACCCGATGATACCGACTGGAACCAGAACTGTACATCAGTACGTGCGCGACAGTAGCTGGATCCTTACTAGTGCCTAATTGGGATGGTATATACACTTTGTTACAGGTCCAAAGGATGGGGAGGGTTTGCGTTGATTGCGTCGTTTTGTTGTTACAATAGAGAGAACCCGACCGAGAGGCAAAACTGCACAATGGACGAAACGGATAGTTATTCCTTATTCACTATTCCTTGGCTGATATGCAGTATTATCATTCTTTTCGCAAGCCCTCGATCCTTTTCGTTTACACTTGTCTGATATCCGCTTTCCTATTGGTCTTGCCCCTTCTGCTGACGAGAATTCATGTATGCTATCCAATTTACCAAAACTGTTTTTTTTTTCCTACGATATAACCAACATACCTATCTACTTCCATACAAGTAGGAATCTGTAAAACCTTAAGTTTCTAACCATACATTCTCGAATCCCAGATAGTTAACTGCCTGGGCACCGCAGTGAAAACGCCGCGCGGAATGGATATGGATATCGTTTTCCCCTCCCCCCTTCCCCTCACAGCTAACTAATAATAACAACAATAATAGTAATAGTCATAACGAATCTCCAAATCGAAACCCCAAGAAAGAAAGAAAAAAAGGTTTTCCGAGAATTTCCCGAAAGAAAAGGAATTCACGTTGCGCCCCCCCTTTCTTCCATTTATAATTTAGTTGGGAAGATGAGACGGTATGTGATTGCTCCAGTGGCTGATTAGTATTACCAATTCCGGCGATAATATCGGTCTAACCTAGTTTGGAATGTATATATATATACCTAGGTATGGTAACTAGTTTATACTCCGTATTATTATTATTACCGTCCGTGAACTTTAGAGAAATATATTTTGTACAGTACGTACATACATGGTTAATTACATGGTAATAATAATGTCAATTAGGGGGGAATGGGAGAGATCGAAATTGAAAGTAAATCTTAAATTATGGTTTTCGGTCGTTACTTTTTTTTCGCTTTTCTGTGGTACAAAATAAGTACAGTAGCTGAAAGTCATACCGAATTCAGACTGTCGCTTCGTTCGCTAAAATATCGGATCTGGTTACGTAATTCATTGCGTGGACGAACTAGATAGATAGATAGATAGATACATTTCGTTCTATTATATTAAATGATAGAATATTGTAGAAAGGGCAAAGAAAAATGTACAGAGCTTTAGATCAGATACTTGAATATCAAGGTGGCTTTTTACTCTATCCGTATGGATAGATTCTTGGTCCAGTGAAGATAATAGTTAAATAATATCACTCGGACTGACTGCGCTGCCCTTCTGATTAATACTCATGACGCAGTTGTGGGCGACACTCCGAATATCCACTTTCGATAACGAACCTTGGGAAAAGCCGGTCCGTAGATGTAAGGACTCGATGCAGGGTCCTTTCCCCTACTCGATAAAGCATAATATGGATGAAGGGATAAGGAACCTAAGCTTTGGTTTTTCAGAATCGTGGAAGTTATGCGGATGTATTGTTTCAGACTGGGTATATCATATCTTCTAAGAACGCAGAAAAAGAGAACCACATAGCGATTTTTTTTCCCATGCTGGACGCTTGTATCCCTTCCCATGATCCATAGTGAACATAGTTGAGTAGACCTGCGTCATTGTGGAACAGATTCATCCTTATATTATATCTTCATCGAATCAGCGGCGACACTCGGATGCAGGAACGAGGATGGCTCGGATGCAGGGTCTGATTGCATCGCACAATGTGGAGTGGAGATCTGTATGGTATATCCATCCCCTCGAGGATACCTAGGTGTGGCTCGAAGCGAATTGACTTGAAGACCATCTTTAATTTAACCTCACGGAAAGCGGGTGGGATTTCGTTGCCAGGTTACCCACCTGGATGCGCGTTCTTGAGTAGGTAGTTTCCAGGTCTGTTTCCAAAGTCCCTTGTTGTCTGGATCGGTAGTAACTTAGTTATACTATACTACACGATGACAACGGAGATATGATAACTATGCGCTCCAGCTTTGGGCGAAGCACAGATTAACTACTACGTCTATCTACTGTACTGTACCAAGCATGTCGATAATTTCATCCCAGATCTCTCGACGGTCTTGTGTAGTGGCAATTTGATCATGAGCAACACGTCGGAAAACAGACGGCACAGAATGGGTAACTGACGCAGAGAGAGAATTTTCATATACCATGAATTGTGACTCCTAGCGTGGGTACTTCTCAACGTCTTCGTTGTAAAGGCCGCCGCACCGAGTCGAGTCCCGTCGAGACGGCGAGATATCTCCATTTTCCTGCGGCAACTGCCGGCGTACTGAATAGACAACAGTCCACGGACAGGGAGATATGTTAATGAACTTATCTGACCTACCAGGAGGGAGTTTTCGAGGAGCAACCTCCCAGTCAGCTTTCTTGGTTCGTGAAGGTGTCTTTAATATCGGCTGATCCAGTCCAGTCTAAGCCAGATTAGCATCACCCATGCTTGATAGTTTGGAGATTATCAGGTGAACAAAAGCCATGTGTGCCCTCTCATGGTGCCTTCTATGTGACTATCCTGATAAGAAGTACCTGGGCAAAGGGGTAGTAGGAATCGAGAAGTTGCCAGCTTGAGTTATGTTTGGAAATGTCAAAATCACGAAGGAATGTTTAATTTTCAATGGCTTTTGTCCGTGTCTTTATTGGATAATTAGAATAAGTTGGAGATACTTTGAACGAATCATTTTCATTGGTATAACAGTGTTGATGATGGAGTATGCATCGTTCATGAATTCAGCCATTGTCGTTATTTCCAGAACCTTTTTTGATGGCTGCGTACTTGTGAAACCATTACTGTAGGATGTAGTAGTATTAGGACCAGGATCAAGATCTCAAACGAGCTGCTCCCCCTCTAGTCTCTTCGATTTCGATTTGCTGCTTTATAGTCGAAACAGTAGATACTCGTTTGTCCCGAGCTCCGTTCTGAAAGCTGGGGGGGCGTAGCTCTCATCAATCATGACAAGTTCTTCTTTCGCCAGCGCTTCTTTTGTCGCTAGCTGTTTGCTGAAATCTGAGAAGCAAATGATTTCGGGCCATTCATTCTCCGAGGTTTGATCTTTTCGATGAGCTTGTTTGTATATTTTCAAGCGATTTTTGAGAGAGCGTATTGTAGCCGGAGACTTCAGCTGGGTGCAGGTTATTACAACTGTAAGGGGTAATTCCCGTACAGCTTCCCCTACATATTGAACCCTTATTCTTCCTCCACTTCACCTCCGTGGACCCCCTCCAGAACGTCACCCTCATTATTGGAGAACTGAAGCAGTCCTTGGGATTAGCGCAGTATATCACGTACCCAAAAGCTTGGGCTCACGAATGGGTCTGAATGCGACATCCACCCAAGCAGGTGATAGTATAATACAGTATTACCCTCTCGAGAAGCAGCATAGTAGGTTCGCAACGTCTCTCCTGAATATACTCTGATCGAATTGTCATTTATCGACAGCTGATGTACGAGGAGGTTGAGATAGTTCTGGAAGTCGTTGAATCTTCCCAAGATTTCTCTGTTTGGATAATGCGCGCATGATACGGCTTTCCGGCTAAAGCCTCTCCACAGTATATAGAAATAGATGTTAATATACTATCCACGGACGTATAGGGTAAGGGTGCGATTGTGGAGGATGGAGTCGAGATACCACCTGTCGACGGCGGGCATCAGCCATAGTAGAGGAATCAGAGCTGTGTAGCCCACAGAAGCGAAAACCGGGAGATGGAGTAGAATCCGCGTCCAGAGCAGCATCAGCAGCAGTCCGTTTATCGACCGGACCGGTGTAATTGCAGTAGGGGCAGGGTCTTTGAAGAGGAATATAAGACCCTCAGTATCCTCACATAAACATCAAAACCCGTTAGGCCTTTAAAATACCCAGTGGATCTTTATGATTAAGATGAACATTTACTTGTCTTGTCGGACTCAGAGAGTGCTTTTTGTTTGACGAGGTCTGATCTCGAATGTTGCAGTCATCATTGCGGGCTCGATATTCATTTTTGCTTCTTCCCTCAGCTCAGGTTCGTCTTTGCTTTCAATTGTCTCGACTCAAAGAGTGCTGATGCTGACGTCCACGCCCCATGGAATATCAACGGCACGGAATGCCATTAACGCCGACTTATCAAATTCTTCCCCGGCCTTGTGCTGAGTGGCATTTAGGCAGCCAGGCTGAGGTCTCGATGCTTGATTCGACGGTTCAGAACGCCAAATGGGACATTAAAGGCCCGGCGGTACAGCTCCATGCAGCAAATCAAAGGTGGTTTCTTTAGACATTGACTATCTAGACCGATGTATGAATCTCAAGTTAGCAACTAATCCAAACATATATGAAATCAGAATCAGGGTTCTTGAATAGTAGCATATGCTGCACGTACATTTAGAACTATCATGGTTTATCCACGACTTGTTTTCAAATGCGATTTGAACCTCCCATAGTAGAGTATAGATACTTTGGGCGGTCGCTTATTGCTGTATCTCCACATGAGGGGACGCCGCTCCCAAGATAGGGTTGAGCACACGAATTGCATGGTTTGGTACAGGATACCAGAAGTGGAACTTGATGTTCAATCGCATGCCATGTATCTTTGAGAAAGAATTTCCGGGACCTGCTTCCTTTGGTGTTCGAAATAGGTTCAACCTAGAATTTCAATAGACAATAACAGGGATAAAAAGAACATCGTATGAAAGTGAGCAACGGAAGCACGGGGAATACTGAATATTCAAGCTTAGAAGTAGCGGTAGAGAGAACATGGACATTGATATCCAGAAGAATGACAATCGAACCTTTCCTCCAGATCTTTCGAGCCATTATCTTCTAGGACATTATAGTTTCTGCTTCGAGCCACTTATATAAAAATCCAGCCCTCCCAAACCATGGCACTATACCCACAAGTAGAGTAGTATCGGGATACCACGATGACTCTGTAGCAATGTTTGAGCCGCCTTGTCATCCACCCATGCCCACTTCGTCCTTGATTATGATCTGGATGAGTGGCAATCCGCCGCAGTTGCATCTCTCGCTCACGTGAGGATCTCTGAATGAGGTTATTGGAGTTTGAGAAAGAATATCGTGGATATACAAATAAAATGTGGTATTCCTGTGCCAACAGCCACTAAAATGGCACATGTATTGCCTTCCAAACAGGAGGTGTGGGCAGGTGGGATGGTATCTCAGGTAGTAGTCCCATTGTCAAATGGGATTCGTGAAGATAAGCACCGACAGATGAGCGATTCTCGCCAGATCAATGCAATGTGATGCCCAACGGCACCACCCATCAGGTCTGGGTCGTTCCAGACGTACTTGTCAATAGGTCGTCTGGTTAGGAATGCCTCGGGGATCGTTATCATAGACCGTGAATGGGTTGAAGTCAGGGGGTAAGGTGAACGTGTTCCATAGACGATCGTTAGAAGATTTAATCAAGAACGGCATAAGTCCTTTAAAATCCTCGATTGCGTTCAAAATACTGAACCTTTTTTTTTCTCTGGAACAAATTTCTCTATAATAGAGTAGCGACCCATCTTATGCGTTGAGACCTATTTCCAGCGAAAAGAAAAACACAAAGGCGTTGGCATTGACTAGGACCGGCAAATAGCTGATCTGCAGAATCCTCCCGAGTAGTCAGGTTGACTTGATCGAGATAGTGTCGAATGACTGGCCTGGCAAGATACTGTAACAGATTGAATCAATATGTATTAGACTGAGACGGTGCTGATATTCTGTACTTACGGTCATCTTTGATAATGCCCAGGAGGGTTGTCTGGTCGAATTTATTGAAAAACTTGAATGAAAAGCGAATTCAGTTATCGTTGCTTATGAAATATCAATAGTATACAGAGCCATGAAGTGTATACTGCTGCAAAGTATGAACAGATATACTATTGCTGCTTCTCAAAGAGAATGCAATCTACTGTCTATATAGTTATTTGTCAGAACTACAGTATAGACAGAAACCCCGGCCCAATACAATGGGCGCTGAGGATGGAAAGAAATGGGAAACAGAAAAACTCGAACTTGACCCCTCATCCCATATATATATATATATATATATATAGTCAAGAGAATCCATTCACACCGACTGGTTCTTGACTGCGCTCTTTCCCGACAAGGCGCAATTCATACAGAGTCGTCCTTCGATGAATGACGTGGAGACTGCACTGCTGGTATACCAATGGCTGTAGGGGGACCAGAAGAGTGAAAGAACCTTTGCAATTCAAGCAGATTTCTCCCGCTAGATCTGAACGTAATATGGAATTAAACGTGCCTTTGACCAAGCCCTTACCGTTGTTGAATGCAGAATATCCAGTTACGTCCACGTCGATCATGCTGACAATCTGACAAGAATCGGGACCTCACGGGCCCAGCCACGAGTCCTTATCACTCTTGATAGTTGATTCATACGGTCCTCAACATTGCTTGTACGGACGACCCAACTCATCTGCAGATAATCAGTATCAGAAAAGCTCCGATCCAAACAACATCCCCCAAAGCGCATCTCCCGTAGGACAAAACACCTATCACTTCACATCGAAAAGCAAGTTAAAACACCACCAAACCCACATCGCACACGCTGTCCACCTATCTTTAAACCGCGTGGATCGTGCCAGCGCTGAAACCGCGTCGACTCGGATGCGTTGGTTGGCGGGGCAGGTGATACATACCGCTTAGAGCGGGGTAATGATGGCCTATCGCACCAAGTTCAATAATCGAGGCTTATCAGCTGGTCTTTTTCTTCTTATTTATTTCTGCTGGGTTCCTCTTTTTCTCATTTCTTCTTTTTCTCTCTTTTTACTACTGAATTTTGAGAAAGAAGAGTTATAGCTCGAACAACTATTTTCCAGGTATGTCGGGATGCCGGTTGTATACTTACCCCCGCTTAGGGAAGGTTGGTACTGATATGGTATAATAGGATCTCTCACCCAACCTTCTAAACGAATCATCCAAAATGGCTGGCCACAACTCTTGTCCTTCCTGCGGTGCTGGCATCCAGGGCGAGACCAAGACTTGCAACTCCTGCGGCAAGGTAGGTAGTGTCTGTCGAATCAAGATTTTGCGTTTTCATGTACGCTTTGAACGAGACGCTGATGTCTTTTCTGATAGACCTGCCCTGTCTAAACGGACGCTACGAAGAATGAATACCATGGGACGAGGAGTTGGGTGGCTAGTATTGCAATGAAGAAATCATGCGGGGCTTCGCGTCCGGATCTTTTACTGAACGGATCGCATCAATAGATGGTCTCTGTGCCAAGGCGGTCGTCGTCTCAGTCATGAATTAGACATTATGTTTTGATTCATATCATATGGGTCTATATTTAGTTCATGATCTTCGTCCATCGCCACTGTAACGCCATATTGTAGTATCTGCCTGTTTCCCCGTCCGTAGACCGATTTCCTGGGAGTCCTGCTCACTGGAATAAATCAAACCGTCTAAACCCAATGATGACGCCAGACCAATACCTAAAATCAAGAAAGAACGCCTATTCCTGCCTCACACAATATTCTTTATCTCAGTTTCAACAACATCATGTTTTCGCATCGAGTCCGAGTCTGAGTCCGAGTCCCTTCGGAAGCTCTCCTGTTCTGGCAGCGGCCAGCCCTCATCACCGCGAATGCCATTCGCATCGTCTGGGTGCAGCGTATGTCGCTGGTTTCGGTATTCCATGGCCCCAGTCTCCATGCGTGAAAACCGGTTGTGGACGATCGCAGAGTGCTGCTCTGGCTTGAGCTCACTGTTGTTTGGCAATGGCTCGTTTTCAGACAGGATAACTATCTCCACCGGGATGTCGCTGATAGGCTTGACATGGAGCACTCTGTATATGAAGCTGAGGATGGGGACAGACAGGCCATGGACTATAATGGAGAAAAAGACGAGCCAATAGACGACTGGGATGTGTCATGCATGTTAGATGGATATACTGACGAAAACGTGGTGAGACACTAGGTTCTTACCGGGAACAATAGCTGAAGTTAGATTATTGATCTCTCTGTCACTTTCACCTGGCTCCGGAAAGAGTCCGCTGGTGTACTCCGCATACGAGATAGCCCCAAGGCCTAGAGATTATTAGCATATCTCAGGCAAGCTCAGGGAAGACTTACCTATCGGTCCGAAGTATCCCAGAAACATGGCTTCTCTCCAGTTATTGCAAACTTTAGACATGAATCTATACGTCATAAGAATGGCAGGAATACGACGAAAAACTAGAACAAACAGGCCGAGCCCAAATAGTCGGGCCACTGTGATTCCCGTGGCTTCGGGCATCTGGAATGTATCCCATGGCATGACAGTACCGAGATACATGAAGGCGCCGAAGTTCAGGAGAGTTTCAATTGCTGGGTTAAATGAATCGTGTCGCGCTTCCGTCTCATGAAGATACTGGCCGTCCCAGTTGAGAGCGTTTCCTGCAATGAAGCAGGCAAGCGTCTCATCTGATCCAACGCAGCCGCAGGTCCCAATGATAAACAACTATATGCATGTTTAGCAGATGAATTCAACAGAGAGCCGGCCTACTTACCGCCATCCCCACAGGGAAAATCAGGTAACACTCATTGCAGATCCATTTCCTGTGAAAGTTAGTATACTATTGTGAAGGGACTTTACAGAGTTGACTTACTTTCTGAGGGAAAGATTCAGGATCTTCCTGGATCCGTACCCAACAAGCGCACCGTAGCTGAAGCCCATCATGACCATGTAAATGACCCCTTCTACAGCCCAGTGTTTCAAAGCTTCCCCAGTACCCCCGCCAAATCGACCTACGTCTGAGGAGCCTAGCGCATCGGGTATACCTCTTGCAAGATCAAAGTCCTCGAGGGAGATGGTGTTGGCTGGTGCTTCTGCGTAGCGCAGGAGAGAAACGGCAAGAAGCAGGAAGGGAAAGCCAAAGCCATCATTGCCTCCTGCTTCGGAAGAGATGAATTCTCGGACGTGGCGATGAACGTAGTTGTCAGCAAATGGACCTTTTGCGATCGCCTGGGACAGAATGGGGTCGGTGGGAGTCACGCAGGATGCGATGATCAACGAAGACAGCTATCGAATGTAAGCAAGAATAGTATCAACAGGAGATACGATATGTTCAACTTACGAATGAGATTTTTGGTATAAAAAGCATGATGCAAGCAGATGTAAAGAGCCACATGAGTGTCATAACAGCCAGTAAATAGATAGTCATCTCCACGAATCGCTCTCTCAGATATTGTTTGGGCAGCTCATAACCGGCCTTGACCATTTGGATTCCAATAACAACACGGGCAACGCCCTATGCCTGTTAGCCATGCACATGTCACAACTATATAAAAGGGGGTTTCTCCGGAGGTCAACTTACAAGTGTTATTTCGCTGCTCTGGCCTGCTTCTCCATTTCCCCATTGATCTGCAATAAGGAACTTTGCACCCACTGGTCCCAAAAGGATACCCAAGACGAAAGCCGGTACTGGGGGTTATCAGCGACCGCCTTAATAGAATGGTAGTCCATGGGCCACGAACATGCTTCTCCAATATACCATTTCTGTTTTAATTTCAGCGACAGAAACCCGAAGATCAGTGAAAAGGCACCTGCTTGACAATTAGCTTCAGAAGAGAGTACTCGAACTTTCGGGTTCTGCGAACCTGCGACCGAGAGGACGACATTTAGATTACTAACGTCCAGAATCGGTCTGAGCATTGTGTATCAAGATCGACTAAGAGAAAGTGAGTGACGCTGCTGCAGGAAGCGGCACGATGCGTAGAAAGACAGCTATAGTGTATTTCTGGCACCCCATCAGAGGTAACTTCCACAATATCTACTGCGCTGGAAACTAGAGATTCAAGCTAGCTTTCAGACACAGATACCGGACAATGATTTTCACAGCGATTAGCGGATGATCTGCCTTGAGATCGAAGTACACAGCATAAGAGAACGTCAGCTTCAGCTCCAGCTTCCACCAGATACACTGGCCCGTAGGGGCATGTGAATGATATGAATGGAATGTCAGACCAGGAGAGGGCTACATGATAGGCGAGTGTCTCTCAAGATGCGCTGATAGACAAGACCACACAGTGGGTCTTCCTGTGCCTTGCAGACAGCTATCATCCCTATATGCCAATCCACATCAGTATAACACGATGAAGTATGGAGCAATAGCATGTAGCAATAATAGCAACGGCGGCTTTGGCATCCCAAACGCCGCCAATAATATAGTTCGCTGCTCAGACCAGGACCTCTAAAAGCAACTACCAGAATAGGTTTGCCTATCGGGAGCTACCATTCAATAGCTCTGTAACAGGGACCCGATCCTTCGGGTCCCACTTGTATGATCTTCGTGAACAGGTGGATCGTGCCATCGTCACAGGCCGCAGATCTGCCAAGAGAAAGCTTGATGTCTGGCCAAGAAGAGATGAGATTGAGTTCTGGAACGGCGAATATTTAGACTGACATTGACATCAGCATCAACAACGTCTGGCACCAGCCACTCCAGGTAATTTGGTTGTTCAAGAATCTGTAATCACAATGGCTAACGTGCGTCGACGGAGTCCCGGGCTAACGGATCATGGCGCTTGCGCTATCCAACTAGGCTCTATAGTACGAAAGTACGGAGTACAGTATATACCATCAACATCTGGCCACCTGGACGTTCCTCGCGTAATGCAGACTACCCAGATGCCAACAGCGGGACATGGCGGGCCATCGCGACGCGCTTCCGTGGAAGCAACCTTGAGTGAGCAGACACAGTTTGCCATCCAACCGATATCTCACAGGACAATCTGAGAAAGAAAATTGGAAAGCAGCAACACAGCTGTAGCGAGTTTGGGATAGTTAACTATAGCAAGTCTCAGCTGCCGACGGGAGATCTGCAGGGGTATCGACGCCACGACGAAGATCATGTATCGCGATGGACCTATCACGGTGGACCATCTATCCCTCTTTATCGCCGCCCAACAGGCGTGTCGCCGATACTCAGTGTTCATTCTGGTGTATTCTGTGCTATCGAGTAGAAATTCAGGAGATCATGTATGGAGTAACTAGTCCTTACCTCGTGCCCTCTTCTACTTCGCCCCACGTAAGCGACACGGCCGCATTGCCAGGTTTCACCGTTACTGGAGTTCTTTTAAATTGTCTGAAAGCAACACCCATGGCGTATAACGATGTAGTGAGGTAGGAGGTCTCGGAAAAGACACTAGAGTATGGTATATCTACGGAGTACGGAGGAGGCTGTGAAGAGTCCTGGAAGGGGCTAGCGACTTGCTTGCATCCATAGATTCCAGCACTTTCGTCTACGCAGTTCCCTAATACGCAAGGAGGCCCCTCCCACCAATAAATATAGACTGTGCATACCTGTCTTACGTAGGGCCAGAACACTATACCATCCTTAGCATAGACTCCATGATAACAGATAATACAGATATCCATTCGTTATATTGCACTCACACAACAAACAAAATTAACCCCAGCCCCAAATATCTAAATCCCCAGCATTACAAAACCACGCACCCTTCAATAATTCCTTCGCAGTCGTTCTCAAGCCTCATAATCTTTAAAACAAACTCCTGATCTTCCTTAAATACATCCTTTTCCATGATCGGGGAAAAAGCTCCCTCTTGTCAGGCGGTATACTCCGCGTAACATACACTAACACATTCAATAGATCCGGCGGACATATCTCTCGACACATCATACGTCAAGAAACGGACAGAAGAAGTCACATTCTCGTTGAACAGTCCTTAATTCGTATTCTTCGTAGTCTGCAGGGAGTATTAGTCTGAATATCAAGAATTAATTCCCGTAGAGCATAGTTATCACTTATTCAAGTCAGCAACTTCTAGAATATATATATATATATACATGTCCATATATTACGTGTCGATGTATTATACATAGTACAGCACCAAATAACCATATATATCCATCGCGCTTCAGGATTTCTCCAAATAGTAGACGTGCTCCGATGAGATTGTCATCCTCAGCACATAACGATGCTACCGCAATCTAACTTAAATATCTGTAAAGCGCACTTCTCCATTTCCCCACCAATAGTTGACGAGAGGATTATCCGGCTTAAAGGTATCCATTTATCCAATAAAAAAAAAATTATAATCCATATATTATTCAGAGGGATCCCGCCTTATGCAGAATTTTTTAAAAACCCCAAGACCACTTCGCGCAACGTACTTAGATGAATCTAGAGCGTAATGTCGGAGAATGCAGTGTATAGTACATATATGTACATACTTCTCGATGCTGCATCGCACTCACTGTTCCTGGGCCCCGCCCCGCTTTCATCTTGAACAACATCAAGACGTCTCTTTTCTCACCGTATATGACAATCTGAGTTCTCGACCCCACTATAAAACCCTGAGACTCACAATTGCTTCAACGTGTGAATTTTGTTGCCACTTTATATCCCTTTTTCTTCTAGAAAACGAAAACCACAAAACGAGTCTATAGATTCATTCCTCCAAGATTCCTCCTATACCCTAAATCATGCCTGGACCCTCAGACCCGAAGCAACGGAGTCGGATCGAAGAGGCCTCTACGGGAGAAGATGTCTTGGTTCGGTTTGAGGGAGCTGATCGATTTGCCTGGCTATCATATGGGGGTGGAGCAGAAGAATTATGCGGAATGCGAAGTCAGAGATGATTGAGGGAAAAGAGAGCTGTGATGAATTGTGGTTTTATCTCGGATGATAAGAGCATGGGGTTTATATTCTGCTGGGTTCGGGAGGATCTTTGATAGTTTAAAATATTTTTTTTTTCTGCTTGGCCTTCCTGGTCTATACTCAATGCTCGTAGTGCAGAATTATCTCAAAAACGACTCCAGACACGAACTGCTATTCTTCATGTTTATCAAAGAGATATATTCATCTCTAAAGAAATTTAGCCCACAGGGGATTATTTAATAGCATGCTAGAAGCTGTTTTGACAAACCGAGAGCCAGATAATAATGAGTTAGTGAGAGATGCAAGAACCCTGAGATCAGTCTGGCCCTTTGATATCTCAGAGATTTCAAGGGTATGACAGGCTGAGGCTCGAGTCATAAAAGTGTACCTCGAAAGCGCGGAGGTGTCATTTCCCGCCGTTCTGTCGGCAAGATACGGATCTAGCGTCTTCTATTGTTCTTGGTCTAGCCTTGTCTCCGTCCCGTCGCGATCGATCTGTACCCCGCGAGCGCCTACTCCGTAGAGGCGGGGGAGTAAGTAGCTTGGCTGTCCGTGGAGAGGGGTTTTCCCGACAGAATTTTATGGATGGAGGGGCTGGCGGGATAAGAGCTCCTTTTGGAGACCAGACATCACGACGACGACGACAGACAGAAAATCTCCGTGAAATAAATACCCCATGGCGAAGTCAAGGCTAGTCAGACGGGACTCCTATTCTATTATTATTTAGCTGTGCGCTCTTCAGGAGAATAATGAATTCCCCTGTCGGATATACCACCGGGAAGTCATCCGTCGGGCCGAGTCGGGTATACCATAGACTATCAGTAATCCTGAACAAAGCAGCGCCATGACGTAGCCAGGGAAGAGAGATTAACCTAGAGAAACCGATGGTATGAGTGGTCAGCGATTCACGTCCTGCGCGTTAAAAAAGAAAAAAGAAATAAATCTCTTCTAGGATTCCACAGCCCCCCCCCACGGCTTCGGGGAATGTAGGAAGAGTGAAGACGGCCATGAAACAGTAATGTGGGTACAAAGATGCTTTCTTCGCAATGAAAGCCGAGCCCGGAACAAACAGGAAAGGGGGGAAATGACTCTGCTAATAGTTGGTGCCGGGGGACTATTGTTATTGCGCTATTTGGGCTCACGATTCGAGCCCGATGGGTAATGTCGGGACTGCTCTCTATAGTCTGGGTAAAAAAAATGTCGCAGATGGCCGGGATGTCAAACTGCATCGGCAACGAAGGGACAAGGCAAACCGACGCTGGAACCGAAGGTTCGGCTGATAGCGCAGACAGATATGCTTGTGTCTGCAGCAGCCTTGTAGAGCCCATATTGATAGGCAAGATAGAATCACTTGCGATAGATAGGAGAAACCCGGGCGCCGCAGCGATTCTTCCGGCTAGAAAATCCCGCGGATGATTGGTCTGGTTGCTTTGTAAATATGATTCCATCGTCTAGACCGTCCATTCGCTAGATAGTATACCTCTCTACCGGTTAGGGTCGAATGGAAGCCGTATTCGATCGATCTTCGAACGGCTAGCGACCCATTTACTCTCGACATGGCCGGGTGATGCATGTACGGCGTACTACTACTATCGGCCCGTTCTGGCCACGCGTAAGAATGGACAAAGGGCGATTATCTCTCGACGCTGTATGCCCCTTAGCGGCAGTCAGTGGAGCTCGCGGCCATATTCTACGTAATAGTTTGCAACCGTTTTGCGTCGCAGAGCTGAGACATCTATTATTATTATTATTATTATTTTTATTGTTTTCGGGCATCTAGATCGTGCAGCATTACTCTAGCTCTCTCTGGCCCCGTGACAGGTTGGGTCGTTCGATATTGAGGATTTCCCGTGGAAGGGCGAAAAGGACAACCGACGGTGGGTCACGGATCTGGCTGCTTGGATCAACCCCCTCGTCGGTATACCATATGGTAATTCTGGCTGGAGATGTCTGGATGTCCAAGTCTCGAAAACGAAGGACCCAAAGTCACAGTGCTCGACTCGCGTCATCGATTCTGGTCTCTTGGGTGGATTTTCTGGGGTTGCCGGGCCAGGGACAGTGGCGACGGTATCCGGCGGACAAAAGGCCTGACAAAGACTGGCTGAAGTTTTTTCTGGATTCTTGGGTTCTGGGGAAAGATCCGCAGCCGGACGCTATGGTTATGACTAACGGCGGTTCTCCGCATGCGAGCACTTAGTGGCGGATCAAGGGAGTTGACGCTATTCCCAGCCTGTTTGCCCCGAGTTTTCTCCCACGCCGTGCTAGACTAGCGGATGCGTCCTGGTGTGGCGGGTAACACGTAAATAGCTCTTGATCCTGGTTGGCGGCCGCATTCGAGGATAGGTCTCGTGTCTAGTAGAGGGGCAGAACTGCTGCGAAGAACAGCGGGGTCGAACAGAATAGTTTCCGGCAAAAAAAGAAGAAAAGAAAAATAATAATAATAATTGTAAAAACGAAAGGATGGAATATAGAACTATGAGGTCAGACCAGAAGCTAGTCAGTCGAATGCCAAAGCCGTCGTAGTAAAAGGATGCATCGCGGGGTGTTTTTGGTTGTGTCGAAAGTCAAAGAGTAGAGATGATGCGGTCATTGGCAGCGAGTGAGATCATCGCGCCGTCTCCGCATCCACGTTCGTCAGGATGTCCTTCCTGCTGGCCAGCAAGAAGACTCTGTCCGGGTGCAGGTGGGAGGTATTATGATTGTGTCTCTGCAACATAAAAGCAAGCAACCCAGAGGCTTCTGTAATAATTCTACACTGCTCTTCCGCATGCAACGGATCCTATTCTATTATTCTGTCATCTGTAACAACCAGCTTGCCTCGACAGCTTTTTTGCTGCAATATCTGCAATATCTGCAACACCTGCAACAACATCCGGTAAGTAGGATCTCTCCTAACAATAATAATTCCGACCGGGACCTAGACTATCTATCATCTGGAGCATATCGATCCAGTTCGTACTCCACTACGGAGTATCGACAGGAACTAGTCGCCATCGAGCCCCTTTCTTAGCACAGTTTCTTGCTATCGCCGCGTGGTTCCGGCTTCACTTCGTGGAACAACTGCTGATCGGGACATCTCGGACAGCCGCAAGTGCCTCGTCTCCAGAACCGCCCGATATCTCCCGTCCGAGTGTGGAGAAAGACGTAGGATTGTCAGCCCAAACAAGCGTCTCTGCTATCATCATCGACCATGAATCCGGCCGCTGCTGTCCCTGCTGCTGGCAGTCATATACCCCAGGTCCGCCCGGCCTCTCCAGGTCCTCAGCACTCTGATTTTGTCCGCCAGCAAGTCGCGAGACATCGAAACAATAATTATCATTCATCTTCACTCAAAATGGTCGCCTCATCTGTCAATCGTACTGCCCTCCACCCTGGTGGTGTCCAGTGAGTCGTCCCTCTTGTCCATTGCATTGCCTGATAGATATCGATGTCGTTCTATACCATACTCATGGACCACAACATCGTCTATCATCATTTGGACTTATATTGTTCGGAACCATGTTGTGATGCTAACTCCATCTCTCTTATCCAGGCCGGGCAAGGGTCACACTGAACTCGAGGAGGAACTCCACGAGACCGCGCACATTGACTATGACCGTGTCGCTATTGTAAGCACCCTGCAAAACCTGTCTGACTTTTGATACATATTCACTGTTGGCTAACCCACTCGACAGATTGCCAACCCCTCCGTCGCCGCCCTCTACGAGGATGCCCTTGTCTACGAGACCGGTAGTGCCATCACATCCAGCGGTGCTCTGACCGCATACTCTGGTGCCAAAACTGGCCGTTCGCCCTCCGACAAGCGTATCGTCCGGGAGCCCTCTTCAGAGAAGGATGTCTGGTGGGGTCCTGTCAACAAGCCCATGAGCCCTGACGTATGTATCCCTATTTACTACTACAGCCATTGTTATGCATGTTCCACCTGTTGTTCCCTGGTGATGACGGTGATCGATTCTACTATCGGCATCGGCATTTCCCTTGCAGCGGCTCCACCATAGCTCCCCTCCCCTTGCAGATGACAAGCTTCGTCAAGCTTTCTGTCACAGAAACGCTGCGAGGAATGGGCAGGATTGCCTCAAATGATTCTGCTCTGCAAATACCCTTTTTCGTATTTGGGAGACATTTCCATTTGTTTCTTGGCCCTGATTTCCGCTGTGCAACCCCTCGGCCCCTTTGCCTCGGCCATCCTTCCGGTTCCCCGCATTCCCGCACCGGGTCACGTGGTGTGATATCATCGGTTGCTAATGTCTCTTCCAGGTCTGGCGCATCAACCGCGAGCGTGCAGTCGACTACCTCAACACCCGGAACCGTATCTACGTTATTGACGGCTTTGCTGGCTGGGATGAGAGATACCGTATCAACGTCCGCGTTGTCTGCGCCCGTGCCTACCATGCCCTGTTCATGCGCAACATGCTCATCCGTCCTACCAAGGAGGAGCTCGAGCACTTCCACCCTGACTATGTCATCTACAACGCCGGTTCCTTCCCGGCTAACCGCTTCACCGAGGGTATGACCTCGGCCACCTCCGTTGCTATCAACTTTGCCGAGAAGGAGATGGTCATCCTGGGTACCGAGTATGCCGGTGAAATGAAGAAGGGTGTCTTCACCGTCCTCTTCTACGAGATGCCCGTCAAGCACAACGTCCTGACCCTGCACTCCTCCGCCAACCAGGGCCCCGATGGCGACGTCACCGTCTTCTTCGGTCTGTCCGGAACTGGTAAGACCACGCTGTCTGCCGACCCCAAGCGTGCTCTGATCGGTGATGACGAGCACTGCTGGACCGACAAGGGTGTCTTCAACATCGAGGGTGGCTGCTACGCCAAGTGCATTGGTCTGTCCGCTGAGAAGGAGCCCGACATTTTCAACGCCATCCGCTTCGGATCCGTCCTGGAGAACGTTGTCTTCGACCCTACCACCCGTGTTGTCGACTACGACGATGCCACCCTCACCGAGAACACCCGCTGCGCCTACCCCATTGAGTACATCCACAACGCCCTCATCCCCTGCGTCAGCCAGAAGCACCCCTCCAACATCATCTTGCTTACCTGCGACGCCCGTGGTGTCCTGCCCCCGATCTCCAAGCTCACCACTGAGCAGACCATGTTCCACTTCATCTCCGGATACACCTCCAAGATGGCTGGTACTGAGGATGGTGTCACGGAGCCCCAGGCTACCTTCTCGTCTTGCTTCGCTCAGCCCTTCCTGGCTCTGCACCCCATGCGCTACGCCCGCATGCTGGCCGACAAGATCTCCGAACACAAGGCTAACGCCTGGCTGCTCAACACCGGCTGGGTTGGCGCTGGCGCCACCACTGGCGGTAAGCGTTGCCCACTGAAGTACACTCGTGCCATCCTCGATGCCATTCACAGCGGTGAGCTCGCCAATGTTGAGTACGAAACCTACGAGGTCTTCAACCTGCACGTCCCCAAGAGCTGCCCCGGTGTTCCCAGCGAGCTGCTCAACCCCAAGAGGAGCTGGGTCGCCACCACCAGCTTCGAGGACGAGGTCAACAAGCTGGGCAAGCTGTTCAACGAGAACTTCAAGAAGTACGAGAGCGAGGCCACCAAGGAGGTGCTTGCCGCTGCTCCTGTCCTGAAGCAGTAAATGCCAGAAACTCTTTCGGGTTTGCGATGACGTCCCTCCAGCGGCTACTGGGGATGTCGGGATATGGGTCTTTTTTTTTTGGTCTAGATTGTGTTTTTTGCATTGCATCGTGCGTGTGTCGTTTCAATTTCCTAGCATTACTACCCCTGATGTCCGCGACTCTCGCGATATGATGGCCTGAGTCTTTCAATGTTTTTGGTTGATGTGCTTGTTTCCCTATATAATGAAGATCTGATGATCTCTGGGAAGACTCGAAAGCGATGTCGGCCGTGTCTGAACGGATGCCCTGGCGCTCCCAGATGTGAGAAATAAAAAGCCGATCTATTTAGTATAATCAATACATTGAATAAGCACTTATTCTCTTCCAATACTGTAGTCGTCAACATGATGTAAGTTTCCATAAGACTATTTATCCACTTGATTAAGTAGACTTGTATTGAATTAAATACCATTTCATCCCCTTGTCCCTCCGCAGCAACTCAGAAACAGCCAGCTAGAATAAACGGAAAAGCTCCAAAATAAAGAAATCACGTCAGCGTCAGCCTGACTGGATCAGATATACCCGCGTAGACGTGGTAGTCCATCCTATTGACTGAGATAAATAACCCCGGACGAAGCCATTTGACGAAGCCTTATTCATGACAGAATCGTCTCCAGGACGTTATGTACATACATACATACATACATGGAAAAGTGATCATCGCTTCTTCATCTCAGTTATGTATATGTAAAGCTAACTAACTAGCTGAGATGTCTGCGACCTGTCTCGGAGCACGCGCACGCGCACGCACATACTTACTTGGCAGCGAGATAATTGGCCTCGCTGGAATCGACAAGTGGCTACTAGTTAGGTTATATAGATATGGCGAAGGAAGTTGGTAGGGTCGAAGAAGGAATAAATAATTTTATTTCTTTTCTTTTCTTTTCTTTTTTTCCGAGTAGATGATGATTACTTATGTTTTTGATTGATAACTAGTTTTGACATATATATATTCTAGTTCTGGTTTTTATTGTAGCTTTTTTTTTTTTTTTTTTTCCTAGTGATTAGATCAGGATTGAGTTGATTGTTGGGAAGGAATAATATGCATTTTTCTTTTCTAAGTTTCTGTGTTTGTTTGGTCTATTGACTTTCAGTCACAGCCGGGATAATAAAATACCATGCATTATCACGAATGGTTTAGGCACAGCCCTCCTTTTCGAATTATAATCAATCATCAGAGAGAAGAGAATGATATTGATTGTCGAAGATATTCATTCGAGCACAGGCAAAAAAAAAAGAGGAACTGGATACCAGGATGATTTTCACACCCTGTCATCAGAGTGGTATTGATTTATTCATTTATTTACAGAATATTCATCTGTATAGATAGGATCAAGCAGGTAAAACTTATCTCGCAGAATGGAACAAGGGGAATATTATATAGATAAAGCAGAGATTTAATCAGATCCAAAAAAAAAAGCGTATAAATAAGCCCTCCGGAGGAAATCTATCCTCTAGCCCCATCTGTGCTTCCACTTCATAGCTAGCTGCGATGCGGTTTCGATGCTGCGTCGAGGAGCCCTAACTAGTCTGAAGCTGAATCCCAACTCAATGGATTGAGAGGCGATACATGGAACCCGCATTATGTGTCGAGATGTATGAAAAGTTATGCGACGACGACAACTTTTCAGAACGCAAAGCGTGTGTTAAGTAGGTAAGGTAATCATGATCGTATCATCCGAGGACGTCGTCGAGTTCGCTGTGCGCAAAACGGCAGTGTGTCTCTGATATGTATGGTAATGTGCACAAACAACCCAACAGATGGCTTTAGAAGCCATCTATTTGGTGATGAAGTTCAGGTAATCGGCGACGATGAGAGTGACCATTCTATACATAAACGTTCATGTTAGCGCGGCTGTCAAAAGAGGGGACTGGGTGGGGGGGAGACACTAACGCATGGGGCGCGATCCGCACATAGTAAGTGCCGAAACCGCGATAGAATCTCAACCAACCCTCATCGCGCACCACCTTGCGAGCGCAGTCAAGCACTCCCCGGTAGGGCAGCTGGCCAGTCTTGGGGTCCTTCTGCTGCTTCTGGAGGCGGGTCTTGATGAAGTCGAAGGGAAGAGAGAGGAAACTGGCGAAGAATCCGGCAATGGCGGACGCGGCAAAGGTCTGGTTGCGCTGCGACAGGTTGGTGTGAGCCTTCAGCTGGGACTTGGACTCAGCGAAGAAGGTCAGCTGTCCGAAGTTGAGCGCCATCGCGCGAACGACTGTTGGGAGTGCTCCTGCCCAGAGAGCGCCGATTCCTTCGGTCTTGGTGATCCGGACCAGGGCGTCAATGACAGAGCGATAGTTGGCACGCGCCTCGGGCGGCTTCAAACCATCCGACTGCATACGGATGAGCGCCAGATCCGCAGGGTTTCCAATCATGGCAGCGAATCCACCGGCCGCCAAACCTGCCCCTGCACGCTCTCTGAATGAGATTTTCTGTCCTTTGGACTCGGCGTTCTTGTTCAGAGTGGTGATGAATGTGTCGAAGATTCCCAGTCGGGCGGTGGTATAGACAGCCTGTCGAAGCAGACCTGCGGACAATCCAGTGTAGAGATCAAGGACCTTTCCGGACCTGATGATGTCCTTGGTGACGCTAAAGGCTGTCGGACGGGGACCCTCTCGCACACCTTCTCCGGCCAGCTGCAGGCGGACCTTGATCATGTCAATGGGCTGGACTACAGCCGTGGCGCTCATACCGGCGAGACCGCCATTGACGAAAGGGAGCACTGCTCGGGTGTATGGGTGGTGGAGGAAGGAAGAAGTTGTTTTCGAGGGGTTCTCAATCTTCTCCTGTGCCGAGTTGGCCGCACTTGCGGCGGCTTCCTTGACCGAGCTGGATGCCATGGTCGAATATAGAATCAAGTATCCGCGAGGGATGTCTAGCTCAATTGGCTTTTATATATATATATATATATATATATATCTGCAGCGGAATATCAGCCATGGCTCATCGAAGGTAATCGCAGCATGATTCCGTGGGCAGACGGGAGATTCTCGTGCAGATATCTTACCGGGTGATAAACAAGGATGAGCGCCTTAAACGTGAATTTCGCCAGTACTGGTTCTTCTTTCTCTCGGTCTGTCACAGCCAATCACTACGTGGCAGCGATAGATGATCTATATATAATATATATAGATATACGTGTGAATCAAAGATCTCGACGAGACGGTGACCGCTGAATGCTGTGCGGAGGGGAAGCTGCAGAGGACGAACGGAGCCCAACCGATGAGGGGAGGCCTGAAACTATACTCTCCGGTGTAACTGGGTATTCTTGTCGATGTTGGGGAAATGAGGAGATCTGGGGAGGGGAAGATGCCGGTCACGAGGTTGGACGGAAGGGTATAATATGAGATGGAATAAGATCAGGCCACACGGGGCAAGCTACCTGGCTGCTGGCAGAGAGAGAACTGTCTAAATTTGACCAACTGGGAAACACGAGGGGATGCGGGGAAGCAAGATGATGTGTCTTGTGTAGCGATGTTCTGGTGCAATGACCGAGGGAGAAGACGGGGTAGATGTATTCGAGCCAGCAGCTTGTCTAACTATGTATTACTTACTTACTCCTGGGAGGGGAATAACCGGCGGGGCCCGGACGAAGGATGAGGATCCGGGGAATTGGCTTTCTACTGGTGTCTCGCCTGTGCCCAGACGCGGAACAAGGGGAACTATGACGATCCAGATGGACATGACGGCGGCGGACGAGGAGGAGGAGGTGTTGTCCAGGTACTGAGCTTGCCGGTCTGCACCCCACGGGAATACGGATACTGTCTCTGGCATCTGCTAGCTACGACTAGATAGTCAACTGGGATCGAACCGTTCTGCCGTGGTGGGAATGTCCCAGACGCTGGCAATCATCATGGACGTACTACTGCGTTACTGGGACGGCGTTGCGATGAGCCGATATGCCACCACCGCCTTTCCCCAGCGACTCGAGTGACCCGGTTAATCCGCTCCTCACAGCAGTAGTTAGCCGGGGAAGAATGAATGAATGCATTGCGACGACGGAAACAGCATTATTGCAACCCTGGTCTGTGTGAGATTGAATCATCGCAATCATGACTGGTTGGACAAGCAATCAGCGGTCGAGTGGATCGGCCGTGGGTGGAGATGAGTCTATCGTTCTAGTCTAGATACTTAGAGTATGGTAGATAATAATATGGATAACTAGTCTAGTTTGCAAGTTGCACGAGCCCAGAACTGACGACACTGTTCATGGGACCATCGACCATCGACCATCAAACCAGCTGGCGAGCATCGGCTGGCTGGCTGATCAGTGAGGAGAATCGGTTGGTGAGCATCCAGACAGCTTTCGCTATCTCGCTGCCATACCATACCGTTACTGCTGCTTGAAATGCGGGGTATGCGATGATGGTGAACCCCAGTGCTGAGTGGACTCTTAATTTAATAATATATCCTGCTGGTCTCCTGTCAAGGTATGCAGAGTATCACTGCAGATTGTATTATGCTATAACTAGTTACTGTAGTATAATAATATCCTACTCGATCTTCTCTCCCAGAATAATAATAATATCAATACATCATAATAATCAGTGACAGCGCCAGCCTTTCCGCATCGGGCAATCCAACTCCACCCGGACCCATCCGGGGTTGCTGACTCATCCGCCTTCCATCTCTCCGGTTCTCCCCGGCCGATTGCCCGAAATGGCAACTTTCGGTTCTCCTCCTAACTTATCTAGTATCTAGTAGTACTTACGCAAATCAAGCAGATGAAGAGGATTTATTTGATCCAAAATACGAGCATTTCATCTCACAATCGAGAGCCAAACTCTCATATCCGAGGAACTTTGTCGCTGGCGGGATCGGTAAACACGTTGGAATGATTTCGCCCATCCTTCCATCCGAGCTGGGTCCGAGGTATCAAGAGAGTCAGACGGCTTGCTGCTACCGTTAACTAGTTATACCTGGTAGTTGATTACGTAGGTAGAGGTCAATGCTGATGCCTAGAAGTCCAGATTCCAGACTCCAGTAGTAGTTATGTGACTTAGCTTCTTTACTACAGTACTATAATCGTCAACAGAGCAATGGGGCCGTCTCTGTTCGTCAGAAACCAAGATCTAAGCTAGATAGAGTGGAAGATCTGGACCGCGCTTGTTAGGTAGGTAGTTAGCAATGAGAACAGGGAAAAGCGAACATCCGCTTAACATCATCATCATCATCATTCTTCCGCCGATCCGCCAGAGTCGTCACTGTTTAAGCAGCCAAGGAAAACAGCAGTTTGCCAGGTTTATTGTTGGTTACATACAGTATGTTATATGCATAGTATAGTTGTCTCTGGCAGCTTACGTTTCCAGCGGAATAAAATAAAGCAAGAAGTAAAGGACCTGGTTTGATTTGACTTAACCGTCCACTTGACAGCAGGAACCAGAATTGGTCAACTTACTCTTCATAGATCGAGCGGGATGCGCTCCCGAGCTTCGAGCGGATCTCAACAAACGGTCTCATCTATGTACATACATCTATCAAAACAATAATAGGAATACAAAACGGAAAATACAGTTAGTTATCCACGGCACATCTACCTTAATCCGGCTTGATGGCGCGTGGAATCTTTCATATTTTGAGCTCCATTAAGACTAAAAACTGTCTAATAATGCTTTGCACGGACCTTTTGACTCTTCTTCCAACTTACTATCTTTAGTTAATAATACCATCTGCATGATCCATTCACTAATTTAATCATATAGATAAACTACTTTGTTGACCCCACTACGGAGTACTAACTACTTCTTCCGGAGATCTGTCCTCCGTACTAACCTAACTTATTCTTCTACGGAAGAAAGGACTTCCGCTAACTAGTTACTTATCTACTTAGAATCTATGGTACGCCGAGGATAAGCGCTGGAAGAACGGAGATGTGGGAATTAGATCAACGTTTTGACGGATGATTGTTCTAGAAGAAGAGCGGAAGATTATACCTGAGTTGCGGCTGAATGAAACGTTGGGTATTGGTTACTATCTAGAGTATCCGTGCCCATGATCTATTCTGTTCCCGTGATGCTTGTCTGGTCTATTGCCGTATATGGAGTGGCCTACAGAGTAACGACAGAGGTCTATAATAATAATAACTAATAGACAGTATGCAGGAATTTGAAGAATGTAACAGTGACTTCGCAACTTATATAGTTACAGCATATTGTTTATCTAGTGTTTACATTGATAAGAAGAAAAATGATAGCGTTGCTGATATATGATAAATAACTTCTATTTTGTAATACCTTTGCATCCATAGTGAGTTGGATTCTAAGCATGCGTCATCTTAGTTATTGCTGTATCGACTGAAACACACGTATGCCTTGAATGTACCTTGGAGCCAATCGTTCCATTGATCAGTTCTATTGAGAATAACTACCACCGACTCGACTATGCGATGACCACAGAAACTGGATAGAGAATCTAACACATTCAATGCACATAAGGTAGAATAGATCAACAGGTGTCTCGCCTCATTCACTGCACCGCCGCAGGACAACGTTCGTATACCCATCCCTGCTCAAACTCAGACGAGTACCCCTATTCAGATCTTCCATAACCTGTGAATCATCACACTCCATATGCCAGTCACCCCCCTCAAAAGCGGCGAGCACAACGCCCGCAACCAGGGCAATCGCTCTAGGCCCGAATGCCAGTTTGGCTGGACATCGGAATGGCTCGCCTCCAAAAGGCATGAACGCCTTCCTTTGAAGATCAGAAAGCTTGTTCCACCGTTCTGGGTCAAATTTCAAAGCGTCAACACCCCATATGTCCGGATCGATATGCAGGCTCTCGATATCTGCTATCTCGTTCTGTCTATCCCCCGGGTCAAATTGGAATGCACGATAGATATGTCGCGTAGGAGGGTACAGTCTCAATGCTTCATTGACGATTTCCTGGACAGAAATTCTGGTTTGTCCTTGATGGACAGACTGTGATTCGAAGAATCCTTCAAACTGTTCCTTCGTTGGATTGCGAGCAAACTTGATCAACGCCCTGCTCCATTCAGGATGCATGCGTCCCGTGGAGAACTTGACCTCAAGAAATGTCCTAAGAGCAATTCGCCATAAACTCTCGAAAGACGGCAGAAGCCAGTTCAATGGATTCTCTCGTGGATCCAAGGGATCATATTGAGGACAAATCGCGCGCAGTGCATCATGCAATTCATGATATTCCCGATAGACAATTCTGCGCTCGGGGAACTTTGAGTCAATCCAGATCTTGTTGATGAAGTTGCTTATTATCAGAAGACGGCTTTGATCAAGGTTTGTGGACGCTATGCCATCCTTGATAAAGACTCGAAGGGCCATGCTGAGTGTCACGATTTGCACTAAAGATGCAAGGGACACCCCGTTCTCGGGATCATTCGCAAGGAAAGACTGTATATCTTTCCTTGCCATTTCACTCAGTTCTTCCAACTTCGCCGTATTCATGGATCTCCGCGCCTGATTGACAAATTTCCTGGCCTGCGCCTCATCTGTAGTGGTGAACGGGTTGCTGACTCCGAATCCGCTCGCAATTCCGCTACTTGATATCGCTCGTGATTCAAATTGGGATAGCTGATTTGCTCGTCCGTCAGGCCCAACTTTAGCGGTGATTGTATTGACGCACTTGTTGATCTTATCAATAGCAGACTCGGTTCCTGCCGCCAGTGATCTCTGCGTGGCTGGAAGCAGCCGAAGAATGATAACAGCAAAAAGGAGTGCGACAACCATGAGTAAGAACTGTAGAAGAGACATTTTGCGGAAAGTGCCTATCTCTCTATGATGATATCTGGAAATTTCAAGGAAAAGATCTAACTCCTAAGAGGTCAGGGAATCTCAAGATGTTAGATCAACGAAAAGCTTAAGACGGGAAGATTAAGTACGATATATAAGAACCAACGGGCATAGCAGGAGATATTATTCTTTTAACAAAGACATCTCCACCATCAATCAAAGAATGTCGGAACCTGCCTACATACAGACCTCCCTCTTGTCGGGTTTCTCCCACATCCTTTGCAGCCCTACCCGCAGATATAGATGGGCTGGGCTAGTTGCTGCAAGAAATTCAAGCTCAGCGAGCTTCGCTCCAATAAAGAATTCCAGTGAATGGGAGCAAATAATCAAACATATTCTGATAGAAGCACATTCATTTTAAATTACCCTGTGCTGATATATGACAAGGCCAGGAATAGTTTGCTAAGCAGTCAGGGGTACCTCTCCCACTGCCACCTTCATCGTCCAGTCACCTATCAGGCTTACACGCTTGATGGCTTGACAAGCTCTCAGGTAATTTGCATATGTCTACGCTGGACACTGGTCTGCGAAAGCTATTTTGGTTCCTGTTTCTAAATGCTGTGTGGCCTTAGGTCTATATTTTCTATAAAGCAGCAGTACCCCTACAGCTAAACATCATTATAGGCGGTCATCTTGCTCTCATAGATGACTCATGGTTTGTTTGAAATGCTTTAATTAGGTTATGTGCACGTTGGAAGATGAGACCTTCTATTCAAAGACTCCATAGTCATTCAGCAAGGATTCCCATCCCACATTGTGTACTTTCCAGTTATTGTAGCCTGTCGAACAGTTCATGGCAGCTGTTTTGTGTAAGAGTTGGCTGGCTCCAGTCGATGGCTTTGAGGTAAACTAGAAGCAAGAACTCCTGCACATCGAATTGTCTATGGGATATATATATATATATATATATCTTGCCATATTTGGCTACGGGTATAGACATGTAACCCCAGAGATAATGACTAGGATCTGGACAATGGAGACGGAGGACAGTAGTAAACATTATCAATAGTACTCGACATTGTTTCAATACTCCTGGGTATCCGAGGGCAAAACACTCTGCCGGGCTCGTTCTTGTTTGATTTGGGCTGCTTCCTCCGTCTTGACTCGTGCAGCATGTCTGCCAGAGTCTCCTTCCATCTCGTCATCATCGTCAACGTCGGATGAAGCCACGGTAAACCCGCTCTTTCGTCCGCCCTTGCGCCGTCTGCGCTCTGCCTCGTCCTCGTCGGATTCGTCTTCAGACTCGGCTTCGCGCTCCGCGCGGCGGACACGGCGGAGCAGGACGGGATCTGGCCGAAGGTCCTGCAGCGTCAATGTCACAGAACAGACAGGGCATTTGACGCAGCGGACACGGCGCGGTCGGCTACCGTCCCGAGACGGGACGGCCTCCGTGGTCGGACTGTGCGCGATCATGTCTTCGATGGCTTGACGTTCAAAGCTATGTGGGCACTTGGTGCTTGTGACGGGGTCTTTGAAGGTGAGGAGCGTCAGTGGACATCTTAGCGAGATGCGTTCACGCTCGATGGCGATGTCTTCTGAGCCCGCAGGTGACGCAGAGCGGTTGCGTCCGCGGCGTGTGCGTCGGGCGGGAGATGAAGCTCCACGAGCGGCCGTGCTGGGGTCTTCGAGATGCGAAAACCACGTGGATGGATGAGGAAGAGGAGGGATATCGTCTCCGGGATGTTTGGCGTCGTGCACAATGCGGTAGAATCCGACGTAGTCATTGTTAGTAGAGTACCTGAGCTTGTTAGCTTTTTTTCGCAATATGAAAACAAGGAATGATTCCGCCATGAATATGGAAATACGTACCTCTGTGTCAACGACAGTCCCTCCCACTTCTCCGTATTCTCCGCCAGTTTCTGCTGCAGCTGCTGACTCGGCGGCTTGTCATCGCCACCGAGCTCACGTTCCGGAGAAGCCTCATAGTCCTGATCCTCCTCGTCATCTTCGTCCATTTCATCCGGATTTCTTCTTCTCCCTCCTCTCCTCGTCCTCGTCCGAATCGCATTTGCAGCCTCAGCAGCTTCGGCCTCCCTTGCTAAATCTCCTAACACATTCGTCAACCCCTCCAACTTGACCTCTGCATCCACAACCTCACGCATCTTCTCCTCCAACTGCGCCGTGATCTCCTTCACTTTCTCCTCCTTCTGTGCCAGTTCTTGCGCCTCTTCGTCATCCTCTTCCTGATTCCCATCTCCCTCATGCGCATCTTCCTGACCTTCTCTTGCAGCCTGTGCTTCCCTTCTTCGCTGCTGTTGTCGTCGCTGGAATCGCTGCTGAGCCTCCGTTAATCGATCATTGGCTTCCCCCGCAGTATCAGTCAGTTTCAATGACGCGTGCTTTAGATGTGTTTTTAGATGGCGGAAGCTTTGCGATTGTAGCAGGGCTGCTAGGGCGTGTTGGCCCTTTGGGTTCAGGGGTGCAGAAAGCGGTTGGTATTCTGGCATCGTAGGAGCTCGTGATGATTGTGCATGCTGGCTGTCTCGGTGTCGCTCACGGCGGCGTGAGGACGATTCCGGGGTGGCGGAGAGCATGGTGTATTGACACTTTTGCAGCAGACCTATAATGTGTAGGAACTGTAAGGTCTTTGAGCTACCGCAACATCGACGTCTGGTTGATGTGCTGAGGCCCTCCTGGGCAGTCGTAGCGTTGATGAGTTTCTCTAGTTTCGTTGATAACGTTGATAGCGACATTTAGGGAACGCGACGCGACGGCGCTAGTCCCAGTTAGATCTCCTGCCCGGGCATAACGGACCTACAATTGATTGAGAACATGTAACACTCAACGTTTCTACGAAAGCATCGAGTTGGATGGGATGATTAACTTTTTGAATATGGGACGAGACCATGCATCCCAGTCACGCATTACTATAATACAACCAGTTCCATAAAGAGAAGGCCACCTTTCACCCTGTATGGTACAACCGCTCCAGATGCACTGTAAAACGTAGATCTCAGCAGAGACCCGGCACCATAATACAATCGAATTGCAGATACAACATCAGAGCCATGACTGGGTGTCCGGCAATAGGGGGACAAAGCAACGTACACTGTTGCAGTGAGAACCTAGACTTTGTAGAAGCAAAAAGCATGATAGAAACCTATTGAATGTTAGTTCTGATTGCAATGATCCTCCTGCAATCACTTACTAGCTGCCTCAAGTTCTTCGTCAGAAACAAGTAAAGGCCCGCCTCCTCGGCCACGGACTCCCATCCGCTCGCTCAGAGGGCCCAACTCAGGATCATCCTTTTCTTCTTTCCAGATATCCAAAAATGGTCGACGGTATTGTAGCTCCAGATTATATTCCTCGGTGAGTCTAATAGCGGCCTCTGTGAGTAGGGCAGTCCTGCACGGGGAAGACATGGTACACTTACGCTCGGAATGCTTCCCACGGCACAACATATTCGGGGATTTCCTCCACGGCCTCTTCCATGAAATAGCTGTACTTCCATCCAAACGGGGGCCGGAAGACACCGTCTTCAGGAGTTGGCCCGGGGAACTTCACGCGATAGATGCTATTTCCCCACTCGGGATACTGTGGGAAGTCCTCGACTTCACCGTCTTCAGGAGCTTCAGTGCTTTCCTTCTTGGCCGCTTCATGCTCTTTCTGTTTCTTGTGGAATTCGGCCACCCTGGCGCTGATGACATCGGAGTTTGGACCGACACCTAGAAACCGTCCTCCTTTCTTGAGAGCGCCGGCCACATTTCGAAGCATCTGCCGCGCCTTCTCCTCGCTCTCGAAAGCGTAGTGCATCGTGAACATGGAAGCAACTACATCAAAACCGCCGCCGCCCCAACGTGAGCTCATGATGGAACCCCCGGGTCCGACGTTGGGATCGATACCGACCTGTTGGATAATCCGCAAATCACCCAACCACTCCCCAAAGCAATCCTTGGGATAAAATTCAGCGTGGAATATAGGCCCAGCATTCCTCCGGCCGCGCTGTCCTCGGCCGCTTCTCATGCCTTCGTACCGGTCACGAGCTTGCTGGATGGAAATCTCAGCGGGGTCCAAGCCAACGTAAAGATCGACAGGTTGAGGAGCCAGCTGCCACTTCCCCAGATCACCTCCTTTACCACAGCCCAGATCGACAACTAAGAGTCTCTTCTCTTCCGCTGGAGGGGGAGCAGTATCCTCGGCCCAATCCTTGGTTCCGGTTACCCGTGACAGAAATTCTTCATCTGGAGAGAATTTCTGGATAATTGTACTTTTGATCCAATTGTTGAAGCTTCGCAGACCCTTGATCTTGCTGTCCGTCTTCCTCCATTCTCTGCCTCGTTCAGGGACGGCATTGTAGTGTTGTCGGACCACATCCGACACACCGCGGTCTCGTAATGCCCTTTGAGCTTCCTCCTCTTGAGCTCGCTCTCTCTCCTCTTGCCTGCGCCTTAGAACCTCTCGATTCACAATGCCCATGCGAGCACCACCACCTGGTCTTTTCCTCTGACGCGCTTGCGCTTCCGGCGTGGGTGACCGACGCGGTACTGGGGACGGGGATCTAGGAGTCTCCGTGAGGTTCTGGTCGGCAGGAGTGCCTCGTGCTGGGCTACGGTCACGTCTGGAGTAGACTGAAGGTGGAGTCCGACCGCGTCTTCTCAGCTTCTGGTGTCTCTCTTCCTGGCGCTTACGCTTTGATAGCGGTCGCTCCGACGACGATGCTGGTTTTTCAGCGGTCGCATCATCCTCTGTCACTTTCCTCTTCTTGTTATTGGGAGATCCGTCCTGCTGATGGCCATTTTCTCCCGATGTACGTTCGGTTGGGGACTTCGTAGCAGCCGCCGATTTCTCGGCCGCTTCTTTCTGAGAAAAATCCTGAGCTACCCCGGGGCTGAGACTAGATTTTTCCATTGTCTGTTTCGCGGCCGGTTGGTCTTGTTTTTTAGATTTCGTCGTCGAGAGTGAGGGCGACCGTCGCTGGATGCTGTTTTGCTCCGCGACAGGCTCCGGCGAGATGGTAGGTGGAGGAATAGTCGAGCTCCCTGACTCCGTGAGGCCTTCGACAGCTTCCTGAGGTACTGAGTGGGGAGCAATGGCTGTCTGCAGAGACGAGTTAAGCCAGATCAGTAAGGGTCTATGGACCTTGGGGCGTAAGATCAACTCTCCGTTCCCCACGAGGAGCGAATCATGCCAGGGACACTAGAAGTAGATAGGCAAGCTACTCACCCGAGAGTCCAGCACGGTATCCCGATCGTCTCTATCACTGGTGACGGTGACACGGTCCTCCTTCTGCGATATTATTTCTGGGGCAATGAGTCGCGCTTCGTCTGGGGCGTCACGTCGGCCTGGCCGGTGGGCGTGCTCCGCCGAGTAGTCCCGGTCCTGCTCGTCCGACACGGTGTAGGTGTCCCGAGCTGGGTCGTACATAGCGCCAGAGGACCGACGACGCTTCTCCGTCGACATGATGGGCGATCACGATGCTCTCTGTCGCTCTTGGTTCTTCTCAGAGCGAACACTGCCTGCGGCCTTGAACCATCCTTGGAGCTTCTCACGGCTCGTGTCGTCGATTCCCCGATTCGGTCTAGCACGTCCGATCTCTGGCCTTGCCGGATCTGGTCGCCAGTTGGTTGGGCTGGTCTACGATGATAAAGAACTTATAATGATAATAATAGGGATAATAATAGAAGCCATTACGGCGACCAAATGGGATGGGGATCGATATCCTGCTGGGTGAGTTTCTTTATGGGTTTCTGGACCGCTTCGTCGCTGACAGTTATAGCAGGTTCCCTCCAAAAGTTATGCCTTGGGCCAGACTCCTAGCTTGTACGGTAAATGCTTTGGCTTCCATGTGGCATCGCAATTCACTTATAGGGCTGGGCGAGCTTACAGATAGAGCTGATACCAGATAGGGGGGATTCCCATTGAAGTCAGGGGAAAGGGGTAGTGATAGGAGCCTGGTCGATAGCTTCGAAGGGGCCTATAGCAGAGCACTGATTAGCTTTTGGAAAAGTGGCATTTCCATCTCAATGGCAATGGATATGGAACTAAATCTGTTGCAGTGAATATCATTTATTATTTTTAGCCTCGCAACGATTAGACATTTCACAAAGCGGCGCTGGCGGCCCTGTTGAGACCATATCTGGTTCTGGGCTGAATCCCTCCAAGGCGCGAATTACAGTTGACGATCAGATTCAGACACAAAACTTTCCATGATTAACGGCTTCAAAAGTCCCCTTGCAGTACATAATGAGTGGTTCAGAAAACACTAGCTGAAACAACATCTATGTTGCTAGACCGATACCTTCTCCCCGGCCAATTATCGCGCGATCTGCATACAGAGCATAAGAGCAGGCGCGATTAAGAGTTTCGGTAAAAAGTTCCGACCAACTATCTGTGTGGGATTTGATTCGCTTATCGCAGAGTAAAAAAGCAGGCTTAAATGTCGGGATTCAGGGAGCTTGGTTACAAGGAAATACTGATATGGTCTCATAAGACAGCGCCGATGACTACAGCATATACTGGTCTCCCATGATCGTAAAGGCGTATATATTTCATGAGAGTAGTTCTATATAGAATAGACAGTGTCCCTACAGCTATGGCACCACAGTACCGGTGCATTCGCAGTATCTATATTGTCTAATACTTCATTCGGCTCTAACTCATCAGTCATGCATCAACACATACCTAGAAGTGACGTAAAAAGAGGTGTCTACAGTCGACTTTTCTTGGTGGTTCTCAGTATGCATTTTCTTGTAAGATCAAAGGGTCTTATCGCACGATCTGGGCACTTCGTAGGGCCCAGAAAAAGCGCCAAAGTTGAGCCTACGCGACCCACAGAAACTACATACTCTATCCAAGTTCTCAACACGTTCAACCAACTGCACCACCACTAGCGACCTTTTCTCGGCATAATCCGATGATACCATTATGAATATATACGCACATTCGCCTTTTGTCTCTACTTGCTGAAAGCGCCATGGAAGATGTAAATCATGCGAGATGAAATTTCCCAGTCTTAATCAAAGTATTCTCGTGGGATAGTTCTCTAATGGCAGAGTCAGAGTTTCGTGTACTCGTGGACATAGCACCAGTTCAGGCTCTCTCAGAGAATATCACTCTCCATATATGGAAATATCATCTTACCATGATCGGAAGATCCCCTGGAATGGAGGGGGGTAGCAATATCCACTTATGATCTTCTTTCGGGTTCTTTCCACGAATTATAGCCAACAGGCGAGTAGGACGAAGCCACCTCTTTGTTCTAGAATCATGTACGCCTGGCTTCGCATTACATCACAGAAGGTGAACACGAGTATTCTCAAACAAAGATGCGACATGCGGCTCCCTTGAGTAGGGAGTACTCTATGTATGTATGGTACTCTGTATAGTACATAGCTCTTTTGATATCCCTGCAACGCGACCATCATATGTCATTGTGGCGATCCGATCGCCACCAGTTTGCTCCTTGGGTGACACCTTCCAGTCTTGGCAATAAAAAAATATAATCCCTCTTCTGCGAGTATATTAACTGATCCTGGCATTTTATCTATCAAGGTCTTGCATCTTCCGTTTCTTTGCAAGTCGTGATTCCTATACCAAATTCACGGGAAATTCGTTAATAAGACCAACTAGATTCGAAGCTTAACTTTAACCAAATCTCTCTACCATACATATCCGATCTTCGGAGAGCCGACCGAGAAGACTGAGCTCCAGCCTTTACTCTACAAGGCATCGGAAATCACTGATCCTCCCGAAGTTTCCGTCCTCTACCACATACGGCAAAATGGAACAGCCACTTCGTCTCCGAGATATCCAGCCGGCGCCCTCTGCTCAGGGTATACCGACCATCCGTTCCACTGGCCAAGTCACCAAGCGCACCGCTTCTTATACAACACCAGCTAAATCATCGTCTGAGACCACCATATCACAAAACTCGCACTGTCAGAAGATCGACGAAGTCCGACACTATGACCAGGAATTAAAGGCCGGTTTGACTCAGCTTTTGAATGAAGGAAAAGATAAATCCAGTATGCAAGGTCGGAGATTCGTGCAGAATAAGTTGATGGAAACGGAACGAGAATTGAGGAAACAGCATAAGGAATCTCTCAAGAGCCGCAGACCTAGTTTGGCTTGAAATTTGTCTTCTATCATGATGGAGTATCGGGGGTATTCTAATTGCCTGGTTTTGCACGCCGTGTCTTCGGATCTGGGTCAAGCGAGGAGTTGGTGGTTTTGTTGGGCAGTGATCTGTGGTTTCTATTATGGCGCTGATCAATGATACATCCAATATTAAATACCTGGTTAAGCAGTTAACTACCAGTTGACATATCCACGTTCCTGCAACTAATCGAAGAAGCGAGAATTCTCACGAGATGGACTACTGAGCTCGTATCGTAAAGATACAGTACACTCCGATGGTCTAGAACTGTAGTCAATCGCAGTGGAAAGTTCCCTGAGAGAGAGAAATACTAGCCCTATATGGCACCATATACACAGTACCAAATCGACTCGAGGATGATGCTTACGTTAGAGTTGAAGAAGATTATAAACCGCAATACCTACTGGTAGATCTCTCAAATTGCCAGTACTCCGCGAAAGGCTATACTGTCTCCGGCTAGTTAACTAAACCCCAGAATGTATGAATAATCCCCTCCCCCGCGATCTTCCCCAGGTTTATTTCCGCGTTCCTCTCTAATCTATTAAGGTTAGTAGATGCGTTAGTATCATATGCTCGGAATTGACGGATCGCTGGAACGGAGCGCTTTTTTTGGCCGGATCTCATCATGTCAGCTCTTCCCTCCCAATCAGTGAACCGTGAAGCAAGGGAAGATTTTCAGATATCCTTAAAAAAAGATATATTGTCACGGTAGTTACGCCGATATCAGATAGAATTACTGGACGGAAATTGCAGGGTGTGGCAACTTATCCGTTGGCCAGGCGGCTTAGATAGTCACAACATGCTATTATGGAGCTTGAGAACCACAGGCTTGATAAGAACTGCTTATCCAAATGGCTCTGCTTCAGGAGGGGATACGCTTTTTAAGCTTTGAAACAGATACAACAAGAGTTAATCTTACGGCCTCTTATGTTCTCATAAATGTCAATACGTCGTGTGCGCCGCTCGATGGGGGAGCAAGACATTCATATTCAATTCTCATATCGGAAGTTCGTGACATCTATATAACTAGTTAGGTGATGCAGATTACATAGCAGGTATCATGACATATACCCAAGATGATCCAGACCCGGTCTCTTAGCGCCTCGCTCGAAAACGAAATCATAAGATGCAAGCAAAATTAACAATGTAATCCGGTCGTCGCCAGTTCTCATCGGTTACGGTGATGAATAGACAGGCTTCGACCTTTTTGGGGCCTTCACATTCAAAGCCTGCCTCACCCTCCTCAGTTTGGACCACCACTCCTTGTCTTTGGCTTTCTGGGAGTCTCCATCGTTCGACGTGCCACCGATCGAGCTAGCGTCTATATCTTTAGTAATCTCAGAGCCTGTAGATCTGATCAACCTCCGATGTTTGGTCTTGATAGCGTGGAGGAGAAGTTCCCAGCCACTATGAAGATCTTCAGTTCGTTCCGTCTTCTTCCCAGAACCACTTTGCGTCAATTTGTTGACCCACGGACAATAGTCCATATGCTCGGCCACAACGTTGAGCTTTTCGTACACAGTAAGCTCCCCATTCTCTTTCGGCTTGTACATCCATAGGCCTAAACGTCGAAAGCAGGCACCACAACCGGCCAAGCCAGCCGTACCATCGGATACCGTATCCCATCCAAAGAAAGCCAGAGCAAAGGCCGCCCTGTCTATATCCTGCGCCGTTTGTTTGGGAGAAGCGGCATTCTTATCGGCCTTCTGGCCTTGTGAATCAGGGGCTCCAGCTTCAGACGGTACCTTGTTTTCATTTCCCGCATAGAACTCGGGAGGTAATATCCGCAATGCTCCTTCAAGGTTGAAATCTTCGGGGATCTCGATTCTCTCCCTCGCGGGCAGTTTGGGCCCCATCTTGGCTAGGTTGTAGTAACGCGTTTTGAGGCCGCTTATTGCCACATCAGGGTTGGCTAGCTGCAATCGATGGATAGTAGCTTTGAGCACTGTCAGTAAATATATATGTATATTTTTGGCTTTCTGTATTGCAGATTGACATACCATCACAGCCTCTGTTGCGCCAGGGGCAGTTTAGACCATGGCCTTCTGTGATGAGCTTCTTGTATTCCTCTACCAGTTTTGCCCCTAGACTGAACTTAGTACTTGCAAATAAAACCGTCACCGTGGTCGCGAAACTTACGGACTTCCTTCCTTTCCTCCACTTTCTCGATATCGTAGCCGTCCAGCTCATCGAGTTCGTCCGGGAGCTTGACAACGACCGAGCCACCACATCCTCCAACACAGCTGACTCTCTCAGTGTCTGTACACGACCATCCACGCTTAGCCCACTGAACCTCATTGACCGCCGGGGGTTTCGAAGACCATTTGTCGACCCTGCGGAATGTTTCCAAACGCTCAAGAAAACGCTCGCGATCCCATGGTACAAAGTTGGGGCGGACCGTTGTCGAGCCTGACGAGGACGGTCTTGAGATATTTGTGACAGATGTTCGAATAACTAGCGGATCGTTCTCACTTCCACTGACACGGACCTTCTTGATCGAGGGAAGCGTCGTAGTGCGTGGAATGCTTGCGGGAACGTCATTTGGAGTCTTTGCGGCGACGTCTGGGGACGGAGGTTTTGATAGCGAGTCAAGGACTCTGTTGAACTTGCGCTTTTTCGTGACCAGCGCGTAAGACATTTTTCTTCTGGGAATATTATTATGATTAGGTATGACAATTATGATCTGGGCAGGTGAAAGCTGCCGCAGCAGTTGTGATCTGCTTGCGATCTGCCAGTGGTTGCTCGAGCTACCGTATTTGTCGCCCAAGCTCTGGCCTTGGCGTGGTTTGTTGCCTTGGCGCCTGATACCTGCAATCATGCTACAAGGGAAGACGGAAATGCGACCTTACATGCAATGAGCATCACGCCAACTTTTCACTCTCATCTCAACAAGTATTCTGCGACGGAAGAGCTCGTGAAAGCCTTTGAGTAGTTATCTATTTCATATATGTTGCGGTGGAAGCACTAAGGACAGTTTGAGTTCGTGAATTATTCGACGATGCCGGAAAATGGTCGATCATATAGACTGGTGATTCTGAACTGACCAGGCAATGGTAATTGGCAACTAGTGTGACGAATGCCAATCTCGCAATTGAACTAAGCTCTAAATGCAGAATAATTGAGAAATCGCATCGCACTCCCTCCCTACGACTATAGTAGTCGATTGATTGAACATAGTCTGGATGTTCATTATCGGCTAAATTTCAAGCTCGCGATTATCAATAAGAAGTATCACACCATAACTCCATTATATATACCGAAAATGAAACCTCCAATGCCTATACAAAACTATCTATGAGAATGAGCACTGAAAAAATGATAGACAGGACGAAAGGCAATTCAATATGATGATTGTTACTGCCGATGCCGTGTTTCGACGTCTGCGTTGGTGCAGATGTCGCGGTGTCCGTAGGTGACCCTGTCTCACTAGACCCTGATGCCGTACTGGTAGAAGTCGTATTTCCTGCAGGTGCTTGTAGCATTCCCTTTTCCACGGCCTCATTGAAAGCAGCATACCAGATGTCGGCCATCACATGATATCCCTCGTCTGTAGGGTGTATGCCATCGCTGCCTATGTCCTCTATCGTCAAATTGCCATAGTCCATCTCTGCCAAAATGATCCGATCACCAGCTTTTTGGCGCTTTGCAACAAGTTTCCGATATTGGTCGTTGATATCAGCCATTGCTTTCGGTGCGCGCTTATCCGGGATCAGAGTGGAGAAAAGAATGGTAGTGTTTGGGGAAGCCTGGTAAATCTCCTTGAGAAAGCCGTCCATGCGTTTGCCTGTGCTCGAAACCTTGTAATGTTGGACTCCATCGTTGGTGCCGGCACTGGAATTTTGGGTTAGCATTGCCAGGTCTAGACAGTTACTTCTCCGCTGATCGATTCTCATTTGCACTCACTTCAAGAGGATCAGATCCGGTTTCGTTGAATAAAGTGACTTTTTGGCCGCCGCCTTTATTTGGTCGACCCTGTAGCCAACATACCCGTTATTCTCCTGTTCAGTGCGCCAGCACATATGGTCAGCGAATTGTCCACGAACCCAAGCTCCGCCCGAATACGACTATAAAGTACGATGCACCCAGTATTATTGCTCTGCAGTGCATACGAAGGCTGCTCTATGCGTTCAATAGGCCGCGTTCTAACTCACGTTCTCTTTCATGGTACCGTGTCTGAGGTTCCCAACCATAGTGGCATTCCATCCATCTGATTGCACCATATCCAGAAAGTACTCTCGATAGCCGTTACCATCCGTCGATTTGAAGCCATAAGTAATAGAAGCCCCTAGCGGCATGATTCGCAGCGTGAAAGGCTTATCATCTTGAGACTTTACGTTCTCTGGTTTTCCCTCGTTGGTGGCATTGTTGGTGCTCTTGTCTAATTCTTCTCGGGAGTAGGCTGACGCAATAGCATCTGGAGAGAGCGGAGATGTCGTCGGAGCCGTATGTTCGAGAATCGAGCCGTCCACAGATGCGACGGCTGGACCCGATAGCAGACAAAGACTAAAAGCCGTAGCGATGGCGTAGCCTTTCGCTGCGACGACTAGCCATGGGGCCATGGCCGGCTCAGGGAGAGGGATTGCAGGGAAGCAATACGTTAGGCATTCGCCCACGGGGAGCATCCGGGTTTATAACTGCGTAACATCGTGCGGCTCTGAGCTTAGAATCACCGCGGGCTCCAAAGTCTACAACAAAGAACTAAGGGCCGTGGCTTAGCTCGTCCAGGGTTTGATTGTTACTCCACTTAAAAGCTATCGAATCCGATAGTCATCTTCAGGTACGGACATGGCGGCGCGGTATCCAGATTCCAGGCAGATCTAAAACTGCTAGGAGATAAAACTATTCCAGTTCAGGACAGCGAAAAAGCTTGATTGCTCTTGACACGGACTCAGCCAGTGGGACAGCTCGTGGGAGTATCATGCTAAGAGAATCCGAATCAGATTCTATGTTCCGCAAACGTGGGGCCTTTCTCTTCTCGATGGCGTCCAATTCGAATTTTGTCCCCAATACCTTAGTTAGTCGACTACTGCCGCTTCATGTACTGATAAGAGTGAAGAAATATCATTGTGCTGAGAACCGCCAAATGTCATGCTTATGGTTACAGATCAATGTACAGGTTTTTCCGTTTGCGATCTCAGCAGACGTGTATGCTGCTCAAAATCACGTCATTTTGCTAGCCGTTGAAATCGCCCCCTTTTTTTTTCAAATTGATGGGAAATTTGTTGGACTCGGAAATGACAAGCTTTCAGATTGATCAAAAAACCCAATTGATTAGTACTATTGTCTTACCGCTATCGTCTTTAACCATGTATGTCATCTATAGTCGACGATTGGCCGAACCAAAAGCACGCCAAAGTTGGCTGTGGACGGCCCGATGCCAAGAATATGGGTTATAGAGTATGATCTGACGCTGACATCGAACTGAAAGTGAATCCAAATGGAGAATTTTGACAGGGATTTGAGAAGCACGACATTATACGCACACTGCGCACGCTCCAGGATGACTGCAATAGGGAAGTGTTCGCATGCCATGGCAATTGCCCTGGTGGCCTCCCAGAAAAGCCATGCTTGAGTAAGTGATGAAGTGCGCGATTTATCATGCATACTATCGCACGCCGTCCGGTGCAGATCCCATTTCCCCCATATGAAGAAATATCGTCGTATTAAGAAACAAGGCCATCCTGCCAGTTTTGCCTTTTGCGAAGATTCTGCTGCATTCCTCGACATCTCATGCGCCAGCAGAACTCGACATGCGGATATACGGGGTACTTGCAATTAGGGATCGATCCTCTCATGCGTTCTATCAGCGGCGATTCAGCGCTAGTTAGATTTCTCGACCTCGAGATCTCTCTTTTGGACCCCACGATGTTGGGAGTGCTTGTGACAAGCACCGACCACCAATTGAATCTGGCCCCAATTGTGCAGGATGTGCTGGTGAATACCTTCAAGCGACTCGACCTTTTCCCTTCCTAACTCATGGATTCACCGAGTTGGCGTCCCGGGTCCATTGGACTGATTCTCTGGGGTCTCTGATGTATTTTCCTAGGAGATCAGGACTCCCTGAGAGCCTCTTGATCGGCAATATTTCCCCGCGCCTCACTAAGAAGGGGACTAACTGCTAACTTAATCACTTCGTCACTTTCTGAATAGTAATGCTGAGACAAGCGACCGTACTACCCACGCACGGACTGGCCAGTCTCTCTTTGAAAGATCTGCCCGATTCATCGATTGGAGATGTCCCCAATGCCTAGATACAACTGATGATCACTGATACCTTATCTGCTGCTTACAACTCCGGTACCGCTATAGCTCGCTTAACATACTTTATGATCTCATGAACCGCGCAGCCGAAGGCTCCGCTCCTCTCGGGAGAGCGAGCTTACAGCAATCTCGAAGCCATGTCGACAACCCCTCTGCAGCTCTACAAGGCGCGACAGCGGCCTTTAATTCATTCGCATCGAGGAAGCCTGTCGGTACACCTCCAAAGAATACCGAAAACGCAACCAAAGCGGCTGTCCTGGCAGGACGACCGGTTCGTCCGCCGCCAGCATCCAGCCAGACACCGAGTTCCGAAACGTCCTTAGAACCCGAAGCTCGATCCGTGAGGGAAAAGATTGGCATGTTTACAGATAGTCCGGTATCGATATCGACGCGAGATATACATGATGATAATAAGTTTGCTACATCCTCACCGAGGTCACAGACCCCGCAGCACATAGCTGCACAGGTCGCGGCGGAGAGATCCCAACCGGGGATTCCATTCGATCGTAGCTCGACACGGACAAATTCGCCTGAGAAGATCGATCGTGCACCAAGCAAAGCCAGTCAACGAACGGATGAATCTCTCAAAATGTCGCATGGCGCATACCAAGATAATAATGGCAGCAACGAGTTGCTGGCACCAAAGCCTCTCCGCAAGCTATCGTCACAACACACTGCCATCGGGGCCGCACTCAGTGCGGATAAAGATGCCTGGGACAAATTTGATTCTCAACTTGCGGTGGCACCCAAGAGCCCTGGCACTCCAAGCCTTGCAGGTTCTGCTAATCCCCCTAGACTGCCCCCTAGGACAGATATCAGCGCGGCACCGGAACCTTCCAAAAGACTTTCAATCAGTCGAAAACCAGTGGCTTCCCAGCTTTCCCTCAATTCCCAAGATTCGGCAAGTTACGGCCAGAAAGAATACCAGTCCGTACCACGTGCTAGCACGTTTCCGTCCACATCGACATCCGACGAACGAAAACCTCCGCTTCCACCACGCCGGTCCACGGCGGGGGTGAATGGATCATCGCCAGGAGGCACTGTCGATTTGCAAGATACTTCACGCTCTATTTCTAGAAATCATACACGGGATGTGGCCAGCCCGGCGCTGTCACAGCCTCCTCCTCCGCCTCCCAGTCGTACACCGGCTTCACTACGACCGCAGACGAATAGTGTTGTTGGCCATATCAATAACAATGGCGCCAGTGTCTTCGAGGAACCGGCAGGGATGGATGAAAATTCGTTGTCGGATGCAATCGTGGCTTCATCGCTCGCGTCATCCTATGCGCCAACGCCAGTTGAGATCGCACCTCCTCTACCACAACGGCGGCCAAGGTCTCGCTCATCGTTATTATTGCACCGAACAGGTGACAACCAGAGGTCTCCCAGTCCTCCAAAAGGTATGAGACAGACTCTTAGAGACCACTCGAAGCTAGAGGGACAAGACGAACACCATCATCACAAGCATATGATCCGCATCATCAAAAAGCATCCTCATAAGCACCACGAGGGAGATCGAAAGAGATGGCGTAATGAGATCACCGAGAAGGAACGCAAGAGATATGAAGGAGTCTGGGCCGCCAACAAAGGGTTATGGGTCCCAGATAAATCCCTTCTTCCGCCCTCTCTGCGCACTCAGAACTCCCACACCCTCCCTCAGGACCCATCTGACATGGTCGTGAATGTGGTGGTCAAAGACATATGGTCCAGAAGCCGATTACCACCTAATTTCCTGGAGAAGGTTTGGGATCTTGTGGACCGGCAGGGTATTGGCATGCTCACCAGAGACGAGTTCGTGGTTGGTATGTGGTTAATCGACCAGCAGTTGAAAGGTCGTAAGCTCCCGGTTAAAGTATCCGACAGCGTGTGGGAAAGCGTAAAACATGTATCGGGCATCAAACTGTTGGATTAGAAGTTATAGACGGGGGAGGGACGCCTATCTAATGATAATACCTAATGCCTTTCTCGCTTAATAATAGACTGTAGTAGTTAACTAACGTTAGAGTCTTTGAGCGGTAGAAGAGAGCCCATATCTGGGCATCGACGATCCAAGTTACTTACGCCTCAGCGGAGAACCAATAATAATAATCGTAGAACCCGATCAACCTTATCTTCGATGCTCGGTCACGTGAATTACAATGCACTCAAATCCGCTCTGCAAACTAGGTACATAGTTAATACCTTCCATTTCGTGCCTGTAGGCAAATTCACGCTGCTTGGGCAGTATTCTCTGGTGCATTCTACGCAAGGTATATTCCCTGACTCGCCACCTAACTACTTGTTTTTCTATATGACAGAGAAATAATTCATGAAGCTGGCTTTAGCGCTCCACGCTTTCTCCTTTGAGCAGAGCAAATCCCGGCCCTCGGGATCTCACGGCCAGCCAGACTAGGAAACGGATGAATCAGCAGCCTGGAAAACACCTGACTTTCTATATCGGACCAGTCGTCGAGCTTGAGCAGATTATTCTCAGACGCCCCCCAGAAAATATCTCTTTCCGAGGCTTTGGGGTGAAACGATGCATCGCTGGGACAGAGTATAGGGAAGACTTGCTTTTTCTCCCCGACTCCGTCTTGTCCATCCAATCTTCAGAAGGGCTCACCTTTGAACCTCCGCGCGGGATCACGGGGTTGCTGTGACCCAGAGAGACAGGAGATCCACGATGGGACTGGAGGACACCCAACAGCATGAGCATGAACCGGTCACACAACCCAAGGAACCGGCGCCAACAGTAGTTCGCAAAAAGTTCGCCAAACCGCCCGTGAAAGTAGCATGTTTGGCTTGGTAAGCTATCCACTGAACAATGTATTAACCAGAGCTCCGCTTTGGGGGGATTTGCTCTGTGCTTGCGGCCGTTTCTGCTCCGTTACGCTGACACTGCCATCCAGTCGCGCTTCGAGAACGCGTTGTGATGGGAAGGAGACATGCTCCAGCGTATGTTAACCCCTTTCTTCTTTTGTTTTATTATTAAGTGTAGCCAATCCCATGTCATCCTGATGGACGGCAGGTCATTTCTCTATGCCATCTACGTACTAAAATTGTTATATATTTGAAAGTGCGCGAGCAAGGGGAGAAAGTGCAGTTATCTCCCCAGCAAACGAGGAGGGCCTCGAAAGAAGAAATCCACAGTGCCTCCTTCGTCTACGACTGTGCAGCAAGATGCGTCCTGGAATCCTGTTCCTATTCCAGTCAGCAGATTCGATGAATGTATGTGTCCTGAGTGGCTAGACTCCATCGCTCTTTTGGATGCGTTAAATGCTGATATAGATACAGCGGCGGGGATGTTCAACCAGATCGACCCACTGGCTCTGCCTGGAGCTGGACTGAGGCATCTTGACTTCCCAACTGAGGTCCAGTCGATGTTTGAAGACCTGTTCGCCCCAGGCGACGGAGCAAATCCACACGTCCAGATGGAACCGGCTCCTGCGGTGCCCCCGAAGCCATCGATGGTCAGAGCATACGGCAGTGAGCCAGATATGTGAGCAACGCATCATCAACCTCACGAGTCAGAGTCCTAACTGGCTACATAGACTGAACGCTTATTATGATTTCATCCATGCTTACTTTCCTATCCTGCCTCCAAGAGCCGCCCTTCCTTACGCTGATCGCCCATTGAATGGGCTAGGTTCTAGTGCTAATGCTTTGTCGGAAGAGCTTTCTCTTTTGTATCAACCATCTTCTCCCTTGAGCCTTGCTATCTCCGCTATATTAGCTCTCGTACCACATCCAGACGATCCGGAACCGACGTCTGCCAATTCAGTCCTACTTCGAAGATCATATGCGCAAAAGTTTGCCGGGCTAGCAATAACATGCATCGAAGCAGACCAAGAACTTATCGATTCTTCCACTGACCCCTCTCAGGCTTTGTCGAATGAGACGCCTATCATAAACAGAGCGCCGTTCCATCCTAAAACGCCTGTTGAACTCGAAGGTATTCTTGCGCTACTTGTATTATGTACATATGAGTATGCACAGCGCGGGAATCTATCCAAGATGAAATACAGGGCTGGACAAGCATTGACCTTGGCGATGAATATGTCACTACACTCGTTGGGGGAGGAATATGACGAGTTCGCAGAAGCCCGACGGCGGGCATGGTGGATGACTGTACCGTACAATTGTTCCTTGTTTTACAAAGGTGGCATGCTAAACATTCGATAGTACTACTGCGTGCTTCAAAGCTCGATTTCCGGCATAGCTGTAAGTCTGGGTGATTTCGTGGCTCATACTGACCATGGGCTGACACGAGTCTGAACTATAGCCACCAACGATCACCATCGACGACCCTCGTTTCGTGACTCCTTATCCCAGTTTTCCATCGGATCCCGAGGTAGTAACCGGCTCCAATATGCTTCTCTATGCTACTGCTCCAGCTAATCTATTATAGGGCTGGTCAATATTGATGCAAGCGCAGCAGGTGCTGGTCTCAGCGACACAATTCACGCTTGATCTGAACAGATGCCTGAGATCTCGCTCGAACATGAAATATATCTGTGACAGAATGCAGCAACTCGATGCTTGGGCCAGTTCCGTAATGGCACGTGCAAATACTCCTCCAAGCGGCCCGCGCTCTTCGCTTTACGAAGATCCGTCGGAGGCACTGACTGCACATTCTATACGAGCTATATCAAGGATCAAGATATCGAGGTGAGTACAAGTCATCAGTCTCGAAGAGACATGTATTTCTGACAAAGGGCATTATAGTGCACATCTCAAGACCCATCGATTCCGTGCATTCTCGGACATTCCCATCTTCATTAAGAAGCACTGCGACCTTGCCGCTGCGAAGTCCGACCCTGCCCAGACAGATAAGACCTATAACCTGAACAGGCGTCCAAGCGGTATAAGTCGACTGTCTTGTTCATGTTCCAGTATGGAACCCGTTCCGCGTCCTCAGGCACGGGAGTATGCCCCTTCGCCGTCAGATTCTTCGAGTTCGTCAGGATCTGTATCTTTGGGCTCGCAATACTCCTTCCTCGAAACCGGCTTTCCCTTCACCAGCCAACATTCAGCAAAGGTTTGCCTGCGGGCTGCCCTGATCATAGCGCGCATGTTTCAGAGTCTACCGTTCCCGAGACCACTATACTCGGCGGAAAAGCAGAATGGGTCTGCTGTTCCATCGGCCTCCCAAGAATACGTAGACCCAGCTTCGCTAGATCCCCGCACTCAGCTGCCTCGCACGATGCCGTCATTTGCATGTTGTGCGATGCAAAGTAGCTATGCAATGTTGATGCTCTTCTACAAAACGCGCGTTGCGAAGCAGCTTTCTCCAGACTCCGAAGGCGGTAACAATTCATCGTCTGAACGACTAGTCGAAGAATTACGGAGCGGACTTGAACGAATCATCGGGGCAATGAAGAATTATTCCAGGGCCTTTGAGGCACTAGACGGCATGAGAGGTCAGTATTATCCACCTCCTGGCTATCTTTTGCTAACAGCTTACCTTTTCGTACAGACGAGATCGAAGGTGCTTTCCAGACCGCATTTCCCCAACAATGACGAACTTCTCGGATATTCTACTTTGTCTGTATATGTTCCAGCAGGATTGGCTATCAGAATCTTAATAGGGAAGAAATGCCCACCACAGAACGGCCTCCTCATGCCGATTTAAAAGCTGGCCATCAGCAGTGACCCGCTTTCTTGAGAATAGGCGTCTCTTGAAGAAGTTTCTTTGTGCAAACCGAACTAGAACTCCACCCCTGGGCTGGACCTATGGGGAAATCTACGTACGGTATACCATTGACAATAGGATCTCGATATGGATTGAAGGTTGGAAGGAGAGGGACAGGTATGCGAGGCAAACCTCCCAAGCATGGAGGTATACGGGTGGAATGAATGAACTTGATGATTTTCGACACTTCTTGTTGTTTTCTCGTATGAAAGGCAGATGGAAATCGATGTCGGATATACCCTTCTCAAACGTTCAAAAGGACTGGAGGGCTGGCTTTATGATCATGTTGTATGTGTTATGTATCGATTATGATGCGGTTTTGTCAAAGGTATCTGGTTGGTGTGGTCATTTCTCTCACCTCATCTTTCCTCTTTTTTGTTCTTTCTTCGTACGGTTTCCTCGCGATTAGTCTGTTCTGCTCATATAAATGATTTGCTCAGCCGTACTATGGTTAAGATTCCATTCGTAATACATGCATACATTTTTTGCAGGCCCGCGTAGTTAAGACTTGGTGTTAATCAGGTTTGCTGCTGCCTGAGCTAGCCTGACTAGCAACAAATGGCTGTTGATGGAGTTTCGGTCGCATTTGTTAGTTCAGCTGACGAGCACGCGTCAAAATGCAACCTTTGCAGACATTTGGCCCCCAATATTTGCACTTGATGTTTGGCAAACCCCAAGCCGAAACAGGTCTCCTACTATCACATTTCAGCCATGTTGATATCAAAGCGACGCTTGGCTTCTTAATTCTCTACCCTAGAGATCTTTATTTAGCTGCCTGCTGATGGTATTATCCTAGTCCCGATCCTATTAGAAAGGTCCGTGGGAGCTCTACAGGAACATCCTCTACGAAGTTACCTACAGACGTTTCACATAGCAAGAGACAGCTGTATTTTGATACATGGCTTGCGCCTACGCAGATGAAGATGCAATACCAAATGGCTGGAGGACTCGACAGCCAGGCTTCGCCATCTGGTTCATGATCGCCATCCCTCGTTTCCTGCTGGTTTCTTTTTTCTACAGCATTTACTACATCCCAAGCTCTCTACGTCAGAATAGGAAATGGACATACCGCCAAGCTCTTTCAACGCAGCTCTTTAAATTCGCCTTTCGCATTATGACCGAGTTGGGATACTCACAGACTCTGACCTTCGAACCAGGAAAGCTTGGTAACAGATGGGTTTTCATTGACCCAGCTGAGTCGGACGTGTATCCTCGTCCGTTTCTGAGCGACAAAGTACAGCCACAGAGAATTGCTGGGACGTGGTACCCGGACACCCCCTTCAAGGACCAGTCTGCTTCGAATTTGGACGATGACAGCAGTCTTGTAATCCTGTCCTTCCACTCAGGATCCTTTCTCTGGTTTACAGGACGACCGGAGGATTCCGGCTTCGTCGCCAACTTGCTCAACAGAAAGCTGGGTAACACCACCCGGTCCCTATGGGTGCAGTATCGGCTTGCCGGTGGTCGCGATAATCCAACGCCCTATCCAGGCCCCATGCAGGATGCAATAACAGCATACGTCTACCTTGTCAAAACACTAGGTATCTCACCTCGACGCATCGTACTCGCGGGAGATTCTTCTGGATCTACTGTAGTGGTGGCTCTCTTGCGCTGCCTCGCAGAGGATGCAGACAACAAAATTCTCGCCGATCTCCCACCACCAAAGGCCTGTCTCATTTTCTCGCCCTCTGTCGAATATAGCTTAGAGGGTGATTCGCGTGCAATAAATGAGAACCGAAACTGTCAGACTGACTATTGCGATGCACCGATGATGGCTTGGGGTGCTCGCGTGATTGCACCGCCGGACCAGATACGTCTGGATGACCCTTACTTGTCACCGGCCTTGCACCCGTTCGCTACTCCCGTGCCAATCTTCGTACAGGCGGGAGGCGCGGAGGTGTTGTGTGATAGTATCAGGGGATTCGCAGAGAAGATGCGTGCGATCCCAGGAAATCGGATCGAGTATTTAGAGGTCCCGGACGTGCCACACGATATCTACGCTGCTGGTAACATACTTGGATGGTTGAAGGAGCAGGAGGAGATCATTGATGCCGCAGCTACCTTCGTTTCTCAGTTTTGATTTGTCTGTGGTTGTTCTCGGAGGCCGGGATGTGTATTTATGTACGCAGAAGATGTGAAGCAGACTGGAATAATGACCGACTGGTGTTGTTGTTAAAGAGGAGGATGGAAAATAGCATTAACATCGCAGCAATGATCTGGTAAATTGCGAGTAGCCATATGCATTAAAAAGTGAATTAGTTCATCCTCTTCTGTTCTAAACATCTAATAACAACCATATTCTAAGCCCGAGATGATATCCTTCTGCCTCAGGCATACAAGAGGCTTGAACTCTTGGCGCCCGAAAAAAATAATATTTGCATCCTCCGCGGTCCAAGTGGGACCAACCAGACCGATAAGCGATCCGACAACTTTTTTTCCTGGAGATCCCTAGACTCTTCAAGATACAACCCCTTCACGTCAACATCTGGGATCGAGGGTCTGTCAACGGCGAGAGCCATACCGATCTCTCCCCATATCCAACCGGATCGTGACCGTTTTGGTCCCCGGGTTTCACAATGGCGATCCAGAAAAAGGTACGTTCGAGTGCTGCAAGGCGACCCGGGGTCTACGATAGCTAACAGGTAAACAGCACGGTAAGGGTCGATTGGATAAGTGGTATAAGCTCGCGAAGGAGAAGGGTTATCGAGCACGTGCTGCGTTCAAGCTGATCCAGCTGAACAAGAAGTATGGCTTCCTTGAGAAGAGCAAGGTCCTGCTGGATCTTTGTGCTGCGCCAGGAGTAAGTGCATACGAGTCCTCTTTTAAACTTTGTTTTCTTGCAAATTGACGATGCGTTATGTAGTCTTGGTGTCAAGTAGCTGCAGAATGCATGCCTGCTCAAAGTATCATCGTCGGTGTCGATCTGGCTCCCATTAAGCCCATTCCGCGAGTCATCACCTTCCAGAGCGATATCACCACGGACAAATGTCGTGCCACGATCAGACAACACCTGAAGACCTGGAAGGCGGATACAGTGCTTCACGATGGTGCTCCTAACGTCGGTACTGCGTGGGTGCAGGATGCTTTCTCTCAGGCAGAGCTCGTGTTACAGTCGCTGAAGCTTGCCACTGAATTTTTGGTCGAAGGTGGTACATTCGTGACAAAGGTGTTCCGATCGAAGGATTACAACCCTCTGCTTTGGGTCTTCAAGCAGCTCTTCGTATCGGTCGAAGCTACGAAGCCTCCCTCGTCGCGAAATGTCTCTGCGGAAATCTTCGTCGTATGCCGTGGTTACAAGGCGCCGAAGCGCCTTGACCCCAAGTTCCTCGATCCTAGGCACGTTTTTGCTGAACTTGCGGCTCCGACACCGAACAACGAGGCTAAGGTCTTCAATCCCGAAAAGAAGAAGCGCAAGAGAGATGGATATGAGGAGGGCGACTACACCCAGCACAAGGAGATATCAGTGACGGAATTCATCAACACTACGGATCCTATTGCGATTCTAGGTACATACAACAAGCTGAGTTTCCAACAGACTCCGAGTGGCGACCTAGCGCTTGCTACATTGGAGAGGTTGGAGGAAACCACGGACGAGATCAAGGCCTGCTGTGAGGATCTGAAAGTGCTGGGCAAGAAGGAGTTTCGAAACCTCCTGCGATGGCGTCTGAAGGTTCGCGAGAAGTTTGGTCTTGCTGTGAAGAAGGGCCCCAAGCCTGGGGAAGCCGAAGCGGAGGAAGTGGCCGAGATCGCGCCCATGGATGAGGAACTAGCTATCCAGGAGGAGCTCCAGCGACTTCGCGACAATGAAAATGCGAAGAAGAGGAAAGAAAGGAGGAAGGAGAATGAGAAAAAGCGCAAGGAAATCGTCCGTATGCAGATGCATATGACCACTCCCATGGATATCGGTATGGAGCAGGTCGGTCCCACCGGCGAGGAGGCCATGTTCGCACTGAAACACGTCGAGAGAAACAACGCCCAGGACAAGATTACGAGTGGAAAGATTGTCCATCTGAGCGACGATGAAGAGGACGAGTCCGACTCGGCGGAGGAGCTATCAGATGACGACGGAGATCTTCTGGAAAGGGAACTGGATTCCTTGTACAATCGGTATCAGGAACGTAGGGAGGATCGGGATACCAAACTACGAGCAAAGAAGGCCCGGAAGGGCTTTGAGACAGAGGAATGGGAAGGATTCTCTAACTCTGGTGAAAGCAACAGTGACGCCTCCGATGATGAAGAAGGTTCTGATTCAGGCGTCGCGCTTACGGATGATCGGGTTCCCAAGTCCGCGCATCTGTCTAACAAAGCCGCATTATTCTTCGACCAGGACATCTTCGAAGGTGTAGAAGACGAGGATGACATCGAATCATCTGAGGAGGAGGCGGACAGTGCCGTCGAGATGCAGGAGAAAAATCATACCCAGGAGGCCGCGTCAGATGATGACAGTGAAGATGAAGACGAAGTGCCCGCTAAGAAGTCCTCAAAACCTTCGAAGGATGTGTGGGCAGAGGACTCCAAGGGCTTTGCATCCGATGAAGAGCCAGAGGAGCCGGAGGACCCCCGGACAAAGGATGGTCGACTCGGTAAGTCACTCTGCATACTGTTCTTTTCTCGTATTTGACTGACTCTGAATTCAGACATCGATATCATCACTGCTGAGGCTATGGCATTGGCCCAGCAGATGGCTACGGGTGAGAGGAAGACGACGGATGTTGTGGACGATGGCTTCAACAAATACGCCTTCCGCGACGTCGACGGTCTCCCTGAATGGTTCCTGGATGACGAGTCGAAACATAGCCGCCCCAACCGACCTATCACGAAAGCTGCTGCTGCGGCCATCAAGGAGAAGCTGAGGGCCATCAACGCCCGGCCCATCAAGAAGGTCATGGAAGCCAAGGGACGTAAGAAGTTCAAGGCAGCGCAGCGACTAGAGAAGCTGCGTAAGAAGTCTGCACTGCTGGCCGACGACGAGGCCCTCAGCGAGAAAGACAAGGCGCAGACGATCGCAAAGCTGATGAGCAGAGCAGCCAAGAAGAAGCCCAAGCAGAACGTCAAACTCGTGGTCGCCAAGGGCGCCAACAGGGGTATCTCTGGCCGTCCCAAGGGTGTCAAGGGCAAGTACAAGATCGTGGACGCGCGTATGAAGAAGGACATCCGGGCACAGAAGAGGCTGGCGCAGAAGAAGCGCAAGTGAAGGAGTCACTGTTCTTTCCTGTATATAAAATTCCTGGTCTGGTTGTTGAGTATGATACCAAAAATGAGTATACTAGTAGTATGTATGTATGTACATCGAGTCCAATGGCATCTACCATATGGTCTTTTCTGGATGACTGCCTAATATACCGTAAGAATAACCCCGCAGACCCGGATCTCGCCCTGTGGCTTACCACAGGAACCGAACTGGCTCGATACAGGGACGAGACGAAGCCAATTGGGGAGGATGAGATATCCAGAGCCACGGCGGTGGCGCTGCGGGGGAACAAAGTCGAGTGGAGCCGGCGTGGCGGGTTTTCGCGTCGAGCAGAACTAATAATAATAATCAATCAGTCAAATATATACTCTATCGTCCGTCTCTTCTCCTGCCCGTTGCTTGTCGAACCGGCCCCTCCGGTCTCTTCCACGACTCTCTTTTTCGTGCCGTCTGTCATTCTCTCACTTAGGTTTATTATTACCTTCCTATCATGCGCTTGTTGCCGGCGTTTCCACCATAGGATTCACATTCTTACGTCTCCGTCGCTCAGCTCCCACCGCACAATCTCTCCGTTCCTTGTGCGCCATGGGATTCTTCGACCACCTACAGAAGGGAGGAGGATTTTCCCTTCAGCCAAAGAAGCCCCAGATCCGCAAAGTTGTCACGCAGACTCGGCCAGCCGTTCCGGCGCGCACTTCGTCTGCTGCCGCATCGCCAGCGCCTGCCGCCTCCTCCAGAAGCGCAGTGCGACAGTCAAAGGCGCGGCCAGTGTCCGGGGATTCGAGACAGAATACTCCCCAGAAGCGACTGGGTACAGCGGGAAAGATTCGCAAGCGGCCCTCGCCTGCGCAACGGTTATCCAGCGATGACGATGACAGCGACACGGACACGTCTTTCGAGGTGCGGAAGAGGGCCAGAGTGAGCGCCAGCGCAGAGCCTGATCCAGACCGGCGGGTAAGAGACACGGAGATGTTTTCAGAGAAAGGGAAGGAGAGTTTCCGGATGGTGCATGCTGCGGATATTGCGTCGTTGGAGAAGCCAGGGAAGTTCAAGAGGGCGTTCGACAAGACGGACAAGCCGGTGGACGTCTGGCTGCAGTATCCCGGTGCTTCGCAGAAAGAGAGGTATGTTATCTGTTATCTGTTGTCTTGCTCATCAATTGGGATAAGATTGGAAACTGACGGCGAGGGTTTTTTTGCAGATACCAGCTCATTGTGCCGCGCGACAAAGACGACTTCAGACCCCTCGACGATATCGTGCAGGTTATTGAGATGGTTTCCCAGAATTACGTACCCGACGATGAGCGGGACGTGTTTGATAACGACTCAACCGGGATCAAGCGTCGTGTGAGGCGCGCTCTGGCTCATGGTTCGGAAAGTGATTTCAGGGACGCCATTTCCGATTACAACAGTATCGTCGAACGATTGAAGCGTAATGGCAGTATCGCAAAGCATCTGGACTCCATTCAGAGGCTCACTCTCCCACTAGTCGAACGCATCTTGACTCAGACGTACTCGCGAACAGTCTCTCCGCGAGTCGAGTCGCTGAGGCAGTACGAGAACGGAACCGATAATGTATATGGAGAGCTTCTGCCGCGCTTCATCAGCACGATATTCAAGGAGACCAAGTTGAAGTCCGGTCAGGTTTTTGTCGACCTAGGTTCTGGTGTTGCCAACGTCGTGCTGCAGGCGGCTCTGGAGATCGGGTGTGAAAGCTGGGGCTGTGAGATGATGCAGAACGCGTGTGATCTCGCGGAGCTGCAAGAGGCAGAGTTCAAAGCGCGGTGTCGCCTCTGGGGCATCGCCCCTGGCGAGACGCATCTTGTCCGCGGCGATTTTCTTAAGGAAGAGAGTATCGCCAAGGTCCTGCAGCGCGCGGATGTGGTCCTGATCAACAACCAGGCCTTTACGCCCCAGCTAAACGATAAACTAGTCAATCACTTCCTGGACATGAAGGAAGGCTGCCAGATCGTGTCACTCAAATCCTTCGTCCCTGCGGGCCACAAGATCCAGTCGCGCAATCTCAATTCGCCCCTCAATCTGCTGTCAGTTAAGCAGAGGAATTACTGGTCTGACAGTGTCAGTTGGACAGATGTCGGTGGCACATACTTCATCGCAACCAAAGACAGTTCGCGCCTGAAGCGATTTGTGGAGAGTATGGGATAAGATATGCCGCCTTATCTCGATTCTTGTTCATTTTGCATAGAACGAACCCATATACACAGTTCACTGCATATCTCACATCTAGAGAGACATATGGCAAATTCTTGCATTTTTGGTTGTTTCTTTCATGTTTTGATGATACCAATTTATGCGGAGAGAAGAGAAGCATGGGAGATTGATATTAGGGCTTCAGGTCCGTTCCTTTTCTTTCTTGCATAGTACGGGTAGTTATGACCCGACTTATTGAATCTCCCCTTCTCTTTTGGAAAGCATCTGCTCCTAGACAAATGGCTATTGAGCAGGCCTTCGTGAGTGCACCCTTTCCCCTTCATCCTGAAATGTACTATACATGTCTATGTTCTCTGTTTTGTTCTTGTATATACATATACATTTGGCATATATTTTTTGGCAGATCGAGAGTGCCATGAGTGCCCTCGGTAAAAGGATACATATTCAGACATGATAGAGATATAAAAATATACATATATACTCCATTCTACAGATGGCTTTTCTCGTCCTTTTTCCGATAACAAGTCATGCAATGTCCAACTGATATTGTCATTGAACAGGCCAGTAGATCTATACTATGGTATGCCTAGCAAGTCTCCCTGCAGGCTCGGGCTTTTCCACCGGGGCGACAAGCATACCTATTTAGCTTTAGCTAAGACCGCCATCGTCATGGAGTTATTTGACTCTCTAGTTCGTTATCATGAATATTTCGAAGCGTCGTTCATCGCCTCCGCTTCTTTCTTCATACGCGCCATCCACCGATCGACCAATTCTTGGTTTTCCTGCTGCAATTTGCTCGATCGGTCCTCTGCCATGTTCAGTTGGAGATTGAGAGTGGCCAGTTCGTCTTGGAGGTCCTATTGCATCGTCCGCACATTAGCTTTCAGAACGACTAGCAATGAATACCCGTAAGAGAGACGAGCAGGGAAAAGGAAACGAGATGACTTGGAGAAACGCATACATCCAACAACTTCGCCTTCCCTCTCAACTCCGCATCCCGATCCTTTAACCGCAGCGTGAGATGTGTCCGCTCTCCCTCTAGTATGGTAATGCGCCGACTATCTTGGACACTCTTCTTTTTCAACTTGTCTAGTTCTGCACTCGTGCGCGATAGTTGTTCCTGCAGCTCAGCCCGCGAGCGCTGTGCGGCGGACAAGTCGGCCCGCGCGGCCGCGAGAGCGTCCGGAGTTGATGGGCCGTGCTCAGAGGGTTTCCTGGATGGGACCTTGGGAGAGACTGATGAGTAGCTTGTGGATGGCGGTGGTGGTGGTTGTTCTTGTTGTTGCTCTTGGTGGGTTGTGGTCGCGGCGGTGCGGGCAGTACGGTCTGCTAGGCGGGTATCTGTAGAACTTGGTGAGTATTGCCATTGTCTTGGGTTATTGCACTGTACATGATGTAGGTTTTCCTACAGGCATCGTAGAGAGCTGTATTCGCCTTTTCCCGCTCATCTCTGATGCCCAGAGCGGCGAGGTACTCTTCGCGCCAGTTGGCCATCGAAGATTCAGGATGCGAACGATATGAATGATGGATATACTCTAGTCGGTTAGTTAGGGATAAGAACGCGGGGCTATGGTATGGGAGATCATGGTCGAGTCCAGCGTGATACACGAAGTGCCAGCCCCGAGCTTTGAGGAGCCCTGAGAGGCACAAACTGGATCTTCTTCCTCTTGAAATGGGAGGATGATCAAGAGTATATCAATAATAAATACATATTTAAATAGCTACGATAATCGTTTGGCTGCAGACCGCTTGCTGGACCGCCCGGGCGGAGCGGAGCAGGTGATGTTATCATCGCCCGTGCACCACCAGCCTCTCCCGTATCACCGCCTATCCCAGCTTCATCGTTTCTCTCTGCACTGCACACCACATCTTCACTTTGTCCCCCCATAATTAAACCTCTCCCACCGGCTTTCCCACACAAGGTTGACAGTTGGTCAGGCGCTGGTGCTTTCCATCCTCTAGTACAGGCTGTCTTGTCTTTCTGCATTTTCCGATTCTCACACACATTTCCTCCCCGACAAACCATGGCGTCAAGAAAGAAGGTCTTGCTGAAGGTGAGTTTGTTTTGTTCCTAGCTATGCTGCAGAGTCAGCAGTAGCTCTGTGATGCAAGGCGATGGATGCGATATTCAGCACTCACTGCTGACACTCAATGCTACGACTTTAGGTCATTATCCTCGGCGACAGCGGTGTTGGAAAGACCAGTTTGATGAATCAATATGTTCGTGCTTCGATCAAAACGCAATGCTCTCTCAATCTCGACCTTCCCGTTTTCTAACACTGTGTGCGTTCTGCTGGGGAACAGGTCAACAAGAAATTCAGTGCGAGCTACAAGGCGACGATCGGTGCCGACTTCCTTACGAAGGAGGTGCTGGTGGATGATCGTCTGGTGACCATGCAGGCACGTGGACCTCTGCGCTTCTTATTATACTGTCTATGTTGGACGAACTAACTAACTAACCTGTCTCCAGATCTGGGATACTGCCGGTCAGGAAAGGTTTCAGTCGCTGGGTGTCGCATTCTACCGAGGAGCTGATTGCTGCGTTCTGGTTTACGATGTCAACAACTCGAAGAGTTTCGAGGCGCTGGATAGCTGGCGCGATGAATTCCTCATTCAGGCTGCCCCGAGAGATCCAGAGAGCTTCCCATTCGTGCGTGACGTCTTGAGTTTCGTGTACTGTTGGGTGCCATGCAGACTGACAGGATCGCAGGTGGTATTGGGAAACAAGATTGATGTCGAGGAGAGCAAACGGATGATTACGCCGAAACGCGCCATGACTTACTGTCAATCGAGGGGCAATATCCCGTACTTTGAGACTAGTGCTAAGGAGGCAGTGAACGTGGAGCAGGCTTTCGAAGGTCGGTTATCTGGGGATATCTATTTGACTAGGCTGGCCTGCTGACGTGCAAAACAGTGATCGCTCGTAGCGCGCTGGCTCAGGAGGATGCTGAGGAGTTCAACGGCGCAGATTTCAATGACCCCATCAACATCCAGCTTGAAAACGACCGGGACAGCTGCGCCTGCTGATGCGCCAACCGGGTTGTGATTGCTTTCCGTTGCACGTCTGGATCTGAATACCTCTGATGTCTATTTCCGCGTCGATCCATCTCCTTTAGCATTGCACGTCCATGAAAATCCGAGTTTCGGGAGGTACAGTCGGCCTAATGATAATACGACCGCTTTAAGGCTCTTTCGTCTGAATTTCTGTTCCTATCATCTTTTGCCTACGAGTCTGTGGTTTGTTTTCTTGCTTTTTTTTTTTTTTTTACTCGAGAAACGGCTGTCATTGTTCTTCTTGGGAGTCTGGAATGTCTTGTATGCTACTTGCTGCCCCCAATGAATGAAGTATATGGTTTTCTACTGCTACGATTCCTCGGTATTCCAACTACTCGACCGTGCTTCTGTCAGTAGGCAACAAGATTTCCTGGTGGATCTTCTAGTATCGGTAAGGGCTGCTTCATACAATGCTATAACAGAAAAAGTCCCGTATCGAGGCAGACAGGGTTATTCGCTTGGCATCGTGAGACGTTTCTCGTGTTACGATGGTGGTCGATGCGGGAGACCGCCCTATCAATGATGTGAGAAGCTTGGCGGAATAGCGGCATTATCGCCGTGCCTGACAAAAGAAAAGCTCCAGGGACTCCTTACGAATACGGTCTTACCTTGATGGATACCGTGAGCTCCTAGAACACCCTGTTGAGCAAAGGGTTCTGCATGCTATGAAGGCAGTTTCGTTTCCGCTCACTTTCTTTTTTTACTTTCTGATGTGCTTCGTACCTTGACCGCCGTCCCTCCCTCGGGTTTTAGAGCAAAACCCCCCCGCCCTTATCCGCGATATCCTGCTGAGCAGTGAATATTATTATTCAATACAAACAGATCCAACAACAATGACGGCAATAGATCCGAGTAGCGAGACCCGGCAATCACTCATGGGCTCCAGCGATCCCATTGTAGCGCATAGTCGTTATTCATCGCAACATGCCTCGATGTCGTGCGGTCCGGGCCCAGGCGGAGCTGAGATTGCAGATGATTCCGGCCTTGGGCGCGCTGTTGCGAGACGTACATTGGGTATCTGTCTGCTTCTATTTGTCGTCGTCCTGTGGACGGCGTCGAATTTCCTGGCTAGTGTATGTATATCGCAATTGACGTTTGTAGTCTCTCTTGATCTATCTTTTTTTTTCCCCTTCCGGTGTGACCGAACTGGACCAGTTAATCATTTGTGTCATGATAAATCCAGACTATCTTCGCCGACAACACATACTCGAAACCATTCTTCCTGACCTATGTCAACACGTCGCTCTTTATCCTCCCGTTGATCCCGATCATTACAAAGCGTTTCTGGGAGTTATGGCGCACAGGCAGACTTTCGCATATCAAATCGATCCGGTCATTGCTGGGTGAGCTCGATTGGCATGATACCAAGGAGGAGGAACATGGTTTCTACCATGCAGTAGATGACGACGAGAGATTGGAAGGGGAGGGCAGTGATGCTCGCCGTTGGAGTTTGCCGGATCCAGATGCCGTGCCTGGTTCCAGAGAGCAGAATGGGAAGCTCGGCCTGAGGGCGACGGCGAGATTGAGCTTTGAGTTCTGTCTGCTTTGGGTAAGTTATCTCTGGAAATGTTGATATATGTGGAACTTTCTGATCATGGAGCTAATGGTGCCAATATAGTTTATGGTAAGTTGCGCTTTTACGACATATATATATGACCGATTCGTCTCGCCTATTCTGACTTCGATGATCTGTATAGGCAAACTATTTCGCTATGGCTTGTCTGCAATACACTACTGTAGGAAGTACCACCATATTGACTTCGACAAGCGGTACGTATAAACTGATGCATAAGTCAGATGCAGGATGGAGGGAAAAAAAAAAAAAAGGCCAGTCTTCGTGCTGACTAGCAGCATTAGGTGTCTGGACGCTCATTTTCGGGGCCGTCATTGGTGTCGAAAAGGTTACCCTTCGCAAGTTCTTCGGTGTCTTTGCGTCCCTAGTTGGAATCATTCTCATCTCCCGCGTCGACCTGACCTCGTCCGATGACCCTACTGCGCAGACGCCCAGCGAACCCAACCCGGGGTCATTCCCGCATAAATCCCCAGGGGAGATTGCTCTAGGGGATGCAATGGCAGCATTCAGTGCGATTGTATACGGAATCTACACGATCGTGATGAAAAAGCAGGTTGGCGACGAGTCGCGCGTAAATATGCAGCTGTTCTTCGGACTTGTGGGACTCTTCAATACGTTTCTGCTCTGGCCGGGCTTCATCATCCTCCACTTTACAGGAATCGAACGATTCGCGTTCCCGGATACCAATCGCGTGTGGATGATCATCTTGGTGAACTCCGTGACGTCCCTAACCTCCGACATATGTTGGGCCTACGCCATGCTATTAACCACACCACTCGTCGTCACCGTCGGTCTGAGCTTGACGATCCCTCTATCCCTTGTCGGCCAGATTATCCTCCAAGATCAATACGCCAGTCCGCTCTACTGGGTTGGCGCTGCTATCGTTTTCTTATCTTTCCTTCTCGTGAACCACGAGGCTGGAGAGCAAGCTGCCGATACAGCAGCCGCTGCTACAACATATACCGCGGTTCCGGGAGAAGATCGAGAAGATCCAGAAGATTTTAGAACATGAGCCCCCCTTTTTTTTTTCTTCTTCTTCTTTTCTTTCCCGACGGCGCACTCGGTCCTTTTGTATTATTTTATGTGCAGCGTGTTTGGCGTTTCTTGTTTGTGACTCCCACGATACCTAGAACTAGTTAGCTAGCCTTCGTTTCTTTTTGTTGTTTTCTCAGATCACACAACACAACAGGAGTTTAAAGTTATCACAAATTGTTGTTGTTGTTGTTGTTGTTGTTGTTGTTGTCGCCGGGTATATTATTTTATCCCAAACCATCAATTGGACAATATCAGAATAATTCCTCTTAAGTAGAATACAACAGTACTTCACAGACAAACTCGCCCATTTTTACTCAATGGTAGATTTCCTTTTCCTTAATTGGCACCTACTCGTAGGTTACGCGCAAGGAGAACCCGTTAGTTATACTCCTTATATTATTATAAATTACAGCTGTTTTCCCACAGTGGGTCGATTGTAAGGGATGATGTATATCCCCACATACGACGTCGCGTAGGTTAGGGCATCTTATCGTTTATTATTATGTACAATGTATGTATGTATGTACATATATTGCATATGATATGGGAATGATAATGGCATGCATGGAAGTATGTTGCTGAGATGGAGTTTGAATTCTTACTTTTTATGAGTAAAGCTGGATATTAGTTATATGTTTTTGGTAGGATGAATCTGAATCTGATTTTTTTTTTCTTTGGTTGGGTTTTATTATATACATTCGTGTTTATCAGTAAGAAGGGATTTATGAAATATTATCCATATTAGTGATAGTGTGATTGCCATGAACTAAAGGTAGAATTTATAGAATAATGTATGTATGTACAATGCTAAATCCAAAGACATGTCGTCAATGGCCCAGGGAACGGCGATGATGTCCTATGCTTTAAAATGGTCCTCGAAACTAACAGTGATAAGGATGCTTAGGATTATTGACGAAGAGAAATTTTCGTTCTCCGTGCCAAATGTCCCGGGTCATACGCCTGCGATGCTGTTGTCGCGCCAAGAAAAAGGAATGGCTAGAGATTAAAGATAGTAGTAGTAACAGTAGTAGTAGTCGTACAGGGGTATATTTGAAAGAAAGCAGAAAGAAAAAGAAAAGGAAATAGTACAACGAGTGGCGGAATATGCATCACTTGTAGGCCTGATGTGTCAACCCCCCCAGGAAAGGGTGTTATGTCATGTCCGCTGTGACACCGCTGACGTTCCGGTGATTCGCTTGCGGGCGACAATCACGCTCTTCAAAGCGCCGAGCCATTTCGCAAGAGCCTCCTCATCAGGGGCACAGAATCTATAGGATTTATCCTCGGCAATCACTTGAAGACAGAAGTTCTTCGAGCGGGATATGGGATCGATTTCGGCCGCATTGATGACCTGGTCCATCGGTACAAGCTTTACGACAGAGTATTCCTGATTCAAACTTGTTAGCCTATTTGTAGAGACCTCAAAGCTATCCGTTCTGGAACAGAACTAGGACTCATATGGGACGTCTATTTCATACCTGCTCATTTTTGTAGAAGGAAAGACTCTTCGGGCGGAGAACCACCCACAGCTTTTTCCACTGTCGCACGCCTCTCTTCGCTCTTAAGCATTGAAGGTAACCGTGGCAAACGACTCTCTCAGGATCTCCCAGACCCACGTCGCTGGTCTGGCTGGCGTCGCGGGGTAACGGAGGTCGTGTATCCGTATCCGGAGGAGCAGATACAGACAATTTGGGTAGAGACGTCGCAGAGCGCTGCTTCATGCCGACACTGGGGCCATCAGAGAACTCTGAGTACGAGGTGACGTCGTTCCCTGAGTAGTCCTGCATGTATGGCACCCTCGAGCCACTGCGTCCGGGTGAGAGACCGCGAACGACATCAGGAGAAATTGCTCGCGGTACATGGTCGACATCCGAGTGATCACTTGCATTGTCCGTCGTCAAGCCGTCACCGTTTCTGCTTTCGCGCATCCTGGCCTGAGCAACATAAGCCTCCTCGTCTTCGTCGACACGAGCCTCAGCACGGATGCGTTCAATCCAGTCGTCTGCATCCTTGGCCGACGTCGCCTGGAACCTGTAGTTCTTGGACGGCGAGAAAATGCCAAAGACGTGGTCTCTCCTTGACCGCGGGGATTTGATAGGCGCAACTGCAGTGACTTCGGACAAGGTGACGGAGAGTCGCAGCCTAGTTTCCTGCTCATCTTTATAGACCGACAGTAGGTTTGGGCGAAGGACGAGGTAGACAGCTTTCCACGACGATTTGAAGGCCTAAACTAGGTCAGACAGCACGATTTCTCCAGGACATGGACACGTTACTGACATGTTTGCTCTTGACCTTCCGATAGACCATGCCACTCTTCAGTACTCGATCAAATTCGAAGCTTCCATTCTGGTTCACGGGGGAGAAAGTGTCCAAGTTCAAATGGCCGTTGCGATAGGTATTGGAGCCTTCTGACTGAGAGAGCGATTTGCCTGCCCGGACCGAGCGATCAGGGAGCTGGACCGGCTGGCTCATGGTCAAATACTCGCACGTTGGGAAATAAAGTGGGAGCGCTGGTCGAGTGATAAAGCAGCTAAAGTCGGGACTTCGGAGAGGACGTAGCAGATACGAAAAGGAGGCCGATGGGTGATATGGTCGTGCGATCCAGTAAGGGTTGCATTCATATTACCGGAGCTCGCAAGCCAACTGACGGGGTAAGGGGGGGGAGAGAGGGGGGGAATGCAGGAGTTCAGTCTTGATATAAAAGCTGAGGAAGGCTTTGCGCGTATGAAAGGAGCCCATCGACCGATCCGACGATCACAGGACTCCTGTTTGTCTGATTGTCCACGACGTGGGAGGCAGACTGTATGGTGAGGATATTCTCTGACGAGATCGGAGACAGTCGAAGGCGGCGGGCGCGGCAGTATTATTGAGGAGTCTGGATGGAGCACGGAGTAACTTTTAACTACTCTTGTTCCTGGCGGCTGTCGGTCGAAACCCACACTGCAACGTCTTCAAACAAGTCGCGAGCTGTTCGCCTCGCAGAGGCGCGGCTGGTATTGATAAAATCACTGGCTCTAGTTATATTATTATTGAGATGAGAATCGGATGATCGATCTAGGACGGTACTTCATTTTATCAGTTCGTTTGAGGCTTCAGGGAGCGCAATAATAATAGTTCGGCTGCTTGGCACTTCAACTTGGCTCCTGGCTAACACTCTTTGGCGTCTAGTAGATGAACGGCTCCCCAGAATAATAATAATCGGTTCGGCAAGGCTATCTAGTCTTTCGACGGTAGCTGGATTCCGGCATGCTGTGTTGATAGGTAACGCAACTGCTCTTTCGAGCCTTCTCCATGGTAGCAGGTCCCAAGGAAGCGGAGTTGCAAAAGATTGAGTCCTACGAACTTGTTCCATGTAGTCGAGTCTGGGTCATTCTATTCTTAGTTCTTTTTTTACCTTGGGACCACTGGCATGCTGGCTCCGGAACCGTTCAACGGCCTCTCCTCGGGAGGCGTATTATCATCCCGTTTTATCTGGGCCATTCTGGTCGCGCTCTCTGTCACATCGCATCTGGTGGCGCAACTTTTACAGGTACATTCTCAGACAGAACTTCTCAGGAACCATACTCTGGCCTAACACTCCTCCAGCTCATTGTTTCTAGTAAATGCAAGCCTCCAGTTGCTGGGCAGTAGTGTCAGGGGGGAAGCAACCCTTCATGTGTCTTGATTACCTATGCAACAGAACAGCAGACAACTAACCACCTGTTGCTGGCATGGGAACGCCCCCCGGCTCTTCACACATTTATTGCACAGTCGTAGCTACTACTGGCGACACGTGGTCTAGGGACCGTTGTAAATCATTAGACGACATTCCATGAGCATATGTATGTACGTACATTACCTTTGTTTAGATTGCAACGTAGAGCGCAAGTGTCATTGATTGCAGGGATAACCATACTTCGAAGGAGAACCTAGCCGATAATCTGCACTGGAAAGAGAGACTATCACTGCACCACATGTTGCCTGAGAAGATGTGTATGGCTGGTGGCAATGGTGGCGATGCACGATGCGGCAGAGCGACGACCCAGTAGCCTATCCTTATCGATCTGAGCCGTGGAAAGAGTTTGTGTTAAAACATATTAATATTGCCAGTGTATATATGTATATATCTAGCTGGCAACCTCTGGAATAATATCAAGATTATTCCCCCCTTTCCCGGAATAATTAATTCCTCGACAAGCCCTTCCAGGTACAGCCAGCCCTTGCGCCGTGGATCGAGTAAAAGGCCACATTGGCAGATACGAAGTGGACACGTGCGGACCCGGGTCGAGACTCCCACGGCACAGCTGGTATTGTCACATTGTTACCGATTCAGAACATGTGAGCGACCCTCGCTGGTTTCGTCCAGATGCTGTCGGTTTTTCCTATGTAGCCTTTACCATCTTTGTGATTGGGCCAGACTAGAGCCTCATCCTTTCTTGAAGCGTTGCATGTCACGAGCAGAGTTACCCCGTCGAGGGCAACATTTTTCTATTTGAGCGCTAGATGGGTTCTAGACGTGCTCTAGTTGTTACCAGGAGGATCCGTCCGCAAATCTGGCCCGAAGAGCGACTGTAATCTTGGCGTTTCAGTATTGTTCTGGCAGCCGCGCCCGGTCATGTTGGAGTCTGCGCGTATTGTCGGCATTATTGGTAATGTTTGGTTGTTAACTAGTTAGGTAGTAGTTAGTTAGTGAATCGGCGATCGATCTGGAGTCTGGACAATGATACAGAGTAGAATCTGATGGGAAGGAATCGATTCTCTGCTGCGGTCTTATGTTAGTTAATTATTATTATTAACTACTCCAAACATATGATATCAATGAACCAAGGATGGAATCATGTACTGTATAATACGAATCAGAGCGCAGCAACACGCTTACCATTAGAGTACTGGTAGTTAAAGCAACCACCAGCAAAGACCGTCGATCAACTCTAACCAACTGGTTAATTAATTAACTGGTTAACCAACTAATCCATATTATTAAATATTATAAAATAGTTATAGGATGACTTCACACAGCGTGTGTGCATGTCCAGGCTCTCTGGTGGCAATAGGAGGGATAACCTGTAACGGTACGATACGCGTCTGATACGGCCCATCCGCGTCGTCCAGCAGCGTAACTGCCCGTCATTTACGGAAAACGCCTTAGTCCTTTCGCTTGCGCATCCCTGGGCTTGGCAGGCTTCGCGGACGGCTCGAGCGCGCCCATCCCGTCGAACCCCAAAATCATCTCTCAGGCCATCCATCGCTCCATCTGCTCACCCTCTGCGATTCCTCTTCCCCATCGAAAATCCCCCCTCCGATCGCCTTGGAGCTCATGACTGCGTCCTTCTTCTTTGCAACACCCCGTCGACCGTACTGCCACTGACCGTCACGGCTGCTTCTGTTGCATCGATTTCCGGATTCCCCCCTTCTGCCTCGGGTCGACAGGAAAGGAAGTTGGGGAAAGGAGGCATTCCTCCAGCCGCTCGTTACTTTCCGCTCCCGTCCACATCACCAAGAAGGTGCGAGAGAGAGAGAGAGAGAGAGAGAAGGGCTGTCTCCGCCAGAGATATCGGTATCGTCCACGTTGTCTTCTGCCATCCTTCCTGGTATCGACTTGTCCGGCACTTGATCCTGCGCCATCGAAGGCCTCCGGTCCCGCTGGGATTGTAATACCACTTCTTCCCTTTCGTTTTCAGAGCCTGCGCGCTACTACCGCTTGACACCGATGGGCTTCATACAGCGGATTACGAAGCGTTTGCCTTCGACACCTGCGCTGCCGTCGATCGAGGACTTCTCGCGTGAGAAGGGCCGGTCTCTTCCCAGATTTGCATTTTTCAGACGGCGGATACGACTAAAGGGGAACTCTTCCATTTCGATACCCTTGGGATTTGTCTTATTATTTCCATGTCTTGTAATAATCCTCATTCTGCTTCTTTTCGTTCGACATCCTTCTTCCCCCGGTCGAATCCTCATACCAGCCGGCGCGCCGCCATCAATAAGGTTCGTGTCTGACTTGTCTCCAACTTCCTATGTTGTCCTATAGACTTGAGAGAAAGACATCACGCACTAACCAGCATTTACACTCCCAACAGAAAAATCAGCGAGAAACATGACAAGGTCTTCGCCACCGGATGCCAAAATATCGACACGAGTGGCCCAAGGGCAAATGCCGCCTTCGTGGTTCTGGCCCGAAACAAGGAGATCGATGGTGTTATCCAGTCGATCAAGTCCATCGAGCGACACTTCAACCGCTGGTGGCACTATCCATACGTGTTCCTCAACGATGGTGACTTCGACCAGAAGTTCATGGACACGGTGAAGAACTATACCAGTGCCCCGGTCGAGTTTGGCAAGATCGATAGCAGCATGTGGGGCTACCCTGACTGGGTCGACCACGAGGTCGCCAAGGAAGGTATCCGGAAGCAGGGTGATGCTGCTATCATGTACGGAGGAATGGAGAGTTACCACCACATGTGCAGGTTCTACTCTGGGTAAGTCAATTGCGCTACGTGGCGTTACAGAAGGATCCAGCTGCTAACCAACGCAGCTTCTTCTACAAGCACGAGCTCCTGATGAAATACGAATGGTACTGGCGTTTGGAGCCAGAGATCAAGTACTTCTGTGATATCACTTAGTATGTTCTTTCCCGTCATCCCGTTACTCTGGCGTCAAACTCACATCTTTCTTTCAGCGATCCCTTTGTGAAGATGGCCGAATATAACAAGACATACGGGTTTACGATCGCCGTCAAGGAGCTCCGGGAGACAGTACCCAATATTTTCCGCTATGCCTCCGCTTACAAGCGCAACAAGGGTCTCGAGTCTAAGGGCCTTTGGGAGATGTTTCTGGAAGAACCGGAAGAACAGACCGAAGACAAGCCCAAGGAAGAAAAGAAGGAAGAGAAGCTCCCAGAGGAGATCCTGCAAACCGAGCAGGGTGACCAGAGCATTCCGGATATTGACCCTGAAGCTATGGAGGGCGAGAAGTACAACATGTGCCATTTCTGGAGTAACTTTGAGATCGCACGTCTGGACTTTTTCCGAAGTAAGGAATACGAGGAGTTCTTCGATATGATGGATAAAAGTGGTGGTTTCTGGATGGAAAGAGTGCGTCCTACATCTTTCTTTGCTCCCGTGTTCTTCTGAGGACCTCTACTAACTGGTTTCTGCAGTGGGGTGACGCTCCTATCCACTCTCTTGCCGCCGGTGCGCTTCTCTCCCCGAGCGACATCCACTATTTCCGCGACTTTGGCTACAGACATACCACCATCCAGCATTGTCCCGCCAATGCCCCGGCACGACAACTTCCCCGCATTCCGTACTTGGAGAAGACAACGGAAGATGAGAAAAAGCGGATTGAAGAAGATGAATACTGGGCTACTCCGGACCCTGTCAAGGAGAATGGTGTTGGCTGTAGGTGCAAGTGTGACACTGATATCGTCGATGTCGAAGGTAAACAGGGCAGCTGTCTCGCGCAATGGGTTGAGGTGGCTGGAGGTTGGGCATCGCCGTAGAGTTGAGATTCTTATTACGTTTTTCATTGTACCAATTTTCGCCTCGATTCCATACCTATTTTTCTTTTTCGACTTTGAGCATCGCTTGGGTCACCGTTGGAGTTATTTGCTTGGCCTGCATGTCCATATCGGCCGTGGTGGGGTTGTTCCGGACGGCGTTAAAACGGATCTGACGGGACTTCATTTGAGGAAGTCAATGTCACCATTCTCGTCAATATTGCCTGGCTCATCTAGCGTGCTTCTTGTACGTTTCAGTTGGATTACTGTTTTTCGGTCCTGTCATACGCCATCTTCTTGGAAAACAGTGTTTTCAGACCACCGAGTCGAGCCCTTCACAACACGAACCACTAATTGACTCGGTGTCACTACGGAGCATAGACTTGTCTCTCTGGGAAGTCAAATTTGGGACTATTCCGGGGAACGTCGCTCCACACACACATTGGGAGATGATTGATGTGCTCCTCTCATGGTTCTGTGGATGTGCACTCGACATACCTGCATCCGCGGACGATTTGTTTTGCCTCGTCGGGTACGATGCCTTTCACCATTGATCGTAAAGCAGGGAAGGCGCGGTAGTGTCCAACATGCCGTCGCATCTGCAGACAAGCGAGACCTCGATCAAGATGTTCACGAGACGATGACTGTTCAAATCGCGGAGGGAACAAGATATAGGCAGGCGTTTGAAGGGGAGGATGGCAACAAAAATCTGAAGGTTTTGCTTCTGATCTATACACGCTGTTTTGAGACTCCCTTTCCTCCTTTCATATCTCTCCCGTTTTGCGTCCTTTTTCCTCCCTATTGCTTATCATTGCCAGCACTTGATGAAATGTACATATCCCTTCTTCGTACCACAAACGCGCTACCCTACACGCATTGTTCTGCAACGCCAACAACAGGATGTCTATAGAGCATGGGGAGTGATCTGGTCATGTCCGGGGTAGTCGCGATCTTCCTGTTTCTTCACTAATGACTTCATATGCGTGTTTAATGGTATCTTGGCCATTATAGTATAACCACAACACTTCCACGGAACTTTCTCCACCCTGTTGTATTCATCATCAAATTTAATCCCATATTCCCTATCTCATACATGTCGCCACAGTAACTAAACATGAAATCACCTGTACTTTCTAGGTAGTTACTTGAGTGGGTAATGAGTAAACAATACCATTTTTTGTGAATTACATACAATGTTCAATGGTGTTATCACACAAACACTGTTAGATAGGAATAAAAGTAAAAGGGTATTAGAATTCCGATTTGGCATGTATGAGAATATCAGGTTGTGGTAGACATCCGAAGGCATAATATCAAATGCAATTGGTTAACTTCATCAAGAAGGCTTGATAATAACCTCATTAACTTTGCGTCGAGTATCAAGTATAAACCAAACACCATTTTCCACTTTTCTTTTTAAGCTTAACGTTAAACAGCTGGGATTGTAGGATCCATGATTGCCGTCCGTCGAATCGGAGAAAAGGGAAGTGGTATAGTCGAAAAATATCAAAATGTTGTGATAAATATACGTGGAGAAATGAAGAATTCACGAGTTTCGAACCCTATTCACATGATAATGGTATAATAAAAAAATTTGGCTGCTCTAGGAAACACGGTTTTTGTCCCTTCCCATTACGTGCTACCTAGATTGTGGTATATCTATGGAGAAAGCAAGATCGTGTCAAGTCGCTTACAGAAGGAAAGCGGCGACACCCAGAACAGCAGTGAGACCAGCGCCGGCACCGGCGATGTGACGGGAAGCAGCACCAGTGAAAGCGGGAGCAACGGGGGTGCTGGAGGCAGAGGTTCCGGGGACCTGGCTGGCACCGGGGACGCTGGGGACGACGACAGAGCTGCCGGAGTAGACGGGAACAACGGAGGCGGAAGAGGGAGAAGGAGAAGAGCCAGCGGGGGCAGTTGGGCCAGCGCTGTGTTTTTATATTAACATTTGTTTTGTTTCATTGAGATCAGTCCATGGTTGCTTACCACTTGTTGCAGTAGGTCACGGTCTTGCTCAGGAGGGGACGAGAGACAGTGTAAGGGCCGTTGCTCATGGTGAGAGAGGTGGGCTGTTTTGTTATTGCATGTTAGCACTTCTTGACCTCGAGCGATCGAATCTTATCTGTCGGTTTATTTATTGTTGTTTTTTTTTTGGTGGGTGTTCGTACCTTGGTGACACTGTAGGTCTGGCTACCGTGGGTGATGACGGTGGCCTCTGGGCACCAGGTAGTGTAGTCCTTGACAATATCGGTGGTGATGGACGGGGTGGGCTGTGTTTTCTTTTTGTCAACACTCTTGAACTGGCGCAATCCGATCTTATCGTCTGTTGCTTCTTTCGGCTCATACCTTGACAATAGGGGTCTGGACACTAGAGGACTGAACAACGGGGGTGCTGGAAGCCTCCTCCGGGCACCAGGTGGTGGTGTCGTAGATAATGTCGGTGGTAGTGGTGGCAACAGCACCGGCCGCGAGGGCAGCAAGAGCAGCGATGGAGAAACGCATCTTGAAGATTGGGTTGGTGGAAAGTTGGGAGTTCGTCGGATTAGGTATAAAGTTGGACTTGCGAAAAGTCGAGCGAATTGGTTTCAGTAAGGAACGGAACGCTGAACAGCGGGGCTTGTTGATTGGAAAAGAATGTAATCGGTATGAAACCGGAATGGATAGATCAACGAGCGTGGATGAAGAGAGAGGGAAACGAGCGAGGGAGCAGAGGGGGGCGTTTCTTTATAACGGTGTGTTTGGGCGACGGTGGAGTTTGGGGGCGTTTGGCGGAGGTTTAGGGGCAGAGGCCGTGGCAGTAGCTGTAGATCCGCCCAGAGCAGCCCAAGACGGGCTGGGCGGCGCGGGAGTGTGCACGGGTGCGCCTTATGCCCACGGCCCAAGCCCGTTCCTGGCAGCCCCTGTCTCTCATATCCACATCTCGACTTCGACATCCCGTCTTGTCTGTCCCGTCTAACTAACTAACTATCTATCTATCTACCGCGCTCAGGCGGACCTCATCTCGTCCTGTTGCGACTTGTGATCATGCGAACTCCAGTCCTTCTCAACAGGCCCTTGGATATACTGTACGGTTCTCTCGCGTCTCTGTTTTGTCACTCCTCGCGCCTTCTCTCCCCACATCTCTCCACTGGTGCTCTCGATCCCGTTCCCACTGGCTAGGACTCATCCCTGGTCTTCACGTTCGTTGCCATGATCTGCATCCTTTAAGCGGTGCTGCAGGTAAGTTTAATCGTGCAAATGGAGGACTTCCCAATCGGGTATTCATGTCCTTCCATAATAATAATAATAATCACGATTCCAGCTCTTTGTCGTCAGGTTACTCTGCGCCAGCGTCCTCTAGCGCTGATAGTCTTAACGACAGTACTACCATCCTATGGGTTTAGTGAGTGCCACGGACTCAGGACCTTACTCTAGAATGTGGGAGGGGGAGAGAGTCACACCTGCTAGTTCAAAGGCTCGGCAGTTCTATAATAATCAGTCACGAGTCTATGTATGGCGGTTGGCCATGAAAAGTCGGTTCAAGCGTCGCTGGGTTTGATGAAGGATGGACGTCCGCGAACGTGGCTCAGGGGCACTCGGGCTCAAGCGAAGCCAAGAACCTTCAACTGACGCTACTGCCAGGGGCGAGCCGTCCCGTCAATTCTCATTGGGAGTTACCACGGCACTTAACCTGACTGTGTTTTCCTGGCCAAGTAGCGTCGTCGCGGCCCTGGATCGGTTTGATTACTTTTGAATCGGTCCTGATCTATCTATGTTCTGAAACGGAAATCCTACCGGTCTCTCGCCGTTTGCGACTGGTACGCTGTCTCGTGCTAGTCACAGGGTGACGTGTTGACCAACGAGCGCCTTACTCCGTGTTGTTTAACTAATCCCGCAGTGTCTGTTGTATATTAGAGTTGACCCCATAAACAACACTACTTAGATGCTGATAACGATCGTCAACCGTGTGCCACATCAATGATCAGGGTCCTTTACGAGTCCTCCATTGCATAATAGTGATGCATTGTCCTGTTCGACGGAGTACACTTCACAATTTCGGATCTCAAAATTATATCAGTTATATTCAGAAGCTACTGAACTTCTTTTTCATCGCTTTTCTAACTGGCCTTTCTGGATTCAACGATCAAAAAGGGGATAATATAACATGCTCCAGCTTGTCGCTGCCGTCTCTGCAGATCGGATAGTACATTTATCCCGATCTTTGCCACGCAACAAGGCTACGAGCTCCTCCAGAGTCCTACTCAACGTTGCCGTTGGAAGGTTACGATAGGGCTCCGCTATCAAGTTCGTGTGGAAAGCTTGTCCCGGCCGTCCATCTGACATTCCAGAGATCGCAAATATCAAAAGGTCGAGGGTAAGCGCATCTCCAATGAAAGTTACGTTTATGTTATTCTGTCGATGCGTGTGCTTCGCATGAATTGCAAGGACGTGGCAACACAAGATCCAGCTCCAAGAACGCTAGATCTCAAATCTGGACCCTAGGACAACCCTAGGACATGACTGTGCTAAATCCAGAAATGCTGCCATGCGCGGATGATATCCGTATCTGAGATTGACGGCACCGAATACACTCAATAAACCGGCCCCCGGTTCACTCTAAGACAGTAATTAGCTGTCCGCCCAAGTCGGCTTTGTTTACTGACATTGAATAATAAAGATCGGCAGACGGCGTGTCTATCAATTGCCCTGAAGGGACTGATTATCAGATCAAGCTTTTCAAACAAACGATCCTTCTCTAACTGCTGTTAAATTAAGAAGCAGGATCGAATATAATTGCTATTTGTGGAACCCACGCTATAAATCCTCTAAATAGTACGGGTCATGATCAGATTCAGATTCAGATTCCGAACGCCTCTCAGACTCGCTCTTATTATTGCTCTGATGGTCCGCGCTTTGGCTGTGAGTCTGTGACATGTTTTTTATTTCTGCCCCGTGGTGGGCCTCAGATGGAGTAGCAAGCTTCTAGAACCCATATTCCACTCTAGATAGCAAAAGCGATAGGAATACATAATGTCACGCCGGTATCTGAGACGTTAGCCGCCGGAAAAGTGCATTTCGTCCAACTTTCTGCGTGATCTGGAAGTATGAGACTGGATGGGACTTCCTCGTCTCGTTTACATCATATTAGCAATTTGAAGATGCGGTCTGTCTGAGATGTGTGGGATTGTCACAGTATCTGCTTGCTTCGAATGACCGCCTTCTTCATGTCGGTCAGCAAGTCGCCTCCAGTCTTACCAGTACATGAAGCTACGCAGTAATTGCCCGAAGCCATAGGTTGTTGAACTCATCCTCGTTACTCTTTCGGAGAAAGCATAAATGACAAGACGCCACTGGCTTCTCTTGAGCTATTTGCTTCTTCCACGCTAAGCCTGTACGAAACGACGATATGATTATTCCTCGAGCCGGGCCTTCGGGTGGATACCGCGCTTGTGGTACGGAGAATATTACTTTTACAGCTCTTCATAGAAGCATAGATATACGGCTTCTTTTTAAGACCGAAGGCGTATGCTTAAGAGGAACGACCAACGCTGCCCCGTCTCCAATTCTGGCCGCCATGGAGCCAATCCTTTCAGCTACTGGGGAAGAGCTGCGGTCATCGACGAACATCCTCAAGATAGCATGACACGAGTCGAGCATGCTTCTTCCCAGTGCCAGTGACAGACAAGCAACAGGGTCGCCATCTAGAGCAGCCTCAAGTCACATCAAATAGCACCACCACATATGACACCACAATATGATTCCGCACGAGAACCCAGGTCCATACTGGCGACAAATCATTGGGTGAGTTGACTCCACGTCTATAACAACCGCAAGTGTTGGCTTGTGTGCAATCTGTCGCCGTGTCCGGCACCTTGTGACGAGAATGCACTACACAACATATTTCCAATCCGATGGTTTCATATTGTCCCTAAAAGGATGGTGAATCGGGCCCGGGACATGTCAGCATCGCCCATGGGAACCAGCTCGTGAGAGCCGACGCGCACGAGTGCTGAGGAAGCCGAAGAGGCCGTCTCTTCATCTTGGATTTAGTTGTGTGAAGAAAGAAAAACGGAAAAAAAAAGTCGCGCGGGGGAAGAAAAGGCAGTGGTTGGTGCACGGACCCGATGGAGGTCGGAAGCGGCCGGCGCTGAGTGGACGGAGAAGAAAGTCACGCTCCGATCCAGCTGGGCGAGAGCTTTCCCGCGGGTAACGACGGTCGTTCATTATCAGAGCTACTCCACATCCATTGGGATATATTACTATTATATCGCTTCTGGCCTCAGCTTCTTTGCTTACAGAAGCCAGAGTCTCTGATTGCTCTTTCGTACGCCATGTCTCTAACCCGCTGCGGCCGACAAGCGTCGCGGCTCATCCCCCTCTCCAGCAGCTGCGCCAGAGCTGCTGCTACTGCCCGCTCCAGATTCCAGCCAGAGCACCCATCTAGAATCGCTTCCCAATGGCGCGCCGTATCTTCTAGTCAAGATGGACAGCACAGCGTATGCTTGGTATCTATTCCTGTCTCGTGGCTACTCTGCTGACGAGTCTCTATAGCTCCTCTCCGCACACCTCGAGGAGGCCGACCCCACAGTTTACAGCATATTGCAAAAGGTCCACCTTCCCCACGGTAGCACGGTCTTAGATAGCCCAATTCTGACTGCCATTGCAGGAGAAAAAACGCCAGAAGCATTTTATCAACCTGATCCCCTCGGAGAACTTCACGTCGCAGGCCGTCCTCGATGCCCTTGGCAGTGTGATGCAAAGTTGGTTTCCCTCGAACCGTGGCTAGGACTCGTCTGACAGCTCGTTCTTTTCCAGATAAATATTCAGAAGGATATCCGGGAGCGCGATACTATGGAGGTAACCAGTACATTGATGAAGCGGAGCGACTCTGTCAGCAGCGTGCCTTGGAGACCTTCCGGCTGAACCCTGAGGAGTGGGGTGTGAATGTGCAACGTGAGCTATTATTTCCATAGCAATGTCAGGGAGAGACGTCCTACTGACCATGAGCAGCTCTTTCTGGATCTCCCGCAAACCTCTATGCCTATTCAGCGCTTTTGAACACTCACGACCGCATTATGGGACTGGACCTTCCCCATGGGGGTCACCTGTCGCACGGTTACCAGACCCCCACAAAGAAGATCTCCGCCATCTCGAAGTACTTTGAGACCCTTCCATACCGTCTCGATGAGTCGACCGGCCTCATCGACTACAACAAGCTGGAGGAGCTTGCGCAGTTGTACCGTCCCAAGCTCATCGTTGCGGGTACCTCCGCATACAGCAGATTGATTGATTACCCGAGAATGCGCCAGATTGCGGACTCTATCGGAGCCTACCTGCTCAGCGATATGGCCCATATCTCGGGACTTGTTGCTGCCGATGTCATCCCATCCCCATTCCCGCACTCTGATGTGGTCACGACCACGACTCACAAATCTTTGCGTGGACCGCGTGGTGCTATGATCTTCTATCGCAAGGGCGTCCGCCGGACGGACAAGAAGGGCAACCAGGAGCTATATGACCTCGAGAACCCGATCAATGCATCGGTCTTCCCGGGACACCAGGGTGGACCCCACAACCACACCATCACTGCGCTGGCCGTCGCGCTCAACCAGGCTCAGTCGAAGGAATTCAAGACTTACCAGCAGACGGTCCTGGCCAACGCCCAGGCTCTTGCGGAGAGACTGGGTAACCCCACCAGCAACGGAGGATTGGGATACAACATCGTGTCTGGTGGCACCGACAACCACCTGGTTTTGCTTGACCTCAAGAACCGTGGCGTCGACGGTGCCCGAGTTGAGCGTGTTCTCGAGCTGTGCGGTGTTGCCAGCAATAAGAACACCGTTCCCGGAGACAAGTCGGCCCTGAAGCCTGGCGGTCTTAGACTCGGAACCCCTGCCATGACTTCCCGTGGTTTCCAGCCTGAGGATTTCCGCCGTGTGGCCGAGATCGTTGACCGTGCAGTGACTATCACGCAGAAGCTGGACAAGGCGGCCAAGGAGAGTGCCGAGTCCAAGGGCCGCAAGAACCCGGCCAGCGTCAAGGCTTTCCTGGAGTACGTTGGCGAGGGCGAGGAGATCTCGGAGATTGTGCTGCTGAGAAAGGAAGTTGAAGACTGGGTCGGAACTTTCAGCCTTCCATGGGCCAAGGAGGGCGAGTAAATGATGCGACGGATATGATTTGATTTACCTGGGTCAACCCTAATGACTGATAAGTTTCGCCTTTCCAGCTCCCTCTGTCATTGTTTGTTGGCAAGCGACTGTGAGCACACGAAGACGAATGCACTGTACTGTACTATGACCTCATCCCGTCTGGAGAATATACTTTTTGCGGTATATATCAATGCATTCGATATGCGTTTTTTTTTTTAACTTGGCAACATATGCAACTCTGTAGCCATCTCGATCTACCATTGCTATCGAGATTCCATTCACTAAATCATCATCTCTCCCTCACTCCACCAAGACTGAAAAGAGCCGTGAAATGTAATCTAAATTACAACTTCGCATCCCCCTTAATCACATCTCGAACCAACTTCAACGCCTCCTCCGCGAAAAGAACCATATTCTTTTCGCGATCGTTGGTCTTCGTATCGACTTCGCGCGTATACGTCCCAGACGGAGAAGATACTGCTAATGTGACGTAGCCACTATGAATGGGGTATGGTCAGTAAGCTCCTTAATGGAGACGAATTAGAACCATAGAGGAGGGTGAGGCAGTGAGGATAATCAAAAAGTAGCTATCCGTCCCCAAGAAAGTAGAGTAATGATTTAGGGATTAGGTTGGGTGGGACAGAATCTTGTTTGGGGGACTAGGATTATATGCAGCGTGGATGGATGTAGTGGAACAGTGAAGAGGGAATAATTAAAGCATTAAAGATATTACAAGACGGGGGGGGGGGGTAGACGCAGGGAGCAAACAAAGAAAGAATGAGAAAAAACCAGGATTCTGTTATCTCGGTTTGAGAAAAAAAAAAAAAAAAAAAAAAAAAAAAAAAAAAAGAGAGAGAGAGAGAGAGAGAAATACAGTTCATCAGGGATTTAAATGGGCTTTTGCTTTAGCAAACCAATCTACGGGTAATGAACATACTCGGATGGAATGGAATGGGATGATTCGAGCAATCAGGAAGGGATATATACCCCCAAACGAACAAGATTGATTTCACTCTCAAAGGCCAAAACAAAAGGGGAAAGGAAAAAGGAAGACGAACAATGACAATAAGGGAACCAATGAAGTTAAAAAAGAAGAGACTGCTACTTACGGTGTCCTCGCCTTAGTCTGCCCGCCTGTCGGTCCTGCTGTACCACTCTCACTGACGGTATACGTCGACTTCAATGTGCCGCGGACATGGTCAGCTAGTCCGGCCACGATAGCTGGTGTGGGACCAGTGTAGTTCGTGATATCGGCTTCTGTCCAGCCGCCGAAGGCGACGCGGGATTCGAGGGTGTAGAGCTTTATTTGTGTTGTTAGTTATTTTTAATCGAGGAGATTCTGACAGTTGATTCGATTATCTTGTGCGCGTCGAGTTGAAACAGTAAGTTGGGAATAAGAGAGGTATTTGTATTAGGAGCAAGATATATAACATGTTGAATGTGGAATGTAACTTAAAAGAGGGGGAGGGGATTACCGTCAATCCACCCTTATAGATAGCTGATGCCCCCGCAGTCGAGAGGATAGAGGCAGAGATGATGCCGCCAGCAGCCTGCGATTTTTAGTCGAGATTAGATGTTACATTCAGAAAGAAAGGAGATAATGGATAGCAATCTCACCGTTTCAGCCACGGAGATGGTTTCTTGTTTCTCTTTGAGGAGACCGGTTACTTCCTCGATGATTCCCCGCAGTGATGGAGGAGGGAATTCGGCCATGGTTGGATCTTGATGCTTTCTGCGGGACGCGGTCTTTTCCGTAAATCGTATGTTCAATGAGTCGAGTGTTTAAGAGTAGGATAGAAGTCAGAGTATATCTAATAGTAAGCGTTCAAGTTCGAGATGGTTGTGTTGCTTTTCAAGAGTCTTGAGTCGTTCTGCATTAATAATAATGACATCCGGGCCGAGGCGCTTCGGGATATGAACTTAAGCTGCGAGCTTAGTTATCCATGTTTGTCTTTTCTTTACTGACTAAATGCACCCCACTGCTCGTTTCTATATGAATCTACATGATAAGTTAACTACTAAGTATATCAAAATGATTCAACTCCCATCTGAAAGGCAAGCTGATGTACTGTATACGACGGTCGAGGACGCCTTTCGTCATTGGCCCAATTTCATCTCTGTCTTCGTCCCGAATTTCCATTCTTCGGCGAAGATTGCTACCGGCATTATCACCGCTTGTGTATAGAATCTGCAATTAAATGTTTACAACGTCCGGTTAGTTGCAGTTGAATGAACATAATCGTGAGACCTGCTAGCCAGCACCCGTCAGCAAACAGCCGCTTTCTACCCGTCCCTTTGCATCATCAAGAAACGAAACCGCTGCAAGATGTCATAACGGAAGCCTCAACTGACAATTCGACATCATCGTCAGACCTCCGTAGAGTCATTTGTCGATTCCATCGGCGTTACTATATAGATATGCTGATGATTCCCCACCTCCCTATCCTCCCTTTGTGCAAGACACCTAGGTCATGATCATCGTCTTTAACAAGTCTATCGAGAACCCAACGACCAACAAAGTGCCTTGGCCTCCCCCATCGTTTCATCTATGATCCAATATGTCTTCTTACGCTTTACCCCTCCGTGGCGGCAGTGTTGCGTCTCCTTATGTGGCTGGATATGATTATGGACCACGTCGGAGCCAGAGATACCCCCCCGAAGGTCCCCTGTACGGCGGTGTTTACCCCCAGAGGGTACCCTACCGTCCTCGTCCTGTGAGAGCAGCCCCTCGTCATCGGAAGAGAGAGCCCGATGTGCGGTTTGAGGACGCCATGAGTCGTCTCCATGTCACTTTGACGGATGCGGTGAATTTCTTCAAGGACTTTGATGGTGCTTTTGCCCACGAGACGAGTGGCATCAAGTCGTATGCAACAGGCCCAATCCTCGACAAGTTGTGGCAAAGAAAAATCTTACCCGACAAGGCGAACGAGGTGCATTCTGCGCGACGGACATCGAACGAAGGATCGGAGGGTGATGAGGGAAGCACCAGTGGCCAGCAGGAAGAAGCCTTTCGAGACCATCTGAGCCGTGTTCATGATGATATGTCTCAGGCCGCTCGTTCTCGCGGCCCAGGCATCTCCCGTTCCGACATGGATAGCTTGGGTCGACTGCGGGAACTGCTGATGAGACAATACGATGTGTTGCATGGTATCAGCAACAAGGTCTATACATCCAGGAAGTATCTCCAAGAGTTCATCAAGGAGGCTGAATTTTTCAGGGACTATATGGATAAAACTAGAGAGTTATGGGACTTTGGCCATGACAGAACCGAGAAAGGTAACGAAAGCGACGAGGGCTCTCAGGAGGGTAGCAATCCAGAGGAGACTGCATTTGGCGACTGATGATCCTGTCGATGAAGTTTGTCTGTATTCTCTTTGGCTCCCCCCCCCCCTCTCTCTGTCTCTCTCTTTCCCCCTCTTTTTTTTTCTTTTTCGTTAAGATAGCTGGTGAAGTAACTCCAGTGCCTGTCGTTTTAGCAAGCTTTTTCTAGCCAACGGATGTTGTATCTTCAATACATTCATAATGTTTCGTTTAGTATGCCAAACCAGGCCAATCTTCAAGCATGTCGTTAGTGAAATAGGCCGACGAAAAACGGGATTTAATGTTGACTATCCAACTTACCAAACGTTGTCCGTTCAGTCAACCTCTTTGACACTTCGACTTCGTCCCCCACACGGAGTGTCATGCCGTTCGAAGCTTGATCTGGAAACCCATAGCGTCCAAAGACCGGACTATACTTTACACCTTTATCCACGCGTCGGTCCTTCATCAATTTCTTGAGCACTTTGCCTGATTCCCCAGTGCCAAACTTCCCCGTTGTATAATCAATGTTGAGACTCTGGCATCTGGTACAATTGGCCGTTAGGAGTAACTTCACCTTTTCATCTCCAACCGTCAGCTCGCCCCAGAAGTCCTCTTCGAATGCTTCTTCTGAGCCGGAGACCACTATGTTCGGACGAAACTTGATGATATCCACCTCTTCACCTTCAGCCATACGAGCGGATACGTTGTGCAACGATGTTTCCGACACGACCAGGAAGGCTGCACAGTCCGCAAATGTAATCTGGCCCTCATCTCCACCGTTTCCACCCAACAGAGGGACACTGTTCATCACCATAGATAGCCATCCACCCCCACCGTTAGCATTCTGTTGTTTCCGCGCTGCTGCCTTGGGTGACAATGACCCCAGTACAGATCTTCTGTTCTGTCCCAGATATGCTAGGATGACCCTGTATCCAAGGCATTCACTGAACCAATCATTGTATTCATGTCCCATATCATATCCTTTGGTCGGACTCTCGTGCATCACGATATCCAGCTCGCGCAACCCCTGTATGTCTGGCTCTAGAGGAATCTCGAGCGTCTTGCGACCTTGGCTTGAATCAGAACTGACGGGCGATTGATATGTTACTCGAATCCTCCCGCTGTCGTTCCCCTCTTCACTTGGTAACACCAGGTCTGTCAGGAAAAGGGTCAATTCTGCATAATAGGAGACGTGCATATTTTCGAAGTCGCCGGTGTTTTCGTCATTGACTTTGAGCAGCATGAAACATCTGTCGTATTCGAACCCGCTCCTTGTGATGGCTGCTTCCGTCATGGACGCTGGACGGAGCGATTTCACGGGATAGACGTAGAGCTGTGTTGGATTCGTTGTGTCAGAAAGGGTGATGATGTGCAGATACCTTCTCAGAGCTTTTGCGACCTAACGCAGGAATACGGGGAGATTTCCTGCATTGTAGCTTACCTGGCTTATCTTCATCTTTGATGCCTGAATTGGATAATGTCCAAGTATACACTCTAATCATTAATTGGATTAAAGGTCCTGTACCGCTTGACTGGGCGCCCAGGCGATTTTCGGATAATCGTACAGTTCCTGAATGCCGGAAGAGAGACAAGAGTACTCGATGATAACCAAGAAGCAGAGCAGGAGTCTGGACAAGGGATAGTTAGACGAGGGATATAGTAGCACGCAGCGACTATCTTAGGAAAAATACGACAGTGTCCCCGATAGTTAGATAGCTATATGTTGTTGTCGCGACGTGGAAGCTTCTCCATGGAGTAAGCACTAGATACGGGGAAACTTCCATGACTCACTTGGCGCGCAGCTTGCTGACACGGAATTGGGTGCGACGTATAAGCCCGAGGGCGAAGAGAGAGGTTACAGATGACTGCTTTCGGTATCAATAATATGGTTTGATTAAAGCACTTTGGGAAATGTATATCTCGTTCCAAAGTGGAGGACTTTCTCGATGTTCCTTCTTTGGGGTGGATCTTGGAGGAGGAGATGTGTAAGCAAGTGCGCTCATGCGGCATTTACTTTCCAGATCGAGATATCCGATCCGTTCAACGGGAAAACTGATGCGTATTCAAGCACGGCAGCAAAGACAACTCAGTGATATCCAGAGAGGATCAAAAATTCGTGTTCATGGTTCAGACGTGTCTCCTATTTCTCCGTATGGCGACGTTCAGAGGGCTTTGGCAAAGGTATATTCGAAAGGATATTCGATCGTTTCGACTACGGCTATATTTATGGCGATGAAAGCGATAATCACCAGACTTGGGAACTAAAGACATCAACTTTATCTTGTTCTTGCAGACATTAAGCTATGGCCCTCTCTGCTGAGAGTTGGTGATTGTCTCAGGTGCGTACAGGATAAATTGTCCTTGGATCTCCGGGAAGAAACAGGTTGTACACCACGCATCCGGCATCTGCAATTTGAAAAGGCCTGTTTAACTTAAGAATGGCAGGTCTGTCATAGTAGATTCCTATGTCCACCAGTTATTTCCAGTTAATGACATTGTAAGCGGGTATCTTGCTGCTGCGCCACAATCCCGGACCCTGCACTTTAATCGGTTGCGGCACCTCTCTAGCTGAAGACAACGGTAGATAGCCGAATACTTGAGAATGCACAGCAAGTGTCCGATTTGCAGCCGAGCTTTGAGGTTCCTGAGTAATTATCGGTTATGCGTCTTACTCTGTTGGGGTTGACAGGGAGGCCAAGGCAGAAACATTACATGTAACTATCAGGTGTGTACAGCTTATGATAATAATGCCACAATACATCGTTAATAATATCCTTTTGTTGAGATGATATTCACGCGAATATTTCAGGTATTACTTGATTGGAAACTATAGAGATGCTGGCATTACCGGTTATACCCAACGTTGGGAATACATCAGCGACCGAAGACCGTTTTCTATCATTATTACCGGCACTGCGATACTTAAGTATAAGATCCGCCCGCTAAATATAGAATTCTGCAGGGCAAGTTGAAACATGTTTCTCCCCACAAGGAACCATGGAGAACAGGAAACTCAAAAGATAAAGAATAAAAAAATTTGCTTTGGTTCCTTACTTCCATTGTTGATGTTGCTGGTGCAACTTGCAGTGCAAAAAATGCAGACTTCTGTGTCTTAGCACAAAGGGAGTTACTGAGCCATGACGGTTCTCGTAAGACTTCATTAATACATAGATCACTGCCTAACAGCGAATAGGCCGAGTTATCCGGCACTACCAAACAGACTGAAGAAACAAGCTGATGATGTAGCGGAGCACCGCCACAGCCACGAGGGCGTCATAGCCAGTGATCATCTCCATTGGGGATTCTTCTGGTTTGTGGGCGACACTCAACCGCAGCAAGTCTCCCACCGTCTCTCCAATCGGGCACCTCATCACCGCAAGCTGAAAAACTTCTTCTGGACGGTTTCTAGTCGCGCGCTGTTGGTGGAGCAGTCAGCGAGAACTACTAACAAACGGTAGAACGCGCTGGACTGGTGATCGGATCCTCCGCGGTACCTGAGCGCCCTCGCCTTCTCTCCAGTATCGTATCGTCATTCCCACTTGATCTTCGACTCCGCCCGCCTGTCAACCTGACGAACTAATTGTCTTGGCCCCCAGAACCAAACACCTGAGTCTAGCGCGCTGATAATATTCTCGATTTCCTTGACATCTCTCGTCACTCTTGTTCACCTGAAGGTACCCTTCGCAACCCGGCGGCAACTTCTGCGTCTCGATTCACCAGACCCCGCGATACACCAACACCTACTATTCTGCATACGACCTGACTACGGTCCTTCTTCAGCCGCACACGGCGGAAGTTGCGCCGCATTCTCTCAGCGCGACGATGGAGACTACGGTCAATCTTCGTCGCAAAGATACCACAAAGGGTCCTCCGTTGAGGATCCTTTCGTTGGGTAAGTACCTCGTACCAGCATGGAAGACAACCACTGGTTGCTGACAATTTTGTAGATGGAGGTGGTGTTAGAGGTTACTCGATGCTCATCCTCTTACAGGAACTCATGTACCGTACCTATGTCGAGTGTGAAGGCAAAGCCCCTCGTCGGGATGAAATCCCCAAACCGTGCGAGCATTTCGACCTTATCGCGGGCACAGGAACTGGTGGTCTGATCGCCCTCATGCTGGGACGTCTCCGCCTCGATATCGAGACTTGCAAGGAGGTCTATGTGCGCATGACCAAGATGGTCTTCGAGACCGACAAGACTATTGCTGGAATTCCCTACCGATCCACATTGTTCAAGGCCTCGAGACTCGAGGAGGCTATTAAACAATGTGTGCGAGAGCACACCGTCTTTGAATCGGAAGGGAATGACATGGGCGGTTCTAGCAGAGACTCCATCAGTCCTATCTTCAGTCCCAGCAGTATCAGCATTCCGCGGAGGACGCTTAGTCGTGGCAGTGTGAGCACTGTTGGGGCATCCAGTCCCACCACGCCTGTCAGTCAGAGGAACTCGACTTTCATTAATGGACTAAGATGGGGCAACCCCGATGCTCTTCTCTATGATAACCGAGAATATAGAACAAAGACGTAAGTTTCTCATTGTTCATTCTCTAACCGGCTGCTGATCTTTGGGCCAGTGCTGTCACTGCTGTCTACAAAGGGACATCTAGGAATGGTTCCGCCGCTTTACTACGGTCCTACGATTCGAGAAAGGAGCCTCCCCCTGAATTTAACTGCACGATTTGGCAAGCTGGTCGAGCCACATCTGCCACGGGACTGGCATTTAAGCCCATCCAGATCGGACAACATGTCTTCATTGACGAAGGGGCCGGAACGTACAATCCCGCACCCCTTATTCTCGATGAAGCAACGGTAAACGAGTGGCCAGGAAGGGAAGTTGGCGTCTTCGTTAGCATCGGCACTGGAAAACGACCTGCGGGAACAAACAGTCGTCAGCACGAGTGGTGGGAGTCCTTTTTCAGTGATGCTCTGGGCACCTTCGCGGAGGCGCGAAGACGACTGATCGCTAAGATTGAGGGATGCGAAGACATCCATCAAAATATGCTGCGGGACCACTTGGCGAAAAGGAACGTCAGCAAGGACAACTACTACCGATTGAACGTTGAGGTGGGAGTTGGAGAATTCGGAATGAACGAGTGGAACCGACTGGCAGATATAAGTACGAGTACTCGAAGGTATCTGTCAAAGCCAGATGTGCAGAAGATGAATCTCAGCGCCTCTGTCAAGCTCGCCAAGATTGACCGCATGCACCGTCGGCTTGCTGCCCACACTGCAGCTGCGAATGCTCCTGATGAGGTGGCTGCAGCTCCTGGAATAACATCTCTTCAGCAGATGGCTGTCCCCCCACCAATGAATCCCATGGCGGTAGAGCTTCCTGCAGAGCTACCTGCAGATATTCCATTCGAACGCCTATCAGTATCACAACCCAGTGTTCATCTTACCTCTCCCCAGGACAAATTCAGCATAGTCGCCTCCGACGAGCCTTCTGTACCAGGGGACCAAAGCCATATTCATCCCGCCTTTCGTACCAACGGTGACAATCCCTTACGGCATAGCTACGAGCATAGTCGGCCCAGTTCACAGCAGCATGGCTCGCCGCGTCACAGTGCAGAATCCATGGATGTAACGCCTCCTCCTGTTCCACCTAAGACTCCAATTCCGTATCCTGTCGGTGATGGAGGAATCACGATGCCTCTGCCACCTGTCACTGCACCACCACCCTTGAAACCTCATCATCACCATTCTTCGCTTCTCCCTCCCTATCCAGTCGATGGACCACCACCTGCTGTCAACAAGCTGCGGAAGCCGACCTACAACGTGAGATGATCATCGAACGGTGATGGGTTTCTGTAATGTTTTTTTGAAGCTATCTGGGATCCAGTATCTCATTCGGAAAGTTCCATCACGAAGACGGGCACCGCGACAGTCTTTTCCTAACCTCGCTCATTGAGAATCACGAAGATCATGATCCCATCTGATGTTATTATATTCCCTTGATGTACCCAGTTTGTTTGACGAGTTCTTCACATTGTCACGTCTACGGGAAGGCGTTATCCGCTCTGTTCACACATTCGTCTGTTTTTGTATTTATCTTTTCCGCATTGTGATACCAAGACGGCCCGTGAGATAGGATGGTACGGAGGGACCAAGGACTGGATGGGCAAGGAAGGCGCGGGTGGGATGGGAGCAATGTATCATCTATTACCTAGTAGCTGTTGAGATACGTTCTTTTGTTAGCTACAACAGCACCAAGAGAAAACATGAACATTGAATGCTCTATTTGCTTGCCATTACTGCTTGCTATTACCGTAGCCATCTCAATTAACTGGGTCACGCAATCTGATCTTGTAGAGTCATATTTCTCCCATTGCCGGGAGCTGATTAAGAGGGAGGGTCAATAGTCAATAGAACCATGCAAGACGCGCCAGGAGACAAAGAAGACAGAAACGGAGGAATGACCTCGACTCCGCAATGCCTTTCAGGAGTCTTGCAGCCGAAACTCCTGTCGAAAGGTGTCCTGTGCTCACGAGGCGGAAAAGACAGCCAAGCCAATGAAAAGTGCTGGAGAAACAGCCTACTAACAAATGGAGTCGAGTGGAATCGACGCTTGCCTCTTCGGATAATACTCTCCAACGACCGGCAACCCTTGACTTTTACTTGCTCGCAATAATGATGCGGATACCCTTCTGCGTTGTAAAAGTGTGCTGTGGGTGTGGACTCATCCGTGGGTAGCGTTCCTTTGTGACTTACTGCAGAACCATGGTGATGGGATGAATCAATTTACGGTCTTGGCCGTGCATCAAACTCCCAACACTGTTATCGACGCTGCGATGATGACGCTGCCGCGTTGTCCTCCGCTTTACGGAGTTGCCTTCTCTCTCAGTCATTCCTCGAAAAGATGTCATCTGCAAGCACGAGCAGTCGTCTCCTACCTCCACATGGACAGGTTTTCTCCCAGCATCGCGGCGTCACTGGCTATGTAGGCCAAGCGACAGCGGACGTGTCACGGCTCTTTCCTCTTATCTGATCAGCACCTGTCGGTATCATGTCGTCGCAGAAGAAGCTTACCGGAACAACCCATGCAACCCCCGCTGAGGGAGTGCAGTTCACTATCGAGTTCTCCGGCTCACGATATCGTGTGTAGTGGATACGCGACCACGGCGACAAGGCGGCCCAAAATGCGACCCAAAAGCAGGAGACCCTAGATACGCAGTGCACAGCGAACACTGTGTCGCCGGTTTAGATGAGATGAGACCAATTTGCGCCCTATACAGCTTCGAGACACCTATTACGTGACCGGGTTATGAGGTTGGAATCGACTCGGTGGGCCTAAATCGTCGCCCAAAGACATCTTCTAAAGACCTCGCGAGCATCGATATCGAAATCAGGCTGGAGTGGGATATGTTGAAGGGACAAGAGAGACATCACCCACCCGGAGGCCTTGGTGACAATCGACTACTTGGTTGCCATCATCGTCATCGATACTGCTGCAGAGAATAATCGCCGACAACAATCACGGATTTGGAGATCCAATAGCGAGGCATGGTGGCATAAATGCTACCCATGAGCCAGCATCTCGATCATTCTTTGCAAGTGCGAGCTGAAGCAACCTGCTGAGAGCGAGCCAAGCCAGCTTTGCGGAGGCATTCGTGGTAGCCATCGCCTGAAGCCACTGGAGGACCATCACGGCATCAGCAGCGAGACTGTCTATCGAATCGGGCACATGGACAGCAGCATATACAATTTCTGTGGTCAAGATAGCTGCAGCCTGCACAAGATAATGCAGAATACTCCACCACGGCGTCGCCATATAGAACGCATATTTGTCTGATTCTTTCCTCAGAAAATGGACGAGATTTTGCGCTGAAGCCACGCAACGGGCGGCAGCCACCTCGTCTGAGCGTCGAGATTCTGTCGATTGATCTGGCATAGAGCTGACGTGACCGCTATCTGTCACGCACAGACAAGGTCGGTTAATTAAAAGACTTACGCTGTAACATCTAATCTGCAAATGCATCACTTGAGAGCGGGCCGCAGAGGTCTGCTCAGTTCGTTGACGAAGCACATCCTTGAATACCGGCGTCCAAATTGCCGACCATCTTGCCAGTTTCGAATTCATACGTTCTACAATGCGTTGTATCTCGACCCATCGGAGAGTTACGGTACTTGCACTGTAGAGATATATCAATGTCTCACTCAATATCGCATCAAGTTCCACCGTGGACTGGAACGGATCAATCTTGACACGTGAAGGCGTTTGAGCCTCATCAGATGCCCTGTCATCGGATACGGAAGGATCGATGTTTTTGGACTTCGAGTAGTCTGAAAAACTTGTCTCAGGGGCGTCGTGAATCTTGACAGGTCTGGGCATTCCAGTGCTCACAGCACGTCCAGATACTCCCGTCGGACGGCCCGTAAGACAGCACAGCTGAGTCTCAAGTGATGCCAGGGAATGCCATATTCGCCGTTCCATATCATGTTGTACCTCTGCCACTGAGGGGTCTACACTTTTCAAGTGAAGTCCCAAAGTATAAGCCTGAAGGATGGCGGTTCCGGTAGTATGCCAGGCTCTACGGACGATCAACAAGCCATTCACTCAATACCCCGTGACGACGAGACTTACCTGTTCACCTGGTTGCTAGCAAAGAAATACATGCCCGTCAGCGCGTCAAGTCTGATATGGTTGAGATCCGTCCGATCCAATGTGCGGACAAAATCTTGCATCACCAACCGCGAGCGGACATAGTAGAGGGTATGATCATTGGGTTTGCCTCTCCACTCCATCTCTAGTGCCTGGGCACACAGTTCACCCAGGGAGAATATGACATTAAGGGTGGCGATCCAGATCAAGATATCCTCTGTGAGTGGGCTGCCAATGGACCAGTATCTCTCGTATTGTTCTCTGAACTCCTCCTCATTGATTACCGGGAAGAATGGATGGACGGTCGTTAGATAGGAATCGAGGAGGGCATCCGCCACCGCGCGCTGAGGGAGCTGAAAGGCGTTTACGTTTTCACCGAATTCTCCGAAGTCGTCCAGATCCAAATCATCGAGATAATAGACACACGAAGATGCGAGAGCGCGGGAAAATTGCTGCCTGTCGCCTATCTGATCTAGCGTTTCTAGCATCTCCACATATTTCACCGATGTGAGTGGTTCTCTTGTTAGGACCTTTGGCATTTAGCAATGTTTTTCTCATGTGAGGTGCAATTTCGAGCACGATACGCGTACCTTTTCGACAATCTCTTCCATCCACCTTACGGCCGAGGACTTCCCCAGAAAACCAACAGACCTCTCTAGCACCATCACATCATCTTGGATACGGTCTTGAAGCCGAGGCGAGCCTACAGAGCCTCTTGCTTCCATCTCGTCCGCCTTGGGCTCTTGAGACTGGATCTGCGGTACGTCATCTTCGTGGGCTGCCTGTGTCGATGTTATCATTCAGCTTCTGCTCTCTCTGGCCAAAAGAGCCGAATTATCACGAAATAGAGCCTACCAGGGTCTCCTGGACAGCAACCTGTGTTGCTGCATCGAGCTGTGGAAGCACCTCCAGGAGAAGATCCCTATAAACGTTGACCGTTGCAGTCAAATCTCGCATATCCCTGAGAGATGTTGAGCCCCTGCAGTTAGACTCCCTCTACCAGATCCACATAACGGCGACGAATTTGGCTTTGAAAGACTTCTCAGGGAGAGGAAATACACACCGTTTTGCTTTCTCCCCTCTCGCGTCCGCGTAGTAGCAGCCAACGTGGAGTTTTCGGCATCGAGCACAGACAGGACGTCCGCCGTCACATTTGCGCTTGTGGGCTCTGCATGGTTCACAGGCGTGACTGACCCTCAATCTTGGCTTCCGCTCGCGTGCTGAACCGGTTTCTTTTGAAGAAGGAGAGTGGAAGCTATCCTTTGAAGCTGGGCCTGGTGTGGATCCCCTGGGCGGTGGTGAGTGTAGAGGAGCTTTTGTATTTTCGGGCGGTGCTGGCTCTACGCGCCTGTGGCGAGCGCCGCTGTTGGGCATGATCTTTCATTGAAAATGAAGAATGCGAAAGGAGGTTAAACGAGGGCTATGCCTGTGCTGGTATTCGAACCGTGTCGCTGGAGGATATCCCCAAAGGTCAGGTGATCACAGGAGAGATTCGCCTGTCTTTTGAGGCTATATTCGATGTACTTTGGGAGTACAGTCGGAGTCAACTACGTCTTGGCAGGCGTTGCATCACGTGGGCCAGCCGTGGGACTGATATGAACGTCAGAATCAGGATTATCCATCTGTCGAGACTAACGCTCTCCATCTCGTAGAGGTCCGTTATGCTTTTGATCGATATCTTGAGCGCATGATGAAGACGAAAAGACCAAAGCGATGCTGAAGTACGTAATGCTTATTTCCACTCAAGGGCGGGCTAACTTGTAGTGTATTGGATTACTGTCGACCTCCATGGCAGCTGATCTACTGACACTTGAACGCGGTATCCTTTTACAAGGGCGTTCTTTACTTCCCAGCGATCCAGCATAGGTCAGGAGAAGTAGTTTTGATCTCTCATTTGGTATAGGAAGCACTATTGCGCTTAGCCGAGAAGGAAATGCTCGATGCTTTTATGCTTGCTACTATGATGAGAAAGGATGGATCGAAGGTGAGTTGACAAGTGGCCTATGGCGATTAACAGAGGCAGTCTGGCAGTTTTCTCGTATACGATTATTATCTTATCAGGCCCCCACCGACTTCGACTTTATATTTTTTGATTAAAGCGATATATCCTTCTCAGGTCGCACGCAGTGCTATGAGGAGCTGTATCATTTCTGCCATCATCATCGAACCAGTGACATACTCTGGTATTCCGTCGTGCGATTTACACGGCTCTTAGTTTAAATAGGGGATCTCTGAGAGCTGCGCACTGATCATAATCATAATAATTGTGTCCTGCGCACAAAAGAGTAGGCGAAAAAGGGAACGAGGGGAGTGGACGGTCCAGTTAATTTTCTGTCAAATCCAGGCTGCTGGCACCAGACTTGAGGATCCAAGGGTAGGTTGCGGTGCCACAGTGTTTCAGGCAGGATGGTCGTTGTCTATGGTAGAAGAAATGAAGACGAAGATCGGTCCAGTCCCTGAGAAGGTGGAAACGCTTAAGCTATTATCTATGGTAGTTTAAACTAGTCAACTAAATTTAGTGGAATCCTGGTGGCTGGAAAGTTGGGGCTGGGCTTGCCTCGATCGCCACCGCGGCAACGATGTGCACGATACAGGCGTGGATTTGCAGCTGTGAGGGCAGAAAGCACAGAGAAGAGTCCGTAGAGATGGAGACAGATGGAGAGAGATGAAGCAAGAAGCAGGAGAACCTGTGTCTGGTTCCTGTGAGATGTATCGAAACCGATAGGTCAGAGACAGCGCCTAACAAAGGGCAGCGTGGATGTTCCGCCACTCGTCCTCCACGTTAGATTTCGAGCTGGCGCTGACGACGTTTCGGAACGTCTGCTCCTGAGCGAATCGCCCAGCCTCCCTCTCCGTTCCCCTTTCTCATCGGCTGGGGGACTTTTCCAACTCCCATCGCCCTCGTTGATTCATTGTCGTGCGTCTGTTCATTCTATCTATCGAGATATTCGCCAGGCGACGATCGAGCAACGCAGGCAAGTGTGCTCGAACGATCTAGTCCGGACTCCACGTCGCAGACTGTGTGCACGCATACCAGTCTACGGAGATACCAACGCTTCCACCATACGGCATATTTCCCCGCACTACGATTGATTCGAAACTCTTTGGGAAGAAAAAAAAAAGCCTGGAACAACGCCGCTGATCTGCTGAAGGCAGACCATTTGGGATTGTATCTCACGTCATCGGCATCAAATATTAATATTCAACCCGTGTTCCAGAGGTAGGACGTACCGAACGTCTGCCCCAGGCTCTGGTGCAGAGCCTGTGCTCAAAGGCCGTCATCGTGAAACGAATCGGCTAGGCTCCAGTTTCACAGTTTCGAATTCTGCAGCGACAGACGATCTGCACATGTTTGACGCCGCGACCCAGCGTCAATGATCCCCTGATCCCTGAGCGGTTGTATTTTCGACCACCCCCCTTTTCATCGCAGGACTTCCCCTTTAGTTTGAACTTCGTTATCGACACCTCTTGACAGTGCTCGTGGGCTGTCGTCCCGAGTGAGAGACGTTCTGACGCAACGGTCGCCATTGCTGGTCAGTGGCCCTCATTGCCGTCATGGAAACTTCCGCATCGGTCCTCGTACATGCAAACGAGCTGTACGCCCGGTCCAGTACATCCAGCAGCTCAGATAGTCGGCCACCCGTGTACAAAGCAATCGGGATTTCATTAGCTGTCGCCTCGGGACTTTTCATCGGAGTGTCATTCGTGCTGAAGAAGACGGGGCTGCTGAAGGCCAATGTCAAATACAACGAAGAGGCCGGTGAAGGCTATGGCTATCTCAAGAACTTCTGGTGGTGGAGTGGAATGACCTTGATGATCATTGGCGAGATATGCAACTTCGTCGCCTATGCTTTCGTCGATGCCATTCTGGTCACTCCGCTGGGTGCGCTCTCCGTGGTGATCACAACCATCCTGTCCGCCATTTTCCTAAAAGAACGACTCAGCTTTGTCGGAAAAGTGGGATGCTTCAGCTGCATCATCGGGTCTGTTGTGATCGCGATGAATGCCCCTGAGCAGTCTTCCGTGAACGACATCCAGGACATGCAACACTACGTCATCGCACCGGGTTTTCTCAGCTATGCCGGCGTGATCATCGTCGGTTGCGCCTTTCTTGCCTTCTGGGCTGGTCCCCGCTACGGCAAGAAGAATATGTTCGTATACATCAGCATCTGTAGCCTGATAGGAGGATTGAGTGTCGTTGCGACACAGGGTCTGGGTGCGGCCATTCTGGCCCAGATAAGGGGTGTTCCTCAATTCAAGCAATGGTTTCTTTACGTCTTGTTCGTCTTTGTTGTTGCGACGCTCCTGACGGAGATCATTTTCCTCAACGTAAGTTCTGCCAGAACCATGAGCTCGAAACGGATTGCTGACTTCCCCTTGCAGAAAGCACTGAATATATTCAATGCCGCTCTAGTAACGCCAACGTATTATGTTTTATTTACTAGTGCCACGATTATAACCTCTGCAATTCTCTTCCGGGGATTCAAAGGTTCCGCTGTTCAAATTACAACAGTCATAATGGGATTCCTTCAAATCTGTGCAGGCGTAGTGTTACTGCAGCTTTCCAAGTCGGCCAAGGATGTGCCAGATGCGGCAGTCTTCAAGGGAGATCTGGATCAGATACGGGAGGTTGGAGAACAGGAAGAGCCGGAATTGGAACCCAAGGCGGATGCTATTCGTGGTACTGCGGCCATTCTCAGACGGATCTCGACTTCAAGACAGAAGATGGAAGCGGAGGAAGCCCGTCGGTACTTCAGAGAGAGGCAAGAAGATCATTTGAGGCCTCCGAGCGAAAACGAGATCATCGAGTGGGACGGGTTAAGACGGCGCAAGACCATTATAGGACAGGGGCCGACTATGGCACGACCGCGTACACCTGGAACTCCAGTCTCTGCAAGGACTCTTCATCCACCGCTGGGTATGTCGCATTTCCCGGAGGACGAAGAGCCGGAAAGGCCGAGCACCAAGCAAAGCGGCCATTCATTCTTTGGTGATGTCGTGTCCCGGGCATCCAGTGTACTTCATCCGACGCAGTGGAGACCAATTCACGAAGAGCATAAGACGCACAGTCCACTGCACCCAGTTGCTTTGACCGACATATCTGTTCATCCGAATAAGGGCGGCGATACGGCTTATCACGGAGCTGCTCCATACCCTGGTGCAGATCTTGATCCGCCTTTCCAGCCGAGACTTGGAAGAGAGCGTAGCGATACCCCTCGTTCCATCTCATGGGCTGATGAGAACCATCAGGTACAGTCGCCTACTCGTGGTGGCCAGTTAGCGCCTGAACAGACACCAAATAGCGCTCGACGTCAGTTCTCATTCCAAAATGTCTTCCACCGATCGAAGACTGGCGAACAGTCACCCAGAAGTCCGGCTAGTCCCGTGCGTGGAATCCTGAGACGGGGCCATCGTACAGACAGCCTGGAGCAGAGACGGGCGATGAAACATGCGACTGAAGAGGAACGCTTGGGGCTGGTGAAGGGTGATTCGCGTGGCAGTGATGGGGAGGACTCATTGGATGAGAAGTTGCAACGGACATTGTCCTCGTCCAGTGATTCGAGTGTCGAAGACTTGGTTCCCAGACCGGTACATTTCTCGCGTCCGCACCAACCATCGGTATCAACCGCTTCCACTACTACGTTCCCCGCCTACGAAGAGCCGCCACATTATGGGGAGGTCGAACACTACTATATGTATCCTCCTTCGCAGCAGGTAGCTTCCCCGATCGGAGAGGCGCTTGAGCACAGCTGGCAGATGCCCCATGTTGCATCCACTGCTCATGACACCACCGATGCTTCTCGACCCCATGTAGTTCCTGCTCGAAGACCGAACCCACTACCTCGTATCCCGTCCGAAGAGTCAGCAGCAGGCGAAAGCGCTGAACCCTACACGCGAGTCGAACTCCGATCCCCAGATCTCGGCTACAGCAGCTCCGATCATGGAGTCGCATCTCTGTCTTCATCACAGACATCTTCTAATAGCCGCGGACGTCGAGAAAGCGGCTGGCGAAGAGCAGGCCATCGATACACCAGAGGTGACTCGGCCAGCAGCGGCAGCAGCAATGAAGACACCGGGGGAGGTCGAAGACAGATCAGCAGAGACGGAGCGTTCCTATGATCCTTTGGGACATAAGCTCCATTCTTGCTCTTCTTCTGTGTGATTATTCTTCACATGTGGATATCCTGGGCGTTGGAAGCCGCCATTTGTTTTTTTTTTAGATACGACCTGATGATGCTCCTAATGCCTCTTGCTCCTTTTTTATCTTCATGAAATGTACTGTACTTACATCCTTTGCCTGTACTTTCTTTTTTTGGATTTTGCTATATGGGAGGATGTACCAGGGCTCCAATCGCTATTTTTTGTCATACATACCTTTTTATATTGTTTATTGTTTTCCTCTCCACATACCTGACATGACGTGAATGACAATGGCTATGGGTCGGATCTACAGAGTACCTAGGATAGGATTCATCTAGGAGTTCCGGAGGCTAGCATATAGTATAGATATTGCTTAAATATAAATATAAATCTATTCTTATTTCAATTCACTTTGGAGGATTTCGATTTTCAGATTTTCTAATACCACCCCGGCTCCCTAATCGACTCCTAGAGTCTTCGTGGACTTTTCCAGGCATGAGAGCGAAAAAAAGAGGAACACTGCCCGCCAAAAGTAAGGCGGAGGTTTTGTAGCTCTCCCACCGCCTCTCCGAGCTAAAGGAGAGGTGGATGATGTGAGCCTTTTAGATCTAGTAATTTGCTTCTTTCCCTTCTCTGTTCAATATCACCGTCCAAGATGAAGCAAAAAGGATATTATTTCTGACGTAGAAGTATTATTGTTATACCAATTATATTATAACTTTTATAACGCTATTCGCCAATCCAAACCAATCGAATCCTTAAACCAACCTGTTCTATCAGATCCTGGTGAAAATATGCAAGTAATAGTAGTGGTACACAGAACACAGTCCACAGAGATGGACATGTGAGGAGAAGAGCAAAGAAAAATCGTAAATCAACATTCAACATCATCGTCATTCGTGACTGTTACTCTCTTGGATTTCAAAGAGAGACAGTTCGATATCATGGACCCGTCTTCTTTTTGAACATGTTCAGGACGCTGTGCTGGCCTTTGGGGCACATGTTCATGTTAGAGAATCCGCATTCAGGTAGTCGTTTAGAAGCCTTGATGCTTTCGAGGACCCTGTAAGGAATTAATTATGTTGTAAGTCAATGGGGTTCCTTTTTCTCATGGATTATCATGCAATCTAATGTTAATTGAGTATGGGAGGGGAAGGAAAGAAACATACCACTCGACATCAACAAACTTCACATTCCTCCCAGCAGCACTACCAGATCGTTGCAGTTCTTTCTGCACCTTCCCAGCAGCAAGACCGCCGCCGGCGCCGGATCCGTTCCCGTTCGGTTTTCCCAGGATGACGTGCGTGACGGTCTGGCGGGCGAGAGTGATGGCGATTTTGGCGCCGTTGGATGCGAGGAGGTGTTTGAGCTTGTGGTCTGAGATGAGCGGGAAGGTACTGCCGTTTATATAGATTGTTGTTCCGGTAAAGATGCCGGTGGGGGTTTCTGTTGTGGGATCGAGTTCGGGGGTATTGTTGGTGTCGCTGGGATTGTCATTGCAGAAAGCGAGTTTAGGCCGTGCAGATGGAGGAGGAAGAGCTGTGTATCCCTTGTGTTGTGGATCAGCTTGGTCTCGACTGCTGTGCTGCGATGTAGATGATGGCGCCGACGACGGTGAAGATTCTGCTGCTCTCAATTCCACCACCTTCGTCTTCTTCACCGTCTTCTCGTTGAGGCTTCCATTTTCATCCCCATCCCACTTCCTCCTCTTCGCCCCTCCACCACCACCACCCATCAATGTCCTAATATCCGCACATCCCAATCGCCGTCTCTCCGCCTCGTCCGCAGATATCCATCTCCATTCTCCTGCAGCTCCGTTCCTGATCTTATTCTGGTTCTTACTACTAACACGACAGCCGTTATTCAGCGTCCCATCTCCACTTCCATTCGTGATAGGCTTGCCGAATTGATGTGATAGCTTCTCTGTTCGCGTAGTGCGCCATTCGGACGTGTTGGAGTATGGGTTCTCTGCGCGTTGGTGGCCGGTAGATGCAGTGTTCCAGGGATCGAAGGTTAGATGGTTCTGAGGGACGATGGTATGTGGTTTGTTCAAGGGATGAGGGGGCATTGTAGATTGATTAAGCGTTTGGGGAATATAGAGAGAGAGAAATCCCGTCGTGTCGTGTCTGTTGGCCGGGAGAAAAACGCTACCCTTTTCGAAGATGTGGAAGATAAATTGGAGTAGTCCATGCAACGATTGGCATCTTCTGCAATATAGAAGATGAAGAGAAAAAAAAGGTTAGCTGCCTGCGGATTCCCCGCAGTCCAAGTATGTAGTTGCGTCGAAAGAGCGCGTGGGGTTAAGCTGCTATGTAGCTAGCTAGCTATGGCTGCGGGGCAGAAATTTCCGTCCTTTATGTAGCCACCACGCAGTCTACTTTCTTCAGAGAAACTGCAACTTGTCAGATATGCATAGATGGCTCATATCTTCTGGCTGACAAGGAGTGATTGCAGACTTCCACCGGATGAGATGTGCAGGCTGTCAGGAAGGGTGAAGCGCAAGGAGGGACGATGCTCGGTAGTCTAGACGAGAAAACATGAATTTCCCCGCCAAGATTCATTTGCTCCGCTCATTGTTTTTGTTTTACTGGAATGAGCTTAGCATGAGATCAACCTACCTTTTAATCTGATCAATTCTTAATTGCCTTTTTTTTATAAATATACACAATTTATATGAGTCCTCAAGTATATAATTCATATATATCTATCATCTCAATAATTAAATATGTTTAGATGTATCTATTGACTCTTGATTTAAATTAGAAACAGAATACTAGGTATCTAGTGAAAGAAAGAACAAAGGAGAGACCGGAAAAGAAAAACAGGAAAAAAACCTGGCAGTAATATGTGAACAACCTTACGGCTGTATCGCACACCACTTTTGTATGTGTTCCAATTGCTCTCCGCGTTTAGCGGCCTGTTCTCGATATCTTTCGATCTCATTCTGAGATATCGCAAGCTTCTCTGCTAACGCCTTGAGCTCCATCTTGAGCGTTTCAATTTCCTTTTCCCTTGTTTTTATAGAATCAGTGGCTTTCTGTTCTATTTGCACTTCGCGTTGAGCGGCCTTTTCTCTCTCATTCCGGGATATGTCAAGCTTTTCTGCTAACGACTTATTCCTTACCTGGAGCCCATCAATCTCATCGAGTGCGAGTCTTGTGAAAGTGTCAAGTGCCTTTTTAGCATCAAGCGTTGACTCGATAAGCTTTTGAGATACGTCCAGGTTATCTTTAGAAGAGGGTGTATTAGATTGGCCTAGTTCGATTTTTATAGTGGTCAAGTCGGCCCTCTGGGAGTCATCCCCATCAAATTCGCCAATTTGCTGAGGTGTCATACTCCTATCACTTCCAGTTGTTGGATGTGTAGCATTGTGTGACTGCTCCCTCGGCTGAGCATAATTAGAGAAGCCTATTCCAACATCATCGCGGTCGATAGAGGCTGTATTGAGGCTCTCTTCCGACTGGCGTTGTACAGGATCTCGTGGAAGGCTCCCTTGTTCCGTTGACGGAAGACGGGCCATAGGAGCTACTGCAGAGTCATGGGCATCCGTTGCTGAACCATTTGGGATCTCAATGTCTGCCGCGTAGGGTTCTGGTGGATTGAAACTGGAACCGATCACTGGGTCTTTCACAGAGATACCAGATGGTCGGATGGAAATATCAGGCGGATTCGCTTCTCCCGCACTCTGAGGATGTGTACAACTTTCAACCATTATAACGGGTCTCAATATTTGACTGTTATCACCGTATGTGTCCTAAATTAAGTTATGTATTAGCCTATAGCGCCTGAATAAGGGCATTCTTGGTCGTATCAGCAAGTGGCTCACCCTCTGCTTCTTTGCACTTCCCCTCATTGGACTTCGCCGGCCAGAAGGCGAAATATCCCCGCTGTCTCTGTCAGTGTCTGTATCTTCCCCTTCGGGAGTGACTTCGCGGATATTGGGTTGAGATCGTCGCTTTCGTTTCCCCGCCGACTCCGAATTCCGAGATGATGTTGTGGTCCCCGTCTGAGAGTAATAATATTACTGTCAGTCGCGTCAACAGTAGCGTATAGAAGATATACTAACTCGGAGGCCAGCAGCTTTATCCTGCAAGATAATTAGCCTCCTAGGTCGTTCTTAAACAAGTCACATGCTCACGTACATTCTCGAATCGCAACTTGGCTTCGATGCCACGGAGAGTTCTGTTTGGGAAGTAATCCTAGATCATTGGAGCGTTAGAATGGAATAATCGATACAGTAATAAAGTACAAGCAAACATATAGGAGAATATCGTGCCCTTTGTATGTCTTTAGTCGGGAGAGGAGGGACTTGATTCACCAGGGACAGCAGCAGCTGCGTATTATAGTCCCCCCATCGTGGCATTGAGCCTTTCTTTCCGGGATTTGGCATGATTGTAACATATAACAAGGTGCCACAAGATCAGAGGAGCCAACGTGTTCGCAGATTTTCTGAACGGAAGTTCAGAACTAACTGTAGGTTTCGAAACAAATGCTAGATGACAATCTCAGGAGAAGCATAAGTATATACGGTGTGTATAACTCCTACAGAGGATTATCACTGACCCGATCTAACAGGGAAGAAAACTATAGAACCCTTGGGAAAGTTTTGGCGCAGATTTTTTTTATATTGCCTGTCTTAGCGCCCACAAGGGTCAGTAATGGATAGTCCGCAGCCACAATCAGACAGCGTCTTCGGGCGTTTCGAGACTGCAAATGTTTCAAAGTATATTCATTCGTAGAAGCGGCAAAAGCTACTTGCTATTTGTCTGATGTCGGCCCTTTTTCCTTTCCTTTTCTTTTCAACGCGAAGCAGCAGAAACAAGGCTACATGACGAACACCATATTAGATCCAATAGTCAGTGTGAAGTTGGGTACTTTGCAGACATGTCCCTCTTCCATTCACTATACTGCGGCGCAGCATTTCAATGATTTTAGCCCCCATGAGTTGTATTAGTGCCTCGGGGAATGTTCCGGATAGTGGCTATCCTGCCAATCAGCGTGTGTATAGGCGCCAGGTTCAAAGTCAGCCTCGTGCAAGTACAGAAAAAGCAAAGAGAAGGGCAAATTCTCCTGTCCAAGAGCCAATCAACCGGCATAAATATCAAGATATTGTCTACCTAGAGATGCAGCTAGACGCGTATAAATGATACAAGAAATTAAAGGCTCTGTCCTATACGTCTCGAGTTTCTTTCCGCTTGTGCTCTACATTGCTGTATTTGCTTGGGGGTTGATATCAGAAATCCAACAATTAGATACAGCCTGTGCTTGGCAGGGAATAGAGTTAACTGGTTGTCTTGATATCCCTGATTCTTGGCTCAGCGCGAGGCGCAACGATCTACCGGGAGTGTTGTACCCAGCTTCCGCCCGTAAAACAGCCAGGATGCGCAAGCCGTGAAGACCATAGCAAGAGACCAGAAAAAGCAAGTGCCAGCGTACCTGTTTACGCCGGCCTAAACAGCCAGCCCACAGCTTGACCGCTGAATTTGGCTGGTTCTGATAATTGGACCGCAATATGCACATTCTGGTGAACGAAGTCTAGCGGTCATAGTGTCACAATGACCTTTAGATTCTGAGAAGAAGAAGAAGAAGAAGTACCAAGTACCAGAGTTCATTTCTGCATCTGTTAGCATATTCTGATAAACCCAAATGGAAAAGAAGAGGAAAGAAGCGATCCCTCGGAAGTCTGTCTAACCGACCCCTAAATTGTGTGGAGCAGCTGGCACTGCTGACCTACATGAATCTCAAATTAATATTTCTGCTACTAACTACTGCAACCCAAGTACTTTTGTCCCTACTAGTCAACAATAATAATGGGTCTCGCAAAGCGTAACTAGATCTTACCTTCCCCTTAACAACGTCGCCATCAATAATGAGATCTTATCCCTTCACCGCCCCACGGGCTAATACTGCGAAGCTATATAAGCACGTCTCTCCCGTTCGGATACGGCCACTGAAGACTTCCTTGCTCTGGGCCTCTGGCCCACGAAGAATTGGAGCACACCCTTGTGAAAGCTGTGCCAGATACCGAAGGAGAAAATCCAATCGACTAGCCGCTCCTAGCAGCATACACTGAATATGTCGACGATTTCGTCCAGACACCAAGACCAATCTCTTCTATTTCGTCGCCGGTTGTGGATAACAATTAGAAACAAAAGGCAGCGAATATCGTCGCGTTATATGAGCGAAGCAACTGAATTATCGTTGAGCGTCATCGCCAGTGCGCTAGTAACTAGCGCGTGCTTATTATTGGTTCGTTTTATTATTAGCATCCAATAAGCTTATCAGGTAATACCCTTTTGTGCCTATCTAAAACAAATACTCGCGCTGCACCTTTCTTCAATCTACTAACTTCGATATTATATTTGCTCTACTAATTTGCTAGCTTTACTAACCCTATTTAACTATTAACTTTATTAATCTATATACCTACTCCTTCAGCTTGAATCTATTCTACTAATTTACTAACCCTTTTAGGACTACTAGATCTGCCTACTATCATCTATGTCTCTATAAACTCTATAAGCTCTATTCGCTCGTTACAGTCTGCTATCTATACCTGCTTCACTAGTTTGCTTCACTAACTGTTACAACCTAACCCCTAGGGAGTATTCTAGGAGCTGAACCGCTGCGCCAGGAAGTAAAAGACTAGGATCCTTGGGCAACGCCCAAGAAACTGCTCTCGCTATATAAGGACAAAGACTTTACTATACCTGCTTCACTAACTACTTACTTCGCTAGGTCTACTAAATCTACTAATTCTGATAGATCTATCCCACAAGGTCGAATAAATCATAACTCTATTAACCCTATTATATCTATACCTATCTACAGACTACTTATTTTCAGAATCTGAACTCAATATCACGTGAACCCTACCCTACACTACTCTCAAATACATAGGCGCTCAGCACCTAACTGCGCAAATGCAATCCGCCACAAGTCTTTAGTAACAAAGTTAAAGAAGACAGCGATAAAGAAAGGGTCGAGTTTCAAATAAGAGTCTCTGTCATAATGGATAATGGTCTGGCCTATCTACTCGAATTGAAAACCAACTGTTTCCCCGGAGTTGCATAATCTACAGTAACGAATTTGCCGATTGTGATAAACCTTCGAGTCCTGTTGACGGGTTAATTAAGCTGGTTTAACCTCATTGCATTGTATCGGATAGCTGTAACCTGCATGAACTAGAATGAATTTGTCTCAGTTCGGTTTTGCTTCGATAAGGAGGAATGTCTACTCCGTAGTGCATAGTTATGTGCTCTTTGCGCAAGCAATTCTGAAGAAGCAGCCCACCAATCGTCATTTTGAAACATGGGGCTAAAAGGGCTAAGGACTCGAGAAACAAAACAGCTACGCATCAGACCTAGAAGAATTCAACCGCTTATTCCTAATTCATTTGGATGCTGTCACTGCAGCAAAACAAGGTGCGTGAACTGCGTGATCTTTTCATTCATGCATGCCGGTTCGTCTATTTGGATTTCTGTAATATATCCAGCATCCTAGACCGTTCGGCTGAAACGACCGTATACTACTATAGCAGTAGTTCTGCAGCCCAGACCGTGAGACACGACTACGACAGAATGGTAAGGAAGAACGCGATAATTTGCAATATATATTAACCTGGGTTCTCTTCTTCACTAAAAGAAAACGAAAAAGCGCGGTCGTAGCAACCTGCAGATGGACACAGGCGAAATATGGACAGCTCTAGATCCGATCTTGGGATCAGACACTCCGTCCAGTCCGTCGATCCTAAAAGCCCGCGGCTGATGACGCCTGTATCAGACAGACCAACCGACTGCTGATCGTGGAGACGTGAAAAGCAGACGATCCCCTGGACAAGAAAGGAAAAGTGGTGTACGAAGGAGAGTGAGAATACGCAATCATAAAATGTTTAGAAGAAGGTCTCGGGACATCAGCGGACATGATTTAACTGGCCTTTCGTTATCATCACCATCATCTCTTTTAAAACATGCTTTTTGTGGAAATTGTGGTTTCGTCATCGGTAGACAACAATCGAAGAGCTGTCTGGTGAACCGAGGATTTGCTTGCCCGAAGATTAAACAAGAAAGAAATCAAGTTTTGGGTAAAAAGCTCAAGACCGTTGCCAGTCGTGCGGCTTTATGCGAGAAGCGAAGATCAAAAAACCAGGACAGTATAATTGCATAAGGAGATTCGTATCATCACGGTCGTTAGAAAGGAAATTCTCAGAAACAGACATCATGAGAGGAAACTGAAAATAAACAGGAAAAAGCCCAGAAATAGAGAGAAAAAAAAAAAAAACACACGACATGAGTAGAGAAAATCTCGCAGATATATCAGCAGATCAACGCTCACACTGGCAACGAATTACATGCCACCAATGAAATCGCCATGTCGAGAAACAGCAGAAAGAAAATTAGAAGGAGCGTCGAATCATGATTCACCGCTGCGCGATAATAGGACCATTACCACCTGGTAATGTCACAACATCTCGCAGCACGCTGTACTGGCAGCAATACAGTAGCGCACAATCCCTAAGGCGCACCAACAACTGTTGCGCCAACATTAAGTCGTCAATTTGCACACAATATCAATGACACCGTCGACTCCGGGTGCCGACGACTCCAGAAACCCAGAGTCTTATCTAGTAACAAGTTACATCAGAGCATGGCTCGGTATGGACCTGGATGTGCTGCGGATACCAAGACAAGTATACCAAACTCATCGACGGCGGCCAATCACACTCGCCGCTGTCATGGGTTGCAGACCAAGCGGCCCACCACCGACAGGGCCACCGATCGTGGTCTCTGTGATTGTCTTGCGGCGCTTCTGCTCGTACTCTGGTCCTCGACTGTCGGGACGGATCAAGCGATCGTCATCGTCATCTCGCAGACGCTTGTTGGAGGACAGGGAACCGTTAAGGGCCGAATAGCTTGGGGCAGAGTTCGTTGTCGAATATGCATCCCCGTTCGGTGCAGTCCCACGAGTATCGCTGACAATGTTGTAGAGGCTATTAGCCGGGGCGCGTGGGGGAGTGTTATATCCGGGTGCCCACTGCGATTGAGATCCACCAGTGCGAGGGGTGAGTCGGTCGGCGCCATTCTGGTGCGATGGCGACGCGGTCATATCCGGGGAAATGTGGGAATGATCCGCCGTCAGAGCCGCCACAGAAGGGTTGCCGGTGTACGTGTACGAGCCACGGTTGGTATTATAGGCCGCAGAGCCGTCCTGGAGATATTCAGTGCCATGTTCCTGGACCGTCTCTGCCTCACCCGCTCCATGACCCACATGTCCGTTTCCCTGAACATAACGATCTGGTTTCACATCACCCTGGTCAGTCTCAGATTGACCTCCTACACCTCTCCCGGGCGGCGGAGCCATCTCGTTCTTAATGTAAGAGGCCGGAGGGAGTGTCTGCCCATAGCTTGGCATCGATGACTGCTGAGGAGCATACTGAGCCTGAGACTGAGGGGCAGCAGAGTAATATGGCTTGGAGTTATCGTATCCTGATTGACTCTGGTACGACTGCATACTCTGCATATTGTTCCCTGGCGGAGTGGTGGCTGGCGTCGTGGGCATGGATCGTGCATTGCTCAAGCCAGTATCGATGGACAGTGGTTGCGAACCTTGGACGTTCTGGCTACCCCATTCGTACGAATTGCCATGGCTAGGCATGCCCATCATACTCGATGCGCTGGTGGGCGGTGTCGGGAATGTGTGCGCCCGGTCGAGGCCAGGCCGGCTGCTGGGGTGAACCAGGGCGTTGGATGGTTGAGCCATCTGGGACGGCACTGGAGTCTGCATCGAGTGGTGGTGGTGCAATGTCGGGGGCTGCTGCGAAGCTTGAGATGTTCCAGGAGGCTGCGTTCCTTCCAACCGTCTCTGCTGGGACTCGTGCACGACCATGTTGGTCCGGGTCTGGTTAGTTGGATGGTACAATAGACCTCCAATGTTGTGCACAAATAGCGGGTAGAGAAGATCAGTGATCTTCTCCTTGTTGGCAAAGTCAAGGGCGCGCTCAAAGGGAATCCTATAGTACTGTAAGCATGCATTACAAATCCTCATGTTACGGGAAGGAGCCAATCCTACCAAACGCCCTTTAGATGCATTGGGCCAATCTTGACCACATGGCGGATCTTCTCGCTCTTGAGGATACCATCTCGACGGCCTCTGGTCATTCCGGCCACATTCAGGAGCTTGGTACCGTTGATCATATGGTTATCTTCTCGTCGAGCAACACAGACACCCTTGGCTTCCACTTGATAGCAAAGACTCCCTTCATCCTCCCAGAGAGTGGCCGTGACTCGCGGCTTCGCTCCCGGAGGTGCAATCTGGCCAGTAGTGTCAAAGGCGTATGGCTGGCTCGCTGTGTTCGAGTTCGTCACATATGCATGGGGCGACACGCTATGGTTGCTCATAGCTGTTTTATCACATCACGTTAGCGCCGAAGTACATTTTTCAGTGTTTGGAGCCATATCAGGACTTACCAGGCAAGGGCAGCAACTGGGCGGGCACCTGGCTCGTCATCGAAGTGGTCGAAGGCTGGCTCGCCGCTTGAGGGGATGTAACCCCGTTGGCATATCCATAGTGAGAGTACGAGCCGGTGGGGGCATACGTCGTGGAACCGGGATGCAGAACAGGCGGTTGCTGGTACGGTTGATAGTGGGTCAAGCTCCCCGCAGTGGCACCCTGCGAGGCGTAGGGCTGCGCAGAGGATAGATGCGAGGAATGCACGTCCATGTATGGTTGTGTTTGGTTCATGCTGCCAATGGAGCTCTGACCTTGGTAGTAGCCCTCCGCGACCGAATTTGATGCCACGCTGTATTCGGTCTGAGCAGAAGAATCCAGAGAGAGGCGGTTCTGGCTACGGCCTGCGACGTCCGCAGACGGAGGCGGGCTCTTGATGTCGTTCACAGAGGCCTGGGAGTACCCCGAGATACTCGTGCGTGAACTGGGGTTGCTGGACCCAGACGATACCGCCGGTGACGTATCCGGGCCACTTGCTCGCAGCGACGGATAGCCCGAAACGGGCGCCTGGTTGGCGGATGGGAGAGTGAGCGCAGGAAGCTTGTCACCAGACAGTAGAGGCCGTTCTGCAGCGTGATGGTTATACCACGGAATATCCACGGGGCCTCTGGTGTGGACCTGGGAAATCGACGGCAGCTCCAGCTTTCCGGTATTGACGGGAAAACGGCTTTAACAGCGGTGCAAAGTTAGAGTGGGAAGGGACGAAGTGTTCACGAAAAAAGACTCGTGACGTCCCTGTTCAGATCAATAGAACTCGACTGGTGGAGAGTCGGATCCAGTTCTGTAAACGGAAAACACCAAACAGAAACGGATACCACGTCACACCGAAAAAGGAGTATACAACCTCGAGAATGAGCTGTATACAAAGTGTGAAGACCACAGGTCGTCAAAAGCAAATGATAATGGGGGCGTGCGACAATGCTGCAAAGCAAATAGAAAAGCACCTGGGGAAGATTGACGCTGAACAAATGTTGCAAGCTCGTAGATGGTCGTAAACGTAAAATGCCAGCTGAGTTAATGCAGCTGACGATGCAGATGGCTTATGCAGCACTCGCAAATGGAAACTCTACATCAAAACTTTTCTCTTTTTCTTCTCGTCGTCGTCGTTGTCTCAAGCTGGAAGCGTGACGCAGGAGGCAGCAAGGAAACAACGGAAATGAATAGCCACGAAAGACAGCAGAATCGCTCAACCAGACGAAGACGGGGTTCGTGGGTATCGTGTCAAGTCGTAAAATTCGAACAATAACAGAAGCAACTCGATCGGGACGGTTTCGCGAACCAAACGGGCTGCAACGGCAGGCGGTGCGGGTATACAACTTGGGGAGGGGCACTTGGTGCAGAACGAACGAACCGAAGGCCGTACTCGGTATCAACAACAACGGTCTATGGAACACGAGATAATTTTCCTCTTTCGTTTTCAAAATATTTCTTCTTTTGTGCGAACAGCCGTATCGACAAAGAGAGGCAAGCTGGAGAAACAGCAGTCGTAGTGGTGGCTAGTCGTAACGGTCGTAGCGGGTCGTAGAATGGGAGGGTTCTGTCCTCGTTTGGCACCAGAGATGGACCAAGGAGATAGAAAGTCGCGTCTGTGAGGGATAAAGCACAGCTGTAAGCAAATGTTCGTTCTGTACTCTTCTTTTTTTTTTTCGTTTCTCGTGGCTCGTTTCTCAACAGCAGATCATGAATGCTGGAGAGAGGTGGAGGGGAAGAGAAGGAAAAGGCACAATGCAGGCGGCTGCAGCAGAGATCGGACGGGGGAAGATCAGGTGCATTGACGGGGAAGATCGGAGAAAATGAAGAAACAACAAATAGGGCCGGTCTGGCTGGTCGTGGTTAAAGTGCAATGATGGTCGGTGTGTATGGTACGAAACAGTGTAATTGCCAGTAGTCGCAGAGGGGAATTGCATTACCTGCTGCACTTTCTAGGAACCCATACAAAAAAGTGGAGGCTGGGGCAAACGCCAGAAAGCGGGAGCCGATCCGGTGTTGCAGGATGGCTTGTGCAGGTAGCTTTCTTTTTTTTTGGTTTTTTTAATTAATTGGGATATGGAAGAGAGAAGGGAGAAGAGAAAAAGGGAGAGAGGGAGGGAAGAGTGGATTATTGCGTGCAGCCGTCACAGCGACTTTCTTCTTCTTTGGGAGAGAAAGAAGAAAGGCCTGGATCGAAGCTGGGTTGACTGCGGTGAGCGAGGAAGCTCTTTCGGGGAGAGAGAGGGGGAAGAGGCTGCGGAAAGGCCGAGCCGTGACCTTCTTCTTCTAGGCGTGGGGAGGGGGGAAAGCCAGAGTTCAACCAGACAAGAGACAAGACAGACCAGAAGAGGGGGGGAAGAAAGCAGTAAGGCAAGGCTTTTGGGCGTTTTAGCGGGAGGTTGGGACCGACGGGGCTGGACGCAGGGCAGGAAATCACCGGACTGGATGGGGGCAGAGGATGCGTTGGTCCTGGGAGGGGGGTTTGGGGCAGGCCCGGCGATTGGCGGGGCCGGGTGGAGCTAGGACCCGGACCCGATGCGGGAACAACGTACAGAGAACTCCGCCAGATTGGACAGCTCGACCTCGTTTGTCACCTGTCGTGATCAACAAGTCAGATTGATTGGCATTCGTCCGGCAAAAACCGACAAGACGAAGAAAGAAGAAGAAAAAGAAGAAGAAGAATTAGAAGAAGAAGGAGAAGATCATGAATAGAGTATGATGCAAAATAAAAAAAAGATCGTCTCTCCCTTTTTGCTTTGGAGAGTGGGGTTGGGGCCAAGGTAGACAAGAGAACGACAGGATCGCCCGCCAGGACAGCCTCAGGCTGCTATCGCTTTCCCTCTAGCCCAGCACTGCCAGTGAAGCTTTGTGGAGCTGTCGACGGACAACAACCGTGCGCCCGAGCGGAGTCGATGGAGGATGGATTGCCCTCGCAGGGCCCAGAACGGAACTCAACTGATTGCCATCACACAGCTTGGTGCAAGGGCCATCCGCTGACGGCCACAGGAACCCTTGGGGTTGACGTAGGGACCATGACCGTGTCCGTCCCAGGTGCAGATGTAGAAAAAGGTAAAAGGTAAGAAGAGAAATAAGAATATCAAGAAAACGCAAGCAAGCGAACGGTAAGATGCACAGTTGGTTACTTACTTACTCAATAACGGCGGTATCCTTTGGCCCCCGGCTCAACAGCGCTGGGCGGCAACCGAGACGGTGTGCTCCGGCGTCCACAGATCGAATGGCGTTTCGGCTCGACGGTGGATCGGGTATCCGCGCAAAAAAATAAAAATAAATAAAAAGAAGAATGATCAAAAGAAGATCAAGGGGAGCAGCTGTACTAAAGGGAAGAAGAAAGAAAAGCAAGAGAAGAATGTGTGTAGCCGGCCAACCACAGGAGGGATCGGAGTTTGGCGTGGTCGCAGCTCCTTCGTTGGTCAGAGTTATCGAGAAAGGCTCCCGCGGACCAGGATGATGCTGGATCTGCTCTGACCGTCGATCGAAACTCGGGACGCAGACACTTCGAATGGATGTTCCCTCTTTATCGGGATGGCATGGGATCTGGAAGGGGAAACGGAACTGCTACGAGAACGCTGACGTTCTGTTCTCTCTCTCTCTCTCTCTCTCTATAAAGAGATTAAACCCCCCTGAAGGAATATCGATAATATGTCCGGCTGTTGTGTACACGCACGGCTACCGGGTCTGGGGATTGGTCTTCCACACGTTGGGCAACCTGGCTCTGCTTCTAGACCTCTGTTTTCTGGCTCGTCTCTCCCAATCCAAAATTCCCAAGAAGGAACAGGACGAGCTATGGATGGAGGGGTCCAGACTCTGCTCGGTTAAATGATAGTCACTCTATGTTCCCTGTTCTCCAGGAGATGATGATGGCAGCTTCTTGGGGGGTTTCAAGCTCTATACACAAAAGCTCCACGGATTGTATGGTCAACCGGCGTCCACGAGGGCTGCTAAAAAGTCCAACCAATCGCTAGGGGCGGCGTATCTGCTGCTCTTTCTTTCTGCAAGCGCGGTCTCTGGCAGCTTCGGGACGCGGGGGAGGGGGGATGGCGTGTTTGGCACTAGAGAAGGGATCTAGAAGAAGGCAACAATACAGCTGTCTAGAGAAGCTCTAGAGGAGCTGCAACTGCATTCGAAAAAGAAACAAAATGCGGGCAACGGAGCTGCTGCTGCTGCTGCGAGTACGGCAGTCAGGGACGCTGGGAATAGGATGGCGGAAGCAGATGCAAGATTGCGCAGTCTAAATGGCGGTGGATCGTGGTATAAGAGCCAGACAGCCAGACGGGCTCAATTTCCCTCCCCAATTAGTGACGAGAGATAGTCTCGTCCAGCACGCAGTTGAGATCAAAACTAACCTGATAGTCACCCATTTTCCCCGCTGAAGCTCTTTTTGGTCTTGATCCCTGGCGGCCTAGCACAGAGTGCCGACTCGAGTAGTACTGTACCTATCCGTGGCCCCGCCTATAGTCTAGCTTACTTCCGATGTAACGACTCCTGAGCGACTTGTTCGTCGCGATTCCAGCTTAACCGGACTACTCTATAGACCGGTGGAGATGGGCTGTAAGCTCGTCATCCCAGGCCATTGGACGTTCCAGGAGCGACAATACCATACTCAATCATCATTATTAAGGCTTCCCGTCGATCTAGAATTAAGCTGTGGCTCCCTTCTAAAACAAAGGCTTACCCGCTGGCTCTGTTAGTTACTCCTACAACTGGCAGTCAAATCAAAAGAGAAAAGAAAAGAAAAAAAGAAGCGTCTAAGCTTCTGCTTGGTCCGCCCGGGGCAGCAATGGGAATGCAGGCAAGCGTGGGCTAGCCAGGAAAGACAACGGAGTCGACAGTCTGAGAGCTGGACGATGAAAGGCGTTCCCAGGCAGGGATTTTCTGCAAAGAATTTGGACCATTGGTTCACAAGACACCACGAATGATGGCACTACTTGGGTCAACAATCGGTGAGACCAGTCGATCAAGGGCGACGGCCAAGGAGCGTGTCAGGGACGTGCTTTTGCCGTTTCGGTCCCCCGGATCCTCTGATCATGACCTCTTTCGCCAACCCGTGACATGACCACAGGCCTTGTTTCGGCCACCTCATGGCTGGTGGCCAACAGCAGCAGAAGCCACGAGTTCTCTGTTAGGTCCCCTTCTTGATATGCTCCGTGGAGGATCCACGATCGCCACTGCGCCAGTCAACTACCCTTATCCGGCTGCCGCGCCAATCGATCCTTTTGCAAACGCAGGAGGGCGTGGCCAAAGTC